TTATAATTAAAATTTTATTATATAATAATAAAAATTTTATTATAATATAAATTATTTTATTTATTAATTAAAATATAATTAATTATTATTTATAATTTTAAAAAATTTAAATATAATAAAAATTAATATATAATATATTAATTAAAAATTTAATATTATTATTTAATTATTATTAATATTATAATTAATTATTTAAAATAAATTATAAATAATATATTAAAAATTAAAAAATAAAATAAATATTTATAAAATTAAAAATTTTATTTAAAAATATTTATTTATTAATATTTATATAATTATATTAATAAATATATTTTATTAAATATTTAAAAATATTATAATAAATTTTATTATTTAAATATAAATTTTAATTAATAAATTATATTTAATTTAATTATAATAAAAATAAAATTTTATATTAAAATAAATAAAATTAATATTAAATTATTTATTTTATTATTTAAAAATAAATTATTTAATAAATTTTTAAATTTAAATTAATAAAAAAATAATATATTATAATAATATAAATATAAAAATTTATTTAATTTTTAAAATAACTTTTTAAACTATATTAAACTTAATTAATATTATATATATAAAATATAAATATTTAAACTTATTTATAAATTTAAACTATTATAATATAAGTATTAGATTTTAATATAATTATTTAATATTAATAAAAAGTAAACTAAATATATATTTATTATATACTTCTTTTTATTTATTATTATTAAATATTAAAATATTAAATCTATTTTAAAATAAGTTTAATATATTTATAATTAATATTAAATAAAATATATTATATATATCTTAGAGTATCTAGTATATATATTTTATATATATTTAATATATATTTATTTTAAAAAGACTTAAGCTTATTAAATAATAAAAATTACTTTTAAATATAAAATAGAAAGTTAAACTTACTATTTTATATAATATTAATTAAATATATAATAAAAAGTAAATATTTATATAAAAGCTTTTATATTATTTATATACTAATTAATTAGCCTACTAAATAGGCTAGTTTTATATATATATTAAATATACTTTTAATATATATTTATATTATACCTTAGCTTTTATATATATTTAATTATTTTTTAACTATTATTTTTAATTTATTTTTTTAATATACTTTTAAAATAAGCTTAGTATATACTTTATATATATTTAATTTACTTAGTTTTATTAATATTCTTTATTATTAAAATCTCTATAAGAGCTAGATTAAGTATTATATAATATTAATATATATAAAGTTAATATATTATATAAATTAACCTATACTAGGATACTTATTCTAAATATACTTATAAAATTAAATAAATTATTATCTTTTGAATATATATTTAAATTATTTTATAATAGTTAATATTATATAACCTATATTATATAACCTATATTATATATAATATTCTATTTAATAATAATATTATAATTATATACTCTTAGTATATATTAGATTTATACTAAGCTATTTATACTTTAATATTTAACTTTAAAAGCTTTTATTTAAATATTAATATACTTATATATACTTAATATAAAGCTTAGAATAATAGTATATTAATTAACTATTATTTTCTATTAATAGTATATAAATTAAACTAATATTTAAATATATTTAATATATATAAAATATAAAGTTAGCTTTTTTATTTAGTAATAATAATAGATTAAAAATAGCTTAGAAATATAAGTATATATTAAATTAAAATATAATAATAATATTTATATAAAAGAACTTATTTTTTATTATTATTAAATATTAAGCTTTACTTAGAATTAATATAATAATATTATATATAAAATATATACTTATTATAGAAATATTTAAATTTAAATAAAAGATTTTATATATTATTAATATTTATATTTATATATTTTAAAAATAATATACTAAGTATTACTTTAATATAAATAATTATATTTAAAATATTTTTAATAATTATAAAATTTATATATATACTTTATTAATATTAAGTTAAAATACTTTTTATAATACTAAGCTTTAAATAGAAAATACTTTAGTATATATATATTATATATTTATTTTATTTAAAAAAATTTAATTATATTAAGATATTAAAATAAAATATAAAATATATTTTAATAATTAAGATTAAATCTTTTTATATAAAAAAATTTTAATATAATAATTATTTATTATTTTTTTTAATTTTAATTATTAAAAATTTCTAAATTATAATTTTTATATTAAAATTTTTTAAAAAATTTAATATTATAAAAGTTATTTTATATAATTTTAATTATATATAAATATAAATAATAATAAATCTTTATTAAAAATAAAATTTTTAAATTTTTTTAAAAATAAATAATTTATATTAAATATATACTTATTACTATAGCTTTAAATCTTTATATTTATAGTATATATACTTATTTTAAGGATTTTTTTATATATTAAGTATATATATCTTACTTATTTAATCTATTTAAGTTCTTTTAGCTCTCTAGAAATAGAAGTTTAAAAATTAAAGTTTAGGATTAACTAAGATATTCTTGGGGTCGACTAAGCTACGACCCGCTATATAATATATTCTCTTTACTCTAGAGATAGATTAGACAATTCGTAGACGGCTGACATTGAATGCTAGAGCGGCCCCGGGCCGGGCTTTCACCGGTAAAACCTCGGCCTAAAATATTGCATTTCTTGGCGGCTGACTATCTCACTCACTTCTAAATCTTGGACTGCCAGAACAATGGGCCTTTCGCATTCAGGGCATCACTGCCCGGATGATAGTTAACAGGCGCCAGATGGAGATGATATGACGACATGATAGCAGTCCACCAGCAGCGGAAGACGCACTTCCGCTCTCACTCTTCAGAGACACAATAACGACCAACGACCAACCACTTTTCAATCTCCACTCCATTCCAACGACAGCAACGAGAACCCACGGTTCATTCCCCATAGGACTTTATACATCTCATTCATTAAGCATCATCCCACCCTTCAACTACACAACCTTCGCCATCATGGCCGCCCAAGTCCAAGTCCCCAGCACACCACGCGTCATCTCCCCCTCGCCGACCCCCTCCGAAACCCAACAAACCAGCTACTTCGCACCCATAACCCGCTCGGCCACAAAATCGCGCACCTCCACCTCCACCTCCTCATCCGCTCTCTCCTCCTCACCTCCTTCCGACTCGGACTCATCCCTCGAAAAGCGCGCGCGCACACGAAGCCGCAGCCCAACGACCGCCTCCAAACGGCTGAACTCCCAAAAAAAAGCAGCAAGCGCAAACCCTCCTTCGCCGGCACGAACCCGCCGCCCACAATCCCCGAAGCGTCCTCCCAGCAAAACGGGCATCTCTCGCCCTCAACGGCGTACTTCCGCTCCCTGTCCCCCTCGCGCTCGCCCTCCCCGCTCGGCCTCATCCCCATCCACCGCTCCTTCCGCAACTTCATCCACCGGCACGAGATCCCGCGCAAGGTTTTGCACGTATCGATCGGGTTCGTGACGCTAGGGCTATACACGCGGGGGCTGGAGGCTCCACAGATCTATCCGTGGCTGATGGGCGCTCTTCTCCCGATCGCGAGTATGGATGTGCTGCGCCACTCTTTCCCCGTCGTGAACCGGTTTTATATAAGAGTCATGGGGGCGTTGATGAGGGAGAGTGAGGTTGAGGGGTATAATGGCGTGATTTGGTATTTGGTGGGGGCGTGGGCTGTGCTGAGGTTCTTGCCCAAGGATGTTGCGACGGTAAGTATCTTGCTGTTGAGTTGGTGCGATACCGCTGCTAGTACGGTGGGCAGGCTTTATGGCCGGTATACGCCTAGGATAAGACGGGGGAAGAGTTTGGCGGGGAGTTTGGCGGCGGCGGTCACGGGCGTGCTTACGGCGGGGGCTTTTTGGGGGTGGGCTGTGCCGAGGTGGAGGCATGAGGAGGGGTTCATGTTTACTGGGACGCTGGCGGTGCCGGGGGTCATTAGGGAGTTTTTGGGGATGGGAGAGGAGCAAGGAAGGGTTGGGGGGTGGGTTGGTCTGGGGATTGTGAGCTTGTGGAGTGGATTTGTGGCGAGCTGTAGTGAGGTAGTGGATCTGTGGGGCTGGGACGATAATGCTACGATTCCCATATTGAGTGGGATGGGGCTTTGGGGGTTTTTGAAGGTGTTCGGTAGTTGACGGGATAGTGATGCCACTCCTTGCGCGAAGACATAGCGCTAGATATGATGGTCACGATATAAATCTCAATTCTACGATTCTGATCTGCATTCTCTGGTCGATTATGGGCATATTCGACATGTTCAACTGATTTGACATTTTGATTTTCTCACCACCACAGGAAACGCGATCAGCAGAAATCGCAAGTTCGGGTCCGAAATCTCGATCACAGATTCGTATTGAGCATTCTCTTTGACTGTAACGAATTCAACGTTATTAGTAGCAGATTCAAGGAGCTCTTGACGACATTGATTTGAAAACATGTGATTCTCGCCCTGTCACAAAAGTTTGCTATCTCTTCAAAATGGTCTGATTTGAGCAAATCATCATACTACTATGAAGGGTACTGCGTTGCACAATGACGTTGGTTTATCTGCATTTAGACGTAGTGCAAGGTGGCAAATGGGTTTACAACTTCACTCGGTTGTTTTGAGCTGATCGGATATCTAACTACTACTCTTCTGCTCCTTCCTTATCTGATGAGATCTGCTGTAAAGGTAATTATTTTGTATTGATAGTGTTGGCCTGTGTCAAGTACTTTGACTCATCTTTTTACCTTTTTGGGCAGGTCTGTCTGTTTTCGTTGATTCTGAAATCGATGCATGACTTGATTGCTGACTTGTTTGGCGTTTTTGTCATGGAAGCATGCCTTGCTAGATAAATTTGCTTCTATCCGCGATAGCTAGAAGTATCGATCTTGTTCTTCCGTTGCCTGATTAAATCTGTACAAAAGGAGCGTCTTGTCTAGCTTCATCCCAGAATGCAAATCATCCGTCCTTCATCTTTGTAACCATGACTACTTCAGAATCCTCCTGCGAAGCGCCTCTGTCAACGCTAGACCCTGGCGCAAGAATTCTGCGATACAAGATCTTCAAAGCGAGAAATCTACCGAACTCTGATATATGTTTCATCCAAGGTCAATTCGAAGTTCATGCCAATAGGATTCATGAATTCTCAGAAAATAAGATTGCGCCTGCACTAGAACGACATCCATCATTGCCACGATACTATCACGTGAAACGCTACAGCATTCAGCTGGTCAACGAAAATGGTGAGCTGATCAAGGAGAGACCAACTGCAGAAGATATCAAAGGGATGTGGGCATTGAATGAGATTCCACTATTGACAGCACGCGTTGATTTCAAGCGTGACGGAATACACATCAAACCAAGCGAAAGAGACAATTGCGAGGAGGAAGCGGATTCAGTGATCTACAACGCTTATCTTACCGCAGATCCAGAGAGCGAGATCGTAGAGAGGTTGAATCTTGAAGCTTCGGACAATAATCATGAGATGTTGAATAGAGTTACTGCAAAGGAAGGCTCTCAGCAAGGACCACCTAACCCAAGAGAGCTCATTCAACAGCTTGTCGGGCGCCTCGAGAATATCTATCGTTCGATCCAACAGGAAGAGGAGTCCAAGGATCCAAGGGAACGCAGAAAGACGGGAGCAATCTACATGCTCGTGCGTGATCTGTTGCAAAAGGTTGAGACAGAGGCGGTTGATATACATGTTTGATGGGGGCGGCATGATTTGCCGTAATATCCCATCGAGGATATCTGCATGACTGCGGTGATTCTGGGCTAAGAATACAACCTGTGTTTGGACTTGTTATCATTTTAGATTTAGACCTTCGTGCATGTTCTTCATCATAGATTATAGACTTTTATTGATTCATGATCGGTCATAGAAAACTCAAATACAATGGTGACTTCGATGAGAACGATTTGACAAGCAGAAAAAATAGTTCTTGATAGTCCTCTAGATGCAGTAGAGAGTTTTGCTTTCAGCAATGTCTTGCCTTGTCATATTGTTTCTGTAAACAGGCTTTGTAAGCTAGTCAGAAGCAAGAGTGAGTAGGCGGACGTTTTTTAAGGCCCAATTCACTGGCGAATGCGGAAGGCGATACACTTGCCTCATACACAGTCAATCTCATGACTAAATTCTATATGCTGGCATGCCTCAGATAGTTGCGAGGCAGTGTGCGGCCAGACTGATTTGGAGAATGAATATGCTCGAAAGATCCTGCTACCTTAATATGCCTTGCCCCAAAGGTTGGTGCCTCTGCTGCCCACATGAAATCGTCTCCTAACATGGCTATAAAGAGATCGCTGACTTGTCTCACTTCTCATTCATCAAAGAGAATATTAACGACTCAAAATGACTAAAGAAGATGACTCTCAGAAACTAACCTGCCGCACAAGATCATCAGGGTCAAGGGTCGTAGCCTACAAACGCATCAAAACTTCCCCTCTGGATTCAACATGCCTCCCAGACCACGAAAGCCCAGCGTGAGTAAGGGAGGTCAAAAAGACCCCGTGTATTACCCGCTAATCATTGCATCAGGCAAGAAACAGCCAGATTGATCCGCAATGACCCATCTCGGCCAACAGCCTCAGAGCTCAAAGATATTCTCGAAGACAGGTTCACGCCAAATGCGATCCTTATGAGTGAGGATAGTCAGGAGTCGCGGACGGGAGCCACACAGACGGCAGAGATTGGTGTTCATATGGTAACAGGTATCCCGATACGAACCCGAAAGGTTACACAACAGCCATCTAGCCCGAATATCCAAGAAGATTCTAGAGCTGCCGAAGCTTCTGCAATGCATGATCGAGCACCTTTGAACAGGAACACCGAAATTAAATTGGTACATCCCTTGCCATTTGATGAATTGTCGGCAGATAGCTCGAAGAGACGGAAGATTGAAGAGACCAAAATAATGGGCTAGATCCATGACCCGTAGCAGAGGTCTTTTTGCGGGCGCATGTAGAAGTCGAAGCCGATAGTCTTTCCATGGCACTGAGATGTCAGTGTTAATTGGACTAAGAGTCCCTAGGTCTTCATACAAGCCTCAAAGTGATCCAGACACCTATTTCTCGCGTTCCTTGCAGATGAGAAGTGCTTGAGTCTGTTGTTGAGATGAGATTCGTAGGTGGCATTTTGTTCGTTCTCCCCTCAGTCGTGTCGGCTCACATGACGCTGCAATTCATCTCCGTCCGACCTCCTGCTTCAGTAGTTGTCCTCGCAGCTCTTCTTGCAATATCTTCGAATACCTCAGTCATGAGCTCACCAGTAATGGCCGAGCACTCTGCATACATATCACATCGTAGCTCTTGAGCAATCACATGGGCCTCCTGAGGATATATGACTCCTGGCTTTTCAACTCTCAGGTCTCTTTTCAGGCCCAATAGCGCCACCGGAATCTCCTCTTTCTCGCTCAGCCAGGTCGTTGAGACTTGGTGCGACCAGATATCCACAACGTTCTCCAATGTCCGTCTGTCATTGATGTCGTAGCAAATGATGATGAAATCTGGTTTGAGAAGTGTGTAGTTGTCTGGGGAGGCTGTGTCATAGAGCTCGAAGCGGTAGGGACGATTGTACATGCGGATGTTGTAGACGTATGGCTGATCATAGTCTCGTAGCAATGGAAGAGGATTGGATGGAGAAATAGGTTTGGCAATGGACGAGGAGCCAGACGAGAGCTTCGCGAGGAAGGTGGATTTGCCGCAACCTGGGTCGCCGAGGAACAATACAGGCACAGTAGGGCCTTCCTCAAGATCATCCATATCCACAAGGACGGCTCATATATCTCTTTTTGGGTTTGATTCCGACTTCAGCGTTCTGGTTGAAGCCGAACAAGGAAAGCGGAGTGGAGGGAGCCTCAGCGCCTATTGCTGTCGGTGCTTTAGGGCGACTATTTAGCGGCTTGCACCCGGAGCTACGCGTTACGAGCATGTGCAAGTAGTGATGCAAACGTGATCGCTCTTTGAAAAGGTCTATGGTCAAATCACGATCATTGATCGAAGCTGGTACGTCTGTTGTACGCCAGAGGTTCGTGGAACGGGCTCTGAGGTCTGCGATCCGAGCGCCAAAGGTTTACGATCGAATGTCTACGGCGTCACGGCCAGACTACTCACAATGGAGCAACGAGCAACTGATCGAGCGTGTGACGGGGCTTGAAAATCAACTCAAGGAGCAGACGGAAAAGTGAGGCCCCAAAAATCATATCAGACTTGCTGGAAATGTCACTGATTGCGTAGACAGGTATAAGAGGCCTGCTAGCCTTTTGGCCTCCACTTCGTCCTCCGAGAGACCTACGAAAAAGAGCAAAGGCTTCGACTCCAGGAAACATCCTACACGCTTGATCGCCCTGAAGCTTGCCTACCTGGGTCAGAATTACAATGGCCTGGAATTTCATCACGGCAATCCGACTCCCTTGCCTACGATAGAAGAGGAGTTGTGGAAAGTATTAGCAAAGTCTAAGCTAGTCGCTCTATCAGCAACGCGTGAAAGACCTGAATTAGAACCTGACTGGAGTCTTTGCGATTATTCTAAATGCGGAAGGACTGATATCGGCGTCAGTGCCTTCGGACAAGTATTGGCCTTGCGAGTGAGGAGCAATCGACCACGGCCACCAGATAAAGTACACTCTGTGGATTACGACAAGACCTCTGGGAGTGAACCGCATGAGAAAGATGCCTCGTTAGCCATAAATACCAGTGACAATGCCACAAATAGCACGCTACATGGGGAGGCCCTATCTTGCAACGACCGCAGCGAACTCCCTTACGCTCAAATGCTCAACCGCCTTCTACCTCCCGACATCAAAATCCTAGCCTGTTGTCTCAACCCACCCGAAGGCTTCTCCGCTCGCTTCTCATGCCGAGAGCGTCGCTACAAATACTTCTTCACCAACCCCGCCTTCCCTCCCTCCCCCTCCTCTTCTGCCCCAGGTCAAGAAGGCTTCCTCAACATCCCCCTCATGCAAGCCGCCGCAGCCAAATTTACCGGCGTCCACGACTTCCGCAATTTCTGCAAGATAGATCCGAGCAAGCAACTCGAGAACTTCGAGCGCCGGATTTTCCACGCTTCTATCGACGCCGTCTCTGCCGCTGAATCCACACAATTCCCTCCTCCTGTCTCATCCGATCCAGTGACTTCATACACGTCCCTCCCATCCCCAGGACCAACACTCTACACCTTCACGCTCCACGGCTCCGCCTTTCTCTGGCACCAAGTCCGGCACATGGTCGCCATCCTCTTCCTGATCGGCCAAGAACTCGAACCCCCTCTCTCATCGACGATCTCCTCAACGTCCAGCAGAATCCAACGAAAATCTACTACGATATGGCAGATGACGCACCTCTGGTGCTCTGGGACTGCATATTCCCCGCCGGCGCCGTAAAAGGCGGTGAGCGCCAGACAGAAAGCCGACCTGACTCCTTGAATTGGATTTATGTGGGCGACGAGCTGAGACTAAATGGCGCGGGGCAGAAGCAGGGGGGGAGAGATACGAAATATGGGCCTCATGGGTTGGTGCCGGATCTTTGGGGGTTGTGGCGGAAGAGGAAGATTGATGAGGTCTTGGCGGGGTCGTTGCTGGGAAGGGTTGTGGGGATGGGGAATGCGGGAGGCAAGAGAGGGCAGAGCAAGATGGACGAGGGAGGCAAGGAGGAAGGTGAGAGTTCGACGAAAAAGCAGGGGAAAGAAAATGCGAAGATCTTTCTGGGCGGGGATGGGTATAAGCTTGGTGGGAAGTACATACCCGTGCTGCAGAGGCCGAGGGGCGAGGCGCCGGAGGTTCTGAATGAGCGATGGAGGGAGAAGCGGGAGAGGAGAAAGGAGAAAATGGATAGGGACAAAGGAGAGGGAGGGAGAGGGAGGGAGAGTTGACGGGATGTTATAACAGAACATTAGCATTGCTGTGAACGGAGATGTAGCTAGCAGTACTTGATATCGAGCACGAAGATTGCTCTATCTACAGTACTATCACTTACAAGAAATTCAGCCAAAATTCCATCCTATTCTACCATTTCGAACAATGTAAATTACCTAAGTCCTCTTATCCTCGCTCCTATCATCCCCTTCCCCCATTCTCATCCAACCATCTACCTCACCTCAATCTCCCCCTCCCAACACCTCGCCCCCAACCCCAATTTCTCCACCAAATTCCTCCACCTCGGCCCCCCGCGTTCCTTCCTCATCAAATACCGACACAGCTTCTGCCGCCTATGCAACAACAACCTCAAATTCCTCTTATTGACTTTATCATGCTTTCCGAACGAGGCGTACGCGTCCGCCAGCGCATTGATCTTCAGCGTCAGCATGCCGATCTGCACCTCCGACGATCCCGTATCTGGCCCTGCTCTTGGTATCTTTCCTGCCCCAGCCCCTGCCCCAGCCCCACCGTCATCACTGTTTCCTGCAGCTACGGGAATGAGATCTGTTGATCCTGCAGCGCTAGATGAAGCCCTTCGTTGCTGGGGTGCAGCAGCCGGCTTGGGAGTGAGGATGGAGTCCGTATTGTGCCGACCGAACGCTTCGATGACCCGCTCAGCTGACCGTTTGCGCCGCTGCAGATTCGACGCGTTGCTTAGCGAGACGATGCGCGATACGGCTTCTGAGGCCAGCGTGTGCCGTGCTTCGTCTGCTTCGCTGCGTTTTTTGTATGTTTCGCGTTTTCGTTCTTCTGGGCCTGTGGTTGCTGTGAGAAAGCGGCTGCGCTGGAGGGAGGTGGTGAGTTCGGAGGGTGTGAGGCCGTGGGTGAGGCCCTGGGGGTCGCTGGTGTCGATAGGGGCAGAGGTGAGGGCGGTGTCTTGGGATGAGGCCGTCAGGTCTACGGAAGAAGCGTCTGGCGTGGTTACGGAGGTGGATTTGTCGGCGGGGTCGGGGACGAGTGAGGGAGCGGGATCGGAGATGGGATTTATGAGGGAGCGCAGGAAGGGTGTTGGGATTCCTCGGATTGGGTCGCCTTGCGCGAGGGTGCGTTCCGCGGTAAGGGTGGCGCGCCGCGAGAGGTTGGCTTCTTTGCGTGCAGCGGACTTACGTTGGCGGAAGAGGCGGGTTTGGTGAGGTTTTTGCTTTTGAGGAGAGAGAGAGTGGCTCGTTGTGGAGAGGGAGGAGCGTAGGGCGGGTGCTAGGAAGGGAGGTGGTCGGGTCCAGAGGTGCTCTGCGGGGTGTTTAATATTAGTGGTGGGGACATTGGGGTGAAGTAGAAGCTGACCATGTTGCGTTGCGCTGGATAGCATGCTCTTGAGTCTTGAGGCCATGTTTGATGAGCTAACAAGTTAATGGCAACATACATTTGACTTTGTTTCGATGGATTTTCGATAGCATCGGGAGATTATTCTGCCGAGCTCCGTCCCACACAAATAAATTATGTGAAGTGGTGCGTGCTTCTACAAGACAAGCATTTGAATTTCCTTCGCATCTCTGCTGGTACCAGCTCTTTGTGAGGTATCGCAGCTGCAGTCATGGCTCCAGCTAATTTACCCTCGATATTCAATGCCACCTCTCAAGACATTGAGATGCTGCTCGCAGCTCAATGCCACATTGGCTCCAAAAATTTACAAGTGCACATGGAGCCTTACCTTTGGAAAACACGGCCAGACGGTGTGAACGTGATCAATTTGGGCAAGACCTGGTAATACCTCCTGCAGTCTATGATTCTGCTTGTCGCTGACAACTCTCAGGGAGAAGATCGTGCTCGCAGCCCGGATCATCGCAGCTGTCGACAACCCCGCAGATATTGCCGTGATCAGCGCTCGTCCCTACGGCCAACGCGCCGTCCTCAAATTCGCTGCTCATACTGGTGCAGCTGCTATCGCTGGAAGATTCACACCTGGAAATTTCACCAACTACATCACCCGCTCCTTCAAAGAACCCCGCCTCATCATTGTCACAGACCCTCGCACCGACGCTCAAGCTATCAAAGAGGCATCATATGTGAACATTCCTGTCGTCGCCCTTGCCGATACCGACAGTCCCACCGAGTTCGTCGATGTGGCTATCCCGACCAACAACAAAGGGCGTCACGCCATCGGTCTTGTCTGGTGGATGCTTGCACGTGAAGTCTTGAGATTGCGAGGCAGTCTTGCAGACCGTGAGACGGAATGGGATACGATGGTGGATCTGTACTTCTACCGCGACCCAGAAGCAGAAGAGAATAAGGACGCGACCGGCGTTGAGGAAGGAAAAGTACCAGGTGCGGATGATGTGGGGACTCAAGCTATCGACCAAGGCTTTGCCGGCAATCAAGAGTGGGAGGTACAAGGCAGCGCACCAGCAGGTGCTTTCGCAGCCCCATCGGGTACGGCTGGAGCTCAGGCTGGCGCCTCATGGGAGGCCGACGGCACGGATTGGGCTGCCGGAAAGCCGGCACAGACAGGAAACGAAGGGTGGAGTGCAGAGGCCAAGCCGACCGAAAACGTGCAGTGGTAATTCTAGACGAATACGCGTGGCAGCGGTGGAGACAAAGTGATGGCACTTATGAGGGAAAGATGCCTGGCTGGTGTGCTGTCAAAGGTATGCTGCTAGGAGAATGCCCTGTGCTGTCATGAAGAATGGCTTGAGCGCGTTCTATCTCTCATCGTGTAGGTAGCTCTTAGGCAAGCAAAGGCAACCAACGCAATTCTATCGGACTTGTACATCTATCCACTGCCAAGTGCCCAACATCGTGTTCTTACCAAGCATTAATATTTCGAGGCCACGCGGCGTGCCACGGTGATTTCCGGTCAAAATTCCCAAAGAGGGTGGGCCTCTGGGACTATGCCAGCCACATCACATCTTTGCTTCATATGTTTGCTGGTCATGCATGCGGTCTGCACTGGCCAGCTGTGACCCAGTCGTCAACCGGCTGTATGTCACTGACATATTTGTATGCGAGCACTGCATTACTATTCCCAGTACGAGAGCACCTGCAGGCGTTTCAGGGTGCTACCAACAATTCACAGGCTGAGGAACTCCCGCTCAGGGGTGCAGGAGACCGACGGTGGATCTGCCAACCGTCTCTAAATTTGGTCCATCTTGCGCGCGGTCTGACCCCAACTCTGCTAAAACAAGATTGAAGCTGTCGATTGGCCTGCTTATGTGAAGTTATGAACCGCTTATGGAGTAAGGCCCCCATTAGTTGGTCTTAGCAGAGGGTAGCTCCTCTTCATCCTTGCCAGTCGCCCCCGGAAAAGGGAAGTCTTGGCGTCTGCTCTTCATTTGCCAACCACCGCATGAGCGCCTGCCTCCTGAGCTTCAACATCAAACACCCTTCTCGTTCTTTTCGCATCCTCTGCATAATTATCGTCGCCTTTCCTTTGTCGTGTTTTGGCACTCTCTTATACAGTCCTTCTTTTTGAGACTTGTCTTTCCTCTCTCACTCTTTTGGCACCATAATGCGAAGGGGGCTTTCCGATCATTCGTAATTGTCAATTTACATCATGTATTCTTCCACCACAGCGACTCTATCAGCCCTCCTAATATCATGCCTCTCACTCTCGGGACTGGCTACGACACATACTCATCAGTTTCATACCTCGACTTATAAGCTACCAAACTACTGGGTTCCAAGTGCAAATCAGAAAACTCAGAACGTGCTGAATCTCAAACACAAACCGGATGCGAAGCCTCACAACCAGGGCTACCTGCAAGCATTGAGGAATGGAAGTCAAGTGAACGGTGTGTTTGGTTACGAAGAGGTGGATGTGACAGCGAATGGTACGACATACAAACAATCATCACAAATCCATGACCGTACTAATCCTTGGTGCAGGCCTAGTCTTCGCGACCGAGGTGGATATCGGAGGCACGACGTATGAGCTGGTCGTCGACACAGGCAGCAGCGATACTTGGCTACCTAAGTCAAACTACCAATGCTCGAGGCCTGGCACGGGCGATATCCTCCCCCAATCATCCTGCCAATTGGCGTCCACTTACACACAATCTTCCACCTTCTACGCCCTCAACAATCTCAATTTCTTCACGCAATACACGGATGGTGAAACTCTGCGAGGAACATTCGGAGTTGACCAAGTCACGGTCGCTGGCATCAAGGTCAAGAACCAACAAATTGCTCTTGTGGACAATGCAGCGTGGAATGGTGACGGCTCTACCTCTGGCCTTCTTGGCCTTGCATTTCCAGCCGCAACGAAAGCCTTTACTGGAGCCGATTACCGTCTGGACACACCCGCAACTCAAAAGATCTACAATCCCGTCTTCACAAACATGTACACCGAAGGCCATGTTGCTCCCCTCTTTTCCATCGCATTGGACAGAAATTACGGCGGCCAACTTGCCATTGGCGGCTTGCCACCAGTCGCGTACCTCCCCATCTTCGCTTCGTCACCCTTCCAACTACTCACCACGTCCAACACCGATCAAGTAGGCACCGCCTCCTCCTCAGCCTACACCCTCTACACAATCACTACTGAGGGATTTGACTACGAAGGCGCTTCGACTGCGCAATGGTCATACACAAACTTCCCGAACCCGTTCGACGAGCCAAGTGATCATACGCAGGTGCAAGTCATCATCGACACTGCGACGTCGAACCTCTTCCTCCCTGCCGGCACTGCCGACGCAATCAATAAGCTTTTCTCCCCTGCCCCTCTTTACAAGACGACCGATGGCTTTTATGTCGTGAATTGTAACGCCAAACCACCCCAATTCGGAGTCAAAATCGGATTCGAGACATTCTACATCAACAGCAAGGATATGATAATAAACCTGGGCAATGGGAAGTGTGTGAGTGGTGTGGCTGCCAGTGCGACTGGTGGTGCTAGCATTTTGGGTCATACATTTTTGAAGAACGTGCTCGCTATATTCGATGTTGGTGCACAGATGATGAGATTTGCAGCAAGGAGCAACTACTAGATGAGACGGGACATATCACCAATAGAGCATAGAGGGATGTAAAGCAGTGCAATAAACCCACGCCGGGTTGCGAGGGCAGGGACCATCGCTTGATTCAATGGATTGAATCGCATTGGGCTGGATGAACATAGGGACATGTCCAATGACATTCTTGGTCTAATGCTTCGGACGGAGCTTTGACGACAAACCATGATACCCTTCTGTTGGACAGCCTTTGGGCATAGAGGTACATATTGTACATACGAACATAGTGGAACCTTTAATATAATGCTAATCACTTTGTGGACAACGTTTTTTACATCGTGCTTCCACGGTCATTTGCCATTGCTCAAATTAGTTTTGCTTCACCCAAAATCGCATGTCAAAAGTCTGTATGATTGGCCAAAGAAGAGTGAAGCATGTCCCTTATGAAGTGTGATTTGAGGGAAGTATAGTCATCAAGATTCATGCTTTGCAGGGTGAACACGTGTCAGATTTACCAGAAGACGGAGTGTAGATCTGACCCTCTCGTTTGAGCGTCTTTTACACATTGTGTGGATGTGTGGGCTGCCAAGGGTACAAAAAGCACCTCCACGCCCCCGAGTTTTGCTCCAAGTCTGCAGCAATACCTAAATGACGTCATGTTGTGCTGTTTCTCGGCAACCACGCTAAATCAGCCCTATGGGCAAACCGCGCTAGTGAGAATATCCATGATCACAACAACACAAACCACAACATCCACAACAACAACAACACAAAGTCTTTATCGCCAACAGCCAACACCATGAAGACACGCAAACAAGCGAAAGCGCTCGCAGACAAAGGAGTCCCTCCTACACCGCCCCAGGAGCTTCCGCAGACACGCCGCGGCCGTCCTAGCCGATCTACCTCCGTAGAGCCACATCCCTCATCACGACCCACTGGAGTCAAGAAACCTGCCGCGAAAGCCCAGAAGCCAAGCAAAGGCCGCAAAGCTAAGACTGAAGCTTCTACAGCTAATACTGTTATCCCACAGACACAGAACGATGTCACCACCACGCAGTCGGACACCGACCGCAATGATCAATCTGATGAATTCTCATCAAGAGCTCAAAGCGCATTACCCGAAGATGTTATCATGGAAGAGAACGAAGAGGATAGAGAGGAAGATGAGATTATGGAGGACGAGGATGTTGAAGAGGACACAGATGTTGTGATGGACGAGGATGAGAGGGACAGAGTGCGACGATCCATCTTGCGTGACTTGATGCCCCAGCCAAGCCCACTAGGTCGCCTGGAGACACGACCGATGTCGCAAGAGCATGGTGAGGAATCCCGTTTTCTTCAGACCCCTTATGGACCTGCTCCCATAGCAGTAAGGAACCCCCAAGATGCCCATGCACGTGCCTCCATTCCTCAAATTGCCTACTCCAGTGCTATGGACATTGTGCACGAACGTGCCGGACCGCTATCGGACCTGGACAGGTCGCCACCGGCGGACCGTCCCAACAGGGACGGAAATGATGAAGCAAACAGCTTCAACTCTGTCGCGGATCGGCAGACAATCGAGAGCGCGACTGGCAGCACGTTGCCAGGCGCATCTTCAGAAACATCGTTGTTGTTCGAAAACATTCTAAAAGAGACACACCACTTTACGCCGTCATGGCATGGACGCCCCGCCCTGCAGCCAAGTGTGCGGAGCGTATCAAACTCCCCGGAGGCTAGTCCTCCACAAGCTCCCAATCACCATGCGGCGACACTTCCCCCCTCTTGCATCGGACCCCCCTGCAATTCACCCAGCCGAGTGTCCTTGTGATCTTCATGACCCCCTTCTCATTAATTTCAAATGCGCTCTCCCCCTCACGATGCTTGACGATGTTCGTCAATTCATTTCTAAGCACCACTTCGCGAGAGGAACCGTCTTGGAACGGCCTCTTGAGGCTTGGCCAGAGTTCAAAAGCGGAAGGCTGACAGACGAAGAAATAGCCCAGATTACAGGCAAGTCAAAGACCGAAATCGCACTCGATCGCCGCGTCGCCCTCAAAGATTACAAAAAGATCTTGACGAGCTCTTCACCTACGAGAGGTTCGAATGACCAATCTACATACAGACACACGAACGATGCACAAGTTTGTGAAGTCAAAAGACAACAGCTTAGGAACGAAGCCGTGACTAACAACGTAAACACAATCGTTCGCAATTGGGACAAATACCCCGCGAAGAGGAATCAGAAAGATGCAATTGTCAGAGCTATGGTGACCTCTTCTTATGATGACCAGGGAAAAGTCGTGTGGCATACTGAAATTCCCGTTGTGAAAGTCAATCCCACAATGTCAGACGCAGAAACCAGTGAAGAGAGTTCATCAGAGGACGAGGAGGCGAATCAAGCACGAGAACGAGAGCGTCAAACTCAGGCGCCGACAACTCCCACAACATCTAGTGCTCGTGGCTGGGGCCTTGGGTCCATCGTACCATCTGCAGCTCGTACCGTAACAAAATTTCTACCTAGTTTTGGTCGACGCGCTGATTCGACACCTGAATCAACAACACAGCCACGACGCGTCATTGCCACCGAGCCAAAACGTCGACAACTCGCCACCTCTACAAATGACTCGACACCTCTTACATCTCAGCGCAAGAACAAGGCAGAGACTCTAAAGGCGGCCGCATTGCGGGCCAAAGAGGAAAATGCACGTCGGAGGAAGAAGAAGGAAGAGAGAAAGGAATTGGCAGCTGAAGTACTAAGGCTTAGCAAGCAGAATAAGAATCTCTCCAAAGACCTTGTGTCTGCCAAACAAGACTTGCTGCAATATCGCCCCCCTCCACCAATGGTGTCAAGAATGGCAGAACGTCGCGAAGCCGAGGAGAAGCGACAAGCAGAACTCAAGGAGGAAAGTGCGAGAAAGGAGGCAGAAGGATTCGCGAGGACAGTGGAGACTGGAATCCCATCGTATTATGTGGAGGATCCTGCTGATAAAGGAAAGAAGAGGGAGAGTACACGACCAGTATTATCAATTGAGAATGCCGCCAACACGGAGGGCCTTGTTGACGGAGTGGACTCGGCTGAAGTGGACAAGCGTGTTGACAAAGGAAAAGGAAGGGAGAAGAAGCGTAAGCGCTCACTTACACCAGAGATCATTCCAAATCCACCTGGAGCATCCTTTGGAATGCATGACAAGTACTTTGGCCCTCTTGGTTCGGACGAGGAAAGCTCAGATGACGAGTCTATTGCTTCATCTCGCACGCCAAGCAAGCGTCAACGCACAAGTGGAGCAGTGGATGTCATGTCGAGTTCGAAAAAGGCAACCTCACGAAAAAGTACCACACCCTCCGCGCGACGCCAGCCTACTCCAAAGCCTCGACTCCCAATTCATCCAGACAAAAATCACGAATACCAGAGTTGGAAGCAGTGTAGAATTGCCATACATCAGTCTACTGATTATGATATTTACTTGGGAATCTTCGGACCAACAGAGCTACGAGACGAATTCTATCCGCGCGAGCCTGTCCAACGTAACGACTCTGAGGAGGAGGAAGAGCCCGAGACACCAGTCCCAGCAAAGAAAACTCATGGACCTGCTACCACACCCCCGATCCGCTTCACTGCTGGAGGAGGACGCATCTTCGAGGTGCCTTCGCCAACCTCTACAGACAACACTGATTTCGATGACTCCTATGCGGAGCCTACAACTCCTGTGCAGGCTGTCTCGGCATTGCGAGCTGATACATCAACACCACGAGCCTCTGAGCAAGTCTCGAATCAGACTCCTACACCAAGGCCGCAAGAGCAAGTCATCGGCCAGATATCTACCCCCAAGCCAACACAGCAGTCTGCTGGCCAGACTCCTGCTTCAGCACAGAACACATTGCAGGAAACCCCGAAAACGGCTCCAGTAGCGTCAAGCTCTAGGATTGCACAGCAACCTCAACCGACTCCTCGTCCTGTACAGCAGCCAGCCTCCCATCCTGCCACGTTCGCTGAAGCGGTTGCGCTAGCAAAGCAGAGAGACCAAGCATTAAAGTATGCACCCAGAAAGCACAGTAGCCTTCAGAATTCCTATCGCCTCTCGACTTCTACCGTGGCATCTGATGACGCAAGTGAGCATGGCGAGGAGGAAGCACAAGACGATGCAATTGCCCAATCGATTCGATTGCCGACGGAAATCGCGGCCCTGCCAGACTCCCCTCCACAAGAACATGCGGCATTGCCAGGACCCAGCGCAGAATCTTATCAATTGCCACAGGACATGCCAGCTCTACCAGAATCACCTCCGGAACAAGATGTGGCATTGCCACAGCCTAGCGCAGAATCATATCAAGCCAGAGAAAATTATCCAATCCAAGAGGAAGACGGTGCATTTTCGAGCGACAACCGCCCATCTTCGACTACTTCCCTTGATGATGACCAATACGATCCAAGAGTAGCTCATTTCCAAGCTTATGAAGCTTACAAACCGAAAATGACGGATCGTGCTCGTGGTCTCGTTGACTCAAGTTGGAATCCAGAGGTTCACTCGAACGCAGCTTATCACAAGATGCAGCGTGAGCTCCAATTGTTCAAGCAACAGAAGAAACAGGAAGAGGAAGAAGCTCGTGCGTCAGGACAAAGCACGGCCCCTACGGCATCAGCTGTGGCACCCGCTCAATTCTCACTACCACCCGGCCCCACGACGCAGGCTTCGTCTCTTTCAGGGCCATCGCAACAGCATGCACCAGTCGTTCAAACCTCATCATTCAGTGATCCCTCTATCGATCCTGTGCTTACAGGCGACGTAGCTCGATTCAGCCCGCGCGTCAATGAATTCATTGATCAGAACTGGACGGAAGAACGCAGCGTCCAGGCGGGCGAGGATTTTGCAGCAGAATTCGCCGCATTCAAGGCAGCAAGGACTGTCCCCGCTGCGTAAAGCAGCCTTCTCTATACGACTATCAATATTGTAACGGCCTCACATTATGTTTCTTGCATCATTTTACAGCCTGCATTAGCCGCATGCATCACTTTCAGCATCGATTAATTTCAACATACGTCACTTCTACCATGTATTATTACTACAACGCTTCACTTCTACCGCGTGCTACGATCACGACGCTTCACTCCCAATCCCTGTTAGACTCGACCACCTTCACTTCCTCTCAGACCTCATCAAGGGCTGGCCATTCTCCGTGGCGGGCACGTTAGTGTGGAGCTGTCTTTAGCTGCCCCTACTAACGTGTCCGTCCACGATGTTGGCCGCCTACGGTGACGGGAGAGAGGAAGAGAAGGTGGTTTTGCAGGCTACAGGGGTTGGGAGGAGGCTTTTTAGGGGAGGAGGGGGAGGAGGGAGGGTAGGGTATTTGGGGGGGAGGCTTTTTTCGTGGTTGGTTTTGTCCTGTTTTTAAGCGAAGGAGTCGGTGGAAAAGTCGTTATTTGTGTGCATAAGACTATACCCTGCTAAGCATGCATCTAACCCATGGGCATGGGAAAAAAGCCGTTGATTTACCAGACAGACCAGGTGCACTTTCCCATTGCTGTTTCCCATTATAATTGTGCTATTCTTGCTGTGGATTTGGAAGGTGCCTGAACGCTGCCATTCGCGCCTTCCGATTGGCTGATAAGGCGATGACGCACTTCTATACGCGGCAGCAACGACCTCCGCTTCACTTGTTTACGACCTCAATTGCACCTCTCTCTCTCTCTCTCACTTCTTCCTTGTCCTTTACTATTTTCGATTCAACACTGTCGTTTATTAACTTCTCTTCTTGATTAAGCCCGCGCTCACAGTCGTTTCATTGTTGAAAGACCATATGAGTCAGCACAGGGCCAACCCAATCAACTGATACGGCTCTGGTACAGCCAAATCCTTCGTTCTCAGCGTCAATTCTTACATGATGATACTTCTCAACGCTCTTGGCGTTTTGACTACCCTACTAGTGTCATCTATCGCCCAGTCTTCAGATCTCCCTACCATCTCAGCTGTCGGCTCCAAGTTCTTCTTCGAGAATGGCACGCAGTACTACGTCAAAGGTAAACTCGCATGGCCATGTGCCTTTCCCTAGACAAATATCTCCCCTCACAAGTTGGAGCTAATTGAACCCAGGAATCGCCTACCAACTAACACAAGATGACCCCCTCATTAGCGAAGACCAATGCAAACTCGACGCCAAGGAGATGGCAGATTTGGGTGCCAACACCATCCGCGTCTACCACGTCGACCCAACCGCCAATCACGATGCCTGCATGTCCGCCTTCGCGGCCGTAGGAATCTACCTCTTCGTCGACCTGGACACCTTCGACACCCAAATCGACCAAGACACACCCTACTGGAATCAAACTCAACTCTCCGCCTTCACCGCCGTCTTCGACGCCTTCCACTCTTACTCAAACCTCGCCGGCGTCATCGTTGCCAATGAAGCCCTCACCCGCCTCAATGGCAGCTTAGCCGCACCGTTCGTAAAATCCGCCATCAGAGACGTCAAAGCCTATCGCACCCAAAAAGGCTATCGCGACATCCCCGTCGGCTACTCGGGCGCCGACATCCCCGAGCTGCGGCCCATGCTACAGAATTACCTTGCGTGCACCACGGGCGATGTGGCCGACAGCGCCGATTTCTTCTCTTTGAATGTGTATGAATGGTGTGGCCAGTCCTCCTTCAAAACGTCCGGCTACGTCGATCTCGTGAAGAACGCGACGGGTCTGCAGATCCCGATTTTTATTTCCGAGACCGGGTGTCATGTCCCCCAGCCCCGGCTCTTCGATGACCAGGACTCGATCTTCGGGACTGATATGGATGGCAGTTGGTCAGGGGCGATCGTGTATGAGTGGATTCAGGAGGCGAATGATTATGGGCTTATCACCTATGGGCCCAAGGTCGATCCGGAGGAGCATCCTGAGGCGTTGGATGGGTATCCCCGAAGCGGGACGCCGACGCCGAAGAGTCCGGATTATTCGAATCTGAAGAAACATTGGGCCACGTTGCATCCAACTGGGGTCAAATTGGGGGATTATGAGGGAAGCGCCAAGGGGTTGAAGCCGATTGCGTGTCCGGTTACTACGATGGGAGGGTGGGAGGTTAATCCCTCTGCGGTCTTGCCGAGTTTGGGGCAGACTATTGATAAAGCTGCTACGAGCACGGGTGGCGTTGTGCAGGGGAGTGCGAGCGCGAGTGCGACGAAGAAGGGTGGGGTGGGGAGGTTGAGTGTGGAGGTGGGCATGGGGTGGTATGTGGTTTTGGGGTTGCTGGGAGTGATATTTGGGATGTTCTGAGACTTGGAGGTCTGGTTGGAGGTCTGGTTGGAGGCAGCTGAGGTGTCATATGCATTAATTTGAGCCTTGAGATGGAAGATGGGGTATTTTATTATTTTGTATGAGATATGAAAAGATGGCATATTGCATGCGAGCGCTGGCGAGGTATGGTGGGAAAAAGTTTGTGGATGCGTATAGATTTCTTAAATGACCATTTCGACCTAGCATGTAGGGATTGAAGTCTCATGCTGTTCTTGTATGAATATTAATCCCCACGGATGCTGCTGTGCCGTAATCGTGCAGAAGAAACGCGGTGCGGTTGTCGTCGGTCGATCCATCTTTTGAACACGCAAACCCTTCTTTCTTTCTTGTATTTACAGGACGGGATAGGGCAACGAAGTCGGACATTATTGGTTGGGAATATTTAATAGTCGTTCGATAATATAATTACGAGGATTCCTTTCATCGGGTCGTCATCCCTCGGGTAGAAGGGAAGGGGAGGGGAGGGGAAAATGGCGCACCAGCCTCATGGTATCAAAGCGTTACTGTTCGATCTCCAGGGGACGTGCACGAATTGGCTTCCTGCTGTCGTGAGGGTTTTGGGGGAGGCGCCTGCTCTTCCTGGTATGTCTGTCTGTCAGCGTGTTCGCTATATTTACCCTTTCCCTTTCCCTTTCCTTCTCCAATCGCACTCATTCCCTTGTCCCACATGCGTAACTTGACCCCCTTCAATTTATCTTCTCTCCTCTTCCTACAAGCGTTTTTCTGCTCCATGCTCGTCATTAAGGTGATAGAGGGCTAGATATCTGTGTGAGAGATGCTGATGTGGTGCCCGAGGGGGGCGGGGGAGTAGCATTACCGAAAGAGGACTTCGAGCATTTCGCTAAAGCGTGGCGGAAACTCTATTTCGAAGAGCTCACAAATCGCCATGAGGCCGGGCAGGGCGTCGAGGATATAGATGTTACGCATCGACGGACCTTGAATTATTTGTTGTTGGAGCGCGGGGTTAGTCCGGCGATGTGGGGGGATGGTGTTAGGGTGCGATTGGTGGGGAGTTGGGGGAGCCCGGAAGGTTGGTGATTTCTTTTCTCGGGAGGGGGGGTTTGTGGCTGTTGGTGGGAGTGTTGCCCTGCCCGGGGGGTTGGGTGAGGAGGGAGTGGGATGGGGGAAGGAGAGGGCGCTGGGGGGCGAAGAGTTGAATCGGGTGGGACAGCAGATCGGAAAAGGGGAGGAGTAAAGAGGAGAGGAAAAAGAGAGTGAAAGGAGTAGGGTGAATGCTGATTTGTGTGCGTGAGGACAGCATGGCCAGATACCATACCAGCGCTCTGGCGCTTACGATCGAAGTACTACATGTAAGTTCGTGTTATCAGCTCCTCCCTTCCCTCCCTTCCCTCCCTTTCCCCCTTCTCCACACAATCTGACATCACCCCCAACCCCCCAGCATCACCCTAGCAAACGGCTCCCTCCCCTCCAACTCGCCATCACGACATCACCAAATCTTTCCACCAACACCACCACCACCACCACAGCTTCAAATTCCGCAAATGCCACAGAAGGAAAGATCCATCTCCCCTTCCACGCCCTCCTCCCCTCAACCCTCCTCGGCGCCTCAAAACCCAATCCCACAGCGTACAAGAAGGCGCTGGAGCTGCTGAAGTGTAAACCCGAGGAAACGATGATGGTGGCGGGACATGCTTATGATTTGAAGGGGGCTAGGGGGTGTGAGTCTCTTTCCCCCTCCCCCCCCCTTCCCCTTCCCCCTGCCCCTTTACGTTCTATTCTGCATTTTTCTCCTCCTTGGATGAGGGAAGAAGAAAGGGCGAGGGCGAAAATGAGGGTGAAAGGGGGCTAACCGGGCGTGGTGAATAGGGGCATGAAAACGGCGTACATTCACCGCACGACCGAGGATCCAGATGAGGATATGGCTGTTGTGAAGAGGGAGAATGATTTTTTCTTTGATGGTACCACGGGTGAGGTCGGCTGTGGGTTGGGGGATTTGGCGGATGTTTTGGGGGTGTGACTTAGGCATGGGTGGGTGGATGGATTAGCGCGGGCGAGGGGTGGGGGGCGGGGTTGGGGATTGAGGAAGGGGGGCGGAGTGGAGGGGATGGGAGAGCAGACACGTAGTAGGTAGAGTGATGCATTGAGCGTTTGTCTGTTTAGAGAAGAAGGGGGAGCGATAGGTCGGGGTGGTCAGTCAGTCTGCTTGCTCGTCGTCGAGTGGGGAGGGATAGGGAGGAGTGGGGGAGGGGCTCAGCAAAGGTCCATCACCTCAAGCCTTGTTGTTAGAGAATACAAAGAGATTTGCTCTCAGTCTACTTTGCGGTTTTATTTAGCTAGAGGGACCGACGACATGGACTACTTCGAAAGCTGTCGGACACAGTATTCAAGCAACTTTCTGTGTATTTGGGATGCTCCCCAGTGTCAAAACATTTGTTGCCTTAGCACTCACATTCCGGCAAACAGGCTGGTCTAGTCGTCGCATGTGGAGATCGGTTGCTAAACTCGGAAAGGGGGGATGAGACGAGATCTGTGATTGCAGAGGTGGGCTTCGTATTCGATTACTTGAGGGGTTTATATGTTGCAGAACGGGCTCTGACTTTATGCCGACTTCGCTTTGGTTAGCGGCTTGTTTTGGGGAACAAAACTGCTTCGAAGGGAGCTGTATATCATGAGTGAGTGGGATTTGGTGCGTTGGGAGCCAATAGGCCCAGGCCGTTTTCCACCCACAATGTTCTGCAGCCCAAGCTTATCCGATGAGGCGTTCGTATTCTTTCAGAGTGCTGTCGGTGAAACCTCCTTGTGGAGAACTTTCGATAGACAGATGGTGTGCACACGGATCGACCTGAGCTGTCCAGTTTGTGAAGATCTCAAACTCTCACGCGATATTGCCCTACCTCGGAGGAATTCAGTCTCATCGTACAACGGACCAAAGGTACATCTAGATGGTCTCGCTAAAATCCTTGACGTTGCTCACACTGTAGGATAGCGTACTGTCAACCTGTCATCTACCGAATCCTAGCGATCCCGAAGTGCACGGTAACCCAAGTGATCGGTCGAACGAGGTCTCTCCAGAGAACGCGTCAAAGACATAACACACGGTTTAAAGCATGGGATTCCTGTCAATGCGAGTAGCCCTGATCGAGTACCATTAATCATGTTACGATAATAGCTGTAATTTTCAAGTACGTCCACTTGGATGGATTTCGTCCGTGCATTGAATCTTACTCCACGCCTACTGGGCTTGACGCAGCCTTGTTGCACTGAATCAATGAATCAATGAATCAATGAATCAAGGGAGGACTTCGCTCGTCAATAATCTTGGAATGAGACTTAGGCATCCACGTGGATCAATCTCTTGGCTTCCTATTCGAAGTACTCAAACGACTTCTCGGCTGCAATCTTAATTCAGGCAAAGTCAAAAAGAAGAGAGATGGGCATGTCAGGAAGCGCTCCCGTGGTGGCTGGATTGAAAGATGCATGTGAAAGTATAGTAGGCTTCGGCTGCAGATCCCATATGTTGTAGCATCTCAGCGAGGAGATCGTCATGTGATTGCATGTCAAGATGCCGATCAGCAGACTGTGGCTTGCACCGAACGGTCCGAAGTTCCCAAACTGGTCACTCGTCTAATGCGGCAACATCAGACCGCATGCTGCATTACATGACTAGTATGGCGACCCGCGGGAATTATCAGCTCCGCTGCGTTGTCAGAAGTTTGAGGCTCCTGTCAAACCTGCACGAATGCTTGAGTCTGCGTGTGTCGCATTTGCCGGCCTTCGCGTAACCCTTGGGTCGTGGCTTTCCTGCACCGGTGAGAACCATACAGAAAGCTTATGGATCCCTCGCGAGCGTGGCTTATCGGCCCGATGTCGATCTAGGTTCTGTCGCTAAGTCGCGCGATCAATTGAACGCCAGCATTGTTGACGGTTGAGGAATATTTCAGTTTGCAAATTCCAGCGAGGTTGCATGCCAAGTCTGTCGCCTCCGTAGTAGGAGCTAGTGTCTTGGCAATACTGTCTAATTCTAACAACAGGACTTGCGAGCCGAAATCCTCGAGTAGATAGCATGTCTTCAACCAGGCTCTCTATCCCGAAAGGCGTGCTCCTTCTCTTACTTTCAAGGCATTACCAGATCAATTGCACATTAACGAGCTCCCCTTAAAGCTTATTGCTGGAGAATTGTCTCATGACAACACCTTCGAGATATCCAGAGACCCCGGCCCCATACAATGGATAAAACAATCACCCTTACTTGTGACTCGCCAATACTTCCAACGTGACCTCAAGTCCAAAGATAAGATGTCACAGGTCAAGCAGTACTCAACACATGTGACAAGCCACAGTTGACCGGACATCCGACTCTGAGGACGTGGCTGCCCGTGGCATTGGCTTATGGCAGCTATTCGACACTAGACGGAAAGTCTGGGAGCAAAGCCGATGGCGGCATCAGGCAAGACGCGGCGTCACGCGTTCCAACGCGCCTTTTCAGCTTGACATCATTTGCTATTCTTCAATGTGCATCTATTGGACCGTGTAGCGTTTCGAACACTACCAGCGAGCGAGAACCCGGTTGCGACGGCAGTAGGGACTTTATGAGTCTTCGTTTAAGATGGACTGCATCAACAGGACTGCCTTGTCCAATGCAGGTCTCTGTGATGCCATCATCAAATATTCTACAACATCTGGCCATCTGCTTCATGTTCTAGAGCTCAGCAGCTCAGCGTCCAATGGCAGTGGCTTCCCTATCCCCAGGTCTCAACGGTAATTTTAGACCAGACTAACAGGTGAAACCAGCACGGGTCGGTCTGCCGCACGTGCCGTCGCCTAAGACATGGCGTACATTGGCACTAGACATTGCCTTAAGCCCCTGGTCAACCTTCTTTAAATTGGAGCATTGAAGATGGCAGACTGTGAAATGTCTACTTGAGGTCTGTATCGTCGATTGACAGGATCTCAAGAGCAGGCATCTGGATTATAGTCTGCATATCTCCCGATCCAGCTGCAGCACAAGCCCATTCTGCCAAATTCCGCTTATGCAGGAGACACACTCTCGCTTCTTTCACAGCAAAATAAAGATAAGGGCTGACAGTAAAGCTTTAGCTTTGGAGGCCTATCTGGCAGCCGCAACAGAATGGCGCACCATCTGCCTTCAAGTATAGACCCCCGGACACTTCTCGGCGACATTTCCAGCATTAGCGCATGGGGTGACTGTTGGTGAGGGATTATTCCCATCCTATCGTCTCAGCGCCGAGCCGCAAAAGGATTGGGGCCAACATAGGCGATTGCGTTTCAGCCATACACTCCCCACCCTTAATCTCGTATAGGCAGTCCCAGGCCCTCCACCGCGGTGGTCGTAAGACCTCCATAGCCGCAATGGCACGGAGGGGGCTTGTTGGATGGTGGGCAGATCATCAGGGGCCGCTGTCCCACTCATTCCGCCCGCTCCTCTTCAATCCCATTCTCCATGGTCAATGCCATTCCGATATCCTAGACATCTGCACTCGTGATCTTTCCTGACTTCTCCACTCGCGCCAGCCATGAATATCACCAGGAACGTCGTCGTCTCCGGTGTGTTTTTCTCCGTCGCGGTCATATTGCTTCTCTCGACCTTCTATACACAGCATAAGCCGCACAAAGGTCGCTTCATCTTCGTAGACCTCGGAGCCAATCGCGCAGACTCGCTAGAGACCTTCCTCAAACACAAGGGCGCGAAGTTCGATTTTGATTTCCCACGTCCCAGCTGGGCAACCCACGACCAAGCTGGTAAGTCCCCTGACCCAACCTCTCGAAACGAAACAAACCAAGCAACCTTTGGTGTTGACACTGATACGCGTATCAGAAATCTATCTATTCGAGGCAAACCCCGTCTTCAACCCCGCCCTGGTAGAAGCCAAACAGAAATACGACGAGCTCGGCATCAACGTAAACATCTATCCATCCACCGTCGTTGACGTCAAAGATGGCACGCGCACATTTTACCTCGACAACGTGAACACCGAGCACGACTACTGGGGTTCCTCCACCCACGCCACGCACCCCGATGCCGTAAAATCCCACAGCAACGGCACCGAGATTGTCGCGATCGGAATCTCGCGATGGCTACTAATGAACACGCTGCCAAGGGATTTCGTCGTCGTCAAGATGGACATTGAAGGATCCGAGTTCGAAGTCATTCCGAAGATGGTGGAGATGAGTATCTGGACGGTTCTGGACTACCTCTTCGTCGAATGGCATGGGGGTTTCATCCAAAATGACGAGGGGTTCCCTCAGACCGAGGCGAGGGTGAAAAAGGCGCAGGAGGTGTTAATCTCGAAGGGGGTTCAGATGCCGTCTTACGATTCTGGAGCTTAAGCATTGGAATCGATGACGCTTCCCTTTTGTTTTATTTACGCAAGTTTGCATATGGCGCCAGGGCTGTCGGGTTAGGAGTGGATTCTTGATGGAAAAGCGACGCGTGATAGACCGACTTTAGATGCCTGGAGCGGGGTTTTGCGAGCCGACGATGATGTTGGCAGCATTGGAGTGCGGGGGGATCTGATGTTGTGATAACATACAACAATATGCTTAACTCGTCCATGCATCATGCATGCATGCATGCTGACTCGAAAGTGTCTCCACTCGCTGCATAGACGCCGCAGATCATGGCGTCTATGCGGACATACGATACGGAGCTGCACATTCACACTCCTAGATGTAAATCTATATCATAGCAGGTCGTACCTGTGCTATATATATAGACAAAATAAATGAAAGCTAGAAGATTTGAAAGCGCTAAGGAATGGCATGCACCAGCATGCATGCATGATCACCGAATCAAGGTTAGACCCGCCCCCAAACCCGCCCATGCGGTTGTTGTTGTTGTGGTCCGATGTCTGCCCATCTCATGTCAACAGCTGTCATCTCCTCTACCATCCCATCCCCTACCATCCCCTGCCATCAAACCCACAACCCATATCCCAATCATTCACCCAACGCACATGTAGCCCTCCTTCCCCCCTCCCCTCCTTCCTTGCCTTACTCGGCTCCCCCCCCACCCCGCCCCTTCCCCTCTCTCCCACTCCCTTCCACTCTCTCCCCTCCGCCTTCTTAACCTCCCATCACTCGCCCCCACAATGTCTCAAACCCCCACCCCATCCCTCGACTTCTACACCCTCAACCTCATAACCCTCGCCCTCATCGGCGCGGGCCTCTCGTACCTGCAGTGGAAACACCAGAAGCGGAAAGCCCACCCCACCTTCCCGCACCCGCAAGATTTCGAAGCTCGGGATTTCGAGGCGAGGGAAGGGAGGGAGGGCTTGCTAGGCAACGGGGCGGGGGCAGATGTCAAGGCCGCAGATGTCAGATACGCGACGTTCAAGCGACGGTTCCTGGTCGTGTATTTATTGGTTTTCGGGGCCGATTGGTTGCAGGTGCGGTCTTCCCTTTCTTTCTTTTTTTTCTTTTCGCTGACCCCTCCCCCTCCCCCATGTGGGAAAAGGGCGGAATGGGGGGAAGAACATGCACACTGATACTAACACCGCATATTATAGGGTCCATACATCTATCCACTTTACAAAGGTCAGCCCATCCCCTCCCCTCCCCATCCCTCCCCATCCTTTCCCCTCCGCCCTTCTAACCTCCCAACACAGACGAAAAAGCCCTCCCAGAAGCCACAGTAGCGCACCTCTTCACGACCGGTTTCCTCGCGGCAGCGCTCTCCGCCACCTTCACCGGCACTTTAGCAGACACATACGGGCGGCGCTCCGCATGTCGGATCTTCTGCTTCACGTACGCCATTTCGTGCCTTACGACGCTCGCGCCCGCTTCGTCGCTGCCGATCCTCTTCTTGGGAAGGATTCTGGGCGGATTGTCGACGACGCTCATGTATAGTGTTTTTGAGAGTTGGATGGTTACGGAGTATCATGTGCAGAGGTTGGATGAGGCGGTGAGTGCTGCGTTGTTGATTTCTTTTGGGTGGGTGGTGTGGGGGAGGGGGAGGGGGGGAAAGGGGGAAAGGGTAGGGGGTTGCAAGGCAGGTAAAGCTGACATGCGATTTTGTTTAGGGAGGGTCTCTCAACGATATCTTTGGGGTCATGACGACGCTGAATTCGGTGGTGGCGATCGCGGCGGGGTTGGTGGCGCAGGGTGTTGTGGGCGGGACGGGGACGCAGATGGCGCCGTTTTTGTTGGCGGTTGGGGTTTTAGGGGCGGCGGGGGGTTTATTTCGAGGTATTGGGTATGTTGTTCGCTTCTTATTGAGTCAATTTGTGGAAGGGCATTGCGGGTTCAGCGCCAAGGTAGACTGGCTGACTATGCTTTCATTTGGCAGGCGGAGAATTATGGAGAGAGCACCGATCATCAGGGTACGCTCTCTTCTTCTAAGCTGGGGCATCCGGAGAAGAACACTTTGTCGCTTATCAGGGACGGTGAGTGCATTCCGCAATACCGCACAATGTCCCACCTGCTAACGAAGAATCTTTGATGAAAGACAAGCGACTCTGGGCACTCATCATCACAACCTGCTTTTTCGAAGGATCAATGTATCTCTGGATCTTCTTCAAATTCCCCGCGCTACGGCTTGCTCATCAGCTGAACGGCAAGGGCTCCGACTTACCCTTCGGCATGATCTTCGCTGCCCTGATGTGCGCAATGATGCTGGGCTCGATCTTCTTTACCTGGTACTCGGCACTTCCACCGGGGAAGTGGGTTGTTCCGCCTTCGACACTGCTCTCCCTATCTTTGATGGTCGCAGCGTGTTGTTTCCTCATTCCGGTCCTTGTCCGAAATGAGGCGATTACGTTCTGGTGTTTTTGTGTTTTCGAGATGTGTGTTGGTATCTATTTCCCGACGATGGGTAACTTGAAGGAGAAAATTGTGGATGATAGTGTGAGGGCTAAGGTTTATGGGGTGCTGAGAGTGCCGCTTAATGTCTTTGTCGTTGTTGGGCTGGGTATGACGAAAGATGGTAAGTCCTGACCTTGTTTCTCGAGACGAGTGTTGCGCTGATTCTGTTATAGGCGAGACGCATAGGGACAATATGTTCCGAGTCTGTGGTACTGCTTTGATTATCGCTGGAGTGGTCGTTGGTCGCTATCTCAAGGATTAGAATATGTATGATTGGCTTGGGACGATTGGACATCTAATGGCGAATGGCATTATTCTTTGTGTGAAAAGCAGGAGTAAAAACCCCTTCTTGGGCTATACGGGAACCGCATTGGGGAAAAAGTACGTATCTATGGACTAAAACGGGTTAGATTGGAGGCTTCATACTTGAACGAATTCATACTAGCGTCTGGCTTACCAATTGCAACCTCGCATCGACGATCACGAGGCTGAAAGGCTTTCCCCAAGCAAGAGAGAAGAGCTGAAAGATGACTCACCATCTCTTACCTGGAGATTGGGGCGCTCTAGAAGGAACCAGATGTTGTTCTCTTTGCAATTATGGCGGGCTCTGTGTGCTCCTATCCCCTGAACAATACCCTCGTAAACACCGACGCGTTTAATTCATGCATTTCCAGTCCTCTATGTTGCAACAATGGCGATCTCTGCCTCCCAGATGCCTTCTGCTATACTACTAATCAAGCTTCCAATACGAGTGGATACTATATTGGCGCGTGTAGTGATCCGTCCTTTCCCAGCCCGGATTGTGCTACCCATTGCGGTCAGTATCGAAATTCATTTTCATTGGGCCAAAGTCATTGAATAGATTTCTCGCAGAAACATGGCCTTACCCAGACGTCGTATACGATGTCACCACGCAGCTTTGGGCATGCTGTTTCAATCCTGTAGTCAACATCCTGGACTGTACAAACCCCGGCAACGAGACCTTTGGAGGCCCAGCACCTAGCGCGTCAGTATCGGTTTCGCTTAGCTTGGCAGCACCATCGACATTGGGTACACCTAAATCCACTATCTCGAATGTACTCACGATATCTTCTGCATCACCAAAGCCGACCTCGTCCGCGAAACCAGGCGATCGCTCGAGCTCGGCGCAATCTGAATCTTGCGAAACCACCAGTCAAAGAGGCGTCATCATCGGTCTTGGTGCAACGGTAGGAGTCTTAGGGTCAGCGCTCGTCGCTGGCTTAATTGCGTATGCTTCTCAAACTCGAAGAGATAGGAGGAGAGAAGATAGAAGGGATGATAGGAGAGACGACTGGGGAGATGATCGCCCTTGGAGAGATAAAGGGCCTCCGGGATACGATGGGCCGGATAGGCCATACGTCCATAGAGGGGCTGAACTTTCTCGAAAGGGCAGACGTTCACGTAGAGCGGATGGTGTGCGAGGAGCTGGCAGCAGGGATGGAGACGATGATGGATGGGGAGACAGGGAAAAAAATGGCTTGCGAGGCAGAAAATACCGTCGGAAAGGCAGGCCTAGGGAGCAAAGGAGAAGATATCGTGAGAAAGATCGTAGGAGATCGCAAAGTAGTGACTCCAATGATGACTTTCAGCCTAAAGACAGTCGTGCCATACCCGAAAAACGAGGGGTTCAGAAAGATCCACAAAGGACAAGGACAAAAGCCGGAAGTATCATCCAGCTAAAGACAAATAGTGCCGATACCCTTAGAAAAAAGAGCAAATCCCAGGATCGAACCAGCAGATCAGCAAGAAAAGTAGTATTGAGCGCCATACCCAAGAGGCGCACCACACACAGAAGGCAAGTATACGCCATCGATGCTCTTACCACAGGCCCAGGAAGGGACAGCAGATCGAGAACGAAGGAAGAGCGCAGAAGACGACGAAGGAGAAGCTCGAGCTCATCAAGCAGTCCCGAGGGATGGCGAACCAGACCGATACAACCGAGAAATCCAACCGATGGGCCAGAGGGAGACAAGATGTCATCGTTTTCGGATGATGGAAGCCTGACGCAAGTCCTGAGGAGGCGAGTGCCGGAGGTGGAGGGCAGCATAGTGTCTAGAACGCCGACCCACGTGAGGGAAGAGATACCTGTCGTAAGAATAAGCCCGCCCAGTGAGAGTGTTGTGTCGAGGCATTCTATTGTTTTGACGAGAAGCGCAAGTCCAAGGGAGCGGAGCAGGTTTCGAGAGAATGAGGGTCCTGAGCGACATAGGGTGAGGGAAGCTGTGGCACGAGATGAGATGATGGCTAGAGGAGCGGATGTGATGAGGATGAGGGTGATGCAGAGTGGATAGAGAATCGACCAGGGGTCCCCGAGAATTTAGGACCCGGGGGTAGTGGAACGTAGACAGATGATGCAATGAAAAGGTCATGGGTTCTGTAGCGTCCTCCCTAGACGTTTTTGAGAAGGGTCATTATTTGCGTTTTGAAGTGTGCTGTTCTGGTCGTAAGTCCTGCTCTCCCATTCGTTCCAAAATCTAGGGCTGTAGTTAGAGGTCCTTTGGAGGCAATACCAAAGTGATGCCATCGCTGTAGTCAGACATTGACGCAGATACTTGATAGTCAAGCCTGATCCATTTCATTGCGTTCGAATGTGTTGACTCCTTACTGATGGTGAAGAAAGAATACTCTGTCGGCGAAACTGACCATCAGTGTGCGATGGGTAATTTACTCAGCATAGTCTTGCTCCCTACCGACTCGTCGTCTCGAAACGAATTCAGGCGAGTCGTCCGTCTCTTGTTGCAAGGAAAATCTAATGCTGGCTCTGTCTTTCGTCTTGCCCAAGCCTGTAAATTCTCCTCGAGGCTCGAACTTCACAGCAGCGATGAGCATCTCAATTGGCGAAAATTGTATCACGCTCGTCTTTGCCCCGACAATTAGCTTCGTAATGACTATCAGGCAACCCAGAAGCACGACGGCAATGCCCCAATAAGCCGTGCGCGAATTCAACCCGTATGTCCAGACATTGCGAATAGCCCAAGTCTCTAGGACATGAGGGCTAGACGCATTGGCAGCTGATGATGGGAAGATCATTGTACGATCCTTTATATCGAAGGATGTATTCGCAAAAGTAGGCATCGTGAGAGTCTGAAAGAGAACGTAGGTGCACATATTACTGACAATGAGACTTTCTTCGCTGCTGTCTGAGTTCGAGGTGCTCGGGAGCAGATTAAAAAGACTTTGTGCTATGCCGCGATAGCCGTCAACGGTGCCGTTATTGTCGACGGACCAAGCGGCTAAGAACCAGTCCGGATGAATTACAACAGGCTCCGTTCCGCCCTTTATTCCTGTGTTTTGAAATTGTACAAGAAGTGTAGGGTTTGTTTTCTTGGATATGTCAAGCTGGTAGAGCGGAAAATGCATGTAAGCTTGCGTACTTAGGAAGAATCGTGCTTCGCTTTTATAGCTGTCCGATATCGGCAAAGAATACGACGACACAAAATTGCTGTCTGTACAACACTTGAGATATTCGGGGAGGTGTTGATCAGAGAATATGAAGTCCCAGTCGCAGGAGGCGTTGTAGTAGTGGGTCAAACAAGGCCTGATTCCAGTTCCAAAATCGTCGGTGTCAGTCCAGAATGTCACCATATCAGCAAAGAACACGTCAACATTGATGCTGCCTCTAGAGTCATTGCTACCGATCCAGAAGCTACGGATGTTGTTCACGTGGTTGAAGCCTTTACCAGTCCGAAAACACTAGATTTTTCCATCAGCCTCTACTTGTTACAAGATATTGTGGCTCAAGGGACTGCTCGACATAGCAGACAGTAAGAATGCGAGAAAGGACTGGTGTCATTGTCTCTCAGTCACATGCAGAGTTCAAGATGCCCAGCCCTCCGGGAGAACGAAAAGAAATTGGAAAGGCTTGCCTTATTGTAATTTGAGACTCCTTGAATGATCAAAGATCCGTAACAGTAGATCCACTTATCAATGCCAACTTGGTATTTGGTAAGGTATCCGTAGTGATAATTAGGACTGAAGCTTAATTGCGGTCCCTGCCTGTTCAAAGTGAGCGCTAAAGAGTCGTCCACTCGAACCGGAGGTGATTTAAGGGACACTTCACCCCAAGATTGTGGATATTTTTCAGAAGCTTTCAGATAGTCGAGAGAAAGCTGTCGTAACGCTTGACGATTCGGTACCAGGAAGTCTGGTTCAATGACAGTCTCGTTCATTCCAAAGGTCAATGATGACTCTGGCATCGATAACCTAGATGTCACATCCCCGTGTGTGCGGTAGGGAAATTTGGCGTCATCGAATACATTCACTGAGGCTGCTATAGCATCTAAGCTTGAAGCATGGGAGTCGTTTGTGCAAGAGAAATTGCCAGCTGTCATGTTGTCCGCGTCACACTCAGGAAAGGCAATATCAACTGTGGGCGATTCGTCGATCAGAAGCCTCTGAAATACAATTGAATGCACATGCGGCGTTTCTATCCATTGTAGGGAGGGAAGCATAAGTATTGCTGTCGCTGGCCCCATTAGATTTGTGAGTATGGTGAGAAAGGCTGCTAGAATACCGAAAGCATGGAAAGAGTTTAATTTCCCAATCCTGTTGGGTGAGTGATCATGACAGGCAGGTTGTAGCGAGCATTTCCATCGCAGGGGGTTGAAAATCTTGCGCAAATCGCTGAACTCAGTGTGTGTCAAGAAGCATCCCAGTGGTAGCCCGCTGGCTTGACTTGCAAGAATCACGGTGATGTCGAACAGAAGCAAGGTCGCTATAAAAGTGAACCAAATCTCCAAAATCTTGGCCAGAATTTGCAAGACGCCAAGTAGATTACGACTTTGCATTTGCACCTTCATCTCTTCATTCGATTTATCATGCTCGCCTGGATAGGGCCAGCATTGGCCAAGTGGACACCATGCACTGGGTCCAAGAATGTGACCTTGGACGTTGAGAACCACCAAAGTGATTGTGGGCGCGAGCCAAAGAAAGCTGAAAACCTGGAGGAAGGTCTGCCAAGCCCAGGGCTTCGACAATCTCTTTACTTTGAACCTTTGCGACCGAGTAATTTTGCTTTCAGGAAGCAGAGGGGAAGGTTCCGGCTCACACGAGTCAAGAGTCTTGTACTGAGACGCCATTGATAGTGCTGTAGGATCTGTAGAAATCTGATTCAGCATAGGAAGGCGAAAGAAGTGGTTGGTTCCTAGACTACGACGGACAGGAAGATACTTCTCCTGAAGAGATGCGGAGCTGGGTCCGCTAGACTCGCCCTTGACGCTTTCAGTGAAACTTAATAGTATAGACCTTGCGACGATGATGCTAAGCTCTTGCAATTGAATGTGAAGTGGCTGTTTGCTCGATGTCGCTCCATGATCCCTGGACTGATACTACTTTTCAAGCCAAGCACTTGTCTGTTTCGTCTCGAATAATTCCAGCATTGAGCCCGTCAGGCGTTGGCTCGACCCTGTGATTGCAACAAAAGATCTTCGCAAAGACAAGTAGCATCGGGTCTGTTGCTAGCGTACGGGAATTGGGCTTGACAGGAATGCAACATCATCGAATCAAGTAAAGCACTGGCAGAAACTATTTTCTAGCGACATGTTCTCACGTTCAAAAAGCCGTGGACGAAAACGTGGAAAGAATTGCCTTACGCCTGCTTTGCTGAAGCGGCAGGCCGCGAGGCCGAAAATGCACAAGAAATGCCGCATGATAGCCTTTGAAAGATCGCAACGCGAACGATTAGAGTCGTTTATCACATTGTGCATATAAGTAGAATGTTGAGTTTGCAGGTTGTGAACACAAGTCAGCTTCATAGAAGCTCCCTGGGATATCCAGGCATGCACAGAGCTCAGGAGGTGCGGATGTACCTATCCGCGTTTCGTGCTGCATGTTGTATGCATTACAGCTCACAAGGTGATACGTGGGCTCGGACATGATGATTTGGTGGCAGCGCACGATCGGGTAGGGAGCGAGGAGGCAAAGGGAGGAAGAATCGATGTTGAATTACCGTAATCGGATCAGGCAGGTGAGCCGAGACCTTGGCATTCTTGGCATTCTTGGCATCAAATTCGGCTGTGAAATTGAATGGCGAAAACATTTCACTGAAAGCGCAATGGTGCTAGAGACGGCGAATGGTTTGAGAGCCTCCTCAAAAGGACCATCAAGGGCCTGGTCAGCCCAGACGCCAGCCTTATCAGAATGGATCCTAACTGCTGTCTCAAGCATGGGGTTCGACCGCATGACCCCAGTCCAAGCAAGCTGCATTCCCCTCTTTGTCGGCCACAAGGATGTTGTTGTCGAGGTAAAGCTGCAGCGAATATTTGAAAACGGTGACTGATCGACTCGTAGGCTGTGACGGGTAGCGGCAAGACGCTTGCGTTCCTCATTCCTATCGTTGAGAAAATACTACGTTTAGACGAGCGCACAAAGAAACATCACGTAGCCAGCATAGTTGTGTCACCGACGACGTGGGCAGCTGTTTTCCTTGTGGCTGTTACATTCTAACTGTGCTAGAGAACTTGCACGGCAAATTCACCAAGTCCTAAGCGCTTTACTCACCTTCCACCCGCCTTCAAAGAGTGCGCTTGATTCCGAGGAACATCCCGAAAGACTGCAAAATCGAGTTGAGCAAGAGAGGGGGACTGGAGAAGAGAAAACAGAGAGACAGATATACCCAGCAAAGACGTCAGTCGTACTTCCTCAGCTCCTCGTGGCAGGAGATGTGTCTCCGGCCCAAGATCTTCGCCGGTTTCTTCAGAATTCACCAAATGTACTCATCGCGACACCTGGCCGGCTCCTGGACCTGATCTCTTCTCCACATGTACAATGTCCGCAGTCTTTGTTCGAGATGTTGGTTCTAGACGAGGCGGACAGGCTGCTTGACATGGGATTCAAGGACAACCTTCAAAAGATCATACAGAGGCTACCAAAGCAGAGAAGGACGGGCCTCTTCAGCGCTACAGTCAGCGAAGCTGTTGACCAGATCATAAGAGTCGGGCTGCGGAATCCAGTAAAGATTGCCGTTAAAGTCAAAGGACTGGACGGTTCAGAGAACAGGAATACTCCTGCAAGGTTGGACTATTCTCCACCGCTCTCCCCCTCTGACTAACCAGCAGTAGCCTACAGATGTGCCACATGATTAGACCAGCTTCTCAGAAGCTGCCCTCGATCCAGAAGTTGCTGTCATTCATCGGCCCAGCCCCTCTAAAGACTATTATCTATCTATCAACCTGCGCAGCTGTCGATTATTTTCAGCACACACTACCTTTGCTACTACCTAGACGAAACGAACAGACATTCTCTCTGGTATCGCTTCATGGCAAACAGCAGCAAAAAATAAGACAGAAAAATTTCGCCAAGTTCGCCAATTCAACTAGCCCTATCATTCTTCTCACCACCGATGTTGCCGCACGAGGTCTAGACATCCCGCAAGTCGATCTTGTCCTCCAGATCGACCCTCCGAACGACCCGAAAGTCTTTCTCCACCGCTGCGGTAGAGCAGGAAGAGCGGGAAGGAAAGGCCTTAGCATCGTGTTTCTACAGCCAGGCCGGGAAGAAGACTATCTGCAATTCCTAGACATTCGCAAGACTCCCCTGTCTACCTTTTCGCAAGCTTGGGCGGATACATCGGACCAAGACGCACGTGCGGCTGCTGAGAAGATGAGAGAAGTGGTCTTGACAGACCGGACACTACACGAGAAAGCACAGCGTGCCTTCGTCAGCTGGGCAAAAGCTTACAGCAAGCACCAAGCCAGCAGCATCTTTCGCCTTGCTGATCAAGACTGGGCAGATCTGGGTCAAGCCTGGGGTCTGCTGAAGCTGCCGAAGATGCCGGAACTGCGGAAGTTCGACGGAGACAAGTCTCTTGGCGTTCAGGTCGACTGGGATGTGTATGGGTACAAAGACAAAGTCAGAGAACAGAATCGACAGAAGATCATGGTGGAGGTGGGGATAGTGGAGAAAGACGTGACGAGACAAGCTGCGAGTAGGAAGAATGTGAAAAGAGCATGGAGCCAGAAGCACGACCAGCAGGATGAGAGGGTGACCAAGCGGACGAAGAGGCAGAAGAAGCGAGAGAGCGAGCGATGGGAGAGTATGACAGGGGAAGAGAGGAAAAAGCATCAGCAATTGGAAGCTATGATACAACAAGTCAGGCAGATGAATCAGCAAACCGATGACTTTGAGGATTTCGCTGACTGATCGCATAAACCCACACGACCGATATCTACCATCGACGTTGAAAATGAAGGCAAATATAAAAAGAGCTTTATAGACTTTCCAGCAGCCACTTCAATGTCTTCTCTCTTGCGGTCTTCAAATCGCATTACAAAAGTTTCGGGGTGTTCTACATACGCTAAGAACAACCCGAGGACTTCATTCTAGCCTAAGCCTCAATTGCGACCTGATTGAAAAAACTGCAATTTGGCGTACGTACTCCGTACAAGGCAGTCTACCGGAAAGAGCAACAACCACGAACTCCTCGCCACATCCCCCCCTCTTTTACCTGCAAAACGCTGCGACATAACCGATCATTTTCTTCCAGTCGCCAGAGATGGGGGTGACAGCGAAAATCAGCAGCAACAACATCGTCCGCCCGTGTGTTCTGCGTGGCCCCTAACCAATTTCGTGAAAACTTTCCAATCAGAACGGAAGAATCAGTGGCAATGATGGAGGACAGAAAGAGAGGAATAATGAAGCCACTTTCGTTTGTCGATATCACTTGACACTATAAACAGATATTCTTTGTGGCAAGCAACGAAATGAACGCAGGTCCATTGTATGATCTGGTGAGTGGCTTGTGAGCTCAAAGTCTTCCAAATTGGTCTTACGAACAGCAATCTGTGTATATCTATACCCTAGATCAAGACGACCATTTGAAACAAGACCGATCAAAGTGCGAATAGTCATTCGTTTTCAAATGCGCCCTTGAGAACCCAAATTCAGGTGATACACCGTGGTGCTAGTGACCCCGTCACACGAAGGAACAGGATGATCCCCCGTCAGCCCGTTAAACTCCGTTGCAGCGCTTTCACACATGTCTTATATCCGAGAGTGAAGTCATCCATTGCTTCATAATCAAAATACTCAGAGACAGAATCCCTTCTATCATTACCTTCACATTCATTCTTTCCCACTTCCATCAATCCCCATTTACAGCGTCATCCAAAACACCATTCTCTTATTATTACAAGCATCCCCCCCTTCCCCTTCGCACACCCCCCACACGCAGCATGGCACCACAAACCTGGTTCATCACGGGCGTCTCCTCAGGCTTCGGCACCGAAATGGCCCTTTCAGCCCTCTCAGCCGGCGACCACGTCATCGGCACCGTCCGCTCCACCCCCTCGCGCAGCAAAGCCGCCTCCTCCGCCTCCGCCGTCTCCGCCATCGAGTCCAAAGGCGGCAAGATCCTCCACCTCGACGTAACAGATTCCCCCGCCTGCTCCAGCGTGTTCAAAGAAGCCGAGTCTATCTACGGCCAGGTCGATGTTCTGGTGAATAATGCAGGCTATTCGCTTTTGGGCGCGATTGAGGATTTCGAGTGAGTCTGTTGGGCCGGGTGAAGTATTCAGGTGGGGTAGGTTGGGGGTGGATGGGGTTAGAGGAGATATGCTGACTGAAGACGGCGGTGGTGGTGGTGTGCAGTGACGAAGAGTCTCGACTTCAGATCGAAACAAACTTCTTCGGGCCCCAGCGCCTCGTGAAAGCCGCCCTACCCGGTTTCCGCGCCCGGAAGAGCGGTACCGTCGTTAATGTCACTAGTATAGCGGGGATCGATGGCTTGCCTTCATGTGGGCTCTATGCTGCGAGCTAGTTTGCTGTTGAAGGTTACCCCCCCCCCCCGCCTTCCCCCTTCCCCTCCCCTTTTAACACGCTACCCCCCGAACCAGGTCTCTCCGAGTCCCTAGCCCGCGAAACAGCCCCCCACAACACCCGCGTCCTCCTCGTGGAGCCAGGCGCCTTCCGCACCAATTTCCTCTCCGCTTACGTCCTGCCCAAAACGCTCGGGAACAAGTACGCGCCCGTGAACGGCGTGTTGGAGAAGTTCAAGGGCGCGAAGGGGATGCAGCCTGGTGATCCGGCTAAAGCGGCTGCGAGGATTGTGGAGGCTGTTAGGGGGACGGGGATGGTGGAGGGGTGGGGTAAGAAGGGGTCGGGAGATGGGAAAGCGATGGGGGTAGGGGCGGTGGGGGTAGGGCAGGTGCTGAGGTTGCCGCTGGGGAAAGATAGTGTGGAGAGGTATGAGGTGAAGATTGAGGCCTTGAAGGGAGATTTGGAGATGGTGAGGGAGGCGGCTGTTAGTACGGATTATGATTGAAGTGTGAGTGAGAGTGGAGGGTTGTTGTGATGGGCGTTGACTGGCGCTTTGGTAGAGAGACCTCGCTTGGCTTGTGAGGGCGAACGATGAGGTGGGTGGGAAGTGCTTCAACGGCCAAAAGGGGTCGGGGGGGCGGTTGATGAAAGATTGTTTGAGAGTGATGAGAAGGTTTTGTGGAGGATTTAGCGAGTTGGTAGTTTGTATGTGGAGCTGTGGGACGGGATTTTGAGTATGTAGAGGCTTAGGTATGGATATTGCTACAAATAGATTACTATAATAGAAATCGCAGATGCATGGGTACTGCGGTAAGACTTTCTGTTCAATTCTGATAATCATCGCAACCCATATAGTTGGGTAGTAAGTGTGAGATTGGGGAGACCTTGATATGCGTTCTTCCCAGTCAGCCTACTGTCGAGTAATCGCTATGCATATGGTCCTAGGATTGGGGGGGAAAATGCTATTTACTAAGTTATTAGCTCTATCTCGATCCCAACATCTCATTGAGACGTGTTCACGATGTTCGTCTACCCAGGTTGCCTGAATGGTCAGCCCTTCTTCATGCTCAATCTCATCATGCCAGCCATGCTTGAATTTCAGCCAGCCCTGCTCCCATTCTACTGCAAAAGAACAAGCCCATGCACCACAGCGAGTTCATGCTCCTCTCCCCTTTTCTCACCCACGGTATCAGAATGCTTTCTCAGCGCAGGAAACATCCCCAGCTTCACTCTCCGCCCCTCGCCCGCACCATCACCCAAGAATTGCTCCGTCCTCAAAATCGTCCGATCAAACACATCATCACATTTTGGCAAGTAGAAATACTCCTTCCTGGCTCCGAGCTCCACGAAAGCCTTCAACTTTACAGCCATCTCGAACGTGTTCCTCAGATTGTGCCGCCATTCCCCGTTGCTGTGGGCGGCAGTGAAGAGGTCGTTTTCTTCGAGGAAGACGGTCATAGTGTCATCGAAGTCGGCTGCTAGATTGTCGCAGAGCGTACGTACGTTAAGTGGTTCCCTGGTGAATTGTTGCGTTGTGGAGTGCGAAGAGAGACGGTCGTGGTTCATGAGGTGCTCCTTGATGTAGATGGATTTGCTTTCGAGCCAGGCTTGTTGGGCGAGCTTCGGGGAAACTGCTCATGTCAGCACATGTCAGATTTATTCTTGATGAGGGAAAAGGTCTACTTTTAGCTATGGTGCGCTTGTAGATATGATCGATCTCCGATCCGTTTAGTAGTTGTTTCGTAATGAGGTCGTGGATGTCGTAGTTGTCTAGCACATGAATGTGAATGGCGGCGGCGAGGAGGCCTTGCAGTATCTCCTCGGTGGTTACCCCCGTTTTCAGGAGCTTTTCTCGCATGTCCAGAGCTGGTCGATGAGGGCATATTGCCTTGCAGAGTGTGAGAAACCCTTTGTTCCTCAAAGTCCGTGCCAGCCGTGGATGTTGATGGGATAAGGATGCTATAGTAATGCCTAGTAGTTGGGAAGCTTGTTGCAGCAGCTGCTTCGCAGTGCGCTCTATTGTCGCAGAGATATTGGCCTGGAATGATGAGAAGACTGGTTGACCACATGAGAACGCCTCTGAATCTTGCTCTATGTATCCTTCAAGCAGTGTGAGTGTTTGGCGTTGCTTGATACTAAATATCTCTTGGGAACCTAAGTTCTGTACGTTACTGCTTGTCTGTGTTGGTGCATCGCTCCTCGTCGGTTCACTGCTCCTCATGATAGCGGGGTCGTGTGCGCTCGTATGAGATAAGTAAGGTGAAATGGGTGAAAAGCTCGGCCTTTTCGGCGAGTGGAGCCTTAGAGTACGGGGCTGTCGAAATACAACGGCTCTTTTATCCCTCTCGACTTTGAGATCGCCCGATATCGTTGGAGATGGGGCAATCCCACTGTAGTCAACTTTTCGTCAGTAGGAATAATTGATGTCATGGCTTGCATATCTTGAACGCAGGATCACAACGTACGTTTGGCCCCTAGGCAGGTCAAATGTAACGTTGACTTGGCTTGCTGGAAGCAGCCTTCCTGTTGATTCACTACTGGTTCTCATTCCGTGACGTGCTCGCGATGGTCTGTCTAGGATTCTGCGACCTGTTTCACTTGGAACATTCGTGCTGTTCATATTGACCAATGTTTTGGCAAATTCTACTCCATTAGATTCATTGTAGAGCTGGTTTCTGTAAGAGGGTGAAAGTACGGCAGGCCCTGATCGGTAGAGCGTGTACACGCTACGGCCGGAGCTTTGGCAGCGTGCCAATTTTGAGCTCAATCTTGTCTGAATGCGCTTTGGAGTAACTGCAGAATCAGGGATTGTTTCTTTGATACGATTGAACGCGAATGTGCAAGCTTTGGCGGAATCCAAGGAATACAGACCATTCTCTCCCTTATGCTGCTCAAGGTGTTCAAGCAGAATTAGCTCTGTTCTCGCGTCAAAGATTCTAGGAGCCATGATAGAGCGAAGAGATTGAAAAGTGGTGGATTGAGTGAGGTGTCACGGAGGTTGGAATCTTTCGCGGGGTTCTTATTCACTTCTACTTGTAAAAAACAGCTGTAATTTTGGATTTGTCTCGGCCATGTTTGCCAACTCATCATTGCAGAACAACCCCAGTCGTCTTTCTCATAGCTTGTTTGTGAAGATTCGGTACATATGTCGGCCCAATCTACTTTTCAGATTTTGTTGAGTGGCAAACTTGGTTGGGTTGCTGACTCTTGCCCCCTTGCGAAATAGCCTCCTCTCTTCTCACAATACAATTACCATGATCAACATATCATCATAAGTCTATCAAATTTGTTGATTTGAATGACATTCCTCTGGTTTCCTAGCGAGTCAAGCCGATCTTACCGCCGTGCAGAATCAACAGCACCAAGCTAGGAGCAGAGTCTTTCATAGATGGCTCCTACTACGAAGAAGATATGTATCGGCATTGACTTTGGGACATCCTACGTGAGCGTTTCTTATGTCCCAATCGATCCATCATTAGTTGCAGACGCCTTGCAGCAAAGTCTCGACAGGTCCCGAATCAACACATTATGGTTTCGTCAATCAGATTGCATCCCTGCTGTGCTAGCTTGGGACGATGCTGAGGGAAAGTGGATTATCGGCCAAGGGATTCAGATCAAACGCTACTTTGGAAAAATCAAGGATGAGTACTGTTTCTTCCTGATGAAGCTGGGGCTTGATCGTCGTCCTTGCACTCAGAAGATTCGGGATAGACTGAACTGGCAGATTTCTAACCTGCCTGAAGTGGCTCGGGCTCAGGTGAAATCTATAGAGGCTTTGGTCGAGACTTTCCTCGGACTCTTGTATGCTGAAGTGAAGATAAAGTTAGACAACATACTCTCTCACGACGAAACCACAATAGAGACTGCTGTCTCCGTACCTGCCGCATGGGATTTTGGTCTGCGGCACAAAATCGTTGCCATCGCTCAGAGAGCAGGTCTTGACAACGTCACGACTCCAGTTCATGAGCCAGACAGCGCAGCGCTCGTTTTACGCTACGACGAGCCTCGTCACGTCGGTGGTGATAGATCCTTTGAGTGTAAATCACAGTCTCCGTTCGTGGTAGTAGATATGGGAGGTGGGACTGTGGTGAGTTTTAGAGTTTATTCGCCAGCAATCTTGAAAAGATTGTCGTACTGATAGCATAGGACCTGGTTACATTCAAGTCGAAGAATGGCTCCTTCCTCCAATCATCTGCACCTACTGGTACGTCAAGATTGACACTATCAATCGTGGGTTCTGACACTAAACTCTAGGTGGTCTTCATGGGTCCAGTTGGCTCAATGAATATTTCTATGAGCTTTTCAAGTCCAAACTTGGGAATAGATACTTCGATCTCCTCGGCACTTGGATAGAATTAAAAGAACAGAATATTCCCCCTTCGCAAAATCCCAGTGATCAAGACGACGAAGAGAGTATCAAGCGTCGAGCTAAAGATAGTTTAGAAGCATATGTCAAAGGTCAATTTGAGGAAGCTAAGATGAACATGGACCAAAGCTTCGAAGACAATCTTAAGGAAGACTTTGAAGTCACAATGCCTCGAATACAAGTGTCTTATCCACACACTGGCTTACACCGCGGAGCCTTCACAATTCCAAAGTAAGCCCTCACAATCCCCTCAGAATCGATGCTGACCTTGCCACGCCAGGAAAGATGTCATAAAGGTGTTCTCTCGGATACTCATACCAATTCGGGAACTTACAGAGGGTCACCTGCAAGAATTTGAAGAGATGTATGGAAAAGAGGGTGCAACACTCAGAGTACCATGTTCCTCAAACGTAGCCTACATACGCTGAATACTCTACAGACTTTGTTCTTCGTTGGTCGTCCGAGCAGCAACACTTATCTCAAGCGCAAACTTCAGGACATGTTCCCAGGGTTGAGGGTCATAACACCGGCACAAGATTCGTGGGTCACAAATCACTTCACGAAGCTTCAGGCTAATACGTGCGCCTAGAGCACATTTGATCTCGAAAGGGACCTTGATGAGAACGATAAATCGGGACGCCATCAAAAGCTCAGTCATGTCCTGCAGCATTGGGTCTGCCTGGGAGGAAAAGTATGATGAAAAGATACACGGGACAGAGGAAACGCCAGTCAAGTCGCCGGCCGATGGTTCAATGGTCGTTCCGGCTCGTATGAAGTGGCTCTTTCGAAAAGTAATAGAGTAACACAAGTCACGAAATTGAAGAGCTGACGATATTATAGAGAGAGATTTTGGAGCCCGGTGCAACTAGATACTTCGAGGGCGAGCATTATATCCAAGTACGTAAAGGGCAGAACCCCTGGCTCAAACACGACCTCTATATGTCAAACACCCAGACACGGGATCATTTGTCGGCACTGGACGCTAAGAATGGTCAGTTATCACCGTCGTACTTGTGGTAGTTTTTTAGATCCTAACGTGCGATTCGGGGCAGACATCCATCCCATAGGATTCGTCCGACTTAAAATCACAAAACGAGAAATGGGACAGTTCCCTCGAAAATGGAATAGAGGACGAAGTTGGTACACTTTCATATATCGACTTCGGATTACATACCTCGGACCTATCATGAAGTACGAATTCATCATACCCCGAAAGGGTGTCATCGCCCCCGACAATGAGGAGGAATGGACGAATAACTCTTTCTCAAAGGACAGTGCCCTGGAGCTCGACGCTTTCTTCGATCAGAAAAACCGTCTTTCGCCAGATTCTCAAGGGAGGAACCAATTCCTAAGGTCGGATGACCACGACGGAACGGCAGAAGCAGCAACATTCAATCAGCCAAAAAAAGCATATGGAAGACGGATTCCTGGCGCATTCACGGCAGAAGCAAGATATAACCATCAGATGCAGATTCCTGAAACAGCTGTTGGAGAAGAAGAAGGAAGGCCCCAGCAAAATCAAAAGAGCGATCCTGGACACCTGCAAACGAGAAGTCAGACAAAACAAAGTGCCACTCAAATACAACCTCAAGCTAATGACCATGATGTGAGCCAGCGTTCCTCACGCACGGGTGTTCCTGGGAAAACACTTCGCCACCCCTACATTTCTTTTGCAAGCGAGAATGCTCCGGCGAATAAATTGACGAAGCGAACTTCAGCACACAACTCGTCTGCAAACGAGCCCTTACAAAAGAAAGGCAAAGCGCCAGACAAAGGACGAGTCTTGAGATGTTGAGAATAATGCGAGTGCAGAAGACGGCTATTAGATGCCGTGGCAAATTTCCGTGAATTGAATGCAAGATGTTTGACAATCTCTCATAGCCCACTGCAAGCATTAATTATTCACTTGACTTCACGGACCCACCACTGGCTGACTAGAACAGATCGTTCTTGATGATCCTGCAAGCAGCAGCGAACGACAACCCACTCAACAGGCGTTGCGCCACTACGATAACACCATTTCCGCTCCAGACCCGCCCGACTCGATCAGGCAAAAAGTCCCATGGTGTCCCGCAGCATGAAAATTTACATACTCCACAGAGCACACCATACAAGGCGGTATGAAATGACATGCCCCCCAAAAAGTGAATTCACAAAACGTTACGTGGTTTGAGACATCATGATTCCGATACCCCACAGTCCCTGCATGAAGTATAGGTAAAACTATCATATTCCCAGGCAATCTGTCACATTTCCCCGCAAAAATATCATATTCCTCCACTTCGTAAGGCAGACACGATGCAGGCCCCCGACTGACCTGCAGAAAGCATGCACGGCTCTCAAAGGGGTAAAATGTCGACTTTAGCGTGCATAAGTGGACGTTGATATCCGTCGCCACTCCAGCCACCCCAGTCGCCCCTAGGCAACAGCCACGAAATCTCCACCCCCCACCCATTTCAAGAGAAGTCTGCATTTAGTGTAGCCGAGATGCACAGTACCAGTGGCTTCCCGCTTTTCGAGAAAGTGACATTCTGCAGCAGACTCTCACTAAAAATCTCGCGGAAAGGGCGCGGGCAGCTGAGTTGGGACGCACATATTCCATTCCGACTCCAGCACCTTACCACATTCTTGACGACCTGACTGCCTGATCCGTGGGATTAAGGGGATTGTATCGTAAGTTTTAATACATCACTCGAGGTACTATGGTTATGAGGCGTTTTGAGCCCGTTTAGTGGCTTTGGAGGTATCTGGTGTCCGGGTGGAGCCCTCGACGGTCTGGGTGAAAGTGGGTCGTGCGTAAAATAAGGAATCGAGGAGCAGGGGAGATCTGTCATGCGCCTGGTTCTGTATCTTTCTTGGATTTCAAACCTTGGTAATACCAACTCACCTAGACATCTCTCCTTGCACGCGGCAGTGGTCTTCTCGGTGCCTTCTCAATCATGCATGAGAGGGGGCCGCGATCTACTCACTTTGTTGAGACTCTGCATTTGCTTGTCAGGCCGTTTGTGGTATCTCGGCTTCCAAATCGCTGAACATCGTGCCATTGTATTTTTCCTTATGCGAGAAGCTCTGGAAAGCCGATCTCCTGCATGCGATAATGTGCTACACCCTACGTGCATGATTCTGCCTTAGTTTTGCCCTTTAAAGGCATTCATTCGCAGAGAGGCTAGGGACCTATCGCATTGTCTCAAATATTGTACACTGATCTACCCTTGTTCCTAGTATCTCTCATGTCTGGCTCCACAAATGAATGAATTGATCGACTCCACCTCTGTGATATTCTCACACTGTTCCGCCGGCAGGAGACAGATGAGTCTACTTTCACCTCAACAAGCCTAAATTGCAATCGCAGGAACAAGGGTCTGTGAAAGGTCGACCGTACGCGAGACACAACACATCGGTCTTGAGCTCGTTGTCTTGTTCAAGCATTTTGAGATTCGCTCTGCTATGTCCATGATGCTCGCCTGCCCCAGATTCATCGAACGAGTCTTAGTTCACGAAACTCACTATTCACCGCCCGGACTGCAATGATTGTCGTCATCTGTCCATTCCAGCTATCGTAATTTGAAAATTGAGGCACTAGTGTTGTCGAAGACCTAGCTGTGCTCTGGGGCCTTCGTTGCGCCCCAGACTTAGCTCATCTTACCAGAAGATACCAATTCAAGCTGAATTTCCTCCCACCGTTAATTCTATCAGTGTGCCCTCGACGGTGAATAGGTCAAACTGCCTGGTTGCTGTTTCTGTAGAGAGTTCAAAGTTTCCAGACGAATGTGTTGCCAAATCACTCTCTCTATTAAATACAAGGGCATATTCATGGAACAAGGCTGACATTATCCTAGCTCGCCCCTTCATATGACCGAAAGCTTCTCCTCCCGTCTATGCATAAAGTCAGCTCAAGAATATCTACTGCTAGTATATTAGTCCCACTCAGTGTGGTAAGGATATAGAAACCTTGCAGGTACGATTCCCTCGATTCCCATCTCACTCTCAAAGTAGCTAAAGTGAGTGTGTTTCGCTGTTGACAATCTCCGTGGCCACCGCAATTGTGATCCAGGATATATAAGTGTCAGAATTAGCGTTGGCAAGAATTATTCACGCTCCTATTCAATAAATATAGTATCATAGTAAACCGGAATTCAAAGATCAAAAAGGAGCATCCTGCTCCTTCTTCGTGCCTTACTGGAATCCATCGCCTGACAGAAGGCTGATATTGAAGAGCGAGTTTTGTAAGAGTGCGTAAGCTCGGACTCAATGTAATGCAACATGGATTACCATAGAGAACTTGAGTATAGTCCTGTCGTATTAGATGTATTAGTATCCCCTTTGCTGGCTCTGATGTTATGTAGTAGACCTCGCTGTGGTGACGCTCGCTGTTAGCCTTGCACTCCCACGATTCATTTCTCAAATCCGCTCACCCTTCAATTTTCATCTTTGTGGATGACGCAGCGCTAGCTTTTCGCTCTTGTAGTTGAAGTCATTGTGATCGTTGGGGGAGCCTTGAGGGTTTTATCCTTTGGCTCGAGTTCCCCAAGATAAGGTGTTTGCCATATCGGCCGTCTTGGGTTGGAGGACGAATCTACTTTGAGCTCCATCTTGATGACTGTGGCCCGCTGGAAGATGTCGTTGTAGTCCGACGAATAGTATCAAGTCCTCCTATCATTGCTTAAACAGCTTCACTTATCCTCTTGGACTGCCGGCAGAATGGATCCTCTTGCTTTGCCTACCTGTGTTGCCTGACGTTCCACATTAAGTGCCCGCTGTTCGATCTTGACGCTTAAAATATATTCCCAATTCCACCCTCTCCCTCCTGCCATCTCTTCGTCCTTGAGCGTTCGGTCGACTGCCATCTCGTAACAACATCTTCAGGACATTTTAAGAGGCCACTCTCATGGTCATAGGGCAACTGAATGAGCTAAGAAAGTGACCAGCAGCAAACCCTATCAAACTGGCTCTGCATGAGAGTTGATCATCTCATTGAAAAAACTAGAACGAGTCCCTAGCGTGGCTTCCAACACACACTGTCACTGCATCAGGGTTTCTCACCTATCTCATCACGTTCAACCGTATCAGCCGAAAACATGTCATTTCTCGATCATTTACCAAATGAGCTGCTAGCGCAGATTGCACTTGAGCTTCATCCAGCAGATTTGATCAACCTCGTCTCTACAAGCAAACATGTTCGTGAAGCGTCAACGCCAGCTTTGAAAGTATTTAGGAACACTGGAAAGGACTGGGAAAGCATGAATACCAAGTGCTTCACGGAATCGAAGCTTTCGATATCCAATGTGCTCACGGACTCTCTTCTACGACCCCACGTCGGCTTCTTCGTCCAAGTCCTGTGGCTACAGAAATGGGCGCCCGCTGATAAAGAGTCTTACAAGGCTTATCATGGAAGATACGTAGGACTTTTCCAAAGTGCTTACAGGGATACTCGTCTGTCTGAGCGTAGTGTCTGCAATACGGAAGCCCACTCTGAAAGCTGGGTGGATGGCATCGAAAGTGGGGATGAGACATTCGTCATTGCCATATTACTTCTATATCTGCCTAATCTTTCGCTCCTCAAATGGCACGTGACGGACGATGCAGATGAGTGGCACGACTCTACGAAGCTTCTGACGTTGATTCGGTCCTTGAAAGATTCCCATGGTGCTATGCTGCTTCCGAAATTGCGTGAAGTCTACCTAATTGGAGGACGTCTCGAGCGCGACTCTATCGGTGACAATTTGCCACCCGAGTATATTCCGACCTTTATGTCATTTCCCTCCGTTCAGAGCCTTAAAATCTACGGCTTCGAATCTAATGCACCAAAAGGGGCAATGTCTAAACTAGAGAGGTCAAATTTGTCGACACTTAAAATTACTGGCCAGCTCTATGAGAATCATGGGTCCTACGATTGGATGGAACAGATCCTTATTGCCACGCCTGCATTGAAGACACTCACGCTTAAGGCTGTAACGAGAGGTGATGAGATGCTGGGAATAGTCAGCATGCTCTTGGTCCGGCATGTTCAGCATACCTTGGAAGAGCTCACTTTCGCCTCTTACAGTCACTTTTCTGTTGGCGGTCTTGGCAACTTGTCTGAGCTGACACGACTTCGTTATCTGAGGACAGAGTTTGTTGGGATGGGGGAGCGCTGGCTTGATCCAGACCCTTGCATATCACATCTGTTGCCGGTCTCGATAGAACATCTGGAATTGTATGACAACGACATCTGGCATCCAGGTCTTTGTCTCACATGCATGCTGGACCTGGTAGGAAAGAAGTCAATCTTCCCAAACTTGACACGGGTAGCCTTGTATATGAATACACTCTATCAGAATCGTGAGCACTTGGGAGCGGGCGTCAAGGAATTAATAGCCAAAGGTCACGCAGCAGATATCTCCGTTCGTGTAGAGACTGTAGATGACGGGGCGATTATCCCATGTTGCTGAATCGTCCTAGCAGAACTTTGTCACTATCCTCCATTCCAGCAAAATTCACGCGCCTGATAGCGCAGGTCGTACAACAGGAGGCAGAAATCAATGCTGTCTGGATAAACGCAAATAGCAGTAAGCCGTTGAGCGCGCAGTCTACTATGCAATGTGTCGTAATGTCGTAAGCCTCTTGAACATAATAGACTGAGGTATGGCGTCACCACTTCTCGTTTCATCGGTCAACGAGTCGCATTTCAATCTAATTCTCATGTCTGGTCCATCTCAATAACACATCTTTCGGTCGATTCATCTGTAGCGTAAGCCTCGGATGCGAGTCCGCCACAACTTTCCTCAACCTCTCACTAGCCAATTCAGTCGTCTCTCCTTGTAGCACGGCGGGCGCCACTTTCCAAGTCCGAAAGATCGACATCATGACCGCCACAAACTCTACTTCCGCCATCTTCATTCCCGGACAAAGACGCGGACCTGTGGACCAGGGAATAAACGACGACCGCGGATGCTCCACAAAGTCGCCCTCTGGACTTAGCCATCGAGAAGGTCGGAAACCAAGCGCGTCTTTGCCCCAGATGGCACTAGAGACGTGCAGACACGCACCCGATATGTAGACGGTGGTGTTGGCAGATACGTTATAAGCTGGACCAGAAGGGTTTGGGAGCTGTTGGGCTGATGCAGTGGAGCGAGGGATGTGTGCAATTGGGGTGTAGAGGCGGAGCACCTCGAACTAAGGCATATGTATGTCAGATAAGATCGTTCAGGGTCAACCATAATTGAAGAGGAGGTTACCATCAAAGCAAGACAGCGCTTAAGGACTGGATACGCGGCCTCGTATTCTAAGCTCTTGTCATGCATGACCTCATTTATCTCCTCACGAATCCAGTCTTGCCATTCAGGATACAAGGCCAGAAGAGTGACCGCGTACGCCATGGTATTAGCCGTCGTATCAAATCCAGCGACAGTGAATTGGAAGAAGTTCCCAGCAAGCTCTTTGTCCGAGAGATACATCCGCGATTTTGAAGCTCCTGTGTTCCTGGCACTTTCGGCATCTGACGCTGCAATCAGTGTGCTCAAGAGATTCTTTCGGCTTGCATGACCAGTGTCTCTCTCGCTCTCGAGAATTTGCTGAACGTGTCTCGGGTATTCTTCGACTGCATAACCTACGCGTTGAATACTTTTTGGCATGATTGGCGACGTCAAGACTTTGGTGGGGACAAATACTGCGATGAACAATTTTTCGATGACCTCGAGAATGACATCCATATAGGTCAGTCGATAACCCTTGGGTGCTTCCGTGGTGCCCTCTTGCCAGGAGCTTTGGGTACCATAGATGACGCTGCCAATCACCTTGATAGCAATCGAACGGATACCTGCCATGGTAGCATCAGTTTGGCCTACGTTGCCCTTTGCACTTTGTACATCGGTCAAGGATGTGAGTAATGCATTGGCTTGACTTGAGGCCTCGTTCCAGACAGCTTTGCTGATGCTTTCATTCAGGAGAGGCGCAACAATCCTTCTTTGGCGTTGCCAGTCTTCACCCTCCGTCTACCCTTGTCAGTCACTTCAAACACACAAAAAGGCCGAGACTTCCATACGGAGGTTAGATTAGGACCAAAGATCCCCATGATACCTGATTACTCATTCAGCTGATGGCAGATTTGGAACCCGAATCGACTCACGACCAGCCAGCTCAGACCCAAGGAAATCATTGCGTCGTGTCAGAATCGAGTGTGCTGTTTCTGGATCGGCGACCCAAAGTTCATTGATGTAGGGCGTGACAAGGATGAAGGACGGACCCAAGCGGTCGAAAACTTGAGATCGCGTGCGGAATTCCCAGCCATATATGGTAGGCTGTAGCCAGTCGTATACGAAAGCAGGCAGGTACTTTTCAAAAAGAGGTCTCAAAGTGGCACCAAGTAAAATGTAGACTGGATTGACAACATTGAATGGTATGACGAGAACAGGGAAGCCCGATCGGCGGGCTGCTCGATAATTCGTGAATAAACATTGGAAGTGCCAAGTCAGATAAATGAGGGCAAGAGCAACGACAATCATGAGAAGATTAGCCATGGGAAAGCCTGCGTGATTGATTCCAATGAGAAAGTACTCAGAACCGACAACTCATCTCGAAACTGCACTGTGCAATGTAGAAGTGAAGCAGAGCAATTCTTCAGCTCTTCCTCCTTAGCTAGTGCTTATCCAACCTCGTGCCGCGCTACGACGTGCCTCGATCCTGAGGCTGCAATCACAACGCCATCGCGAGGAACTTTGGCAATATTGATACGGCGAGCTGCCCAAGTAAGCAGGATTTGCGGAATAGCCGTGACATCAATATTGAGCCCTTTTGGATTGAACTGGTGACGGTGAATGACCTCCGTATTCGTGGTCGCGTCCGGTAAACAGCTGTATGATACCGCACTTGAACTAGCGTCATAATTTAATACTGATGTCAATTGACTTTATGATAATTCTTGACATTTCATCATTATGACTTCGATCGGCAACCCTCAAGATCGCACACCTCAGTCCGCACCTCGTCCGAAACTATCCCACATCCAGCTCGATCAATCCTCCCCTCACACGCCGCAGCGACAGCTCTCATCCACATTCTCCTCCCCCCAGTCAGTTACCGCATTGAAGAAGAGTCTGTAATCCTTGAGCTCGGCAATCGACACCTCACCGCTGGATTTGCTGGTGAGCAGTACCCACGATGTAGACTGGGTTTTGGTCGTGAAGAGTCGCGAAGAGCTGGGGATTACAGAAAGTATTTACCCGGCTACAGTGAAAGGGCGACGAAGAGGAGACGGCTTGATAACTGGGGCGATGAGGCAGAGCTCTGGCGCCTGGACTTGAGGAGTTTGGAATTGGGCATTGTCCATGACAAGGTTGAGCGAGCAGTGAGGGAGGCATACAACAAGTACCTATTGCTGGACTCGAAGTCGAGGAAAATATGTCTGATAGTGCCCTCGGTGCTGCCGCACCAGTTGCTCAATACTATATTGCATACCCTATTCGAGAACTTCCAGATTCCCAGCGTGACTTTGCTCTCTCCGCCTATCATGTCAACAGCAGCTGCTGGGTGCAGGTCAGGTCTCGTTGTTGACATTGGGTGGAGGGAAACGATCGTGACCAGCATCTACGATTACCGAAAGATCAGACAGCATCGTACTATTCGTGGAATGCGATTAGTCACTAGCAAAATGGCGCAGTTACTGCATCGTGCAATACTGCAGGATAGTCAGAATCCCGTTGATGTGCCAGATTCTGACAGTCGCAAAGACGAGGTTTCCGTTGACCTCGAGGAGGCAGAAGAGGCAACGGCAAGAATAGCATGGTGCAATCCACGGCAAGGCTGTTCCGACAAGGACCCGCCGTCGGACACATCACTGAACGACCTCACGCCCACTGAAAAACCGACCACGCCCACCCCCAAATCTGCAACGCTAACAACAATACCGCACCCTCACTCCCCGCGGTCGACCCTCCAGATCCCCTTCACGTCTTTCGCAATCCCAGTCGAGTCCACCCTCCTCATCCCGCAGACACCCCGTTTCGACCACGATGACCACGACCAGCCTCTCCCGCATCTAATCTACAAATCACTCCTCTCTCTACCTCCCGACGTCCGCGCAACCTGCATGTCGCGCCTGATCTTCGTAGGCGGAGGCTCCCATATACCTGGCCTCAAGTCCCGACTTGTCAGCGACCTCAAAGCCATGATTGACAGAAGAGGCTTCGACGGAGTAGAAGGCAAAGCTTCTGACGAGCGGAAACGTCGCATACAAGAGCTCAGTGCCAAAACACCAACAGAGTCTACCAAGGGTGAAGAAGCGGAAGCACAGACGAACGAGAAAGGCGCAAAAGTGCCGGCTTCGGAACAGCCGCAGACTATTGACGACATAGACGTGAACCTGCAGAAAGAACGCGACAAGTACGCCAAGCCTGCTGTCGCTGGCGTTGTAAGAGCGGTGGAGTCGTTGGGAGCCTGGGCAGGCGGCAGTCTGGTGGCTAGTCTGCGCATCAGAGGGATTGTGGATATTGAAAGGGACACGTTTTTGCAATACGGCATGGCGGGGGGGTTGAGGAGGGAGCTGGAGCTTGGGCAAGGCGCCCAACAGAGGAAGAGCTATGTTGGTGATATGGGGAGGGGGATTGGTGACCCGAGGGGGAGTTGGACGCTTGGTGCTTGGGCTTGAGAGATATGATGAGGTGAGCAGGTTGATGATGAGGTTATGCTGGTAGGGAACGGCATGTTCAATGAGTGCTGACTTTGCGAGTTCAACTAGGGGGCTGCTTATAGGGCGTCGAAATTTTCTCTAGGGGTCCCTAGATTTCTTCTAGGGGCTGCCCAGTTTTCTTCCAGGGCTGTCCAGATTTCTCCCAAGAGTGTCCAAGAGATCATGATGTTCTGCAACATACAAGTGATTGCGGCAAGCCTAACACACTTGATTGAAGTTTGCATCCCTTATGTCTTCCTGTCGCTCCATTGCATAGCGCTTGATCATTGTCTGTTTGCTGAGATCTATCCCAATTATCGTTCGTTTCTCTTTACACGGGCCTTTTGTTGCAGGCCAATCCCGCAAAACATTATCACATGCATATACAATGGCACTCCCACTAAAATTCCTTTCCCGTCAATACGTTCAAATATATCCCTTCAAATCCTAACCTCACTCAAACAAGACGGAAAGACCTACCGCATATCCGACATAGCCAGGGCCAACGAACAAACGTGCGACCCATCCACTGGCAACGACAGCTGCCTCAAACCCTCTCCCACCCAGTAAAAAGTTCTCATCTACAAAGAGACGATCAAGAACACTAAGGCCATGCAAAGAATCAAGCCAAACAAACTCAACTGTTTCCCTCGAGAAAAACCCCCAGCAGTACCAGAAAGACATCCATTATATCCGCACACTCATTTCATCTCGCGGGATCTTCAAGGGTAAGCCTAAGTCGACGGAGCAAGATATGGGACGAAGCAAAGGTTGCCCCGCGTGACGCTCGCGAAGCAAGACGCCAGTCGACGTGAACATGCACGGATCGAAAGCCATGCTTGAAGCTTTAGTCGAAGGGCTCAGATCCAGCATTCAAAAATCGCCAAGACAAAGAACGGCGAGGAGTAAGCAGACCCCATGATAGCAGATTTCTTTGCGTCCAAAAACGTACTGTCTACAAGGGGGCAATTTCTGGAGCGACTCAGCTCCCCCGCCCCCCCCCCAACTTAGATCGCCAACTCTCTTTTCAACCAGGATGGAAGGGGGCCGATACATCATGTTGCGAATCTATTCTCTCACGAACGCAGGGGGGAGGAGGAGGTGTTACAGCATTGAAGCCTCCCAGCACGATACGCGCGAGTCTCGCACAGGGTTGACGCACAGGATAGCCGGTAAGGTCGTACTGGGTGTGGGAGAGGGAGAGGGCGGAGGGGTTGGGTGGTATGGTGAGGGAGAGATAGAGCTGTGGACTGGGTCTCAGGTGAAGAAAAAAAAAGGGGGGGGGGTTGGTGTGCCATTTTGCTGGAGCTGGTGCTAGGAAGGTAATGAGAGACAAGATATGTTTTCGAACAGGAATCTGTGAGGGGGGTTGGGTGAGGGTTCTGGAGGTGAAGAGGGTGCGAAGGCAGCGAGGATTCTCTAGGCTGTGAGGAGCGTTGTGATACTGGCAATGATGATGAGGAGGATTAGTGGATGGTGTGGATCGAGCAACTGCCGATAGGGATGAAGTCGGGTATTTGGAAGATTGGAAAATGGTCATTGGGCATCAATTGGAGGTACTCGTGGTTCAAGGCTCCATTGCTTTGTGGTTTTGCAAAGGAATGTGGACGCCCTTGAAGAAAGTCTAGATATTACCAGAGAAAAATTGGACTGTCTCGAAAGGAATCTTAGGGACCACTGGGAGCGAACTTAGGAGTTGATACTGTACTCATGGACCGTGCCTTTCCTTCCCGACATGCGTGCTCTCTCGATATTAGGCTGCTAACCCCTCTAATGTTCTCACTCTTCATTCAAACCATCTACCACAGTCCTCTTCTCCTTCATTGCCATCTTTAACTTAGTAGAACCTGAAATCCCTCTAATCCCGCAGGACTAGCATAGCACGAAGTCTGCCCTGTGTCCCTCATCTCCATCGAAGGAACATGACATATGCTTCCTTTCATCCTCATGAAGGAAGAGCAGAACTCGACCTCAACATGTTATGCAGAGCTGAATGCTAGATGGGCAAGGACAGTGGGTTAGAAGATAGTATGTTTTTATTCATGATGGTTACTACATCCGTTTAATCACACCCCTGGATTTTTCTTGTAGAATAAAGGAACTCATATCTCCCTTTCTGAGCTCTAGCAGGCGTAAGAAGCCCCGGGGCAATCACTCGTGAGAATTACTGGTGCAAGCACGGTAAGATTGTATCACCCCCACCCAAACCTCCTATGAGATCTCAATGTCGAGCTTCCAGCCAGGTCGAACCCCTCCCTCCTTCTCTCGCCTTCAAGTCAGTATCAAGATCACCCCCGTTTTCATAAACCCTCATTCTCCCACCAGCACCCAGTGTCCCCAACCCTCCACTCTCCTACTCCCTACTAAAACCGCCCTCCCCAGCCTTAACCCACCTCCCCCATCTCACCAGAAAATCCCCCTCTGCCACATGTCCATGCGCCTCTGAAAAACCCCTCCTCTCAACCTCCTCCATGAACACGGGCAGATTCATATGGATCCAGTAATAGACCGCATAGCTGACATTGTATTGGTCGCTCATAAAGATCGCGATGATTTCGCTGGGGGGAGGATTGGCTAGAAGGAGGCGGGCGAGGTCCAGATCGCGGAAAAGCGCGTCGGGAAGTGCGGCGATTTCGGATGCTGAGGGTTGAGTGGTTGGTCTGTCAGGGTCCGGTGGGGGATATTGGTTGCCGTTGGGCAGGTTGCCATTGGGATGATTGCCGTTGGGGTGGTGACCGTTGGGGTGGTGACCGTTGGGACGATCGTTACCCCTTGAGGTGTTGAATGATGTACGGGATGGCTCGTCGGCCATCTCAGCATCATTGTCTTGGTCATCTACGAGAGGTGCTGGAAGACGGTTGCTGTAGCGAGGGCCTGACATCGGGGCGTGCATCACTCCAGCAAGTCGCTCGTTCGCCCTCTTTGCAACGTAATCCCGAATCTCTGCTCGAGATGTTGGATACGGGTCGTCGTTACGAGGGCCTGACATTGGGGTGTTCATCACTCCAGCAAGTCGTCTTGGATACGGGTCGTCGTTGCGAGGTTCTGTCCCTACGATGTTTCTCGGTCGAACAGTCGACTCATTCTCCATCTCTTCATTATCCTCATTATCCGCTTCACTACCACTGCTCGAGTATTCAAAGATATCACCATAGTCCTCCCCTTCTCCCTCTCGGCTTAGCAGATTCTTCTCCGGCTCTCCAATCGTGCGTGCACCTTCATCAATCCACTGCATCCCACCATCCCCATTTTGCCCTCCATCAGCATACCTTCGATTTGCCCTCTCCCGCTCATCCCTCGCCTTCCGTTCAACCCGGTCATCAGCTGCCCGCCGCATAATCAGCTCCCGATGCTTCTTATCCTCGTCCAACTGCTCTTTGCACTCTTTAGCGTATTTCGCTTGGACGGCGCGAGCGGATGTGGGATCCTTGAGCAGAGCTTGCTTTACGGCTTCTTTCTTGGCTTTGATCTGGGCCTTTTTCTCTTCGCGCTCTGCTTTTTCGGAGGCCTCTTTGTTGATTTGGTCTTGTTCGCATTTTTTGCGACGTTCTTCGAAGAAGGATTGGAGGGACGACATGTTGGTGGTTTGTTGAGTGATTGGTAGGGGTATTGTGAGGAGGACAGGTGACAAAAATGATGGTCGAGGAATCTTATGTTGATGGATGATAAGCTAAAACAATGCCGAAAGAACAATAGAAGTGGTGTGAATTTGGGATGTGTTAGGCTTGCGCCTCCCTGGACGTCTGAAAGTCAAGTGTGACAAGGCCTTTTCCGTGTCATACAAGAGCACGTTCAACACGTCAATCAACAAAGTGTCCTGTGAAGTAACCACCTACGCTTATGTCCAACTTGCAGCATGGGTCTTGCAGTCTTGGAATGCTGTCGAGCTAGGACAGCGGTTAGTCGATCTAGATAAACCAGTCTTTTGCAGTGACCTTGAATGAATTGAAAGTCGTTCATTCCAAGTTATATGCTTTTATTTATCCTCTGTTATTGCCTCGTCGTGCGGCATTGCTGAGGGTTAAAACACTTTTGCCCTTTTGGTGGCGCGCAGCGACCAACCATTCATAAAACTCACAAACAGCTACTCTCGTGCTTCAAGTCTGCGCAATATCCACTAAATGTTTGACCAACCCAAGAACGCCCTCGCCCCTCACAGAAAGTAATCTGCCAACCTCTAGCACCACGATCCTTGCCGCCCCCCTCAAGAACCAGCAGCCACCAAGTTCGGCTCGCTTGACCGAAATGGCAGCCCAATGCGCTAACACCACGAGCGCAGCTGGTTCGTGACGCTCGAGCATTCCATTGAAATGATCAGAAACACTTGTCAACCACGTGGACAATCCCAGCCAAGCTGCTGCTGTGTCATCACTCGTAAAGCTGATGTCGCAACACTCGACTAGAATGGAGATAGCAGATAATGTGGCGAAGACATCCTGACCATTTTCAGGTTTCCCGATCTGTTCTGCGATGCGAAAGGGAAGTGCTTGAAGTAGGTTGAGTAGTAGAATAGGCGTCTTGTGGTTGGAAGGGGAAGGCTCTGGAAAGGGGTTTCCATTGTGCATTCGGTTGCTCGTCTGTACTACCCCCTGCATTTGATGTTCTTGCGTGTTATTCATGTCACTGTTACAATAAAGGGTGGAGACAGGTGCGTCGCAGCCTCGTATAAGGGACACGGTCGCTAGCAGTGAGCAAGTTGACTTTTCTCTTTTGAACATAGACTTCTCCAACGCGCACTGGCCACAAATGAGCAAACATTTGAGCTGCTCGCTGGTATTTCTGGTTTCTTCGTCTGTTTCAGTAACCCTTAGATCGGAATTACGCGCTGTATTGGATTCCAGGTGGGCGAAGAATTCGGAGGAAAATAGTAAACCTTGCTTCAGATAGGTCTGTTTGGTCATGGGATCGTCTGCAAGGACGGCTAGATGGTAAGCAGAGATGGCCAAGAGACCACACATCAACCACCGTCGCTGCAGAGCTTGCAGGGTTACTTGCGTCTTCCAGTAATGTTTCGCAGGCTCTCTATCCCTGGTACAAGGGAGTGTGAGAGAAGTAATCGTACTGAAGTGGTAGAAATAGGTCATTGTTTCTAGATTGAACTCGGCTTGAGAAGGAGATTTCGTGAAAGCGGGAGGAGCTGGAACATGGTCTGGCTGTGGCTGCGTTACAGCAACAGCAGTATGGTTTTGCAAACCCCTTCCTCCGCGGTCATCATCGCCGTCATCTTCATCAGCATCCGCGTCCGCATCCGCATCGCCATCCTCAGTAGAGTCCGACGGGGGTGAAGGAATTGAAGCAACTTCAAAATATCTAACCTTGGTGCCACGGAAGAAAGTCTGCAGAGTTGCAGAACGAGCAAAAGAAGCAGAGAGATGGATTGACCCGTCAAGACCATGAGTATCACTCCAATGACGCTTCATACGCTTCGAACTCGCAGTGAGATGTCGACATCCTGCCGCGGTGCAGCAATATCCTGATAGAACAGGGATAGCATCGATGGGCGGAGAGCCTGGTGCAGGCAACGGTACGAGGTGGGGCTCGAGGATGTCAAGTTGCGCAATGGACGACAACAGACGCTGTCTGTCTCCGCGATAGATTTTGTGACGCAGCAAGTGGCTTTCAAGTGCGTTTTTCTGGATGGCATACTGACATTCTCGGCAGATCAAAAGACTGTGTTTGGGATTGTATTCGAGCAGATCGCCTGCGCCTAATCGGATGGCTGGCATGATCGAGACTGAGAGTGACGGTGAACATGCGAGCTCTCATCATCTGGGGGAGGTAGAGTATCCTGAAGTGGAAATTGAATGGAGGGGGAATGCTCTATGATGTTCCAAGCAAGCAGCGACAAAGGAACATGATATAGGGTGCTCAGCTACAATGTCGCTGACTCAGAGAACAAGACATGGGATTCCGGGGCAACACCTGTCCCAGGCAGCTTAGGTAAGTCACCGACCACGCTAAGCCCTTTTCGGTCCTGCATCTCCTATTCGCTTGGAAAGCACGAACTGCCGTCATGCTTGCAGGAGCGCGGGGAAGGCACCTCGTAAACATACATTAAAGAAGCTCGGACGACCCTCATCATTCGGTATCTTCCCATCACCTACGCACTGAATGAATTCTATCTCTAAGTTCATCCGCTCACTAGGACGACGCCAGACTAAGGGGAAACCAGAGAAGCAGCAGGAGCCGGAAAAAATGTCATCACCAACAAATCAAGCCGCATGGCTGCAGAAAGCTGGAGCCCCGCTCGAGGTCGGCGATGCCCCACTACCAAAAGCTGCCAAGGGAGAAATCGTGGTGAAGAATGCAGCCGTCGCCATGAACGCCCTCGACAATCACATGCAGGATAAAGGCGTCTTTGTGAAAGAGTGGCCTACTGTCTTTGGCTGCGATGTGGCCGGTGAAGTGTATGAAGTCGGTGTAGGTGTAGATCGCTTCAAGAAAGGGGATCGCGTGATTGGGTAAATGGATCTTACCTGCTTCTTCTCTAGCACGAGGCTGATCTCACTTCTCTTTCAGCCACAGCATTAACCTTGTCACCGGTCGCCCTTCTGATGGTGGTAATGCTCTATACACGGCCGTACCCGCCAAGAAAGCATCTATCCTTCCCGCCTCAATCTCCTTCACCGACGGTGTAGTCGTGCCCTTCATGGTCGAAGCAGCCGCCTGCGCCTTATCCGTCAAAGAGCCTGGTCCATGTATGCCAGGCGTCTTGACCCCCGCCCTCGGACTCCCCTATCCTACCCTACAGACCCCAGCACCATCTACCGGTAAAACTATCATCGTATACGGCGCCTCCTCCGGCGTCGGCTCGATGACGACTCAACTTGCTACCGCGGCCGGGATCAACGTCATCGCCATCGCTGGAGCCCACAACCACGATCTGGTCAAGCAATGTGGAGCCTCTCAAGTCTTCGACCACAAAGACCCCGCATTCCTCGAAAAGGTCACCGACGCCGTGTTGACGAGCAAATCCGAGTTCGTCGGCATCTTCGACGCTATCTCCACCCCTGCGACTTACCCCAACGATCTTGTGATTTTGCAAAAATTGGGCGGTGGACATCTCGCCTGTTCACACCCGCCACCTGCTGATGCACCCGAGAACGTCAAGTCTGGTATGATCTTCGCAGTCAACGATGTTGCGACGCCTCTCTATCAGGATTACGTGACACCTGCGCTGGAGAGCGGAAAGCTGAAGTGTCTACCACCTCCTACAATTGTTGGCAAGGGCCTAGGTTCTATCGATGAGGCACTGAAGAGGTGCAAAGCTGGTGTGAGTGGGACGAAATTGGTGGTGGAATTGTAAGAAGATGGATCGGTTACTCGTTTGCAGCGGCATGGCTAGAATCATGGCATAGCAGGACCCCCTGATAGGAGCAAAATGGCAACACTACAATAGAAATGTTAGGAAATTGTATTGATAGAAAAGTTATAATAACTTCATATGCTCTTATGGTTGTGGAGTTCTGGATTTTAGTAAGTTCATTTCTGCAACAGTCCCCAAGTGACAGGTCGATTGATCAAATATTCACGCCCTTCTGTGTTGCTATTCGAAAAATTCAATATACATATGAGCACAACAACAATGGAAAGAGACTACGAAAAACTTTGAGATAGTTGCTAGACTTCAACGTTGCAGCAAGGCAGAAATATTGTTGACACTTCTCTAGCCCCCCACTAGCTATATACCTAGGAAATACTACCAAGCAGCGATAGTTTCTAATGACCTGAAATAACACCGAGTACTTTTCTCGCGCAGCCAGATCTATACCAGCGCCTTCTATGTCTATGTATTGCCAACGACTCCATAAATCCATAAATCTACGCGAAGTCGCCACCTATCTACGCATACATATAACAAATGCCATTCTTAAAAGCGCTCGTTCCCATCTTGAGAGTGACGTCCGGCGACCACTCGAAATGCATGATATCATTGAGCGTGGCGTTTCGGCTGGGTGGATCTTTTTACACGATGATTGTTAGTTTCAGCTACTATATCTCTCTCCACCGAACGCGCGCGCAAAAGGGATTTTTGGATTTACTTACCATTCGTGAGCGTGATGGTCCCATCCAGCTCGGCCTCTCGCGTCGCGTAATCCGCGCTCTGCCAGATCGCCCAGATCCGGTCGACTTGCGCGTGGTGGAACCAGAATAGCGGGTCGCCTGGCGAGGTGAAGAGATCGTTGTCGACGCCGGAGATGAAGGAGTGGGCTTCGAGATGGGCGCCTCCGAAGAATGAGGGCTGGAAGCCGTGGATGCCTGGTGCGTTTTAGCTTTTCTACGGTCTTTGTCGCGAACGGGGAAAGGGGGGAATTTCAACTTACTGGTGTTGTTTTCAATTAGTTGTACTACGGCGTCATAGGTGTTGAGTTGGAGGAGAAGGGTGTTGTTGAAGTCGCGAATGATTGGGCGGGGGTTGTATCCGAGAGCATTCGGACCGGGATTTGGCTTGACTTTGATGCCGTTTGTGACTGTTTGGTTATAATACGGTCCCTGGAAGAACAGAAAGTATCAGCCAGCGAGTTCCGAATGACCCGATTTGCCAAATAGACCTACAAGATGCTGTGTCCAGTTCACAAATGGCCCCTCGTAAATGTAGCCGCCGCCAGTACCAGGAGGGGTGAAAATCCCCGGGATTGAACTTGAGTCCGGGACTGGCAATGTCTGCAGGGTTCCATTACGACCAGGGATGTATCTCCCATTGCTTGAAATTGAAGTCTCGGAGCCATCGATCAGCGGATTCGACTTGAATGGCAGGTCAACATATTTCGACCAGTCCCAGTACGGTTGAGACCCCGAATAACCACATTCTTCGTCGAGGGCTTTGTCCCAGAGATACAAAAACCACCGATGCCATGCGAAGAAACTTCCTGTGGCGTGGATCAGGGGAGTGTTGATGATGTGTGCGGCTTGGAAGTCGTCATATCGCGACCGGGCTCCTGGCGCCTTGTCGGCACCAATTATGGATGGCTTTTTGTGCAAGCATTTGACGGCTTCGATGTATTTTCGGTGCTGCTTGTCTGACAAATCGCCCCTGATACACGAATGAGCTGTCTGAGGACTTCATGGCATTCAAAGAGAAGACTACGCGGCTGCTCACCATTCTGGACGCGTAACGATATTCTTCTTAGTACAATTTCCCTGCGGAAGTTGCTTGAGTGTATTATCCTGGTATTGCTTGACGAGATCTTTCCAATGTTGTGGAGCCTGTGCAGCGTTTGCTCCTAACAATGCAGCAGTCGCTGCCACGAAAAGGGCTACGTAATGCATGGCGAGTCGGGAATTATATTGCAGTAGAGCGAATTCAGGAACAAAAACCACGTGCGCCCAGGACTCTGTTGACCGATCAAGTCCTCAAATACATATATCTTCCACGAAGCCACCACGCCGCAATCGCAGTAGCATTTGGCCGGCCACCCATGGTCCACCCTCCATCAGCTGATAGAGGAGTCAGGCCATAGTGACAGTCTGAATCCTTCTTCTCGCTCCGATGAAGCTGAGAGACCATTCACGAAGGATAACGACCCTCCTCTGACAAGACTGACAAGGTGACAAGACGGCTTGCGAGATCAGCTTAGGACGGGAAGGGGGTGATGGTGGCATGAAGTACAGATTAGCCAAATTAGTTGCTGACTGTGTCACCCCAAAACGCCTTGCTCTGAGCGCCCGCAGGTTATCACGTCATGCATGAACTCCATAATTCTCCATGCGAGGTCAAGTAACACTGGCTCAACAACCGAAGGCGGCATTAGTGCCAAGCGAGCGAGAAGAATCGTGAGAGCTGACTATGACTTGCAGGAGCAATAAGAATGCTGATCATCTCATGGCGGTGTGTGGAAGTGACCGAGGGGACAGCACATGAGGGCCCTAATATGCAAGGACCCGCTGGCGTCCTAGACCGCCATGTTCTGTTCCGACGCCGAACATTATGCCCTATTCTGACCTGGAGGCAACGCTCCTTTCCATCCGGAACCTAAGATTACGTTCCGACCCACTGTCACGCTTCTTGCACTAGTCGATCAAACGGCTATCCTAAGGACGAACTAGTCAGATCGCCTGAATGATCATCCTGTTGGATGAAGGATCGTCGGCCTCGTCAACAAATAGGCGTCTTTAGAAAAAAATTAATCTACTTTCAAGGTTCAAAAAGGGCCGAGAGAGACAGGATAGAAGCCACATGGAAGCCAAGATATAGCCTTATAGAGCACTTGCCGTGACGATATACTTGAAGAGTGGCGAAAGAGCCAAGAATGTCCGAGGTACCCCTGCTTCACGAAATGGAGAGCAAGACCCATCAAGTGAGACAAGATAGCCCTTCGACCAATTGTGCAAGCTTGTCATCAATGTACCTCCACCATCATCAGAATAAGCATTCGATGGAGCGAGGATGTCAATGGAAGAACATGACAGTGACACCGGCCAGCCGAGATGTGGAGAAAGCCAGACCCTGGTGCAGGATCCGACAAACATCCTTCGATCGTGCCGCCTCGCCAGCACAACGACAGGGCATCTCAGCTTGCTCCACAATCTCCCAGCCTAACGGTTGAATCCTTCAGGGTACCAAACACTTCGCCTACACCACGACCAGCGATAACAACATATCCCAACAACCGAAATATTGTGAGAAAGCATCCCCTCTATCATTCACACCACGCCTCCCTAGTCTTCTGCCTCATCGTACAAAGAAAATGACACCACCACTCATCGCCCTAGAGGAGCACTACTACTCCTCCGCGATCTTCTCCTCCCTCGACCCTCGCTTCCAGCATCAACTCAGCGCCATCCCCGGCCTCGCAAACAGCCTGCGCGAAGTCGGCAATGAGCGGCTCGCCTCCATGGATGACGGGCACATCGCCCTGCAGGTGATTTCCCACGCCTTCACTCCAGGTGAGCTCTTCCACACCGTCACCACTCATCCCTCCATCCCTCCTAACAAGCCTCCTCCTGCACAGGAAGCCCCTCGGCGGAAAACTGCCGCTTAGGCAACGACGAGCTCGCGCACGCCATCGCGTCCAGCGGCCACGCAGAGCGCTACGCCGCCTTCGCCGTGCTCCCCGTCGGCTCGCCGTCAGAAAGCGCGCTCGAGCTCGCCCGCACCGTGTCGTCGCACCACTTCGTCGGCGCGCTGGTCGACAACCACGCGAACGGCAAACACTTCGATGGGCCGGAGTACGACGTGCTGTGGTCGCAGGCGTGCGAGCTCGACGTGCCGATCTACTTGCATCCGACGTTCCCGTCGATGGAGGCGGCGAAGGGCTTCATGGGCGCGTATCCGCTGAATGTGGGGATTAGTCTGGGCGCGGCCGGGTATGGGTGGCATGGCGATGTCGGGTTGCATGTGCTGAAGCTTTTCTGTGCGGGCGTTTTTGATAGGTTTCCGAAACTGAAGGTGGTGGTGGGGCATTTTGGGGAGACGCTCCCGTTTATGTTGGAGCGGTGCGAGGATATGAGTGAGCGGTGGGGAGGGTGGGGGAAGAGGGAACGGGGGTTGAGGAGGGTGTGGGATGAGAATGTTTGGGTGACGACCAGTGGGGCGTGGAGTTTGGGGCCGATGAAGTGTTTGGTGGAGAATACCAAGGTGGACAGGGTTTTGTATAGTGTGGATTATCCGTTCGAGAGTAATGGGAAGGGGAGGGAGTGGTTTGAGAAGTTGGAGGCGAGTGGGTTGCTGAGTGAGGAGGAGTTGAGGGGGGTGGCGTATGGGAATGCGGAGGCGTTGTTGAGAGTGAAGGCGAAGGGGTAGAAGTTGGGGATGGGGTTGTGGGGAAAGTGCGGAGATTTCAGTGTCCAGAGGTGATAGAATAGAAGCAATTTTTGGCATTATGGAGACGAACACGGATTGACTGTAGCATCTCAATTTCCCGATTGATTCCATATTCTAGGGCCATCCTCAACAAGATTCAATCCCTATTCCAAGACCATCCCGACCGAAATGTTCAACCGACATACATGAACATGGCATCACGTGTCAATTCTCCGATACTGGAACTCGCAATTCAAGCAGATCTCAACACTCTCGTCGCCCTTCTGTCAACGGAAACTTTCTGATGCACCTAAGCTTCAAACTGACAATCTGAGAAGAGCAAAGACCCTGTTTCACGCCCTCATCGCTCCTCCGATTTGCTATCTCATTTTCTTCACCTCATGGAGTAACGCAGGCCGAAGAACGATGACCACGTCAACAGGCCAGGATATCCTCGTTTGTAGAAGATGACAGCAATCGGAGCCGGAATCCACTTTAGGCCGAAAGGAAAGGGAAGGGAAGGGCAGGGCCCACAAAACTGAAGGTCTGGGATGATTGATTCCTTGACTGTGAATAATGCCTGATGAGACCACTTTTCAATATCACATATCTTTATTTGTTGACTAGAAGAATAGAAGACTAAAGACTAGTTTACTGGCTAGCTAGGTACCAGCGATAGCAATCTGCCACGCACACGTCAAGATGCACTGCTCTAGGTACCGTTAGATAGCTTAGCCACTTAATTTAGCTCCCTCCCTCTAGCTTCACACTATTGTTTGTACCTGTTGCACACATGGCATTCTAGCTAAGGAACCGACGATTCGAATCCCTCCTTCCCTCCTGTCCTGCCCTTACCAAACCGAAAAAAGTATACCTTGTCGAGATCTAAAATGACTAAAGATCAGGGTGCAGAAAGTGAGACCACCCCCCACCCACCCCCTGTGCCTGCCCCTCTCCCTCACCCCACTACGCGACCCTCGGCATTTCGCAAAAACTCCCCATTCCGGTCAGCCAAGCGTCTGACAGTGTCCGGTTCATCCTCGTGTGGCAAGTCCGGTCGTGGCTTTAAACCCCGGGTCAGCATCACCAGCGCCAGGCTGCGGTAAGCCTTCGGGTAGGCCTGAACGTCAGCTGTCAGCGCGGACGGCACCGTCGCGTCGGGCCCTGCGCTGGTGCTGGTGTGAGGGAAGGCGGTGACGAGGCGGTCTCGCACGTAGCTGGACTCCACGCTGAGAATGCGCCACTCGCTAGCGCTGTCAGGGTTGGGCTGAGGGTTGCTGCTGCTGCTGCTGCTGGTGGGCTGATGATCATCGTGATTGTTGGGGTTAGGGTTGGGGCTGGGGTTGGGATTGGGGGGGTTGGGGGGTTGGGTTTGGGCGTCAGACAGTCTTAGGCGTCGCAGGCGGCTGAACAAGCGCATGTGAGAGGCAAGTTCGTAGTCGATGCCGTTGAGAGTGACGGCGCTGGTGACTAGGCAGAAGGCTTCGCTGATGGCCCGGTCGCCGAGCACGTGGATTGCCACGGGGTCGAAGGAAGCGTGGATGATGTTCACTTTGCCTTTGTGCATGTGGGCTGATTTGCGCAGGAATTCGTCCACGTTGCCTTCGTACCTGGAGGACGTGATTAGTTTGCCTGTCGAACGGTCTTGCTTAGTGATCTAGCATCTGGACTAACCATGCGACATTGATGTGTGTGGCGCTTGCATCTGGGTGGAACGTTGCTCGACAGAGTTCCCACTGTGCAGTATCACGATAAAAGCGCTCTCGCTTGAGGAGATTCGCGATGGCCAAGACATCCGCAGTCGGGGTCGTCATTGCGGCGGTTGGTGCCGAAGGATGTCTGATTTGCTGAGTATGTCAACCCAGATGAGCTGAGAATCGGTGGAGCTGCAAACTGATGGTTTTTTATAATCCAGGCAAAAGTTCGCGGGACACTTGGTCCAGTAATGTGCGGGCTTGGTGTTGATGTCACGTTCTGACAAATGTAAGCCTGCAAGCCTTACACTCTCCTCCACTTTTCTCACTCCGAGGAATCCTGAGGGCTCGTAAGAGCTTACCACCAGAAGACCATTCTGTTCTTATCTTTCATGTACCAAGGATGACTAGAGGATTTCATCCCGGAAGAAGTATGATTGTCAGTAAAATTGTATAGAGTTTCAGATGAAGCAATTGTGGATCTCTTTGTAATGCGGGCATTGGCAACGGGTGAGTGGTGCCAGCCTGAATCATGGATGCCGCACCTTTCGATACTACCTTGACCATAAGCAAAAAAATCAAGCGAAATAAGCTGTAATCAGGATCGATGGGGGGGCTAAGGGGCGAGTATAGAGGTGGTACGATGCCGGACTGGATTTGCTGAGATCTGTACTACAAGTTATATATATGTCCAGTGGTGGATGCAACGACCTGGGGTTTCGTCAACTGAACCTCCACTTCCACCATCAGGATGACGGTCAGCAACTCACTGAGTCGGGTCCTCGTGTTCCCTCCAGAGCACACAGACGTGTCTCAAGCACTGCACGAGCTGAGCGTGCGGTCCAAAGCCCGTCCTCAGCTAAGCACTTTCCTTGCTTCATCGTCGGCCGTGGTACATGAGCTACTGAGCACCTTGGAGCCCTCCGAACAGGAGAGCGTTGGGTCGTTCGAGGATTTGTTAGAGCTATCGGAGCGACATGTCAGCCAGCAGCGTCACAATGCGGTCGTCGAGCTGGTTCTCACGACGACAATCCAGCTTGGCCAGCTTCTAGTGTACGTCAAGAAATTCCGCAAGAAAAGCATAGAGCGTTGAGACTTACAATAACACCAGGCTTGCGGAAGAGGATCCCTTAATATTGTCCGAAATTGCTGTCCCAACTGGCTTCGGTATTGGGCTTGTTGCAGCTGCAGTGGCAACGACTGCTAGTGATGCTAACTCCGTTGCCATCCTGGGTCTGGAAGGCGTAGCATTCGCCTTTCGTCTCGCAGTGGAATTGCAACGAGTCAGCCGAGACATTGAAGAGTCCAACGACAACGACGACCCATGGGCACGCGTCGTCTCCTCCTATCCAGAGAAATTGGGCCTCCAAGAAGTCCAACAGAGTCTGAACAAGGTTAATGCCGCGCACCGGCCCCTTCACCACGCCTATATTGGCCAAGTCTTGTCTGATAGTCTCGTCATTATGGGCCCGCCCTCAACCTTAACCACTTTAGCAAAGACGACCTCTGACTTCTCCTTGAGCCTTCCCTCTACCTCAACTCCTTCCAAGTGTCTGCTTTACGGTTCACATCTGCCACCTGTAGAGCCTATCAGAGAATCATGTCTTTCCGCTGTCCATGCAGCATGTGCTACTCGACGACCCCTTTATTCGGGACACTCCCCTACCACCGCTCTCTCAGCAGAGACATATGGCGAGCTTCTGTACCTCGCAGCCATCGAGATTGCACACAAATCGATGGATGTCATGGAGAGCTACCGAACAGTCGCGAGCACCCTCCAGAAAACAGGTAATTCTAAAGTTGTCCTCACGACAGTCGGCTCGTCATGGGAAGTCTCTGCTTTCCAGGACATCCTCCAGCAACATGATCAATGTGTCTCCATTGACGACATCACACCAAGCCCAAGACCCTTCAGCGATGATCTTTCGAGCAACTCATCCGACGCCATCGCCGTCGTCGGCATGTCGGGTCGCTTTCCAGACAGCGATACGCTGGATGAGCTTTGGCGCCTCTTGGAGACGGGAACGACCACACACCAGGAAATCCCTTCATCGCGCTTCAATATGGACGACTTCTACGATCCATCACGTGCTAAACATAATGCCCTGGTTCAACGTTACGGGTGCTTCATCAAGAAACCCGGTCAATTCGACCATCGCTTGTTCAACATCTCACCCCGTGAGGCGCTGCAGATGGATCCTGTCCAGCGCATGTTACTTATGACGACCTACGAAGCGCTGGAGATGGCTGGTTATAGTGACGGCGACGAGCAGGCCGCACCGCGAATCGCCACATACTTTGGCCAGACTGTGGACGACTGGAAGACGATCCAGGAGCAACAAGGTATTGATACTCATTTCTTGCCGGCTGTCAATCGCGGCTTTGCTCCTGGACGCTTGTGTCATTACTTCAAATGGGCTGGTGGTTTCTACAGCATCGACACTGGCTGTTCCTCCAGCGCGACAAGTATTTGTATTGCTCGTGACGCCCTCGCCAAGGGTGATATCGACGCTGCAGTTGTTGGCGGTGGTACACTGCTCACTGCGCCAGAGTGGTTCAGCGGGCTAGGCCAGGGAGGATTTTTGTCACCCACTGGTTCTTGCAAGACCTACTCTGACAAGGCTGACGGGTATTGTCGCGGGGAAGGTGTCGCCGTTGTGGTGCTCAAGCGCCTGTCGGATGCGATACGAGCGAAAGACAACGTCCTCGCCGTTATCGCAGGCGCAGCGAGGAATACTAATGCCGGTGAGGGCTCCATCACTCATCCTGGTGCGAAAGCTCAGGAGACCCTGTACCGCCGTGTGCTCCGCCAAGCAGCAGTACGTCCAAACGAAGTCGATGTCATCGAAATGCATGGCACAGGAACTCAAGCCGGTGATCGCGTCGAGACAACAGCTGTGCAGAACGTCTTTGCGTCTCCAGCTGGACCCAAGCGCAGCCAACCACTCATTGTCGGCGCTATCAAGGCTAATGTTGGTCATAGCGAGGCTGCTGCCGGCGTGGTATCCCTCATCAAGGCTATTCTAATGCTCCATCGCGACACGATACCTCCGCAACCGAATCAACCCTTTACGCTCAATCCATACCTTGTCTCCATCCTTGGCCCAGGTACTGACGTGCAAATTGCAAACGGTCAAGCGTGGCCTAGGAATGGAGCAAAGCCTCGTTACGTTTTTGTGAACAACTTCGACGCTGCCGGGGGCAATGTTAGCGTTCTAATTCACGAGGCTCCACCCTCTGCCCAAGTGCCCCTACTACCTCGTGTAGATTCGCGTTCCCATCACATCATAGCCACTTCTGGCCGCACTGAAGCTGCGCAGACGCAGAACAAGGACCGTCTCCGCAAATATCTACAGCAGAACCCGGAGACAAGTCTGGCAAGTCTGGCCTACACCACCACTGCACGACGGATGCATCACAACCTTCGCGATGCATACGTTGCGACTTCCGTTGCAGAGCTCCTGCAGCAATTAGGACAGCCTTCGAAGCCTCTGACGCCCGCATCATCTGTCGTGTTCACTTTCACAGGTCAGGGTAGTCAGTACGCAGGTATGGGCGGTACGCTATACCGTACCTCTTCTTCATTCCGGCGCATGCTCGACTCATATCAACGCCTCTGTGATGTTCAAGGGCTCGATTGTCATTTCCTTGACATGATTATCGGATCAGAAGATGCGGCAACAAACACAATGAGTACCGCCTGTGAAATGCAAGTGGCGACTGTTGCGCTTGAAATTGCTCTCGCTCGGTATTGGCAGTCGCTCGGCCTGACTCCAACACTGCTGGTTGGGCACAGCCTGGGAGAATATGCGGCACTTTGTGTTGCTGGTGTATTCTCTGTCGGCGAGGCACTTGCCTTGGCCTATGCACGAGGAAAACTCATTACCTCAAGATGTCCACCTTCTGAGGCAGGCATGCTATATGTTGGCCTTCCTGTGAACATCGTGCGATGGCGCATCCGGGATTTGCCTGCGACATCTTCAGCATGTGAGGTGTGCTGCATAAATGGCCCATCCAGTACTGTTGTCGGTGGCCCCGTCGCAGCACTTGATGCCCTAGAGAACTACTTGAAGTCTGAAGACAACGTTGCAACTACCCGTCTCAGAGTCACACATGCATTCCACACCCGCCAAATGGATCGTCTCCTGGAAGATTTGGAGATTAATGCATCCCACATATCCTTCCACCCCCCACGCTTCCGGTTGCGTCTACGCTGCTCGGCAAAATCGTGCAACCTGGTGAAAGCGGAGTCTTTAACGCGAGCTACTTCCGTCGACATAGTCGCGAGCCTGTAGCTTTCCACGACGCAATCATTGCGAGCGAAGCTGAAGGGCTGATTCAGGATCAGTCTTTCGTCGTAGAGATCGGACCTCACCCGACCTGCATCAATTTCGTTTCCTCCGCGCTTCAAACGCTGCCTCTAACCTGCTCTCCCAGCTTGCGTCGTGGACACGACGACTGGAAATCTATGTCTCAAACTTTAGCAGCCGCATATCGCGCTCAGCTCCCCGTGTCGTGGACCAGTTTTTACAAGGATCATCTTGATCAAGTGCACCTACTAAATGATCTGCCAACGTACGCCTTCGATTGCCAGGAATTCTGGGTCACATACAAGACTCCAGCAGTCTCTCAAATCTCTGGCGACGTGAAGTCAAATGATTCGCCCTCGCGCCTCTCCTCGACATCCTTGAGTTCGGTCGACGAGCTGCGGCAGGAAGGCTCTAAGCTCCATGCCGTTTTCAAGGCTGACCTGACTGATCGTCATCTTGCGGAGGCGATCGGAGGTCATGTTGTTGACGGTGTAGCCATTTGCCCAGCGAGCATCTTCATCGACATGGCCTATACCGCTGCTGAGTATCTTGAGACAACGAGTCGTGAAATCTCAGAGGCCTCCTTAGCCACTTACGAGCTTGTCAGCCTGAGTATGACGAATCCACTAGTGCTCCGCAAAGATATGACTCCGGACGAGTTGCCAAAAGTTTTCCTCGAAGTCGCCCTCGATCAATCTACGAACAATGTCTCCGTCCGAGTTTTGTCCCGTGCAGCTGGAACAAACGCTTCCCCGTTGGAGCACGGCTCCTGCGTAATTCGACTAGACCAGTCTGAGGCACCGTGCAATCAAGCATGGTCTCGCTTGCAGCCACTGGTACAAGCGCGAATACAAACTCTCGAGGCATCCTCACGCCCAAAGCAAGTCCATTCAATGGACAAGCAGCTGTTCTACAAGGTCTTCTCCGAGATTGTTGACTACGCTTCTCCCTACCATGCGGTCGAAGAGGCTACTGTGGCGGCTAACTTTCGAGATGCTGCTTTTGTCTTCTCACTGCCCTCTGTACAAGACCTCGGCAAATTCACATGCAGTCCTTTCGCAGTCGATGCCGCCGTCCACGTCGCCGGTTTCTTGTTGAATGCCGACGTACGCAAGCCAAAGAATGACGTACACATTGCTAATCATATTGGGTCTCTCCGTGTGCTTGGTGATCTATCAAGTCATGGACCGTGGACGGCCTACGCCACCATTCGTGAGCAGAATGCCAAAACTGGAACGAGTCTATGTGATGTATACGTCACGGATACCCAGGACAAACTTGTTATACTCTGCACCGACATCTGCTTCAAGAAGCTAGACCGAGACTTCTTCTCCCTGCTGACAGGTGCGGCTTCTAGGCGAACACCAAAAACAAGCACTCCACCCAGCGCCAAGCGTACACCACAAATGGTTACGCCGCCTGAATGGAGCGACGATTCATCGGCAGCTTCTTCGATGACATCCTCGCCATCGCTCAGTAGCCAGTCTGAGCCTGACGATCTTGCAGCAGAATTACTCTCCTTGGTCTCATTGCGGAGTGGTGTTAGCATGGGTGACTTGGAGAAAGCGGCGAACACAACATTCACGGACTTTGGGGTCGACTCACAAATGAGCATTCAGATTCTCGCTGACTTTCACAAAACCACCGCTGTCGAGCTTCCGGCAGCATTCTTCTCGAACTTCCCAACTCCAATCTCAGTGCATAAAGAACTTAATATTCAAAAACTAGAAGACCTCGAGCCAAAACCAAAACGCAAACCCTCTCCTCCACCCAAGATGCGAAGTGCGAATCAGAATAAGAATGCGTCACCACAGCAACCGAGCAAGCAGCTTTTCGCGATTGTCGCAGACGCCCTCGGCCTCGAAGCTAATGCTTTTACGCCTTCAGCGACATTCGAGTCTCTTGGTATGGACAGTATGTTATCTATCAAGACTCTCTCGGAGTTTCAGCAAAAGACTCAAATAGAGTTGCCCGCTGCATTCTTCACACAGTGTTCAACAGTGGCAGCTGCGCAAAAGGAACTAGACGGACCAATGGAGAAGCCAGTGAAAAGCGTTTTCGCAGCGACTAAGTCCTCAGTCGCCGTCAAACCCACAGCAAAGAAGAACAGCAGCTCGCCCCGCCAGCAAAAATTGGACAACTCCGTCTCCCGATCTGTTCTAATCCAAGGCCAATCTCGATCCCAAGCATCGCCCTTATTCATGACCACCGACGGCTCCGGAACCGTCGAATCCTACATCCACCTCTCCGCCCTCCCGGAAGGCCGACGCATCTACGCTCTCGAATCCCCCTTCCTCGGCGACCCGGACCACTTCGACCTCTCCATCCAAGAAATGGCCACCATCTTCATCCGCACGATCCGGCGCATCCAGCCGCACGGTCCGTACATGATCGGCGGCTGGTCCGCCGGCTCCGTCTACGCCTACGAAGTCGCCAACCGGCTCGCGCACGAGGGCGAGGACATCCTCTCCCTCCTCATCATCGACATGCGCGCGCCCTCCCTCATCCCCACCGCCATCGTCACCCCCGATTTCGTCGACAAGCTCGGCACCTTCGAGGGTATCAATCGCGCCCGCGACCTCCCCGCCGATCTCTCCGTCAAGGAGAAATCTCATCTCATGGCTACTTGTCGTGCTTTGTCGCGCTACGACGCCCCGCAGTTCCCGACGGGTCGCCAGCCGAGGAATAGTGTGGTCATCTGGGCACGTCTGGGCCTTGATCAACGCGAGGATGCCGGACCGGCTGCTATGTGTCGCCCCGGCATCGAGATCGGGAAGAAATTGGAGGAGATGGATTTGAAGGACTTCGAGCGCTACTTTAATTCGTGGTTTTATGGAAAGAGAAGTACTTTTGGGACGAATGGATGGGAGGACCTGCTCGGTGACGAGATTGCGGTGCACCAGGTTGATGGTGGTGAGTTTTCCCTCCCCTCCCGCCTCGCTTTTTACTTTGTTTGATATGGCAGTGTGGCTAATGGGTTTTTTTCTTCTCGTAGATCACTTTTCCATGATGTGTCCTCCTTTCAATGAAAACGTGGGCAAGATTGTCGTTGATGCTGTGGCGAGCGCGACTGCTGAGGAATGAGTGAGCGGGAGTTTGATAGCGTTAGTAAAATTGAAATTCTTTTGCAGGGGAAAGGGCGCTGGTGGTGATAGATCAAGGGCGATAGATCAGGATAGAAAAGTGCATGCAAATGATCGTGCATTCTAGATTATTGTGAGATAGTTTCATTTCAATTTCAAAGACAATGGCACAATAAAAAGGTTTGTTTCAAATGCATTGGTTCCCTGCATCTCAATTGTCCTTGTTTAGGCCCTCTTTGTCCATAGCCAACCGTCGCGGAGGGAATTCTTGAATGGTTGGTGAAGGACTTCACCGTGTCGTTTCGACACGAAGATTGAATATTGCTGCTGCTGTATACGTTCCCAATCCTTGTCCAGACCCTTTACATGATATATCGTTACGATGCCGCCTTTCGTAAAATGTCGATTAGTAGTGATTGCGCACCTTGAACTCCGCTCCATGATCAGTTCTGACTCACTCCGACGTGTTTTGTGGTAGTTGGCAGCTTTGACAGATGCGACTGGACTACTGCGAGCTACCTTTGCCGAAGATCATTTCCCTATGTTATTCAAAATGTCTGTATTCTCTAAGACGGTCAATTTAACCTTCATCTTCACACCATATGAATGTCGATATGTCCTGGCGTGATGGCTCCAATTTTGACTGAAGCATATCCTTCTCACATCTTTGCTAGGATTGCTCACGACTATCCATTTAGCTAGGCTAATATCTGTTATCTTAGATTCTAGAAAACACGCCTGAGGGCTTTCCCAAGAATACGAACAAGACTATTTCCGGAAGTGAAACCGGGCTAAAAGCGTGCCTTGATGCTCCTATGAAAGAAAAAAAACACCAGTAACGCCAGCCAAAGAGGGAGCTTACAAGCCGTACTCGCAAGATGGATGACCCAGCGTAAGCGTCCGTTGATGATGATTCGACGTTGCTCCTGTATTGAGTGGCATACATATATCGGCTTTGCCAGTATCAGCTTGCACGAAACTACTTTTGATCAATCAAAAATCAGTCCTCGGGCCGACACAGGTTTTTACGTCCACGCTCACGCCAACTTGACGACCTCTTTCCCGTATCATCTTGATCTGATCTTGACACTTCTTCACATCCTGTTTTGATAAGAAGTCATGTAAATCATGACAATACAATTCTACGCTTGTCATGCGAGGTAACATCTTCGTCTGCTCAATAAGCTCCTCAACTTCCTCGAGACAAACTTCTATGAACTCGTCGCCATGGATCCACAAGCGGAGCTGCTGTAAAGATCTTGGGAGTTCCCTAGCTTTGAAGGTCGCCCTTGAGGCAGGGTATCTATATGGACCGATTATCTCGATTTCCAAGACGCGGAGTTTGGTGAAACGTCTCAAAGACCCAGTAGGCAACGCTTGTAACTTGCCACGGTATGGGAATTTCAACTCTTCTAGCGAATGCTGCGCGTGAATTTGTAGCAGATTGTTCATTCCCCCGTCGCCAACCGTTGAAAATGGTAACATTCTATATTGGCATTTGCGAAGAGCCTTGATAGAGCCTAACATCTTATCCAGCCATCGGTAAGCTTCCTCAGAAGAGCAATCTCTCCTCCTGTAAAAGTTGAGAGTGAGTTCAGAAACGTTTGAAAGTCTAGCTGGTGGTTCTGATGGAGACTCGGGAGCTCCAGGTAAGCCGAAGTGCTCGTTGATAGTCCGTGCTTTAATAGTCTGGACTGAGGGGCAAAGGAAAAATGATGATATGAAATGCTCTGGAATACTACCGACGCCATTCCTCAATGTACAGTCCCGGTCTTGTAAAATCACAGTCCGCAGCTTTGTAAGTACCGGTGGACTATACTCAGTGAACATGTGCCGCAGATATTGAAGTACCAAGTAGTCTTCGTTATCTGCCATTTCAACCTTCCAACGCAGCAGGCTAAGACTTGGCAGATGGAGGAATAGAAGCACGATGGTAAGGGTCTTACATCGATCCCTGAGTTTGATAGCTGCGTCATTATACGGCAACAATGGTAGACCAGACTGTTCAAAGGCGGCAGCGACAAATCGCACGTCAGACTCTTTATCCTCGTCTTGGGGGGACCACAAGCCGTCGACCCATCCATGAAGCCAAAGTTCTCGTACATAGTACCCAATCGGAGGATTCTTTAACACTTCCCGAAGAAGCCACGACAAGCTTCGAAAGGTTCCATTATCGTGATTTTTTATTTTCTGATATTGTAGTTGCAGCGCCACGTGCCTTTTCAAGGCTGCCTCTGATGCATAATACACTATCTTGCAAGCCGTTGCAAAATTCACTACGTCGCCCGGCTCAACCTCAAGCGCGATTGTCATGAGTATCTCGTTTGGCAATTGTGAGAGCGTGGCCATTCTGGTGGAAGGAGGTTCTAAAGTGTAAACACTTTTCGTGGAGCTATTGATCTACTATGTAGGTGTGAGATTGGCAATTCTCACGGATGTCTATCGCTTTGAGTATTGAACCTCAACTTCACAGCAGAGAGTATCAGGCATGCGTTTTGACAAGCAAGCTCTGGTCGGTCATGCAGGCGTTGATTGCATCGTCCTTATAGCTAATGAAGACGTACACCGTGAGCTGTTCATAGAGATAAAAGCCTTTAGAGATTTCAAGATGTAACGTAATCACTTGAGGAGACAAAGCAAGGAGGCAACCGAGTTTGCGCCGATTTATTACGAGGTAACATCCTGGTTTTGATACCGTAGCGCTGTTTTGAGTACCATCTCCATCCACCCCATTGGGTCTAGAATCGACTCTAAATATGTCTCTATCAAGACATGATCGAGCTGATATTTATGTTCTTGACAGTTCTGGATCATTCCCCCATTACAGGGCATTCATAGACTTTTATAAACAACCCAATTCCTCGACATTGTTTGTTGCGATTGTTAATTGCGAAAGCTATTAGGGGATTAGGACTGGTAAAATATGAACTCTGAAGTTAGTCGACTCAGAAGCAGGGCATGGATTCTAAAAGCAATCATGAACACGTCTCTATCTACTCTATGATGCTAAATACGATGCGACAAGATAAACGTAAAGGGTATCAAGATGTATTCAAGAAGCGAAGAACAATGGAATTGAGAACGAATGCCACCCATATCATTTCATACCAAGGTACCAATTGGTAGCATGTGGATCGTTGCGCTGCTGTGCGGGTTGTGCCGTCGGTCCGCTACAAGGATTCAAGCATCTTCTGTCTTCTCGAGAGTCTAGTTCATAATATTCCAGGCAGAATTCTGTATGGCACTTTCTCGCAATACTTATCCCAGGTCTTACCGTACTTCTTCGAGCATCTAGCCTCATCTCTCGGGACGCGGGTGGCCAAGAGTGCTACAATGAAGACCGTGTAATACCAGGGGATGGTATGCCAGGAGCCACAGGAAGCACCCATGGCGAACGCCATCATCATGTCTCCAAGATAGTTTGCGTGACGCGTGAAACCCCACCAGCCTTCTCGAAGAATTAGTACACTCACATAAAGAAATCTGAGCGAGCACATACCGGTTGTAAGCAATAAAGATTCGTGAGTCTTCCCATCGCTTGTCTTGTAAGGGGCTTTAATATACTCAGCGGGCTTGCCCCAGATATTGCAATCCCCGCCCGTCAAGCGAACGCTGTCCTTCTGATAGTTTGCCCCTCTGAATATCGCGTACCCTCCAAGTCCTATGGTCAGGATTGCGATTACTTGCCATATGTGCAGATCCACGGGATATCGCGCAAGGTACTGAGTCTGAATAGTGTACAGATTTGGTACGAGTGCTACGCTCCCGTAGCCGAGATAATATCCGAAGTGATCGTGACACATATCTAGCGTTCGGAGATACCAGCTTTCGTTGTAGAAGAAATCGACAACGTAAATGAAGTGAAAGAGGTTGACCAGCCACATTGAGTTCGTGACGTAGCCAATCTTTTGGTACTGGTGTGCTGTGTACGAAATGTCTATTAGTGTCCAAGCTACGATCCCCGGCCGACCATTGTGGAAGAGTTTGAAGTCCCATAGCTCGCCAAAGCGCGGGTTCAGCTCTACGCCCATGAAATAATCATGAATTAATGAACCACTAAATTTCCTATCGTTAGGATGTGAAGGTGCGACGTGCGCTTTGACCAGAGCAAAACCTGCGAGGAAAAATCCATATACGTTGGCAACTATTAGAAGACCCTCCCAGTTCTTCGCAATGATAGCAAGATCCACAAGCCCAACTGCGCCAGCTCCCAGGAAAAGAACGTGGGTGAGTACATAAGCGCGGAGCCCGTTCGTTTTGTATTTGAGAAGATGGCCAGCTGGAGTCAGCTGGCCGGTAGATATTGGGCCAGGAAGCAAGCTGTAGAGGAGGCCTTGAAAGAGGAGCCAGGCAGCGTACTGGAAAACTGACTCCTTGCTGAAAGTAGGTCCGAAATATGTGTAAAGACTGAGAGGCCCAATACGACCCACAGCGGTCATCACTGTGGTTAAAGAGCCGTTGAAGTATTCTAAAGCGATCCAGTTGCCAAACAGACATATCGGGCAGATGACGACTAGTACGAGGGAAAAGAAAGTAGCAAGCCAGGTCGCCTTAGTCTCGCGTCCCCACAGTTCGTCTATTGCATGCTCAAATTCAGCGATCCTATCTCTCGACTTTGATTTGGGCTGGATTGCAGCGCCATTGGGCTCAGCGGCCTTCGTCTTCGCTCTGCCGCCGGATCGCGTAGCATGTCCGTTCATCTCACTCGAATGACCATTTGGCTGTAAAGCACCCCCGTTTGGCTCCTTCATCGCGTTAAGCAGAGAGCGTGTGAAAGTGCTGCCTAAATCGCGGCACAGCTGCTGATGCTGTAGTGACTGCGATCAAAAGGTCGATGACGCTTTATTACTGTGGTAATTGGAAATGCACTATACTGATATCATCAATGCCAGGTCGGCCGAAGTGCTGCGAACGAGTGTCAGTATTCAGATGTTGAGGTTGCACGAAGATGTCAACAATCAGTGCATGCCACGTTTAATGCGGCGATAAGGATAATGATTGACAGCATGCCAAACACAGTACACGAATCGTCAAACCGCACGCCGCAGGAGTAGGAGAAGCAGGAAATGAAAAAGCTACAATCAATGATGGTGTACGATTATGATGTGCAAGTTCGAGCAGTGGATTTGTTGGCGGGACGATCCTCAAACCGGGTGGTGCGAGCAATGGAGGTAGCCCTTTGTGGACTAGCTTGAGGTACCCTCCATTTCAATCACGTCAGCACATTTCTTGGCATTTACTACGCTAGGAACTCTCTCGCTTAAATGCCGTTATCTCCGACATCCCTCAGGTTCGCCAAGACCTAGTGATTGATGGTACGGCAGATCGTGCTGCCTGTTGATCCATCACAGGAACAGGTTTAAAGGACAACCTTGCAGTTGGAAGGCCGCTCAGCTCAACACATACCGAGCACATAAACTCCTTCAGGTCTGGTGTCCTCCTCCTTTCGAATCAGTAGCCACTATGTTTGGCCGCAAACAGGTCCCAGAAGCTCAAAGGCAACCTTCCTCACAGCCACCCTCTCGTAGCCCATACAGCCGCCTACCTCCAGACAATGCAGACAGATACGGCGGTGGATCTTATGGACGACCTCAACCCTCCTCACAACCTCAGTCATACAACCCACCGCCATCGGAGAAGCACGATTCCTCCCGCGGGCATGCTAGAACCGCATCACGCAGTCGGTCCTGGCAGCTCCAACCTACCAAATCTCCGAAGCCTCAATTTCATTTCTACAACATGGTACCCGTATCACCCTTCGACTTTCCTCTCGAACAATTCAATCCCCAAGGGTTCTACATTGCCATAAACGACTTTGTGTTTACAGCCAAGCAGGATGAGGGCTTTCAACAAGGATACGTCGGACTGTCAGATTTTCAAAGATCATGGGCCGGCATTGCTCTGTCCGATACACTTTTCGTCACACCATTTGATCCGTTCCAAGAGGGGCAACACCATTTCCTTGGCTCTCTAGACGCAGAAATCTCGTTCGCTGGCAGAAGAGAAACGGACGTGCCGTTCGATCAAGATGAGTTACAAACTGCATTTACAAGGATGTATGAGAATCAGGTGCTCGCGCCAGGCGAGCGGATTTTGATGGATTGGAAGAGTCTGCCAATATTGCTGGTGGTGAAAGCTGTTCAGCTTACGGACCTATCTATGAACAAGCAGTCAGCCGGTGCCCAGCCGACAACATCTGACCCTCGCGTACGAGGTATACTTACGAACCAGAGTCAGATGGGCTTCTTTAAGGACCCAAAGTCAAAGGTCAATCTGAAGGCTTCGAAGAAAAGGGCCGCTGGAAACGCTATCCTGACTCCGGATTTCAAGTTCGAAGACATGGGTATAGGTGGTTTAGACAAGGAATTCAGTGCTATCTTCAGAAGAGCTTTCGCATCGCGTATATTTCCGCCTGGGCTGATAGAAGCGATGGGCATCCAGCATGTGAAAGGGATATTGCTCTTCGGTCCTCCAGGGACAGGCAAGACGCTCATCGCTAGAAGGATCGGAAAAATGCTCAACGCACGAGAGCCAAAAGTTATCAACGGTCCTGAAGTCTTAAATAAATTCGTTGGACAGTCAGAAGAGAACGTCAGGAAGCTCTTCGCTGACGCAGAAAAGGAATACAAAGAGAAGGGGGACGAGAGTGGTCTACATATCATTATATTCGACGAGCTTGACGCGGTATGCAAGCAGAGAGGAAGCGGAGCTGGTGGTGGCACCGGAGTAGGAGACAGTGTGGTCAATCAGCTCTTGTCAAAGCTTGATGGTGTGGATCAGCTGAACAACATTCTTCTGATCGGCATGACAAACCGATTGGACATGATTGACGATGCATTGCTGAGACCAGGTCGTTTAGAGGTTCACATGGAGATTTCCCTACCAGACGAGAGCGGTCGTGTTCAGATTCTCAAGATCCATACGGCTAAGATGAGAGACAGCGGCAACCTTGATCGTGATGTTGACTTGGTCGAACTTGCCGCCAGGACTAAGAACTTTTCAGGTGCTGAGATCTCTGGCCTTGTTAGATCGGCTACGTCTTTTGCGTTACAGCGGCATGTGAAAGTAGGCACAATGGCAGGTGTTTCCGACGATCTGGACACTCTGACTGTCAATTTGGATGACTTCGAGCATGCATTTGAGGACGTCAAACCTGCTTTTGGCGTGGCCGAGGATGAAATGGAAACTCTATTCCGTGGTGGCATCATACAGTTCTCTCCTTTTATCAACGACATTGTCGACGCCGGCCGATTGATAGTGAAGCAGGTACAGGATCAAGACTCTGCACCCCGCTTTCGAGCTCTGCTTTGGGGTCCTCCAGGCAGTGGAAAGACGGCTTTAGCCGCCAAGTTAGCTTTGGACAGCAGCTTTCCTTTTATCAAATTGATTACCCCGGACAACATGATTGGCTTCAGCGAAACTATGAAGACCAATCACATGCGGCAGATCTTTGAAGACGCCTACAAATCACCGCTCAGTATTGTACTCATCGATAATATTGAGAGCATCATTGAGTGGGTACGGATTGGGTAAGCACGCCTGGCTCTTGAAACTTGATTTACTCTAATTCTGTGTAGTCCACGCTTCAGCAATCCAGTCCTCCAGGCTTTAAAGGCAATGCTCAACAAACAGCCACCCAAGAATCATCGTCTGCTCGTATTAGCGACTGCAACAGAACGTCACGTCTTACAGGAGCTCAATCTGTACCAGTCTTTCGACCAAAAGATCGCAGTGCCAACAGTGAACAGCCACGAAGAGCTTGAATTCATTCTCGAGCAATCTCACGTGTTCAAGAACCCCACTGCTGCGACGAAAGAGCTTCGAGAGATTACCAGAAGCGACTCTGTTGGTGTTGGTATCAAATCGATCTTGTTGGCTATTGATACCGCCAAGCAGGACGATGACAGAGAGGGCCGTCTGGCATCAACGCTGGCAAGCCTGAAATCAGAGGCTGAATACTTGTGAACCTCCACCTAGAAAGCTCAGGCATACCCCTCGGTCAAATAAGACCATTCACGATGCATATTTCAGTTTCGTGCATCCTTTCAATTTGCGTTTGGTGAGGAAGGCCTTTCCAGGGAGGCAACTGCGTTGAGCCCACCCTAACCGCTGCCAATAGCGTGTTGGCAATATAACGGCGCTAAAGGGGGAGGTAACCAAGGGCCCTTTCAATTCGGGCGCATTGAAGTCGGGGTAACCTCCGGCGGCCCTTCCAGGGCCTTCCAGGGAGCAAATGCATTGAGCTCACCCCTATAGCTGTGACGTGGGCCAATCATATCTATGGGTTTCTTTCAACCAATGAGAGCCTTGCGCAACAAAAACCTTAATAGTTGATAACCCTCTATAGGGCTGAGGGTTGACATGGTATCAACCACCGAAATCGCAACAGTTTGCTCCCCCACCAAAACTACTGGCCCTCGCTTGAAACTTTCAATACTATGTCGTAAGGGTGTGTTCAGCTGTCATACAAATTTGCATTCATTTCCGTCCATGTGTTGCCGTGTAATGGGGTTTTCATCGGGGGATTCGCAGAGATGCGCCCAGCTTCGCTTAGGAAAGTTGACCTAGTGACCGGTCACTGGGTCAACAACAAAGCCGCTGTTTACCTACTCCTCCTCCTCCTCCTCGTTCTCCTCATCCTCATCCTCCTTCTCCTGCTTCTGTTTCTGCCACCGCTTCTGCTTCTGCCACTGCCACTGCGTCTGCTTCTGCGTCTGCTTCTGCTGATCCCTTTAATTCTGCTGCTCCATCTTTTGTTGCTCATTTTCTTCCCTTTTTCCATAGTTCTATAATGCTACATGGCTGTACGCTCCTTTCGCATCTGCTCTGGCACTTTTCTATCTAAGTAAGACCTCAGGATGAACGACATTAAATATACAGCTCTGATCGGTTTCGCTCATTAGTATACTTAGCCCCGATACATTGGTGAGCCTTGAAAGAGCTACCTATCATTGCCTGTAAGTAAGACGATTTGACCTAAGGTCTACCCCTCCAACGTTGAGTATTTGCCCTCGAGCTTTATTCACCGTCATCGCAAAGCAAACGCGAATTGGAAATTGTTTACGCTGGAGGATAGACGAGAATTCACCCTCAGTCGAGGTGAGGGTGGTCCGAAACAATATGCGGCGATGGCCATTAAATCTACCACCTATGTTCTACGCGTGACAGGCTCATCTCGAGGCCTCGGAACAACTTTCGCTCTACTCCAATCTCTAACGAGCAGCGTGAGCATGCCCCCCAGGCGGCATCAACTTGATAAGCTGTGTGTAACATTGAACGCAACGTGCTTCACGAGCCTGTTCCCGAACGTTGTAGTACATGCACCCGTCCGCATGAGGTTGGTCTTGCATCCCAAAGAGCTAAATGATCGCGCCCGTAATGAGACTCACGCAACTCATCCACGCCGCCCTCAACCTGCCATTCAAGTGCCATGGTTGGAGAGAGTCCTCTGAGGGCAAGCAGCTGCCTCGAGAGCAAGTGGACCCGATAATAATACTGGGCTCAGAAGCCTCAGATCTCAAGGTCCTATCAAGGAATTGCTAGACAACCAGAGGCAGGTTCTAATTGATTGGACTCGGATGACCACTCGCATAGCCACAACGAATCCGTATCTCATATATTGAATGACGAATTAAGATTGTTCTCCCTGAGCTGATCGACTGCAAGTGATCATTGGAAGTCGACTCTACGATGGATGTGGCTACGATGACTCACTTGCACACAACATGAATAAGCTGGCTAACGAAGCTATCTTCGCCGCCGGCTTGCAGCATTGGAAGATCGAAATCCGACAAGCCTGCAATGTCCTGCGATCAACCACAGCATTTCAAAGCCTCAATAGATCATGTGAATGGATTCCCTCGTGGTATTTGCGGCCTTTCGCGCTGAAATTGCAGCATTAAGTTCCCATCTTCGAAGAGGATCATTTTAGAAAGCCAAACCTTATGAACGACTATCTCATACCGTTCGTCCGCACCAAAATAGCTAATATCAATGCCTGCTCCAAGTCAACCTTCCCTAAAGCGTCCATTCCCCCCTTACCCCTGTCGTTTCTCAGCCCTAAAGGCCGTCCAAGCGGCCTCGCTAAACGACTTCATGCCCACAAAGGCCACCATGCCTGTGCCACATCCCACGAACGCCCAAAGTCACCATTCTTCAAGAGCTTCAGACCAAATTCTGAGGCAGCCAAATTGATGACATAATCACCACCATTCCACGGCGTAGGGACCAAGGCCTATAGCCCAAGAGATTCCCACACCGCTCAGCGCGGGAGTCATGTACGCATGCCTAATTAACCCGCTGCTCTCGAACCCATCTCATGCCCCTCTAGCACTGCCATTCATTGCCAACTCATCGCACATCCTGTCACCCCCAGATCTCCGTAGTGCTGCATCCTCCGAATTCCCAGATCTGCAGTAGATAGATAGATAGCGTAGCCATGATGCACCTTTTCCATCATGACCGAGGCTCTCCATCCCAAGTCGAGAGGGTCCACAGTGGGGGGGCTCTAGCTACCCATCACCGCAAAAATTCTCCCTTTCCATCGTCTCTGCTCTCGCAGGCTGCACCATCCGAGACGGCCACGCACAAACATGCACCACCGTCCCTGATATTGCGCTAAACCCAAACGAGAGATGCGTTATGCATATCACATCCCCCCTCCGTTCCCTCCCCCAGCCCTCATACGCCGTGCCCACATTCACTCTGTCTTGCTAATCGCACCAATCACCCCTACAGCAGCAAGTCACCTGTGCATGTAGCGGGTATCGGCGTGAAAAGCGGCGAGGGGTGTAAAAGCGGCGGGGGCTTTTTGGGGTGCGATTTACGGCCGTCGTGGGCGATTGGCAGGGTGCAGGATATGCAAGTGGAGGGGTAAGGGAGGGGTGGGGGAGGAGTGTGAGTGGTGGATTTTGCCGGGGATCACAGCTTTGGAGCCGGGCTAGAGCCGGCTTTGCGGCTTTTTTGGTCGGTTGGGGGAAGGTTAGTGTGGAGCTTGGGGATTGGGCATGTTGTGGAGCTTTGCTGGATGGGGGATGGTGGGGAAGGGCTGGGCAAGGGTTGGGTGAGAGATTGGGGAAGGGGGAGACGAGGAGGGGGTCATGGCGGTCTGGATGGTTATCGGTTGGATTGGAGTGTCAAGGCGGCGAGGGAAGGGGAGGTCAGAAGGGGGCAAAGGATCGATGATGTGAGAGGGTGATAGTGGGGAGGTCTGGGCTGGCGATGGGTATATAAGGAGGGAAGAGAGGGAGGAGCTTCTTCTTTCTTTCATATCACTTCTCGAGATTCTTGTGAAGTTTTCTGAGTTCGCTTAAGTCACTGTGTCTTTTTTTTTATTCACACTTGGAAGAATATTCAACTACACTTGAGCCTATCAATACCAGGTACCCATACAGATAGACACCAGACACCAGACACCAGACCGTTATCACTACTGTACTCGTCGTCTCTACCACCACACACACACACCACAACCTATCTCATCGACCAAATCCTTCTCCTTACCAAAGCCAAAATGCCGACTCAAACACTCTCCCGTTCGCCACCATCCCACCATCCCCGCGCCATGGCCACAGGCAAATCGCCATCAAAGATCCCCATCGCCTACCCAGCGCCCTACAAACACGTCACATCAACCACCACTCCCCGAATGGGCGGATCAAGCGCCAACACCTCCGCCGTACCATCACTAATGTCCGACAACGGCAGCAGCGGCAGAGGCGGAAGCTGCGACGGCGGAATGTCTGATGTCGATTTGCTCGACATGCTGGATATCAACCTCAGCCACAAGATCAACCCGGAGCCGTTGGATCGGGGGATGGTCAGGCAGGCCCAGGCGTGAGTTTTCCTTGCCTTCCAGCCAACCCTTTTCTGTTCAACAGCAAAATCATGGAGTTGGTAGCAAAGGAAAAAGTGACTGACGAGCTTTCTGCAGATCTGGCGAGTTGCGCGCCAAAAAGGCCGAACTTGAGGAGTTGCGAGCGACTGCTCAACGGCGATTGAAAGGCGCAAGGGCCAATTTCGCAGAGGGCGCAAAGGCTGCGAAGGAGGTGAAGAGGGATTTGGAATGGACACAGAAGAAAGTCAAGTGAGTATTGCCAACGTCTTTGGAAAGATGTGTTTCTTGGGATGTGAGAAAAGAAGCTGACAATTCGCTAGCACGCTCAAAACGAAAACAGAGCGCAAATACCCAAAGGAATACCGCAAAGTGCACGCACGATATCCATCGCCAGAGCACTGAGAACTCTCACGACAACAAGCATATAATGACCAAGGCGTTCAATTTCCTTGTGTACGACTTTCCCGGGTGTATATGATAACCACAGCATGGGATGTCGTTGAAATAAACCCTCGCTTAGCCGCCAAAACCCCTGACAGAAACGTCGGCGTATTCTGCCCCAGCGACCGGCTCTTAGGGCCATCGCCGCTTTTCCCACTCAAATTCCGACGCTTCTGAAGGGTGCTTACGCGCGGCTGGTGGGCCCCCTATTCGTTTCCCAGGCGCTCTGAGGGTCTGATTTGCTGCTCTGCCGCTTTGCTATTGAGCTGCGTGCTTCTGCAGCGCTAGGTAGGTTTGGGCTGGTGGGAGCAAAGGTCGCAGGGGTAGGGTGGCGAGAGGCCCTTTGTTCTGTGGCTCTGGGTGTCTTGGACTGACAGAGGCTGGGTTTTCGGTATTAGGGCGTCGAGCTAGGCCTGTTTTGCGTCAATTGCTGTGATTTAGACCAGTATAATGAGACTCTGAAGCCACACTTACCCCTCCTAGTGATGTTCTTGGCAAGTCGTTGGTATATGTGACCCAAAGGAGCTGCAATGTGCAGATGAGGGTCTAATAATAGGCTCAGAGTTGCTTGATTTCGTCCTTTTTGAGCTTAGTAGCGTGAGGCCCAGTGTGACAGCCAATAACATGCTCTGCTGGTCTCGTATTCCTGCATTCGTCGCGACCACAAATGGCCTAAATCCGGCTTTCAGTCATGTCTGACACTCCGCATGACCTTCTCGTATTCGAGATGCCCCTCCTGACTCGAGAGGACGCGTCATTTGAGTTTTCCCCAATGTCATATGTCATCGTTCATGGTTTGTTTGTATCCTGGCTCTTTGCCCTCAACCTCGCCCACGGGTCTTCAATGAAACTAGGGTCATAGTATGCAATATCCCCATTTTCCATTTTCACGCCTCGTCTCAAAGCTGGCAAGTCCAATTCTCCGTCCTCGAACCTTCCATATTTTGATGATCTGCCGTATTGATGATGTGGCTGGCCGAAGGCTCTTTGGTCGAATGCTTGATCCTGGGTGACCATGTCAGGCACGCGTTGGACTACCGTATTTTCTCGAAGACCTGTAGGTTCATGTGGTTGTGAGGCCTTCATATTTGGTTGTTGAAGAGCCGGCCGTTTTGGTAGTGCGTGATAAGCTGGCTTGAATTCCTGGGTGGAGGGTGCGACTCCTGGAGATGTCTTTGGCGCCTCAGAGTTGGCTTCATTGGACGAGTCGTCAAGCTTGCGTTTCTTCTCTAGATGGGGCTTGGTACCAAAAGATCCAAAGCCCATCGCTGCTGCAACGTCCATATCATCCGTTTGATCGGCATTGCTAGCCCTTTCCGCCGTGTCATCTTGCTTCGCTTCGGCCATTGAGTGGTGGTGAGCCTGAGATGTCCCTAGTAATATCAAAGCCTATTCGTAGGCTCATCCTTCAAGATTTCTAAGGCCTCTAATACTTCAAGATGCCATCATACATAAACTGGGTGCACAGTCTCCATATCAACACGCTCTAGACATGACATATGTCTTCAGTTGAGCAGCAATGTCGGATTTGCGTGTGGGTCGTGCTGTGTTCTACGCATTCAGGCTAGAAACTGCAGCAGGAGGACGATTTCCGCGGCAGCGGCCGCCGCCCCGCATCGAACCTTCCCCGCGGTAGCAGGCAGCCAAAAACATGACAGGCCGAGAAGGCGTCGACTACAGAGCTTCATAACGATTCAACGAAGAATCAACTTGCGATATGGCTCCGTCATCGTCACTTGTGGTAAGCTACTTTTGTTGCTGTTTTACTGAACCATCGCTTATGTCGTCCAGTCTAAGATCAAGGTGCAACTGAAGCTTGCCATCAGTCGTCTGCGGATGACACAGCAAAAAGATGCTGCCATAGCGAAACAGCAACGTCGAGCAATGGGTCAATTACTCGAGGTATGCTATGGTACTAGAACTGCGAATGCATACTAAGTGATCTGAAATAGCTCGGAAAAGAAGAATCCGCCCGCATTCGAGTGGAAAATATAATCCGATCTGACATTCAGACGGAGCTTCATGAGATCCTTGAGCTCTACTGTGAGCTCCTCCTTGCGCGCACAGGCTTGATGGAGGCAAAAGAGTGTGATCCTGGGCTAGAAGAAGCCGCAAAGTCAATCATATATGCAGCACCCCGTACAGAGATCAAAGAGCTTCATCAAGCACGAGCCTTGCTAGTGGAGAAGTACGGGAAAGATTTCGGGCTGGAAGCCGCAAATAATACAGTTGGAAAAGTTGCCGAGAGAGTTGTACGAAAGCTGAGGGTGGAACCGCCTAAGCAAGAGCTTGTGACCCTGTATTTGAAGGAAATCGCAAGAGCGTACGGTATTGACTGGCCAAAGGGAGACAACAAGCCTGACGTAGACATGGACGACGACGATGAGCCTTCAGGCGGTGAAGCTGTAAAGAATCTTGAAGACCCACTTACTACAGAAGAACTCAGCAAAGCTACACCTCCACGCGACATTGGTCCGAAGTCGCCTGTCAGCGTCGCCCCTCCCAAGCATACCACTGACAACCCAAGTCCATCGGTCAAGCTACCTCAGCCGCCAGACCTTAAACCAGGCGCGAAAATGACTGGTATGAAACAACGAGCATCTGGCACTGAAGCGAAGAGCAGTACCAATGGAGATTCAGAAGGTCAGAAAGATGTTGTGGGAGGGAGAATACCGGACGTAGACGAATTAGCAAAGCGATTCGCTGCGCTTAAGAAATGAAGACTCCTAAGCATCAACCGAAATGATACAATTAAAGATATTGCGAGCGTTCAAGAGCCGAGTCAATACACCAGTCCTGTTCACACGGGTCGACGACCATCATCAACCTTTGATGGCGACAGCAACTCAACAAATTACTCACCCCACTCGCTAAGATTAACCCAACGTTTGCAAATTAACTCGTGAAGTGTCAGAAAGTGAATGAAGAAAGCGACTAACACATGTCTTCTTCCACGATACTCTTTTCCTTCTCACTTTCCTCAACCTCAACACCTCTCCCGTAATTCATTGCCCTGCCTTCCAACGAGTAAGAACGTCCTTATATTCGTTGAAGAACGTCGAGTCTATCGACATTCTTCTCTTATCAACCTTCGTGTCGCTCGATACTTTTCTCTAAGGACTCTCTTCCGACTTCTGAGTTTCTACATCATCGTTCGAATATTTGCGCCAGTCCATCAGCAAGTGGGCTTTTTGAACATCAACGCCATATCTCGCTTTGCAAGTTAGTAAGTGTGCCTACCATACATCTGATCCTCCTCCTCCTGAAGCTGCACAAAGATAGAGCTGACCGTAGCCAGCGAGTTCAACACTCCTTTCAACACCTCCAAAATATCAAAATGCCAGCAGCCATCAAAGGCTGGTCCGACGCTGAAAAGGTACGTCCAACACCCTCATCTTTTAGCGCCCTTCACCTCCGTCCCCCAATACAACCTCTTCCCAAAGCCATCCCCCTTCCGCAACCCCCACTGACCCCCTCTCTCTCTCACAGGTCGCAGTTCTCCTCTCCATCATCCGCACTTCAGCCGTGACCCCAAAATGGAAAGAGTTGCCTCTTCCCGTCGGTCGCACCCTCGGCGCCACGCAGAAAATGTACGAAAAGATCCGCGAGTCCGGCGACGCAATCGAAATGAATAGCCCCGAGAAAGTCCCCGCAGCTCGCAAGATGGGTCCTCGTGGGGGTAGAGCAAATGGAACGCCTAGTCGTACGCCGAAGAAGGGAGCGAGGGTCAAGAATGAGGATGAGGAGGATAGTGGGAGTGATGGTACTTGGAAGGTTGGGAAGTTCAATGGCGAGGCTACGACGGCGGGCAAGAGGAAGAGGGGAGGGAATGGAGGGGGTAGGGGTGGGAAGAAGGGAAAATTGGTCACGGATGAGGAGATTGCCGGGAGTGAGGATGAGAATGTGGATGGGGAGGATTGGGGGATTGTGAAGAAAGAGCCAAGTACGAGTGTTGAGGCTGAAGAAGGAAATGAGGAGGTCGCTGCCTAGTAGTTTGTCGGGTCATCGTGTGCCTTGAGATAGCATGTCTACGATGCTGATGGAGACGAATGACGCAGCGCTGTATACTACGCGATTGCGAGAGCGCGCAATTTCACTAGCGTTGCGAACGTTTAGTACGCAGCGTACCGACATGAAATGTCTACAAAAAAAAACCACTGTTCCTCCTCTTTCCCCTCTACCGTGACCTATGCAGCCCAGCCTCCATCTTCCTCGTCTGGATCCTCCTCAACGCATTCGGCACTTCCCCCTCACCAACACTCCCTCTACTCGCCCCACTCGTCACTCTCCCCTGTCGGCGCTGCCTGACAGGATCCGAAGACTTCGTTGCCGTGTTGCCGAGCTGCCCAGTCCCTTCCCCACCTGCCTTTTCCTTCCCCTTATCTTCAGTGTCGGCGCCGTCACCGCCTATCCCCAAACTACCGGGACTAAACACCTCCCCCGCCTCACCCTTCTTCGAGCTTACACGAGCAAGAGGATCACCATCACCACGGCCTCCGCGAGGACCAGCATGGTGTTTCACAGAGAGTAAATCACGGCTGAGAAGTCCACCGCGGAACTCCATGGCCCCAACGACCAATTTCGCGAGCTCGACCAGCTCTTCGAGAAACTCGATGATCTCGGCCTGCGCCGCAGAGGAGGCGTTCCAGGAGAGATATTTGCGGCGTACGGCGGATTGGCGGAGGAGGTTTGCTGTCTTTGCCTCCTCTTTGTCTTTTTTGCTTTCGCCTGGGGCGGGTGAGGGGGTTGAGTTAGGGTCTGGGTATGTGGGGAGTTGGGGAGGATTGGGAGGGTGTTCTAAGGTAGACAAGGGCTGGGGGGATGTTGGATGAGTGGTAACGGAGTCGGGGTCCGGGCGTGATCGTATTGATTCTAGGACGACTTCGCGCACTCGATTTATCATTCGGAGGTGTGCGAGGCGGGCTGAGGGCAGGAATTGAGGGAGTGGAAGCTTGGTCAGGAGGGCGAATTGGATGGAGGAGAGGGTGAGGGTTATGGCGCCTGCTACGTTGCGACGGTATTGATAGAGTTGGGTCTGAGTGGAACGAGCGTGTTAGCTGTTGGGTTATGTTCTAGAGGGGGGTTGTCGGCGGTGGAGACGTGTGAATGGAGAGAAGAATATAGAAGGAAAGTCCCGTACGTTATATTCTTCAAGTGGACCAGAGCCGTATTTGAAGCGGAGGTAGATCATGTTTTCCATGCGATCGACGATTTCGTGGAGGACGAAGATCATCTGTCGCATATATTAGCGAAAGAGTGAAGCCGCCGGTGAACGTAGTTGACCCACCTCATTGTAGATGAGCGCAAGACCTTGAAATGAGCCTTTGAGTCGAGGCTCGGTTTTGCAGGAGGGAACTCCATGGAAGTCAACATCGTGCTTCATGAAAGGCTTGGTAGAGTTCCAAATACATACAGATTGTCTCTGCAGCTCCGAGCGAGCTATTAGCTTTTCCCGTGGCCTTCTCGAATCTCTTCAAAGTGCCGGCAGCAACGATGTCGATCTTTTTGCCCTCATCGATGCCAATTGCAATGCACTGCTCCATCTCGGAGATATGGGTCAAAGATGCTGCAATGGCTTCGACGAGGCGATCACGGGCTTTGACTGGTACAATGAAGATCTCGACGAGGACAGCGACGGCAGCGCCAATGAGAAAGGCAAGCCATCGTCTGAGAAAATTCTCCTTGTTTGTACCTATCCAAATTTAACATGTCTAAACTTGAGGTGAAGTGTGAGTACTCACCAGGAACCGTATGCAATTCATCTGACAGCGCTACAATACAAACACTGATGATACCCACCATGCCGCCCTTGGGATACTTCGTGCCAACTTGAACGTATACATATGGGATGATGCCAATGCAGATCATTATTGTGCAGACTATCTTGTTGCCACCGCGAGCCTCAACTAAGGCCCAACCCCAAAGACATCCTAGGGTGGTCCCAATTGACCTCAATATGGCGGTCGTTATGGATGTTCCTATAGATACTTCAAGGACGAAAACTAGCTGCAAAGCTGCCCAAAGCCCCCGGTTAAGTGAATACCACTGATTCCAGGAGGCAACAAAGCCGGGCCAGGTGACGAGCATAATACCAAATGCCAGCTTGAAGGCATAGAGCAGGTCTTCTGAGTCTTGTGCCCATTCGAGGGCATCAGCTAGTCTACCTCGTATCCGGGATAATGTTGACATCATTGTGCTACGAAACGCTGTGGATGATCCTTTCTCCTTGATGGCGCTTGAAGTGGCCTGCTTTCTTTTGGTCTTGAGTCCTGCATTACGCTCTAGATCGCGATCTCTTCCGATCAGAGGTTCAATGTCCGTTGTTGTATCTTCAGTACGCGACTTGGTCTTCCGGACCTCCTTTTCACCTCTACGGGTTGATTGTCGGCCTGAATTTGGAAGCGCTTCATCTTCCTCGCCAGAAAACAGCCATTTGGACCACTTAATCCGTGGTAGATAGAATCTAGGCCTACCATGGCGATTATTGAATTGGCTGACCAGATCTCGACCGTGCTTCAGCATATCTTCTATGTGTGAACTGCAAATGTAAGTCAAGCTCCTCCGCTCCGGGTAGAGCCTTACCCAGCTTGACGAAAGTTGAGCATGAAGGAAGAGATCAGAAAGATCTCCTCCCGCGGCATTATGTCAGGTTCTCTGTCACGAAGTCCCCCTAGAGCATTGGCTCCTTCAAGCGCCGATGCACAACTATTGTCAAATTGTAACATCGCTATTTGGAGATTTTCGATGTGCTTATCAATTTCGCCGACGGTGATGCTTTTTGGACATGCCAACCCCGTCGGCAGCTCTGGTACATTCTGACGGCTATTAGCCTCCCCGAAGCTTCTCTTTCGAAATACTTACGTAGCAATAGGCAGTGCATGTGCTGACGATTGTTATCTTCTCATCCAAGACTTTGCTCAGATCAAGGTACGGCTTTGATATTGCAGTGATAAGAAAGCGAAGGAGGCTGGGGTCAGCGGACTCAATTTCTCGCTTTGGTTTCAGAGTGCCGAGATCCTTGACAAATTGGTTTTCGGCAGTGACTTCCAAAGCCTGCCCGTTTTCTTCGTTGGTATTATTTGTTTCTTGTTCTTCCAAAGATGTATTGACTAGTTTGCTAGAGGGCTGTTTCTCCAGTTCCTCATCACCTGTAGACTCAGTAGAATCGAGCTTTTCTCCCACAAGTGCAAACTTGGATTCGCAAGCGTTAATGACTGCAATCGTACTCCCAACGAGATGCTTCATGATTTGGCTACTGATCGGCTTCATTTGTCCAGGAGGCAAAACGCCCCATGCAAGCTCGAAATTGCATTCTTGTTGCGCTGCCTTGCAGCCTTTCTGCTTGTTGCGGATTTTCCCTTTCGCAGCAGTCAGACTCTGCACATTTAGTATTTCATTGTTTGACTTGACGTGATTTGCTGTGGCAGATTTGCTTTCCTTGTAATGCAGCGAGGCTTTGCCTTGTACTCTATGTCGAGTCTTGGAAAACAATCTTGACACTACGGACAGAACGCGAGAGTGCTTGGGCTTGTTGATTTGCGCAGAGTCTGACGCGGATCCATCATCCAAGGTTTGTTCTTCAGCGAAGTTCACTACAAGATCCTGTTGATTCTGCGCGATGAAATAGTGTCCGGCATGTTGCAATGCTTTTGAAGTCTCGCTCAACGTCTCGATGGTAGTCTTACCAAGGAAACTTGCACTGAACTCCGGGAAAATACAAATATTGATCACCAAAATAATACCTACGGCAATCAAGATAGGGTAGAGAATTTGAGTCACCCCAATGGCTGTCACCCCTTTACTCGTCGAAAGAAGCGTAGAGGTAGAGGCTATTATGAGAAGCAATGCAAACAAGAACAAACGCGGATATTTTGAACGCAGAAAACCATGAGCCAATGCAGTAATTGCGTAGAAGATAGCTCGAATCGCAAAGCCTGCCTCAGGATTCTCGTGAATCACAAGAGAGCCAAGATAGAGACCGAACGTAGACCATGCGACACCCACTGCGGCACCAGAAACAGCAAGGATCAAGGCTTCAGTCATTTGCCCAAACCGTCTGCCAGGATGTCCGAACACAGTGGTGATAGCACCAAGGTAGCCAGCTCGTCCGAGGAGATGGCTGTCGCCACGAATGGGAGTGTGTCGACCATAGGCATCAACGTGGATAAGGGCGATGGCCACTGTCTGAAATGAGAAGGAGGGACGAAGTATTGAACGAACGCACCAAGTGTAGTAGTGCAGAAGACATTCTTCAGAATCCTTTTCCACAGATTGTTCTTCCACAGGCTATCCCAGATCTCCACCGCCTGCTTCGACAAATATTGGAGACTCTGTCCCCCAGACGGGCCATTGGACGTCATTGCGCGGGTTCTTGGTCGATAGAGGATGCATAGTAGCAGCTCCACGTAGTCAATGCCGCTCCAAATCCGAGGCGCGACTTGTGAAAGAGCTCAAATGCACTCTGGTGATTCAGCGCGTTCGAGCTAACTCCATGATCTTAAAGCCGAGAGAAACCCGCTGACACGCTAATCCACAAGTGGAATAGCATAACTGCCACCAGTATATTGCGGAGCGAATTCGTATTTGAATACATTCGCATGATATATTCAATCAAGCAAGTCTATATAGTCAGACTATCTATCATCATATCTAGCCATGTCATAATTCCATGCAGATAGGAAATTCGACTTCTCGAATCTCTGCGCAGCTTCCGCTCGTGAGACTGGTGAGAACGACTTGCCTACCACTTTCTCCCGTCATTCTTACCCTCCCACACTTGTGCTTGCACCCTGACAGTGAAGTATACGGGTGCGCTGTTCCATAGGCGGAATGTGTCTCCTGTTCTTTGTTCTGCCGAATCTGGTCATCGGGTGGAACACAGACGAGCGATGCCTCAGTCTCAGCCCGAGGCATGTAATCTTTGTAGAAAGTCCTCGATGTCCCCCTGGAGAGACTGTACGTGTCATAGAGAGATCGAATAGCTTGTGTATCTTTCCAAAAGAACATCAGCCGTTGCCAGAACATCTCAGCTTCACAGTATCTTTTTCTTCAGAGCCCCTTACGCCCCAAACCGTCGTTCTCGCTTCGACAAGTCCAGTAAGCTCTTCAAGAACGTCGACTGCCTCAACGCCGGCCAATTCTCCTTTACAATTGCAAACTCAGCGTGGTGCGATTCCCACAATGCGAATCCGCTTAGCCTGTTCTCCCCACTCGTCCTCAATATCGCATCGATCTGCGGCAAGTCCAGCTGCGCGGAATATATCTGACGGGAGATATCAACCTCCGTCATCCTCTCAACCGCCTCTTCCAACGACAACTCTTCCAGTGCCATCTTTACCTTCACTGCCATCTTTGTCGCACGCGTAACCTCGGACCGCCCTCCATAGCCAAGAGCGACTTGGAGGTTGAATTTAGTATTATGCGCCGTAGTGGCTTCTGCGCCATCAATCATCTCATTAAGATAGTCGGGGAGGACGGAGCGGTCGCCAATGACTCGGAAGCGGATGCCAGGAATGGCGAAGGGGGCGTCACCCATCAGAATTTCGCGAATGTACTCGGTCATCATGGAAAACAGGGACTGGAGTTCTGAAGGTGGTCGCTTGAGGTTGTCGTCAGACAAAGCCCAGACGGTGAGATTTTGGATTCCACAACTGAATGCCCATGACATGACTTGCAGGAGCTTGCGTGCACCGATTTGGTGCCCGCATAGGACGCTGCTGAGCTCTTGGTTGCGTGAAAAGCGGCGATTGCCGTCCATGATCACGCCGAGGTGTCGTGGTGGGTGGCCGGGGCTACAGGCGAGCTTGCCACGATAATGTGAGCATTTAAAGAGCTCTGTCGCCTCTTCGTGAAATCCAGTAGTTTGCAGCATTGGCTGTTCGTCCATATCCATCTTCGGTAGATGGGCTTCCATGTCTGAGAAGTTGAGGGACGCTTTCTCAAGCAAAAGATCTGACGGAGCACCGCCTTTGCTGCCAAAGATTTCACGGTACAACTCCACTCGAACATTTTGCATCCGAGGGTTTCCACTTACCAGGAGATCCAAAGTGCCATCAAAGGTCAGCGTCTGAGGACACATACTGTAATGAAAGTACGAGAGAAAGCAGTGAAGCTTCCTCACGCACCACCAGAGCGGCTTTCCGAGGATGCTCCTACCGTGGGTGCCTTCTTGTGCTAGAACATTCCCTGATAATATGAAGACGAAGTTCTTGAGAATCAAGAATTTCAACAAACTCAAAGGTCTTCTCAGAAACTTGCCAATTCCTTGCTTCTTCATCTCCTTCCGTATACTCGTCAGCTCCTTCGTCTCTTTGTTCATGCTCAGTAACTCATCGACATCGAATGATAGCTCTTTCGCCAAGTATTCCTCAACTTCGGCCATCGTGCTCGGCACCCTTCGTCCTTTGTCCTTTGCATCGAGTTGATCAGCCATGATCATAACACCCTTTACAATCCCGTCCACCTGCTCTGGCGTCACATTACCCAAGAAAGCGTGTGTCTTAACGAGTCCATACGCGAAAGTTGCAAACACGAAAACATTTGTTTCGAACGCGAACAACGGAATCGCCCGGTGCAGATTCCGCAGCCACAGTATAACGGCGTGACGTTCGGAGCTACTGGCTCGGATCATGATGTAGATAAAGGTCGCGGTGCGGATAATCCGACGCCAAGGGTCTGTTCTGTAGGTGCTGTGTGCTTCCAGAAATTTGGAAAGTTTTGGATGAGAAAGCTGGAGTGTGGAGGCTATGGATATTGTAGAGAGCATAATGTCGCCGCGGTCGAAGAGGGAGTGAAGTTCTTCGAAGGAAGGATACTTGTTTCTCCATATTGGTTTGGTGAATCTGACGTCTCTCCAAGTGCGTATAAGGAAGGTCGTGAGATGGAAGATGATCGTGATAGCAATGATTGATACCACGATTAGGCAGCTCGTCAGTAGCAGGGACTGAGAGTCCATGTCGAAGTCAATTGGGTATGGTGGTGGCAAAGGCATAGGATTTGATCCAGATGGGTCAGAATATGATCAAGGATGAAATTATGTTCCAGAGAGTTGCAACCCAACCTTTATACCCAGGCTGTCCTTGAATGAGTTGGTATTTTATGCCCTTTCAGGGTTAGCCGCCACAACGCATTCAAGGAAAGCCTATGTAGCGAGCACTCCGCGAACAACGGCGAGTGTACAGCAATACGGACCCGCTCGGTCGAGAGAGGAAGCGAGGTGTGGCGTCGCCATGCCGTATCAAGCATCTTGACAATCACCTTTTATTGATTCTCATAGGATGGGGCTTCTCCCTCCTCAGGGCGTGTGGCTGAGGAGATGGCCGACAGATTGACAGCATACTCCGGTGCCGCTACCTGCTGGCTTGGTTTCTGATTCGTCGTCTTGATTATCTTGTGACGGACCAGAAGAAACACGTAAAGGGAATGCAGGCTAACGAAAGATTAGAAATTTTGCAGTCTTGCAGGCGTTGTACCGCTCTGGACCCTCGTAAGCATGACTAAAGAAAACATACGTATATCCGAACAATGTTTACTCCAAAGTGAAGACTAGAGGCGTTCCTTTCCGATCGAAATATGCAGCATAGCCACTGGTAGAACGAGCGGTAAGCGAATACCAAGGGACCTCAGAAAAGCAAAGCCAGTCAAATCACCAATGCTGATCCTTACCTTTACGCCCTAAACTCAGTTCTTGAGCTACGCAAGACGTTAAAGTCATGATGAGATTTAAACGGTCTGAAGAAGGTCTAGAATCTGCTATCTTCAGACTCGTGCAGCAAGATAGGAGCGCAAGGATATGAACACGCACTAAGAAACGTTGTCATTTAGTGCGGCTGAAGAAAGCCACAGGTCGAATGGCTGGCCGACCTGTGGGCCACTCAATGGCGGTGAGGGTGCATTCTCCTATGTCTAAGAATTCATTGGTGGATGAAGATGGAAGGGTTTCGCGCCAAGCTTTCTGAAAGTTGACAGTGACGTCTTGGCGTCTAATAGTTTTCACTCAACCTGCTACCACGCCCTTCACTCGCAAAGCGTACCTAGGACAACAGTAATCGCTCTCACTAGCTTCCTGCTGTAATAGAAGCACACAGAAGTCTCTACACACCTTATCCATCCTTCCACTCCCTCTCGACCCTTTCACCCTCACAACCGCAACCATGCCCCCGGCAACAGCCTCCACCACAACCGACACCCACCGGCGCACCTGGGACAGGGCCGAATACGCCGAAAAAGCCGCCCAACGCGAGACCAAATTCAAAGAAGAAGGCAAAGCACGCGCAGAAGCAAAAGCACTTGGCCGCAAATACTACGCCCCTTCCTCCTCTACCGAACAAGTCGATTCCAGCTCCCGCACCTCCCGCCTCTCCGTAACACAGAATGTTGGGAAAGCGACGCTCATGGTGGGGTCGGCGGGGACGGGGAAGCGTGGCCGAAGTGCGGGGTTTTATTGTGAGGATTGTGATTTGACTTTTAAGGATAATTTGCAGTGGGTCGAGCATTTGAATAGTAAGCAGCATCTTGTAGCTGTTGGGGAGAGTGGGGAGGTGAGGAGGGCGACGTTGGAAGAGGTTAGGGAACGGTTGGCACAGCTTGTGGAGGTTAGGAGGAGGGAACGGGAGGAGGCGGAGATGCCGGTTGATGTCCAGACGAGGGTTAAGGTGGCGGGGGAGAAGATGGAAGCGGAACGGGAGGAGAAGAGGAGGCTCAGGAGAGAGAAGAGGCGAAAGACTGAGGGTGGGGTTGGGGTCAAGAAGGAGGAGGAGGAGGGCTATGGGGAGGGGATTATCTGTTAAAGATGCAATAGTTGGGTCAGGGGAGGTGGTTTGTTTGGTCATTTTTTGATACCCCCTACTGCATTGGTTGTAGCAAAGTCACTCCAAACTCCTTGCTTGCATTACTGCGGTCATCATTCGAGTGTTGTCAAGGTATCATCGTGTTCCCGCCCAGAGCGCCTTGTCATGACTCTTTTGCGGCCATTTCAAATCTATTACCAAGTCAGCTAACGCCTGAAGCCGTCACGTACAAGGGTTACCCACCAGCTTCAACTCCTTCCTCTGCAACGCCCTCGGCCCTCCCAACCAGACAGTACACCTGCCAGGTATCGGTTTTGCTTGCAGCCGCCTATACGCCTCCCTCACATGCTTCGGCTCAACTGGCGCCGTGCCTTCCTCCGCCATCTCAAAGAGTGCACTCTCGCGTTTCCGTTTCTTGCTTTGGGCATCACTCTCGCTTTCACCGTTCCTCGCCTTCACAATATCCTCTTCTCCTTTCACATTCAATGCCTCCTCCGTAAGTGTTTGCACGTTATCATAGAGCAAGAATCCCAAGATATCGACAATGTCATCGTTAGGCTTGCTGTCCGTGACAACGCCAAACCCTGCCCATTCACGGAAGCGTTTCGCTTTCTTGTAGGTGAAAGATGCTTGTCGGCATTCACTGTAGTGCAAGTACTCATCTCTTGTCATACCTCGGGTACGTTGATCAGATTGCTGAAGACGAAGAAGCGAAGCAGCGTTCATTTCCTCCTCTTCCTCATCATCGTCGTCTTCGCCCTCTGGGAGCTGCTCGCTGAAGTAGCTCGAGATATCCCATGGGAGTTTGATGCGCTTTCGACCTTTTCGGGCTATGTCTATGGGCATTGCAGGGCCTCCAGCTGCATCACCACCTCCTAATGGGTCATCGCCAACGCCAGTATCGGCTGCTTCACCACCCTTGTCGTCGGAGTCGCGGGCTGTCTTGCGAACGTCTTTCCAGGATAGGAAGGTTTTGAGGCGGGATGTCTTGGCTTTGTCGTGCCGAATTAGGAAGAACAGATCTGCTACTGTGATAGCTCGTGAGCCTCGACGTGTTGCCAGGGCGGTAGAACGTTTGAGCTGTGTATAAATAAGTATGAAATGAGGTGAGGTGTGTCAGAGGCGAAGAGCTTACGATCTCGACACACTGCTCTTGGATGATTTGCTCAACGAGGGATGTGGTATCGTTGGAAGGCTCGCCGGTTTCGCCAGCAACGAACATCATCTTTTCGATCCAAGGAATTAGAACAAACTCTTTGTAACCATCGATACGTTCTTTTAGCGAAAATGGGCCCAGATCTTCGGTATCTTCATCGTTTCCATTTGCCTCAAAATATGGACGAGGAGCAGGCATTGTCTCAAAAACAGAGAATGATAGTCACATTTGTACCTGGAGGTTTTGTGGAGAGTAAATGCAGTAAAATGTTTTTCTTAAAGAGATTATAGAAATTTGTTTGTTCCGCCAAATATAATGTTACTCAAATCACCATCAGGGGTCGATGGCGATGCGTAAGGTATGCATTGTAGCGTGCATAAGAGCGAATAGATAGGGATAGGACGTGAATAGAAATCATCAACATACTTGCTGGATTTCCTGCCTGTACTTCGCCCCTGTCTTGTCCGCCATTGCTACAGTGTCAGCCCTCAAGATCCTATCAACTCTCCAAAAGACACGAAAAGCATTGCACAACACAGAATAAGGCGTATCTGTCAGAATCTACATAATAAATGGCAAATACAACAACGAGATGACGGAAAAGGCGTTAATATGTGACCGTCAAGCCTTCCCCATTGTCAGGGCAAAGTTGCATCGTCGAGCTATCTCCGGCGCTAGCAGTATGTCCGGTACGTATATCCTCACTTTGCTCGCTTCTTCGTTAGTAGTTGCCATCGAAGGCTGTCACAATCCTCAAATCTGATAGCCGCCCTGACATCAGAGCTTTCCCAATATGCTTCAACTTGTCGGTCTTGGATTGGCCGACGAGACGGATGTCACTGTCAAAGGTCTAGAGCTGATAAAGAAAGCTAAAACGGTCTATCTTGAGGCTTATACGAGTATACTTCTTGTGGACTCAACCAAGCTCGTCAGTAGCTCCTGACACGAATGGTAACATCACAAGTCTGATGGGTGCACGTGCAGTAGGAAGCCTACTATGGCCGCCCAGTCGTCCTTGCAGACCGGGAACTGGTGGAGTCTGGCAGTGATGAAATTTTAGCAGACGCAAAAGACTCAGATGTTGTCTTTCTGGTCGTTGGAGATCCTTTTGGGTACGCTCGCCATTCGAATGCAGGAGACATCTTACTAATGATTACTGTCAGAGCTACAACCCACAGCGATCTTGTCCTCCGCGCAAGAGAGCTCAGCATTCCCATTCAAACGGTCCACAATGCCTCAGTCATGTCTGCTATCGGTGCAACAGGTCTTCAACTCTACAACTTTGGTCAAGCAGTGAGTATGGTCTTCTTCACAGAAAGTTGGAAGCCATCCTCATTCTACGATCGATTAAAAGAAAATCATACGATCGGGCTACACACGCTGATGTTGCTAGACATCAAGGTCAAAGAGCAATCAATGGAGAACCTCGCAAGAGGCAGAAAGATATATGAGCCTCCAAGATACATGACTGTGGCACAATGCGCAAGTCAAATGCTAGAAATAGAAGAGACAAGAGGGGACGGAATTTGTGCTGCTAGCAAGCTCGCTGTGGGCGTCGCCAGGCTTGGAGCCACGAACCAAAGATTTCTGGCTGGCACATTGGAGCAATTGAGCGAATCTGATCTAGGCGCACCTCTACATAGCTTGATCCTAATTGGAAGGCGAACTCATTACCTGGAACGAGATTACCTGAAGGAGTTCGCTGTGGATGATCTATTCGAAAGGATCTGGAATGAAGATTACGAAGATAAGAAGTGAGGATCAATGATCGACGTTGCATCACGTTCTCGCCCTCCCCTCCCCTGTCGATCATTACGTTCCACCCATCCACCACGCTTGAGCCTCTCTACCTTCTTTCTTGAAAACTGACCTGCCGACTTTGATGCTCATGATTGACTCAGCGCTTATGCAGGGCCAAAGGTCTAGGCACCTGGCTCTCCCAAGCTCCCGCACTGACAGCGAACGGCGTGTGCACAAGCTCATCCTAAGCTGAATAAAGGCGCATTACCCCACCATCCTGGCCATCCCGGTGACCTTCACCAAGCACGAGCTTCATCCGTCTTCTCCGTGCCTGCCGACTTTTTTTGGATTGCCCAAGCTAAGGCAAAGAAACTTGCGCTTCACACCCTCTTTAGTTCTTCATCGACCTTACCTCTTTCATCCATATGCAGAAAATGCAGCATCGGACCCCACAACAGCGTGTCTGATTCGCTCCTCTCAGAAGACCCCAGCTGCGCGCCTCCACGGCAGTCCCCAGACATGACCGACAGCCGAATCGACAGCCTTCAGAAGCACGACCATACTCTATCAGTGAACAGCAGCATCACCACTTCAATCCCTAACTCGACCGAGCAAGAGCAATGACCACCCTGTTGTCCTCCACCTCCCAACCTTCCTCTCGGCCTTCTCATCCTCAATTCCAGCCGCAAAACCCTCACCATTCCCCCTCCGCCTCCATACCCCAAAAATTATCGACAACACCAGCGACCATAACAAAAGAAATGCTCATCGCTCCCATAGCCTCTGCCCACCTCCGCCTCCCCCCAAACACCCCTCTTCCCCCTTCCCGCCTCCCCTCTTCACTCCACCACCCCCGCGGACCCAACCAACCTTCAATGCCCCTCTACCTCCTCCACGGCTTCCGTTGGCCGCGAAAAAGCATCCGCATCCATGTCATCATCCACAATCTCGAGGACGCAGCGTCGGACTACATCATGTCGACCCCCTCCGCCTCTGCGTTCATGAAAAGCCTACATAAACTGCACCCAGGTCTCACGAAGAGCATGCCAGGGCTGAAGCTGGTGGAAGAGTATGACCCAGAGGATCTGAGCGATACTGGGGGCGGGGCGACGCAGGAGTGCGCTTGGGTGGCGGAGCGGGTGGTTGAGTATGCGAAGGGGGTGGAGATGGGGCTCGTAGGTGGGAACGGGGCGATTGGGAGTCGGGGAACTGGGACTGGGGGGAAGAAGGAAGAGGAAGGGGCGGGGAGCGCGATTGCGGAACTGAAAGACCAGCTTGCGCCCGAGGAGAAAGTTGGGTGGTGGATTATCTGGAATGGGGATCCGGAGAGGGGGGATGATGGGGAGGGAGCTGGTGGAATGGTGGGGTTGCAGCCTGTTGCGGGGGGGGAAGCGGATGAAGAGGAGGATGGAGATGGCGATGTCACGCCTGGGGCGGGGGCGGTTGGGAGAGAGGTGCGTTAGGACACTTTTCTTGTATTTGGATCTGATGCTAACGTGTTTGTGATTGGTAGGCTGGAAGCCTGCCGGTGCAGCAACAGAAAAGAGATGTGCAGATGAAGACGCCAGACAAGAAGTCGAGTCTTGAGGTACGAAATGCCATCATTACTTAGGAAATCCATCTTGAACGATGTTTTAATTGACTTCATCGTAGAGCAGTACGTCGCGCCAGCAGCAGAAAAAGGAGAAAAGTGGCGGGATGATGAAGTGGTTCAAGAAAAGCTCAAAAAGTGATAAATAGAAAGACTGAGAGCTTGCTCATAGCTGGAAGAATTTGATTGGCATTCAATGTTAGCGAGCGCTGGACAGTGCAACTTTTCTGGTGGGTGCAAAGATACCCTTGTCGAAGCAGTACCTGATCTCGGATTATCGTTGTGAATAGCTTTGGAGGGGGATGAGGGGAGACGGAGAAATATGAGTGTACAAGTGGGTGGTAGCTATCGTTGCTGAACGTTGCTAATTGAATCTTGAGATTGATCCCTGGGTTTATGATCTGATGTTCTCTGATTGGGATGCTTTTACTAAATTATTTCCTTTGAACAAGGAGTTGGGGCATCGTGTAGACGCTCGTCAACTTCTTTTGGCACCGTGACGTCTCTACTTCGAGCAGGACAACAGGATATCCGATTCATAAGCTGACACCATTCCTTGGGAGTCCATAAACTAGAAGTGCTTTGACTCCTTTGCAAGATTTGATATCACAGATGATCGATACTCCACACACTTCAGGGCAGAGCGATCCATGACCTATCTCTGATGTCACGACTTCACTGAGAGCAGCAGGTCCCGACGCGTCTACATCAAGGACTTTATGTGGCAGAGGAGACTTTAAGCAAAGTCTGCAAAAACGACGACTGGCAGTCATCTAGCACAGATTGGGAAGATGGCGAACTGATTCGTCCGGTACGTGCCCCTTCACACGTACCTACCAGCAGATCAAACATCTTCAACAGGGTGGAAATAAATGCATGAGGTAAGGTCGAGCATGACCGAGCCACTTGCTCGGCAGCTAAAATTCTACCCTTCGCTCTGGCTCGGTGATGCTTCAGGAAGATAGTACTCAGAAGGGCAATTAAGGCACCTCAATGCACCTACCCTTCTCATGGTTCGCGCTACCAATCGGAGCAATCCAATCGATTTTACTGCAGGTCATATACTTGACAAACCACAGTCGATCTTTGCATGAGGGTTATGCAAGATGATCTGTGTCCATGTGGGAACGCATGTCTATCAAAACATCTTCTTTAAGGAATGGCTCGCGAAGCTTGCAAAGTAGATCTTCGGACTCTCGTTGATCAATGGTGGTAAATGGATGGAAAAGATGCACGTCAGCTTGTGTGCAATCGTATTTAATGCTTCAGCAATGCCTTCTGGTCCTGCTCAGAGATCTTTTTCGCACCTTTTCGCTCGCGCCCCGGCCCTCTGCTCATTATGTTACCAATACTACTCTGTTTCGGTCTCCTCGTCGTCTTGACCCATGCGCAATCCTCAGCAAACTGCACAACTCTAGCCCCGGCCTTTGCCCTCCCTGCAAACGGGACGAGCACTATATTCGCGTCGACGACGACCACAACCAGCACAGTCAACTGCCGGGGCTGCTCCATCATCACTTCAACATTCGCTTTCTCAATCACTGACCCTGTACGTCTTCCCTTTCCTCTATGCCAAACAACATGCAAATCTCCCTTTCTGCTCATGCCAATCGCGCTCTTGCCTCCGCTGCTGACACAAACATTCAAGCCCCCATCCCCAACCACAACGACAACGCTCCTCTCGCCCCCAACAACATCCACAATCTTCAGCTGTTCCCAGTCGATTTCGGCTCCACCCGGAGCCACGGTATCGTTCGTGCCATCGCCCGCCCCCGCGCCGTCCAACACCACCGCTCCTGTCCCGCCTCTATCAGACGAGGCGACATCGTTGATCAACGACCTGAAGACAGTCACACTCTACGCAAGCCTGATCGCCAACGGCGGCTTCTCTGACGTTCTGTGTTCAGCCATCAACCCAACTTCGCTCGGTGAGTAAAGTGTGAAGCTTATCCCTCTCTATGCTTTGCTTTACCCTCACACTGCTTTCGACAGGGGGAGTAAAGCTGATGTTTACTGTACAGGTGACGGCACTGGCATCAACGGCACGGCCGTCCTCTCCGAGATCTGCTTCACAGCCGCCATTCAAGCCATAGATCCGCCCCTCTACCCTGCGGTGGTCAAGCTGAACCAAGAAGCTGTTGCCACGAAAGGGGTTTTGGAGACAGCGCTGTTTGCGGTGGAGGCTGCGGCGGGGTATGGTGGCGTCACGGTGTCGAAGGGGGATTTGGGGAGGTTGTACAGGGAGATTGATGAGGTGAAGTTGGGGAATCTGTTTATTGGGTTTAAAGAGGGCAGGGCGAAGGATGTGAGCGGGTTTGTTGGGAGGGCTGCTGGTGTTGTGTAGGCGTGTTGAGGCAAGAGGGAGGCTGGGCTCTTCGTTTGAATGGACGGGGAGTGTTTTTAATCAATGGCTTTCTGCAAGAAAATAACATGGTCTGTCCGACATCTTCAATCTTCTATATCACGTGCCTACCTACAGCGGGAATTTTAGAAAATCCTCAAATGTATCCCACTCCTGATCACAAAGCTTCTTGACCAGTGGCAGGCCTTTACACAAGCGCTTGTGTCCTCCTTGCGTCCAGTCCGTCTTTTGACATTCCTGTACGTTGGTCAGCACCCAGCTTTTCATGAATATTGATTTACTGTTACCTTGCTGCAGTACCAACGTATTAGACATTGAGAACACCTCAACAATTGTGTTTCCATTCCCCCACATGTTTCACATCGCCCACCCACGGTATCAATCTGGGTCTGCAGGATGGTCGTCAAAGAGAGAGGTATGACCTATTACAATCAGCATCCACCAGATGTTCGTAGATGAAGGCGTTCGCGCACCTGGATTGATTTCATATATTCTTGGCGAATACCCACCGTCATGTCCAGGAATCCATGCTGTTGCGGGTAAAGTATAGCTACTGTGTAGCCAACTCTGTAATCTGCAGGGTTGACGTTTTCTGTGTCTTCGCCATAAAATGCCAGAGGGAAGTGATGGCCAGATTTATCACGCAGTGTGAGACGGAGACGAACAAAAAACTCTACTTGTGCTATCTCTGCCAACAGACACCAGTGACGCGAAGGAGTGAAGTTCGATCCGTCACTAGTTTTGTAATGCTGAAAGTCGATAGTATATTCGTCAGGGCAAGATTGGAAGTCTGGAAATGCTACCGCGTCCTGTAATGCTTGCATCTTGAACCGGGTAGGATATTGCAGAGAATAGAAGCGAGAGGGGCAATAGATTGAGGAAGGAAAATTTTGAGGCTTTGTTGCAGTTGTCGTGTTGTTTGTTTGCTATTGCGGATAACGGCATATAGTGGAACAGACTCAACAGAGTGAATGAAAGTAAGAGTGTAGCTAAAGCTTTGATACCTGGCCTCGGGATGACATTGTGATTCCTTGTCAGGCCTTGAATGTGACGCAAATAACGGCATCGACCTCGCTCTCAGATTCTCATGTTTTGTGCCCATAGGTCTACACGCCCTGAAGATTTCCGACAATAAATGCGCGTTTCTATCGCTCTAAATTGAGTCGTATACATTTCCTAGAACGGTGGACATCAGGTGTAGGCTGAAGTGGGAGTAGCGTTATGAGTCGATTTCAATTCTTTCGTGGTGGCCGTCGAGGTCAATATGTCCACCAAAATTGAAAAGATGTCAACAATGCTCCAGCTTTTTTGTGCCTAAGTCCCCTAAATACAGCCGTTTCAGTAGCTCGCTTGGCGGCCGCCACCCGACATGCTGCCCTAAATTGCTCAATAAGGCCTCTTCCCCTCATCCCTTCTGCATCTGCAACGCCGGTAAATACCTTACCGAACGATCAAAAATGAAAGACTTAAATCTTATATCCCCTGTTACCTCTTAGTATCATTGTCTAAAACTGTGTTCTAGGCCGGTACTCACCGGCGAGATTTGAACTCGCGACATCCGCATGTCTACCATATCAAGTCCCGAAGGAATTTTGATATAAGAACGGCGCGCTAACCGCTGCGCCACGGGGATCTGAGATCGACAAGCTTGTTATTTCTTCTCATATAGCATGAATTCAAGAAAACTCGGTATTCATTTTTCATCGCTGAGAAAGGAAAAAGAAAGCGAGCTTATGATGCCGAAAGGGGTTTGACGTTGGTAATGACAACCATTGCTTCTACGCAAGTAGCTGATCTAAACGCTTGTAAGTATGATAAGCACACTACTCTTCAAGATATGCCACGTCAATTTTAAACCGCATCGTGACTCTGGTGCAGTTGACAACCTCTCAGGCTTCTCCAAACGCTTTGAAGTTGCTGTGGCAGTCGTGGCTGACCTGCGCCACAACCCCTCCAAATTCTTGCCCAAGCTATCTTACCAAATTGCCATCACCATCTCTCGTCCCCAACCCTCAAGCTGACTCCTCTAAGCTTCTCTACATTAGGGTCTGGTACTTCAACTCTCTTGAAACACCCAGCCTTTAACCCTACCGCCTCAAGCTTCTCGCATTCACAAGCCCCCAACAATGCCCCTCCACCTTCTCCCCAAGAAATCCTGGAATGTCTACAATACCGTGAATGTCGAGCGCGTACGCAAAGATGAAGCCGACTTTGCCGCTAGGCAAGAGGCCGAGGAGCAGAAGCTGCAAGAGGAGGATGCGGATCGGCGGATACGAATACTGCGAGGGGAGAATGTGAGCCCGCCGCCGAAGCTGCGGGAACAGGGGCATGAGGAAGAGGATGGAGGGGAGAAGCGAAAAGAGCGCGATGAACGTGGGCAAAAGGGCGGGGAACGGAAACGGCGGCGTTTGCATGGCGAGGACGATACGGAGAGGGACCTACGGTACGCACAGGAGGAGTTGGATAGAGGAAGGGGTGAAGGGACAAAAACGGGGGAGGGGAAGGTGAAGAGAAAAGAGACGAGTGATAAACCGCTGATGGATCAGAGGGGTCACATCAATCTCTTCCCTGTTGAGGAATCCCGAGGTGGAAAAGGGGACAAACATCCAGAGGTTGAGAGGGAGAAGAAGAGGAAGGAGCGCGAGTTGGAGGACCAGTATACTATGCGCTTCTCGAACGCGGCGGGATTTAAGCAGGGGGTAGGAGAGAGGCCATGGTATGAGAAAGACACGGGTGGGGAAGCCAAGGGGGAGGGAGAGAGCGTAGGGAAGGATGTCTGGGGAAATGAGGATCCGGGCAGGAAGGAGAGGGAGAAGAAGAGGGTTGTTAGTGAGGATCCGATGGCGATGATGCAGCGGGGAGTAGATGGGGTGAGGGCGGCGGAGAGGGATAAGAGGAAGTGGAGGGAGGAGAAGGAGCGGGAGATTAGGGCATTGGATGAGGAGGAGAGGAGGCAGAGAAGGAGGAGGAAGAAGAAGGAGAGGGAGAGGGAGGAGGGGCGGAGTGTGGGCCATCACCGGCGGCATCGAAGTCGGAGTAGGACTAGGATCAAAGACGGTGGTGGTCATGAACCCCATTGAGACAGTAATTTGATTGATTGTAGAATATGGCCTTGGGGTCGATGCAACTGCTGCCCCGCTTCACCAATGATAGGTGGGTACATATGTCCCATAGACGCCTGACCACCCTGCTATGGTTGGTGTTTGCTTACATGCATATGCAAAGAGAATTCGTTGTGTGATAATTGTGGGTAGAATTTGGGGGCGATCTTGATTTGACAGACCCAGTACTGTGGTTTGCCAGCGGCAGTGAGGCCTGTTCCCGGTCAAAGCCTTAAGCGGGGAGACGGCCGGAATGCGTACCCTGGTGACTTCCTCTAGCGTCGAGATCAAAGAGGGGAGAGACAGCGTCGTGATTCGTGGGAGGGCTGTAATTAGATACCTGATTCAGCCAACCAGCAGCGGAGATTCCCATCGTAGCTAGCCAAAGAGAGCGGAAGCACAAGCCTCGCTGGCGCTGATTACGAACATGCATTAAGCCGAGAACAGATGGGCTGAAGGGCCTGCTCGTGTGCCATTGGCCTGAATGATCGAGGGAAGCTCGGCGAGAAAGCCAGCCCGGCTCATGGAGTCGTGGGCTGATGGAATTTTATACGAATGGTTTACTACTGTCGAGTCAATCAGACATCGCGGGGTTGGACTTAGTCTCAGAATTCGTGCAGCAGTCGCTTCACTATTGTTTGCGAATTTGCGACAGACGAGGAAGCAGAAGTGGGTGAATGAGAACCAGTGGTGACCGGTGGAGTGGGTTGGATACTGGTTGGTTCTGATGATCAGTCTACTCGTCTAGGTGCGACTCCCACCTTAGCGTCCTCTTCCCGGGCCCTGTTCTTGGCCAAGATCCCATGGGCCATCGCACCCCTCCTTCCAAGTCTGACTCTGACGCTCGACTGCCTTATAGAATCCTCATCGTCTCTGCCTGCCAAATTGTAATCACTCGCGATTGTCCTTTCGACTTCCTCTGCGAATCTGTACACGGAGCGACATCGACGAGAGACCATCCTTCGTTGTTTCACGGACGGTTATTTTCGTGCACCGCCCAGCAACAACATGAATAGCTGAACATCGGGATTCAGCCTCACAAGCGCCCAAGTCATCACATCTCATTGAGTATTGTCATGATTGACAAGAATCACGGAACTTGCAACGCAATGACACTCAACGCATCTGGGATGCTGTTGAATCTCATAGAATAAACTCACCGCCTTTGCTTCCGCCATCATGCATCCAACCGCCGATGTCTCCAAATCCCTCATCTACGATTCGAAGACCTCAAATCCTGTGGCAAGAGCATGGAAAGAAGACCGCATAGACATTCCGTCTTCGTTGCTCGGACGTGGTCAAGAAAACGCTTCGACCGCCCGCCACAATCTCGAGGAGCGCATTGACACGAAGCGAAAATCGCCAGAGCCAGCCCGGACTCGAGGCCGTCAAAACTCACTCCGAAATGTCAAGAATAGTAACGAAGTTCTACGACAACGCTCATTGAAGAGAGGGAACAAGGAAAACTCGGATGCAAATGTTGTCACCAGAGAGGGTCGTCGCTTTGAGGTAGCAAACGTGGGAAACAACGGGAAAATCTACCTTCGGTATGTGTGATGTGACACATCACGATATTGCTAGGTGCAAAATTCCTTATAGAGCTAACAATATCATTGCAGGCCCACAAACAAACCGTCACAAGCTCATCAACCGCCACCTCCAGCTTACCCATCATCAAACGGCCAGGAGGTTGATCCCGAAAGTTCCAAGGAAAAGCAACGCTGGTCAGAATCTCAATCATCTAGGACTCCACCTCGACATCCTCAGCAGCACCTTACCACATCTAAAACTAGAAGATCAAATTCGCTATCAGGTCACTCGACCACCTCCCGTGATTCGGTGGCAACCATTGGTCCTGAGAACAAGGAAGAGCAAGGAACATACAAGGTCGTCATCAAGAATGGTGTAGCTCAGCAGCAGCTCCATGACCCCCTGGGGGCATTAGATCTTGATGTTTCCATTCCGCACTACCGGCTCGGTACGCCCAGGTTCAGCACAAGAGGGACCGCCTTCTTGAGTAGCCAAGTTTACTCCAGGACTTCCACTTCTGACGACATTGATTCTACGATTGAGACAGCTCACGAATACGACAACGTTTTCGCGCTCCCCTCTGGCCTCGGCGGGTCTCCGACTCTCCAACTACAGCAATCACCTCAACCTCAGGCAACCAAAGGTGTCCCCATGCGTATGCCCATTACCACAATCGCGCCAGTATTTCATAAAGCGAGGGAACCGATAGTGCCTGCCATATACGACTCAATAGCTGCAAATCCTGACCATCCTTCAATTGTACGATATGCAATGACTACCCGCGAAATTTCGGCCGCTTCACCTGCGCGTATTATCGCCCAGGTCACTTCGGAGAATTTTCTTAACTACGAGCTACTCTCAGACTTTTTCTTGACCGTGCGCGCTTACTTATCAACCAACGATTTACTTGAGTACTTGTTGGCTCGTTTCGAATGGGCTGTCGATAAATCCGATGACAGTGGCAAGGTTATAAGAGTGAGAGTTTTTGCAGCTATACGACATTGGGTCTTGAATTACTTTCCATATGATTTCGTGGTTGACAGAGACTTGCGAGTAAAGTTTTGCGACCGGCTCAATGCTCTAGCCCATCATGTTACCCATGGACGACACGATGCTAGCAACCTTAAGCTCATCATTGATTTGAAGAAATGCTGGAATGGTCGCTGTGCCCTATATTGGGATGACATTGGAGACGATCTCGAGACCCGTCACGATCGTGATATCAACCCCGGTGGCATTGTCGGAAGCAGAGACAGTGGCTTGACACACCCAAACCAGCTTTGGGCAAAGCTAGCATCGACCTCTACACACCAGGTCGATCAAGAGAAATCGGTGGCGGCTCTTCACAACTGGGTTGACAGTGTCATAGAAGCTGAAGTCGATGGAAAGTCCAAATCGGATCGGCAAGAGTCTGTTGCGTCACCTCAACATCCAACCTCCCTGCTCAGCGAGCAGAGTACAATCCCGGCCAATTCATGTTCATTTCCGATGAGGAATCATAAAACTTACCAGAATGGTCGCAATCCCGGGCCACACCCTGTGACTGCTGTGCTCTCGAATCCAGCTCAGAAAGCATGCCCCCCTGCACCCTCCTCACAATCAAAAGATCGTTTCGCAAAGACTAAAGCAGATCATCAGCGCAGCGGTAGCTTTTCGGATGCACTGCGTGACAAGCGAACTTCATTAGGCGCAATCCAAGAGGGCAAGCCATCAGAGGAGGTCGTTATGAGCTTCCCATTCTCAGGTAGCTTGGTCAGAGGGAGTGCTTTTCCACCAGGTTCTCCATTCATCGACAGTCTCACACCTCACGGGTCTGGCTCAAGTCTGAAAAAGCAAGGACAATATACTGGGGTCCCTTCAGAGAAAATAGCGGAACGTCAGATGAGTCCTGGCGTCAGAAATCTGCTTAGCAACATTCGTCGAGCTTGGAGCAATAAGCCGAACTCTCCAGTCGCAGTCCCACCCAGTATGATTCCTTCTGCCCCCTCATTTGTGCTTGAAAAGCATTCAAATCTCCCAATGCATATCGCGTTCAAGATTGAAGGCTTTGGCGATCAACACCACCAGCTCGAAGCTCTCAAGAAAAACGCTCGAATTGACCTACTCTGTGCGGACATTACAGATATGTTCGAGCGTACTATGCCTGCTGACGGCAAGGGCGTGTCTGCTCAACCAAGCAATGTGCGTCTAAGCTCTGGTACCGAGAGGGAGCGCTCTTCTCCAGAGTCGTGGCAACATTTAGCTTTGCCGGAAAGGGAAAAGCTGCAGAGGAATCACAGTGAAGTCACAAACGGAAGTCGCTCCATTGTGATAGTGGATGACACGAGTGCTGAGCCGCCAGTCCCGCACATTCCGTCTCCATATGGAAAGCAGGGAGAGCTTGAAGCATCTTATGACATGGCGGACGTGCCTTTGACCATGTCAGGTGGCGTGCAGCCCCATCATATGACTGCTCCCCAAGATGGCATACCCGGAATGTCTGCCAATATGGTAGACGGCCCACCTCCGACGGAGCTGCCAGCTGATTTTCTCAAATCGCAAGGAATCAATGGGCTGCAAAAGGCTCGATCCTTTGCCGGCGGCGCGCCAGCACCTTCCGCTCTTCCTTTGGGAGGCAATGATCTCGAAAGGGATGCAAATGAATCGTCGACTACACTGCCTTCCGATACAACCGATAAGGCACCCGCGCGGATGCTGAGAAGACGTCCTGGCGGTGACTTGCGTGCAAATCAGAACGTTCACGACATGGAGGTGATGCCGAGACGAGGCTCAACAGGCTCCATTGCTACTTTTGCAGAGTCAGTTCGCGAGTCCGCAGCGTTTCTCACAAGGGTCAATGCAAATTCTGGTAAGATCAGATCGTCTGGTGCTACTGTGCTTTCTCGGCGCGCTTCGAACCCTGCCCCACGGCGGTCGATCTCGCTTGTTCACTCTAAGACTCCTCACAAAGATATTCGACCCTCGTTCGAAGCCGCAGTTGCACAATTCGCCCGCATACCGGATGACGAGCGAGGAGACTTGGAAGCTACTCTATTAAAATTGGAAGGAAAGCTTCCAAAGAGTCCAGTAGGAACATCTCATGGCAACAAATCAGCCAATGCCGGATCTTCGCAACAAAATGACCCGCTAGTGTCACCATTGACTCCAAAGACCCAGGTCGCGGAGCATGAGCTTGGCTCGCAGGAGAGTGTCCTGACTCCACCTGCATCAATCATGCATTCGCAAACACCTGAGAAAAATAAGCTGGGTTTGCTTGGTAAGCAAAAGGATGGTAGAAACGCTCAAAGCCTGTACACTCCTTCCGAAGAATCGTACAACCCAGTCCCGCTCGTCTCGAGACGTGGACAAACAAGCCAAGTTATCTCGGACCAGTCCAATCCATCGAACGAGACCATACCTCAGCCATTGTTCAGTCCAAAAGACAAGCAACGGTTCCATGAGTCTAGCATATCAGATCGAACTACAACTACAGACATGTCAAGCACAGCACCTGTACGCAGGCGTGGAAGGCGATCAATACCTACTATGACGACGGACTCATTTCTCCTTGACGATGACGAATCACTCAGCGATATATCATCCGATCTCTCGGATGATGAGGACGAAGAGACTGATAGCCTTCTTGAAGACGCTTATGGATCAGCTGGACGGAGTGTGCAGGGCATACAGTTGCCACCGAATGTCGCATATGGTTCAGGGTACCTCCCATCACCGCCTATGACCACTGAAAACGCTGTCTCAATCTCATCTGAAGCACGCCGTATGCAGGATGATCGCAAGCCCCCAACACCAGAACCTTCGCCTGTCAGTAGAGTCACCGAGTCTACGAAAAGTCGTGCTCCCACTGAAGTAGACCTTTGCGTACTGAAGCCATTTGCCAACAAGCTGCATCGATTTCCTCCTCGGCGGCATTTACCGTTCATATTAGCTTTTGATGCTGATGTTTTAGCGCAGCAGTTTACTCTCATCGAGCGAGATGCGCTCAACGAAATCAATTGGCAAGATCTGATCGAGTTGAAGTGGCGGCAAGCTCCTAGCACAGCTTTAAACTGGGTTGAATATCTTCGGTATGAGGATCCTAACGGCATCGACCTGGTCATGGCAAGGTACAATATTGTGGTCAAATGGGCGATGTCGGAGATCGTTCTTACACATAATGTCGAAGAACGGGGTCTTACCGTCGTGAAGTACATTCGCATGGCGCAGTATGCGAGGAAACATCACAACTACGCCACACTTTTGCAGCTCACGCTGGCGTTGACGTCTGTTGATATCACGCGTTTGGCCAAAACTTGGGCACTCGTTCCAGATGCAGAGCGGGCTGCTTTGAAAGAGATGGAATCTTTGGTTTCGCCAATTAGGAACTTTCACAATCTGAGGATGGAAATGGATGCAGCTGATCTTGACGATGGCTGCATTCCTGTTGTTGGTGAGTCCATTTCCCTCTTATGTTTGTCCGTGAGATATGTCTGACCTATCAATCAGCGCTATTCCTTCATGACTTGACCTACAATGCCCAGAAGCCGTCGGTGATTGCCAGCACTCGGGAAGCAGAGCCTCTGATTAATTTCGAGCGATATCGCACGACTGCCACAATCGTCAAAACGTTGCTTCGACTCATCGAATCAAGCGTCAAGTACGATTTCAAACCTGTCGATGGCGCTCTGGAAAGATGCCTCTGGATGGCGAGTCTAAGCGACGAGGGCATCAGAAACAGGAGCAAAGAGATTGAGCCATGATCCTCAATCCCACCTGCTGTTCAACCGAACATCTCTATTACGATTATACAACTAATGACATAAGACTATTCTGAATGGCGAGGAGCAAAGGAGTATTGTGGAAAACCTGTATAGGTTCATGGGAAAAAGGCGGATATTAGGAAAGCATTTTTCGTAATGATTGTGACGTTATGATGACTTTTGCATATATGGAGCGACTGTCCTTCTTCATTCATCAACGTTTGGATTTTAGGGAAGAGACAGCTTTTGGGAAGGATTCGACAAGAGAAAAGAGCTGGCTGGATTGGCTTTCATGGGACTGTTTTAGTAGAGCAGGAGAGCGAGATCAAGAGGGGCGTTTGCGTAGGCTGCGCAGAGGTAGTTGCATTGCCATCACATGGAATCTTGACCATTGAAGCGAGCTCCTCTTCTGTTCATATCAGCATTCACATTTAGACTTGCGCGTATAAATTTGCTGTCCTGACGTCTCGCCTTAACGTAAACCTCTCACGCCCACCCCACTAAATGCACCACCTACACCCCCTCTTCCCCTCTCCCCTCCACAAATCAGCAAACAGTAGTAAACATGGATATCTCAGCCCCCCTCCCCACCTCTACAACCCTCGAAGCCACAACAGCAGTCGAGACCGCCACCTCTCCACCTCTTCCTCCCACTACCACCAATCCATCCTCCCCTTCCTCTCCTCCAGCCAATCGCACCTCTACCACCTCCCCCTCCCCACACCCCCTCAACCCCGAAGAAATAGACCCGACATTCACATCCCTCTCGGCAATCGACCTCATCTCCTCCGATCTCGGCGGCAAGATCCTCGCCGTTTCCGATGACTTCTTCGCTTCTGCGACCAATTTGATTAATTCCAAGAGCCCGGTTAGGAGACCGGGGGTCTTTGTGGAGACTGGCGCTTGGTATGATGGGTGGGAGTCGAGACGGCATAATCCTGCGCCGCCGGACTCGTGCACGATACGCCTCGCGCCGCCCGCTGGGGGAGAGTAGTTGGTGTGGAAGTGGACACGGCGTTCTTTGTGGGGAATCATAGTGAGGAGGTTGGTGTGTTGGGGGCCTGTGAGGTTGATGATGGGATGGGGGAGGGTGAGGGGAAGGGGGCGGGGGCGGACGAGAGGGTGTGTAGGGAGGGGTATATGGGGTGGAAAGAAGTGCTGGGACGGAGCAAGACGGAGGGGGGAACGAGGCATGCGTGGGTATTGCCGTCGTCGTCTCAGGCTGGGGGAGATAGGGGTGGAGAGGGTAGAGGGGTAAAAGAGGATGTCTACACGCATGTCAAGCTGCTCATGTATCCAGATGGCGGGATCGCGAGGTTTAGGCTCTATGGACGCCCTGTCGTGCCTGAGGTTTCCACTACGGGGTTGAGTGGAAGGGGGAAAGAGGTGGAGCTCTCAGCCGCGCTGAATGGAGGCACGGTCGTGGATTGGAGTGATCAGCATTTCGGGCATGCGAGGAATTTGCTGCTGCCTGGACGGGGGAAGGATATGGGCGATGGGTGGGAGACGAAGAGGAGTAGGGAGAAGGGACATGTGGATTGGGTTGTTGTCAGGCTTGAGGCGAGGGGGAAGGTGGGCAGGGTTGTGGTAGATACGATGCATTTTCGGGGGAATTTCCCGCGGGGGGTGAGGGTTCTGGGGACGGATGAGGCAGAGGGGAACAAGGAGGAGGAGTGGACGGAGTTGGGGAAGATAGAGCATTGTGAGAAGGATAAGGAGCATGAGATTCTGGTGGAGGGCGAGAAGGCCGTGAGTTTGGTCAAGATGATTATTGAGCCTGATGGAGGAGTCAAGAGGTTGAGGGTCTTCGGTACGAGAGTCTAGAGGTGGCGTCTGTTAGGAGGATGAATGCCGTTCTCGTGTATGTGCGTACTGACGAATGGTAACGAGACTCAATGAGGCTGGAGAGATTGTACGATGCTGCTGTGGCAGCGATGATAGGTCCGGTCTTGAATAACCCATGCGATTTCAAGGCAAACACCCAGCTCAGGGCAGATCCTTGGAGGCTCGGAAACGAATGTAGCCGTGGAGCTTGTTCGTCCGGTCGTTCTCGTGTTGCTTCTCGACGTTATCGTGTTGCTCCGACAGGGTTGCCTAGTCTTACGGTGAATACTTCTTGTTCAGTCTCGCATTTCAGAATGGTGAACCTCTTATCTTTTTAGGTTGGGTGATCAAGAAGCTGCTCAATCTTTATCGAGGGTATGGAGGTTGGTGCAAGTGCTGTGACATTTGGTGTCCTTGCCGTTCAAGTTGCCAATGGCATCAAGAAGACGTGGGAATTCTGGGAGTCGGTGAAAGACGCACCGGAGGAGGTTTACTCTATGATCACCGACCTCAAGTCATTAGAGACTACCTTCAATGAGATAGCCTATGATGGATGTCATACGAAAGACGACGCAACTCTTACCAGCGCCTTGCAGAATTGCAGTTCCAAAGTCGAGAAGTTAGTGAGTACTTTGGAGAGGGTTGAGCCCGGATTTTCTTCGTCCAGTACGCGGACTCGATATTGGACAGCAATCAAGTCAGTCTTAATGAAGGGAAAGCTCAAGAAGTTTAAGGATCATCTCGAAGAAGCGAAGTTGTCGCTGGTGTTGGCACAGCTCGCTCATCGTAGGTGTGTAGGATATCCCTTTAAAATGGTTTCCCAGCGCTCTCGATCCAAATTTGTACCACATTTTGTGTATCCCATGTAGTACCTTGTCTTGAGGGACCATTCGGGAACGTCAGTCTAATCGTCTCATTCCTTAGTCGAAGGGAACGCTCCTGGCAGCATTCACACGACCAGTCATTGGCATTGATCAAGCAAGACTTGTCCAATATTCAAGTACAATTGTGCTCACACGTGGTAATGGCAACTTTGTCCAAGATAAATAGGGTCGAGGAGAGCACACTGGCTCTCCGGACAACTACCTCCAGTCTTCTAACAACCTCGAAGAACTCTTCCCAACGCTACAGGTTTGAAGTGGGATCAAAAGCGGCGACTGAAGATACCCCTAACAGAGAGCCGCTCGCTGGAAATGAGAACAATCTTTTGGCCAAACAATACTCAGCTTCGAAAAAAGTCCTGACTTACCGAAGATCCTTCATTCAGAGCCTTTTCGGCACCATTCAAACTACCTCAACCATAAGTCGTCCAAAATCTGAGATCCAATTTACAGACTCAGACAGCCAGGGACAGTATCAGTATGAGTATGAGAACTCATTCGTCATCCTTCCTGCTTGCTGGCTATTTTTCCTCGGCGTCAGGTATGGTGTCTACGTCAATATAGTCCGATCTTCCACAAGGGGCTGGCAACAGTCATTGAGACCTATCTGTCTAGTGCCAGATGATTCTTTGATATTCAAGTACTGCGAGGAAGGAGATATCACTGCAATTCAGGAGCTCTTATCTCGAGGATCTGCATCCGCCAGGGATACAGGATGCTTCTCCGGCAAAAATCCATTACATGTGGGTAACATTGTGTTTTTTGACGGGTGTTTGCTTTGTTGAAATCACTAAACAAGTCATAGTATGCAGCAAAAGGCCATCATGTGCAGCTATGCAAGATGTTGATTGATGCGGGTGCTGACGTTGATGCAAACGACTCAGACGGGTCGTGAGTCCTAGACTAACTTGTATAATATGTCGATTCTCTGAGGCTGACAAGATAGCATAGGCATCCTATTAGCGAGATGACACACTCAGCCTACATAAGAAGTAACATTGACGACCGTAAATGCGTGGATCTGTTCCGATTATTCCGGAACCAGTCAGGTTTCTCCGGGTCCTGCAAGGAATTAGCCTGGTCCAGGGGTTGGAATGCAATCATGAATTTCTGGATGGCAGCTTCTTCTAGCGAAGGGCATGGAGACGTCTTCTCCTGGTTAATCGATTCTTTTGGCTCAGACCTAAGAGAAAGCGAGTATTGCCACGATTCATGCCCTCGCATCAGACGAATTGTGGCGCCCGAGTCTAAGCACAACTTCTTAGATTACGCATACAACCGCTGTGGGATTGCAGGAGACCACGACTCGTTTCATGCTGTGATTTTGGAAGCACATCGCTTTCTTAGACTCACTGACATGGAATAAAATCTTCACAGCATTAGATACAATGAGAAGGTTAGTCCTTTCCATGAGACTCCAACTACCTTGGCACTATATTCTTCTCGGGCATTCGCAAAATGGCAGGGTACCTTGTCCGCAGCGGATATTGACTTCTCTAGTTTTGTCATACCGGAAGTCTGCCGAGATCCAATACGCGAGGCTGGATGGACGTCGGAGTCATTATTGGCCGTCTTCGAAACGCAACATGAACCTGATAGCAAGTCTTTGAATGACAGATGCTGCGCAGACTGTTGGATTGAATTTGACTGGTCAACAAATTACGAAGTACTCGTACAGCCCCTCTGGCTACAAATGCTTTCTTCTCTTTATCTGGGACAGGACCCTCATTACAGGTATAGCGTCCCATCAGCAACTTGTGCTAATGTTGCTGGTGTGGAAGGGATATTGAAAGATGCTCCATGGAGCACGGATAAGCCATCATATCTGCCAGACCTTCCAGGAGTATATATTCCTTCAGAGACCGATCTATGTGACTCGTTCACTTCAACCAATTCCGGCGACAAACAATCACACAGCTCACAACATGCCAGATGTGAAAAATTAGTGCAAAAGAACTACTCATGGGAAGATCTTATCTGCATCAAGTGCTGGTTACATTATAAAAAGGAAGGAAAGCGGTTTGTAAGAAGCGATTTGGCCAACAATGTCACTGGTCGTGAAACATCTGGCTTTGTCCTTGTCGATGATAATGCCTCAGAAGAAGGATAGTCGCCTTTTATAATTCATAAATGATCTCAAGACACAGCTCAACTTTCTTCCCTCATGGTTTCCTGATATATTTATAGCTCCAAGTGCATTAATCCCAACACTGAAACAACGTTTCTTATCTCTATCAACAAACCAGAAAAGGCCTTTTAAGTACGGAAAGTTTCTAATTGACTATGACATTCTGATTCTGCTGAATCAAGGGAAGTACGGAATAGCTGTTTCTCCTTGTGCGTGTTCAATATTATACGTAGATGCCGAAGATATCTGAACGGATTCCTTTCACCTGCCTTACAAATGAACATGCACTGGGACCACATGGTAGACACGCCTGTAATTTGATGATCTCCAGGGCACAACTCGGCACAAGGTCAGGAAACGAACAGAGACGATGGCAAATATTGGACGATAATATGACTTTGAAACAAAACACGCGATAGTTGACAACATGACACGTCCCTTTTCAGCACTTTGATCATAGTGTACACCATCATAATATCGAATAGCGCCGTCCCTGAATTGGTACATCCAGAATATTCCGTTGGACTTATTCGCCAAATCAATTGCCACCTCCAAAAGGTGTTAGCGCACTAGCATGATCATCCGTAGTCCGCCAGAGTGCGTTCGTGAACGAAGTCTAACAAGCTATTAGTCAATGTACTTTCCTGTCTGGTCTATATCTGCCCTATGAATGAGGAACTCACATTATACAACCCCGGAAACATATGTTCCTGATAAACCACAAACCTCTCACCATCCTCACTACCCAGTTGACCATACTGCCATTTGTCGTCCATAATTACAGGATACTCTAAAAGTAATCGTCAGCTCACTCAGTTCACCTTTCTCTTTCCCCCCTTCCTCCCTCCCCGTTGAAGCTGCCCCAACTATCTCGAACCCTCGCCCATCTCGTGTAATTCACGATTTCCTACAACCACGAACCCCAAAAAGAAAGAAAAGAAAGAAAAGAAAAGAGAAAGACTCACCGCCCGCCAAATCCCGCCACAAACCAGGATACATCCTAGCAAAATGCCTATCCCCCACCACCTCCTCCGTCTCTTGTCTTACAACTTTCTGCGGCACAAACGTCAGCACCGTCCTTTTCGCACTCTTGTTCCACGATGTGAAGACCATGTAATCGATCCTCCGGATCGTGGGCGTGGAGATGGCGCCGTCGAGCCAGGAGACAGCCAACAGTTGTGATGTGCGGAAATTGGTGGGGAAGATGAGGGACTCGTTTGCTAGCACGTTGGTCTGTGGTTGAGAAGTTGTGGTGTTTGGGATGGGGCTGAGAAGGGGGGAGGATTGGTACTCTTGTAAAGAATGCTGAGGGGGCTCTAGTGATTCTGTTTCTGTATGTGCGGGTTGCTGGGGTGTGGGTTGAACCTGTGGTTGGGGCTGTTTAGAAATCGCAGGGCTAGGCTGATCGAAAGATTGCTGCTGGGGCGCTTGTTGCGGGGCAGGTTGTTGCTGGGGAGCTTGTTGCTGGGGAGCTTGTTGCGGAGCAGCTTGTTTCTGAGGAGCTACCGGCGGATCTGCCTTCGGCTGATCTGCCTTTTCGGGCTCGTCATTCCACCATTGCACGAATTGCTGGCCTAACATCTCGCCGCCGTTCGTCAACACTTTCTCCACAAGCGCTGTGCCGGCAGCGGTGGCACCTGCGGTAGCCCACCCGGGAACTTTGACTCTCTGGATGGTCTTGCCGTCCTTTGTCCATGTTTGCAAGACTTCGGGATCGGCAGGCTTCGAAGCAATCTTAGTAGTCGATGGAACATACGGGGACCCAGCTTTAGGAGGGGGTTGGACTTGTGATGGCGCGTGGTGGTCACTTTCAGCTCCCTGCGACGGTGCTTGCGTGCGAGCAGGAGCTTGGACTTGTGCTGACGACGGGTGAGGAATATACGGAGATCTAGCTCTTGGGGGAGCTTGAACTTGTGCTGGCGGGGCATTAGCAATTTCACTGTGTTGCATCGTCTGTGAGCTGCGAGTGGGAGCTTGGACTTGTACTGGTGGAGACTGAGGATACTCGTTTCGCTGAGTCGGCTGTTGACTATGAATAGGAGCTTGGACTTTTGCTTGCGGGGGATAAGCCTGTTCAGTTCGCTGTACCGACTCTGAACGACGAGCAGGAGCTTGAGCTGGTGCTGGGGAGTATTCGGAGTACTTATTGTGCTGAACTGGCTGTGGACTGCGACTAGGAGTCTGAGCCGGTGCTGGTGAGAGGTGAGCGTACTCATTTCGCTGAACCGGCGGTGGGTTAGGAGCAGGAGCTGGCGCCTGTGGTAGTGGCGAACGATGAGCCATTTCGGCTCGCTGTGCCGACTCTGAGCGACGAGTGAGAACTTGAGCTGGCGCTGGTGTGAGGTGAGAGTACTCGGATCGCTGGACCGACTGTGAGCTGCGAGTGCCAGCTTGGACTTGTGCTGGCGAGGGCTCAGTGTACTCAGGTCGCTGAGCTGGCAGTGGGTTGCGAGCGGGAGCTGGGGCCTGTGGCCATGCTCGCTGAGTATTGGTCAAGACGGGTCTTGAAGTGGCCTGCAAATTACTTGGCTGAACACGCTGCTGAGCTTTCTGTCGCGATCGACCACGCTCGTCCTCATCTTGGCGGGTGATATCGTGGAAAGAATGCCTGCGGTTATCACTTGTCCCGTGCGCAACCTGTGTAGGAGCTAATCCTTGAGAAAAGCTCTGTTTAGCAGTCGGAGGCATTAGAAAATCCCGGTGCCCATGTTGTTGCGTCGTTCCAGGGTCTCGCCGTGCTGATGGGCTACGTTGTAACGTTCCCTGGTCCGGCTGTGTTGAGGAGCTACGTTGTGCTGACCGACTTCGCTGTGCTGACTGACTTCGACGCAAGGACCGATCTTGAGACCATTGAGCAGCCCTCTCTGACTGAACTTGCTGCTGTTCATATCGCCGCTTTTCCCTCAGCTGCTCCTCTAGGCGTCGCTTTTCGATTTGCTGCTGTTCGAAAAGGTGCCTGCGTTGCTCCTGTTCCGCCCTCCCTCTATCAATATGATTGACTCCACCTGAAAGCAAAGGCATCCTATCCTAAAAGACGCGCCGATATCAGAGCAATATTCCGTCTTTCGAAAGGCATGTGAGATTGCGCGGGGTGAGGTGCAATTTTGTAGACGCCTTGTCTCCCACCCTAAATGTTCAGCTCGTCTTGGCATGCAAGCCATCAGCAGGGATATAGGGGCGGGCTGTGTGAAGAAACAACCCAGGGTGCCGTGCCGTACGCGTTGCATATCCCTGAAACATTTGCACAGGCCTCGATTGTTTCAGAAATCAATGAGGCGTAAGGCTGGAGCACACGTGCTGTCACACGCAAAGACACAAGATGAATATGCAGTAAGGTAGTATGGTTTAAGAATCCTGTGCTTGCAAGCGCGAAAGTTGAGCGATCTGGTTGAGCGTCCATCAGCCCCACATTTTTTCAAATATTGTCGCGGCTCCAAGCACAGAACACCGACTATTCTCATTTTCAAAGAAACAGTGCTCTCTCATAACACCAGAGTATTTATGAGAGCATGCAGGGAAAGGACTGAATGGAATGCTAGCAAAAGAGTACCCAGAAAACTAACGGTGGGCAAGATGATGACGAACATCGGCGAATACAAATACGGAAGCAAGATAAACCCGAGAGACATGCCTTTTATCGCCTACCTGCCAAAACTCTGGCCTGGTGACATGTAAGTGCCATATCCACAACGCCACATGCACCAAAAATGAAAATCACGAAATCTGTAGTTTTCTTGACGTCAAATCCAAGTCATGGTCCTAAAATCGCTACCACAGCCTTTCTTACGCTTTCAACTTGCTTATTGCGTAAGACATTGCATGTGCTATATTGACGACGCCACATGCACCAAAGTCGAAAATCACGAAATTTGTGATTTTTTTGACGTCAAATCCAAGCTACGGTCCCAAAACCGCTACCACGGCCTTCCCTACGCTTTACTTTTGCGTATTGGTAGAGATATTGCGTGTGCCATGTGCAAAAGTGCTTGAAAGCTTGGGAGATATACGGGTATTCGACGGGACTGTCAAAGTAGTGAGTGACAGCGGGTCGGGTGCGGGTAGATTGGGTTTCCAGTTCATGTTTTCATTGGGCTATCTTGTGACTTAGGTTGCTTGCCGACAAGATGTCTCACGCTTGGGAGTGGCCATCATGGAAAAGCTTTCACCAGCGCTGGCTGGAACATCGTTCAGAGCGCATTGGAGACCGATGACCGCTCTTATGGATCCTGTAATTGTCAGTGATCCAGATCTTGCTTTGATTATGACGCTCTGCGTAGCCGAAAGAGTGCACTGCGGATAATTCATCATCAATGGATCGATCACACTTCAGAGGCTATGTAAACTGCAAAGGCGGATTGTGGCCCATGTGTGAAAGTACAAGATCCATTCCGCTTTCAAAAGGTTGTAAGTCACTTTCGAGTAAGTGTTCAGCCATAGCGAAGGGATTTTCAGTGGCAATCGCGCCTGTTGCAGGTCAAATCTGGCCGTATGGGAGCCCAGATGCCGTTAGTAGTGATGTAGTAAATCATTACAAGAGAGTACGAATCCTCCTCGTTGCTGGCTTCGTCCAGTCGTCTTTCCGATTGTCAATGTTGTTTTCCAGAACCTAGGAGTACACCCTACTTTGAGGATCTAGCACAATTCTAGGTCGTAGAGCTTAAGTGCGCCATTTCGCAGTGCATTACGTGCTTGACCTTGCATCAACCCATGCACATAGCACTCACCAATGACCTGGTATCGCGATCGCCCGCAGCGACGCAGCACAGTTGGAGTATCCGAGCCAGAAAGTACGGCGACAATGTCATCTTTCTGCATCACAGCCGGGCCCAGGCCCAGGAAGGCCTTTTCTGTCATAAAAACCCTCCGCATATTGCATACGCCAGCCGCGGCCTCACGAAATCGACGCCAATCGCCATTTTTGGCACTTCTGCGTGTGCGAGATACCTCGAGGATTGCCGACGCGTTCTCACTTCTTTCTATCTCAGCATACTCATTCTCGAAGAGGTGGACCCAGTAAGCATTGAAGTCTGCTGCAGGCTCCAGCATGTCATAGCCATCAGGTGGGTCGGTCATTCCAGCTGTAAAAGTGGAGTAGTACGCCGCCCAGAGACTGGGACTGCTGGGAGGAGCGAGCCGTGGGTAACAATTGTTTTCGATCTGATCCAATCCCCAGGCGATCCAGATGGCCGCAACCGGGTTCGGTCCTTCTATGGCCATCGGTGGAAGATTGAAATTCGCAGACTTGAGAACATCTGACTGGAAACAGGTTCTATTGAAGAGGATGCCTTGGACTTTGAGAACATCGATGTCGTCGACCGGTATGATAGAAGCAGGTGAATTGCCCCCCGCAAAGTGCTTACTGGTGTAGCGGCCAAGCATTTGGCAATTGTAGTACTGATCCCATCGTGGGACCCAGGTCGGGAACTTACAGTCTTTTTGCAAGATTGAGCCTGGATCGTGCTGTACAGCTGAAAGAACCTCCAGGCTATCGGTTTTTGCAATCATCCGCAACGTGACCTCTCGGTAGACTTCTAGGAGGGACCTTGAATAATCTGGCTCTATGAAGGAAGTGCCTTCTTTTGTCCGAGCAGTCCAATGAGCAAGTAGTGAGTAGACTTTATCCCTAGGTTCTGTGGCGAGGTAAGGACGCGCGTTGTCCAGGACATACAAAAAGTGGTCCCATAGAAACTGGAACTTGGTTGTCCCCGGCGTTTGTTCTCTTCTAAACGCGGTGAAAAGATGAAAAGCTCTATTCACATCTGCCGATCGCTTCAAGTGCTCTACTAATGACTTCTCTTTCTGATTGAAGAATATGACGGCAGTACCGATGGTTTGCCACTTGATGATTTGGGAACCGCAAAGCACGGCGACATTGGATCCCAGTCCTACCTCTTGTAACACCCAAGCTCTCGAGAACCAGGGTCTGTCGAACAGGGCCAACATATCCCGCGTCAAGCTTGGACCACCCGCGGGCTCAACGCGATCAAACTCCTCCAAGTCAATCGAGCCGAAAGCCATGACGTTCTCCATGCCTTGCGGATTCTCCGGGGTACGCATACTGACTAGCAATTCGAACGCGGCAAAGACAGCCTGTGTTCGACCATCCTCTGGACCAAGCCAGACGATGACTTGGTTCGCTTTACCGTAGATCTCCCCCATCATATTCACCTGCTGGCTCCGTTCCACCACATTACTTTGGTTGATACAAATTGCATCGATCCAAAGATATCTGTGTGTCTCCTCGTCCTGCAGCTGCGTTAGCAAGTTGAAGAGAGTACGTGAGACCTCTAGGAAAGTAGATCGCTCTGTGTCACTGCTGTCACATCGTAGCAGAAAAGGTCGGTCCGGCCAATACTCTGTGGCCCAGCAGTACGAAATTGCTGACCATAAGCAGTCATCTATGTCGGTGTCAATGTTGACGATTTCAAGATCGCACTTCAATTCTGAGCCTTTTGAGCCAGGAAAGAGTTTGAGCAACCGAATTTCCCGACCACCGGACAGACCCTGATACTTGTACTTATTGAGGCTCTCGTGGCGCAAGCTCATTCTGTCACTCCCTGTCGTTCCGACGTTCAAGAGACAATATTCATGGGGCCAGATGAGACGAATGCAGATACAGCACGCCTTTACCCGGGAACCGCTTGCTTTAGCAGGCTACCTACTGGCAATTTCGCGTACAATCTTCATTCGAGCTTCTTTCTAGCCTCCTCGACTTGGATCGAACTCTTGTCTGTAGGGTCAGGCTCGCTCTGATTGGAAAGTATGCAGAACTATTTTGATGTACGATCCGGCGTTGTTCGGCCTGCAAACAGGCAAGCATGCCCCTCTCATCAGGACAGAAATCATAAGCAAAACGTGTACGCTGGGCATGAAAATGAATCAAGGTTATCCGAGACGCAGTCCTCAGACTTGAAAGCCCGTGTCAGCAGCATTTCAACAGCCATTATACACAGCTGCTCATAGCTGCCACGCATGATTGTGAGCATATAAAGTTGAGAGGAGCGGGGGGCGGCAATCTGACTTATAGGGGCCAAGGCCCCCCAAGCCTCCCCCGAGGGCGGCAGAGAGTCGCAATTTCCCCCTTGGTTGCACAGACCTCGCAAAGGCTTGGCTGATAGTCGCCCTTTCACCATTCTGTTCTGCGACGTACGGTCAACATTTTCAACGTCGTCAAACCAGTTCCAATCGCTAGCTTGTGAAGCAATCGGCATTTTGGCGCAAGACGGAATGTAATCTGCGAAAGCACCACTCGGTGACCGTGATGACCAACCATGCCTGTCGCGACCCACCTGCCCCGGCGCGGCGGTGAAGATAGCTTGAAAGCAATACCTTATATTGAGACAACTGCTGCAGAGCCTCCTATCCACGGCTCTCAGCCTGCTAAACCTCCGAACAAGACCATCAAGCGCCTCCGAAAGTCGCGTGCATCCCAGCATTTCAAGCGACCTCAGACAGCTCGTGATGACTATAGAAGAGATTCGGACCTTGATCCGTCATCGTCCTCTTTTCGAGATAGTCGGACTACACTTTCAACAGATATAAGCTCCGCACCAAGCATCAGACAGTCGTCCAGCTTCCACAACATTCGCGCGAATTCGGAGTCCCGTCAGCTCACCAGCGCAAATGGCAGACCGCCAACCGGACTTCGCAAGGAGCATCGGTCGGATCCCGTTCCACCGGTAGAGAAGCTTTTTCTGGGTCTCAATACAGAAATACCAACTGGAAGCTTCGAAGATCTGACTAATCCGGGGCAGGTCGAGTTTTCAAAGAGAGGAAGTATGCTGCTTGGTGGTAAGAAGGCAGTCCCAAGAAGAGACGGACTCGGCAATGGCACAGCCATAGGCAGCCGTAGGAATCCACTTAATGCAGCGCGACCCTCAGCATCAAATATACCCAGCAGAGTGCTGTCAGCGGATGAGGAGGAATTATCAAACAAAGTGCGATCTATGTACGAAGGGGGAGGATCAATTGCCAATCAACATCTTGGCATTGAGAATTTGCAGGCCAATGGTTCTTCTGAGCAGGTAACACAAGTCAGTACTGGACCAGCTATCAGAATCATTGACAGCAGCGGGTCAACGCCCAATGGCAATATCTACGGAAGTCACGGAGGGGACGACATTAGCGCAAGAATACACAGCATTCTACGCCAAAGCAATGAGCTGGCAGGTGGGATCGAGGACTGGGAAGATATCAACAATGGCGATGTTGATAGGTACGGTTTCATCGTTCCTCGTAAGCCTTCTTCACAGGTATCCTCGATGGCTTCTGGCAGACGTGACTCGCCCGACGGTGTTCGAATGCAGCGTATGTCAACACTTCTACAGATCGCTTCAGAAAGACCGCGCCGGAGTCGTAGTCGACTAAGCAAGACTCGTTCCGCCAAATCACCCACCCGCTCCACAGACTCACATTCCATGCTCGAGGAGGAGTCTGCGGCAAGGCGCCCAAAGTCGTCACAGAGTTCCTATCGATCTACGAGTTCTAAGAATTCGAGGTTCCGCACAGCCGCAAATCGCCTCCCTCATAACAAAAATCGCCGTTGCGTTGACTCGGCGGGGGACATGCTCACCTTGCCTCCAGGTCTAGCAGACATAGCAGAAGATTCTGGCAGCGACCGTGTGTCTTCGCAAAAAGTTCGAGAATGGGAACGTGATGAAAAATGGCGGAAGATGGCCAAGGTCGTCAAGAAGGACCCACATGGAGGAGGCATGGAATTCGAGTTCGATGTGCGAAATCCGAAGCTTATCGAAAGAGCGTGGAAGGGTATACCAGATAAATGGCGAGCTACGGCATGGCATTCTTTCCTCTCGTCCTCTGCAAAGAAACGAACAGACGTCGCCAGTGATAACGAGCTAAAATCTGCCTTCCAGCAACTCCTCCACCAGTCCAGCCCTGATGATGTGCAGATCGACATCGATGTTCCTCGTACCATCAACAGCCACATTATGTTCCGGCGACGTTACCGTGGCGGCCAGCGTCTCCTTTTTCGCGTTCTCCACTGCATGAGCATCTATTTCCCAGTAACAGGCTACGTTCAGGGTATGGCCGCCCTTGCAGCTACACTCCTGTGCTATTTCGATGAAGAGATGACCTTCGTCATGCTTGTCCGGCTATGGCAGCTCAGGGGACTTGATCAGCTCTACAGGTCTGGCTTTGCAGGCTTAATGTGTGCGCTTGAGGAGTTCGAGACACAATGGCTTAGGGGTGGAGAAGTCGCAATGAAACTGCAGGAGTACGACATCACCAGCACGAGCTATGGGACGCGCTGGTACTTAACATTATTCAATTACAGCATTCCTTTCCCAGCCCAGCTAAGGATATGGGATGTTTTCATGCTACTTGGAGATCCTGATGTGCCTTATCCGTCTACCTCGCCACCCTCTAAACCTAACGGCAATACAAATTTAAATGGGAGCGCATTCAAGGCAAATCAAGTTGACGGGGACGAAGAGGGGCCCAGGTCTTTCCACGGAGGCCTAGACGTGCTCCACGCTTGCTCCGCGGCGCTCATTGATGGTACGAAAGAAATTCTAATGGACTCAGACTTCGAAAATGCAATGAAAGTGCTCACCAGTTGGATACCCGTCAGGGATGAGGAACTACTCATGAATGTCGCAAGGGTGGAATGGAAAATGAAACGGAGAAAGAATTCAGCCATCAGCACTACTCCCCTCATGGGCGCAAAGTAATAGATCGAGCGAAGAAAGATGATATTGGACGGCCCGGTCGAGTCGGCGGCGCTTTATTGCAGCAACTTGCTCGCCTGCCACTTGGCAGTTGTGGTTGCTTTGAGATACCCCTATGCTTCCATTCTTTTCTACACTTTTAATGACGAGGAAGTCCGGATTCCTTTCTTTTCTTGTATTCTGATACTACATTGGGCATTTCGCTAGGCTTAGAGCTGGTTGAAGAGGCGGACTGGGTTTGATGAATCAGTGGGTAATGATGAGCGTTTTGAGCGACGACGAGACTACAGTATCACGTCTGATGAATCTCATGAGTAGGTTACTTTAAGTATACCTCAATAGCTAATGCGATAGAAGGTGTGAATGATCTGGCATTTCTCTTGTTACTCTATATTCCATATAGGCAACGTTATACCGACCTTTCTTCTTCTTACTCTATCCTGCCAACATCAAGAGAATTGCCTGTCCCCAAGAGCTCGGCTTCGGCTTTGGTCACCATCATTACTGACTGATCGCGATTTGAAGGCCTGAACACCAAGCCCATCGCACCGCGGGTCTCGCAAGCGAAAGGATTTTCTAAGAAACTCCACAACCTCCACTTGCTAGGTATCCCTGTGGTGATCGATATAAGCACGTCTTACTTACATCCACAACTTTGCGAAGCGCACGTCATCTTCTTCAGCGGCGGTAGTATTCCCTCGCCAGACCCACCTCTCCACATCTTCTAAGACCTTGCATGAAAGGGATCCCCCTCCAATGCCCATAAAGAGATACTAGACGGGTTTCTTTCAAGGGCCATAATTCTCCCCACGTCAGCTTGCCAGTCCCCTCTTCGGGTTTCATGCGTAAAGTGGCTGGCTGAGATCCCAAACGTCAATCTAGCCGCCGAATCACAAGCACCGCAATCCGTGGGACATGGTACTCGTAAATGTCGGATAGATACAGCCAGGTACTGTTCCAAGCGCTCGGGTCCGTTCACACGTGGAGATCGCCTTCATGGATCAGGCAAGATGAATGCATCCATGCTTGTGCCTTATCTCGAGCTTAGAGGACGCCACATTGGATAAGAACGTAAGACATTGAAGAGACCTGAGCACACACTCCACCGACGACTATCCGTACACAAACAACAGAAAAAATCTCCCTTTCACGCTACCCCCTCAAACCCCACCACAGCACCATCGCCCACAAGCCCCCCATCAGCAATAACCCCACCGTATCCACCACCGATCGCATTCTGCCGCCTAACCTCAATCCTACAACTCCAAATCCGATTTTCCTTCCCGAAGCCCCTCACGAACTCGCTCGCTGTCGCTAGTGCCGCTTCCACTGCTCGGAAAACCAGTGGTTCTACCCCTGCCCCCTCCCCTGCCTCTACTCCCATCTCCCCTCCCCTTCCCCTTTCCTCCTTTCCCCCGCCTCCGACACCCCCCGTGCCATTCCTACCTACAGTATCATCCATGCCCGCCCCGCTCCCCGGCGCCTTCCACACAGCAAAACTCACGCCCGTTCCCGGGTCACCGTACAAGAATGCCTGGCCCCGGATCGGCGTGCGGTCGATGGAGTAGTCTGGATAGCTGGCTTCGAGGGCGGAGAGGTAGGTTGTTGCCTCGCTGAGGAGGGTGGAGGCGTGGCGGTAGGGAATTGGTGGGGGGCGGAAGTCGAGGAAGGAGATGTGGTAGCCTTTTGAGAGGAGAGAGGTGGGGTCGTGGGGGAGGGAGAGGTTGGTTGGGGAGATGGAAGGGGGGATGGTGGTGGTGTTGAGGGTGGTGGGAGAGAGGGGATGGGCGCTTAGAAGGGGAAGGAAGGCGATGAGGGTGAGTGGGAATGGTGGAAGCATGGTCTGTGAGTGTACAGGATGTAGTGGACATGGGCTGTGGTTGTGAGGTTGCGGTGGTGAAGGGCTTGATATATGTGCTTTGACATTCTTCGTAGTGGGCCATGGGGTGGAATTATTGTCGATCAGAAGCCAGAATTCGTATAGCATCCTGATGGCGTGTCTCCATATTGGTAGCTCTTGGCTGGCTGGGCAGAGAATAAAAATAGTCGCTGGCGGATACAAAATCCATATTCGGAAATGTTCGGTCGCGCTCGAGCACTTCCTCACCTGAGCTGATACGCGAAAAGCTCCCATTGCTATTGCATTCGCTCCATGGCGATGTCTCGGTGTCGGTCCTTATCGTTTAAGAAGAAATTGCGAGAAATCAGATTTGTGGACATCAAAGGCGATGCGCATGAGATGAAGATCTGGCGAGGATGAAATCACAAATCCTACATTTGAGTATCTTACCTTTGACTCCGCGCTCTTCGTACATACCTGACATGGCAGCGTGCCTCTCGGGCCTATAATAAATCTCGTCTTAGCTATCGTCATTCGTATCCCAATCCTTCTCATTTACAAAGCTACCGTTGCCGGATCCGTTGATGTCGAGCTTGGCAAGAAATTCTGGCGGCACAGTAGGAATGTACTTCTTCTCCCGCTCTCTGTTCACGCCGCCATAACCCGCACCGTAGCTGAGTCGCATATCCACTGTGGTGGGGAGCGAAAATTGAAGCATATGTGCTGGATCCATGAGTAGCCGCTTCGAAGGTGGTTCGTCCTCGTCTGACTGCGGTATGATATCGTTGTTGTCATTTGAGGTTGGACTGGATAGAGCGTGACCACCAGCCTGATCTAGTGTGGGAGTCACGTTCTTCTGCGGTGATTGCGGAGAAGCAGGCGGCGCTTGAGATCTTCTCTTTTCTCGATCTTTTCGCATCTGCTCCCATTTTCGTTGACCATCTAGAGAACGCGCTTGTAATCGTTTTCGCGCGGCCTTCGGCATGGTCTTCTCTTCCTTCTCGTAGCGATAGTGGTTGACGCAATGAAGAAGTTGATGTGGGGTAAGCTGGGTCATTTGGGAGATAGTCTCGTCTAAGGGCAAGTCTGTCAAGAAATCGAGACTTGAGAAGCACTGCAGCCATTGCAAGAGCTGGATTGAAGGAGTCAGATGCTTTCTGGCTGCTTCGACGGTGTTTTCACCAGAAGCGCTAAGTGAGCCGTTCTCGTAATGCTCCGGTGAGCGATTGTTGGTCCTTGCCCAGTCCTCAAGTGTCGATATGTTCATACGTATTTGCATAGCCTTTGTTCGTGCAAGATATATCTTATTGGAAATGATATGGTTGAATAGCTCGGCACCTATCCAATAGAAGAGCTGTGAGATGACTTGAGAAGTAATAACAGAATGTATGTCATAGAGGTCAAGGACGAAGAGAGTTGAGGAGAGCAAGGACGTCACGTTCCTAGGTGATAATTTTGCCCGCTTACTGGGTGGAGGGGGTTTGTAGCTGACAGGTTCCGGTTGAGCCTTGGGTTTGGATTTGAAGAGATTCCATTCTCCAGCGAACTCCAGATGGTCGAAAGGAATCGTCTCATGATCTAGAATAGCATTTCTCAATACTTTATCTATCCTCCTTTCAGCATCTCTTATAATGAGGATGAAAATCTCATTGATAAGCTCCACAAGCTGCACCTGAAATTCTGCAGTCGTCATCACCAACCCCGCATCCTTTTTCAAGTAATGTAAGAGAAGTGTTGCGTTGGATATCCAGAACGAGAGAATGGTCATATCCCACTGGTGTCGCTCAACTTTACTGTTGATCTTGTCCATAGCGGAGAGTAGGAGATTTGCCAAGAGATCTGGATTTGCATGGTAGTGAGCATACCGTGCGGCAAGGAACAGGATGTTTGCAGGGACAGGTTTCTGCGAGGGACTCCTCGAAGGATTCATCGACGTGATAATGATATCTAGGATCTGATCCAGCTCTGCCTCTTGAAATACGAACATCTGGTCATTGAGACACTTATCCCAGACAAATTCTTGTTGTTCTTCAAACTCTTCAGGCTCCTATTGAAATATCAGTAAGACAATGTGATATGAATCGTACTAGGCTTGCATACGTCAGGCTGTTCGTCCATTCCTAAGCTTGAAAGATCAACCTCCAGATTGATCGAGCTTTCCATCATCATGCGCCTTGTCATTTCGCTTTCCTCCATCTCTTGCTCGAATTTATCTTGTGAGAATCCACCATCGTAAAAGTCTTCCCCAACACCAACATCTCCAAGGCCATAGCCATTTTTCCTCAAATAGCTTGACATCTCGCTGTTTGGTGTGGTGAAGTCAAAGGCTGTGCGCCCAGAAGAAGACTTCACATCTGTGGATGCACCATGATCAAGTAAGATCTTCGCAATCTCCTTGTGTCGATTTGTCATGGCCCACATGAGAGGAGTCCACTGGTTCTTGTCCTGTCTGTCGACTCCGGCGCCAGCTTCCAGTAGAGCAGAGACAACATCCTGGTGACCCTGTGGTCATATTGCATCAGCTAAACGCACAAACCCTGGCATGAATCGCTATCGCTTACAAAACAGCTGGCGTAGATGATTGGAGCTGTGCCTTCCTCATCGGGGCCATTGATATCGATCAACTTCCCCGCAGATCCCTTAAGCAACCGGCCAATCTGTTCAATGTCTCCATTACTCGCAGCATTGTGGAGCGACTTTTGCAACAGCGCTTTCTTCTGCGCCTCAGGTATCTTCGAGTCATTCACGATAGCTTCTTCATCAGCTCCAGCAGAACCCTCTTCTCTATGGGCTGCTTGTGCGGCAAGCATCTCCATGAGTCTTGTGTCATTGTCTTGCAAGCTCCGAGATGTATCATCCCTCGGATCGTCATTAAGATTGAGGTTGAAAGCTAGCGGCTGTGAAGGTACAGGACTTGACAAGAGCTGCGACTGTCCTTGCCATGCGTCGTACATTTCAGTCTCGGCGCCATAATGGCGTACTGGCTGCCGATCATCCAGGGATCTAGGAAGGTCTAAAGGGAGTGGTCGCTGCTTGAGCTCCTCCTCTTGAGGCGATATATCATCCTCGAAACCTTCCCCATTGGATTGCTCCATAGGTCAAACCGAGGTGGGGGCGGTCATCGGCTGCGGGGGGAAAGACGAGCAGAGTATAGCATTTTCGTTATGCTACCAGTGCGGACTAAAGGATATTCGTGAATATTTCTAGAAGCGGTAGGAGTCTCAAGGTTGGGACACTCGGTATGAATAGTTGCAACTGAATGTGCTCAAACTTGTAGCTATTTTTCATATGTCCTTCGACTAAAATCATTCGTACGCGACACTTAGTTCTATTCGACATCGAGGACCGCAGCTTTCTTGAGTACAGACGCAAACATCTCTTACGTAGTATTAAGATAGTCAGCTAGTAGATGCCTTCGCCCAAATTGGACACCCTGTCACATCTGTCACTGTCATAATTACATTGACTGTATATTTCTGACATCTGCGCACTTACCTTGACGCCGAAAGTGTGCGGTCCGCGAGTGCCTCCATTTGTTTTCCTCACGAACTTCACCTTGAAGAAGTACATTATGTTTGTGCGTGCTCACAATAAATCAGCAGAGCAAAGTCGAAGTACCAGAGATAAAACTCCTCATAAATTCCATGGTAGCAATAACAATATTGATATGGACTGATCAAACCTTCAATGACTATTGTGCTTCGCTCTGAGCAACGAATTTGATCATCACCATTAGATCATGTGTGCGCGAATCGCTATCAAAACCTAATGTCGACATGAATGTGTAGAGAGCCTTGAAATAAGTCTGGCATGTAGATGTCGCGTTCGCTGCTATACATCGGGCTTTGGTAGTAGATGGGTGTCTGATACGAAGCTACTGGAATTATGCAATAAAGCCTCGATCTCTATGGTGGATCTCGAACCCTCTATTCGGTGCAGAGCTTGCAGAACTCCTGTCCCTACTCCGGCCGATCATTTAATTTTCTGTTATCAGTCTTGCTTTTCACCATAGTTAGAGCCATGGTTTCGATGAATGTCTTGGATAAAATTGCAAGCAGCACCAAATGCAGCTTTCTTGTCAGCATCGCCGACGAGGAAAGATGGTACTGTGATTTCCCACGATTAGCTATGGCAAGTCTTGCAACATGTCTAGCCAATGCAAGACTTACGATTTATCCAACCATGAAATCCTTTTTCGAAGAACATGGCTTTGATACTACGCTCGCTGTCTTTGATCCCCGGGTCTTCCTCAATTTCAGTCAATACTCTTCGCAAGAAAGTCACTTGCTCGTTGAACAAAATGTCGATTTCAGGTACGATCATGAATATATGAGGTGGCAAAGTCAGATAAGGGGCTACAATGGGACTCAAGCGGGAATTGGCCTTTTCCTTTGCCCGTGCTGGACCAGCATAAGCATCGAATAGTGGCATCATGAAGCTGAGTGGATCGTACTTCGGGAAACCAGGCGGCTTTGGCTTTTCCTGGGGAGGTATCCGAAGGTCGATCTAAGGTAACAGCCACTTGAGTTTGCTTTGATTTGGTTGAACAAAATAAGAATATGGCTTACCGCTGCAAAGAACGTCACAGCGCCTTTGATACCTGCCTCCTTTCTCTGCAATCGCTCATTCTGGGACGCCGCCAAGGCTAGATTTCCACCGGCAGAAGAGCCGCTGACGGTGAATAATTCAGGATCTGCTCCTAATTGAGTCCTCGCATTGATTTGGAGCCAAACAATGATATCGTCGATGTCGTCAATCGCAGCTGGAAAGGCAAATCTTGGAGCGAATCGATAGGATGCGCTCACCACCACCGCACCAGTGGTTCTTGCAAGCTGGGAGCAAAAGTCATGGTCGATTTCAGGGATCCCACCAATGAAAGCGCCGCCATGTATGTTGAGGTGAAGAGGTCTCAGAGGACGGTGGGCCGCTCCTTCAGAAGGCGGATTTCGAGGGATTTGAGAAGACACGTTATACACAAGACAGCGTTGTTGCTGACATCTTGTAGAAATATAGAATACTTGATACCTCGGTTCACGAAACGAGAGCTTGTGGATATTTACATAGGCATAAAGCAGGATATTGAGCTGCTGATTGAGCAAAAGGCGAAGACGTGTAGCTAAAGAGATCGAAGGCGTCAAAACAGCGTCTACTGCGGCGTGAAAGTAAGTGTAAAGAATAGATGGCTTTTTTATGAGTCAGTCACGCTAGCTGAGTGTACATACGCATTCAGATTGAGCTCTTACTCTGCAATGACTGCAACATGAACGAGGAGTTGGTATATAAACCTCGTGATCCCTTAGTTTGAAGTTGTTACACGGATACACAGGCGAATCGTGTGGCCTGAACGCTGCATTGAGCCTACTACATAACTCTACAACCAGCCTGACCTACCTATCAACGATCATCATCACTGGGTTGACGGTTGGTGGGTCTGAAGATAGTCAGACATGTAAGTCCACCCACGCTGCCAAATGATATTCAGAAAGCAATGTTAGAATGACGAAAGCAGTCGTACTCTGGAACGTAAAGACCTGAAGTGTCCATGGATCGATATTGCATGAAGTCAACTCGCACCGTGCCTCGCCGCCATGAGTTTTATGATACGGTGAGGACAGCGCTAAGGGATGTCCTCTATGTATCAAGGAAGTCCCTTGGCAAGCCTAGCGGCACAACCTCCGATGTGACTCTCCAGCCTTGCAAGCAACGGCACATCATCTTATGCTGTATGTAGGGGCTTCGGTATCAACCTCAATCAGTGATGTGAGTGGAATGATTGGCTAAATCTAGAACTTCGCCCCCAATCAAATGCCATCTACGGCTCAACACGGGGTGGGTTGCGTGTTTGATCTTGTCAAATTGGGCTGATGTTGATTGAATGATCATGATGGGCAATTATCGCTCGGAGTACTTGACTACAGCGGGCTGTAATCGAGCAATTGCTAACCAATTGAAGAGCCACAATCTTCAGCCTTGTACTCATTTCGACTCGCACGGTGCATCTGCAGGCTATATGCAGGCTCAACCTCCCTGAATGGGGCGAGGGGCGGCTGGTGCGCCCGTCTTCTGTCGATCTACGACCTGTCTCTAAAAGTGCTTCTTTTCCCTTTCTTTTGACCTTCATGTGCAATGTTATTGCTCCAAAATGTTTCGCAACCTACATCAGATACTATTACATTCTAGTGTATCACTTCTTGTTGCCGCTTTTACTCCCTTCCCACCCGAAGATAGTCATAAGTGCTATTTTCTCGACGGCTCCTTCGACCCAGCGGGCGGGCCTTGCTATGGGAATGTCGGCGCGAGCATGTGTTGCTACAATGGGGAGGAATGTCACGCTACTGGCTTATGTCTTGCCAGTCCAAATGGCCTTGCTGGGCAGTACGACAATGGGTCTTCCATCTGGAGACGCTCATGCACGGATATCGTTTGGCAAGACCCTGCGTGCCTCGCCATTGGCTACGGTAAAATCTCCCTTCGCCAAGGGCTTGTATTGTGAAGATGTAGAAGGATCAAGGGCTGATAACATTGTCTAATTAGAAGTGAATACTAGATCTTTGCAGCTGAGTAACTGTTCAGACACAACGGTCTGCCCACGGACTAAGAACGACGTCAACACTACATGTTGTGAAGACGCCCATGATGGACAATTTCCACTGCTTGGACATGCTCGCATTTCTGCAAGCGTCGTAAGTAGCCTCCGGGCTACTGGATCTTCGACCTCTTCTGCAGTCCCAAAAACAAGTCCCTCAACATCTGCTACGAGTTCTGTCCCGGTCTCTCAAGTAGCTGCGTCAACAACAGATCCTGCACCTGCCTCCACATCCCAATCACCTAGTACCACGGGTCTCGGTCAATCTGCAAAGGTTGGGATAGGAATCGGCGTCTCCTTCGGTACTCTCTTAATCTTTCTCTTATCTTTCATTGCCTTTCGCATATACAAGATGTCGCAGAAGAAGGCGGAAGCGACGTCAGAGCCCGAGAATCTAGAGAAGAGCGAAAATGGTAGGGCACACTTTATGAGTGAAATGGATGGCGCGATGCAGCCTAAAGAGATGTCTACGCGCCACAATTTCCACGAAGTCGAAGCAAGATAGCATCGTTCTCGACAGAAGATAACGTGCACAAGAATCAATATAAGTGAATTAATACAACTTAAAAGAAGTCAGCCAACCTAACTATTTACTTTACGATTGCGTCATGACATCAAGTCAAAGAAGCAGATTTCCTTTACTGGACCCTGCCCTCAGTTACCAACACCAGACCAAACCCTACCTAGCCGCCCCAGTCCAGTTGTTGGCGAAGGTCCAAGCCATGACGTCGAGCGTCCTCTTCATCTAAGGAAGAATTTTAGCTCTCCCCGACGAGAAAGCCTCAGATACGTGCGTTTACATATGTCGTTTTCTTATTTAGACGCAATCCTTCGTTCTAAGACATCGAGACGTTGTTCAGTACACTCGGTTTAATTTCTCGTGATCGTTCTTCCTATCTTCTACGACATTCAGTGGACTTGTATCGACTATTTCAGACGATGACAGCGTCCTCTTCTTCTTACAGTGAGATCGTTCTTGAGCAATGGCGTCGACTAGATCAGATATTGAACGCTCCCGGCAAGTCCTTGCACTTGAATGGCAACAATGCGACAATCGCTGAAATTGTAGCCATCGCTCGGTATTTCGCCCTATTCCCCTTTTTAGACGCAGCGACTTAGACTCATCCAGCTACAATTGCGACGTCGAGATCGACAAGAACGCAAGAGACGCTCTTGAAGCAAGTAGGAACGCGCTCCAAGCTCAATTGGACAAGGAAGCCGTTATTTATGGCGTGAACACTGGCTTTGGCGGCACAGCACACCTGCGTACGAAGGAAATAGAGCAACTTCAGCGCGTCCTCATTCGAGAACTACACTATGGAATACTGCCACCCACGAACGATGCCCACTGCCCTGATTGCCCCCGAAATGCCAACCAACACTCCCAAGAGACCGAATCCTCCTTCCATAAATGGACATCCACCCCAGAATACCCATCAGAATCTCTGTACCTCCCCAAAGCCTGCGTACGCGCCACCATCGCCATCCGCATAAACTCCCTCTTGAAAGGGTTTTCTAGCGTCCGCCCCGTGATCGTAGACAGACTCCTCGACTTACTCAACCAAGACATCATCCCCATGATACCCACACGCGGAAGTATTTCTGCTTCGGGTGATCTGAGCCCTCTCTCCTACATCGGCGGCGCAATTCAGGGGAAACCCACAATCCGCATCCTCCCATCCTCCAACAGCCACAAGATTAGGACCGCACACTCAGCTCTCGCAGCCGCCGGCATCGAGCCAGTGACGCTCCAAGCGAAAGAAGGTCTCGCGATCGTCAACGGCACTGCCGTCTCCGCAGCCTTGGGTTCCCTGGTCCTTTGGGACGCACACACCCTAGCCCTGCTCTCCCACCTCCTCACAGCCATGAGCGTAGAAGCCCTCCTCGGCACCTCAGAAAGTTTCCACCCCTTCCTATCCCACGCACGGCCTCATCCCGGCCAAATCGACTCCGCAAACCTCGTCCTCTCCTTCCTGCACACTTCACAACTCACGCAACAAAACAGCGGCAACCTCCCACAAACACTTCGTCAAGACCGCTACTCCATCCGCACAGCCCCGCAATGGCTAGGGCCCGTCCTCGAAGATCTAACGCTCGCGCACCAACAGCTCAGCATCGAACTAAACTCCGCAACCGACAACCCGCTCATCGACCCCACCTCCACCACCAGCGCTTCCTTCCACGGGGGCAACTTCCAAGCCCGCGCCCCTCACGCCGCCATGGAAAAGACCCGGCAATCCCTCCATCTAATCGGCCGCATGCTCTTCGCCCAACTGACCGAGATGATAAACCCGTCCACGAGCAGAGGCCTGCCTCCAAACCTCGTCGCCGAGGACCCAAGCACGTCTTTCATCTTCAAGGGCGCGGATATTTATGCGGCGGCGTTGCAGGCGGAATTGGGCTTTCTGGCGGGGCCGGTCAATCATGTCATGTGTGCCGAGATGGGGAATCAGAGCTTGAATTCTTTGGCCCTGGTGGCGGCGCGGTATACGGCGACCGCGGTGGAGGTACTGGCGCAGTTGAATGCGGTGCATGCGGTCGCGGTGTGTCAGGCGTTGGATCTGCGGGCGATAGGGATGGGGTTTTTTGAGGAATGGAGGGCTGGGTGGAAGGTGTTGGTGGAGAAATGTTTCGCGGATGGTGATGTTTGCGGGGGTGTGGATCGAAAGGGGTTGGAGGAGGTACTGTGGGCACAGCTGTTAAAGTGTTTCGATGACACGGTTAGCATGGATGCAGAACATCGGTTTCCTGCAATTGCAAAGGGAGTGCGGGATGCACTGCTCGATTTGCCGGGAGTGAAGATGAGCGATGCGTTTTGGCAGGCGGCGCAGAAGTTCAAGGAAGAGCTTGCGTTGACTCTAAGGGAGTCTTGGTGCGCGTATCGTGACGCGTACATGGCTCATGTGGATGCTTCGCACTTGCTTGGACGAGGCAGTAGGAGACTCTACCGGTTCGTGAGGCATGATTTGAAGGTGCCGTTTCTGTGCACGGCGCGCTTGGAAACGCCACCATCTGAGCAGGAAGTTGGACAGTCTGAGGGAGGTGCAGGTGATGTGGAAGAGGAGCCGATGACTGTTGGGTCTTACTACGGCAAGGTGTATCGCGCCGTGAAGGACGGGAGGGTTGCAAGAGTGATGATGGATATCGTTGAGGAGGTCAAAAGACCCGATGAGAATGGGTCGGAGCGTTCGATTGTGTGACTCGGCTCATTCCTTGTTATCGTCAATCATTCGAGAGCGCCGACTAGGTTCGATGAACGTTGTTGGATGATGAAAAATGTCTCGCTTTATGAAACTTCGACCGCCTGGAGGATTCTCTGAAAGTGGTATCCTCTGCGAATCGGTACATGGTTAGCGCTACGTCCAGATATGGTTGGAACACAGCCCAATCCTTCGGCTTGCAGTACGCGTCATTCAGGTGCTCACCATATGCACGTCCCAAAAAACTGATCGAAACAACAGCTCGTTTATATCATCGCGGTACGATCCACTAGTTTTAACTCTGAAAACCGCTCACTATGTTCCTGAACGCGCTCCAATCGGGGTGCCCTGTAGCCGACATTTCAATATCAGGGCTTCTCGTTTTCCAGGGACTTATCTACAGACAACAACTTGCTAGCCTGAGGATTGATGTATGACACAAGGCGCACAGATCCGTCTTGTTTGATGGCGCATCCGACGTAAGTCTGAATGCCACGCTCTGATTTCATCGTTTCTTCTGCACTAGTGAATGCCTGCTGTCAGCTTTCGCAAAGCCATCCTTGTAGAGAGATGAAGACTCACAAGATTGTATTTAGCGCTTCTTTATATCGATCCACATACGTATCATATTTGTGTCTACGCAAAAATGTCTCAAGTGCTAGGACGACATGTGCGTCACTAGGACAGTAGTGGCGAACGGGCAAGTAAATTTTGGTGGTTGGAAATTCATCGCCGAGTCTGAATTCGATATTGTACAATATGCCGGCGGTACGATGGTCGACATGTTGAAGCGAGACGTGTGACTCGCACGTGTGGTGGCCGAAAAGAGTATTCCAAAGATCTTGAAGATGCTGGAGCCCATGGTCCAGCAGTGGCGTCCCAATTCTGCCTCCTAGTGTCATAGCTGCGATGACAGAATTGAAGCTGGTGTCACGAAGGCGAAAATAAATCTTTAGGCGTGCTTCAGAGGGGTCAAGCATGTCAATTGCGAGCATTTCAAGCTCTAGGGAAGAATTGCTAGGTTAGGAAGCCCAATCGTGAAATAGATGCAGGGCTGTCAGCCTCTCCGCTGGACAAGAGGGAGCCGTTGAGATAGCCTCTCGAATGACCTCTAAATTAGATTTTTTCAATGACTCTGCTTTAGGACCTGGGAAGAAATATGCCTTCCATGTCGAGTCTTGTTCGGCGAGATCGAACGCATAGAAAGTACGTGAGCGATGACCTTCGCTTGCTTCCTGTGTCGTGGTCGTGTATCCAAAATATTGTGCAAAATGTTCGTACCATGGAAGATGTTTTTCGGACGATGAGCTGACTAGCTGTTTGTAAAAGTCTCCGTGAATGTGCGAGTTGTAGGGATCATGGACGGTACCAGCATCTACTCCAACTGCTTCCATGGAATAGCGTATACATGGAGCCTCATCAGGAGTGCCCCAATCCCAGCTCAATTCAATTGGCGTTCCATCATCGGTCATAAAACTCGACCACTGACATGTGCCTGCCTGTACATCAAGCGAAGTACCTAGATTGAGGGCTATGACCTTTGCAAAGAATGAGAGATGGTTTGCCTGGTGGCTTTTTCCATAGTCAGACTTCTCAAGAAAGATAGCTAGAGCCTGCCCAACGTGTTTCCACCACCACTTTTGATGAGAACTCTTAAGTGCGTACCTGAATCTAGTATCTAGCTGCTGCCAGGTCATGATGTCCATTAGATGTACAATCTTCCCAAGAGGGTCGTGTGAATTTTTCCGAGTATCGGGTGTTGCTAGGCCTTCAAGTAGACTCAGACGGATTATCAGATTGCTCTGTTTAGTGGATATCTTGCTAGAGGGTATGATAAGTCTATCAAAGACATGCAACTCCCGATACAATCGGAGACCGATTGGTTCGGGCTGGTCTGCAATCATTGGAGAGAAAGAGACTGCACTGCCATTTCCTCTGACGCTATTCGCAGCTATGAAGACGGCTTCCAAAGCGTAGCGAAGCGTGACATCCTACAAGTAGTCTGCGAACAGAGTTCCATCGCATCCGACGCGGTCGTTTTAGGTAATTTTCTGCTGACGTCTGTCTTGCTTCTTCGATGCTGTGCCTCCACTGATCACAAATCCTTTGCCCTTGATTGCAAGAAAGCGGCAGAGTGTACGGGACTTACAGCATGCAGCTTTGCCTGTTGTAGTGTAGCTAATCATGTAAATGATGTTGGTCCGAAATTCAGAGGTCTAGATGGCTGTTGCTGTGTATCTGTTTTTCGGGTCTGCGAGTTTGGCAACCAAATTCGTCGGCTTCAAGAATCTTGATTCAAACGAGGGTCAAGATTCTCGTTGGAAGGTGGCGAACTAACCGTGCTGAACTACTTTCGTGTTGCGTCACGCCCTCGATGTCTCCCGTAGATTCTGAAATTTCACTTTGCTGGTCGATCGCCCTCTCGGTGCAAGGACCTCCCGCAATGAGCTCGCAAAGATCCCACCCGTTAGCGGAGAACCATCCAACTCGTTTATACTCCGCTTCGTTGTTAGATGATGGACAAAGGATCAGCCCTTCAAGAACCATGACGTCCTCTCCGTCCATCTGGAAATAGCTAGAGTTGATAGGTAGGCACAGTATCTTCTCAGGGGGTGGCTCATACTTGTCATCAAGTTCACCAAACGCGAGGTTACGCGCAGGAGGAGGAACGTCTAAGATAATCCTCACAGAGCCGTGTTTGTCGGCTTCACAAAAGGCCTCCGTCAGCACTCCGCGAAGGCTTATTGAACCTGTGAAAACGGCGTTCGTGGGGCACTGGGCCTCTGCACGGATGATCTCAATGAGCACAGGTCTGCCATGGGAGCTATCTACATCGACTGGCCCATCAATAGAAAGCCATGACCAAGAAGGCGCTCTTGGGTACGAAGCCCGCCTTGCGTATGAGTCTTTACCAGTTCCAGCGCTTTCTAGAGATACCTTCCATAGGAGCTGTTCCGGAAGACAGGAACGCCACAATCCCGCAAGATACTCATCTTTCCAGATGAGCGCCATCTCAGCTGCAATACCAGCTAGTGCAATGACCTTATCTGTGCTCCGTGTAAGGTTGCTCTGTGTGTAAGCGCTAACTATGCACTCCCACTTTCCATACAAGATATCGTATTTCCTGGATTGAAGGCTTCTTACGCAAGCAGATCCGATGCCTTTGAAACGTTGAAGCTCCTCGAGGGCCTTTGGGAGCCCCATTGGGCATGTCTCACAGGCATCGAGCTCGAGGCATTCCCAGTATACTTGCTGTGCTCCAAAATGGAGCACTCGTCGCGATAGAAGACGCTCTTGAACTACCCAAGCCCGAGTGTTGAGCGGCGCTTTACCGATACCATCTATCCAGAGCCACTTGTCAAATACTACCATGTTGTCATTGATTTGGCCATCTCGACCAACGGGTACCTCGATCCCAGTATAGAATGTTTGATCGCGTGCGAAAAAGCAGCCGACTGAGCTGTTTGAAGCTGCAGTCGCCGCAACTGTCAGCAAAGCATTTTTGTAGACATCTTTCATGGTGATTGCTTCCTTCTGCCAGTCCTCATTCGAGTTCTGTATAATGCACAAGGAGTCGATCCATAGATATGTGATTTCAAACCACTTTGCAATTTCTATTGCCTCGCGGAATGTTTTTGGTAGAGACGTAATTGGTACACCTTCCTTTAATTCAACTAAATTCGCTGTTGTGAGAGTCAGTATTTGACTAGTTCCCCAACAGTGGCTCAGGGCTATGTAATCTACTGGCTGCGGAATTTCCTGGGTTTCAATGATCCGAAGCACAGCGGCGTCCTCTTTTGACCCTGTGAAACAAAGACGGGTAGGCATCCAGCCGTTCTTTATTTTGGGCAAGTTGCACTCGCTGTGGTTTGCCGTACAGCATTGAAGCCATTGTAGTGCCAGCCTCTGGGTCAAAGCCGATGAAGTATTTGGTGCGATGTCAAAGTCGTAGAGATTATTTTTGTCTCGAAAAAGCATGTTAGTAAAATCATCGTGTCAGAATACCGACCTACCTCCCACAGGTTCAAGCCTAAACCGCACATCAGGGCGATGGCCAGCAATCTGCTTAGTATTATTGGATTTATAGATTGAAAATGATACATTTAAGTCCGAGCCCGCGTAAAAAACGTATGTAAGGTTGATCGTGTCCGGAAGTTTCCCTATCTCGTATTTCCGCTGTATTCTTTTCCAGATTGCTACACAAAGACGACAGCCATGCCGGCCACTGATTTTCAACGAAGACAACAGAAGAAGCTGCTTAATAGTCTTTCCAGGACGGAGATGAGAAAAGAAAGCGAGACAGGCATTACAAAGGTTGTAAGTTCTGTTGTTTTCGTCAAATGGCGTCGTAGCTTGCTCATCAAGCCAGGAGCCTTCGGCTTGCATTGCTAAGTCCAGTCGATACAAAACCTTACCTTGAAGACTTTGAGCAGATATATTGCAATGGTAGTCATGGGCAGCACAGCTAGCTCAGAAAATGTTGATTCTGAGTCGGATTTTTTTGTCCTTCGGCAGCGCTAACCCTGTTGTAGAATTAGGTCTTTTGGAAGGAGCGTTCATAAATCGCTGGAGCACAATGCGTATAGATGGAGTTCTTTGATAGAGCATTGAATTGTATGTATCTGGAGCCGACAAGTACAGCAATATACGTCGCTAACAATATGATCTATCATAACATCAAATACATGGTCATCGCATAGGGAAACCACTCGGACCCTCTCCATGTGTATCCTGTATCCTTAGTCCCCGAAAATTAAACGTAATCATTTGTCAATCTCATACGGAGTACTCCTTCGAGAAAGCGCCCTTTTCAGGATCAGAGCTGACAACCGATGCTCTGCGCTCCTCATGCACGATATCACCAATAGTTCCATCTTGGTCATGATACCCAATCTTCGTCTCACGGAACCCATCCAATTCCTTCGCACACAACGTGTTAAGATAGATCGGGAAAGCGAAGGCAACAAAGAAGCCCACAAGCGGAACGCACATAGCAATGTGATATCCCTTGTGATCCGCGACCAGCCCAGTAAGAGACGGGAAGAGTGCGCCGCCGCTGACGGAGGCCACAATCCAGGAGGAGCCACGCTTGGTGTGTCGACCGAGACCGCGGATCGCCAGAGTGAAGATTGTGGGGAAGACACAAGATTCGAAGAAGAGGACGATAGAAAGAACCGCGACACCTCCTTCACCTTTTGCGCCCATGGCAGCCGCGATGAAGACCATCACACCTGTCATGAAACCCATAAGAATCCAACGGGGCTTCATGACCATCATAGCGCCGGCTGCAGCAAAACGTCCGATTGCGAAGAGACCTTGACCAATGGCGTAGCGATCACTTCCCTCTGAGTCCGAAATGCCTGCGCTTTCGACCGAATACTTGATGAATTGCGATGCGACGGCGACTTGGGCGCCAACATAGCAAAACTGGGCTGCAACTCCGAAAAACAGCTTGTATTGTTTGCTTAGAGGCTTGTCTGCGTAGCCGGTCAGACCTGATGATTGCTCGCCTTGCAGCGCCATATCTGCGTCCGTGACCTCAGGAATGGGTGAGAAGTAGAACACGACAGCCAGGCAGAAGACGAAGACGGCGATGCCGAGATAGGTCCACTGAACATTTGTGAGATCATGGGGATCTGTTTGCTTGAAGAAGACTCGGGAGGCTAGCAATGGTGCCATGACTGAGCCGATTGCTTGGAAGGACTGAGACAGTTCGAGACGGAACTCGGAAAGCCTGGGAGGACCGCAGGTGGCAATGAAGGGGTTGGCGGATGTTTCGAGCGTTGAGAGACCGGAGCCGACAATGAAGAGCGAGCCACAGAAGCCAGCGAAAGACCTCTTCACAGCTGAAGGCCAGAACATCAGTGCGCCGACGCCGTAGATGGTAAGTCCAAGCATGAAGGTATAGCGATATCCGAATTTGCGAACGAACCAGCCACTGTACGTTGGAGGACCGATGAGGTATGCGCCAAAGTAAGCACCCTGAAGGCCACCGGCCTTAGCAGCGGTGATGTTGAGGGAGGTCTGAAACTTGGCATTGAGAACGTCGAGGAGACCGTAGGCAAACCCCCAGAGGAAGAAGAGGATGGTGACCAAGGTAATGGGAAGGATAGACTGCCTGACAGTGAGAGCAGAAGCACCTGTCAGGCCTTTGTTCGAGACGCTCTTGCGATGCTGGTTCTTCATGGCCTCCGCATTGGATGGCCTGCGAATTTGCTGGTCAAGCACTTCGGCCATTGCTGGCTCTTCTTTGGATCCGAACAACATGTTGGCGAGGGCGGGAGTGTTGTATGCTTGCTATCGAGTGAAATGCAGGGTCTGTTGACGTAATGAAGACTTGCTTGCAGATTGCAGCTTGCAGGATACACCGAAGAGCAGCGAGTGAGGCCTTCTTATATGCTTCATCTCCGCCTTCTCCACGTTTGGATGCTCTGACGTCCTCCTTCGTCCTCCATCGTCCGGACGATCTAGAAGCCATCTAGTGTGCTTCTAGAAGAATTTGATCAATGCTAGGATGTATACGCGAGTCGCTTGTTCGACAGCGGAATTAGATTGAATGGCTGTGCCCCCAGCAGAATATGACGCGAGATATCGACTAGAGGGAGATCTGATACGAAGGCGATAATTGTATGGACGACTTCCATCCTTGGCATACGTCGAGCTCGGCTTTTTTGCGGCTTAAAGCCCCGTTGTGGCTACCGGTCACTGTGATTGGTTTGAGGAGGCTCGTGTGCGAAGGCCAGATGCCCCCTTCTGCAGGCCATCCTGCATCATACGTGCGGTCACACCCGTAGCTTGTTTGCGAAGGAGGGGTCATAGCATCCTGCTTGTCTGCTTTGGGACTCTCTTGGCAGTCTGGTGATACTTCGGAGCAGGGGAGGAGGCACGGCAGTTGTCGTTGAAATGCGGGGATGGGTCTGGCCAGCCAGGCTAGCCATCCACGGACTAGCATAGCCGCTTCTCGGAAGACTGACTCGGGTGCTTGGCATCCCTAGCGCCGGATCTTATCAGAGACCGTGCGAGATAACCCGCCTTACGGAGGTCGGCGGCGTTCTAGACTTCTGATATTCTCGTCTGTCGCATGGCATTGACGTTGGTCGCCTCACAGGGCTGCATTATCTATTGAATAGTACGACATTTAGACTGCAGCCACACAGAGATTTCCTCACTAGTCCATCAACGCCTTCATCCGAAAGTCTTCATGTTGGCTCTCGCCACATGGAGGGCGATTCCAGGGGCCTAGTCTGGATCTTTCTAGATCAAACTTGCAGATTCAGTCCTTCGAATGGTTATGAAGCGCTTATTGCAGGCTCAACATGCTATCTCAACATGTGCCACACCGTGGTTCCGTATGTTTAGCCTTAGATTCTCTTTCCTTCCGGCTTACTACATCCTCTCGCTTCTACTTGCTCAAGAAGGGGGAAAACTCATGGAGGCTTGACTTTGGGTACGAGTCTCTCTCGTGACTACTGGAGTGCAGATTACTCTCTCTTAGCTGAGCAATTGAGATGTGAAAATGCCCTGAGGGTCCCATGCCTTCTTGAGCCCTTGCAGCCTCGCAAGCCTTTCTTTACCTCTGTACCGACGCTCGATCGGACCTGTTCTGGTGCCATTTTGGTAGTCAACCCACTCGCTGACATCGGGGCCCCTCATGATAGTCAGGCACTCTTCATTGTATGCATCTACTTTACTGCGATTATTGGGATCAGTGTGCCAGATAAGATTGAGTCTGAGAAGGTGCAAATATTAGCAGTCTCCTGTGTTTCAACATCCAATCGAGAGGACTCTACTTACTGCCAGTATCGAGTATCGTGCAGGCACATCGCTGATTCGAAGTCGGGCTTCTTGACTGGTCTCGAGTCCCACTGGAAATTGAATGCAGTATTGATGGCATCAGGACATTCGGAAACGAGCTCTTTCCACTTCTCGATACTCTGCAAGAACCGAGCACTATCAAAGCGACGAAGACCAACAATACCAAAATGCTTGAAATCTCCTTTAGCACCTATTGCTTCACGGCCATCACTTGTGTTTTGGATTGGCACCTGCGAACCGTTGGCCACGAGTGGCTTCAGGCCATACAATGGTGCGTAAGCCTCCTTGGCTTTCGCAGGCTCTCCAATATATCGAGCGGATACCACGAGCGAAGGTGTCCTTGTTGGAGGGGGCGCCATGACCATCATCAAGCCGGATGTCGCGTAATGATCGTCGTCCATCAAGATCTTCATAGCATTGGCTACCTCCTCGGCTCGTGACAATGGGAACACAAATGCGCCAACCCAGATAGTACCATTTTCACTCCCAAGTAGAGACAAAGGATACGCCTTGATGACTACTTCCGTTATGAGGCCGAAGAAGTGGCCAGCTCCGCGGATGGCCCAGAGCAGATCAGGTTGTGAGACTTTTGTGATATCCAAAAGCTCCCCTTTGGCGCTGACCAAACGCGCGGAGATGATCTGGTCGGATCCGAACCCAGTGATTGAGTTCGTAATGGATGAGCCTCCTCCAAGCGCGAAGCCGGTCACGCCGACGACGTTCCCATTTCCCAGTGCTATCAATCTGATTGTCAGCTCTCATCTCGTGTCGTACTCCGCAGCCAAGGATTTAGAAATTGTGGCGCTAACCCGTGAACAAGCCTTGCTCGGCAAGACGCAAAGCAACTTCCTTCTGTACGACACCTCCTTTGATTGTTGCAGTACGAGCTTCAGCATTGACTTCGACCGATGAGTAAAGTGTAAGGTCGATGATGAAGCCATCGTCTCCGATCGTTGACCATTCACTACATCCACCACTCTTCGTGACAAAGGGAATCGATGATTCCACGGCCCATTGAACGATGTTTTGAATGTCTTTCTCCCTTCGTGGCAATACTATGGCCGCTGGTATCTTGCGGTCGATATCAGTCCATCGCTTACAATACTCTCGGAATTCGGGATCCGTGGAGTCTTGCAGAATTGTGCAATCTGCAGAGACCACAAAGCGAAGCTCGGAAACGCGTGATTGAATTGACATTCTGTACGTGAGTACAGAAACAGATGGACTGGGCTTCATCAAGCCAAATACCATTGAGGCTCAGGATTCGGCTGACTGTTGGGCTGACTAGAGGCGGATGGTTTGTAGGGCCGAAAGTCCGTAGCAACCATGATGCCTGATGTCAGAACACTATGCGAGTGCCGTCTGATCATAGATGCTGCTCATAAAGACGAGCTTAGCATATGTTGATGGATTATGGGAGAATCGAAGGCGCTAAGTCTTGCAATTAATGGTATTGTTGGGTTTAGAAAATTGAAATCGGCCGCTTGGACGTCATCCTTCACTCGTAAATTAGGTCTGCTGGCCAACAGCATTGAGGTGATTGGTCAAATCGTACTTTTCTTGGCAAAGCAAAGCGAAGAGCCGCTGAATCGTCTGATCCGCCCAATTATGTGTATTGTGCGTTGCCATTTGCCTGATCATTTCAAGCTAACGAAGCCTTCGGGGGCCTCTTTGCGATTTATTGATCACGCATAGGTTGCCATGAAAGATCATTCACATAAACATCATCGATAAAAGGCAATATAGACGCCTGATCGTCATAACAGAGGTCCGCTTGAGCAACCTTGGTTTTGTCAGTCGGGTCAAATACAGCGAACCCTTAGAGAGACTCTGCGTCCACACTTAGTCTTTGGAGATTGAGTTCATTCTAATAATGGACTTCACATATTGGTCTTTGGGTGGTCTCCGCTGCTAGATCTTTAGGGCCCGGCGCCGGTGAGGAGAAGGGTTTCCGTCGATCTTGCATCGATATGAGTTAGCGGTCTACGACAAGTGGCATGAGTCAGCACTCTCCAAAACTTATGCTTGCCCAGATATGGTCACCGGAATGCAATTCAAAGCATTTAGTAAGATTCTTGTAACACTGCATACAAGGCTGCATGAACCGGCGCACATTCAACTAGCGCTTACAGCTTCACACACTGCATTCAAACAAAATTCGGAGTCTTTCCTCACGGATACCTTCTCATATCAACTACGTCGAACGAACCCAGCCGTCTCAGCGATCTACCCAATTGAAAATATAAATGGACACCTCCACATCAAACGACAACAAAGTCTGGTACGACGCAAATTGCCATTGCCGCGCCGTCCAGCTCCGCTTCAGAGTCACACCACTTTTCCCCACCGACACAGCACCATCACCCGAACCACTCAAACCATTCAATTGCAATTGCTCCATCTGCACCAAGAACGGCTACCTGAACGTCTACCCCAAGGATGCCGACACGGACATCGAATGGATCAAGGGCCAAGATTCAATTAGCGAATACCGCTGGGGCACGAAGGAGGTGGGGCATAAGTTCTGCCCGATTTGTGGCAGCAGTATTGTGCTCATTGTTGGCGCGGCTATGTGGGGGGATGGGAGTGGGACGTCGAAGGTTGGAGTGAATGTGAGTTTTTTCTATGACGTTTGTCTTCGAAGCCTGGTGTCTAGTTTGGGCTCAAGAGCTGATCAAGTGCTTAGGCGAGGATGATCAAGGGGGTTGATGTGGACAAGCTTACGGTGCTGAAGAAGAATGGGAAGGATGACTGGGGCGAGAAATATGATCCTTGATTCAATCAGAAGACGGATGACTTGAGGATACGAGGGAATCTTTGGCGCGTGGATGATTAAGTGATCAACGATAATAAACATGTTCTGATATTAAAAGTAAGATGGACTCTAGACAGTCACCTGACCCCTGTGAACGTACGATCATCTTGCTGTACATCATTTGGGTGTCGGCCCTTATTTATTCATTCCATTGTCCATAGATCAAGATTTCACACCCTGCACATCAAGCAAAATAAACTAAGTCTGCAGACAAAAGACCCGGATAATTGTACCAAGCTTGTTCAATACAGGACTACGTCGCAAAATATGTACAAAATAAGGGTTTAAGATGCTAATCTCGTTGTCATGATACGGTGAGATGACAGACATGAGCAGCAAGATCCGACCCAAACCATCACCAGAGCTCACAAGTAGGCTCCTTGACTGGACAATTGAAGCTTTCTCGGAAATCGCGTGAATTTGCCAAAGTTCCCTGATATTTCTCAGCAGTGCAAAATAATTGAGCTTGGGGTAGCTTACCAAGATTCGCGCCCATCCAGGAGCATGAGGGTCACGAAAAACCAGCTCCACAGCAGTCTCAGGTCTTGTCTTACCACACCACCAATTGGAATATGAGATGAAGAATAGTTGTTCCTTTGAGAAGTCTTGCAACCCGGGTAATGTTTCACTCGCCTTGCGTTCTTCTATGGCTTTCCAGGCCTTGAAAGCCGCGTTTAAGCCGCCTGCGTCTGCTATATTTTCCCCCAGTGTCAACCTGCCATTTACGTGAAGGTCTTCGCCGTTTGGGTTTGGGACCTCAAAGTGTCCGTATTGGTCAATGAAGCATTGGGCCTTTTCTTTGAAGGCTTCAACAGTGGCGTTATTCCACCAGTCAGTGTAGTTGCCTCGTTCATCGTAATGCCTACCGGTAGAATCGAAGGCATGAGAGAGCTCGTGTCCGCTGACTGCTCCAAAAGCCCCATAGGAAAGATATTGTGGGACACTGGGATCATAGAACACGGGCTTCTGCATGATGCCGGCTGGAAACACAATCTCGTTGCCTGGAGGGTTGTAGTAGGCGTTGACAGTGTCAGCTGTCATTCCCCACTCATCCCTATCTGTTGGCTTTCCAAGTGCGGACCATTCACGATCGATATCAAATCTAGCAACTGACAGTGTGTTGTCGAAGTACGCGTTGTCACTGATGTTGACTGTCTCGTAATACAACTCCAGTGCAGATGAGTTTCGAATGTCGGGCGACTTAGTCGGATAGCCAATCTTTTGTATGATAGCGTGCACTAAATTGTGCAGCCGTTAGACTCAGATCAATGTGGCATCATTCAATATTGACAGAGGGAACCTACCTTTTTGTACGCCTAGTCTTTTCACCTCTTCACTCATCCAGTCTGCAGACTTAATCTTTTTGATAAACTCATGCTTGATGTCCGATACAATCTTGTCACCAAAATTTTTAGCCTCTTCCGAGAATGATTTTTGCACAAAGAACCTGCTTAGTATCCAACCTAAGCCGTAGTCAGCGGCCGTGACGCAGGTTCTCCATCTCTCTTCTGCTGCATCTGGCTCTTTGCCTCGGATTTGATTGTTGAATCTCTTGAGCGGCTTGACAGCATTGTCCTCGATTCTGCTGTGGTATCGCTGCACTGTTTTCCAGACAAAGTAGGCTTGCAGAGTTTCTGGGCTGGTCTCCTGGAGCACTGTAGCTAGAATTGTCAAATACGCAGGTGCGCCAACAATAACTTTGCCGATGTTAGGTGATTGAGGGGCAAGAGACGCTATCATTCGTTCAAAATCTATTTGTGGTATCAAGGTGCTAACCTCAGCGAACGACATGGGGTTATAGTAGTATGTGACATCCTCTGCCTCTTCCGTTGCTGGCGTTGCTTTGGCTAACTTAAGTTCAAAGTTGACAATTTTATCGACAAGGTCAGCGTTGTTCTGAAAAACTGGCCGGGAAGACAGCAGTGGAGCCGTCTGGTTAGCCTCTTCGAGAAGAGCCTCGAGGACTTGACCAATGACGGCACCATACTGGTTGAGAATTTCGGTATCCTCATAGTATTCTTTTGATGGTAGACCGGGCTGACGAGGGGCGTTAATGAACGGAACAACAACATCAGGATCTCGATCGTCAGGCTATCTGCGTCAGCTGAGAATGGTGAATGCAAGCGAGGGACATACTCCGACGCCTACATCGACCAAAGACGAGACCCCGATACTTGCAAGAAACGTTACAATCTTTGTGAGTGAGTCTTGGTGCTTAGATATGTATCCGACTCGTTGCTGCGTGGAAAGCTGAGGAGAAAATGGATTCAAGAGAGCAGAAGGGACATTCCTCAGAGAAGACAAAGTTTCGATATGCCGCAAGATAGAAAGCAATGGCTTGGAGCCAATGTCTCTTAACTTGTTCTCATCCAGACAAGCCATGTAGGCGTTTTGGATTTTGTTAAATATTTCACGGTCGGCTAAAGAAGTAGCCATGAAGCCCTCAGGAGAGAATGGAGACTCTAAAACATGACGTAGCACTTGCTCCCCACTTTCCGCCATCAATGCGGCAGTAGATGTGCGGCCTTGGTCAGGTCGAAGATCAACCCTCTCGCGGAAGCCTTCGCAAACGTATCGGTCAAAATTCGTACATGGGTCGATGTCGTGATAATTCGGAGATATATTCTCCAAAATTGCTGAAGCCGCCAGCACGCATGATGGAGTCAGGCAAACAGAATCCTCTGATTGTTCGGAGTCGGCAGTCGTGTTCAAATCTGACCACGTCAATACTGCAACGCCGCTTGAGGGTGGGCAAAAACTTACAAACAAAATACACACACAATGCTATGATGCCCCCAACTAGTAGCAATAAAATTGTGGCAACCATAAGATGTGCCCGCACCCAACGCCAGGTTCGTTGAAGCCAATTCTGATCGGAATCTTCGGCCTTTGGATCTCTGCTGTCGAGGCTTTGCTCATCTTGAACGTCATTCGCTAATAGTGGAGCTTGCTCGGATGATGTGGTTCCAAAGAAAGGAATCTTCTTAGTACTTGAGTTTTGATTTGCCGAACCATCCATTTTGATAGTTCAAGGGAATATTGCAATTGATTCAAACAATTGGTTCAAATCAATCAATTTTGGCGCGCAAATGGAAATGAAACTGGACCTAGAACCAGAAATTCGCACGGACAGACTTAATGAAAAGAAAACATTGCACACAACTTCGAGAACCTATTTCACCCTTTAGAGAAATACACTGGTGCTTGAGAGGGCCAGCGCTGGTGATGACGACGTCAAGTGCGGAACGTCTTTCCGCACTTTGCTCGCGAACGCGACCAAAATTTGGCGAAGAAAAGGCAGAAAGCCCAGTACCTCCAGCCAACATCCGACAACTTATAAGCTTCGGAAATTCAATATGCAGGCTCCTGTAGTAGTGATGAGTAAGTCTTGAAGTCTGGATCACCATCTATACCCGCTAAACAGCTCTTACAGATACCCAAGCCGGAGATCGGCAGGTGGGAAGAAAAGCACAATTATCGAATATAACAGCTGCAAAAACGTTCGTGTTGCCTCCGCTCTGATTGCGCTCTCAAGCGTTGACGCTCTCACAGTGTCGCCGACATAATAAGATCATGTCTTGGTCCAAAAGCAATGTTGAAAATGCTCCTTGACCCTATGGGTGGAATAGTACTCACAAATGATGGTCATGCCATATTACGGGAGATAGAAGTCGCACATCCAGCAGCCAAGAGCATGATAGAGTTGAGCCGGACGCAAGACGAAGAAGTGGGAGACGGTACTACAACAGTCATAATATTAGGTGTGCATGCCCGTTGCCTGGCATTGAACCTATTGCTGAATTTTTGCAGCTGGAGAAATCCTCGCCCAAGCATTACCCCAACTAGAACGCAACATCCACCCCGTCGTCATAATTCAAGCTTTTAAGCGTGCGCTCGCAGATGTCCTCGACATAATAGAAGAAATCTCCCTCCCGGTCAACATCTCCGACGACAAAGCCATGTATCAACTCATCTCCTCCTCAATCGGCACAAAGTTCGTCTCTCGCTGGTCGGAAATGATGTGCAACCTCGCTCTCAAAGCCGTACGGACCGTCTCCCAGGATGTGGGTGGCGGTAAGAAAGAAGTCGATATCAAAAGATACGCGAAAGTCGAAAAGATTCCTGGCGGAGAAATAGAAGATTCCCGTGTCCTCGACGGTGTGATGCTCAACAAAGACATAACCCACCCCAAAATGCGCCGCTTAATAAAGAACCCTCGCGTCGTCCTCCTCGACTGCCCGCTCGAATACAAAAAGGGCGAGTCACAGACCAACATCGAAATCAGCAAAGAAGAAGACTGGAACCGCATCCTCGAGATCGAAGAAGAGCAAGTCAAAGCCATGACCGACGCCATCATCCGCGTGAAACCAGACCTCGTCATCACCGAGAAAGGCGTCTCAGATCTCGCGCAGCACTTCTTCGTGAAAGCCAACATCACAGCCCTGCGTCGGGTGCGAAAGACAGACAACAACCGAATCGCGCGCGCGACAGGCGCAACGATCGTGAACCGCGTCGATGACATTCACGAGAACGACGTCGGCACGCAATGCGGGCTTTTCGAGATCGAGAAGATAGGAGACGAGTACTTCACCTTCCTCACACACTGCCGAATTCCCAAAGCCTGCACGATCCTCCTCCGCGGGCCTTCCAAAGATATCCTGAACGAGATAGAGCGGAATTTGCAGGATGCTATGTCCGTCGCCCGGAATGTGATATTTCACCCGCGGCTGGCGCCTGGTGGGGGGGCCACAGAGATGGCTGTCAGTGTGCGGCTGAACCAGATGGCAAAGGGGGTGGAGGGAGTGCAGCAATGGCCGTATCAAGCGGTTGCGGAGGCGATGGAGGTGATACCACGGACGCTGATACAGAATAGTGGGAACAGTCCTGTGAAGGTGCTGACGAAGTTACGGGCGAAGCATGCGGAAGGCGGAAGCACGTGGGGTGTAGATGGAGACAAGGGGACATTGGTAGACATGAGGGAGTATGGGGTTTGGGAGCCGGAGGCGGTGAAGTTGCAGAGTGTGAAGACAGCTGTAGAAGTGAGTGTTTCCTTTCTCAAGACAGTAAGGAGGGTTGATGTCAGGATTGTGCTAACGCTGCATAGTCTGCTTGTCTGCTGCTTAGAGTTGATGATATTTGTAGTGCTAAGTCTGCTAAACAAGCTGGTGGGGCGGCTATGAATGGTGGAGGGGATGATTAGGTTGGTTTATGTATATGTTCATATGTACTGTGGATGTATGATCCACGAAATCCTAGGATTACGAGATATAGAGAGCGAGACTAAGAAGCTCAAAGCCACCAAGCAAGAACCTCGATCATAACCGCTGCAAGCAAGTCATTAGTCGTTAGCCATGTTTCTTTTTAACGTACTGATCCATCGACTTCCATTTCCTTTCTCTGCAAGCCGTCCACCTCATTCTCCTCCACATCACTCTGATCGCCCAGGGCATCTGCTCTCGCCCTCTCCTCATCATCAACGGTATTCAGTTTACCCCTCAGCGCCATTTCCATCGCTCCGGGTTTCGGCAAATTTATTTTTGGCTCCTGAGGTTGCACGACATCACCGTCCAGTATCGCAGGGGAATTAGCCCCAGACTTAGAGCCTCCTCCATCACGACCAGCGCTGAGATAATCAATCATCGGAGGACGGGGTTTCCTCAGCTCTGGCACTGGCTTTCCAGTCTGACGGTGCCGACCATTCTCTGCAATCTTCCCTAAAGCAGGTTTACCAACATTGCCCTTCCCCTCCTGATCTTGTCCATCTTCGCCTTCCTCATCAGCAAATATCTCCACAGTATTCTTCCTCCTTATAGCCTGCCTCCTCGCGAAACCGACCCCACTCTGACTCGTCCCATCTCCATAGTCGCAACCATAATACCTCTTCCTTACGGGCACCGGACTCTCTGGGCTTTGTACCTCGGCCTCCTTTTCCTCTTGTCTTTCCTTCCGCAATTGACTCCACGTCCTCAGCTCATTCTGTAGCACAAACTTTCCTGTGCCTGACCCCCCACCAGCCCCCTCTGCCTTATCCATCTTTAGAACCACCATCTCACAATGGTCCACATTCCTCAAATCCTCAAAATACTCGACAGAGAAGTGGTACCATTTCATCAAGAATACCCTCGCCATAAGACCATGCGTGACGAGAACGCAGACACTGGCGAACGTTTCTTCGGCGAAGCTTCGCCAAAGGGACTCGTTGAAGCCGGAGATGCGGTCGTACGCGTCGGCGGCGGATTCGCCGTTGGGTATTCGGTAGAAGAAGTGACCGTAGGCGGCGCGCTCTTGCCACATTTGAGACATGGCGTGTGAGGAGGGCTGGAAGTTGCCGAAGTCTTGTTCGCGGAGACGGGGCTCTTCGTAGACTTTTATTTGGGGGCGTTGGAATGGGGATGGGATAGAAGAGGTGATCGGAGCAGGGTGTGGAGAGTCAAAGGGAGAAGAGGTAGAGGAGGGTTGCGAAGAGGCAACAGGGGTTTTCGGGGATGGTTCATCTCCCGTTAGAGCGTTAAGGATGCCTTCGGTTGTTTCGCGGGTTCGTCGGTAGGGAGAGGTAAAGAAGTGTAGTGTATCCGTAGGAGAGAGGAGGCCGCGCAGTTTCTTGCCGCATGCTTCGGCCTAGGTGTTCACGGGTCAGTGGTGTAATTCGAACAAGCGATGAGGCTAGTATGAAGAGCGAGACGCAGAATGCATACCTGCTTCCAACCCTCTGGTGTTAGCTTGACACGATGATCTGGCGTCGTTTGATGTATCTCTCTGTTCTCTAGGCACATTGTTAGTGAGCGGTACGGCTAAAAACCTCTTGTGAGGAAGGTACCTTGAACGTACTGTTCCCTTCTGATTGGGCGTGCCGAATGAGGATGATTAGCTTGAAGAGGTCAGGGGCGAACTTCAAAGATTGGGCATAAGACTCACTCGAGGCTTCCCCATGCTTTCAGGAGATCTAATACTGACAATGACAGTGACGCTGAATGTTGATAGAAAGCAGCTTTTCTTGTCGATAAGCCTGCACTTGTCCGAATCTGTCGTAGTGGCCCCTTTAGCGTGCCGGACTCGCCTCAGGGGCAAACGTTCAAAAGGGCTCTTGCCTCCCTTTTCGTAGACAATTCAGCCTTTTCTGGACGTGCAGATACTTGAAGCAGCCGACGTAAACAAGTTGTAGGACTGCAAGAGGCTCTTCCAACTTTACGCCCCTGCCTAGAAGCCTATATAAATTTCTTACCTATTTCGGCCATATTATCAAATGCTTCGTGGAGGAGGAATCTAGCTATTCTTAACCAATTGCACCCTTCTGACAGTCATTCTTAGCCAACTGGAACCCTGCAAGAGGCTCTTATATCTCCTCTTCTTCAGGAAAGAGCCAGGAAACCTCGCTGCTACGTCTACAGACGCCGAATTTAGTCATATCTCAGGAAAGTTCAGCCACCATAACAACTTGTATTAAAGAACTAAAACAAGCCCGCCAGGGGCGCCTCTCTCACAAAACAACACAAAACAAACCACGGCACAACCACAGACACACCGAAACCAACCACAGAACCGAGCCACGACTTCTCAAAACGTCTCATATGCCTCCCCCTCACTCCTTCCCCTTCCCCCCTCTCCTCCCTTCCTCCCCCCAAGCCCCATCTTGCCCCATGCCTTGCGCACGGGAGGGCCCTCCCGGCGCGCCGCCTCCTCCTTCTCTGCCTCCGCCTTCTCCCTCGCCGCCGCCCCTTGGCGCGTGAGTCCGCGAGCGAACTCTTTCTCGGCCTCATCGGCCGGATTGGAGTTGAGGGCTGTGGCGGGGCCCGGTTGGTAGTACCTCACCGCCTGGGCGGTTTGGACGGAGTTTTCGTCCCCGGAGTATCTGCTGGAATTTATCGAGTCACTTGGTGACTCGGCGCTCTGCTCTGCCGCCGCAGTTGCGGCCGTTGCGTCCCTCGACGACTACGTCAAGGTGAGTTAGAAGTGAATAGCTTAGGTAATTGAGACTTACTTCTCGTAAAGGCCAGTTTGGGATGGCTGCCCCAATTCTAATGCCCCGTGGGCGCTGGTCTCCTGTCCTCTTGATCTGAATCCGAGGGGACTCATCGTCGTTCTTTGGCGGCGGGGTGGGGGCTCGATCGTCGACGCGGCGGATTGAAGCAGGCGTGATCTTGGTCGGCGTGGTGATTTTCGTGACGTCCGACATTGAGTAGCTGCCGCGTTTTTGGCGTCCCATTGGGTACGCCGCCCGTGGGCTGGCCGGCACAACTCGCTCCTTCTTCTTCTTCTCGGCATCTCCTGCGACGAGGTCCACGATGCGTGACTCTTCTATGTAGTCAATTAACTCCTTAGCTTTATTGCGCTTAGCGCTCCTCTGAGATTCCGGCGACTTGCTAACGTCCTCGGGTGTGCTACTGGCTGTTGCAGTCTTCATCAAAGCATTTCGAACCGGTGGCGAGCTATGGGCGGAGGTGGAGATAGCAGGAGTCGGGCTTGGTGTACCGAAGTTCAGCTGCTTCTTCAGCGTGCTCTTCCATTCTTCTGGCCTCATGAGTTCGAAACCACCATCGTTACGTCGGTCTAAACAAGATCTCCCGTCCTGCAAAATCATGAATGGCAGCCCGGTCTTGTCAGAGATGTCAAGTGCTTGCTTAATTGCATTATCGATGATTTCCTCGCTAGCAGGCCACCCAAGAGCGATCAATTCAGGCGTTGAGATTTCAGGTATGAGACGTCCGCCGGTTTGGGGTTTTGCTGTTGTAGAGAGAGCAGTCGGTGATTCGTGCGAGCCAAAATCTTCCGAACGTAATTCGGATTGACCTTGACGTCGATGTAGCTTTGGTGAGGCATGTAGAAGGTTCTTGAAGTTGAATGATCCTGCGCGTTTCCTGCCAGGCGCTGATGAGGTTGAATGTTTAGATGAGGGAGATGCTAATAGATTATTAGCCACAACGGTCCCTGCAATAGTGCGCTGATCATTGTATCATGCACTATGTGCTCCACGGATACACATGAGCCATTGGACACACTGATGAGGTCGACTCACATGGATAATCTAGGCTAACGAAGCTCACGTCTTCGCTCTCCTCAGATGAACCGTATCTGACGGGATATAATATTTGCTCAGGCGGTGTACCATAAGTAACATTGTCCATGACAGTATCATGAGTTACTACAGTGTTTACCACCCGTCAATAGTGTACTACATATCTACTACGAACGACAAAATACTTACCCAAACTTGAGTCTGATTGATGAGGCCCGGAAGTCTTTCGAAAACGGAATCTCGCGTCAGAAGTGTGTTGTGCGGAAGAAGCTTCTGATCCTGGTTGCTCCTCAGGTTTGGCATGGGGGAAAGCTACTTGATGACTAGACGACTCCTTAGGTCTGGAATCCGCTATATGATGCTGATGAGTGAAGGTCCCTTGAAAACCGGACGGCATGGAAGGACTTTGGAAGGGGGAAGTTGCTTGAGGACCTGATTGCACTCCACGGCTGTAATGAGGAGAACTCTGTTGATGACTAGATGAATCCATAGGTCTGAAACCCGCTGTAGGATGGTGATGGGCGAAAGCTCCTTGTGGACCGGATGTCATGTAAGGACTATGAAAAGGGGAAGTTACTTGAGGACTCTGTTGCACCTGAGGTGTGTTTGATGGGGAATTCTGTCGAGAACGATATCGAGAAGGCTTAGAAAAGGGTGAGATTTCTTCAGGACGGAGCTGTATGTCAGGTCTGTATTCTTGAGAATCGGATTGCGCCTCAGGATTGGGATATGGGTAAATTTCGTAAGGATTAAGTTTCACCTCAGCTCCATGAAATGCGGAAGTCGTTAGAGAGCCTTTACGTGTCGGGTAGGTGGGCATGCCTCCTGAGGGTGTGGGGAAATAATCACCAGTGATGTTTTTGGACGGATCACGACTTGCCGAAGTATCTTGAGTGTTAACACTTGTCTCCACAGTAGCTGTGACCATGCTAGTGTCATAGCGATCTCTAGAACTGCTGGAATGTATGTTGGATGTCTCAGCATCATGCTCAAGGTCTCGACTGGCTTGGTCTTCTTCTGCTACATTGGAATGTTCTTCCGTTGAGGATGGATACGAATCATCACCACCTCCTTGAGAATGAAGCAAAGGATCTTCGGGCCCTTCACGGTTCGATTTAGTTGCACGGCCAGTAGCAATGTCTGTGATTCGTCTTGTAATCTTCGGTTTCTTCTCGCTTGCGCTCGGGCGGCGATTACCCCAGGGCATCATCTTGTCGCAAAGCGCGGTGGCGAGGTGGCAATAAAGCGATCCGATATCGGTCTAGAAACTAGAAATGAAGCGATGAGAGCAATAGCACGATGGTAGCTAAGTGATCAGGCCACGAGTACTTTGAGAGTGCGTATTCAAGAAATTGTGGATGACAGGAGCGATGGTGTAGCAAAGAGAAAGGAAATTGCTTGAAGGCATTGTTTACTTAAAGTGTTGTAATCTTAAAGCTGTCATCACATAGTGATGATGGCGATCCGACTTTGGCGAAGGCTGTCCCTGTTCTATCTTGACACAGCGGCCTCAGAGAAAGGCACGGCACGCTGACTCTCCTGCTGCACACCACCTCTCTGTCGTTCTGAGGCTCTTAGCCAGGGTCAGATCTCCGTAAGCATTTGCTCTCCTGGATTCGTTCGTACACTAGCAATAACATCATGACTGGGTCCTGCTACTAGCCCGAGTTTAGCATACCATCAACCCTTGAGATCGCAAGAGATTTGCCTACCATGTAATCCATATTGGTCCATCTCAAGAGAAGCCCTTTCATAAATCCAGAACGACAATGGTGTCGGCCAATCTAGTGACTTCCTGCATCATGTCACAAGTGGAGTGTTGGTAGCAATGGAAAAGATGACAGCAACAATCGAACGAACGACTAGGATCGCCAGGAATCCCGCAAGGAAGTATCCCAATCCGATGCCAGCAAAGACGACGGCATGGCCAGGATAGTACCAACACAGCAGCCAAAATGCACAGAGTATCCCAATCGCTTTATCATACCAACGCTCCAGGACGCGACGCATGGCGGCAAAACAAAGAGATTCAACAAAAATACTTCCCAAGAAGAGGAAGAGTAAGACGAAGAAAATCATGCGCTCTCAGGAATCAGCACGGAAGTAACAGCGTCGTCAACAACTTTGCCACTCGAGCGGTCACTGCAAATGTGACTGGATCTGCAGAAGTGAATCTGAGAACTCAGAGTGAAATGTTCAACCATCATCGGTAGCTCTTGCAACGAACGCCCTGAGTTTCAGTCACATCTCTGCATAGCAACAAGGAGCCAGAAACACACTTATCTGGGCTGTCATTTTATGCTTTCGTCATGGTTGAAAAGGTTGGCCAGACAAGCCGCGGCTTGACATCCAGCCACCAAATTAAAAATCTGGTGTATGTTGCACTATTCTAGCCACATGTCCTCCCGACTTTCAACGAGAATTTCTTGAAATAATGAATACGGGATAGCGTGCGGTCTGTGGCTTTTTGGGTTCAACGTTAAGTGTAAGGTAAAGCGTACGCGTCGCCAATGATCGACCAACCCTCTTCTTTTTCGAAAAGGGTTACTGCAGTCTCAAAAGAAGTCAATGAGAGAAGGGAAGTGCGCCTCCCTTAGAGAAACGTGATCGCTTTACCTTTCTATCTATTGGAAGTGTATGTCAGTGGGCATACAGTCGATATGAACGGCCATGTTACCTCGCTCGCTTATTACCGCTCACTCCAATAGACTCGCTTGATTAGCATACAGCACATCTACCACATTGCTCAGACTCGCAATTGTCTCCAATGCAGCATCGTACCCCCCGTCCCTCTCCGCCTCCTCGTAGACGATAAGGCACCCAGCCCCCTGATCCAGCACTCCCACAATCACCTTATCCAAGATCATCTGACTCAGTTTCCTCTCTACCTGCGCGATATCTAGCCCCACCATCTTGGCCACATGTTTGATCTCCACCCTCGAAAACGGTTCAATGACCTTGCAAAGATTCTGCTCCAGCATAGCATCATACAGCTTAACCAGATGCCTCTTCACAAACGCATCCCCGCCCAACTCGTTCCTATACTTCCCCAACGCACGCTCGTACTCTTCAAGACTCCTATTCGCATGTGCAGTCGCGACCGCTTTCATGGCTTCTAGACTGCTGCTCTCGTATTTCACCGCGCTCTTACTCGCCAGCAGCTGCGTGACTTCTTGATTCGCGTTGTCCATGACTTTGCAAAGCAACATGTACTGCAACGCACTTGTCGCCTTCGCTCCCTCATCGAGACTCTGATAACCCTCGAGCGCCTCCACGAAGTAACTGTATGATGTTCCAAAATCTCCGTCCGCCGCATGCAGTTGCCCACTCTGCATATCCAGCCCCGCTTGCAGCAGTGGAGGCGTGTACACACTAGCAGCGCTCGTCCTTGCACTAGTGAGTGCAGCTCTAGATTTCGGTATATTACCAAGGGCGGAGTAGACGCGCGACTCGAGGAGCTGGACCTCAACAAGGACGAGCTTGTCGTCAAGACGTTTTAGTTCTTTGAGGAGGGTGTTGATGAGGGATAGGGCGTCGTAATAAGCGGCTTGAGACATGTAAAGGGAGACGAGGCGGGTTTCAAGTGACTGTTTTACAAAGCTCCGGCGCGTAGAGATGGCCCATTCGATACAGGATTTCGTGGTTGAGATTTGGAGGGGAGTTGTGCTTGGGTCGGAGGAGGGGAAGAGATCGAGGAGTTGTCGAACTATAAATTCAGGTCAGAATCTGAACAGTTGTACTGTAGGGAAGGGCATAAGTATGGCTGTACCTATTTTTGCGGTCTTTGCTTTCGGGAAGGAGGTTAGGGACGAGGTGCTGGATTTTACAAGGCTGGAGAGGTCGTTCCATTTCTTTTGAGATTGGTAGGTCTGTCCTAGACCCATCAAGGCAGCTTCATATTCTTGGAAGGCAGCGACGGTGCCGCTGGGCTTTTGGGAGAGTATCTCTTGATAGATTGATTCGGCTTTTTTAGGATCTGATTTGACGGCTTTTCGCGCTTCTTGTATCCGTGGTGAGGCTTCTGCCTCTGCTGCCACAGCCATCGAAGTCTGTGATATTGACGAAGTGGATGCCTCTTGGAGAGTCCGGAGAATGATGAACCTTCGTAGTTTCGCTGACGCGAAAGACTTTCACCAGATTCCTAGGGCTTCGAATGCGGAGATAAGACGGAGATATACTCTTGTTAGGGAGATCATCCAGCCAAGCCAGAGCGTCTGCTAAGGTAGATTCATACACCACTCAGAGTCCCCTGAATTTCACAGCCATTATGAAAGCTACCATGGCATACTGCAGGTCTATTGTAAGTAGAACCTGAGGCAACACATCTCAGTAACAGCCTGGGAACCGGACCCTCGCTCAATACCTTTGATTTGATTTTTTCTGCCGCGCATTCCAATCGCTTTCTAAGGTATAACATTTCGCTTTCTATTTCGGAAAGCAGACCTCCATGAGCAGGTGGATCTTCACACTCGCCAATCTTACCAATTTGGGGTGAGAGACCCTCACATGGAAGCGAAATTCGCCTTCTTGGATTAATGAATCTGCAAATCCTTTGCAGACCCAATTATCGCGACTCATTCCCCAGTATGCCGTGAGGTTTCCACGCTCATTTTCGTCCACAAAGCATGTGAAATCGGTTTCGCCCAATCGAGCAATTTCGAGATTCACACTCGATTGACTCATTGAGGGTTTAACACTACAATTATAGATATCAAGTCCAACTCTAGGCCAGTACTCACGGTTATGGTGCGGAACATAGTCGGGGGCTTCCAGTTGCATAAAGCACTCAGTATCCATATCTCTTGGTAAGTTGTGAGTCGCTTTTGTTTTCAGAGTACTGTGGGCCGCCTGCACTTCGAAAATGATTTTCTCAACACGGCGATATCTCCAGTGAAGGATGTAATCGCGGACATCAAGTGGTTTTGATTTTGAGTGACTGGACGGTGCCGTTGCCTTACTTATCCGAAATGACATTGGACGATCTTCACCAAACAAGGCCTTGATCTTCAGTCCTTCTGTTGCCAGATCTAGTGGAGGTACGTTAAATGCATTGTGTTGTTTCCTCGTCTTCAAGGTTCGCTTCTTTCTACCAAACCATCGTCGGTTCTCGTAGTACGTTTCCTTATATGATTCTACTTCACGTACATGGAGAGTTCGATAGGTGTAAGTCAGACGCGTTGTTTGAAGCGCCTCAACGATATATCGAAAAACAATAGTCACGAGCTCTGATGGCAATCGTTGAAGCAAGTAGAATTCAATTGCAAGCAAATCTTGCGAAGACCTGAATATACGGACATCAAACAGATGTTCGGATTGCTCTGGAAGATGGTTATGATCCCGGGGTGACAGTGGAGTAGCCTGGCTAAATGGGAGCATCTTTCGTACTAGATGGTTAAATGATCTTTTTTCGTTTGTGTAAGCCATATTGCAAAGCCTGTGCCTGCAAAAACATGCATTAAAGCCAGGACCGAGGCATTCAAGGTTGAATGCTGGATCTCAAAAGAAACAGGCATCGATTGCACATAGCAGAAAACTTTGTATGCTAGCAAGAAAGCATCACCTCAGAGTCCTAATGTCAATCGCCCGCGAGTAGATGATCGAATGGTAACTCCCGCCAAGAGTCCAACTTTCTGCTAAGGGGCATCCACCCCAAGCTTCCGGGTAGATTTTGTCTCTCGTGCGTAATTATGAGACCTGCGTCCCCACGATATTTAATATCAAGTGACAAATTTTTTTTTTCTTTCACTTGCCTTAGCACAGTGAGCTGCTGAGAGCCCGTGGCAATGGTAGTGAGAGCATCTCTAGCAGTTATAGAACTTTTGGCTGACGAAACAACAGAAGATTAAAGCGCTCACTCGTCCTTCAGTCTCCCAGCAAGCTTCAAGCAGTGTTTCTCGTCAGCCTCGAAATCTTGATCCTGCTCTTCATCCGTTCGAACGTGCAAGAGAATACACAAGGGCACTTAATGCCACTAAGCTAGAGCGTGTGTTTGCTGCGCCCTTCGTGGGCCAGCTGGGAAGAGGTCACGTCGATGGAGTCTACTCTATGGCAAAAGACCCAGAGTCGCTGGAAAGATTTGCCAGCGGAAGCGGAGATGGAATCGTAAAAGTATGGGACTTGACGAGTCGAAATGAGATATGGAACATGCAGGCACATGAAGGCATCGTTAAGGGATTGAGCTGGACGAAGAACCGCAAACTCATCACATGTGCGAGCGACAAAAGCATAAAGGTGTTTGATCCATATAATGCTCCCGCGAACCAATCTCCCTCGGCGACATATCTAGGCTCAACACCTTTTACTGGCGTGTCACGTCATCGATCACAGCCAAGCTTCGCTGCATCTTCCAGTACTATCTCCATCTACGATCTTTCCCGCCCATCAGGAGCCCCCACACAGAGTCTGCATTGGCCTACCAGCACCGATACAATCAATACTCTGTCATTCAATCCAGTTGAGACCTCTATTCTTGCTTCGTGTGCAACAGATCGCTCCATTGTTCTTTACGACCTTCGAACATCTTCCCCACTCTCGAAAGCCATACTTAGCCTTGCTTCGAATGCCATATCTTGGAATCCGATGGAGGCGTTCAATTTTGCTGTAGCAAATGAAGGTGAGAGGACTGAATCTTCAAGCCCTTGGTCATTGATCAGGATCGCTAATTGATTCAAGATCATAATATATACATATTCGATATGCGAAAAATGGACAGGGCGCTCAACGTCTTGCGGGATCACGTGTCAGCAGTGATGGATGTTGAATTCAGCCCAACAGGCGAAGAACTCGTGTCGGCCAGTTACGATCGCACAATTCGCCTGTGGAGTCGGTCCAGTGGTCATTCACGAGACATATATCATACTAAACGTATGCAACGCTGCTTCTCGGCGAAATGGACAGCGGATGCTCGTTGGTTACTCAGTGGTTCTGACGATGGAAACGTCCGAATCTGGCGAGCGAATGCTTCGTCTCGAGAGGGCATCAAGAATGCACGCCAAAGACAGAAACTAGAATATGATGAAGCTTTGAAAAAGCGATATAGTCACATGCCAGAACTGAGAAGGATCAGCCGACACAGACATGTGCCAAAAAGTGTGAAAAAGGCTGACGAGATAAAAGCTGAAGAGCTGGCCGCCATCAAGAGGAGAAGGGAAAATGAAAGAAAGCATAGCAAGAAGGGCAGCATACCAAGAAAGAGTGAAAGGGAGAAGATGATCTTGCAGAATGAGCAATGATGGACCCTGGCGCGTCCTTCGTGACTAATGACCAGATGTCAAATTGAGCAGCCTGAAGATCCGGGGACCGGCCTTGCGTCTCGTCTATCATGCTGACGATTCACATCCACAAACCAGCGCACGTGATCAATCAGATCCTTTCCAGATCTTGAACAGCCGGCAAGGCTGACAATGAGCCTCCACGACAGCGATGCGGGGAATATTTGGGGAAGATCCGTGCTCTGCAGCTCCAGCGTGGGGGCTTGGTGACCCTTGATCTCAGACTTGGCCAATCATACATGTTTGGAAGTACGTCGAAGCCGAAGATGCAGGCCCCAAAGTCCCGTCTGAAGGGATTTGTGCCGGAAATGGAAAGCACGAACAACGGGAAGGCCGGCGAAGCTGCCACGTTCGCACCGCCAGATCCATTAGTGCCTTGAGCCGGTGACATGTCTTTGAGCTTGATTCGCCTCTTATTCTTAGCCCTGCTACTCCTCCGGACTTCTGCTGCTGCCATTGCGCTATAAGCATTTGTCTGTCGCAGATTGGTTAATGATCATTTCTGGGCGATCGATTGGTGTAAGATTTCTAGCGCCTTTTTTTGTCCTTTGCTGTACGGCACTTTGCCTGATGAGATCATCTTTGGGAAATTCACTCGAGTCATCTCGCGATGGTATTGACGAGGTTTCGCTGTGATAAGATTAAAGCTCGGAAAGTGGTCACGCGCTGCATTTCCGAAAGTGACCAATTGTCAACACCTCAAGTATTGCATTACCCCAATTGGTCGTGCATGGTCCCCGATATCTCACGTAATTATCGTCCACCGAGTCTCTCATTCTCCAGTCTTTCAAACCCCCTTGATCCTCAGCAAGCAAAATTACAGCAATCAATCAACGTAACGTCCATGGGTCGCCCCTCAGTCGTTGCAGAGCAGTACCACAACGCCAATGTCGGACACTCATTCCCCGCCTCGACGCTCTGCTACCTTCCCGACAGAAGGCGATTCAAGCCCTCATTCTCCTAAAGCCATCAGCTTTGCTGCTGCCCACACCTCTCCTTCTCGACCAACGACAGCTGTAAGCCGGCTTTCGGTTGATGTAATAGGCCACCCTCGGCAAGGATCACTCGGTGTACTCACCAGAGCAAGCACCGAACCCTTGAGTCATGGAGACAAATGGGCTGACGCCTGGACTGACGTTCATGAAGAGCGATTGATCCTCGTACAATCGGAACTCAAGAAAGCGCAAAAGCGCTGGAGTGAGAGCCAGGAGATATGGCTTGAAGAGGTATGATCTGTACTACCCAGCGTAATCCTCGAAGATATGGCAACTAAACAATTCTAATTCCGAGCACGACTGACGACTTGGACTAGGAAATGCAACTGCAAAGCCAAAAACGCAAGCATCAGCGAGCACTCAAGAGCAAAGAGGATAGCGCCCGTAAAGCTGCAAAGATCTGGAAAGCAAAGACATGGAAAGTGGGCTCCCGCAAGCCCAAGAGGAAAGGCTCCGCAAGCGATGCCACAGGTATTTCAGGCGGTGACACACCCAGTGACGACGAAGACGGAGCCGTACTCGAAAAGACCGACACCTCGTCAACGCTGTCGAAGGCAATGCGCCGGCTAAGTCTGTCAGTCAGGTCAAGCAGGAAGGGCTCGATCACGAATACACCCTCAGCGTCTGGGGCTGTCAGCCGGGACGATAGCCCCGTGCGGTGATCTTTAAGAAGGATAACTGCGGAAGGGACCCAGAGGAAATAGATTGATTACAGTTGCAAAACATAAGACAGACATGCGCTGGACGCGGGACCCAAGAGAACTGCTACTTGCTCATGTTTTGAGAGTACATTAGATTGAGTGAAGAAGTATCATGCGCAGGACAGACCTTGCTATGACAGATTACAAGAAGAGGAGCGGAGTGGGGTATCATACGAATCAGAAGAAAATCACGACCCAAACTCCCCTTCCTCCTTTCTTTCTCTACCTTCTCTCCCACCCAGCTTTCTTTCGACCCCTGATTACCCACGCCAACCGTCGTACAGCCTCATCCGCTGCCCTCCCCTCCCCTATCTACTTCCTCTCCTCCCCCTCGACCCCTCAACCCAGTCCCTCGCCTCCTCCCCTGGCGTCCTACATTTGCCAGGCTTACAAAATAACCACTCTCCCCACCGATCCCCGCCCAGTAACGGCATCAGATGCCCCATCGCCCAGATGGCGCCGTACATCGTCCACTCCGCAAACACGCCGAGGTCGCGTTTCTTGTCGCCGTTACGGGACGCCATTTTTGCTACTTTTGTCACGCGCGGACGGCGGAGTGTGTGGTATTGATCTAGGATGGTGGAGAGTGTGAAGGAAGGGGAGGGAGGAGGGGATTTGGAGGCGGGGTTAGGGGAAAGTAAAGGGGAGGGGGAGGCAGGGTTGAGGTAGGAAGTCAGCAGGATAGAAAGAACTTCCACGTCCTCCAGCGCCATGGACACACCTTGTCCTGCTGAAGGCTGCATCGCGTGGGCTGCGTCGCCTACCAGTACTACCCCCCATTCCTTCTCGCTATCACCATCGTCCTCCTTCCCGCCTCCCTCCTTGTCCCCACCCCCGCCGGATAAATACCATGTCTGAAGACTCTCCAGCGGGACCACCCACGTCGGATACACGGTCTCTGGTTTCGCAGCGTTGATCACGCGCTGGATCACGGGGTCCGTCCAGTCTTTATGTCGCGTGCGTAGGGAGGCAGCGACTTCGGAGGCGTTTATGGGACTCTTGGAGTTGGGCGGGTGGGGCGAGGAGTAGGTGCTCCACCACCCTATTGATGGATCAGTGCGGGTTGAGTTGGGGGGAAGGGTGGGGCTGATGGCGCCGTAGCCGAAGAAGCCGTTGGGACCGAATGTGAGGGTCATGGTGCTGTCGTCTAATTTGGGCTTGGTAGGGTGAGGTCTGGAAGGAGAGGGTGATGATGGGGAAGGGGGAGATGGAGGTGGAGATGGTGGGAGCAAACCTCCTATGCCTACAAGACCGACGTACTTGGGGGAATGGTCGGTGACAGTGGAGCTGGGAAAGGCTTTGCGGACGATACTGTGGACGCCGTCGGTGCCGATTACAAGGTCGGCTTGCTCAGGAGGTATTGAGGCGTCGGAGAAGTGCAGCGTGGGCTTGCCTGTCACGTCGGATGGACTGGGGATGATGATGCTAGAGATGGCAGCGTGGGTTATTGCGTCGTCAGGGACGTGGGCGCGGATGCAGTCCCACAGCGTTTGCCGGGCGATTACGATTGTCGCTTGTGGCGGATCGGAGTAAGACGTGCAGGGCATCTGACCTAATTTGTGACCGTAGCGTGAGGAGAAGGTAAAGGAGGTGATAGGATGACCGGCATTGCAGATCGAATCGAAGAGAGTCCTATCAAGGCCGCGGATGACTTCAAGGCCATTGGGTGCGATGGCGAGGAAGCCGCCGATAATGAGGGCGTCAGGTGAAGCGGACGTGGTAGCACGGTCGGTGTATTTCTCATAGATGTGGATGCTGATGCCAGTGGGCTTTGGCGAGGATTCCTGGAGCACCTTTTGAAGGTAGAGGTAGAGCGTTAGGCCTGAAATGCCACCACCAACGATGATGATCCTCATTCTTGACGGTTAATCCGTTCTTCTCTGGTACCTCTGCTTGACCAATTTTGTTTTTTCAAGTGGAGAGATAGCATATGAAAAGCAGCGCAGGACTACGTGAAGAGATAAAGGGCATATATAGTGTTAGTTGTCTACCTAAGCTACCTAAGGTCCCAGGCAACAGGAAGTTGAAAGTATGTAGAGAAACTCAAGACAAGCCGCTAAGCCTATACTAATATTAATTGCATCGAGTGGTGGAGTGGTGGTTAGAACCAACTCACATGACATGCCGCTTCCACGTATAATTAGTCGCGATGGCGTATGCACTGTCATGAATTTTAGAGCCGATTATATATATTCATATGAATATAGTTGATATGGCCAAGCTCCAATACTTCAGTTGGGAGAGCGTTAGGTAAAATCTTGTATTCTGATAGTCCATTGCATAGCACTAATATCACATAGACTGAAGCGAACTTCAACCATCTACGTCTGAAGCTTACCCGTCCGATCCGGGTTTGGAGCATACTCCTTTTTTGAGATTTTCTCAAGTTTGTAATGCTGTCCACAAATGTCAAAATCATTTGCCTATGGTGAAACATGCTATTAATAGAATAATTGCTCAGAATGTCAGAGATGAGCCACAGCATTACTCTCCCAGGGTGTGCGCATCTCTGGGCTGGTGAGCTTCTGTCTACTCATGGCTACGACCACCTCCCCCGACGCCTAAAATACCAAATCAGAATGCCAGAAGGCCTTGCACTGCCAGTAGATGCACGTATGTATGTATCCCAGCAATGCCTCCCGATGCAGCAACGAGTATAGCAAGCTCTTTACAAACGATGTCTCTGAGCACCATACTTTTACCCGTTGATTCATATCGATTCTTTCCTCTAAATCTTGTCTTATCTTCAAGGGTTTCTCTCCTTTTGGCAGTGGACTTCCTTGTTAGAACGCTCAAACCATCGTTCCCGTCTTTCATAGCCCGAAGTTCCTTTCTCAATCTTTCTGATAGAATAGGGTCTGAAATGCCAATACCGACAATGATGCTCTTCCTTCTGATTGCTGATCCCTTCGTCCCATTCTCCACCCGTAGCCTTTTGTGTCTCATCAACTCCTGTTCATTCAAATGAAGACGTAGTACATGAAAAGCAGCGTATGATTATATGGAGAACAAACGGTGCACAGCAATCTGACATATACCACAGTGATGCAAAAGGTTTCAGAATGCATATCATAGCAACTACCATTTCACAAGCTTCAGGGCTACCTAACGGTCAAATAGAGTTCCCCTCGTATGATTGTAGCCGTCTGTCAAGAGGCAAAGGCCAGATGTCGGTGCCTGATGGCGGTCGGGCCATGGCTTCAGTCTCCGACCGGGAGCTATGGAAGGTTTCCTTATGTGATCTGCAAAGGAGGTCGAGTAAGGGAATCCCTCGCGTATCTGACCAATCGTTGTACACCTCTAGTCCGCCAATAAGACACTCATCTCGCCCAGGCAAAAAATGCCAATTTTCACGTCGGATCAGCCGTTGAATTGAAAACGTGCTTATGCCAAGCCTGAGCCTCAGTCTGGACCCGCGCTGTTTTCAGGAATTGGACGCTAGCTTCTTTGGGCAAGATGATGAGACTGTCTGCGGGGAGAGCTCGGACAAGCGCGACAAGTGCGGCAACTTATCTCGACCTCTTTTCACCCAATTATCATTCTTCTTTCATTCAAGCATTTCCACTCTCGAACCAACCATTCACTTCCCCCTTGCTGATGAGAATCCCATCCCACGGTCCCACAGGCTCCTTACGGTGACGGCTCCCAACTTGTCTCGTAACAACAGCCAACCTTAAGAGCTGTGCTGCAAGCCACCCACATCAAGTCACATCTGACCATGGATCTGCCCATCCCACGCATCCTGGGCCTCCCTTTCGACCCGTTGGGGCACAGCACGCAAGGAGGCTTTGAAAATGCTCTTCGACGATCTTCAAAGCTCTTCTTGAGGCATTGATATCGACCATATCCAATCCACCACGTGCCTTTTGCCTATCCACGCTACTATTGGCGCGTGGCTGCATAGTGCGTATCGGATGCACGAAATCTCCCTAGAAATTGGGGGTCGGACTGCTCGTTGATCCGGCCTTGTTGACTAGAACTGCAAGGGTCAGCCTGCAGGAAAGCGAAGGGCAAATCAGATAGCCGCTGCGGACAAGCGTCATCACCTGCTTATAATCCCCCGTGCTGTTTTCATGCAAATTTCATTCTGATGGGCTCGAGATATGCTGCCGCATCCTAACCAGTAGTCAGTACGATAAGTCTCAGGTATGTGTGAAACGGTCAACCTACAGGGTGGGGCCGTGACAGCTGCCACCCTCGTTCTCACTCCATCCCAAGCTTCTAGTGGCTGCGTCTCGATCAAAGCTTGTCCTCTTCGACGATTTGGAACCAACATGCAGCTCTGCTGAATAGCCGAGCCCTGGCTGACATTCTTGCGTTGATTACTACGCCCGCCAGTCATTTTACGCTCTGACTTTGGGCAAACCTTAGTCTCTTTCTTTTCGGTCCTGACCTTTGCAGTAGTCTTTACGACAACCTGTTACTGGACAACAAACCTATAGCTGAAAGGCATGACAAGTAGCTCTCAACTATGACTACCTGGTGGTCCAATGAGCGAATCTCAGCGACAATAAATCAGAATTATATCGAGAAAGAGCTTGGGTCCAAAAAGTACCAGGAAACCCTCCACCAGGTGCTCGCGTTCGGAGATGGCTTGACTGACGATACCTACGTCGATTGGATTCTTGAACGGAGTCAGCGTTTCTTCCTCATCCTCAACGACATTGGCGTTCCGGAGAAGATTTTTGAGGTCATCGACAGGTCGTTTGACGACGATGATCTCCCCTCTCTCACAGGACGCTTTGTGGGAGCTGAACCTATTCGGCACTACCTCCGAGACTCTCGACAAGAAGTTCTACCGTCACCAATTCTATTTCCTCGTACAAGATCTTGAGCCTGGCGGTCACGTTGATTATGGAACCTGGGACGCCATCCCCGTGGAGAGTACGATCAAAAAGCCTCACATAGCGGCGGCCACTCAATCTTCAGAAAGAGTCACTGTTCATGACCACCTATACACCAGAAAAAGAATTCCTACCTCTGGTCAAAATGGCATTGACCGTATACGGTTCATCATGCACCTCAAGAATATCGCTGCTCTACAACATCAACATCTTGTAACGGTATGGGCAACCTACTCGCAAAACGATTTCAATTACGTACTCCTCAGTCCTTCCTGCGATGTCACCCTCAGACATATTCTGGAAGACAAGGACACTGCCCGACCTTTCAAAGGCCTCGAAAAACATGAAAGGCGTCAGCTCTTGCTCTCATGGATCCACTGCTTAACATCAGGACTGGCGTATCTTCACTCAAGAGGCTTTATGCACAAGGCTATTCGACCGTCCACCATAAGCATCGATCATAACAATGTCATCCACCTCAATGACTACAATGCTCTCAGAGTACTCGACGTAGATGAGTCACCGAATCCATACAGTGGGGAAATTTACGACTATGCTCCACCAGAGAATTGGCAACGGAAGCCTACACTTCATGAAACAGCGCCATTGAAGACAACACTGCAAGGAGGAGGACGGACGACTCGTCGAATACCCAAAGCTCAATCTAATCATTCAGAGTCGAGGCGGCCGTCAATTACAGGCCAAGACAACCCACTCGACCGTACACACTCTCGCAGCCAGAACTCCTCTTCAGGATCATCAACAAGCCTTCGTCCACGTAACGCTCTCATCACAACCTTTGCCCCTCCAGAAACCACGCCTACTTCTTTGCCGAACAAGTATTTTCCAGCCGATATCTTCTCCTTGACGGGGGTCATCCTGACCGTTCTCTCCCACATCCTCGGTCACTCACCCAAAGCCTTTTCCTCCTATCGTAGTCGACCAAATCGATCCGCTGGTCGAGGCAACGCGCCTCCTGATGCCTCCTTCCACAAAAACCTCAAGCAAGTAGACAAGTGGATAGATATGCTTGCAAAAGAGGCTGGCCAAAAGGAAAAGAAAGATCAAAAGTTATGGGGCGCTATCTTTGAGATGATCAATCTATGTAAAAGGGGGTTAGCGAAAGAGCCGGATAAAAGAGTTGAAGCAGACGAGCTCGAGAGGAAAATGTACGGATGGGTAGACTGGGGCATTGGGCGACGGAACAAATGCGACTGCACGGAACCAGATCGGGACTCGGGTGAATTGGAGAAGCCTAATCCTATCATAACTGCACAGCGCGATTCCGTTCTATCGTGGAGTAAGATCAGTGAGCGTATCTCGGAAGGCCTGGATGACACTTTGAACAATTCAGTGCAGGGAAGCATTCGTCCTCGACGCAGTCTGACCCAGAGTCTGTCGCTCGATCGAGCTCCTGAATTGAGGCGCTCCCGCCACACTCGACCCAATAGTGAAATGAGTGGCAGGCTGTCAAGCGTGACAGATACCGAGAACGAGCCAGTCTCACCACCAAGCCGGAGACAGTCTGAAATCATCCGTTCGGCGATCAAGCAGGCTATCGCTCAAACTGCACCTACACAGCCAAAGGTGGCTTTGAACGGCCAAGGCCCGACTGTAGTACATCATGGAAGATCAGCCTACAGACTCAAGCCCAAGAAAGCGCATACAACTCCTCTCACGAACCACCGTAGTTATCACCGGCCTTTTCCACGACCTATCCAGGAAGAGCCGGACCCTGACGAGGCCGATGAGGAAAGCATTACAGAGACGGACCCATCTCGCAACGGGAGCATTCAGACGTCACGCAACGGAAGCATTCAGTCGCAACCTTTAGAGATCGACACGGAGGAATCGGCATATACATTGAGGCCAAAACCAAGAAGCAAGTCTCATCCAGTCCCCACCTCCCCTGCTGCCATCGCGCGAACGTTCCCCAAGCCGCCCCCTCGGCCACCAGCAAAGGATGCAAGACAGCTCCCAGGCAGTCTGACGACCAAGCCCCGCTATCTGAATGGCAACCACCACCAAGTTGTGAACGGCATCCCTGTCAACACGCTCCTTCAGGGGCAGCGTGGTGAGGACGAAACACTCATGGCTCGTGATTCCTTCCTCAGTGTAGGGATGCAAAGTGAGGTTTGGGGGCTTGGCAACGCACTTGAGGATGGCGGGGCCAATACGCCAATGAGTGAAAAGCCCCTTGGAGCAATATCGCCCATGGACATGAACAGGGACTTGAATTGGCCGCTGCCTCTCGGGACACTGACTTTTGAGGGTGGGAGAGCGATTGCTTGAAGCAAGAGGATCCTTGGTTTTGTGGGCTCCTGCAATGAGCGAAAGCGGCGACGGATGATACCAGATTTTTGTACAAGATGATGGTTGGCTTCAATAAAGTGCCTTGAAAAAGGGGAAAGGGTTGGATGGGTTGAATGTGTTGAATGACAGGAACTGGATTAGAAGGCGTCTTTCTTCTATGTAAATAGACGATGGGAGAGCGAGGTGTTTCCAGCGTCACGACGTCTTACGTCTCGGGTTTGATCAAAAAAGGGGGTTGGCTGTCATTCACGACTACTGTATGGTTCAGCTACAAGTCTATCTAATCCAATTATGTTTGTAGTGTCTGAGGCATTGTAGCTCATGATACCCCAGTCGCTCCTCTAATGTACTAAGCCTATCTCATCATATGGCCTCGTCCAGCATCGAAGGGTTATCGTTTGTTCTGGAATGCGGCCTCAGAATCTCCCAGACACAAGGGTTAGCGCCAAGGCCGCCACTAGCAGGCATGCCATTCCTCTGCTGATAGCGTACTACCTTGCTGTTCCAGAGAATCCGTGCCGTTGTGAACATAATAAAGACCTTCTCAAGGATAGTGTTGAAATGTGTAGGAATGAGCTCCTTCAGCAGTAAATGTGATGGGAAGGACCAATCACAGAGGGAAGGATCGCCACAATTTCAGGCTGCTGCGAACCATTGTTTGGGGCTTAAGCCTAGGCCACATAGAGACTAAAGGCCCGCGATAAGGCCGTGATCAAGCCACCAGGGGTTCCACTTTATATGCAGGAAAACATTAGAGTTGATTGAGTTGATAGCGCTGATAGCAACGGCCATGCAGATAGCCGACATAGTATCATCATCTCGCATAGTATTGATATTGCGAGACCGGATGGTGCGCATATGGTAATTAACTACCTTGGCTGTGGAGGAATTTGGTCCGCTCTTCAGTGTCAGTAATTACTTCCAGGCTCTGAGGTGCTCTTGTGTCATAGCTCAAGCTTTAAATCTCCGGATTGTCTAGCCAGCTCCACCACACATAACCTGATTTGGCCATAGGCACCTCAACAAAGATACTTTCATACGCGCCTCTGCCCCTCTGTTGACCGTGACTCCCTCGTGTCTCATCCGTTCCTCCCACACACGCAATCTTCTACATTTCCATCTTCAAAAACCGCTGCTGCTCACAATCAGGTCCGTACACTGAGCAAGCTATTGCTGTCGCCTGCTGACACATTTGCCTCCATAGACTCAACATCTATTAGCCTTTCGCAAAATTCTGCTCCCTAATCAGTACGCTTCATCTTCTCTGCCCCTCCTACGTCAACCTCACAAGATCCTCAACGAAGCGAATCGCACACTGACGAGCTTGCGTTCGGAAAAACAGAAAAGATACATATAGCCATGTCGACAACTACAACTGAGACAAAGCCCAGCGGCGAGACTCTGAAGGTGTTCGAGGTGTGCTACCACCTAGCGAATTCTTTGGTCAGTAGCCCCTGCTAACGGCTCTTGTAGCATGTCAAGTCCTACCCCGCCGTGAACGAAGGTGTCGAGACATACAACTCGTACGAAATTGGCCGCAAGTCCGCCAATCTCGCCTCTGCCGGCTATGAGAGATTCGTGTCCCCATTCATCCCCTACGCCAAGGGTCCCTATCAATACGTAGCACCGATCGTCTCCAAGGTCGACCACCTTGGCGACAAGGGACTATCCAGGGTCGATACCACCTTCCCCATCATAACAAAAGATACAGATACCATCAAGGCCACTATCCTTGACTTTGCCTATTTTCCCTTCCGTGTCGTCGGCGACGGCAAGAACTACCTCTTCGACACCTACGGCAGTGAATACAAGAAATGTGGCGGTGAATCCGCTCCCTACACATCTTCCGGCAAGGCAGTCATCACCACCGGCCTCGTGGTGACGCAAGATGTGCTCAACTGGGCCAGCGAGCTCTTCGCAAAGAAGAAGGCGCAAGGCCAGACCTACGCGAACGAAAAGTACAAGCAGAGCTCGGACTATGCGAAAACTCAGTACGAGTACGCCAACGGGAAGAAAGATGAGGCTCTCAATTATGCCAGTGACAAGGCCGAGCAGGCGAGAAATCTAGCATATGCTCAGAAAGAGGAGGCCGAGAAGAAAGCAAGTGAGGCCAAGAAGACGGCCGAGAAGAAGGCTAGTAAATAAATTCTTCTGACGGACGGCTTCACTTGACAACCTGCCATATGAGACGTATGAAGGGTCTTTTTTGGACCGGCTGGACTATATCGGATACCCAACATGATAGATCACTAGAGGATGGCAGAAGGTCGGCGTTCGGATATTGGCCATACACTAATTGAGAGAGCATGGAATAAATGCATACACTGTCTCGAATCTCATCAAAATCGTTCTCAGAGGACGAAGTCTTGCACCGGTTTTCCTTTTTTTGCGCAAGTGTCAAGTAACATTTCATAGATCAACTCAATGTATATGAAGCTTTTCATTGCTCGCCTAGCGATACTCCATACTGCAGAAACCGAGGCTCTCCGTCTATTACCGGGAAGTAGATAGCGAGTTGAAGAAGGTGCGTTGCGAACCCCCAATTCCCCTCACTCATTTCCCTTTTTGCCCCTTTCCCATTCCCCTACATCACCATTTCAAGTGGGGCGATTGAGAACACTTATGACTGCGATTGCAAGGTAGAGATATAAAATGCTATGGAAGACTATTAGAAAAGGTTAAGGTGTCTCAATATTAAAATGAAAAGATCGTCTTGAAATGAGATCTAATCAAAAGAAAGTTTAGCGTCTGCCTAGAAAAGCTTAGCGCTTCGAGATTTCTATTTCGATTGTACACATGAGAACCCTCGTAGTCGGCCGGTTTGTCAATAAACTACGGGGCTTCAATGCTATCATAGTCATCGGGACTCCGCATCCCGCTACCCTCTTTGGCCCACAATATGAGTCCAAATATTGATCCGAACTGTCCTATGGGAGCATTCAGCCCCACAGACACAAGAAGCATCACGGATAGGCAACAGAAGCCATAAAAGCGGGCTCCTAGCACTCGAATGAACGAAAATTTGCAGGTCTGCTTGAGCTTTGCGTCATCCTCAGACCGCGGCAGAACGGTAATTTGCCTGGTACGCCGGACGACATCGTGCGTTTTGCCCAAGTATCTCTGCGACTTGAAACTGCAAAAGGTCAGCTTTGCGCTTGGACAGGCTGTCAAGAGCCTAGGATCCAAAGTCGGACAGTGACTCGCCTCCAATTCAGGTTCGCCTGAACAACATTTTGAACGCCTTGGATGTACTTCTGAACTTGTTCATCAACCTTCTCGTTCCATTGCGGAAGATTAGCCAGCGCCAGGTACCAGTCACGATAGCAAACTTTGAGTAAGCCGTTGACGTGGTCGAAGGCTTCTTGGGCTCGCATGCCATGTATTCGACAGATGGCAACCATGTTGTGATTTACTCCTTCAGCCTAAGAGACTCCTTTATCAGTGCTCAGTTGTCAACAAAACTGGAGTCTGCTTACCTCTTCTTTACAATACGATAAGATATCGTTTTGCCTTACGCATAAATCAGCTATGCATGAAAGTGAAATAATGTCTGAGGACGCACAAGAGGACCAAATCTGTTCCCAGTCGCTCAATTTCTTTGATCGCTGGGTCTTCGAATATTTCGTCCGGTAGGTCAAGCTTATGAGCGTATCTATGAAAAGCCATGCGTTAGCTGTTATACGGGTGAGAGCCCAGAGATATCTTACTCGACTAAAGCAAAGAGGGGCGTGACGCCAGATGAAAGTCTACGAGTTGCCAGCTGCTCTTCGATGCTAGGCAGTTTCGCATCGCTTTCCCTTGCGACGTGCTCCAGAGCTCCATTGCAATAACTTTTCATAGCTCTGGAAAAGCGTCGTTGAACGCCTGTTCTGGTCAGCTTGGGCGTCCAAAAGAGTATCCAGCTTTTGCAGTATTCACCTATTGAAGAAGCCTGTCTTGAGGTCAGCACTTGCATTAAGGGCGAAGTAACGCTTCAACACTTGCCTTTACTAGACGCTGCCAAACCAAATCGTGCACCTCCATCAGTGGAGTCTTTGGGATCGTGGGTCGTGTATTGCTCATTATCGACAAGAGACTTTGCATCATGTCTTGGGCATCTTCAGGGCTATCTCTTAGATGTCCGTTGTCGAACACTGAAGTTTGTGTAAGCTCAGATTCACTACCCTTTCTGGAATAAACGCACTGTCGTCCCACGGAAAGACCTATATCGGGGCACAGTTGTCAACACTCAAACCAGATCAGGAGCAGCCAAAGTACCCAATTGCCCCAATCACACAACGTCCTCAATTCTTGTTCCCCAGCGTCCGGAGCAGAAATGGAGCAAAAGAACGAGAAATCGCATGCGGATATCTTCCTGCTCATACGAGCGTCGAAATTACAATGACTTGCTTCCTGTTCAGCCTCATACAGTTGACAATATTTGGAAAATCCGCCAAACCGACCTGTTGATCCAGACCTCTGCTTCCTTCTTGACCTTCGCATAATGGGGATTGACCTTCGGCTTCTGTGACAGGAACGACACAAACATATCTGGGAGAAGGACTGGAATTCTGGCCGGGCTAGCATTTTGCTGCTTCTCATCAATGTTCTCACTAATTTGATGCATGATTTAAAGAGTCGTTCATTGATTCAAGTTTACCAACAATGACATTGAGGAAGTTCGTTCTTAAACGGCTGCAGATCATGAGAAAGGAGCCATCGTTTAGACTTTCGCTCATTTTCATGCATGTTCCTCGTGTTACTCTCAGCTGATATGTGACAACGCCACTGCACATTTCAACACATGCCCTACGCCGAGGTCTTGGTAGTAAGTACAGGAGTACCCCTAATGGAAAGCGGCTTATGTCAGACGGTCCCAAATGGTACGCATTCTTCCCGTTTGCCCTTTATCGATGCAGAAACGCTAGCGTCTTGGGGACCTTTACCATGCAAACTATTGGATCATCAATAACAATTTTATTACGAATTTGGCCAACAAGCCGAGGGCGGTGTACTTGAAGAGCTGCAAAAGCTACACTAGCATAGGATATGCGTTGTGTTAATGTGTGTTGGCAATCGATTGGAACGCTTAGACCGAAATAACAGCCACATGAGCCACAGCTTTCGGCGGGCGGCGGTCCAGACGTCGGTGACCTCCACAGCGGATGGGAAGTGACATCGCTGCGCTCATCGAGGAAGTCTTCTTTTGAATGTCTTATTCTGAAGCTTGCTCGCATGTTAGACTTCCATGCTATTGACACAAGGCGTAGCCCGCTTCGACTCAACCAGGGCTACCAAACGGCCTCTGCCCTTGAGTGAAGGTATTGACTTACATGTATATCATCCGCATTCCGAAGTAAGGTAAATTTCTCCTGCATTGAGAGGCAAGAAACCTTTGTTTTTGAGCTCATTATCAACGTCGTGGAACACAACCCCACTGTTTCTCATGTTCAAAGTCTCTAATGCGAGCAAATAAACAGAGATTGAAGATGAAACCCACGCAGAAGATCAGAAATACACAAAGTGGAAGTACACATCCGAATGGATGGACAAACACCCATCTCGCAAAGAACTGGCCCCATTGAGACACCAATATGATACAATTGGAGCCGCAGCTCTCGAGCGCCTCCAAAGCATCGCGGAAAATGAAAAGCACACCAACGTACAGCGCCCAAGACTCGACCTTTACGCTCTCCTACGAGACAACCATTCTACCGACCCCATCCTCCACGCCTTCTGGGAAAAAGTCGACACCGTCCCGAAATGGGTCGACCAGAAACAACTCGCTCGAGGCCAAAAAATCTTCTACCGCTACGCGGTCGCAAACCTCACTGGCTTCGCTCTGCAGGGGTTTATGGGCGAGAAATCTGGGATAAAAGTACAAGGCACGGACGTGGGAGAGATGGCCTTTTAGAGTTTGAATAAGGGTTAGAACTATGGTTCTCGATGGCATACACGAAAATGTCATGCTTGACTCCGATGGCGATGAAGCTTTAGTCTACGTTCATGGAGGGTACTCCTGTATGTGAAGGATTAAACGCAAAGGCTGTCTTCTTACAGATAGGCAGTGACGCAAGGCGGCAGCGACGGTGACGTATATTGGCTGCAACTCCCAGCAATCGATTCTAGCGATTTCACCCTTCGTCGCGATATGTTAGCTCTCGTAGTGCCTGCTGATAACTCGTCGTCTTTCATGGTGCTGGCCACAAAGTAAGCTATCCAACATTGTACAGGAAACTACTCTCGCGGTCCTTGTATCTTCAGCCTGCTCATCTAATTTTTCAATCCATTTTCACGTTCCAACACCTTTTAATTGTTCTTACCCACGTTCACTTGAAAGGAGTATTGCTTTGAATACACTATACTGAAATCCCACGTTTTGAAAGATTGGTGGACATTCTGCGTGACAAAGTCTCGAATTTGCAAGCAAGTACAGTGCTGGCGCTACGTATACATCATATTTAATCAAAAGTGTCGACCTGTAGAAGTCTAAATTCTTCATGCCTTCACGCCTCATTTTTTAAATTCCAACCAGCTTCAAATGACGAAATCAAGGAATACTAAAAGAACGAGGCTTGACCATTACGACGCGAAGACTCCAAGAAAAAGGAAATGATGAGACTCAAGTGACACCAATTGCATCTAATTCTGTTTCCAAGATGCTAGTTGATGTTCTGTTCAGACTTGTAACATTATTGCCACAATCACCAGTGAGCTAGGAGGGCTAGCGGGAGTTACTCAATAGCAATTGATGTCGCGGCACTCATCTTTTGGCAAGAAACATGTTTGAGACGGCCGGCATTTGAGACCTGATAACCTCCACTCGGCGATATACGCGTTGGGGTGAGATTGATATTATGGGGTAAAGCTTCGGGCCGCATGATCTAGTGCATATAGTGACCATGGAGTAGGAGGATATGCCTCGGGCATGAGTGCATTTCTTTGCTGCATTCAAGACCTGCTGAAGTCTTGGCATAGCTCATATCAGACTAGGCTTTTAATAGCTTAGCCTTTGCTGTTGGCACCGCTCTACTCTGTACACTCGAGACATCAGTATATCGACACCTTTCAATTCCTTAACGCGATTTCACAGTAGGTAACAGGCACCTCTGACCAATACCAAATTAGCAATGGCTTCCCAATATCGTCCGCAGTATCCACAACAGCGCGTGCCCCAACCACAATTGGGGCCTGCCCGCAGACCGCAAGGTAATCCTTCCTGTGCCCCCCGAGCCAAGCCCGCATTCTGTTTCTGATGGACATGCAATGCCCTATCTACCTCACGCTCTTGCCGATACTTATCTGACATCCGCAGGTCCAGGTGGTCACATGCCGCATGCAGCATATCAGCAATCAGAAGCAGCTCGTATAGAGAACGAGCGTCGCCAAATAGACATCATGACGAAAGCAAAAGAGGAGGAAGAAGCTCTCAAACGGAGGGCGATGCGTCCGACCGACAAGAAGATGCCAGACGGCGTAAATAAACTCATCGTTGGCGATGGGGTCACGCAATACAAGCAGCTACGGGGAGTAGAGAGAAAACTCGACAGTGTCATGATGCGCAAGAGATTGGATTTCGAGGATGCAAAGTCAGGGCAAGGAATCTCAAGCGTGGGAGGTGCGAATTACCCGGGCCTTTCTCGTGGTAGGGATACCACTTTAAGAGTGTGGATCAGCAACACAGTGGAGAACCAACCATGGCAGAACTCGGCTATGGAGGACAATGCTTTTGATTTCACGATGGGATCTGAGGCGACCTACAGGGTCAGGATCGAGGGGAAAGTTGTCAATGAAAGCAATGACGAGGAGCCAGAAAGCGACGATGATAGTGACAACGAGAGGAGGAATGACGATACTATGGATACGGCTGCAGAAGGGGAGAAGGACGGCGAATCGGCATCGAAGTCGAAGGCGGAGCGGCCCAGGCTAGAGGAGTCGGAAAAAAAGACGATGTTGAGTCACTTTTTCAAAAGCATCACAATCGACTTTGACAGAGATCCCAACCAACAACCAGACCAGATGACGCAAATTGCTTGGAAGAACGAGGGGAGTCAGAGTTCAGTGAAGGACAACTTTGACAGTTTGGAATTTGAGCGCAAGAGCGACGAGAATATCAATTGTACGATCAATTTCTATCGAGACGAGCAGCAATGGTCAGAAAGGCATTCACTCAGCAAGCCTTTATCGGATTTGCTTGACACCACGGAGGATGACCGGACTTCGATAATGATGGGGATATGGGAGTATGTGAAGGTCAATGGCTTGCAGCAGGACGAAGAAAAGAGGCAGATACACTGCGACGAGAAGATGAGAGCTGTCCGTGGAACGGCCTTCTACTTTCGAATTTGCTGACGAGAATGTGCAGGTCTTTGGTAGAGACATCATCTACTTCCCACACATACCGACTTTACTCGAGAACCACCTATCACCCCTGTCGCCACTTTCGGTTCCCTATACAGTTCGTGTTGATCCCGAATACCACTCCTTACCATCAGAAAAGCGCTACACGATCTATACCTTCCAAATACCCACTGCGGCGATCCCACCATCGGTGCCGAATCCTGACGTCGAAGACCTCAAGAGCCTCAAGCGCATGGATGACCACCTGGCACTGCTCATTCAAGCAATCGGTAAAAGCCAGCGCAAACACAGCTTTCTATCGCAACTGTCCAGGGATCCAGTCACGTTCACGCAACGATGGATGTCAAGTCAACGGCGAGATCTAGAGGTTGCTCTGGGTGAATCCGGTAGGTTTGAGGACCCTGCCAATTTGGGCGGTGTGTGGTCACAAGGCGGTCACGATGGGGTTTGGGGCAAGCAAGAAGTGAAAGAGGCAGTGGGAGTGATGGTGCAGAAACCGGAAAAGGCCGGCAGAACATTCTGAACATCGGGAGCAGTCGAGAGAATGATTCGGAAGTCTCAGGACAGAAATAACAATATCCCTCAGGGCGGAATTGGTGTTGGCTTTTAACGGTCACGAGTGAGGGACGAAAGGGCGCGCAAATAATAATAGCGGGAGAGGGCAAAACAGCTCTCGTGTTGGATGAGTACCAAGCCTCCTGGCAGCCTGAGCTGAAAGTCTGGGGTGAGATTGCTCAGTTCGCCTAAATTTAACGATCACACGCGATGGATTGTTTCTGCACGCTGAAACCGTCACCCGGTGATATTATTTCCGAAGAGACTTTGGAGGAGACGATACAGGGCATACCTTACGGAGCGAATGAGCCAAGAGCATCAGTCAGCCTTGGCAATAGAACATATAAGAAATGAAATTCCATATGAACACTGCAAGGTCGTCAATTGGAGAGCCTTACAATGAAGGATACAGCACTGTCTGACTCGTATCCGTAGTAAGAGGGCGGATTATTGATTGACAGGATCGACAATTAGGCAAAGCACCAGATCTGATGCACAGCCCCCGAAGCCGCTAAGAACTTCCCGAGGAGCGCCTAAAATGGCGGTCGCTGCAGCCCAGAGCTTGGCCGTTCTTAGTAAGGTGCCCCCCTTTGCTGCTCCCCATCCCCAAGTGTTATTGCCGTTGTTAGGCGGAAGGTGGTGCGGACAGCCTTACAACCCCGCGACCTGGCCGTAGGAGGAAGCTGCCTCCCACACTCAATAATAATCTGTTACTTAAGAAGTCGTGCACGTCACGTTGTCTCTTCTCCCACTAAGAGTGAGCTAGCTTCAACTACTACATAGCACGATTACGACGACTATTGTTTCTTCTTATTTGCTATCCTCTCTCTGATATTGTGTTGCCACTGCATCATACATTCCTCAGTATCAACCTTGGTAATCCTTAATATACGACCACACCTGCCAGCACTTCATCCACAAGTTCATTAATTGTCATTGAAGCATCCTCCATCATGTCGAGCAACGGCAAGGCGCCCGCCAATGGCAACGGAGGATTTCAGCATTCGCAGACCCCAGTCTTGAATGTCGAGCCACCCAAACATGAAGACCTACAGCCCAGGTATGCGCAAACGATTCAAGGCGACGAGGGTGATAGCCATGGCTGGTACGGAGCAATGAGTACGCTGCCATGATCATTGAAAGCGAGTGATCAGTGGGCTGACGATAGTACCTGACAGTCAACACACTCGGCACATTTGTCGGTTTCTGTGGCGCCATTCCCTGCTGCATCGTCTGCCCCAACCCATACAAACCCGTCGACCAAGGCAAAGTCGGGCTGGTAACGAAGTTTGGCCGCTTCTACCGCGCTGTGGACCCTGGTCTCGTGAAGATCAACCCTCTTTCCGAAACACTCCTCCAAGTCGATGTCAAGATTCAGATCGTTGGTACGTCTCCTCCCTTCCCCTCCTCTCCTCTCCACCTCTATGCCAATCCAATTCACTAACGATCCACCCCCAGAGGTCCCCTCCCAAGTCGTAATGACAAAAGACAACGTCACCCTCACCCTCACTTCCGTAATATACTATCACATCACCTCCCCACACAAGGCCGCCTTCGGCATCTCGAACATACAGACCGCCCTCATCGAGCGCACACAAACCACCCTCCGCCACGTCGTCGGTGCCCGCGTCCTCCAAGATGTCGTCGAGCGCCGCGAGGAAGTTGCCCAATCGATCGGTGAAATCATCGAAGACGTCGCCCACGGCTGGGGCGTGCAAGTCGAGAGCATGCTCATTAAAGACCTCGTCTTCTCCAAAGACCTGCAAGAATCGCTCAGCATGGCGGCCCAAAGTAAGAGGATCGGAGAGTCGAAGATCATCGCTGCCAGGGCGGAGGTCGAGGCTGCGAAATTGATGCGCCAGGCGGCGGATATTTTGAGCAGTGCGCCTGCCATGCAGATCAGGTATCTGGAGGCAATGCAGGCGATGGCGAAGACGGCGAATAGCAAGGTTATCTTTTTGCCGAGCCAGAATCAGACTGTGCAGAGCCAGATGGTCGCGGGCGAGATTGGGGAGAGCTCGGGTGCGAGTCATAGTGGGGGGAGTGGCAATGGTACTGGGAACCCGTTTGATGGGACCACGGATGGGTTTCAGCAAGCTATGAATGCTAGGGTTGTGGAGAATATTTGAGGGGTGGATTGAACGGGTCACGCTGATTGCTTGCAAGGGGAAAATAGGACAGTGAGAAGGCTTGACAATGGGATTTGGGTTTTGATGAGAAAAGATTGGTGCCTGGAATTTTGTGTTGTGGGGTTTTTTTTTCCATTGTGATTATTCCTTATACCCTCTTTTGATACCCAAGTTTTAGGTGTGGTTTAATGGAGTATGGTTTTAAAAATTCATTTTTCGCTCACCCGTCGTTGGCTTCCCTGTTCTATGGATTAACTCGTTATGCTTACTTGGGTACGCTCGGCTTGTAGAGCATCTTGTGCTGGGATGATGGCCGGCAGGAGTGTCAGTATTTTGAACACCTTCCACAGACTAGACGATTGGATTTGCCTTAATTAATACTCTACCATTCACAACTTTTCGACCACAGGCTAGCGGTCCGTCCGGGACAGTCCCTAGAGTAGAATGGCACCTTCCGCTGGAGGTAGCGGCTGGACGCGCTAGGCAAGGCTTGGTCTAGATGTTCTAGAAACCTCCCCAGGGACTTGTCTTGATCTCGTATTTCTGCCCTTGTTGTCGACGAAATGCCTTGCAATAGATGGTTCTACGTCCTGCGCTGGCCACTGATGTGTGTAGCTAGCTCAGATCTATCTTCTTGAAGCCAGCTTTCACGGGCTGGTATGACTGCACCAAGGCTGAGACTTAGCGACTGCATGACCCCTCAAAGCGCGTCCTCTACGCTAATAAGCACCGCCTACTTTAAGATTTTCATACATCCTTGGCTCATCGCCAGTTCTTCTTGCATACTCGCAGTTTTGTAGTTCGCTCGGCAGGCACGGTCTTACTTTCTTGCTCATACTCTTCTGAGCATTTGATACGGTTCTATTCCATTTTCCTCATGATTCATGTAGCCTGATTGCCGTGAATGGATAAGAGCGAAGAACCGCAAGTGCCTGTGATTGCCTCTGAACTACACTTACGGAACGATGAGTCCTCGAATTTGATAAGGCGAGATGAAAAGGAGTAAGTTTGCAGATAATGCGAGGTCGGAGCACACCACTGATGTGATTCGAGTTCACTCATCCTTCCTGCCAAACACCTTTATGCAAAGCCTCTCGGTTGGCGTCGCTGGCTCCTCATTATCATACTCGCTCTTGCTTTTACCATTGTACCTCCGCTGTATTTTCCTTGGGCTCCTAGGACGAGAGACTCTACACGTCCTTGTTCTTCCGCCAATCGAAAAGCGAGAGTAGGAGATGACAAGGTCGAGTCTTTTTTTGCAATAACGGCGGTCATACCAGATGTATCATTCGATGCTGCAAAGGGAATTGATCTTGCATGGAGCATTGTAGTTGGGCGAGGTGGACAAGCACTCCTTTTATGGCTTTCTTATCGAGTCTACAGAGCCTGCTTGGCCGATTTGATGACGACTGCCACCGTACCCTATTCGATGTATACGAGTTTAGCCACGGGAGAGCCAAATTTATCGTCCCTTTGGCTAATGACAAAGTACGCCTGTCAGCGACGGCAGGCATGGAGGCATAAGATTCTCATGGCTTGGCTCATCATAAGCCTTACCTGGATACTATGTTGGCAAACTTTTACAGATGCGATGACAAGTTACACCTCGACTGGCGACGCCTATATTCGTCTAAACGGTTCATTTATACCTCTCGAAGGCTTTGTACAATCTGACCTAATCTTTTTCCCAAGAAATTACACCATAAGTCCGAGCGACTCAACCTATTTGGGCATTTCAAATAGCTCTGCTCCGTTCTTTCCAACGGTAAACGACGGAATCATTGACAATACTAAGAATTCCTCCCTGTCACAGTCATTGAGTCTGTCAGTCTTGAATCAAACAGAGTTTGTACTAATTGAATGGTAGCTAATGCATTCCTTGCCGTGGTTAAGGCCAATCCACTTGACTCCGCATCCCTACTCAAATTCCTTAAGGCATCTACCCAGGGAGAAGGCTGGTGGGATTACCGAATTCCTTGGGGAACGATCCAAACTGGCCAAGTCCATGGGAACTATTCCTTTTCGTGAGTACCTTAGTAGACTAGGCCCGCAGATATCGATGAAGGCGTCATTGACAACCTAGATAGTTGATATCCCCTCCTTCTGCCGGCTCAGATACCTAATGCCTCTATGGCTGCAAGAATAGAAGCCTCTTTGGCTGGACTTGGTGTGCCGCTGGAATATGCATTCGTTGAGATGGAGCCTATGCTCCTTTTCCAAAGAGAAGCATATCCAATCAACACCACATATGTAGCGGCAGAAGACGATCTGATTTGCGGTGACCGCAGCCATAATTATCAATGGGGTTTCTCGGACATTCTTATGGGACTTTTTGTTGTTGCCAATGGTGAGCCTTGCCTTCTCTGCCAAAGCCTGAACACGTGTATAAAGCATCACTAACTTTACGGTGACGCAGGGATCTGGGTGGGGGGGACTTACTTTCTTTATGTCTCCATACATTGCCAGCGTAGCAGTCATATCAACTCCACAGCAAGAACCCCTGGCCCTTATCGCGCTATTCTCGATCTCTCAGAAGCCATTCGCGAAGAACTTGGCGAGTCTACCAATGCCTACGGGAATGATGAGATAGAGAAGGAATTGGGACGGAGGCCTTCGGTGAGGTACGTAGTAAGAAGAGCGGCAAATAAGGGTCAAAGAGACGGTGGTGGTGATGGTGATGTTGATGATGACGAAACCGTGTGGCATCTGGCGGTATCTTCAGGTTTTGGCGATCGAAAGCTGAACTTGAGTGACAAGAGGCTGTATGCGTAATCACTTGCCATGATAGAAATTTGATCTGTATAGGCAACGCACAAGTGAGTCAGAAGTACAAGACTGGACGACAATTAGAATTCTAGGTATGTTCTCTTCTCTATTGCTTCTAAGCATCGTTCTACCTCAGCGTCCTTTCTATCAACTCTTGTGATCAAAACATGCTAAGTAAGTATATCAGCATGTGAAGGCTTCGTCCTACCTTACCTTCCAGTGCCATTTTCAAGGTCTCAATATCAGGGCAAACTTCAAAAAGGCCCTCCTCTAGCTGAAACTCAGTGTACCATGGTTGACAACCGAGGCATTTCCCTAGCCCAATTTCCCCACCTTCTAGAAGGGCCAGCTCCATCGGCTTTCAACCGGAACTCTGTGAGCTGCGCTCTTTGATGTGACCAATAATGGATCTTCGCTGCAACGGAAGAGGGGCGGGGCCGGCTCCTTATGGGATGACCCTCTGCCGAAGGCCGCTGGACCTGCATGAAGATGGAGGGACCGATGACGATGGCGCGCATTATCTGAAGAGGGGGTCCAATCTTACCCATTTCTTTATGCTGACGTGAATCTTCACCATTGAGTGATTCATAAGTGGGAAAGTCTGATATTGAAGGGCTTTGACTTGGACTGACGGCGAATATGGCGCCGCCCACCTTCATGGGCCTGACCGGGCGACCTCTCTCTCTTGCCGTATCTACGGTTGCTACAACAGGCTTCGTGCTGTTTGGCTATGACCAAGGCGTCATGTCTGGCATTATTACTTCACCAGTGTTCAATGATATATTCGCCGCCACAAAGGACAATTCTACCATGCAAGGAGTCGTGACTGCGATATATGATCTCGGTAGGCACTCGAGAAAGCTCTGTTGTGACTATACGGCCTCACGCCAAATGCGCGCGCGATACTGATGATGCGTACGTCCCGCAGGCTGTCTCTTCGGCGCCATCTTCATCCTCACATTCGGAGACTTCCTCGGCAGGCGACGATCCATGATGATGGGCGGCACGATCATGATCCTAGGCGTCCTCATCCAAGTGACGAGCGAAAAGAGCTCGACACCATTAGCACAATTCATCGTAGGGCGCACAATCACCGGCGTGGGAAACGGAATCAACACCTCCACAATCCCAACATACCAAGCCGAATGTTCCCGCACAAGCAATCGAGGGCTATTGATCTGCATCGAAGGCGGCGTGATCGCTTTCGGAACCCTAGTCGCTTATTGGATCGACTACGGAGCCAGCTAGTAAGCCTCGCGTAAGCCCCATCATCTTTCCCCCCTGACCAGTCTCAGTGGCCCTCCAGATCTCGTCTGGCGCTTTCCCATCGCATTCCAGATTATATTCGCCTTGGTCGTTAGTATTGGCATAATCTGGCTCCCTGAGTCTCCTCGCTGGCTGCTCTCCCGCGGCCGTGACGCAGAGGGAGAGACTGTGATTGCTGCCCTGCGCGGGCTGGATGTGGATGCCAAGGAGACGCAATTGCAGAAACAGGTCATTATGGATAGTATCAATGCTTCTGGGTATGGGAGTAAGAAGGGGACGCCTATCAAGGCGGTTTTTACCGGTGGGCGGACGCAACATTTTCGACGCATGTTGCTTGGTGTGAGTAGCCAGCTTATGCAACAGGTCGGCGGCTGTAATGCGGTCATCTATTATTTCCCGATCTTGTTCGAGAAATCGATCAAGCAGACGCATAATATTTCACTACTCTTGGGGGTGTAAATATGATTGTGTATGCACTTTTCGCCACCGTTTCCTGGTTTATCATTGAGAGAGTGGGGAGGCGGAAATTGTTCTTGTGGGGCACGGTGGGACAGTGTTTGAGTATGGTGATTGTTTTTGCGTGCTTGATACCTGGTACTCCTGGTCCTGCGAAAGGGGCGGCGGTCGGGCTGTTCACGTACATTGCTAGCTTCGGGGCAAGTTGGCTGCCTTTGCCTTGGGTGAGTGCATACTTCGTTCATGAAGCAGTTTCACAGACGAATACTGATTTTCACAGCTCTACCCAGCAGAAATTAACCCGATCAAGACTCGTGCAAAAGCCAACGCTTTATCCACCTGTTCGAATTGGCTTTTCAATTTCCGTAAGCTATCTCACCCCTTAAATCTTTCCACCCCTGAAAGCTTTGCTGTCTCCCACCCTTCTGACAACTCAAAAGTCATTGTAATGGTAACCCCAGTAATGATCTCGAACATCAAATGGGGCACTTACCTCTTCTTCGCCATCGTCAACGCCTGCTTTCTCCCCATCATCTACTTCCTCTACCCCGAAACCGCACGTCGCAGCCTTGAGGAAGTCGATATCATCTTCGCAAAGGGGTATCAGGAGGGGATAAGTTATGTCAAGGCTGCGAAGGAATTGCCGTTCCTGGAGGATGAGGAGATTGATGCTAGGGCTAGGGAGTTCGGTTTGGTTGGAGATGGAGGACGGGTCGGGGTTGGGGAAGAGGAAGTGGAAGTGGAAGGGGGAAAGTTTGGGTAAGGGTGGTACTTGTTGTTCTAGTAGCACTTGACTAGACCATTGGGACCGTAACCATCTCAACTTACGTTCTATCGCATGGAGGTTTATAAGACTTGGCTCACATAGTCGCAAAAAGACATGAATTCCGCTCAAAGCATTGATATCAATGAAAAATCTTGTGAACTCTTATTCGTCTAGTCGGACACTTGATCGCTGGTGGTCGCAATTGGATTTGTTGGCTTCTCATCGTGTCGATTCGTGATGGAGAATGATAAGCGCTTGACTCATACGGTGTCTTTCTTTTTTATGTCTCTCCCATAGTCTGGGTTGGTGTCTATTCTCTCAAGCTTTGTGCTTCCAGCCTGCTGCCACCGAGCCACCCTCAAAGCACCCAAAAGGGGCTCCCCGGAAAAAAGCCTTGGCCCACTAACGATGCAATCTCCCTATGTCGCGTGCGAACTAATAGTTCTAGTACGCATTTGTCGCGCCCGTATCAAAAGCCTCTCTAAGAGTCTCGTGATATGCGCATCAACATCCCCAATGTCGTAACTGAGATGATCGAATCACGATTGGCGGACTTTTCTATTCAATGCATGCTTGATCATTGCCGGCACTGGTGCCGGGCATGTACAATATCAACGCTGACTGCAAATAACTCGCCGCAACAAATGCAAGTCAGCTGCGGCTTGTCTTGCTGTCAGCTTTCCGCGCCATAGAGAACGAGGTCGCTTGATGTAGTAAGAGGAGACTGTATGTTCGACGTTGAGGAACCCCCGCTTCAGCCAAGTGGAGGTCCCACCCGTTGAACATTTCCACAAGGGGGATACGTGCCGGCCATTTGCATTCTCGCGCCCACCACGTTCAGGAGTGAACCCAGCTTCGGAGGCTTCAAGTGACGAAGGTCTACGCCTTCCGAAGCGTTGCAACCTTAACCTTGTCTTCATTGATGGCTTCCACTAGACTTTTGCACTAGACTTTTGCCATATGGTAGAAGCTTTCACCATGCCCTTGCCAAAAAGACGCTCAATCCTGTCTCGTCACTCTCACAAGCTTACTTGAACATGAATACCCAACCTTCGCCGATCAAAAGATACGAGGGCTCGTACTGGGTCACCAACGATTTCGAAACGTAAAGCAACAACATAGGCGGATATCTAGGCCGTCGATTGCTGCTTGCGCCGCGTTGCCTATTTTATCGCTTACCACTTCAAGTGATTGGAAGACAGACGTAATTACATGCAACTTCCGCTGGTGCAATCGACTACCAAGCATTACGACCAGGTATCGGAGGCCAGCCTACTTGTGAGACTTTCATTCACAGTGGTATACAAAAGGGATGCAAAAGCTATGCAGTACGGTTCACTGACCTGCCACTGATCTTTCTGCGCTTCTGAACCCTACAGGTGAGCTGCATGATGCTAACTCAACGATTTTGTGATTGCCACTGGGCTAGCCTTATGGCAAGGTAGTTGGTTCTGGCTTTCAGTATTCTTCTAAGAACAGTTGCCCTTTACGCATGGATCTTTCGCTATGCTGGCTCCTCAGTCGCAGCGAGATGAAATCAGATTTAGGCCAAAATCGCATTTCCACTTTCTCCCGTGGTTGTCTTCTTCAAGTGAGGAATTGCCGGTCATCTGAGATCGTTCCGTGCCGTGTTTCTACAGGTTTGAACACTTCAACGCAAACATCAGTGCATGCGTCCACGCCTCACCGGCAATTCCACTTCATCCACCACCTGCTGCTCGAATCTATGGATCGCATCAAAGCCTGACGACTCCGCTTCCGCACCTCCACAGATGCAGCAAGTGACGTCGATCGCAGAATATTGTTCGAAACCAGATATATCGCGAGCCCTGGTAATAGTATTTGATCCTGACTCCTAAGCCTTTTGTTGTTCTATGTCATCCTCTGAAGAACTCCCTTCATCTCTTTTCATCAAGCCAAGCCTGAAAGTCTCCCTTGATAGTCAGAGGTTCACGCATGGCGAACCAAAGCGCCTCAAGTCTTGCGTATCAGAAGACTCATTTGAAAGACAATAAGAAAGTTGAGATTGCCATCTGTAACGCAATATGTCTAGCTATAACGTATATTGCACTGTGTTTGCGCTATATCTCACGCCGTATTTCAGGTACAGCGTTTGGTAAAGATGACATGTGGATATGTATAGCAGCGGTGCGTTCGAATGCTTTCCTGTCCTAGGTTGCTTATTTCGTCTAGCTCTTCGTAACATTGTTCATTGTTTCAACTTTCATAATGACCCACTATGGTTTGGGGAGGCACGCAATTCTTGTGCACGATTGGAAGGGTTTCACGATCGTACGTTCTCCAGCACTCTGATTCACTCATACGCTTCTTCGTGACTGATGAGATCTAAAAGTCGATGATGGTCAGCACGGCATGCTATAATACCAGCAATGTAGCGGTCAAAATCTCGATCCTTTATCTATATCGACGGATCTTCCCAAATATATGGCTGAAGTATGCCCTTCTAGCCGTAGGATTTCTTGCGGCCAGCCAATGGCTTACTTTCAACCTGGTGATTCTGTTTCATTGCAAGCCGATATCTTTCCAGTGGAATCCAAACATCAAGGGCCGCTGTCTTGACTATGCTGTCGCTTCAGTGGCATACGGGGCCCTGAATATGGCTACGGATATAGTAACGTTAAGCTTGACCATGCCGATTGTATGGCGTCTTCAGGTACGACGAAGCCAAAAGCAGTTAATATCAGTGACGTTCCTACTTGGTGGGCTGTCTGTCTACCATCATTGAATCCTCAAATACGGTGACTGAATGACTATAGTGTCTGTATAATCAGTGCGGTACGATTAGCGTATCTTCGGACTCTGGGACCTGAAGATGGCACCTGTAAGCACTGACAAGCAGTCTTAGTACCCCAGTCACTTATGATTAGCAGACAACCCAGTTCACACGCTAGAGTTGAGCACACTAGAGGTCAGCGTTGGTACACTCTCCGCATGTCTCCCGGTCTACCGCCCAATCTATAATTATCTTCGTCATGGACAAGCAACGGCCAGAAGTTCAGGTCGCCGTTTTCAGAGGGACCCGACGCCTATCGCATTGGACGATAGAGCTACACTAGCGTGCGCACTGAAAGAAGCCGGAGCAAGTGACGACATGGAGAAACTTTACCATTCTATAGAAACCATAGCGACTGCGCATGGCGACGAACTGACATCACTTGAACACACAGGAGCAGGCATACTTGTGACGAAGCAACTCAATGTCGCCACGTCTGAGCCACGGACTTAGCAGCAAAATGGATTTTCAGAAGCCACGCTGCTTCAGTTGTTTCTCTTGGAAGAATACGAAAAAACCTGCTTATTGACGGTCTGAGTAGTGGTCGGCCCAGCATATTTCTACTCTCTTTTATATCTTCGATTTGTAATGCTCAAGCTAACAATCATCTCTCTGTATCAACAGTACTATGGCTAGCCGCCTCGCACCCAAAATAGTTGCACTGACAAGCGTGTCGTAAATACATAACGCATATCTCTCTTTAGCCTCTAGGTGTCATAAAATGCTTGTCACTCTTCAGACTCATCCACAGGGTAATGCCAGTACAATCCGATGCGGAAGCGTAGAAATACGAGAGGCGGATGAATGACCTGCCTTCATTTGCACATTTGCAGCAGACAAGCCTTTCTTCTTGCATTTCTTGATCGTAGTTTCGTGTGGACCGCCAAACATTCATCATCTTACCAGATAGGAGACTGAAAACTGATGATGTTTGCTGTCACACAACTTAGCCCATATTCGGCTTTTGTTTGGAAGTCTGTCCAGTTGATCCATTAGCTAGGTTTAATCAACAAGTCGTTGACATTGTCAATGAGCGTCCACTTTGTGAGTTTAATTTTGCTACTGCGAGACACCCATGTCAAGACAGTTGTATATCCCTTTAGCTGGCGTTAGTGGAGAAAGGTCTTATCAGGAGCCTTGGAGAGGTCTCCAGGTGGGTATCCAGAGGCTAAGAGAACAGCTACAATGGCAGCCGAAGCGATAGTCCATGAATGTCATTGGTGTAAGTTCAGTATTTTCAATAGGTTGTGACAGAAACGAAGGGCCTGCAATGGACGTCACGAGAAGAGAGGGAAAGCATTAAATCGTATCAGCATGCCTTCGCTAAGGATAACCCATATATACTTTCCTCAATTCCCCATTGTTTCCCAACCTGCCCTGATCCACCGACACCGCTTTCTTAAATACCAAGGAAAAAAATAAACATAAAACCAAAGCAGTACTCCAAGACACCGACTAACGCCGCCGCTGTCTCGCTCGCTAGCATCAAAGACCACGCCCATTTCCCTCTCTTTCCCCCAGCCCTAGTCCTCCATCTCCTTTGAACCTCTCACTTCTTGAAATAATCCATCCCACCAACATCCAGTGCAGCAGTAGGCAAATCAGTCCCAATTCCACTATCACTATGATTATGCCCATGCTCTCCATACAGCACCATGCCTCCCTCACTCTCTCCCTTGCCAGCTCCACCGGCTTCTCCAGCGATCAGACTCTCCTGACTAGCGCCCAGCAAACCCTGCTCGCCTGCATCTTGCTCCGCCGCAGCATCAAGCATATCAGATTGGGACCCGATGGCCGAAGGTGCTGCCGGCTCGGCAGGGTCTTCGTCTTCGTCTTCATTGAGGGCAAAGTCTCGCGTACCGATTGTACCGGCTGTGGAGGGCGCATAACTTGTTCTTTTGCCCTCACTGTCCTCGAAATATCCGGTCCCGCTTTCGCTGTAAGAACTCATTGTGCCGGTGTATGTGCCCGAATAGCTCGTTCGCCTTTCTGTCCCTGCCTCGCTAGCCTCAACGCCTTCCTCATCTTCTTCGTCCAAGACACTGTTTTCCTTGTCATCGTCTAGTTGTTCATCGGCGTACATGATACCTGAGGCGGACACTTTGCTGCCACCCCAGCTCGATTTGCGAGACGGAAAATTCGATTTGACGGAGTGAGAGCGCTTCATCATTGCTCCACCACCCCCGCTACCTAGCAAACTGCTAGGTTTGTTGCCTATAGCGGGATTGGCGAGGACCATTGCGCGATCTTTGCTCGCCCCACGATTGCCGGAAAGAGTGCTAAGGCTGAGAATCCGACGGCCACCTGCCTGAGAGGATGCAGCAGTGGAGTTGCGAGCAGAATTTCTGGGCATATTACGGGGTTTGAGTGCCATTCCTATGCCGCTGCTGACTGTGCTGTGATTTGTAGAGGGGGGCGCAGTAGGACGACCTGTTCTCGTAGTCGCAGTGGTAGCGGTAGCATTACTACTAGCGGTCGAGACTACGCGCTTACGGTTCATCTCATTGAGGCTAGAGGGAGGACGGGAAGACGTGGTGGTGAGGAGGGAGCGGGAATGATCAAGAACGTTATCGAGGATTCGGCGCTCGAGGCTTTCTGCCCTGTTCTCCATGATCTGGAGTTCCTCGCGCCGGATGAGAAGGGCTGTTTCGAGGGAAGAGAGATCGGCTTGCATTTTTGATTTTAGGGATGTGAGGTCGGACTTTTCTTTGAGGAGCTGTTCGACGTCCGTACCCAGGTTGGCTTTGTTTTCAGAGAGGTGGACGATGTCGGATTCGACAATGGACTTCTGAGCAGCTCGTTTTTCGAGAGCTATAGCTGCTTCTTCAGCTTCTGAGGCTTTAGTGGCGTCCACTTGCTCCTGGAACGCTCGTTGGCTAGCAACAAAGTCGTTCAGCTGTTCGGATGTAGAAGCTACTTGCTCACGGATCTGTTCGAGAGCGGCTAATTCTGCCCCTGTTTTGGCAGCTTCGGCCGCATGAGCGACGAGCTCGTCAAGCTTCGAATGGACACCGGTGTCGTCGTACTTCTCGAAGGAGGGTAATTCCCTTGTGGCCTCTGCGACAGGAGCAATTGCAGGTAATGGAATGGCTCCCGGAATTGCGTTGACTGTAGTCTTGATCTCTTCAGTCGACATCTTAGCCTGCTCATAATGCTGGCCGACGATGTTAAGAATGTCCTTGATGCCCTCGAAGATCCTAGGATCATAGTCGGAAATATGTGCTTGCAGACTCTCGACACTAGCCAATGTGCGGGCTACTTCAGCTCGAGTAGCTGCGTGCTCAGCCTTTCCGTCTCCTGCGACAAGATCTTCAAGCTTCGAACCAACCTCTTCTACTCGAGCGAAGACTGTCTTGGAATCCTCGCTCATCCGCTCGCATGAGTCAGTCACAGTTGAGCCCAAAGCATCCACAAGCAGTCTCAAGTCCTCAGCAGCTGTCTTAGTAGCATTAAGTGCTTCGGTGGATTGCGCGTCCTTGGAATCAAGCAACTTTTCCTTTGCTTGTGCGGCTAATTGACCGTCGTCATACTTTGTCATGATCTCATCGAATCGTGCATCCAGCTTGCTTGTCAAGTCACTTATGATCTCCTGCTTGTGGTCGGAGTGCTTCTCGAGCAGAATCGTATGATTCTCCTCGTTGTGCTCCTTGATGCTTTCAGATGCACTTCGGCTTGCCTCGAATTCCTTCTCGATAGTCTCTCGCACTTCTCCAACAGTCGCTGTTGCATCAGCAGCCATTACAGTCTCAGCGATGGCATCCAGAGTCTTCGCAAGGTCTTTCACACTGTGATGGTCCTCTTTAATCCTGGCCTTCAGCTCTTCTCGAACATCCTCAAGTATTAACTTCACTTCATCAATGCACTGAGTCATATGATCATGCTCAATTTTGCGAGCTGAGAAGCCTGAAGCTAGTAATTCGTAGCGGCGACTGTCTTGATCACCAAGTTCTTGAATTGACTCCCCAATCTCCCTCAAGTCGTCTTTTGAACCTAGAGTCTCTGGATTTGGCATGTGCTCCTCGATTTGAGTCTTCATGTCAATACACAATGTCTCGAGCGCTTCGATATCTGTTTTGCTGACTCGCTCGCTAGCGTCCAGATCTGAGCTCTTGCCTCGAACTTCTTCCATGCCAGACCGTATGTCTTTAAGTAAATCTTCAATAGTCTCAATGTCATGTTTAGAGGCGCCATTTGATTCAAAGTCTGCAACGGCGTCTCGCGTCTCGCCTAGAAGAGACTCTAGAGTCTCGATATGAGTGACCTTAGCAAAACCATCCGATTCAGATGAGCCAAAATCCTCAACCTTAGCCTTAGTATTCCGTAAGAGGGTTTCAAACGCTTCAATATCGTCCCTTGAGATATTCGTAGAGTGATCCCGATGTGATATACCCTCAACAGATACTTTTAAATCTCTCAGCATATTTTCGAAAGTCTCGAAATCATCCCTGTTTATGGACGCTGTGGGTGGCGGCATGTTATCAAGCGCTTCAACCTTGATGCGCAGCTGTGTGATCATCATTTCAAGCTTGCCAATATCGTTTCTGTATGTTGGCTCTGCTTCCGGATCCGCTATGACCACTTCGCCGTTACGTGAACTCGAGATGCCTCTAGTGCTACTCTGGGCTGTCTGCAATTGATCAAGATCTGAGCGAACACTAGCTAGTCCCTCTTTGAGAGTCTCAAGGATTTCGTAGTTGACTGTCATATCGAGTGGCTTATTGATCATCTTTTCCATGTCACTTCGCAGGGAGTCCAAGCCGTCATTGAAAGCATCTAGCAATTCGCCCGTGCTAGACAGGACACTTTCAGGCCGATCATGTCTAGTGATAATGTCGGCTCGTAACGATTCGTGCCCATCCCTAATAGCTTCTAACAGCTCCTCCTTGTCTAGTGATGAGCCACCCCGAATGAGTGTTGTGGCAAGAGTTTCGCGCAGATGTGAGAATTCATCCCGTACAACGTTCAACGTCGCACTACTGTCTTCAGGATCGACTCCTCTTGGCACGTTTGACTTCATGTCTTCAAGTCCATCTCGGATTGCATCTAGGACCTCTTCCCGCTCGACTTTCTGATCACCAGAGCGAAGCAGAGGGACAAGAGTCGTTCGAAGATGCTCAAATTCTTTTTCCATTGCGTCCAAGAGCTCGACGTTACTGCTTGGAGCGGGTGCCTGGGCCTTCTGAGCAACGGTCTCCTCTAAGTCGTCCCGTAAATGATTGAGAGCAAGTTTCATAGTGTCAATGATCTCGTCTTTACCAGTGACATCTTGCGCTCTGTCGACGTAGGTCTCGATATCACGTCGGAGAACCTCAAGATTGTCTTTCATTGCATCCAGAACCTGTTCGGTGTCGCCACCGTTGGCCTCAGAGTACTGCTTGAACTCGATTCTCATACCGTCAATGAGCTCCTCCATCTTCTCCAGAACTTGCTCACCGACACCGCCCATTGGCGTGTGAGTACCTTGAAGACCCGCTTTGACTGCATCGAAGAGATCGTCGCGGTTGAATTCGATCTCTTTTGAGATTGGTGCTTGAGCAGACAGGCCTTCTCTGACAGCATCAAGGACTTCATCACGGGTGATTTCTGGCTCTCGCGGCGCTTCAACGTGTGGAACAGGAAATTCAAACGTTTCGAGGCATTCACGGACCGTCATCAATATTTCTTCCCGAGTAATGCTTGCGTCAGTCTCGATTGGTGGCGGCTTGAAGTGTTCCAATCCTTCTCGAACTGCGTCCAGGACCTCTTCGTATGTTGCGCCACCAACATCCTTGTTTTGCTCCTGAGGCTGATATTGCTGAAGTCCTTCCTTCAAACACTGGAGTATCTCATCGCGTTCTAAGCCAAAGTTTTGGAGCTCAATCTCAGGCTTGTAGGTTTCCCAAGCCTCGCGAACGGCGTCAAGAATCTCGTCACGCTCAATACCTGCCTGAGGGGCTTGCAATGCTAGTTGTTGCGCGGGGAACTCTACCAGTGCATTCTTGACAGCAGTATAGACTTCCTGACTGTCAACTGAATGCCGAGAAGCTACGGACGACGCCGATTGGCGCCTCCTTTCGCGTATCAGTTCTTCCATATGACTCCTCAACTCGTTCAGGCCATCCTCTACGATCTGCGCGATTTCTTCACGTCCTGGTCCTAGAGCGTCGTCTCTATTTCCTTTACTGGTGGATTCTGCTTGGTCTAGTTTCCGCGCGATATCGCGGCCCATTCCAAGCACCTCGCCTCGCAGCTCTTTCAAATGGGCTTTGACTTCCGCTGTCATTCCGCCACCTTCAGTGATGCTATCTTTCATTTTCTTGAGAAGCTTTTGCAAATCTTCATTGACGAACTCAGCAGCCTTCGGCGTTATGCCAGCCTTTGGACTACTTTGCTGAGGTGCAATGTCCCTGGAGGCTCTGGACAGTGGCGCTGGTCGAAGGTCTGAGTTGCCATCAAAAGTGGGCGCTTGCTGGCCATTACGCAGTGATACTAATGCTCGGCTACCCGCACTCTCTTGTAGGGAAATGAGTATTTCTTCCAGCTTTTTCATGACTTGTGGGTCATTCTTGTCAATCTTCGAAGCGTCCTTCAGTCCCGACAGTGCTGACGATATTGCTTCTTGCCCTTCTTTTGTACCCATGTCTCGCCAAATCTTCTCTAGCAAGGCAATTCCTGCAGGGGTTTCTACATTGTATGTCGAGCCCGAAATGTCTGAAGCATTAAATCCGGGACTGCCCATTCTTGGAACCGAAAAGCTCTTTGGAAGCGATCCGTCGAAATTATGGGGCTTACTGTCTAGCAGAAAGCTTCCCGGCCTGTGACCGAAACTGCTCGCCGCGCGAGAGCTGTGATCTCGATCAGGATCTAGAAGTCTGGAAGAGAGATTGACCGAGAGATCTTTAAGGCTTTTGCGAATGTCCTCGTCGCGCAAGTTAGTCGCTTCTTTGAGACTTATCAGATCTGTAGCGTTGTCTTTGCTTCTTCTGCTCAGTTGTGCCATTTCTTTTTGCAAGCTGGTAGCAATCGTTGTCAGACTTAGAATTTGGCTTGAGATTGCGTCAAATGACTGAGGTGGACGGATGCCCGAGTTCGGTTTGTTAGTGACATCCGAGAGGGAAGTATCAATATCCTTTGGCACAGCCATATTTTGCAGAGCTAGCATTGTCGCAGAAGATGGAGAATTCTCCCCCAGTATCGGTCTTAATGGAGGCCTCGAGGGTCTTATGCTTGGAGTTTCCTTTCCAGTGTCCCTTCCAGCAGGAGTTGGTGTACTCGATCGGCCGGAACCCCTCTCAGGTGATCTGTTTTCGCCATCGAGGCCAGGAGTGCGCGGCGTCCAATCAGTCTTCTCTGGAGAAGGCGTCCGGTCTAGCGATCTGAGCGCGTCGGTGTAGGAATTTCTGTTTCGTAAGGTTCCATTTTGTAGGGACTCCAAGCGCTTATGGCCTTTGGGAATTGATTTGTCAGGTGATTTTGTTGGGGAGGAATTGGTTGTGTAATTGCTCTCTCTAGCTTTGGCAGCAAGCTTCTCGGCAGCGAGAGATATACTTTTGGATGTGTTCGGTTTCGTAGCTGGGCTTGCTGCGCCTGGATTGAGGGGTAATGGTGGAGGAGCGCGATCAGGGTCGGAGCTGTCCCACCTAATGCGAAAACGTTTTGGAGTCAGCTTCATGAAGCTCAGAGAATTTTTCTAGGGGGAGTGTGCCTGAAAGGAATGGCTCATCTCAAGGTTGGGACGTGGCGTACATAGGCACAGATGCTCGCCCAGAGTCTGAAAAAGAAGGCTGATGCTTCAGCACCAGTTCTCGGTCACGGGACTCCTCCCTTTCACTAGATGGCATGGTGCTTTGTCTCACTGGTTGTTGTAGCGAGGAATGGAGCGAAGAATCGGATCAGCGGTTCCTCATGACGACCGTGACTAGGAATGGCAATTCTCTCGGACGTGGATGTTCAAATGTGATTGTCACAGCGATCCTCTTGTATTCACAAAGCCTTGAGTCTGTAGGTGCATTACAATAGCTTTGGCGTTGGGCGCAAACGAGCATCGCCAAAAAGTAAACAATGGCGGCCGAGCCGGCGCCAAGACCGGCGCTACGGTACAACTATATCCCGATCCGCCGCTTAGAAACCTGACCGCACACAAGCTGAAGTACGTCGGTTACGGATCATTTGAGCGCGGCGACAATGAAGTGTGAGTTGGCAGACTGATGAGTATGTGATACGAAAGTACTGACTGTGCTTCCATCAGTCCTCAAAGTTGGCCGCGTAGCCATAATAACACGAGGGCGCTATGCAGGCAAAAAAGTTCGTCCTTCAGCTCTCATCGTCCGAGATCTCTCCATCAGACTGTCGAATAATTTGCGCTGATTCATGAATCTTAGGTCGTTATCATACAACCCCTAGATACCGGCTCTAAAACCCACCCTTTCCCTCACGCCCTAGTCGCCGGAATTGAACGATATCCTTCACAAGTGACCCGTCGCATGTCCAAGGCACGACAGCAAAAGCGCAGCAAGGTCAAGCCATTCATCAAGACCGTCAATTACAACCATTTAATGCCTACACGATACACACTGGAGCTGGAAGGTCTGAAAGGCGTGGTGACGAATGATACATTCAAGGAGGTCAGTCAGCGGGAGGAAGCGAAGAAGACGGTGAAGAAGGCGCTGGAGGAGAGGTATGCGAGTGGGAAGAATAGATGGTTCTTTACACAATTGAGTAAGTGTGGACTTTATGGGCGGATGAAGAGCACACGGCTAATCAGCTTACAGGGTTCTAAATTTCCCTAACGTGCGCGGCTTGACAGGGTCTCAGGTAGCAATTGCAGTCAACCAGTGGGCCTCCTTGGTCTAAGAAAATGGAAAGGCTTTCATATGCGTGCGATACTTGACGAGGCATATTGCCACATTACATTTCCAGACAGTCTTTTCTGTTTCTGCTAAATACACGTGCTCCAACAGATCACTGTACCCAAACAGTCTGCTTGATTTATTTGGACCCCCTGCAAGAGCCTGCCTAATTCAGGTGCAAATCTACAAAGTCTTGTATGTCTATTCTTTGCGTGCCTGTTGCCTTGTCCTCATCGCACTTCTTCAACCCAAAGCGAGAGCACAACTCGGACTCGTAGGAGGAAAATGCTGGGGTACATTATGGGTAAGGTTTGAATAATGAAAGACTTTACAAGCACGGTCTTCGATGGCTCTCTCGTTGCATACACAGGACAAACGATGGCGCCAACGACTTCTAGAATGGAGGACGTATATGCGCTTAGCTTGAGCATTCGTGACATTTTGTTGACGCGGAGCGCGGAGCGGCTCTCAATGGTCGGAATGCCCCCTTTAATGATCATAGACAGGGCATGTCGGAAGTTCACAATTGAGTCGAACGCCTTTTCTGTCTAAAGTCATCGACAAAAGCGGCACCTCGAAATCATATGGTGTATCGAATCAAGAAGGTGAGACAACACTAACGACTTTTATATGCTTTTGCTATGCTTACCTCATGCGGGCATCCGTCGCTGAATCATAACTACGTTACAGTGGCCAATGGTCATGATGCAGAGACTCAAAGCCGCCCAATCCAATCAGTCAACATCCATTTTATTGCCATTCTCGGCATCGTCCACAATTTCATCCGACCTCATCGGCTCTGGCTCTCCTTCTCCATGTCTCCAGGGCTGACTAGGGAGGCGCCCAAAAGTCATCTCTCCTATTCGCTTATAGGCTGTCTCAATATCGGAGCCAAGTTCATAAGCCTTTTGCAGGTTTTCTTCGAAAAGAAAGTAGCCTCGATCAGTCGTGACGAGACGCCTTCCTTCTGTATGCTGTGCGATAATGATAACGTCGTGTAGCGGATACGCCTTCTCGATAAACCTTTGGTGACCTTTTGTGGCAGCTCTTGAGACATCGTCTCCTTCCATGCACCTCCATCCCACGCCTAATGCCCGTTTGAACTCATCTATTTGTAAATCTTGATCTTTTATTGACGACTTTGACGACGTCGATCGGGAAGGCGAGTCTGTTTCAAGGCGAGTTGCCTTTGAAGAAGGCCCATCTGGGGTCGTGGAACTGCTTGGGAAGGCAGATTCGTCGATATCAATATCATGAGAAGGCGGAGTTGCTGGTGGAGGGAGACTGCTTGCCGGCATTGGGATTCCAGAAGCCTTTTCAGGAGAGGATGCTGGCGTAGGAGTGGCAGGCGGGACGGTTGGGTCATGCATGTCGTTCCGTGAGCGTTTTCGATTGTGGTCACCCTGACCAAGTGGAACATCGTAATGTCTTTTATCCATAGTTGGCTTTATGGTAGGTCGATGCACAGAATGAGCTGCTCGTGATATTGGATCAAATTGATGCTGATGTGGATAAAGAACTATGACCGGGGAATCTGAGAGATGGCTGGGATTGAGAGGATACATTACGACGGGAATACAACAAAAGATAGAAGGCGTTGCTTGGTGAATAGTGCCGTGAGGAAGGTCCGATGACGGATTGTGCTCGACGGTGGAGAGCTCGTGGAGAAAGAACGATCGCCATGACTGACGGCGGGTAAGAGCAGCTTACTTTAAGGCGCGCATGCTCACAGCGGCGGGGACCTGAATGTGAGGCTCGCATTGACCAATCCTGATCGTAGCTCTTGCTGGGAGGCTGGGGTTGTGCAGGGATGCGGCGGGCACTTGAGGTGGATGGAGATCGCACCTAGGAAATGCTTGGCATAAATTAGCTGAGTCATCTCAACCCCTTTGCGCTGAACTGTTCCTGCAATGAAGCATATCCGGCTGAATATCAAAAATGATCATCTTTTTCCGGACAGAACCACCTCACTCAATCCACAGCTCAACTTTGCGGTAGCTGGCATCGTTCATCATGAACACTGCCAGCTATTCACGGATTGCCAACAAACTGTTCGGCGTTTTGAGGGACAGGAAAGATCTATGGACGAAAATGCGAGGGTGAACCAGCTTATGAGCAGCTCACACGTCTGACTCAATTGAGATTGTGATTCAATGCTGAAGTTTGCCGTTTTTGGAAACAGATATGAACAAAGATCTACTGCGAGCTATACGACTAGATAGCTCCTGAAGTGTTCAATGGTGACTCCTTGATCGTGCTGTCCCAGTGCGCGGGGTCAGCTAGCCACTCCAACGCCACGATGAACTCCCTCGCCCAGCTATCCACCTCCTCCTGCCCGACCTGACACCCATCCCATTGCACCATCACCCTCGCCGTCTTCTCATCAAGCATGGCGCAGTGCCAGTTCACGATCACATCTATATACATTTCCGCGTTCACGACCGGTAATTCGGCCTCGGCCTCTCTCGCCACCATTCCCCTCGTGTTCGGACTCCAGTTGACGACCTGCCGCTGCACCTGCTCAAAGATCCTCAGGTCATCTGAGTCGAGCTGACTCTTTATCGAGGCGACGGGCGCGTGGGCGTGTTCGGTGAGGAGGCGCTGCTCCTGCTCCATCTGCCTGAGCAGATCCCCGACCGTCTGGTCTTGGTCGACTTTGACGCGGTTCGGAACAAGCGCCATGGTATTCCCAGCGATGGTGACGGGATTAGGCAGGTACTCCGCGACGGCCGGATTCATGAAGGGCCACTGGCGCCCGGCCTGCGTGTTCATGAAGAACGCCTCTGATTGGCCGGTGTGCCGCATGTTGACCAGAGCGCAGGCGGCTTTGAACACGATGGGCTCGGAGATGTGGTGGGTCTGGACGAGGTTGGCGAGATACTCGACCCTGGTGTGGTGTTGGATGCCGGCGAGTCCTGCGCGGCCGCCGTCATTGTCGATCTGCTTCCGTCCGGAATGCTTGTAACCGGGTGGCGGCTGCCATCCGGCGTCGTCGCCGATCAGCCAGCCTGGACAGCGCTGAGGAGGCCACACCGCGTCTTGGAGCGAGCCCACCCCGCGGAATCGGGTAGCGTAAAATTCCACTCCGACTTGTGCAGGCAGCGATTGTTGGTGCTGGTAGAACATGTCTGCGAACAATTTGTACGACGTGGGCGGCTCGATTTCGGTGCCTCCGAGCAGTTGCTCGAGATCTTCACGGAGGGATGCCAAGGACAAAGCATCGACCAGGACATGATGGATCAAGACCACCAGCCCTGCAGTCTGAGTACTTTTGATGTTGGCGATGACAAAACGTGCCAATGGTCCACCGTTTCGAGGAAGGACAGTCTTTTTGTGTACTTCAGGAAGAGTGAAACCGCAAAGATCATCCGGTGTCTCAAGCTCCGGCGCTTCAGTGATTACAGTATCGGACCACTTGGTGCTGGCTCGCAGGGCGACGAAAAGCGGAGTCTTGTCGAATTTCATTGTGATGGAGCGCAGTATCATCCATTTTGCTAGAAGAGACTCCAGGCTTTCTCTCAGCCTCATGACGCTTGTGCTTCGAGTGACAGAAGCCAGTCGGACTGTGCCAGCCATTTTCCGCGTTTATGGGAAGTAATCTGCATTGACTGCGATCATTGGGAAGACGTCCTCAACGTCATCCCACGTCAACCCTATTCTTTCGACAGCTAAGCTCACTGACTCTCGTGTCCGCGAAGTCAAAGCCTCATCTCCTCCGGTATGTACCATGTCATGCGCAGTTGGCGGACCTCTTCTAGGTACATCCCTCCTCGAGCTTTGATTCGTACTCTTGCTGTCATTCAACGTTTGTGCTAAAGCTTGGACGCTTTCAGAGCAGTAAATTTCTTTTGTCGATATGTCCTTCTTTAATTTTCTCTTGATGTAAGCTTGAAACCGCGGGATGTTGATGCTATCAGCCAGTTCATGTATTGGTTTATCCAAGGGTAAGCTTTCTTTTGGTTGACCAAGTAATCTCGAGAGTATATCTACCAAAGCTTGTTCTATCAGCCCGAGCCAGGAATACGTTAGAGAATTTCTATTTGGCGTTTCTTCCTCCGGAAATCTATTCTGCGCTTCAAGGTAGGTCATCACGACGTGACGTAATTCATCCTTCGAAATCTTCCCAGATGTCGTTGTTGGGAACGTTTCCATCCCTAGATCTCGCAGTGTAAGGTAGGCTGTTGGTACATGGCCTGCGCCTAGTGCTTTGGTCACAAGCGCCTGCATTGCTTCGATAGGAAACGGACCAGGCTTCAGTGGTTGTATCACAGCCAGTGGAAGCTCATCAGCTATTTCATCGGGTACGCCAATGACCTGGGCAATCACGCCCGCTTTATTCAAACATATCTCAATCAAAGCTGGGGATAGATTCTTGCCAGCCCGGATGATAACGACTTTGTACCGACCAAGGATGTAGATGGCGCCCTCATAACTCATTTTGGCTTCATCACCGCTGTTGATCCACAGCCTCTTCTCGTCGCTATAGAATGGCGTATTGTCTCCGTTCAGATATCCCCTTATAAGAAGGTCTCCGCTGTAATGCAGCTCCCCTACTTCGCCTCGCCTCAAGATCTTCCGTTTCCCGGGCTCGCAGATCTTGATTTTCGTACCGTTTGTCAGGTTACCCACATTTATGCAGCCGTCTTCGAAGCTCAATTTTTTCTCCGGAAAAATCGACATAACCGGCGCGCCCTCTGTCATTCCGTATGCCACCAGTGTTGTTGCACCTAATTTGGTCGAAACAGCTTCTGCAATCTCAGATGATATGACAGTACCACCTAATCCAACGTTGTGAAGGGACTTGACTCGCGAAGGTGTGAAAGTCGGGTGGTTCAATAGAGCAAATATCAAACCGGGAACAGCTGTAAGGTGTGAGTTTCAAAGCAAGGGGGTTATTGATACATGGTGCCCCACCTGACATGTGAGAACATTTGTGAATCTCTATTGCATCAAGAGTTGATTCAGCATCGAAAGCTCTTGATGGGTAAACAACCGTTGCTCCGGCTGTCCAGAAAGTGATCAATTCGATCACAGCAAGCATGTGGGCAGGAGGTAAATGATGTGCCAGACGATAGGATGGCTCCAAAGGTCGACGCTGGACTCCAGCCGTGCAGGTCGCCCATAAACTCCTGTTGGTATGAGGACACGCCTTGGGAAGCCCTGATGTGCCACTGGTGAAGACTATTAAGACCACGTCACTCTCAAGATCCTCCACTCCTTCAATGCTGGAGGTTTCAATTTTGTCAGGACTATGCGAATCTAACAACAGTCCATTGCATGAAACCCATCCCGAAGTCGACTCCCCATCGAGAACACCTTCTACGACAACCTTCAGCTTGATGTTGGGAAGTGCAACGTCAGAATACTCTTGTATTGTATTTACATCTGTTCTGTCGGTCACGACCAGCATATCAGGCTGTACAGTATTCAAATAATGGCTGATCTCTGGCTTCCTTGAAATAGATTTTGGATCTAATGGAACGAATGCGGTACCAAGCTTTGCACACGTCCAGAACCATAGGGCCCATTCAATGGAATTATGCAGACACACAACGGACTGCATGCCTTTACGGATACCATGTCGGTAAAGTGAGGTTGCAAGACGGTGGGATGCCTCATCCAGTTGCTCATAGGTCCATGTCAAACAGTCTTGCTGCCTCAATGACGGATAGCCGGTTGCTGGTAGGAGGTCACTGGCTTGATGCATAGATATGACGGCTGGAACTTTGGCTTGTAGGCGTGCTGCGTCTGCCAGCAAGCTTCTCAAGGAAAGCGGGTGGCCAGATAGCGGGGCTCCCTCTGCCTCGGACAGTTGGGTGGCAGCGATCTCACCGTCCATCGCACTGGTCAGTATGGATGCGCAGGTGTCGAGCAGCTTCGATGGGCGACTTGGTTAGCACTGCTCGTCCGACATATATTGCATGGAACGGCTGAAGATAGGCAATCAGAGGGAACAAAGTCACTAAATAGGGCCACGCGTTCCATTACTAGTCATTACGAAAGCTCTATTTTCGATGAACAGCTGAACTTGCGTAACACAGGAGCGTGATGGGCATATTTCGCATCAGGCATGCTGAAATCCCGTAGCGATGTGGCCGAAGGATCTCTAGCCCGCTGAACGGCCGTCGTGATAGACGTCCCACTCAGTAAGTTCACATCTCTCAGCTCGTAGAGCGAGCAGTGTGTCAGAGAGAATCAGACTTTCGAGTCTAAAGAGGCCAGAGATAAAATCTTCTCGTTGCTAGGACTGAGCAATGACGGAGCTGTGCTGATTCCGATACCAAATTATGTTCAGCCTGTAGGAGACTTGCTAGCAGACGTTACCCGAGCCATGATTAGGAGGGCAAAGTGCCTGGACCTAATCTTGACTGGTCCAGCAAACCCCCTTTCATCGTGGACCATCGATTGGCTGAGTGCCAAGACACCAAAGATTGCGAGTATGGAAACGATTTTAACCATATCGATGATAACCAACCCCTGAGACAAGCTAAAGTTTTGAAGGTACGAGGCATATTCATTGGCACAATTGAACAGATAACCTCACCTTTGGGAGCTGAAGACCTGTCATACCAAAGCTTGTCTCACGTTCCAGTCCAGTCGAGGCAGCAAGTCCAAGAAGAGAGCTGTATTATGAAAGTCGACCTGATGTCCTCAAAAATCACCTCAGGTGCTTTGTGGAGTCTTTTTCTGACACTGAAGGGGGGCTGTCGTCGAGGTTTGTCTCATGGCTCGACTGGAGCGCATTTTGCCTCCATTGTTCACGGAGAGACATGGATCCCGACCCGTATCATATTGCTTACGAGCTTGAGGAATCAGCGCATTTACAATATCAGAAGCGCTTTGCGGGGTTGCTGAAGGCCAATGCCAGTCTGACGATTGAAAAGACAAACCTTGGGGATTGGATGATAGTACGAAATGCTTTTTTGATCCGATTACTCCTCACTTTCGCTTCTACTAGGTATTGTGGCCGATAAATCTGCCGATATTCTTGTTAATCCTAATGGTAATGTTCCTGGGTGTGTTGACTTCGAATCTCTTTGGCCAAGGCTGGTTCTGGTCATCAGTGCTGATGAGACTTGTCGGTTGGCTCGGAACCGCTCTATTTCTAGCACTCATCTTTGACGTCGTTGTGACCGTGCGCCACGTCGCAACTCAGCAGAAGAGACGACCCTACCGCCAGCAGCTCCACAGCTCTTTCAATTCCAATCAAAGAATCGCAGTTGACGACAACGGGGTGTTGTGTATGGTCGACAAGTTCGCAGACACAGGAGATTGCATATATTTTCTGGCTGGATTATCAAAACCAGTCATTTTAAGAAAAATTAGCAGCGATGAGAGTGCGAGCCGAAGGCTGAAATATAAAGTAATTGGATCGTGCTGGGTTGGGTTTAATCGCAACGATACGCTGAAGTATATGCCTTTTCTTGAAGAGAAGAATCCGGGGCCACTTCGCGACTCTCTAAGTTTTAATGATCTCAAAGAGCGTGCAGAAGCATGCTTTCAGCTGTACCAGAGAGAGAAGATGTGGAAAACCCTTGAGTTGATCTAGTGTCTTACTGACACTGTGGACTAGTCCTGTCATTGAAATCTTCTTGGATCGACACAAGACCCGATTTGATAGCACTCGCTGGACCAGGATTCACTGACATCTTCAACCTTTTGATTGAGATTGTTACCGCTGTGGGATTGCTACCACTTCTGGACACCGCCGACATGGAGGGCAGCTCGGACGTGTCGATAGAGCCTAGTATCCGCCTCTGGATGAAATCATGATGAAGTTGTCGGCCTTACGTAGCCCTTCAGCGTCACCGTTGCTATGCTGAGATATTTCGAACTTTCTTTGCGCAGATCTATGACTTGAGTATACAACGTTGGCCAATATCTCAGCTTGAACTTTGAAGACTCCCTTCATATGGTTGCTCCCATTTCCATAGCTTCGAGTACCTGAGAAGACTATCAAAGTCACTCCTAGATGATGAACGCCTGACACCTCCATCTTCACAAATCTATAAGCTGAACGACCTCTTCGCCTTCTCTCGGAAAAAGATGTCATACCAATCCCATGCCTTCGCATGTGTCTAAAACACATAGGACTCTTTAGTCCAAAGCCAACACAAGAGCTCATAGCTGGCCTTCTTTTTGGCAATTTTTAGCATCTTCACGATGGTTAGGAATTGGTTGAAACGCTCGTACGCTCAAATTGTCAATGATGGGTCAGATATCAACGGCATATTTACACCAAAGACTACGTCCTTGGCTTGTTTTGAGCGTGCGCTGTCTTCCCCCCCACCAAGATGCGCACAGGGCTGAACAATGTGGCCTGACTCACCGATCTCGTACGATACCTTGAAAATGAGATCAGAATCATGAACACCAAAAGTCCCTCGATGAACAATGAACGCAGAATATTTATTTTCGGGGTCTTCAATCAAAAGCACTGCGCCATGGACAAGTCCTTCGCCCGTCCTGAATCGCCAACGCATCTGCTCTTGTTCTCATAGCCTTGGGCATGAATTAGCCGAAAGCTTTCATAAGATCGAGCGGGATCTTCACTCATTGTACATCGCACTAGGACTTAGCTGTATCTTGGCCGTCGACGGCGCTCATGATTTGGGTGCGGCGGGGGGTAAGATCGGCTAAATATACAACAGACGAGGCTGAAAGTCCAGACAGAAATATTTGAATCGGGAGGGCGGGATGAATCACCTATACTGTATGAATCCCTTTGACTTATGATGGCCTTGTCGTCTTTTCGAATCCTTCCATCTCTGCACCTGAAGGTTTGCAAGACTTGGAAGGCCATCTCAGGTAAATCAAAACTCATTGGCTTCACACCTGCACGATGACTTCGACCTGGTCTCTCGCATTATGGCTTTTACCATTCCTGCATGTGATCATTGCCTCACCACTGTCTGAATTGCCGAAGAGTTTTGAGGGCTCCGTTCCTCGAAGTTTGACAAAGCGGAACACCTTCGAGGTCGATACTTCTTGCACTGCCAGACAGCAGGCGATTATCAACGAAGCAATCAGTGGAGCAACCACACTCGCTGAGTATTCAAAGCAATTTGGCGTCGATTTCAATCCTTCGAAGGAGGAGTCCTACTATGGGTCAAGCATCTTCGGGAAAGGCTGCCCTTACCAATGCGATGACAAATTGGGCGGACTTACCATTCGACGCAAGTCACATTCCTAGACTGTTAAAATCTGTTGATAGCAACTCATGTCGATGTAGGGGTCTTCTGGGATATTGCGACATGGGGTTCAAAGAACGATCCCTTTGCAGACCCTCGCCTCTCGTACATCCTCTCCACTTGCCGCGATATCGAAGGCCTCTGCAACAGTAGAAACGGAATTCGAGCGTATGTTATCAAGGAAGAAGCACCCACAATCGTGATCTGCCCTGCGTTCTTCAACCTTCCAACATTAAGAGCCTCTCGAGACAGTGTCACGGGAAGCGAATCAAGGAATGCCAGATATTGGAGTTTCTACTACAGCCAGGCGATGATCATGCTGCACGAGATGACCCATTTGCGAGCAATCACGCGAACACCAGACTTCGGATTCATTGTCGATCAGGCATACGGTTTCAAGGGTGTTGTAGCCCTTGCATCAGAGACAGGTAGTGGCCTTACCTGCCGAAATGCAGACTCATATGCTTGGTATGCAACATTAATCTACTACTGTAAGACTCCAATCATCCAATCACGAGTACTAGACCTCATTCAATGTACTGACTGATGTTCTGTAATTGTGCAGACCAATTTACTCAAACTCTCGTCGATCCAGCGAACAAGAAACCTCGACCTGGCGACGAGCTCCTTACCCTGCCGCCGGACACGACTGTGGCGAGTCCTGATGACGACGATCCAGCGGACGATGACTTCGAGCCTACGCAGACCGTCAGCCCTTCGGATGTCCCCAGCGTTGCCTTGACATCCGCCGCTTTATCCACGCCAACTGATCCTGCTCCCGTTCAGTCTACATACCCTATCCAATCACCAGGCTGTCAAGTGGCCAGCTCACCACTCGCCGCCCCGCCCGTCCTCCTCTTCCTCTCCGACGGCAGTAATGCCACCCTCGATCAATTACTTTATCTACTCCAAGAACCAATATGCACCGGCACATGCAAGATACCCGAGGGTATCCCATCCAATGTCGCTGCTGCAACAGGCGATGGAAATTACTGTGAGATTGCTGTTGCTATCTCCGACAGTGTGGAAGGCTGGATGTTTACAAATTCGCCACCCACCGGTGTCGAGGCTGAAGAATGTTGGGTTAGTACGCAAGACATTATTGACGATTGTGTTAAGGCGGATTTCTCGAAGCATGGATGGTGGAATGGAGATCATGTTTATCAGTATTATGAAGCTGGGTACAGGGCGCTTAATAGTCCGAGTGCGAAGCATACGAGTAAGTTGACGGCTTGGCTGTGAAACTCCGACATTTCGTAGGGATCTCTGGGATACAGTCCATAAAAATGCTGGCTTGGTGAGTAGCCTGGTAAAGTCTGAGTTGCGGATGACAGCATACAAGCCAGTTTCTACCAAATCGAACCGTGACGGCACATTATAGCGACAAGTATGTAGGTGCCGTGACCAAACCTTCCGGCACTACTTATCCTGCATGCAGCCTTGCAAGGCTTTCTGTGTTGAAAATCGAACTTCTCGTTGGGTCTTAGCTATCCTTAAGAGAACCCATTGGTTGTAAGCCGTCAAGGTCCATGTATAATGTGATAAGGCATATAGCGACAATGCAGCAGAAAACAAATACCTCTCAAAAGGCAAGCCTAATCATGTAAGAAACACCGCGGTCCAATGACTTCAACTCCAAACCTCGTGAAGTTGGAGCTTAAGCAGGTTCGTTTCAACCCCATGCAGCAGGCTACCAGCAAGAAATGGATGAGGGCGGAATGCCTGGACTACATACTTTGAAAAGGTCTTCCCGAGATATGAATCGTTATACTGAGCCCAATTCGATGAAGGTACCTCGGGTTGCGACACATCTGCAACCTTTCATTTGAATGCTAGTCAACTCGTTGCTGGAAGGGGGAAAACAGATGTGCTTGTGAGCATGGCGGCGTTAGAGACCGCTGTCTGTATGTCGCAAAAGAGTGGGCCATCTCAGCCTGACCAACGCATTTTCTCCCCTCAGTGATGCAAGGCATATTTTCCTCCACAACGTCATTGAGAATGCAGCATTAAAACGACCAATGAAAGGCTCGGCTTTGTCCGATGTTTCGTTCTATTCCCGCTTGACGCTTGTATGGCCGACCAATCCCAACTAACGCTCGCTCGTATGCAGCAAAGATCGAACGGCTTCGCCTTCTACATGCATATGCAAACAAGGCTAGCAATTGACATCGCCGTGCTTCATACAGGATGTGCCATTCCTGCACATCTCAGAAGAGGCACAGTCGATGACTAGCCATCATGTGGGCAATCACGAGCCATGCTCCCATCTCCAGCAGAAACATCTTCACACTAGTCAGCCTCACATGTACAACTACGATTTTCAATCTGTCGCACGAGAAAAGAGAAGAGAGTCCTGCACGCCGCGATAATCTGAATATTGCAGATCTCGTCACCCTTGAACTTCACCTCGAGTCCAGGGCCGTTTCTTTACTTATTCAACGTCCAGCCGCTTCTCATCTTCACTGACCTACCAACGATTCAGCCTACCACCATCTTACCTATTTCATTGAAACTCAAGGAGTCACCATGCGCTTCTCCACCGTCTTCGCCCTCATCAGCACTCTCATCCCCTCCTTCACCCTCGCTTTACCATCCCCTCAGAATGCACTCTCTCCCCTCGGGCCTCGCTCGCTCAACATCTATGACCACCAAGAACGCGGCACTGGCGAAGACCTCTTCACAGCTTTAATCATGGGCATTGCCGCCGCAGCCGGCAAAGACCTGGCGTCCGTATTCGGTGTCAAGCCGCCCACCTGCTGTGACAATGTAGATTGGCCGTGTCTAATCAACGCCGGCAAATCGAAGGATGGCCACGGCTTCCAAGCCTGCTACGGACCCGGCACTGATGAGATCTACGATTTCGACGTCGAGGTCATGAAGTGTATCATCGACTTACATTATCGGCAGCCGTATAAATGCATTGATGTCAAGGGCTCGGTGTGTGGAAACGGCGCAGGCGCTGGCAGCGGGATTATGAAGGGCGAGTTGGGCTGGTGGGGCAAAGGTAGTAGTAAAGCCAATTTGGTAAGTGACCAGGATAGTAAGACTCTGCAAGCGGCGGCAGAGACTATGAGGGGAGTGAAGATCAATTATGCCAAGCCCAGTAATGGGGCTATACTGCTGGAGGTTGTGAGTGATACGAATGACTTGTTGAGTTTGGAGATTAGTTTTACGGGGCATCAGGGGAAGGAGTGTTGATTTCCTTCGCCTGTGCTTGGCGGGTCTAAATCAGTAGGTAGGGTTTGCGGAAGTGGAGCTAGTTGGTGCGATGAGAAAGCATTTGAACTGTTCGAAGGAGGTGGGGAAGGTTTGCATCTGGATGTTATGGCTCATTGGTGGGAGCTATGGAACGATAGGTCGTTCGTCTCGAGTATCGACTGAAGCTGTATTAGAAGATGGTTTAACCTCAGGACTTCTGTGGCAAGTGGTGACGTAGAATGACGGACATCCTGCGATGAAGTAGTCATCAAGTTTATATCTTAAATAGCGAACGAGGTTTTTGAGACAGTTGATCCAGTCTGGGACTACTACTTTCCTAAGGCATTATATGCTAAAAGGGGGGACATAAAGAGTATATACTAAAGATATTTTATTAGAATTTTAATTAGATAGCTAGTAACCTAATCATCTTTCTCTCTATTATCTAAGCCTATTCAATTCCTACTTAGGCCTTTTTCCTAAAGTTATTAAAAGGGTTAAAAGTATTTTAATAGTATTTAATAAAATACTTTCTCAAGAAATATGATAATAAATAATAGTATAATAATGCGCTATAGGAGTAATTCATAAAAAAAGGTAGGGAAAGAAAATAAGAAAGTATATACGGCGCATTATGCGGCTTGTCCGGGTATTATATTAGACCTACAAGCTGAGCTGGGGGCACAATTATGTCAGCTTCTTCTGCCAAGCAATTGAATAACGTGGAAACGAGATCCTCCCTTCGCGATTTACCGCAATCTTGAAACAGCTGAAGTTGACGAGGCTTCTACTACCAATGAAGTGCTGAAAAGCTTTCTTGCTAGAGTTCCGGACGATATGTCAGTGTTTGAGTCGCCAGCAAGTGTCACACTGCTCGCTCGTGAGATAGGTCGGCGCATATTCACCTTCATGATGAGAGCAGAAGAGGAGCTCGACATCGAGATGTCCTTAGCAGATGTCGGCGTGGACTCGCTCATTGCGATCGAGATTCGGAATTGGTGGAGACACGCTTTCGGGTTCGACGTTACTATCCTACAGATCATGGGGGTACAACATATTTCCCAGCTTGGTCAGTTGGCGGCATCAGGACTGAAGGAGAAGTATCGGTTTGATCCAGGGAGAGCATCTGCCTCCAATTAGAATCAATGTGAGTACCCTAGGTGGTGACAGGAAAGGAAGGAAGCGAAGAGAGATCTCCCCTTATCACTTACACGTCCATTTATAGATTCTCAGCAGCGTCGTAATTCCAAATCTAGCCGGGTCTGAAGACTTGTCAGCACAGTCTCACGTAAATATGTATTGGATGCTGTATACTCGGTGAGAACCAAATTGAGACCATCAATATTATGTGAATGTTGACAGTCTAACAGATAGCACGATCAATTCTGAATAGATGGTCTCGTTGAAATCTGTAAGAACCTGATGGCCAGAGCGGTAGCGAGAAGATAGAAAGTGGCCAAGGGATAGCACAAGCGAGCATCGAGGGAGCACAGGGCTAATCAAGACTACTATGGATTTGAAGCTGATAGCGCCCAATGGCTGGTAAAGCTGAAAGAGAAGAAGGCGAAAAGCGACCTCGCCGTGTACACCTGCTCAATAACTGATTTGTTCGACGTCACAGCCTTGTCGGTACAAATAAACCAGATCGTGGTTCAACATGTCAAAACAACCTTGATCTTTCTCTGCTTGCGTTGCACGCCATCTGCATGTCGTAGTAGCCTGTGGTGCACAAGCAGTAGAGGTATTTATAGTCGCCGCCGTACTCGGCCTCGCAGGCGTTGTAGAGTACGTCGTAAGAGCACGGGGCGGCAGATTGGCATATTTCGAAGGCAGAGAAAAAGTCTAGACTTGTGGTTGGAGATGGGGACTGTTGTTGGCGACGACGAAGGTCGACGGAGGGGGAAGGGGTGATTGTTTGGGAGTGGGAGAGGGTGGTGAGGGAGAGGAGAAGGAGATGGCACGGGAGACTGGGGAGATGCATATATTGGGGAACGGTGGAAATTCTGTGGTGGGAGAGAAGGAAATGGGGATTGGGCTGGAGGAGGATCGAGCAAGAGGGTTGATATATCTATTTTTGGCTAGATGTAGATTGTGTAGTTAGTGAAGGTAGAAAAGGCTAAGATACTGAGGATTTGATAAGACGTAGATTGTGAAGAAGGCAAGTGTACGCGATTTAATGGGACGGTGTGCTGCATGGTGTGCATGAGGTGAAAGCTAGAGGATTGGCACGAGGTATGGAGCACCGTGGGGCATTTTTTGCAATTGTAAACGTAAATTTTTGTGAACGTTCTAGAATCCCTACACAGTACCTTGTCGGCCACTTCAAGGGTGCAACTAGGATGTCTTATGATACATTCTGGGAAGGCTTATGAAGGCTGGGACTGCCCCTTCGTTGCATCAGCGATTTAAGTCAAGGTTGGCCTCGGGCTTGCCCCTATTGTCACGATCTCGTAAGTCCGATAAATTCCGGGTTGCTTGGCGTCTGTCCTAAAAGGTCTCTGAGATCACAATGTTGACTTCAAATTCTTAGATATGTCCTGTTTTGCGAATGGACGAATTGAACACAGTGCCGACGGCTCTTTGTTCTGTACTATAACATGGCCATTTGACACTTGATAATTGACATGCGTCCTCCTTTATCCGTTCCGCATGCGGCAATATCGCCTTCTTCATCAAATCCCTGCCTTAAGGAGACCAAGGTGAACAACATGCACCTCGACTATCTCCCTCTCACTCGCCATCTCATCCGTTCTGTTGACTACGCAACATGAGTACTAACAAACCCTCTCCCTTGTATGCCACTACTACGATGCAACGAATACCTAGACCTCCAGAGCCCCCTGGCATCGTTGAAACAACCATTGCGCCCCTCCTCCGCCATCCTGCGCACGTCCTGAATGCATGGGTTCATTTCGTTGAACACAATGCCAACCTATATCTCAACCCTCCTCCTCAGCTTGTGCACGCACCTCGACTTGAGCGACTCGTCCACGTTGTTCAGTCGCAATCCTACACCGCTAAGGCATACCTGAAGTTTTGCTTTGTGGGTACTATAGATCCGGGTGACAAAGCAGCAGGGACAGGCTCGAAGGCATGGAAAGGGGTGAAGGATCCGTGGGCTATCTATCCTCATACAGAGGCTTGCTACAACATTCCTTGGGGCTCGGTAGCTGCATTCTTCATCATGTGGTTCATCATCTGCCCCCTCCTATGGCTGTTTTTCTGGCGACTGGGGGTCAAGAAGTTGTTTTGGTTCACAATCGCTGTAACGAGATGGGCGATTCGGGTTGGCACACGGGCTGCGGCATCGATTCAGGCATGGGCAAGGGAAGGAGACACTATGGAGGGAGAAGAGCATAGGGTGGGAGCGGAGAATCCAGCGGAGGAGACATGAGAGGACACACCGCGAAGGAACCCACGACGCCAGAGAAAACTCAAGCGCTACGACTTGCAGCTGTGATTGATCGATAATGGATGTTCTCATAGAGCGTCGAGTCAACACAATTGATAAATGGGGAATCGATCTGATCACTCAATCACAAGAAAAACGAATTATTCAATCAAATCTCCTCCTTGCAATCTGACTCGGTCAATCTGCAGAATGAAATTCAATATTCGCACCAAACAAGCATGCATGTTCATGATCGACAGAAGAAATTCAAAATCTCGCGCTACTCCACCATACGTCATCTATCTTCAAGGATATTTACCCCACCTCCGCTTTTCCGATATTTCATCCAACCCACCTTTTTTCGACCCACCATCTGCTTAGCATGGATTCAAATGATGCGACGTACACTTCTCACCACTCTCTCTCCCCTGGCAACACCGCCCTCATCACCGGCGCCGCATCCGGAGTTGGTCTCGCTGTCGCAAAGCTCTTCTACCAAAAAGGCATGAACATCGCTCTTGCCGACCTTAACGCATCTGCCCTGTCCAATGCCCAGAACGCTCTCCTTTCCCCTAGTCAGAGCAATAGTGCCGCAAGCTCAACGGACACCGCCGTCGCCGCCGGCATGGTGAAAACTTACACCATCGACGTCTCCTCCCTCTCGGACTGGAAAGATCTGAAAGCACAAGTCGGGATGGATTTCGGTCTCATACACGTGCTGATGCTGAACGCGGGGACGATGAAGAAAAGTGGGTGGGAGGATGTTGAGTATTTCCAAAGTGTGAGCCTCTCTCCTTACTTGCTGCGTTCCCATGGCCACTCTTTTTCTTTTAGACCCCACTCCTTCGTCTCTACCATTCTATCCTCCAATGCTAATGCTTGCCCTCAAGATCATGAACACGAATTACTTCGGCATCATAAACGGCATTTCGACCTTCCTCCCTTCCCTCCGCAAACAAGAGCCTGCATCCACTTCCATTATAATCACCGGCTCAAAGCAAGGGATCACAAACCCGCCCGGCAGTCCGGCCTACAATGCCTCTAAAGCCGCCGTTAAGGCCGTTGCTGAACATTTATCGTATGATCTACGGGATACAGGGACGGATGTGTTCTTGTTGGTGCCAGGGTGGACGTGGACGGGCATGACTGCCGGGGGGAGGGATGGAGAGAAGCCCGAGGGGGCATGGTGGCCTGAACAGGTGGCAGGGTATTTGGAAAAGAGGATGGGGGAGAGGAGGTTTTATGTGATTTGTCCGGATGAGGCGGTCAGTGAGGGGATGGATAGGAAGAGAGTGCTGTGGAATGCGGGAGATTTGGTCGAGGGGAGGCCGCCATTGAGTCGGTGGAGAGAGGGGTGGAAGGAGGAGGCGGAGAAGTGGATGAGTGAGCAGCCAGGCTAGAGGGAAATTTGGGAAGGGTACGTGCAAAGAGTGAGCAAGAGAAGGCTCCGTTGCTTTCACTGTACATATTTGAGAGCCGTAAATCTTGCTCTCTAGTAGAGCTTTTCATCATTGCTTCTTATAATCGCATCAGCTAGATTAGCTAGCCTTCGGCATCTTGAGGTAGCAATGATAGCGAGCGGCATGATTCATCAATCCGACTCGTCATCTGAGAACTCCTCGTCTGAGTACACACCCTCGGTCCCATTTCGTTTAGCCGCCCTCGACTTGTCAAGGCCATCCCCGACATATCCCTCCTCGATTTGGCTGCTCAACACGGAGTCGACCTCGCCCCACCATCTCAGAAACCTCTGCACGCTCATTGGCAGAAGCGGCAATCCCATGAACGCCCTTGCATAGAAAGGTTCCCTGATCTCTCCCGCCTCTCCATCATCGATCATACGCACAATTTTCACAGCCAGTTCTGACACCGGAACGACTGGTCCCACGAACTTTTGCATTCGACCCTGCAATTTCATATCCTTGAACAAAGCCGTATCCAGTTGGCCAGGAGCGACAAGAATAGTCTTGATCTGTGGCGCTCGAGTCCGAAGCTCTGCAGAAAGAGAAGTGTGATATGCTGACAGCGCTGCTTTTGACGCCGCGTAGGGTGCTACGCCCACCGCACAGATATGGCCCAGTATAGAGGCGATGGTGACGATAGAACCCCCATTCTCGCGAAAAGAGATACCCTGCAAGAAGAGCCTGGTCGTACAGAATTGAGACAGCGTGTTGACCTGGAAGATCTTCTCGACTTGCTCCGTGGTGAATTTGGCTATTGAGCCATGGGTATTGATACCAGCATTGTTGATCAGAATAGTCGGCGTGCCCAGATCTTCACTTATATGTTTCCAGACTTTTTCAATATCTGAGGATTTGCTGATATCGCAGTGGTAGAACTTGATGCCATCCGTCTCATTTCTATGCTCCTGTTCGGGCACAGCAATGTCCAACACGGCGACGCTGACGCCTCGGAGGCCAAAGATCTCAGCGATACATCCACCTAATCCGCCCAGACCTCCTGTGATCACGACGACCTCACTCGACCAGTCGACATGTCGTGGTGTGCCGTACCCTAGTCTGTGGTCTACAATCTTGAGAACATGGTACAAGCAGACTATTGCTGCGAATGCAGATGTGAGAATGAAGGATGTTGAGTTGTAGGGTGCAGCGAGGGCGCGGAGGCAGAGTGGGAGTAGACAGGCGATGAAAGGATGGAATATAGACTTTGAGAGGGCCGAGAGAAGGATGTCGATGGAGAGCTGAGGTGTAGAGAGACTGGCAGGTCTGGACCTGTCAGTCCTATGGCTCTTCAGCGACGGTGCCATATTGGTGACGGTTGCGGCTGTAAGGTGTGGGAGATTTCAGGGGAGATTGCGGGGAAGCGGGACCTAATGGTGGGGGGCTTATAGGGCTTAGTGCCCCCGGAAGTGCTCCTCAGCCTTGTATCTAATTGACACTTTTGTTGCCTAATGACTCAGTCCTTTCGAATGCCGTTTCTCGACTGTAAGCCGGCAAGTGTCACATCCTGACTCAGTATGTGAAGTCATTGAGTATGGAGAAGCTACTAGCAGTAAATGATCTTGCGCCCTGACGTAGTGCATGACACTCAGCCAGTGGCTTTGTTTACAAGCTTTCCTCGTGACAAAACCTTGTACAACACACCTTAGATGTGTCAAGATCTTTTTCTTACTCCCATGGATTGTCACGCTGAGCTTTCACAACGCTATATCATTCCTGTTTCCAGCTTTCTCTCTTCTCTGTTAGTACCGCAACATCTAGAGTGCAAAGCCAGAAGCAGACACCCACAATGCCCCGCAGAGCGTTCATCGCCGATCTACAGCAGATTTCGAAAGAGGACCTAGGATCAAACGTGTCTAACATCAAAGCTGGTGAAGATGATGGACAAGTCTCATTCATTTATATGCATCGAGGCAGCCCGACAGAGGTCATTGCTCTCGTTCCAGACCTTGGAGACTACCCCGAGTCTCACAGCTACATGTTCTTCACCAAATCCGACCAAGTAGACCCTTCAATCCAAGAAGCGGTTCACTCAATGCCTGACTACAGCACAATGAGGATCTCAGATATGCTGACCAAGGTAATCAAATCCTTGGATAAGGCTACCGGTAATCCCAAGGACTCTACGATTGATAGAATGGCTGTCGACTCGGACTCGGGAGACGAGCTGGAAGACGAAGAGAGCCCTCAAGAGTACGACTCTGACGACGAAGCTTGGTCAACGAAGCCTGCAAACGCACGATCATCTACAAGTGGCAAGGGATACTTCAGAGCCAATGAGGACCAAAAAACTCAGAAAGCACGGCTTCGGCATGACCTTCGACTGGCCAAAGAAGCCGGTTTTCGGGTTTCTGTTGTTGGGAGCCTTGTGCACGGTGGCCGCGACGGAGTCGTAGAACTATCGATACGCGTTGCAAAGCTTGGTATCTCAGAAGAGGCCCTTGACGCATGGAATATGCATCCATCACAATATCTCGTGCTCCTCATAAGGTACTTATCAGGCTATCAGTGTTTTGAAGAGCTGACTGGCAGTCGTCCTTCCAACATGCAGATTCGGGTTGGTCTCTGTGCGAAGTACAAAGTCGGCATGGACGAAGCCTTGGGAGCATTTGTTCGCCTCGACGAAAAAGACAAAGACAAATATCAGGGCAAGAATCCTGATCATAAGAGCGCAACTGGGAGTGCGCTCGAACGCATCTTCATTGAACGCCCTCTCGAAGAGCTGCTCAACGAGCGCCTACTGCTCCTACTCCAATATCGTCTGGCGCTGGGCCTTCCCTGGATCGGAGCTGAGGAATTCCTGAATGATCATCAAGGTATGTCGATTAGAGTCTGTCAAATCGACAACATCTGGCTGACTTTCGACTTCAAGGGCGCAATCTCGAAAGCAACGCTCCAGACCCGAAATACTGGAAAGAGGAAAGTCTCAAACCTAGTATCGCAACACACGACCATCTTCGTGATCTTGATAGACAAAAGTCGTTTCCCTTAATCAGCATGCAGTACGCTTTACGCCATCTTGTACGCTGTACTGAATTTTGCTTGGTCTGCCACTGTAAGGTCGAGGAGGATTTCGAGGCTCTTAAGCCATACGTCTGCTCGAAACCGCTCTGCCTTTACCAGTACATGAGTCTTGGTTTTGGTCCAAGCATCGAACACGAAATATTGACGCAACCGCATGTCGTAGACCTCCTCATCAGCTTCTGCTACGCCAGCGCCCACTGTCGAAAGCTGCGATATTTACCCACCGGTATGGCATTAACGGTGCCTACTCTATCTACGTTGGATTACACAAAGATCGTCACCAACAAAACCACATATAATTCGTATCTCACTGCCAAATTTGACCGCCAAAAACTGGAACTCCTTTTCCCACCTGGCAGCAAAGTTCCCCTTCAAGTCGGTAGTTGGATCACCATGGTCGCTCTGGATGGGAGCTCGAACAAGTGGCATTGCCGTGTGATCGAGAGCACTCCCCCAGTCGTTCGCCTTGGCGAACTTGTCACACCTCTGAAGGTAAGCTTCAATAGTACCGCCTCAGGTTACACCTCAACGCCAGATCGCCCGAGTACCCCTCAGCCAAATGTGAAAGAAAGCACCCCACCTGTTACGGCCGAAGAAGCCTTCCGGAGCTCATATCAAGACATTGGCTTTTACATTTATAACAAAAACTTTGATGACCTGGTTAGTGAGGAAAAATATGCGACCATCTGTATGCTTCTAGATACTCTGCCGAGCTTACCAGAGATGCATAAATACCTGCTCAGCCGAGGATCTCAGGAATTGAGCCTTCGCCACTGGGCAGATAGGATTTCTCCGGCATCTCTTGGTTTGCTTCGGTGGATTATTGCCTCTAACCGATCCTGTATCGTCCAAGTCGACAATCTTGAAGGTACCACTCGCAAGTCGGAAGCTCGAGTATCTGGCATGCCCGGGTGGATGCAATTTCGCTTCGCTCAAGGTGCCCCAGATAAAGAGCAGCGTTTCATCACATCTATACGAGAGACCACCCCTACGGCTACGCATCCTACGAGGTTCGCCTGGCATGGCAGTCCATTGTACAATTGGCATGGGATAGTTCGGGAGGGACTTCACTTCAATGAGATTTCCCACGGTATATCTTTATAGTGCTCGAAGCTAAATCTTAGCTAACCATTGAATTAGGTCGCGCTTATGGCAATGGTGTCTATCATGCCATGGATGTCCACACTAGTTGTGGCTATTCCGGGCATCATCTCCATCCTAATGTGTATCAGGGCGGACCTTACAAATGGCCTCCTAGTCAACTAAATGTTTCCAGTGCGGTTGCGTTGAATGAGATTGTCAATGCGCCACAACAGTTTGTGAGCAGTCAACCCTACTTGGTGGTTGCTCAGCTTGACTGGATCCAATCTCGATATCTGTTCGTGAAGTGCAACGTCGATGGATGGCAGATTCCAGATACTGAACCCTCTGAAATCTACTCACTTGATCCAATGGCCACTCCTAGGGGACAAAATGGCACCCCTTTGGTCCTACCTTTGAATGCTGTCAGTAAGGCGCGAAGGCCAACAACTGCACCAAAAACGCCCAAGTCGGTCAAGACTGGAATTAAAAAAGCAAAGTTGAATCAAGCGAATCCTGCTGAAGAAGCTGTCATCGACATCAGCGACGATACAGATGTCGAGGATCTTGCTATCTTCCTTTCCGATATCGAGGAAATTCCTCAGCCCACCACAACCAAAGGGAAGACGCCTGCAAAGTCTGCCAAGAAACCATTGCATGATCCAGAGAAGATGACTTTCGCACCTGGCACCCTAGATATCAAATCATTAGTACTGCTGGAGCCACCTTCGTATGCGACATCTATGGCTACCAAAGCTCTCCAGCGTGAATTGCAAGCCACTCTCAAGGTTCAAGATTCACACCCTATTCATGAGCTAGGGTGGTATATCAACTCCGAACTTATCTCCAACGTATATCAATGGATTGTCGAGCTACACTCTTTCGAGAACAAGCTCCCACTTGCGCAAGACATGAAGAAGCAAGATGTTCAGAGCGTTGTGCTGGAAGTTCGCTTCGGTGCTCAATATCCCATGAGCCCGCCCTTCGTCCGCGTGATCCGCCCTCGATTCCTAGGCTTCCAGCAGGGCGGCGGAGGACATATCACCATGGGTGGAGCCCTTTGTATGGAACTTCTCACCAATTCCGGATGGAGTGCCGTATCGAGCATCGAGTCCGTTCTGTTACAGGTACGCCTAGCGGTGGAATCCATAGACCCTAAGCCTGCTCGTCTTAGCGGAGCTAGAGGCGATTATGGGGTAGGTGAGGCAGTCGAGGCTTATATCCGCGCTGCGACGGCTCATGGATGGGAAGTGCCTCGCGATTTTAAGTCGAGCTATATGGGTGGTGAGACTTCTCGGAACAATGTCCCAATCTAAGGGAGGCATGGGCATTCGAGGTTGATGTGAGATGAGTGGCCAAAGGCGATTCATAAAAAGCGAAGGCGTTGGGGAAGGTTTTGCAGACTTTACGCGTGCATGACTCTCGGGGATCACGCTTTGCTAATCATCGATATTTGTTGCTGCGTGCCACTTGTTGTAACAAATTTTAATCTAAATGGAATTATTGAATGGCCGCCCCGTGTTCTTGAATAATGCTACTGAGCTCCAAACCCCATCTGTTCTTGTTACTGATCCAACCCGTAGTGGTCTCTAAGAATGCTGCCTGTAGCCGTCATTCAGCCGAAAAGGTCCACTTGGTATCACTAGACTTCACCTACCTGCATTTCCAATAACGAGCCTCTTCGAAAATCCCTTACTCTCCATCGCCAGCTCAAACCGATCACAGTACGCCAGCCTCTGTCCGCACGATTGCGTGTATCATTGAACCGAGCCAGAGCTCTAAATCCAGCTTCTTGAGCCTCCTCATCACACACTGAACCCCTGCCACTCTCCGTCTTCCTCCCCACCTCCTCCCTCCCCATTCCTCTTTCCCAGCGCCTCCTTCCTCCCCCGCTCCCACTCCCACAACCATCTCACATCCCCTCTCACCTTCTCTCCCTCCTCATCCTCCGGCGCCAGCCACAGTTCCCTCTTGACCGCCCTTTCCCAAAACCCCCAGCTCCTCGGCCCCACAACGCCAGGATACCTCCCCCCAGCCTCCTTCAACGCCTCATAAAATCCTTCCGCAAGCTCCTCGCATCCCAGCACCCTCAAGCTTCTCAGCATCCTCGTGATCCTTAGATGATTGTGTCCGAAGCGCATCAACCATGTTTTCCGCGCTCTTCTCTCAAAGGCACTTCCCCCGCCTGCCCCACCCCACCCGCTCCTTTTCGGTGTCTCTTCGCCATCTACATCTGTATCCTTCGAGCCTATGGGCACCACTTTTGCCCCATCTTTCATGTACTCAAAGCCGTAAAATGCCATCATCCTCGCAAAACCCCTGCCGAATTGTTCTCGAAGATCCTCTCGGGAGCGAAACGCGTTGAAGATGTCTTGAGTGATGATGGGAGCGGAGGGGTTGAATGGCGAGCGTTCGGGTAGGGGGAAGAGGAGTTGGATGTAGTCGTGGTGGTATTCAAGCTCTGTGTTTGTGTAGGCGAGGATGGCGTTGAGGGAGGGGGAGCTGGGGGTGAAGAAGGTGAGGAAGAAGGAGTCATGGGGGGACGATGTGCTGGTGCTGGTCGACGTGGGTTTTGCTGGCATTTTGGGGGAGCTAGTGGGAGGCATGGTGCGGAGGATGGAGGTGTGGATGCACTGCGTTTGTGGATGAAAGCGTATTGAGAGGGATCGGGGAGGGCTTAGAGTGTGGAGGAATTGGTAGGAGCCATGATGATTAATGTTGTTGACGCCTCGATTTGTTAAAATATGTGAATGAAAAGTTGTCGGTAGGAGGCAGGATTTCATTATTCAGGCTGGTTCTAGTTAGGTTGTCGAGGAAATGGATCGGGACGTGGTACAAAGATGCGGAATAATGGCTGCCCAATCAGGTGACTACAAAGGAACATTGTGATTTGACAGTAGGATGTATTTAAAAGTGTCCTTTGACCAATGCTTCCTCTCCTTCCTCTCGTTTCCTCATCTCTATGTGCCTTATGCAACGCTCGCAGGTGCTGCAAATGATGTAGCGGCGGATATATTATCCCCTAACACGACAGCTTCTCCAAATCTTCTCATCTGCAAGTCCCCTATCCACAATGCTTGCGACCCAACCTGATAAAACGCCGCGACTAGTATCTCTTGAAACCCGTCCCCGGTGAAAGACGGGTTGTGTACGGTGGCTCCTGCAGCCCAGTAAAGCATTTTAATTGTGTCCTCCCAAATCAAAGTGGCCGGCAGATATCCTCTTGCTTCATTCCTCCTAATTTCGGTTGTGATTCCATTGAGATCATTCGTGGCAACTCTGTTGACTGGTTCTGTATTATCCTCCGGGGCTACGTCCAATAAGAGCCCTGCAATGCTCTTAAAATAGTCGCCATGGGAGACTGGTGAGCTGAATAGTTGATATTTGAAGCAGACTGGTCTCTTCGAATTTTCACCAATACTAAAGCATGCTGGATTGGAAGAGCCCGATGTGTTGATGGCAAGACTTTTGGTAGCATTTGGTAAGGCATCACTGACACCTTGAGATTGATTTCTGCCCACCGAAGTTTGAAATACCGAGTAGGAGAAGTTCTCAAGGGTCTCAGATCCGCGGAAGCATGTGGACCGAAGGGCAAGAAACCGGCGAGCTTTAGCAAATTCTTCTAGCTGGCGATAAAGTCCACTCAACAAGGTTGCCTGAAAAACACTCGATGCTCGAGTGACACCATTGTAAGCTAGCTGAACATTGTTGAACACAGCAGCTTCCGGGGGAAATGCCTGATTGTAGTCTGACATGGCAGCTGCAGACATGACTTGGATAGTATCAAGGTAGATATCCAATTCCGGTAAGAGATCTGTGTCATAAGAATACCTGCATTGAAAATCCGCGGCTGGAATCGTCTGGCCGATACCTTGAATGGTCTGATTGTCCAGGTGCTGAGGAGCTACCAGTAGAAATGCGGAGAAAGAAATGAGCAAGACTAGCCTGGATATGTGGACTTGCTCCATGTTGCTAGCATTCGCCACTTGAGATTGATCGTGGTGTCCGGCATTTGAGATTTATATAGTCATTTATTCGGTGCTATGTGAGGCAGTGCAGCTTCTCCGAACAAGTCACAAAATGACACGGCTCGCCGACTTTGCAACTTCACATGCAAGGAATGGTGAATCTATCTATCTCAAAGACACGGTATAAAGTCCCCAGTTCGAAAGTTGAAAACAAGTTGACGAAAGACATGAAAGCTACAAGCGCTGCTGTAGGAACACCCCCAGACTGGGAGCCGTGTCTTTAAATAAAGAAATTGAAACATCTGCAGACGATCAGTCATATCCTAGACCTACTAGCACATAATAATGACTTGGCTTGCTACGATACAGTGCTTGATGCTAAAACGCAAGACAGCCGACCCTCTCACAGAGTCTTTTAGGAATTATTGAACAGCGAATTCACTGCAAGAGTTCTGGAGTTAGGTAAAGCATGTCTTCGACCTTCTCAGTATTTGTCCATGAAAGAAGCAGTGCATACAGGGTTCGAAATGAGATGCAGGGGCAGTGTACAAGACTCGAGATATCACAAAATTGATGGATGTTGAGCGTCTGAAATTGCCGAATTGTGCTTCCACCCCTGAAGCCGGGCGGAATGCCCTTAACCCCCGGAATGCTTGGCAGCTCAGAGCCTCAAGGTAGAGAAGAGCTCTCGAATCATCTTCACGTCAAACACATAGAGCTTTGGTGCAATCGATCATCATGGCAGTCCCAACTAATCCCTACCTCACCGATTCACACCTCCGTCCCTTCCTTACACCTTCCTTTTCCCCAACCGACTACCTAAACACCCACCTCCCATATCTACCCAGTACCACTTCTCCCACTCCTTCCAAGCCCCTACAATCACAACAATCCCTCACATCCCTTGCCTCTCAAACTCAATCCCACATTTCCGCCCTCTCCGCCCAACAAACTCGCCTCTCCGCCGTCCTCACAGACCTCACAGACGACATCCTCCGCACCTCCTCCCGTCTAGCCTACGAAGTCGAACTCCTACGAGGCGAAGCCGTTTCGCTCGCAGAAACACTCTCAGCTCAATCTCCCCTCAACGAGTCTATCAAGAAGTTACTGCCCAATGGCCTCCCTCCTCCGAACCTTTCAATGCCGGCAGAAAATGGCGAAGGAAGTAAGATCGAAGGAGGAGCTCCATCCTCACAGACTGGCCCCTCAGCAGCATCACCGACGTTAAACGCACCTCTTAACACCGCAATGACTTCAGCTACAGGCGTGAAACCCAACCCCAACGAGCCCCCTGCCCTCTCAAACCTCCGGACTCTCCACCAAGTACGCCAACAGCTCCAGCGCGTGATATCTCTCTTCAACCTCGCACTCTCGTTTCCGATCCCGCCGAGCATGGTGACTTCATCTAATCTAGTATCCATACAAGCACCCAATCCCGATCCGAACGCAGAGAAGAAAGCGCAGGACGAGCTTGGACGGATAAAGGGGGAAATCATTGATCTTTTACGGGCAGGTGGGGTAGAGGGCAGGGGGAAAGCCGTCAAGAGGGTGGAGGAGCTGAGTGAGGTGTGTGAGTTGTGGAAGGGGACGGGAGAGTATAAAGCCAGGGTCAAATGGGTTGAAGGGCTAGAGGCGCTTGTGGGGATAGGGGCGGAGAAAGAGGGAGAGCAGGGAGGGAAGAGGGTGGAGGAGAAAGAGGTGGATAGGAGGGATATTAGTGTGCCAGGGAAGGGAGAAAGTAGGAGTGGGACGCCTGCCCTCGGCATAGGAGGCGGAGGGTTCCTGAAACGGTTGAGGGACGAAATATATCTGGATTCATCATGAGCAAGCATTCATGGCATTACATCTTCACCAAAACTTCAGGCCTATCACGACCGATCCCGTCACAGACCCTGCCCCAGGCACTCCATGAAATCGATCATCTTTCCTTGGACCCCGGACGCAACTGAGATCAAATGGCCCCTTCAGCCCCATCTCCCGCCAACTCGGCATCCCATTCTCCACTATCTGCTGCCTCTTCTCTTCATAGTACGCCCTCGAGCTCGCCTTCGGATCGATATCTGCCTCGCACCATATCCTATCTCCCTGCTTCCTCAGCCCTGCCTTTGCGCCTTTAAAAGCCTTCAATTTGATTTCTCCACGCATGACTTGCTGGCTCCAGATGCGCGCAATCGCCAACATTACATCGACGCATGTGACTCGTTGAGTAGAGTAGTAATCCCTATCGTGCTCGGGCTTGATTTTGCGTTCACGGAGGACTAGAACAAATGCGTCTATGATGCCGCAATCGGCTTCGGTGATGGTGCGAGCCCAGCCATCGTGGGTCGTCACTGTTTGGCCGAGGAGGGCGGCGGAGTTGGAGCGCGGGTTGTGAGGGAGCAGTCTTGGAGTGTAGAAGGTTGAGACATCGCAAAGGGGCTCGAGGGCACGGTAGTGGGTCTCGTCCATGGGAAGTACCATGCTGAGAGGTTCTGGAATCGAGGAAGCGAGGACTTCGTCGACTGTTGCTGGTGGTAGGGCGGGCTTTGGAGTGAACATGTATTTGAGAGGTGCGGTGATAGCTGAGAACCATGATGGCGGAAGTGGAGGATTTTCGACCACATTGGTTGACACTCTCTCGCATTTGATCTCTGTCTCATCTTCGCCGCTGAGGAGGTCGGGATCGATTGGGACTTTTGTGGGAGATTCTGGCAGAGGGACAAAAGAAGCATGGTGATGGGGTGTCTGAGATATGGTCGATCCATCGGTGAGAGACAGGTGTGTTGTCTGGAGGCTCAGGTCATCGACATCAGAATGCTGACTCGTGGTGCCTTCGTCACTCTGGAGTGGAGGACGAGATATGTCTTCGCTCACGTTCCGAGCCGATTTAACGACGCGACGTACTCCAATGTTTGAATTGATTAGACTCTGTTCCGAGAGAGTCTCTGAGTTCTCTCGTTGATCTCTCCTTTCTTGGCGCCTCCTAGCAATCTCCCTCTGAGCGCTATTGGGCTGCCAAAAAACATCAGATTCATTGCGTTCGGAATCAGCTCTTGAGGTCTCAGAAGGCTCCCGTGTCCAGGGACTTGGCAGTTTGCTACGACGACGTCTCGCTTGTTCTAGCTTTGGAGTTTCGAGTCTTGGCATAGAAGTATTCGAAGTCTCTTCAAGGGTATTCAAATTGACTTTAGGTGTTGAACTTTCAGTAGCAGATGATACGTCTTCAGTGCTGCTACCATGAGGTTCGTCGTCATCACTATCGATGACAATGACTTGGCTCTTGTTTGCATCCTGGATTTGTTTGATAACAGCCTCTCGCTCCCGCTGCCATTCGGCCTCCCTGGCTAGCATGGTATAGTCCGTATGATGTTCAGAAGGCTTAGTGTCCGTGTGTGCTTCTACTGTTAACTGGCCCTCAAGTTTCGAATCCACTAAATATGGGTTGACCTCAGCCCTCCAGCTCATTGGATCTTGTCCATCACTAAAGTCACTTCTGGCGGGGCTAGGGAGCTGAGCATTCGACAAGTCAGGATACAAGTCATTTCTCCGTTCTGGGGTCCTTGGACTGCTGTTCTTCGATGTAGAAGTCGAAGAGTAATGTGGGCTTTGAGCTTCGTTAATTATGGAAATGCTTGCATGCTCCCTCTTGCTCAATTCTTCTCCAAGTCTCAAGCCTGCTTTTAGCTCTCGTCTCGTTGCAGCTGAAAACCCCCCAAAGATACTAGATGGTTCATCGGCTGGACTCGACGCATTCTTCACTTTCGTTGCAGACCGCTCAGCAGTTGGCGACTGACCGAGTGATCTGTTACCTCCATGGAATGGGGAGGCCAAACTTTGTTCACCCTTCTCGAGGACTTGTTGGTCTGGTGATGGTACAGACTGAAGAACTGTACCTGCGCGGACAACTCTGTCAAATTGAGGTGTCCCATTAGATGGTTCATCTAATATTCTACCTGAAGCTAAGGTCAGAGACTGCTGCGGGGCTCCTGGTTGCGTTGGTGTGAGCTTTCCTGATATGGGAGTCTGTACGTTGTGAGTAGAAAGGGGTTCCTTGTCTGAGGACTCGTTAGATTTTTTGCACGAGTCCTGGAGGCTGGCGTTCTCTGGGAACTCGTCATGTGATTGTCGCGACTCCTCACGTAGACTCTGGGAATGAGAAGCGTCCGATATGGCAGTATGGTCATGCGGGATTGCTGGAGCAGTCTGTGGTGAAGAGATGGCCTGTCTGCTTTCTGCCGAGCTCAAAGATTCCACTGATACCATACTAAATCCTTCACTCTCGAGAATCGTGTCATACTCATAGTGTTGTTCCGTTGGATCTGGTGAAGCATCTTTAGTCTGAGTCGGCTCTCCTTCCGGATCGGGTGATACGGTGTCTTTGCGTATCATTTGTCTCCACATATTCTCATCCTCAACGTCCTGTGTAGAACGGTCCAAGGCTGACGAATGCGTCTCATTGCCTTTGCAAGGCAATTGTGAAAGGGAATGGTCCACTTCTGCATCCGATCGTTCTTTCGAATTGGAGGACCAACTTGATTTCTTAGAGACTCTCCTTGTTTCCGTAAGCTGGCTCGGCGTTTCCGCTAGGCTTGCTTCGCTCTCATCTACCATCGATCGTCCCGGCTTTTTCGGTGTGATCTCCTTCCTCCGGTTTCGACTTCGCGAGCGCGAAAAGGGTCTCGCTTTGACAGTCCGAGTTGGAGTGCTACGACTCGGTGAGGGTGCCGGACTGGCGGTCTCCATCTCAGGCTCGGCTTTACCAGATCTTTGTGAAGGCGTTGGTGCCCATATGTCGTCAGACTGTATCCCCTCGAACCCAGGAGCTGTTTGGCGCCTTGCGGCACCCTTGGGCTTTGGGGTTCCTTTCCTTTTACTCGGCGCATCCAGTGATTTTCTTGGTCGCCCCCGCCCTCTCTTTGCGACGATTGATTCATCTTCGCCGCCTTTGAGAGGAATGAAAGTCGTAGTAGTTCGCTCCCTCACATTTGCAGCAGGTGCGTCAGTTGTATCATCCTCCAATCTCTCCGCTTCTACCGTCAACTTGATGCGCCATGGACTTTCGATGGTCTGATCGTCCACTGATCTTTTCGTTGGCGAAGAAGTACGAAGTTTGGCCGGTGGTGTGGTCACATAAAACTCTTGAATTCGTGCATTGCCAGAGCTAGTGGCTAAGGGCTTGCGTGGGGAGATGCTTGGACGCTTAGCGTTGGAGGTCGAGGCTGTGGGAGCATGGGTGCTTGACAGAGCCAATGGATCAAGCGAGGATACACTTGAGTCGTACATACTGCGATTGACTTTGATGAGAATCGTATCTGAGTTGAACCGAGTGATCACACATCACAGAACTATTTCATCAGAAGTGGAAGGTCAACCAAATAAACAACAGCGGGAACGACTACGCTAATATCTTTAGCGTGCCACGTAGCCACGTGAGTGGCGTGACCCGATTTGGCTGCTTGGCATCAACCCCCTTTTCCATCCCTCACAACAAGACACAGAGAAGTATCTCTATCAGCGTCATTAAAAGGGGGGTACTCTTCTCTGGGAACGCATCTGCTTGCAGCCGTCACAATGGATCCTGCATCAAAGAGCGTATATGGCGAGTTGATAAAGCGAGGTGGCTGCCTCGACGAATTTGCCGACGATTGATGTGAAGCATGCTCGAGACCAATGTCCGTAGCGCTACTACTCGCACGAGAAGCATGGCGCCGATCAATGCTGGGTTTGCAATGGCTAGTGAGTTGGCCCTTCGACATTCTCTTCCACCTTGAAAGTCTGCCTGCTATACAAAAGCGCAGTATTTGACTGGTTCATCACAAAAAGCTTACAATGCACGGATAAAGTGCCACTTCCTATTTTCATTGTATAATATACTTTATTGCGAAACAGAATGCTTTCCAGACCCTGCCCTACCCCCCGAGCTCACTGTTCCCGTCACATCAGCATTGAGAGTGAGGAATGCAAGTATTAGCTTCATTGACCAGAAAGAAGCCCGAGGACGAGTGCATTATGCGAGAGTTCATGAGAAGTGGCGGAATCGACAGCGGGCTTCGTTTCCTCCTAGTTTCGAAATCAGGACTCCGTTCCAGCAGTCAGTATGGCTGCTTGCGTACCATCTAGATCGATGGGAATACACGAACAAGCTCTTATGGGAAAAAATGGTTCCTGCAGCAGCTGGTACTACTTATGGGATCTGCTCAAATTGTCTCAGCCATGCACTGATTGTTGCAATCATTATTAAGTCATCCATGTAGGTAATAGCACTTAATTTTCGTTGGAAGGTTGAGTAAATCCCCTGTTCGTCATCTTGACAAACCCATGGAAATTTATCGTTTCACAGGACATCGAGGCTTTTGAGCAGATTATTGCGATATCGCCTCGAACAGTAATCTGTAAATCAGGCCTTCATCTGAGGCCCTAACCTGCCAATAATCATCATCACTCGACCCTGATAGCGATCATGAGAATTCTGATAGACATTACAGCCGAGTGAATGTAGTGTGGCTTTGAAAGTGAATACTCAAAGTATCATGACGTATGATTTTGATTCAGGTTTCATGGAAGCACCTTAACTTCTTCCCCTTCGTCTTCTGTTACCCATCACCAAGGACCGCCCAAGATGGCTCAGTCATCTGCTAATGCTATGCCCGGCTTTACCGCAGAGCAAGCACAGAGTCTCAAATCTATGATGACCGATGCTGTAAGGGAAGGCGTTACTGAACTCGAAAAGCGTCTTATTCCAGTGATTGATAGAGCACACCCTTCAGACCACGGTCAAGGTGTTGAAGGTGTCATCAAAAGCACCGCAAGACCAAATATGCCTGGCCTTCATGTCACTTCCGATCGCATCGAGGAGATCAGGGCTTTGCCGTCCCTTGAAAATCATGATGTTGACTTTCAAGAGCTGATCACGACATTAGTCCACCTAGCCGGCGAGGAAGTGTTCGAGTACTTTTTCTCTGAGGACGATGCTCAAATAACATTGCAAGGCTCCAGTCCTACAGACTATTTTGCAATAGGCCGAAAAAACCTGGACATTACTGTATGTCTACTAATGATTACGTTACGATCTCACTAAATTAGAACAGGTGGATTTTAGGCAGAGTATGAACCCATCTACACCATTCCGCTTCCAGATGATGAAAATGTCCTACCAACAAGCAGCGTTCTCAGTATCGCAGTGGCAACCTCAAAGCTTTCAGCGCTTCAGGGAGGATCTATACGGACGAAAAGGAGCAGCGCAGGATCTATCAGGAGAATTGGCATATTTAGTTGGAGAGGCTTTCCAGCAGCAAATGCTACCAGCTTTTGCTAAGTTGTACTGGCCTGACATCAGAGATGGAATATACAAGGTGGGACGAATCTCCAAGCGTCAGTACAGGTTCGCAATATCTCCCTCAATGACCACACCAGGCCTCGGCCCCTACCAAGGGAAAGAAAGTAATTCCCTGAAAAGATACTCAGAGTTGCCAGATCTTTGTCAAAAGATAGCTTCTAACTATATTCAAGACCAAGGTTGGGTCAATCCTGAAATCTACTCGAGCACTTGAGTAACAGAAATGGTGCCAAAAAGGAAAAGACCGGCAGGAGAGAAAAGATTCAAAGCGGAAACGAATGTGTCTTAAAGAAAGGCCAAAAGTAAAACCTACAACTAACCACAATCAACCAATTGAAAGCATCTTTACCCCCCCCTTGTCCATCCCTCACGACTTCACTATACTAAAAGCATACTCCGCCCACACAACCGCCGGTCCCGTCTCCGGCCCAAAAACCTGATACCCCTCCTGCCCCCACTCCGGATGATTAACCCCATTAATCCACTGCTGCGTCTCAATAACCACGCACCCATATTTCTCCACAAACGTCCTCTCCCCACCACTCTTGTGCTGCTGACTCTCCTTAACCCCAATAGTCCCGTTCTGACCATTACAGCTATAAATCTGCACGCTCTGCTGATTGGTCCACACATCCACCTGAATGCCAGTCACAGGCGAAGCCAGGGTTAACATGCTCAGATCCGTGGAATCTACGCCAGACGAGCCAGGGCGATCGAGGATGAATGCGTTGTCGTAACGAGTACAATTGAACCCGCAGGAATTAATTGCGGTGTTGATATCCCGTCCGATCTGCTTCGGAGATGTGAAGTCCAGGGGTGTTCCAGCAACCGTGTTGAGGACCCCCGTCGGGACTTCGATATTGTCGATTCCGATATACCGCCTGGCGTAGGGCATATGAAGTGTGTTATTCAGCACCGTAGCATCATCAGGATTCGTGAAAGCGTCGAGGTTCCAGTAAACATGATTAGCCAGCATGATGGGCGTGAGCTCATCAAGAGGTACGGAAACGAGCCGAGATGTCCATTTTGGGGTTGGATCTGAGGAGACGGTGTACGTGGCGTACGTGATTATGGAGCCGGGGAACCCTTCGAAGGCGAGGTCGAGCAGGGAGAAAGTTACACGGGTTGAATTGACGGTCCAGTTGCGCTGGTCGTACCCGATTGAGCCGCCATGAAGGGTATCTGCGCCGCTGTTATCGTTTGTGGGGATCTGAGAGGTCACACCATTCAGATGATTGAGGGTGAAGGTGCCGTTTTTAATGTGGTTGGCGTAGCGACCTACCACGGGTCTGAAGTAGGTGTGATTGGTTTCGGTGTCTCTTATGTATTGGTCCGGATCATCGTAGCCAAGTGCGATGTCTTGCGAATTGCCATTGTGGTCATTTACAAGCAGATTAGTCAGGCGAGCACCATATGGGATGAAAGAAGCGTTGATGCCTGGGGCAGTGATAGTGTACTTTTGCAATGGAGATGACGTTTGAGTAGAAAAGTTGAGCAAAAGCAGGCGAGCGAAGACGACTATCCAGGACATAATGCCTTCAACACAGTAACAAGGGAGTTTTTGATGGTGCGCTCCATGTCAACAGTCGCACGATGAGCCTCCAAAGACATGCGGGGTACGAAAAGCTGGTAGCTTCACAACGGTGCGTGATGCAATTGGGACCTAAGCACATGGTATGATTGTGGGGAAGAGCCTTGTGAGCAGCACTTAACAACGAATCGGCAGCTTACCGGTAGGATGAGCAGTGTCTGTTCCGAATTTGAGGACTCCAGTGGATGGAGGTACCTTCCTGAGAGGGAAAAGAGGGAATCATATGATCAGTGAACGCAGCAAAGGATGATTCCTCAGGACCGAATGATATCTCAATACAGCATGAACGATTCACTTGTATCTCAACCTGCTAATCATCACGTATTCACAATGATATAGGCGCTAATGTCCGAGCCTTCACAAATCGATTATAACGGCCTGCTCTTTCGCGGCGCCCTTGGAAAGCCCAGTTTCCTCCGGTCCCGCAATTGCCGCAGTGGGAGCTCCAGGACCTTCTCCCCCTTCGTCTCCACCAGCAACATTCAAGCATACCTTGTCAAGATCTGCGTTGAGCTGGATTATACGAGGATCTAGATCGAGGTAAGTGTATACTGGACAGGCCAAATAGCGGATGTTATCGGTATCCGGACGTTGCGTGTCATTGCCGCAGTCGGGATGAAGGCTGAGAAATGCAGAGGCAACCTTGTTGATGGCTGATTTATAGATGTCTTTGCACTCATGACTGCCCAGTCGGTTCACCTTCTTCAACCAATAGTTGACAATCAAGTAGTTGCTGGGTGGAACTTGGGTGACGTTGGTCTCTGCAGGAGGTGCTGGTTGCTGTGGTGTCTTGTCCCAATCGCCATTGCTTTGATGTCCGCAGCTGGGGTCGTACCAGCTCTGAGGAATGGCATTTTTGGCTGAATAGCAATAGACGATGCTACCTTTAAAATACTTATCGGTTTGAAGGTCGTAGCCTTCCTGTTTGTAACACCAGGATTTCAATGACTCGTAGTCAGCGTCGTTGCCGTAGCCAGCGGGTTTGAATTGACAGTAGTTGCAATTTTTGGCGGCAACGTTGCAGTTCGTACTACACCAGTCGTTGCTCAGAGTACTGCAGACCTCATTGATCCCAGAGAAGATGCGGCCGTATTGTTCATTCTCACACTGGCAATAGCGAGTCGCGGAGACATGGACGGTAGCTATCGCGATAGCGGTGATGACGAGTGCGGTTGCCGAATGCATGGTCGGCAGAGACTATTTGCAACGTCTGTTGAGCGCTCGGTATCAACTTGTGATACAGCAATGCGAGATTTGTCGTTGACCCTCAACGTAGCGAAGTATTGTTGGTCTGAGAGGAGAAGGCTGGATGCTGTGACTGAAGCATGGTAGACAGGCAGACTCTGAAGCTTTATAGGAGTCCGTTCCAAGCGCTCAAGCTTTGCCGTACTTCGTCAGCCGGGATACGTACGGATCCTTAGTCTCTGCAAGGAATACTAGCTCTTCAAGTTAAGCATTCTGGTTAACATCTATCTCGCTTACCGCTCAACTGACCTCACATTGCTAGTCTACAATAGAGCACAGAAAGCGGACATGATTGCAAAGACACCACAACGCAGAGCTTGTTGTCTCACTAACGTTTCCCTAGACCATAAGGAGCTTGGCCTTATTCTACCGGACATCGTCGGCCTTGGGATCGCTGCAGAACAACGCTAAAGCGTGTTTATCTTATGCAGACGCCACATTTCAGTTGATGTTGTTAGCGCAGCTTGACAAGAAGCATTGACCAGTCGTCTCAACGATGGCTCCTACTAGCAGTAACCTTGTAACGACGCAGCTCGATAATGCGCAGCTTGGTCCATCTTAGATCATGATCGACAAGGGTCTAGCGTGCTTCGAGTGTGTGACCCCGCAGAATCTGGAGACATCTTGTGGGATCGATTGCGTATCCTTTCGAGCTTTGAAAGTAGTAGAGCTGGGCCGTGGTATATAAAATTCATCCTGAGCTCGCAACAGATAAGCCATATTTCGATTTAGGTGACCGAGGCGGCTCGCTGTGGGCCTAGATTCGCACGCTGAATCGTCGGACGCCGCCGAGATTCAAGTAAGCTGTTGTGTGATTTAGACCGTTGTTCTCGTGGAATCCTGTACTGACTTTGACGTACCATTCAACCTTGTTCCTGCCCTTAGTCCATCGCTTGACCCGCCTTAGTGACAAGGTCAAGATTCTAGCCAGCCTTTCGAGGCTTCTCAAGTTGCAACACTATTTTCGTCACTGGCGAACGATGTAACTTCCAATTTTTAGACAACAGAAATGATCAGATGTTGATACAACTTGACCATGAGAAGTACCTGTTCCCGAGTCCGAAGATTGAGGGACCTTCCTAAATGGGCAAACAGGCGGGTGGAAGTAAGATCGAGGCTCTAGGGTGAGGAAGTATGGCTAGCACCAGAATACTTGCACATTACAAAGTTCGGAAATGCGAGCCAACAAGGGATCTCGCGATAAGATTCTGTCCACATAAAGTCATGCAAGAGGACAATGAAATAAGACGTCGTTGTGCAATCATCTTGATACCCGAGGGAGTATGGATGTAGACAGCCCAAGATTGATATCCGTAGCGCGAAAGCGAAGGGTAGGATTTAAGTTCCGCATGCAGCATCAACAACTCGTCCACATTGTGAAGTCAGACGCCATTGCAACGAGCTATCATTCGTCGGCTAGAATGACCTGGTTAGCCTTGGTCCCCTCAGAGAGTGCAGTATCATCAGGTCTAGCTGCCGCGGAAGAGTTTACAGGAACTCCGACGCCGTCCCCATCTTCGTCTCCACCAGCAGTGCTCACAGATACCTCGTCCAAGTCTGAGTTGAGCTCCTTTATGCGTGAGAATTAGATGCTTGTTCAGTTGATCATGATCGCTCTTGCTTATCATTTGATTGGCCGCGTGACACTAGCCTTTTTGAACGCAGTTGATCAGAACGAGACCAAGATGTAGAGCCTGTCAGTTTGTTGTTCAATGGTGTACATGGCGTCGGAGATCATCGATCTTGTCAGTCGCCCATCATCATTTCGCAGTCAATCAGCCATGTGCCACTTGAGGGAATTTTGACAGCTCGTTTTGGTGTCACAGCGATCACCCAAAGGATTGGACTCTGCTAGAAATTTCGTGTACTGCTGAGCTGTTGATAGGCTTTGTCCCCTTTGATCGGCTCATCATCTTCCTCGTGCTTCTGCAAACACTTTGAGGCGCTTGAGGCGCACTCGAGGTAAAGTTAGGGGCCGAAGCAAAGATTTAACACCTCTCAAGTGGCAAAGATCTGGCGTCCAGACTGAGAAATGTGCGTTGACGATTGTGCAGCAGCGCTCGTAGAGCAATGTCTACAGGCATGTGATGCTGCCCTATAACCTGATTCAATAAGGACATTATAAGGTCAGCTTTTGGGCGTCATCAACATGTCCCAATCCATAAGATCCCCTCTTTCACCCCAATTCCATCCTTCTGCCACCCTCCATGCTCCCGTCCACTTCATACAAGGGCACCGATCCTAGCTCTCGGGGCCGGGATTGTTCTTCCATTTCGCTGACAAAGTGTCCGCTAACAAATTTCTTCGAAGGCTGTGAAGGAGTCCTCGTCGGAATTACCGGGCCCCGGGATAGCATTTTGTTGCTTCTACGAAGACGTAGCAGTATAATTACTGATGATACAAGGACGGAGAGCGCAATGAGGCCCCCGCCGATGCCACCGCCGACAGCCCCCTAGTCTGTATGTCTCGAAGCTGGGGTTGAAGGTGGAGATTTAAACGGGTTTTACGCGGTTTCATTGGGCTTGTTGGCAGCAAGGGTAGGTACTTGTCACGTTAGCATAGTCTTGACTTTGAAAGTGCCACTGACCTGCGCTGAAATTTGCTTGGCGTATGAGAGCTGCCACTCCAGGATCAAGGTTGTCAGTGGTGGTCCTATGCCCGTCAGCTTCAGAGTACACGAAAGTCTCCCCAAGATCCTGGACCTACTGGTGACTTTGAGAATAGACTTGTTGCACGGCTTCTGATTGTATGTACGGAGGCGAGCTAGCACTATAGTGATCTTGCCAGCTCAGGGTCTTAAGGTCAAAGACGCCTAATCCCTGGGCGAACGGGTCATTTGTCGACATACAGGGATCAAGATATCCCTGCGAGGCATCGAACCCACCAACGACTAAGATCTGGCTTCCCACGACAGCATGACAAGTCAAGCCTCCCTTCGGTTCCAGCGGCGGATAGTTGACCTGGATCCAGTGGAATGCAGGCAACGTCAAGATATATAACGTATCGAAAGGAATCGATCCTGTGTCCCATGAGAAGTTGTGGCCACCATACACAAATATTTCGTAAGACTCGTTCGCAGATGCCATACCTGTAAGGCAGTGCTCCCCCCTCCCGGCTGGACTTTGCCCGGTCGTGGTCTGGTTGTACCACTGCTTGGTCCCTGGATCCAAGACTGGAATGGTGTTAAAGGACGGATAAGTGAAATAATCGTCCCCAGTAACACCGCCGAGTACTAAGAGCATTCCTTCAGGCCCGAAGTTTGGGACTAAGTGAAGCTTCGTCCATTTCAACTTCAAAGGAGTCGGAATGGATGTGATGTCCTGATTCTCCAGATCGAGCGATAGCAAGTCCGTCAGCGTATGGGTGTCTGTTGTAAAATCCTGGCCCCCAAGGATCCAACCGTTACCGATACCGCTCGCAAGACCAGAATTTCTACGTGATTGATTCTGTGAAATGCTCAAATTTGTTTCGTTCCAGAGTCTTTTGTCCTCCGCATCCAATGAGAGGGTCCAAACGTTGCTCGGTCGTTCAAAGTCTGCTCCCTGTGGTGCTAGGACAACACCTGTGTACAGAACTTTTCCATTCTGATCGTGAAACAAATCACGAACGAGGCCCTGAGGCGCACCGAATGGCTTTTGTATGGACGTGAAGCTGGCACTGGTGTTCGTGAAGTCTTTTGTAAGATCAAGCACGAGGGTACTGGTCATGTTTACCACCTCGGGGCCATTGCCGGTAAGATATGAGTAGGAGCCCCCATCTATATAGAGATGGTCATTTGCGACGGTGGCTGCATGCAAAGCACGGCGAAGGTAGGTACTAGCTGAAGGCGTGAAGTCTATTTGTCGGGCTTCGATGGTTTTGGCCAAGATTGTATGGAAAGCGTGCCCAATTATAATAAGCAGATCAAGCATTCTGCGATTGCGATACTGCCAAACTTGGTCAACAGTTGTGAGACAAAGAATTTGGAAAGGAGAATAGAAGCTCGAGAAAAGGATTGCGAGCTGCAAAGCGGCGATCACATAGGTGAAATTCCATGCTAAGGTCAGAGGGCGGCATGATATCCAATGGTATCCAAGACTTTTCTCGTATTTCATCAGGCTGAGGCGTTACAATCTCGTTTGCCTATCTGCAATTTCCACGGTGGCGCGGGGTTGGTGGCCAGCCTGCAGGAGCTCAGCCTTGTCCACCTGGCGAGATCAACAAAGACGACCAGTTCTGGACTGCCACGGCCAATGAGGTGATCATTTGAGAGTCTACATCGATTGTTCGGGTCATCGTGGGTTGCAAGTTAGCTTTGATCCTTCAAAACCGATACTGGTCCTATTATCTCTTGTCAACGCAGGCTTAAGCCGTCCACAGACGAGGTGAAGGACAGGTTCTCAAAGTAGGAACGTGCCTTGACAGCTGTAAGCCAAGGAAACGTATAATTACAGACCGACCGCGCGGTACTTATGCAAGGAAACCAAGAAACCAACGTATCAAATAAGATGTAAACGATCACTCGTGGAGAAGAGATCTCAGGGGCTAGTATCCACACCCATCAATCGAAGCTTCAGACAGCCTTGAAACTTCGCTGCAAGTCAGTATGGATACACTCGCGGCATCTGCGAACCCAAGACATCTCTGCGCAATCGACGCGCCAACTCTTGCTGTGTGGACTTTGTAAATCGCTTCAATTGCACTCAGAATACACTTATGTAATTGCCTATACGCTCTTTCTGGTTCTGTGCTATGCACTCTGCGATCCAGGTAATGTTTCGTATTTCCTACAAAAGCATAAACAAACGGTTATGTACCAACAGTGATGTTGAAATTACCTGCTCTCTCAGCTTCACCCATGCGTATATCACTGCATGTGTAAATTGTCTGGTGAACGCCAACTTCGATATCTCCATCTCTTTCTGATAGAACATGTCTTCAAGACTCTTGTTTTCGCCACCGCTGCCACCTGCCATGTTGCCCGGACCCGAAGCGCTCATGCCACCATTCATTCCTACAGCATCGAAGAATGACTTATAGTCAGAGACTCCGCTCACGGCAAGCGAAACACCGTCGATATCGTCTGCTCGCGAAAGCATCAATGTGCCTTCTGGATAAAGTCTGCCAAACTCTGGGTAAAGCTTCCTTCGATCTTGTTTTGACAGCTCGGTTCCAAATGAATTTAGTGTAATGTTGATTGCTCTGCGGTCTGCCTCAAAGTCGAGGACTTCTGCCATGACATCAGATGTCGGCGTTCCCCTCAGTTCCGGGTGTTCTGTAGTAAACTTGTAAAAGTCTTCCAAGTAGTTCTTGTACAATGTATTGCGGATGATCTCTATATTAAGCTCATCTAAGTCTTGATGGCTGAGTGAGCCCTTGAAATATGGCGCTAACGGTGTCTCCACTAGTACTGAGTTATACAGCTCTTCGATATTGGTCGCAACGCAAAGTACTGGCATCGCCTCAAACCACCCTAGTGGATGACATCTCTCCAACAAGTCTTTGGTATCTCTTTCGTGGAGAGTGCCTGTGATCAGTAATGCGACATTGTCAATCATGTATCCGTAGGTGAGGTACTCCATGAACTTCGACAGAGTCCCAGTTGCTTGACCCTGCAAGTATCTGAACTCTGCGACGAGCTTATCGGTCGTCTTATTGGCAAGTGAAGAGGTTGAAGGATTAGGTGGGAGGGAGGCAAGGAAGTCGCCATAAGCAGGTGAGAGTTGTAATTTAACATCTGATTGTCTATCAGCCTGGCGTCTGGGAACAGAATAGGTTCGAAGTTACCATCTATCGTCTCGCATTGCGTCAGGTTTCCATAGCTCTGGCCTGTCAAGAGTGTGTTGCGGTAGCCTCGAACAATGCCTTCGACATATCTTGAAGACTTAGCATATCATAACCTTGCGAGGACTTTGAAACCCACCCGCCGTTGATATTAAAGAAGAGGCCTTCCATTACGGGTTTGTATAGCGAGTTTCGCTCTACTCGAGCTGCTGGACAAATGTATATCGTCAATGAGTAGAGATGCCTTTAGGGCTGAAAGCCATTGCTAGGCCCAAAGAGGACTTAGCGACGGGAAGATTTTCACTCCACTCAGCATGAAATTTCGACAAGCTCTATTTGTTGCAGCTACGACAAACGTATTCAATTATCTATCATTATGGGTATATTTGTCCTACAGTAAGCTGGCATTTCTGTAGTACGAGAATGACCATTGCGCTAACGATCCCCAGGGAAACCCCTGTGGGGTACGCATTATTCAAAGCTAAGAGCAAGAAGCTCAAGGAAGGATATATTGCTGAAAATGACTCGGTGGAGGATGTCTGCAGCAAGTACGCTGCTATGGGCGCTTTCGATGTAGGACTAGCTAATTGACGCGCTCTCAAAGGCTTAAGCTGAAAGAATTCCACAAATTTGACAGCGCTGTGACGGCATTGGAGCAATCTGCAGCCTTGATCGAGGGAAAGGTCACACCACGATTGTCTACGCTCCTTGATACGATCAAAGATGAAGCAAAGGCTTCATTGGCCGTTGCTGACCCCAAGCTGGCCAGTGCGATCAACAAGCTTCCACAACTTGATCTGAAGCTGCTATCCGACTCCTCGACGAATGACATCTATCGTGCCATACGCCAACACTTACCCTCTCTTATACCTGCTATCACTCCGGAGAATATCTCGACCATGTCTTTAGGACTCTCACACTCACTATCAAGACACAAGCTCAAATTCTCGGCCGATAAAGTTGACACGATGATTATACAGGCAATCTCCCTCTTAGACGACCTTGATAAAGAGCTCAATATTTACGCAATGAGAGTTCGGGAGTGGTATGGATGGCATTTCCCAGAAATGGCAAAGATCGTAAACGACAATTTAGCGTATGCAAGGATTATATTTGCAATGGGAATGAGGTCCAATGCTGCAAATGCGGACCTTGCGGAGATACTCCCGGAAGAAATAGAAGGAGCTGTCAAGGCTGCGGCGGAGATATCTATGGGAACGGAAATCACTGAGGATGACCTTGAAAACATCAAGGCCCTCGCAGAACAGGTAGTCCAATTCACGGAATACCGTTCTTCGCTCTCTAGCTATCTCGCCGCGCGTATGGCAGCTGTTGCCCCTAACCTGACAGCTTTGGTTGGCGATCTTGTAGGGGCACGCCTCATTGCACACTCTGGCAGCCTGATGAACCTAGCCAAAAGTCCAGCAAGCACAATTCAGATTCTCGGTGCAGAAAAAGCGTTGTTTCGAGCCCTGAAAACCAAGCATGACACACCCAAATACGGATTGATCTACCACTCTTCTTTGATAGGGCAGGCTACGGGCAGGAACAAAGGTAAGATTGCCCGAGTACTTGCGACTAAAGCTTCCCTCGGCATGCGTGTGGATGCATTGGCAGACTGGAGCCAAAGTGGTGGAGGCAAGGGCGAAGACGTACCTGATGAGGAGCGGAACTTAGTTGGAGTGGCCCATCGACAGACACTTGAAAGAAGGTTAGCAGCCCTTGAGAATAAACCAATACGAGGGAAAGGGGTTGCCATCGCACCCAATGGAGTGTCACATCAACCAGGTAAATGGGAGGTGAAGGAGGCAAGAAAATACAATCCCGACGCTGACGGGCTCATTGGGGATGAACCTGCTGCATTCAAAGAACCGGAAAAGAAGAAAAAGAAGCTGATCGAGGAAGTTGTCGATGAACCACCAAAGAAGAAAGTCAAGGTCGACAAGTCCATCGGTGAGAGACCAGTCGAGGAGCTTGTGAAGAGCGCCATGAAAGATAATAGCAAGAAAGCCGCGTCAAAGAAGGCGATTGAAGAAGAAGACAAGGGGTCAGATATAAGTATGGACAGCGATTCGGAACCTGAACTTAAAAGGAAGATCATATCGGCTCCAGTAAACGGCGCTCCGAAGGGCGCTGTCAACGGTGACGACAAATCAGACACACTGTCAACAGTCTCCGCTGATACACCAGACTCGCCGGATTCGCCGACGCAACAAGAGCGTAATTGGCAATCGCCAATTGAGGGCAACACTAAAGCTGCAAAGAAAGCACGCAAGGAAGAGCGACATGCCCGAAAGGTCATCTTGCACGAAGAGCGAATCAAGGAACGAACGAAACAGAGAGAGAAGCACGCTCGCAAGCTAGCTCGCAAGCAGAGACGGGACGCTCGATCGGAACAAATCGACCGTCGAAAAGATCGTGAGAACGTGACTTTTAAGACATTGGCTGAGCAAGCTGGCCTGTCGATAGTGCGTTACAAGAGAAAGCTTGACCGTGGGGAGATTAAGTTTGATGCTGATGGGAAGCCTCATTCAATATCCAAGAAGGATATCAAGAAGGCAAGGAAACATACGTCCAAAGCTGAGAGTGCAAGCAATGGCCAAGTTGACGGCAAGAAGAGGAAACGTGCCGAAGAGGATGACGCCGACGCGTTGGCAAAGGCCGAAAAGAAGCGAAGGAAAGAGGCTAAAAAAGCTGCGAAGGCGAAGTCATCCTAAGCAACCTACTTTGTGAGAATCCTGATGAGAAAACTTGTTTGGCGAAGTGATTCGACCGTACATAGCACTGGCGCTGCTGCTCTTGACGTATTCTGTACTTGGCTATGCCTGGAGAATCATGCAGATGGATGATACTATAATGGCGAAAATTATATCTTATGTTGAATTATATGCCATTACCTACCAAGGTCTTTTTCAGATGCCTTCGATTTCTGGCGTCGAATAGCTTCCCCAGGTTCGGCAACGGGACGGCTCGGGGGCACAGGGGGGCTCCCTTTCCCTAAGGAACCCCCGAAGCCACTTCCACTACTCTACTCTACTCTACGAACGTAACTCGATAGGATCCTTCGCACTTTCTTTCAGCCGCGACACCAATGAAGGTCCGTAGGCATGCATACACCACCAGCACCACATCTTCACTAACACTACTTTGTCAATAGATACTAGAACCCCAATCCGCCATCCTCTCCAACTACGAAGTCCACGCCCACATCCAATCCCTGCAAGCAAAGCCCCGCTCCACCACCCACAAAAATGTCGAAACAATCTTCAAAGAAGTATCCAACTATCTCTCCCCTACCGCTCCTACCGACACAGACGAAACCTCCACAGAGCCCACAGCACCAACGACACGATCCCTCCCTTCCTACCACCCCCCAATTATTCCGAGGCGAAATTAAAACTCCTCATGCAGAGATTGAAACCTTACATGGTATCCGCGACGAATGATAAAGGGCTGTACAAGAATGAGATGTTGATGATTCTCAATTTGCGGCCGAGAACGCCAGAGGTGTTGGACTGTGTGGTCGAGGAGTGTGATGAGCGGTTTAGTGAGGAGGAGCAAGCAGAGCTGTTGAGGATCGTGGGGGAGGTTTTGGGGGGAGATGAGGAGGATGGTGAGGATGTGCATATGGTTGGGGCAGTGGAACAGGGGTGACTCGGAAGCATAGTGGACTAATTATTCGTGCTTCGAGGGAAAATGGTTGAGAATCAGGGAAGTAGAGATGGCAGAGGGGGAAGAAGAGACCGGCCTGAAGACATGTCGTTTGAATATGCGAATGCTCTGAGCCAGAGTGAGAAGAGCAGGCCTCCTGTCCTATGTGACCATACTACAATGATCTTGTGCGAAATAAGCCCAGGATTGGATTAAAGACGAGTGTCGCTCTAAATCTTCGAGTGACGGTGGAAGTAGAGGCCCTGTTAGTGGCATATTCACATTCAATCACCCTATCCTTTCTTGGCCTGGTTCGACGACTATGGGCATGCCGAGACTATGACTCAAATCCCAATCTCAAAGATGAGGTACGACAATCTGTAGGCTATTCGCCAATCAAGCCGACAAGATTGCACTGCTATTGCAACGGGAGCCGCAACATCGCGACTACGAACAGAATTGCTCGGCTTGCTGAGCAATTAGAGCCAACAGGACCAATCGGGCTGAGATAGTGGAGTCTTCAAGATGCGAGGTTTTGTGGTAGAGGTTTGTGAGAAACAGCATGCCGTTTCTACATCTCGTTCTGACGCAACAGCCGTGGTGGCCGCACCAGCCGCCATAATATCTGGGCAAGTTATTTCAAAAATACAGTCCCTTTTAGGACCAGGTTAGCCCTGCTTTTAGAACATCATTGAGCTTTGAAACTACTTACTCCTCAATGTCTTTGTTACTAGCGTTCCTTCAAGAAACGTCGGCATCACGATTGCAAGCTATTTGACATTCACCTGAAAGCACAAATGCTTCACACACCGCCGTGTGTAGTCTAGCATAGCCACAGCCAGACCGCATACCTATTTTTCAGCTGCCAAGACACAGGCGTGTGAAGCGTTGGCCTTTACTAACAGAACATGCTCCGTGTGTAAGCAATCTACTTTTTGGCCTAGCGCTAGAAGGGTGAAAAGTGAAGTCGGTCATCGGTGCTTCAGCCCCTTGGCCAATTCTATCCCCCGATACTTGAGGACGTACAAAGATAATCCTGATGTGTTTCTGTCTTTATTGAAAGAGGGAGCTCATCACTTCTCGACTCTTCTATCTCAAACCAAGCTTCTCTCAGTCAAAATCTCTCCACCCCCACAACACCCAATATAAAACTCTTTCCACCTCGCCCCTCAAAATGTCCAAACCCTCACCCAATGTCCACCACACGTCTCAAAATGACTCCACCTCCCACACCACAAATTCAGCCCTGAAGTACAAAAACCAGCAAGATGGGCCAAACCCAGATCCAAACATGATCGAACGCTCCCACCCCCTTTCATCCTCCCCACTGCCGCACCACCCCCTGTCCGCTCTATCAATCCCACGCCACACCGTTCTCCGCACCGTATTCCTCCTCCTCGGTGCACTTCTCTACACTCTACGCAAATCCGGCTTCCTGATATTCTGGGGTCAGGGGCTGGTGATGGATAAGGTGCCGTTGGAATGTGTCGTCTGGATGGGTACGATTTTTGGGATGGTCGCGAGGGATATTTGGGTGGAGGTGTGTGGGTTGGTGAGTGCTGGACAGGTTGATTGTGAGGAGGGGGGGCGAGGGGGTGAGGGGGTTGAGTAGCGGAGGAGGGTAAAGCGGTGGGAGAAAATACTTGTAGTGGTAGGTGCTGATTGTAATTTTCTATTTTTCTAAGTGTTGTAGAGTGGAATCTTTAACCCTTGCTTCAAGTTACACTGACTAGCTGTGTATTTAGTTCTGTTGAATAATGGTATCCCAAAATGCGCTTTCCGCATGACGCATTAGCTATATCCTCAGCCATGCGCTCCCTTGCTAGAAATCAAAACATTGCGCTTCAATCCTTTACCTCTGCCACATTCCTCTCTCTGGAAGCGGCTTTGTTCTCGCGTCGTCGTCGTTCTTCTCCATCCAGCCCCGTTGAGACTTCTACGTGCTCTTTACTGAGTACAGTCTTGCGACAACCCAGTATGACCACTAGTCCAACCGCCGCAAATGCAACGCCGAAGTACCAGATCTCCCTGATAGCCTGATCGTAGACGGACCGAACCAAGTCCCTTTGCAGCGCAGGCAGCTTCTTGACCTTGTCAACAGAGGCAATTGCACCACCGCCAAGAAAGTAACCCGCGTTTGCTCCTAAGCCCTGTCGAAGCAGACCGGCCCTCTTCTGAAAGCCGTTCTGGAATATGACGCCGCCAACGACGACTCCGATCGAGCCAGCCACGTTGCGAGCGAACGAATAAGCCGAGGTAGCGGTAGCAAGGTCCTGAGGTGAGACACCATTTTGAAGTCCAATTAAGGGTGCTTGAAAGTTTGGTCCCACTCCGAGTCCTGCAATAATCTGGAAGATGATGATCTTAGGCCAATCTCTGGCGGAGGAAAGATCGATGAAGAGCCCAAAGCCAAGCACAAGGAAGATGAAGCCAAACCAGATGAGTTCAACGAATCTGCCTGTGATACCGATGATAGCCCCTGCAAATGTGGCGGCGAAGGACATGGCTCCAACGAAGGGCAAAAGCCATACACCTGACAGTAGAGCCGGGGCACCGAGAACGCCTTGGAAGTAGAGTGGTAGGTAGAAGGTACCCATGATGAATACCGTACCATGGATGAAGCAGGCGAGAAGATTCGCGACGTTCGAGGGTGTAGCGAATAGGCGCAGTGGGAGGAGAGGATAGCGAGCCAATTTCCACTCAATTAGGAAGAATACAATGGCTGTCACAACACCGAATACGATGAGATCGATGACAATGGCTGAATTCCATGGGTATGTGATGCCGCCAAATTCGAGTCCCAAGAGCAGCATGACCGTCGAGCCGACGATTGTGATTGTACCGAGCCAATCCACGGCTTTGAGACCTGCCCAGACCGGTGTCTTTGGCGTCTCGAGCTTGAGGAATAGTTGTATGACGACGAAGACGACGCCAGTGATTGGTACTGTAAGTCTACGTGTCAGCTTGAGTTCAGAATTGTAGCGACACGTGCAAACTTACGGTTGATATAGAAGCACCAGCGCCAAGATGCTTTTTCAGTCAACGCGCCGCCAATGACAGGACCAAGCGATGCAGCAACGGCCCAGGTCAAGCCAACAAAGCCGTAATACTTGCCACGCTCTCGCATAGAGAAGAGATCGCCAATGACAATATTCACAAGCGTCAATAGTCCGCCTCCTCCCACCCCCTGAATGGCACGTCCGACAATCAACATACCCAGATTTACGCTCGCTGCACTCAGCACGCTACCTAAGAAGAAGGTAGCCATGGCAACCTGTAGGATTGGCTTGCGACCCCAGATGTCACTGAATTTACCCCAATTTGGAGTGAAGGCTGCCTCGCCGAGAGTGTAGGCGGCTCCGATCCATGTGTAGCCAGCTCCGGAATGGAAATTTTCGGAGATGGTCGGCAACGCGGTAGTGATGATGGTGATATCTAAAGCTGCAAGAAAGACAGAGAGGCAAAGTGCCAGTATGAGAATGGTGATTTGGATTGTTGACTTCTTATTTGGTGTCGATGGCGCGTTCTCGGTGGCCATATTCTCGCCCTTCTCTGTATGAGACGAGCTGGGTGGACTGTCGTCGCCATGGTCGAGGTCCCGCGGCAATGACATGGAGTTCTTGCCCGACATCTTCTTGTAAACGGTTAGTACCTTTGAAATTAATGGTAATGCCTTGAAGAAACAGTATTGAGTAAGCTCGAGTACCATGACAGAATTGTGGAGGGAATTACCGGTCGTAAGATAGGAGTGTCAAATTTGAACAGGCTCCTTATATTGTTGAAAGGAAAGGTAGAGGTCGCGATAGAGGGAAAGGGATGAGAATGTTCCTAGTACACGCTAAGCCTTACCTTGATTAAGAGTTCAATGTTCTTTGCATGACTTTGAAGCCATCTTATAGTACGGGGACTGGTTCGGCCGACGGTATGACTCTTTCTTCGGGATGAAATGCAATAGTCTCCAAGATCGAATCCTGTCGTTGCTGCACGTCCGTTGCTGGGTCCGGGTTTTGCGGGTCTTGCGGGCGCTGCGGGCGTCGTCGTCCTATCCGTATGGATTTGATATAGCGGGAGCTCCATAATGGCCGATACTTTCTATTGACTTTGCGAGAGTAAGGACCGACATATGATGATTACGCAGATCCCAGTCTTCTGTTCCCAGATAGACCAGAAAAGGTTTCCTCAGCCTCACAGCCTCGTCAGGCTTGTACCCAATCAGACCGAACATAAACCAGAACCTCCACGCCAATACCTCCTGAAATGTCATTTATCGTAGCCTTCATCCAGGCAGACAGTTTTGGGCGTCTAGGATGGCGCTCAGATGTCTATTTAGGCCGCTCCGCGTGGGACTCAGCTCACCGTGCCAAGGAGTATGGCTGTTGACATGTACTCGCAATCGATATTGAATATAAAGTTCCTCTTCTCTGACACCACTGTGATGTCAATCTTGCTGTTAACGGCCTCTTTATCATTTGGCAACCATCCGCCCACTGGGCTCAGAGGCCACAGGTTGTTTGGCACGCGCCCTCTCATTGCAACTGCTGGCAATCTCATTTTAGAGTACTCTGCACCACCTTACCAGCATGTCCAAGCCCTTCAATGGCGGGTTCGTTGACCCAAATCGACCTAATCCGATGGGAAAGGATGACGCCCGCATCATCATTTACGGGTACACTCCCTCAGCTGCCCTCTCGATCCTTGGTATTGCCCTTTTTGCTTTCCTCTTGATCATCCATACATTCCAAGTCATCCGATATCGTTTCTGTCATTCATCCCGCTGTCCGGCGCCTGCATCATGGAAATCGTCGGCTATACATACTGCTATATCTCCAACCATAAAGATCGATACAATAAGATCTACTTCATCGTTCAATACTTCTTCATCGTCACGGCTCCGGTCCTGATCTCCGCTAGCATCTATGTGTGCTTGACGAAATTGATTCGATGGTCTGTCCACGATACGGCTGGAGCATTTCAGATCAGTGGATTACAGCCGAGGCCTATACTCTGGCTCTTCATCAGTGCTGATGTTGTGACAACGATAATTCAAATGACTGGCGCGGCCTTGATCGGGAACAAGACCTCTAAACACGAAGATCCGACGACTGCGAACAACATCCTGCTTGCAGGCCTTGCAGTCCAGACTTTCTGTTTTGTCATCTTTCTCCTGCTATTCGCCCTTTTCACCCATGGCGTCATCAACAGCAAGCTTGAAGTTTATAGGAAACGACCATTCATCATTGCCCTGGCTGTGGCCAGCGCTCTGGTATGTTTGCGAACAATCTTCAGGCTCGTAGAGACCAGTCAAGGCGTCTTTTCATACTTGAGCACTCACGAGGTCTTTTTTGGGAGCTTAGAATTCATGCCGATTGTGTTGGCCATCGCATTTCTGGCTATCTGGCACCCGGCAAGATGGGTCAGAGACGAGCAATAGATTAAAGACCACGGTGATAGAAGTCTTCTTTGAAAAGGGTGGCCTGGGGAAGCTGCTACTTCGTTTGAGTGATTGACAATAGCTTATTTGGTAGGAGTAGTTTTGATAACGAACCAAAGGTCATGTTTGGTAGACGGGGATTCTATTCAGACCTTCGGTGATTATTGAATCCAACTGAAACATACTTGTGTTGATTAAGAGACTCAAGTATGAATAAATCTCCATTCTTTTCACGGAGGGTCACTGCAGCGACATAGCAGTTACTCGTGACTATCATTGTCGAACGTAATTTGATTGGCTTCCGATGGGGTAAGAGGGTAAGAGCGTTCTTTCTCTACAGGCTGAGATCCCAGATTAGACTTAATCCAGTCCAGCAAAGGTTGGAAAGAATGCAGTTTAGCAGTTGTGCACGGAACTGCCGAGCGCCTCAAGGCCGTCTATCACTCGTCTCCAAATGCTTCAGCAAATGATATGTTATATCTGCCGTACCACATAAGGCGAAAAACGTCTGTCGTTCCTCGCACAAATGTTGTGGCAAGTTGTTGCATTTTCCCTCCTCCCACTACTTCCTGTTCTGCATTAGGCCTCCATGGATAAATGGCGCCGTTGCCCAATTGTTCCTCTCTTCCAGCGACTTTCAGCTTTCGCCTTTTGTGCGCCTCAACCTCAAGCGCGAAGGCCTCCTCCTCACGGCCCTGTTCGAGGTAGATCAAGGCCAAATTCGACATACTTTCCAAAGTCGACGGATGCCAATCCCCAAGGACGTCTTTCTTGACGCCCAGCACGTGAGCTTCGAGCTCTTCGGCTGTCTCCAATCGCTGCTGACCTCTGTAAGCAGAAGCTAGGGCGGTCATATGTTGTAATGTATTGAGGTGGCTTTCACCTAGCTGGCTCGTGCTAGTGGCAAGGGCCTCTACTGCCAAACTTTCCGCTTGGCTGAACTTTCCAAGATAATTGTATGTCGATGCTAGATTGGACATACTTCTGAGGGTGTCTGGATGCTCTGGGCCTATTGCGATGCGACTCGCCTCAACTACCTTTGTTTGGAGCATTTCGGCCTCCGGCCAACGCCGAAGATGTGAATAGGTGCCGGCGAGACTGTCAATCCGTTTCAACGTTGTCGGGTGCGTCTTCCCCAGCATATCTTCACTGATTTTGACGGCATCTACCTCTAGTCGCTCAGCTTCCTTCCATCGTTTCTGCTTTTGGTATGTCAAGGCTAGGTTCATCATGTATGACAAAGTCTCTGGATGTGTCTTGCCATATACGCTTTGACCTATGTCCAGTGCTTCCTTGTTTAAGTTCTCAGCTTCTTGAAACTTACCTTGCTGCCAATATGTTGAGGCCAAATTGGATAGTGGACTGAGAATCTGGGCATGGATTTTTCCATATTTTTGTCTACAGATCGCTAGGACTTGTAATTGCATAGCTTTGGCTTCTTCCCACTTGCCTTGGTCTAATAGGGTCAGAGCATGGTTTCCTACGTATGTCAAAGTCATCGGATGAGAGTCTCCCATCATCTTCTGAGCAAGTCTCGTTGCTTTTGATGCAAGACATTCAGCCTCTTTCCACCTGCCTTGGTCAAGATACGTCATTGCAAGGGAGTCCATATAAGCAATATTTTGCGGATGTGTCTCACCCAAAGCTTGCTCACTCATTCCCATTTTGGCTATATTCAATTGCTCCGCCTTTTTCCACCATCCAAGCTTTCCATACACTTTGGCAAGGTTTGCAGTGGTGGCCAAAGTATCCGAGTGGGCATGTCCCAAAACTTCTGCTGTCCTCTCTAGAATTTCATTGTACATACTCTCGGCTTTGAGCCACTGACCTTGCTCGGAGTGCATCGTTGCAATATTACTCATCCGGGATAGCGTGTCCGGGTGAGCTTTCCCGAGTGCGCTCTCACTCTCTCTTTTGACCTCCAATTGCATTATTTCCGCGTCCTTTTGTCGGCCAAGTCTCCACAAGGTCAATGAGAGAGCTGTCTGTTCTTTTAGTACGCTAGGATGGAAGTTTCCAAAAACGGTTCTGAGAACCAACAATGTCTGGTTTTGAAACTTTTCAGCCTCTCTCCAGCGTCCTTGTTTCGTATAAATCTTCGCGATATCACCAAGAGTCGACAAGGTTTCAGGATGGTCCTTGCCCAACGTCGTTTGCCTTGAGTCTAGTATCTGAAAGTGAAGCTTTTCGGCTTCTGCCCATCGACCTCGCCTACTGTATAGGATTGCAAGGCCAGACAGACTCGTGAGAGTATTTGGGTGTTTTTCACCAAGTAGCGTCTTAGTCTGAGTGATAGCTTTTTCCAAAAGATCCTGAGCCTTCGGCCAATTCTCTCGCCACAAGTGAATTGATGCAAGATTGACCACTCGTGCTATTGTAGCCGAGTCCGTATCTCCCAAAGAGTCTCGGCTGGTGTCCAGAACGTCCCTGGCTAGCTTCTCGGCTTCTTGCCAACGGCCTCGCTCTCCTATGGTCAAAGCAAGATTCGTTTTGCACCTCAAAGTGCTCGGATGTGACTTTCCACGGGTACGAGAAGTTATTCGGAGCAACTGCAAGTCAAGTTCTTCAGCTTCTCGAAGTCGCCCTTGATCCCGATAAATTGAGGCCAAATCAGCCATTCGTAAGATTGTCGTTGCATGCTCCTCCCCCAGTAGCTGAATGCTTTTGCTGAGTACATGAGAAGTCACTTTTTCAGCTTCGTGTAAGCGTCCTAGCCGTACCAAGGTCAGTGCAATGTTCTCTGAATATACCAAAGAAGCTGAATGGTCTTCGCCGAAAGATTTCTCCGCGGACTCCTTTTGTCTCCTTCCAACCTCTTCAGCTTCCTTCCATCGACCTTGATGGAACAACACGGAAAACAACGCCGAATTCAAGATTCGTGCCAAAGTATGTTGGCGACCCAATGCGAATTCAACGTCTGCTATTTCTCTCCTGTAATACTGTTCGACTTGCTCGACCGGTACTTGGCCTTGATAATTCTCGGACAAGTCAATTCGCGTCACTTGACCGTTAATCTCCAAGCTTTTGTAAAATCGGTCGCGAAAATTTGCCTCGAGTCTATGGTGGCGAAGATGATCGATCTCATTCATAATGTCATTTTGCTGCCTCGCACTGTTATCAAGAAAAACGGCACACAACTTCTCATCTCTGGCAACGCCGAAGCCAATATAGTAGCAGATCGCAAGCTCGTAAGCTACACATTGTTTGTCTCGCAGAATTGGGGTCAGTGTGTATACTTGATTGAGGCAGGAGACGATATATTCGCGCACTCGATAATCTGTCATGTAGAGCTGAGACATAGACTGAGTGACCTAATCATTCTCGAAGTCAACAATTGAGCAAGAGAATAAGAGCCAGGCCCACAGCGCACATTAAACTTGTAGACCATATCTCTTGATGCAGCTCGAGTAATTATACCACCCTCTACCCTTTTGAAGCCGTCAAATCAGTAGCGACTTCGGCGAGAGAAGCTTTTCTCACCTGTCTGAAGAGAGAACTTGGAGTATGCTTGAGAAATCTGAGCTCCGAGCGTTCGCATCTTCCTGCAATGTTTCAGAAAATAAATGAGAGAGTATAAGTTTCTAGGTATCATCAAGATGTATGCTCGCGGCCACCAGACGGAGAGCTAAATCAAGTGGTGATTCAAGATCAGGCTTGGAAGTATTCTCCGGAGCAATTTGATCTTCCTCAATGAATAGCCAACGGGAAACAAGGCCAAAAGAGTACATTTCCATCTTCATCGCTCCAACCACACCTGTAGTGAATCGTCTGTGATGCCATTCGGGAGCAATCCAGCCGAAAGTGCCGGAAACACTGATTTTGCTAGCGAACGGGGAAGAGAAGCCGAAATCAGCTAGTCTTACTGATACTTGGCCAGAATCATGTTCAAAGACAAGTACGTTCTCTGGTTTGATATCTCCGTGGATTATCTCTGGTCACTTGGTCAGCGGCTAATGTCTGTTGAGTTTGCACAACCCTTAACTTGCCGTTAGCATGCAAACAAACGACTGCCCTAGCAATGTCGGCGCAGAATTGGAGTTTCTTTGCAAAAGTGAGCTGGCTCCCCTTTCCACTTCGCATGAATGCCCTCAGATTTCCGTGCTTTGACTTTTCAAATACTTGGACGGGCCAGACTTTTCCTGTCTCAGGGATGACATCCCAACAGAGACCAATCAGATTGATGATGTTTGGATGCTCGCGGATGGAGGGCAAAGTCAGTACCTGTATTTCACGAAGTAGAGCTCCAAATACTTTCCTTTCGCCGTCCTCGGAGAAGGATCTTTGTGAGCTGACGCATCTTTTGAAAGCGAAATCTGTCTCGACGTTCACCGGCGCCTGGTGTATTCGGGCTGTAGCACCGAGGCCGACGATTTTCAAAGCAGGTTGCCATATTATGGGGAGGAAGTCAAGGCCAAAGTATTGTGCGATTCCGAGACATTTCAAGAAATCCCCACTCGATTTGGAGCCGTTGCTTTTGTCAGCGGGCGTGACCGTGCCTCGAGACGTTTCTTGAGCCTCAGTGAAGATGATCGGAGAGTCAAGAGGGTCATAGATTTCCGACATGCTGAACGAGCTCAAGTTAGATGCAGAGAAGCAAGACGTATAGTGAAGGCAGGCAAGACGGATGGCTGCCTTGCAAGCATTGCCCCTGGGCAGAAGCGAGGCCTGATCTGTAAGCTACGGTAGCCCCACAGCATGCGGCCACTCGGTTCAATTTCCGAGAAATAGGGTCAGCTTCATTCTTGCATTCCCACTTTAGACGAAGAATGCCTCCCTTGTCATATTTGAATTCACTGTCCGTAGCACGACTTTAGCGTCTTACGAGAGATGCGATCTCACAAACGCCTCACAAACTCCACGATTCAGGGCGCCGACTTCTAGCTAATTACAACAAAACTCATTGCCCATGAGGCAAAAGTCTAGGCCTATTATGCGACGAGTCGAATATCACATCTTATGTCTAGTGTAGCAATCCTGATTTTCTTGCTTACGCTTTCCATATCTATTTTGAGAGCAAAAGGGCCATGACAAGACAGGAAAGGGAAACCTGCTAGGCCGATGCTTATCTATGCCCGCGTAACGTTGTTTCCCTCCGTTGTACCTCCTCGTGAGGTCATGAGGAGGGTTCATCATCAGGACCTAGTTGATTGTGCGGCCACAGCCCAGGGTCCCCTTTTATCCATCGTTAAAGTGATGATCAGAGTAGGTAGGGTCAAACTTTGGAGATGACGACGATATGTGTCTTTTGCCGAACATTATCGCCTTCAGCGGGTTGCAATTGGACAAGCCTAGAACTGAGTATTGTCTAGTAGATCTGTCAATGATTGTTGCTTTAGATATACCTTCAGGCACATGAAAAAGCTTACAGCTACCAGAGTGGCCGGAAAACAGCCAGTCGCAATCTGAGTCAATGTCTTCAGCGTTGAAGAGTCCTTGTAGCTGCTTTCAGCTACGTCGACATGATGAGATAGATGTTCGACATCTGCTCCATTCTTGATGATCGTCGTGAGTCCTCGATCCAAAGGCCTGGACGCAATCCAAAAACGGGTGGAACACCTTGTGACTTGATAAGAGTTGCTGAAAAGTGTCTTGAGAAACACCCAAATGGCCCCAGGAGAATTGTTGGGGAATAAAGCTTGCCAATGGAGGTGAGGGACTAGTATATTTGAGACTGCTGTCCATAAGGCCTATGCTTCTTGAATATACAAAAACGAATGTTGGGCTCCAGTATGGATTGCGTCCAATTTCATCAGCTCTCTACAGCGCTTCATGTTATCTCAGGAATCATGATACTTCCAGCACTTTCGAACGGGCATCTGAGCTATTGATCTCATAGAACTCTACATTTACATCCGTGCCGGAGTCCAGCTGAATCTGATCTGTGTTCTCAAAGATACGCGCTAACTGCTTCAGGAAGAGTGGACGGAAGTCCTTTATGCTTTCGATGGTGACCATGTTTTATTTCAATGAATGGCCAATCCTAGCAAAGGAGGGGATATATGTACCGCTCTTTGTGACAATGAGGCTTGACTTGTCATTGACGATGCTCGCGTCTTCAGAGTGAAGCTGGAAGATCAGGATTGCATTGACTATGACCCATTGGCTCGCGCGGATGAAAGACCGCCCCTCCTTCATTTAGCGCCTCCATTCAGCCTCATCGTAAACTGCAAGAAACATTGGAAACGACAAACGCAACTTGCTCTTGCACATCACAGGTCACATTTGTCTCTTTTGTACTCAGTCGAAGAGTCTGCCAAAATGCAAAACCAAGTGCTCCACACTCAGTACATCGAAAGAAAACCACTGTTGAAGCTCCTCCGACAACTATTCGGGAATGACTTCCTCGTAGAAGATCGTCCAGATTACTATGTATTGAATGTTCCTCGACGCTTGACTGAGGTAGTGGCGTTGCAGTTGCAGCAAATCAAGATTGTGTCTCACAGATCTTAGGAAGAAGTGCAGTCGATCACAAACCAACCTAGCACTTGAATATGCTTTGTATAACATGAGAGACAAGTAAGTACACTCAAGCAGTGTTCGATGGATGCTAATTCTTATATGGAGCTCTCGCCCGTTCAGCCTTGTCGTACTCAACCAATAAAGCCAGATTCCCTGCGAAATGGAGTCTTTGCGGAGCAAAATAGAATACTTAAGGTATCAGAATGAAAATGCTCACGGCAGACACTTCATCCCTCATGAAGATTTTGTTCAGCTCATGACCAGAGAGAACGTGCACGATGTTCTTGAGGAAAGCAGCATCGAGCGCTATAGTATCGAAGAGACTGCCGAGACGATATTCAAGAGGGCGGCGAGAATATTTGGCATTCTTGTTCTCACCGGGCAGCCAGAGTTCATTTTAAGATTTATCAAGGGTGGAGGGCATCAGCGGTCATGCCTGGATGACAATCTCCCCTACAGCCTTGACACTTTGCTTGGCATCTTTGAGGACGACATCATGGCGAGAAAATTCCACGAGAGGCAGAAAGAGTTCGCAGTACCCATATTTGATAGGAGCGCATTGCCTCGAGATGTGAAGGCCGAAATTACGATGCCATTCCTGGAAGACTGTCACATCGGGAGTGGTGGCTTTGGGAACGTCTATAAGATCAAGATTTCGCCGTCTCATCAGCATTATGATCCATCGTCTGATTGGGTACGAAGTCGAGAATCTTTACAACAGCCCCTCTGCTGATACGTGGCCACAGTTCGTCAGAAAAGAGTTTCGACCAGAATGCGGCAAGGAGGACTTTGAGAGAGAGTTGCGCAATCTTTCCATGCTCAGACTCCTGCGCCATCCGCACATGGTAGAGCTACTGGGAGTCTATACGTATCGCGGGATGCACAACTTTGTTTTTCCTCTTGCTAGTCACGGCACTCTCGCCGAGCTATTTCAGAGCGAGCAAACACCACAATTTCAATTGAGCGAGGACTTTCTTGTCGCACTGGCAGGACTGGGCTCCGCCATCTGCGCTATGCACGAGTATTCCTCAGAAAATCTACGAGCAATTGGCTGTCATCATGATCTGAAGCCTTCAAACATCCTGGTAGATCAATCAAAATTCATCCTTGCAGACTTCGGTCTCTCGAGGCTCAAGGAGTTGTCACAGACATCTGCAAGTCTCTCAAAAGACGCTAGGGGAGATTATCTAGCTCCAGAGTGTGAAGATCTGGAGGCAGATTGTGAGAAGGGTATTGTTCATCGGTCGAGTGATATCTGGTCGTTCGGCTGTATGGTCGCAGAAGTCCTGACTTACATGAACAAAGGTCCTAGTGGTGTGAAGAAATTTGAGGCCGCCAGGGTCTTTGTCGTACGTGGCCTAAAGCTATGGCGTTTTCACTATGGCTCAGGGAAAGAGAGCGGACCAGTTCTTCGCTGGATCGAAGATTTGAAGCGCCAATGCCAAGGACATGAAGAACAGCTCGCCATTCTCGCTCGGGAAATGCTCTCTATACGACCAGATAGGCGTCCACGTGCTCCAACCGTCAGACACAGACTGTACGCTATTGCAATAAAGGCCACGACAAAGCCAATTGATCATCTGTACAGCATGGTAGTGCAAAGTCGTGGGAGTATTCAGGTATTCGTCGAACAGAAGAAATTCGAGAGTTGGAAGCAGGTTTGTGGGCTCGAAATGACAGACCGTGGGTCTATACCTGATGATCCATTGGATTTCAAGTCGCATGAGGCGTTTCAGTCTGTCATAGCCAATCTTTGCGACCTCAATAGCACGTTGAGGCTGATTGAAGCTGACTCTCAGGTTTCGAAAAGCTTGCTACCACCCCGATTGCAAACGTTGACTGCCCATCTCTACGAGATGCTGTCAACGGTGTTACAAGATAGGGCAATGTGCCTTTGGAAGACCAGTGTGCTTGAGACCTCAGATGAAGGTCAACTTGAACAAGTAAGCAATGAAGTAGGAGGAGAAGATCTAGGTAGTGATATTGGAACGCTGGCTGCGATCAAACGAATGCGAGTCTTGGTCCAGAAGCGCTCATACCAGACGGGATCTCTTTTCCTCGACTGTGGCCAATTACAAAACCAGAAGCTGTCGGAGAGTTTCTCGTCACAATACGTCATACCCAATGACGCCAAAACGACGCCCGTGTTAGTAGAACGCAAACACATCGATATACATGATAAGGGAGACCACTTCAGGATAGAAATTCTAGACCGCCTCGAAGAGATCGCGGTGCTTGTCAACTCTGCTGCGAGTCGCAAAAGTCTCCGCGTCCTTCGCTGCCTAGGCGTATATCACGATGAGGCGCATAGCGTCTTCGGTATGGTATACGAATTTCCGGATCTTTCGATACCAAACACCGAGCCGCAGGCCACTACACTGGCGGCAGCTCTGGAGCGGAAACCTGGCAGTCGCGAGTTGCCCCTACTCGGCGATAGGTTTCGGCTTGCACACGACTTGGCTGCTGCCCTGTTCAGATTCCACAGCATCGGATGGCTGCACAAGAGCATCTCATCTAAAGTCGTAGTATTCTTTCACAACAAACAGACGGCTTGGAGCACGGACGGGCAGAACTGGTACCTGCGTGGATTTCTGCATAGCCGATTGGATGAAGGGTTCACAGAGGGAATTACCAGCGATCCTGAAATGATGGATTTCCAGCACCCGGACTACCTTAGTGGCCTCAAAAGAGGATTGTGGCGCTATGTATCCCAATTTGATTACTACAGCCTTGGCATCGTCCTTCTCGAAATTGGCTTGTGGAGTTCGCTGAAAGACATGATTGGAAAATGGGCAGGCAAGCCAGAGGAATTGAGAGAGAAGCTATTGAGCTCAGCAGTACCTCAGCTTGGACCTCGTGCGGGTACCTCATATCGTGACGCTGTGATAACTTGCTTGACTGGGCGTTTTGCTGGAATCGAGGATGAAGACCCCACCGCGTTACACCTCAGCTTCAAGGATATGGTTGTCGATGAGCTTGCTCAGTGCAAGGCATGACATCCAAGCCCATACTTGCAATCAAAAGTTGAGGACGCGGAAATGAATACATATATCAAGAGGATGCGTATGATTTAGAGTGGGAGGATAAAGTTAGGCCGTCAGAAGGCATTACTGATTGAAGTAGGGTCAACCGTCGAATGTTTCGTTATTTCTGGAGCACATTGAGCATATGCGAATCTATCGTACAGTGTGCTTTCATCTGAGGTCAGGCCCAGGGGCCGCCACGTTGTTAGTTGTGGACGCCAAGACCTCATTTCCCAGCCACTTTTCTATGGCTGCAAAAAGCTACTCTCGGTGATCTTGCGATATCTCAAAGGCTGGGATCTGGTCTCCCCAATCCTGGAACTAAGTATCTTGGGGCTGATTTTCGAAATGCTTGAGACTTGCAAAACACCCGAATACAAAAGAGCCCGAAATTCAAGCGGCCTGGAGGCGAGCACACGCAATTATGAACACACCAAATATCACTCTAGCCAACCTCATGAGGTACGAGAATGCAGAAGTACAGCACTCACGTGCTGGATCAAGCGCTGTCAAGATTGTACAGCTGCACGAAGGGACGCAACTAAAGTCTGGAACCTGGGTCCGTGATCTGGATTCTGCGATCACAAATTTCTCTGGTTGCAAGTCATACCACGATGCGCGAGTCTTTTGCATTCTCTGGATATTCTACGGGATCTCAGGCCACACGGTCGCTGCTGCTAACACGTTCAAAGACGAAAAGGTTGTGAGATCCGTGAGGATCACATGATTAGAATGATGAGATTTACATACTGGCGGAACGGGTGTGTAGAATTCTGAAAGGTTCAGGGGGTCTGCGAAAGCAGATTTCCTGAGTCCATGTTGTGAGCAAGCCAGACAGGCAATATATGAGGATTGATATTTTCACCAAGGCCTCAGCAGCCTACTAACGATCATTAGCAACAGGTAACAAAGCAGGTACTTTTAAAATTCTCTGAAGCCCTTGCCACCTGTCAACATGCTCTGCTTGATTTCCCTAGTCCTCTCATCGTCTTGCACAAAAGCATCACTTGCATCCCGGACCTCTCCCTCCCCAAATTTCCTCCGACAAAACTCCACAACGGAGTTGATCTCGCTGATGCTTTGCCTGCCCAAAGAGTCTCTATCACCTGCCTTTCGCTTCACAAATCCTTCGACCCGACTAATGAAGTCTCTCGCCCGCTCCAGTCCCTTTATTTCTTCTTCATCCTCGCCCTTTCCCACTCCCCAGGTTTGTCGAAAGACCTCACTTTCTTCTACATTCCGGTACCATGCCCTCGCATTATCAAAGTCACCCTCAATCCTGTGCAGTATCCCATGCAGAAACATACCCTCGTACGCTGGGGCGGCTTGCATGTGCCGCACCAAGAAGTGAGCGGATGGAAGATCGTTGTTCAGTATATGCAGGGCTGCTTCGAGTGTGGGATGCAAGGACAGGGAAGCGATCTTGGGGGTCAAAGACGGAGAGGTGGGTTTGGGAGGCGGTGAGAGTGGTGGGGAGAGGGTAAGGATATGCGCATAGAGAGACGAGAAGCTTGGAAAGTCTTGATTGGCCATATTCGACAGTATACAGGTATGAGAGCGTGTCGAAGCTGAAGCGCAGTGAAATGTGGTTGTCGTGGATTGAAACCCTAGAACTATCTCGGTGTGCACGTCATGACTTGAACTCAGCGCTTAGAGTAGGATCTCATTCAGCAACAAACAGTTCTTGGACCGCGAGAGAGCGCAGCTATAGTTATCGCAGAGTCATGATGGACGGTATAAGGTCCTGGCTGTCCTTGCAAAGTTCCAGGGGCAGTCGGAGACTTTTGGCCTCCAATCGGAGGCGGAACCGTTGAAATTCTCTCGGAAGCGAGCGCTAGCAACGCAGACCTCACCCCATTCTCTCAATGACCTTAATACAATGAGACTGTCACGGCCGACATATATGTCAAGAGAATGGAGCTATAACGGTGGTGTGCTTGTCGATCTCAGCCCTAGACGGCACTGAAAGGCCAGGAGGTCGACCAGTAGTCTCTGTCGAACGCTTTCGTGGTGACGCCTTTTAGAAAGAGGACGGGCAAAACATGTATAAAGAACCGCAAGGCTCCGTTCAAGGACGCCTGATCGTCTCTTTGACTTCATGACGAACAAGGATGAGAGCTTCTAGCCTGTCTCATGCCTGTGTCTTGCTGCTGAGACGGAGAAGACTGTTGCACGCTAGCGATCACCAGCTGCTCTGATGAAGTGCACAAAGAACACAGTCGCCTGCTTTTGCAGAGACAAGAAATACGTCAACAAGGACTGGAAGGGCATATTGTACAAAAGTGCAAGAAAATGTGGATAGCGGCGCGAGACCACTCTTTACATGACAAACACCGGCCCAAGGAAAGCACGATGAGACCTCGCACTGCTGCTCGAGACTTGGAGGCTCAAATTGAAGCCGCCCAAAAAAAAGACGGCATCCCTGAGCGGACCAGCTTTGGAGGAGACGCGTACTCGATCAAGGTTATTTAGGCCCTGGCCAAATTACCTGCGCTCTGAAGGCGTCGCGATGGAGCCGAAATCACAATAACATGTGATACAAACTGTCGTGGGTCGAAGAAGCAAACCTGGAACGACAAAACATCTGGCTACCCCTCGACACTTGAGCAGCCCCACCCCTGGAAAGACTCAGAGCACAGCTCGATGACGCGTTGCCGCTGCCCAGACCTGCACGAAGAGCAATCAAGAACGTGTATGAGGCATTGACAGAGATCGAAAGTCTTCTGTGGGCAAGGGTCTCGGATTTCGAAAGTACATGTAGTTTTTTAAAAGGTACTTTCCCATCCAAAATGGTCTTGCGGCAATCAAGCGGCTTTCCGATTACGCAAAATTTCCACGCTAGTGACTATCTGCTAACGTGAAAACACAGACACCTTGAGAGTCGGCGGTTCGATCCTCGTGGGAGGACGAGCTCACGAGGCGGCCAGAAGCATTGGTAAGACTATATGGCCTTTCTTTGCCCGGTCCCGGGGCGCCCAACACCAGGGCCATCTCCTTCTGAAAGACAATGGGCGAGGGTTGTTATCCGCCCCCTAGTGCGGATGCTGACTCTCTAGATCCGGTAGGAGAGTTTGTGCGAAGGAGTTTGTATTGAAGCACATCGGGTGATTCCAAAGGAGTTTCATGCGAAGGAATTTGGATCGAAGCACCTCGGGTAAGTTCAAAAATTTCATTTACAAGTCCAACTTGACCTGCAAAGAACATTCAGTATTTTCACATTTTTCATCTATCATATTCGTTCTATCCGTAATCAATCTCTCGGCCACTTTTCTAGATACCGAGACTCAATCTAGCGACGGGGAAATCCGTTTATAACACAAAGGCGAAAGGTCTTCGCGAGTTCATTCATTTCCGAAGTCTTCTTCCTTTATTAATGTACGCAAAAGCCTGCACTTCCTCATTCAGTGACGGCATCGCATAATTTTGGGTGCTTTTTGAGAAGATATATCGGATTCATTCGAACTATTGATTGCACAAAATGCTGCCTTGGGGGACGAATACATAAATATTACGACAGTATCAGGGTTTTCGGCCTCTTGATCTGTAGCATTTCGTTCGTGACCTACGGAAGCCCACCGTGACTTTACTTGTTTTTTGTTGTAAGGCCCCCCAAATCAAACAGAGCTGACAACCTTTCGGTTACCAAATTGCCAATTCTCCATCCAATGCGCAACCATTCTACCTGATAGTTCAACAAAACCTTGCTACTATTTTACGACGGAAAGAGTCTTTTCGCTCGCTGCCTCGTACTCAGATGGCTCACTCGGGGTGTCTCCTACATCCGTAGTCTTACTGGTGTCCAGGCTGAGAGGGTCCGTATCCTCGGTGTCTCTAGATTCTAGTCCTCTGAGCAAAGAAGTCACGCCGCATTGGATATTTGACTCTGCAGTCCAATCTTTTGATCTAAAATCGACGTTTGCCGTCAATTGGCTTGGAAAAAGTGCGCCCCGTTGGGGTCCTGAGCCAAAACTAGCTATCGAGCCGTCAGGAACAGATGTTGTCACGGAGTGAGGCATTTCGTGGCTTCTACCGAAATATTCTGGCGCCGTCTCATATGACTCTGGGCTTGACAGCTGACCTATTGTCGTTTTAATAGCATTGACCAATTCAATAGAATGCTTCTGGATTTGTTTCGACGTGATACCCTCAACTTTCAATCGCTTTCCCAGCATCATCCAGGTGTCGCGGCCTTCGGGGGAAGACGCATCAAGACTCTGCGATAAGATAAGCGATTGATCCTGATTGAGCGAAGCCAGTATATCTTGAAGCTGTTGTTCCATTCGCGAATTTGAACTTTCAATGCGATTTGCTGATGCCATCCATGCGCTCAAGTATTGCTCCCGAGACTCATAAATTAAGTCACAAGCTCGCGAGCTCGAGTCTAGGATTTCTTTCTGACGTTCGCCGATTAGAGCAACATCGGAGCTAGATGAGTCTTCTTAGTGCAGGGTATCATTAACAGGAAGAGGTTTACAAACGTGAGCCTCCCGATTCCAAGTGCCATCAGCTTCTCAGTCTTCCACTGTATCTCCTGCCGAAACTTTGGGATTTTGGTAGCATATCTGGCTTGACAAATTCTCCCCTTACTCCATAAGGCCAGTTGCTCGGTTGAGCGGTATGTAGATAAGTTCTCCATATCTTTCATCGGGGAGGGTAGGCTTAATACCCGAGCCCATAGAAATTCTTTGCACTCGGCGAGGAGCTCTGATACCTCCTTCTTCTCGGCCTGCGATCACGCCTGATTGTGAGAGTATCTATCCTGGGCTGTTTGATCAGTGACGTAGGAAAAGTAGCGTAGGTCTTTCGCGAATTCATCGCATTCACCAGGGCCACCTCGCATTACTTTACAGATATCCATCGCAAGTCGTGAGCAAGTCAGGAAATCTGTGATACTTACACCAAAACTCATGACTGCGACTTTCTGTCAATTTCTACCGAGAAAGGTATCAAAAGCAAAGGTATTCATGCGGAGATAGTCAGCCTTGTCCCTCGGAAACGTCCCACATAGGCCTGGCGGATAGGACATGCAGCTCGCAATCGGCTACTCAACCAGCCGATCGTCACGTACCATTTCCTGCATTTCAGCGTACTCATTAATTACTGCCCAACAGGGAGACCAAGGTTTTCAAATCATCATCAAACCTCGCCAACGCCTCCCCCAGCCACGACGATCCCCTCGAACCCTATAAAATCTCCACGTCTGCGCCCGCATGGCCTCCGACATCCACACGATCCTCGTCGATACCAACAACGACTTCGCCCGCGACGCGCGAGATCTTTCCCACTGCGCTGAAGACCTCACTAGGCACCTGATGCACGATCACGATGACCACCACGGTCTAGATACCAAGATTCAGATGTATTTAGTCATCCTGAAGCCCGCCTGACTGATGCAGATCAATATGCTCTCAAAGTACTGCTCCGGGATATTATTCATTTGTTGCTCGCCGACTTACCAAGTGCGAGTTTTCCTCGGTAGAATTATCAGTGTGAGCGAGGCTGATAATCCGGGGAGCTATGAATTGCAAATGTACGTACTTGAGTGTTTCAGTATGCGGAGGCTTTTTCGGGCTAGAAATTGGGATAATTATCCGGTCTTCAGGGCGGAGATGCAAGGATGGTGCGGGAGAGTCAGGGGTTTTATGAGGACTTGATTTGTTAGATTCGGGGGTTGAGGTTTTATGGGTATCAACTTGCTACTGGGAGTTCTTTGGCGCTTTTAAAATTGCAGAGGAATAGAAGGAGTCGAAGGTAAATGTCAGGATATCATATAGCTCTGCCATGCCATGCTATGCCACGCTGAGAAACCACCATCGCGCCTCCGCTTTACTTGACACAAGCTAAATACATATATGTCCTCTCAAAACACTGCGGCCAGTCCACTCTTGCTCGCCCGCTTGCTAAATCTCTTCCGGCCAATGAAGCCTTCATCGCGATCCTGCTGCGGCGACTTATGCAGTGTGTTCCTACTACTATCTACGCCCAAGTTGCCACCTATACTGCCCATGCCGCTACTGAGCGCACCGCCAGGCGAGTCTAGATCTAGTGCCCGTGTGCTTCCAGTAGTTGCTGTCACGGATTGCAAGTCCTTTAATTGATCCTCGCCGGTGTAGGAATTTCCGGAGCCGATAGATTGAGCGAAAGCGATTTCGCGCGAGCGGTCGATTACGTCGAGCCATTCTTGAGCTTGGGCGGACGTTGCGGAGCCAAGATCTGAAGCTGATGTCGTGGCAGGGGACTCGAAGGTGTAATGTTTATCTGGCTATGTGCACTCCATCAGTCCACGCATATTACATTTTATTTTGGAACCATCGAGTATGAGACTAGGAAAGTGGCCGAGCCTTTCTCCCTATAGCAAAAGGTGTGTGGGAAATGGGACGGGGAACTTACAGTATCAACACACCAGTACGTCAAGCCCTTCGGATCCTGCATCTTATTCCACGTGCAGCCAGCACTCCGGACATCGATCTCGACCTTTGACTTCTTGTCCTCGCCGCCTGCCGCGACAATGATGATACGCGCACTGGTGGTGACCATTACAAGTCGTTGGCGTTTCTTAGCTGCGTTTCCACCGCCAAAAAAGCGTGATAACTTCTTCGGCGCTTCACTATCACCATTCGATAGTCCATTCTTGTTGTTGGGGCTGTGGGGTCCTGGTGTAGTGTTTACAAGCAGGTTGCCGAGCTTCAGGATGCGCTCGTTGACGTTGGTCAATACAGGTGACCATTCGATGTCCAGCTGGCTCGGTGGTGGAAGTTCGGTGATTATCCGGGGACTTGGTCTTGGTACACTACTGCCAGGTGTTTCGACTCGCTTTTCGGATACACTGTGCGACGGCGCGATGTTTGGTGGATAGCTGGCCCCACTTGAGAAACCGTTGAGCTTCATAGGCTCTGCAGGTGCTGGTATGAAAGGCTTCAGGGTCGGCGTTTTCTGCCTCCACAATCCCTTACCCCATGCCACTCCATCGAAAAACTGATGATTTTTTACGTGTTCTATTGACAGCCGGCTCGCTGGGTCCAGCACAAGCAGTCTTTCGACCAAATCCTTGGCAACTTCCGGAAAGCCTCTCGGAAATGTATATTCCAAAGCCACGATCTTCTGAAAAGTTAGATACTCGTTGCCAGCCTTAAAAGGGGGTCTTCCTGCTAGTAGCTGATACACTATGCATCCGAATGCCCAAAGATCACTAGCTTTGCATGCCTTTTTGTCCGTAAGCAGCTCGGGACTGACATACTCCGCTGTGCCAACAAAGGAGTTTGCTCGGTTATCCTCAGAACCATCCATTGGGTCCCCTGTAGGTGGCTGCACGTTACCCAGACTATCCTTTGGTGGTCTCTTCGGAAGTTCGAGTATCTTCGCCGTTCCAAAGTCTGTAATCTTGACATGCATGTGATCATCTAAGAGCACATTCTCCGGCTTCAAATCACGATGGATCACGCCTCTTGCGTGCATGTAATCGATGGTGTCTAGTATTTCGGCGCAGTAAAATCTAGTGCATTCTTCGTCGAATGTTGTCGTCCGCTTCAGTACACCGAGAAGTTCCCCGCTACTGGCTAGGTCTAGAACAAAGTATAACGATTGTTCATCCTGAAAGGTATAGTACAGGCGCACCACGCCTGGATGGTCCGTCAACCGATTGAGGGTGTCCTTCTCGATGTTGACGTATTTCACTTTTTTCTCTTTGATGATGTGGCGCTTGTCTAATACCTTGATAGCGTACTCTTTACCCGTCTGCCTGTCTGTTGCTGCCATGACCGTACTGTACGAGCCCTCACCTAAAGTCCGTCCAAATTTGAAGTCCTTGACGCCCTTTTTGACGTGCTTGAGAACTTGGTTGCCATTGGCATCAACTTCCTTGCGCAAACCTACTGCAGCGCCTTTCTCCTGCCACTCTTCGCTACTCTTCATCGGACCACCCTCCAGCCCATATGGATTCCCTGATTGCGAATCACCCCGATGTGGTGTCGGCTGCTGCATTTGCGTCGAACCCATCCCTCTTGAGCTCTTTCGCGGCGGCAGCCCCCCGTTTGAACTGTACATCGGACTCTGCTTGTATGCTCTTTCTGTGTGGCTTGCTTCCCCGATTGGTACACCAGCTTGCATTGCCGTAGCTGCTGCCCTGGAGCTGCTTCTTCGTAGACCTGCTGTACCATACATAGATGATCTAGAAGATTCTTTGTGTAGGCGACTTGGTTCGGGGCTTTTAGGAACCTCTCCGATGGTGCTTGGTGCTTGCGTATACATAGCTGAAACAGGCCGTGTGGCTGAGCTGGCGCTCCTTTGGCTTAGCGGCATCATTGTGGGGTATTGAGGAAATTGGGCTTGCTGTTGATCTTGGTACGTGAAGGGGATTGACTGACGGTTGGCGTACCGTTGGGCGTTGAGATTAGACTTGTGGGCCTGTGGCTTTGGAGAAGCCGGTTTCTCGACTGGAGTCTGTCGCCGATCCGCAAACGCCGCGTCGGTCGAGAAGGCCTTCGGATTGAAATCTAAGGGCGACGATGTGCGAAGAAGGTCGGCGGAGGATAGACTGGGCGTAAGAGGTGAGTGAGCTCGTTCCGCCCCATTGTTCAGAGTGTCGGGTGGCTTGCCCGATAGCGGTGATACGGAGGCGCCACGATTGATGGAATCTCCTCTGGATGAAACGGGCGACAGGCTGTTGTCAGGGTTCGCTATCCGTAAGCCCCCCAGCGACTGGGAGAGGTTGAGGTCCGCCTCCATTGTAAGTCCTCTTTGCCCGACGATACTCCGTACAGCATCCCCGAGCTACAGCCCCGAACAATGTGATGCTAGGCGTCAATTGATAAGCTCGCGGTGGTACCTGACGACGTTGGGGTACCTGGAGGCACCTAGGCTGGTGTCATTTCAATGACAAGCTTCGCCTTGTTGGACGGTGGGACCAAATTAGATCTCGGCAGCGACGGCAGATCTTGCAGGTAGCCTCATTCTCTGCAGATCGTATAAGTTCCTTCTTCCCCTTTACAGCACCTACTGTCTCAGTCATACATGCGATTTGGTAGCCTGGCCGTGAAGATGATAGATTGCTGATACAACAGCTGTCGTGGCATCGTGGCTGACCCAACTCCGTTCTCGTGTTCGGTCTTGGCGATGTGTGGCATTGACCACACTTGCCTTTCAAGCCATTCTACCGAAAGGAATCCTGCTCACAAATACTTTGTCGGTCTGAAAAGGATTCAAAGGTGTACGGTAGGCAATGACAATGCCTCAACATGCCTCGGCTTCGTGCATGAAATTGCTGTTCATTATTCTAAAGAAGGACTACAAGGGCGGCCTTTGCAATAGCTTTACCAGCCTCTGGCCCTCTTTCCAGACTGATATCTTTTGTAGTACATAATGCATATGCGTTTCGTTGCAGGTCTTTCTAAGTATGACCCTTATCTCGAACATCGTTTTTCCACCTTTGACTCCCCGCGAGTGATAGCGGCGATCGCACCTTCCTTCTCAATATGGCTCTGCCAGCAGAAAAAGAGTTTTCATCTGCATAAATTTCTCAATATATACCCTTACTGCAATTATGCTTCGAGTTGGCCCAAGCAAGATCAGCCTTGAGGCTCGAGACCTGAAATGGCACCAGGCAAATATTCAGAGACGGTTGAGCAAGCGCGCCCACGAAGCTGGACTCTACACAAAAGCGACCGTGACAAATGACCCTGACCTCAATCTTCAGGCGGAACGTTCTTTGACCATACCTGCGAGAGCTCCTCTGACGCCTCCCACTCCCCCTACTGAAGTTGGAGAGGAAGATGACGACGAAGACATTATCTCCAAGAAGCCTATCCCTCCAGAGTCAAGCAAGTACTGGGAACAAATTGTAGCTGATGCTGGAGTCTCAGGCTCGGTCGAAAATATATCTGCTGAGCCCTCAATATCATTGAAGCACGCACGCCAATCGCGAACAGCTTCGTCAGCAACCACTTTGAGCAACTCACTCAATGATTCCGACCAGTATGAACTGTGGGTCTTCCTGGTATTCAGTAATATTAACGTCTCCGCAGGGAGAACCAAGTTACAGGCGAAAAGCCACACGAAGGACCATCAAGATCCTCCGGCTCTCTCAAATCTAGCCATTTTCATCAAGTGGATGCCGAGTCCCTGGCGAGTAAGCAAATACGCAAGTTTGCCAAGAGAAGTCTGTTTCCATCCTTTCGTCACCGCAAACCGTGGAATTTTGATGGCCCGTACGAAACCATGTCGCGAGCATCCGCGCCCATCCAAGATGAGACAGGTGAAGATTTGCATGATGACTTATACGGCGATTATCATGACCGTCGGACGTTCTCTACTAGCTGGCAAACATTCGAAAGTGAACAAAGTAATCGGAGTGCCCGTAGACAGATGTCCACGACTTCAGTTACCGGATCTCATCCTAGCTTGCCCTCCCTCTTCAGTCCTGGCTTGCTATCCCAACCACCTAGACGGCGACGAAATATGACGTATAGACCTCGTAGTCAGAGCTACTCTTACGTCGACTCTGCAGAATTTCAAGGTGTATTGCCTGACCAACACGATGGCCTTGCCGCCAGTCCGGCAGATTTGGAAGATAGGCCCTTGTTTGATGCTTCGCAACGACATGTTTCGTACAGCAACGGGGCTTCTCAAGCAGGTGGAGAACACGATCTAATGCGACCTCGATCCTCGTTGCTACAGAGCTCGCCTCATAGCAACTTACGTAGCCGCTCATCGAACCAATCCCTCAATTATACTGTCCACCAAGCCGTCCGAATCACCAGCCATCCCTCCCTCAGGAGTCTTCAAAGCCAAACGTCCCTTCAAAGCCTTGTTCGGGTGCAAACCCTACCCCGCTTGGCATCTAATCATTCATCACCCTACAACCCTTTCGCCGCCAATCCCCTTTTATTAGTGAGTACAGGTCACCCTCCCCTGCCAATCCCACCGCCCTTCTCGAGCACACCACGCAGTAATTCATCCAACCTCTCCCCTGCAGCCGAACCTTTTCTCCCCCGATACAGAATTCCTAGCACGCCATCATCGAGATCCATAAGCAGCACTTACTCTCCATTCACTCAAACCCCACTGACCCAGAACCCTCACACACTTCACTCTAGCAACAACATCGCAGTATACAACGACAGCCTACCAGCTCTATCTCAGCCACAAACACCGGCTGATCTATCTTCCGCACCTAGGGGACTCGCGCAGAGGAACCCATTCAATAGCGCGCCAGTCCCGCAGCTGAGGAGGGTGAGGTCGGGTTGGGGCACACCTTCGAGGACGATCGGGCGTGGACAGGGAGAAGTGATGGAGGGGCCAATGGGAGGTGAAAGAGGGGGTGGCGAAATGAGAGCAGCAAGGGCGGGAAGGAATCAGGAGGCGGAGAATGAAGGGCGGGTATCTTTTGAGGAGCGTGTGTGGAGGAGAAGGAGGGACGAGGGGATTGGGATGGGGGTGGAGGAACGGGAGAGAGCGAGGAGGGGGTTGTGAGTGAGAGATCGTCGTTGCCTGAGGTTTGTGTGGTTTCAGAGATTGGGTTGGGCTTGTCGCCGGTCTTGGAAGGGAATTATCTAGGTTCAAGAGGTGACTGGAACAAGGGGGGATTGGAAGTGAATAGGAGAATGCGATGGATGGGTGCAAAACGATCTTGTACGATTAGTTCACAGTCTCAGTAAGCGTTTTCGAGAGGGTAAATTGATCGAAAAAGCCGATGAAGAATCATAGCAGTGGCAGTTGGTGGTGCGAAGATGCAACAGTCTATTACTTCCGCGGCCACTAGTATCTATATGAGTACAAGCAAAGACAGCAATAGTGTACATACAGACAGTGAAGCATATCTATATTGGCGATCTACGCCACAACTTCAAGTTCTGCAGCAACAATTCGCTCCACAAAATCCACGTCAGCATCATCAAGGAGAACAGTCCAGTCTCTAGTCTTTCCACAAGACCTCATGTCATGATCCCACCTTCTCTCTTCAAGCATGTCCATTCATCGTCGGCCCCTCTGCCTTGAACGGCACCTCCTTATTTCTGATCCCCTGCCTACTTTTGAAATACTGCGCCCCATCCACCAACCTACGCTCATGATTGACTCTCCCGTTGACAAAGTCCGGATAATTGAGCGTCAGCTCCGCCGCTCCATTCACAATGCTATCCGCAGCTTCCACGCCCAGCATGAAGCTGTGATCCTGGTTGCCGACCTCGTAACGCCAGCTGCCGAAGCGGCCGCGGGAGTAGATGTCTTTTTCCTGAAGCTTAGGCAGGAGCTGCTTCAGCACACCTTCGCGCTCGAGGGAGGGCGTGGGATAGCCGTGATCGAAGCGACGGTGGTAGGTGGAGACGATTTCGTCGGTGGGTTGGAGCATGGAGGTGTTGATGAGGCCTTGGATGCTGTCTTTGAGGAGGGTAGAGTTGTTGACGTGCTTCATTGAGGACTCGGAGACTTCAAGCATGATGCTCCAGTACGGGCCTTCTTCAGGGGAGTTGTTGGAGGGCTTATCGCCATTGGCAAGCTGGAGGGTGGGGAGTTTGACGGAGTCGGCGGGTTGATTGTTGGGGGAGTAGTTGGAGAAGATTGTGGCGCGGTAGAAGGGGCAGTCGTCGTTGGGGAAGTAGAGCCAGCATTTGTCGCCAATGCGCTCAGGACGCGCACCGCGAACCCCGACACCGATTACGTGGGTAGAGCTGTAGAAGAGGTCTTTGCTCAGGTTTATAAGGGATGTGTCGCCGATTTTCTCGACCAAGGCGTCGACCGCCATTGTGTTCACAAGCTTGTCATATTGGATCGTCTTGCCGTCCTCTAGTGTGACGATCTTCTCGTCTGCGTTGACTGATTTGACGGTGCCTGGTTTTCCAAACATAGTGTTCTCCTTCGGCAATGTCTTAGCGACAGCGATCCAGATGGCGCCAGTCCCCCCGTGGGCTGGGAAACGGAATGTCGCATTGGGGCCCCAATTGCCTGCTGTCTTCTGTAATATGACATTTTTAGTCACACTTTTCAGGTCTGGGGCAGCGACGCGTTCCCCAAGCCATTGACATTGCATCTGTTCTGAATAAGCTCATCTTCTTGTACGATCGTGGGGGTCTCATCACCTTCTTTGGTGGCACAGCCCAGACTTTGAAGTTGTAAGGTCGCATGAAGCGGTCTGCAATGCCCACGCCCATCATTCGTAAGATCCATTCATCAAAATCTTTTGGCTTGCTACTGTTCGTACGAGCTTCTAGCGCGGCGTCGATCATTCCATCCATACATGCGACTTGCTCGTCTTTGGGTAACATTGAGATATTGTTCTGGAAAGGATAAGGGACCCATAGTCCTTTGAATCGGACATACGAAATGCGTTGATGTGTGTACCAATCGTCCTTTTCAGGTAATGCCTCATTTATACAGTCGTCAAAGTACTTGTAGTGCGAGAAGATGACATGGCCTCCAACATCGTACAACTGGAATCACAATGAGACTCCGCCGCATCCTTTCTCAAAAGCTTGCACTCACAAAGCCTTCTGGGGTGATATCCGTTGATGCTAGACCTCCTGGTGTCTCATTTGAGTCGACGATCAACCATGATGGTCCACCCTGCGTGCATGTCTTAGCTAATGACCTTCGCGATAGCGCAACAACCATGTGAAGGACTGTCATAGGACATCAAGAACACAGGCTGCGTACAATTTGATTGAGTCTTTTAGCTGCCCCCAAGCCTGTAGGACCTGCACCAATGACAAGAACATCTACGTGACTTTCAAAGTCAGGACACGCAGTATGTTCGGAGAGGAATATACTCACATATCAGGCTTGCCCATGTTGTAACTCTGCAAAAGGGAAGGACTGATATGACACAATCAATATGCTATCGCACTGGCACAGCTATTACGATAGTGAGGTATGGATTAGAAGCCTGAGGGCATACCAGCTTGTTGTCGCTGAAGGCTGAGATGTGGCACGAAGCTCTCAAATTTTGATATTTACGAATCCTTAGCGCATTGGCACGGGAGCTTTCCTCAATTGGTCTAGGGACATCTCGGGACTTGTTACGATCGAGACCCCCTAGAAAAGCAACTGCTTTGACTCGCCTCAACTGGAACACACTGGATTGAACCAGCCATTTGAAGCTGGAGAAGTCGTACCGTGGACTTTGCAGTAGCTGAGTGTACAAGTCTGCTTTATTCTGCAGCTTAACGGTGCCTATGTCCATTCAGGCGCCCGTTCACGTACATGATCGAAGCTAAATCCACTGGCTTGAGCGGAACCGCGGCGCTTCCGGTGGATTGCGTCACAAGATGCTCTTGCTACAACAATGCGATACGTAGGTAGCGACCATTTACTTTCTGCGAGGCATCAAAGGTTCGGATTGTGTTCGAAGACACTGTGACCCGCCACTATGCCAAGCGTCGCGTTTCTGATGGCGAACTATGGCCACGATCCAACGGGTGAGCGAGATATCTGTGTATAGCCTACGGTTTGAACTCACTGTAGAGTTTCAAAGAGACGGCCATTCCTTATCATGAATTCAAAACCGCCGGCTTCGACGTTGATTTTGTCACTGAGAAGGGAAACAGTCCAGATTGCGACTCGAAAATGCTGACAGGATGGACGCAAAAGATTCTTGTACGCCTTTCTGCTGAGCGTTTCCTGCGTCGAATTTGCTTTCCTCGTGTCTCATGGTTTAATTTCAGGGAGCTCCCAAAGAGGCTTGTGATCTTTACGCTCAAATGAAAAAAGAGATGGAGTCTATGAGCATCCTATCGTGGTCTGATGACAGCTTCTCCTTGCTACCATATGACCTCGTCTTTCTGCCCGGCGGTCACGAAAAGGGTGTCGTACAAGTCATCAATTCTCCAACCGTCCACAAGTTGATCGCAGACTACTTTCCCCAAACCAAGAAACCATCCAAGAAGTGCTGTGCTGCGATATGTCACGGCGTCATGGTACTATCAGAGTCATCTTTGTCCAGTGGCAAGAGCGTCATACACGATGTGACCACTACAGCTCTGCCTGGCACAATGGAACAATCGATATTCTGGGCGACGAGAATGTTCCTCGGTGATTATTACAAGACTTACGGCGCTGGCTCGGAGAGCGTAGAGAGAAGCGTTTAGTCAACTCTCCATTACGGATCGATATCTCCAAGCTGATAGTGTGAACAGGTGACAAAGCGGCTAGATAGCCCAAAGCAATTCCACAACAGTTTAGGAATGAAGCCGTAAGATCTCAGTGTCTAGTCAAATCAGCACCGTACTAATGTTCATAGTTTCATCCGCGAAGATGAAGACTACAATTACATCAGTGGACGTTTCCCTCCTGATGCCAAGCTATTGGCTGAAAAGACGATTGCAATGGTAAAGAGCGTTACAGCGGCCTAGTAGATTTCGCTCAGAGGATGTAACTTTGAATGTATTGGGTAATCCAACGATCTCTCTTCGACGTTACGTATGTCTCTTGTCCATTCATATCATTTGTCACCTCTCGCTCTTTGGTCAATATTATCTCCATGATTTTTTCAAAATTCAGCATTCAAGCCCAAGCCTGCCGTTACTGCCAAGCAGACCAGCAGCATGGTTGGCCTAAATTGCTATGTCATCAAGTCCGTAAGCAAGCTTGTCGACCTTAAGTTCAACGCATGCGTCAATCCCCTGGGCACAAGAATCATGTCAACGTTAAGGGCGGCCTGACACCAGGCCAAATCTTGGCAAATCTCGGATCAACTGCCGGCCTAGCGCAAGATTGAGGCCATACCTTCATGAGTCTAGCTCAGGGGCGAATTTCTAGATTTTATGCATCTAAGCGCCGACCCCAGGAATAAGCAGCATGCACACCATGCGAGGGTTGCTGCTCGAATTCACCTCTGACCTCCAAGTAAATCATGCGATTGGCTCCTTCCCCACCAGCCTCAGGCCTCCATATCAACGTCCCATCCCCGCCACAGCCAAGAGGGGAAATGAAAGGCACCCCATCAATAAGATTATAATTAGACGCCTGCACCTGCATACCGCGCAGTGAAAAGCTTCGTCCTTTCCTATTCTGATCTCACGGTTCCCTAAGGGAAAGTCAAAGCTACTGAGGCAGTCATCGAGAACCCACATGGCAACTTCCAACTATTGTATATTTACCACTCGCATGCCCCCATCTCTCTCCATACTTCTATCCCGTCATTCTTACCACTGCTCATCCATACATCATTCTTAGCTCTGCTCAACTGCATCATTCTGAACTCTAGTCATCCACATCATTCTTAACGCTGCTCAACTGCATCATTCTTACCTCAACCACATATACTCCAACCTCAACTCACAATGCGCACCACATCCCTCCTCCCCCTCCTCCTCCCCTTCCTCCCCCTTCTCACAACCGCTCAAGACACCACCCTCCCAGCAAAAGCTCAATCCGCCCTACTGGACTACTACTCCTCCATCGTAACAGAACCCGCCTACAGCTCCGCCGTGCAAGCCGTCGTAACCGCTTTGCCCGAGTCCGACATCGACAGCGTCATCGCCTCGCCAACAGAATACTTTCTATCCTTGGCAACTGGTAAGTGTTTCCCCCTCCCCCACCCCCTCCGCGCCCCCCTCCGCAGGCCCTCTATTTGAAGACCGCACACATTTCCCCGATGATAGGAATGCTGCACTGGACTAACAGGATTGGTCTATCGCAGCAACCGCACCGCCGGCTTGGTTCACAGCCCTACCGACGACATATCAGCAATATTTCAGCAGCGTGGAAGCGAAACAATTGGGCATCGTGAGTTCAGCGACGGCATCGGAGGGCGCGGGCGCAAGGCAGACGGCTGCGCCGATGGTGAAGAAGGTGGTGGGTGCCGCCGGTGTGATTGTCGGGGCTGGCGTCGCGCTGTTGTGATTGAGTACGAGAGATAAGGGGGACGTAGAAGGAGACGGAACGGATGGAGGAGCTTCTACTTCTTGTAAATCGAAATTCGTGAAAAAGGCTTGAAGAGTATTGTAACAGAATTATTGCAAGGACGGAAAGGGATGGATGCAGTGTTAGAGCGATGATCGCTGTAGCTCCAGGTGTTCCCCCTGGACTTTGAAATCTATTAGCAGGCATTATCTGATTAAGACATGTACGAAGTACGCAATCGGATCTAACTCCAACCTATGCTTCATCCGACCACCTGACCTTTCCTCCGCAAATGGTGTAAAGAGGTGTCATAACGATCCTCTGTCGCTGCGAACGAGTCTTAAACGCTTCCCCAACATTCATAGTAATACAGCATACATTCATATCGTCTTTCCCAGCCAATCACTGGTCTGGAGTTTTGCTCTTCGTATGCTCCTTCACCACGCTGGTAACATAAGTTGTGTCATAGCCAACAGAAGGCGCTATGCTGGCCACCATGATGAATATGATACAGAGAGATGAGGCAAAGACAATCAATTTCTTCATGACAGGGCGTCGCTGTCCATATTCTCCCCACCACCTCTGGACGTCAGAAAGCTGAGCCTTGAGTGTCGCGGCGCCAAGCTTGTAGTAGACCAGTCCGCAGAGGGCGATGCTGTAGCCGAAGCCTTGAAGAAGGGTGATTGGGGTACCCCAGATAGCGACAGAGGCGCCGACGAGGAGGATGTCCTTAAGGACACCGCAGAGAGTCATAACTAGGCCGGATGTTCGACCAATCTGTAGCCGTAAGCTAACGTCTCAATGAAGAATAAAACCAAGGAAAGGCTTACCAAAAAGACAACGGAAACATTTAGTGCGAATGCTACGAGAGCATTGCTGAGTAATATCCACAGACCGACATTGTACACTTCAGACAATTGAATCCGGGGCAGCTCAAATACGAGAGCGACACAGAAATTCATGACAGCACAGATAGGTGCGTAATAGTACAATGACACCAGGGGGTCCATCTTGTACTCTGCGCCGTTGAGAAGGCGATCCACCATGACCAATCGGATGGCTTCGAAGATGATCCCGCCAATTTGGAAGAGGACTCCGACGAGGACGAATTGAAGCTCACCAAACGAAGCCACGATCACGCCAACAACGATGACTGAAACGTTGAGGAGGATTCTCATGTCGGGCTTTTGTATGCCAATTGACCAGCCGGCCAAAAGGACTGCCACCGGTGTGCATGCCTATAGTAGAATCGGTAAGCCAATTTCTTTGGATGCATCCTGCTTGAAAAAACCCACCTTTAACATCTGGATGAACGCAACGCTGAGATACAAGTACGTGACGTTACCGCAGATCAGGGACAGACTGAAGGCGGCGCCGATTGGGGCGATAGCCCGAACGTAGACTCGTCCGGTCATTTTCACTGTTTTTCGCCCATCGAGCAATTTCGTAGTGCGGGCCATTACCTGCGTCATCAAGGTCGCAAAGACGAGATGCCAACATGTGAGGGTGATTGCTATGAGATGTGTCAATATCCCTATTGCAAAGCGATACTTTTGGGCTAGACAAACGGTAGTCTGTAGGATGTAGGGTCAGCAGAGGACATGTCGGTCTAGCACTGTGGGGACTCACGAAATTTGGCAGTATCCAGGATCCATTTGTTGAATATGATGACGCTTGAGCTCAGAGATATCCATAATCTGTGAAAGCGATTGATCAGCACCTGTCTGCTCTCTTTTGCGACCTCTCGGGATGGTATTCTCCTTCTTCTTTCATGGGAGTCTTACATCACAAAGAATGCCGGATGTATCTTATTTGCAGGCGACTCTTGTATTTTCTTCTCCACCTGAGGGTTCACCGTAGGTAGGACAGGCATTGTAGGCGAGGATGGGCCTGATCTGTCGTATTCTGCGGAAAGCCGCTCCTTCTTCTCCGGATCTGCCATTTTGACTTTGGAGATCTGAGACTCGAAGAAGCGTTGAAGCTGGAAGGGCCTCGATTGAGGTCCGTCGATTGCGCGAAACGTGGTAGCAAACGTCAGGGGCGAAGAGATTTATGTAGGGGCAAATCTCAGCATTAGGACAAGTAGGTAGAGCGATGTGTAGCGCTGAAAAGGGCAGAATGTTGCTCATGCAATGGAAAGGGAATTGTTGTTGAGGCAGGCGCAGCCGTGCTTTAGATGAAACGTATCTCGAGCACGTTGGAGATTTCACGCCGCCAAGAACCACGCCGCGGGGGCTGGGCAAATTCGGAATTGGCTCAACTCAACATTCCTATGTAGCCAACTGATATTGCAGCTTGGGTACGATCATGCTGCAACATGAGCAATATGAATTTCTTATTGTACAAGGTTTTCCAAATCCCCTTCAAGGACCGTCTTGGGTGTCATGTATACAATGCTCTCGCCATACAAAGTTCTTTGATCCAGACTCATATGGACATCTGACAGGGTTTGCGTTTTCAAAGAAGGGATCAAGCAGCACACTCAGCTCGTGCTCCCTGGCCTGCTCACGGTGATGTTCTTGCTTGATAGTTGCTCGACAACGACTCCTGCCGGAAGGGGACCTCTCCCATCACATTCATACGGGTTATCTCCCGCCGTTAGGCTCACCATGCAGTAATCACACCCGATCCGCCGACAGAATGCATGCCCGGCGCTGTTAGTACTGGGGCACGAGATCTTCCCACAGATTGGGACAGATGAAAGGCTGTGAACTGCGTCCAGATACGCGTTCGCGAATGATGTACTTCCTTCGGGATTTTCGGGTTTCGATGGTTGAAGATCAACGAGAGTACTGTTGATGGCTTGGAAGGGTGGTCGAGCAAAGCATTGCTTCAAGCTCATTGTGACAAGTGCTAGAAGTAGGAGGTAACAGTTCATGGTGATGAATGTTGTTTTGTTTTCGTTTGAAAGGGGATGCGGTCATGTGCTTGTTCAGCAAACCCCGGACGATGCATTTTATATCCTTGATTCAAGACTACTCCTTCTGTCCAATCGTCCGTGCTCTGTCGTCCTTCCATCATGTTCACGAAGTGGTGGGGCCGTTGCTGAGAAACTTCTTCACGCTTGCAGAAAGTTCCATAACGCGCTCGCTCCGTGTGAAGGCTGATCCAAGACCGTTGTTGGTTGTTGGCAACCGATGCACCGTTAATCATATCGTGGTCCCACCAGGATCCTGCCATGAAAAGCATTGAAGGTTGAGGATCCTTGGGGTGCTTAACGATTGGTATAGCGAGGTTCGCGAGTGTCTAGGGGAAAGACTGTTCTTTATACATGCAGTTGGTTCTCCAGCCTTGAATCAATATCTGAGCGCGGTCGTCCATGGGTGGCCTTGACTGTTGTAACCGTCGAGTATTTTTAGCGGCCGAAACGGTCCGACCGTTGTGATTCCAGGCTTCGAAGTTCGCTGGTGGAGTATCTGATGGGGTCTTTGAGAAAAGCACATCCTGGTTGTGGGATACGACTAGTCGCGTAGTGCGCGAATCATGCAAGTCATAATGTCAATGCGAACGGACCGAGCGACCAAGGGTCTCCGGACTACTGAACGACGGGGAAACACCTGGACGACGTTCGGCAGGAGTCATCTCGGTGATGTCTGTGGGTAACGGAGTTCTGTCTTCAGTAAAGGCCTAGACGATGTAATCAGTAGGAGCCCGCTGAAATTTCTGACAAAATAATCATCAAGCCTTGCAGAAGTTTGGGGTAGTTATATTAGCTCATCATGCGGCCACACGAAGTTTTCTATCATAGTGCTCGTCTCTTAGTAAATGGTTTGCCAATGGCAAAATCTCGTTCGTCATGTTGCTCTTTTTGCGTAAGCCTTCCCTTGTAAAGGCACTGCCCGAACTCCGCGTCAGCCTCTGTCTTCGTATCAGCTGATAAGAAGAGCGCAGAAACAAGCCATGGGTATCTCGAAAGCCAACCAGCAATGCCATAAGAAAAAGCAGTCAAGTACGCCCTTTTGTTCACGTATTATCCTTTTCCCCAATCAAAGCCATCCCAAAGGCATTAACCAACCTCTGCTTTCCCTCTTCCTCTCCAAACACCCCTTTGCCATCCCCAAACACTTCATCGTCGACCCCTTTGCACACCTCCTGCCAGCTCATCCATGTGGCTTGATCTGTCCAAACTCCACCTCGGCCACCTCTCAGGTCCCACCAATGTTTGCCGCCCGTAGCAGCTGCCTCCGCTGCTTCAAGCGTTTGTGTAGAACGAATGAAACGCCTTAGCAAAGCACGAGCGTAGGGATGATACCACATTTTTGGCCACCAAGACTCCAACAATGACTTGTCGCCATTGATATGTAAAAGACCCGGAATCGTAGCAGCATATGTGTTGGTGGCGAGTGGCATGCTGCGCCATGACGGCTCGAAGCCGCCGACCTCTTGATCTGGTAGATTGTCTAGATTCGCCGAGTACGGGAGGAGAAATGTCTTACGACCTGGGTCAGACTCACCCGTTCGATTGCCAGGGCTCGCATAGCTGAGCGGTGCATTCGCTGATTGAAGGTCTTTTGGCAGGAATAGAGGCAGGCTGCTGTGTTGATGATTTGCAGAGAGTAGCTCAGAAGAAGAGGACGAATTATAGTAGATGAATTCGATGTCCGCTGCTGAGTGGGTCATGGTCTGAAAGAGACGGGACTCATAGTCAAGCCCAATGCCAAACTCATAACGCTGACCCGGTACTGCCGTTAAGTTTTTGATCGTAATATTGGCGGACAATGGGGATTCCGAAGGGTATAACTTATCAGATATCCATTCGAGCCAGCTCTCACCAGTAGTTTGAGCTTCCTGACGAAGGGTTTCACGCTGAAATTCTTGCTCTCCAAAGACTTCGGCGAAGACGAATTGATCACCCAAATCGCCTTCGCCCTTCTCAACTTTGGTAAGAGCAGCCTCGTAGACATCACGAACATTCTTTACAGGTCCGATCACGTTACCAGAGTTTAGATATCGTGGGCGGTTGTGGAACGCTTTTGGGTCCCTGTCGGTATCTGGCCCATAGACGTCTTCCGGCAAAGTGGAGTATGGTACGGCGACACATGCTGGATCAACTTTAGGGTTGGGCCAACAAATCTTGTCTGCAGAAAAAATTACGCTCTGCGTGTATTTCGGTACCCTCTCCGCCACGTTGTCGCCGTTTTCGTCCTTACTGATCATCCCGTAAATGTCTTTTAGTCGTTGATTCATTTCTTCAATCAATTCGCGATATCTCTCGATTATGACCTGCATCGGAAGTTGGAACCACACATCATAACCGTCAACAATCATGACCAGGTCATTATCCTTGATTTTCGCCCTGTCATTCAAATAATTATACACCCCCTTGATCTTTGCCGTGTGACTAGTGGCTTCTTTGAATATTGCACCCTCTTCTGAATGCTTGCCCCAATTGATCAGTGTAGGTGCAGGATAGCCAATCACGAAGGCGGAAAGTATAGTCTTGCAAAATTCGGGATTCGATTCGGATACAGGGATCAGGAGGTGAACAGAGCTATGCTTTTGCGATTCATTGATGACACTTTCATCGATAGGTCGATGTAGAAGAGGAAACTCGGTAGTGTCAGATATTTTAGAATGTATCGGTTGGTGGAATGGCGAAGTGAGATTCGTATTCGTCAGTCGGGCCAACGACGGGGTCTGCAAATGTCAATGGGAACCTCTCCTCGTGCCTTATGAAGTGCTTACTATGTCGATACCTGAGCTTCTCCATCCCCAGAGTAGCAATATGACACAAAGTGAAGCTCCCAAGACGGCAGCCTTGCCTCGCCGTGTTTTGGTTCGTCGCATAAACATAGGTTGTGGTCGCCTGCCGGGCTCGGCAATGGTGTCGAATGCATCATAGTTCAAGGATGGTCGAGAGAAGTGCTGAGATGGCATTTCTCTAATGACGCGGAGTTTACTATCGCTCCTTCTCGCCGTCCCTTAGCAAGTAACAGTCGGGAGCAGATGCCTTTTTACTTGCTCCGCGTCACGTTCGAAATGAGTATTCTTCAGACTCGCAGTTTCGCATGCAATCATGCGCATCACCTACGCACGAAGCAGCTTGGTGATGCGCAACATCAGCCCACGCGTCAAAGGAATGCCGTTGAAAGCTCGTAGCTCTACGTCATCTAGATCACCGGATGCTGGCGGAATACAAGAAAGCGTCGGAATTGAGGGTGGTGGAAGGAAAGAACTGAGAACGCTTGCTAATGCATAAAAGAATGTGACGGAGAAGAAGCGAGCGAGCGTCGATAACGAATGACTCTGGAACGTTGCTGACAAAAGCACAAGTATGGGAATTGAGTGCCCTTGCTTTCAAAAATCCAATGCAGCTAGCGTATGTCCACATCGGTTTCTCGGAATTCGGAGTTACCGGCGGACGTAACGATAAAAGCTTGATCTATTCTTGGCGGTCGTAACTGGGAGATGGAATGCCTCATCCGTGACCAAAGGCATGCATTCCACAAGAAGTAAAGATGTTTCAATTCGATCATATACTACTATACTACAGGATCATCTATTCATACACTCATCAACCCTCCAGCTCATCCGAAGAGCAATGCCCTGACTTCAATACTTTCCCTTGGCTTACTCCCAGCAGTGCTCCTAGGGTCGACGAAAGCCGTATGAGGTACTCTGGCATGATTGCCATGGCTATCGTAACACTGCAGTAGAATCCTCTCGTTATTGTCAATCCCACTCCAGTAATGCCATCTTTGGCCTTCCGTGGGTTTCACGGCAGCAGTCTCCCCAGTACGGTCAGGATAGCGATGTTCAATCCCAACAAGCGCATCGTCTGGGATTGATGTCGAGTCGGCAAATGCCAGGGGTGAAGACTCGACGGCCCCATTGATGGGTCGCCACACATTGATCAGTCGTACTCTGCCCTTCAAAAGCTCCTCCGCCTCGTTGGGTAGGTGAAATCGAACCCTAGCCTCAGCAGACTTCGTAGTTTGGTCGATATGGACCTTTGTCACAGGTGCGCGCTTTGCGTTCGGATCAGCGCGACGTACAGTGTGATCGAATATCAAGATTCGCTTTGATCCAGGGGCATTATCGAGTAGCAGCTTCTCAACTTCTGGGTAGTATTTCGCCTGTATAGAGGCGTCATCTTGAAAGTCGTGCTCAGCGCTTTCCGGAACATCCTTCAAAGCTGCGAACGCATTCACGTCGATGTGAAAGTCGGTCTCACGTCCTCGGACATCATTTATTGTGACATCCACAAACGTATCACTGTAATTACGCGGCAGTTGCCCCTCGGGTGGCGCTTCGACGTAATTATAGGGTCTTGATCCGTCGGCAGGGGGCTGATAGAAATTCAGTGTGCTCGTCACAGGGCCCCTAGGAATTGCAGAGGTTGCGATGACTTTCGTTGGGTGTGGAGTAGTTTGCGTCTGCGTTTGTGTAGTCATGATTGCTATAGTTTTTGGGAAGCTTGACGATGAAGGTGCGGACTGTATATCAGTAGCAACGATACTAAACAACTATATCGTAGATCGAAGCTGATGCTTTGATAATGGGACGAAGCAGACAGGCCTTTTTTATATGGTTACCTGCTCATTCGACAATTGATAATCCGAAAACCGTTTTGTCATCTAGCTCGCACGTCCTTTAGCCCTGGACCAAATGCCGAGGCGGGAATAACGTTGTGGCACCGCGCTTTGATTTCGTAATCAAGGATAAACGATTTTGGCAAAGAATGCAAGCACGCAGAGCAACGCTCGGATTCTTTTGATAATGAATTTTCAGCATAGCATGCTTACGCCAGCACTTGGTTAAGCATCAGGAGCTGATCTATATCAACCTCTGCTGTTCAATCACCTATTTCCATTTGGACGACAGAACATGTATCAATCATTCCGGAAAAGCACACTGATGCTCTCGCCATGATGCACGCGACGAATCGCCTGTCATTTGTCAGCCAGTCACTTTTCATCAAAAGGCAGAGCACATACCTCAGCAAATACATGACCCACGTCAAGCACCTCCAATTTAGGGCACGACAATTCATGCTCCTCCTGAGGTACACTATTCGTGACAATGACCTTGTCAAGGGCGCTTGCGTTGATTCGTTCGATTGCATCCCCGCTTAAGACTCCATGCGTAATGAGAGCGTAAACCTCTTTGGCGCCCTCTTTTTTCAGGAGCTTTGCAGCTCGAGTGATGGTATTAGATGTATCTGCAAGGTCGTCGATAAGAATGACAGTGCGATTCACGACATCGCCGACTAAAAGCATTGTCGCATTTTGCCGGTCTGTAATTTTTGTGGGTCGTCGTTCCTGGTTATGATATGTCAGTCACAGCCACCTCCAACTTCAAAAATGCCACTTACTCTGTGAATGAGTGCAAATGGCATGCCTAAGCCATCCGCTATCGCCGTCGCTCTTTTCGCTCCTCCAGCATCTGGGCTGACAACGACAGCTTGCTGGTAATTTGGTATATTCTGTTGTATGTATCTTTTCAATATTGGTCGACTATGGAGATTATCGACTGGAATATCGAAAAACCCTTGGTATTGTGGATCATGCAAGTCCATGGTGATGACATGGTCTGCACCAGCGCAAGTGAGGAGGTTTGCGACAAGAGTCCCAGACTGAGCCACCCATTGCTTGTAACCGGGCCTTGGTTGAAATGGTGTTTCCTTTGACGCCGACGATGAGTCAGACTTAGTAGATTCGCCGGTGTCACTCCTCGTTGGCTGTCTCAAGGTGGAAGCGCGCTTTAGGTGTTCAGGCCCGTTGTGTTGGGGCTCTACGTCGTCAAGATGCGTCTTAGACAAGGCTTTATTCAGTCCACTGACGCCGTTCGAAATTGGGTTTGGGGCGTTGCACTCGAATGGGGGCTTGTTGTATGCGTTTGATGTTTTTGAGAGAGGGGCGCCCGCTTTCTTGTAGGGTATATCGCTTTGCCTTGAATAGGGAAACAGAGGGAGGACAGCTGTCTAATGTATCATAAGCATCGGTCAAAAATGGAAAGGGTAGACTCCGCAACGTACCACCTTCCTTGCGCTTGCCGTCTTGCATGCGGATATTGTGACGAGGAGCTCCATGAGGTTGTCATTGACAGCACCTGAGCCAGTCTGCAGGACATAGACATCCTTATTTCTGACGCTTTCTTTGATCTCAACTCTGGTCTCTGCTTGAAGTGAGCTCCAGGCTTCATTGGTGTTTTGTAGCATCACTGACCGCCAACAGAGAATTTGGACAAGAGGCAGCTCCCAGACGGTATGCCGAGATGACTACACACTAGCTGAGAGAATGAGGGATGACTCGATCCCCCAAAGACGACGATATTTCGCACCATTGCGCTAGGATTGTAATCCAAAGAGGTAGAGGGTTGCGAGAGTCTGACGATAGCTTTGACGTGGCCCTCAAAGGAATTGGTATAGGAGGACTGTGTCACACATGTAACATGAGATGGAATATGCTGCTACCAGCTGAACAATTAATAGTCTTTAGCCGTGAGTCAAGCATAATTCCTCGAATTCAACTGCTTGCACCTGTGTGCGATAATTTACACAGAACAAGCCTTCAAAGTTTTTATCCCACTCCCCCACGTCACACTGGCCTAGCCCCACGCCCTGCCGCAGGTCTTTCCCCTGGAACTGCTTTTCACTTCGCAGAAACCATGCTCGAACAAAGGAACGTACAGCGAACTCCTGAAGCCAGTGTATGCTTACGTGTCGTCGATGCTAAGTGGATTACTCATGAATAATTTGTGTTCGAACTAATTGCTCCTTGACCCTCCCTCAGCATTGGAATTACTGCCTTCGCGTTGTTTCAATTGCATGTCGCTCTCTGCGGCCCAATACCCAGTGTAACCATCCAAGTACAATTGTTGCCGTCGACTTCGGCTCAGTCTTTCTTCCCTTGATTTCTCCACATTGAAGGCGATTGGAGCATTGATTGCATCAGGTGCTTCATGGCGGGGTTTGAGCAACAGCTTCCACTCTGTGAGCCTTACTGAGTCCCACATGACATAAGCTCGCTGTCGAAAGTACCAGTTCGATTTCAAAAAATAGGAATTATTTGAGAAGGAACAGTTGGCCCAAGCCCAAGCTGCGCGTGGACCAATATCTGGATCAGGACTAAAGGGCTGCTGAAGCTCAAGCGCCTCTTTCGAGGACTGATTATTGGCATGAATCAGACCTGTGTACAGAAAATGGCTGTCACAAGGAGGGTATTCAGTCAGGTGTTCGAACCGTTCGTCGTAAGTCTCCGTACATATAAAATCATGTATTTTCTCAAGCCCCCAAGTCAGGACGCCCTCCTTGAACCAGTTGTCAGGTACTGCATAATCATTAGTGTATCCGATCTTGACATCTGAATATTCGATATTATGGCTTGCGACGTCATTGAATGGTTCTGAGATTCGTTCGATGAGATAGTCTCGAACGCATCCAAGCTGTTCATTCTCGTACGCGGCGAATTTGTTGAAGAACATGACACTCCGCTCATTGACGTTGAGCCGCTCCGGAAGATCGCCATCTCGTAAACCTCGAAAGCCGAAAAGGTTGCAGTAGAGCTCAAATCTCCAGAATGTACGCTCTAACCTGATGCTTTCCCACATGGTTGGTTCCTTCGGCAGGATATCCTCATCACGCGTGGAAGGGTCCTCCGATAAGGCAGACAGCGCAAAATCAAGGACAAAAAACTGGATTTGCTTTCGAAGCCGCTGTATGGAAAAGAAGTTCGACAGTGTCCATTTGGTGGTGTGAATGAGAGGGTTGCCAGAGAAGTATTTTCTTAGTATTTCTAGTCTCACATCTCGGCTCCATTTTTTGGTTTGCATCGTCAGCGCGACTGCCAGCACATCATGAAGAACATCCGGATTGGTTTGATTTTGAAATGTGGCTTTGACTATGTGACTCTCAGAGCCGATGAACGCCAGGTAGGTTGCGCGGTTCGTCAAAGCAAGCGACCGTACGTCCGATGCATCATCAAATTGCCTAGAGATGAGAACTTTGAGCTCGACGGGTAGTGAACCAAGACTGGCATATTCCATCACTGTCTCGCGTTGATCGCTATTAAAGAGAATATGTTTTCGTAATAGCTCTGAGAGATATGAAGGTTGGAAAGGATTAAAAGAAGTAAGTGATAGGACAAAGGTTGGAAGGTCAGGTCCCGTCACTTAACACAAATATCAAGGTTTCGGTCTAGTCTTTTCTTGGCATGTTGATGCGTACCTGGTGGTATTTTAGCCACCAGCTACAAATCGCAATACCTCCTACTTCAATGGATGGAAAAGAATTTAATGATTGTACAATACTTTCTTCCGCTCTGCATAGTACGATTCCGTGTTCTGTTCTACTCGAAGACGCCACCGAAGATGAGAGAGATTCCATTGCCTAGCTTACTATCGTCGTTCAATGCTTTATTTCTTTAGAGCAATGCTGTTGTCGTACAGATCTGTGAAGTACATCTGAAACATTGTGTGGCGTACCACCATATGAATGAAATCAATGATATCCTCACTTCGCCTCCTTTCAATGCGCACTTCCACAATCTGTTCTGCTTGCAACTCTTCAATAACCCACAGAGCAATCACACTTGTGACAGCTGAATCCATTCAATCTCAAATCTATTCTCTATTTCAAGCCCTTTCGACTATCTGAGTCGAGTCTGACGCTGTTGTTTCTTTGAGAATAATTGCACGCAAGGCCTTGTGTATCAAGATGCCACCTTCAGCTCCCTACACTAGTGCATATGGACAGCCTACGAACAGAAAGGGTCATCCACTGACACCTGTGGAGATGACAGGCGAGGATGAAAAAAGGATAAATGCCGCCCGGCGGACAATCAACCCCATGTATGAGTCGTCGGGTCTAAAGGCGTCCGTACCTTACAGAAACTCATGTTGAAACAGCCCTCCCCGACCATCAGGACAAGGCATCCGGTCAGGTCTGACGACTGAGGACGAGCGTTACTGTCGCGGCTACAACCCTCTGTACTTCGGATCCCCAGCAACCAGAATCAGTAGCGCGCCCCAGGCAGTAAGTCAAGCCTTGTGACAAATCAAGAGACGCCATGGATAACATAGGTTGCAGGGAGATTATGGCTATCAGGGAGAAAGACGTCATCAATTCCCGGCTGATTCGCCAATCAACCATGGCACAAAGGCCACGCACGCCAAGGAAAAGACGCATGAAAACCTGAAGGAAAGGTACACAAATCTCGAGAGGAAGCAAGAGGACGTGACAAGCAAACTTCCCAGGATGATAGGGATGGCCAAAGATGCCGCCAAGGCTGCCGGAGAAGAAGCAGAGTTGCGTAGGAGGCAAGATGAGGCATACATTGGTCACTATCCCACCAAACGAGACCGGCAAGGACATGTGAGAGCTGTCCGAGTGGCAGAATCGCAGAAGGGAAGGTATGAAGCAGACGCGCAGAGATACGCCGAGGAGCTCGAGGATTGGTAGTGGAAGGGACAGGAGCATGGTTCGAGATGGCAGGCGCTCAATAGTATTCAGCATGCATGTGGTTAATCGAGAGAGCGTGCAACCCAGAGAAGACAGTGTGCCTTGATTTGCTAGATTTGCAGAGACTTAACATCATATCTTCAAGACAAGAGAAGGCTTTGAAAGCTTAAAGCATTAATATAGATAGCAGCAATGTCAGATTTTTAAAGTAGAAGGGACTTTAAAATTTTATAATACTAAAGAAGATAGCCGCAATACTAAGTTATTAGGTCAAAGAGGCTATAAAAAGTATATAATATATATAAAGATGGTAGTATAATCGTATTATCAAGGCAATAGAGATATTTTAGCTAAACATGATAATTGATCTGCCCGCAAGAATAGAGTTTCAGAGCAGAAGAGGCTCTAAAGCCTTGCAGTATTAACAGGATGAGCGGCAAGACTTGAGCTTTAGGGCAAGAAAGACTCGTAAATTTTGTACTCTTAATAGCTTCAAAGGTATGATTAGATTTCTAAAGCTAGAGAAGGGTTTAGAGACTTAAAATCTTCAGAATTATAGCTGCAACAAAAGTGTTCTTTAATTTAATAAAGATATATACTGCATTTCGTAAGTGCTTGAGGCAGATACAAATATTTTGTTTAAAAGCAGAGGCTTAAATACATAATCACCTTCATAAAGCAGCCAAACCTGTAGGCTTGTAATTTCCTCGAAGAGCTGCAAGACTCTCTCCTTTAATAGAAGAAATGCTCTCAAGTCTTGCAATACCGATAGAGATAATTAGAACAAGAACGTCTTCAATGATTGACAAGTCTATGATATACGTGACGTTAGTGCTAAATGCTATGGCATATCTGTCCCATAGGAAGCAGTGTCTGGAACGCACAGTTCTCTTCTTGAATCGGCTAGTTTTTCTTGCTTGTAAGACCTTATGAAGAAGGCATCATTTAAAGTGGACTGTTTTTTCAAATCATGGCAGAACACGACAATTGCAAATACCTCCTGAGTTCAACTTAAAGTAGTAGCGATAGGTACAAAGGTAAACTGCTTAGAGGAGAGGGAGCTTTGGAAGTGGGAGGTTTCCTAGAGAGCAAGGAATCTCAAAATTCATTAGTCAAAATTCGATTATTGTTTGGGTATTTAGGTTCAGGGACGAGGAAAGCATTTCGCACGAAGAGAGACTTATGGATTATAGTTGATATTTCGTGAAGAATAGGCCGCCTTGAGGATAGGTCATCGTCCACGACGCAGCAGATCAAAATACTTGTTGAACAAGAACTAATATTGACATGATCAGCTTATGGGAAAGGACGAAGAAACCTATACGCAAGGGTAGAGCGCTGGGAAACCAATTCGTTTCTCTTAGAAGGGAAAGCAGCAATGAACATTGATTACGTTCTAAGAAGTAGGATATCATAGTGTATATTACTTGTGAATTACCAATAGCACAGTCAATTTGTGCGATGAAAAGAACACATCATCCCGTGAGAGTCAAGGACTAGGAAGAAAAAGCATCTCATAGAGAAAATACTAATGAACGTAGACACTTTTCTCAAGAGGTGCAATCCACATTGCACATTGACTGAAACCCCTTATTAAACGCACAACCAAGCGTGCACAAGTAGACGAAGACAGTATTCTGTAAGTGATTGTCATAGGACAGGAAGAACTCTCGTAGAGGAGAATGTACTATACGTTTAGTTACTAGTACAGGCGACAGCAACACAGCAGTTTTCTCTCGAAACTCTGCTTTGGTCATTCAAATAGCCGCGGATAGCAAGTCAGCAACGCAAAGGCTGCAAGGAAGAGAAAACGAGGGAACATGCCTCTTTTAGCATCCGGTCAGCAATGAGCAGTCTCTCTGAGCATTCTGGCGCTTCCAAGTCGAGCGAGTATGTAAACCTGCTTCCTCGATCCTGCGGGCACTTCGAAGCCACTATACTTGCCGAGTGCGTCAATGTTACTGTTCAGTCTCAATCTAAAAGGACTGCAGGCACGACGAACGAATTCTAATGCTCTTCTGCCAGCTGGAGATAATTTTCAAGCATCCATGCCGGTGCTGCGGTGGGTTCCACTCCTGACGTAGCCAGCAGCAGTGGTTTTGGGTATTTGCGCTGATTATGAAAACCCATGGGCCCTGATCAGCAGGCTCTTCCGGTAGTAAGCGGGAGTAGAAGTTGGCATTGAGAAGTAGCCTGGGCATACCTGTCGCTAGGGTCATGGAAGTCCTCAAGCCTTAGATGCTGCGTTGGAACCGTAATTGGTTTGGGTTGACCGTGAAATCCTAGGGCCGGGTGCCGCAAGTCAGACTTTGGGAGCGAAGGCAAGGGATTCAGTCTCGATAGGAAAGTGCTGAATTTATTGTGTCAGATGTTTACATCTTCGTTGAGCTTTGAGGCCTCAATCTGTTATATGCCGAGAGCTTGTGCCCTGAGCGTGGCTACAGGCATGGACTGTGGTGTCTTGCAACCGCTGTGAGAAACGGAAGTCTTGTGTGAAAGTAAGAGAGTTGTTTGGTATAGTGGCGGCTGAATTGTGGTACTCTCGACAGACTAGAAGGCTATCAGCTATTGAGATGACCAAAGAATGCCCGTTTTAGAACTCGGTGCTACTTCGCTGAGAGTCAGACATTGCTTCAAGCGTGAGAGGCTTGTGCTTGGTTGGCCCATCAGTGACAGTATCTTAACGTCTGTGTGTTACAGGACTGGGAGAATCATGACTAATGCCAGTTGCTTGGTCGGCCAATGTTCACCAGGAGATGCAAGGTGTCGCTGACATTGGCATCGGAAGTTCACACCATGATAAATCGAGAATTCGGCCTTTCCACTAGTCATGCTTTTGCTCTAATATCATTTGTGTGACGTGCATTGAGCTAGGAAAGAAGGACTTCGCCGATCAAAGTATACGACCGACCTCAGTCTTGCAGGAAGGATGGCCAGAGTGTTCTCGAAGACGCAACGGGAAACTTGGGACAAGATTTCCTAGTGCAACTGATCAGATGTGTTGGCCGATCTATGGCCCTGGAAATGGTGTTAGCTGTGTTAGGCTGTTGGGTACAATCCATGGCTGCAGACGACAGTAAAAGCATCGGCGGGACGACAAAGGAGAGCTGTGCGAGGCATACCAATGAAGACTTGGAAAAATGCAGGGTGAGTAGCGACAGATATTATTGAGAATGGAGGCGTCTTAGGCAATGACGGCTTATGCTTGGGAAGAGGTCCACATTGTTGACCAAATTCTGCAGGTCTACATAAACGACAGATGGAACGGATCTGTTGGGTACAGAGTGTCAGGCACTGCTACGCATGCCAGATGGGAGGACATGACTTGATGAAAAGGCCTCGTCACGAGAACGCCGAGAGCCAGCGCCGACAGACAGGAGGGTGATGGGCAACAGTGGCAGGTCGCAATTGGAATGATAGCACAGCAATGCGCCAAAAGCGGGTCTTTTCCTGCTTGGTGGAAGGAAATGGTACGGACGAGAAAGGGGTCCTGGCTGTCTGGGCTTGTGGATTCAGATGGAGACCGGATGCGCGAATGACAGCTGCATGTAAGAATCTGGGGATCTGACAGGCGTTAAATGGCCGTTAGGTGGCGGGAGAGAATTCTCGTCTTGGTTTATGGTAATCTATCTGTCGTCCACGATTTGCCTCTGGTCTCCCGACAACCGGGATGCCATTGTCGTTGCGCTCAGCCCGTGCGTGACACTCATCTAGACGGATCCATGAGAGGTATTTCATCATTCTAGGACGTCAGTGCGCCAAGTCGGCATGAAACAATTGTAATCTCGACGTTTCCACCCAACCACCGCCCATGAACCATGACAGTTTTCATAAAAGACGCGCTTGATGACTGTGCTCCCTCTCCCGTGACATGCAAGCCTCCTTCATTTCAGGTCGTCCGTTAGAGTATATACGACATGTATGGTGAAAAAAAAGGTAGAGTACACGAAGCGAAATGCTCGCCATGCATAAAGCTGAGTGTGCAAGATGAAGATTGGGAATTGAAGATGTCTCGGTGAAAAGCCTGCACCTCCGGGGCGAGTTGATGCGAAGAAGAAGAAGAAGATGCGAAGCATGATCGCTAGTACTGATCTAAAAGGGACCTCAGCCAGTCGCACTGCAAAGGTAGATGACGAAGAGTAAGCTGGTTGTCTTTGGTGGGTAGCGACCCAGCGCCGGAGCGTTGGCTCACCCTGCATGTTTGGGCCACCGATTGAAGAATGCAGTAGACTTGCTGGAAGGCTCTGCGCTGTGTCTAGCCATGGGTGTTAACTCTCCCGTGCTTCACTGTTTCGATCACTAGAACCGTTTCGAGAAGAGTCCTCAATCTCACGCGCATCCGACCCGGCCGGGTGACGGTGCCGTGTTTCAGGTTGCGCCGAATTCCTGCCGCTTTCGGCTTCAGAGAAGGATTGGCGGCTGCTGTCAGTGCGATTGCGCGAGAAGTCGTGGCCTCTGGTTGAGGCGTCGCTTGGCTGCCTGGAACGTCGATGTCGATTATTCGATGAGGAGTGTTGAGAGAAGGAGGGAGACGGTTCCGGAGGAGCTTTGTGTTCGCCCGTCGCTTTCCGTTTTTTGGGTGAGCCAGTATAGTCTGATCGTCGATGAGAAGCTGGCGGTTGCGAGTATGGTGAGCTATTTTTTGTAGCAGGGGTGCCGGGATCTTTGTCCTTCGCAGTCTTTGACTCTGGTGGCACATAGTGATGGAAATAGATAGTAGGCGAAGAAGATTGATCTTGCGTCGGAGCGGTCTGCGTCTGCTGTAGAGGGTGTTGGCCTGCAATCTGAAGGTTTTGCAGGCCCGAGGATGGTGGTTGTATATGCAGCTCGTTTGTGTTGAGACGTGACAGCACGCCTTGCGAGGGTGCTACACGATTGTTTGATGAGGGTGGAGCTGCTTGAAGAGGCTGCTGCCCTCGTCCACGGTCGGCAGGATTTTGATAGGCAATTTGTTGGCTAGGTTGAGCTTGCTGCAGAGACTGGGTCTGTGATGGAGGCTGCATCTGCCCGTAAGGATTTGGGTTGGGACCTGTGATCAGCCTCGTATCCCGTCTTTGGTCCGGTGACGGTGCTATCTGAGCCTGTTGCTGCTGTTGCTGCTGCTGCTGCTGCTGTTGTTGCTGCTGCTGCTGCAACTGTGCAGCCTGCTGTTGCTGTTGAAGGCTCATTTGTGTCATGTAATGTTGCGCCCATTCAAGGCTCAAATTCGAAACATTTGCTCCACCCATACTAGCAAAAACCATCGGTACCATGGGTGGTGGAATACCACCTCGTAATGACTCCTGCAGTATTTGCTGCTCTACTTTGCGTTGTTCTAATCTGAGTGTCTCTTGTCGCGTCCTTTCCTCTTCCTGCTTTCTTCGATCTTCCTCCGACTTCGCGGAGAGCCAGCTCCGCATGGACTCGTCTTGGCCCGTCCATTGTGAGGGTGCACTAGGCAGCGAGCCGAGATTGATATTGTTTGCAGGTGGACCTCTGTCAGATTGCGGCTGCGGTAGAACACGATCCATTCGATCCATTGCGGAGGGGGCGGCAAGCCGCGGTGCGATGTGCTCATCATTTCAGAGGCGGGATCTGGTAGTGATGGGAATGCGTTTGAAGTTTTGGGTGGTGAAAGGTAGTATGAAGCTGGATCGCGCTGCGAGTCGGTATACGCATGAAGGCTAGAGGGCTCCTGGCTCTGAGAGGACTTCAATGTGAGCGAAGAAGGTAAATGCGAGGAAGACATTGCCATGGCGCCGTCATCGGTAACATAAGAAAGGTTCGGGTATAATTGGAAGGGTGTGGGTGGAATCACCTTGGTAAAAGGGAAAAGAAAAGACAGTCCAGGGCTGTATATGTCTATGATCCGAAATCCACGAGTGCGAGGGTTCTGTTCAACAGACAGGCATGGTTAAAGTCTGATATTCTCAGCTGTGGTAAGAGTTGCACCCAATGAGAGCAAAATACCGGACAAAGTCAGAAGCAGAAGCGGGTATGGCGAACCGATACAGGCAAGGAGGGAAACCGGGTCCAGGCCGAGAATTGGCTGGAGCCGTAAATGGAAACAGGCAATGCAAGGACGATCGCCCCGGATGCGCGTGGCTTCGCAGGGAATGTAGGCAGGAGCTTGAAGAGGATAGAAGCGAGATGGGCAGGTGGAATCGACTTACGGGTGATGTACAAGGTGTCTTGACCGGACAGAGAAGTGATATTCATGCTGCGCAATCTCAACTTGCGAAGAAGGCAATCATGGGGCGGTCCTCGGCCGTCAGGACAACTATAGACGGGCCAAGCGCTCATTTGATCAGTTCACCTCCTAGAGTCACAGGCGAGTAACAATCTAGCTCCCCTTGTCCGCTCTGGCATCATAGGCTTCATACTCCGTAATAGCATGCGCTTTCAGCCTGGATCCGGCCATGGTTCAGGGTCTTCAGCCACCGGGGCCACCATCTTGTTAAGGCTTATCCTCCACTTCCAAGCTTAGACTCCGGGCACTTTCCGCCCCAGCCATTGGATGCAGCCGGACGCCTTCCATGCCGGAATAGGCTGCCCAGCACAAGCGAGGACAGATTGTGGAAGTCAGCTCCGTTTCATGATTTCATCTAGATTGGGGTAACCAAGATTGATCACGGGCGCTTGTTTCTGTGGTTCTGTTGCTTTGGATTGGGGGCTTCGATGAGCTGGTGGCTGCACCTAGCCTTCTTCTTGGGTCCAGGTGCTGCTTGTACGGTGTGACAGCCGACCAACCAGCAAGCACTCCAGAAGGTGTTTGATTGCTGTCAGTCAGCGAATGCTACCTATTTGCTTTAGCTGCATCATCGTGACCCCAGCGCCTCGGTACTACCCTGTGTGAAAGATCAGTGCACTGCGGTGGATCCATTATCATTTTATGATTTGATCTTCATGCGTTCAGCAGTGTGCACTGACTGCCGCCAGCAACGGTGAAGCTCAGATGACCCGTTCTCGAACGTATGGTCGCTGCTTTGGTCGCCTACGCAAGCTGCGGCCCGAAAGGGCATTTAACACTTTTGCATGCAGAATATCAAACATTTGTTGCAGAGTACATAAGACCCATGCCACAACTCAGCGGCAACACCAGGCAGTCTCCTTATCGTAACTGCATGTGTCTCCAATCTGAGTCCTACTGCCATCATGATGGGTAATGCATCGCCAGCGCACTTTCAAGACCTCGAACCATCTCGTCGTCGCTACCAATTGCATAGGCCGCGGTCCCTTGAATCACAAGCCCGGGCGAAGCTGCGTGTGGGTTCTGTTCATAGTCTACAGGGATGTCCGCGCTCTTCGCTTCGACTTTGCTTGTTGAATGTCAAGCAATAGTTGCGACCAAAGCTGTGGCCAGAAGCTGCGACATCGTCTTGACGCTTAGGCAAGTCTTGATGACCTATTCAAGCAATGATGGACAACCACATGGCAGCTTTGCGGACGCGCTTGTTGATCAAACGGCTCACGCCTCATCCTAATCGTTACGACTTACTTTGCGATGGCCCTCTCGAGCAACGTTTGCGCAAGATCACCGGTATATAGTTCAAAGTCGTTCAACAAGCAATTAAGCCTTGGAGGTGGGGATGATCCCTTCCGCCACTGGCGTCAGTCATAGCAACTTTAGGCAAGAAAATTTCTACGCGCTTTCCCTGTTCCAGGAATCACGCTTCGTCTTTCCCTCTGGAAGATTCCTACTCTGGAAGTTTGGGGCCCCTACACGTCGCTTACTTAGCGCTTCGCTGCTCGCCGAGCTCACGCGTGGAATTTGACGTCGCGGTTTGCCAAATGTGGTTACTTTGTGGCTTCCTTTTGTCGAGGAGTGCTGGGTTCAAAGGCAGCCGGAGAAGAGGATTTCCGGATTAGGTCCTCAAAGCGATCATGCTATAGTGTGGGACGTACGACTTGTTGGACCCGATAGGAGATATCATTATTTTTGTCACAGCGACAGATGATAGCATTAGGCAATGTTCGAAACACAGAAAGAAATGAGTAATGAAGAGCCAGTAGTACTGTCAATGAACTGACAACTCTAAAGATATGTCTTGGATACAATGAGAGTGCTTTGTCCTCGATGCAGGACCAAAATGTTGATGTTTCGGATCTCGTCTTACTTCTGATAATGCGCTGGTATTAGTTAGCTTTTGATCCGTCTTGTAAATGCATAGCTGCGATTTACATCGAGGCCCATCCTTAATAGGAATATTGCAAAGGTATCAAAGCCTTCTTTTCTGTTTTCGCGCGTCGACCAGATCGCTGGGAAGCGCTTCGTGATCACACTCCAGAAAGATCAGTAAGGGCCATGTCTTTCATAGCAGATCGTGAGTGCAGCGACAATGATGTGATAATGATGCCGGAGGAAGCATGGTGTCCTTTGACTATTTGTGGAGACCTCTGTTGTTAAGGGTACTCAATCGTCGTCATGTATTGTAACGCCTGTCTCATCAGCAGTGGATGTTGCGTAGCCATTAGGCATGACGGATGCTGGTCTTTGCGCGCCACCAGCCTCTTCTGCTGTATCAGCCAAAGCATTTCGATCTCTACTTGCTGCCTCATCATTCTTCTCCTGCCTCTTGTCCTTGCCTCCTTTTCGCTGCCTTTGCTTTTCTCTTTTCTTCCGGTTTTTCTCGGTCCGTTGGTCATCCTTCTTATGCTGCTCCTCCCTCTTACTCTCAAAATCAGCATCAGCTTGCTCTTTCGCTGTCTCCTCATCCATTTGTTTCAGCCTCTCATACTCCCTCCGACGACTGGCTTTGTAGACGTGAAATTCGCCCGAACCAGCACCAGCACTTGAACCTTGTACATTCGCGACGATTTCGGGCGGAGCAGGAAGCTTGGACCTATGATCGTGGCTTACAGTTGAGGGTATATTGACTTCGCGCTCGGGATTTGCGAACAAGGCTTCCACTTCAGAGGCCTGCTTCGAGAGAGGACTCAGGGCACGCCTTTTAAGAGGGCGCTTTGAGCGCGGGTCTTGGGAGGTTGGAACAGACTCCGGGATGTTCTCGGACATGTTTTGTTCTGTGTTTCTGTAAAAGCCATCGACCAAAGAAAACTGAAGGTTGTCACTTTGTATTCAAACAATCCCTGAGCAAGAAGGTTCAGATGACATTGACGTGCCCTATAATCCTTGGCATTGCTTGCGCGTGTGATGCAACTCGAATGTTTCCACGAAGAGCAGCGCTCCCTCCGCTGGGAAGCGGGTAATGGCTGATCCCTTGTATGAGCTTCTCGCTCCATACTTCCATTCTTCAAAGCCTGAGACTCAAGCTCCAAAGGCCATTGACGGCACCACAGGTAAATATCTGAATCGGCTGTCGACCCTACCTCTGAGCGCTCTCAGCTCTTCCGAAGATGATTCCCTGGCCCAGTCTTCACACACGAACCTACTATCCCTCCAGGCCCTGTCCGCTCGTTCAAACGCAGCTATAGTCCTCTCCGCAGACCATCACTCGAATCTTAGCGAAAATCTGCCCAAAGTAGTTGAAAAATCCGAGGTGCTGCGCCATGATGTACCCAAATTGGACGAAGAGGCGGTAGGCTTCTCAGGGAAATATAGCAGGAGTACGGAGAATGAGATACTCAACAAACGAAAGATGGCGCTGCTGATGGCTAGAAATGTGGATAGGCTTTCCGACATACTCGATCTACCAACACTGCTCTCCTCCACTATTTCATTTTCGACCCTTCAAGGGGCTTCGAATGCCAACAGCTTTGCGTCTGCATTGGACCTGCACTCTCATATCAAGAGACTCCATCTATTTTATCAAGACTCTCAACTCGTTGCCTTAATTTATCAGCAAACAGACGAGGCCATGCAAGAAATGACATCCAACCTCATAGCAAGTCTCAAGTTACAGAACATCAAATTGGCTGCCGGCATGCGAACCATCGGCTGGCTTAGAAGAATCGTACCTGAACTAGATGCATCCCTAAACAACAAGGAGGGTAACCTTGGGGCCCTCTTCCTCGTGTGCCGATTGGCAACATTGACTTCTACCCTTGCTGCCCTAGAACCGTTGAGCGACTTAGCAGACCAAGAAACAGCCCTCCGAGAGCGCGATGGCAAGCTCAGTAGACCCAGCACTACCAAAGACTATTGGACTCAGGGTCAGCAAACAGAAAAGTATCTTAAAAGATACATCGAGATTTTTCGGGAACAGTCATTTGCAATCATCTCGATGTATAGAAGCATCTTTCCATCAGCACATGAAGCAGCAGCCTACAATAGGTCGGCTCTGAATGTTAAGACTCCGGGATTACAGTCTATAGATTCAATACGGATGGGCAACGAATCCCAAATATCAGCTTCGTTCAGTACCTTACCGTCGGCTCTTGCCACATTTCCTATGCATCTTATTGATCTACTCTCCTCGACACTCAAGCAATATCTGCCCAATCTACGCGACAAGTCGTCTCGGGAGAGCCTTCTGACTCAAGTACTCTACTGTGCGGGTAGCTTAGGCAGATTGGGGGGCGACTTCAGCATGCAATTAGCCACATTGGCTATCGACATTGAGGACGACGATGAGGACGACGATACGGAGACACAATGGATCACGGTCATGAAGAAACATCGCGAGCTCGCTAAGAAGCTCGAGAAAATGGCTAGCGGTGCGAGTTGAAAAGTATCGCTTAGAGTACATTACTCTTCCTCGCTCTCTTCTGAGCTCTCAGCTGCGACATTTTGCTGCTGGATGCTCTGGAGCTCATTTTGCTCCTTCTCAGCCTGCTGCTCCTCCAAGGCTTGCTCTAGCTCAGCTTCGAAAAGATCATCGCCCTCTTTATCCCAACCATTGTCGTTGGCCGATGTATCTTTTGCTCCTGCCGTATCATCTGCCGGCTCCCCTAGATCTATCTCTTCAACATCTTGATCGCCTTTCGTATCTCTTTCGTGATCGCTTTCTCCTCTAATTGAGGGGCTCATAGAACTCGCAGCTGATCTGAAACTGATGGGTCCACTGCTCCGACCACCCTCGTTTAGAGCATTTAATGCCGATCGCCATGGTCTGCTGTTGCGAGGTGCAGAGTCACCCATGTCTATAACTAGCTCATTTGGATCGCTGTCCTCGCCATCTGCATCGGCCTCTTCTCTAGGATTCGGTGAAAGGTATCGCTGTTGGGGTTTTGATGGCTTCTTGGGCTCAGTGACAGAGCGAGGTCGCTGGATGGGAGAGGTGGCTCGAAGTAGCGGAGATGACGCGAATGTGTGATTTGGCATGGGAGAGGAGATACGCGAGGGTTGTGGTGAGGAATTGGCCGCGGGATGAAAGAAATGCCGATAGTCGTACGGGTTATTCGGGTCGGGGGGAAGCTCATCTGGATTTTGGTCGTCTTGATCACTTCCAAAGAGGTTGTCGTCGCCCTCTGCCGGACTCGAAGTCTCTAGCTGTGGATGCTGGCGGGAAGCATCTTTGTTTGACGGAGTGCTGCGCAGGTTGAAGTAGAATCCTGCTTCCAGCCTCTCGAGGATGAATGAAGATTTTGCAGAATCGTAGACCAAAGCGAAGGAATCTAATGGCTTCTGAACGCCACGATATATATATCTACCAGCTTCCCTTTCATTTGATATGGATAAATCGTAGTTGTCGCCTTCTCCGTCGATCGATGAAGCTTTGACAGTCGCAGCCTGGCCTTTCAAATTGACTGGTGTGTGGTTGTACTGCACACTGAATCTCTGCCGCTTTCGTGGGCGTTCGTCACGCAACAAATCCTCCCCAATAATGATTGGGTATTTGCCTGACTTCGTGGGATCAATCAGCGCTGAGAGCGTTGCAGCAGCCATAGTCGTCGAGCAGTGAACCGCGTTCGAAGGTGATGAATAGTAAGGATGAAGCAGCGACAATAGAAATAACAAAGAGCGCGGCCCCACTCATCTAGCCCTTCCACTTTCGTCTCGCCTTTTGACGCCGGGAGTTTCGGCGTTCCCGCTGTCTGAAAGGATGTCTCGACCTGCCGTAAACAACGACATGGACTTAGAACTATCGCAGACCATCCGATTAATTCAGTCGGAAGGCTCCAGAGGAAGATGATCAAAACCTGCGGCTCCCAAGAACATTGAGCATAGCCTGCTCGGAAGCCTACGATACGCCCCGCTGACATGCATGTACTAAAAGAGAAGGCCGCTCGCGGGAGCTGTGCCCCGCAAGGTGATCTATCCTCAACGGGGTAATTTGACTCGATCACGACCCTCCGAGGGCTTCTGGTGGCCGGGCTAGTCTGCAAATCATGGCCAGTGTGGCCACCAGCTGGAGGCGGACGAGACCCTACGAAAGGGTGGGAGGCCGCGAGGCTGAATGTCGAGTCATCGTCAATGGAATTACTTACCTTGATTATCATTGATCCGCAGTTCTCTGCTTGCATCAACCCTTCTTTGCGTAAACCTAAACGACTCTATGTCATTCGACTGCAACTACTGATTGGCGCATGATAAGATGATCGAACGTTCATGAGACCGGGATTATGTCCTTCGCTTACTCGTCATCAAAGTCAACACAGCCTTCAAAGGTGAAGATTGAGTGGGTAGTCTAACTTTTCTAAAGGAAGAACGGACCACTGATTGATCCATCAGTATCGTCTTCATTCCCGCAATCGGTGCAGATGCGCGCAAAACGTGGGAGCGTACTCCGGAACGGGCAGAGACAGAGGGGACGCAGCGTTTGGACCTTTGCGTACTTGACAGGCTGAGATTTACAGCGCAAGTTCATTTGTATGATCATTTGACCAGAAAAGAAAGGAGCGTTGAGGTTCCAAAGATCAAGAAGCCGTTAGCCGAACCGCAACAAGCTGTGTACAATGAATACTTACAGACAGGCAACCAAGTGGCGGCCTATGGAGTGAATGATTGGGCTGATAGATTTCTGGAGTGTATGAGAACTCACCGGCAATCCCGAGATGTCGTGGACAGGCCGATCATCTTCATCTGCCATAGTACAGGAGGCAACGTACTGAAGGCAGCATTGACGAAAAAGTCTGGCACCGACGTTAACGAGATCGCAAGTAATACCATCGCAATTACATTCTTTGGTGTACCCCATCATGGATCAAGCGTCATCTCAGGGAATTCGTATGAACGTGCTGTTCAGAACAAGCTAAACCTCAAATGGCCCATGTCCAAAAGACTACGGCAAGACTTCCAAATCCACGAGAATGAAGGGCTAGAGCTTCTGAATCATAGATTCGCTGTCGACATCGTAGGGGTCAAAATACATAGCTACGCCGAGACCGCCGACACCATTTTAGACCTTTTGACGGTCGCCAGAGGAGGTGGTGAGCAGTCGACGACTTTTCGACTCTGCATAGTGGACAGCAGGTCAGGCAAATTGGGAACGGCTCAAGTTCCAGTAGAGGATGAAGAGTCTATGCAGCTTGATCTGACCCATGTGGAACTCCCGCGTTTTTACGAACAGGATGGCCAACTTGAGTCGTATCTTACGGCGATCGAAGAACTTGTGAAGGGATACGACGCAAAGGACCAGAGAGAATACCAGATGCTCAAGAATAAGATCATGAAGGATGTCAACATTCACATTCATCAATTCTATGGAGATCCAAATTCGATGCGAGTAATTTTGGCGAAGCCTACGCTCGAGGACTTCCTGAAGGACGGGCCGGACAAGACAATGATGAGGCGCCTCGACAATCAAGACACAGACCTACCAGGTACTGCTGAGATGGAACGGCGTCCAACCATTGGCTTCACTCCTGCTTCCGAGCAATCGGTGCCTGTAGTGCCCAATGTTCAGATCAATGGTCCAATAGATGACGACGCACACAGCAATCATGAATCGCATTCTAAATCCATGCTTGCGCCACCACCAGTGCCCTCTCCTCGAAGTATACACACCCAACGTCCACCAAAGATCGATGGTCCCGAGTCCTCGAATGGGGTGCCTCCTCAGGTAAAAGCGGTGAGATTTGCCACAGGACATGGAAATGAGAACAAGCCGGCAACTGCCGCCACGGTTCAATTACCAGCTCAAGGATCAGAACGTTTTCGATGGATTCATGTCCCGTTCACGTATCCAGGATGGGTCCACCAAGTTCTGGGAACGATATCGGAGGACAAAAGTAACCTGAAATTACATCAACAACTACTGCTTGACAAGATATGGCTTGGTCAGCACAATCAATCCAGACATGCTTCGCCGCATGCAAGATTCGTAAGGCCTTCTGTAAAGGCACTTTACCCAGAAGGTGCCAAAGAATCTGATGCGCTTGCAATGCCCTCGAGTTCGTGTGATTCTGTGCAACTCGTTGCATATATGCCATATCTCCACTGGGACAGCTTCAAAAGCATGAAGGAACGAGCTAATGTCATTAACCGCCGTCTTGATCAGCCTCAGGCACGTCCAATTCCCCGTGATATCACTCTTGGCAACAGTCTAGAGCACAAGTGAGACCCTATGCCTCCGTACCCCAGCTTGGAATAGGAGTTATCGCTGACCAATGGCTAGACTCATCTGGCAATTTTTGACGTTAGACAGGCCTTTGCACTGCAGACGAACGCTTGATCAGTATGGTTACCCCTCTCTTCGCAACACCATAGTCCGGGACCATGATCAAATATTGTGGAAACGAACCAGACTTGAGTTGCAGAGGACACCCAGCAGTCTATCCAATTCGACCACGGCGAAAGCCAAAAAGCCGCCCAAGCCAATGGATATCCAACCCAACGTGGTTGGGACGGAGAGTCACATACCAAAAGTCCTTATGGTTGATCAACTTTGGATGTGGATCGTAGATGACGCAACTGTTGTGACGTTCTTCCCTGGCAGGGAAAATGACAACCACACTGGGTGCTCCCGCGAAGGCGACGTAAGGAGCTTGATTTATCAAGACATCAACGGAGATTTCGCCAATCAATGTGATGTAAGTCCACATTTTCTTAGTGATTTCGCGTATATCCATCGAAGCACCGGCTAACCTAAAGGTAACGTAGGATCCGTATGACTTCGCAGCGCTCGCTGTACGACATGCAATCCGAGCTTTGCTTGCGAAGACTACTGATCGGAATTTGCAAGCATTTCGCATCTTCGAAGAGTACATCAGCATCCTGACCGAAAAGCAAAATAAATCTTGGAAGGATTTCCGGAATAATCAAAACCTCAAGATTGAGGACATGGAAACCGAGAAGCACGTGAACAACAGGGAAGATCTGAATTCCCTACTTGAGCTTCGCGACATTGAGGATGGTAAGTCAATGACTTTAGACATGATGTGCCAGACACGGGTTGACAATTCTATTAGAACTCAACACCATTGACAAACTCATACGAGAACAGCAGTCGGTTGTTGGGGATATGACCATTCGTTACGAAGAATTGAACCGCGCAGGCAAAGGCCTCAAAGGGAAGGAGTTTCTCGCAGACATCACCCAATTCTTGAGTGAGCATAAAGTGCAAATTGACAGCATGCGCGACAGTACACAAGCTGCCAAAAAAGCGTATACGGAGTTGCTCGACATGAAACAGAAACAGGCCAATGTGATGGAAGCCCGTCTGGCAGGAAAGCAAAGCACGGTGGCGGCCAGACAGTCTCGAGCTGTCTTGATCTTTACCTTCATCACCATCATCTTCTTGCCGCTTTCCTTTTTGCAAGCGTGTTCGGGATTAACGCGAAAGAGTGGAGTGGAGATGGTACGCATTACATGCGCCTGCACGATATCTTCCTGTACATGATCATGCTTTCACTGGCTGTGATCACCATTGCACTATTGGCAGCCTTCAGTAAACCGGCAAGGAGGCTGGCTATGCGATCGTGGCACTGGATAGGAATTCGCTACCAGACTTTGTTCCCGTCGAAGGCGCAAACGCGCGTGGATGATGAGATGACGGTAGATAATTTCAATTACGACGTGGAAAGATATGGCGCCGACACCAACGAGAAATACCATAACAGCCGGTTGTCGACGGTATCTCGGACACAGACTGCACTTCATCTGGACGAGAAGTATGAGAGTGACATGGAAAGGAAGCGCAACGGCTCGGTGAAGTGGCTGTCGAATGGGTTCGGGCACTGAATCGCATTGTACACAATTTCTGGGGGCGTTGATTTGAAAGTTCGGGCTGAAGGAGTAGGAGCAGAGACCAGAGACCAGATACCAGATACCAGATACCAGATACCAGATACCACACATAGATGAGCTTGTGATGTTGTAGAGGGCATATAGATGTAGATAGATGGGTGGGCAATACCTGAGATGACCTGTGCGGGGAAGCAGTCTCGTCCGCTGTGGCGTTGCACGAGACCAGCTGAAAAGCTGCCTGGAGACGTCATTGAGCCGCCCGCAACAAGAAATTGTTATTATTCTTATTATTCTTATTATTGTTGTTTGTGATGGATAAATAGGCAGTCTGACCTGTCCATGTATTTTCTTCTTCCACCTTCGTCTGTCCTGCAATCTAATGTCGCGAAAGAAGCGAGCGCTCATCTGCGTGCATCCTGACCAGGCTGCGGGCGGGTTACGCCGGCCACGCGTGTACGGCGCCACGTATGGCAGCCACGGCGAAAAGCAGACTCCGGGGGGCCAATCGCATCTGCGGTCGATGATTCATGGGCAAAGACCAAAAGGATGATACGATCCACTGCAAGGCCAACGATGAGAGTACAGGTGCGCAGAAACGCCTCCTGAGGTCTGCGAAGGCCCAGGCCAGCAGTTGTCAGCAGCACCATTTTGGGCAGGGGGACCCACCGTATACAACTAATCAAGCAGCAAGTGCGTATCCGAGCTCGACTCCAGGTCATCAAGTGTTTCTCTACTACTTCCTCTGCACGATCATTGAGGTATCTGAACTTGAATGCCGATAGCTGCTCTCACTCTCTCTTTCTTCATCTATCGGAGTGGCTTTGCGGCCCTCACGGGACTTTCCTTTGTTTGAAAATGAAACTTGCTTTGCCCTTGATCTCGTTTCGGCTGCTCTGTTTCATTGGCCAAAAAGTCCGTGAGAGTTGGTGCGCTTCCTGAATTGTGTTACGGTGAATGCAAGTCATGCGTTTGAATGCATTCAGATTGGTACTGCGTCTGCAAGCGATCATCTCGCTGATGAGCAGTTCTCGTCATCAATTTCGGCGTCAGCTCAGCGCGAGTCTCGCTTTGTTGCGGAACAGGTCAAGAAGAGGCTGGCTGAGTGAGTCTGTTGCATCGTGTCGCATGCGGTGACAGTAATAATATTATTCATGTAACTAACAGACTGTTCTGTTGAATTTCTGCCTGCGAAACGCACCCGCTAGACTAGCGCCCTTTCGGCGGTTTCTAGGCAGTTGCCCCTTCCCGAAGTGAGCGGGTCCACCGCGGTCTAGACCTTTCAACCTCCAGACTGTCCCCCAGGCTCAATGCTCCTTCCCAAATTCCCCATTCATTATTATCTTGAGCTCCCTGTCACTGCCTTGTTCGTTCTCTCTCTCAGTATTGTCCCTTCTTTTCTGTACGGCCTCAACTTTACTCTCACTTCGACCAATCGCACTTTACGCCCGCGAACATTCGCAGTCTTTCTTGAGCGCTGGAGGCCAATGGGTTCGAAGGAAGTCTAAGTTGCTATTGTCAGGGAGCTCCATCAGAACTCGAGTGAATTGCATTGCTCGACCTCAACAGCCTATTGTCTTTGGACAATATAAGTCGTGGGCCACTTGCTATGACGCTTACTACCCGGACTAAGAATCTATCATTGTCCGCCGTTTCCATCCACGATGAGAATCTTTCGAATGTATCGGGTACCATACCACCGCCTCTGACAGAGAGAGGTCACTCCGACTCGGTCGTACCAAGCTGTCGACTGTCCCCCGATAAACAAGAGCAGGTCTTGAGCCATGCCTCCCCATCCCTGACAACGCAACTTCACCGCTCTACCAAAGCGACCGAGGACATCGAATCTCCTACCATTTCATCTCGGCTCAAAAACAAGCAAGATCTTCGCCTTCCACCTTTTCAATCTCTGGGAATCACAAGCCAGACCTCCGGGCCTACCGCTTTGCTCACTCCGCCTGAGGAGCCTCCTAATCCTTTGCCAATCGGCAACGTCACCTCTCACCCACGGGACCAGATTTTTTTCTCTCACTTCAACATGCCAAAAACCCCCGCTGATGGACTTGACCCGGACTCAGCGTCTGGTCAGCAAAGGGAAAGTTCAACCTTGCAACAATCGGCTATCACGATCACCACCCCCCACGGCCACCAATCGACAGTCCCGCCACAAAGCACACCGGTCCCACCAGAACCACAAACTGCCACAAGCCAAACAAACTTTGTCTCCGAAGCTGTTGATCTAGCAGGTGAGTCCGATTCATCAAGTGTCAATTGGTCTGATGGCTAACGATTTCAGTTTCTACGGTGGTAGATAATACCCCTCGGCCTGTGTACAATGTCTTGTGTCACTCTCAACCGTGTCCATTTGCCAATGGAGGGTCTCCGACCACAGCATTCAGCGAGTTGTTAACCTCCCTTCAAAGCAGAATTCCCTCGCAAACTTACATTGAGATCACTCACGCAGTACCACCACAATTCAATATGGGTCAAGTGCCTAATAGCCCAGCTGCGACTCCCAACCCAGAACAAAACGCCCCAGTCGACTACTTCAGTATGCCATCGACCTTTTCCAAGGCAGTGGTAGCAGCCTCCTACCAGGACGTTCAAGCGTTTCCTGTCCCTTCATCCCCGCATCCAATCGTTGCACCCACTACTGTTCAAATCTCTCTCTTAGAGCGCTTCATCCCACCATCCTCGACATATGAATATCACGATCTCTTCTCCACTGACACCACATCAGCTCTCGTCGACCGCCTCACAGAACTATCTCCAAGCCGGGGCACTCTGCTCTTTATCTACCCCACCAAGGCTGGTGCCCGAAAATTTAACTCAGACTACCTTGCGCCCCTCTTACATCCTCTCCTACGAAACCTTGTTGGAATCTACGACTTAGCTTCGGATTTTGGCAGGAACATCGCGGAGTGGAATTCAATCAGCCCAATGCTTGAATATGACCGGATGAACCAGAAGCTAGGCCTGCTACTAAGGCAGCTTGGTCGAATACGAAGCTCTAAGCCTAGCCATCCTCCGCCAAAGTACGAGATCGCCTTCAGTGCTGCGAAGAAGGTCGATCTAGATAGGGACTCGTGGATGGCATGGTACATTGTTCAAGAGAAAGCTCGCATTCAAAGAATTGTAAAAAACTACTGGGTCCGAGGACAGAGGATCCCAGAGGGCATGACGGAGGGCGGTATATGTAGAGAGCTATTCCAGGGGCTGGAGAGAAGAGACTACTCTCCCCAAGCGCCGCAAAGAGACGGTGTCGAGGTCGGTGTGTGGGTCGTGAGGAGGACTGCCTGAAGAGTTAGGATTCCATTGGACCGTACCCTCCACTGCGATTGTGGACTGAACTCTCCACTCGTGCGATCTTGCTTGATCGATTGGTGTGGAGCTAGATGCAGTAAGAGAAGACATTATATAAATTACGATAGCGCGGCGTTGGATGGAGCCTGCACGAAGAACGCGATACTTCTCTTGTTATTGTGAGCTCTTGGGTTTGAATAATCTGTGATTGGTCTTCTACATATTGCATAGCGAAGTAGGTACGGTTAAGGCATTAACATAGACTAATGAGAGAGATTAATTCGTCCCGAAATCGGTGAACAAAGCAACTTTCTTTCTCCAGCTCACCTTGCAGAACCGGGAGAATATATAAGCCCGCGTCTATTCAGCATTGTTGCAGCTACCCTTTCTGCGGGTCTTCTTCCTAGGCACCAAGTGAGCTATAATCATTGCTTGGTCAAATATGCCTTGCAGATGCGAAGGATGGGCTTGCTACTTGATGGCGTGCGGAGCGTCACTGCCTTGCCATTGATATGGCTAGAAGGCAATTTCGCGCCTTTTGGGGGTAGGTGGTGCTGCTTGGAGCGTAATCAGTCTGAGTGGTTGTTGCTCCATGTCTATCGATCAGGCTGGCAGGCAGGCTACCACGATACCGAAAATGACTAGAGTGTAGACTGAATGGCAGCACGTGGTTCGCCCAACGATAGATCTCAAAAGAGGTGTGTACTTCGAATTCAAAGGGTCTATCTTATTACTCATCAAATACGGGGTATCGTTGTGCACAAAAGACGAGGACAAAGCAGTGCTGTTGCTCCTGCGCTCCCCCGGTATTTACCTACCTATGCCCAACCCTCCCTCAAGAACGTTCCAAAATCATCAAACCGAAATACGTGGATGGGAAGGGCTCGAAGAGCCGCGTCCTCCTGTGAACGCCATCGCTAATATGCAGCTTCCGATATCTTACATACGAAAGGTATTCCATGAGAGTATATTTAGTGAGGCACCCGAGCCCGACTGGTCCGAGGCGATACGTCGCTGTCGCTGTCCTTGCTATCACCGATCTTGCGGTGCAGAGCCGTAACCGACGGCCTCTTTTCTGCAGCACCTTCGGCGAATACATCCTTTGACATCTCCTCCGGCATGGGTGTCTTACTGTCATCGGTTTTCTTGATCGTTTCTGCCGACGATGACCCATCATTCCTACTATTCATGCGCTGCAGAAACGTCGGTCGCTTCGCTGACTGGCTCTCCTGCGTTGGTGTCGTCTTTGAGTCATGAGTTTCGGCACCGTTCACTGCCGTTATGTCTCCAAGCGGTGGCTGCGGGGTTTGCGGGTTCATATAATTCTCTATCATTTCCTTCAATACTGCGGCTCGCACGGGTTTCGGAAGATAATTGTTCATGCCTGCCTCGAGGCATTTCTCCTTGTCGCCTCGGATAGCGGATGCGGTCATCGCAATGATAAGTACTGTGCGTACTTTACGATCATCGTCTTTTCGTATCAACCTTGTGGCGTCGTATCCATCTAGTACGGGCATCTGGCAGTCCATCAGGACGAGGTGGAAGGGATTGCCTTCTTTCGATGCGCGTTGTAGCGCTTCGACTGCTTGAAGGCCATCGCTGAAGGCCTCGGATTTGAAGCCGAGTTTACCGACGAAAGAAACGGCAATCTTTTGGTTTATTGGATTGTCTTCTGCTACACATACGCGAAGCTTTTCGCGCGGTATCTTGGATATGTCGATGTGGACTTTCTCCCTGGATATCTTGTCCGAAGACCAAATGGCCACCGAGGCTTCAGGGGCTGGTACGCTACTAAGGTCTCCGATTTTCGCTGTCTTCGGCGCCTTTGGGAAGACTATGGTGAAGGAAACGGTAGTACCACGTCCCAATTGGCTTTCCAGAGAGATGTTGCCGTTGAAGACGTTTATTAAAGCTTTGCAAATGGACAGACCGAGGCCACTGCCCCCATAGGACCTTTGGGTGCTGCTATCAGCCTGCGAGAATGGTTTGAAAAGCCTGTTGACTTGTTCTTGCGAGATTCCAATGCCCGTGTCTGTGATCCCACAGGTGACCTCAACATTATTCTCGTCCTCGCGCAATGTCCTCGCGCTGACCGTGACTGACCCCTTGGAGGTGAATTTGTAGCTATTGCTAAGGAGATTCATAAATATCTGATGCAGTCTGACAGGGTCGCCCATGACAAGTTGATACGGATCCAATTGAAGATCTTCGATGGTCTCTAAACCTCGTTCCAGGTTTGTGAACGACAACGCTCGGACGACCTCTATAATCGTGCTCTTCAAGTTGAGAGGCACGCTGTGAAGCTTCATCTTTCCAGCTTCAAGCTTGGAGAAATCGAGTATGTCATTGATGACGGTTAAGAGGGTGTCTAGGTAAATTAGTATCTGATTCTCTGTTACTATGACGACGTTTAATTTACCTGCACACACCCGAATGCTATTGGCATAGCTATCTTGCTCTGCATTTAGGTTTGTACCTTTCAGAAGCTCACTCATGCCAATTACACCATTCAAAGGTGTGCGAAGCTCATGAGAGACATTAGCAAGAAATATCGACTTCACCCTCGCGGCCTCTTCCTTGAGTCGAACATTTTCCATCGCTTCTGCTTCTGCCTTTTTGGCTTTCATTTCTGCTTCCCGCGCTTGAGCAAGAGCGCGCTTTTGAGAAGTGACCATGCTTGCGTTTGACGCGTTGACTTTCTCAATCTTACGAAATAGGAGGGCATTCGATATTGATATCGATATCTGATTGCAAAAGAGTTGCAAGACATTGAGCGTTCTATCAGTGAAAGAATGCGGCTTTCCCTCCTATTTGAAGTTAGTGTATGTCTGAGAAACAAAAGATTCGGGGCATATTGTGGCTCGAACGCAGCACTCTAGCTACCACCGCCAACGATCTTAGTGTGAAGAGCTTACCAGGTAAAGCACGCCAAGCATCTCCTTGCCTTGTAATATCGGTAAACAAAGAACAGATCTAGGCAACCCGATGTTCAAAAATCGTTCGTCCTCGGCAATATTTTGTACAAAGACCACTTCTCGAAATCTTTGAGTGTAGACAATGATCTGTTGCTGAGCGCTATTTTGAAGGTCTTGCAGTGGTACAGCCTTTCGCAATAATTAGTGATGATTGGGATTGGGCAGAATGCTGCCCGGGCTAAGTCTTACGTTTGCTTGTATACCATCAAGACTGCCACTTACTGCAACACACCATTCGTCGTCGTTCTTAGTAATTATGTGGACTAGGTCAGCCTGGGAGCTGGTAGAGGATATGATGATTTCTGTCATCTTGATCAACAGCTTGTCGATGTTCAATTCCGAGGAAATGGCTTGACTAAATTTGAGTATACTGGTAAGATCCAGTATGTCAAGTCCTAGATCTTTTCCGGTCGTGGATTGGCCGGTGGATTGATCCTCAAGCCCCGGGCTTATCCAAGCCTTTGTCCTCATTGCTGCAGTCACTCCATTTTGAATCCTTGATTCATCCCTGTCGTCCGCCTCAAGCTGAATGATATCGCGCGTGCCAAAGATGCCGTTGTCTGTCTGCACAGCTGCATCTTGATTGCCCATAGCCATGAAGCTACTGAGCAGAAATTCGTGCTTGATGGCCATCTGCCCGACCTTACCTGCAGCCCCAAGACGAGAATATGCTGCCATTGCGGCTTTCATTGTAGAGACTGCGGCTCGTCTGGCCCCTCTGCGCACAAAGAAGCAAGCTTGACTCTCGAGGATGACGGCGAGGTCCAAGTGGAAGTCGTACAATTGCGCATGGTCTATTGCCGCCTCATAGACCTGAATCGAATCGTGATACTGGTGTCGCAATTCACACAGCTCGGCTTTGATTAGTAATGCCCACATGAGATAATTTGCATCACAATGTGATTGCCACTCTTCGATTTTGGCCTGATACTTTGCGACGATCCCTAGCAAGTCCTCTTTTTGCACCTGCAGAGAGGAATCTTCCCGAAGCCTTGCAGTGATAGCTAGTGCAGCATAATAGTAGACCATTCGCGTAGTCCTGAAACCCCACAGTGAATCTAATTGAGGTATAATATCGTTTCCGACTTGAGTAGCTTTATCATAGTGTCCGAAAATGTACAAGGCCATGAGCATAAAAGACCCATATATCATGCGAGGCCTATTCTTGTCAATGATGATCGACTTGGGTGGCTAGGCTTTCACAGACCGTTCAGCATTAGAGCTCCGCCTAGACGCAACGTCAAGGTACTCATTGGTAGAATGATCATCATCTGTCAATATATTGTGTGGATCGTCTGTACAGGTCTTGCCCATCAGAGCTCGTGCCACTTGTCTAAAGCGCAAATTCAACATCAGCTATTATGAAAACTTGGTTGCAGCAGTAATTGAGGTCAAAGAAATGCTCTGAAAGTCTTGCACGACGTATGATTGCAAGGTCAAACTTAACTGGCATTTTCGGTTCGTGTCAAGCAAGCAAGGGGTCGATCTTGATTGAGAGTAAGACTTACCGACAACCCACAATGAAAACGCCACCTCTAAGATCACATGTCCAGTCACCGAAATCCTCGGCCGCAATTGTGCAGTAAGTCTCAACGTCGCTCATGTTGTCGCCTGAACAAAGCTTAATACATGCAACACCAGCGATGCCAATGAGCATTAGATGTTTGTCTCCTGAGACCTGCGAGTAGTCAATGCATGCATATAGGATCTCAGCGGTCTCTCGAAGAGGAGAAGACAAGTGTCCCATGAAAAGCCCACCCACGGCGAGACCTCTACCGTGAGTGTAAGGGTCTTTGTTCAGGTCCAGTAGCTTCTGAGAGGCTTCATACATCTGCAAAGCGTAAGCGATATCCCCATGACGTACAACGATTGCCGTGGAGAAGTATCCCAGGGCGAGTCCACTCTGGCTGCACGTCTGATGATATGTCAGCTGCATTTTTGCCGCCTGGACGCAGAGCTGATAGAACTATGCTGGGCATTAGTTGCTGTAAATGATATGTCAGAAGATTGCCACTCACCAACAAAGCGTCAGTCCAGAAAGAGGCACTGATTGCCTCAATCAGGACGGCTCCCATCGAGATCATGAGGGGTTCAGAGTTGACTGGACGATGGACTGTACTTTCGATGCTACTCTGCTGAAATAGCTCTTTGACCTTGAAGTATTCTTCATCACAGTCGTCCCATGTCGGCTGCGTGGTGAAATTGCAACCACTTTCCAGGAGGGACGTCTTCAAAGCACACAAAGCTCCTTTGGTATTCCCTTGGTGGCTAAGTAACTTGGATTGGACGATACATGCTTGAGCTTTCAATGCATCATTGCGAGCATTAGCAAATATTCCATCTAATAGCTCTTGGGACCGTGACAGCTTTTCCTGATGCCAACATAGCTCTGCCGCCTTAATGTGAAGCTTCATAGTTTCTTCATAATCGGTATCTTCCAAATTCTCAGCCCATGGCTTAATCTGCAAGAGATCTAAGCATGTCTCGTAGTATTGCAAAGCAGTAGGTCTGGCACCAGATTCAATGGCTCTATCTGCAGCCTCTGCAAGAAGATTTCGGTAAGGTCTCCTGTGTTGAATACGATTTTTGATAATATTCGCTGCTTTCAGCGCATGCTCGGCCTTTGCATAAAGAGCTTTAGTATCATCTTGGCTATATTTCATCATCGTTTGGACCACAATGAAATGCATTCGTTCTGTGTTTGAGCATTCGCGTAAGCTAGCAGCCGCTTTGATATACCTATCATGTGAGAAATTGTATTCATCGTCGCTGTCTCCTGGAACTAATATGTAAGCCTGCAATGCAGCTTCAAGCCCTTCGACTAGATTTGGAACCGCTTGCGGACTTGACAACTCAGCTGCCCTCGGGCAGTCTGGCTGTTTATCGTCGTCAGTATGGTATCCTTCGCCACTCAATAACCGCTGCATGAGACGAAACGAAAAGCTCGTTCCTAGCAATGATGCCCAAGCAAGGATTGATCGACTGCTGAACGGTAAATCTTGTAGCCTTTGCGTTATGAAATCTTTGTTGAGTTGCTGACCATACTGTGGCGATTGGAACTCCGCGAAGACTCGGTCTAGATTAAAGCACCATGCTGATTGCTGCCAGCAATAATATATAGCCCCTCTTTTGTAGCAGAGTTCAAGCATTTGACGTAAGTAGAAAGGATTACCTCCAGTCTTCTCCAGGCACACGATGGCGAGTGGCAACACGTAATCACGAGGGCGTGACAGACTGGCAGCAACGTAATCCACGACTGTATTCTCAGTCATAGGCTCAAGCTTGATATCGGTCAAATTTGCGCTGCTATGACTGAAGACTTTGCTGGTAGTAGCAGAAATCTCGGTCGCGCGACAGGTAGCCTAAGCATATTAGTAGGGGTTTCAACTTTTACGGAGTTTAATTGCCTTACCATTATTATGATGCCTAATTTTCTTTCCATGATGTTGGATAGCAACTCGAGACTTTCTTCATCTGCATGGTGAATATTGTCAATGCAAAGGCAAATGAGTTTGTAGGATGACAATATTCGCAATATCTCTATGTATACCGTGGTAAACTTGATGGAGCGAGCGCTGATTGTAGGGCCTCGCAACATTTCGCTGGCCGTCACACTAACATTCTGGCCACCTAAAGAGCTGCCAGCATCTGTCGACTCGGTTTGTGACGATCTTGAAAAGCCATGTAAGTTTAGCCCATGAGGCACGCCTCTGGACGACCTAGTATCTGATAGCAAGCTTTCTGGGAGGTCTAGTATAGCGCATACCATTGGCCAATAAGGGCGTATGCCGTTTGCAACCAACTGGTGATAGTCAGTCTTGACATCATTCTCTGAGAAGATTTGACGGAAGAGGGAGCCCAAGGCCTGCAAGAGGGGTTCAAATGGTGCTTTTTTCGCAAAGTCGAACTTTGCTGTTGCGAAATAGCCAAAATCTCTGAGCCGTGGCTGTACATCACACATGAGGCTAGATTTTCCGACACCAGCTTCACCCTTAATGATCACGATCTCGCAACGGTTTTTCCGGCGAGAACCATGACTTCCTCTTCGTCGAGGCGCTTGAGCTAACACTTTTGCAGACTTAGGGAATTGATCTGACCGGGTGGTGCCTTTTGCTGAGCCAGAGAGTCCCGTTCTTAATGAAGTGTGACCTTCCATTTTGGCGGAGCCTAATTTAGGCATCTCGCCTGACCTACTACTCTGTTGAAGTGAGTCTGATCGATGAGGCTCTATTGCTGGAGTGCTGCCGGTGACTGAACTTGTCTCGCTTGATTGAGTTACCAGATCCTCGCTGTTTCTATGTGAAGATGCCGAGGTCGATTCAGCTTCCAGTCCTTGGAGGCCTGTGATTGTCGGGTCTGTGGAATGACGGCGGTGACCAACTTTGTCGATCACTTTCAGCAATGTTTTATGCGCTTCTTCACGGCCAAATTGCTGTGATGGCAAAAGAAAGAAGGAAGATACATCTTTTGTGCCGATTTGGAATTTAGCCAATGCATCAGAATCCCCATCCCCAAGCAATCTTCTCACTTCGATTAGATCGTGTTTGAGGCCACTCGCAGAATGATAACGGTCCACAATCTGTTTCTGGGTCATGTGCTGGATTATATTCGAGACAGCATCCGGGATGTCTAGGCGGATCGAAGATACTGCGGGCAGCCGGCGTGCGAGAACTGCTTGTATAACATCGATCGGGCTTTGACCTTCGAATGCAGGTGTACCGCTTAGCATGGTCCAAAAGACAATTCCCAAGGAATAGATGTCTGTTCTTGAATCCGGTTCGGTAGACATACGTCCTGTCTGCTCCGGTGCAATGAATTGCAGCTTGTGCTTGACACCAAGCTCTTGTGAGAGTGCAAGCCATCGATTGCTCGTCAGACCATTTTCAAAGGACCTTGGCCCGGCACCAAGATTTATGAGCTTCACGGAGCCTGTTTCTTGATTGTAGTGAAATGCGTCTGCCCTGAGCTCGCCATGAACGCTTTTCAATCCATGGTGCATGAGTTCTAGACATTCGCAAGCTCCAATAGCGAAGTCAAGGAAAGTAGTTAGGGGTACGTTCTGCGATACACTATTAGACATATCCCAGCCACCGTCAACGTAAGAAGCCCCATCGATGGTGGGCACATTTGGAGTTCCAAGCCAGGCTGGGCCAAAGTCAATTAAATCCTTCAAATAATTGCGGCCTGGGGCCTCGAAAATCGAACATATAAGGGTATCCTCATCTTCAGGTCGATGGGGAAGAGCGACCAGATCGATCAATCTTGGTACATGAGAGCAATTCGGATCGACAGTATTCATGAAGGCTTTGCATAAGTGGTATTCCCTCTCGATGCGAAGTGCATGGGTAGTCACGCGGGCCACGACAGGCCTTGAAACTCCACTCCCCCATGATGTACTTGATGTGTTCTCGTCTAACTTTTGGTAGGAAGTATCGCGCCGTAGGATTGGGGTGATTCGATTTTCGACTTTTGGAGAGCGTGGGCCAGAATCACTTCTGGCGTGACTGGAGGAGGTTCCGGAAGCATTGCCCCTGGCATGTTGTGTGCCAAAAACGTGCCAGTTATCGTAGGTCTAGATGCGTTCATTAGTCATGTAAAAGACAAGGGCATCGCGTTCGACTGACAGAATGAAAAGGTCGACATGTCTGATCCCAAGTGAAATTTGGGATTAGGGCTAGTCGCTCGAAAAGATAGGACGGAGGTGTGAGCTCGAAGATGCTATCCTCCGAGTCTTCCGTCTCTCTCATACTACTATCAACTTATGGTGAGGGTATCATCTATTCCTGGCTGCCATGAACCTGAGAGACATTCGAACAGCTGCTCGTCATACTGAATCCACCCGCCGCGTTAGCAGTAGGATCCGGACTTTATTGTTAAATCCGTTGACAAATCAAAATTTCCGGAGCATCCCAGTACCCCTTTCGAACATTTTATCACAACAGGTCGAGATGGACGCGCGTGATTTTATGCCAGTGCCTTTTCATCATTGCCTTACGACTTGGCAGCATATTATCTGATTTATGTACAATGGCAAGGAGGATACACATGCATGAAATCAAAAACCTTGGCAGAAGCTCCTTCATAGCGAGCATTAAGATAGAACTCACAGAACGATCCATCTTTACGGAGTGCCTCTCAAAACAGTCACCAGCTCTCCCACAAGCGCCAAATCATTGGTCGAGTACGACCCATTCTTCACTACACCCAGAAAGACATCAAAATTCCTCATCGCAAGCAGCAGCACATCCGCCAATCGATTTACCATTAGCGGCACTGTCTCAGCTGCATCAAGCGGATGCTGCGGGCCACCGCTCACTCCATTCACAATCTGTGGCGTAGGCCTGATGCTTGGTGTATCAAGCAAGTTCACCAGCGCATCATCTGCGGCCTGATTGATACCGAATTCGCGGATGATGCTTTGCAGCAGCGAATTCGGCGTCGTTGGGACCGCTTGGGCGGCGATGGCGGCGATGCCGGGAAGTGAAGCGGAAGCGTTGATTGCTTGAGCCCAAACGAAGATATGGTGTTGTACGTTATAGATGTTCAAGACGGCGTAATAGGATCGTGATGTGAAGAGGGTCGCGTTCGCTGGCGGCGGAGGACAACCGTTGGTAGAAGAATTGCCGTCAAGACTAGAACAATCGTGCGCGGTGATGTTCGCTCGAGTGATTGTTTGTCGTGTGTTGTTTGTGTAGGCGAGATTCAGAAAGCACGTTGACCAGAGTTGCGTTGGAGCACAAGTTTCCAATCGATAAGTCTCGTTCCAATCTACAAGGTATGAAGTTTCATTCAAATCAGCATAGCAGCTTGTTGATATGCCTGTTGTAATATTGTTGCAGTCCACAGGAGGATGAGACGGGTTAGTGAGGTTGAGACCTGGTGAAATAACAATCGGAACGCCATGCCCACGTACAAAGGGAGAGGAAAGCGCCCCGATAATCAGGATCGATACTATCAGCATCATGGTGTTATATCTGAGAACGTCAACGTCGATTCTCCAGGAGCAAGCACCATCATCCTATTTTTGGCACGGGAAATAATGCAGCTTTTGTACGTTCAGCACGATAAAGAAGCGAGCAATGTTTCAAGAAGCCAACGGCATTCGCGTAAATCGATCACATTGATTGCCGCGCAAGAACCAAATCGGAGAAACGCGCATGCGCCATTCAACGTCACTGGAAACATAATGGACTTTTGTTGGTGGTGAAACAACATGCGCAAGCAAGCCCGCTCTTCTAGTATCCAAACCCGCGTGCGCTTGAGCGGGATATAAGACACTTGAAACATCGCGAAATGATGTATCCATTACAGTGATTGTGGAGGTCGAAATCATCAATACCTCACATCGGTACGTTGTGATTTGGCTTCTAGTGACCGGCAGGATACCTCCCGCCGACCACAGCAGTCGATTTCCTCAACTCCTCAATCTCGCTCAGCTCTTGGTCGCTGAGGCTGATCTGCTGGCCGTTTTCGGAGGCCCGTTGTTCTGTCGTCGAGCCAGGTATGGGTATGATAAGAGGCATTCCAGGCTTCTTACTCCATGATCGTGCCCATGCAATAGCAACTTGGGCCGGACTACAACCCTTTGCCTTGGCAATTGCCTGTAACTCTGTTCCCATTCGAGCGTTTTTGCCCAAGTTCTCAGATTTAAAGCGAGGCAATTGTCGACGGATATCGTTGGGGTCCAGGTCATCGAGGTTCTTGATGGAAGCTGTCAGTAAGCCACGACCAAGTGGGCTATAGGCGACAACGGGTATGTTCAGTTCATTGCACGTTTCAACCACGCCGTTGTCAAGAATGTCAGGAGATTGAATCGAAAGCTCGACCTCTACTGCAGCGATAGGATGAAGAGCGGCGTTGGCGCGAATTTGCTGAGCTGTAACCTCGCTGATTCCAATGCCACCGATCTTCCCCTCTTTGACGTACTTGGCTATTGTCTCAATACTCTCTTGCAACGGCGTCTCTGCATCTTGGCGGGCCATTTCAAAAATGTCAATGGATTTGCTCCCATCTAAAAGACCCAAGCACTCGTCAATGCTGCGGCGTAAATTCTGCGGCGCGCCCGAAATGGCCATCTTGCCTGGAACGTTGCCGCCTTTGACGGAGAGTACAACGTTGTCAGCATCCTCAGGATACTGGGTGAAGTAGCGCTTGAGTAGCTGCAGAGAGTTGGCTTCTGGAGAACCATAGAAAACACCAGCATTCCAGAAATTGCAGCCTGCGCTCAAAGCCGCCTTCATCGCTGCAAAAGCTTGAGGGTCGGGTATGGGCTCTTCACGCCACGTCAGATTCATCAAGCCGTAGCCAATAGGTCCTACTTTCTTGCCTGTAATTGTTGCCATTGTGGATTCTTCAAGTCAGATAATCCTGTTTTCAAGAGCTGGGTAGGGCAAACTAGGAGAGGAATGGATTCGCAAGTATATCTTCCATCGAAATGCTCATTCAGTAAACGCTTATCAGATCTTGTGGACGCTGGCAGAGGACGCTGTCTCCGGAATGAACGTCACTGGTAACACCGCTTGGATGTAAGCGCATTAAGTATTGAAGCCTCTTGAATCCGAGGTGGTTGTGGCGCCCAAATGGATGACGTAAGTCCAATCGTCTCCCACTCGGACCAATCGAAAGCACGGATATTTTGCTTCAGTCGTTCATGACCATGGGCAGAATCTCCGATGCCACTTTCCAGCTGTCAGATCCTTTGATCGGGTTTGAGCATTGCACGAGGTCATGCTAGTCAACAGGACATTTGAGTCCGGTTGATTCAAGGTACAGTCCTACGCTTGTAATCTTTCGTCTGAAAAAGTGAGCTATATCATCGAGGAGGGTTGGTGGTGCTGTTGCTTGCTGCTCAGGCTGCCCCGGAAGAGCTCGGTCTTCCATCTCCATTTTTTACTGTCCTTCGCATAGCATACAGTATTCAAAGTGCGTGACTAGCCCAAATATGGTTGTGAGGTGGAGTTTGATATTGGCCGATTTATTGTTGCAGATATCTAATCGACAGTGTTGCTCCTGTACCAATTCACTCGGTATACAGTCATGCATTACGTTCATTTTGCTGTTCTGGCACTAAGGGGGTCTTCAGGATACGGTTTGCTGAGCATTAAGAGGATAGAGACGAGGATAAGAGAGATTTTCAGGGCAGGAGTCCGTCTAGCTTCTAGTATTTCTCAGCGAATTCTGCCCTGCGAGTCAATGTCAGCATGATGAATTCTTGTAAGACAGCTCACTTTTGGAGGCCTGAAAAGGTAGCCTGGGCTAGGGGCCACAAAAAGATAGAAGTTGCCTTCTGCACTCAGTGTTGTCAGGAGGTCCACTGAGTGAACATAGCAGGGACGTCAAGTCATCACTGTTGACCTCGACCGCGATCCGCTCCGTGATCTCGTTCAGCTTCTGAGGGTGTCGTGGGAGTGTTTTCAGCTCTGTGAGCCAACATAGCAGCTCTTGCCGAACGACATTCTTAGTAAAGGGCTTTGATGAGAGCACAGAGGATGGAAGATATTCGAAGTCTGTTCGCGTTTCGCTTCAGACAGTGCGGACCGAGCCGATGGTCGGATAGAGTCTTTCCGTACTGCTGTATCTGGATACACAACAGCAAGCTCTGAGGGAGTGAATGAAGCTCAATGAAAAGTCGTGAGCCGTTGGTTCTGTGGGGTGTCGTCCACAAAAGTCGAATCGGACTCTTGGATTCCGTCCGTTGTGAATTCGGAATTAGAGCTGGCAGTCTAAAGTGGTATCATTGGTGCTGCTGCCACGACCTTGGATTGGTGGGAGAGAGAAAGACGTCGTCTGGCCTTCCACATACAGAAGTCGAGAATTTGCAGCGTCCCAGATCAGATTGCTCTCGCCATTCTCGGTGTCTATCAGAATCTTTAGGCCTTCCAAATTGGGAAAGTCCTCAATCCCATTGGCAGCAACAGACTCCCGTGGAGCGGTTCTTGTTAGAGACCGAGTCAAAGCCTCAAGATCATCAATCAGGCCTTTGAGATCTTTGACTAATTCCGCAAACTTCCCACGATCAGCAACGGCCCAGCGCACAGCCAAGCCTTGTCCTGGGGGACCCTTAGTCGAGACCTTCTCATTTGGAATCGCCTGAAAGCTTGTCGAAGTACTTCCCTGTGTTGCCAGTAGTTGCAAGGACAGTGTCGCCCGTTTCCTTTTCTATCCATAAGCCATGTGTACTTGTGAAGCGAGCACCTTCACCAAACAAACGTCAACTCAAGGCCATCATCGTCACAACCGACTGTCTCTTCTCGAGCTCATTGGGCCATCAGTAATAAGCAGTTCATCCAGCCCAACAGACCAATCCCAAAACATGAATCGAACATTTCAACTAACCAATTTGGTGTGCAATGTTTTGGTCACTACGGGACCGAGCACGCTCCAGTTGGATCAAGTCAAAGATTTGTATGCATGTGTTGAAGAGACCCACTAGACTTGCAGCTACCACCACTAGCCCTGCTGCCTCTGCCATATCAAAGCGACTAAGACTCGGCAAGCTTACGCAATATGCGATGGCAAGTGGGGTCTCCGAATCCTGTTTTGATCTTGTACCCGTACGTCGTGGATAGTGCCGTGCTTTGACTTGTGAGCATGATCTAGAAGCGTCGCTAACCATGCCTTCAATCCTGGCGACAACACTGATCAGCATCGATACAACACCGGTCCATCCGATGTCTTGGTGGAGAAGAGTGATGATAGCAGAAGAATCGATCCAAAGGCACAGATCAGGCTGTCGAGGCAAGCCGCGCAGGCCAAGCAGCTCTGTGCTGACTGCAATCCAATCAGAAAGTACTCAGCGGTGCACCCAACCCCCTTCAGGATTTTCATACGCAGAGATACTTTATCAGACAAGTACCTCAATCACGATAGGATTCGAAGGACTAGCTCTTACTCCGACGCGGTGAGACTGCATTTTTGCGCTGGCTTCTTCCTGAGGCTATTCCCGACTGTCGTTAGCGCTCTGAGTGGTCAAGACTGAAAAATATCGAACGATAGGAAGCTGGAGGTCGTCGACAGCCTCGGTCAACGCTATGTTGGGCTGTGCAGATCGCTTCCAAAACGGTCCTGCAGCTTCTTGCGGCGTCGTCCTGAATAGGAGAAAGATCTGCATAAAGCCATGCCTTCGATGCCTAAACAGGTATCTGCCACTAAGTCGCCAAAACCACAATTACTTGTTCGAGACGGACATAGCGCCGCTAATCGAGATCTGGGACCGATGACGGGACGGTACTTTGTCGGATTCGTCAGCTGGCCAGACCGGCGGGTCCAGAGTTTAGCTTTCGCCTTCTCGCCTGTGAACACTAGGTCCTCACAAGTTCCAAGTTCCCGTGCCTTAGGGTTGGTACGAGTTGGTTCGTGTGCCATGGGGTTCGCCCCCTCGCACCTATTTAGTCATGAGCAGTCACGAGGAAAGTGTGGAAATTCCTACCTGTGTCCGCAGACTTGGTGCTTATATTTTGGACTGTGTGTTTGAGGCATTCTTTTGAGTCCTTCTTTTGAGTCCATCTTCTCCTACCTCTCTTCACCCTTATCATGTCACCATCACCCCAGCGGAGAACTGCGGAAGCACTTGTGGCGGCCTTCAACAATATGGACGTCGATAAGATAATCTCGTACCGCAGTCCAGACTGCACTCGTCAATTCATTCCATCATCCATCAATGCACCCCAAAATAACGCCGCGTACGCCAAGACCCTCCACCAACTGCGGGCGATCTTCTACAACTTTTCTCTCAAGGTGACTGATATCCTCGAAGACAAAGATGCCCGCCGTGTATGCATGTGGTTGACCGCACGAGCCGATACCGCTGCTGGGAAGTACGTCAATGAGTATGTCTGGCTTCTAGACTTTGATGGAACTGGTCGAAAAATCACGACGTCCAAGGAGTATTCGGACACGATAATGGCTAGGGACTTCTTCCCAAAGCTTCAAGCAGCTATGAAAGCACAACAAGCATCCACGAACGGCAAGACACACAAATGAAGCGATTGACCTCCTAGACTCACTGGGGAGAGATGCTTCCACCCCCTGATTCGATACATAAGTTTGCCTTTACAGCTTCTGATACTGTCTTAATTACCAACGTGCAGCATCCGAGACACATGAATATATGAACCATGAACGGCCGTCCTCTATCATATCAAGATTCCTTAAAGCGGCATTGGGGCATCGAAATCTGTAATGATCCATCTGCATACGCGAGCGGGGATTTGATACAAGGGGGAGTTTTTGAGCAATCAATGACGGAACATAAAGTTCTCTCCGCAATGTACCACTCGTTAGAATACAAATTCTTATATAGAGCGCCTTTAGAAGAGCGTGTATCCACCTACACAAAGAAATTAGCAAGCACCAGGAGGATACTGAAGCCTTGCCATCAATCTTGATATTTGTCCCAGTAATGAATTTGCCAGCATCACTACACAGTAGCAAGACGGCTCCCGTCAAGTCCTTCAGGTCACCTATTCCCATAGGACTTTTCTCGAGCCACAACTTACGAAGATCTTTCTGTGCCTCACCACCGGAGAGCCTGGTGTTCATGATACTTGGCGGTATACTATTCACCCGGATTCTGTGTCCAACCCATTCGTCCGCCAGCGATCTTGCAAGATGATGCACAGCAGCTTTGGAAACCACAGAAACCGAGTGCGGTTGTGGCGTACTCACAACACACCCTGGCATGGAGGCAGAAAAGACCATTGAAGCCGAACGGTTTCGAGCAATGCAGTCCCTTCGTAACGTAAACTACCTTCACAAGGCAAAACAAAAGAACAAGAACAGCACAAGAAAAAGCGAAGGAGAAAGCGGAAAACGCATTGCGCCACTTGCCTAGCAACCAAGAGAGTCCCTCAACATTCACCCCCCTCCACTCCATCATCGGATACTCGAATGCCAACTTGCTCCCCGTGACACCCGCAAAACTTACCAACAAGTCCACTCCTCCCCAGTCTCTCACGATGTCACTCACCGCTTTCTCCACCTACTCTTCATCACTAACATCAACACTCACCCCCACAATATTGCCCTCATATCTCTCATTCAGAGAGGCAAGATGACTTATCGCGATAAACCCCCGCTCATTTTCGATATCGAAAATTGCAAGCTTCGAAAGGCCGTGCTCGAGCATCGGGCGTGCGCAAACAAGGCCAAAGCCTTATGCTCCGCCGGTGACTTAGCTATGTTCAGTCGCAGATAAGACTACCTGTGGTAGAGCTGACCAATAGCTTTCTTTCCTGAAAGAGAGAAGCGAGAGGTAGCTCTCTCCGTGGAGGACTTTTCGCGATGAGAGATATCGTGGATGGGTTTGGGCGGAAGAGGGTCTTGCGCGATTGGAAAAGGGGTCATGTATTTCAATTCGCCTTGTGGGGGACCAGTCTGATCTACCATTTTGATGACAAGGGTTCTCAATTTACAAGTCACGTATCAATCCAACCAGCTCAATATCATGAAAAGTCTAAGCCGCTTGTGGGACTTAGCACGAACTCTAAAGCCCACATACTGGAATCCATCTCCCGACTGTTACACAGCCTTTAGACTCTGTCGCCTTCGATTGATATCTGCCATTGAATTTCACGTTACGAGACTGCTGGGTCGGCTGGACACAGCCTGCCCTCTGCATCCTCGGCCCAATACTCACTCCCTACAGCCGTTTTGGCATACCAAACACCTGTCGGATCGTACTTTCGCTTTATGGCCAGCTGCCGCGGGTAATTCTCTCCATAGATGCTTTGCTGCCAATTTGGATCATCTGGATCTGCTTCATTCATGTAAGCGCCGCCACCTTGACTGGCAGGGGCCAATTGTTCAAGAGCGCTCGTCCAGTGCTGCGTTATATACTTCTTCGCATCAGTGTTGTCTTCGAAAGATGCACTGTCATTGTAGGGTTTGCCTGCGACAAGATCTATGATGTTAGTACGCCAAGCTGGAAGGACAGAGTTGTTAAGCGGCTGAGCGACCTTAAGATTCGGGTTCATGACTGCTTCAACCATTGTTGCGCCATCATCAAAGAGGGTTCTGAATGTCTGAGAAACGGCGTCTGTTTGCTGAGTGATAATATTGCGTGGAATTAATCGGCTTGTCCATTGATAAGTGCCCGACTGGAATGGAGGAAAGAGGGCTTTGTAGGCTTGATTGAAGGTAGGATACGTGTAGGATGTGAGATTGTATGCTAATTTTGGATATTTGCCTTTCAATTCATCAAGCTGATTGACGAATGGTTGAATCAGAGCAGCGGTTTGCTTCTTCGTTACGTCTGGAACGAAGAGCGGCCAGATCTGAAAATACCCCGTTTGGTAGAAAGCGTAGGCATAGCCACCGGCATCAGTAATGCTGGGAGTGAGGGTATGCCAGGTGTCTACCAAAGACCAGAATTCATCGTCGGTAACGATACCTGCGTAGGGCAAGGTGAGAATGGCGCCGCTTATAGGGAAGTCCTTGAAGATCTTGAATGTGACTGACTTGGCGTAGGCGATCGTACCACTGGAACCACTACCGCTCAGAAACCAGTAAATATCTTGGTATTTATCAGGCGTGGCTGTGAACGAGGAGCCATTTGCCAATATTCCCTCAATCTCTAGAATTTTGTCCGCGGCCAAGCCAAGCTTAGAAGTCGTGGGCGCGTGGCCACCAGCGAATATATATCCACCTGCTAGTCCAACTGTTGGACATTCACCTCCGATAGCCATGTAGCCTTGCTTTTCGAGAAAATCATACACTTCACCTACCTGGATCCCAGCTTGAACCTTGAGTGCTGGACCAGTATATTCATTGCTTTGGTAGTTTGTAATCACCGGGCTGATTTCCTTTAAATGGTGAGTCCATAGAGCCAAAGCCCCGTGGCCCGTAGACCTCCCTAAATAGCTACAAATGGTTCATCAGACAAATCTGAAAGCATCAAGAATTATGTTCAGCGACTTACTCATGACCAGTATTTTTTATCAGGATCCTTACATTGTGTTCCTGCGCGAATGCTAGTCCAACCCTGACATCGTCGTCTCCAGCAACATCAATAGCGTACTGATTATAATTACCAATGCCGCACTTGCCATTGCTCTGATCGGCAATCGGATTACAGCTATCGCCGGCAAAGTACGTTTGCATGACGCTCGACGAACTCTGTTCATGAAACAAAGGCTCATGCCAGCTTTTCTGGACGGTGGCGCAGGCAGCCTCATCATACGTGGAGAGATCGTACGCCCCCGTACTCACGTCAAAGGTGCTTTTGTAGCATGGCGACCCAGCAGGTACAGTTGCGATCAGTCGCCCGCCGACAGATTGGTTCAGCGCTGCCCACTCGTGTAAAGTGGGCCACTTGGAATCGAGAGGAATGACACGACAGCCACTACTTTGTGGCTGGGAGAGGTTAAAGGAACCCAAAACTTGGCCTCTGGCACCTAGATACGGTATAGCTAATCGTATATAGAGCGCGAGGAGCAACATCATCTAAATTGTACGTATTGAGATACGAAAATTGTAAGCAGCAAACAATACGACGGGATGGAGCAAGTTGGTGATCTTCACTTTGAAAACGGACCAAGCGCAATATGAGAGCTATATGAGTTCCAATACAGTCTTCCACCTACCTTGAAATATATCAAAGCTCACCTAGATCGACGCCAAAGAAGCAGATGCATGACAAAGCAAGGTGTTGCATACTTATTCACGACATGCGCAACGAGTACCTGTCTCCGGAGACGCAACAATGAACCTCGTGGTTTGTTTCGTTGATTGTTTCCTCGCAGGGCGCTGGGTCGCGCCGGGTGACTGGAATAGGAACCAGCTGACCCTTTGCATATCAGGGACTAAATCGACTGGCCCGGATGCTGCCAGGGAGACGAAGGATGCCACCAAAGGTACTTTACAGACGTCTGCGGTAAAGCGCAACGACGCAGCTTGCAAAATCTAGAACCAGGCCTCCACATTTGCTGTCCGGCGTTCACTAGCCGTTGGCTGCAGAATTGTCTCCTCTCCTTCATTCCACACCATCTGGATGACCAAATATGACCCAGTATGAGGCTGACGACATGTCCTCAGAAGGTCTGATACCAATTGCCATGCGTTCGACGACCACACTACCTCAATCACCGCAGTGCAGGTTGCATTCCAGTTCGGACTATGACTGTGGCAAGCTATCACATGTTGCTGTTCAATGCAAGGCAGTCCATGCTGTGTATAGGTCGTACGAGTTCGTGTTTGCACATTACTCCTCTGGATTTGGGACCTTCTTATACCTTGTAATCTTCGGTGTGATGATACTACAGCATATTCTGCCGGTCGGATGTCGAATAGTATCAGACTTTGGCTGAATCACGCCCCTTCTTCAGCGTCTATCTGGCAGCTCTATGTCTGTTCTCTACCTCAAACTATCTAATGCAAGCTTCCACTCCCAGCCTGAGAAGATTCTTGTCTCTGTGGGGGCCTGACGATGGGCAGGCTGTTCGCATTTGCCGTTGTTTCAGCCTGTGTGAAGCGAGCCATGGCCGAATCAACGCTGGCGACATTCGTTTACACTTTCATCAGGCTTGCAGAATGGCCGACCGAGATCTAAGCTCTGAGCTCTACCGTCTTGTGGTGGCACGAGTCTTGATCTGTCGTCATCCTTCATGCGGCGCTCGCAGTTTTGAAACCAAACTAGCCGCTCGCCCCCACTGTTCAGATATGCTACACCAAGCCTACAGTCGTATTCGCAAACGTGATTTCCTTCGGACGGGGATGAGTCAACGGTTACTGAGGTTGTGGCTCGAAATCATTGCAATAGCCTCTGCATCGTTGGCTTTTGCTCATCGAGTCTTTTCTTCCTCACTCTATTCCCAATTTTGCAAGAAGGGTAGTCGAAACAACCCATTGTTTTAAGATGCGCCGGTCAAGACTTTCGCCTTGAGCCGTCCGAGAGCTTCTGCAAGTGAACCTTTTAACTTGGAACCTTCCCCTGGCCACTCGTCCAGTAGTAGGCCTCTCATTGGTGACCGAGCCTACGATCTGGATGGGAGACATGATCGTCAAGGTTGTGTGAACGGAAATGACCAGCATCTACCTGGCGTCTTGTGCCACAATTCATCATCACCGTGCTCTGAGATGAACATTCAGCCTTGCATGCCCCCCTGAGATGGTAGCATCGGAGTCTCCGACCCCTCTCATGTGAAAAGTATCCTTCGATCCTATAAGTCGGGTCGCTGTGTTCCCTCTTTGCTTGCGTCCTGCTTGGTTATCTTTATGTGAAGAGCCTTGTCTTTCCAATTTGTGAATTTTCTTTAGGTCGTCCAGTGCATGCTACAGTTTTCAGTATGAAAGCGTCAATATGGGTTGTAGCAATTATGATTGCCCCAATCCTTGCCTCACCTAAGTATCGAAAGAAGTCGTGGTCATCCAGCGCCAAGCCAACAAACACATGGTCATCGTCACCGCCTGGTCCATCGGATACTAATGGCTATTCCAGCGATTACTCAAATGATTACTCGAAGAAAAAGTCTACCGGAAATGCGAACCAATACCAAGCAAACCAATTTTACCAACAGCCAGCGAGTTCAAACGGTGCTTCTGGCTCCAGTGACACCTACCCGCCCAGCCAGACTGGAAGTCTAGCCTCCGGAAATATCGCCAATGGAACCGTGATCTCAAGCGGAAGCATAACACTTCCCGCCGGCTGTCAGCAAAAGAATGATATCGGAATCGGCTGGCTCCCCAGCGACACCTCCCTCTCAACCATCGAAGGCAGTCTCGGCGCCCCCTCGTGCTGGGACGGTCAATATGCTCAAATCACCACCACAGGCGCCTACACAGATTCCAACCAACAACTTCTTGGGCATTTAAAAGACATCAGCAACCCCGCCAACACCATATTCGTAGCCTCCGTCATGCCCACGATCTCCATGTCTCAAGTCGACGACACAGTGGCTCAAGGCGTTGCCAACGTCCTTAGCCAGTTCACTACTAAGGGTATTGAAGTTTGGCTTCGCTATGCGCACGAAATGAACTACTACACCACCTCCGGCTCTGAAGGCGGTCACTACGACGGCAATCCCGACACCTTCAAGACGTCTTGGGCAGCCATGTCTCGCGCTGTCAAAGCAAACGCCAAGATCAAGATGTTCTGGTCCCCCAATAGCGGGAGCCCTGACGATCTGCAGCAATGGTATCCCACCGAAGGTCAGGTAGATATGGTAGGCATCGACATCTACCCCAAGGAGCAGCAGTCATTTGCGGATGTTTATGGGGCGTTTTGTCAGAAATTCAGTTCTGCGAGTATTCCTTTCGTGATTGGGGAGACAGGGGCTGGGCCGAGTTTGAAGGACGGGTGGTTTAAGGAATTGGTGAGTCCAGAGGCGAAGACGGCTTGTCCGAATTATTTGGGGTTTTCGTGGTTTGAGTATGATAAAGAGGCTGATTTCAGAGTGGCGACTGCTGGGGAGAATATTGCGAAGCAGGTATTGAGTTCGTAGTAGGCCACGCTATCAGAGATAGCAACCGTTCGAATTGTGCATTTAGATTTATGAGAATCTTGAGCTTGGATTATACACCCTAGCTATGAGGGACGCCCATGGAACGCTCTTGCCACCCTGTAGACTTCGTTGAACATTGAAAACGCTGAAAGAGTCTATATAGTTACTTCGTTGTAAATCAGCGCATCCTCCTTTCAGAGAAACATCAGCCCTTCCGCTTCCTCACATCCTTCCTCTGTACATGGACATAACTCCCTGTCCCATCAACTTTGTCTACCTTCCCATTCTCAATGATCTGTTCCACGCCTTCACAAACCGCGTCAGCAATCCTCTCCGTATCAACCAGCCCCTCCACCATAATGCCCTCTTCCTTCGCTTTCTTCTTATCTCTCGGCTCTCTGAATCTCTTCCTCACCGTCTCAATCATTTTGCCGAACCAGTAGAAATTGAGCGTATTCAGCACAATATTGCTGACTAAATACACACAAGCCAGCCACGTCGGGATCACATAGTTCCCTGCATATCGCATCACCTCATCATCCTCTCCTAGGGGCTCAAAAATTTGGTCACTAGCTTGTTTTGCGAGGCGAGACGTAGCGTCGAAGTGTAAGCCTGCCCACACGTCTTGATACACGCGTATCGATTGGTAAGTACCCCAGAGCAACCGACAGCCAAGGAATGACGCGAGGAGAACGATGCCATTATACCACTGCGGCTTCGAGCCAGTCATATTAAGCTTATCGAAGAACCAGTGGAAATTGAGGAACGGGCTGGAAAGCTCGTAGAGAATGAACGTAGGCCCATAGAAGTTGACGAACGGTCTCTGTCACATACACGTCAGCCGTGATCACCATATGAGTTCTCCCTGTCTCGGCCCCTCCTCTTCTGTATTCCATCCCATTGTCCTCCACCAGAACCCGCAAGAAGGAGATAAGGAAACCCACAAATCCCAATCCGAAAACTCCCAGCGCAGCAATGGCATGCAACAGCAAACCCACCCCAAACACCCTCGTATGCCTAACACAAATCCCCAAATCCCACAAAAAATACCCAGCCGCAAACGCCTGAATCATACCACTCGCCCCCGTATACCCCCACACCCGCTCCTCCCATCCCATCTCCCCCTCTCTTCGTCCTGCCACATCGCCCACAACGCCGCCGTGCATATCAGCACAGATTGGAAGAGCGACACCACGTGCACGTCCCAGTTCATTTTTGTCCGGTGTGGGAAGTGCGGGTAGATGTGGGGGAAGAGGCGAGTGGATAAGTAGGGGGAGAGGGAGACGTAGATAAAGGTGTATGTGAGCGTGGCGAAGAGGAGTTCGTGGATGTGGAGATCGAGGGTTGTGAGACCGACGCGGACGAAGAGGGGACGGAGGTAAGTGGAGAGGTGTGGTGCGGGGAGGGGGAAGGGGTCGTGCATTGTGGAGGGTTGGGGATGTTGATTTCTGAAGATATGAAATAGGAGATTGGGGCTTTAGCGGTCCATATTGTCGAGGGAATGCTCTTTATGTTATCGGGATCTTGGCGAGGCGTCAGTCGGTGAGATCGCGTGTGAGGACCGCGTCATGTGGTGAGGCTTACTATGGACAAGAAGGGCAGCAGGCAGATGTCGATATCCATGGACATTCCCCGACAGAGTGCGGAGATACGCGGGGATAATTTTCTGCAGGTCGCCGTCTAGACCGCTGGACTTGGACTGAGGCTTGTGAGGCTACAACTAAACAACTTGACGGAAAGAATGTTGTGTGGTAAGGCATCATCATTGACTAAACATTGCTTCGTATAAGGGTATCTCCAACGTCTTCGCTCAAACCATAAAACCCGCATCGAAATACCAAATAATAATGTGAATAGTAGCTTCCAAAAAGCGAGATATCAATCCCAAGGATAGTCTGCCTCTTCGACTCTGGTACAAGTCAGGTAATTCAGGCTTCCCGAGTCCTTCCCAATATCTAGCTCCAAATAGCTTCTGCTCAATGGCCTCACAATTTCCCTCGCCAACCCCTTGATCTCATCAACTTTTTTCTCAAATCTTTTTAATACCTCTCTGCTATGCTCGTCTGGCTTGAGACGCACGAAGCGTTTGCATTCATCGTGCCCAAGGTAGCTTGACCCTCCCGCCCCTAGCTTTCTGTATAAGCTGCCAGGACTTGGCGACGTTGGTGCCAGACGATTTCGATTAGAGTCGGATGTAGGTGGTGGGGGCGCAGGTGCTGTGTTGTCTGCCAACCATTGTCTGAACAAGGACAATGCAAGCCAGTCTGTGTAGGCATTACTGGGCGACACCCGCTCGCCCTTCGGCGTTGTGAGATTGATTCGAAAGAGCCTTGCTTCGGCCTTCATCTTTCGCTCCGCCAATTCATCAACTTTGTCTTCGATCACTTCGATCACGGCTTCGGGAACGGTGTGTTTCAACTGACTCGAGCCGGAAGGCCATTGTCCGACCACGTGCACAAGAGCTTCAGCAAAAATGACTTTAGAGCGGGAAAGATATCCAATTCTGAGGTAACTAGGCGGGTACTTTGCGATTTGCTTCCAGAGTCTTCCCTGAAATTGGAGCAGATGGTGGTCTATCCTCGGCCCAACAACGTCAAGAGCATCGTACATGTCGGCTAGCGTGAGAAGAGATTTGCATTGTATATACGCCTCAGCAATGTTGACGGCGTCGAGAGAGGGAGAGTAATTATAGAAGATACGGAAGAGGTTATCGTAGTCGCGAATGGTGTCGCTATCAGCATTGCTTTGAGAGTTCGGTTTAGCAAGATGAGAGGCGGATTGGAGGGCGGAAAAATTGGACATTGAGCGTAGAAAGCCGGTGGCTGGCGCTGAGGGTTTGTTGGCTACCGGAGATGGTGGAACTGAAGTGTGGCCGCCGAATAAAGTTGATTGAGGTTGCTGGATTCTTTAGTCAAGCTCTGCTCCTTTCAGGTCACGTATCTTACCCTCTGAACCAGCATCGGCACCTCTTCCTCCTTGTTGCCCCAATCCAGCTCATATCTTAACTGTATCTTCTCTCCATTTCTCAATGGTCTCGTCGCTTGCCCTTCATCAACGTCGACATCGCCATCTTCGCCAATACTTCGTAGCCCATGTGTTGTGGGTATTCCATTCTGCTGCACTTTCGCCCACTCCTCGCTGGTACTAGCCTCGAAGAAGCCTGCATTTTGACTAAGTATCAAGCGATGTAACATGTACCTCCGTTCTTGCCCATCCGCGTTTATTATTATCTCGACATCGCCCGTTTGCGCAAAGTATGGAAATTCGTTTTGTGGCTTGTACGTGCCACCTCCACTGTGGGAGCGGCTGCTGCGGTGCCGACGATTTGAAGTGGTCCGAGAAGACGAAGCGACTGAAGGGGCGCGATGGCTAAGTGTGCGATGTTGTTGTTCTGGGCCTTGCGCGTGGGAGACCATCGTGGTAAGTTGTGGCAGGAATAGTGAGGCTGAAAGCGCATCACTCCATACGTCTTGTAGGGGACGTGACAGACCCCAAACGACTTTGCGACTGAGGTGTATCCTCGATTGTCGTAATGGTCCGAGTCTCGTTTTATTGACCCCAAGCGGGGCGTTGGGGTGGACTCAGCTCATGCAGCAAGCAAGGAACGAAGAATCTTTGTTTGATTGGTTGGGAAGCATTGATGGCCACCGCCCCTAACCGCATTGATGCAGGTCAGTCGAAGGCGATCTTTCGCCCCATGGGAACTACATAGATGGGCTTAGGCAACAACTAGACTTCGATGTATATGGCTATTTGCTATGTACATTGACTGGACCTCTCTTAGCTCGCAACGTTAATTTTGTGCTTGCCAATTATCTTCTGGCCATTCATCCACGGCCACAGCGCCTCAGGAATTCTCACGACGTCGTCGTTTTCCCATCCGTTCTCTAATATAGCGGCTAGTATCCTTGGAACTGCCATGGCTGTTCCATTGATGGTGCTCGGAAACACCAGCTCTTCATTCAGCGTCTTGACCCGAGTATTGAGCCTGCGTGTTTGATAATCGGTACATATACTTGCAGAGGTCACCTCGCCCCAGCCGCCATTCAAGTCCTTTCTCGATGGAAAATAGACCTCTATGTCACGTTTCCTTGACGCGCTTGCACCAAGCTCGCGAGCTGGCATTTCTAAGAGTCTGAAGGGCAGCCCAAGTGAAGTGATAATCTCCTTTTGTATTGAAACCATCTCATCGAAAATCTTTACCTCTTCCCCAGGCATTGTCCACGCAAACATCTCGACTTTGGTAAACTCGTGGACCCTATATAGCCCTCTTGTATCTCGTCCGCGAGCGCCAGCTTCCGCCCTATAACATCGACTTGAGCCGACTATGCGTGCTGGCAGATCTTTCTGTTGCAAGGTCTTGTTTGCTTGCATGGTGGCAAGTGGAATTTCGGCCGTACCTGCTAAGCTGAGCTGTGGTTTTTGGGTTTGCGCATCATTATACGGTCTATGAATGTCATAGACTTGCTGTTCGCCATTTTGGTCGCGCGGTCGGTAGCCACAAGCTTGTGCGATTTGAGAGTATATCAGAGTAGGCGGATCGCATGGTTCATATTGATGTCTTTCTACAACAGATTCAGCGTAATTTACTAAAGCCCGTGCGAGCTTTTTGGCCTCCTTGCGAAGAAAGTAGAATCCCCATCCGGAGGTGGAGATAGCAGAACTGAAGTCAAGTATGTCAAGCTGTGTGCCAATGCGAACATGATCTCGGAGTGCATCATCATTGCGATCTGGAGGCGGAGTGGCTTCTATTATCAACGGTTTGTCACCGAGAGGAGTTTCGTCGCTCGACAGATTAGGCAATTGGTTAGACAGTCCGGCGATTTTGTTCTGCAGCCATTCCTGCTGGGGTTCACTCTGCTCTAATGAGACCCTGAGTGAGCGAGCTTCTGATAAGAATGATTTTTTTTCGTCTTCCTCTGCAGCTGCAATTTGAGTTTGGACATTTTTCAACTTTTGTCGAGCCTCAAGCGAAGATCTCTCCAACTCTAACCATTGCGAATGGCAATCAACAATTTGCTGGGGAATCTGAGCACTGCCACCATATCTTCGATGCACACAGTTCTGTGAATAGAGAGCAGGATTCGATCGTATAGCTTTGATGTCAATGGAAGCTTTGGGGAGGACTTGAGCACCGGTATGCGATATGTCCTTGCTGGTGGAAGAGGTGGACTGAAAGCGCAAGATGATGTTATTACATTTTTTTGACGGGTATGAGCAGGCTACGCGCGGTACGTAGCGCAGCATACCACGAGTTTCTCCCCGTGATCTTCAGCTTCTTCGTTCGCGTGAAGTCTTTTCAGAACTCCTGGCTAAAGTCAGGCTCGCGGGTGACAATACTCATGGGACAACCAAGGCGAAGAAGATAGCGCCTTGGCTGTCCCATGAGTATTGTCACCCGCGAGTCAGGCAAAATTGTAGCGGCGGCAAATATTTTCTCCGATCCGATCCACCTGGAAAAGATAGAAACCTTGATGCAAAAACACAGTCTCTATGCACATCCCGGGGCTGAACGAAGCTCTCCTGAGTGAGCTGCACATACTCTCGTTGTTCATTTCGAAGTCGACAAGTGTGATCGACACTACAGCAAGACCAAGATAGTCGTAGTACATGATGTCTAGGTTCTTCGAGGAAGATCTGGTAGCCTTCAAGTGCGATCCTTCGCTTTTGGGTATTATTGCCCGATCATGGCGAGATTTAGATCAAGAACCCTCAGAGACATACACATGGTATTTCCACGAGGACGTACCCCGTGACGTGGAGTCTGTCTTGCTACGAGAGGGCCGGCTTTTACAGGGCTATGTGATGATTGAATTTCCCAACTTTGCTGACGAATTTTGCCTAGTCAACGAGAAGGCTTTAAGACTTGTCGACCGAAGCCTTGCTGTAGGAGACCTTGTCAAACGTAGCATCTCTGATATTCAGAGCGGAACTGTCATCTCTACATCCATGCGATGCAAAATTCAACCATGCTGCTCTCTCTCCCTTTTTCATAATGACTTGGGTAATATGAGGGTTTCTAGACAAGCTAATCTTAGTTTGACTCCAGCATGTGGCGACTCTTGTAGTATTGATTCGGACCTTGAGGTTTGGGCCTCAGAGCTGAAAGATCATGGCGACTACCGCGAAGAGGATTTCATTGCCTACAAAGACTGGATAGGTCAAATTATGACGACCGTGGCTGAGATTACTATTCGCCTTACTAATGGGAGCGTGGTGACTGTAGACGATCCACAAGATGTGTATGAGCCAACGTTTTACGAAGGCTCAATGTCTGCGCGTTATGTTCAACACCTGGCTCGCGCCCGCTACCACTGGGATGACGAGAATGGTTCCAAAAGTAGACTGTATAACAATCCCTTGAGTGGTTCTTGTTATCCTGGTCAAATAGTCCAAACCAAGAAGGCCAATCTCAGGAAAGGACGCTGGAGATTTGGTGCTTACAGCCCGAACATTCCGCCTTTTGGTATGGTCTTGGAATCAAGAACGGTGGAGATAGATGTTGAATGGTTATATCCAAACATTCTCAAAGAAAGAGTTTCGCATGCGGCTCCGTCTGCCATACTGACGACCGACGATATCAATAGTGGTCACATTCGAGTTTACGACCGCAGCAAATTGCCCAGCAAACCCTTGAGTCTCCAGCTTGCAAACGCATCATATAGTCCTGACATAGGCCTTGGAAGCTTCGTGAGATTCAATGGTTCTGACATTGCGGGCGAGAGCTATAAAGAAATTGCAGAGATTGGCCTCTATCAAATACCCCGAGTTCAGACTCAAGGCTTTGACATGAACGTTTTCCGAGTCACACATACTAAGACAAATGTTATGGTGCAATGGCAGGACGGTTCGATCAGCGAGGAGGCCGCCACAAGTTTGGATCATTACGAAAACTCAGATGACCATGATGTTTGGCCAGGTGACAAGGTGTCTTTCCAGCCTGACGAAAAGCGTCAAGTGGATGGCTCAAGCGAACTTATCATCACGAGCAAGGTTGGGGTTGTTCAGTCGGTAGATGCAGAATCCCGGATCGCTCAGGTGCACTGGTATGAGAAGCCAAATGTCACTTTGGAAGCTCAGCATGCATTCTCGCCAGAGCCAATGTCAGAATTTGGGACAATGAGCGAAAATATGTCCGATGTCTCTTTGTACGAGATATACGCTCATCCAGGCCTCTCCGTGTGCCGTGGCAACATGGTCTTCGTCTTACCTGAAACCAGGCAACTCAATCTACAAGACGTAAAATCGGTCTTAAGTCGAGATACTGACAATCTTTCTCAAAGGCTACCGACTTTTAATCGAATAACATTTCCTCCATTGCTGTCCGAGGACGACAACCTCGGCTTGGATAATTCGCAGTTAGGCACCTTTGATTACGCAGTGAGCCGAGCCTTGCATTCGCAGTTGGGGTCAGCATCAGTGCAGAATCACAAGGAGCGCGAACGTACCGGTGCGCTAAATAAGGATGTGTCGCGATTTGAGACGACCTATTGTCTTGGTGAAGTCACGGACCTATGTTCTAATGGCGAGATCCTCGTTCGACTCGGCTTGACTCCGGACGCCCTCGAGATTCGAGCTCATCCGGACCTTGTCGTACTTGTGGCTGAGGGCGACACTGCTGACGACGCCTCAGATAGCTCTGAAGATAGCGAGGAATGGACGGAATCTGACACAGAGAGTGTGGCCGGTTTGCAGACGCAGCCTGATGAGACTTCGTCCAATAGCAGCGACTGTATGATCGTTGGCACCAGCGGCGAAAGCAATCAGCAATCCGAGACGAGTGAGCAGCTATCCGACCGCGAAGATGGTGCAGCTTTGAGCGTATCACCTGCGATCATGTCAATAGATGTCCGGTCCTCGAACAATGAGCCTGATATCTCTCTCAATGACAGCTCCTTTGGTGTCCCTGTGTTAGAACATCAAAAGAGTGTTCCCGCACTGTTTGAAGTTCTCGATGGTGCGCCGCCTCAGGACCATTACTTCGCAGACAAAGTCGCTGAGCTTGACCCAAGCTTGTTGCGCCGAATCGCAAGAGAACACACAATCCTAAAGACGTCACTGCCTGATGGGGTCTATGTCAGGTCATGGGAGGCACGTCTGGATTTATTGCGCGTCCTGATCAGTGGACCGGTCAGTACGCCATATGAACACGCGCCATTCGTTTTCGATATGTACTTGGGGTCTGACTTTCCAATTTCTCCACCAAAGACATTCTTCTATTCATGGACCAGCAGTAACGTGCGGATAAATCCTAATTTGTACGAGAACGGTACAGTATGTCTCAGTCTTCTTGGTACCTGGAACTCAGAGAGAGATAATGAGGCTTGGTCCCCCAGGTCGACAACACTACAAATCATAGTCTCAATTCTTGGACTCGTCCTCGTACGTGAGCCTTACTACAGTAAGTCGTCTTCTATTTCTACGTTTTCTATTTTTGAAAATCACCAAAACATGAAACATGATGACAAGAGCGCATTTGGCTTGAGGACAGCGCTAGTCGTGGCCGATGAAGTTAAAACAAAGCTACCTTATGATTTACCGATCTGAAATGCAAACCCCTTCCAATCCATCTCTGATTGCATTACCTCGGAAACTTCTTACTAATCCTCCTCTGACTCCATAGACGAGGCAGGCTATGAAGCCTTGGTCAACACGCCCGACTCACGTTTACCGTCAGCCTTGTACAACGAAAAAGCATATGTGATGTCCAAGAATTTCGTAAAGGTCGCACTGATGACACCACCTTCAGGATTAGAAGCTGTGGTTCAATGGCTTTATGTCGATATTGAAGGACCAGAGCTATTACGACGCATAATCGATGACTGCCAACGTCTAGAGACAAACTCAACTTCACGGGCAGCGACAGAGACAGGGAATATGATATCACACCCTGAGGAAGAATGGGCAAGGGATAGGCTTAGTACGGGGGCCTTGATACCATTGAAGAGCAGCCTCAAGTGGCTTGTAGAATTCTATGAAGCTCACGCTTCGACAGATGATGACTGCCGAGGGTTGGTCTATCGGAACACAGCGACGCCAAGTCCAGTACGGACGTACCAAAGCCACTGTTAGGGAGGTAGATCCTAGGAGTGCCCTATAAGCCGGGCCCTGAGCTTGCAATTGCCCTTTTTTCGCCCCTACCAATTTCGCGTGCCCATGTTCCGAGAGACCAACGTCGTGCACAGCGACGAAGTAAATAGACATGACCGATTTTTGGCCGCAATGTATCTTGTATCTAGAATAAGCGGACCAAATGCAGACCAACGGCCTCCGTGGACTGGCTCCATAATTTAGTCCTACGTTTAAACGGAACTTGCGGCAGAGGCTTCGGATACTAATCGGCACCATATTGTCTCCCAATTGGAGAAAGGGCCATCGCTATTCGCTACTCTTTGCAGAGCTCAACAACATTCCCCCCTATCGTTTGCTTGTGCTTTGAAATCCTTTGCCGCTCTTCCTGACTCATGCCTAACTCTTCTGACTGCTTTGATGCTTGGCATGAGTCAAGTGCTCTTCCCGGAGCGGCGATTCGCATATTACAGCCTATCTCCGGGAGTGACTAACAGTCTATCTGCCCATGATGACGATGCTTAGGATTTCTTCGTGCGTTCCCTTGCGGACTCACGGTGGGGGCATTAGTTTATGAAGCCAATTGTCTAAAAATCCATAAAGGCTCTGACCCATTCCTCTTCCAGTCGCGTTTTCAATCTCCCCTGCTTTGCTTTTCTTATTGCGTGACCCCTCATTCTCGATCGTTCCCTCTGGACCTCGCATACTGTACTAATTCCTTCTTATCTACGTCTGCCATTGAAAGGGAGAGCATGATTGAACAAAGCTCTGGCGATCTATATCGCCATAAGACCCAGGAAAACGGCAAGTTTGAAGCAAATGCTTCCTGTTTGATCTGAAGCTGACAATGAGTCAGTTCCACGCGATCCTGACCTTCACCACCCCGCACCATATAATCCAGAACAGGAGCCTTCAGTACCTGCTCCTTCGACGGAGACGACAACCGCAGTACCAACGTTAGAAGATTCATCTGCCTCGGGCGTTGAGGGAACATGGGGCGAGCGAGATGTAGGCGGCCCTGTCAGCCACCGCGTTGCGATGGAAGATTACGAGGAAATGAGGCGAGAATTGTCAAATCTGTCGCCCAAGAAGTCAAAGGCTAGTTTCAAGAGCGAGAAGAAAAGCATGCACAGAGCCAAGACAAGTCAAAGTGCCAAATCCGTTCCTCCTGCACCTACGAGTCCAATTTCATCTGTTGCAACAGGCGAGAAAGATCTTGAGGCAGGCGATGCCGATTTAGCAGCTGCAAAAGAGATGGGTTTCGAGCTTGGACCTTTCATACAGGAGGGACACTTTGAGAGACGGAACACGAGAGGAGAATCAACGAAGAAAGTAGGGGTCATCTTCAAGGATCTGACCGTAAAAGGCCTAGGACAGACCAGGGTTTACGCGAAAACCCTACCGGATGCAATAATAGGAACCTTTGGACCTGATCTATATCGCCTCGTTTGTCGCTTTATTCCCGCTCTAAACTTCAATAAAAATCCCCAATTACGAACCCTCACTAACGATTTCACTGGGGTGGTGCGGGATGGCGAAATGATGCTTGTCTTGGGAAGACCTGGATCTGGATGCACTACGTTCCTCAAAGCCATCGCAAACAAGCGTGAGGAATTCATCTCGGTCACAGGCGACGTCTCGTATGGCGGCATCAGTGCCAAGGAGCAGAACGCACATTATCGTGGGGAGGTAAATTACAATGCAGAGGATGATCTCCACCTCCCGACTTTGAATGTGTGGCAGACCCTGCTTTTCTCTCTCCTAAATAAGACGAAGAAGAGGGAACGGGGCGAAGTAAACATCATAGTCGACGCGCTGATGAAAATGTTTGGCATATCACACACTGCCAAGACTCTTGTCGGTAATGAAATGGTACGAGGTATCTCTGGTGGTGAGAGGAAGCGAGTCTCGATAGCAGAAACTCTAGCCACGAAATCTACTGTCGTTTGCTGGGACAACTCGACGCGGGGTCTTGACGCCTCTACTGCTCTAGATTATGCAAACTCGCTTCGCATCATGACCGACGTTAGCAACCGTACAACTCTCGTCACACTCTACCAGGCCGGTGAACAGATATACGAATTGATGGACAAGGTTCTGGTGATTGATGAAGGGCGCATGCTGTATCAGGGTCCTGCTAGCAAAGCGAAGCAGTACTTTGTTGATCTCGGTTTCTATTGCCCAGAACGAGAAACTACCGCAGATTTCCTGACGTCCGTCACCGATCCGGCGCAACGTAGTTATCGCGCAGGCTTCGAAGCCTCCGCTCCCAAGACTGCTGCAGAAGTCGAGCAAATCTTCAGGGAAAGCGATGAGTATAAGGAAATGTTAGGTGACGTTAAAGACTACGAAACCCATCTTGAAGAGACTGGGCACTTAGATGCCCGTGAGTTCAAACAGAGCGTAAAACACCAACAGTCGAGACATGTCTCGGAGAAGTCGAATTTCACTGTCAGCTACTGGCGTCAGGTTCTATCCTGCACACGTCGAGAGTATTGGCTTGTCTTGGGAGATCTGATAACCCTGAAGACCAAATTTTTCGTCATAGTGAGCAATGGGCTCATCGTGGGGTCTCTTTTCTACGGAACGCCTCACGATACCTCAGGCGTATTCTCTAAGGGGGGCCTGGTCTTTCTTTCCATCGTCTTCCTCGGATGGTTACAGCTTGGGGAGCTTCTCAAGGCGGTGACTGGCAGAGCCGTCATTCAAAGACACAAAGAATATAGCTTCTACCGTCCAAGCGCTGTTGCACTTGGTAGGGTCCTAGCTGATTTCCCGATGATTCTCGCCATGACAACTCCATTTGCGATAATTATGTACTTCTTAGGAGGTCTCCAATCGGACGTATCCAAATTTTGGATCTTTTATATCTTTCTCTACACCACGACCTTTACACTCACATCGATATACCGCATGTTTGCCGCTTTGTCACCCAACGTCAACGACGCGGTACGATTTGCCGGCACAGCCTTCAACATACTTGTGATCTTCACAGGCAAGTCTTGAATTTTATATTTTTTAAAAATGTTGGGGCGGCACTGACACTTTCTCATTCAGGCTACCTGATCACGAAGAGACAGTTATTACATCAGAAGATATGGTTTGGCTGGCTTTACTACATCAACCCATTGACGTATGCTTTTGAAGGTGTCTTGTCCAACGAATTTTATCACCAGGTTCTGCCATGCTCAGCCCAGCAGCTCATCCCGCAAGGGCCGGGCGTAGAGCCTCAGTTTCAGGGGTGTGCTGTCACAGGGGCCAGGGCCGGGAATCCGAGTATCACAGGGGACCAATATCTTGAAGCCAGTTTCTCCTACTCTCGGTCACATTTGTGGCGAAACTTTGGTGTGATGATTGCCTTGACAATTCTTTATATTGTTGTTACTCTCATCGGTTGTGAGCTTTTCAGTTTTGTTGGTGGCGGTGGCGGCGCGCTGGTGTTCAAGAAAGGTGCCAAGTCTCCCGCGCCCTCAACAACGAAGGCCGTTGATCCCGAGAAAGCTGGCGACTCAGGAGATAGCAGCTCATCCAGTGGCGTACTTAGCGAAAAAGGACTTGCGGCTGGCACGATCCCCAAAACAACAGAGAGCGAGAGCGTGCTCACTTGGACCGATGTGAATTATTCGGTTCCATACGATGGTGGCGAGAGACAACTACTTACTGAAGTCCACGGATATGCAAAACCTGGGGTGATGGTGGCTTTGATGGGTGTCTCAGGTGCTGGCAAAACCACACTTCTGAATACCTTGAGCCAGCGCCAGTATTTTGGAAAGGTATCAGGCAACCTCCTCATGGATGGTCGTCCCCTTGGACCCGAGTATCAACGTATGACTGGCTATGTGGAGCAAATGGACATGCACGACAGCACAGCCACAATTCGTGAAGCTATTGAGTTCAGCGCGATTCTTCGGCAAGATCGAGATACTCCGAAACAGGAAAAGTTGACCTACGTTGAAGAGATCATAGATTTGCTCGAGCTTCGGGAGATTCAGGATGCCTTGATTCTCTCTCTTGGAGTGGAGCAACGCAAAAGAGTCACCATCGCTGTCGAATTAGCCGCCAAACCGTCTCTTCTATTCCTTGATGAACCCACAACCGGCCTTGACAGCCAGTCCGCCTTCACCGTGATTCGCTTCATTCAGAAGCTTGCTCGCGCCGGCCATGGCGTCATATGTACCATTCATCAGCCCTCCTCTGTGCTAGTACAGCAATTCGATATGATTCTTGCGTTGAATCCTGGAGGCCAGACTTTTTATTTCGGTCCAGTCGGTGAGAATGGGGCAGCAGTCAACAAATATTTTGCTGAGCGTGGCATTGAGTGTCCACCACAGAAGAATATCGCAGAATTCATACTTGAGACAGCTGCTAAGGTCAGCAAGCGGAAGGACGGCAAACGGATTAATTGGAACGAGGAATGGCGCAACAGTCAAGAAATCAAAGATCTCGTGGTGGAAATTGAACACATCAACAATGAACGCTCGAAAATTGCGCCCAAGGAAGCTTCGACTCAGCACGTTTTCGCGTCTCCTCTATGGCTGCAATGCTACATGCTGACTAAACGCATGTTCATTCAGCACTGGCGAGACCCGTCCTATTTGTATGGCAAGCTCTTCGTTGCTGTGCTTATTGGTATTATCAACGGTATGTCTCTACAGGAACAAATACTTTCCCCGCTATACTGAGCCCTACCCTCGCTCCTCTGTCAGCATTTTAGTCGTAAGTCACTGCTAATTCATTCGCCTAGGTTTCACTTTCTGGAATCTCGGTAATACATTAGCTGACTTCCAGAATCGGATGTTCTCGACTTTCCTGATCATTATCATGCCTGCCACGGTCGTTAATGGCGTGGTACCCAAATTCTACCAGAACATGGCCCTCTGGCAGTACCGAGAAAATCCCTCACGAAGCTACAATTGGTTCGCATTCAGTTTCGCCTCAACTATCACAGAAGTTCCTTCCGCCATCGTCGGGTCAGTCCTCTATTGGCTACTGTGGTATCTTCCAGCTGGCCTCCCTCGCGACTCTTCGACGGCGGGTTACGTCTTCCTCATGACGATGTTGTTCTTCCTCTTTCAGTCATCATGGGGTCAATGGATCTGCGCTTTCGCACCTTCCTTTACAGTCCTCTCCAACATACTACCATTCTTCTTCGTCATGTTCAGTTTATTCAATGGTGTGATTCGACCATACAGCCAGCTAAGCGTGTTTTGGAAGTACTGGATGTACTATATCAATCCGTCAACTTATTACATTGGTGGTGTCATATCCGCGACATTACGCGATCAGACGGTCAATTGCGCATCGAACGAGGTGGCAAGATTCAATCCGCCACCAGGCCAGACATGTGGGCAATATGCTGGCAGTTTCATCGACAGCATTGGACGTGGGTACCTGACAAATGTTGACGCCACCAGCGATTGCGGTTACTGCCAGTATAAAAATGGCGTTGAGTATATGGCTGGCCTCAACATCAAACCCAGCGACAAATGGCACTATATGCCGATCTTCTTGGCTTTCGTTATCAGCAATTGGGCCCTGGTGTACTTCTTTATCTACACTGTAAGGGTGAAGCACTGGGGCTTTGGAGTAGGGTATATTTCCCGACCTGTTGGTAAGGTGTTGAATTTGTTGATAGTCCTACCTATAAGCTTGTTGCATGAAGCCTTGAATGGGAAGAAGAAGCAGGATCCAAATACATAATACGGATAATGATTGACGCGTTGAATAGAAAACTAGAGGACGTGTAAATTCAGCACTGGATGGGCATTAGAAACCTAATGGAGCAAGCATCAATATGAATCAATACATCGAAATATTTGGTTCGCCTCTCTTTGATTATCTGTTTTTAAGTGAGGATCGCCCAAAGAATGCATCGAGTGTGTTTCTTTGCTTTGCGTTCGTTTCGCGATGAGATAACCCCTGATTGGGCTTAGCGCCTCTTCGGCAAATACGTCAATGGTCGGTCTGACAATGGGCGATTTATTGCTCGCCCAGCGCCCGTCCACCTCCAGCGACCATTTCACCTTAACACTGACAAAGCCAATTTTAGCTTGTGATTTCGGATCGCAGACTGGGACGCATTCATCTCTCCTTCTTGAAGACCTCTGTGGGCCTCGGTTTGGCTTCCTCGCGACCCTTCACCAGCCCTGCCCTCTGGCCAAATCAGCTGGATGGCCTACTCCCCCTCTCCTCACCCAGGAGCAGGGCCAAGCTTAGCATTAAGCACTGTCATTGCAAGGTCAAGACTCCATCAACGCTCTGCTACACCTCCTCCACAGCAGTCTCTGAATAAACGAGACAAGAAGCGGATGGCCATGGCTGAGCGCTTAAGCGAAATCAGTAACAACTTCGCCGAGAATCGTGATGCTTTCTTCCGAGAGCGGTTGCGAGGATACCAAGCAGATATAAACTTCATCAACAATGCCCAATTGTACAACAACAAGCCTTTAGATGATGCTCCACTGGAACAACCAGCAGAGCATGATTTTGCAGTAGCCTCCCAGTCGCAGGCAAGTCTCAATCGAAAAAACCAACCGCTAGCTCAGCTTGGTAAGCATGCCGCCAGCTTCGTTCACGAAGTGAACGCAGCTCTAGAGGAAAAGGATACCAAGCTGGTTGAGACCGCAGTAAGAGCCTTTCTGAACCAAGCCTGTAGGTATAAGCTGCTGACCAACGCAGAACAATTTCAACTTTACCATTGAACACCTGCAGAAAGACTACCAATTTGCGGTCGCTGTTGCAGAGGCAGAGCATAGACGGCTGATGGACGTTCTACGCCAACGGCTTGTCGCAAGCGTTCAGGCGAAGAAGGCAGCATTGCAACGAGACAAAGAGAAGCTGGACATAGCCGACACCAATGCGCTCCTCTACCATCCAAATCAATTCAGTATCAACAATGCTGCTAGTCCAGGTGGTCCACAAGGGAATCGAAAGACGCGACATACCCGACATCGCCTTGAAATCGATGATCTGGACTTGGCGAATGCGATCAACGGAAAGAGGAAAAGGAAGGCTCCTGTAGATGGCGAGATTGGCTCTCCTCTACGCGAGTCTGACCTTGTCAATGGAAATAAGGCGCATGAGTTCGGCCAAGAGGATCAGCCTCCACCTATGAGCCTACACACCATCGACCGCCTGTTCACCGATAAAGAGATGATCACACACGTTCAAGCTGCACATTTCGAAGTCCTCGAACAATGGCAAGCTTCTAAACGCCGAAAACATGGCGACAACTCTGCGGCCCTAGACTATGAGAGTGAATCCGACACCAACAAGACACCACCGCCGAACTTAGGCGGCGACGGTACCACAGATGACAAGTTCTTGGAAGCTCCGAGTATGGAGCGTACAGCCACAAACCAGTCATATGCGACCCGATCAATGCGAACCCACAATCTCATCAATGGAGCGTCTCGGGAGACTCTTGGAGAACTTGCCGGGCGCGAGAGAGCAGCTGAGCTACTGGGCACGTATGTGAAGGAGAAGAAGAAAGATGATGAGTACATGCGCACCTCGAGCTTGACGAATGAAGAGATGGAACAAGATGCAGCCTTGTATGCGCGGGCGATGAAGGCGGAGGATCGGAAGAGGCCGAGCGATGCAGCCTTGCACGCGCGGGGGATGAAGGCGGAGGCTCAGAGGAGGCCGAGCGATGCCAGCTTGTTGGATGAAGTTGCTGGGGAGAGGCCGGATCATGTGAAGTTTCCGAAGATTAATGGGGGTGAGATATGACATGAAATGAGAGTATCCATGGGTAAGGCAGCAAGGCGTTGGACATCCTGTGATACCCCAAGAGAGGCATTTTTATGGGGATGTTCATTATATCATTGATCGTGAACAAGACTCTTCTCACCATCTCTGAATAATCGATGTCCGCTCACTGCTTCGGTTCATACAAGCATTCCCTAGTTCCCCTCCAAACCTCCTCCAAGACTCTTCGTCCTGGGAGTAGCTTCTGCAATCACAGTTTGGTCAGCCAGAGACTCTAAAGCAGCCCTCCCTTTCCCTTGCTTCCTTCCCGCACTTGCCCCCTTCCGCTTCGTTCATCCCTCGTCTTTCTCCTCTCTTCGATTCCGGCAGGAAAATCATTGCGACTCACCGGAAACACAACCACGACCTCCTCCTCCCTCTCCACCACAACTGCTAGGTAAAACAGAACCTGAAACCCTTTGAAGGCCTCATGGATGAAAATATCACGGATCTGACTCGTGGGTATGAAGCGAACGATGGAGGGGATAAGGTAGGAGGATGATGTTGTGTGTGTCTGTATCCCAAGAGAACGGAGCACTAACAGGGACTCCTCTGTAAGAGAGTTAGTCCTGGCTCTTGAGGCGGGCGAGAGTATTTAGTGTGAGAAGCACAAGAAGAGAAAGCAATGAGTGAGAGATAAAGGGGAGCGGATTGGGACGTACTGGTATGCCATCTCCTGCACACCAGAAACAGGCTCACGATCGCAACGGGTCCAAAACGTGACCACGGCTGCTCGACAATAAAGTCGGCCCAAACGTCCGTGCCATAGATCTCGTAGCGAGGAAGCGGTAAGAGGTTAGAGCATTTGTCAATGATACAAAGAGTTATGAAAACTCCGAACAGTATGCGGAAAATAAGGACGGTGTAATGAAGGAGCTTTGAGGTGAAGGTTATGCGTGGTGGAGCGGTGGATACAGTGTACGAGACCGTGGTTGGGGAGGGGGACTGAACTGTGAGATACAGTCGAGGCATCAATAGGTAGTATGGTTATAGCATTTTGGCAGAGTGATTGCCATGACAATTAATCTAGTTTCAGGATGAGCCTGGAGCAAGTGGCAGATTGAAAATAAAGAGTGATCCTTCGCATGACGTGCAGCTCAGGAACAGGCTTAGCGCCGGCATGAGCCGTACCTTGGCCAGCAACTCTATCTGGCGAAATCTGAGCTTGCAAACAGAAGGGTACCCCAAACCTGCCAACAAATCCACATCTCTCAAATGGCACGCTCTCGCTCTGATTCAAGGTCTCTGTCTCCTCCCCCTCGTCACTCAGATAGATCTCGTCCTCACCATCAACGATCCTACTCTCCTTCTCGGTCGCCTTCTCCCCGCCGACACCGGCGATCTCCAGACACCCCTCCATCCCGCAGTCACCACTACCGCAGCCGCTCTCCTCGACAAAGACAGTCCTCTCCTCGAAGAAGGGATCGCTCACCTTCGCCAGCCCGCCGATACCGCAGCCGCTCACGCTCTCAACCTCGAAGACGAGAAGGGAAAGGCAACATGGGCGGCGGCTTCAAATGGAAAGACAAGCCCACCTCCACTGCACAAGATGACTCAGCTGCCTCGAAGCCCAAAACTCTAGATAGAGGCTATCGCGAGGCTCCTCCGCCCCGCCCGGCTTCACCCGTCAAAGACGAACTAGCCTCCAAGTTCGGTGATGACTACAGCACGCGCTACGCCCGCAAGCCCGCAGCCGATGACTCGCCCACAACAGCTCCCGCATCAAATCCAGAAGCCGCGGTCAAGAAAGAGAAGAAGAAGAAATCGGGGTCGGCGGGCCCCAAGCCCACCTCTGAGCCTCTCATCATTGTCAACGTCAACGACCGCTTGGGCACCAAAGCCGCCATCCCCTGTCTTGCGTCCGATCCGGTGAGATTGTTTAAAGCGCAAGTGGCTGCGAGAATTGGGAGGGAGCCGCATGAGATTAAGTTGCAGCGGCAGGGGGAGAGGCCGTTTAAGGATCAATTGACTTTGGAGGATTATGGGGTTAGTAGTGGGGTGCAGTTGGATTTGGAGGTTGATACGGGAGATTGAGGAGATTTTGTGAAGGGTATTTGGGATGGGATAAGCGAATGAGGAGGAGTTGCTCGTGGAAATCTCGATGCGGCAAAAATATGCCAGGCGGGACATTGGGGCTGCCTAATGTATGTTTTGGGCTCGGGGGTGATCAGATTGGTATGTTCGTTGGCCCCTCCTGTTTCAGACGTTCATTGAATTTTGAGATCTAGATTGGCCTCAGATTATTCTACAGTCAAAGTCTGCGGCAATGGAGCTTCTTTGTGGGGTCTTGTTTACATGACGAGAAGCCGATAAATTGAAAGAAAGTTTTGCATGGTCAACTGAACGTTCAAAACTTTCGTGTCTGATTCGTAGCATCGTAATATCATATCTACATAGACTTTGCTGTTACATAAACACATCTCTACGTTAAGTCTACAACCTCGACATCTTCCAATACGTTCCGTGCCCTTGCCTGCTCCAACTCTGCAGGGTCCAAACACTTCCATGCCCCCTCTAAGCTCTCACGTACAATCACCGAAGACTTCGATTTCTTGACGACAGTATATAATAACGGCGGTTCGGAAACACTAGAAATGACTCCCTCTGCCAAATTCGTACGTGGTGCGAAGTCGTTGGCAACCCCAGCGTTTGTCGTCGATTCTTGCTGGGTGAGCGGCGGCGAGAGTAGAGCGGATGGAGAAGGGAGAGCATCAGAGTCTGAATCGCAGTCTGAGTCTAAGGAAATGTGTATCGGACGTGACTTTATTGAAGGAGTGGGTTTTCTGAAATCGATATTTCGATTTATTGACGGCGATGTGGGCTTTGTGCCAGTTTGAATGTAATTGTCCAAGCTCAACTGAAGTTTCTTATGCCTTGGTGTAGATTCTGGGGTCCTAGTTTGCAGGAGTTTGGATGATTGGGTGGCTACCTGAAATGGATCTTGATTTTGCGGTTGTGATTGAGCGTTCAGATCTATTGTTTGATCATCTGATGGTGACCTCATCTTTTCGTAAGACTCTAAAGTCGCATTTCCAACCTTCTGCTTTTCTGCAGACGAATCGGACCTCGATCGGTTATGTTTCTTTCGCCGAGTTGGCGACCTTTGGGTGACGAAGCTTGTCGGAAGTTCTCGTAGGGCTTCATCCTGAGGCTCTATGAGCGCATTGTTTCTTGTTAGGTTCGGTGAGCATTGGGTCAGATCTACTGAATGCGATGCATCATCGAGAAAATTCTGACGATCTTTCTTCGATCTTCTAGAGTTCGGCTCGTACGCCAGCTTTGGTTCGTTTGATATATGCTGATTAGCCTTCGATCCCAATCTCTTTGAATTCTCTGCAAGTGCTCTCTGGGCTTGGCTTGTTGATGGCCCAACTGATGGATAAGGCCCTTTGGTTGAAGCTGGATATCCATCATCGGGGGCCAATTTCGCAATAGGCTTACTAATTTTGACGAAGCCATCTAGAACCGCTTGCTGATTACCGTGCTGTACCGGATCTAGCCTCCTCTCTCGGGCTTTCCGCGTAGCATATTTCTTAGGATCTCGCATTTCTTCTTCCCATGTCTCAACTAGTAGAGGCGTTCCTAGCTTAACAAATGTCTCTAATACCCAGACCCTTTCCATCTTTGTTGGGTCGTATTTTGGTGGACGCTTTGTTGGACTTATAGCGCGTTGTGGCCCTGAGTCGGGTTCTGGCGCCTCCTCTAATAATAGTTCTTCTTCCTCGTCACCTTCGATCTCTTGTGGTACATCTTCTTCCTTATCTAAGTCGAGACCTACAATGTCGGCAGGCAAAAATGCGATTCTCAGCTCGGTTTCTCCGTCGGTCATCCAGTGCACCCGTCTACCGCTGATAGTTTTAATATACTCAGATTCGTGGGCCGCTTTTGTGTCAAGGCTTTCACGGTCTGTGTATTCTGAAAGACTTCGCGAGACAAGTTTTGTTACAAGGAGTGTAGGTGCAAGACCACGGATGAAATGTATCGCCCCAATTCGATACGTCCAGCTGAAAGCTTCCGCTACGAATTGCCGAAGTCCATGAACGTTCATAGGTACGCCCCATTTGATTGAATCGCGCATCTTTTGCAATTTTTCGATGTTGGAGATCACAGGCTTTCTGTAGTATTTCAAGATGGTCTGGTCAGGGAAGGAGTCTGGTATCCTAATAGCACTATTTTTCCTTGAAAAATATCTGCTCTCATTTGTCGACAGCTCATGATCGAGCCGCTCTCTCCAGCGTTGTAGTGCAACAGAATCGCCCTTTGCCACAATGTAACAAAGATCCTGGCCAAAGCCTGCACGTGCCGCTTGACAAGCAATTTTAGGTCCACATCTAGGTAGCCCGGCTTGGACATAATCACCACCACTCATCAAAGCGACTAGAATCATTCCTTCCCGGTCCATGCCTGATTTCTTCTGGATTTCATCGGCCCTGTAGATATCGATATGGGTGGGGCTTTTGTTTCCCCTTCCACCTTCAGCCGTCCAATTGCGGAGGGTACAGCCAGCCCCAAACATAAGCGTATCGACATCCTCACTAAAGACTGCATCGACTATGCCGTTTTTCTGCAAGGCTGCGCATTCTGCTTCTGCCTCGCCGGGTGCATCGTGAAAGGGAAAACCAAAGAGCTTAAGGAGGTGCTTGGTTTGAAAGTTGTCTAGGTGAGCGATGGCAGGAGATATCTTGACACCGCGTTTGAACTTCGGTCGATATGGGCCATCGAAAACAAATATCGGTAGGATAGCATGGCCCAGAAGCTTGAGCAGTCGATAGTATAATACTCGTAAGGCGGGGTTTTGCCCTCCCTGACCATTTCGAGCCTGGAATTGCCATATCGAAATATCAATGGCAATGCGAAACAATCTGCCACTGTGTTCAAGGTGCTGAACAGCGAGTTTAGCTAATGCAATTCGCTGGCCGCCTCCGAGTTCTTTGTAAATTCTGTCGTTGTAAGTCAAGTATTATAGTTTTAACAGACATAGTGTTACCCGGGTATCCCCATTCCAGTGAATATTCATGTTCTCAACTTCGTCGGCCGGTCCTCTTTGTTTTCAGCAGATGAGTGGTCGTGGTGAGGTGAAAATATTGGCAGGCTCGATGATTAAATATTTACTCGCGCTTAATGCGCTTAGAATGAGCCCGCCTAGCAACCCCACCAGGCCCCAAAAGGAATCCAGTCTTGGCTATCCGTTTAGACTACGTCCATAAACGATACCATACTACATGCACGGACGAGTGCACAACACATCACCGTTATCGACAGGTTTTGCCGCCGTAAAGTGAAAATGGCGGCTGCTTCCATACCCAATCTCAATACACTAAGAGCGAGCCGCGGACGCGGACGAGGACGGGGTGCGAGTGGTTTTATGGGAGAAAGCGCAGAATCAGAAAAGGCGAGGCGTGATAAAATTGTTCAACAGACGGACCAGGATGCAAGTGTGTCAAGAATGAGTGCTGTAGAAGTTGGATACCTCAACGATCCTTTCGCGGAGCTCTTCTTGACAAGTGAGAAGCAAAGACGATTCCCAATCATCAATCGAGGCAAGATCTAGCGCCTTTGCACCCAGATGCCTCAATCTGATGGCGTGAAAAGGTACTTATGTGCGAACGATGGCTATAGATCGGCTTGTGGACAGCTTTCTTGAATCAAATCCTTCCCAAAAGAAGCAGATTATCTCCCTCGGGGCAGGTACTGACACCCGCTATTTTCGAACATTCTCTCGCTTTGACGCTCTTGAGAAGCGTAACTGGGTGTATCATGAGATTGATTTCCCCGAAAATAATACTCGGAAGCTAAAGTCTATCGCGCGCTCGAGTAAATTAGCAGGATGCATTGAATGTCCTGTGCGGTACTTCAACTTGTCAGACAAGAGCTTGGTTGGTGCACCAAGTATGGTCGAATCAATCAATTATCATATTCATTCTGTGGATCTAAGGACGCTCGACCCTCTCACGGCACGTCCGTCGACCTTTGATAGCATAGACCCGTCACTGCCGACCCTGATCTTATCCGAGTGCTGTCTCTGCTATCTTACGCCTGCAGCTGCAGATACAGTTGCTCTCTACTTTACGAAGCACTTCTTTCCTTCGAGCACCCCTCTTGGCCTTGTTCTTTACGAGCCTATTCGACCTGATGACGCCTTTGGAAAGACTATGGTGTCTAATCTTGCGACCCGAGGAATAGTACTGCAAACATTGAAGAAATACGGCTCGTTAGACTCCGAAAGTGCAAGATTGAAGGTTTATGGGTTTGGAGAAAGCCGAGGCGCAGATATCAATGAGTTGTGGAAAAAGGGTGTAGATGAGGTAGAAAAGGAACTAGTCGCTAGACTCGAGATGGTTGACGAGGTCGAAGAATGGGAACTCTTGGCTGCTCATTACTGCGTCGCCTGGGGTTGGAGATATGGCGAGCAGGAATCGACATTCGGTCTTTGGGATCGTTGGACAGATATATTCAAATGAAAAAATTCAAAATATTGGCCACTTCTAACCTCATTGCTTTTGCTACTGTGCTACCCTCTCAGCATATTCTTGATGGGCAAGTCGTGCAGGTATTACGGCCGTCGCCTTCTCCACGGCATGTTACACTTGGCCATTCGTCGATACTCTCCCCGGCTCCCGTCCTTTGTTGCCGAGGTTTCTCAACAGTCGGCGCATGGACCTTCATCCCCCTCTTGGCTACCTCAAGTGGCCCATTCGTCCTCTACAGTCAAGTTCAAGTATTCTCATTCCAGCTTATCTAGATGCTCCAGTCTTGTCAAGACGACCTGCTTGCTCGTTTCTTCGATCTCACCAGCCAAAAAGACCTCATCAAGTATTGCGTACACCTAGCTGTTGTCAATTTCCCCATTACATATTTGATGGCCTCTTCGCAAAGAGCTGACCTTGTAGAAGTTGAAAACCAAATCCAGCTCGCATACATTCCCGAAGAAGCTATCGAGCACCTCCACGAAGAAGTGTATGGCTTCAAGGTACGCTAACTCATTGTCATTTGCATCGACGCAAACACAAAAGAAGAGGCCTGCATATCGGCGATAGACGATCTTGAGAGAGCGAAATTCGACGAAGTTGGACTGGTGCTTTTGATCCCGAGGGGCTATGAGGCGATGTACCTGCAAGCCACATGTGAGCGGAGAGACCGAAGCTCCAAAAGCTATTGATTACCTCGCCCTTCAATTTGATCTTCTCTTCATCCTGTAGCTTCTCTTTAGCAGGAGCTGCATAATTGTTCGGAAGACAAGACGCACGCTATAAGGCGCATACCACTTGGCCAGGCGGGTTTTCCCCTGTCACATCATGAGCTTCTAGCAGCAGCCTCGTGAGACGGGCATATATACTGGCGATTTTGTATCAAAATGAACGAGAGCACCATCTCCTTCGAGGCGATGTATGTATAATGTGACCCTCCTCCAGGGCCGAGGGGGCCTTGAAGACTAAGCCCCAAGCCCCGCAACCACAGCCCGGAACAAGCCGCTAGGCGCTAGAAGAAGCAACCCAAATAGTTCTAGCCCCTCGCAGGAGGTTCATTATTCACTATTCACTGTCAATAACCTCGCTGCTGACGTCCAACTCTTGATGAAAATGCGTCCGGACATTGTTAGCGCGCTAGGGCGATACAATTGGGCAAAAGGTAAAATAGTGTTATCCACTGCCACATAGGTCAATGAATGTGATTACCCGGCTGCCTAGAGTTTCCGTGTGCCTATTATGGTCATATCCTGCGCCGTCCGATGTTGGCTTATTACCCTCTTTTGATCCTCGCTCCTTTTCATTCATAAAGAGTTGCAGTCTCTGTTAATAGTCTTCATGGCGGTGAGATCGGTGGTAGGTATTGTAGGAGCAGCCATCTCAGGCCCGGTACTAGGCCTGCAAATTCTTTCTCATCCCCTTCTGAAGCAGCGCCTAAGACCCGTTATTTACGAGCAACTCAGTCAACCACAGGGGATGATCAGAGGGGATGGATCTTCTCCACAAGGAGGAATTTCATTTGTTCACACCGCCGGCGCGGGAGTTGGCCTGTTCCCAAATGGCCTGTTCCCGCTTTATGAACTTGGCTTAAGGGATCAATTGGATGCAATTAGCTGCGAGATGGAGAGTCTTTCGGTTTGGAGAGGCTTCCCCGATGGCTCTCACAAGTTCCTCAACAATGTTAAAAATGCTGGTTGGGCGGCAGACCTACAGACCTGCCCTCGCATCGTAGAACGTCAACGACTACGCATGATGCTGCTAGAGCGCTTTCAAGACCTTGGGGGCGAAGTCTGTTGGAACAAGAAGCTAGCTGGACTAGAGTCTCTTGGATCCGCTGGTGTCAGAGCCGTTTTCACAGACGGGGTGTCCAAGAATGTCGACTTAATAATTGGTGCGGATGGAGTATGGTCTACAGTCCGGAAACATATCTTGAAGGAAAGAAACCCTAAGACTGCGGAGCTTCGTTGGGTTCCACCCTTCGTCAGAGTTGGAGGCATCTATGGAATCTCGTCGGACCCTGGTGCTGTACCAGATAGTAATTCACAGAAGCTTGGTGCGTCGAAGGAAGCCTGCCTAGTTTTACTTGACCAAGGGCATATCGGAGCGCTACCACTAGAGGATGGGAAGATAGCTTGGACAATACAGTACACTGAAAAACATGCTCCTGAGAGGACTACGCCGATCCAAAAGGAGGAAATTTCTATGAGTGATCCGTATCAATCCAAAGTGGTACCTGGACTATATGAGCCACATTCCACCGCAGAATTCGTTCGTGGCTATGAGAACATATGGCACCCTACTCTTGGATCGTTTCGGCCCCTGTTCGAAGCCTCAGAACGTATCATTCGAAGTCCACTTCGGCAGTTCGCATGGGAGCAGAACGAAATCCAATGTGGCAACGTAGCAGTGATCGGTGATGCTGCGAGGGTTGTGCCACCCTACGCAGGTCAAGGCAAGTCATTGACCACTATCATTGAACCTTTGACCTGCCTGTTTATCTAACAAAATCTCCTACTCTAGGCTCGTCTCTAGCTATTGAAGATGCGACAGTGCTCGCAGACTCACTTCTCAACAACCTAGCACCGGAACATAATGCATCGAATTTTAGTGCAGCTTTGACAGAGTATGCTCGACGAAGAGTTCCGAGATCGAAGAAAGTAGCAAACATGGCCTCCTGGCAGGGTACGCTTTCAATGGGTGAACGCTGGTGGTGGAGATGGATCCGCGACTTCGGCTTCAGGCTACCGGCAGCAGATCCCAAAGTGTAGGTCATATGCATTCTTTAGTCCGCCCCTTGACCTCCATAAAAGCCTTGCAAGATGAAATTGCTGATCATTCGGGCAGAAATCCAAAGGCCGTCAAAAGGCAAGACCTTCCATGGCTGTTTGGTGAGCGAACAGAGATCAAGCAGCGAGAAGACGTCACCTGAACGCTCTTTTGAAGAAAGTATCACAAGACGATCGATGTATGTCTTATCAGGCAACAGGTAGATCTCTACTCATTGAAAGGTTCTTCATGCTACGTGTTGTTGCTACTAAGGCGCAAGAGCGTTATCAATAGTATCATGGACAATTATATGGGGTTTGAAACTCGTCAATCTCCTGCTCCGCCTCCGCAATAGGCTCAACGCCAAAATCCGTCGTGACTGCTGCCTGAACTTGCTGCTCACCGGCATCATTAGGAGGACTCAGATCCACTACGACCTCCCCTGGGTTCAGACAACTTGGAGGTGCTCCACCATCACTGGAATTGGGACTGCTATCTTCTGTAGCCTGTGGAAGGACACTGCTGATCACAGCGCTAGCAGCGGCATTGGCACTCATGCGACCATTGACGAATCTAAGCCCCACCCTCCAATTTCTTGAACCCGGTCGCGTGGTACGCCGCCCTCGTATACTAGTAATGGTAGCCCTTGCTCGAGATGTTGCTGCTAGATGCGCAGTAGCGTGTTGCACTCTCACTGTGGCTCCTGATGCGGCTTGTACGCCTTGCACCACTGGATCAAGATTTCCTCTGTCCTTGTTGAAGTCAACAACACCGGCGCAAATAGCCAGGATTGCGACAAGAATGGTTGTTTGAACGTCGTTCTTCGGATTGAGCTGGCCTTCAAATGCTTCATCGGTAATTGCAGATAGGGCAAACCCAACAATGCCACCTAAGATGGCGTTGAGGATGACGGCTGTCCAGCGCCTAGCTTCATGTTCGTCGAAGAGAAGCTTTCGCAGCTCTTGTCTGACACCGTCAGATGTTGGGTTTGCCGATACGGTTGTCGCATTCTCACAGATTATGTCGTCAAGGAGGTCCTGGGCTTCATTGATTCCGTCCGCGCCATTTTGAATGATCACTCCAGCATAAGCGTCTTGACCGGTCGGTGTGACTTCTCGGACTTGAATCAGATCGTCCAACACTTGTCCCCAAGTTACGCCATAGAGTGTCTGACTAAGATGAGTCGTGTAAATTCCTATGTTAGAGCTCTCTGCCAGTCCAAAACATTGTCGAAAGTCGGCGGTGATGTTGAAGAAGTCATTACCACTGGTCCAAACACTGCTGAAAACGCCAAACCCTGATGACGATCGCTTTTCTTTCCGTCCAGTCAAGTCTGGTCTTGATACGACCGTGGTACCATCTGTGAGATTGGGTGCGTTGCCCCACTTGTTGCTTTGACCTCCGAGGACGCGAGTTAGGTAGTCAATAAAAGGCTCTCCAGGAACTTGATATGGGAGAGACACAGATCCTGCTTGACTGTTGTTGCCTGTTGTCGATGCTGGTACTGGTGTTGCAGCGGCGCTGCCATCACTTGATGACCCACTGCCGGCAGGATCGACTTGGCGAATAATCAAGGCTTCGGTAGCCGAGAGTAATGAGATGATGAGGACTGGGAGCGTGAATCCGGTCATGTTTCGTGGCATATATCCAAAGAATATCGAAGTAAAAGCAGAAAGTGGTAGCTTCGAGGGACCCTGCCTTGATTGTTCGGCAGAGCAATGCCATCTCTTATAAGAATAAGACGAAACTATGAAACGCGTACAAAGAAATGGAACGTAATGGCAATGTGAGTATCCCCTTTTGCTTCGGACCAGTGGTCCCGTGGTCTCAGGAAACCAGGACTATTGTTGAGTCTGACTCAGCACGTGAGCTACGATACTTGAAAGGCATTGGATTCACCAAGCTTCCATGACGATCGACACCGAAGGCATGTTTCGTCGAATGCATCTGCTGACGGCTTATGTTCGAATGTCAAACATGGAAAGCAAGCGGTCTACGGGAAACAAGATCACCTGGGCTCTGATTTGTTTGTCTCTTATGTGGAGGCATCAGACCAAGCATGATGCGAAAGCCGTATCACTGCTATTCGATTCTCTATAGCCAGGTCTCTCCACGATGAGACGCGGGCCAAGCGTACCGTGCTCGAACAGAGGTGCTTGGTTAGAGAGCAGTGGCGGAGAATGCTTGTACCGGTGTTGACGTTTAGCAAGCGGACGGCTAAGCTGTCGACCAGGAATCTCATGGTTCATGTCATGCTAAGGATCCCACTCCAGGTAAGCACATTCGATCACGTTGAAGGGTCAAACTGTCATTCGCCATGCTCTCTACACCACTGTGTCGGTCGTACCTTGTAGCTTAGTCAAGCATGTAGAGATGGCTATCTTACTGAAACATGCTGTACGAGGCTCGGAAACGAGCGACCGACTTGGCCGTGGATGATGTCCGGGACTTATTCATGTTGATTCAAGATGTATGGTCACCACATCGTGCGCCAGTCCGAATGGGATTGTTCCGACTTATCACCTGACCGTGAGCCTCAAGTACCGCCCTTCCTAAGCACATGTATCAGAAAGGATCAATCTCATGCAGTGAGTCATTCTTCAACTCGGAATCATCTACGTGAATTCCGACGCTGCTGCCGATCTTTCTTTCCTTTGCCCTTGTTGCCAAACTGTCATCGCGAAATCTACTTGTGCGGCTCGAGCACAGCATTCACCGCCATGCAAACCAAGCCGCGTATGACTATGAAGATTACGCGGATAGCGAAGCCACTCACATGAGCGTGACGGATTTGTGGGGGATCTACCCTATTTCCCGGTGGCAAATGAGACATCTCGGAACAAGTCACGGACTGACCGTTTTGAAGTGACAATGAGAACGCCGAGCCTCATCAGACGGTTCCCATCCCACTCCAAGTTTTGCACGACTACGATCCCAAATCATCCTACTTTCAAGCCGATGCAAATAGATGAGTAACACCTGTCATGTTGACTTTGTACTTTCTATGTAGATACTAATGGTTTACTCATGAGTCCAGAATCAAAAGCTTGCAGAAAATGCTTGAATACTCTCTTCAACAATATCTGCCAACTTCTCTGGCTCGCTCAGAAAAGGACTATGACTTGTATGGAGAGTCATTTCTTTCCACGACACTCCGCTGCCGCTCACAAGCGAATTCTGCACAGAAAGTGGAAGGGCCTGGTCTTGACTTGTGTGCAGGTACACTCGCCGTCCCTGGTATGCCTCGTCTTGGTAAGAAGCGGACCCAGCAGGAGTCTTGACAGTTAGAATGGATTGCCCGCCAATCTGGTTTGCAGCTTCAGAAGCTAGGGGCTCGGGAACATCAGCGTAGAATACGTTCTTAGGGTCGATCACGTTGATAAGCCCAGTCTCTTCCTAAAGAATAGTGAGCTTTGCATCGAATCAAGGGCAAGAACATGCGGCCGCTCTTACATTTGGAACCTGCCAAGGCGTATAAGTACCTCCAATTAAGTCTAGCAAGACGTCACCAGGTTGAGTCACAAACGCTGATTGGTATATAAGGCCCATGACCCCGCCTTGCTTGCCTGTAGCGAGTCGTTCTGCCTTCGAGAGTCCGTTGATAACACTACCTCCGGGAGAGCCGGCATATGAGTGCAGATAAAGCAAAACATCTTTACCTTGCTCCTCGATGAGCGGGCTCAAGATACCATCTCGGATAGCCTGTGTATCGTCCTTGATCGAGACATTGGCCCTGTTGACGGATGACACGCCCCAGGTCCTTGTGTTGAAGCCCCTTTGTTGCAGCTGTCCGCTTAGAATGTCCATCGCAGAGTCGACGTGCCAAGCTCCTGGTATTAGAACAATGGTCAAAGAAGGCATGGCGATGGCTGATTCGCATAAGTTGGTGTGAGCTATCAGGGTTAATGACAATAATATCGATATTATGAAAGCCATTGATGTCCTTCAATGGTCAGTATCGTCTCAGATAAAGTGCGAAACAGACAGAATTTGCCTTTAACTATCAATGTGGAGCATTGAATAAGGTAGTTGGCATGAAAGGCACTCTCCGAATAGTTGACTGATCCCCGTCTGTGTCTTGCTTTCGGGCATTTCTTCTCTCAGCAAATCTTTACGGTAAGTGGAGGAATCAATCCTCAGTAGTGTGTGGTCTTCTGGTATTGTAGCTTCCGCATAGATTCAGAGGGTGTGAGCTTACAAGTGAAAGTGGTTGGTGCTCGCATGATGGATACTGCTTGTAGGAAAATGGTGAGATGAACTCAGAGGATAGATTTGTCAACATCGAGGACGGTACTAGGATTTTCCTTGTCGCTTCGGATTATGCTCTGCTTTATATTTATTTCTTCTACAATCGATCTTGTTCGAAAACAGAGTCTTCGTTCAATGATTGAGCGTGTTTTGGGCCACACTGTAGTGATACATACATGTCTTTGACGGCATGGCGCCTACCGAAGTAGCAATTTACAGCCTCGTAGCGAGAACTAAATGTTGCTAGAAGAGAAGTCCCTGAATTGTTCTTGCATCGCCGGGCTCAAAGCTATGAAGCATCTTCATCAACAACCTCACACGATCAGCTTGACAGGAATACGGAACATACCGGATTGCTCAGGCGTCAAATCAGGCGCCGTACTTGTATACTCTGTATCAAAATTACTCAAATCATTCCTATCTCTGATCGCCGGCCTGAATGGAGGTGTCACATCCTTCTTATAAAGTGCATCCCAGTCAGTCGAGTCGAAGAAGCTATGGTCCATTATTTCCTTGGCTCCTCTGTCGTAGCCTAGTCTCTCTTCAGGGTTCTTCACGAGTAGCTTTCGGGTCAGATCTACAGCGTCCTCTGGAAACTCTGCTGGGTAGGATGGGTCTTTTGCCAGAATAGCATCGTAAATTTCGTCTTCGTCTTCACCGCTGAACGGCGATTGCCAAGCCATCATCTGGTACATTACTATCCCGAAAGCCCACCAGTCTACGGCGCGGCCGTACGATATGTCCAATAGTATCTAGATGAGACAATCAGATGTTCCATCTTGAAGCCAGCGAATACTAGGGACGGGTACCTCTGGCGCTATGAACTCATTCGTACCACAAAAACTTTTCGTTGTGCCATAGTGATCAGCAATACCCTCTGCTGACGTGATGAAGTCTACAATCTTGATGTGGCCCTCGGATGTGAGTAGTATATTATCTAGGCTGAGGCTCCGATGAATAATTCCATTTTCGTGCAAGAATCCCAGGGCCAGGCAAAGCTCAGCTCCGTAAAACCTACGATACATTGCCATTTTAGCAATTCCTTGCTGGCGACCTGTTGGAGCCTTGGCTACATCGTGCAGTCGGGCGTTTGATAAGGACAATGATAAAGAAATGAATTTACTTTGACCTTTCGACACCGAATGGTTCTCTTTGGATATGGTGCATCAAATCCCCTCCCGCACAATACTCTAATACGAAGCACAAACTAGTCTCCGTCTGGAAGGTCGAGTTGAGTCGTATAACAAATGGATGGTCATGCTCCCGCACTTTCATCAACACGCTTTTCTCAGTCTTCGAGCCCTTCACCTCGTCGTTCTCGATCAAGCGTTTCTTCATGAGTATCTTGATGGCGTATAGTTCTTGATCTAACTTGCTCTCCGCAAGCATTATCGTCGCAAATACCCCATTTCCTATCTTGGCTAGCAAATTGTATCGATCCATAGTTGATGATTGGTTTTCATATGGAACTCGTGCCTGAGGTGGGTGTTCTTTGTTTGTAGAGAGGGGTCGATTGCACGCTAAATACGAGCAGTGGGGCTGTGCCAGGCTGTGCTCTTCTGTGGACCATAGTATCTCCTTAGATGGAGCAACTCAACTGAGGCTCAATATCACATGTCTCGCCGAATCCAGGGACAACGCTAGATTGTTTCTGACCTCAGAGATCCCCCAGGTACTCGCTCGAGCTCTCTCATCGATGCTTTCAAGACCCTCGTACAATCAGGACAGTCATTTCATCTTCTCAAAGGCGATCACGGGACGCGGTTTGAGTTGTTACTTTGCGCACTTGGAGGCTACCTGTGTTGCTACAATTGATTGACTATGAATGCGGACCAGCAGAACGCGGAACAAACCCCAGGGCAACACTTGAGGCATACCAACTTGCATACTGAATGTATAAGTCAGTCGACGCCTGAATTACAGATAGCTGGCCTCTGTCAAGAATGCTAATGTAAACTACAGCATCTGTCAGCATCCATCCACCATCGGACGATCCAGACTCACCTTGGTATGCCTCAACACAGTGGTATCAAATTGCACCGTGTCATAAGTCTGTCCCTTCGTCAGCCTTCTTACCATGCATATTAGCTTCAGACAAGGCCGCACTCACATCTCTCGGACTATGAATATACGGATCACTCGTCGCGTCCGGCTCATCGCATACATAAGCCGCCGGAAAACCATTGGAATACGCACTCGCATGGTCTGAACACCCATATCCACACGTATCCTGCGTCGAAGTCCCAATATACCCACTCACAATTCTCCGCACATACGCCGTCAGTCCCGTATCCGCATAATCATTATATACACTGATTTTCCCCGACGGCGAGTACCCCGCCATGTCAGTATTCACAAACGCAAGCACAGGCTTCGCCTGCGACTTGTATGAGCGCCATACATCCGCTGAGCCGAGCAGTCCACCCTCCTCGCCGGAGTAAAAGTGGAATTCCAGCGTGTCTTTTGGAGCAAATTTGGCATTTGCGAGGACGCGCATAGCTTCGAGGATGACGACGACGCCGGAGCCGTTGTCGTCGGCGCCTGGGCCACGAGCGGTGGAAGAGCCACCGGTTGAGTCGAAGTGGGCGCCGACGATTACGAGGTTGGAGGAGGTGCCGGGAAGGCGGGCTATGATGCTTGGTTGGGCGTATGAGTGGGTGAACTGGGAGACGGTGATTGCGGGGTTGGCGGATGCGACAGATTTGACGGTGTTGAAGAGCCAGGTGGCAGATTGGGTGCCGTAGGAGGACTTATAGTAGCGATTGAAGAAGCTATAGGGGTGTGAGTAACACTTTGTGCGGATTGTGCTGGGAGATTTGTCCTCGAAAGTGATTCGTCATGAACATTCATTTACTTACTCGCTGAGGGTTTTCAACCAGCTCTTGGGACCAGTCGTATTGGCACTGGCAATGAAGCCATTGGCTTGAGTCTGATGTGAGATGGTGGTTGGGTATACTACGGCAGCAGCCCGTGCGTTGTCGGCCCCTGAGCCACTCAGGAGTTTGAGAGTGACCGGATCCTTGATATCTGTGACGTCGATGAAGTTGACATTCTTCGCTCGATACTTGGAAATCTTATCCTCCTCTGTCACCCAGGTACCAGGATCCGATGGACTTGTCTTGATCAAACGAAGGCTAGGATCACGTTTCACTGCATTATCTGGAGCAGGAATAGCGCTTGCTAGGCTGGACCCTAGGAACAAGGCCGCAAAGCAGTATCTGAAATGCATGATGAACGAGGTGAATTCCTGTGAAAAGAGAAGAATTGCAAAGTGGACAGCAATGACAGAGGATGGAAGATTCTACGTAGCTATAAAAGACATTTTTCGGGGTCTTCTGATATTGCTGAATGATAGCGTGATGGTCATTCTCGAGGTAAGAGGCCATGATTGGTTGACCTCACCTCCTTGAAAGGGGGAGCCAAGACTTACCTCTAGCTTATCAGCGAGGAAAAGGCGACATTTCCATAGTATCATGCCAATCATCTCGTTGCCTTGCATGTAGGAAAGCAGGTCGAAAACAACCTGCCTCCAAGATGTTGTGACCGGTGCTTGGCACAAAGGGCCAAGCGAACGTCTTTGGCAGGTGGTTGATGTTAGGTTCGCCGCCTATGCAGGAATGGCTAACATAGACGGTCTAGGCCAACTCATTGTGTCTTTTTCCTGCCATGATGTGGAAGTCGTCAAGGGGTCCACCGATAAGAGCCTGCCCGTTCAACAATACAAATGACACAGCGGTTGAAGAGAGCCTCATGTTCCTGCTGCTTCACATATGTTTCGGACTGAGCAGTAAAGCCTTAAAATAGAAGCGGCAGCACGCAAGGAGGTGTTGGTCGTCCGACTCTAATGAAATAGAGTTCTTCCTCGGTGCTTCTAGGTGAATCGCTCTTCTGCTGAGTGCTGGTGCCTGGTTTCAGTCCTTTACACGACGGTGCATTCCGAGGTCAATCGCAATTATGGGCTTCCCAAGCAGCCAATGCGGCCACAGGAGCATGCCTCGTCTTAGCTCCTGAATCTTCAAGACCCTCATCGCTACCTGCTTCTTGTCAGAGGCCCAGCACCTGGCAAAGGGATGCGCAGTTGCCTCGAGACCCTCAATATCGCGGGCAACGCTCAGTACTCCGTAGTAAGAGTAATTGCAGGATTGTCGAGGCAGATTTCTTGGCGTTTTGATCCCACTCTCCCTAGCGCGGCCCCTTTCCCGCACCACGGCCGCTAGAACAAGCCGTGAAAGGAAGGAAGACGCATCTGAAGGCGCCACCTCTCTTTCCATCCTGGCCTTCAACTTCTCTCTTCGGTGCTGCTCATCACAGCATCAGTCACTGCAAAGCCAATTCGACGTTGTGGATGCCAAGACATGGCGACAGCACATGGGAGCATATATCAGAGACTGGGAAATCGACCCGTTTTAGATGATAAACATTTTGAAGATATCCCGCAGCTACTCAGGGGAACGAGCTTCATCTGTTTCACTAGAACCCATGACGACCATTTGTTACCCGTGTCTGATGGCAAATGCCTGATCATGTCCGACGGTTGAGGTCAAATAGAATCGGACAGGCCCAACCCTCCGTCGCTGGACAAATTTGAAAGAAAGCTTCTTGAAACGTGCAAATTGGTATATCTTGCTGTCCTTTTTCCACAGTTCTCCTTTTGTATTGCTATCTCTCTATCTGCTGAAAGAAGCGTCCACAATTTCTTTGAGATAAGACTTCTATGGTCCCCAATTGCCATGTCTTCTTATGCCATCTTGCTACTAATTTTGAGGGTCTTGTGGGTCAATGCAGCTCCCTCCACATGTCTTGAGCGCTATAAAGTCCTCCAAGAAAATCCAGGCATACCCACGGAAGGCTTGACGTTCTGCGATAGCGGTCTGCAAGGTGGCGCTGGAAGCCAGACCGGTTCACAGCAAGGTGCCGCCAGCAACGACACAACCCAGCCGACGACCTTTACTGGAACCGCAGGAAATTCTTCCGAAGGCACCTCATCTACTGGACCTCCACCGACGATAAGCAGCGGTAGCTCGATTGCTCAGTCGCCACAGAATCAAAACCAGAGCACGACCACAAACAGTGCCCAGACTTCACACGATTACGGTTTTGGACAGGGGCCTTGCACCGGAGGAAATGTTCCACAAATCGTCAGTGGTAGCTGTAAACCGGGCTTCTTAAACACCGTTTTCAACCACGATGTCTCAAACGAAGTCTGGCAAACCATCAAAGCGCACAATGTTACGAATTTCAGTAAGCAATCTTCTATCCGCTTCCCGAAGCCTCTCATGCAGTGACTGAACGATCTCAGTTTCCTTTTGGATGGACGGCAAAGAGAAAGACACAAAGTCTATAACTTCTTCCATAGCAGATGATTGTGCTCGCATCCCCCTTGCGACAGATCAGAGTCAAATGTCACGCGTACAAAGCTTCGTAGATACTCAGCCCCTCTTTCTGGGGCTCTTCAATGAACCAGATCTTGTCGGAGGTCAATGGCCGATGATTGCAGCTCCTGACGTTGGCACGAGTGTCAAAGAGACACTAGATCAGATACCTACGACCTCGAGACGGCCAAACTTCCTTGCGCCAGCGCTGTTTGACAACAGCAAGCAGATGGCCGACCCGAATGATAGTTCCTCGTGGTGGGGACAATTCAAGGCAAACTGCCCGGGCTGTATGGACAGATTACCGATCATCTCGGTGCACCTGTATGAGGAAGACGAGCAGCAGGCAATTAGCACCGTCAGCGCGATCGCAGCTCGCTTCCCTACACACCGCCTCTGGATCACGGAGCTGTCACCTCGCCACGACAGCTGTAATTACAGTAGTGAGCGCATACAGCAATGGATGAAGACGGTGCTGGTAGCTTTGAATAAACATCAGCAAGTCGACAAAGTTTTCTGGAATAATGGAGAATGGGGCGACATGGGGGATTGCAACGTTAGCTTGACAGGGCCTGATGGCAAGGCCACAGATCTATTGACAGCGCTTGGGGATGCGGAGCTCTGTGATGAAGTTGTGGCTCCAGCTACTTCCCAGACGTCGTAGCATCTAGGTTCGTAGGCGAGCGTTTTGTAATATGATCGTATCTTCATTCACATCATAATACACTGCCATTGAGGTGTGTTGAAGCATCTTGTCTCTGATCAGGTGCCCGAACAATGTGGATGTCTACATTGTCTAGGATCCATCAAGGCAGCCTTGGGGATGTTCCGCCAAAACAAGGAAGCGGAGAGACAGGTAAGCTAACTACATCAGGTCATCACCCTCCCAAAGAAGTCTAGCATTCCTGACAGCGGTACGGTAGACCGGTAGCATGACGTAAGCGTGCGCATCTGGGCCCTGGCCAAGTCCCGCATATTGGATCTACTATCCTCCTCGCTGCCTTATGCTCAAGCATCGACCTTGATCTACCCACTATTGAGAATCCAAAACCAATACTTTTGTCCGCTTGCGAGAGAGCTAGACACAGGAGCTTGAGACAACTGTACAATGGCCGAGAAGGAGAAGAAATCAGGCGGCTTGATGGGCAAATTCCTTCGCAAGGACAAAGACCGCCCTGTCAGCAACGTAGACTCGACTTACGGCTCCGAAGGCTCGCGAAGCTCCTATAACAGTGCTGCAGATAGTGACCAGCCGCAGCAACATCTGGCTCCGAACCAAGTCATTAACGATCAAGGCCAAGTCGTAACTACAACGACCACTACTACTACAACCACGACCTCGACAGGCTCGAGCAGTACTGCAAACTCTTCCACCAACGGACCGCATAACAGCTCCCTAGTGAACAAGCTGGATCCACGGGTGAATGATAATGCCAGCGGGACTTCAAGCAACGACGAGATGTCGAGCTCTGGGGCTCCCACAATACCAAATCGCTCAAATATGCGGGACAGAAGTCCACAGCCACTTCAGACCGGTCGATCATCCAACGCCGGTCCTACGCCTTCCTCAACGCAGGATCCATACCTCAATTCATCCTCGCCAAATTCGAGGCAGAACTTCTCATACCCCGATCGGCGGCAGACCGGAGCCGCCGGTGGTGGTGGACAAGGGACACTGCAGGGCCTTAAGACTGCTGCCGTGGGAATACATGTGCGATACCCTCACCACCGTCTATTTCTGGCTACTCTAACACATGGCACAGGGCGCGGGCGAAACCCTTCGGGGCACTTTCAACAGCGCAGTCGATAAGCGCTTCCACGATCCTGAAGCTGTGGCGCGAAATCAAGCAATTGCAGACTCTGGGCGTCAAGAGATTGAGAGTGGGAAGCTGAGCCAGGCGAGTCGGGCACAAGGCGGTATCGGTTCGGCGCCGGTGAAAGGCATTCTAAGAAAGCGAGAAGGGGACGGGAACCTAAGACCAGTCAATGAGTAGATGCGATACTTGGATATGATCGGCGAGCGGAAAATCAGGTACAACGTGGGCGGTGCTAGGTGCACTTCACCCATGGAGAAGTCTTGTCTCTGAACCTGGGCAGCCGTCAAAAAGACCTCGAGTATGGGTAGTGTGATGAGACCCTGGCTTGTATATGACATAGTGCTTCAGCCTTGATGGCGCATGCTGTAATTTTGACGATCTATATGAGTATGGTCTCGCTGGGCGGGAGCCCTGCTAGATGATGTATATATGCAACTCATGCGACAAAATTCGCGATTATTGGACTAGCAAGCAGAAGGGTTACCTTCTGCTGTTTTCTTGCATTTGGATTTCTGGGACGGGATGTTTAATTCGGATAATCTTGTTGCTATGTCTGGGACCGTGGGCTTTTCCGGATCGAACGCTTGGATGTTGTACACCATGGCGCCCAAAGCGTCCGGGGTGGTCATGAGATTAGCAGTGAATATGCTTGAGGACCACTGCTTGTGTTTGAGAATCTTGACTTTCACTATTTTCAATGAAATGAGGCTAAGTCCTACGATCTCTAAGAAGGCTTTATCTCCTGGGGGTTGACAGGTACAAAAGTCCGCCGATTCGCCACCTTCAGACAACAAAGCGATGACTACACATAGAGTGACACGTCTCCTGCTAAAGAACTCTTGGCTGCAGTCGCGTTTCGTATCAATCAAGAATGGAGTCTCCCATTGTGCATTTACAGACGACCTTGATTCGGTCATACCACCTCTGGATGGAGAATCAACAGCGGGCGACCCGATCACATTCAATTCAGGAATAAGTATGGTAGATCGCTGACAAAGCAATGGAATAAGCAACCGCTTTCAGAATGTTTGACTTGGATAAAGGACTTAAATGATCTTCTTCTCTGATTAATGATGTTGCCTAAGGCTTTGCATTCGGAAAGACAGTAGAAGGCGGCATCACGAAGTAGTCCTACTCCAAAATGAGTGGTAAATTGCTTCTGCAGCAAAAGACGTGGTGCTCATATTCCTAGGCGCATCGTCAGACAGAAAATGGAAGATTTTGTTCTATATTCGTTCGAAGCATAAGGCTGTTGTGACTCATCGATGATTTTTCGAAGATCGTGCGCATGATCAGACAGTCTCCTTCTCTAACTTACTGGACGCTGCCTTCCCCTTACGCCGTTTCTGAAAGAGATCGGTACCGAGGCACGGTGAGAAGAACATTTTGCCAGAAATGGAGTTTCTTACGGTTCCTGCGGCAACCACAAACCACATGATGATACACATAACGGTCAGTACCTATGCCAGATGTGTCAGTGATACTGTACAGTGTACGCAATCTAGAAATCTTATCAATATGGAACCTACACATGAGAGAACCTTGAAGAAGCGAGACTCGAGTTCCTCCCCAAGTGATATTGTCTGAAGCGTGTACACACCTGGAAAAAAGTGAGCCTTGTCTAAGCAGCATACAGCAAAATAAATAAAATACTAACCGACTGGAAATATGAAGCCCCACCATCCCATATTGAACGGAAAGCCACCTGAAATGGCAATCATAATGACGGCGACAACAAACCAGACAATGCCAAACCCCCAGAGTAACAAACCAAGAAGGACGCCAGTGGTGTAGAACACTTCACCTGCGTGTGGAACGTGCGGTAGGCTCTCAGTTATGGGAAAGAGATGTTTGGCGACTTTCCCAAGTGAGATTATACTATCAGCAATCAGCCGTCCCGATCACCATCTATCAGGGGTAAGGATGAGCTTACGAAAATCCTGAGAGACCAAGAGGTCCAACGGGGAGTAAAAGCGAAACGATGACTTCGCGCTTGAGGGGCTGGTGTACGGTCATTCTGAGGAAGTAAAGGGTCAAGATTATCCATGACAGAGGCGTTCCTATGCCCCAGAATATGTAGCTAATTATGAGCGTCCACAACTGGTGCTTGTGGTTCGGTATGGCTCCTGCAACGATCGCTCCGGAAGCTGCAGCAATGACGACAGCCACTATGGGGATGAGGTACAGTGCTGTCATTTCTTCAAGTTGGCTTCGCTTATTCGACATGCTATGAAGGTCAATGGTCAGCGAACACAGCAAATCCCATCAGCGAGGCAAGCACGGTCTGATTGCTAGGAAAAGTATTCATGGTGAGGGCGACTTGCATTACGAAGGTGAGATGAAAGCAGGTCATTAGAGCCAAGAGGCTGACTATCCACCACAGTACCCAAGCGAATGTGGCCCAGCCTTGTCCCCATGCCGGCGCACACGCCAGCACGATCATATTGACGATCGTTGCTAGGCCCACCGGAAAGCAAGCTATGAATAAGCTCTGGTGCGGGTGTCGAATCACAGCCGGGAATACGCGAGGATACAAGGTGTACCGTAAGCATGTGATGAAAGTGAATAAGAGGAACAGGGCAACATTGAGGGCCAAGAATATATAGGAGATTATATCGAGCCAGTGTGCATGGTACGGTAGCTGGTGAAGCATGATCGATATGACTCCTGTGCTCATGGTGATGATGAACCACCTGCCCCAGAATGACTCTATTAAACATAGCCTAGTCGCAATGATAAGTTTGCTTACGAGGGCGTGAAGTTCTGAATGATCCTTCGGAATCCACGATCATTATTCTCATATTTCGAAGCATCATTCTGATCTTTCTCTACATCGGAAGTACCGTTCACCAGGCTGACTGTTGGTTCGGATAGTTGTCCTTGGGAGCTCTCGCTTTGCGGCGCTTCGGACTGTTGTCCATTACTGCCGGCTAGAAGGATCGGATCGTCAGAGTGGAAATGCTTCAGGCAATCCCCATGATTGCAATCACTGTCCGAAGTTGACATCCTGGCTAATATATTTGTACGAGTCCTTATTGCTTTTCACCCCTAAATGAAGGAGCACTAGGCAGTTTCTCCAAGTCCAGGAAGGAGAGGGCCCAAGAAGCTGGTGGAGTAGGCAAATCACGGTCCATGAGGGGGAAACCGGTACTTTGTATACTAGTACTACTAGAATATGCATGGCCGTTATTCAGAAAGCCACATCCGCACTACTATTAGTCAGCCGAGGTCTGGACTATCAAGACCATTCGCCGCCAATGACAGGGGCGCACTTTCGCGATTGGAAGCCTTTCCTTCCCTGCTGCTCGTTTGGTAGCGAATCGAACTCTGGACAGGACCGTGCAATCAAGGCACTTCCTCTCACTGGCTTTCCACATGAGAGATAAGGACTTCCCAACACCGCCATTTTGTGCTTCACATCACATTCGTAATGCGGCCGTCCTTAAAGGTTCTCTTTAGCAATTGGTGCTTCCTGTCCAGACAATGAATACCTTGCGAGACGACACAAGAAGAGCAGAGATCAAAGTCGGCAAGATGGCATATATTGCAATGGTACCAAGCCTGTCGACCTACCCCAGCACCGCACTCATTGCAGTCAACAAGATGACCATGGGTATTAGCATATTTCACTCGCAGGTCGACCATCTCTGGCGGATACCAGTTCGCATCCGAATACCGCAGTAGTTTCCGCGCAGGTGGTCGTTTTGTCGGATCGGCTTGTCTGCACAGGTAAATCATTGTATTGAATGCTTCGGGGACCTCTCTGTCAGTGCAAGGAGGCAGTTCAACCGGGTTGATATGCCCAGCTGGGCATGAATGGCGAGGCACGCTTGTGCACGCATTCCTCATACACAGGTATCCAGCAATGTCAATCCTGTGCTCTGCCAAATGGAAAAGCAACATCCCTAGCATGAAGATGTCTGACGCAAAATTGAGTTCTCGCGGCTGAACACTGTGTATTGGAACAGTCCGGGACTCTGGAGCTATCTCGCCTTCTCGATTGATTGAATGTCTATATCCTCGCTTTCGAAGGTTAAGGACTGCGCGCCCATCTGATTGTACTCCCGTGAAGTTTATGTGAAGCAAGCCGGCAACGAAACCTTTGGAGTGAATTTCAGCTACGGTGGTAATGATTTGACTCGCCCATGCTGCCCTCACTGACCATGGTACTCGCTCTCCTCTCAGCTCTGCGTGCGCGAGTATCGAGCGGATGGTACCGAGAGCAGGTAATTCCTGGAGGAACGACTTCAAATGTGTCCTCGAATCATCCAGCACGACGCCTATGAGTTTAACAACGCCGTTACACTCGTACAACGATTTTGCCAATCTCAAATCCTGCCAGAACCGATTCAGTCCGTTGTCGCCTGGCATCCCTGCTCCTCGGAAAGGCATCTTCCGTTCCATACAAGAACGACTTTCGACTTGCGCAATATAAGTAACGGCGTCCAAGCGTTCTTGTACAATGATCTCGCTTTGCAAATATTGTTGACGATCCGTGTGTTCGATTTCGCGTAGCATTTCTTGCTCACATCCTCGTTGCGTTTCTTCAAGGTCTTCGGAAACGACAACGCTAGGAGTGTCAATCATGTACTTCCCTACACAGTACTCTGTAACCGTCATTGATACCCTAGTGACTGTATCAAGCAAAGTCGTGCTTTTCAGAAGCTCTTGGAGCTGATATTGAAGATCTCCAGGTAGAGTTTTGTATGTAGAGAGTATGAGATCTGGGGCTGCGACCTGGGAGTCGATCGAAGATCCAGAAGATCTCAAAATCTTCGCAGAGACTGTCACTCTACGCCAAAGCCTAGGCGACTCAGCATATATGAGAAAGTATTTCTGTAGTCGATTTATACTTGAACACCGAATTTCAGTCATGGCAACTACGGCAGCAGAGTCCCCTAATCGGCTTTCAATAGTGTATGATTCCCCAAAGAATGTTAGAGGGTTCTGAAAGAAGTCGTCGGGCGATGCTCTGCTCATGAAATGTGCTTGAAGTCTGTCGATCTGTGTACGAGGACTGTCGTCGGAAAGGTGTGAGACACAGTCATCAAAGACATCAGACGTCTCGGAAGGAGTACTTTCAAAGACTTCGTCCGGGTTCTGGATCTGCCTACATGTCCCGTTGTGGGTCTTCGAACCGCCCTTCAAGGTCAGGCCCAATTGTTTCTCGTCGTCTTCTTCATCAAAGATGGGTTTCAAATTCAGCTGCAGTACTCGTGCCGAATTGTCGGCTAGTTTACGGTCATCTCGAGTCAAGAAACCGTGAAGCCCGGTTTGTGGTGCACAAACTGTCGGTTGGGCATGATCTAATAGAGACCGACTAGTAAATTGGGGAGAAAAGTCGTGTGTGCCGGCCAATTGAGTAGATAGATGGAGCGTGTAATATCTATGATTTGTGTCAGCGTTCGAGCTGCGTCATCAAGGGCTTGAAACCTCACAGGTTAGACAGCACCATGCTGTCAACAATATGAGCCTTAGCAGTCTCAATATCTCTCGCAAAGGTGTTCAGTTGATTCTTGTGCCAGACCAGACGTCTTCGCTTTATCTGCAACAGATGTGAATGACGCAAAGACTTTTGTATGAAGTTGTGCACTTCTTGTAGCTTGTCTCGTACAAGCGTTAAATTTTTAGTCAATGGATGGCTCGTCAGCTGATGCTCAAAGCCTAATCCATCAACAAAATTGATAACGTCGTGTAAATGATTCAACTCTGTCTCGAGGCGCACATATTCCTTAAGCGATTCGTCGAACGTTCGTAGCGATTTCACCCCCTTAGAGCATGCACCAACTATGGTCAAGATTCCGACGGCGATCGAAAAAGGATCAGTCATGTTGGCGGAAGCAGTACCTTCTACTCCAGAAGCGTGTCAACGGAATACTTTATCAGGCCAGCTTTGTCGAATAAACGCTCATTGCGTGTCTGATTCTACGCATTATTGGTGGCTTTGAACCCGCAGCAGCAAGGAGGACCCTTCCTGAAGCGCACGGAGTCCAGCACCTCTCTGCTAAATATGATCAATGTGGGAAGAAGCTCGTCAAGCCTGGATCAGACCACGTTGAACGACACAGGGAGCGAATTTCATGTAGGCTGGCGGGGTGCATTCGCTGTTGCGATATGACAAAAGCGGCTTACGTCAATCCGTAGCCTTATCATCTTCGACCCAGCCCAAACAGTTTTCAGGCCCCATTGTGAGTCAGGCAACAAAAACACTGACCGAGACCGTCAGCCTTGTTGCGAAGCGCCTACGCATCACTCTGTCTTCGATACCAAGTCACCTATCTATATCCTAATGTCGCAGTTTTGACTTGTTTTCATTGACTGACAACAGACCAAGCTACAAGTGTCTCACTAGAGACTAACGTCTTACGAGGTAACGCTCTACTTAAGCTCTGTAGAATGTTGGTTAGAAGACTTTCCTGTTGTTTCAATCGAGGTATTGATCTCGAACGCATCGCCGCTGGTCTTTCCGATGCAGCTTAAGAAGGAGCTCCATTTCATATAAGTGCGAGACCAGACGACTTGATTGAGATCATAATCCAAGTACATCCCCAACATAAGGTAGCGTAGATGTCATGGGCCGGGTCGGACCAAGGTCAGTGAACCTTATCGATGAATTGAAATAGTCGCCAAAGAGCGCATCTGATTTTGCAATATCCGTGACTGAATACTGGTCGTTTTTGTGCTTCTTGTGAAGGTCAGAACAGTCGTCGCAGTTCTGTTCGTACAGCAGCCTATGGATCCCCACCCGAAGATGGTCGATATGATTTCGGTGCTTTTGCGAAAGAGTGTCCCACGTAGATGATCGCGAAGCGGTGTATTGTCACTTGCGGCCTACCCAAAGGAAATACAAGTGAGAGAAGGAACCCCAAACGTTACCTCGCTGACTTCTGAGAGTCTGTCGAAATTCTTTGGAAGACCACTCGCCGTCAGCCCCGTATCCCATATTGATGAGAGAAACGGCACCGAAGACAAGAAGTACAAGCGGAACCGCGACTGCAATGTAAACCCAAAAGAACGATCCGCCGGGTAGATATTTCTCACTCATACTGAAGATACCAGATGTAAGGAATAGTGGCGCGAACATCATACCTAGAAAGGTCAATATCTTTACGCTTTTGGCTTCATGCAAAGATCGGCTGGCTTCCTTTAGTGTCTGCCGATTCCCCAAGATGCCTGCCAGCCCAGTAAGTGAGGAGATCAAGGCATTTGCTCGTTGTTTCAAGCCTATCAATTTTCTGTTGATCAAGTGAAAGTCCTTTTCGCAAGCAGCCCAGTCTCCGGAAGCATCTGCCTCGAATAGGGGAATTCTGAGGCTATCAATGATTGACTCCATGTTTTCGCAATATTCGGAGCATCGGCGACTCCAAGATTGTAGGTCGCTCCAGCGCTGTTCCGCCCAGGCGATTTTGATCTCGCTGATATCCTGGTTCTGTCGAGATAAAGACCACTCGAGTGTACTGAGCGTAGCTTTAACGTACTCAATCAGTACCATGTAGTTAGAGGCGACAATCTTCTTCAGGAACAATGTGCATATCATCGGGTCATCCTGTATGTCAATACATGAAGCATGATGAAAAAAGTAGTAGCAGACGTCCTCGAGCACAGATTCTCTGGTTGGTCCTCGCGTTCGGCACGCATCATCAAGGCTTGAAAACTTCATGAAGTCAAGGTAACCTCCTTGATATGGTTCATTTGGCGTTGATAGCCTCTCTGCACGCCCAGACTTCACGCCAAGGAAGACCTCACGGACTGGCGGATCGAGGAACAGAATAGCTAGTCAAAGTTATAGGTCGGCGCGGTAGTAGGAAAGTACTTCGAGTGACGAACCATCCCAGCCGTCTCCACGTTTCTGAGACCAATAGCTCACTTTGCGATCGGCGATGCCGACGCGATCAAATGTTCCTGGCATCCTTGAAGAATTAATTTGACGACCAGAGTCAGCGCAACGCCAATCCAGCTTGTCGGGTAATCCTTCGGGATAGTAATGCAGCTCATAATACGGGACGTGGAACGATCGGCTTGGCTCGAGGAGTGAGGGTAATAACGGCGTATTTCCTGACTTATGGTAAGGCTCCCAATGTGCTGTGCGCTGCTGCCTTACAACTAAGGTGGGATCAATATTGAAACAATGGCCGACTACGCTCATCAGGCCAGGCTCAAGTCCTTCGACGAGGAACAGACGGCGGGTAATCCTTTCAGTTGAGCTAGCGCACTGCTTGGCTTCAATGTAGAGACGAAGTTTTGACGGGTCGGTGAAATCCTTTCTGATGGGGTCGTTGTCCTTGGAGAATTCCAATGAGACAACTCTGCCACCACAGCCTTGTACGGGTGATTGGAGATCAGGATACTTCAGACTTGGGTATTTGCCACGCAAAGAGGCCAATTTCCCTCGGTATTGTCCAGATGCCAGGTGTGAGCATTCAGCCAAGTCGTCTGTAACGTGAGAAGCGCCCAAAGGAGGCCGAGCCATTCAATCGCTCCGTCCACAAGCTACGTCTCCTGTAAAGACCGAGACGTCGTTCGTCTTTCCTCCTTCTGAAGTGTAAGTCAGACCTCACGATCTTATCATCCTTTAACAAAGAACGGGATTGACCCTCCGTCCAGCGGCCTTCAAATTACCAGCCAGGGGCAAATAGCAACAGCAGCCGAAAACGCCTCCAGATGTGGCGCAGATGCTGGAATTCCCGCTGTGGCGCAGGCTTTCCTGCCCATACAATCTGCATAGCTTGACTGGGATCTTTAGCCAATGAAAGAGTACGAGAGGTAAGTGGATTGGTAATGTTTTCAGTCAGTTGGTTCTGACTCATCCCAAAAACCTGCGCGTTGTAAAGCGCACTGTGCAGACGTCTGTGTAGAACTACCATAAGGCCTGGAGTGGGGGAGAGAGCGGTAAAGGGGTTTTCCCGCCCGTAACAGACTGGCAGCTGTCTTGCAGCATTGCAGCAGTAGCTGCAGTAGACTCATCTGTATGACTCAATCCGATGCGAAACGGCGCATAAGAACAGCAGGTCGTGTGTCTGACTCCTCAAACCCCTCGAGATCTTTTCTCCAGAGCCCCCCTACATACATTACAGCAATCAGTAGCAAGCCTACCACGCATCTCACAAAATCAGGCTACGTTTTGCTGAATTCAAGCTCCTTCAGCCTCGAAGGAGATAGTGGAGTCGATTAGACGAAGCACGCTTCAAACTTACGAAATGCCTTCCGAAGACCGTAATCTACAGTCTCTCCCCAAGGAGATTCGTCTAATCATATATGATTACCTATTCACGCCACAGTATTTCCGCCAGTGGCCCTCCAGCCGTGCGATAGATACTATACCAAATAGCCTTAGCATCTTGCGCACGTGCACTGCCATCAAGAACGAAGCATCATATTTTCTCTACAGCAGCAGAACGTTTCAATTCCACCTGCCTAACTCTCTTGATAACACTCGGACAATCCTTCCAGACTCCGCCTTCAAAAATCTCATGAACATTTACATTGCGACATGGGAAATGGGCAGTCTTCGCGGCCGAGTACCTGATCAGATGTCCGAGAATCTTGCAACCCTTCTTTCTCGGTTCTCCGGATCCTCCATCTTACGGTCCCGACTTACCATCGTCCTCGATCCTTCCAAGCAGGCGCTATGCAAGCCTGAAAGCGAGGTCGTCGATTCTTTGGGTAAGTTGAACGGCTTCCAGAAAGTATTGGTTGAGTTCAAAGCCGATCTTTGGAGATCCAGACACTTGTTAGATAGGGCACGACGAGCTGGACGATTGTGGGACCCAACCAGACAGACTGAATGTGAATTCTACGATGAAATCGTGGGTAAAATCATGCATAGGGTCGAGCTGGGCCTGGGCGAAGGCAAAGTCTGCAGCGATATTCCAAGTGCGCAGGGGCCTCAATATGTGCGGTGGGTTGAGTTTAAGCCCAGGGGGTAAACGTGAGATTAGCTCCAACAGGACTTTGCTTCTTCTAAAAGTCTTGTGAGTGTCGTCGTTTTGATGCGTCGTTAAATCCACAGCCTTTCCCATGTGCAAGCAGAGAAGTCAGGAATACGTGGGACACGACAAAGCTCGATGCAGACATTTCGTCCTGAAATGCAACCAAAATCCGCTCAACGAGAACTGTCATGGTTTGTTCATAGATGATGAGGCGACCGTCTCTCAACGCAGCAGATTGAAATCATCGACTCAAGGATTAAGGTCTCATTGCGGCAAAGAAGACGCCCCATTCGATCGAGGAGGTAAAGCGACCACCATGGCCCGTAGTCGCGAAAGAAAATTACTTGAACACTTGAGGTCTCGGGGATATCAGAGAGAGACAACCAACATTGCTTCGCGCTATCGACAACAATACTTCTGCGAGCATAGGGAGAACCGTGATGGCTTACGGAGAGAATAGAGTAAGTCGTTGCCTTCAATAGCAAAGCTTTCACATGATACGATATGTACACGCCGGCACCGTACCTCTGTGGTCCTATCCAGCCATATGCAGCTTTTCTTTCAACGCTCGACCATTGAAAAATAAATCATACAACTCTCTGTCTGCACTGTCTTATAAAGGAGGCCATAATTTCTTTATTTTAAGAAAAGTTGAGTGCAGAGGTTGCTCTGCGGTCCTACACCATGTACCTAACATATCCGACGATCTTGCCTGTGGTCCCACAAGTCGCCTTGATGATGCAGCTCCTTGGTTTTGGAACGAGTGCTCATCCACATAACGTACGTACTCGAACGGACCGCTGTGATCACATATCTGGTTTTATATGTTGACACTAGGGGCCATGCTTGCTTGCGAATGTAACTCGGTGCACAGTCTGTTTGATGATGCGTCGTCGTCGGCGCTTGGAGAGTTGACGTGGCGATGATTTTGATGACTTACTTTTGATGTGTTTTCTGCGAAAATGCTCGGACCGTGCCCTTTCCTTGGTCTAAGTCAGGATCAAAATTAGGGGGCATAGCGCAGTCATCAGGGTAAGATCAGTAGGGAACAGACGATCAACTCAACAGTAACGTATTGGCCGAAAGTTGGTATACATATCACTCTCAGTCGACGAACACATCTGCTACCAGCATCTTTACAGAGATCAACTTTAGTGTTAGGATAGTCAAAAAATAGATCTCACATTCCTCTCCCAACATATATATGATCCCTCTGATTTTCAATATATCGATTGTAAAGTATTGCTACCTTCGCAAGACATTCCGTCCCGAAGGACACAAGAGTATCCGGGACTTGGAAGTCGAAAAAGAGACGTTTATACAGGAGCAATACCCCTGCCCACCAGCCAATCAAGAGCCCAAGCAACAACGACGAAGACCTTCTGTCTCCAACTTCTCGTCCACCAGAAGTTCTTGCTCCGCCAAGCCATCCATGCCCTCTGTCCTGTCAAGTTGTGTTCATCCCCAGCAACCACACCGTCCCTCTGTCCAAGATATGCTACAACGGCTTTCTGCTGGTACTTGAACGGAGCTTCGTGTCCTTTGTTGAGGCATTTAGCCAAGTATTCCGCTTTCTGACATGCAACCTCAGCCGTGGTTGGTAAGCTGGCGTCTTGGATATCTGCTGCATCGCCCAGCGCGTATGCGTCTGGTAGAATCTGCTCGTCCTTGCCATAAACACGGAGAAATGAATCGGTCACGATACGTGGAAGTCGCGGGGTAAGCTTCACAGGCAGACTCTCAACCAATCGCGTACATCGGTTTCCTGTAGCCCAAATCACAAGGCCTGTGGGTATTCGGCCATGCTCTACAGTGGTGATACTGTCCGCATCCACCCGTTGAATGTGGCTGCTTGTCACGACTTCAACGCCACGCTTAGAGAAAGAAGCCAGAGCATAGTCTTGTAGCTTGGCATCGAAGACAGACAGGATGTTTGGCGCGACATCATGAATGGCGATGCTTGGTTTGGCCTTCAGGTGGGGATACAGCTTCGCAAAGCTATGCTTGAACAGGTCGCAGAGTTCAGCGGACAATTCAATTCCTGTGGGGCCTCCGCCAACGATCACAAAATGAAGCAGATCATGCTGCTCTTGCTCTGTTCTACCTGGTAGAGATGCTTTCTCAAAACAATCCGCCACCCGCTGTCGGATCAACATCGCATCCGCCACATTGCGTACAAAGCAGGCATTCTCCAGCACACCTGGAGTACCAAAGGTCTGGTTCAGACACCCCGGGGCCAGAATGATGATGTCATACGAGAGCTCAAAGCGCTCATCCTCCAGGTCGCTGAAGAATGGCCGGCACCGACACGTCTTCTTTTCGAAATCAATGGTACGGACTTTGCCCTGGATGAACTTGAACGGGCTACTCTCATGTCGAACAGGTGTTTCCACGAGCGAGAAGTCATAGAGTCCACACGCTGCACTGGCGAGCAAGGGTGTATATGGTGTCGTTGGCGACGGAGATATCACGGTGATGTCGTGCTTGGTAGTCGAGAGATTGCTACAGAGAGTGCTGCCGGCCCAGCCGGAACCGACAATAAGAACCTTATGCTGCGTTCGAGCCATGCCTATTGACGGTTTTGGAGGTAATGTTGAATTCAGGACTCGCTAGCGATGATGCAATTGCTTTGCTTATCGCTGTAGGCATATAATTGACAATCGACAATTCAATGAGCGGGACCAGAAGGGTACATTCTTGACAAGAGACTCTACCTCCCTTCATCAATAATGAATAGGGTTCATGATCGCCTTACTCATCAACATCGTCAGCATCCTGCCTCGCGACCTCACCCTCGTCATCCGGCTCGCGCTGCCAAGACCTCGGGGCTTCCGTTAGCTTTTCCTCATTAAATAGACAGATAGTCTCAAATAGTCATCGCGACTACCCTATTGAAGCACAAAACAAAGCTGACAGTTAGGTTCATCCTCTCTGTTAAATAGAGCTAAGGCTGCCCCAATTTACCCCTGAGCACTGAACTTCAGGTCACGTGCCGCTACCACAGGACCTCTGGCCATGACGTAGCTCTCTGGCCTCGGTATTTTGTCCGTCCGAACTCCCGCAATAACTCTCTCTACCTTTCAACCGCCCAAATTGATTTTGCAAGCCAGGTAGAGAAGGTAAGCGTTCAGTGATCTATAGTATGCAAAGACTCCAACCTTCGAATGCTCTGCTGAAGCTCACACGTCCCATTTTAATTCAACGTCTTCCCTCTTTACCTCGCCAAAGCGCTGTGCTCACTCAAGGCATTAGACTTCATTATCACAAGGAAATCTATCTGCAGCGAAGACTCTCATCAGGTCAAGCAAGAAACATGTCCTACAGCAATACCGATGTTGGCGACAAGCCAGCGGATCCCTACAAAGACAAAAACTTACAATCACCCGACCTGAAAACAAAAATCGAAGATCTTGTCAAATTCACTGAAGCATGCAAATTCGGCATGATGACAACAAGAGTTGGTAGCAGCGGGCTCCTCACTTCAAGATGCATGGGCGTAGCTGCAAGAGTACGTTACTCCACCCGCTCCCTTACTGATCACGTGTGGCAATTGACATCAATTTAGGAAGGCAACGGCATTGATCTAATCTTCCATACCAACACTGAATCTGGCAAGACCGACGACCTTGAGTCTGACCCCAAGATCAACATCGCCTTTCTCAATGCCACTGGCGAGTGGGCCTCCATAAGCGGCGAAGCGGCGATCATTACTGACCGCGACGTGGTCAAGAAGTACTACTCTGCTGCCCTGAAGGCCTGGCTAGGAGATCTGGGTGATGGGAAACATGACGGTGGACCCAATGATCCAAGGATTGGGTGCATTAAGGTTACTGCAAAGACTGCGACGTATGCGATCAATGATGGGACGATAATTGGCCGCGGGATAGAGGTAGTCAAGGGTGCCGTGACGGGAGAGGCACCAAAGGTCAATAAGTTGAGAGAGATTAGTGAGCAGGAGCTGCAGCAATGTAGGTGATCTTCTAATTGCGAAGGCTTGCTCAAAATCAGACTAGGGTGCTAACGTTTTGCTTCCCCAGGGCGTTGAAATGCCGAAGAGATTCTGTTCCAGCATAGCTCATCGGAACACGCAGCGTGATCCATGAACTGGAGACATCCAAATTAGCGAAACGCTTGATATGGTTGTGGTTTGCACCTGAGGCATGGTTGCGAAACGATAGCTCATAGCCACCGAAATGAAGTAAGACCACAAGGTCACAATCTACCTATTTCTCTTGATTTTCATATCTATCTTGCACTTTCGTCGCTGCGCCACACTTTCCTCCGTCCACCTTAGCTTTTCAAAAATATTGATCCAAACCCAATGGATTTCACCTCTCCTATTAATGTCTTCAAGAACGCCTAGGCTTCCGCGGCAAAATGGAGGCTTAGCTGCTGCGTGATAATCCAGAGCCTCTGTCATTGCAGAATCAGCGTGTTTTCTAAACGCAGCCGGTGGTGTGAAAGCAAATGCGATGGAGCTCTTCACTGCCACCTCGTGAGATCCCATTGGTCTGTGAAGCCTAGCCTCATAGGCGTCTCGGGTGCATGCAGTATGAGCAAACTTCTTTCAACCATTAGGTTCTTCCTATTCTTATTCAAACCTTTACTCTGCTATATCCCGCCTCCTTTCATAACTCAAAAAGCCAGTCCTAGTGTTCACAGAGATTTCTCAACAAGCAAAGCTTTAGAGTCTTCAATATCCAGCATGGCACCCCGCCCACTTACCTATAACACTGCAGAGATCACCAAGCTCGTTCGAGACCAAGGCAGACTTATTGGGCTGAATCCTCATATACAACATGTCCTTATGTTCACGAACCGGAACTGCCCTAAAATTTTAAAAAATCCCAGTGAGTCCCTGCTCATTCTCGTTCACATAGTCCAACGACTGACCTTAGGATATAGCCTTTCTCAAAGCACTTCTTGTCACCGGCGGTAGTGCGGCGTTCATCGCGATTCTCATCGGCTCTCTAGGCTTTGGTGCAGCTGGCATCGTTGCTGGTAAGTCATACACAATGTGGTAGGAATCAGTGAAGATGTTAACAAGCCTCAGGCTCTCCAGCAGCTCTATTCCAAGGTGCTGCGTATGGGGCAGCAACCCCCGCCGCGGGATGGTTCGCAGGTGCTACTGCAGCTGGTATGACCGGTGCCATGGCTGGTATTCAAGCTGGGGCGGCCGCGGTTGTCGGAGCTGTTGCAGGAGGTGCAACCTGGCTGATAGGGAAAAAGCAGGGGGTACGACTCATGAACATGATCTAGGAGGAGATCAGGGTGAAGAAGAGATCAAACGATCTAGAATCAGCGCACTTGACTTGACCATGTAGGTGTGTGGACATGAAATGCTGCCCAAAGTCGGACGGTTAGGATGATCATGAAGTGTGAATGGCATCATCAATGAGGGATAGTCTGCAGCTGCAGCAATGTTATGACAGCAAAAGGCTTTTTAAATACGTCCATGTCCAATGTCTACTCGACACCCATTTGCAGGCGAGAGGACGAGCGTAAGCCTTTGCTTCTCGGTCCCAATCTTTTCATCTGAGTCCTCGTCACGGGGAAGTGAGATCTTTGGAAAGGTCTGCAGAAGTCTTATGATCGTATAGCTTGCCTCCATCACTGCAAAGTCCTGTCCCAAACACGCCCTCGGTCCCCCATTGAAGGGAAAGTAGGCCCATCCAAAGTTCTCTGCTGCATTCAATCCTTCCCATCTTTCAGGTCGAAAAAGTTCCGCGTCAGGACCATATATGTTCTTTCGTCGAGAATTAACGTATTGGGAGAAGACCACAAGCTCCCCTTTGCGTACTAAAATTGGGGATTTTCCGTCCAATCCGCCACCGCGCGGTAGAATCGTATGCCTATTGGCAGTGCGATTATTCAATGGTACTGGAGGAAACAACCGAAGTGATTCTTTGATGATGTATGAGAGATAGGGCATTCGACGGATTTGCTCACGAGTCGGATGGTCGTCAGGATTGAGGACCGCGTCAATCTCGCCTCTCAGGCGCTGCAAGACCGTTGGATGCCGAACCAGCAAACGACTATTATGTACGTTAATCAATCTCCACTTTAGTTTAAGGACTGCATTACATTGTCCAGCTTAAGCAGCAAGCTGTTGTGTCACGTCCAGCAATGAGTACGTTCAATAATTGATCTCGTAATGCGTAATTGCTTGACGAATCATGAGCCAATTGACTGACAAAGCTTTCATTGTCTCCCAAGAGAGATTTGTCGCCCTTGATCAAATCCTGTTCTTCTATATACTGCTCCACAAAACGATGAACACTGGAGCAAGCCTGTCTGAAATGCTTGGGATTGTACAACGACTGCCACGGTGCTAAGCGAAATCTTTTGGCCAGACCACTCTGACCAGCGTCGAAATTCTTCGCAAAGGCGACATTATTCACATCTGCACTCTGGTGAGCTTTCAGGCTGTAGACTGAATGCCCAAGGAGTAAATCCGTCGTGGTGTCAAGTGTCAGTTTGAAGAACAGCGGCTGTAGGTCAAGCACTGGCCCTGCAGCTGACACCTGCTCGATCAGATTATCGACATGTTCTCGGAAGGGCTCAAGATTTCGATATTGAGCTCTTGCAAACTGGGACCGCAACAGCTCACGAGAGCGTTTCCATGCTGGACCCTCTTGGGTGAAAATTCCGGTGCCCATGAGAGGAGCGAAAACATCATGACGTGCACCAAAGCCATAGTCTAATCAGGTTTGTAAACGACAATTGCTTGCAAATTTATCGACTTACCATCAAAATTTGTAGATAATACAGCTTCGAGATTCACAGGATCGAGGATGTGATACGCACGTGGGCCGACCAAGAAATACTGTGAGAGCATGTTGCGTGGCTCATAGTTGTCTGCGATGGAACACAGAAACGCAAGCAAATGTTGATCTCGGTCTGCTGTCCAAAGCTTACGAAGCCAGTCCAGCCCTAGAGGCCATCTGTTGTGCAATTCAGGAGGAGGGAAGCACCTATGACGTGCTCCGTACGCATTCTCACTCTGACATTGTCAATGGAAAATCCTACGGAACTCAAAACGCGGATTACCTGATATACTCGGAACTTGCGAAGGCCATACGTCAGAAGGATTCCCACAGCAGTAATAAGTATAGCTGACAATGCCATTTTGAGAGCTGCGAAATGCAATGGATCACGGGCAAGCTCTCTCAAAGACCGGGCACAAAAAAGGATTCGCGTACACCACAGCACCACATCAGCTCCTGGGATTCAGATTGTGGGCTCCTCAAATGGGCATCAATTGAAGCACAAGAAACACCTCTCACTGCTAGACGCTAGCCCTTGCGGACATGATTTCTAACATTGTTGAGTCCGGAGCAAGGCCGTGGACAGCAGGCATCGGAAAGAATTTTCAGGTCTGATCGTTAGGAGGGAACTTGTAAAGCCAACGATAGCGTGCAACTCGAGACCGAGCTGTTGCAGAAGTGATTGCCTTGGGAGTACGGAGTAAGAAACATGTTCTGGAGACCACAAATTCCACAACATGTTCCGTTCGTAGGGGAAGAACATGAATAGGTTACGGGAAGCGCCTGAAGTCTCCAAGATCCATCACCCTGCATATTATAGGAGGCTCTCGGACACAGAGATAAATCTTATTCGTGGGATTAGGCCAACTAGTCAACGGCATGCAGGCACAAGCGGCCGGGCCAGAGCTCCCCGATCCACTATTGGATTCCAATAGCCCCTGGTTTGTATGGCGAGCAGAATTTGCTGAGCGAAGCCTTAAAGTTGTCGAATCGTTTCGAACGCTATGAGATCCTGCGGACTACACCCACCATCAAATATTTTATCAAATACACCTAACCGCGCGCTATCTAAATTTCGCCATGCTGACAGCCAGGAGGCCTTCAATGAGATCCAATACTTCCAGAGAAACACTCTCCTCCTGATCTCCAAATGAGGCTTGGTTATTCACAACATTGGTTTTCTACCACTCTAGCATCGGATGCACGAGTTTCAAGACTGCGGGCCAGAAATGCAGCGACAAGTAAAGCTGTGGTCGACATGGCCCCGCCTCAAGATTTACCATCATCGCTTCGACAAATAAGCTACGAGTCTAATTGAGTCTGTCTGCCCTTGGAATTCGACAGTCATGCCAGTCAACCGTTCCAGCGCCTTGAAACACACACATCGAGTGGTGAGCTGTTTGAATCTTCATTGGGAGACATACGGCTACTCTCCCCTGTGCCGTTCTCCCTTCATCAGCGAGCTTACCCTGATCATCCGTCCCAGATCATCTTGTTCTAGATTCCGAGTGATCTTATTGGAAGCTGCTAGTTGTCTATAGTCTCCACCGCGAAAGCTATGCAAGATTGTAAGAGAGGTTTGGGTTGGAAGGCATGCCACTCTTGCAGCTGACCTCAGCTCGTACGGGACTCTCTGATGAGTCAGTAGAGTACGTATGATCCGACCCAATTTGGATTCTCAGACTTACGATGTCTTTGACAGTATCGTTGCAGTACATGGAATTGACGAACATATCGCAGAAGCTTGGACGGACATTGAGACCGGAATCTTATGGCTTCGTGATCTTCTCCCTCACGACCTACCAGATATTCGCGTTCTTTCGTTTGGTTACAATGCCCATGCATCTGCATTCTTTGGCAAAGGCTCTGCCGACAGAATTCAGCAACATGCGCAGACTCTGGTGGCGGAACTTCAAGCAGATAGGTCGCTCGAAGGATGCACAAACCGCCCCATAATCTTCGTCTGCCATGGACTAGGCGGTCTACTTGTCAAAAAAGCATTAACCTACTCATCCACCCGAACATCGAAGCATGTGGAGCATCTCTACTCCATATTCGTTTCGACTTTCGCTATTCTTTTCTTCGGCACACCGCATCAAGGTATGGATACAAATGCTTGGTTGGCATCAACACGCAGCAAGTCACCACTGTCTCGTATGAAGCACCACGAGGAGAGCCCGTTATTGATGGTCATGGGCAAGGAGTGCGAAACACTGTTAGCAATCACAGAACAGTTTATGCATCTCTTACGACAATTTCACATTTTTTTCCTCTGGGAAGAGATCGAGACATTCAGAGGCGAGTTCAAAAGCTACATCGTCGAAGAATCCTCTGCGGCTCCCATACTTGACCATACCGAAAGAGTCGGAATATATGCAAATCATGCACAAATGATACAGTTCACTAGTCGAAGATCGTCAAGTTACAGAACCGTCGTCGAAGGGCTAAAGCGATATTGCACTTCTGCACCTCCAATCATCGATAGTCGATGGAAGCATGCAATGGCATCACTCGCATTATCTCGAACCAGTGAAGCGGCTGAATTAGCAGGGCTGGCATTTGACGTTCACAATGCGAATCGTCCTTATCAAATTCAGCGAATAATTTCAGAAAAACCGAGGAACAGATTCTTTCGCATTCCTCAAGCGGTGAGCAGCATCTTCACGGGGCGGGAGGATGTCGCCACAGCTGTGCAAGACGCTTTTTGGTCTTCCACGGTAGCAAGTCAGCCTCCACAGCAGCAAAGATATATAATATACGGTATTGGAGGTTCAGGCAAAACGCAGTTCTGTTCTAAATTCGCTCAAGACCATCGTGAGAAGTAAGTCTATACTTTGAAGAACAATCATCGAGGCTGACTTGAGCTAGGCTTTGGGGAGTGTTTTGGATTGACGCAACTTCCTCCGAGACGGCGAAGCATTCTTTTTCAATGATAGGCAAAATGGGAGGTATGGAAGGGACGGAAAGCGCAGGCAAACATTGGCTTTCTAGCGCTGAGGAGCCTTGGCTGTTGATTATCAACAATGCCGACGATCCAACACTGGAGCTCGCGACCCTCTTTCCCGAAGGAGAGAGGGGTCTTGTCCTTGTCACCACCAGAAATCCTTTCCTCAGGGTTCACGGCAGCGCTGGTTCAAAGGAGTTCAGGGGACTTGAAGAAAAGGATGCAATACATCTCTTGCTCCGAGCTGCAGACGCACCAAAGCCTTGGGACTACAACATGGAGAATCTCGGTCAAAAGATTGCAGATACCCTGGGGTATCTTGCTCTAGCTCTAGTGCAAGCTGGCGCATTGATCCTTCAACGAATGTGCAGCATGCACAATTATCTTGAATACTACCAAGAATACCGTCAAAGGGTCCGCAGTCGTCGAATGTCTATCGAGCCAAAGGCTGAGGATCAATCAGCAGTCTACGCAACTTGGGAGCACTCTCTGGACTCACTCGGTGTCCGTGGAGCAGAAGCAGGTTCTGATGCCATTGAACTACTCAGCATTGTTGCCTTCTATCACTTTGAACATATTCCGGTTGAAATCTTTTCTCGAGCTCTTGGCAATAGAGTGAACGTGTTAGATCCATGCAACACAGCTTCCATTACACATCGCCTTCTCGCTAACTTTCGACTGCGACTTCAGCCTCCCCCCGTGCTCCCATCTTTCTTACGCCAAGAACAACACGCCGAGGGCCGTTATAGGGTTCGACGCGCTCTCCACGAGCTTTCATCCTTTTCGCTCATTAGCTACGACGGCAAAGACGATTGCTTTTCGCTCCATCCTGTTGTCCATGCCTGGGCCCGAGACCGGCTAAGCAAGCGCGACCAAGCGCTCTGGGGTCGAATGGCTGTTAACGTGTTGTCGGAGTCAATCCTACTCCCCCTAAAGACGCCGGAGAAGCTCACGAGACGTACCGAAGAAATATACTCATACATCTAGATTTTTGCCTCCGTACCAACTCTATTGAAATTTTGGACTTTAAATCTGTGTTTGGGGGTTTCCGGCTTCCACTAGCTTTCACCTTTCATTATGCTTGGCTCTTCGTCTATCAAGACCAAGTCCTCACAGCTGCTAAATTTGGCTATGTATATCTTGAGTGCGGCCGACTTGACAATGGAGCAAAACTTCTCTGCAATGTCAAGGACGCTCTCATTGCCAGCCGTGGCTATAGCAATGAGAAGACCATGGTGGCCATGCTTGTTTTAGCAGAAGCTTACTGGATGCTAGGACGCTTAGATGAGGCCATCGATTTGCAGAAGAAGGTCGCAGCATGCCGCACATCAACTTATGGGCCTCGTCACAAGGAGACACTTTCAGCCATGGAACGGTTGGGGCGGTCTTATTGGCTGAATGGGCAGTATAAGGAAGCTCTGACAATTCAGACGCGGACCGTAGACAAATTGAAGTTTGAATTCGGTGACAGGAATGAAATTACTTTGACAGCCATGGACAACCTTGGATTGACTTATGGCTCTTGGAGAAGATTTCAGGAAAGCAGGGAACTTCATAGGCAAGTTCTTGAGGCAAGGAAAGAGATTCTTGGCCCTTCGCATTCGGACACCCTCTTCGCTATGAACAATTTGGCCATGGCACTTAAGGATCTTGGACATCTTAAAGAAGCTGAAAGCTTAATGCTCGAAGCTTATGAGCAGCGTAAAAGGAAACTTGGCAAGGAGCATCCATGGACGCTGTGGGCCGTCTGCAACCTAGCCAAGGTGAAGACAGAACTTGGCCTTCTCCAGGAGGCCCGTGAGATACTAGTCGTGGGGATTGCAGCAGGTAAAAGAAGTCTTGGAGATTTTCACCTCGGTGTCCTGATCGGAATCGCAGAACTATCACGGGTTTATGCACGCCAAAAGCGGCTGGTTGAGGCTACGAAATTATTGAATGATGTGGTTTCCCATTTCGAGAATCATCGAGGCGTTAGTCACCCAGATTCTGTCCTGGCCATGCACAAGCTGGCTCTTCTATACCAGATGCAGGGAAATATACCTGCTGCTATCAATGTGTGTCAAAAAGCAGACAGAGTCTCTCAAGATCGGCTTCCAGAGGAGCATCCACTTGTTCAAGATATACACAAACAGCTTCAAGAGCTCAACGCAAGTCTTGAGGGATCATCTGAGACAAAGTCCTCTGGTAGGGCGGCCAGCGAATGCGAGTCTCAGGGTCCAAACGAGGGCCTGTATTTGAGTGATGAGCATAAAATACAGACCTTACGAGGTCGTAGAACAATGTGAATGATACATGATGAGTTAATGATGGTCCTGAATACGCTGTCGATATGAATGTACCATGAGCTATGATATATTAGTTATAGATCCGGCCCACTCAGCACGGCCAAAGGAATGGCCTTAGGATAGGCCAGAGCTTGCTTGAAATGGATACACTTCTTTTTAGGAATGTTTGTTTTTCTTCCTCAGATACTCGAAGCAGAGACACGTCCCAGCGCCTAGCAAGGATTGGATACCAACCTCCGATGCATATTTCAGTGGTGCTACTTGCAGGGGGCGCAGCGCTCAGATCTCGCCGATGTTGTGAGGCAGATATTTAGAAGCTGTCAACCTCATCTCTCCACCTTCTTGTCGGCTTTCTTTGCCTATTTTCATATTTTGAAATCGTTCACGTCCACCATTGCCAAAATCACTGATGCCTACGGCTCCGCAACTTTTGGGAATTCATGAGTTACACAACTCCGGCGAAAGCGCCAAAATCGAGTTCGTGCAGCCTCCCTTTTGAAAAATACATCAAGAAAGTCCAAGTCGACGCGATGGCTAATTGATCAATCATATTTCAGTATCATTGCAGTCCATGGACTTAATGGTAATGCCAAACAGACCTGGACGAAGGACGACGTATGCTGGCTCTGTCATCCCGACTTGCTCCCCAATTACATGCCGAACGCTCGTGTGCTCGCGTGGGGCTACAATGCGAATGCCATTGCCTTGAAAGATAAAAGCACTTCATCGAATCGGATCCTCCAGCATGCGCAGACACTCGTCGCTCAATTAGCTGCGGACCGTGAGGTGCGTTGCACTCACGGTCAGCGTTAACCGCAACGCTAATGTCTAGAAGCTCGAAAATGCGTCCAAAAGACCGCTTATATTCCTTTGCCACTCTCTAGGCGGTATCGTAGTCAAGCGTGTAGGCTCCATCCAAGGACCAATCATCGGAGCTGCTGACCCTGGAGGTAGGCATTAGCCTATGCTGAATCTCACAAGTCCTACAACCTAGCCCATATATACCGCATCTTTACATCAACATACGGTCTCATCTTTTTCGGCACCCCCCACAACGGTGCCAGCAAAGCACATCTGCTCTCTTTTCTGGAGAAAATGACAGCTTTAACGGTCCCGAAGAGATTTTTACAGACTGACTCGGCGTTGGTTCGCGCTCTTCGGGAAGATTCAGAGACGTTGCAAAATATCACTGATCAATTTGTTCCGATAATGGGACGCTTTCGGATGATGTTTCTTTGGGAGCAGGAACGAACGGATCTAAAGTACACAAGAGAATACATTGTTGAGGAAACGAGTGCTGCGCCCATGCTCAGCGGCGATATTGAGGTATGTGATATCGTGGCTCGAGTGCAGGTAGTTTAGGCTGTCAACAAATTTTTTGAGGTTTGCAGCGCTGACTCGAACAGAGATCAGGCATTGCGTCTGATCACCAAGGAATGTGCAAATTCGTAAATAAAGAAGATCAAGGTTTCAGGGTCGTAATTGCAGTCCTGAAAAGGTATATGAGCGATTCGCCAACTGCAATAGAAACGAGGCATCAAAAGGCCGAACAGTCGACCAAACAAAGCAGATTTGAGGAAGCAAGCGAGTTGATCAGAGGTTTGTGACGATGGTCACTGCACCGGCCTCTGCAGTGAGTCATTGAAATGATACTTTTCAAGCAGTTCATGTCGTCCCGTCAATAAGACCTTCTCTATTCTTTTGTCTTTTTTCCGAGACGTATCTCCACGATCTTCCAAAACCTGACGTCAACAATGCTTTGGCGGTTTGACCATAACTTGGCCAACTAGTGATGCTCTTCAAGGCAGTGCTCACTTCTTGAGTCAATGAAATCTGCTCCTCACCGGCAATTCTTCGCTCGAATTGTCCACCCAGACTGCGCTTCACTCGTGACGGATCGTCGTCACTTGACTGTTCCATCATCTTGGTGAACTCTGCTCCCGGTATTTGATACTTGGATTGATATTGGAAATATATTTTCTCGCGAAACGACTTTGGCAGTCGTCTCACCATATTACCGCGCTTCTGGGGATCCATATCTTGTTCAAGCTTTGCACTTGTCTCATCATCTTCCATCCAAGAAGGAGACGTACAACGCGAGTCTTGAAATGAGACATTGGGGAGGTTTTCAATTAGAGGCGCGTACAGGCGACGGAAATTCACCAGTTGGTGACGAACTATGTTGGTAACTTTGTTCAGATTCTCTGCTCCTAAAGACATGCGCGGATCTCCTAGATAAGAGAAGCCTGCTATAGTCTTGTACAAATCTTCTTCGGTGAATTTTGGGGGGAGGAGAAGGAGTGCTGTTCGTACAGCTGAGATAAGGTTGACTTGGTTCGCAAGCCTGACTCGTGGGTCATCACGTAATATCTTGACAGGTTTCTGTAATCGTCCCGCCAGGTAGAGTGTGTCCCACTGGGAAAGGTCTCGGTACAGAGTGTCGAGATTCACCACACCGTATTTAATAAGTGTGCCATTGATGGTAATGAATGGATTGAAGTAAACTCCAGCTCCCCACTTGTCCTGTACATGTGACACTGCCGAAGAGCCAAGAGAGCCCAACAGAGAATAATGATTCCTGTGCTGGTGCAGGTTTAGCGAATGCCAATGCTGCGTATAAGAAACACCAAAGATGAAGTCTATCATTTTGCCATTGCCACCTTGAACCTTGGATATAGCAGGGCTAGGATCAGGGTGCGCAGCTGTCGGCTTAGGGTGTCTCGAAGCCGTTTGAGGAAAGACCCCAGACCCATAGGCGAAGGCATACCGAATGGGCGCTTTGAATTGCCAAAGAATCTGTCGTAGAGCTTCCTTAAATTCTTGATTGATCACGATATGCTGATTGACACCAAAATTTGAGGAAGGAAGGTCAGCAAATGCTGATATGTTGTAGTCAGGGTTCTCATCCCAATCAGGTGGCAGCTCGATAGGTCTGGTAGAATTCTGTTGGTTTGGGCTGGGAGAGCGGCCTGGAGGATGCGGTGAAAAAGAACTTTCTGGAGAAGCAGAGTCCGGTAGTGGTGCCTGATTGCCGTCTTTTCCTCTTTCTTCCGGTGGGACTGGAGGCTTGGTAGAAGCCCATCTCGCAGAATTGTTTATCTTCGTGAACACAGTCCGAGTATGCCATTCGACTGCAGCAAACCCAAGGCCTGAAATGGTCAATCGCTGACATCCTGTTCGTAACTAGATGCCGAGATTGTCAGCTCTACATTGCTGCATTAAGCCGGACGGCGTCTTACAGAAGCCAAGCTTAAGTACATTCTGCGCTCAAACCAGGCATAGAGTAGGATTATGGCGAATGCTGAAGCTCGTGTTGCGTAGCTTTAACCAGTCCGCAATCCATAACAGACCTGTAGCAGGTCTGCGTACGATTGACGATGACTGCAAGGCAGGAACGACTGCCATGCTGGCAATAGGCAACTGGTACGTTCCTCAATGCACGAGAATCCCGTGGGCAAAGAGCCCAGACCGAGTTGCGGAAGTCTCAGCACGCCAAGACTTTGGTATTTACGCGGATTTCGCGAGTAAATAATGGACAGAATCACGTCGATTGCCAACGTTGAGTGGGCATTGCGCAGTCATCAATGACTTCGTAGACGATATTGGATGCTTGATAATCTCCAATCAACTTGCTCTCGACAGAGAGGACACGCGCTTACTCATAATGGAAAGCTACGCTGCTCGACTTGCATCTTTCAATGCAACCCATCCTGCTACAAAGAAGAGAGCGTCCGATCCCAAAGGGACCAAAAAGCTCAAGTGGCCTCATAAGAATCCTTCTCCACCTCGAGTAAGGCTCAAACTCCACACTAAAAACCGAGTTGACATCTCGCAGCTTGCGCAAGCCGGCTTCTACTACCAACCAAGCTCTTCTAATCCGGATAATGTAACCTGCTATCTTTGCGAGACCAACATCGATCAATGGGAAGCAACCGATGACCCTCTTGATGAGCATCTTGCGCATGCGAAAAGCTGTGGCTGGGCTGCAATAGCTTCAGTAGAGAGAGCAATTGAGAATGGCGAACAAGATGTGCCGAACCCAGCGTCCGAGGAAATAATCCAAGCTCGTATGGCGACCTTCTCTTGCGGATGGCCCCACGAAAGCAAAAGAGGCTGGCTTTGCAAGATCCAAAAAGTAGACAATCCCAATTGCCACTGTGGGCTATCCCGCTAAAGATTGTGTAGCTTGTTGATGCCGGCTGGCATTACTGTCCATCCCCGGAGAGCGACGATTACGTTCGATGTTCCTACTGCAGTCTCGGTCTTGATGGATGGGAGCCGAAAGACAATCCTTAGTAGGTCAAACATTAGTCAATAGTCTTCATTGGTGCTGATATTAACAGTGAGGAACACGAACGGCGCTCGCCGGATTGTTTGTTTTTCAAATCAGTTGTCACGGCAAAACCTCAGAGTGGAAAACGGAAGAAGAAGGAGCGAGGGTCCAAAGCCTCACGCATGTCAACACAATCTAATTTCACCGTCGCGTCAGAAGCACCATCAATTGCAGAAATTGAATTGGCTCTAGACGAGAGCACATCCCAAACGGCTGCGCCAACTCCGAAAGCGAATATCAAAAAGGGTAGCAAGAAGGGCACCAAGGGTAGAAAAGCCGCTAGCAAGAAAATGGCACCTGACAGAAATGTTGAGGAGACTAATCTAGCGACCAGCCATCTGGAGCCCGAAGACGATGACTTTTCTGTCAAGATCGATCAAAGTCCAGAGTCAATACCGAATGGGAAAAAGCGGAAGAGCCAGCAAATTAGCACCGAGAACAAGGAGGCAATAATGGAGCAGGGCGCCGAATCACAGCCTCCACCTTCCAAACGTAGAACCACCAGAACAAGAAGTAGCGTTACAACTACCCACCACGCTTTCGAGCCGACTTCACAGATAACGGATCAGGACATCCAGATGACCGATGTTGAGCCTGATCCTGCGTCCTTGCCGGAGGCTTATAAGAAGTCAAAGAAAGGTGGAAAGAAGCGAGGCACATCAGCGCCACGAAAAACATCCGCAATGTCCGCGGCATCTAAAGCTTCGCTGCGCATGGCGATACCGGATGATGACGAGATAGACGCAGCACTAGAGCTTGATCTTGAGAAACCTTTGACTGATGAAGAAATGGAGGTCGAAATGGGTAATGGACAATCATCAAAAGGGCGACGACTAACGCGCACCAAACCCGGCTCAAAGAAAGTGGCAGCGTCCGTCGCGCCAACACGGAGGACAACAAGAGCAAGCACTGTTCCAGTGCAAGAACCTTCGTTGGAATTTGATCTGAGTCAACCTCCACCAACTGCTACCTTTGAAGACGTCAATGATGAAAGATTCTCGGAGCCTCCAGATGACTTCGGGCTTGACGAGCTCCCTGCAAAGAGAACGACTGGCAAAAAGACAGGGAAGAAGACAGCGGCAAAGCTTACGACGCAAGCAACAGAAGCAGTACTTAAGCAAGATGTAGACGTGCAACCTGTGACAATCGAAAACGACGTGTCTAGAACCGCACCAACACAGAAAGAGCCACAGAGCAGCCAGAATTCGCGACAGAGGCCAGCCCCTAAACCACGTGTGTCCATAGAACACGATTCACATATTTCTCTTGATGACACGCAGACTCTAAGAGATGACTCTGGTCATGAGACGGACGCCAGTGTTGCTACTCAAGGAGATGGTGACGGGGAAAACAGAGCTCCAAGTAAGAGAGGAAAGAAAGGGATGAAGGTGCAACCAGCCCGAAGAAAGAAAGAACAAAACCTTCAAGCAGAGAACGTCGAAATCAGCAATGCAAACGTTGAAAGGGGACAATCGGCACTTGAGGTTGAGGTGACTGACCATTCCAACATGATGAACAAGATTGCAGACCAGAAGAGGGCCACCATACCAACAAAACCGGCAAGGGCTGCTCCAAAAAAGACAGCCAAGAGCAAGAAGGGTGCCATCAAAGTCAAAGCGGCGGAAAGGGATCCTTCTCTGATACCTGCTGTGCTGGAGGCACCTAGCTCACCACCAGCTCCAAAGGAATTGACGCCTGCCGTTTCGCCACAGTCCTCAGACGCGGAAAACCAACCTCCTTCATCCCGTCCATCTGCTCTGCGTCCTCCGCTTGAGCTAGCATCAGCTTCGAAATTGCAGCCGACTCGCATCCCTTTGGCCACTTCAACACCGACGTGCTCACCCTCTAAGAATACGTTCTCAAGGCTGCAGTCAACCGTGCCATGGACAGCAGCCGATCTAGAGCGAATTTTTCACGGATCTCCGGGTGTCCATAAGGAGAACATTCCTTTTGCCTTTGGTAGCAGTGCCAATATAGGTGCATTGACAAGCCCAGAGAAGAAATTGACCGTCGAGCAATGGATCCAGAACAGGGCGCATCTCGGAGAAGAGAGCCTTCGGGCAGAATGTGAAAGGGTGGTGGGGAACTTTGAAGGTGAGGGCATGCGAGCTCTGCAAGCTCTTGAAGGTATTATATGTGTTGAGTAGAGATGTTTGATAAGATACTCCAGTAAAAGCGAACGTTTCTTTGCCAAATGCATCCTTTCTCTTGGTGCAGTTCTGTTCGCAAATGTTTCACAGCTGTCAATGTGCCCTTGCCCACCAGAGCGCTTTTCTCGCGGTGAAGAGAGAAAGCAACCACAAATTAAGCCCAAAACTTACCACCAGCGCCAAAGCTGCCCAGCAAATGGCAGACTTGATCACCACCTTCACCAGCTTTCTAACCTTCAATTTCAAAAACCTCCCCTTTCGCCACCGCATGTTCCTGAGACCTCCACAAGTCTGCCCAACGACTACCTCACATCCCCCCAGTCCATCTTTGCACTCTGCATGATGTCTTCGTGCCTCCATGATCTCCCGGACCTGCAGGTTTCGACAAAACATCTCATCAGTCTTGAGGATGCATTTGCCGTCCGGACAAGGGAGGTGGCGCTCGTGTCGCGAGATCAACCAATTGACTTTTGCTTCTATTTTCTGGGTGCGTGATTGACAGTCGACCAGAGAGTGGAAGTGAGGATGCGTGTGCTTCAGTGCGAGCAGATCGGGGTATGGGAGTTGAGGGAGGAGGATGGTGTGGATTTCGGTGGGAAGGGAGAGAAGTGGGGAGGGATCAGTTGGTGGGGATTTGGGTTCAGAAGAGGAGGATTCTATGGGGATCTTCATGTTGTTTTTAGAGGTATGAAAATGTGCTGTGAGAATGAGGTTGCGATTAATGGTGGACATGCATACTTATGTGAATGCTATTTGTGGGTGCCTAGTTAGGACGCTCAGGCCAGATTTTGGTAAACGTGGCGAAATCGTGCGACAGACACCACACATAAGATACCCTACGCTTTCTTGGTTAGATGAATAATCATTTCACGGCATGCGAGGGTTCTTGAGTTGGGTGCGATGTGTATGAAGGTGAGATGGTGGTCACTTGGCGAGGAATGTTTCACAAGCCGAAAGCTCCCACCCCGAGATCAAAATATTGACAAGAAAATATATGTACATTATAGAACACATTTTGCTCTCACCCCGAACACGAGGCTTAATTTTTCCAATCAGGCATCCATTTCCATCAATGCAGCGTCATCAATGTCGTCGTCATCATACTCATCAATACCGTTGAGGCCATTTGCATGCCCATTCGTTGCATCTTCGTCAACCTCCATCTTCCCATTCTGCAATTCTCGAATCTTTTCATCTTGCATCTTGTCCACATGCTTCTGTAGATCCTTTAAGCTCCACGTAGATATTCCATCCTGGTCTTTGCCACTAAACGGCTGCGCCATCGTCCTCAAGAACTTCTTCGCACTAGCAGTTGCCATGTCGGTACTCAGGCCTGTATCACTCTCTAGTAAGGCTTGATTGATCCACTTGGGCAGCTGTGATCGCTTCTTCTGAAACCTCCTATCTGCTAACACCATTACTCCGTAATCATCCTTCCCTCGAAGTACTCGACCCAGGCATTGTGCGGCGTGACGCATCGCGTCGAAAGAAAGGAAGTCATTCTCTCGAATACGATAGGTCTCACGAAGGAATTCGAGACGAGCTTTTAAGATGCGGGATTCTGTGTACTGAAAGGGCACGCCTATGCACAGCACTGTACGTCCATAGTGGTGATCAAAGTCGATGCCTTCGCTGACTTTGCCTCGAGCGACGCAGAGAAGTATAGCACCTCGGCCATTGCAGCAAGCTGTGCGATATGTCTCAAGCGCTAAGGAGGTCTCTTGCGAGTCAGGGGTCTCGACCAGGATCAGCTTGTATTTCCAGATTTCGTCCAGCGTACCCATTCCTTGCCACATGCTTATGATACTTTCCATGTAGAGATATGAGGGAAAGAACACGACAATGCCATCTGGAGTGATTTTGCTGAACTCCATTAGTAGTGCGCCGTAATTTCGTACAACACCGGGCTCATTGCGGATTTGGAATCCGGATGATATAGCGGATTGATCAGAGCCTCTAGTGACGATCATGGGAAGGAAAGAGCGTCGAGCGAGAGTCATACTGTAAGATTCTTGCACAACGGTCGTAAACCCGAGCATCTTAGGATACATTTCCAGGGGGGATATGGTCCCTGAAGTTATGATAACGGAAGAGAAACGATCGAATACAGGTTTGATAGCAATAGCGGCGTCGAGACAAGTGAAATGAAGGATAGGATTCGGTACGGTAGCACTTTCGGATTCGTAAGGCTCAAGAATCAACAGGAAGCCTTTGTCGTAGGTTGCAGCAAGAGTGGCGAACGTAGCTACTTCTTGTAAAGGCTGATAGTCCTCAATGTTTGTAAGTTCAAGGGTGCGCACTAGAGAGGTGAGTCGTTCAGCACAGAATCGGAGGGGTTTTTTTTCGATGAAGGTGAGCTCTTTCAGATGCTGTAGAAAGGACGGCGGGGTCTCTGAAATGACATGAAGCACTTTCATGCGTGTTTTCAAATACTCGACGAAGCGCTTGAGAAACGCTACAAAATGTTCCGCTCTTCTTATGTTTCCCGGAACGGCCTCTTGGAGTAGGTCATCTGGGAGTACTGGATTCGACATGAAAGCACCCTCCTCTCGAGCTTCGTCTGCACCCCTGAGACCTTCCACTAATTTTGAGTATTCGCTTTGTAGCTTCTCGGCATCTGAAGATCGCATTTCAGTGATCTGTTTCTCAAGGTTGTTGGCGCCTCGAGTCGCTTTTCGCAACGAGTCCTCGGTCAAATCGATACTCAAAGACTCTATGCATACATTGTCAATGTTGTGAGCTTCGTCAAAGACAACTATGCAGTCTTTAGATAGCTCTTTGCTGACTCTTTCTGCAATCTTCGGGTCAAGGAGGTAATGATAAGAATAGATTATTACGTTGCAGAAAGACATCTAGATATATCAGTATTTTGTAGGATGACAGGAACCGGACATTCGATTTACCATCCGCCGGCAAGAGAAGTAAGGACACTGTTTATGCTGCTCACCATACTTAAGCATACCGTCGAGGGTGAAGACTCCTGGAGGAACGAGATTATGAGGTTCAAGAAGATCTAAGTTGTCATGATAGATGCAGACATCGACATCTTCACCCCTCTCTTTCTTTTCCTTTACGAAGCCCGCTGTCAAGCTTCGACATCTGGCGTCAACAACGGAACCGCTCTTCTCTCGTTTTACAGAAGGATGAAGGCACAAATTTTTTCTACTGGTCAATCCTAAGCCTCTAAAATCCTCTTCCTCACCTAGTTGATCTGCTCGATACTTCATTAGGGCTTTCAACTCCGCTAAAGCTTTCTCAATTTCGGACATGGTACGTGAACAGTAGATCAATTTTCGATGTTCAGGATAATACATTTGATAAGCTACAATTAAAGAAAGCAGGGAGACTGTTTTTCCAGTTCCTGACGGCATTTCCAGGACGCAGTGTCCACCTGCGTCCAGGGTCCTCTTGAGATCACACATATAGGCATACTGCTCGGGGTATATACGCGGATATGGGAACAGTATAGGCAGATCCCTATCATGATAAGATCAATATTCTTGGACATTTGTCATCACGACGGCCTACATACTCGATATTGAACTTCATGGTGTCCAAATATGAAGAAATCTCGACCCTCTAAAGCAATTAATGCGTAGCTTGCGTGGATGATGATTCAAGTTTGACTCACCGAGGGCACGCTTCCTCTTCATCACATTCGGCGCTAATGCAAGGGCTAAGATAAGATAAGATCCCCAGTGATGACGCATTCCGCGGTTTTTATTAGGGATTCCATAATCATTGGTTTTACATATTCACCAGCCAATTGTCACAAGGTTCTGCTGCCGTCTGTTCTTCAAAATGAACAAAAAAGGCTTCAAATCGCAGGCGTCCTCCAGCAGAGCTGTCTCCGGCGCATTTGGGAGCCTCCCAGATAGATCTTTACAAGATGCCAGTGCCTCTAGCTTTGGTGGTGTTGCCCAATCTGTCCTATCTCATGTCTACGAGCCCCCAGACCTCAATGCAATCTCTGATCCAAATCTGGTGGTTGCATTCAAGAATTTGCAGAAGAAAGACAGCACTACCAAGGCCAAGGCTCTGGAAGAGATACAGCAATATATTCAAATGCCGCAAGATCATGAACTTGGGTATGAGGAGGCAATCCTAGAGGCCTGGGTGCGTCTTCTTGGAAGAGCCTGATCGAAGAGAAAGTAACATGAGTTGTTGCTACAGATAAAGGTGTATCCCCGCACTTCTATAGAAAACTCCCGCCGAGTCCGACTACTGGCTCATACTGTTCAAGGATATATTGCTATATCATATGGTAAGCGTATCGCCCGACATTTGTCGCAGCTTGTCGGCCCCTGGTTGGCAGGTATCTACGACAATGACAAGTCTGTCAGTCGAGCCGCCCAGGATTCATTCAAGCATGTATTCCCTTCCGAGGAGAAGTATCTCAGCATTTGGAGGCTCTATCAAGTAGATATTGCTACGTACACTAGTAATATAATCATGAATGAATCACCAAATACGCTGAGCGATGAGCGAACGACAACATCTGACGACGCTATGTCAAAATATACCAGGGCCCTCGGAGCAGTTATTGCCATGCTGATGACTTTAATTGGTAGGCATATATCAGATCTAGCGACGTTTATGGTTGCTGAAGCCTTCCAGAGACTCTGCCTGATGCCGATACTGCGAAGAGCAATCTCGAAATCAACGCGATCCTCAATAGTCCTGAACTCTGGAAACTTGCATCATTCTCTGACCCCTTCGTGCGCCGCTCAATCTACAAATTGTTAATTACATGTCTTGACCGGCGAAAAGAAGCTCTCGATCCTCGAGTACTGAGTTCGAATGTTTTGACTTCCGCATTACATAGCGATCAGACTGGATCTGCTTACGACTATGCCAATAGTTTAGTCCAACTTTCATTGAAAGCCCCATCTGTGTGGACAGATAACTATAGTGGAACAGCCAAGAAGTCTGCCAAAAACCGGCTTTCATACTTCCTACGTAAAGGATCTCGAGGTGGATCTCCGGGCTTCTGGAGGTTTATCGAGGAGCTTGTAAAGCACCTGCCGAATGAGCTCTTACAGGAGAGAACTCATCCTGACCTTCCAGAAGACACGAAAGACCAGGCCGCCTCGCATTTCGTTATCCTAGACGCACTGCACGAGGGTGTCATTAATCGGGATGAGCAACGTTTAAATTCTGATGCAGCGTGGGCGGCATACCTGGCTGCATCGCAGCGTATTTCCATCTCGCTGGATGATAGTAGCAGCCCATCTTTCGTCGAGTCGTATCTTGCTCCACTACTCGCGCACTACATTAAACCTTCGGCAGGCCTGGGCTCCTGGTCAATGACTGGGTCGCAGCCTCAACAGCTGTGTCTTGAGGCTTGCTTATTGATCCTGGAAAAAGACGAGAGTCTACTCGTAAAGCAGCTGGAAACCATATCTTCACAGATTATAGAGGATCTCAAAGTGTCCCATCCCGAGCAATCAAAGGATTATACAAAGTCTCAAGATTCGCTTGCCAATGAAACTTCCCGTTGGTATACTCTCATGTCTTTGCTCACTCAAGAAGTAAAATTTTCTGCTAAGCTTAGCACATCTGAATGTTTGCAATCTTGTTTGCAGTCTGAACTCGGAGCAGCAGTCTCAGTCCTACGTAACAGGAATGGGAAGCCTTATGGCGCCGCATCTACGATTGTCTCTGCTCTTCACCTTTTATCAACAATGATCGCTTCAAATAAATCAATTAGGAGTCTTCTCGAGCATTTTGGTAATGTGGATGTTCCCTCCCTGACCCTCTCGCCATCGGCAAAACATCTAGTCCACGTTCTTGATCTCCTACGTGACACGTGTGATGTGGATCTTGGATATCATAGATCCCTTGAAGCGGTCGTACAAGCACCTCAGTCGCCTCAGAAGACCGCAGCTTTGGAATGCTTTTTGTCCTTCTCTACTATTGCTTCAAATGAAATGCTGCAGTCCGTCGTTCTACAAAGCTTGCAGCAAGCTCTCGATCACGATTCAGCAAGCGACTGGACCTTGGTCACCAAAGCGTTCGCAAATCCTGAGGCACCCATGCACTTGACAGATGAAATATTGTCATCGCTCACACAGAGTCTTACTATCAATTCGCAGCAGCAGACCAGCCTACACGGGCTAGAGATTCTCCAGAAATCCTCTATCGGACATCTGAAAGCATATGCGACGTCACATAAGGGATCTGTATTGGTTTCAAGGCTACTCTATCTCGTCGATACTGCAGATGAAGCTTCGAAGAAGCGAGCAGCAGCCCTTGCTGGTGTGCTACAGTCAGCGATACCTATCATTGAAGGGCGGGATGGACTGGTAAACCCAAGTATCAGCATCATTCAACGAGCCTTTGATGAGATCGCGGCGGACTCTTTGTCGTGTGTATCTCGCTATACTATTTGGTAATCAGAGGTCACTGACAGCTCACAGTGTAATTTCGCTTACTGACCAGGCCCAAAAACTCTTCCAGCATGCCTCAGCCAACCATAAGGACGTCCTTATTGCAGAACTTCTGCCAAGCCAGTCTCAGTGGGCCGTTGCACTTGCTCCCTTTCTTGCAGCACGTCCAAATCCAGCCTTGATAGCCACAGCACCTTCAGGCCTTGCCATCGCACTGATCAAGTCCAACGACACAAAGGACACGACTGTCGCGCGTGATGCCCAGGGATATTCCCTCGCATTTAGACTAGCCTACTACGTAGTTCAAATGTGTCAGGCAGGCGACTTCTATACGCATGCAAGCGAAGAAATCCGAATCACCAATGCTGCGCATCTGGCGTTCTTTAGAGAACTTGCAAGTGTTAATGTAACCATTCAAGACTCTGTGCCTCTCTGGACAGCGTCTATAGCCGATATGGAGCTCGCACCCAGTGGTCTCATATTTCAGGTTCAGGATCTATTAGCTGACTGGTTGGACAAATCTTCAAATTCAGGCATTCATAAATCTGTCCAAAAGCAACTATTCGATGGGTCAGCTGGTAGTTCGTCGGCTTCGTACTTCTTTAGTAGAGCCTTTTCGAATGTCTCGACCGTTGCTTTCGATAAGCATGGTCAAATCGAAGACTTCCATCGCTCTCAGATCAAAGATGCGTTGAAAACACAAGATATATTCAAGGCTGCTGCTGCTATTCGGTCCGCCCCGATCAGCTCGGATACCACACATATCCTCAATGAGGTGCTCGCAAAGATGACAGACCTCGACTTTGCTAAGGAGCAAGCCAGAGCTCTTCAGCTTGTAGTACTGCTCAATTCGCTTCAGAACAATGAGATTCTCGAGAATGGATTGATGAATGACATTCCAAAGCAGCGCCTTGTATTTTTCGTGAAGCACGTCATAGAGGAGCTACCAAGAGTCTCAGTTCACATTCAGACTGGTATCCTTCAATGCTTACAAGATGCTCTAGTACCAATCTCTGAGATATATGGCTCCTTTTGGGGAGACTTACTCGTTCGAATTGGGCACCTTTTGCAAGGTACGGTATCTGACGAGACCATCCCTCTCGTGGCTGCCTTGCTACGGTTGCTAAGCCTGTTCCAGAAGGAATGGGTGGAGCAAGCTAACGATGATCTAATTGACGAGTGGAATGAAAGTCGATTGGCTCTTTCCGATTCTATACTGCAACTTGTTCACAAAATGAAAGGTATGACTTGCAATCTCTCGCCCCACTTCACATCATGTGATTCAATCTCTCACGTTATGTATACTATAATTCTCGTGCTTATTCTGGCCAGATCTACCGGACCATTCACATCTAGCGAGACACATCATTGATCGTATGCTCGGTAGACAGCTGGTCTATTTTGAGAGAGAATTATCCAACGATGCAGAAAGCTTGTATCCGGTATTGGCATCGGAATCAGAGCCACTTCAGATAGGAGCATATAAAATTCTACACAAAGCAATACCTTCCAGACAGGAGCAGATCTCCTTAGACAAAGCGCTAGATACGACACTTGTGGCGAAGCTACCCGACGAGCTTCTTTCGTTGGTGTTAGCTGTCCCTGACCCAGACGAGCTTGCTGCAGCAGATCTCAAGCGTGCACTCCCATCGTCATGGTGGGGTTTTCTATTAAGCTGGAAATTGATCTTCGACCATTGGACTACGGCTAGCAACGCCTTACAATCAGACTACGTTAAGAATCTACAAGAGGGTCAATACGTGCAAGACTTGCTAAGCGTTGCTGTCGATGTTTTGATTTCCTCTCGCCATAAGCCGATCGACGGTTCAAAACACAGGTTCGGGGAATATGACCCAGACCACATGTTTTTCGATAGAGAAGCCGATCTTCATTGGCTTTTGATCCACCTATACTACTTATCCCTCGTCCATCTACCCTCTCTCGCGAAAGCCTGGTGGCGGGACAACACTACACGCCAAACCAACCTCGCCGTGCAAACCTGGACCGAGAAACACATCTCCCCTCAAATCATTTCTTTGGAGCTATCCGCTGTCAAAGAATGGGCCTCACAGCAAGAGGATACTACGGATACTTCCCTCACTGTCAAGGTCTCCCACCCGACGCGCGAGATTACTGCTGCGGTCCCTGTCGATGATAGAATTTCCTCTATCTCCGTCCGTCTACCAACGTCCTACCCACTCGCTCGTGCCGAGGTTTCCGGTGTCCAACGTGTCGGCGTTGCAGAGAACAAATGGCAGTCTTGGATACGCAATGCGCAGGGCCAGCTCACTATTTCAGATGGCGGCAGCAACGCGCTAATAGATTGTCTATTGGCATGGAGGCGAAACGTGACTGCAGCAATGAAGGGTCAGACGGAGTGTTCGATCTGTTACTCGGTTGTAGGTAGTGACAAGACGCTACCGAAGAAGGAGTGTCCGACGTGTAAGAATCGCTTCCATGCTGGATGTCTGTTCCGATGGTTCAAGAGCAGCAATTCGAGCAGCTGCCCGCTTTGCCGGAATACGTTTGCTTATTCATAGTTGACGCTTCACGTAAGGATGGATACATATGACAAAATGATGCATTGATTGGAAATCTCAGCTATGCATCAAGTTTACAGGACTGGGTATTGTGAGTGCTACATATCTCAAGAGACTACTTCACAACTCATATGCTTGTGCCTCGCTCAAAAATATACATAGCCTCGTTCACTGTTGCGTCAACGGCATGAAAACATCAAAACTTCCCGTTCCTACTTTACTCAACTTCCCCATCACAATCCTCGCGCTCGGGTTTTTCAATTCATCCCAGTCCCCCTCCAGCACCGCATCCCTCACAAATTGCGTCGTGGTTTCGAAACTAGCCTTCTGCAGTGGACTTACGCTACTTGCTAAACCTGTCCTATTGAACGGCTTGAAGCCTCCGCCTCTCGTCATAAAATCTGCGATGAGATTTAAATGCCGTAGGTCGACTTTGATGCTGTGACCCTTGAATACCGCGTCCATTTCTCTGATGAGAGTAGCACGCCCAGCTTCTATTCCATAAACCTCTATCATCTCCCAGATATCGTTGGTTAGTATGCGGTGGGGGTCCAGAATGCCTTGGTACTCATGCATAGCTCTAAGATTTACGCCTTGTGTGAGAACAATGGGTTCTTCTTCCAGCTTGTTTGTTTCTTCGTTCTTAACTTTCTCCGTAGTGTACGTACATGCGCCAATGTTTGGAATGTGCTGGATTATTGCTTTGTGGCACGCCTCTTCGACTAGAGGGAGAGGCAGAAGCTTGGCTGTGTTGATGTCGTATTCATATTGGATTTCGCACCATGCTGCACCTTTAGGATCGAACTTGAAGCGAGTCACGGCTCCCGATCGATCTTTAATACGGCCTTCACGTCTTTTGAGTCCCTCCTTTTGAGCTATGCGAATTTCATCCTCATCAGAACTATGATCTGCCTCGCTGCTTGCTCTCGATTGTAGTGGTTTTGGACTCCCGCCAAGGGCAGAGTCAATATCATCGTCTGATCCAGGCGTAGATTCTCGTCGTGCTTGCTTCGCAATACCCTCCTCGTCCGAATCAGGTGCGTCATAAGAAATGGCTTCTTTCTTATTGGCGCGTTGCTTGGCATTCGTACCATCATTGTCGCCATCGTCATCATCCTCATCCTTATCAACATCCATGTCGGCATCTGCAATGCCTCTAGCCTCCGTCTCTTTGCCCGAAGACTTGCCGATTTCAGGTTGACCGTCGCCCTCCTTGAGGAGTTTTGCGTCACCTTTCCTTGTCAGCTCCTTCTTGATCATACGTTCAAGTAATGTCACGAATTTCGTTTCGAGTGCATCCAGTACATCATGCTCAGTTATGGCGTACGTATCGCAGTATTCAGCTGCTGGATGAAGGTTGAGTTTGACCTTGTAAAGTTTGGCGGTCGAATGGGCAATTCCTTTACCAATTGACTCATGAACTTCCACACTATCCATAACCTCTGCTATGGTGAGCTTCGAGATTGCTTTTGCAAACATTTCTCCCGCTTCTTTTGAAAGCTCTGGAATTAGATGTAACGTCATGGTAGGTGTCGATATAGTCCGACTAGCAGTCATCAAAATCTCGCGAAGCCGTGGAATTCCCTGCGTGACATTCTTCGCAGCGTGTCCAGCCAGATGGAAAGTATTCAGCGTCATTTGAGTGGACGGCTCTCCGATGGACTGGCCGGCAACGACCCCGACAGGCTCTCCCGGATCTATAGTCGACTTGAGATATTTCACGTCCATCAATGACTTGAACGTTCTTTTGGTCATCTGGGCGTCCTTCGTCCTGTCATCACGCTTATCTTTAAGCCTGTAGTCAGGGTTAGCATCTGCGTATGCGTTTACCGCAGCAGCGAAGTTCTCTGAGGTACTACCAAGCGCACTCCCAGGGTTGTAAAGTGCCAAAGTCGGATCAATACAATCGAGTCGCCGTGACTTCCTGAATATTTTCATAGCCCTTTTACGGTGATCTGAAGCTCCTGCCTCCATCAATTTATCATATTCGTCTGCTAGATTCACGTTTGCCGCAAGAGACAAAAAGTTCTCTGCATTGAATCGAAAATCCGTAAGATACTTCTGCTTGCTGACGTCAAGACCGTCTTCACCATAAATGAATTGGACAATACTGCCGTCAGAATCTCGGACGGTAGCATCGTACTCCGACTTCAGTCCTTCCATACCCTTGATCAAGCACCTTTGTAGATAGCCAGACCGCGCCGTCTTCACAGCGGTATCCACTAAGCCTTCTCTACCCGCCATTGCATGGAAGTAATATTCCTGCGGCCTGATACCGGTCAGAAATCGGTTGGTAATATAACCACCAGCACGTATGTTGGTCTCAAAAGCCTTGAAAGAGGGAAGCGTCTTGCCGCTAACCATCACTGGTACGCGGCGACCCTCTAGATTTTGTTGCCCGAGATTGCACGAGATAAAATTAGCATTGACAGCTGACCCTTTTGCACCGGAAGTCGTCATTGTCTGCATCTGGTTTCTGGGAAATTGTTTGACAAGGCCAGAAGGCAAACACGATGCTGTAATCTGAGAAGATAGAGTGGAAGTGCGTGTGTTGTAAACATTGTCCATGCCTATGTGCTTATCGTCATCTCTAAAGACATCCTGAAGACGTTTATGTAGCTCATTTTCGTCTAACTGCGAGGACTCATCCAGTAACACGTATTTGGTTGCCACTTCAAAACCAGCAGACTCCGCTTCTTGGAGCTTTTCACGTCGTCTTGCATTGCCCAAAGGTGTAAGCTGAAGATCGTCCATGCCGCAGGTGAAAGCTCGCATGTGTAAGAACTTGGTCAAGAGTCTCCCAAGAATACTAAGAAGCCGCCCTGCAATGGCATGACCGTATGCCTCGTACACTGCATGGATGAAACCCCCTCCACTTGGTCCCAGATGAGCCTTATCTAAAACACCGCAGAGCAATTCTCCATCATCAATGACGACCCGGCTTTCCGAAGAATCGCCCCACCTTTCACCAGTCGTTTGTGACTCACCTTGCATGATAAGGCCAGGGTGGGTAGACGGTCTGATATTTTTGAGAACAGTGGTGACGACCTGCTTTCCGGTCCAAAGCACATTAGGCTTTACGACTGCTGGGTCAACGGTTTGTATTTTTTCTGAATTTATCTGGTCTTTTTCGGGCTTTAGGCAGCTACAGAGCAGTTGGTGGTAGTCTTCCCTGTCAAAGAAGGTATCTCTGTTCGACAACCACACACCCATCGAGATATGGTCTTGGATGAGGCCTCGAAGGGGTTTTCCAGACGTGGCAACAAGATACTGATGATCTGTGTCCGCAATCTGAAGCGCCTCAGCGCGAGCTATCTCGTTCTGAGGAAAATGCATGTTCATCTCGTCCCCATCAAAGTCAGCATTGTAAGTATTGCAATTTGCGTAATGCATGCGTATGGTTTTCTCGCCGGGCAGGATGCGCGTTCGATGAGCCATAATTGACGGCTTGTGCAGTGTCGGTTGCCGATTCATGAGCACAATATCTCCATTTGTCAAATGACGATGTACCTTTTTGTTTCTTGCTCCATTCACGCCTGTGCTTGACGGAGCAAGTAGTTGATTTGCGAGTGCTTGCCGCTCCTCAAATGTCTTTGACTTCAGATTTATGACTGAGCCATTCTCATTCTCGATAGCTGATGCCCCTGGCCACTTATCACTTCCATTCAAGACAGCTTCTTTTAGCTCATAGAAATTGTGATTAGTCACAGGCTCAGGGAATGTGAGCTTCTTTGCGAAGACTGGCGGCACACCGATTTCATTGACTTCAATTTCAGGGTCTGGCGAGATTACACTGCGGGCTGCAAAGTTTACTCTCTTCCCCATCATATTCATACGAAACAGTCCTTCCTTCTTTTCAAGCTTTTGCTTGATACCGTCCCGGCCCTGCTGGGCCTTGAAGGTCCTAGGGCCTTTATCACTATCGATCACGACATTTACACAGTCCTGCAATGAGACACATGCGTTTTGAAAATCCCTGAAAGTCCATTCTCTTTGGTTTGACGCTTGCTGAGAGCCATTGAGCACGCCGTTAATTTCGTGTATCCGATCACATTGACCAAGTATATTTTTGTATAGAGTATTTTCCCGGGCTTCGGCTAGCTCTCCTTCGCCAGTCCTAGCCTCAGGGCGGTACTTATTTGGTGGAACGAGAAGCGTCCGAATAAAAAACATGTCTACGCTGATCGGGTGCTTAGCACGGTGATTGTAAACAAGCTCCAGGATCTCCTTCTCCTGATAAAAAAGGTCTTCGAGCGTGATTTGGACTTCCTGAGGAGTAATATATTCTTGCGCCTGTTTAATTGAAGTCTTCGATTTGTGTGTCACGTTGATGGATGGATTTCGAACGACCTTGGTGGAGGCCAATTCATCTCCCGCCAAATTCATCTCAATATCTTCACCCTCTTCCTCAGAGATCAAGTCCTCTAGATCTAGCCCGATCGCCTCATCAAGATCTCTCTCCTCTCTTCTCTGCTCTTCACGTGAGCTACGGTCTTTAGCTGCTCTGACAAGAGGGTTGACGGCTTTATGACCATGCTGAATATTTCTTGTTCTGTGTCTGTCCGATAATACTTTTCGAAATATCTTGTTTACCTTGTCTTTTCGCCATCCGGGAGATATCCTGGAACGTTCAGTAACGTTCCTTCAAGCTAATCAATTGAGGTTACCCTTTGCAGTTTGAACAAGTCGTGATCTTAGGACTTGCGCTCAAGAATTGTTTGATGATCGTGCGGCGTCCTTCTGATACAGCTTCAATTTTGGTACTATCGAGTGTCTTGAGGTACAGCCTTCCACCGTTCTTCTTAATTGCCTTCTTTACAAAATTGTTGCGTCTTCTCTTCAGTTCCGTGACCCCTTCGTCTTCTGATTCGGCAGAGCCATCCTCACTGGCTTTCTCATCGAGACCTAAAGTCGTCTTTTTATGTCGTTTCGTGGTGATGTTCTCCAACTCTTCAACATCATCAATAAGTCCATATTCGAGTAAGCGCAGCTTACAAGTGTATCGATTTGTTTCTGAGGAGGAAAGCTTGAGCTTATGGCAGAATGCACATTTGGATTTTAGGAGTAAAAGAAGCTGTGGCATGAATAAAGGATGGTAAACAGGTTGCGGCAATTCAATATGACCGCAGTGGCCAGGACATCTGTGTTTGCCCAAATGGCATGTTGAGCACCTAGAACTAGATGAATATGAAGACTAGTAGAGAATGAGGATTGGTAGTACGCATTATCACCCCAAGCGCCCAGCGCAGTATCATACAAGCCTCCCGGTACAGGATGCAAGAGATTGTCGAATGTATAATGGTTCACCAATCGTTTGACGGAGACAGACCGAATTTCTTCAGATGTGAGGAAGCCGAAGTCTACGCGGCCTATAGAGGAGGCTACGGGCTGTGAAATGTTCATAGCAGCTCACACTTTCCATAGCAAGTAAACTATTTCGACATTCGAATTTCACAGCGAATCTAATGGTAAAGCGCTTGAGGAATACTTTCGCAGGACTTTTCTGGTGAATTGCGGAATTTATTCCGAAGTCTTAGACATTACAAGTGACCGAGCGAGCGTTCAATATCACGACCATGACTCAATGTTTGAAAACGTGATGCTGCATCCCGTAGTCCAGCATCGCTTGAAAGGGTGAGTGCACTTATCTCACATCGTTCTATCTCGTCGCTAGACGAGACTATGGCAGACACACAGGCGTCAAACGGTCTCAAGCGGCCTTATCCTCAAAACGGTGACCAGCAAGATGACCAGAAGAGGGTCAAATCCAACCATGGCTCACCTGCGTCAACAGCGAATGGCATTTCTACGGGAAAGATGGATGTCACGAAGGCGATTGCGGAGGCCAGGGCGAGGGCCGCCGCTGCGGCAGAAAGACTCAAAGCCTCAAAGATTGGAGCACCACAATCGCCATCTCCTAGGCCGCCGGCGGATTCAAATCGTCCAATGTCAAAGCTAGAAGAGATGAGAGCCAGAGTCGCTGCTCTGACAGGGAAAAGCACAGCAGCCGCAGCGGCGAACAACACCCAGCCATACCAGTCAGCAGCCAACGACGATGGCTTGTCGAGAGCGAGAGGTGGTCTGAGTGCTGCACTACACCCTAGACTGCTGGACTCTGGTAAGGATGCCGGCTCAAAGAGTGCTCTGCAAACGAAATTCTCTTCCACCAGTGGAAAGAAAGGGGCAAAGCAAGCTCAGGCGAAAGGCAAAAAGCAACTCGATCTTTCAGGGCCAAATCTAGACGAATTTCAGCATCAAAACCCTTACTTTGACCCTTCTTTAGGCGGCCAAACAGCGACAATGAGGAGTCGAGTCCCGAAGCAACTCAAATTCAATGAGAAAGGAAAATATATCGCGCAAGCGGCCTCGATACGCAGACTAGAAGCATTAGAGGCTATGCGAAAACGCATCGCGGCATCTTCGAAAAAGGCTTTAATTGAGGACGATGTGGCAGAGAAGAAATTCATCATTGAGGCGCCTCCAGGAATAGAGTGGTGGGATGAGGGGCTCGTTACCCATCCTGACAAAGGCTACTCTGAGGTAGACTCCCCTAATGGCCTTAAACTAGAAACAGACGACAGTCTCATCACTCGTTTAATTCAACACCCTGCTCTGATCCAACCACCAGGAGACCGTCTCATTCCTGCACCGAAACCCATGTTTCTCACCACACAAGAACAAAAGAAGATTCGTCGCCAGCGACGCATGGCTGACCTGAAGGAAACACAAGCCAAAGTACGCCTAGGACTTATCGAGCCACCCCCCGACAAAGTCAAGCTTGGCAACTTAATGCGCGTCCTAGGCGAGGAGGCTGTAAAGGACCCAACTGCCGTAGAAGCCCGCGTGAATAAGGAGATTGCCGAGCGAGCTCAAAAGCATCTGCAAATCAACGAAGATCGCAAGCTCACAAGAGAGGAGAAGCACGAGAAGCTTGAACAGAAGAAAGCTGGAGACGCAGCCAAGGGCATCTACGTGAGCGTCTACAAGATAGATTCTTTAGCGAACGGACGGCATAGATACAAGATTACGAAGAATTGCGAACAGCTTGGAGGTACGGGAGTATGCCTTCTCAGCCCAAAATTCTGTCTTGTCATCATCGAATTTGGGGAGCATGGGAACGCGCAGTATAAGAAATTAATGCTGAATCGGATTGACTGGAAGGAGAATTCGCCGAGTCCGGTCAGGGAAGGGAACAAAACTGCTCAGGCTGCATTTCTAGCAGCTGAGGATGAAAAGACGGGTGTTTTGAAAGACTTGTCACTGAATAAATGCCAGCTGCTTTTCGAGGGCCAGGAGAAGGATAGGGTATTCCGCAAGTGGGGCACAAGGACCTGTGAGACCGATAAGGAGGCTATGGAGACGCTTCAAAGAACGAGAATGGAGACATTCTGGACGATGGCTAAGAGCACGACTTGAACAGTCAGGTGTTGCTAACCCAAGACTTGCACTTCGACATACCAAGAGTCATGCGTAAAAGAGCAACACCTGGTTCGTGCAATTCCAATGCAAAGGTTTCATGTTCTCTTCAGCGAACAGCGTGATAGAGAATCACATCTTTAATTCCAAGCATTCCTTGTGAGGACACCGTTCCTCCACTTTTTGCACTGTCATTACCACTCGATGACGATCTCATCCTGCCAGAACTGCCCCGTCTTTCCTCTCAACTCCCCCAATGCAAGCAGTACCGGCGTCTGCGCCCCCTGATCCACATTCTTATGCCCTCTCCCCTTGGTCATATCTGTACTGACCCAGCCAGGACAGCACGCATTGACCAGCACTCCATTTCCCTTCTCCGCCTCTTCCTTCGCAAGAACTCTTGTGAATCCAATTTCTCCCGCTTTCGCAACCATGTAGGCAGAGGCCGGCCAGCCATCCTTTTGGTACGTTCCATTTGCCACAGATGTATTGAATGCATCCATGAGTTTGGTGACGTCCGGAACGGTCTTCGCGGCATAAAATTGCTGTTTCAAGGAGGGCGCATATTTGTTGCCCAAATAGCCGGCTATGCTAGCAACGTTTACAATACGGCCATTGGGGCGAAGGAGGGGCAGGAGTGTCTGGCTGGCGAGGAGGGTGCCGTGGTAATTGGTATGCAGTGTCTCCTTCACGACGTTGGCATCAAATCCGTTCATGGCAATGCCCGCATTATTGACAACAATATCGATGCCATCAGGGTGCTCATTTTGCAAAAATGCGCCCAAGTCCTTTATACTGTCGGCATTGCTGATGTCGAGTCCCCTGAACTGGATGGTGCTCAAGCCACCATCGACGGCCAGCGCTTTCGCTTTTTTCAAATCGACATCGTTTTGAAGAGCTTGCGCCGCAGCTTCACCTCGGCCTGGGTCGCGCGCTGTGAGGTAGATCAGGAAGGGGAGGGTGCCATTGCGGGAGAAGGCAGATGAGGGGTATTGGAGAGCTAGATGCTTGACTACGGAGAGACCGATGCCTTTGTTTGCGCCGGTAACAATGGCAATGGAAGCATTCGGTGCCATCGCAAAGCGTGTGGATAATTGACAAAAGCCCTTTGGCGAGGGCGATTTGATACCCTATGGCGTGTCGTCATCATGTTTGACGCAGTCGCGAAGCCTGCGAGGCTTAAATTTGTAATGATGTCGAGACTAATAAATTACGAATTATGAAGGAGCCTGTAAGGCTGGTAGGGCTGCATGGAGATACAGCGATGGAGATTACGGCAGCAGATTGAGCTGTCAAATTAAGGGTCTCACTGTCGCGGGCTCGCAATGCCCCTTTCCCGAAGGGTTGGGACGATACGATAGTCAATGGCTCGTCCGCAGAAAGGGTTTCTGCAGTCAATCGGCCTTCCAAATGACCGCTTCAGGGTCGTTCTCTCTGCCTGCGGCCTTCCATTCTTCGTCGCATGCCATCCCAAGCCGAGCCGGCCTGGTCTGATTGCTTACCCTTCCAAATTGAAGGGAACACGACATCTGATGTATAATCCAGCAATTGGCAAGACCTTTCACCCCTTAGAGGTCGAATCCTGCAGGGCCTTCAAAGCTTCGGGTTGCGCAAAAGCTTATGTCCATCCACTACTGAGTCATCTCGGTGGATACTTGTGACCATTCTTGGTGAATGCACTCAGTAACAGATCGTCGCAGTCCACCAGCAGGACACGCAATGCATCGGCCTCGACAGGATTGTATGGTCGGTTCGTTCAGCAGCTGAGATATTCGATCTCGCGTGGAGCTCTAAGCCTTGGTCATTACCTTAATCTGACATTCTCATGGCCGTTCGTATAACGCAGCGAGTGATATTGCTTGGATACCAAGACCAAAACAAGAACTCAACGCCGTGCCCCGCTTTCAACGCGAGTACTGGCGACTGGTGTGTGTTGATTGTCGTCAAAGTCGGTCCGACTTCGTCAACCGCAACCTGGATGCGATGTTGATTTACAATCAATGTGTTGTCTGGGAAGTTGAGATTTCTTTGCACAGCCATTATGTTAAAATCTCCTTCTAGTGTGGAACGGAGAGCACGAATCTCGACCTCGGCTCGCTCGGCCAGCCCCTTTCCGATGACATTTGAGCTTGACCTATTCCGGTAAGTGCTGGAAATCATTGTGGCTGAGGCGTCTCCGCAACGTGCATTTCCGGCCAATCCTGCCCTGTCAGATCTCGTCAATGCTGTTCTTTCTCCGCTCAGAAGGGATAGGATTGCCATGTGAAGTAAGGTAGGCGCGAAAGTTCTTACTGCAGCATGCATAATCGCAATCCGTTTAGTCTGTCCATAGAGCAAGGTTCTCCAGACTCCTGCTGCTCTCCTCCGGTGTCGCGCGCTATGCAGTAATGTAGATTAATCTTTGGAATGCTTCGCTAATGATGACCACATGCCTCTTCCGATCGCATAAGCTGCGTTACGACCTACCTCTGTGACTGTGTACGTGTTATTCAGCGTAAGCAAAGCAGACCTGCAAGCCACGAGGACGCGCAACCCATCATAGTGGGACCCCCGGGAATACCAGCTGGGAATGCAAATTCCTGGTGCCTAGTATAGAGGTAGCTATTCAGCAGCATTGGGAGCTTGCTCGTATAACTCTGCACAAGCATGTGGCATCTTCACGTGACGCGTTCGATGTTCGATGCCTAAGAAGGGCTTAGCACTTGGTACGCGCGGCAATTCCACCACGGTCGTAAGGAAGGATCTCTTGGCTATGCACTGGACCACGGCAGCTGAGATGCCTCCAGCTGAACTACCGTGTCGCTGCGGCTCTGCTGTGTGTGTATGTGTGTGTGAATGACTTCGGCTGTGGGCCACGTGCTGATTGGTTGTCAGCGGAGGATACTCGGATGTACTCGAGTGGTCACCAGAGAACGGTCGCTTGGTAGCGGTTTGGGGAGGAGTCAAGCCACATCTGGTGACATGGTAGTTGGGATCGGCTCTCGACATTCGCCTGCGACGATACCTGACTCCTGACTGTGGGAAGCGATCCTGAGTTCAGCCACACTCTCCCACGAATTGTCGGTGGGAAGTGGTATGGGAAAACGTGGCAGATCTAAAAAAAGGTCGCGTATCGAAGCACGAGCTGCATGGCCAGCGTTCTAGACGTCTTCTCTTGCATGAGAGAGCGCGCTCGGATAGTGCTCGGCCCCAGCCAATAACGACGCAAGGGCTTGCCCTTAACTGCAACCATGTCCGTGCCAAGCAGCGATCCTAGTGCAGGGGCCGGCAAACGGGCTCCAGCGACTGTGATGTCACCGTCGGAATCGGTCGTAGTATTTCTTTTTCCTCTCGGTCTCAAGCGTAGAATTCATAACGTACATCCGTACGTAAAACCCATGGCTTGAAAGAGCCCATATATCAAAGCCTCCCTTGGCTTTCCATTGTTCATATCCATTAGTGTCTTGTGTCGTGTGTCTTGCGCTGCGACCCAAACCTTCATTCACTCCAGCGCTTTTCATCCCGGCCATATTATTTCTAATTGCTTCTGGCTGCCCGATGAGTAATCTGTCATCGCATAGAGTCAACTAAAAAGGATACTGCCTATTTGATCATCTGACTCCTTCCCATTCACTGTGTTGGGTATATAACTCGGGCCTCTCAGAATCTCACCACTCAAAATTCGAAGACAACGGCCGCCACAGCTGCCCCCTCACATCAGCCGCTAGCCGAAGATTTTCCAGCAATGACACCATTAGCTCATCACTTACCTTACACTCATCAAACTGCAACCGATTCTCCTGACTCCGACTACTTATCATCACCATCTCCACCTCCGACATTCGATTTCGAAGATTTCCATTTATATGATGGTCTACAACAACTAGAACTAGCTGCGCAACAGCCGCGAACTTCCTTCAACTTCTCGTCACTCTCTCAAGGGGCAGATCCTAGCCCAGCCGACCTGCAATTCCTGCAAACTTCGTATTCCTCAAACGCCCAGTTTCCCGGTCAGACATCTGCACTGCAAAGTGTCGATGATTCTGAGTCTCCATTACCGCCGATGAGTGGGGGCTCCAATTTCGCACATAACACTTGGCCAAATTTCAGCGAGCAAGGATACCTCAGTCAGCAAACTCCACAACAATTTCATACACCGCAAGGGTTTCGCACTCACAAGAGATTATCGTCAGGCTCATCAGTCGCTTCAACAGGCCCAGCCTCTCCCTACACCCAGTCATCTACCTACCCGCAAATTGTCGATACCGAAACGCATTCGGCCTCTTCTCCTCATCTCGATCCCTACGACACATCATACCAACACCCTCATCAATTTGAGAAACAGGTCTATTTCCCGCAACCGAGTCCTCTCAGTTTCGTGAACCAGCCCTTCCAACACCTCAGCCTGTCAGGTAATGAAGCAGGAGGTGCGATGATGGGTAGACAAAGCGCAGGAGGAGATGCGATGGCGCAAGCACACATGTCCAACACGATGGGCGGGCAGCGCAACACGCGCAGGTCTACAGCAGCTCCTGGCATTGCGGAGTTTGCGCGAACAGAGTCAGCTGCCATGCAAGATGCGGGATACAGCCCGTCAGCAGGCCAACACCTGGCGCAGAACTTGAGCCAAGGACAGACACTGGCACCACACCGCCCTTCAGTCCTCAGCGATCTGGTACACCAGGCCAACAACGCGCGATCGACCTCTCCGTCGATGGACCTGTCGCGTGAGCGATCCCCATTCCGACACGATTCGGAATTCGCGGGCCAAGGCCAGGGCCAGACCACGCCTGGACTGCCGAACAGCACCGGAACATCCCGCATTAACGCCGTAACCCAAGCCCGGCAAACACGAGAGCAGCAGTACGTGCAAGCAGAAGTTGCCCGTGCTTACGCGCAGCAAAAGCAACAGCAACAGCAACAGCAACAGCAACAGCAGACGCAGGCAGTTCCTCAAGGTTACGGGTCAGCCTCAAACACCATCTCGCCAAAAGAGGCCCTTCTGGACTACAAGGCCACTGACGCCGACCACGCCAAGTTGCCTGCGCAGCATTCTCACTCATCGGCCCACGCCGCCCAGAACCAATTTGTCACAGCTAATAATGATGTGTCGAGTAATACCATTACCGGGAAAAATCGTGGCACTTTTCACCCCCAAAATGGCCTTGCAACGGTATCATCGAGTCGTGGGCAGACTCCGACCTTTTCCTCATCGCAACAATCAAACCTCTCAGGCAGCTTCACTTCGATGCCTCCAAACAACCCCAATGTCGGCGCTCAATACCCCTTCATCTCACAACGCCGTCAGTCCAGCAGCTTGCGCAGCGGCCAGTCGGACCAGGCACCTGAATTCCCGGCACATTTAACGTCCATGGAATCCACCAAGTCGGATTCAAGCCGAGAGCCAAACGTTCGTCCGCCCGTCTTTGTGTCGCAAGAAACGACATCCTCTCAGCGCTCCGAAAATGCATCACCTTACCCACGACCCCGCGACACGTTTGCTCATACTAACACCTATGTCTGTACAGCCCCAAAGTGTAATGCGCGTTTCGATGCCTCTGCAAAACTACAAAAGCATCGCAAGGAGAATCACCGCAGCTCACCAAATCGCTCATCTACGTCCACGACATCCTCGTCAGCGGTAGTAAACACTCAGGCCGCCACAAATAATGCCTCGCGCAATAATGCGCCAGGGCCACATAAGTGTGAGCGCACCAATCCTAGTACCAACAAACCGTGCAATACAATCTTTTCGCGATCCTACGATTTGACGAGGCATGAGGATACGATCCACAACAATCGGAAGCAGAAGGTGCGATGCCACCTCTGTACAGAAGAAAAGACATTCTCCAGAAATGATGCTCTCACTCGACATATGCGAGTCGTCCACCCAGATGTGGATTTCCCCTCTCGCAATCGACGACAGAGATGATCATTGGCTCGAGAAAGATGACTTCTACAGTTACTGAATCATTCTGTGTTTACCAATTCGTGCTATCAGTTCGCATAGTTTGCAATGTACATTTCTTTTCAGCGAGGCGCTTCGGATGGAAAAAGTTGCACGCGTTTGCATCACCGGCTACAATAGCGAGAGACTACGCATGATAGGAGCACCTTGCATTTTGGGTGGTCATGCATCGGACGGCGTAAAGCATCATACAGGACATTACTACGCTGGGCGTGCATATAAATCGGGCCACTGGAGCCTTGTTCGCTTTCGGGGGCTTTTTGAGGCATTTTCGGGGATGAGTGATACCATTATGTGTACTAGAACGGGGGCCCCCAAGGGCAGATTCGCTATCTTGTAGATAAGTTCATAAAAATGTCATAATTACTGTTGCAAATGTCGCTTACAAGACTGCAATTTTGGTGTTTATGCATTGTGGCCGTGGGTTCGCTTGTCCAGCAGCAACTTTAACCAGCCAGCCTAGGTACGAAACGACTGCCTTTTGAAGTCAAGTAATGGCAAAAAAGGCTCAATGGCTCTCAGAGTAGGCTTTGATTGTAACGTGTGCAATTGGGCTATCGAAACATCATATTTCGATATGATGTGACCGATGGCTAGAGGATGTGTGGACAGTATTACTCATTTTGGTCACCTTGCCTGAATTCATCCTCGTTTTACGGAAAAAAATTCCCACATGCGCAATCCTTGAGGAAATTCTCCTAAATCTCATTTTCTTAAGCTATATGGTTATAAATACAATACAGCCATTTCTCAAATCATCTTTACGGTTAATTGTGGCAGCATGAGCAAATATCAAATGAGTGCTTTTTTCCGTCAATGCCGGGTAGCTTGAGGGGAAACCTGGCGCGCTCCGCCTCCACCTGCGGAATTTATAGAATTACTACAGTCACATTAACGTAAACGTTCACAAATCCAAATAAGACCGGCCAGAAAAGCATCAAGGAGATGTCAGATAGGTCTGCCACATTTGTCTAGTCAAGCCATGTGAATGCTTTCGAGGGATCGTCATAGCCACCTGTTGCTCCCACCCACCTACGGTCACACTTACCGTACCCGTTTCGAAGAATGCCCTCTGACCTCGCAAGACCATGAAAGTCTCTGCAAGAAGCTACGACCATGCCATTCCGAAAGCCGCTTGTCAGGGGTAGTTGACAGCTACTGTGTTGCTGCCGATTTCGCGACCCTAAGGTGGTTGCAACGGTCTCGGGTTTCATTACCTTGAGAAGGCAGGTGATATGACCAGCAATTATTACTACTTCAAGAGCATGGGTACGAGAACGGCCTCAAGAGGCGATGCAACCATACATCTGACCCGGAAAGAATTCTGAGGAGGGAAACCAACTAAGGACCAGGGGCCATTCAACGACCTCAGGCTTCCGGTCCGCATTACCTGAGAATCCGATCCAATCTGCCCATGCAATCTGTCATGCTTGCCTGATCTGCCTGTCTAGACTTGCACCCACAAATCACAAAATTTCGCTGCATCAAACCCTATTCAGCCTCGCACCACTCGCCCCGGTGACCCTTCCCTTAGGCATGCAATCGCCAATTCCCAACCGCATTTCTTCTTCGGGAGGCTTTCATTTTGGTTTTGAGTTAGTGATGATGAAAGATTCCGACCCCGGATCTTTGTCGAGCATTATTCAGCGATGACATGACTAACAATCACGTAAGCGGCGGTATGACTGAGAGTTGGTGGACAGCCCCAGCATATGCAACACACGTGAGAACTGGAGCGAGGGAAGCGAGGGAGGAGACAATTACTGATCCTACAAGGTTATAGAAGGAAAGCTGTGGGGTGTGGGCGGTATGACGACTTGTAGTCAGGGCGGATGGGAACGGGTCTCCGGAGAATTAATCAAACAACAAGCAGAAAAGAAGATGGCCCCTCAAATTGCCGGCGACACATCATTGTGGCTGAAGGATCATGTGGGATCGCCGAGCAGGGCCTCTTGCGGCCGGTATGACGAACTGTATAAGGCAGCAAACGTGAGAGAATGTTGCTCAAGAGCCAATGAATGTGAAATTGAAAACCAGCATCAGCTCCGTGATCAGGCGGACTGTGTGAGTCACGTAGAAACCGCGAAGGCTGCGATCGGTTAGGAGGAGAAAGCTGTGCTACTCATTCTTACTGTAGGCTCCAAAGACGCGTCGGAAATGTCAACAACCCAGCGCATTAAAGTTTTCATCGCGTAGCAATGTAAAAGCATGTAAACTTAAAAGGAAAACGAGTCAAAGATGATTGATTTGGTTTTGATCGTTCCATTTGCTACTTGGAGCACCCGCCCTTCAACTCCCCGTGGCCCTTGATTGATAGTGACCTTATGATACAAATTCAAAGCCATAACCCCATAAGCAAGTTCCTGACCGCCACCGGCAGTAACTCATTGCCTCTCCCCTCTCCCGCATGATGCAAGATGTCATGATGAATAGCTTGTCGTGTAGTAGTAGAATACTGTTCGTAAGCGGATATGATGATGTGGATAGTGTCTCGTCGAAGATGATGTAAAGAAGTATCTAACCACCGAAACCGTAAAGAGTTCGGCCTTGTCGCTTGAGGGCATAGACGACATCGAGGGAGGTGACAGTCTTTCGCTTGGCGTGCTCAGTGTAGGTGACAGCATCACGGATGACGCCTTCGAGGAAGGTCTTCAGAACACCACGGGTTTCTTCGTAGATCATGGCCGAGATACGCTTGACACCGCCACGGCGGGCGAGACGTCGGATGGCAGGCTTGGTTATGCCTTGGATGTTATCACGCAAGATCTTGCGATGGCGCTTGGCACCGCCCTTGCCGAGACCTTTTCCTCCTTTGCCGCCTGTGAAGGTATGTCAATGAGGTGGTCTTGGGGTAGTGAGCGTAAGGTGAAGTGGGAGTACTCACGTCCAGTCATTGTGTAGGTGGGTGGATGGGATTAAGCTTGAAGCTTAAGTTGGTATTGTATGGAAGTTGGAAAGGTCGTTTGACGATAGTTCGATGATGTCGTTGGTCGATGGATGAAGCCTGGAAGAATGGTGAGCGGTGGATATTTAGAGAATCCGGCGCTGTGAACGGATCACGTTGGTCGTCTGGGGCTAAGCCGGATGAGGTGATTAAAGCTGCTAGGTGAGATGGCACTAGCGCAGGTTTTTCTCAAACTGCAGGAACGACCGCAAGCAAAAATTGCTGCAGCAGCATAACACAAAGCAATGACTTCGTGATTCCACATGCGCAATCATAAAGGTGAATGCAATCAGTATGTAAATTATGACTCGTTCACACCGTGTGGTTGATGTTTGACAATTTTGAAAGGTGCAGCTTTGTTTGTAGAGTGCAATTGCCGTCAATTCCTAGAAATCTGATTGGTCGGAAGAATGATAATCCACCTTCACTCTTCCACACGCAAAAATTAAGGCCTAAAGCCCTTTTTTCCAAGTGCTCAGTTCCAGCACCCGTTCAAAACAACGCTAAGCCACTGTCGCCTGATCCACCGAATCACCGATTTCTTCTATAACCTACAAATTCCCACTTCTTTCTTCCGCTCTTACTTCCACCATCCCACATTCGTCATCAACAACTTCCATCAACCACCAACACCACCAATCTCTCTCTCCATCTTACTCATACTCTCTATCAGCGAAGCCAATCACTATGGCTAGAACCAAGCAAACAGCACGTACGTACCCTCATCGTCGCAATTTGCACGTCTTTATCATACCATCACCCTGTCTCCCCAAGCTCAAGACATCAAGACCTCACTTCAACATGTTCAGCATGGAATTTCTTGAATCATCACTAACATTACTCTAACAGGTAAATCAACCGGTGGTAAAGCGCCCCGTAAACAACTCGCCTCCAAGGCTGCCCGCAAGGGTCCCCCTCCACTGGAGGTGTCAAGAAGCCCCATCGTTATAAGCCAGGAACTGTCGCTCTCCGTGAAATCCGTCGTTATCAGAAGTCGACTGAGCTCTTGATCCGCAAGCTCCCCTTCCAGCGTCTCGTCCGTGAAATCGCCCAGGACTTCAAGAGCGATCTCCGTTTCCAGTCATCCGCCATCGGTGCCCTCCAGGAATCCGTTGAGGCTTACCTCGTCTCTCTCTTTGAAGATACCAATCTCTGCGCCATCCACGCCAAGCGTGTCACCATCCAGAGCAAGGACATCCAGCTTGCCCGTCGTCTCCGTGGCGAGCGCTCTTAGATTCCTTTCATCAACAACACCTTGACGACATGACTTCTACGACTTGATCTGGTTGTGCAACATACATTTCGATCGACTTACCCGCTCGTACACGGACTTTCTCAGCGATGGGTTAGAATGTGGAGGAAGGGTGTCTTGCTTGCTTGATACCTTGCGCGAGAGAATTTTATGTTTGCATAACTTGATCATCCTCACTCATCACAACACATCATCTACATCACGAGCATCAATTATCAAGGGCAGTGGCTATGGTTTTCACCTGGAGTTGAGGGAGGGCAACCAAATGGAATGGTTTGCGGATTATGGCATGCAGGAATTGTTGTACATTAATTCAGTGAGCATGATGACAAGACTACTCAAGTCGCTGAATACAAACGAACTTCGATGATCATCTTACCCTGCATTTATTCATCGCATGTCGTTGCCTTGCTGTGTTGTTTACATTTCCTAGGCTTGTCCCTCACCACGACTTCCATGTTTTGTAGAACACTGCCGTCTCACAGAACTCCGGCCCGCTGTCTATAGCTCAGTGTCCTTTATACTACTTCATTACCATCACTTGACACTAACGCCCTTCAGCACCTGACTTAAAAGATACAGCGGGACTGACAAGTAGCCCATGTTTATGACCTCTGTTTCTAAATTGCTTTCGAGCGCTCTACTGTTAGATGCATCTGCCGCTGATTGTAGGAGAGGTTCACGCGAAGCCTTCAGATACGACAGGCCCATCGCGTGACAAAGACCTTTTCGTATCGTAGATAAACGACGGGTCGTTCTTATGGTGTATTTTTTTCTTGGTGAAGAGTTCTCCTTATACCATATCACTCTCTTCAACGTCTCAAGCTTGAGAACCCTTCATGTCGTGTAAACAGGAATGCTCAAGCATCTACGACAGTTCTCAGCAAAACTCACCTCGATATGTCTGGGCTGAATGCTACAGCAACAGGCTACTTACAGCCACAGCTCTACTCCTCTCCACACTCTCATATTTAATTAAAGACGACACAGCCTGCCTCTCCTTTTCCCCCACACCAGGCAGGATCTCCTCCCACCCTTTCCCGGGAAACTCCACGAATTGCATTTTCCCCCAATCCGGCAAACCCTTCCCTTCTGGCCAAGTTTGCTCATTCGGCGTGCCCAAGGTCTCGAAAATGCTTTTCACGAGGGCCAATTCACTGCCCAGCTCGCCTGCATCGAAGAGCGTCCACTGTTCTTCCTCCCCCGTCCTATGACCCTTCCCTCCCTTGCCTACTAAACTCGCGTTATGCACAAAGATCTCCGCCGCCACACACCCAGCTGCCCACAGATCCACTCCCTCTCTGTAGTTGCGACAGCCAAAGAGCAGTTCAGGTGGGCGGTAACACGTTGTCCCCACCTCCATGATCTTCTGAACTGCTGGTTCAGAGGCGCCGTCCGTGGGTGACCAGGCGACGCCGAAGTCCGTGAGTACGGCAGAGCCTGAGAAGGAGGAGAGGAGGATATTGGAGGGTTTGATGTCGCGGTGGAGAATGCCCTTGGCGTGGATGTGTGCGAGGGCGGAGAAGAGGTCGTTAAGGATTGAATTGGGGATTTTGTGGGTGGTGGAGTCGAGGAGGTCGGAGAGGGTGAAGGGTTGGAAGGGGTAGGTGAGGAGGAAGAGCGTGCTGGGGGATGAGGTGATTGTGTGGGTGGAGGTGAGGTGGAGGATGTTGGGGTGGGAAAGGGAGGTGAGGATGCGGGCTTCGCGTTGTGAATCGTGTGGAGGGGACTCGGAGCCGGGGGAGACGGCTTTGATGGTAAGAAGACCAGTGGGTGAGGTGGGGCAGGTGGTCGTGTAGATGGTGGAGAAAAGGCCAGAGTAGTGGTGGTAGCAGGCGTTGTAGGGACCGAGTGCTCGAGAGGGTTTGTCCGTGTGTTTAGTTAAGGAGGGCAGACTCTGTTCGTCGTTCGTGTACTGAAAAGGAGAATCACTCTGACTGTTTATTCTTGCTGCTTGACAGCGCTTGTCGTACTCCTCCTACTACGAGGTTAGTCCAGAGAACAGTATGTTGATGATACCGATAGACTAGCTCTGCTTGTGGAATCTCGAAAGGCGGTATTTTCTATATCCCTAGCTCTGGAGCGAGTCTTCGGAGCATCAGGATCAGGTGTCATTGATTGCAGCGCCTGTGCTCTGGTGTACATTAGCTGCAATGTATCAATCTTCGATGATAACCCCCTACATCTGCATTGTCGTGTCGAGACGATCCGAGAATGAAAGTTCAGATCTCCAAGATGATACTGTGGACATAATGATCTTAAATTCACAGAAGACCACTGATTAGATGTGCACATTCGGTAGACTAAAACTCGAAAGATAACTAGATATCCTTGCATTTGACCATATGCCAGGACGACTAAGTGTGGATATTAACCTAGAGATGTATGGTAGCTATGTTTGATGAGTCAGTAAGTCTTGTAGACTCGGTCCAGGCGTTAAATTGGCTCGCTGGCAAAGTGGGAAAGATCGCAATGTCCAATTGTATTTCCCTCATCGTCTGGTTTTCATTTATCAAGGCTCTGCATGGGGTTGATGAATCTCATAATGAGCACATTTGGACTTCTTTCACATGAGCTTAAGATTAGAGGTTACTGAGAAAAGCAAAGTCGAATAAACAGACATTCGAGGCTCATGATGAATAGACAATATTTTATTTTTCTTAAGGATCAAGAACTTATAGGAATTAAATAATCCAAACAAAGAGTGCATACATATTGTGCACCCACCAATTTTCCCCTCAGCTGTTCTGACAATGACCAATTATCTGTTGTTTTATTTGTAATATCACAAAAGAAAGTAAGAGGACGAAATAGGCGTCGTTGCTACGGCCTATGCTCTCATACTCTGATGGGATATTTGAACTGGTCCTGCCCGCAAATTTTTGACCCGCCCGCCGCTCTTTCCGATCCGGCCGAGCTTGGGCGTTAGGTTTGGCTCGAGCTACCATTTAAGTCTGCGATGTAAACGTCAACTACATGGCAACGGTCGCCATACCCGATTATTACTTCTGGCCCCGGTAATTGACTCGTATATCGCTGCGCAACATGGACCTCTCAAGGCAAGAGTATCCTGCTCTTTTGGTAATGAAAACTAGGATAATCATCAATTGACATTCAAGTTGACTGATTGCAGCGCTCTTTTGCCCCTAACGACGCCGTGGCTATATTGGAGGACCGTGTGAAGCTGATTGGAAGGATCAACACTGATATCGCGGATTGGCTCGCTGTAAGAATCCCAAAGTAAAATGGAACAACGAGGCATGGCTTACGCCGCACAGGAGAGGAGGCGTGTTGAAGATGCATATGTCCAAGGCCTTCGGAAGCTGGCTAGTAGAGGACCTCGAGATGCATCTGCTGAGCTTGGGTGAGTATGGCTTGCGGTCTAAAGCTGTACATTGGCTTATCAGGACAGTATATTTCGGACACCATGGCAGAACATAGTCGGGTCGATGGAGTCACTGGCGGATTCACACAATACATTGGTGCAAAGGATCGAAGCAGACGTGGAACGGCCATTGAAAGATTATCAAACGAAGAGTCGAGAAATGCAAGCCATTAGCACTATCCAAGGGAATCTATCGTCCATGGCAAAGGAGGTGGAGAGCGCGCAAAGGAAGGTCGCGAAGCTTAGCGGCAGCAAATCTTCAGCTAACAAGGTAGCAAATGCGACGTCGGATGTGGAAGCTGCAAATCAGCAATGGCAGTCTCAAGCGCCATACGTGTTTGAATCATTGCAAGCTTTGGACGAGAGCAGGGTCAATCATCTGCGAGATGTCTTAACCCAGCTTGAGACACATGAGGCGGATCAAGTGGAACGAAGTCGGACTACTGCAGAGAGCTGCCTGAATTCCATATTGAACATTAGGACAGAGGAAGAGATTTCCGCCTTCGTAGCGAGACAGACTGCCAATGCGCCCGCGGCATCTGAGTCGCAACCGAGTCGTGATAGGGCTGGAAGCAACGCGGCTGGTCGAGGTCCTCCTTCTGAACTACCGGCGACAAACGCCACTCCATCTCGAAGACAACCCGATGAAAGCGCTGGGGCGAGCCCTTACTCTACAGCTTCGAAGACGGGTATGGATAATCATGAGAACTGGGTCTACAGTGATTTCGCTAACCAAGTAGTAGGACCCCCTCCTCCAGCACGGAAAGGCTTCGGATTGAGACGCCTTGGGACCGTACTAGGAGGACGAGACAAAGGTTCCAAACTCACAGAACGACCTCCATCCCCAGAGAAGCGCTTTCGACCAAGCCGCAACCCGTTGCGTCGAGGGCCATCCTCAAATATGCAACAGATAGACTCACCGCCGCAAACTTCTAGTTCAAATATGCCTCCTCAGCCACCTCAACTACGCAACCCACTCGTTGAGGCATCTAATGATGATACTACCGATCGTCCCTTACGCACCCCTCAAGCACAGAGAGAATATACTGAGCCCTTGCCGGGTCCAGTGCCACTACCACCGCGAGGATCAAGTATACCGATGACGAATGGCGTTCAGGCCAGCAGGGAGAACATTGCTCCGCAGGACCTCATGCCGCCAGTCCAACGTGAGCAGAGCATGCCGACTCAACGCGATGCTGAAGGCTACAGTGTGCCTCCTAATGCGGTAGATGATATTACTCGAGCACAACAAGAAGCAGCGGCTGCTGGGTATGTGCTTACCCCTTGCTCTAGGTATGTCTTGCTGACCAGTAGTAGCGAAGCGGATCAATCGCAATTCAAACTGAATATACGTGATGCACCGTTGCGAGAAGAAGACTCAGCTGCGCAACAATCAGCCTTTTCAACGGTTGCAAATACGCTTCGTTCCCAAGCTGTCACGCCGCGTAAACAAGGTACATTACGAGGTCGGCGTGATGTCAGGAATACTGTCTTTGTTCCCTCGGGGCAATCCCTCGAGAGTGCAGGTCTTGGAGGGCTCAATGCGCCGACTCCACCATCTCAGGCAACTATTACTCCTCCATTGCCCGCGGATGGCTTTCGAGGATCAGACGCACAGTCAGTTCGTTCGGCTCACTCATTGGGCAGTACCGCGGCTACTGTATTAGGTAGGAATGCATCGTCAGTCATTGCTCATCCAGAGATGCATCAGCCTGGGTTGAACGCATCAATTGTCGAATCCGTTAGCGCAACATTCTCCCATGGCCAGGTGACAAAGGCTGTCGTCATTGGAGAGATAGCGCTGCAAAACAATGCTGATGATCCCGCGTCGTCGTCTTCAGGGGAGAAGAATGTACGGCTCGAGAATTTCGCTGTGCTGGAAAAAGTAGCTCCTAACCCGACTTTCATCTCACAAAGAGAATCAGCACCTGGTGAGTACAGTGTCAACTGTGCACACGCTCCGTCACCTACAGTGGCATTCAAATATCAGTTACACCTGGACGATTCCAACCTTGGTGTCCATGCTCCGCTTTCGTTCACACCAATCTGGAAAATTGAACCAACGCAGGCTTCAGTGATCCTATCCTATAATCTCAACTTGTCGTCATTAGCTTCAAGCCAGGGCTCACTTTCCCTCCAAAACTTGATCATTTTCATCAGCATTGAAAGGACGAAGGCAAACAGCTGTCAATCGAAACCGGCTGGTATATTCTCGAAGGAGAAATCGCTAATCTATTGGAAGATCGGCGATATCGCTCTCTGGGGCGCTTCTGATCCGCCTCAGAAGCTTCTTGCTCGCTTCAGCACTGAGGGGGAGGCGGAGCCTGGAACTGTGGAGGCCAGGTGGGAGATCAGCGGCGAGCAGGCTACTACAGCGGGTAGTGGCTTAGGGATCAGCATTGGAAGCAGCAGCAAGGAGGACAAAGGTAGTAGCAGCGATCCCTTCGCGGACGAGGACACAACAACAGCGACGAGCGGGCTGTGGAAGAGTGCGCCAATCACGAGAAAGATCATCAGTGGGAGGTATGTGGCATCATGACGAACACGACGAACAGAACTGGCAAGACTAGGAAATGGGACTGGAGCATCGGATTATGCTGGAGGTCCAGTATTGATTGGTGTCTTTGTATAACTGGGGACAGAGGTGGGAAGATGTAGATATGTAATCAAGAAAAGCGTCGTTGTGCTGCTCTCCACTATATCGATATCATGAGTTCATCCAACTGCGCGAGCGTCGAGTACTACCAAATGCGAGATATATCAGCACACGATGGCGACCCGACTACTCGCACCGTCAAGACTCCAGAGGTCCAACCTAAGGCGGGCCTTATCGACTTGGCGCAATTTCAAAGACGAGAAAGTTCCGACGTCTCGACCCCTGAAAAGGTGGGAGACTAAGGAGCGGGTTCCTGACCTAGAGGAGGCAGTACCAGGCCCGTCCAGGTATAGAGGTGGAATAGATGGCAGACTAAGAAGGCAGAGTGACTCGGTGGTTATGCGCTGACGGTGTTGATTGGCGGCAGGCCTGACTTTGCCGAAATGAAGGTGCCTCTCTGAAATCTGCTGAAATGGGCCTCCCGTGCCCCAAATTATCATCCAACGCTTCATCTTTCCCTCCCCCAATTAATTCTAACCCTTTTCCCTTCCACTTCTGTTCACACCTCATTGTCGCTCTCTTCGCATTCTTCATATCCTGCTGTATTCGGCTGCGCCGGTCGTCGCCCTTCTTTTATCGACGTCTGGCCAGCAGGGCCACTTCCGCTCATTCACCCAAGTCGCCCATCTTTACATTCGTCGCCAGCTGAAACACTGCTCAAACCACCACTATCACTCCGTGCCACTCACCGCTTCCGTGTGGACAATCTGGGTGGATCGAAGTACAAGAGCTCGGAGACGTCCCTTTCGATTGAGAGTGCTCAATTAAGGCATCCACTTTAATCATAATGCATCAACATCACGTTCATCAGCATTTGCACCCGGCGTTGGAGGTGCGACAGGACGCTGGCAGTACAGTCATTCAGTATGTCTACAAAACGGCCGACAAAACATTCGATGGCCCCATTGGAGGTTACAGCACCGTGAACCCACCTCCCTCGAACGCCACACCTGCCCCGGCAGTTCAGCAGCAAAACACGCAGCAAGACACTTCGAACAGCAATCAAAATTCGAATCAGAACTCGAACCAGGATTCGAATAACAACTCCAATTCCAATTCCGATTCGGACAATTCGCAGCAACAACAGCAGCAACAGGCTGCAGCGTCAAAGTCAGCCGCTGATGCCGCAAGCAGTAGTGCAGCAGCAGAAGCAGCAGCGGAGTCAGCGAGTTCCGCGGCTGCCGCCAAACCCCAACAGACTTCGAACACGAACAGTGCCACGCCAACAGCGAAGACATCCAACACAAATACAAACACCAAGACTCAAGAGGCCGCCACTACATCTCCCACAACCGACATCACAAGCACGGACGCTGCCTCGACGCCTACTATCTCGGAATCTTCCGCTGCTCCGTCATCGACCGGAAGCCCTTCATCAGGAGGAGGAGGGGGAGGCGGCATGTCCGGTGGTGCGAAGGCAGGCATAGCTTTTGGTGTAATTCTTGGCATCGCTTTGCTTTGTGGATTGGGTTTCCTGCTGTATCGACGCAAGAAGAGACGCGACAACGAAGCGTATCAAGCGGCTAATGACGAGAAGTCTGCTGCATTCGGTGGTCCTGCCGGTGGTGCCGCCGCTGGTGGCCTTGCTAGATCGCAAAGTAACCTCTCGACCCGGACAACCGCCACTGCTCCTCGTCTCAGCCTTCGACCCGTCACTGAGTTCCTGCCAGATCTTGCTGCTAAGGGCAAAGCGGCTCAAGCAGGAGGACCTGCTGCAGGAGCAGGTACAGGTGCCGCACTCGCGGCGGCTTCATTGAAGCCCCGCGAGACCGAACGAGAGAATCCTTTCGGAGATCATGCTGCTCAGCCGAGCAAGCGCATATCGAGCAAACGCTTTTCCGACAAACCAGTGCTCCCGATTCAGAACAACGCACCCGAAAATCCTTTTGGTAACCATGCTGAAGCATCCATGCCGACTGTCGGCGCAACGGCTCCTAAAGGTGACACACCTGCGCCTCTGAGAATTACCCCGTCACCCGAAGCTGCTGGGGTTGCTGGAGCCGGAGCTGCTGCAGCTGTCGCAGGGGCTGGTGCGCTTGCTGCTGCTAAACACCAAAAGCGAGATGACAGACCAAAGGACCTCAATATCCCCAACAACCGTCCCATGACCCCATCGGGTCCACAGAGTCCTGCTTTGTCCGAGTTCAGCCAGAGCTCTGGCTCTCAAGGCCCCCCACCAACGAACGTTCATCGTGTTCAGTTAGACTTCAAGCCTTCAATGGATGACGAACTTGAGCTCAAGGCTGGTGCCCTGGTGAGACTGCTGCACGAATATGACGACGGATGGGTAAGCTCCCTCTCATTTCGAGCCTCTTTCGCTATACTAACCTGATTGCAGGCTCTGTGCATCCGACTTGATCGATCACAACAGGGTGTTGCTCCGCGAACATGTCTTTCCGCTCGTCCAGTCAAGCCACGCCCTCCACCAGGCGCTCGCGGTCCTGGACCTCGCCCACCGCCACCAGGCATGATGGGGGGACCTCAGCGTCCCAGCTCACCAGCTAATCGTCAGCCTCGCCCAATGGGATCCCCCAAAGGCCCACAACGCTCAATGTCACCTGGACCATACAACGGTGGAGCCCCTCGCTCCATGAGCCCAGGTCCATATGGAGGTGGTCCTCAGTCATCTCCCATCCACAGGGGTGAGAAGCGACGCAGCAACTCAGCTAGTGATGTTGGAAGCCGGAGAAACAGCCCACCAGGCCCCAGCCCGATGAACCCGATGATGCAGCGCGTTCCCATGAAGGATCAAGCTGTCGCACATCCTGACAGACCGGCTTCTCCAATGGTTGGTAGAAAGCCTGTCCCAGGGCAGGCAATGTAATGGGCAAATTTTCCAGAGGATAAAGTGGCACCAATTGCAGGGTTCTGCAAACGGTGCTCGCCCTTTACCTCCTCCTAAACGACCGGCGACGCAGCGCTGAAAACGAAAAACTGCTTTCTCCACCTAATGTCTACCTTTTTCTTCTGAAGGCTTTACGGATGATCTGAACACTTCCTTTTCTCTCATATGCCCGTGGGCCGCATTTTGTGGTAGCCATAATTGGCAAACTTTCAACTTAGTCAGCTTCATTGAGAAGAGACTTTTGGCCATCTGTTGGCAATCTCAATAGATATTTCTAAAGAAATGAGAAGGCAGAAGATGCAGATGACCTGCGAGCTGTGTGCTGTGATATCATGTACATTAAGTGAATGCAAATGGATGGCACTGGTGCCGAAATCAAGCTTCTGTGCCTTCCTTACAAGTCTGCGTTTCGTTAGTGAGATACATTGAATTCGTGATGAGCCTTCAACATTGCTCCCTACTCCGTATTCTTCTCTGCGTCTCCTATGCCACAACCTTGATTTCCCTGCAGGTGTTTACATTTGGCCGAACTCGGATTAGCGTCATGCGACAAGCTTGACCTCAGACTTCGAGCTTTCACACCTTTGTCACAGTAGAGACAGCGTCACCAACTGCGGCGCCGTCGCCCATCATGAGCTCCCCGCCGCGACAGGCTAGACGCTTATCTAGAGCGCCCAGCGAAACACCAGGTGAATCCCGCAGGAGGAGCACATCGCGCTCGGCGTTACCTTTACCCAAGACCGGAGTGAGTGTTCAGCCCTTCAATCCAGACTCATATTTCCAATGCTGACTTTATCCAGCTTCGGGCCAGTAGGATGGCCGCGACTCAGCCCACGTACGACTTTCTTTCGGGAGCATCAGCGGCTCCCTCACCTGCAATCAAACCGCTGGGCCAAAGCATGCGACAGTCGCAGAATTTCCGTTCCAGCAACGCGGAGCCAACCGTAGAGAATGAAGATTTCCGTGCCAAGATCAAGGCACTCCAATACGAGGTGGAAAGTCTGAAGCAGGAGCGGGATTATTCGATTCTACAGCACGAGAAAGCGGTGAGAAACGCGACGCTTAAAGCTGAGGATGACTGTCGCAAGGCACAGGTATGGACGCTTAACTGGAATTGCAACATATGCTAAGATATTGGTATGGAAAGGCCGAAGAGAATGGGAGAGTCATACCAATTAGGAAATATGACGAGCTGAATTCGAAATTCAAAGATGCTCAGGATCAAGTGCTGAACGCGCAAACTGCGAATGATAAGGAGCTACGCAAGATCAAAGAGGAGCGAAGAGCGGCACAGGATGAGACTGAAGAGGTTAGAACAGATCTAGCCAGCCTTGAGCGAGTATATAAGCACACAATGCAAGAGGTGGAGTCGAAGCAAGTGACTTTCGAGCGGACGATTGATGATCTCAAGAAGAGTTTGAATAGCACTACCAACAACTTTGAAGCCACAAAGGATCGTCTGACTAAGAAAGAAGCCGAAGTTGGCTCGCTTGAGAGCGAGAATTTGCAATTGAAGGCTCAGACTGGCGATGCCAATACTCTTGCGGTTGTGAAGCGAGAGTTGTCTGAGCAAGTTGCACATATCATAAAATTGGAGATGACGAATCGCGACCAAAATAACCAGCTCAAGACGTTTCGTCAAAAACAGAAAGCTATTGAAGTAGTGCAGGAGGAGAAGAGAACTCTTGAAGTACGTTTAGGCGTTTTGGAGGATGTAAGGAAGGAACTCGGAGAAGCACAGCTACAGCGACAGATCCTTGAAGACGAGAAGGAAGGTTGGACTAGCTACCTTCAGAATCAAGGTGATATCTCCGTGGAGGATAAATTCGAAACTCCTGAAGATATGGCGCGTGCACTTGTCAGACAACGTTTAGAGAATGCCTCACTGATGGAGCGATCGGGCGCGCTGCAATCGGAGTTCATGGAGAAAGACGAGATCATACGCGCTTCTGAGGAAGAAAAGAGCAAGTTGCACGCTGAGATTGAAGGGTTCAAAGCGAACGGTCCAGCAAAGCCACCAAGTAGCAGGACCCAAAAAGCACTCGAGAGGCAGCGCGCTCTCGCCACCAAAGAGGCCGAGTATCTACGAGAACAGCTCCGAACATTCGACAATGAAGAGCAAACCTACCATTCCGAGGAAAACAAATTCGATTCCGCAAAAACAAAACGTATCACTGATCTTGAAGAGCAATTGGACGACCATCGGAAAGAGCTCGCAAAACTCACCTCCGAACTGTCTTCTTTCGAAGAGAATGCTAATCAGCAAACATCCCTGAAATCGCCCTTGAAACGCCCCTTCTCTTCTGACAATGAAGATGGTAGTAATGAGCGCCTCGGCCAACTCACTCGCAAGAATCGAAAACTCCAAGACGAATTCACGACCCTCCAATCTACATACAATCTCCTACAGACTGAGCACTTGGCTATCAAATCACAACTCACTTCCCTGCAAAAGAGCTCGAAAACCCGTGTGCTGTCACTCCGGCAGAATCCAACCGCGGATTTCGAAGCTATAAAACTCTCCACCAATTGGACCCTCAAGCAGGAGAACAAAGATCTCCTCGCTAAACTTGAAGATCGCTACGACTCTAATGCAAACGGTGATGGAAAAGGGATTGGTCAAGAGGGGAACAGTAGATTAATCCCACTTAGTACGCTCGAAGCCTCGAAACTCCAGATACAAGAATTAGAGAAACAGCTCGCCTCGGAAAAAAAATTGGACATGAGGAGACGGCAGGTCTGGGGCGCCAAGTGGCAGGAGCTGGGGCAGGCCGTTTCTAGCCTCCTAGGCTGGCGCCTCCAAATTCGCCCGAACGGAAAAGTGGCACTATCGCTACACAAGGCCTACCGCGATGAGGGGGCGGAGGAAGCTATGGGTGGGGAAGGTGGAGATGGCGAGGTGGAGGAGACTATCATTTTCGATGGTGATAAGGGCATCATGAAAGTGGCAGGGGGAATGGATAGTCCGTTTGCGAGGGAGATCATGGATTTCCGCGCTGAGTGGATGGAGAAGAAGGGTTATATACCCGGCTTGATGGCTAGTGTGTTGTTGAGGAAGGTGGAAGATGGGAGTGTGGTGCTTTAAAAGATCTCCTTGTGGCGGAGCGTTTGGCGTGGGAGCGAAAGTGGAGGGAGGATACATGGAGAAGAGGGAGGAGTTAGGATATTGGAAAAGGAAGGAAGCAAGATACCCCTATTTGGCGTTTGCTTTGTAACCTCTCTGTGATATCCGTGGTTGCTATGCTGACATACATCGAGAGTAGGTGGCTACCTGTAATTGATATAGTCGTGGGTTGGTCGGCACCCATGCGTTCTTTCCTATTCGTGCTTCAGAGGTCCTAGGTCTGATCTTTTGCATTATTGCTGAACCCTCTCTTGAGGCATCCCAGCAGGTTTCGCGGGCTTAAGGATGGCCCTATTATCCACAAAGACTCGCTCTGAATCCCTCTCAGGTGAGCGTACTGCCTGCTTCACCGAAGAAAGATCTCCTTATATTGCTATAACTCCATCCAACGTACGGATTGCTGCATCCATTTCCCGGCTAGCCAGAAGAAGTCGAACAAGCAGACCAATACGAGGCACCTCTACAGACACAAAGACAGCTCTGGACCACGGCCACTTAGACTATTTAGGTATGAATTCAAACAATGCGCAACCTCACCTCAACACGTCATCTATACAAGCCAATTCTACCTATATATGCTGTCTGTCAAGATAGATCAGATGGACGCCGCAACATAAAACAATCGATGAAGGCCTTGAATGATTCGCTTTGGCCTTAGGCCTTGAGTGCGAGGAGCAAGCATCTCTCGAACGCAAGACTTATGTTTGAAAGCTGTATTAGGCCCGCACCCTCTGCTCAGTCGTCTACTAACCAGCTACTTGACATTACGCTGACTGTGCAAAGGTCAGCTACTACAACTTTCCCATTGCTGAGCTCTTCTCCCTCTTTGTTAGAGAGAAAGAGGACTTCGACAGAGTGCGGAAGCCTCTTTCCTTGATTCTGGAATGCTTGCAAGATTGCATCTACGTACTTCTCATGGCGTCAAACGTAGCTAATTGGCGGCTATGTTTCTTATGCAGAGGAATGAGCAGAAGAAGGCCAGTCCCAGTTGAAATAGAACGAACGAACCATCATCCATGGATTCCATGGAAGCAGAAGAGAATAGAAGAGAGTCGGGCCTTGTCGTCGAACCATTGGATGTCGCGTTGCCAGCCCTCCAAACCAATTGGAATCTAGAATCCAGGATCTCGGATCTAGCGGGAAGAAGGATGGATCATTACTACTCCGTAGCTACGATCCTGATGAAGTGCTAAAGTCTGGGCGATTCCCGCTTTTGTTCCACGGAGGTAGGTAAGGTAGGTGTTCAACTTGGCTGAGCCTGTACTTCCTGCTGCCTGAATTTCGTGTGTATAACAAATAGCTGAAGCCCTCTATAGCCGTCTCTGGTACTTCGGCCTGTACCTTATGTATCCAACATCAGGGACTCTCTCTTTATGCGTGTGGGTGGCCGTGGAGCGACGGGTGTTTTCCGTGCCGGTTGAGCAGACGAGGCTGAGCAGGAAGGGATCTACCTTGGTGCATATTTCGTTACCCCTCATGTAATCAATTCAGAATGTGCTGGCAACCTCCTGTCATAAAATTCGCCGCTTACCGTGTAGCTGGCGGTTTCTCCGACTATGCTGCGATTGAATTCGTGACAGCCCTGTGCAGATAGGTTTTTAACGCTTGGTCCTATGTGGTCATAGCTTGACGAATATGTCATCTCGAGGTTCGCTCGGCGACTGTGTGACCTTCACGAAACTAGAGAAATGCTTCCAGAGTGCAACTTTAGGATCTTCATCACGGACATTCGATAGGCCTTTCGACCTTCTCACTTTCCTCGGTATTGCTCAAGCTCTTAAGATTCGTATTTTCGCGACATCGTGGGACATTGATCAAGCACAGATTGGCGATGGTGGTACCGCAGGAATTAGTCAAACTTTCGTTGACAAATTTTCATCCCTTGCCTTCAAGCGCTTAGGGTCTTCTAAAAGGGGGGACAGCAAACAGAGAGAAAAATGTATGAGGCATTGATCGCTGAAATCTGTGTATTGGGTCATGATGCTATCCGAGAACACCATTTCATTCATCAGATTCAGGGAATATGCTGGGACGTTGAGTCAGACTCCGAGAGAATGCTGCCGGTGCTCGCCTTCGAGAAAACCCGACATGGAGACCTTGAGCGGTTTATGTCTCACGGCGCTGGGATAGACATGGGTGTCAATGATAGACTTCGGCTTTGTGCCGAAGTTGCTATAGCAGTCACGGACTTACATCTAAACAGTAGGCTCATGAGTGAGTCTTGCAGATCTTGCATACTGATCAGTGTAAGCGTAGACATTGTGCATGGAGACATCAAACCCTCGAACGTCTTAATTTTTGAGGATTACCCCCAACACTATATTGCGAGAGTAGCTGATTTTGGCTTTTCTACTTGGCTTGGTGGCGCCAGCGATCTTGTTTACATGCCTCGGAGTGAGCATTGGGTCGCTCCTGAGTGGCATCATCGAGGTTTTGTCCGCGAAGATGCGTTCAAAATGGACGTGTACTCCTTTGGTTTGCTATGTATGTGGCTTCTGTGTTGCTATGGCAGTACGTTCGGACCAAGCAAGTTCTTCGAATACTTGGACTCGGAGGCGACAGTGGCTCCACTTGCCCATAAGCTCGTTGCTGAACGAGTATGCTTGAGTCACAGACAAAAAGCCCGTCTTTACCAGCTCTTTGATGAGTGTTTAGCTGTCGATCCAGCAGCTCGATGCTCGAGTTTTGAGCTGCTAAGAGATATTCTGGCGCCAGAAATGTACCATCTCCCATTAAGAGAAATGAGCTACTCTGACTTGTGATACGCAGGATGTTCCCAAATTCCGTCATCGAGACGCCTGAGGAATATCGTAAGATTTTCCTGAGAGATTTTCGCGTACAGCAAACCCCCATTTTCTTTCCAGTGGATCTCATTCTCATGTGATTTAGGTGAATCGCTCAGTGGTCTCTTTATACGAGTCTCATCCTTTAGTCCGAACCCATATTGCCAATCGCCTTGAAGTTAGAGTCTCTAACTCGTCTGCGCCTAAGATTGCTCGACAGAGTGCAGCTTTCGAGCTCTCCCTCTGCTACACGCTCGGATTTGGTATAGATAAGGATGAAACCAAGGCGTCTGCTCTCCTCAAGGAAGCAGAGATGACCCCAGATCATTTGCTTAGAGAAATCCGTCTCACGCAAGACCTCTCTCTTGAAGCTACTGATCAGAAAAGGATGTACGGTAAAGCGATGCCTCCAATGCGTCGCATAGGAACAATTGACGACCTTTATTATCGAAAGCTTGGAAATCTCAACAGTGCTACGTCACGACTCCAACAAGAAGTAGGCGACATTGAAAGTGTGTTTGGGCCAGGTCATCGCATCGTTCTTACCTTGAAGTCGACATTGTCGAAGATATACATAATTCAAGAGAAGTGGGAGATGGCTTCAGAGCTGGAGTTGCAAATTTTGGAAGCGGCTTCCAAAACGGTATCAGAAGAACACCCGGATATGTTGGCTACGAAGGCTAGCATAGCGGTAATTCTGGGCAAGCTAGGATACTGGGAAGACGCTGAATTATTGGAGAGCCAAGTTCTGATTGTGTGTCTAGTCAATCTATCAATAGACGAAAGTTCCACAATTAAGAGCATGGAAAGGCTGGCAGCAGCTCTTGGAGAGCAACGAAAATGGGAGAGAGCTGAGCGGCTAGCTGAGCAAGCTTTGCGAGTGAGAGAAGTCGTGGATGGTATGCAGCATTCCGACACCAAGAACGCCTTGAAAATTATATCATATATCCATGGGGAAAAGGCCAGGTTCGTTGAAATGAAGAGCAACGCAGTGAAGGTGACGACCATTATGCTGTCTAGGGAAAAACATCAACTGATTTAGTCAGAATAGTCAATGCTCTAACGAGTTATCACTGCCAAAGCAGCCAAAGTGGAGAAAATCCTTCACAGACTGGCAAGAAGAGCAGAAATGGGAACTGAGGAATGAAAGAATTAAGCTGCAGGCCATAAAATCTAATGAGACCGAATTGGGAAGCGACCATCCCTTGACTCTAGACATAATGAGCAGTCTGGCAATACTGTATCGGAATCAACAACGCTGGAAGGACGCGGAAAAGCTTGCGATGGAAGTAGTAGCCGCAAAGAAGAGAAATCATGCCCCACTTGCGATCTTGCAAAAGGACATGCTGTACTTGGCATCAGTCTATTCTGCACAGGGACGGTGGAAAAAGGCAGAGGAATTGCAGTTGCAAATTATTGGTTTGGGACCTGATGCCGAATCTCGTGCAGTCGAGCGTCTTTTCCTGTTGAGTCATTTAGCTTTGACTTACTCAAGATTGGGACGACTGGGTGAGGCTGAAAACTTGGAGACAGAAGTCATGGAAGGGTTTATCAAACACCTTGAACCAGATCATCATTGGACAGTCTGTAGTATGAAGAGACTGTCATCTATATACACGCAGCAAGGTAAGTGGAAAGAGGCAGAGGTACTAGCGCTGAAAGTGTTAGATGTAAGAAGGTCTAGCGATGAGGCAGATAGTCTTGAGATTTTGATGGGAATTAACAATCTCGTCAACGTGTATATGGGGCAAAAGAGATGGAGTGAAGCAGAGGAGCTCGAAACACCTGTGTTGGAAAAACTTAAGACAATGAAGGGCGAGAGAAACCCAAAGACTTTATTGACTATGTACAACTTGGCACAAATCTGGTATGCTCAAGAGAAGTATTCAGTGGCTTTAGCTCTTATGTTTAAGGTTGTTCGCCTTTCGGCTGCACAATTGGGCTCTTCACACCCTACTTCAACCCGTCGTCAGACAACACTCAATACATGGCTTCTTGCGATAGACGATAACCTGGTGGACGCGGCGCGGCTCGATGGGCGAGAGACTGAGCGCTCGAATTCCAAGGACATAACGAAAACGTTGCAAAGATTCACAGAACCAGTAGAAGACAACAACTTTGCCAGCACCGCTGTTCGCATCGGTGAGCATATGAAGTCCCTCTTTGGAAGGGAGAAGATCCGGTCATATGTAGAAGGCAAAGTGACTGCAGTAGCAAGACTTCGGGGGCAGCCAAAGCATCAACCTTGCGCGAGAAGACGATAGTATATATCAACGACAAGATTAAAACGTACGATTTTTTAAAGGGTGGGCCAGAAGGAATGAATGAGGGTAATAAATTGCTATCACGATTGTACAGAGAACTTCTCATGGAATTTCTGTTAGAATAGACATCTGGGCAACGGACAAGAAATGCAGGATCATAATCAAGCTCTGTTCATCTTCAACTTGCTGAGGATTGATAAAGCCCTTGGATATCTGGAGCGGCTGGCGATGTTCATATTTTGCCTCATGCAAGTCTACCGGCGTCTATACATAAGGTCGAAGAGTGAGTATAATTATCACGCGCCTTCCTGTATTTGTTCGAGAGAATTAGTCTGCAAATTCCTATGCAGCCATTTCATGATCAAGGAGTTTTATCTGGTCGACAACTTCGTAGAAGTGCTAGATAAAAATCGGCCCTACGGAAAGAAGGAAATTTGGTCCTACAATTATGTATTTCACGTCGTCCAATACCTGATTTCGAAGCATGATAGTAGTAAGCAGTATTGCCAATAGTGTGGCACTATTAGTGACACTGCTAGTATATACTAGTAGTTTGTAGTAGTTTGTAGTACGTGTGGACTCTCCACACTACTCATATAGTGCGTTAGTACACTAATAATATATGATAAATTTCAAACTTATTTTGATTAGCTGAAATAGCCGGATTAACAGTTAGCCCGAGCAGCTTCAAAGGATACGAGCAGCCACTATACCGAATCTGGATAAAAATCCTATCGGATTGGGCTTAGTCCCCGATGATTTTAATACTAATAGTGTACTAGTACACCAATCATATATTGCGTGTGGACGTGCAATACTAATAGTTTGCCTATTTACTCCATAATATGGAAGGAGTCAGTGCTAGTTGGACTTTTCAACATCAGGGGCAACCCCCAGGGAGGGATATACGCAGCTATCATCCTTTATGTGCAGCTACCAGAACATCCGACAGAATATCCAACTGGCCGTGACCCCTCCTATACACTTTCCATGTCAGCCACAACTTGATGGTTCTTGCGCTACGTATCAGATCGCTGATATCGCTGACAGCGTCGTTTGGAAGATGTCAGCAAGTTCGCGACCAGCTCTATCGCCTTCAACCGCCTCAGAGGTTCCAAGGGGCGTTCAACAACACTCTGTTGTCGAAATACCTTCCATGAATTTTCGGAACGACTTCATCTCATTTCTAGCAGTAGCGCAACATTACGAGATTGATTTCCTATCCTTGCCCTGGGAGGAAGGCCGAGGCCGGGCTGGAGCAGGCGGTACGGCGGAGGTCTGGCAGGCAAATGCAAGCATGCGAAAGGATTTTGCATTCAAGCGCGTGGGACAGAATGGAAAATCTCACTTTGACATGCTGGATGAGCATAAGCTTTTCAATGCATTGGTCTCTGAGATATCAGTCGTGAGTCACCCACAGTTACGATATCATCAAAACATTGTAAAGCTTGAAGCGATTTCTTTTGAGGTCATTCCAAAGCAAGACAAAGTATGGCCGGTGGTAGTACTGGAAAAAGCGCAGCTGAGAGACTTGAAGTCATATATGGAATCCGAGGCAGGAAGAATCACAACTATTGGTGAGAGAATTGGCCTTTGTGCTGACGTGGCGAGTGCACTGATTGCCCTACACACCAACGGTAGACTATTGTTCGCAGGTCTCTGCAACATCGAAAGCTGACGCAGAAATCAGGCATGAGCCACGGCGATATCAAACCCGGCAACGTACTGGTCTTCAGAGACGGCGCCCAAAATACGTTTGCCAAATTAGCGGATTTTGGTTACGCAGGCTGGGCTAGAAATGGCCAAAAGGATGTTGTTATTAAGCTGCCTAAATCTTGGCCCTGGAATGCTCCTGAACATCATCATCGAGGCTTCACTGTAGAAGCGGCACAAAAATCAGACAGGTTCTCGTTTGGTCTGCTTTGTCTTTGGATCTTGTTCTTTGACAAGCCAATTGAGGACCCTGAAAATGCAGATTTGTTTGCTAATGATAAGCAAACTTGGTCATTTCGCGAGCATGAGTTACTTGATAGATTGAAGCATGATGACAAGCTTAGAGATGTTGCCAACTTATTGGTAAGTTCGAGGCAGGAGTTGTCAGCTGATGAACATCATAATTTGAAATCCTTCTTCTCCTCGACCCTTTTGTTTGATCCAAACAAGCGAAAGCTAGATTTCCATGAACTTACAGCTTTATTGGGCGAAGATTGGTCTGCTCACTTCCTCAAGAGTCTGCTTACGAGGAAGTTTCGCTGAGACTGTTTAGGCAACCGGGACCGTCCTCACTAGACGAAGCGCAAGTGGAAGTCGACCATGATGCTCTTAAATTCGAAGTATGGGTAATGTCCCAGAGCTCCAATGTCACTGATTTGTTGTAGATTGCCTTGAGTTTTCTGCCACTATTGAGACTAGATTGGCAGGTCAGGAAACACATTTTTCAATGTTTGGAAAATAGTACGAAATGTCCTGTATCTGTTGCGTCATCAACGAATGCGGCTTTACAGATTTCATTCTGCTACAGGACTGGCTTTGGAGTGCCTTTCAATGCCCAGAAATGTCAAAGCTGGCTGACGTTGGCTCGACACTCTGATAAAGATCTTCTGACCCGGCTGAAACTCGCAAAAGAATCCATGATAAGAAATCCATATCGCAACGGTGAATTGCAGTCGCTCTCAGTCGATGGTCTGCTGCATACCCAAGGCTCCCATGTGGCGTACCAGAGCGGTGAGCTAGAAGAAGCCATACCGAACTACAGGCAAGAAATACACGACATGGAAAATGCCTTCGGCAAACATAATTGTTGCTTTTTAGAGCTCAAGTTGAAATATACATCATTACTTGAGGACCTACATCGATATGCGGAGGCTGAGGAGCAGCTTATCGCTCTTTTACTGGATCTTAAGCACGATTCGAACTATCGGCGGTTGTTCACAGAGCTCAACTTTCAAATTGCGACCTCAAGGGATGTAAGAGCTCGTTTGAATGGCCTTGACCAAACCACAAGCTCTTTGGAATCGAAATTGCCGGATACAGACGACAAACCTGCCTCATTAAATAAAGTAAAAGCATGCCTTGAGGACCGTTTGCCAGAGACACGCCACTCACTTTTCTATCTTGCGAAGAATTATTTGAAACAGCAGCGCTATCTCGAGGCAGAGTCAATACTTTGTTTTCTGACAAAGTCAAATATACGCCGTCTCGGGCAGACTCACATGGAGACTCTGTATCTAGCTAGCACGCTCGCAGATGCATTGCACAGTTCAGGAAAGTACAAGCAAGCCGCAGATATCTGTTTGCACATCTCAGATATTCAGACTCAAACACTTGGCAAGCAGCATCGCGAAACTCTTGCGAATAGAGCCAGTCTGGCATCTACGTATATAGGCCAAGGTCGCTATGACGACGCAGAAAAAGTTATCAAGCCGATTGTGGAGACACAAAAATATATCCTTGGTATAGACGACTTTTCAACTTTGACGAGCATGAGTATTCTTGCCTCTGTCTATATGGCCAAACATCGTCATGAGCTCAGCGAGCCCTTGAGACGTCAGCTTGTGGATGTATATATAAGAAAGTTCGGACCCGATGATCCTGAGACTCTAAATGCTTTGACCTATTTGTCTGCCGATCTGGGCGAGCAACAAAAATGGGACGAAGTGAAAGAGATTACTCTGAATGTTCTTGAACGTACAAAGAAGGTCTTTGGTGAAAGCCATCCCAAGATCTTAAATTTGGTTGCCAACCTGGCGGCTGTGCACAAAAGTGAGGGGCTACTCTATGAAGCGGAGGCATGCTGTCGTGATGTCCTGGAATCTCAGTGCAGAATGTACGGCCAGAGCCATCCTGAATCAATAAACACGCGTTCAAATCTGGCGATCGTCCAGATGGATCAAGGACGCAACAAGGAAGCAGAAAGGCATCTCAGACAAGTGATTGATCTTGGAAGCGTCACTTTTGGAGCTCATCATCCAAGGATGCTGAGGGCTAAAGCATGTTTGGCTAGTTGCTTTCTATGGCAATCGCGTCTTGAAGAAGCAGAAAAGCTTCTTCTACATGTTAATGAGCGAGAGAGAGATTTGTTTGGGGCGAAGGACATGGATCACCTGCGAAGTCAATCCAACTTAGCACAAGTCTATATTGAACAGGGTCGATATCAAGAAGGGGAAACTTTGATACGACCTGTTTTCGCGCTGCTCAGCGAGACTCTTGGGAAAAACCATCCAAGTACTATCGTCTCTAAAATCCGTTTGGCAAGATGCCTCGAGGCGCAGCAACGATGGCAAGAATCCAATGATCTTTTCCTTGAAGCATTCATTCAGCGCAAGCAGCTTTTGGGCGCGGAAAATAATAGAACAATTGAAATACTCCGCTTATACGCTTTTAGTCTGTGGAGACAACGTAGGTGGCAAGAAGCTATAGTATGCCTTTTTCGGTCATCACCGTCAATTTGCATAATCCGCCGGCTTTGGCAGTACACTGCCCGTTTAGTACAACACTGCTCCCGGCGCCCAATGGTTTGGATGGATCTACAGCGCCTCAAAGCAACCTTTCGTCGGACCGAAGGTTGTAATCTTCTTCAACAACCTGCGGTAGACTAACGCTTATATGCTACGCTTTATGACGAAGGCCCAAAGACGTCATGCCCGAACAGTATTTGTCCGAAAGCTTCCTCTGTCACTTGTAATTGACACCAGGAATAATTTGGAGCTACGATACTTTTTGTCTGTGGGCAGAGAACATAGCGGCCTCGGTGGACATCCATGGAGACCTACTACATCAAATGTTGAGAAAGTGAAGCCTCTTTCATCGCAGAAATCAGGCTAAGTTCATCGTACTGACAAATTAATAGATTTCCATCCGGCTTTTCCATGTTTTGAACTTGGTGGTGCTTCCTAATGTTTGGTAAGTGGCCAATATAAAAATGGAACTCTGACTAAATGAAACTATCACAGGTGCGACGAAGCCGCTAATATTGCTGGGATCAGATAGCTTTAAACGATCTTTAGGGTGTTGATCGTTGCCCATTATACGCTATTGAGGACCTTGCAGTCTCTACACGATCTCAATTATGCATTGGTGTTCACAGCCTCTTTATCATCACTCCGTGCAACAGGAGACCGCCTGCCATGCAGATATGACAACGCTGGGTTGCGAATCCTCGAAGGATGAACAAAATGAACATTTATAGATCAGCGTACGACGAGCTCGAATGTGTCTCTCCTAAAGAAGGGCAAGGTTAGAGATGGAGGTATATCAATGAAGCGACTGGCAAACGCACACAGGGGTGATGACACCAGACGATACCCCGAATGAGCCCCCGAATAGGGGCCCTAAATATTGCGCCCGTCTACCCGGGAAAAGCCTTTCATTGGGTTAGCTGGCCCTGCGTGCATTTATCGCTGTCGAGGGGGTTCCGTACCCAGCACGTATCACAACTTAGGATTGAATCACGATATCTGACGATTCTAGTCAGGTCGTCCTAGCTTAACGCTGATTGACAAATGTTCCGAATCCTTAATCATCAGTCGTGCCGCTTGACATCCTGGACGGCACTGGAAATGATCTTCACTCCGTAGTCCACAGTGCTTGAGTCAGAAATCCACAACCTACACCAAAATATAAAAGTTAGTCCTGGAAATTGAAGGAATCTTCCCATTGCAGGGCTCAACGAACGTTGCTTCACCATTTGGCGGTGTGAAGCTTTTCACCGCACCTACAAAGTGCCAGACCTAACAATGTACGGACAGATGTCTCCTCTGATGGCTCCGTCAGGCTGAATGCACACGTATATCGTGCATTAGCCCCGCATCAGGCTAAATGCCCTTCGCAAGCTAGTTACCTCATTCCCTCTTCGCTTCCCACCTTTGCCTCACGTATCCTCGTTTCCATCGTGCCACCTCTTTTGAACAAAATCGAGCCTTTTGGAGGAATCGGAGTTTCAAAGCCGATACATCCAACATGGTCAAGCAACCGCTTTCTATGCAATATATAGATCGGAAAGTCTTAATGGATTTCCTTGATGCACTATTTGGGTCACGCTATGAAGTTGAGGTAAAGCAGTCTCGCAGAGTTTTGTGGATTGAACGCTTACATCAAGGTAGGACCGAAAAGAGCACTATGTTCTTACAGCTCCTCGCGCCTTGACCGACGTAAGTCTCTGAAGGCTATGCAAGGCAGGGTCATACTGAATGGGATCTAGTCGGAGATCAAGAAGATTCAAGACGACTCAACGCCAGCTTAGTCTCAACGACAACGTGTCTGAACCCACATGTGCAGACACCTTTCATTGCAGCCATGCATATCTAGCTAATACTTGGCATCTGTCAGTAGAAGCTTCCCTATAGGTACTGGAGTTTTGACGACCTTAAATTTGGAATCCAGTCTCATCTCTCATGTGGAGGCTAGAGACGTCAGTCACGTGCCCAAGTCAGCCTCAACCTCTATCTACCGAAGCAAGCCCTTCACTTAGTCTACCCTATCAACCGGAATGACACAGTCGGACACAACGCATCTCCGATTTCAGGTTTGGTGATAACGCGTACGCACTGTCCAACGCTCTCGCCAAGTTCTTCTGTCACTTCAATCCTTTGGGAAGCTTGAAGCTAGAGTGAGTGAGATGGAAACCCTCCGGCAGAAAATCAGGGAGCTTAGATGCCCGACCGAAGACTGCAGATATTTCATACCTCAGAAAGACATTCATAATCTACTAAAGCCTGAGATCGTACAGGGTGTCCTCGAGGACCAAGGGATTGAAAAAGAGCAATTGCAAGGTCTAGCAGACAATATCGTCAAAGGAAAGCGTGCCATCTTCAGCATCCTCGTCTGCATTCGTGAGGTCCCTTCAATATGCAAATTTGTGGAGGGTGATCGGTTCGATGATCAGGACCAGAAACTTCCATACGACTTAGAGGACCTACATCCGATATTCAGCACCTCATTATCAAAGGAATTCTACGATCAGCAATGGGAGTTTATCGCTCCAATTTTTTCAAAGAATACGCTTCCTAGGGTGCTTGATAAACAGATTATACTTCCTTTCAAGAAGGAGGAGGGTCCTATCAGTTGTGGTGGTTTCGGGGACATATACAAAATCCAGCTACACGACTCTCAGCAATGTTTCTTCGATGCTCCAGAGCAATGGGTATGAGCCTGATCCATGATGATAGTATCACCATCTCCGCTGATCAGATCTCCTAGTGCGTCAGAAAAGAGTTTCATCCCCTCACAACTAAAGAAAGCGATTATAAGATCGAGCTCCGCAATCTGTCAATGCTCAATTCCCTCAGACACTCGAATATCATCGAGGTCCTCAGTGCTTATACGTACAAGGGAAAGCACAACCTTATATTCCCAGCCCTGAGTGGTGACCTTTCGACCTTGCTTGAGTGCGAAAGGAGGCACGAATTCACAGCTGATAAGACATTTGTGACCGCACTGGCTAAGCTGGCCTCCGCTATTGAGGAGGTCCATGATTTCACATCGCGAACGATCGATCTCCGACAGATTGGATGTCATCATGATTTGCGCCCTAAAAATATCCTTGTAGAGGGTACAAACTTTGTCTTAGCGGATTTCGGCCTCTCAAGATTCAAGGATACGTCGCAAACCTCAAATACAATGTACCAGAAAGGACTAGGAGATTATCTTGCCCCTGAATGCCAAGACTTGGATGGAGAGTTCACAAAACACAACATTCGTCGATCGAGTGATATCTGGTCGTTTGGCTGCATCATCTCAGAGATTCTCACCTTCATAATAAGAGGGCCTGATGGGGTTGAGAAATTCTGGGAGCTGAGAGGATTCAAAACCGGCAAGGCTATTTTTCATCTCTTCCACAAAGGGCCACATAGCCCAAGTGACGAAGTGCACTCTTGGCTCAAAAAACTTACAAGTAGAAGTGCAAAGCCTGAGCTTTTATTGGTTCAGCTTATTGAAGCGATGCTCTCTATTGAGCCAGATCTTCGCCCTAGTGCAATGGCTGTGACAGCCCGGCTTTGCCTCATTGCATTATATTACACGGCGCAAGACGTCGATAAAGCGTATGGTGAGCTATTCGAACAGGCGCAGCATACAAACGGCATGGTCGACGTCTTCATCGAACGAGCTCGTTACACTAGCTGGAAGCAAGCTTGTGGTATATCCGACACTGATGATCTTGGCCACGTCAATCAAGGCTTCACCTTGCATCTCGATAGTGCGCTAGATCTACTGGAAAGGGTGAAGCGTGAAATTGATCTCATTCTTCCTTTAGCGGGTGACATACAGCCGATACTTTTTCTGCCAATTCGACATCTAAACAATCGTCTCTTGAACTTTCTACCGGTGGCATTACAAGAGAGTGCTAGAGATTTTCTCGAAAGCAATATCTTAACCATGACGAATGACCCTAATGCTCTCAAGGAAGCCAATTTGAGATTCGAGGATGACCCAATGAACAAGAATATCAGCGCCCTGACATCAATTAAACGCATGAGTCTTCTTGTCGACAGCCAAAAACTTGAGACCGATGACACGATGTGTATCAACCGAACCCAAGTCAAAATTGGGGATGGAGTCGCGGACTTCAATCTTGGCGAGTTCAACGAACCTACAGACCACCAAAACCGGTTCATTTCAATCGAATGGCTCCGCTACAATACCGATGTTATGAGCAAGGAGGAGGGCCTAGCCAGGCTCTCACGCTTATCCGCGATCGCACAACTCATGAACTCTGCGAACCTGTCCCCACGCCTTCGCACTCTACACTGCTCAGCATATTTTCACGACCCGAAAAATCTTCGCTTCGGTCTTGTCTTCGACCTCCCGCAAGTAGATCCGTCACCATCGTCATTGAAAAACCCACTATCCACCACGCCTATCACAAAGCCACAAATCTTCACACTCCACCAGATAATTGAAAGTACTCCCCCATCTTTCCGCTATCCTCTTCTCGGCGACAAATTCAAGCTCGCCCACGCTCTTGCTCTCGCAATCTCTGAATTTCATAAAGTAAATTGGCTTCACAAATCCATCTCCTCCTTCCACACCATTTTCCTCCCACCGCGTTCAAAACACCCCAATCCCGCGGTCCAGAATTTGACCGCACCCTACCTAATTGCACAGAACCACTCTCGCCCAGAAGATGCAAAGGAATGGACGTTCGGCCCCACCGACACAGCGGATAGCGCATACCTCGACTACCAACACCCCGCTTATTTAAGTCGCCCGCAGAACCGCTACAGGAAAGAATACGACTATTACAGCTTAGGGCTCGTCCTCCTGGAGATCGGGTTGTGGGAGAGATTGAGTTCTATGATTGATGAATGGAAAGGCATTGCGCCCGGTGGGGTAAGAGAACGGTTGATCAAGGAGAAGGTGCCGAAATTGGGAAGGGCGATGGGTTGGAGATATCAAAGGGCTGTTGAGAGGTGCTTGAAGGGGGATGTCGAGGTTGTTGAGGAAGGAGAAGAAGAGGAGAGGGGAACAAGAGGAGGGAAAGGGACGTTTGAAGAGGTGGTAGTAAGAAGATTGGGGGACTGCACGGCTTGATGTTATGGATGATTGTTCGGAGAGGGAACGGAAGAAGAAGAAATAACAGCCCTTTGTGATCTATGAAATGCTTACTCAGGCCGTTCACATCTGCTATCGCTTTCGACGACTGACATTTCCAAGACTTTTTCTGCGTAGTCCAGGTTGTGGCTTGCCCCGAAGGTATCAATGTCGTTCTTTCATCTCAACAGGAATTGATATATCAGGTAGACCTGAGAATACATCTCCGTCGAAAGAAGAGTCGTTCTTATGACAATTGCTCAGTCTTACGACTTTGTCTATGGACAACCATTTGTTATTAGTTCTTCCTGCGTTAGCCTAAATGATTGAACTTCAATAATTTGAATAGCAATTGCAAAGAGAAGATACGATGTTTCATGCAAAAAGCACTCTTTCTGGAGAATGGTAATCGGAATTTCTCAAGGAAATGAATAGCAAGCTCCTTACTAGATTCGTGTAAACATTCTTCCTTGAACTTCTAATAGCGACTATGAGAGCTGTTACTGTTGTACGCTTCTGTATCACTGGCACACTCAACACGAATGCTTTAGAAACTCCCTACCAAACGGCCGTATTGTGAATGCATGGCCAGGCTCATTCATCCAGGGAAGAGACGGTTGACTCAAGCTTTTCAAAAGCCGCTGCAAGGACAACCATGTATCAATAATGAGGGCTTTTAATCAAGCCTAAGCCGCCGTTCTGCCATAGAAACTGCAAAGATTGAGCTCAGCTAGATGGCTCTGGATGCGACCAGAAGATCGACGGATGAGTTTTTGAGCGCTTTCCCTCTTCATGCCTACGCTGAGTCTAGGAATAAGCCACTATGCTCTGAACGTGTAGCTGAGTGATGTTGCGAGGTGTTTGAGGTCTAATAAAGCCGCAGGCCTGACCCAATCCAGCCGCTATAGCAATATGGTCACGTTGGCAAAAATTTGACGGAAACAGCAGTTGTCAAGGCACACGGAGATGGCAATAAATCAGTCAAAGCAAATAGAGCATCCCGACATACATGGATCAACCAGTGGTACAAATTTAGCTTCAAGGCAGTTGTGTTAAGTGAATGACTTCCTTCCGGACACGAAAGTTGGTCCGTAAGTAGTTTACAGCACATCCAGACGTGCAGTTAAATGCACGAGTCGCCAAATCAAACATCAATGATGGTGTCTGTAATTGCCACCTGATGATTGTGGTGACCAGGGATTTGGATAGGTATTCTGAGCTTGTGGCGTAAAAAAGGCAGGGTTGATGTGGGCTCCTGGCGGTATATGAGAGAAGCCTGTCGGTTGCGGAGGCGGTTGCTGGCGTCCGTAAGGGCCACTAGTTGACTGATCACTGCTAGCGTAGGGCTGTTGGTAATAGTTGTTGTATGGGTGATTCACCTGCTGCTGGAAAGGCGGCCCCATCGTAGTAGGAGGCGCTGGTTGATATGTACTACCGCTGCCAATAGGTGCCGGAAATGGATATGGCTGTTGCCCAGATTGATACTGTTGTGGTTGTGTTTGATGGCCGATGAAGCGAGTAGCGTGGGGTGAAGGCGCCGACGGAAATCCATTCGTTGACACATTCCCGTTTGCTTGAAAATCGGGACGAGAGGCTCCTGACTCTCGACTATTGAATTGACCACTGACCTTTCCCCTTCCTCGGCCTCGTCCCCTCCCTTGATCAGCTGGCGATGGCCTGTATATACTTGATTGGGGTGGTAGCGGAGGGGTTTCCTGATGCCAGGTAGCTTGCCAGTCTTTTGGTCTGGTTAGAGGTGTATAGAGATCGTCCCCCATGGAAGCCGCGCTGTGACGTGAGTTTGAGGCATCATCATAATTCAGCGCCATTTCATGCATAGGAGACTGATTGGATGGTGGCAAGCGACGATGATCGTTGAAAGCATTTCGATGAACATATCCGCCCCGACCACGACCTCTCGGACCACGAGGTGCTCTGCTGAATCCTTCCCCTGGCCTTGGGCCCCCATCTCGCCCAAATTTCTTTTGAAACTTGACTCTTCTCTTATACTCTGCCTCTGCTTCGTCGTCCGAGAATTCTCTCTCACCATCACTTATTTCCTCATCATGGAGATTGGAAGCATCTGACCCTTTTACTGCTTGTAGAGGTGCGGTGAAAATATACTTGGAATGATCGACGACATAGAAAACGCGGTCGTTCGTTGATAACCCCACGTCTGAAAGCGCTGTTGAGTTTGCACCGCGCACAATGTAGTAAGGTTGCTGAACACGACCTATTGTCTCCGTGACTACACCAATCACTACGCGAGTCTCCAAGCATAGTAAAGATCCAAACTCAAGCACCCGGTATTCGCCCGAGGTTTTGGCCTTGATCAAGGCTTCGCCCTTCATGATATGTTCCACTTGGCCAAGTTCTTCAATCTTGGTGGCTTCGGTGATTTCGACTTGTGGAATCGGTACCTCCTCTTCAGGTTCCTCGTTCACTGATCGCACCTGCTGATTCGTCTTGGTCTTTCCGATTGCTGTTTCGTCGTCGGAACCGGCTTCCTCTTTCATAAGTCGCGCCATTTGCTCTTCCGGATTAAGCAGGTTGTAATCGTCTTCTGGGTCATCATCAGAAAAGGAAGACGTTTCTGAAGAATCTGTATCTGATGATTCAATTGGAGAAGAGTCCAGCTCAAATTCCGCTTCTTCAATCGAAATGTCCGCGTCCATCCTCCCATCTACGAGTATTTCTGAGTTTGATAAGGGATTATATTCGGGCTTTGGTGGATGCGTTGCACTACTATCAGTATTGGGAGGTCCGACAAATTCGCCATGAACAACTCGCTGCCCGGTCTCAGATCTTTCTTCTGCGTTCATTCCGACACTTGTAGCTGTAGACTCAAATGCCTCTGCAGCCTTTTCATCTCTGAAAGACTGAATGATTGCGTCGCCCTTGCCCAAGTCGTTGCTAATGTTTTCCTCTCCTTGCCACTCCTTTGTCATCGAAATGTTATTCTCTTTCGTGGTCGTTGTTGATGAGCTGCCCTGGTCCATTTCACGTTTACGGTCTGCTTGTGTCTGGGAGGAGCCATTGCCTTCAACCGTATCTTTATCGAGTTCGGGTGGCATCTGCGGGGCTGGCTTGTAGTTGAGACCAGGAAGAAAAGGAACGGGGTTGGCTTCGTTGGAGATTGAGAAGCTTGGAGGAGGGTGTGAGCTAGCTAGCAGGGTCGTTGATGAGTCTGGTGTGTTTGGTGCATTGTCTGATGTCTTGTCCACCTCATTCAGATCTTCAGTTGAAGCTGAAGCATTTGTATCCAAGACTCGTTGGCGCTTTGGCGATGGAAAGCCAAAGTCTTCCTGCTTGGCATCCATGACGAGTGATTGAAGGTCTTATTTGCAACCAGCCCTTGTGCTTTCGGCAGATAACCCGTCACCTCTCGGAAACAGAAGGGAGCCCGAAGATAATGCTATTACACAATGTTGTTGAAGAATGATTTTCTGACGTGCGCCAGGGCGGAGCTCCTAAGCTTTAGCGGCCGTTGCAAGGGGACGGAACCCTAAAACGCTAGTTCCCGCAGCCATTCTTCCGAGGGTCGGCTACCTGGTCGGAATGTTTCCAGGGCTTACCACAGGGAGAGCGCCCTTAAAAATGTGCCCTATAAAGTGGTCTTCCACTAAGCGACCCTCATTTACGAATGATTTTACGAGAGAAGCATCGAGAGCTTAGACTCAGTATGTTGGCTGCTCGACCGGTCAGAATCAACTCCATTTCGCAATGATACAGATTCATGGCCCCGGATGCAATGTCACAACCGCAGAGACCCAAGGATTACGCCCTCCTCCTTCCCTTCCTGGCTGTCAATGTCCTTGCAGCCATCTTCGCGCCTATCCAAGATTGTGACGAAGTCTTTAATTACTGGGAGCCAACGCACTATCTGAATCATGGATTTGGTCTACAAACTTGGGAATACTCGCCCGAGTTCGCTATCAGGAGCTGGCTCTATATCATGTTGCACGCCGTTGTTGGCAGGCTCCAATGGCTTTGGGAATGGGCATCAGGCCTTCAAATTCAAGAATTCCACTGGATACGGCTTGCCCTTAGCTTGTTCTGTGCTCTCAGCCAGCTGCATCTGCTTGGTGCTGTTTCAAGGAGCATAGGTTCCCGCATTGCTTTCTTGATGGCACTCGTCATGTTGTCCAGCACAGGGATGTTCTACTCCTCCGTCGCATATCTACCTTCGAGCTTCTCTATGTACACCACCATGATGGGTTTAGCTTCGTTCTTGGACACCCACAGCGGACCCCAGACAGCCCGAGGAATCGCGTGGTTTGGAATCGGGGCCGTTGTGGGCTGGCCATTCTCAGCAGCCCTTACAATTCCATTGCTTATGGACGAGGTTGCTTTTGTCCAAATGACAAGAAGATTCAGAGATTCGGTTGCGAGGACTCTCCGTGGCGTTGTCAGAGTCCTTCCACTCGTGGTACGTCCTCGACTGAATGAAATGATATGGCAAGGGCTGATGATGCATAGCCTCTTGATATCATGATAAATGCCATATGCTTTCGCAGATTTGCCTTCTCGCCATGGCGCATTGTGTCCTACAATGTTTTCAGTGGATCTGCACGGGGCCCTGATATTTTTGGGACTGAACCCTGGCATTTCTATGCGCGAAACCTGCTCCTGAACTTCAACGTTTGGTTCCTTGCTGCAATTTGCGCTGGACCAATACTTGCAGCTCAACATATACTCCGCAGGTCATCTACAACCAAGCTGCCTCTACTCAGAACCCTGACCTTTTCGGCCCCTTTTTACCTCTGGCTTGCAATATTTTCCTTACAGCCACACAAAGAAGAACGATTCATGTACCCTGCTTACCCCTTTCTGTCTCTAAACGCTGCCATTACATTGCACGTGATCATACATCACTTGGGACATTCAGCTCCTACATCGCCCATTGGACGCATACCAGGTATTCTGAGAGTTGTCATCATTTCTACGGCCTTAGCTTCCTTCGCTGCTGTTGGTGTCTTTAGGACACTTGGCACAATCACAGCTTATGACGCTCCATTAAAGCTCTACACGCCTTTGAAATATCCAGAATACCGCAATAGACAAGCCTCGGTATGCCTTGGGAAAGAGTGGTACCGTTATCCTTCTTCGTACTTTCTTCCAGACCGGATGCGAGCGCACTTCATCAAGAGCGATTTTGCCGGATTGCTTCCTGGTCAATTTGCGGAAGGAAAGGTCGCAGGGTTCGGTGGGCTTCCAGCGACGTGGGCTCTGCCAACTGGCATGAATGACCAGAATCTAGAAGACTCGGCAAAGCATGTAAGGCAATTGCACACAGCCTGACCCACTAATGAGACGCTGACAATCTTAGGTCAATATCAGCACATGCGACTTTCTGATTGATTCCTATTTCGACTCAGCAGTGCCATCGACCCTGGAGCCACAATATGTTCTTGACACTGACACATGGGAACAAGTTTCATGCGTAGATTTTCTTGATACTTCACGGACGTCGACTTTGGGTCGCCTGATCTGGATCCCGGAATCTACTGTAATACCGAAAACATTCAAAAGACAATGGGGCAAGTATTGCTTATTGGAGCGGAGACGTCAGGACATATGAATGAGGGGCCATGGACTGGTTTGCCTAATTGGCCACCTTATCGCTTGGAAAGGGATTCTTCAGGCTTTTCACCGACACCCTAAACCTAATAGGGATTTTCTATCCAGAGCCATGTGATCCGTCGTGATAACTCGCGTCATACCTCAGGACGTGGGACAATCCTACTTCCGTGTTTAAATGCTTGGCATCACATAAAAAACCGTAATAATGAGATCCATGCCGGGTTCATTCGATCCAAGTCTTCCGAGCGACTGTACGAGGACAACGACAATGAATTCATTCCTGAAGCCAAGCACAGGCTCTCAAGTGGGCTTCATGTCAAGGATAGAGCCTTTTGAAGGTGTAAAGCATGCTCTCTATTGTTTACTTGTACTTGCAGCCTTGACGTGGTTTATTGTCACCCGACTTCTCCAGTCAAAAACACTTGACCATCCGAAACAGCGAGTATCTGATCCAGAAACCCCTGCTTCACGGCGAGGCAGTGCATCGACGGCTCTGAAAGCTCCGACAAGGCCGTTTGGAGTGTGGCAACAGAGCGAATTCAAACGGCCAGCTCCTCAAGCTCTGCTGAATTGGAATGTCCATGACACGGAGCCCAGGCAGTACAGACCGTTTCGATGGGGCCCGTATCACATCACTATGGGCCTGAGGGCGATGCAATGGGATGAGTGGATCGAGCTTGACAACCGATATCTCAAATTTCACGCGGACAAGAAGCAGCGAATCGAGGAACGTGGCAAGAAGTGTTGTCACACAGCACCAGAGGCCATGGAAGGTGCCATTGAATTGCTTGAGGAACTGTAAAGCTGATTCCTTCCAAATCGCAAGGCTCGACTGACACGCCGTCACCAGATGCGACTATCTGCCCCAACGCTATCCAACCCTTTTCACACGCACCGCGACCGGTATCACCAATCTCGTCACAAATGAGATCTTCGACGTCACTGCCCGCCCGCTTAGAGAGGACCCTATGGTAACCTGCTCCCGTCTGATTCAAGACGATCTTGCCATTATGTTCGAGAAAGGAGATGGGCAATATTATCTCCTGGCTGGTGCCATTCTTCTCGGAGGATTTTGGCGTCTTGAGGACAAGTTTGGAATGCCTCTTTCTGAAATTCACTCCTCAGGCGACGTACCAGGCTTCAAGCAGAAACTAGAGAAGGGCATGGTAAATTTCTTTCGGCGTATTCAGCCTAACGCCCCAGTCCTCCGATACAACTACTTCATCCAAGTTGACGACCACTTGCCTTGGAGTAGCAGTATTGGGCCCGAGGATGAAATGGATGGTAAACTTTCGGGCTGGGCAGCTGCCGAAAAGAACAAGGCCATCGAACACCATCACTTTCGCTCAGAGAGGCAAAGTTTGAGACGATTGCCGAAGAGTGGTGGGGTGGTTTTTACCATTCGTACGTACTTTGAGCCAATCATGGAGGTCGCGAAAGAGCCAGGCGTTCCGGGACGATTGGCGAGTGCAATCAGGAGTTGGGGTGAGGATGTGAGTAAGTATAAAGGGCGGGAGAGGTGGGGAGATATCCTGCTAGATTTCTTGGATGATGAGCATAAGAAGCAGGTCAAAGCAGGATTGGTGAGCGAGACTGCTGATGAAGATGATCGGGCAGCTTACCCTTTCTGATTGAGTCGGAGCAGAAACTTAATTTGCTGTATGCTAGATTTTGACTTGCGAGCATGCCTTGCTAGACATGTGGTCGTGCAAATCGGAGATAACATTCTCAGTTATCAACGACTAAGTTTTGCTTCATATTAAGCTGCGTCTTCTATCTCTCATCTTGTTGACAGCATCCTCAATTTTGTTCTTACGCCAGGAGCAGTCGTCGAAGAATTCACAGGATCCACATTTGAATGCCTCGCTGGGGCTTACCCCTTGTGCTGCACGTTCGCCCCGCCACCACTCCAGTTCGCTCGAGAGATACTTTTCTATTGTATTCTCGTCATAGAGGAACGTTTTAGCTCCCATGATGTCTCCGCTCGTTGAATCCCGGTATTCAGCCTTGAGGACGTTGCCAAGGCTTTTAGCTCCATGAGGCAAAGTCAAGGCAAACTCACGGATCATGAGGTACCAGAGCTCACGGATAGAGTTATGACCGAGAAGCTGGGTCATACTGTCTTGAGTTGAGGCCAGGGATGATTGTGTTTGCTGAGACGCTGCTGTTGCGTATTCCATTGAATTCGACTTTGCCTGCGATTGATTTGAGGCTGCCGTTACGTATTCTGATGACATTGATTCTTGTTGAGATGCCTCCGAAGGCAAAACAGATGAGTCATGAATGTTGTCATTCAGACTTCCGACTTGAGCAATGAAGCCATCGGTGAAAGGTGTGTCGGGATTAAGATTGTAGCGATCGAAAAGCACAATCGGATCCACTTTATTCGTAGCCAGTTCTGCGAGCGTACGATGGTAAAGCATCAATTGAAGGAGAGTTGGTCGGAAGGTGGAGCCTTTGGGAAGAGTCTTGACACCTCTTGTCTTCACGTCCGCTACATATACTCGTTGATTCCTTTTCTGAGCGGTAGATTGCAGAGTTTTTATGATATCCATGCCGTTTGATTCTAAGGTTCCAGAAGGACCCAGAAAGTCAGTAATAGTAGCCTGGTCCGCATCAAGTGGCGTTTGATCACTTTTGGTACTCTCTTGTGCGTGTTCGAGCTCACGATCCGGGCATGTATATGAGAGCTCATCAATGATTCCATTCATCACAAGCCCATCAACAGTTCCCCAAATCTCTAGCTCCCTAGTCATACCTGTTTCCCTCAGAGTGCGAAGGCCCTGGATGACATTCCATATTCTGAGTCCCCAAGAGTCTTCTTTAGTCCGCACATCGACTACGACGGTAGTGTGCACTTGCTCTTCGAGAACCTTGTGTATGGCAGTCCCTTGCTTCATAGCTGGCGTTCGTCTCTTCCTGCCATGCTTTGTCAAAACGTACCAGTATTGCAGTTCACACCAGGAAGGGCTGATCATGTCTGTAACGGAGAAGGCTTTTCGAGGTTTCGAGCGGAATCGTTCAAGAGGAGACCGCAAATCCGCCTGCTCTGGCCTGGGATCTACAGGTGCTTCGATAGATGCAGGGTTTTGAAGGACTGCGCGGGACTCTTCGCTTGCCACTATTCGCTTCATGTCAATTAGCCTGGCGCAATTTTCAATGCACGTAACCTACCATCCGTTGACGCGCTCTTGTTGTGCTGATCAACCGTATCAACTGGAAGCTCGTTGAGGGAAGGCATCTTGAGGGGCGCATCTTGGGAGCTGAGCTGACTATTGCCCGTTGTACGAGGCAGCTTGAGGCGTCGAGGACCTTCATAATTTCTATCGCCTTCCTCTTCAAGACTGATGTCTTTATTAGGATTGTCAATGTCCACCTTCAGCAAATCGTGCAGTATCGATTCTTCTTCTGACGAGAAATCTGATCCATAATTGCTGATGTCGTCACGAGTATCGTGAGGTTCTGTCATCGGGACGGCAGAAGACATGGGGAGGCTGTTGGACAGAATGAAACTCCATTTTCAGATAAACTAAGGCGCAAGCAACAGGCGGCGCGTCTTCCCCAACCCTTACATAGCAGGCGCGACTGGAGATCACAACCTATCGCCTTTGTAACTTCGGACTGGTGGTTTGGAAAAAGAGCGCTAGTAAAAATACAGGTCTTGAACGAGGGTCGAGTAGTCGGAAGGTGGCCGCCCACACAACTCCAAAACGAAATAAGAGGCTGCGGCAACACCGAGAGACAGGCTTATAGGGCAGGCTGTAGGGTTCTGCAGGCTGCTAGTGGCCCTTGGAGCTTCTTAAGGCATTAGAATCTGACCGATCTGACCGATCCTCGGACAGTTGGGACTGACGCTTTGTGGGATGCCTTGAGTGTGGGATATCTATGTGGCATCTTAATCAGCCTCAATATCGCATATCAAGTCGGTTCTGAACATTTCGCTTCATCGGCATGGTTTGTTCCTGCGATGTGCTTTGTTGAGTGATCATGTTTCGGTCTTCACCTTCACATATTATTTTAACGACTCTTTCCCTTTAACCAACATTGCCTAGTCAATAGCCTGTAGTCTGAGCAACAGTATCATGGCTCGAACTCAAACGCCCACAAGAGTGTCTATCTTGGGCAAAGACAGCATCGTCGTGGATTACGGGATTTGGGGATCATTCATCATTCAAGACTTGCTTCAGAATCTGTTTTCAACCACGTATGTTCTAGTCACTGATACGAATCTACATGACGCCTATGTACCGGCTTTTCAAAAGACATTTCGTAGCACTGCAGTCTCTTTAGACTTGGACACCCGGCTACTCACATACCAGATACCGCCAGGGGAGAATTCCAAATCTCGAGAAATGAAAGCCAGTGTCGAAGATTGGATGCTCGCGGAGGAGAGAAGTCCTCCATGCGACACCAAAACAGTTGTCATTGCACTCGGTGGAGGTGTCATTGGAGATTCGATTGGCTTTGTCGCGGCAACTTTCAAACGAGGAATTAGGTTTGTTCAGGTGCCAACATCGCTCCTTGCTATGGTAGACTCATCTATTGGAGGGAAGACCGCGATTGATACGCCAGCAGGTAAGAATTTGATTGGAGCGTTCTGGCAGCCTTCTCGAATCTACATCGACTTGGAGTTCCTCAACACTTTGCCAACTAGGGAATTTATCAATGGCATGGCTGAAGTCATAAAGACTGCTGCTATCTGGGACGAGGAAGCCTTTGAAGGTCTCGAGTCGAACGCGAATCGCCTCATGCAAGCCATGAAGACGGCTCCGACAACGGATCAATCAAGACTTGCTAATGTGAAATCAATACTAAAGGATGCCGTTATTGGCTCTGTCCGGATCAAAGCCCATGTTGTGTCGGCAGATGAGAGAGAAGGCGGCCTTCGAAATCTGCTTAACTTTGGGCATTCGATTGGTCATGCTATTGAGGGCATCCTGGCCCCACATGTTCTTCATGGAGAATGTGTCTCGGTCGGCATGCATCTTGAAGCAGTGCTCGCTCGCTATCTGGGAGTTCTGGATGGAAGCGCTGTGGCAAGATTGACAAAGTGTCTTGCATCCTACGAGCTTCCAGTCTCTTTAAAGGACAAATTATTGAGACAGCGTTCGAACAATAAGCATTGCTCTGTAGACCGAATTCTCACCATAATGGGAGTTGATAAGAAGAACGATGGGAGAAAGAAGCGCATTGTGCTACTTGGAGGAATTGGCCAAACTCACGAGCGCCAAGCAAGTGTGGTCGCTGATAGCGACATTCGAGTAATACTCTCTTCAGGAGTTAGAGTGACATCCAGGGTTTTGAAAGGTGTGAAAGTCTCGTGCATACCTCCTGGTTCCAAGAGTATATCAAACAGAGCACTTGTGATGGCAGCCCTAAGCAATGGTACATGCCGTATTCGCAACCTCCTTCATTCAGATGACACCGAAGTGATGATGAGTGCTTTGACTGAATTACAAGGCGCAAGTTTCGTATGGGAGGACAACGGCCGAATACTAGCGGTAAAAGGGAATGGTGGCTGCCTTCATGCAAGCAGCAAGGCGCTGTATCTCGGTAACGCAGGGACAGCGTCTAGGTTCTTGACATCAGTAGCAACACTTGCGAAACCTACTTCACAAAATCACTCTATTCTGACGGGCAATGCGAGAATGAAGCAGCGACCTATCGGACCTTTGGTGGAAGCCTTGACAGCCAATGGAGCAGACATTGCCTACGTAAAGCAAGACAAAGACGGAAACTATGTGCCTAAGAGCGATGAAGAGAGAGCAAGAAAGGATGGACGTTGTTTACCTCTGAAAATCACTGCTTCTGATGGCATGGCAGGTGGGAACATTCACTTGAATGCTAATGAGTCCTCGCAGTATGTTTCGTCTATTTTGATGTGCGCCCCAAGGGCCAAACGACCTGTCACGTTGAAGATGGTCGGTGGACCGCCAATATCACAGCCTTACATTGATATGACGACCGCCATGATGGCCTCTTTCGGCATTCAAGTTGAGAAGTCTGAAACAGAAGAGCACACATACCACATACCAAAGGGTGAATATCAAAATCCATCGGAATACACCATGGAGAGCGACGCGAGCTCAGCTACTTATCCATTAGCAATAGCTGCAATATCTGGAACTACTTGCACGGTGCCGAACATTGGGTCAAGCTCGCTTCAAGGAGATGCCCAATTTGCAGTCCAGATTCTGAAGCCTATGGGGTGTAAGGTTGACCAGACAGCAACCTCCACGACAGTCACTGGGCCAGTTCGCGGATCTCTAAAAGCAATCAATCAAGTTGACATGACAACAATGACTGACGCTTTCTTGACGGCATCCGTCCTATCTGCCATTGCCCAGGGTTCTTCAATTACATCCACAACAAGAATTGTAGGCATTGCAAACCAACAGAAAAAAGAATGCGAACGAATCACAGCCATGAAAGATCAATTAGCAGGGTTCGGCGTCACTTGTCGGCTCTGGCCTGAAGGAAACCTAACACCGGATGGTATAGAGATAGATGGTATCGATATCGATAAGCTGCAGGAGCCTTCCCAGGGCGTCCACTGTTACGACGATCATAGGGTCGCCATGAGCTTCAGCGTTCTGGCTACTGCAGCACCGCAAGGTGCCCTGATCCGAGAGAGGGAATGTGTAGGCAAGACTTGGCCTGGTTGGTGGGATACCATGAAGCAGACATTCGGAGTCGAGCTTGAAGGGACCGATCTGGATCAGCAACAGCCTCAAAGTTCCTCCAATGGCTCTAAGTCCATCTTCCTCATTGGTATGCGGGGTGCTGGTAAAACCACAGCTGGTAAATGGGCTGCTAAGATTTTGGACAGACCATTCATAGACTTGGATTCACAACTCGAGAGTGAAAGCGGTCTCACCATCCCAGATATAATCGCTAAACATGGTTGGGAGGTGAGTCAATCCATGAATCCTAATCTTCTTGACCTTGTACGCATTTTATCAGCAAGTCTCGAGAGCATGCTCCAGAGCGCATTGCAGTCGTTTTTCGTGCTTAAATAAAATATGATTTGCATTCACTCGCTTCAGATGATGCATCTGAACAATATATGGAACAAGTTGCTGACCTACATACTCGCTCGGTTCAGGGTTTCAGACAGCAGGAGTTAGAAATGTTACAAAGGGCGACACAAGATCGATCTGCACGAAGTATTTTTGCCTGTGGTGGCGGGATTGTGGAGCTTCTCGAGGCTCGGAAAATACTAATCGACTACCAACGCAATAGGGGAATCGTGATCTTCGTTCAACGCAATATCGAAGATGTGATGGCTTTCCTGCAAATTGACAAGACTCGGCCAGCTTACCTGGACGATATGGCAGCCGTGTGGGAACGACGAAAGGATTGGTACGCTGAGTGCAGCAATTACCAATACTACAGCCGGCAGACGTCCGAGTCAGCTCTAGACAGGCCGCCGCAAGATTTTGGAATTTTCATGCACAGCGTGGTTGGGAAGGGTCGATCTCTGAGCGAAATAGCCAACAGGGAAACCTCGTTCTTTGTCTCACTAACAGCTCCGGACGTCACTAATGCTCTTGATGTCCTCTCGAACGTCGTCGTTGGATCTGATGCGGTCGAACTTCGGATAGATCTGTTAAGAGACGCGACTTCTAAGTCCTCCATCCCCTCTGTTGATTTTGTTACTGAGCAGCTCTCGGCCTTAAGAGCCTCTACTACTCTTCCAATAATATTTACCGTCCGGACAGAGAGCCAAGGGGGTAGCTTTCCGGATTGTAACGATACAATAAGCGAATCTGCTCTGGTTTCTCTTTTGGATTTTGCATTGAGAGCAGGTGTCGAATTCCTAGATCTAGAGATGTCTCTGCCTAGTGACCTACTACACAGGATTGCTGCAGCCAGGAAACACACGAAAATCATCGCGTCTCATCACGATCCAAAGGGCACGCTATCTTGGAGTGACCAGTCCTGGGACAATGTCTATGCTAAAGCAACGTACTTTGGCGATGTCGTGAAGCTGGTCGGCGTTGCCAAAAGCCAGGCAGATAACGACGATCTACGACATTTCAGGAAGCGGCTGCAATCATTCCCAAAGAAGCCACTGATCGCTATCAATATGGGTCAAGACGGCCAGCTTAGCCGGATAGAGAACCTGTTTATGACGCCAGTATCCCATCCTGCGCTTCCTTTCAAGGCTGCGCCTGGACAACTATCTGCTGCCGAAATTCGGACGGCCTGGAGCTTGCATGGTGTGATCAAACCTCGGACATATTTTCTCTTTGGCAAGCCTATCTCTCAGTCAAGATCTCCAGCCTTGCATAACGCTCTGTTCCGAGAAAATGGACTGTCTGACACCTATGGCTTACTGGAAACAGACCAAGCCAGCGATCTCAGAGATACCTTGTTCTCTGGTGCCTTTGGCGGAGCCTCTGTGACGATTCCCCTGAAGCTTAATATCATGCAACATCTCGACGAGATCAGCGAGGATGCACGAATCATAGGCGCAGTCAATACGGTGATCGCTGACAAAACACGCTCTTCGCCCAAGCACGCTGGTCAATATCTGATGGGAACAAACACTGATTGGCTAGGCATGAAATTGGTACTCGAGATTGCAGGTGCTTCTCCTCAAGCGGGTCAAGCGGGTCTAGTCATAGGAGGAGGAGGTACGGCACGTGCAGCCATTTACGTTCTCCATGCAATGGGCTACTCGCCAATCTACGTACTAGGTCGGGATCTTGCCAAGATATCCAGTCTTGTGGCAGGATTTTCGAAAGATTACAATCTCGTGCCAGTCATAAAATCGGAAGACTATAAACAGCCAGAAGCGCCTACTGTAGCAATAAGTACTATACCAGCTGAAAAACCTATTGATGAACTAATGTCGACAATTTTAAGGGAGAACATATTGAAAAGCAGCAAATCTATCTTACTCGAAATGGCTTATAAGCCAGCAGTCACACCGTTGATGGAAATGGCACAAGAAGCCGGCTGGACGACTATACCAGGGTTGGAAGTCCTGGTTGGCCAGGGAATATACCAGTTTGAAGCATGGACCGGAATAAGGCCTTCCTTCCCACGAGCCCGAGAGGTCGTAGTGAGCAACTAGGTGGGCCTTCGTTCTTCTTGCTAGCCAAATCCCCTTTAATGATATGTCGAGCTCAAATTTGAAAAGTTATTTCAGCATTGAGATTCGTGGGGCTCTCTCCTGAACGTAGAAGCAGCTTAACGTAATTTCCGAGGTTTTTCGTAATTGCTACGACTATGTGAAGGAGTAGATAGATAGATAGATAGATCGTCAACAAAAGCGCAAAAGTGATGCGATGTAAGTCAAGCATTAGACTAAATTTGGATATTGATGACTTCAAAGTACAATCATGCAAATTGGGAGTTGACATAATTTTCATTTTTTTCTAGTTGAAGAACCCCTTGGGATTTAGTGAGAAGATAGGGAAAGCATCTCTGGTAGGTTTGAAAAAGTTGCTTATCTGAAGCGCAATATCGAGCCACGACTCGTGCCATCTCTCCATATTCAATAAGCTTCAACAGACATCGAAATCGAACAGTGCGGAAAGCAAGGGAAGCGTGCCCGTAGAAAAGAGCTCACATTAAGTCAACACATTATATGTACCTTTTCAGTACCCGCCACAGGTATCTCTAAGTCTAAGACATTATGACCCATCCCAATACTAGGCCCCAATCCAATGACCGCCCAAAACCGAACGCCGGCTCGCGAGCCCGCTATGCACCATATAATAACCTTGAACGGACGAGAATGATTAGACCAGCAGTTGCCACGGCCTTGCAATCTTTGATAGCGTTCGTCTTAATTGGCCACGAACTGGTTTCTGAGCGACGGGGCGGGCTTCCATTGCGGCGAGCATCCTTGCTGCTTTTTGTATGCTCAAGAGCTCGATGTCGTAGGTAGACTGGCGGCAGAGTTTGTTGGAGTCGGCTTGTGCGCTGGACGTTGCTGTAGACGCACCCATGACTGGTGATAGTGGAGAGTTGTCAAGGGTAGAGATGGGGTGGATTTTGCGTTGAGCAAATCGATGAAGTCGAATAGGCAGCTATGGAATTTGAATGCGAGAAAGTGTGTCAAAGGTGAGTGTGATGGGTAGATGCATGTTGAAAGCAGAATGGGAAGGAGGATTTATTGTGTCGGAGGCTTCGGCGTTGTTCTGGGGGGGTGAGGACGTTGTTTGTGGGATTGTTGAGTAAGAAGCGAGAGACGCAAGCTGATGAACAATGACATTCGGTGTAGGTCAGCATTTTGGTGTGTGTGAGTGTGTGTTATTAAGTTGTGGCTTTGTGAACAAAGGGAAGTCAGAAGCTTGAGCTTAATGCCCTTGTGGCTTTCTGATACGGACAATCAGTGTCTGCATTCTGCAAGTGTGGTGTGAGAACAATGATTTTGGTATGATGGTAGACCGTTTTTTCAGAAGCTTATCCTGCAGGGACACAGAACCTTTTCTTGGCAAAATCTCGCATAGAAGAAATTTCGGACCAACCTTTTCATGTGGAAATTACCCATAACGATACGCTTGAAGCTAACAGGTCTTGAGGTGGTCAGAAAGACGTAGCCATCATCCTTGTTCGAGTCTTTGTAGAGGGCAACCTCCTTTTTAACGTGGCGATCATATGCGCAAAGCACGTATACCTGATTTACGGCTTGTCTTGTGCAACTTCACTCACATGCCTCAGTATTGTACAAAATCCATGTCTTTTCCCTGACAACAGACAGCGAAAGCTTGATCCTTTACGCCTCACGCTATGCAGCAACTACCTTCCACCGTAATACTGTCCCCTTGGAGCTTGTCCATAGTAGTCGTTACCCCGTCCGTAATTTCCTGGGGGTGGCGGGGGCCCTTGACCATTGAAGTGACCCCCTCCTCGGTGGCTCTGGGGTGATCCTGAGTAAGGTGGTAACTGGGAGCCGCCGTACTGGTATGGGCCACGAGTCGGTGGTGGTGGGCCACTACCGTAGTAGTCACCCCTTCCAGGTGGTTGGGGAGCGTATCCCTGGTTTTGAGGGGGTGGAAACCGTTCAGCAATGTGAGGCGGAGGTACAAAGTTGGGATTCGCATATTGAGGAGCCGAATGATTGTGGTTGCCACGACCGCGATAATTCATGCGGCCACCTCGATCACCATTTCGAAACGGGACACCACCAAATGATCGGCCCGAACTGCTCGCTTTTGCTTTGGTGGCCTCAATGTCCGGCGTCTCCAAGATCCGCGGCGGCGGGTTGGCTCCTCGAAGAAGCATGGATTTGTGAATGTGGACCGAGTATGGCATGTGGTAATAAACACTGATTCATGTTAGTGAACCAGTCAAGTAAGATATTTCGGATACGTACCTCATGCTATGATCCTGCTCCAGGCTAGGCATGCTGTCACCAACATCTTGAAGCGGTAATGCCAGAGAACTTTGTGGAATGAAGCTGTCGTTTTTCTCTATTCGGCCAGCGAGGCCTTTTGAAACATCAGGATCCATGTCGTATTTAGGGGCTCCTTGTCTCTTTGAGTAGAAATTCGTCGCAATATCATCATACAAGGGATGTTGGTCGGATAATATAAGATTGTCTTTTCCTAATCCATTCCTCGCAACATCTTCAGCCGAGAGAAGTGGATACTTCGTCGCCATCGCATCGAGAAGTCGTTTCTCATCAATGAATGGAAGAAGGGCAACCCCCTGCCACGCGAATTTCTTACCGTTGAGATCAATCGGAAATTCTGCTGGGTAGAAGTCGATGATTTCGCTTTCTGGATCTTCCATTAAAGGCCAGAAGACCTCTGGAATAGCATGGTTAGACGCGGCTGGCAGGACGCCCATCAATTGCTCAAAGGGCTTGAAAGGCTTCCCTTTGCTGAATTCAATCTTCATGTCGCTGAGATCAACGAAGTCGGCAGCGAAGGGAGCATAGTGGTGAGGATAGTACCAGGTCCAGGAAGGGCAGCCCTGTAAATAGTATAGAAGCACCCAAGCGAGGCCTTCGACATAGTCTCTGGCGACTTGGTTTCGGAACGCAATGTCTTTTGGGTCAACTTTGAACTTCTGCTCATAATACCGATCAGCGTAACCCTCATCCCAAAGCCGCACAGTATCGGGCGGTGGGTCATCTGGATCTGCCCCTTTCGCGGCTGCCCCATCAGGAACTTTGCGACCGACAGTTTCCGCATCGTCCTCGATCATTTCAGCCTTCCGTTTCTTAGACGCAGATACAGGAGCATCACTAGCCTCGGGATCTGCTCTTGAGTCTCCAGAGCGTTCGTCACCAGCCTCACCAGTGGATTCCAATTCTGAGGAATCTTGGATCGAGCTGCCGTTAAGTAGTTGACTCTTGAGAACGGCAGCAGCACTTTTGTTGGCTTGATTTGCTTTGTAGACCGCACCGCGATTCACAACCATCTCATGCGTAATCGCACGTTCTTCTTTGCTTGGATTGCGGGAGCCTGGTACGAACAGAGGAAGGTCTGGTGGTGCTACTGTTGGGTCCATACTTTTACGTTTCCCTGTACTTCCTGGATTGCTGTAATCTGGTGAGCCTCGCCTTCCCGAAGGCTGGGAACCATGGCCATTGGATTGGCCGCGGTCGCTTTTCCGTCTATCATCATCAAGTTTTCGTCTCTTTGCCCTGTCATCCTTCCTATCTTCGGCTTGTTTACGACGGCGAAAGATGGCATCTTCCTGCTTCGCAAGACCATCAAGAATAAATTGTGCACGCTGAAGGTCTACCTTGCCATCTTTGGTTAAGTATGAGCCCATCTGATTGATGTTGTCTCTCCAGATCGCAATGAGCGTATCGATACCATTTTCTCTGATGTCAAGACTGGGGAGATGAGGAAGGAAATCGTTACCAACGAAAAAACACATAAAAATCCAATCATCAAGTGCTCTTTCAAGATCAAATCTCATGCGCTGTCCAGGAACTTCAAGTTCTACTTCCAAATATTCACGCAAGACTGCGACATGAAGCCATATGAAAGGTTTGTCACCAAGAGCTTTGTCTTTCTCGTCAAAGTCACCCTCTTTGGGCGCTGCTTGTCCTTTGCAGGCTTCCGCAATATGACCCTTCTGACCACAGATGTGGCAAGTCCGAGCCTTGGATTCTTGAAAGAAAACGTCTTCACGCAAGACACGGAAGTGGGGCTCATGCGTCGCGAGACCAAGCATTATCAAATCTGCATCAAGTCCATATATGACATGCTTTGTGTTAGGATCATGCTTAGGAGATGATCGTTGTGATCGGACAAATTGCATAATCTTGTGCTCTCCTTCGCCAGGGACAGTCGCATCTGATATGATGACTTTAAGCTTCGCCCAACCAGGATCTGTGTTGGCTTTGTAGGCGCACCAATATCGCAGACTCGCAGCTAGAATGTCCATGAAAGGGGTGCCTGGCGTAATGGCATTGCTATCCCACGTTTTTTTTTGCGCCGTAGCCATAGCACCTTCGTCAAATTGACCTCCATTTTGTGACTTGAGCATCTTCATCAGCTCCTCTTTGTCTTCGTCTTTTTCTTTGGCCTCTTTGGCGGACCTGAAGCGTCTTGATCGCTGCTGGTTCATCTTCGCACGAGGAGCTACACCATCTGTGAAATAAATGGATTAGTAAAATGAGTTTGAGCAGTTTGTAATGCCCTCTGGCTCCAGCGAAAATAGATATAGGACTCACCGACGGCGATCATCAAAATCTTCCTCGGCCGTACCATATTCACCACACGATCAGTGTATTTGAAGATAGCCAACATCATCTCTTCCTCGTTTGCGGGCGGAGGTCGGTCTTCTGGATGCGAGCACGGATGCACTATACCATTCATGTCAAGGTATAGATTATCGAATTCCTCTCCATTAGGATTAGGTTGGGTAATGTCCACCGGGACTTCATTGCCATCAATATTTTCAGCCTTGTGTTCGATGACTTGTGAGACAATCTTGGGGTATTTCGAGGACAGCCAGCGAAAGAGCGCTGGAACACCCATGATTGGGAAAGATTCAGACTATGAAAAGAAAAGGCACTGAAAGCTCGCTGAGGTTGTTGTATACAGAACAAAGGATAGGAAGCTCCGTTGAATTAGAGCGTAAAAGGGTGGTCATCAAGCCGCAGATATTGTTGACTCGGCACTCCTCGCTTGATTTGATCTCCAGAAAGATCACAATACCGGACAAAGGAAAGAGCGAATGTAGACTTCTGCGCCCATGAGATCTTGAAATCGGGCGTCGAGGAGCAGTATGAAGTGTAAGAATGTCGAAGGATCGCATTCACGATTTCATGATGCGCAGGCGCTGCGCTAGGCCTAATTCAGAGGGCTCCAAAAACCTATCGGCATTTTCCATAGCTAATGAGAGTACTGCGACCTTCAAAACAACAGAAGGCGCCTTGATGATATGGTCTTGAGAATATAGCACTAAAATGTAATATACACTTCGGAAATATGCTGAGTATCCTGGAAAAGCAAGCACCCGCAAAACAAAGTGCCGAATCCACAATTGCAACTCTGAGCGGCCGTCTTCACAGCGCTACGCTCCTCGAGGATCGCCGAGCAGCCATTCTGGGACTTAGAAGCTTTGCCAAAGCTTACCCTGCTTCAGTCGCCTCAGGGGGTCTGCGAACCCTCATAAGCTGCCTCAATAAAGATGTCGAGGATGTGGATACTACAAAAGTTACACTAGAAACACTTCTGATGCTTTTCAGTCCGAACGAGAGTAGCGTAAGCTCCAGGAAGACAGACTCGTCAATGTGAGAGCTGAAAGTCTCTAGCCTGAAGCTTCAGACGACATAGCCCTCTGGCTTGCGGATGAATTTACTCAAGTGAGCTCACCGCTGATTCCGAAACGTCGTATCTAGCTGAGCTGACGGAGTAGCGACAAGAAAATATTACTGCTTTGCTCGATCTACTTGATGGCTACGAATTCTTTTCTCGCCTTTACTCATTGCAATTGATATCAGCTATTTCGACCGCCCGCCCAGAACGTACCCAAGAATGCGTATATACTGCTCCTCTGGGCGTCTCAAGACTCGTCGCCGTTCTAGAAGACAAGCGCGAGGCGATTCGAAGTGGTATGAAGTAGTTAGGTATAGACGATCATGGCAAGCTGACTTGGTGATAGAGGGTCTGCTTCTGCTAACCGCGCTTACTCCCTCATCACCAGATCTCCAGAAGCTCGTTGCTTTCGAGAATGCATTTGACCGAATCTTTGGAATCATAGATGCTGAAGGGGCTTTGACACAAGGAGGCATCTCGGTGCAGGATTGTTTATCGCTACTAGCAAATCTCTGCCGCTTGAATGTCTCAAACCAGTCCTACTTTCGGGAGACTGGATGGGTAAAGAAATTGACAAGCTTGTTGAGCGACGCTGTTCGAGAAGAAGATTCCAAAGAGGGCGTGGCAGAATGGACCAGACCTCAGAGAGATAAGAATGTATGGGGTCTGCTCGCCGTATTGAGGCTCTTCCTTGTTCGTGGCAGTTTGGGGACGCAAGCCAACCAGGTATCCTTCTGGCAGAACGGTATTCTGGTCCAAGTGCTCGATATTGCTTTTCGTGATTCCTTCGACGTGCCAATAAGAGCAGAAGTAAGCATTTCGATCTGTCAAAAACTGGGTTGTTGCTAACTCGAGCTAGGCCCTTAGCACTGCTGCGGATCTGATTCGTTCCAACCGTGGATTACAAGAGGCTTTCGGTCAGCAAGAGGTGAAAAAATCACATGGAAACGAGCGACTACATGTCAATGGCAACGCGGAAACAGTGTCCTCTTCAAACCAAGAAGTCAATGTGATATCTGGCTTGTTGGAGCTCGCGTTGGCTTCTATCTCTCTACACTCATTTGATCTTCGCCTCGCAGCCTGTGAAACCCTTCAAGCCTACCTGTGTGGACATGCACAAATCAAGCTTTTCTTCCTTCGTAGAGCTGTCGATGGCTACATGTCTGGCACAGACGAGACTGACAATATACTATCAATTCTGCTCAACGAACCCGAGACTTCTAGAGGTGGAGATCCGTATAGGTCTTGGATCGCTGCTGTCCTTCTATTCCATCTTCTTTTTGAAGATCCAGAGACCAAAAGTCTTGCCCTGGAGGTGGCCGAAGGCAATGCGGAGCAAGGAGAAGAAGTTGTCACGTGTATTCAGTCCTTATCGGCCCATCTCATCTCTTTCGAACAGAAGAGCGCTGACGAGAGGGTATCTATCGGTATTCTAATGATTCTCTGTGGCTGGCTCTACGAGGATCACGATGCTGTGAATGACTTTCTTGGCGAAGGCAGCAACGTGCAGAGCATTGTACAGCTTGTTTCCAGAAACGACCAGTCTCGGATTCTTGTATCTGGCCTGTCTGCGTTTTTACTTGGTATAATCTATGAATTCTCAACGAAAGACTCTCCAGTAAGTCGAGAAACGCTCCATTCGATTCTCACATCGCGACTTAGCCGAGAGCAATACGTAGACAAGCTCACAAAGCTGCGGGAACATCCCACGGTGCGGGACTTTGAAGTCCTTCATCAAGGTGCGAATTCACACGCGGGCGGAATTCCTGGTATTTACTTTGACAAGACCTTCATCGATTTCCTGAAAGACAATTTCAGCCGTGCCCTTCGAGCTATCGATAGGGCTCCTGTTTTGGAGGTACCTGTATTGACCAATGGCGTCCAGAAAGGGATCTCTCGAGAGCTTGTAGACTCCTTAAAAGGACAAGTTGAAGCTGGGGCTCAACAAATCCAGAAGCTTGAGTCGGACATTCTCACATTAGAGCGGAAACTTGGCCAAGAACAAGCTGACCACAGAAAGGCGAGAGAATCTGCCGGTATGGAACTAACCAGAATCAGGAACATCAACGAAGCACTACAGCGTAACCATGAAGAAGACAACCAAAAGCAAAAACATCAGCATGACCGAATATTGAAGGAGACTCATAAAGCGCACGAGGTAGCCGTACAGTCTTTACAGACAGAGATGCAAAAGGCTCGGTTGGACAGCGATTCAGTCGCTGAGCGCACTCGATCACGCACCGATGCAGAGAGTGCAGATCAAAAAGCCACGATAACGCGTTTGCGCACCGAGCTAGAGAAAGCTAGCAAAGAACATATTCAAGATTTGCAAATAGCTCATGAAGATTACACTACTAGATTGACGTCCTTGGAGGCACGCCTGGAGCGAGCTGAGGAAAAATTCGATGACACAGAGGCTCGAGCAACACGATTGCAGAAGGAAGTCGAAGAAAAAGAGAAAGCGCGCTTAGCAGCTAAAACGGAACTTGATGACATGCTAATGATCCTCGGAGATTTGGAGGAGAAGAGGACGAGGGACAAGGTAAGCACTACGTATAATACTCAGAAATATCGCAAATACTGACCCAAAATAGAGACATTTGAAAGTCTTGGGAGAGCAAGTCTCAGATGATGAAGAGGACGACAACGGTGAGGAGGATGGTGTAGATGAAGCAGCTGAGAAAAGCAAAGGCGACGACGTTGATTGAGCCTGGCAGAAGGAATGAGGTCGACTTAAGATACCCCGTCTGCGGAATGTTGATAATCTGCGTTCACATCTAAACATTGCCATAATAACAGCTCAGGTCAGATGAGCGGCAGATATCTAGCATCCAGAGCATCAGATACCTCGTCATGAAGGGGTTTCCACAGCACGCCAACTGACCATCCTCTCATACTTTCTCCTTCAGGTTCTCCGCAACGACGTCCGAGGCCGGATCTTTCTTTCCTTTTCCACTCCCTTGCCCCGTCAGTCCTTGAGAGCCTCCGCCACTATAGTTCTGGTCTTTCATCTCGCTGATACCTTCGGGAAGAGGCGCGGCTTTGTTGGAACGGTCAACACCTGAGGACGATGGGCCCTACAGAATTGATAAGTTTTGACATCCCACTGAACGACGTGACAAGAGCAAGGACTCCGCGAACCTACATCTGCGTCGCCGTGAGGAACTCCGTGAGCCTTGGTTTCGCCTGCTTCAATGGCATTGTCCGAAGCTGGTGGTGCCCCTGCGTATTCTGCTCCACGAGGCATGTTGTATTTGCCCTTTGAATCAGAGTGATTTTTTGATTAACAAGGTTGAATTGATTACGGGTAAGTAGGGTCGTTTGGCCAAAATCCTGCTGAAGCGAAGTGATTGAGGGGAACATATACATGATGTCATGGGTCCATGACTCGATGTAAGTTTAATGCGCAGCCTCAATCGAAATTTACGCATATGCGGATTGTCAGAAGCAGCCCGGCGTATTCACTACCATGACCATCGCATCGCTTTACAGTGATTTGCGTTTCGCAGCAGCCTAGCATGTGTTTAGCTCTGGGGTCACCATCCCCCTTTCGTCATATGTTCACTACATACCAGGTAACAATCTTTCAATTTCAAAAATTCTGGGAGGCATTTGTCCTTATACACGCCATTGTAATCTTTTGCAACGCATTTGCCATATATTGAGGCCTAGATTTCAGTATGAGTACCTCTTTAATTGCAGAGTAGTTCGAGGAGATACTTCAGATGAGCATTTGGCCGCAGCGGTCGCGAACTTCTCAATCGGTCGGGTTCGAGCAGGCATGACTACCTCTCGCTGGCCACATCAATTGGTGAAGTACGATTTTTGAGAACTCAGATTTGAAAGCCCATGATATCATCTGTAGCGAGGAGTCTGATATCTGATGCAAAAGCGGTTAGTGAGTGTGTTGATTTATCGTCGCGCTAACCACGGTTGAATCCGTTTGCTCAGCTCCAACCACTTCCAGATAACTGTCAATATTTGCGTTGCGCTTGATGTTAGCTCTATGATGCATTGCTTTGACCAAAATTCGCTTCACATCGCTATCTTCTTGCTCCTAGAGGTCACTTCATGCCTTCCAAGCCATCGCGGAAGAGGCGACCTAATTGTCTATGCCTCTCGATTCCTCACACACAGAATTCAATGACAGCGCCGAGATCAATGCCTCCCTCTCCGATCAGAGTGAGTTGCTTTACAAGACCTCCAATCTCGCACTGATAGTCATATTCAGATGTCGCAATCCTCTACGAGATCGTACAGTATGCCGAAAACCATGAGCAAGTTAACACCTTCCCTTTTCGAGCAATATTCGCCGCGTATGAGCATGTATTGCCACAATATGGACTCGATTCAGCACATGATCAGATCTATTTGCGCTTCCTATTCAGATTGCGGGACAAAAGTCGAAAGAACGAACCTCTTTTCCAAAGCTTCTTGCGTCTTCTGCGGGAGCTTGGGATACAGATTGAATTCAATAACGACGAGGATGCAGCGCAAAGGCAAACGAAAAACATGGAAGAGCTTGGATTGGCAAGCGTTGGGACTGCGCCAAGTCCAAGACGATTGCGCCGAGCTTCCTTCAATTCCATATATGACGCTGAAGACGAAAGCACCAAAGTCATATCAGCAACCTCACGGTTGCGCCCACCCTTTTCCGATGCTGGTGCAGGGAACTCTTCCATTGCAAAGGCGAAAGCTTCTGTGGGGTCGGCGAAAAAGCATTCTGGGGAGAAACAACGTGGGGAGATTACGAGGTTGGCCTCGGAACCTGTGGGAAGGGGGCTGAGACGAGAGGATCTTGGCCTTGATGACGAAAACCCTCAGCATGCGCATCAGCGCGTCCACATGTCACATGAGCCAGAGCACAAGCAACGGCAAAAATCGGAACAGGCTCGACCAGGAGTGCCTACCAAACCTTCAGGGGATATATCTCTGTCTTCGAATACGTCAACTAGTGGTCAGCATGATGAGCCAGAGTCCCAGTCGCTGATACGAATCAATCCTCGGGAACGTCTGTACAATCCCTCTAGGACGCAGCTGCTCCGGGATGCTGAGACCTTTCAGTACTACCGAATCCGCTTGGTTACCGCAGATATCATTGAGAAGTGGTGTGACGCTGCCCTCAAAGCAAACAACCACGCAGAGCATTTACACCGTATCGCTGTGGCTCGCGACACTGAGGTGCTAGTGCGTCAAGCGTTTGAGCATTGGCGAGCAAGATTGCATGCTCGAAAGCAAGCTGCTCAAATTCGACAGTTCTATGCAAAGCTGGAGAAGAGAGCCGAGAAAGCCCGAGATTTGTACTTACTTATTAAGGCCTTCACTCATTGGGCTCAGAGCGCCGACGATGAAAATTTCCAGCGCTGTGCAGCGAGACAACAAACTTTAGGCATCAAGTGCTTTCATGCTTGGAGGAGCATTACTGTAGAGAATCAAAACAAGGTACATAATCAGGGGCTGAAAAAGTTCTTCGGCGTATGGGAGCAACACTGCATTCAGAACTGGACGAGTATTGCAAAAGTTGGCCTCCTGCACCAGGAAAAACTTGTGCGGAGTGCATACCGGCAACTTTTCTGGAGCTTCTGTGAGAGACGAGCCCCTGAATGGCACGTGCAGAGACTGAAGCAACGAATTTTTCTATCGTGGACCAGCAAGACGAGACGATATGGAAGACAGTCGAAGCTAGCAGCAAATGATCACTCTATGCAATCTAAATTCCGGGGCTTTCGAAAATGGGTTGCAAAGGCACGGCAGTGCCAGGTGAATACCGGTAACGCAATGATATTCAATCACAGCAGAACCATCTTGACGCCCTTGAGATCTTGGAGCCGCGGTGGGCAATTTGCTCCTTTAGCGAAACAGATTTCCAATATAGTAGATTGGAGGGTTGCTGGCTCAACCTTTGCCCTGTTTGTGAACAAATTTCGATACGAAAGACAAGCTGAAAAGCTTGATCAATTTCGAATACTGAGATTCATTTGGACAAGGTGGAACGATCGTCTTCGTTGGCAAACACTAAGGCAACGTGTTGATGACAGAGTCTTTTTTGAGAACCTCTACAAGTGGATGATAGCATGCCGATATCTACTCCTACGGCGGCTTCACGACCAACGCATCAAGCGACGCTTTCTTCGGACTTGGACAGAAAGGCTCGCAGCAAGCAAAGGCCAAGACGAAATTGCTTCCGACATGATTCAGCGCCAAAGAAGAAGCGCCACATTGCGCAAAAGTTTGGCAGGCTGGCTCAGCCATCTTAGGGACCTTCGCTGGTCGGAAAGCGTTGCTCTTGAATTCTACTCCCCCAAGATTTCGATTGAGACGTTGGGGCTTTGGAAGAGTAAAGTTAATAGCGTTCAGGAAATAATTAATTGGGTCGACCATGCTCGAGTCTTCTTCCTGGAACGGCGCTTTTTGAGGGTTTGGAGCAAGGCTGTCCATGAATCTCGGCGTCGTAAACGCCGCGAGGCGTACATTCAAGTGCGCCGAAAGTCGAAGATAAGACTGGCTTCTGACTGCCTGCAGGACTGGCGTCTTCAAACATCTCGGAAATTAAAGATGGATCGGGAGGCCATGGGGGCTGATCAGCAACGACTCCTCCGATTTGGGACGAAGATATTTGATATATGGAAAAACGCATATGAGCTTGTGCTTGATCAAGGACTGGATGCCTCCGAATATTACGAAAATTCCTTGCTTCGACAAACCGTTCATCTTTGGAACCATCGAGTCAATCTTATATTCGAGATGGAGGAGACTGCACTAGCAAATGCGGATTTGTATACACAAAAGGCTGCTTTTACTTTTCTGCGTAAAATAAGCCTCCGGATCATCGAATCGAGAGCTCAGCAAGGAAAAGTGGAAAGACTCAAGCTTAAACATGAAAGACGTCATTTTCACGATTGGCTTCGAAAATGGCGAGAGATCACCGCTGCACGACAGAACAGGCCTCAACCAAGTTCGACTCTCCCAGCGAGGACCAGGAAGTCAAGGATTGTCGCACGAGCTGAACCGCTCGGTGCTACCAGACGTGCTGAAGAATGGACGGAACTTGACACGAAAGACTGGACTCCGACGCTTGAAGCGCAAACAAGTTCGACACCCTTACCCGGCTATCTCAGTACACCTTCAAGGCGGGCTGCAAGGGCGAGATCGATGGCGAAATCTACCACGCCAACAGGCACGCCCTTTCAGAACCGCTTGAGAGCCGAGCTCAACACTACGCCAGGCTCGTCTAGACAAACGCCGTTCAGCAGATCTACAGTCTTGAGAAGGAATAATTTTGGGGCGATATTGGAAGACTCGCCCGGTACAGCTAGGTCCGACAGCGATGAGTGATGTGACATGATTGGATGAGGCGTTATGTAAAGAAATCATGTTGTGATACCCCTTTTTTGTAATCTTTAATTTGAAGAATTCATGATCTGCAGGGTATTCTTTCAGAAACAAGACCTTGCTAAGACCAAATGGACGCAACTTCTCCGTTCTCATTGTTCTAGCGCTGAAATCTGTTAATTCCCAAGAGTTAAATCAAGCTAGCTGCGAAAGCATCCTATGCAAAGGGTCGCTCCAAGGCGGCATCCTTAAAATTGTAGAGACCAGGCGTGTGCCGTGAAAGGAGGAGATATTGAAACAGTACTGCGGAGCTCGGTTGGGAAGATTTTGCATTTGGTATCGCTAAATATACAGGCTATTTTTCTAAAAACACCAATTGCCATGCTACAAAAGCGCTCCATATGACTGAACAGAGATCAAAAGTTGAACCTCGACAACTCAGTCGACCTTGATGGATCCGTAGATTTTGTGTACGAACGCCCAGCTTGAAAAGAAACCGATGGTGCCTAAAGGATGTTAGGACATAAACGTAGTGTGACAAGGTGTTAGAAGAGGTGTGGCTTACCAGTAAGTATAAAGCACATGAATGAGACCAATAGACTATAACCGAGGTAGAGTACGCCGCTCGTGACGCTCCCAAAGCTCAGCTTCGTAATCCAGTACAGCATCGCATTAGCGAAGACATAACCCGCACTTGCACCTGCTGTAAAGAATGCTCTCCATTGCCAATGGTAATTCTCCGCACATAGCAGGAAGTATACTAACAAGATCGTCACTGCCGCGCAAGTGATGATCATGATCCCATAGCAAAGGAATAGGAAGCCAAACATGTAGTAGACTTTGCCAAACCACATGTTGCTCATTATGAAGTACAGCTCTACGAAGATTGCGCCGAACGGCAGGATACCAACAAGAGCCATTGATGGTATTGGGCGAAGATACGTGGTGGACTGTGGAATTTGTCGAGGTATCTGGTTCACACGGACAGGTGGTTGAACGGGCTGTAAAATTGTCAGGGCAATTAATCGTCACATTGCCAGGAAAGAACTCACCTGGTGTCTGAAGCCTATCCAGCTACCAGTGAAGCTGAGCGGTACGCTGATGACAAACCATATGCCCAGGATCACAAGCATTGTACTGAAAGGTACCGCTCCGCTAGAGCCTTTCGCCCACAAGAAGAGGTTGAGCAAGAAGAATGTGGCAAACACAATACCTGGGATCAAGAGAGGAGTAAGAGCTATATTCTGCTTCCATGCTTCGCCGCCGAAAGTCTTGTAGACTCTTGCTGAAACGTAACCACCAATGAAGCCGAAGACTGTATACAGTAGTATCATGACAGTGCCAAGAGAGCCACGGTTCGAAGGCGAGAGGAAGCCGAGTAGGGCGAAACAGATGGTGGTGCCAACCATGACGAAAAGTTGCGTACCATTGCCAAGGAAGACGCTGAGCAGAAGGGGGTTCTTTGGTGGTCTAAAGACATCTCCGTGCACAAGCTTCCAACCCGAGTCTTCCTGTACATCGTCCTCAGTATGGCCGTTAGCGCCGGAAAGATCATCGAGATTGAAAGCTTCCAGCTTGTTGTAGCGTGCAATGTCTTTTTTCAAAGCACGCATGAGAATAGCGCCAACCATACCTGGCCATGTTAGTCTTTAACTTATATCTACACGTCGAAAATCTGGCTTACCACATAGGAAGACTACGATCACGGAAGAATTGATGAGGGAAAACCAATGTATCCTAGGATCGAACACATGCAGGTAGCTGTCCCACCGGGTGGCCCAGGCTGTGGGCGACTCCCTCCAGTAAACACCGTACGTCCACGTCACTCCGGTTTCTCCATCTTCATTGAGCATCAAGGGCTTTTCGGCATTCATATCACCACAGTTTACTTTCCCATCCTTGTTCGACGAGTCTGCCCGTGAATCAGGTATCACGAGCACACCAACGACCCTGAACTCGCCCTTGCCGGCGGTATGGTAGTCCACCACTATGTCAAAGTGATTGTTTAACACCGCCTTTGACTCTTTGTCCACTCCCCCTAATGGAAAGCCTCTGACCGTGAAATCCGTGTTTGTTGATGGATCTGTGTAGGGTTGGCCAGCTGGTAATCCATCAATCAGCCAATTCAAATTGTAGTTCTGCCATATCCTCCTGTTGACAAATTTGGCGCTCCTCTGATCAAATTTTTGCTCCTCACAGAGCGCTTTACACGACTCATTCTGTAGCATGTTCAACTCATAAGGTGATGTAGATATCCTGTCCCCAAATAAGATGCTGCCCAAAGATTCTGAGATGTGCTTAGGTCCGTCTGCGGGTCTGCAGAATCGGAAGGCAGGGTGGTAGTAATCGAAAGAGAAAACAGAGTGTAATTGAGAGTCCTTTTCGGACAGCGCGGGCGTGAGGTGGTTGACATTAAGGTCTACTCGCTGGTTTTCCTTGTATGTTGTAGGCGCAACTCCTGGAAGGTAGAACGAAGCGGCACTGCCTGCATACAGCAATGCGAGGAGCGCTGTGCTCGCAATGTTGACATGCATGATGGCAGGAAGGGCAGCACGAGTTTGTTCAGATGCTAGATCATTGAGTCAGCGATGTGTCCTGAAGTAGCGTCGTCGAACAGTATGAGACGCTCGGCTGTGCTGCTCACAACAAAAGCCCAGCGCCAGATGACCAGCTGCTGCAGTTGAACCACTTCTCACTGTCAGGCAGCGACTGCCAATGGCGACTTCAACAGCAGATCCAAGTGTAGTGTGAGAGGTCGTTCGGTTTTATTGTTCTTAAAATTGTCAGCCTCAAGGCCAGATACCCTTGTCTCTTTAGAGACGCCAAGCATCCCCTGTCCGCCGCCGCCGACATCCTCCGTCGTTCCACGAGGACACTAACTCCACGCGTTCGACATAAATGGGACAATATTTGGTATCGCACATGCAAAGGAGAGTAGCCTCAAGTGCTCAGCGCAGACCAAAGACCGATTTCGGCCAGACGAGGGCATGCGTCTTGCGGAATCATGTGCATTTTCGATGCGCCAATGCAAACAAAATCCGATGAATACCCATATTTGAAATATCTGCATGAGCGATACATCTAGTTGGACTGTAACTAATGCCTCCTTCTCTGACTCCATTCCTCCCACGTGAATAGTACTCATCTCATGTGCGAACGCCTCTGCCCATGCCTTGAATATCCAATATCCTGGTCGTCTTACACCAAGCCATCATACAAGGATAACGCCGAGACAATGGTCTCGTCTCGTTTACTGCCTTCTTTGAATTCTGCCATGTCCAGAGAGCCATTCTCGTCTTTGTCCATCATACGGAAGATCTTGCGCACCCGCTTCTCAGGTGTATCTTCATCTGGCGGAAGCTTCACCATCGAGCCGACCTATACCCACGTTAACCTTCACCATCTCGCTTTCTTGCACCAGCTACCCAGAATCCTTACCATTTTGTAAATGGCTTCAACGATTTGCAGCATCTCATCATAGCTGATCTTTCCGTCTCCGTCGATATCGTAAAGTTGAAACGCCCAGTCCAGCTTGTCTTCCATCTTCCCTCTTGAGGTAACGCTCAAAGCACATATGAATTCCTTGAAGTCTATTGAGCCGGACTTATCGCTATCGAACACATTGAACACATAGTCCGCAAATGACGTCGGATCGCCGAAAGGAAAGAATTGTTTGTAGATCTTTTGGAACTCTTCCTTAGAAAGCATGCCGCTCGGGCAGTCCTTTAGGAAACCTGCAGCATTGAGATAGTCTTAGCCTTTGATGCCAAAGCGATCGTGAGTACCGTAGACGGGTAGACGGACCTTTATACCATTGCTGCAGTTCCTTCTTGTCGAAGTGGGTATCTTTCTGCAGCTGAGAAAGCTGTTCCTGAGAAAGTTTGCTCTGCCTGTGGCATTTTAGAGAAAATCCCACTGCAAGTTCCGGGCCCATACCTGTTTCCCATCTTGAATCAACTGCCCTCAAAGGGCTTCGTCACTGGCTTTGCTATCAATTCGGCGCTGCTATTAGGTACGGATTTGACGCCTATAGGTTTGGAGGGGCAATGGTGGGATGCTTTGAAACAGAGAAAGACAGGTTTTCCTGACGAAGATACGGCGATAAGCAATTTCTGCTTCAGTATGTTGAATGCTGCTGCAATACAATGATGCAAAGCAAAGGACGATGCAGCAAGGGCAGGTATCAAAATTACGTCTGCGGCAAATGCTTGATTTGGGAGGCAGATCTGTATGATTGTATCCTACCCCTCGAACTGCCGTAATCTATCTATAGATTTCAAGCCAGCCAATCAACTGTGCAGCCGCTTCCCATTCACCGCTTACAGTTGAATCGCAGAGCTCGTCTAGATACCGTCCGCTCACTGATGCCCTTACAATATGGACGCTATCCTCCAAACCCACTTCTCGAACATTGAGACCGCCCTCACCACCCTCACCGACTCCATAGCCTCCTACAATCCTTCCATCCCCGCCGCGCACTCCCTCGTAGCTGCAGACGAGGAGCTCCAAGTCGGCCTCAAACGATTGCTCACCCACCAGAAGAACCACGCTCGTATTCAACAGCTCAGACAAACAATTGACCGTCAAAATGCCGAGATAAGATCCACGATTCAGCTTCTTGCGGACACGCGCGCGGAGCTACTGGCAATACCAAATTCATTAGCCCCCTCGAACAGGCGGGATGTCGATTGCGGCGAGCTGCTCGATTTTGCGAAACGAATATCCCGTTTCAGTATACCGACGAACTTCAGGAGAGGTGAGGGGAGGAAAGCCACCGACGGAGTAGCAGAAGGACCAACAGTAAATGAAATTGGAACCGCGAAAGAGGACTCAGACGACGTGGAGGGCATCGGCCTACAGTCGCTGAAGGAGGAAGAGAAACAGTGGCTTGATCCGTTCACCGGGGTGCAATTTACCCCATGGCCTAGTGAGGAGGTCATTAGGAGCAGCGCTTTAGCACGCATCCAAAGTGGGGGTGAAGATGCTGAGGAGGCAAAGCGCAGAATAGAAGAAGAACGGAGAGTTGAGGAGGAGAAGGAGAGAGAAGAGGCGCGGAAACAGGAAGAGGAAAGCAGAAGGCGGGAGGAGCAGAGACGGCATGATGGTGCGAAAGAGAAGGATGTGGAGGAGAAGCCGAAGGTGTTTGGAGGATTGGATCTTTATGATCCTGACGATGAAATGTAGCGTGAATGAAGATATGTCTTTTGATCGCTTGCTCCGATATCGCTAAATTTAGTCAACAATCATAGCCTCAAGAAGCAGGATGTTGTATCAGATGGCCCCGCCAATAACTACATTTTGCTCCTTTCCCATTTGCAAGCATTTTGCTTCATCATACAGAGAGATCAGATATTATCTCAGGTCTCCGCTGCCACAGTCACCGTGACGGCGGGATTACTAGCTGTGCGTTTGCCCCACCCGCTAAAGAATCCTCCGCTGGAGGTACTGGGTGGAGTCAGCTTTGGGGGCTCTGGTGCCGGTTTTGCTATGATTGTCGACTCGCTAGGAGTAGGGCGATGATTGCTTCCATTGCCAGACGAGCCGCTTCCCATTATCCTTCGCAATGAGTCTAGCTTATTCTTGACTTCTTCAAGCTCTTGTCGAGCCACTGCCTCAGCGGTCTTTGCATTGACAAGTTCCACGAGCATACTCTCCTCTGATGGAGGCTTGTGTCCTTCAGTTGCCAGTACTTTGGTCATCCCTAAGCTGCTAGAACGCTTCGCATATCCGGCGGACGATTGATTGTTTGACTTCAAAGAACCTGTGCGTACCAGCTTCAGCTCCCGAAGGCCAGCTGAAGGTGGAGGGGTGTCCACTGGTGTCTGAGGCACAGACTCAAAATCGCTTTCAGTGGAATACCTCCGGATCTTGAGCTCAGCAACCGTCTTTTCGAGTTGCTGTTTCTCTTGAAATATTTCCTGCATTTTGTCCCGTGCTTCGCGAAATTGCTCTGTTATGCGATTATTTTCCTTCTGCTCATCTGATATCTGACGCGTCAAATCGGCCGACCTCGCAGCTTCAATCTCGTACTGATCTTTCCATAGCTTCAATTGCTCTCGCATTTCTTGCTTGGTCTGCTGAAGTAATGAGGAGCGTTTGTTCGTCGAAGGCCCACTAAAGCGTGCTCTTAAACCATCCAAGGGGTCCTGGCTATCTGACGCGATCGCTTCCTGATTTGAAACATCAGAGTCTGCACCTTCGATCTCAGATATTGCGTCCAACGTTTGAGGCTTCATCTGCCCTAGATACGCTTGAACAGCTTTTCGATCTTCTTCCCGATCCTCTTGCTCTTTCTGCAACTCAGTCACCATCAAGGTCTGTTCTCGTTGCATGTCGCTCAAGGCAGTAAGCAAGTCTTCGATTTGCCCGTGAAGATCGCGATCCTGACTCCTGGTACCAATTGAAGCGGTGGCTGTTCTTCCCAATGAACAGTCTGCCGAAGGGTTCCTAGACATTGCAGTGGCTTCGGTAGAGGTGGTCAACTGGCTATCCACAGTTTCAATAGAATTCAGCGTAGAAGCCATGCTTTGCTTTGAAGGCGTCCGCTGCAAGAAACTGGATGGGCGAGCTGGTGGCGCCACTCCGAGGCTCGAGGTTGGTGAGGTGATCTTCCCTGTGGTGCTTGCTATCGCACCAGTCCAAAAACGACCAAGAAATCGTGAGGCCGCGGCCTGTATGTTGGGTAGAGAGCCCTCCTTCGTCATTGTATCGCCATCACTTCGACACTTGAAAGCTTTTTCGAGTGACTCTAGAATCTCTCTTGTGACCAAGCCTGTCAAGCCAACGAAATCGTTGACCAAATCATCAGCATCGCAGCCATAGGTATCCCACAATGGTCTTCCTAAAAGCAATGACATGGCATCCTCTAGTTCCGTGCAAGCGAGCAATTTTGGTTCATTACGCCGCATTAGCGAAAGCGCAACTCTCATCAGTGTTTCGGAGGCACCCTCGGTCAGAAGCACGTCGTATATCCTGAGCAGCATCGGAAGAGGACAAGTTATGGCGAAAAAGGAAAGAAACCATTGTGACACGTAGAGCGGCTCAACTCCTATACTCTCCAGGTGCTGGCTAAGATCGGGATGGTGTTTCGACAACAAGTTTTGGAACTGATAGATGCGAAGGTGAAGGCCCGACAGGTCTGGCAAGAAGCAAGATCGTAGATCGTAGTGTTCCATCAAGCTACTCATGTATCAGCAAGAGCTCACTGTTGCAAAGGAGGCAAGACATACCGAACAAGTACGCAGAAGGCTTCTCGATCGGCCATGTGCATAAGCATTGGGCCGACTACAAAGCCTAGACCTTGACAGTATCCAATTCTGTCGTCATAGAGACTAAAGCACTTCAAGACTTGAGCCAACATTTGTTGGCCCTCCCCAGATGGGTCTCTAAACATTTCAACCCCTGGAAAACTTCGGCCAATGTCTTTTCCAATGAGATTCTCGTAGGGGCTTGTTTCGCCGGAAAGCCGATCATACTCCTCTTCCAATAGCTTGTCACGCGCCCCAGCGATACTTACCCACACGACACCGCGCAAAGGGGGAGGAATACCACCCCGTATCTTATGGGCTGTGAGGGTAGGTAGTCTCTGGGCGGTTTGTGGATAATCATTCACAAGAGCAGCCCAAAACTCGAGCTCAGTCATCGGTGGTGGCTCGGGAAGCATCGAGTAGCGAAGAGATGGTCTGGTTGGCTCATTGACTAGTTTCTTTAATTGCTGCATTGAAGGCGGTCGCGCTTTGGTGCCTTTGCGGGTGGATCTTGCTCTTGTGAGCTTTGCCTTTGGATCTGTAGCAAGTGCGTCATTCTCCTGCTCCAATCTTGCTAGCAAGAAAGCCGTGGCCTGTATAGAACGTTAGGATGGTGCGGATTTAGAGCAGTGGATAGACCCTACCTCATCGGACCCTTCGTGGCGCGGGGCCTGTTCCTCGCTCTTTTCAAGCTCGTCCCAGTCGACTTGTGCACTACCATTGGAAGATAGGGTACCAGAGCTATCGCTACGGGACCGTATGGTCGATTGTGGAGACATGATAGAGTCATCGTCATGGACGCTGCCAGTCGACATCGAGAGCGATTCGGGTCTGTCTGCAGGATCAGATGCTTCTGGGACGTCATCGACTGCGACTTCATCCTGTTGCGCCAAGGTGTCGCTCTTCTCAAGACTACCGAGGAAAGAAAAGCGTATGGACTTTCTAACGGATCCGCCTGGCGAGTTTCGGACAGGTGGCGAGGTAACTGGTTCTTTTGAACTTGTGGTGTCTGTAGATAATCTCACCGTAACCATAGAGTCTGTTGGTAGATGCTTATTTTGGGTGGATTGGGGACGCTTGTCGCTTGCGCCAGATGCGATGTCCGCCGTTTCGCCCAAGTCAGACTGTCGAAGGCCGTTCGTCGACTGAGCCTCTTCCGCCATTCGATTTTCTTTCTCTGATTGCTCGTTTCCTTCCTTTGTATTTCCTATCTTTCTTGATTGCCCTACAACGATTCGATGTATCAAATTCACACGGGGTGAGGGAAGGTCAGAAGTAAATAAAGAGCGTTGTCGGTAGGCGTGCAGAAACAGCTAAAGAGTGGAGCTGAGACTACAACGTCTTGCAGAGGTACTGGGCCCAGCCCTGAATGAGTGACTTGGATTGAAAAGAAACAGAGAGTCGATATTCGCCCTGGACGTTCGAGGAGAAGGTCGTGCATAGTGAGGGGAGTTTCAGGGGGACGTTTGGCGCTAAACCGAAATCAAACGAACGCGCTCCTCCATTGTTCTGCCCCTTTCTTCCTCATTAGTCAAATGAAGGAACAGTCAACGACGATTGATCATATAGAAGCATCTGATTGCGTTTTTTGGCCTATTCACTAAAGTCTGACATCTTCTGCTTCCATGGGGTCCTGCCTTGAACCAACCAACGCGCCCGTTCTCTGGGTATGTTCATTTTGAACTTACCTTCTACTTGATTGTCTGAGCCTCTGCTTGAATCGCAGAATGAGCTTGTATAAGCTATCGGACTGAGCTATACCTTCATCCAATGTGGCTATCACTGATTACATCATGCGTCAGTCCAAGCATGAAAAGCAGGTGGGCCTCTGGAAAATGCGACGCTTTGTATAATTTTATTGAATCGTAAAATCAAACCAGCTCATTTCCTGAAGCTAATCAACATTCTTACCTGTTCTCTACATGATGTCGAGCAGAGCTGCGGCTTTACAGGCACAATGAGCTCCAATAGTAGTTGAGACTCTCGCCATTCCCTCTCCTGCCCCTGCTGAAATTTTAGTAAACACCATTGCGATTGTGACAAACCCAGTCGGTTACAAGATGCGCGATCATGGTGCATGTGTACAGCAACTCACCATTATTCCTGGCAGTGACGTTATAGGCACCGTTGAAGCAGTGAGCTCTGCCGTCACTGGCTTCAAAGGAGGGTGACAGAGTGACCGGCTTTGCGGACGTGCTCATGGCCGCAGACTCGCGAAGTGGCGGATTCCAAGAATATTCTATCCTCAAAGAGTATGGACTCGCTCGAATACCGAGCACCATCACGTTTGAAGAGGCGTCTATTCTTCCCATGTCGGTCGCAGCAGCCGGCAGCAAACCAATCTGGTGGCTTCCTAGTCTGGGGTGCATCGTCAAGTGTGGGATCCTCCGTGGTACAGATCACCGAACTAGCCGGATTCACGGTCTATGCTGTCAATGGCCCTCGACATAATGACTATAGCAAGCAGCTGGGCCTGTCCGCTTGCCTCAAATATAATGATCCTGGAGTGGTCGACTCCATTGTTGAGGGTGCAAAACTTGCAAATCAGAAGATTGATATTGGGTATGATGCGAGCTCAGAATGGTTCAGGTCCGTTGGCGCCTAAGGTGCTAAAAGCTTTTGGAGGCGGTCAACTGTGCATCACTCTGCCATTTCTAGAGGATCAGAAGCCACTGAATGTGAGCACTAAGAACACATTCGCGGCTCGGATTGCAGGTGACTCGAAGGAATTTGGAACCTGGCTTTTTGGCAAATGGTTGACCGGAACTTTAGCTGACGGTAGCTATGTACCAAGTCCAGGGATCCAGAAGGTCGACGGAGGTATCGAAGCTGTGCAAGAAGCGCTGGAGTTGCAGAAGAAAGGATCTAGTGGCAAGAAACTGGTGCTGACGCTTTACCTGGTTCACTGCTGACAGGCTGGTCTTGGCGTGTCAGAAAGGATCGAAGGACAAATCAGACGTGTAGAAGCATCATGAAATACAGATCCTCCTTCCTTTGGGAGCACTACTGCCGTCATCTACATCTGCATATGCGTCTGGCCGGTTCCTGGTCCCGGAGCCTTGCCTGCACTGTGCCCCGCGTTTGACCCTCCATCAGCCTGTGCCTAGTCGGCAATTCCCTGTAAAAGCCGCATCTCGAATTACAAACAATTGAAAAGCACGCGCCTCGTCCGAGAAATCAAATATCCGAGGCGAGGTACATGCAGCGATAACAAGATCAATCCCGTGTCAATTGCGTTGCGTTTCGTTTCTCGTATGTAACTGACAGTAGATGTCGAGTCATTTGAAGCAACCGATCGTTTTCGTAACAACAGAAAGCCATAAGTGAGCTTACAAGAGCTTGCGAGATATCCTCGGAATGGATATATCACACGATCATAGGGTGAGTATGCCAATCTCTTAAGGATAGACCTCCTGCTTTCAGTTTGCTGAAGCTGGGGTGAAGGCAATTCATCAGCTGGAACAAGAGCTTGGTGTCCAAATTGTTCCAGGCACGGAGGTGATGCGAGATGTAGGCTCTCACCACTTTGTCCATGCCGGAAAGTCAGACAAGGTCCTTGTACCTCAGCCCTCGGATGATCCTCACGATCCCTTGAATTGGAGTCGCGCCTGGAAATTCTCGACGATTGCGTGCTCCCTTGCCTTGACCTTCACCCAGGCGATCGGGCCCTTGAGTTTGGCGCCAATGTTCCCCGAATTGATCAAAGCATTCGACTCGAATCTGAACGATGTCATCGATTTCACAGGTGTAGCAATCCTTGTTCTGGGCTTTTCCAATTTCATATGGTAGCAGCATGCCTTCCTGGTCAGAAGAGATATTAACGTAAAACCAGGGTACCGATCAGTACCTCCTTTGGTAGAAGGCCGGCCAATTTGGCGTCGACCTTGATCTGCTTCGGAAGTGCGATCTGGAGAGCCAGAGCAAAGACTTACGGCAGCTTTATGGGTGCTTCTGTATTAAACGGCATTGCTGCGGGACCTGCTGAAACACTTGGACCTGCCGTGATTGCTGACATTATGTTCCTGCATGAGCGTGGCTTTTATCAGACGTTGTACTTCAGCTTCTATGTTGGAGCGATCATGGCCGGTCCGATTTTGGCAGGCCCAATGTCCCAATTTTCTGGCTGGCGCAACTACTGGTGGTTGAATGTTGCAATGCATGCAGCGACTTTCTTTGCGTGTCTTTTGGGATTCCCCGAAACCAAATGGGATCGTGCCCAACTTGCAAAGCTTTCTAGCGAAGGATCAACCGAGGCGATGTCGCCATCTGTCGAAAAAGCAGTAGAGACGAGCGACAAAATCTTGCACGCTGAACATGATTCTTCGGCGAATCCAGGTCTTGTGGAGAATAGTACTACCGAGAAAGATCCCTGGCTTAGAAATGGTAAGCCTGGTAGGGCACAGTTTCGACTTTTCCAAGCAAACAAAAGCCCTTGGAGGAGTATCCTGATGGACATCTGGATTCCATGGAAGCTCTTTGCTTTTCCGATTGTGGAATTTGCGTCCTTCGTCGTCTCGTGGTCTTTGTCCAACTTTCTTGCTATCAATCTCACCCAAACACCTTCGCTGGAACCTCCACCGTACGGATTCTCCCCATTAGCGGTTGGTCTTTCGAATTTTGCGCTGCTAGTCGGTGCTGTCATAGGTCTCTCAACGGCGGGACCCTTCAGTGACTGGGTTAGCATGAAGCTCACTAATCGGAACCGAGGCATTAGAGAGCCAGAGATGCGGTTGCCCACCATGATACCTTACGTCCTAATCATGATACTGAGCAATTTTGTGGTTGCATTCGGCTATGAATACAAGTGGAATTGGAGGGTGAGTTTTGCGAACTTGCACTCGAATAATTTCCAAAGCTAAGACGAGATCCTAGGCCATTTTGATCATCGGCTGGGCAGGATCTGGCATTCAGACGACCGCTCTTCCATCGATCGTCTCTACATATGCAGTAGATTCTTACAAGCCGGTGGCTGGATCACTGTTCGTTTCTATCACCGTCAATAAGAATCTCTGGGGATATGGCTTTAGCAAGTTCATCGAGCCTTGGATTGAGAAGTCTGGATACGTGAAACCCATCATGACGAATATGTGTTTGACCACACTGTGGTGTCTTTTTGGTGTCTTGTTTTGGTACAAGGGCAAGACCTTTAGGGTATTGACTAAGGACAGCAAGGTTCATAGCATGTGATCAGACACTACAGAGATCTTCGTGTGCAATAGAATGTTTGCTGCTAGGATGTGAAATGTAAAGCTGACAATGTCATATGTGGCCAGAGGAAAGACGAGATCGTGGCACATCTTGGATCTTGACCCTGCAAAACACTCCCAATAATGGACGTGGATCAAGAAGCCAGATGAATTGTGACTTCCTTTACTTGCAGCATTGAAACTGACTCAACATTAAAGATTGGTCAGGTAGCACTTCCTACTGGTATAGTACTCTCTATGCAAGGCCTGAACTCTGGGATATAGGAAGGTCGTGGAATGTCTGGCGGAGAAGTGAAAGAGCTCCGCAACTAAGCTAGACCCTTTATAGCCTAGTGGATGCATTGGAGAAATCGGCTCGTCGCGCCGCGTGTAAACAACTGCCATAACAAGACCACCAGTTTGGTGCCAATCAGCGCTTTTGCTGGCGTTAATTCACTTTCCTTTTTCCTCTTTGGTTTTCGCGAACTTCAGTACGTGAGGAGCACTCTTAGAGACGATTTTTTTGGTCGAAAGCGCCCGGCTGTTGCCAAGGCCGAAATATGGACTCCATCATGGACGACTCCGTCTTCGTGGAGGACGATGATGGCTCGGATTTCGGTCCTTCAGTAGTAAAGATTGGCTTCATACTCTTTACTCGAATGTTCACTCATGTACTCTCTAGCCAAAGCCTCCCAAGAACAAGGCAAGCGAGAGCCTTGCTACCGTCGCCAAACGTGGGCCTAAACCAGAGACCAAACGAGTAGCCAAAGACAAGCCAGCGCCCAAGAAGACTACGCAGACAACTCTGAAGTCAAAGCCCAAGTCTAAGAAGCGACCAAAGTCAGACTCCGAAAACGAGGACGAAGACGAACCCTCTCTCAGCGACGCCTCGATCTTATCTACCACACCACCCAAGGCCAAAAAGGCTAGGAAAGCAGTCGAGCCCAAAAAAATGGGGTCCAAACCTCTACAAGAGATTGAGAATGAGGCTATCAATGAGGCCATTAACGCGTCTATGGTCGATGGATCACCGGCAAAACCTAAGAAGGGCTCAAAATCTACGGATCAATATCAGAAGGTAAGCATCGCGTAGTACAATTTAGGATGGCATGAGAATGACTCTGAGCACAGCTCACTCAACTTGAGCATATCATCAAACGCCCTGACACATACATTGGGTCAGTCGAGATGCAGGACCACAAAATGTGGGTATACAACAGTGAGCTTGAATCTATGGAAATGCGCACGGTCAATTTTGTTCCCGGACTGTACAAGATATTTGACGAAATTCTTGTCAACGCGGCGGACAACAAACAACGAGACAAGAACATGGACACAGTTAAGGTCACCATCGACCGAGAGAGCGGCCAGATCAGTATCTACAACAATGGGCGTGGGATTCCAATAGAAGTACATGAGAAAGAAAAGATCTTTATCCCAGAGATGATCTTTGGACATCTACTCACATCCTCGAATTACGACGATGAGGAGCAGAAAGTCACAGGGGGTCGTAATGGCTACGGAGCGAAGTTGTGCAATATCTTTAGTACCTCGTTCTCCATCGATACTGCAGACTCGAAAACGAAGAAAAAATACAAGCAAACATGGACTGCCAACATGAGCAAGATGGCCACTGCTTCAATCACTCAGCAGAAAGGTGATGACTACACAAAAATCACGTTCACCCCCGACTACAGAAAATTTAAGATGCAGGGTATTGACGACGATTTTGAAGCCTTAGCCAAGCGGAGAGTATATGATCTTGCTGGTACAGTCAAAGGGGTCAAAGTATGGCTCAACGGGGAGCGCATCAAGATCAGCAATTTCAAGAAGTACATGGAAATGTACACCAAAGCCATCAAACGAGAGCGAGGCGAGGAGGCTATAAATGACACGTCGGATATCATTACAGATAGTCCAGATGCACGTTGGGAGATCGGTTTCGCTGTGTCCGATGGTACTTTCCAACAAGTGTCCTTTGTGAATTCCATCGCAACCACAACCGGGGGTACTCACGTCAACTACATTGCCGATCAGGTATCAAACAAGCTCCTAGAAGTGGTCAAGAAGCGCAAAAACAACAAGGTCGCTTCGCTTAAGACGAGCCAAATACGAAATCACATCTTCATATTCGTAAATTGCTTGATCGTCAATCCTGCCTTTACTTCACAGACCAAAGAGCAATTGACGACGAAACATAGTCAATTTGGGAGTAAATGCAACCTGAGTGAGGACTTCCTTAGAAAGATTGCTAAAACAGAAGTGATTGAGAACATCCTACACTTTGCCGAACAAAAGGCAGATCAAATTCTCAAGAAGAGTGATGGAAGTCGCAGAAGTCGTATGGATAATCCAAAGTTGACAGATGCTAACAGAGCTGGGACCAAAGACGGCCACAGTTGTACTCTGATCTTGACTGAAGGAGACTCTGCCAAGGGTCTGGCCATCGCTGGACGATCAGTCGTGTCGCCTGATCTGATAGGCGTGTATCCTCTAAGGGGTAAGTTGCTTAATGTCAGAGATGCCTCCATCGATCAAATATCGAAGAATCAGGAAATTCAAAACATCAAAAATTTCCTTGGACTCAAACACAAGCAGACCTATACTGATTGCAAAAGTATGCGCTATGGGCACCTCATGATCATGACTGACCAGGATCATGACGGGAGTCACATTAAAGGGCTTTTGATAAACTTCTTCCAAGTACACTACCCTAGCTTGCTCAAAATTCAAGGCTTCCTTGTCGAATTCATTACACCCATTGTCAAAGTCTACAAAGGAGACCCAAAACATCCCAAAGCGATGCAGACGTTCTTCACAATGCCCGAGTATGAAGCATTTAAGGAAGCACATAAGGGCGAACGCAGTTGGGAACATAAATACTACAAGGGTTTGGGTACTAGTACCACCCTTGAAGCTCAAGTTTATTTCCGCGATCTCGACAAGCATTTGAAGGAATTTCGTACTATGAGAGACAATGAAGTGGAACTCATAGAGTTAGCTTTTTCGAAGAAAAAGGCCGATGAACGCAAAGAGTGGCTGCGCCAGTTCAAACATGGCACTTATCTTGATCATTCGGAACGTCTGGTTTCCTACACAGACTTCATCAACAAGGAGCTCATCTTATTCAGTGTCGCAGACAACATGCGATCAATTCCTTCAGTTGTTGATGGACTCAAACCTGGACAGCGGAAAGTACTCTATACTTGTTTCAGGCGGAATTTGAAGAAGGACATGAAGGTTGTCGAGCTTGCTGGTGCTGTGTCGGGTCTCACTGCGTATCAGCACGGAGATACTTCGCTACAAGGCACGATAGTTGGCCTCGCCCAAAATTTCGTTGGCTCTAACAACGTGAACTGCCTTGAGCCTAGCGGCAATTTCGGCAGCCGTCTTCAAGGTGGCAGTGACTGTGCTAGCGCTCGGTATATTTACACACGTCTCTCGCCATTTGCCAGGAAAATTTTCCACCCAGCGGATGAGCCATTACTTACTTACAATACTGACGATGAGAAGACGATTGAGCCAGAGGTATATGTGCCTGTGGTACCAATGGTACTTCTAAATGGAGCGGATGGGATTGGTACGGGATGGAGCACCAGTATACCAAACTATAACCCTGAGGATGTAGTGGAGAACCTGATGTTGATGATGGATGGAGAGCCAGTAAGTGATTCCGATCCTCCCTTTTGCCCTTTGAATCATTAAATGTTGCTCTTCTTGCTCAATATTCATCTCCGCTGTTTCGTACTACTTAATAGGGATGTGTAGATTTTCTGACGATGCTTGTACGTAGATGAAACCAATGACTCCATGGTTCCGCGATTTCAAGGGAGCAGTCACACAAATTGCACCTGATAGGTTCAAATTTAGTGGTATCATCAATCAGGCCAACGACAACGAGATCGAGATTACTGAGCTTCCCGTCCGAGTCTGGACTCAGGATTTCAAGGATAAAATCGTAGACATCATTAAAGCCGAGAAGACACCAAGCTGGATCAAAGATTACGATGATTACAACACTCACAAGGATGTCCATTTTGTCATCAAAATGGAGGACAAGCATATAAAGATTGCACTAGAGGAAGGCTTGGAGGAAAAGTTCAAGCTGACAAAGACTATGGCTACTTCCAATTTGGTGGCCTTCGATGCCGAAGCGCGTATCTCAAGATATGCTAACGTGGAGGATATCATGAAGGAATTCTTTGCAATTCGTATCAAGTTTTATGAGAAAAGAAAGGTCAGTCTTACTGAAAAACTTGAGAGGAGCACTCCTGTTGGCAAAAGAAATGCTAACCGCCTAATGTATAGGCACACCAGCTCTCAGAGCTTCATAAGGACCTTGAAAAATTCTCTAATCAGGCACGCTTTGTGCAGATGATTGTTGACGGAAAATTGATCGTCTCCAAAAAAAGGAAAGCTATCCTGGTAGAGGAGCTCAAAGAGAAAGGCTTCAAACCAATTCCAAAGGTCATTACAGCTCAGAAGGAAACGGATGTCGAACCTGCCGCAGACAACGAGGAAGAAGAGCAAGACACAGAAGTTGCTGCATCAGCTTTCGACTATCTTCTTGGAATGCCTATTTGGTCGCTTACAAAGGAGCGTGTTGAAAAGCTACTGAAACAAATTGGAGAGGTTGAGGAAGCCATCGACACCCTCATCAAGCTTAGTAAGGAAGACCTGTGGAAGCGGGACCTCACGGATTTCATCGAAGAGTGGCGATTCCAACTTGAAGATGATCGTAAGAGCCAAAGGAAGGTGGCTAACATGGGGCGTCGCGCGTCTTCGAAGATCAAAGTCGGAGCCGCTATAGGTCGCAAGCGAAAGGTACAAGATGGGGCAGACTCTGATTTTGATGACGCTCCCAAAGCGAAGAAAGCTGCTGTACCGAAGGTTCGGGGCGGTCTACTCGGAGACTACTTCGGAGCGACAGCGCCCTCGAAGCCTCCTTCACAAAAGACAAAGGGTCCTTCACAGGCAGCAAAGAACGCCCAGAAGCTGCTGGGAATGTTAGACGACAACAAATCCGCACCAAAGGCCACCGGGGAAGACAAGGAGGACATTTGGATGCAAGTCGATGGGGCAGCACCAAAAGCTGCACAGTCTGCGAGAGTCAAAGCTCCTGCTCCAATGAAGAAGGCCCTCCCAACGAAAGCGATTCATGCAGCAGAGGATAAGAGTGCCGAGGAGGATATTGTGAGGCCAGCGATTTCACGAAAGCCTCGGGCTGCAGCTGCGAAACCAGCCCAATCTTACAAGCTTGATGACTCGGATTCGGATGGCGATGATATGCTCCTTGATGTTGGTAACATGGTCAAAGGCATCCCCACAAACACCAATGAGAGCAACAGTTCCCGTCCTCTCTTTGCCAAGTCTGCTTCTCGCCCATCCAGCAGTCACGGTTTCTCCAAGCGACCCACATCTGTACACAGACAAGCGGTCGATCTTGAGATAGACGACACTGACTACTCTAGGCTCGCACCACCAACGGCAAAGAAAGGTACAGCCATAACAGCGCGGTCAAGTGCTCTGTCCGAAGACGATGAATCGCTTGATGATATGCCAGTTGCAAAGGCTGCCAATCTCAAGACAGCTCGGCCAAAAGCAGAGCCAAAGGCTAGAGCAGCTCCCGCAACCAAAAAGAATGGTGCTGCGCCCGCTACAGCTCTTCCGAAGAAGGCAGCTTTGAGTCCAGCAGGCAAGGCATATGCTGCTAAGAAGGCCAAAGCAGAGGCAGCAGCCAAGAGTAAGAAGGACGATTCTGATATTGATGATGCCGTCGACAGGATTCTTGATGATGAAGAGGAAGACGACGCTCCAGCCGTTCGGCGACCGGCAAGACGGGCGGCAGCAGCAGCAGCTCCGAAGGCAAAGTGGGTCGTTAGTGATGAGGAGGAGGAAGATGATGAAGAGAGCGACGACTTTGACGGAGGTGATAGCGATGACTGAGTATCAAATTCATCTTTGAGGTGCATGACATGTTTGTTTTCGCAGGGCAAATCACATATTCCCGCCGACGACGAATTTCTTTTTTTGAGTAAAAGTTTGGGGGCAGGAAAATTCAATCTGTGCTCTTACGGGCCGTGTACATTATCAAAGCATTACCAAGGCTACGGATGCCCTTGCTCGTTGCGAATTATACGAATGACAGATTCATTTGGTGAAGTTTCATACAATGATCTTCGGGCCGGCTTAGTTCAAAGCTGTGCGAAGGAGGATTGAATGGTGGGATCCGTGAGTCGAGATGGGCCAGATGCTAGTACCCAGTTCTCGAACCATGGTTCAATTGAATGAACAACGTTGACATCCTGTAATCGCCCTCTAAACTTCGAGAATATCCCATCGACTGGTGCCTGCTGAATTTCTCGTGGGCTTAGTTCTGCAGATTCGACATGGTTGCCTTTTGGGGCTCTAACATCGGTATGCGCCTCGCGGCCGTCAAGGAAAGTTATCATTCGCCCAGCAGGCGAAACAACGTTCGCCATCCGTTCAACACGGTCACACAGAGCTCGTCCCTGACAGACGGTCCAGTCGTGAGACGATCCGTACCTGCGGCTGCAATGAACCGAAGAAATTCCCGAGAGGCTGGATGTCTATCATCGAGCCATGCTGCAGCCTTGGGCAGTGTTCCCATTAGCCCTTACTTGCCTTACGCGTGTTCGATCATCTAGTGGATTAGGCAGGTGAAATATCTACCGAGAAGCGGAGTCTGTCAACCCCCCTGTTGGGATTCTTGCGGGTTGCCGGCTACATGGAAGGTCTAATGATAGTTGCTCGTCTGCTTCTTCTCGAGGCTTCCAAAATCGAGGAGCGTTCCGGGGCAAAGTACACTGGGCCGTGCATTTCATGTCGAATTCTCGTTCCATAATATTCTAAGGCGGTTGCATACACGACAGCGGCCTGGCTGGCCATAGTCAAACCTTATCCACCTGAATTCTCTCGCAGTGATAGGATTTGATCGTATGATATGGCGAGCTCACAGCCCCCGACTCTTGCCCTCGGGAAAGACAAGCTGCTGGCGGACTCTGCCGTTCATACATCTCGTACTGACTTATGTTCGAAGCTATGAAAATAAAATGATAGGTTGCGGATAATTTAGCACGCATGAAGGATGAAAGGCTCGACGAACTGACAGAACAACCAGGATCGAGGCAGCTTCGTTGAGTTCGAACAACGGCATTCGAATTTGGGCGATCTTTTTTCACTCTTGTGCACAACCACGTTCAAAGACAATCTGCTTTGTCTCGAACATTCAGTGATTCAACAGTCACTTCTAGAAACCGCTAGAATAAGTCATTACCAATGAGAGGCGCTGAGATATCGATGCTTGTCGTCTGATGGTAGAAAGCTCGAGCCGTACCAAAGGAATTTTCTTAGAACCCCGCATGGCTATCATTGATGCAGGTTACGAGTTGACGACCCATGAGGAGACGAATGCTTGGCTAGATTTGTAGTATAACTTGCCAATATCAACAATATAGCACACATACGAAGGAGATTGCTTGGGCTATCGAGGGAGACCGAAGCAGCCAATTACACCATTGATACTGAAACCGCTTCTTAGGATGCGTCTTTGAAATGGCATACGAACATAAGTTTGACTGGTCGCCCCAAATCAACTCTTGCGGCTAGAACACGGTCAATCCGTCGTTGTGGGATTGGTAGAGTCCTATGGAGCATTCGTCATGTCGTAAAGACCAGAGAGAAGAGGAAACATGCAAGCAAGCGACAAAAGGAGCAGCTCCTAGGATCATTGCTTTGTGTGAGCTAAGTGTCGAATTCACCACAGGTTGAGCACCGCCTTGGTCGGACCTATGTCCTATTGCTTTTGACAGAGTTGGGCTGGATTAGGAATGGCAGCGGCTAGATGCAGGAGTTCCGTGGCACGGCAGCTTGTGCGTCAGACTTTTCAAGATGAGATGAACTTGCATACTACTTCAATCACTTCAAAGCAAAATTTCAGTCATGAGAAAGCTCTGCAGCTTCACAAGCGGTAGTCACCCAGACTTGTGATCAAATGTGCCTCGTTCTTCCAGTGTTCTGCCTCAAAAGGGATTTGCGGTCAGGCCCCTAGGATCAGGCATATGCGCATCGATTCAAGATGTGGCTCAACACGCAGTCTCTGGCAGATTCCCTTTGTCCTCCCTGCCTTGCCTGCGCAGCATCCCGAGATAATCCCTGTCTGTGGGAAACCGGATATGCAGGGCTGATGTCCGAATAGACCAAGTCCTAGATTTTGCAAACAGCTGCTCACGAACAACGCATTGACATTCTCAAGGTAACCAATAGAGGCAATTGAGGTTGATGAACAGGTATCCTTGAAGTCTTCAGGCTTTTGGGCCTATCGGCAATCATAGGGTTCGCCAGGCGTTGATGCCCCTTTCAGGATGTCGTCAGTCTAAGACAAAGGACTAGAATATCGTTAATTCTGCTCATTTATGCTGGTCGAGTACCCATTTTCTGGAATAAGAGAACAATTTAGGTTGGTTGTCAAGCTTGGAAACAGTCGCCTCATGTCGTAGTTCCCCTGCTCTCTATCGAGCAGAGCAGGTGAGAATATTGAACAGGCTTCAAGTAAGTGTCACATTAAATCTTTCACGCGAGACGATCTAGGATGGGTTGTGAAAGACAAAACATCCCATATCATGGTTTTCATGTTGAAGCCACACTTTTATATATGATCCTGCAGTGCTCCTGATGGATCTGCATACCAGGCTCAAAGAAAGATGTTGGTCGGTGAACATCTCGATCGTTCTGATCTGTACCTACCCTTGTTTAGCCAAACCACACAACCTTATGTTCTTCGGCCTTACAATGGGAACAGCACTGGACTTAGGCTGTCTTTGAAATCTGGTCCGATGGCTCTAAGCACCGGGAAGTCAGTCAGGCAGTAAGAGTACTAATGAAAACGTATAACAGACTCCCGAGCCCGCTCGCCAACCTGCGTTTCCAGCCAACGCAGTGACCGCCTATCTTGTATCAACTATACTGCCGCTACCTCCTCAGCAAACTTTCACCGCTTTACCGAATCCTAGACTCTTAGTGTCGTCCGCATCCTTTGTTCATCATGATATCCGTGGCATCTCTATTGAATCCTTTACCTTCACATCCCGAACACTTCTTCATCACCCGAGCATCTTCACCAACTGGCAGCAGCCCTGGATTGATAGCGACATCGCGAAGAAAGCTCAAAATGACCAATACGCGGGCTACCTTTGTCAAAGTCAATCCTAAAGGTCAAGTCAATTACCATCCGTGTGAGCTACAGGACTCTGTGACTAGGGCTGAGCACCAAAACTTCAAAGTTGAACCCATTGGAGCAATCAGCGACTACCCTCGGCACATTCCTTATAATAGCGAGAAGAAGGATTTCCAGGAGAAGACTGGGCGAGATGCTTTCGAAGGTAGACAAATGACATTGAGATTAATGAAATTGTCGTTGCTGAATCTTGCCAAAAGTCTATCAGTATAGGTTTCGTGTTCCTGGTGAACTTCAGGATAAAGAGCCCCATGTAGTCATGTGGGACTATACTACCGGCTGGGTGAGGATAACACCATTTTTCAAGAGCTTGAAACATTCGAAGGTAACCCTGAAGTAGACATGGCTAGTCGAATTCGACTAACATTCACAGACAATGCCTGCAAAAGTTATGACTGCGAATCCTGGGCTCAAAGATATCAGTCATAGCATTACAGGTGGTTCCATTAGTGCACAAGGTACAGACGCTAATGCTCTGAATATTTCATGTTAATGCTGAGTAGGATATTGGATACCGTATGAAGCTGCACGAGCAATTGCTGCGAAGTTTTGCTGGGATATTCGCTATGTCCTCACGCCTGTCTTTGGTATTGATTTCCCCAGGATATGCTTGAAAAAAGAGGACCCAGGCTTTCTAAAATTGAGTATCGAGAGAGACATCATTGTTCGTTGCACGGAGCAAGCAAAAAGATTCCGAGAGACTCATTACGAAAATCAAACTGCTGGAAGTCCACCAACCGCTCCACCCGTCATTCTTGGGAAATCTATTTGGCGTCAACCTGCCGTGAAGTTGGACTACGAAAGCGGTTATTGTACGGATACCGACCGCAGCATACCCACGTCACCTCAGTCCGCTTCTGGAGCGTTCATGCCAGTAAATGCCCCAAAGGCACTCAAGCCCAGCCACCGTATCCCCATGTCAACTTTCAAATTGGATGCAGCTACTCCTCTAAGCAACAACGATTCCTGCGCCGGGCTCATAACAAGAACTCGAACAAAGAGACTTCGCGAGGTGAAAGACAATGCTCCGCAGGATAATCAGTCTATGCATATCTCATGCCACGTTGACACAATACCGAACAAGCGCGCAAAGTTTTCTGCCATTGGAGAGGAAGCTCGAGCAGCGTACACACTGATGCAATTATATTTGGCAGATGCAGCCCTCGCAAGCAAGAGCAGAGCGACCCCACACCGAGCATCAAGCTAGGTGCTTCAACGAAGTTTTCAGGTTACCAGGGTTCTGGAGTCTCTAATACATGTGTACTCGTGATGACGCTATGGAGAGGGTTGGAAATATCTTGGAGGCCAGTCGCCCATGTGCAAGGCAGACTTTCAGCTGAACGCTTGTCGTAAATTTTGGAATCCAACGCGACGGACGGTGGCAGGTGTTGATCTACGTCAGGTGTAATTACTCCGGTGAGGTAACTTTAAATACACACTGATCAAGACAAATGCGTCCATTATCAAGGCACGTGTAAAGTGGGAAAACACTTGTGATAATGTAGCGAGTAACAGCTGTCATAAGCATAATGGAAAGGTGGGTAGTTGGATAGATTGTAGTTGCCTTCTTCGGGCAAATTCCGCCCCAAAAAAGAAAAAAGCAGGGAACGGGTATCTTAGTTACACCATCACCGCTGGCGTTCCTCAACACTTCTCCTTTTTAATATCAGGCTTGACACGAGGCAATTTCTCTTATTACATCCTCCATGAGCCTCTCTTGATTTCTTTCATCTCTGTTCCCACCTCTACTAAGCTCAGCACGTACGCCTCTCGTCAAAGCCGTAACGGTCAACTGATCAGTCTCACAACTATGTCTTCAACGTTCGGAGGGAATGGGAGCACCACATTGCAAGATGCAAAAGATATGGCCTACAACAGTGAGGTATCGTTCTCCGCATCATCGTATGCATTTCACAAGCTGACCAAACACCGTCATAGATTTCTCAAAGCTCGCGTGACTCTGCCATGGAGGTATTGACGCAACCTACAGACGCTCAAACAGCCTCAGACACGGTGCAGAACCATCCAGCGTCCCAAAATGTGAAAGAGACTCTAGGAAATGGTAAGTGCACTCTTCGTGTTCCGTCAATTGCCTTACATTGATAATGCGTAGGACCTGTTGCGGAGAAGATGAGGGACCAATCCACCAAAACTTCTTCGGAGCTCCAGAATCTCAAAGCTTCCCGGGCCACTCCTGATCAGACTGCTTCCACTGGACAGCCACTTACGCACTATCATTCATTCTTTTATAATCTTCTCAGTTGGGAAAATCCCCGCGCCTCCGCTATTTCCTTCGCTAGCATAGTGTTCTTCATCTTTGCTTTCCGGTATCTACCGGCGACGAGATGGGTCTTCAAGATTCTGTACCTATCTTTAGGAGGCAAGTCCCACTTATGAGCTTGCTGGGCTCCGATGTCTGACCTTTGAGTAGCCACAGCAGCAGCCGAGGTTGCAGGTAAACTTGTACTCTCCCAAGGTCTTGCCTCGTCATTTCGACCCAAGCGTTATTATACAATTCCGCGTGAAGCTTTGGAAGCATTCACAGAGGATTTTGAACATTTGATCAATTTCTTCTGCATCGAATTCCAACGTATTCTCTTTGCCGAGAATGTCACTCACACGGTCACAGCCTGCTCAGCAGCCTTCATCTCGTACTGGTTGACAAAAATCATGCCACTTTGGGGTTTGTCTGTGCTTGGCGTCACGGTTGCGTTCTTGGGACCTCTCGTCTACATAAACAACAAAGAGCTTATCGACCACCACCTAGCTAATGCCCAGGAGACCGTCACCGCCCAAGCAAACCAAGCGAAAGAGCTCGCTGGTCAGCATACTGCTAAGTACTCTGAGACCGTGAAGTCTTATGCTGGTGATTACACTTCAAAAGCTCAGGGGTACATTGGCTCCGCCCGTGGCCGTCCGCAATCACCCCAAACTGCTCGCAAATCCTCCTCCACAGCAGGTCCGGGCAGTGCCCCTAGCTTAAGCTCCCAAGATTTCCCACATGCCCCTAAGCAAGAGCCGACCGCCGGTGTCACTAGCCATCAAGAGCAGTACCAAAATAGCCAATTTGGCGGGCAGGCTGTGCCTGCTTCTTGAAAGCCAAAGAAACTAGTCGACGAAGAGCAAGAAACATGACTTGACGGAGAACGTTGAGGACCACGGATCGGTGAGGGTGACGAAGTAGAGTGATGACGAAGAGGACACATGTCAACGAGATGATTAGGCAAGGGTCTAGAAGCCGGAAAACTTGCTCGAGAATGGGTGCCGGGGTCTTTCTTTCTCAGTGTGCATACTTGAAACCCACTCGTTTTCCGAGCTGTATCTTTAGATTTGCGTGCGGGGCAATACAACATGCCTTTGTAAAGCAGGCAAAAATGTATTGATCGATTGTTCAACTAGCCGAAATAGCACAGGTGGCTATAGACGTCTGCCCTTCGACTCGCTTGATCATACACAGCCCAAGCAATCACATGAGGCTCCCCTCATCAAAATAGCTTCGACTCCCCCTCTCACCTCACAAGCAAACAGCGCCGAGGATGGCCATTCACCTAGTCCTCCATACGCTGTGCTAACATTAGTCTCAAGCCACACCCTGTCATATTTCCACAGTCATGTCCATTTCCCTCAACGATGCAGTAATTTCTCTTCCACAATTCTCGTAGCCTGTACCATTGTTTCCTGACACTCATGGAACTTCGCATTGAGGTCTCCCAAATCATCCGTCACAGATTGCAGCTTCAGGTCAGCATCAATCTCCCACCTTTCGCGTAGAGATTCGCGGTCCATATCCATACTATGGGCCGCTGCTCTGAGTTTGCTCGCGCAGCGTGCGAGGATCGAGCTCGTGTCATCGCGGATGACGTTCTGTGGTACTTGGCGCTTGCGAGGTGCTTTATTGCGGTGATTTCCGGAGCGAGCCCTGGGTACTGGACGTACTTGTGGTCCAGGACGAGTGCTGGGAGCGCGTGAGGGTAACTGACTGGAAGACGTCTTTATGTGAGTGGGCTGGTCCTGTGTGAGGTCAATTATGTCGGCGGATATTGGAGCATTTTCGTTGCCAAAGGATCGCTGGGAGCTAGTCTCTGTTTTGACGCGTTTTGGATCAGATCCCACGACATCGACGAAGTAACCGGTTGGGCGCTTCGTATTGTTTGAGCGAGGCCTTAATGGTATGCGGTTGGAATTTTTAGCGAAGCCTAGAACACTGTCACCTACGACAGTGGCGGGCGAGCCTGCACGCTTTCCACCGGTGGCCTGGCTGAGTTCACCGAGAATTTGATGAGCAGGTTTGGCGAATGCTGGGACACTGGGGGTTCTGGCAGCGTCACGGTACGATTCGACTACACCTTTACGGGGACGAACCGCGTCTGGTCTCCAATAGTCGGGATAGATGCTCGACTGGAACGCTGCTGGCCCATTATAGCGGTCTGGGTATCTCGGCTTGCTTTTACCACTGGTCGGTTGTACTGCTGCTTTAGTTGCTATAAGAAGGTCCCTCAGCTTTGGCCAGTTGCTGCAGTCAAATCCGCCGTCTGCTGCTGCTTGTGCAATGCGGAGGTCTTGAGAAGATAGGTAAGGGTCTGTGAAAGCATTTAGTGGGGAAGTCAGTGGACAGCAAGCAACGAACACAGCGTTGACAAATTTGCCGATTTCAAGTCACCACCAACTACAAGGTGGGCGTAGAGACACTCGTTTTGAGGGTTTGGGCAGCCGCCGTTGTTGAAAGCATAACAAGCATAGGCACAAGGAGGTGACAAATACTTCGAGGTCCCATGAAAGTAAGGACATCTGTTGTCAACGCAGCCATTAGGGTCGAGAATCCATCGTCGGCAAGTCACTTCAGCTTCGTTGCGTGAAGTGAATTTATACATTTTGTCTGCAGACGTGGGCCTGATCAGATCAAAAAATGCACGATAACGGTTTATTGGAATTGGGAAACCATTTTGCTATTGAAGGCACAGTTTGATGTGGCGCGGTTCAGAAAAGGAAGTCACGACGAGAGTCTGGCGAGTGTCGTCCACCTCAAACGCTGTTTCACCCACAACAGACTTGTCACCCACTGCTCGTTCTGATTTTCTACAAAGAGAAAGAAGAAAATTGAGACGCAATGTCCTGGACATACGGTGGGAAAGGGGTTCTTCATTAGGGAGAGGAGCTGTAACACTGACGGGCATTCATTCTGCACTCCAAAGTGGGCTTGGGATGTGGGAACGCTGGACCCCTAGAACAACGAGGAATCTGTTGCCGAGCATGGCTATAACTGCACACTTATGAGTACACGAGCAGATCCTGCAAGAGTCCACTTCCAATGGCAATGTGGAGTATGAAATGAAGTCCAAGATCGTCTACGCATGTTGCACATCAAGCAGAAGAGGCATGCTTCAGCAACCTCAAATGTGGGATTCTGAAGGTAAGAAAGCAGCCCGTGAGTGATGCAGAGCAAGTAATTGACGACCGACAAGACCTGGGAAGTGAAGAAATTCGAAAGTTCGTTTGGCATACAGGGACCGAGGGGACGTTTGGAAAAGGAGGAGTTCTTGGCGCAGCCTGTAGGGCTGCTAGCGCGATACCTAAATGGTCCGAGTAAACAAAGGCCGTCGACGAACTTCAAGAATCAACAGCAATTTCTTAATTATACAGCAATGGCAGCCATACGGGCGCGGGCGCAGCCAGTCATTGGATCCTCACAGTGGATACAAGATGAGAATGCCCAGGTATCGCTGTTTTGTGGCCAGGAAGCTGAGGATTTCGTGTTCTCAGCACGGAATGAGGTCGAATGGCTAAACGAGCATATGGCTGAGATATTTAGCAAGGACCAAGTGTATTTCTTGCCCTGTTCCTATCGCAAAGGTAGAGCTGACGCTCCCAAGTAATGTTACAGACGTATTCAAAACCCCGGGGAAACTCAGAGGCAAAACACCGAGGACGACAAGAAAGCGAAATCCATTGGAGGCAAGAGAGGTCAATTTCCCAAAGCCACTTTCTAAAGCGTTGCTGACGTGTTTGGATAATAGCCTCTTTCTGATATTTTCTCGTCCAATGCGCAAACAAAGCCGCTCTTCGCTCAGCACCCAAGCCCAACGAAAGCTGCTGCGTTTACAGTTGCTGAAGATGCTCCAGTTCGCAATCCTGAGTCCAAGACGGGAAAAACAGCCGCAGATTCGGGGTATCATGGGCTATCTGAAGATGAAATGGATGTTGATCCTCCAAACATGCAATCGTCCACCGGGACGCATGATACTCTTGACGACTTTCCTCATTCACCTTCGCAGCCAAAAGAATCTGCAGAGACTTCCTCCATAGGAAGGAGTACTACTGAAAGATCATTTCATTCTGCAAAGGAGGACTTAACGAAAAAGGACGTGACGAACGACGATGCGGTCGTGAAAGCAAAACAGACTATACCGCTAACTGCACAACAATCGGTCCATTCTGATGGAGAGGTAGCTAAACAAGACACCATGGACGTTGAAGTACCGGAGATGGGTGCGAATGAAAACGAGATACTTGATGAGTCCCGAACATCCTCTCAAACTTCAAGTCCAGAAAAGCCTTTAGTCCGGAAAAGCAGTCTTTCATTTGCAGCATTACCAGCGAGGGAGCCCATTAACACCAAAAAGAGTTTCGGAAACCCTACCTCACGGACTAGTCATGTGGAGCAAAACAAAGGCACGAACCACCGAAGTACGTTCCTGGAAAGACTTACAGGAGGAAAGTCCCTTGGGGGTGTGAAACAAACCGATGCAGCTGAGTTAAACGACGAAAGTTCCGGTGGGGAGGCGGCTGTCGAAAGACCACAAAGCTCCAGGGAAGAGTCTGACAGTGACTCAAGGATGGCTAAGCTGCACAACAAATCGTCTACCCAGCGTCTTCACGAAAGAATTAATATGCTCGGTCAATTGCAACCTCCTCGGCCAACGAAATCTATTCCTGCTGCTGTATCGACTGTACAGCCTCAGTATCCTGATCTGAAAAAGTTGGATCAACAAAAGCACGAGCTGCATGTTGCCTCTCAATTTAATGCTGTCCGAATCAGTGATCATGAGGATGACGATTGGATTCAACCTCCACAAACGACCCATGCAGCTGCGACAAGACCGCAGTCTACTAGGAGAATATCAATGGACGTAATGGAAAACATCAGGGGAAAGGAAACTATTGCACATCAACATTTCAATATAGAGGAAAACGAACGCGCAGGCAAACTATCACCTGGTCAACAACACAGTTCAAAAAGTCCATCCAGACGTGCTCGATCGGCTTCAGAGAGTAAGTCTCCTACGCAGACCCTTAGCCAAGCACAAGGAGAAAACCAGCCTGTCGCCGATCCTCTAGTCATGAGCGAAATGGAGAATGCCTTGAGTCCTATGTCAAGCCCTCCCGTTGAACGGCATGTGGACGGACCTCTGAGCGCATCGAAGATGAAGCTTCAGTCCATCATGAAGTCGGCGAGAGGTTTATTTTCAAGTAGTGCTGGTGTGTCGGCACAAGCCAAGATGGAGACAGCTTCTCCAGCTATACCCGCTGGCGGAGAGACCGGAAACGATGCTTTCAATCCTGCAGCTGATGACGCTGCAGCTGAGCGTCGGAAGAAGGAAGAAATGATTGCACAGAAACCCGCCCCTTCACAATCTAATACGTTAATTAACGAACCGAGAAAAACTAGAAGTTCTACAGAAAAAGAAGCTCGTAACAAGGAGAAAGAAGCTGTCGCGCGAATGCAAGTACAACAAGAAAAGGAAAGGGTGAAGCAGCAAGAAAATGATATTAAGGAGCAGGCGAAACCGAAGGCTGAGTTAAAAGAACAATCTCAGACTCAATCAAAGATCACCCGGCAAAGCCCAAGAAAAGTACAGTCGGAACAGCCAATCAATGAAACTGAAGGGAACCCACAGTCCTCAGATTCAGCTACCCTTTCTCATAACAGAATGTCGCAGGCTCAAAAACTGAAGGACGTTCGTCGACCCGGCAAGCTTACGAAAGATGCGGCCGCGCAACCCAAAGCACCCCCAGTAAATATCAGGATAGGTATGCCCTCACGACGAGTACCACTTACCGGTGCTGCACCCTCCACAAACCCTACGGATCCACTGTCTTCTACCCAAGCGCAAATGAAGCACCCAGGATTAGTCAAAAAGAATAGTAATGCGTCTATGCAAAGCACTGTTTCACATAATAGTGTCAAAGGCAGTGCACCCACGGGCAAACCCAAAGCCCTGATCGCTGCTGAAAGAAAGAAGGAACAAGTATGTCTTGATTTTGCAACGCTTTGTGCAGTAGCTGATGACGACTAGGATTTGAAGGAAGCCCAACGGAAGCTTGACCAGAAGAGAGAGATTGAGCGCAAGAGAGCAGCACAACAAGAAGAGACTCGACGGCAGGAGCAGATGCAGAGACAAGAAGCTGAGCGACAGCGAGAGAGAGAGCGTGCTGCTGCTGCTGAAGACCCAAAGAAAATCGCACAACGGCAAGCGATCGAGAAAAGGCGGCAGGAGATGCAGAAGAAGGACCAGCGAACTGTAGGCAAACCGATCAATGAACATGTGAGTCAACTCAAGTCCGAACATGCTTAATGCCCACTGACGCTGAAGGCAAAGGCCTCTGCTACAACAAATCAAGGTCGTATTGCTCCGACGAGTCGTCCTGAACTAGGTGGTGGGAGACCACCTTCGAGGCAAGCGACCACTTTCGAGCACCCCAAAGCTACGACGACTCACCATCCTATCAATCGGTCTAAAGCCCCGATCAAAAGGGTTTTCGATCCAGAAAATGACGGTGCACCTGCGAGGTCCGCCAAAGCCAGTGTCGGTCCGACCTACCAGCAACACGATAACAAACGAAGGAAAACGGAAGACGATGAGCCTGAAGAGTTCCCTATGCGACCAACCATGCAGCCACCAATCCGACAATCTGGCATACGCAAAGATGCCCAGAAGGTGTCATTATTCAACCACAATCACACTAATGCTGCTGCTCCACCCAATCTTCACCACCCTCCTGCTAACTCACTTCTCAAACATACTACTTCGAATCAAGCATATCAACAGCACATGCTCCAAAATCAACAGCAGCGCCAAGCCTACCATCCAGATACAGCCAAATATCGAGACGGTAATCGGATACCGTTTGCAGACAACCCGAACCCGCCTCATCATCAACATGTTCATCAACCCCAGCCCTTCAAGACCCCGTTACCACACAAACTTCCACAGCCATCTCGGCAATCCCCTCAATTCCCCAACCCCGAGAACATCCAGCTAGCAGATATCGCAACAGACTCTGAAGATTCGGAGAGCAGTCCCGATACCGCGCAGAAACGCCAGAAAGCAGCTAGTCTACCCGAATGGGCCCAATCGCCCAACCTTCGCCAACTATTGGAGGATCAAGAGGAGATGCTCGACGCTGATGCAGTGTTCGGCCCTGTACCGAGTCCGCGTATCGAGGAGATGTTCCGAGAGCGAGCCCATAAGTTTAGGAACAGGACATCGTCTGCTAACTGGGCTGGTTCGGATCGCTTGACGGAGGAAGAGATACGTCGAGATGTGGAAGCTAGGGCGCGCATCAGGAGGGATCGAGGCTGGACGTATGGCGGCGCTTGATCACCAAGATATATTGCGCGAGCGAAGACTCGGTTCTTTGAACTTCATGTTTGGGTAAACAACCAGTCTTTGCATTGGAGTTGGGAAGCAGGAAGCCTGTTATCATTGTTACGTGTATGTTCTGCGAGCATCCAAATTATCAGCCTGCATCGACGCTGATGATGAGCCGGCAGCATATATGTGTAAATAGTATCATCAACATAAATGACCTTGAAAATGCATTGTCATCGATTCATCCTTCCTTTTCCTAGCCAAAGCTGACCCATTACGCTATGCAAATCCCCAAGCACGAAATCCCATACATTCATCCGCTAACTATAATGCGGAATAGCACTCGGCCAATTGACCTCCTGAAAAATATCCGGCTCACTACGGCTCAAACTCCGAAAAACCTCTACCATCAGATATCCCCTTGCAGCCAAGTACAACGGCACGAACACATGTCCGCATCTCCTCAGCGTCGCATTCACCTTCCCATCCTCCCTCTTCTCCCGGAACGTCACCTTCGTGTAATGCATGTACCCCGAATAGATCGTCGTCATAAGCAGAGGCAAGCCGACGAGAACGCTGCAGGAGATACGCCACAGGAGTCGTTCAATGGGTGTGGGAAATTCAAAGTTCCAGGCTACGAAGTGGATGCTGCCGAAGATGGCACCGCCGAGAGAGAGGCCGAGGGGAATGGGGTTGAGGTAGACATCTTGTCGGTGAGGCATGCCGTTTGAGTTGGCAGTGGGGGGTGGCTTCCCCTCGTTCGGAGGACTGTGGAGATTGCGGCGCGAGGAGAACATCCTGCCCAAACGCGGAAAGTGGGGGGCTTTGAACCCGCGGGTGAAAGGGAAGATGCTGTCGCCCATCGTGCGGACGGCGACGCCGTGGAGCCAGAACTCGTAGGCGAACATAGTGCTCAGGGGGCGCGGGCTGCGAGGCCAATGACATCGGCTCGGGTGATGGGGCGAAGGGCGTCGATGTAAGTGGGGACTTTGACGTCTTGGGGTTTGTGCCAGAGAAGGATGTAGATGAGGATTGCACAGGCGGCGAAGGCGAGGACGGTGACTTCAAGGAGGGTGGTGGCGAGGGGTGGGGATTGGAAGGCGCGAGCCATGATTTGAATCACGAGCCAAAGGATCTGCCAGATTGTGAGGGCTTTGGCGAGAGGGTCGGTCTTGGACTGGTTCTTGAGCGTTGCGGAGTCGATGTAAGGGGGCGGGCCAATGAGGCGGATGGAATAGGCGTATTCGAGTTGATGGGTATTTAGAGACATTGTGCCAGGCCAAGGCTTATGCGGAAAGATTTGAGGCTTCTCGGACAGTTGCGGGGAGAGCAAAGCGTCAGCTTCTTCGTTGCGTACGCCTAGTTTTGGCTTGGCTGGTGGTTTCCTCGTCTTCGTGCCGACCGAAGAATCAAGTGAGGTACGAGGAGATGCTCTTAGTAGCGGACTCTCAGGACTTAGGGTCTCTTGCGACTGCTGAGATGTTTTTGGTGGAGGCCTTGAACGCACATTCGGCAATTCAATCGTGTCTTGCGATGGGTACGGCGTAACCTGGGAATGGTTGACCAGGCTCATAGTGGAAGTAGTCTGTATCTCATTCGTGCTCCTAGAGCTAGATCGAGGGCTATTCACCAAGGTGGTCGAAGTATCTAGCAGCGGGGACGCAGGATTCGATAGGAGATGGGTGGTCTGTATTCTGCTCACTTGCGGTCGTTGATCCCCTTTCAAGACTTGCCGACGTTCCACGTTGGGCTGTTGATCAGCCAGCTCGGAGTCTGCTCGTAAGATTGAAGGTCTTGACCTCAACTTCTTTCCCTCCCCTGATTTTCCATCCGTTCGGTGTGAGCATTGAGAGCCACACTTCTGCTGGCAATGGCGTATTTCAATTTGTTCGGCATGGTCTGTGTCTTGTTCAAAATAGGTGGTTGGAAAGCCATCCGGACGAGGCACGTAGAGTGCCCGGCCGTCTTCATCCGCCTTCAATGGATGGAGTGATGTTTTGACGGCTGTGGTCTCAAAGCGTAATACAAAGCCCCTGTTGTTTGCATGGAATGCGTGCATCGTGCCCCATCGCTCATCTCCAAATCCCTTCCTCGAGTCATTTGCGGCACAATTTTCTGTGAGTGCCTTTGCGAAGTAGAATTCAGGCACCAGAATGATAAAGGCCATCCATTTCAGCCTTTCATAGTTCCAACGCACCTCATCAAGGAACTCGTCCCATAGCTCTACCTTCTTCTTTTGGCGAAAGACGAGACTGATGGCGGCACGCGCAAAGCGTCTGGCGTAAGACGACGGCTTTTCTTTGTCTGTATCCTGGGGCACATGTAGATGTTGGACGGACCAGGTACAGAGAATAATGACGGCAAAGCAGCTCCAGACGATAGTCAGTGTCCCACGAACCTGCGGGGATGTAGCATAACCGATGGCATGAGAAGGAAGAGTGCAATTGGGCTGAAAGCCTTTGAACGCAACTGTTGTTTGAGGAATCAAGACAAGCAATGAAAGGAGCTCAAGAGGTGCCATGAGGGCAGCGACATCTGCAAGAACAGCAAGCTCAACGAGGTGCAGACTGGGGCAACGCTGGCATTATATATAAAACAGGCAAGGGAAAACGAAGGTGGAAGGCTGGCTGTCAAAGCCTCCATGCTGCATTAATGGTGCACCATCCTAACGCCATCGAAGAGCTTGTCTGGGGGGCCTTAAATCTTAAGGGGGGAGAGAACGAATGAAATTGCGAATAGATGCACCATCCGGACGAGGATCGTTGCATTAGGCGTGACAATAAGGCTGAAGGGTGACTCCCAGTTCCCCCAAGCGTCCCCTTAATGAAACCAATGATGAATGAATGGTGAGAAGGGGCAGAGTGGAGGCTCCGGAGCACGGCAAAGACCCTACCGAGGAGCTGTACGAGTAGCTCATGCCTCTCTATGCTGGCCTTGATTCATTTTTCTAGTAGAAACAACATCAAATACACCGTTGGTCTAATCACATCGAGGAACTGATTGCATTAGAATATTGAGGTGAAGACGTTGAAAAGAGGTAGGAATGTAAGCACGTAAGCCATGGCAGTTCAGCCTTGATGTTTAGGGGAGTTGACGGCGCGGCACCCGCTGCCAAGTCCAGGCGCCAACCTTCCCCAGAGCTGACGGTGGAAGCTACCTGACGAGTACCTGACCTTTACCTTTAAGGGATCAGAATGTTACCCGACCGTCAGCGCATGTCGCACCGGTGACCGAGCGTGTGGTATCGGTGACGCAGAGTCGGACATCTTGGATCACCCTGATGTGACTATATGCCACATCCTACAATGCATCTGGATCATTCAGCAACCTTCCTACAGCCTCATACGTAATATGCGCTGAAGTAAACAATCTGACAGTGAAATACAAAGTTACCTTGACATACCCACTTCGACCATACTGGGAGGCCGACAACGCTTTCTCGGCATCTCCAATCCAACCCACCTCGGCCATCTCTACTAGAATCCCACACAATCATGTCCCACCCCAGCACCGCCGCCTCTTCACGCGCCGCCTCCCCTAATCGCGCCCTTCCCCGCATCGTCTGCCTCCACGGCAGCGGCACCTCCGCCATAATCTTCAAAATCCAACTCCGCAACCTCTCCCGCGCCCTCCGCGACCACTTCCGCCTCATCTACCTCGACGCTCCCTATCAATCCGTCGCCGGACCAGGCGTCCTACCCGTCTTCGCCGACTGCCCACCCTTCTGGCGCTGGTACCCTTTCGAGGACTACGCCACCAATGGCGTCGAGGCTGGAGTCAAGGAGCAAGAACGAGCCGCGAGGAAGAGTCGGCAGACCATCGTGGCCGCCATCAGGAAGGATGATGAGGACGTGCGGAAGGACAGCGGAGGGAAGGAGCCAGGGCCTGTGGTGGGCGTGATGGGGTTCTCGCAGGGGGGGAGGTTCACCGCTGGCTTGTTGGCCGATCAAGCGGAAGGGAGGAGCTGGGAGACGCAGGGTATGCCTGAATTTAAATTTGGTGTCATGCTTTGTGCGAGCTACCCACCTTATTCCTTGACAAATGCGAGTAAGAGTCCGCTGGACTTTCCGGGGCCAAGGGACGAGTACGGCACGCAGGGCCCGCCGTCATTGCAGGAGATTGTGCATGTGCCCAGCGTACATGTGCGGGGCCTGCAGGATCCGAACCTAGAGAGGGGCAGGAGGTTGAGCAAGTATTTTGCTGAGCATGGCATCAAGGAGGAGAAGGAGTATCAGATGTGGCATAATTTACCACAGGCGGCGGGAGATACGACGAGTGGGGGTCAAAAGAGCACCGATGAGATCAGGGATGCCATCCTGTCCGTTTGGGATGAGTGTGAGGGGAGATCATGAAACGACTTATCTTTTCTGACGAAATGTCTGCCATGAACGCATAGAAAGCGACCTGTAGAATTAGAGATGTTTGCTGATTTACAGCGCTCTGCAAATTGAGCTGAATCGAATATGGACTCAACCCGGGCAGTCTTTCCAGGATTCATTCACATTGACGTGGAATGAACATCAAGGCTTGTGCACTTGTAGACAACGATGTGATGTGACACAACCAATGCAAATCAGGCATATACCATTCCCTGCAGAGTGCAGGCTAATTGCGATCAAATGTTGCTAGTCGCCAGTAAACGCCTTCTTATTGCCTCGCAGGCTACCTAACTAGTCCACTTTCCAACGCCTCGCTTGATCCCGTACAGAACACTTTCATGAGTTGTGAAATGGTCGTGTGCTGTCATCATTGTTATGACGAGAAAAGATGAGAGTTTTCCACCATACCTCCAACTCCGTCGCTCGCTTGATCAATCAGAACAATGCTTGTCCGGACGAGATCATCCACCGCCGTAGATCATACACCTTTTATTCATGTCATGCCTGGCCCTTGGCTTTGAGCACCCTTTCTCGGACATTTTTCAGATTCGTCATAGACTCCTTATGGTAGTCAGTGGCCACGTCCCACCATTTTCTAGCCTTCTCTTCCTCTTTCAAACACTCCAGATAGGCTTCACAATCCCCACCCATTTGAACGATCCACGAAGGACCGATCTCTCGACGGTCCTCTTGGCGCTGCTGAAACAGCAATATCATGTTCTGGTTGAAGCTATTCCAATGAAACAGATACCAATTCATTTTCTCTACGTAGGTGTTCCAAGTCTCGTCATTGAGGGTCTGTGGGGGCGAAGGTGCTTTGGGAGGCTTGGGTAACTCAAGAGGTTTAGTACATTTGGTAAAGTCGGGTCGTATGGGTGACGGTCTGGACTCAAAGGGTAGGAAATCATTTAGATCGCCGATGCCATTGAGTCCACTTTGATTGGTGGCGAAAGGAGCGACATGTCTAAAGTCACCGAGATTCAGTCTCTGAGAGTCTCCATTGGTTTTTGGCGGTGATGCTGTAACGGTAGATTGGGAATCCCGATGTGTACCCAGTGGGGAAGCTTGACCGGTCTTCACAGGCTTACTGTTAGATGAGGCTGGAGGGGTAGAGTCGATATCCATAGCACTTCCATCACTGGCGTTACTTGTGCGTGAATTATTCGTGCTGCGGTTGAGACTTTCAGTTGGCGGAGGCTCAGAGGCACTCGGCTCATCACTGTCGTCGGCGACAGTAGGCTGGAAACCGCTTGAGCGGAACGCCGTCCGTCGGAGATTGTTGAGGGACGATGATTTAGGAGTGCCTGATCTTTTTCTACTTGTCGCACGACTGTTTGGACCACTTGCGGGTATGTCAAATGTATGCACCCCAAACCTCCTCTCCCAATCTTCGGCCGACCATTTGTCACCTACCTTTGGCGGTGGTGGAATATCAGTGCCAGCTTCACGCTCATTTGGTACACGTGTGTCGGTTGGAGAAGTCTCTTCGTCGTCCAAAAATTCATCCGCATTTTCGCCGTCTTCAGCGGTAGCTTTGTGATGGGAGAATGGGTTATGATTGCCGAACTTTGGCGGAGATCCAGAGACCGAAAATCTCATATTAACAGCTTCTGAGCTTGGAGAATCTCGTGGTGATGTTGTCGTAGACGGTTTGCTATGATCAGGCATCTCAAAACTATCGCATACATAGTCAGCAAATGAAGAAAGCGGAACGCTAGTCTTGCAAGATGTCGGCGGAGCAGGCTGCCGGGAAAATCGAGCCTCATTAATGGTGGTAGTAGAGGGTTTGCAAAGACCCTCCAAGATTTGCAACAACTTCACATCTAGGGACTTCTGATGCTTGGGGGAACTAGATGGCCTATGATTTGGCCATCTTTTAGAGAACAAAGGAGCTGAATGGTAGATAAAAGAGAATGGGCTATGCCCTGGGGTCTCGTACATAGGGGTGCGGCCTTGATCTCCCAAAGGTGACCTGTACCTATCATCGAAGCTTTTATGCCGCTGGGGAAACCGATCGTTTAGACTGTCATTAGCGGGTGACTTTGCTGATTGCGGCCCGTTCTGAAAAGAATCCTGTCTTGTCCGATGAGCAGCAAAGCCCCCTGGCTGGTCTGAAAAAGAGCTCTGCGTTGGTAGATCAATGCCGGAGTGTCTCCTGAAATCTGCGTAGCCTGGGTGGGGTGCTTGTCCTTCGTCCTGATTGCCGTCATGGACATGCGGAGAGAACCCCGATCTCATGCGTATACCAGCCCCAGCCGGCATACGAGCTTTTCTGGACCTTGGTATTCTGTGCTCTCTGTGCTCTGGCGCTTTTCCGTAGAACGGTTCTTCATCCTCATCGTCGGATGAGGTGGTAGCTGAAGTAGTTGCCGAAGACACATTGGATGATCTAAACGGAGCTTCATAGGTGGCAGCACCAGCAGATGCGGAGTGATGGTGGTCGCCATTAAAATTTGCAGAGCGCCTGTCCTTGAAGCCAGTCTGATCTCTTGCATCTCTAGGCGTAGCGGTCGTTGCAGATCTGTGTATTGCAGGACTCGCAAGGAAGGTCCTCTCGCCTCCGGCATTTTTATATTGCATTCGAGGACGAGCAGAAGTATGGTTCGATGATGCTACGTGCTCTCGGCCGTGCAGGTTCGCTGGATCGTGTCGTGGTGGTACGGCGTGTCGGGGTCGGGGTGGTGGGGCCATTTCAGGTGACTTGGTAGGATGATCGCCATTGAAGGTATTCGAAAATGCAGACTGCGTCTGCTTCTCGTCCTCAGGCCCACTTTTCCTACCAGCCGGGCGATTCGACTGCGTTTTGCCTAAATAAGGCATTCCCGCATCTTTCAGATCTTCCCATGTGCGCCGAACCCTGGATGTAGGGCCATTCGACGCTCTTCCAGGCGGGGATGTGTGCTTAGGCTCGAACGTAGTCCTCCGTGGAGACCTTGAGGGTGGTGGACGACTCTTTGGTAGTGGCCCTTGCCCATGTCTCATTTGCTCCCAAGCTTTAAAATCGTTCGCCTTCCCTCGGACATCATCAGTATCTGTAGCACCCCAGCCGGCATTCGCACGAGCAAAATTATCATATCTTCGCGCCCCAGAAGAAGGCTGCGGCTTGCTAGCAGGAGGTGGTGGAGCCCTGGGTGGTGGTGGGAAATTTGTAGCACGAGTTCGAGGTGGGACATCAGGTCGCGTTTGTGGGTTGCTGAATGGTCTCGGGGGCCCTTCTCTGAATCGTTGTGCATCGAACTTGGCACGCAGCGCTGGGTCGGTGAGGACTTCGTTTGCGGCCGAGATGGCCTGGAATTTGGCGTTGTACTCTGCCTCTTGACCTGGGTTGCGATCCGGATGGTATTTCAGAGCTGCGAAGAATCAGCGGCATTGAATTGTCGGGAATCCTATAACCATACCAAGTTTCTTGAATTGCTTTTTCACATCATTTGCATTGGCCTGGGGCGTGATTTCTAAATCTGCATAGTAGTCGCGTCCGGGTTCCAGGTTGACCATGATGCAGGTGTTCCACCAGAAGATCACAGCCCTCTGGTGAGAACGGTGGCCACTAGATAAGTCTTAGAGAACGAGGGATTTAATCCATGATTTACTGATGTACGCAATTCGAGTAATGTCATGGACATTGTGGTATGGCAATCTTGAACGAGAATCACCACATCAATAGGGTTACATGGGTAGCAACCAAATTCTGCAAGATGTATGCTACCGCCCGGGGTGCCTGCTGCCTTGCAGTAGTCTGAATGGTCCAGGTGCCGATGATTGATCAGGTGACTGATGGATGAAGAAGAAGCTTTTCTACCAGCTGTTCCAGACTGATGATGTGTGATGACGGATGAGTTTGCGATCCAAGTATTGATCCTTTGTGTTTCGGTTCTGGAGAAGTAGGCTGATTGGTTGTGAGAGTGATAGATGTGCTGGCAGTGAGCTAGTCGTGACTACTGACTAGCCCGGGAGGCGAGAGCTTGATGGCCTAATGATGCCTGTGAACAAGTAGCGGCCGGTCTACCGCGCCTAAAAGGCATAGAACCCCATGCTTCACGCTTCACCATCAATAATAATCTTGCAAAGCCTTGAGCCTTGGGGTCTCGCAATGTGATCCGTCAACACTGGAAACCTGTCTTACACGCTTGTGGCCGAACAAAGCCCTTACCGCCTGCATTGCTCCTGCTCGTACTCCGTGTTCGGCGCGGTCACCGAAGCATGACTGCCAATGGATGCAGAGGGGCCACCTTTATGGGAGGAATTGGATTGTGCTCTATGCGATGATATCATTCGCTTTGGCTTCTGCAGCATCCTCCTCCGCTTTCTTAGATTCTCCGTTGGCCTCAAACATGCCCTCGATCGCCAATCTCATTTGTTCCAATAGTCTATCTACTTCATGCTCCGTTCCTACCGTGATTCTAAGACACCCTACACAGCCACTTTCTTTCCCTCGAAATCTAACCACTACACCTTTCGTTTCTGCCAGCTTCTCATAGAGTGCCAAAGCAGCCTCATTACTTGCTTGCCCTCCCTGATCCCGCGGTCGATCTAGGATCTCCACAAGGAGAAAATTCGCATCAAACCCTCCCAAAAATTGGCCAACACCGGGTATCCGTGGAAGTTTCTTTATCATTCTATCTCTCTGTTGCAATATTTTCTCTTTGTTGCTTTTCATCACCGCAAGACTGTGAGGCTTAAGCGCGGCAGAAGCTAGGGCACTTGTTGGACTCGAGACGTTGTACGGCGCCTTCATGTTGTTGAGTAATCTTGCAATAGGTGGCGAGGTGAAGGCAGCCCCGAGACGTATCCCGGCTAAGCCAAAAGCTTTGCTCAATGTTTGCATAACAACCAGATTCGGCCACTCTAGAACCCATTCGGCCAAGCTTGACCCCTCTGGCGAGAAATCAACGTAGGCTTCATCGAGCACAACAACTCCGTTCCAACTCGGATGCTCAAGAACTTGCTGAAGATCTACTTTTGAGATTAACTTTCCGGTAGGATTGCCGGGAGAGCAGAAATAAGCAAGCTTGATTGCTGGGTCTTTTGAGAGAGCTTCGTTGATGGCGCTTGGGCGGAGATCGAAACCTTTCTCCGTGTCTAGGGGGACCTTGACGACTGAAAGGTCGTTGACTTGAGCACTCACCGCGTACATGCCATACGTGGGTGGACATGTAAGAATCTTGTCTGTTCCTGGTGTACAGAAGCATCTCAAAAGAGCATCAATGGCTTCATCTGAGCCTAGTCCAACAAAGAGGTTTTCGGGCTTCAAGCTACGATTGGTGTGGTGATGAGTATTGCGGAGGCTGCACAATGCTTGTTTCAATTCGGATTGGTGGGGATCTGGATACCTGTTCAGACCCAAGAAATCAATATCGCTTGGATGGTTGGCCGCGTGCGCCTTTATCTCGCCCTTGGGCAGATCATTGGGGCGACTCAGCTCCAACCCCGGGCCATAAGCGTTTTCGTTGGCATCGAGTAGCACGTTTGTCCCATCGTCTTTGTAGTCATCCCTCGCACATCGGTATGGCTGCAAAGACAGGATATTTGGACGAGCACATTTGTCAATATCGAAGGGGAAATTCCCCCTTTCATCATGTTTCGGCCCGATCAAGTAGAGTACATGCAGTAGAGAATCTGAAAACCGGTGAAAATCTAGAAGTATGAGTAAGTGGCCAGCTGGATAAGATTTGCTAGTTGCGGAACATTTAAGGTCCATTCAAGCCTGAGGATTGCTATGCTCCTTCAGGACTAAAGCAGGTGACCCAGCAGAAGAGCTAACGCGCTTTCCTGCCATTGTTCGTCTCGACTAGCCCTACGAGCGTCGGTATGCTGCTGTCATGAGCGTGACATTACCGCATGAATACACCTGCAGGCTGGTGATTGAGCGTTCGACAATCTCACTGGATCCTGGCGGTGGAGGGAGGTTGGAAGGTTGTTCGAATAGGTTCGGGGGAATGTCAAGCTACGCCGCCCTAAAAGTCCCTAGACTCCATAACGGCTCAGAGCAGAATGAGTTCACCAATCAGGACTTTGCTAGCCGAAATTCCATCATGCACGCCACGCGAGAGAGCTGCTCGAGAAAGTGTGGCCGCCCATGGCCTACCAACAGCCTGGATCATCTTCCGCACCGTTCCAGCCTACCGGCGCGCAGGTGCTTCCACTGAGTCAAAATCCCGGCCCAAATCAGCAGTATGCCACGCCATCCGGGGCGGCTATGCTCCCCCCTCAGCGGCCTTGTAAGTCAACATTCAATTCCCCACTGGCTCTGTGCGACGCCAATGATGACTCAATGTCAAATGTTGACTACCGACTCATGTAGATCAACCAAATCCCAACTCGTCCAACGCGTCCGGGACCGCTCTGACCTCCAGCGCGGTGCCTTCGGGGCAACCGCCTTCCCAATCGCAGCCATCTGCAGCGTCCGCAATGACCGTTGCTGCGAACTCTCCGACCTCAACACAAGTGACGTCGAACGCTGATGCTTCGGGGCAACCGAATCCCCCAACACCAAAGATTGGCAAGCTTTCACGGGAGAACGAAGAACGCGTCGCCGCGTTATTGGGTCTCAATTCCCTTCTGCTCCGAGAGCTTCAGCAGCTACAAAGTGTTGGTGCTGCACTCGCACCTGTTCAGGGTTCGCCTCAACAGCAGAATGCCTCAGCTCCCCAGAAGCCACTGGACGCCGCTGGTGAAGCACAAAAATCTCCTACCGGGTCGGTGACGACGCCTACTACTACCACCCCTACACCTCAGACTCCAAAATTGACCAAACCTCCCCCCAAACTACTCTACGACAATTATTTGAAACGTATACAGGTCAACATTGCCTACCTCCTCGCCTTATCAGGAAATAGGCCCCTTCCCCCTCACCCTGGCGCTATGGAATCGCCTCCGGATTCATGGTTTCAGCCGTCGCCCGGAGAAGTTGTCCCAGACGGCACTGACGAAAGGGCAAAGGAAACAGCCAAGAAATTCAAAGATGCTTACCAAAAGCTCAGAGAGTTGTGGCCCAATTACAAACGCCCCCAGAAGCCGCCACCACAGATGATGGGACAACCCCCGCAACTCCCCCGCAATCACAGCAGCAGCAGCAGCAACCAATGCCTGCGCAAATCCCATCTCTTGGACAAGAACAGAGTGACCAGAATCGGGGTCTTGCGCAAAATCACCAGGACCAAGGTTCCGAACCGCTAGCGAAATTAGGAGCCGAGAATGAATAGATTGCGAAATATGCTAAGATCTACCGACGTCAAGAAGACTGTCCGGGGGAAATTTCGATCATCTATGTGTTTTCTAGCTACTCTTCTGCAGAAGCGAATGTATTTTTAGCATAGGCAATATGTATGCCTAAAGCATCAATATTGTCACCATTGAAGGGCCTCAGGTGAGAAGTACACCGCCTACTCTTCTGATGACTGACGAAGTTCACCAAATCACGAATGCAACATGAATCGGTCGATAGCAGATTTTGGTTAGCATGCGTTGTCTTGCTAAACATCACAAGACATTTAGGCTGGCGGGGTAAAGTCTTAGGGCTGACCGTTTCATCCCGTCGGTGCTGCGCTAACTCCGGTCGATCAGGTCTCTCACACCTTCAACCGTTGGTCGACGTAGATGCGTCTCAATGCCATTCTTGACAACAATAAAGTGGAAAGGCAGTGTGACAGCCCTGAAGTTGTCACTATCCGTGCAGAGCATCATGCTCCGCGCTAGTTTGAACACGTCAGCCATTGCTGGATGGTAAACAAAGCAGATCGAAAGTAAATAGACTAGAACCGAGATTGCAGGACATACAGAATCGTCATCATGGCTTTCTTCTTCAGGAACAAGCAGTCAAAGTTCGAGATTGTGAAGACTGCCAAAGACTTGCTCATCAGGTTACGGCAGCCACCGCAATTGGCAAAGGTTCACTTCCTCCAGGCCCAAGTCGGCCGCGCATTGAGACTTACTGCTCCTAGACCGAAGATGAGCTGTGCAAACTCCTCTCACAGATGAAAGTAACGCTCCAGGGTACACATGGTATGCCTTTCACTACCAACATACTTCTCTACAAATCTCACCTGCAGTCTACATAGAAGTCGACACAACCCCAGAAGCTGTCTCCGCTCTGGTAAACGACATGATAAAGGAAGACTTCATTCATATCCTCACCTGCAACATCCACCTTCTTCGCTTTGAAGCCCGCAAAGACTCACAAACCATCCTCTCCTATGCCTTGCGTTTTCGGCCCCCAGGCTCTACGAACGAAGAGTCGCCTGCTCTAGCCCACGTACTAGATGATAGGCCAGAAACCGCCATCCATCTCTGCCGAGGCTACGAGAGAAAAGACAGTGCAATGCCATGTGGCGCCGTGCTGCGAGAAATCCTGAAGAACGAGCATATAGCAGCGCTTGTGCTTTACGACGAGTCGCAAGGCGAGGACGAACCAGCCATCAGGGTTGACGATATCCAATTCGAGGCCCCACAGTCTGGGAATGGTGTGTTCTGGCAATTCTTTGATTGGATCAACAACGCGGCTTTCGAGGCTAGCACGGACGCCTTCAGCACGTTCAGGACGTTATTGACCACGCATAAACCGCTCGTGGCACACTATCTTCATGTCAATTTCGTGATGTTCTTCTCGAAGTATAATTCACTGCTGATAGAGAGTATGAGCTATGTCACGAAAAGGCAGAGTATAAAGCTCTTGGGCGAGATTCTGCTGGACAGGACCAACTACGTTGTCATGACTCATTATGTGGAGCTGCCAGAGCATTTGAAGCTGACGATGAAATTGCTGAAAGATGAGAGGAAAATGGTGCAGTACGAAGGGTTTCATGTATTCAAAGTGAGTTCCTCTTGTTGAGATTCAACACATTCTTGGCGTCTTCTTCGGATTGAGGCCGATCTGACATGTAGCCTTAGGTTTTCGTCGCCAACCCCAACAAATCTGAAGCGGTCACGCGGATCTTGACGCAAAATCGAGACCGGCTCCTCAGATTTCTCCCCAGCTTTCTAGATGACCGGCAAGATGACGACCAATTTCTGGACGAGAAGAGTTTCCTGATACGGCAGATTGAGTTGCTCCCTGCTCCTGCGACAGTAGCAACTACTTAGGATATATATTATGAAACTATCCGTAAGAGCGTTTCCTGAAATCGCATTGGGGAAGGCGCAATGGGATGGATGACATGGGATATTCTTGGTAGATCAAGGGAAATGACTGATGGCGTACCTTTGAGCATTGGAGGGGCAGATACCCATGCTTTAGACATTTGGCAATGAAAAAGCTTTCCACATTTTGATCTTATACTTCAAACTTAGCTTGGTAACGCAATCTGATATATACTGCAATTTCTTTAAAGACATTGGAACATCCCAATCGCACCATCGCTGGGCGCTGACATGGCTTCACAAACAACCAATCTCGTTCAATGCGGGCATCTCCTCACAATTTTCGGCCTTTGGAACTCTTATCCAGCGTCATCGAAGTGTTCGCCACGTTGAGGTCATCTTTTCACTTTGATCAAGGCCGAAGCTTCCTAGTAATCCTTTCTGGCTCATGACATAGTTTCCTGTGCAGTACATCTACTGCCTCTTCAATCCCAACTTCTGCATCTTGATTCTCGGTACTAAACCGAGCAGCGTTATGATAGCTGTGACTATGACGACCCAAAGCTCGATATGTAGCCTGTAAATCAACATCGTCAGCCTTCTATTTTCTCTTAAAGACGACCAACTTACGCCTTCTTGTTGAACGACGTCTGTGTCGCCAATGCCACCACAATCAAACTTAACAGGATCAAAACATAGCCACTGGCACGATGGTATTTATACAAGGCTTTTGCGTTGTCCTCCCCACCGTAGAGACTCGGAAACCAGTACTGCGTTATGCCAACGATGGCTTGCAGGAAGAAAAGGATGTAGGTAATCAAGCCTAAAATTGCATGGGGAGAGTAAAGATCTATGAGTTTGAGTGGTGAGCCGAAGTAAAGGATGAGAAGGATCTTTGCAGGAATGAGGGACAGGTCAGAGGCGAAGTGTTCTTATGGCCGAGCAAAAGTCGACCATAAGGTGGGGCTGGTGTAAGGAACAATGGGGACATACGAGCCATGCCACCCTTGTACTTGTTCGCTTCAATGACCGCGAGAGCGGCTATGAGAGTCAGAACGCTGAGACTGTTGAGAATGCCGTGGACGTTTGCCCCATCCCGCTTTTGCTTCGGTGTGTGGGTTGGCTGGAGCAGTAGAATCGCTTGCGTGGTGAGGAGGAGGCCGGCGGAATTGAGGAGCTAAAGGTATGTAAGATACAATGTCAGGAATCAAAAGCAGCTTTGGACAAGTTCGGACAGAGCTTGTGTAAATGAAGTGTAATCGAAGGATCCCCACGGGAGGGGGAAAGGCTTACAGGATGCGGGGTGAACAGCGAGTAGGGAGACTTGAGAATATCGACCCAAATCGTGATCGTGAGCTGTGACGTGGTCAGCATATAAAACATGGCGAGGTTTGGAGCAGGAAGACCAACAATCCAGATCCCAGCCTGAGCAATGATGCCCGTACCTAGATAGACCCAAGAATTTTTAGTAAACTTTTCCCGCTCATTTTCTGCAGCAGTATAATGATCTTCTAACTGATCGACACGGAACCAGTATGGAAGGCAACGTGTAAAGCAAGGGGTTCGTGGCATGTTGCTGTCCGAGTTGTGCGGAAAGATAGCTCTGCAAGAGATTTGGACCTGAGAACCATGAGGAGCTCCTCACCCAGAATGAAATTCAGCTCCAAGCCCTTTCCCTCGGGTTGGTTGGCGTCCCCAGGCTGGCCCAACAAAGGCTCTTCTTCGCCATGGGTCCTACCAGGATCAGGATTGCCTTCCGGGGCTGACGCCATGTTGCAGTCAAGCCTTAGTTGTGGTCACTGCAAATGAATTCCTTTCGGTGAGAGGGAGGAGCATTGGGATAGTCAGGTATTCATACAAAGTATCAATTAGGCAGACGTCATGACGAGCTTACAGGAGACAGAAGACAAGAGCAAAGCTCTCTCCGCCTGATATGTAAGCCAACATGGCGGGGAAGGTCAAGCGTCTATGATACATCGATCACCCCCATCTGGAACATGTGAGCTCTCGGGGGCCAATCAGAAGCAATTGATTTCACATGACGTGCTGCGGGCGCTAGTTATCTACGCGCGAACTCGACCGAGCGTTTCCACCCTCTAGCGCCGTATTATCATACCACATACCAAGCTTACTCATCGTGCAGGTCGTGCTCTGGGTGAATCAAGACCGAACATCGACCCCTGAGAATACATCAAGTCAAATATCGTACTATGGATTCTCTAAGTAATTATGCTGACCTAATCCATGCAGCACGCTTCAAGTGGGCAATTAGCTCGATGATAACTCTCCCTCAACGCTCAAAAGAGTACAATGCCGAATCCCAACTCTCGTGCTTGCCACACAGATCACTCTCCCGTCTCCCCACCATCCTCACCTCCATCTCCGCCTCCGCCCTCGTCCATGAGACCACCAGCAGTATCTTCTGCGCCTCCCTTCTCCGCCCATTTTTGGACTTTCCATCCGTTAGGCTCCTTTGCGTCCTTGCTGTACTCCATTGTAGGGAAGTAATGCTCGTTCTTCTTCATGGTCGCTACCCACGGCACGTTATCAAACGTGCTTGCTCGGAGCCGGAAGTAGGTGTTGTCTGGGATGGAGTTGACCGCGTCAAGGAATTCGGTCAACGTCGCCGTACGTTTGTCATTGACATGCGTGATGAAGTTCGTTGGCGCGAGTCCGTACTGATACGCTGGGGAGCCTCGCGTCCGAGCGCTGACGTAAACTTCGCTATGGAGCTTGCTGATCTGCTGCCGAACAGCGTGATGCGGTCGGTGGATGATGGCCCCACAGAAAATGATGGCCCGGTCCGTTTCAAGATCTTCAGTGGGTATCGTCGGGACTCGTAACTGCATCAACTCTTTGTTTCGGACAATGAGCGCATCCAGGGAGTCGTGATCGTACATAATATCGAACTGTGAGACACTCGTGATGAGATGGTCGTTCAGGGTGAGGATGATATCTCCCTCTTTAAACGCTTCATCCTCTTTGTCAGTAGGAGACGCGCAATCCACTTTTCGCACCATGAAGAGCTGATGCCGGGTGGGATTCGCCGCTGATACCTTATCAACCCATTCGCTTGTGACGCCCATGATTCGAGCTTGCGACATCTGTATCGTATTTGTTTCGATATTGAGAATGCGAAGCTTGGGTGCGATATCCTTCTCTATTTGCTGAAGCACGGGCAACAGCGTTGGCGTAGCTAGACCCAGATGATATTCAACGTCTTTACCACTCCCCCTGAGCGTTCTCCTAAGTAACTTAGCCAGAGTGCTTCTATCGTGCCATCTTCAGCAACAAGTGCGCCGCTACCACATTGGCCGCTCAATCCTGTGTCTACCGTAATCGCGTCTAGATTGATAGCTCGGTAACGGGGTGCTTGTGGGTTTGAGGGTATTGCGACGGTGGTGATATCTGTGACAGTCGTCGGTGTGACGACGGCTCGGAGGTTTTGGTTCCATCCAAGAAAGATAGTGGAAGCACCCTGTTTGATCGGCTCTTGAGCAAGTTTCGCGGATTTGACAGGAGCGTCCACCAGAGACGCATCGTATTGAATAATAGCATAATTGGCGATTGGATGCATGAAAACCACTTTTGCCTCAACAATCATGTTGTCTGCGATGGTACAGGATATGTCGCACATATCATAGGGAATGGTCGCTCGTGAAACGATGACCAGGCCTTTCTCGGCATTGATTACGAGCCCATGCCCAATCCTCCTCGTTCGTGGAAACCCATCGAGTTTGATGGGCATTGTACATGAGACACGTACAAAGCTTCTAATAGCGTCGGTAGCAGCTTCATGTCCCATAGTATCAAGGCGTGGAAATTCAGCCCTCCGCCGAACTGGTTGTACAGCCGGAAGAGGATCGGAAATATTCTGAAAATCCCACAACCCAGTTTCGTCGTTGCGTACGGCCATCCTAATCTTTGTATGCCAATGACGATCAATGTACATGATACTGGTGTTCGTGGTATGAAGGTCGCGTAAATGCTTGTACGTGACGACAACGCGCGCGCGATCAGCCACACCCTTCATTACTTCAACGAAGGTCTCCAAATTTGGTGTTTTGTGGCCATCGACGGATTCGATCATCCACCCAGATTCCGAGCCTTCGAATCGGAAAGTCCCAGCGGCTTCACATACAAAAACCCCTTTGACGGGTATGGCGTACAAGCGGGCTTGCTGGTATGAAAGGTCATGAAATGAAGCACCTGTCACAGAGACAAAACGGTCTGGCGTGATTGCATGGAGATCACCGACATCGACCTCAACCTCAATGTCGTGGCCGCCCCGTTGTACCATTAGCTTTACCTGTGACCCAACACTCGAGTCCAGGATGTCGTCAAGACGCACGAATTGAGTCAAGAACTCATCGTTGACTTTGATCAATACATCGCCCTCCTCCAATTTACCGTCTGCTGGTCCTTCAGGGAGAACGATTTCTGCAACGAGAAGGCCAGTCTCTTTTGGGAAGTTCTTTCTTATAGCGGCTTCATGCTCTGACGTGAGGCCAAGACGTCGACATTCGTCGAACGGTTTGATCAGCCATTGTGTTTGTATCGTACCTCGACTGACGAGTGTCTTGTCTTGTATGCATTTCAGGACGCGCAAAGGACGGTCCAGAGGTAGGAAATAGTCTGTCGCGGCACCATCGCTTCTGCCTCCAGCCTGCAAAGCTACAGCATGACCGTCCCGATTCACAACAGGACTACCGGAGCTACCTCCAGAAGCTGCGGCCGCGGCTTGTATGTAATTAGTGTTAAAATCACTGTAGCCTTCTCCGTATTCAGGGGCATTTCGGTCCAACCTGCTAATGACGCCAGACAGTATGCTGAGCTTCTCACCGGCATCGTTGCCGACAACACGAATCTCAGACCCAACTTTTGCGAGGTCAGGTCTTAGCTGGATCTCGGACAGCTCTAGATATTTGATCTCCTTAGGATCAAACTGGAGAATTCCAAAGTCATGGACAGGATCCCTATAGATGGGTCGCACAGCACACTCCTCATGGTTGTCAAAGATACAATATCCCCAGAAGGGACCAGCGCCCACAACATGTCGATTCGTCAAGATGTAGCCTCTCGTTGCATCTACAACGAAACCAGTAGCTTCGCTCGCAATAGCCGCGTCGGTATCAAAGGAGCAAGTCTGGCAAAAATGTATCGATACGACCTTTTTCACAACTTTTTCAATCGTGGCCTGCCACTCTACGCTGTCGGCCAAGGCCGTCACGGGCTGCTGGACTATTTCGCTTTCCATGGTCTGAATTAATGTGGATGAGTCGTGGTCGTTTTCTATCGAAGTCGAACCGTTCACAAAATCGTTGTCAGGCTTGCGAATCTTCGAAGGTCTATCTTTTATATGCACGGGGCTCGACTTTCGCTTGTGTCGTACCTCACCATTCAAGTCCATTTTGCAAGACGTGGCAAAGGTATTGTGCTGCGTCAAGCTGACACCTCGGCGTGTCACAGGGTTCGATGTCTGACAGAGCGCGCTAAATGGTCTGGTTTCCACACCTCGTGAATGGAGTAACGATGGAAGAGGCTGAAATATCGAGGACGCAGGTTGTATCTTCGTTAAGGTGGAAGAAATTCGGAGGGTGTGTGTTATACGGGCACAATTAAAGCCGCCAACACGGAAAGCCAGATGCATCCAGATCAGCTCGACACCCCTGGAGCCTTCCGCTCCTTGTGCCTCGTCATCATGAGAGGCAATGCCCAAAGGAATGTACCCCTTCGCAAGCCTTGCAGCGGCGCTCTTCGAATGTTTTACCGCCCTAAACCTTATGCGACGCTAGCGCCCGCTGATTATCTGATTATCGAGATAGGTACCTTAATATTCAGGTGACGCAAGCCCGATCTGGAAAGCGCGACCTTCGCCGGTATTGCGCCATCTCGCCAGTAGAGTTGGTTTGTACGTCACATGAGCCATGGCAGCACAATCAGCAGGCGCATGAATTGGCTCCATATTTCTCCCCGAAGCCTACCGACGACTCGTCAATGGCGCCAGGTAGAGGAGCTTCCCCCGCTCCAAGAGACACTCATACCCCTTCTGGAGATGAGTATGAGTCGGGGTACGAAAGCGCCTCCGAGTCTGAAGCCAGTTCACCAGATACCTCACGGCTTCAGCAAGATGATGCGCAGAAAGCTCTTGCAGAAAAGGGTGACGAAGGCCAAAATTTCACCGTTCGGGGCGTCTTTGTCGGCCTAGCCATTGGTGTTCTTATTGCTTTCTCCAACGCATATTTCGGACTCCAGACAGGATGGATCTCTGGCATGGCAATGCCTGCCGCATTGATAGGCTTTGGTGTTTTCAAGAGCCTCACGAGATGTCTAAAGGTCCCCTTTTCTCCCGTGGAAAACGTTCTGGTGCAGACGGTCGCTGGCGCCGTGGGCACCATGCCGTTAGGTTGCGGATTTGTTGGCGTGCTGCCTGCCTTACAATTCTTACTCAAGCCCGAAGAGAACGGCCCTATGAGTCTCAGTACAGGAAATTTGATCATATGGGCCATTGGAATTTGTTTTTTTGGTGTAGTCTTTGCTGTGCCCCTGCGGAAAGAGGTTATAATAAGGGAACAGCTCAAGTTCCCAAGCGGCACTGCTACGGCTCTCACTATTGGGGTTCTACATGGAAACTCCAATGGCGAGGATGACGACAAACTTGACAGTGGTCTGGAGATCTTTCGACAACGAAGTCTTGATCTTAGTAGGTCTACTACTAAACTTGATAGCATACCTGTGGGCCAAGGGAGCAGGAATGTTCAGACAGTAGGCGAACAAGACCATCGACTGGATTGGAAAGCGGAAATTCGGTTGTTGCTACTCTCTTTTGCCGGTTCTGCGGTCTACGTGTGTCCCGAACGTCGTTCACTTGCGTCAAAACGCGTGCTGACTAGAGCAGACGTTGTTCTCCTATTTTGTTCCTCAGGTACATGGCGTACCCATTCTAGGTCTACCTTTGGCGCAAACATGGCTATGGGAATTGAACCCCAGCCCAGCGTACGTGGGTCAAGGTATTATCATGGGGCCAGCAACAACGCTTCACATGCTCTTGGGTGCTATCATTGGCTGGGCAATCCTGTCACCGATAGCTAAACACAAAGGCTGGGCTCCGGGTCCAGTCGAAGACTGGGAAACAGGCAGCAAAGGATGGATCGTCTGGGTGAGCTTGGCAATCATGCTTGCAGATGCAATGATCAGCCTTGGCTTCCTTGTCCTACGACCTCTCGTCCAGTATGGACCATCGTACTACACGACTCTTCGAGAGCAGGTCCAACGACATGGGTTCAAGTCCCTCCTCCAACTCTCGACCTTCTCGAGCAACGGTTACACGCCCCTGGTTTCCACTCACACCAACACTAGCAGCAAGACCCCCGAAGACAGTGCAAACATCGAGCACGATGCCCCTGACCACCACCTTGTTTCCAACCGCACAACCCTCATACTCTTCATCCTTAGCGTTCTCATCTGCATAGCCTCTATCCGCTACGTCTTTCCTCCAATTCCCATCTATGCTATCCTTCTCTCCATCGTCCTCGCCCTCCTGCTCGGCGTAATGGGTGTCCGCGCCCTTGGTGAGACCGATCTTAATCCCGTCAGCGGCATCTCTAAGCTCACTCAGCTCTTCTTCGCTCTTGTTATACCTTCAACGAATCCAAATGCCATCACCATTAATCTGATTGCGGGCGCGATATCCGAGTCCGGCGCTCTGCAGGCAGGGGATATGATGCAGGACCTCAAGACCGGCCATCTGCTTGGCGCGTCCCCGAAGGCGCAATTTTGGGGTCAAATGATTGGGAGTTTGGTGGGCGCCGTGGTGAGCGCAGGGGTGTATAAACTGTATACGAGCGTTTATGAAGTGCCAGGGGGGCTGTTCCAGGTTCCGACAGCTTATGTGTGGATTTTCACCGCGAGATTAGTGACCGGAAAGGGCTTGCCCGAGGTGGCGTGGCAGTTCGCTGTTGCGGCGGGGGCAATTTTTGCCGTTCTGACGCTTTTGAGGGCGTATCTTCAGGGAAGCAAATGGCAGGCTTGGGTACCTGGTGGGATTGCGGTTGCTGTGGGAATGTACAACGTACCGTCCTTCACGCTCGCAAGGGCGGTCGGGGGGTTGATTGCTTGGTATTGGAGTGTACTGAAGGGCAATGAGGAGACTCCTGTGGTTGTTTTGGCAAGTGGGCTGATACTGGGAGAGGGTGTGGTCAGTATTGTGAATCTGGTACTAGCTAGCTTTAAAGTCCCACATTTGTAGGGAGCAGCAAATTGAATGATGAGCAACAATATAACTACAATATCAGCTATTGACGGACTGGAAATGAGCCCCATCTGTATATACATGAAAGAGCAACTGAGGTTCCTTGGCTATGCATCTCAAAGTAACACAATTTGTGCATCTAGGCTAGAATCCAAAGTTATCAAGTAGGCTGCTTCCTTCCGGCTCCTTGAACATAGTTGGCTTGGGCTTCTCTTCAACAGATGACTTCGGCGTCTTAGGAACGAGGCTACTCTTTCTTCTGCTTTTCCGTCTAGCCTCTTTATCTGCCTTAGATGCATGATCCATGTCGGTAAGTACGCCTGTGTGCTGCTCGACAAATTTCCAATTGCGTACCAAATCTAGTGCAAGAATATCACACCCCATTCGACAGTATTGAAGCGCAGTCTGGAGCACGAATGTCCACTCCTTTTGACGGGGGATGGGCAACGGTTTGCGAGCCTGCAGCCTTTGATCCCGCAATTGCCTGTACAGAACAAGTCGTGCTGGCTCGTTGTTTATATATGACTTCGCTTGTACTTTGGACGACTGGTTGAGAAACACTAGGGCTTCCAAGGGCTCCTATAATCAAGGTCATTTCAGATGGCCCTGGACACTTGGGGTGCTGTTAGAACTTACTAGCAGAGCCCTGATAGCTAGATCAGGCTTTCTTAGAATCCAAAAGGCCCAGTGAGCCTGCCAGCGATTACCATTCATTGCGGCCTCTGGTAAGATGTGATCTTTTACAAGGCTGCGGAAGACAGAGCTGTCGTCCCCCGCGTAGACCCTTGCGATTGCAATGGCAAGTTGTATATCTCCTATTTGATTGACGCAGATGTTGACGGTGTCTTTGAGTCTGTCTGCCAATAAGAACCACGCAGCTGCATACTCTGTTCCTTGTCAGCTGTGATTCGAATAAAATTAGGTCATGTTTTTCCCACCAAATCTCCGTTTTCCAAGCAAAGCATAGGCATTCTTCAAAGCAGCTGACTTCCACCTATCTTCCGAGAAATTATTCTTTAGCAATTTTTGTGTACCTGCTTGCTCTCGGTTTCCATGTGCAATCCTCCAAAGTCCTAGCAAGACGCTCTTCTTTCTTAATGCAAAGTAGTACAGACTACAGTTGATTGGATTCTTTTCGTCGGTCTTGGTGTACTCATTGCGAGCCACTACTTCCAATTGGGCTTCCTATGATATAGTGAGCAATCCCGAACCTTCAAACAAGCAGATGCACTCACGAGAGCACTGCGATCACTCAGCCACAGAAACATGCCGGATTCTTTAGCACGTCCCCAAGTCAAACTGCCTTGATATCCTCGCGAAACAAGATCGATGAGTATGTCATGACTGTTGCTATGCGAAGCCCAAGCATACTCTCTCCACAACATCTCCGTACTTCTCATGCTCCTTGTAACCTTGCGAAACAGGTAAAGAGTGAATATCGTGTAATATTTCAATCCACAAATGTCTAGTGAACGGCTATGTCTTCTAGCCAAAGCAAGGCTCTTGATCACATGCACTAAATCGGACTGATGATTGCTTGACAACTGCGGCAGATTCAAGCTCGAGAGTGTTTCTCTCAGGGACATTGCGCGGTCTTCATTGATGGCACCTGCTTCATCGTCTGCGTCATTCCATGACTTAAGGAAGCTCTGTTCTCGTGCCAACTCTGTGAAGAAGTTTTCAAGGGGCAAAGCCAGGAAGGGATCCATCTGGTCGCCGGGTGTGAAATATTTGAGCATTTCGTAAAGAGTAAATATCACTCCGTTGACCTCGGGGAATCGACCGGCTAAGAACAGTTGATCTAGGACTGCTGGGTGGTACACGGGTAATGAGGTATTCCAGCTTTGCGATCCGCCCATCGAATTAGAATCAATTTCATCTTGCTGATTCCTCGTGTCATGGACGAATAGCTGGCGTCCAGCTGCAATTACGAGCTTCTGGGCTTGTAACCAAGTGATGTGCGAAATTGGGTTTGATGAAAGCTCTTTCAAGCTGACTTTGTGAATCGGGACCCAAGCTAAGATATCCTCACTGTAATCGAATCTTTGTTGGGCCACAATGATGATACTTTGAGCAAGGCTAACGGCGAGGACCGTGCTGCTCCTTGTCAAAGACCACCTCAAGTCTGTAATTGTTTGCAGGGGATCACATTCAAACACATATTCAAGATATGAACTTCGCATGTCCCATATGAATAATTGACGCCTTGTAGCACCGACGAGAGCTACTTTAAGATTAGAGCTGGCAGCAACTAGAGATGGAGCTGTTATCTCTGAAAATAGTACCGAGGACTGGTGCCATTTGACTATGGCACTTTGAGGTTCGATAGCAGCAGTCCATGTCCTGAGTATGCCTCTCTTGGTACATGATAAAAGAACATTTATGGATAAATCCTCAATTGAGCTTGCCCTCGAAGAAGAGTCACCACGATCGATAGGTATGATATGCTCTACCGTCTCCCCAATACCAAGGTCAAATTTGCAAACTTGGGTGATTGCACAAATGTTAGAGGCTCCATTTGCTGAGATATCGGTGCTATGCTCTAACAAACTTATCCTCCAAACCAAGCCCGTCAGATCCACGGTGATTCCGGCGATATAGTGTACGCGAGCGTTCCCAATTAGCGAACCCAGTTGCAGAAGGCACGAGAGATCAGCATCGGGTCTAGATGGGCAAGACGTAATCTCTTCGGCAAAGGGTTTGCTTGTATCTAAGAGAGCCAATCTATCCGAATAGAGATTGACAATATGACTATTGTCATTTAGCAGACAGCTGTGCATAATATTCTGTGATGAATCCAACGAGCTTTCCGGAATCAACGAATATGAGTTATTAGCTGCTCGTTCCGTCCAAAAGATAGCTTCTTTGTCATCACTAACGGTCAGTAGATTATGACCATTGACGCCATGTACCATATGTTCTATAGGGCTACAGTGTCCAGCCCAGAGAGCCTTGATACTCGAACGAGTTGAGCGTGGTGATGAATCAAACATTTCATTGAATGTTGACTGGTGCCACATTATGTGTCCATCAAAGAAGTGGGTGAGCAGAGAAAACTTCGATGGAGCAGTGTGGTCAGAAAAGTTGACGAAAGTCACATTAGACTTGTGATTTCGAATTTCAACAGGGAAGAGCGGGAAATCTTCCATGTGTGCAATATTGAAAATCTCAGTGCCTTTCCTCGTCTTGCAGCCAATGCTTTCAAGCCCCCAGGCAGACATGTTACCATGCCAGTCGAGGACAACACAAACGTCAGGCTTCCTCTTACTGATCTCAGCTAAGTGCTCCACCGCATGATCAGCATCAACACTATTACCACTTACATTCAGGATATCGCTGGCACAATGGCGGAAGTCATGGCTGTTGATGAAGAAGGCGAATCTTTCTTGGATATCTGAGGTGATCCCAAGTCGACGGGATTGTATCGATTGCTGCATATCGATCTCTGCCCAAAGTTGTAGGCCTTGGAGACCGTGTGGGTCCGTGGCCGCCCATATCCTAATCCGGCCGTCTGTGCATACGGACAGCAAAACATTGTCTACACTCTGCTCGTTGTGATGGTGCTCGTGCGGTGGGGGCTTCCGCCACGATATTTGAGTTATAGGTGAGGGATGAGATAGGTAGGTGAACTCAAAGCGAGTGTCGTCTGAATCAAAAGACTGTCTGCGCCATACTTTGACAAGACGATCATGCCATCCAGTAGAGGCAACAAGGCTAGCATCAGGGGAAAAAGTTGCAATCTTCACAGGCTTTGCGAGCTTGCGATCCCATACTTTACGTCCGTTCTTGGCTGTACGGTACAGTCTCAGAAAAGTAGATCCAGCGAGTAGCTCCTCTTCTGATCCCCATGAGAGCGTTGGCGAGTTACTGTACTCTGTGAAGACTGACAGTGAAAGTTGGAGAGACCACTGCAACGTTCATGAATATCGCTTTTTGCTTCACATTTGTTGTGATTTTACCTTCAGAAATCCTTCCTCTCGTCCATATGGCCGATATACGAAGATCTCGTCCCGACTGCAAACGGCGATCTTGCCAGACCGATCGTCTATAGAGAGAGCATCGAGAGCATCACATTGATCAAGGTATGTAGTCTGTAAGAGGCTGCTGGGCCCACTGAGAACAATGAAGCCGTTGCCTGAAATGTAGGCCTGATGCAGTAGATGTATCAGCCTTGACAACTTGGAAATTGCTCAAGACGCTCACCACCAAGCATTGTCCATTCCATTGTGCTGTGGAGAGAGCTTGAAGCTTTGCCTGGGGCTTGCCAGGGAGGACTGCTCGCATGGGACTGAGCAGGGGACAACGGGCTTTTCGTAGTCAGCTTATGTCCACCTGCTCGCATCATCATAGGTACCAATTGTTTAAGCTATCATTTATGGAGAAAAACTTCTGATACTAAGGTACCCCAGTGGCCAAGGCGAGCTGAGAGCTTTGGGCGAATTTTGAATCATGCCTACGTACCTAGAAAAGTGGTTGCAGGGGAGGGACGTACGGAGTACTCAAATACAATTACAGCTGTTAGAGATGGGGACCTTAGGGACTTCGCTCGAAGGATGCAGAAGTCACCATGGACTTCCACCCCGTCCCCTGGTTTTTTACCTTGCTCCAATGGGTGCTTGACCAGTTGCTGTCTCCAATTCCTCCTCCACCACATGCGCGTTTGAGCAGGCCACGCATTGCCATCAACGGAGCTGGCTTGACAGGAGTGTCTGCCGCAGCGCATTGCGTCGGACATGGATTCGATGTTACGATCTTCGAAGCAGGTAGTGGGAAGAACTGAGGAGGAATTGGAGAGCAAGTATCTTTGCGATGGCTCTGCAGTAGTCTTACTGACCTTTTGCATAGAAGTAAACAACACATCAGGCCTCCAGATCCACAGCCTCATGTACCGCTTCCATCCCTCTATCCAGTGAAAATCAGGCGATCCAGATCGGCAAGCCATAGTCGGACAGATCACGAAGCTATGGGAACGTTATGGTCTTCAAGAACGTACAAAATTTGACCATCGCGTAAAGTCAAGTGAGGCAAGATGACCTCGGTCATTGGATCATCAATAGCAACACGAGCGATAAGTATGACGGCGTCACGCCTGCCATCGGTACTTAGGGTGACCCCAAAATGCCCCAAAATGCCCAATCAAGAGTCATTCAAGGGCGAGATCTACCATTCTTCACACCTCGACGGTTGGACAGCACGTGGGAAGAATGTTTCTCATCGTTGGTGGTGGTGCATCCGCAGTGGAAGCTCTTGAATTCGTTGTTGAAACTGGAGCGGAGTCGACATAAGTCCTAGCTAGGAGTGACAAATGGATTATTCCCAGGAATGCCTTCGTCGACTCTATACTTGCTTTAAATATCTTTGGGCAGGAAACTTCCTTCTCTTAGATACTAGAGTCTTCGTTGCGGATCTTCTTCAACCGTGATCTGGAAGACTTGGTTCCGCAGTCGGGAGGACTGTTCACGGAGACGCCGATGGTCAACTCTGACATCTTCCATCAGATACGTCAGCACAAAGCTGAGTGGCTGAGAGGAGACGCTCTTGGATTTTCTAACAAAGGTATACGCTTCAATCGCCACGACAAAAGCGTTCCAAAGGGTGGACCCGGGCATGAGACAGAGATCAAGGGTGACATGGTCATCATGGCTACTGGATACTAACGTCCGAGTCTTAGCTTCCTGCCCGATGAAGTTTTCAGCGAGCCATGTGCTCCTCCAAATTGGTATGAAGACTGACCGTGAACGTATGTGGTAGCATACTAAACTAACGAAACCCTTTTAGATACCTGCAAGTCTTTCCTCCCGAGCACATGGATATTTGTGCGAACAATTGTACAGTAAGCAAGACCTTCTGCATCTTTCTTGTTTTCAGATCAACTAAGCATTTCCAATCTTAGTGTGTCAATGCTATAGGCACGATAGGCAATTATCATATTGGGATCTACATGAGGCTGCTTTGGAGTTCTTGGTGGATCATCTGGCAAGACCGCAGGAGTACTAGATGAAGAAATGGATTGACATGACTCGATTCATCAAGAAACGCTCCCCCACGAAAGCCTTTGACTTCCTCACCTATTCCGAGCTGACGTACTGTTTCGTTTTCGTTGTTCTCATCAACCCTTTCCTATGGAAGTGGGCACTTTTCGTCTTCTTCGGCATAGGTGACCTTGTGCCCAAGAATATCGTAGAGGTAGAGGATTCACTGAGGAACGGATCGTCTATGAAGAAAATAAGATAAACGAAAGACTTGAATCATGCAGCATCAAGAAGAAAGCACTGACGATCAAATGTTCCACCAGTCAAAGCCGACTATTATGAGCGCACATCATAACAATGGTAGCTCAAGATAGAATATAGAGATCAGGGACTAGCCAAGTATTTGGTTACAAAGCCTCTGCTGTCTTAGAATAGATTCTTGGACCCATTTCACTCTCCCTTCATCCATCTACCACCTCTTTAAACCCTCGCTCCCTATTTCCACCAACAACATTTTGCTCTACCCAACTGACTGGCCACAACAACCCGGCGCCAATAACACAAAGCCCAGTAGCCACAAGTTGCGCTACCAGAACCAACACTCTCAGAATCCCAAACCAAGACACGAACTTCACAAACTCGGTGACCTGATAAAGATCATTCTGGCTCTGGATGAGATACTTGGGCCTCTTCTTTCCTTCCTGAACAGTGGTTGTTGCATGGTCTTCGATGAGTCGTAGCACGGTGGTTAGGTGTACGTGGGCGGCGAAGAAGGGGATGATCCAGATACGAAAGACTTGGCTGAGAGAGACGTAGAGGATCAGGTTTTTCTCGTCGAAGGCTTTCATGGATTACTACATTGTAGACACGTGGAAAGCTTTACGACGAAACACGACAGAACGAGAGGGGTTTCATTAGAGATGGCAATAAAGAGTGATGGCTTGTAGGAGAGAGGGCGTCTACTCACCCAGTGACTCCACCTCCAACTCAATCCTCGGTGACATGATCTTGTACCAGCGGTAAATGCACCAGATCAGCCATCTGCTGCCTTCGAAGCTGCCGGTCCGGCAGAAGGGGTGCGTGAAAGAGGCGGAGGGCGTGAAATAGCGTTCGATTGTTGTACGCTGGACGGAGGGTGAAGTTTGGGTTAGTAGGTGGATTATGTGCGGGATCTCCGTTGCTACATCAGGTCTTAGAGGAAAGAGCAAAAAGAAAGGACTGAAATTGAATTTACATGGATCTTCCATATTGATGATTGTATCGAGAGATTATTTGGACGTTATAGAGTAGATCAAGATCGTAGCAGATGATACCTGTCTACGAAAGATAACATGAAAATAAGGAGACGGAGGATGAGTGAATATGAAGAACACGAAAAAATTATGGGTGAAAAGCTTGAAGATTTTGAAATTTCGATGATAATCCAAGCGATGTCGAAATGATGTCACATCCAACTTTGAAATTAGGGCCCACCTTAGCACCCCCTATCTCAGTAATGATACCTTCACCAGCGCTTGGTGGATGGTAGAGTCGACCCTCCTACGAAGGACGCATTTAGTCTGAAGGTTCTCAGGCTGAATGGCCAAATTCAGCCAGACTCGCTATCAGCTTTGAGACTTCCCTGGAGTAAACCGCATAGAATCCAGGAGTTGATAACGCGTCGTCTTTTTTGCTCTTCTCGGAGGAAGATAGGATTTGCGTTTTCCCTGCTGAATGTGCCCCGATGATCAAGTCTTTTTGCTCGCAGCCTCATCCAATGCATAGTAATACCCTTCCATCTCACCCCTGGTTTGGTACCACATCGCCGTCATCTTATTTAGTCCATGGTCCGGAATATTTGTGTCCTCCCACCAAAATTTGTGATGCAAGCTCTTAGCTCCAGCGTTGAGATCGTCCAGGGTTGGGAAGGACGTTGTCCACTTATAGTAGAGATCCTGCCATGGCATCGGACCATCTCTGCGGTGAGCGTAGTTCATCAGATTCTGTTCAAACATTGAAGCATCAAATCGCGGCGGCTCGTGGTATAGAAGGTGCATATAATAATCGAAAAGTTCCAACGAAGGTTGGAACAAGAAGAACCCCGCTCCGAACAGTGGCTCATTGGGATCTGGAGGATATTGATGGGTCCAGTCATGCTGTTGGGCCTGTCCCGCAAATGCATATTGCTTAGGTACCTTGCCCTTATCTTGGTCTTCTATAAGATCCAGATTTGTCTCCTGCACCTTGGTGCTATCATCCTTAAATATACCATCCATGCGATCGGTTATATAGACGTCCGAGTCAATGTACAAGACTCTCTCGAATTGGGTGAGTTGCATGATTCGCAACTTGGTCATCTGTGTCATATAGCGCTGCTGGAGGCCATTCTTTGATGTAATCCATTCCGGATTCTCCACGTAGTCCACATCCACAATCATCGCCCCGTCCTTTGCCAGTCTTTCTTTTTTGCTCTCCTTCACGCGCGGTGTGCAGGCGACTACAAGGGGGATTGAGGCGTTTGCTTTCGTCTTTGGTGCGTGCATAAGCTGGTAGGCCAACACTCGAGTGGCTACAAAGTATTCGTCGTCTTCATCGCTCGTCGTATTTTCATGTGTCCAATGATCCTGTAGGAAGGCGACATAGGCATGTGAGGATCCCTGGCTATTCCCAGTAGGTGCTGGGCTCTTGCCATGGCTCTTGCTCGTCTGGTATTTATGGAAGCGACCGAGAGAGGGTAAGGTTGAGCGGGGCGTGAAGACAAGGAGTGAGAAGGAGATGAGGGCAACGGCAACAAAGATAAAGGTCGTGAGCGTCGAACGCGCAGGCATCATATGGAAAAGCGTTCAGTCAAGGAACGTGATTTATTGTCATCGAGCCATGGTCAAGAGGTTTAGAGGAGATATATAGTCCAGGGAACTGTTCAATTCCAACATACGGAAGTCCACGTAAGACCCCTGAAACCTTAGCTCCAGATCCGACGGAAGCTAAGATGGTCTCAAACCTTATGAGCCCGTTGCATCTAAGGGGAGGCACATCTAGTCGGCATGGAACAAATGGACAATGGGTTTTGCGAACATGATAATGCGACCTTTTGTTAGACCGAATTAGACTTTTCTCTATCTTCAAAGCGCATTGAGCTCTCGAGGCTCACTATTTTCTGTTCAGCGAGGCCAAACTACTATCACCGTCCAATGGTCCATGGACAGGTCATCAGGAAGGACAGGGCCAGTGCCATAGCTTTGTTGATTCGCCAACGATGTCCTCATGGGTCACACTCCGCCTGCGAGTAAGGACGCAAAGTCCACATCGTTTCAGCAGCTCCGGTAGACCGGTGACTGAGCTGCATGAGGACCCAACTTCTCACCGTTTCTGCCAGTCCAACGCAACCGTCTCCGGATGTTTCATCTGCAGCGTGATCCTTAACCCGGAATCATTGACTACATTCATCACTCTCTGCTTCGCTTGGGCAGTGCTTTCATCCGCTTCGGGCCGTGCATTCACAGTGTGATCTTTGAAAAGGGAGGCTAATACCGCCACGAACTCTACTTGGGAGAATTTCTTTCCTGGACAGATTCGGGGGCTGCTGTCGAACCAACTAATGAGTGGGAGTCAGCAAGGAGATGGGTTACAGGATGGTTCATGCTTCAATGGTGGACTTACGGCATGTAACAGCCTTTGACAGGTGGTTGCTTGAATACATCTCCGTTTGAGATCTCGTCACCGTTTGTGCCGTCGTTATCTATCCAGCGGGTTGGTTTCCATTCAAGCGAATCCTTGCCCCAGATGCTTGGGTTTGTGTGATTGGCAGCATGGTTCATCACTACAAACGTGCCGGGTGGAATCACATGTCGCTTGCCGCCAATGCTGAGCGTTTGAGAAGAGTCTTTGACACATCTCTTGAGTTCAGGCACAGGGCCATACAAGCGAAGGGTCTCATACATGGCAGCAAGGCATCGTTTCAGACGGGGAAATAGCTCCTCATATTTCCAGCCATCTGGTGGACCCGCATCGGCTAAGACGACATCGAGTTCTTCGTACAGCCAGTCTCGATATTCAGGATGGACTGAAAGCAACGTGATTACATAGGCAAGTGTATTAGCCGTCGTCTCATGACCGGCAAGGTTGTAGATGAAGAGATTTCCCATGATCTCATCATCGGTCAGGGAGTAGTTGGCCGCCTTACCTTCCTCAGAGGCTCGAATCAGGGACGTTATTAAGTTCTCGGATTCTACGTCTGGTTTTGAATCACGAAGCCTCATTCGTTCCCTTTCTTGATCAATCATTTCCGTCATGTATTGTTTGAACTCCCGGAGAGCCAAACCGACATCGCGGAGATATCTTGGCAAATAAGGTTTATCGAGGATGGTGTGTTTAAACATAATGAGCACGGTAAAATTATCAAGAAGGTTACAAAGAGCGTCCTTGTAGCTCAGGACGTGACCCGGGGCAATCGCCTTTGTGCCCGAGTTAAATGAGTATTCTTGACCAAAACCTGCCCGTGTGAGCACATGTAAAGCTAAGACTAATGTGTCTGCGCAAGTGGTGCGGACACCACGATCTCCTTGGCTCAACCAGAAGGAAAGCATTTGGCCAGACTGTCGGAGTGATTCTTTCCACACAAGAGCGCTGTTACGTTCGTTGAACGGAGGCGTAGTAAGTTTTCTATGACGCTGCCAGGTAGCTCCCTCAACCTTGAAGAAGGAAGGTCAACAAGAGCCGATCTGATTGGGCATGAGAAACATACGCTGTCCACATTTGGGCCAATAAATTCTAACGAGCCTGAATCTGCTTGTTAGGAAATCTTAATTTGCATGATTTTGTGGGCAGAATGTCGCACCATATGTTTCGTCTGGTTGAACAAAATCTTTTCGCCGAGAGGCCACCTCCTCAATAGCACCTGCATCGCCTATATACAATTGTACCCATGCTGGAGTGACGATACAGAAAGCGTCTCCATGCTTTTCGTGTATACCGTACTTCTCGTGGTAGGTCCACTCAAAATTGGTGTATTTAAAATAGTAATACAAACCAAATGGCAACTTCTCAAGCAAAGGACGGAATGTCTGGTTGAAAATGATCCATAGGGGATTGAGCAGGCTCACGGGATTGACGATGACGTGAAAGCCAAACTTGCGGGCTTTTTTGTAGTTCCGGAAGAGGCACCAGTAGCTGTAAATAGTCCATGAGCAGGCCAGAAATGCCAAGCTAGACAAAGTGGATGAGAGCCAAGTCATGGTGTTTGAGGGACAGAACCTGTCCCAGCACACGTCCGTACACGTGCTGCAAGCAGAAAGCGGTTTACAATGTCATTGATTCATAAGAATGTGAAAGCAGAAGAGCGATGTCAACACAGGAGTAGTTTCGAGGTGTTGGAGGAGCTGACGTCGTCAAGCAGTAGCCGAGGATGCCCATCAATCGGGCGTTTTACCCACGTAGATCTACTTTCAGATCCGCAAAGGACGAATCGTATGGTCTACGAGCGAAGACAAAGCAGACGAAAGGTCGCTATGCAGCCGCCAGGTATGACTGCCAGGACTGGGAGGACGTTTTTGTAGAAACCTTTCATAGGACTTGTGAGGCCCAAATAGGGGGCTGACAGCTGACAGCTGACAGCGGCACCAGGCTCCCTTAGGCTTGGTCAATAACGCTAACTTCTACCCTAATTTCTCTTCTCCTTGCACTATCAGACTCATTTCACTACCCTAACACAGGCGAAGGTTTCTATCTTACTCATGCACATAGTCGTAATCATCACTGTCTGTCTCATTGACCTGGTTTCCCGGCACCTTGATGTTACGAAGCTTCAATGAGCCCTCCAACCGTCGACAAATTCCTAGGTGAGATTTCTCACATAATTCAGCAAAAGAACGGCGTGCAATTACAGGATTATCTTGTGATCGAGCCCCCTCTACCGGAGCTGTACAAGCAGATAGTCAATGAGCTGAGACAAGCTTATCCTAACACTAGTAGCCATGAGGCTCTAGAGAACAAAATCAAGTCTTTCATTCCTGAGAATGATGATGGGGAGAATGGTGGGTCTAGATCGTCTTTTATTTCGTTCATGGTGAAATACTTCTCATTCGTAAGAGATGTGAACGTCGAAAACCTTCTCGAAACCCATGACATGCTGAAGGGCCTTTTGAAGTACATGACCCTGTGCGACGCATCCGGAAATTGGCTTATTCACTTCTAGCCAATGTATACTAGCGCTAAGCTCGTTCATGGGCGTCACCGTGCTACCGACAGTCATCTCTTTATCACGGATGCTAGCCAGGTTGGCGATTGGGCTTGATAAGCGGCCTGATTTGATTGCGGATCTCACTCGCAGGGAGAGTGTTGGGGGTGAAGAAGCCGTGGAAAGAGTCACGCTTGTAGAAGGCTCGGCAAATGTTATTCGAGAAGCATTCAAGAAGTGCCTGAGTGAGCGCAGTGGTGGCCCCTCAGGAACAGATGCCAGTGGCAAACCCGAGGGGCGTCGCATTGGGATATACTTGACAGCCAATTTATGCTTAAAATTGTTCTTCCACTGCAAGAAGCTTAGGAGTGCGGAGCAGATCTTTGGTAATATCTACCAGCAATCGCCTCCTCTTGCGCTTTTTCCAGCATCCCAGCGTGTCACATACCTCTATTACCTGGGCCGCTATCTTTTCGCCAACAACCACTTCTATCGAGCACAGCTTGCGCTTCAAGCAGCATACGATCAATGCTACAAGCAAAGCCTAAGTCAACGCCGATCCATACTGATCTATCTCATCACGTCCAATATCATTTTGGGAAGATTTCCGTCACCTGTACTTTGGCAGCAACAGGTAGCTTTAGGCTTGCAGGAAAAGTTCCAGCCTATATGCACTGCTATTGCAAAGGGAGATCTCGCCTCCTTTAGAAAACTCACGAACGTGGAAAGTGAGCAAGCTAGCTGGTTCTTGCAAAAACGTATATTGATTCAGATATCAAATCGTTGCGAGATCCAGGTGTGGCGATCTTTAGCCCGACGCACGTTTCTGCTGTCTGGCTCTATCGGTGATGCGGCGAACAAGATAGCACCAACCATGGGTCTGCAAGATATGCTGACGCTAGCTGTGTACCTCGAAAAGAAAGCACTAGACCAACAACAAATTGGCCTTGAGACAAGTAGCTTTGTCAATGGTGGACCAGGCCAGGCAAAGCATACAAACTCAATCTTCATGGTCGGAAACAACACGAATGACAACCAACAACGGTCGGCAAGGACTGGCTATGTAGATCCTGATCTGGAAAGAGCGATCGAGCTCGAGCCGTCCTTACTTCCCACACTGGAGCTGGTTGAGTCGATTGCGGCTTCAATGGTAGAGCAGGATCTCCTTCACGGATTCTTGAGTCACTCGTCTCATCGCTTCGCCATTACAGGCGCCAAAAGCGCGGCTCCGCTGCAAGTCGGCTTCCCAAAAGTCTGGGATGTGATCAAAGCCAAAGCAAATATGGAGGTCCCGGGATGGGTGAAGGAAGACAAGAACGCGCCATCGGCAATGCCAGGCAGATTTGGCCCAGGGATGGTAGTAAACTTGAGTGGTGCCAGACCAGCAGGTGCAGCAGCTGGATAGTCTCTCCGACTCCACGTCTTGAACACCAGCGTTGCAGATTACTACCTCCTTTTTCTTTTCGGACCTTTAGCAACCCTCTTCTCCCACCGCTCTCCTGGCCTCCCGCCCATCCCTTTAAATGCACCATCACCACCTACTCTCCTCTTCTTCCTTCCCTTTGTGTCTCCAAAATCAATCTGCTCCAAGGCTCCAAAGCCCCCAACATCCAATTCCTCTGCCCCACCGCCAATCCGTCTTTGTTTCTTCTTCTTCTCCCCAGGCAATCTCACAAGTCTCTGCTCCTCGTATTCCCTTCTCTCATCCTCTCTTTCCTTCTCCTTTCCTCGCAACTTGCTTCCAGCGCCAATACTTGGCTCAGCGACTGGCGCGTCTGTCATTTCCTCTCTAATAAATGCATCAACAGCCGTAGAGCGTCGCGGGCGTCGTGTACGCTCAGCTTTCCGCTCAGTGGTAGGTAGAGAGGTGGGCGTTATGCGTGGAGGCTTATAGATCTCGTCCTTCTCTTGGCGGGCAAAGGAGTCTTTGCTGGAGGGGAGGACGAAGGCGGAAGGGTTGGGGCGATGAGAGAGCTCGGAGATTGGTAGCGATGGTGGATGGGGATCGAAATCAGAGTCCTGGTCATCAAGTGCCCTTGGAGGTAGGGCACTTGTATTTCGATGGTTATTAGCAGTGTCAGCTTCGGAAGCAGCTGCTAGTAGCTTGTCGAGCTGATATCGCAGTTTGCCTTCAAGTGGACGGACGCCTTTCTCAAGGTAGACTCGGAGCTCGATTAGCTTCTTAGTGACATCCTCGATTGGGTTTTCGCCTTGTATCTGCAACGTCGCTTGTTTCGTATTTCGGAGGTTGAGAATGATGAGGTAAACGAGGTTTTGCAAATAGGCGAGGAGTAGTTCATTCTTAGTGTCGAACAGCGATATTCCGTCAGTTGGGGCAGCGAGACCACCTGGATCTGGAAATGAGGACGACGAGTTTTGCAAAGATTCCGTGAGAGTGGACAGCAGGTTGGGTAGCGTCATCTGTGTCATGGCGAGCTTTGCATATGTTTAGACATGCTCCGAGTTCTCTTGTGGTCGTCTTTCGCCAATGCCAATGACGAGGCCAACGGGAATTGACACTAGTTCTAGTTCTAGTTCTACCCATTCCGTGATGAAATCTACCCGCACCCGTCGGTGGAATATTCTACAGCGGCCTGTTCCCAGGCGCAACCTTGTCGTCTGTTCTCTTTGTTAGATCGTCTTGACATTGAGCCTGCAATGAGGGAGATTTGTTTGATCTGCGCGGTTACTACAACAATACCGCATTGCCGGATGCGATAAGGCTGGCGGTCTCGGAAAATATGCCTCATCATACGTCGTCCTCCCACACCATGTTGGACGAGAAGTGAAGTACATAGCACAATCATTGGAAAAAGGAGCACCCTTCGCCCGCAGCCGGCCACGTTGCTATACGCCCTGCCGTTTGAAAGCCGAGCCGTTGACTAGATTGACACCAGTCGGATAATTTTCTCATTTGGCTCCTCGTTATGGCCTTGCATATGCATCTTGATGCGCGTGAGATCTTTAGCTGCCATCAATGGCAACGGCTTTGTGGAGTCTCTTTATAGTGGGGTCGGATTGAATGGATCCCACAGCCCCGATCAATCATGAAGCTGAGCTTTCATTCGTTGACCTGCGAATGTCCCAATTCCCGTGCTTTATCTGGCGTCCTTCAAATGGAAAGTACCTAGGGAGAATCCCGCGCCATGCTTACTCGCATGATATTACACCCCAATCTACTTGCTTGCACGATCGCCTGTTGACAGGGCAATCGGGACGCAATCTACAACTTGCTTCAAGGAACATGGTTGACTTCCTATCCTTGCTCATTGTCTTGCGTCTTCCTTGACCTCTCTCGCAGCTAATACTAGAGCTGTCGCATTCTTTCGGTAGGCGTAAGAAAAGAGGAAACACGACATATGTCGGTAGGATGCCGCAATCTCAACTTCAAGACTTGTATCTACTACTGCATGGTTCGAGCAATAGGATCGGACTGTGTCCTGGGCCAAACTATCCTTTTCTCCTCGATGAAGAGGACTTTCAAAGGCTAACTCCCGAACATCATCACCTTAGCCTGAGCTCGTGCTCATCTTGATATACTACCCGAAGCATTCACTAGCTTGAGGTTCCGTCACAAGGAAAGAGTCCTATCTAAGAGTGAGTTTCATGCTGTACAGGAAACACTGACACCATTTTGGCGAAAAGATTGAAAGAACCTTGCTCAACAACTTTCAAATGTCACGGTCCAAAGCACCTTTCCATGCACTTCCATCAACAGGATTGGCGGATGCCGTGAACACGATAGCCAGTAGCTACAGTCAAGAAGACTGGAGGATATTTATCAATCCTTGTTGAGGAGGCAAAGCTAGCTCGAAAGAATCAGCCGTGAGCGGCTTTTATAAACGACTACATATTCAGTGTGATTGCGAGGGCCCGCGTTAGCTCATCTCTTGGATCTAGAGACAGGCGCCGATGTGACTTGTCTGGAGATCGGCATTCTAATGATATTTGGGCTGCATTGCTAAGAAATACAAAATAAAAATGCCAAAACAGAAGCGCTATAAGACAGACGGCAGGAGCTTGAAAAAAGCAGGACGTATCGAAGCCTCAAAGAGGTCAGGGAGTAAAGTTTCCACGTGCGGTTCATCATCTAAGTACTCTCGTTCTCCCAATAGTGGCGTCCGGTAAACATATTGCATTGATTTATTGCGTGGTTGTCGATCTTTTCACCGCTAGTATAAAGGATCTCGAGAGTAGGCTCATATTCTGGACAAGCTGTTTGAAATTGACTTCCTTTGTGCTGAGGTTTTCGCTCGCTGGTGGCAAGACGACCATTAGCAGCAAAATTGCATAGCGTATCTATCGTTAGCAATAGGTCTATCATAGCAGGGTTGTACGTCGAGTGAAATGGAAATGCGACTTGATTCTCCTAATCTTGCTCCGGTTACAAGGCCAAGACGATTGAGTGCTGATGCAAAAGCATTATCGACGGTACAGGCCTTATTTGCTTGCTTCTCAAGCGAGGTACATCACGCTATAGCATGGTGTTGATCTTCACCTGCGCGATGTCAGGAGGGGATACATGTGCCAGAAGTGACCCAAGAGGAGCATCGAAAACAAATGAGCCTTAGCAAGTGTCACGGAACTTTCACTTCCGAGAGCCAGTGATGTAACGCGACTTTATCAGAGCACCTTAGCAAATGTCTTAAGGACCAAATGCTACGAGAGATCTCAGCAGACGTAGATCTCGCCACCACCACGCGATATGAGAAGAACCAACCGATGGGTCGTACATTATCGGGTTGCCAGAGTCAGCCGTCCTGCCTCACTCAGATGGTCGTACTGGGCAGATAACTCACTGGATATCGGCTGCCGGTCAACATGTCGTCTGCAATATGCGAAATATGCACGACCGGCTGCAAGATTCCAGGATTCAAATGTCCGAGCGGCATCTCTTGGGTATGACCCTGCATATTCAGTGCGGTGTGCTAGCCTGACTGGCCAAGATGGATGTTGTATGTCTGATCGAGCGAATAGCCGGAATATACCATGATGTCCCTTTGGTCAGGTTATAGTCATTTCAGTATTCACTGGCTGCATGAGAGCGATCCTTTACATGATATAGATCTTGGTGCCAATAGCAAATGAGTGGGATTGCACTGTTTCAGTCCTGATAAGATCTGTCCAATGCCTCGGTGTCATCTCACAGACTTGACATCATGACGCTTCGATCAATGCTTCCATACGTACGGCCAGCTCACTTCTCGGCCAAGCTCCATTGATTGACTTGCAGTGAAGTCTAGCGGCTTGCGGCTCTATCTTGTAAAGGCTCCAGGGCCTGAGGGACTAGGACTACTCTACGCCTAGTGTGGGAGCTAGCAGGGGGATGGGATAAGGTAAGCTTTTAGGTCAGAACATAGACTTGCCCTGCCTTACCGTTTTCTTCTACTATTCATCCCTTCCACACCAGTCCATGTAATCAATGGAGGTCAGATATTATTGATGCGGCACCAGCACCCACCACTCAAAGAGACGGCTAGCTCTGTCACAATGCTTGCCATTCGTCTTAAGGCCCGTCGATCCCAACCCGTGGCCTCGCCTCGGTTGCTCCGGCAAGTCCCTGGCAGAAAATGTAAAATGCACGAGGAGCTGCACCACACTGGTTCATAGTGTCATAGACCTGAAGCGTGTCGACCTAATTCGTTCTCTGTGCACCAGCAGCATGGGCGTTCTTGAGCTCTCTGGTGCCTACGAATCAGATGATGTTCACACTCTCCCACCATTTCAGTAGTCCAGCCCGGTTTTATTCTAAAGCACGCCGTCGCCTGCCTCTCGCCCCAGCCATACACCAGACCACAGCAACCATTGACCACTGGTGACTACCTTATACTTCGAGCCGAGACCGCTGCTCCCTCTCCCTCCCGCCATGGATGACGTCGTTGACCAATCCCGACTTCCCACCGCCTCCGCCGCAAAGCTTGTCAAATTAAGGGAGTCTTGTGATGGTTGCCTTGTTGCCAAAGTCAAGTGCAGCAAAGACAAACCATTGTGTAAGCGCTGTCTCACAAATGGATTCTCTTGTGTCTACAGTCCATCCATGAAGACTGGCCGGAAGAGCCAGAAAAATAATCCAAATAAGACAACGAAATATCCTCAAGAGCCAACGAACATACCACCACGGATCAACAGTCCGCTACAATCTCGCTCGCTCTTTGAAGCTGTCACCAATGCAGATTTGCTCAACAGCACGCAAGCCTCTTTCCAAAATCAAGATGCCTCCCAATTTAGCGCTCACGGTCACCTCCACGATGTGACGAACGACTTGATGATGGACGGGGGCGCCAATGAGCCAACGAATAAAACGTATAGCCAGATGATGGACAGAGCCCTGAGTTCTGCGGATTATCTTGATCCGTTCATGGCCTTCTTCGACCCCAGCAAAGGCTTTGACTTTTCTTCTGTGCCAATATCACCGAGTACTTCTCCAGAACATCCGAGTCTTGATAGTCTCCCAACCCATCAAGCTAGTGGATTAGGACCTTATGCAAGGGTCGATATCTCACCATCGACACACAGTAGCTCCCCGCGTCGTCGTGCCAGGACTCCGCTTACATCATCTTCATCAGAGCATAGCCCGAACCAGCACCAGAACCAGTCCTGCGACTGTTTCACTACGTGTGTGCAAATCTTTCAAACCCTTCACCGTCATTCGTGCTTGTTATCAACATCGCAACAGGATGGCGGAACTTCTTTCGATGTCGTCCTCAATACTAACAAGAAGGCCATTGAGAGCTGCATGATACTTGTGAGTTGCGCTCGATGTGTGTCAGAGTGTAGCAAAAGCGTCGTCATGATGATGCTTGCTACCATTGTGGGGAAAGTGATCAGTCTGTACCGGGAAGCGTGCTCCCTCATGTTTGGCTCCTCCAACAGCATGCAGAGCACGGCGCAACTCGCTTTCGGCTCTTACGAATTCACCGGAGAAAACAGACAATTACTTGAGATAGAAATTCTTCTTCTAGATTTGAAAAGAGTTGCGGGCGTGTTAATGGCTTATTCTGAAAAGTTCTGCGTCGGCACTCCAGCTAAAGATGATGAATTGAGTATGTATGAAAGCTTGAAGTCACATTTAGAGGAAAACCTCCACAACGTCGTTCAATACCTTACTACACAGAAGGACAGCGTGTCGAAATGATTCACGTTTTTGGGAGCAGAACAGTAACGCTAGCGCTATGATAATGGTTAATTGGCAGAATGAATTAAGGAACTTGGTAACAGCGAGCGCACACGTGGAACTAGATTCTCGGAATTTGTACTTTTAGTCTAGTCTATCTACGTATCGCAACCCGATTTATCACGAACATCATTCAGCACCCCCAGTCAAGGTGGTTTGACACCAAATTCAAGGTACCACTCGAAAAATCATCTTCGGAAACAGGAATTTGCCTGTTGGCGAATCTCGTATATACAGGAACGGTGTCACTCATGGACGTCTATGTAACTGTACCTTTTGAACCGCGCTACCTTTCTACGATCTTTTTCGTTCGTGCTCGGATGGATACGAAGCAACGTGGGTGCTAGGAAATTGGCTAGTAGTCACATTCACTCCCAGTCTATTGGCCAGCTCCTCCACTCATGGTAAGTACCTGACCTACTTTGTCATTAGCAGGAGCAGAGCCAACACGACCATAATTCGACTCACCATTTACCCATCCTCCATCGTCACTTACCAGAAAGGCCACCACCCTCGCCACATCGACTGGTAGGCCACACCTCCCGAGCGGGCAAGTTTCTGCCATGGCCAATTCAACCTTCTCAGCCGACCATTCCGCAGTCCCACCTGGAATGTATCGCCATGCGACCTGGGTGAACATGTCGCTCTTGATTCCTCCTGGTGCGATTGCGTTCACCGTTATCTGTTTTGAGCCAAAGTCTTTTGCGAACGATTTTGTAGCTCCGTTGATGGCTGCTTTACTCGCACTGTAAAGGGCATGATCTCCCACAGTGATCAAACCTGCGGCAATTGAGCTCATCAATATCAGACGGCCCCCCGGCTCACAATACTGATAGGCGTGCTGTGCTACAAAGAATTGAGCCCTAAAATTAAGGCCAAAGACTGTGTCGAACCGCTCCTCCGTGATATCTTCAGTACGGTCAAAGCTTTCCATGCCGGAATTTGAGCAGACGATGTCGATTTTGCCGTATATCGCTTTAGCTTCGTGGAAGAGCCTTCCTATCTCTGGAACCCGGGATACATCCGCCTGCAAGGCTGCTGCACTGCCTCCTGAATCCTCTATTTGCTGCACAATTCGTTCTGCAGCATCTTTACCTCGCACATAATTGACGATGACCGAAGCATGACGGGCTCCTAGCTCGAGCGCTATGCCGGCTCCAATTCCACGTGAAGCTCCGGTGATTAGGGCTACTTTTCCTGCCAGGTTCTTCGGTATCGAATAGAGGGGCCGCTCCACTGCAGGATAAGTTGGTATCGAGGCACTTTTCATGATCTCCTGTTTCTCGGACAATGTGTTCCGAGGTCCTCTGCTGGTGAAAAGACGCTTGATACTAGCACAAGACATCGAGTGAGTCTGCCTTTCCCCCGCGTAAGAGTCTTGTCGGAAAAGATGGTGTATTACTTGAGAAAAGCTGAAAGGATATGAAAACAAGATGCAAGTAGAACACGGCTGGTATATACAAGTTCGAGACTGGGAAAGATACAAATGAGCCGTGGGAGAACACGTCGCTTGCTGACGCGTCAATTTGTGGCACTTACTCGCTCTTTGAGGGTAATGCACGATTGACAAATGGGGTTCTGGATTTCGGAAGGTTACCCCAGACATCATTCGGCAGAAACGACACTAACTATTTTAACAGTAATTAGTCGGAGCCACTTCGATGGATTCGTCCATGCTACAACAACGGTCACCGAAGATAAGACTGACGCTTGGTTCAATAAATTGCCAAGGTGCCCACATATCTACCGAGGACTAGAGCGACTTATCTAGCACCAATACGACCCTTGTGTGACAAGGATCTAGGATACACCAAACGAGGTTGTCACACAGAGTCTCCTACACACTCCTTGGTTGCCTATACCAAATTCCACATTCCATAACATCTCGGAGTCGACAGACACGTACGGGTATATTTGGGTGACTCGAGACACATCTATTATCTCTCAGCGCCAGATTTGTTTGTCCTAGAGGAGCAACTATTCAAAGATCGTCTGATTATCTTCGCATCCGTGGACTATGGCTGAAGGCCAACTTGAAGGGGGTTCACTTGACTCACCGGAAAACAGACCCTCAATATTTCTGCAAGAGGATCACTTCAGAATGCCTTCAGAATCGAACTTACCGAGTGCAGCGCCTGGGCAGAGCCACGTCCCTTCACTTGAGGGCATCAGTGCAAGACTTACATCGCCAGCTGATTCGCTCATTCGCAAACCTCCTGCTACAGATCTACCCAGTAAGCCTTCCACTGAGCAGATTGAAACACCGTGCGATCGCACAGAACAGAGCAACATGGAAGGTAAGGCTTTGTCACGATTTCATGCACATGACATCTTCATGGGTGGATTTGGGGAAGGAGCGTTCGGAGACATTTCTTATCCTGATCTTGGATACTTTTTGTTCAGCAAAGTGAGACGTGAAGACTGACTGCGGCGTAAGCAGCTCAAGAGACATCGCCTTTTGATGATGCGACAGATTTCCGCAATAATGAGCCCCAGACGATTGCCAGCCCAGATATGGCCCCTCGAAATGAAGTCGACAAAGACGATTCTAAATACACCGCAGACCCCTGCGATGGTAAACTGCAGCAGCAGATTTCATTCGAAGGTAAGGCGATTTTTCTCATGGTTCACAGGCATAACATATCGCAAAATAATTTTCGGTCATCTTGCCTTCAGAACCTCAAAACTCACACTATATTATTCTAGACTATCTCAGCTTCAAGACTTTGTCTTTCACCTGGGCTGATACCTATGATACGAAAGATTTCGGCCGCCTCTCTACTATCCTGGCCCCTGCGTTGCGCATCGACTACAGCATTGTTGCATCAACTCTTCCCAAAGTGGAGCGAATGCCGGCAGACGACTTTTTGGCATTCGTGTCATCTCCTTATTTCTTAGGAGATCCCTTGATACACACCCAGCACTTGCTCGGAGCCTCCAAATTTGAAAGAATTAGCGAGGACGAAGTGTTGGGCTCGTGGCAAATCCGGGCTGCGCACCAAAGATATGATCAGACTGGCAGGGTAGAATGCAATGGACATGGCCATGCAATGGTTGAGCATTGGTACAAGAAAGTTCTAGATGGCGCTGAAATGGTTTGGAAATTGGCGGGAGTCCGACCTAACGTGCGGTGGAACGAGGGAAACTTCGAAAAGATCTTTCGAGGTCCAGTGTGAGCATTGCTTCCTCGGCTTCAGAAGTCTAGTTCGAGGTAAACATCGTGTACTTACACATGCAACTGGTCCAATCACTACTAGCTGAATGAGTCAGCATCCACGCTGCAAGCTTTGCCGGTAGGGTTTTTGCCCTTGCATATCAGCTTTCTCTTACCTTTAAGCGAGCCAAAGGACAACTAGCCGATTGACATGCACGAGAACGAGATCTCGGGCCCAGACGCACAGTGACCGCTCGCTTTGGTCATTCACGTCATTTGATATCTGAACTGTGAATTCAGCGTTCTCGTACTCTTATCACACAAACAGACCGAAGCTTGCATAATGTAAGGTCCAATACTCGGTCATCAGCCTAAGCTCCCAAAATTTGGTCACACCGCTTCCTACCAGCCCTATCTCGGTCCTCTACTACATATGACTAAAGGGATCACCCACTTTTCTCCACAGCCGTTGGAGTCTCGCCTAAATCGGCCTGGGTATCTCACTTTGGATTCATCATGACCTGTAGATACATGTCGTTGACCAAGATGCTCGCCACCACCCGTCCATCATCGGGTCATTGTAAGGGCTGCTTCTACCAGCTACGGCCACTCGGGGTCTTGCATCCTCTTGCGTAATATCGATGGCTACAGCGTCACAAAACGATTCCTCCTTAAGAATCCTTTCATTCATTTTGTTGTGATGCTATGATACCGGTAGTCATACAACCATATTGTTCTCGTCTTGTTCGATATGACTGACCCCAATGCCTATCCGAAGGTTGATTACGGCCGCAATGTCAATGCTCCTGATGTCTTGATTGTCGGTGCTGGTATTGCAGGTATGTCATTGGATCAAACTCGAAGGACTGACCAACATCACGAATAGAGGTTGACATCTTGTCGTTAGGCTTGTGCATTGCTATTGACCTGATCAGATCTGGTAGCGGTTGTAGTTTTATCATCGTGGAAAAAGGTAGTCAGGTTGGTGGGACATGGCATGATAATACATACCCAGGGTGCTGCTGTGATGGTACGGTAGCTTGCACTGCTCAAGAAGCATGACTAGCTTCCATACCAGTGCTGACCTTGACAGTAATGAGCCATCTTTACTCATACTCATTTGAGCGCAATGCCGATTGGAGTCGAGAGTATCCAGGACAACAGGAGATCCAGGACTATCTCATAGGCGTAGCTCACAAATATGAGCTCTACAGGCATATACGATTCAATTCGTCCGTTGAAGAGGCCCATTGGAACGAAGATAGGTTCAACTGGACAACCACGGTCCGTAGACAGGGTGATAAAGAGAAAGAAGTCAGTGAAACTTACCAGGTCGAGTCTGACTTTCTCATCTCTGCAACCGGCCAGCTCAGTCAACCTAAATACCCCCACCTACCAGAGATTGAGAAATTTCAAGGCAAAATCATGCATTCCGCTCGCTGGGACTGGAACTACAGCATACGGGGGAAGAGAGTCGGTATCATAGGTACAGGCGCGACAGCAGCTCAAATTATACCAGAGGTTGCCCAATCTTCCTCGTCCCTATTGGTTTTCCAACGCAGTCCAGCTTGGGTGGTACCTCGTCACGATCACCCTATCAGTCAAATTCGGCGCGCTTTATATAAATACATTCCATTGGTACAGCAACATTATCGAGCTAGTATAATGGACGAGCGTGAATCCAAATTCGAACCAAGCTTCTACCCTAAGAGCACTAAGCATGAGTTTGTAAAGCAGCTTTGTCAGAAACACATGCTCAACCAGCTTCCGGGCGAAGCAAATGCGTCTCTACGCCAACAATTGACGCCAAATTATCCGTTCAGCTGCAAACGAATTATTGTCAGCGATGACTTTTATCCTACACTGCTGCGTCAGAATGTAAGCTTGGAGACAAGCGCTATCGTCAACGTCACTGAAAAGGGCATCAAATTGGCCAACGGAACCCATCACGATCTTGATGTCCTAATTCTGGCTACCGGCTTCCACAGTACGAACTTCCTCTCCGACATTCGGATATATGGCTCGAACGGATATCCTTTGCACTCAACCTGGTCAAAAGCTGGCGCTTCAGCGTACCTGGGGATCACAGTACCCAATCTTCCGAATTTTGGCATGCTCTATGGACCTAATACTAACATAGCCTACAACAGCCTCATAATTCAGATTGAAGCACAATCACTGTATCTCTCTCGAATTGTTAGTAACGTACTATCCGCGAAACGAAGTGGTAAGACTCTACGCATCGAACCAAGGGCTGATGTCACCGATGCGTATAATCGTGCAATTCAGAGTAAATTGAGCGGAAGCACATTTGCCGACACTCGATGCAATTCCTGGTTCAAGGACGAAAAGGGCCGGATCACCAATAATTGGGCTGGTAGCGCGGTCGAGTACCAGCAACGCGTCCAGAGACTTGACTGGAGTGATTATGAAGTCTTGGGAACGGCGACCGGGGATGTGCTGAAAAAAGGCGTCATAAAGTGGAGTAGACGGAAGGAAGAAGGAGCTTGGAGTGCTGTAGAATTGTCAACGGCGGCCGTGGGCATGTTGGTATTGGGAATTCTGGGTCTGTGGTTTCAGCTTAGATAAAATCTTATAAAGGGGAGTAATACTGAAAGACTGGCAATTCTCCTCCCTTTAAAGACCTTGACAACGTAGGCTTCATTAGAGCCTACCTGTTACTGATATTCTACTCCCAACCTGACAGTGTGCACATTAAGAATCCTCATCAAGGACTTTCTTAATTAAGGCCACGAATCACATCGACCACGGACGCGTGTACGCTTGGTGTACGATCTGACAACCTGTCTGATGCCTCGGTGTTGGTAAAGGCCTCGATTTTGCGTCACACCTGCACAATTCGGTGAACGTCGGATCCTAGTCGACCTTTCATCTTGCGCAACTGAGCCTGCCAAACCGCTTACCCAAATAAGATCTTCAATTCTGAGGCTAGCAGTCCTACTTAAGCTGATATCATCCCACGGGCCTATCATCTATGTCAAAGACCAGCCCATTGTTATTCAATTGAAGCAGTAACGCCATGGGTCGACAGTCTCTCAAGAATGTGCTCTTGATCGGTTCAAGTGGGCAACTGGCGCCCCATCTCATTCGTGAGCTCTCTGCCTCGCCACACCTAGCACTCACCGTCCTTTCGCGCTCAACCCCTTCTTCACGGTCTCGGAATGCTAAATTCATAACGCTGCCGAGTCCGTATAAATATGAGGATCTCGCGAGTTGTCTCAAGGGGAAAGATGCAGTGGTCAACCTGATACCATCTGGGCAATTTGAAATGTAATCTCCCTACCTTGACTCCAGCTCTTTGCCATATATGTCGCTAGTAAATTCATGGCAACGATTGAAACCTTGAGCCTCATGCTGAATTTTGTGTTCATCACCCGCCCCAGAGTCTTCAAACCCCTGTGTACGGACTGAAAGGAGCTGACAAGATGACTACAACAGGCACAGAACCGTCATTGATCTATGCATTCGGGAAGGCGTGAAGAGGTACATACCACCTGAATTCGGAGCGCGCACCGACAACGACATGGTTGTAGAGAAAGTCCCTATTGTGGCTATGAAGAAGCGGGTCAAAGACTTACTGCAGAGCAAAGAGCGGGAAGGAATCAGTTGGACAGGTGTGGTATGTGGGGCTTTTCTGGATTCGTATGACTTCCTACCCTCAGATACCGGGAAGTAGCAGCTTTTGGTAGCAGCTTAGGATAGGAGCAGTGCTGACGTCTCGCCCTTTACTAGCGGTATCAAGAACGGCTTCCTGGGGTTTGATATCAAGAACAAACAAGCCAGACTCTACGACCAAGGGGAGCACAATATGGATGTAACGTTGCTTTCCGACGTCGGTAAAGCTGTAGCATCGATCCTGAGCGATCATCCCACTGAGACAAAGAACCAATACGTCTACATCAACACCTTCTTGACCTCCCAGAACAGCGTCCTCAAGCCACTCGAAAAAGAGTCTGGCAAATTTGAAATCAGTCATGCGGGAGCAAAAGAAGCGAACGAAGAAGGCACGGCAAGGATAAAGAAAGGCGATTTTGGCGGCGTGAAAGATAGTCTGATGGGGAGGATGGCGAGCGGAAAGGATGGGATCAACGGGGAAGGAAAGCATAACGAGCTGTTGTTGGGACGCGGAACGAGAGGCTTAGAAGATTTGGATGGCGTTGTGGGAGATATAACGAGGTCGTCATGGCAGTAAAAGGGGTAATAAAAGGAGCTTTTGCCAAGACTAGCCCCTGAATGGACCCCTACCTGATCTGCGTGGCCACGCAAGAAATCGCGGCTCCTTGCATAATCCCACATTCCTCAGTCTACTTGGATCTTACCTTAGTCTCTCAGCGTTGCTCGACCTTGGACAAGGTAGCAAGTAGACCTGTGCAAGTGGAATCTGACATCTAATAGCGAACGCCTGACCGTACTTATAGGATGGATCAAGAATGACAACAGAAGTCCGGTTAGGTAGAAACGGGACTCAAAGGCAGGTATTTCGAGAAGCGGACTAGATGTTTAAGGGTGTTGCAGTATGCTCGGGCCTGTCGAGTGCAATGAGATCGTCGCCAGGACTCTGGATGCCTGCCATAATGAGGCGGATGGCCCTCGAATGTTTGCTCGGGTCTAGAGTCCGGCGTTGATTTATGCCTAGTGTCATTCTTCCATATAAGCATGGCGTGCGTGTTCATCTTTCTCGGTGACTTGATCTTCGTCTGAGGCACTATCACCCCGGGAGGCTAATCGACTTAATCGATTTTGCATATTTTAACACCACCCTGCAGCTCGATGCCAATTTCGACGATCTAGTTGCAATATGTCAACTCGTCTTTATCTCCTTTGCTAGTAGTGTGGAATGATTGACCACTGCCTTTGCTCTGACTCCCATGTGCAAAAAAGATATATCCTACAAATAGCGTGTATTTTTAGCGGCGTTTTCACAGCGGAGGTTGGGACCATTTACCTTGCTCGCCATATGTACCAAAGTCTGTCTGGTCTCTTGTCCTTAATACCAAACCTTCACTGGTGTGCACCATTGTCTAGGTCATTCAACCTGTATCTCGAGTATTACCACAACATCCTGCTCCCTCACTATCGGATACACACGAATGGAGACAGGGTGCTCTACACCATTCCTAGGATTGGCCCGAATGGGGTTTTGTAATGAAACATAAGGCCGTCAAAACCGTTTGGGGCACAGGCTGTGAAAAGTCTCCTTGGCATCAAGTCTTTCGCAGTTTCGGGTAAGTGTATAGATTAATACCACGGTCATGATTATGTCTCAACAGAAGATAGCAAATACAACATGTTCTCTTTTCAGTTCGAGCTTTGAGCACGCAAAGCGAAGAAGACAATATCGAAGAGTTTTCAAGCTAAGTCGGATACCTCTCTGGGAGGGTCTTCGAACAGTTGATCCAATCAGTTGATATCAGACTCGACTTGTGCCGAAAGGAGGCTGAATGATATACGACCGAACGCTCTTCCGAAGATGCAAGCAATGCTCTTAGCCAGAATGTGCCGCAGCTGATTGAAGAGGCGTCAGCGTCGGGAAGATCGCTTCCAGGAACGGACTCTTTGCTTAATCCAATGAGAAGGAGGAATCTCGATACAGTGACCATATGTGAGGCCGGTAAGGTGTAATAATGGATGCCCGGGTAATAAAACATTCCCAACGACCAATAAGCACTGCTCGAGTTCTGTGAAGAAGAGTCTTGTTGGTCGCTAAGATTTTGAAATCATACCTGGGTGCATGAGCTGGTGATATCAGGATACGAATGGGTTCAAAACGTGTCTGAGAAGTCCTGGAATTTTTTTTGGCAAAAGTCTAGTAACAAGTGAAAATGAGAATTTTTAATCCTAATGAATATCCGAACATTGGAGCATAGGAGCAACAGAGAGACTTGCCTTAGTAGCCTCACTGCCTGAGCGTCTTGTCAAGCCATAATAATTCATTGCTCAGTTTCTCCTACTTCTTACCCTTTTGACCTTTGGCGCTGTCACTGCGCCTTTGTCACCACGGTCAGACAGGTTTATGTCCCGTCCTGTTGCCACATGAGCGCATAGGCTATCCAACTTTACCCCACATTCTGACTAGCCAGTCAGCGATCAAAGCTATCTTGTATCCTACAGAGTGCCGCGGTGTTTTTGATGTCATGCTTGTTATCGAGGTGCTTAGTGAGTCAACGTTCCCACAGAAGAGACTGGTGGCGACGACAGCTAGCCCGTGATAATATGCGACAAGATTGCTGGAAGATAGACATTATGCTGATGGAGTATCAAGTGACCTACAAATGCACAAAATAGCCCCCAATGCGTGGGAATATCAACAATGCATGGCGACCCATATGGACAACCCATTCCTGCCGTCTCCCCCAAGCTTATTCTTCACCCAGACTCGCCCTGACATTCGCCCTACACCTCTTCTTGAATTCCTTCGGATCTTCTCTCCACATTCTCGCAGCTTCCACATTCGCAGGACTCTCATCGTTCGGACTACTCAGCATGCTTATCACGCTTAATAATATCGTCTCCGGTGTCTGTACAGGAGACCATCTCTCTGAAGCGTGTTCGTATCCGTACGGATCGTGTGTGGGTGGGTGGAGGATTGAGATGCAGACTTCGCCAGATTGATAGACTGTTATACATGTAAGTCAATAGGACATCTATCATATTCCCCCTCGAAGCGGGTGAGGTAGAGCGCCTCCAGATGGAAGACTCTTACCATTGGGGTGGAAAACCGGCGTCTTGAAAGTCATCTTGGGCGGCAGGTGCGGGTACTCTGGGGGAAACACAAGATGTGCTCTGTAAAAGCCTCCTATTCAACGTAATCCCAAAACTGATCAGTCACGCGATCTTCAAAGGCTTCATGGAAATCGTCCTGCATTGGTTCATACCACCGTAGAACTTGCAGTCATCCGATATCATGAGCATGACCTCCCACTCTAACACGTTGTTGGAGATCAGTCCGCAACTTATGCCGGGAATGTCTTTGTCGGTTTGCATTTGTTTGAGCTGGCGGCTCAAGAGCCCGGAGGCCGCTGAGCTCGCCATGAGGGGCCGAGGTACTGTTGCTTCGGGCACAAGGTCGAAGGCTTTGGGCGGTCTTTGTGGCTGTCACAAGCTTGATGTGATGAGCAAGGCTGGGGACTATCTCTTCGAGGATCGAGAAGACTGTTCACATCTATGTCATTCATTGCCTCGTCGTTTAGATGTCGCGTCGGACTTATTATCATATCTCCGGCCCCGGGCACGTTCTGTGATCGAGTGGCGGTCCATAAAAAGACTTAGATGTTTTGAGACGGATTTTTTTGCCCTGCTCATTTGAATAATCTATTTTCGCTACAGGAGCCTCAAGCATGGAGTGTCATTTGGCACTGGGCAGCTTTCTATGGGATGAGTATTTATGGTAGGGGCTCATTTCCCGACGTTCGTATACCGCAAATATCTGTCCAATGGCATTAGCACAATCAGACCTCGCCTGAAAAGAGACGCAGACTTACGGCTTAACCTCCTTCACATCCCCAAACTTCTTCCTCGCATCCTCCGTCGCTACGGTTGGAGGTACGATGACGTCGTCTCCAGGTATCCAGTCAACAGGGGTTGTGACGCCCTTTCCATCGCCCGTCTGCAAAGAATCTATGACCCTGAGCACCTCACTGGTATTCCTCCCCGTCGAAGCTGGATACATCATTGTCAACCTGATTTTCTTCGCCGGATCGATCACGAACACGCTTCTTATCGTGAAGGCGACTCCTTTCTCATCCGTGTTTGTCACGTCCTGTGCGTCTACCATGTCATAAGTGAATGCGATTTTCCTGTCCGAGTCTGCAATGATGGGGAATTGGAGATTGCTGCCTTGCGTTTCGTTGATGTCGGCAATCCATCTGTCGTGAGAGGTAAGGTCGTTGGCGGAAAGTCCTATCATCTTCACGTCCCGCTTGTCGAATTCCCCTTTCATTTTGGCGAAGGCACCCAATTCTGTGGTACAGACTGGTGTGAAGTCTGCGGGATGGGAGAAAAGTATTGCCCATTTGTTCTCGAGCCACTGATGGAAGTCAATGTCGCCTTGAGTGGTCTTTGCTTTGAAGTTTGGTGCTGTGGATCCCAAGCGTAAGCGAGGCTGGTCGTCCGTAGCTGTTGCAAGTGTGCGCTTGAGCATCGGAGCTCTGAGGCATGGTCGTAAAGGGTTTGAGCGGAAGGCATGGAGGGTTCTCGGTGATGTACGTGGTAAAAAGCACGCCATGATCAGGATTTACGGCAACAAGAAGAAGTCTTGAGCGATCGACTGCAACAGAGAGTCTCTTTGATTGAGACATTGTCTGAGCAGATTGCGTCATGCAGCAATTGGCTAGGCCAGGCACCTGTTCGTGGGGCAGATTCGCTATTGCTGCCCCGAGGAATGTCCGCTAGGCTAGGCCGAGAATTGGAAGGCAGACCAGCCTCCGGGTCTGGCATCTATCGTGGCATGGAATCATCGCCATGGATCTAGAAATATCCTTAATATCTCGATTTATTCCCCATTATACCAGGTTATATATACTCCCTAGTTCTACAGAACCCTCGTGGCGTCATTTTATCAACATCAGATCGTCCCATTTTGTTTTGTCGCTGACACTGAACCAGGTCATATACACATACCCTCATCCTGTCGTAATGATTTTAAAAGGTAGGACTTGAATCTTGGCCATCTGCTCTCGAGATTCGCCAACCTAGGAGGTGTCTTATTGGGCTATTGTTTCTTTATGCTGGCCTTCTCCCTCTTTCATAGCTCGTTGCACCGCTGCCATCATTTTCTGCACCCTCTCGGCAAAAGGATGCTGCGTGCCGCCAATGGCAATCAATGCTGTCCAGATGTCCTTCAGAACGTTGTCTGATTTTACAAATTTTCGCTGAATCTGGTAGCATTCGGCCGCAGACCACATCGCCATAATCTGATCTGGAGACTCCCCTTCCTCACGCTGGCTGTTCCTGTACATCGTTTTGGCAATAACCTCTTCAAACAGCTCCTCAGCTTCCTGATATCTTTCTTGCCGAACATATATCTGCGCAAGCTGTGTCTTGCCGAGCATGAATCCCATATGGTCTTCGGGTAGGTTTCGAATGCCGATTGGGAGTGCATCAAGCAAGGCTTTTTCAGCTTCTTTCGTACGGCCGAGCGCGCTATCAATGCGAGCGACGACGGTGATGGTCCATAATGTGAGATGATGCTCCCTACCTAAGCTTTGACGGCGTTCTTCAAGTATTTCGAGCTCCAATTTTTGAGCTGTGCGAAGGGATTCCAAGTTGGGAGCTGCACTTAGAGACTCCAGACCTACTTCTAGGTAAGTGATTGCTAGATTTTCTCGAGCTGCCACAGTGTCCGGATGTTTATAACCAAGCGTTCTGGTCAACCCCGCGATAGCTTCTTTGTGTAGCTCTCTTGCCGTGTCGAAGCGAAAATAGCGCTGGTGCGCCAAACCTAAGTGATCGGTGGCAAGAAGGACATCTGTGTGGTCTAGAGGTAACACAATCTTCATTCCTGCTAAGGCGTCGACATGGAGTTTGAGGGCCTCTGGGTGAACATGAGGGTCAGCACCGTCCGATGTCTCCAACAGCGAGCAACTCAGTGATAGCAACGGTTGAGAAGGCTGGGAGCATGGCAAGAAAATCGACTCACCCTTGTATCTCCCGCGATGCACTTCACATTTACCCAACTCATCCATGACTTTAAGAGTTCGGGGATGGTTTTCACCCAGCGACGTTTTGCAGGTACTTAAAGCCTGGTTCATCAATGCCGCAGCGTCGTTCGTATGAGTCATCGCGCCATAGGTACCGGCTAATGCGAGGAATATCAGTACAGTTCTTTCGTCCTCCAGGCCTAACATTTCCGTCACATAGTCTTTGACTTGGACTTGAAGGTTCTTGGCATCGTGGAGACGAGCACATTCAGCATATACACGGCTAAACTTGCCATATTGTAAAGCTTTTTGCCTCGTCATTGAAGGAGCTTGATCGATCAGGAGCCATGACAATGCCCGTCTTCTCCTGTTGGACGCCAGAAGTAGCCTGATTTCTTCTTGAAATCGCTGTACTGCGTCAAGATGTGGAAGTAGACGTCTTCGAAGCTCCATATCCGAGGGACTCTCTCCAAAAGGAGGTAAAGGAATGCATTGGCTCAGCATATTTGCAGCAGCTTGACACCAAACGGCACGTTCTCCGACCTTCATCTGAGGCCTTTCACGCACCCACTTATGGACTAAAGGATGCATCGAGTAGACATCCGAGTCTCTGACCCGCCGATGTGTCACTAACGAGATACTAGTAAGCTTGACTAAGGCTGCGCGTAGTCGATCAACGGAGAAACGATCCACTCTACCGTTTCTGAGCGCTTCTGGAAGAACAGGATAGCCACGGTCTGTACACCATGTCACTGCTTGGATGAATCTGTCTCTTATCACTCGGCGCCAAGGTTTCGATTTCTCTTCAATCGTTTTTCCTTTCTTAGCAAGGGCGATCCGCTGTTGTTCTTCAAGGTCTTGCCGCAGTCTTGCTTCCACTGATGGCGGATTCTCTGCGGCTTTCATCAAAAAATCGAAACGAATGTTCTCATGGTGGAGCAAGGAAAACAATTTGAGTATTTGAATTGCGTCCTTAGCTTCTCGTAACGGCTGTCTATCAAGATGTCGGTAGAAGGCATCGTAAGGAGCTAGAACATTCTTCTGTGTCTCATCCACATCCTGTCCCGAGGCCGTACTCTCTTCTCGGATTCTGTCCCAGATGCCATCAAGATACTCAACGCATTTGGCTCGACTCGTGAGGCCTTTGGCTATACAATCGCCAGCAAACACTAATGCAAGGGGCAGGTAGCCAAGGGCTTCGGTGATGTGTGCAGCATCTCTCCTGACATCCAAGGTCCATGGCTCTGACTCTTGTGCATGCTTCAGAAGTAGGATTTCCGCATCCTCATCCTCTAATTGGCCAAGTTCACAGCATCGTTCGCCAGCAGTCCCGTGCTTCTTCAGCAATGGGTTGCGAGTTGTCACCAAAACGCAACCATTTTCCCCGCCCGGAAAATAGTCCTGAATGGGTATGTTTGGGTCATCAGCGTTATCAATCACTAAGAGCCATGGATCTTCAATACCCGAAAGCCAGGTTTTAGCGGCATTTATATTCGTATCGACGCCCCCAATTTTGCTGATTTCCTGGAAGGAGTGCTTAGCAGTGTCATCAGAGCTCGCATCGATCCAAAAAACGCCCCAAAAGCTAAGCCTTGAGATTAGCTATGGTTAGAAAAGCCTGAGCTGGTAGAAGCACTCACCGTCGCTGATACACCTCCGCAAATCTCCGACAGAACTCTGTTTTCCCAGATCCGCCAAGGCCAAAAATGATGAAGCGCTTCTGCGAAACAGGTACCTTGCTGCTTGAAGATCCATCTGAAGCCTCTATGTCCAGAGGTGTGAAGCTCAGGGCAAAGGCGTTGCCCAATTCATTGATCATGTCTTCCCTGCCTGTAAACATATTACTGGCCACGGGTGCTTGAAAATACTGATTTCGAAGTTGCGGGATCGGCTTCGCTGTTTGCCTTGACGAGGACAACTGGCTCCTGATATTTTCCATACACTCCTTTACTTCATCCATCGAGTGGTGAGATTTTGTGTTCAATCGTCTGATCAAAGTCAGCATCGCCAGATGACGGCAAATTATAGGACCTACACATTAAATCCAGCCAAGCAGGTGCCGAGGCCATTTTGATTGTTTGCGAGTTGTTGTCGAAGATCTTGGAACTCACTTTCCTTCGATTCCTTGCGCAACTGCACACGAATACTGTTTACCCGCTTGAAAGCAGCATGGCGAATCTTACTCGCTTTACTTTCTTCCTACAATACGAAATAAGCGATGCCCAAACTCATATCGTGAAAAACTTACCGACGCCCACGTCGCACCCTTCTCAACAGAGACATTGTCATTTGGTCGCTCCAAACCTTTGACAGTCTTGAGCGAATTGTCAAGCCTATGCAGTACATGGCCACATCTTCCTAAAATCTTCTGGGTGTTACGCTCTAGATCAACCCAGATTCCTTCAAGATGAACGCCATTCTCCACAGGCGTGGATAATGTTGACAGAAGTTCAGGGGCTGAGAGAATGTCTCTAATGTTAGCGTTAACGGCGAGAAGATCTTCAATTTGATCTAGTAGGTCTGCGACATCTTGGTCGACGCTTGACGCACCCGAAAGCGTCTTCTTAATGGATTTGCTCACCCTGAACACTACATCGATGGTTCCGACGGTTGCTGCAGCGATCGAAAAAGGATCCGTCATTCTCTGAAACTTATCGTCTCGAAGTTTATGTGCGGACCATCGAAACTGGGGGGACGCAAAGCAACTCGAAGTGGATATCAAAAAGATTGGGGAAAATCTGACACAAAGCGCGACACCCGTCGGTCTATGGCAGTTGCAAAGCAGAGTGCCATAGTATCTGCGTTTCAAAAATCGGTTGGAGAAAAGAGAAAGATTCCAAGAATAGGTGGATTGAGGCTCAACTGCTCATCTGATCGATCGTTTAATGCCTATGAACAACAAGGCTGAGGCTAGATATAGGTGCGATCCCCACGTAGTGTGGTAGGGCCTGCCTGGCGGCTGGTCCAGCTGGTCCCTTGATGTACCGGCACTGGTGGGCATGACAGCACCGACCAAGTTGCGAATCGCCCTAGAAGAACTCACCCCCAGTTCGGATCCACCCCCAGTTCGGATTCTTAGCGTATTGCTCAGCTTGGCAGCGCAGTTTCAGGGAAAATCCGAACTGGGGGTGGATCCGAACTGGGGGTGAGTTCTTCTAAAATTTGACTTCCGAGGATCAATAGGATGGGAAGGATGGCAGGTCTTTTTCGCCCCCAACACCCCACCCAAGTTTGACGCCAGCTTGATGCACCAGATCTGGATTTCAGCACCAGATTCCAGAGGCTGCAATCTTCAGCCTTGTCGTGAGAGAGATCCTTAAGATTGAAAAAGCAGCCGCCCACAAGTCCTGTGGAATGGAATAATGGTATCTGAAGGTTCGCCGTCTGCGCGGGCTTCCCATCTTTTGGGTTGACGGCGGAGATGGCCGTGGGGCAGCCTTTAAAGTGGAGTTTATACTCAATATCTTTGATTGTTGCCCTCATCTTTGGCACTTATCGATATATCCGCAATGTATTTCGGCGCCAGACTGATGATGCATTTGCAGCCCGACATGGCTGCAGACCAGTGCGAGCAATATTTCCCTCCAAATGGCCGTTCTCCCTGGACTTGCTATATCGTCAGTACTACGTGAACAAGACCCAGCGTCTCTTGGCCTTTCAGACCCCATACTTCGATGAGCTAGGTCCGACTATAGAGATGCATCTCTTTGGAGACACAGGTCTCTTGACGTTTGATCCAAAGAATTTGGAAGCCATTTTGGCCACTAATTTCGAAGGTTTTTGTCATCTGCAAGTCGTTCATACGCACCACTGATTCTGGGACAAGACTACACCCTTGGGTCTCGAAGCGATGCCCTTCGCTCTTTCTTGGGAGAAGGCATCTTCACGCAAGACGGTGCTCGATGGAAGCATTCCCGAGAAATGCTCCGTCGTCCATTCGCTCGCATGCAGTATCGGAATCTCAAGGGTTTTGGCGAGTACATTGAAGATCTGATTGGTGATCTCAAAGGATGCACGGAGGCTGTTGTCGATTTGCAACCGCATTTCTTCCGCTTTACCCTCGCTACTACAACTGCTTTGATCTTTGGCCAGCCTATCAAGGAGAATAAAAGTGTAAAGCATCAATCCTTTGCGAGCAACTTTGATTACGCCTCAAGAATCTCAGCAATACGCATTCGCCTTGCAGATTTTCACTGGGCTTACACAACCTCGACATATACTCGTGCGTGCGAGAAGGTGAAAGACTACGCTGATAGCTTCGTAAAGCATGCATTGGACAATCAGAGCTCTGCTTCTGAAGACGCTACATCTCAATACGCATTCCTCAAAGACCTTTTTGAGGAATACAAAGACCCAACACTTGTCCGCGATCAACTGATTCACGTTCTAATTGCTGGCAGGGATACGACAGCTTGTCTGCTTTCTTGGGCGTTGTGAGCATTGCATTCTCTTTCTTCTCCTCAAAGCGTCTCTTGACCCAAGTGCATTGGAAAGGACAAGCTAACATTAAAATTAGTTTCCTGCTTATTCGTCATCCATCTGTCTTGGCTCGACTTCAAGAAGAGGTCGTCACGGTCATGGGTGGCGAGGAACAACTGAATCGTGCTCATATCCAGAAAATGCAATATCTCAAATGCGTGTTGAACGAAAGTAAGTTTCTGCTACACACACACAAAACATGTAGTGGCTCAGACCTTCTCCTCATTGTTTGCAGCAAACCGTCTATACCCCCAATTGCCGGTCAACGTCCGTATCGCCAGTAGAAATACAGTCATTCCTCGGGGTGGTGGACCCGATGGCATGTACCCAGTAATGGTCCGCAAGGGGACCGGCATCGGATGGTCAACATATCACATGCATCGGCGAAAGGAGCTCTATGGTGAAGATGCTGAGGCTTACCGGCCTGAAAGGTGGGAATCAGGAGAGTTGGCTGACATTGGCTGGGGATTCATGCCCTTTCATGGAGGGCCGAGACTTTGTCTTGGAAGTAGGCTAATGAGTCTAGAGATCGAGGACTTTTTGCTGACATCGCGCAGAGGATTTCGCGTTGACCGAAGCCTCCTGCGCTATTGCTCGTATCCTTCAGACCTTTCCGAACATTGGCCTTCCCCATGGACATCCCACTGAGCCTACCGGACAGGAGAAGCAGTCGCTTACGATTGTCATTTCTAGTGCTGAGGGCTGTAAAGTGGCTCTGAATGCATGAGCTATTGTCAATTACAAAATTGACTATAGAAGAACATTTAAACATGTAAACCACTTCAGGTACTTGTTTATCACGGTTTCATTACTTTGAAGTTTTTCATAATCATCCGCGCCGCACAACATTACCGAGACCTCTTTGATCTAACCACTATTCAACAAGACATCCTACCTGCCGCTTAGATTCATCAAGCCGCTTTGACTGACATCCTTCATTTCTCAAAGAAATCACTCATAGCCTTATTGACTTCATCTGCTCTCTCCAACATCACAAAGTGCCCAGAATCGACCTGATGCTCGTTTAGATCAGGTGCGTATGGACGCGTTTGAGCTTCTGCTGCGGCAGGAGTTCCGACCGTATCATTGGCGGCTGTCACTAAGAGCACGGGCTTAGTGATATTGGCAGCAGACTTAGGGATAGCTATAAGAGTGTTCAATCAGCATCCGAGTGCATCTCTTGTCTGCCGAAAGGTACAATTTCGGGGTCACACGGGCCAAGACAAGAAATGGAAAGGAAAAGGGACTCTACTATTCTCATCCGCGAGGTTCACATTGCGGTACATAGACCTGTACCAGTTCAGCGACGGATTGTAGCCTCCGTTGGTGACTGCGAAGATACGATTGTGGACTAATTCATCCTGTTTGGGGGGAAAATGGTCTTTAGTCAGCTCGACCGTCAAAGCAAACGCTCTGATATGGGGTACTTGGGGGCTCACTCACCTGTATGGAAACAAAACTACCTGTGGGTACTCTTCCGTTCCTGTTGAGGAAGGCTTCTACTGCGCCAGGCGGACTAAGATATTTTGGCCAGTACTTGGGGACATTACTCGTATATAACAAAGACCAGATCGAATCTTGCTACAGGTTGTGAAGCCCCAAATTAGTGCTTATCGCTTCATATGGCCCCAAAACCATGAAGTTACGAGGGAAAACTTACATGCTGGTCCAATACAGAGCCGGAGCGATCCTCGTTGAAAAATATCTGGTAACCAAGCGTATCCTTATTGGCTATCACGCCGGCCTCGCCGAGGAATAGCCCTGGGGCAAAGTACCCAATATCCAGAAACACATATTTCTCGAAGCGTGTGGGATAGTAGGTCCATACACGCGACTGCAAGACGGAACCACTATCCATGTTAACAAGAACAATTCTGAGCAGTTGATCAACCTGAAAGCAGATCAGCCGAAAAAGAGACTGTACATACAAGTCATGAGCAACAATGACAGCCTTTCCAGCTCCACTGATACAATCCAGCAAATCCACTACATCAGCCGCCATACTCTTCATTGCATACGCAGCCGGATCGCTGGGCTTATCCGTGCCGCCGTAGCCAAGGAGATCTGGCGCAAGGACCCCATAGCCCTTCAAAGCGAAATAAGTGAATTGGCGGCGCCAGTCGAATGAGCTCGAGGGGAAGCCGTGCAGAAAGAGAATGGTAGGTCTATTTGCCTGTGGACTAGGAGCATAGTACGCGTATCGATAGACCCGGCCTGAGGAGGGGAGTTTTACGGAGTGGACGTGGTCGAGGTAGGTGGTGCCGACGAGATCAGACTAGAGATGAACGTGTGAATATGGACGAATATCCTGGATTCGTGATTGAACTCACAACATTTGGGTGGCTGTTAAAGGCGCAGTAGGCACTTGGAGCTGTTACTGGGGATGGATGGGCATTGGCACAGAAGCCGACGAGGTGGCAGAAGAGGACCGAGAGGAAGCAGGAGAACGTCACAAAGCATGTTCCGCTAGCCATGTTGATGGTCATCGAAGAATGTCTTTGATCGAATTTTCGCAAAAATTGCAAGGAAGGGTAGGACCGTACTTTATATCTTGCTTCTCTGATGTGTTGTGCTTTTGGGACCTAATTGTTGATTTCAAAGCTGGAAACAAAGTTCCTAGCACGCGGTCGCATAGCTTGAAGGTTCATCTTTCGATCCACAGGCCGCCTCAATCCTAGTTCGGTTGAACGTGAGATTATACGAGGCCTCCTCCCACCACCCGTCCTTCACCGCTTCATTCGCTTTGCCTAGATTACTTACGCAAAACCCCATTTCAAAAACTATAACTACGGCTAGCAGAACTTTGATTTTAAGGAAGTTGAACAAATGGCAGTTAGATAGGGTGCCAGAATTCGCGGACCCAAAGAGGTGACGATAGGCATTGTTGGCAACCCGAGAAACATAGATCGCATAGTTTAGTATCATTTGAAATACGCGTAGACCCCTTATGTTCAGGGGCTGAAGATGAATCAAGTAATGAAGAGAGTCTTTCTTAAGTAACGTGGCGACTGTTCATGTCGTGTCGATGCATGGTATCAGGCCAGAGCAGGACCATCGAGTCACGCAGCATAATCTCTTCCTGCAGGTACAATCAGGCATTACAGGCCGAATGTTAGACCTGACTTGCATAATACTAATGGCCGAGCATACAAATTAAGTATCGGAGAATCGACTTGGTAATTCACTAGAACCTCAATTAGGCAATTGGGGCCACGAACGCATCAGTACAAAGGCTAGAACGAATCTTCCAGCAGGCATGCTGAAGATCATAATCATTCTAGTTGTATGTGTTACAGTACCGCATATTCATTAATCAGAAAGCGAATACATAGCAACGTCGGTCCGTCAAAGCTAAAGCCACACTTTCATGCCCTGTAAAGTCAAGAGGGTCTTCTCTTCTTATGAGAGTGGAATTTATTGCGAAAAGATGCCTGCCTGCTGGGTTTCCACCCCGTACATGAGATCTTGGAAAGAAATTTGTCTAAAGCGAAAAGCAATGCATATTATCAGCATCGGTAAATTCACACGGCCCCAAATATTGTAACACTTTCTGCGTCAAGCCAAGAACAGCTAGCTCTGCCAAGACTTATCCTAGCTCCCGCTTTTCTTTTGCCAAGGCCAGCTCCCGGCCCGCTCCGCAAAATGTATATATATAGTAATAATTGAACACTCTTCATGGCTCCGAAAATAAAAATCTCCGAAATAGTCTAGTCAGCGCTCGTCTACAACTCGAATAGCAATAAAAACTATGCTAACATCTTCGATAGGTGGTTAGGATACCCGCCTCTCACTCACAAGTGCAGAGAATCAATCGCGGGTGGCCGGGGTTCAATTCCCCGTTTCGGAAAATAGATTCATTTTTTGGCATTTCGGCTCAATATTGCTTCCTCATACAGATAACTTGCTGTCGCTGCCGGTAACTAGTACAAGTGACTGCCACTTGTATGCCAATTGGCTCTATAATTACTCTTTTACTTGCGAAATCTTCGCGTTAAGCCCAGCTCTAGCGCAGGTGCTGAATCCGTTGCTACACCTGCAGACTACTACCTCTTTGGCCCTGACGAAGTGTCCAAGTAGAGAGAAATGACGATGCCAATTTCTGCAAGTAGGAACAGGTGATTCTATTTCTCTACCCACAGAAGCGTTGGTCAGTGGGTACGAAAGGTAGTCTGCAGGGTTTAGATCTGATAAGAGTCTTGGCATCAGATTCGCGACTTCGAAAAGCGCGTTCCATGAACTAGCTTCTGTAAATATTACATTGTGCCTACAAGGACTACGATTTTCCTTTTCTTTCCAAGATGACCATAGCGAGTCTGCCCTTTTCGTTCATTAAGCGCTCGTCAAAGCCATCACACTGCTATCACTACGGCGCTTTCCTATCCAAACCATCTTTCACATGTCACCATGAAACATGACTCCAGAGATCAAGTAAGACTTGCTGACGATAATGTACCTGCCACGCGAAAATATAGACCTCCTCTACGATCAATTCTGGGTGCGCTATAATACGCAGTCCGACCCCGTCCTCGTGCTTGTCGCTCTCGAGCCAGACGCCCTATGTGCATGTCATATTCTGATAGCTCTCTTCCGAAATGACAACATTCTCTACAAAATACGGCCGATTTCTGGCTATGATGAGCTCAAACGTGTTGGAGAGACCATGGTCTGGCCAATGAAAAAACATAATGGAGGGGAAGGTGGTCTAGTAGTGTGCTTGGGCGTTGGCGGAATGGTAGATATGTCGACTGTCCTCGGCCTGGACGAGATAATTGAGGGTACAGATCCCGCAGACGGCGTCGAAGTCTGGCTTATGGATGCACGGCGACCATGGAATCTGGGGAACGTGTTTGGTGGCGATCCGAACGATATGCTCGAGTCTGGCATTCCAGACGATACAGAAATATCGAGCGAGCCGCAGAAAGATAAGGGCAGGATTCTACCAGGATACAAGGCTGGACAAGGGGGTATCATTGTATACGACGATGGGGACGTCGAGCAGCAAATGATAGCAGAAAGGGATGCCTACTGGGCAATAGTAGAAATGCCCCATTTTGAGGAAGATGGATATCTCTCAGGGGACTCTGATTTGGAAGAAGATGAGAATGTTCTAGATTCAGTAGAGATTGACCTGCCTAACGAGAGGAAACGAAAGGCTTCGATGAATGGTACAGACGATGCAAGCGATGTGGGAGACCAGAGAGCGCGTCAAAGGCGGCGGACCAACTCGGACGGCTCACAGTCACTCTATGCAGGCGACCCACCAAATGGCATCGAAGAACCTACGGGCTCCCAATACTCCTCAAGGGCAAATTCACCATCAGTCCAGGTACCTTCTTCCGCACCTCAGACACTTCTACCTCAACGCGCTTTGATAAGACGTCTCACCAGAGAACGACGGAAATATCATAGAGTAATCAGCAAATACTATGGAACAGGCTCTTCGTACTCCGAACCAATCTCCTCCATGATGTATTCTTTGGCAGAGGCGAAGGGCCGTGAGAATAAAGACATGCTTTGGCAGGCTATTGTAGGTGTTAGCTCATTGGAGCTGCATGGACGAAGCATGGCGGGCGTCGGCATATCAACATCACTTGATGCTGGAGGGTCTGCGGGATGGGGCGGTGAGCGCGGAGAGAGGATTCGAAGTCTACTACGAGATGAAGTGAACCGATTATGTCCCCCCGACCTTTCTGACCAGAATAAGGATCAACTACGGGGCGAAGCTTCGGGGGTCATACCAACTACAGCAAAATCACCCCTGGATGATTCCATACGGCTTTCTCCTGAGCCCCGCTTCCTACTTATTCGGCACTGGTCTCTGTATGAGAGCATGTTGCACTCACCCTATCTTGGTGCTAAGCTACATATTTGGAATGATCAAGGTAGAAAACGGCTGCACAAGCTGCTAGCTAAGATGGGCGTCAGCCTGAGCCAATGTAAGCAAAGCTATACCCATATGGACATGGATCTCAAGCGTGGCCTGCGGCAGCGACTCCTGACTTACGCCCCTGTCTATGGTCTGGATGGTCTAGTCCCTCCAAAGGACAGAGAGAAGAAGGGCTGGGGTTTCGTCAAATGCTGGGGTTGGAAAGGCTGTTTTAGTGCGATTGACGTTGGTGTCATTGTGGGCGCCATACTTGAGATCGGCAAGCATAGCCTCGAAAGTTCCAACAGCACAAATGGATCGGATCACCGAAATAATCTAAGGAATCGAGCGGATCGAGCGGAGATAAGCGATCAATCAGGGGCGCTGGAGTCAGAAGAATGGGTAAGCAGATTTTGGCAAGCCTACGATGCTCTAGAAGATGTCGATGCCCTCAAGCATGCATTGCCTTCCGCTCAGCATTTGCATCGCGCCATACTTCGAACAGGAACTTCGGTTATAGAAAAGCGCCAGATCAGACATCTTAAAGCTTTTCGAATGGCGGTGGTCAAGGAGGGTCCAGACGTCGCACTATTTACCCATCCAGGAGCTTTGACGAAGCTGGCGCTGTGGGTTGCCGAAGCTATTGCTGAACAAGAGAAAGATCACCGGGGCCAGGCAGGAAATCATGGTAGACCCACACCCTTGGTAATGGCGACTTTGAATGAGGCGAGAGGAGTCTATGTTGTTGTCGGCACGAACAGTGGAGGAGGTGTCGTCGATTTCGTCGCGAGGGCGAAAAGACGAGTCAAGCTACAGGAAAAGACGAGGAGGAGACTAATACGGAAAGAAGAGAGGGATCGCCAACGACGTGAAAGGAAAGCTGAGAGGCAGAGGGCCAGTGATGCTGGATCAGATGAAGAAGAGGAGAGCGAAGAGGAAGATGACGAAGACGATGAAATTGACGACGAAAGCGATGATGACGATCTAGAATTTGCAGAGTTCGGCGTGAATCGATTCGGTCTCGCTTTTCAAGAAGTTGTTGACGAGACCAGCACCAGGGTGCGAATCGATAGCTTTGAGAACAGCGTAGTCGAGGTGAAAAAGGAGGATCTCAGTGGATTCTTGGAGCGCTTGAGCATGAAAGTCGTGGTAGGATGAACTTGCCCCCTCACGCTGAGTATACATTACATTGGAGTCTATATATATTGCTACTTTCTCTCAACTTGCCAGCTTCTTGCATCAGCGCGCGACACATGGGTGAAGGGGAGGCCTATCATAGCGAGAGGTGCTTTGGCAGGCGTCTTAAGGTACATATAATTTGGAATGCTTTTGAATCTGCTGCAAATACTCGTTCCATTTATCTGTTTATTGGAAAAAGGCAGTGGATCGCCACATCCATCCAGTCCGGATGAGCCATCATCACCGACCATACACAATTGCTCTCAGCTGGACCACACCTTTTGCTTCTTCTATATCTATGCTGAGGAATCGTATTCGTCATCATACACATAATAATCCTTCATTGACCCCTACCAAACGAGCCCATAGTTGACTCACTTATCCGCCAACCTCTTCTCCACCTTCTCCCTCTCGCGCTCCCTAATCTCCTTCAACTCGTCCTTACTAGAATCAAATCTCCCATTGGCCTGATTGAACGGATTCTCCGCACTCTTCTCAAACTCCTTCCTCACAACCTCCTGTCTCTGATTCTTCCTTAGCCCGGGATGCTCCTGCTCCACCTCCGGCATCCTCCTCGCCTCGTACGCCGCGTACGCTGCTTTGAACCTCCGCTCGGGATGCCTGTCCACTTTCTCTGCGTTGTTGTTGCCAGATGTCAGGTTGAGCGCGTCCAGCGCGTTTTCTATACCGGTCGCGTTGAGACTAGGGGTGGCTTTGGAGGTAGATGTGCTAGGGGTGTCGTCGAGGCTGGAGAGATCGAGGCCTTTGGTCTTCTTGGTGGCGGTCTTGGAATTTTTGGGCTGAGAGCGTGCAGTAGAAGTCTCTTTCTCATCGGCGGCGAGCAGGGCGTCTTTCTCAGCTTTCTTGCGAGCGGTTTCTGCCTTCTTGGCTTCAGCATCGTCCCTGTGGTCATTGAATGAGTTCAAGCTTCTGGGGAAGATTAGGTTGGAAGGGAGCATTACTTCTTCGCGGTTGATTTGGCTCCCTTTGACCACTGTGAGGCTTCTGCTGCTTCTTTCTTGGCGCCATCAGCTACCGCTTTTTGGGCTGCTGCTTCTGCTTTCTACAGAAGATTGCAAGTCAGCAATGAGATGCGATAAGAGAGTGAGCGTAGTACTCGCCTTCGCATTGCCAGCAGCTTTCTTTGAATTCTCGGTCTTTGGTTTTCCACCCATCTTGAATGATATGTAGTGTTCAAAGGATACGGTAGAACAAAGGTAGAAATGGTGATCGAACTTATTGATCGAAGTTCGCGCCTTACGTGCGTCATTCCACGCCAAGCCAAGGCTCCGTCTCCGCCTCGCGCGCATTCATGATTTGTAAATCCAGACTCTCCCTCAACTCCCTTCTCGTTGCACTCCGTACATAATTGCTCTCTGACTTTGTAGGAGCTTGCATTTCACACTGCGCTCTTATGATTTGACATGACGTCCCGATAGCATCCGCTTGCTGAGAAGCACCGTCTCCGAGTCCTCCATTGCTATGCGACTCTCATCTCTCCTCCAGCTTCCTCTCGCCCTCCTCTCCCTCCTCACATTTGTACCTTCTCCCACCAATGCTGGAACACACACATCCAATTGGGCCGTCCTAGTCTCCACCTCCCGATTCTGGTTCAACTACCGCCACCTCGCCAATGTGCTCTCCCTCTACCGCAGCGTTAAACGCCTCGGCATACCCGATTCTCAAATCATCCTCATGCTACCCGACGACATGGCGTGCAACCCCCGCAACGTCTTTCCAGGCACCGTCTACAACAACGCTGATCGCGCCCTGGATCTTTACGGCGACAACATTGAGGTAGACTATCGGGGCTACGAAGTCACGGTCGAGAACTTCATCCGGCTGTTAACGGATCGGCTGGGAGAGGACGTGCCGCGGGGGAAGCGGTTAGGCAGTGACGCAGGAAGTAATGTTTTAGTCTACATGACTGGCCACGGAGGGAACGAGTTCCTGAAGTTCCAAGACGCAGAGGAGATAGGGGGTGGGACCTGGCGGACGCATTCGAGCAGATGTGGGAGAAGAGACGGTACAATGAGATGCTATTCATGATCGACACTTGCCAGGCAAATACGCTATACAAACATTTCTACTCGCCGAATATTATCGCGACGGGGAGTTCGGAGATCGATCAATCGAGCTACTCGCATCATGCAGACAATGATGTCGGTGTTGCCGTGATTGATCGGTGGACGTATTACAATCTCGATTTTCTTGAGAAGGAAGTGGAGGGTCCGACGAGTAAGTTGACGATGGGAGATTTGTTCGATTCGTATGATGAAAGCAAGATCCATTCGAAGCCAGGGGTGAGGTGGGATTTGTTTCCTGGAAATGAGAAAGAGGGGCGAGAAAGGCTGCTGGTGGATTTTTTCGGTAATGTGCAAGGGGTGGAGGTTGGAAACGAGACCGAGTGGCAGGAGGATCTGAGGAGGTTGAAGGATATCATTGCAAGAGCCAGGGAGAGGGAGGGTTTACAGGGACAAGATGCGATTCCGCCAATATGGAACGACGTTGGTGCTGGCAAATTTGCTGAAAAGAACTCAACCAGGAAAGGGGTAGAAGGAGCTGCAAGAGTGGAGGTTCGAGGTAGCTGGAACCAACAGATGCTAGGGATCGGGACTTTGCTAGGATGTGCCATGCTCTGGGGTGGAGTTTCCTGGCTCGAGTCTTCGAGATAAAACATTTCTCGCTTCATTCTACGCCCCGAAAAGGTCAGCGATATTTCTGAATCGCTCCTTTTCCCTCATTGCTGAGCTTCGCAAATAATGATCTTCAATGGAAACATACTACAGAAGGAGAATCCTTGACCCAAATCTCATTCACTATCTTTTCTGTGTATGAGAGGAGATCCCGCACACTACAAAATTACACCGCTATCGTCTCACTCGTCATTCTTCAAGATTTATGCATGACTTGCAGTCCACCTTCTCTTTGGCCTTGCCGGCTCCGACACATTACCATTCCTCTTCACTTCTGATGTCCAAAGCCCATGCTGCGGCAATGGTTTGACATTACCTCGATCATTGTGCCTTGGGTGCTCGGCACTCTTTGTTGAAGTAATGTCTCCGACCTTTGGCCTCCCAGCATCGCCTCTCAACCCACCTGTGTCTTTCGGTGGTGTGATTGTCTCGGGGTCAGATGAAGAATTGGTAGGTAATCCTTGAGGGCCTGGCCTACTCCAAAGACCTTGACTCGAGCCGGCAGTAGTGTTTGCTCTTCTGACACGGCCGGATGACCCGTCCTCTTCGAAAGAACCTACGCTTTGTCGAATCGGTTTCTTGTCTTGCATGTCGTTGATAGGACTGCGATTTGCATGCTGACGCGTTGGGGAACCGACGTGCCTTTCATAGCGGTAAGGACTCTTCTCCCTTACTGGGGCGGTAGGACTTCTGGCTCTGGGAGAAGTGTTGTCAAGGAATCGACTTCCCGGTCTGGTGTGGTCAGTTGACGCTGTGAGCTTGATGTCATACTCTTCCGATAGACCTAACTTGAGCGATGACCTTCTGTTTCGTGGGAAGGGCGAGGGGCGATAGCCAAAATTTGAAGCACTGTCATGCTCGCCATGCTTTCGTACAGCCAGTGTCAACGACCCGAGGCCCACGTCTATCAGCACTGGCTGATCAGTCAATGCGCCAATCAAAGCATTACAACCTGCCCCATGGGTGACGAGGATCAAGACCGTGTAATCCTCGTCATTTTCGTCAGACTCCGAGACATTCGTCCTCACGTGTCGTAGCTCCTCCAAGCTTTCATTTTGTTCTGGCTGTTGAGACAGGTCGTTATTTCTATACCATGAGATCATATCATGCAGACCCTTCCTGAAGCGCTTGTGCATCGCACTCCATTCCTCGCCGTACTCACCTCCGTAACCCCATTCTAATGGGGGCCTCATGCTGTCCCATTGATAATCTACTCTCATACAGGCGTCCCGTGCATGTGCAACATAGCCTTGAGGTATCGGTTGAACAGTAGAGACAGCGTAAGATGGCTTTGGAGGGGAATAGCCAAGGCCATCTCCTGTTGGGCCATCAGAGCGGCTCGTAACATGCCGACTGGTTGTTCCGATTGCACTGAATACGCTGTGAGTATTTGCGCGTACCAGTTTTGGCAACGAGCTCTTCAAATCTGACAAGTCATCCATACCGTCAGGCACGCCATCATCACCATGCCACCCCCTGGGAAGTTTGATGTTTTGGAAGCAGCATTCTGATGCTGCACCATCTCGATAGGTTCGCCACGACGAAGCAAGTCAGCTTTTGCGCTTGCGACCATCAATCTAGAGCCTGGTGGAGGTGTTATGTTTTCGAAATAGTCGGGCGAAAGCCATTCTCCGAGGAAGGCATCTAGCCTCAACGTGGCCAACGCAGCCAGACTGTTTTTGGGTTCCGTGGCTGCTATCGAGCCAATACTATGTCGACCCATCTCCTCAGGTTCGGGGATAGCAGTCAGGTGCGAAGCAGTCGGATGATCAGAGGCAGAAAGGTGTGGGCTTCCCGAATGGGGCTTATGGGATTTGAGCTGTACATGCTTCGATTCCCTGTTTTGGAGCCCGTTCCAATGATGTAGTCCTGCACCTATGCCAATGGATGTCTGTACACAGCGCAGGAAGGGTGAGCTGTGGATCACCACTCGGTGGCGTCGTCGCTTGGCCTCGCTGGTGTGGTGAATCGGATGACTTTCACCCTCGAGTCCATTCTTGTGGCCAAGCCTGTCCGTCGAGGGGTCTTCTGGAAGGTTGATTATGCTTGCTATGCGCGCACCTAGAGCCTGGGCTTGTTTCCATCCACCATAGGTGAGGGGTGGGTCGTAGGGAGTGGGAGAAGTAAAGTGCCATTGCGGATCTGCTGCATCAAGCCTCGCCCCATGCCTAAGTCTCTGCGTCAGCTTTCTATTGCCTCATCAAAGGGCCTGGCTCGAGCTCGATGCACGAGTTGTTCAGACCTTGCGATAATTATGAACTCCGGCGGTTTCATCATGCATTTCGCAGCTCGTTCGCAGCATTACATCATCATTTCACGCAAAGGGAGGGCTCGCTCTGTGCGACAAAGATTAAATAAACAGAATGGATGATAGAAGTGAAATGACATGATGCCCGCCTAAATTTACTGGAACGCCCCACGCCCCGCCATCCCATAAAAGTTTTTAAGGTTAAATGAACGTTCCACCGGATCTGGCTGTAATAATACCCTACTCTAGAACTAAGGAATAATAAGGCATCAGGAACACGCCTGCTTAATCTAAGGGCCGTTCTAACGACCTTAGTTCTACACCCTCGGGTACGAATAATCCACCTCAATCATCACTACATTGGCACTCCTTTCCTGAAAAATACTGGTACGGAGAAGATGCAAAGTTACGATATGTACAGGGTGAGTCATCACGCGATGGAATTATCAGGCGGAAGTATTCCCAGCAATCGCAGAAATCATGAAGTTGATTTGAGAACGTTGGGAGAAGTCTCCTCTGGAGGAATCATAGGTCCATACTAGCCTGGTAACGGCATGCAAGGAATTCCCCAGAAGCATCACTGCTTGCGTATGAACGGCCTATTTCATCTCACCTAGCATATGTTCCGCCCTTGCACTGGTGCTATCCGTCATTCCTACTAGAGGATCACAGATGGCACGATCCATTCTCCACCACCAGCGGATACTGATAAGACTCGCAGATCACATCAAGTTCAGGCAAATCAGGAGTAATATTCTAGTATGTATGAGCTTCAACGGTAAGCCTATGGCGGGGATACACAGAGGCCATGCACGCGCTCGCATGCCTCCAAAATTAGCAATGCACACTTCACCTGATGCTTTTTCTCTCAAGCTTAAAGACACAAATTTCGCACTCAAATCCTTCCCTTCCGCAAATCCAGCCAGAATATTCGGACGCTTTCAACCTCTTCAAATCGCCGAATCACCCGGAGTCTTTTCTGTGCATGCTCCACCTTGGCGAGCTTGTCATTCATCTCGTGGTCTGACAACCCATCCGGCTCTACGGACAGAGATTCAACAGCCTTGCCTTTGCCCTTTTTCTTCGACTGATTCTCCTCCTGCCCTCCTTGACCGCTGGTCATCATGTTCTTTAGCTGGAGCCGGAATTTTTCATGGCCGGCAAGGTCCGTCACTCGTTCTCCTATGGCAATATACTTCAGTCGTAGATCGGGACATTGCGAAAGGATATCAATTGAATACGACAGGCTTTCGAAAGGAATCGAGCCGCCTCGGTCGCCAGCTCTCAGCACGATAAGGTGCAGAGCACGGAGTGATCGGAAAGCTGGGAGTATTTGCAGTAAGCTGTGATACACATGACTTTTCAGATTGAGCGCCAGCTCCTCTAATTGCTGCGCTTGCATAGCGAGCACGTGTAGAGTCTTGAGGTCAAAATCCCAAGATTCGTTCCTCTCGTTCCGAGCCATGACACGTCTCAGACTTTTCAGATGTGGTCTGAGTGCCTGCTTACGGATGCTCGTGATGTCCACGCCAGTTCTTGGATCATTCTCGGTTGACTTGGTCCTCCGTTCATGAAGAAAGAGTTCCTCAAGACCGGCATAAGTCGAGAGATACTTCAGCAGTGGGAAGGTCACGTTATCCGTATGGATACTCTTGAAAGCTATTGGAGAGTCGGAGTTGGTAAGCTTCACAAGCAAAGACCAAAAAGCGTCTTGAGGCCCTGTATCTAGAAGAGTGATACGTTGCAGGACTCTCAAATCCAAAGCTCGCCCAAGGATGGAGGCCTTTAGCGGGACGCACTGGAAACGCACGACCTCGAGCTGGATACCGTGGGAAGTACGCACGTATTCGTGCATCTTATCCAGATCTGTCAGGCCATCCGTTCTCTCGTCAGTGATGTAATCTCCATCGTTTGCCATGCTAGATTCAGCAACAGACAACCCATTACTTTGCAGCTTTTTGAATCGTTTGCGAGGTGTCAATACAGCATCGTTCTCGCTGTCCGACGTACTTTCCTGATTTTCTAGCGCATCCAGCCCTTCTTCGTCGGGGTGCTCCATATCAACATCTATTCCATCATCCAAAGGCTTGCTCTCTTCTGCCACGAAAATTGGTGCTTTCCCAACCAGATCAGAGCAATGAGAGCTAATGGAGTCATCTGAGTCGGAAGAGCTGTGAGCGTAATTTTTGGTGTCATTAGACTTCCAGGCCGAGCCATTTCCTTTGCTCTTGTAGGGGGAGCTTTCTTATAAAACGGGCTCGAGAATGGATCAATCGGGTTAATCGTTCCATTGGGGTAGGGGTGTGAATACGGGGGAATGATACCATTACTCTTTGGTTTGGTTTTATTCTTTACTGATGCCTGCTTCGAAAACGATTTGTCGGCTGTGGAAGAAAGATATGGCGAGGGAGCAAAAGATGCCGTGTTCTGGAGGTCGGGCTCCAGGTAAGGTGATGGCCCAAATGGGCTATTTTTATCCAAGAGCTTTCCCCACTTATAGGAATGAAGAGCCGCATTACTTGAGGCATTTGTCACTCCACTTATGGGCGGAGGTGGGAGTGTTTCAGGTAGATAATTCGGGTGCGGCTGGTAGCTATTTTGAGGTGTTGCCCATGGCTTTGTACTGAAGCCTCCTTTCGCGGAGTCGAGGCTCATGGGACTCGACATCGAGGCTCCAACATCATCAAGAAACTCTTCGAAGTCGAACGTATCAAGGACATTCCCAGATCCAGGTATTGGGGTTGGGTACTTTGGTGCCTTTGGCTTAGGAGGCTTGTACGACTTTGCAGGTGGAGCAGTCTTCTTAACCTCAACTCTGGAAGATTTGGCAGGCCGTGGAGCATGCTTAGAGATGTAGAGCTCTGCTAACTCTTTCATCATTCTGTATTTCTCTAAGCGACCTTTTTCCGATAGACTGATTTTGCCTCCTGGTTGTTCGTCCTCACGTAAGGAGCGCATAACGCTCTCCATTTTGGTAATTGTGGCTGACTTTTCCTCTTCCAATAAACATTGGCCACCGCCCAAGCCCATCGTCTTCTCTAATTTAGCCCCCTTTGGAGCAATGATTTCAAGGTCGAACAGGCTTGCGAGCAGGCCGTCTAAAGCCATTTTTTGATTGCGACGCTCAGTTTCACTCATTACTTGTTGACCATGCGCCGCTGGAGAGGCTGGGCTGTAGATGATCTCATCTTCCGTGAGTTCCGTGTCAGAGAGAAGCTCCTCCAACTCATTTGCTGGAGGATTTCCTGATCTTTGCAACTTTGCAGTATACTCTAGATCAAGCGTGAGAGTCAGGTTTTTCAGCGTGGCCGAACATGCCTTGATACACTGCCGTAGTTCAGGAATACAGTCTAGGTTGCAAAGTGCAATGATATTTAGGGCATTTAAGGTTTTAAACCCTGAAAATGCCCTCTGTCCTGCCCAGAAAGAGGACCCAGGCCTCTTTTTGCGTTTGTGAGCATAAGTCTGGGGTAAATAATTCGGCAGTGGCCCCAGGGGATCGGACGGATAAGGGGCTGGTAGTCCCGGTGGCACTGCAGGAATCGGCATGTGAGAATAGGCGCTGTCAGTGGATTTGATATCTATCCTCACGTGCAGTCGGCGGAGGTTTGGCAGCCTTTGCAACGTAGAGTACACAGGACCACTCAACTCGACTGGTACATCCCAACTTGATAGCATTAGCGGACCCGCCTATCAGTACGCATGATGGCTTACATAAAGCACTCCAAGATTGAAGCCTGCCTGATCATCTGCAAGATAGAAGTGCTCAATAACTTGCTCGCATCTGTTTTGGAATCGAATACGGTGCGAAGGCGAAGTAGAGACTCTCCATAGCTTGGCCTCGACATCCATGATCCGCGGGCCATCGTGTGTCCCAGGCGGAAATTCTTGATGTGCTGCGCGTAATTGTAGTCGCTTATGTTGATTGTTTGAAGGGCATCAGCAACCCTAGAAGAAACATTGCCCCGATCTTCCGTCTCAATGCAGGTTATATCGAAGTCGAGACTGCGGTATAGTTCGTTGCTAGCCAAAGAGTGGAATCGCTTCGAGAGGGTTTGTACAGTAAGAAGATCATGAATATCGACCTTATAAGTTTAGGTCAGCTGAGCATGATGAGGTGCTGTGGATCACTCACGTAGTTGATAACGTTCTGTAAGGTCTCAGGAGGCAACTGCTCGAGTTTGAGGGGACGAGTGAGATCCGAAGAAAGACCCCACCGTTCCGAGCGAACTGCAGTCATCCTTTATTTTGCCTGCAAATTCCCTTCTTTGGTTATTGACCGAGGAGCATTTTGAGAGTTCGGCGAAGCTATTGGTACGATTGCGCCTTTCACCTTGGGTTTCACAAGGGCGCAATGAACAGCATGGAAGAACGAACAGCCCCGGCAATCAGACCATCCGTCCTGACCTTAGTGGTTTATAGCAAGCGCTCAGAGATAGCTAGTGGCATATCAAGGGAGTATTGGTGATGAATCGCTTACAACAGCGTCTTGGGGAGCTCAAGGGTAATGTACCTTACCATCTTACCTTACACCTAGCCAATCGGTCTTACCTTACCTTACCGTATTGAATTTGCCGGCTTGGCGGGCAATAGAGGGCGGGACGGATGTCCATCACGGGCCGTTTTGAAACTTTGAATGAAACGTTCGAGGCCGCTCTGGCGCCATCCCTCCCACTCATCGCCATTGGACTTCAATCGGCTGAACTTTTCAGAGCCAATCAACACGGCATTACCTAGTAGATTGACGTTTTCATTCATTCTAATTTAAAGATGTAAAGGACAGTAATGGATAGCGAACAAGCATCGCTAAATCCGCAGACATGCGACGAATGTCTATCACAAGATCTTACACTCTTGGAGCACGTACGGCTCGGAATCTCTAACTACTTGTTCAGCGCAAAAATGTGGCCTTTCGGTCATATTCTGAACAGCTCGTATTCTCCTTTTCAAGTCGAGTTGGATGTCATTTGAGGATCTAGTCGCTGTGGAGAATGGCCGAGATTCAATCAGTATGGAGAGTCGGAGACAGGAGGAAGGAATGCTGAAGCAAACTCTAATCGAAAATTGCAAACGCCATTTAGTGCGTGCAAACTATGACCTCCAGGATAATCTTGTGCTCGCGAAATGGTGGACGACTTTTAGCATGAAAGCTGCCCGCCAGAATCAAATCGATGAAGCGGAGGACTGCGAACGAAGAGCGATCAAGCACCGCGAAGCAAACGAAATCATCGCATCAGATGCAAGGAAGGACTCGAGATCAAGTTCAGCCTCTGCTAGATGCAATCTCTAATCGAAGACTAATCAGGTCGAAACCCTGTCATCCTTGATCGCTAGTGGAGCGCTTTGTGAATGGAAATCTGTCCTGACTTACGGTGAGCGTGGCTTTGGACTCGGCATTAGTAGGAAAGATGGATTTGAAGGTGTTGATATGACAGAAGCAGAAGTCGATCATAGACTCAAATGAGGCGTCGCATACGGCTCTTCAAGTTCAACATGGTCGACAACCGAGGAGAAGTATACTACGGCAAGAGATGAAGTGTGACTTCCTCCCCTCAGACAGTGGCAGAGAGGTCCCGAAAGTCCGCTTGGTTAATTTGTACGCGAATGGTGACGTTGAAGAGGGAGAAGTTGTCAATGACCCAAGAAAGGTTCTACAGCATCACTATAAAGCCTATCGAGACATCAGTGAAGCAGTACATGCACTTTCGACAATTAGAACTCTTTTCTATGTTGAGGCTCTTAAATCCACAAACAACCCCTACAATACGCCGGACTGAGTCACGCAAAGGAGTTTATGTGGATGAGTTTTGGCTAAGCAGCTTAAAAGACCAATCTTCTTCGGCCAGGACTGCGGTTGTTTGGTTGGTTTTGCTCGGGTGAGGGAGGCGATATATCCAAGCTGCCGAGAGGACGCCATCCCCCGTAAGCTTTGATGCAACGAGAGAGAGTTTCGGAAAGCAAGCTGGCTCAGGAAGGCGGCTGTAGGTTAGGAACAGACAAGCAAATTCGGCGGCAGCGAGATGCGTCAATTGCTCAAGTTAAAAGCTTCACCGTTGGCTGTTTGGATTATCAGTAGTACATCTAGATCGCAGACGTGAGAAAGCTCCAAGAAGGTTTCTTCCCCCTCGCTTAGATTTGCTTTATCGATAAGGCGGGATGAAAGGATCGGAGGAGCCTCGGCATGACGTTGGCGCCGCGTCGCGCCATGGCTGTGATGGTGCGCCTGCAAAGTCACTTGAGTGATCTTTATCCCTCCCAGTCTTCGAGCGTCAAGACGTGATACTCATTTTATAGAATGTCTTCTTCTTCTTCTTCATCTTCGTTGAAGGACGAGCTTCCTTCAGCTTCTGAAGTCAAGAACGAAGTCGTTGAGGCTTCGAAGGAGGCTGCCTCTTCCATTCGATCTCTCGTGGCTGGCGGAGTTGGAGGAGTCTGCGCCGTTGTTGTGGGCCATCCGTTCGATCTTGTGAAGGTGCGCATGCAGACTGCTGAGAAGGGCGTATACAATGGCGCTCTTGATGTAGTCAGGAAGACTTTTGCCAGAGAAGGGATACGGAGGGGGCTCTATGCAGGTGTTTCGGCACCTCTAGTTGGTGTTACACCAATGTGTAAGACCTTCTGCGCACTTTTGGAGGAAGCTGTTAGCTTACACCTGGATTCATAGTCGCTGTCAGCTTCTGGGGATACGATGTAGGTCAAAAGCTTGTGCGGTCCTTCTCGCCCCAGACAGCCTCGAATACGACCTTCTCAATATCTCAGATTGCCGCCGCAGGATTTTTCTCGGCAGTACCAATGACACTCATCACCGCGCCCTTCGAGCGTGTCAAAGTCTTGCTGCAGATACAGGGGCAGAAGCAGCTTGCACCTGGAGAAAAGCCGAAGTATTCGGGTGGTCTGGATGTCGTCCGCCAGCTGTACAAAGAGGGAGGCGTCAGGTCTGTATTCCGTGGGAGTTTCATGACATTGGCAAGAGATGGACCTGGCTCGGCCGCTTATTTTACGACTTATGAGTATGTAAGACGGGTTTTATCTCCAAAAGATGAAAACGGCAAAGCGACTGGGGAACTTCGATTGTCTGCAGTGCTTGCCGCCGGCGGGACAGCAGGGGTGGCGATGTGGATACCTGTATTCCCAATCGATACCATCAAGAGTCGTCTGCAAAGCGCGGGGGCAGACCAACGATCGGCGGAACCATTCGAGGCCTGTACGCCAATGGAGGGATCAGAGCTTTCTTCCCGGGTATTGGACCTGCACTGGCGAGAGCCGTGCCCGCAAATGCAGTGACATTTCTGGGGGTAGAACTCGCACATCAAGCAATGAACAAGGTCTTTTGAAGGCAAGCAATTCGAGAAGCTTCGCAGCGTACGCAGGTCATGAGCGACCGCTCCTCTGCTACCCAACGCTATGCAATCATACTTCGGCCGAGAGAAGCGATGAAGACCACTCACGCTCAAGTCTATCGACTTCTGCTACAAAGAGTGAAATGGCCACGGGATGGAGAACGATATGAAGACAGACCATGGAAGGTCATCTACGACGGTTGAGTTCTGTGCCACCAAAGTGAGAGAAATTGTGAGATAATGAGCAAAGTATTTGGAGGTTGAGACATGCTCTGCATTTAAGTGAGTATCAAGAATACTCTGGGAAGGTATCTCGTGACACCCGTCTTTTTGTAGGCTATGCTATGAGAATTCATTAAGCTCTCTATCAAACCATGATGTTTTTGTTTATTTTGAACCAACTACCTGATATTGGGGAGAGAACAGCAAGCGTGACCCATCGCTTTAGTTCAGCGTTGCCGAGGGACAACCAGCCAGATTAACTATCGCTGACCCAACAGAGCTCTTGTTCACGGAGTTCGCATCGTGAAAGCAGCTTTCATGACCATGCATCCATCCGAGCCAAGCCCATGCTGACTCGCGCAAAGCTGAAAGCGATCTGAAGCAATTTCATACCCCAATTTTTTCCAGCTCGAAGGATTCGCACCCTTGCCTAGTCGAGTGAGCTCGAGTAAGCACGATGTTTTTTCTGGGTAATTCTGCAGGTCCTGCCGCCGGACTATTCTTGCTGGAGTCTTGCAAGCAGTATGGCCAATGCGGACGTTGGTTCCCTCAGCCACACCCTAGAGCTGGCAACCTGCCTTACTGACCCCTGCAGTGCCTAGTCCTGAAGGGCAGTCATTGCACGCGGTCATGGCAGCATCAGGCTGGGCCATGTTGCCTTATTCTGCGTCTTGTTGCCCCCTTGAAAATATTTCTAGGACGATAGAACCCGAGAAGCTCTCAGTATTGCCATGTCTCAAGGAGATGCGAACGATACTGAATCAGAGAACAGCCAACCAGGCGAAAAGTCTCATCCTCCTCTGACAACAATCTTCACTCCTCCATCTTCCTGCCATGATACAGTCACATATGATGGCACGACACTTTGGCAGAATGGTATCAGCCAAATGGGCGACGCAGGCTGCTATCCCACGAATTTCTACGAGGAGCTATTCAACAACTATTACTCACCAGGAATATGTCCAGATAGTTGGACCAGTGTTGGAGCCATAGATCACTCCTCTGGCAATGATGCAATGTGTTGTCCAAAGTAAGATCCTCTCAATGCGCTTAGGCGCCTGAGCAGCTGACCCTCATGTCTTGAAGTGGCTATTTCCTCACGACCAGCGACCAAGGCATTCTCCGGAATTACTGTTTTTCGCTTTTCAATACTCCTTTGACGAAGGTATATTCGATGCGTTCGCTCCAGTCCGGCTCGATACCGTCCAACCCAAGCTTGACTACCATAAGTCCTGCGAAAGTGTCAAATACGGTCTATGCGGATGTAATCCAAGTGCAGTGGCAGGACAGTGACCAAAATATCATCCAATTGATGTCTCAAAAGGATGCGGAAGCTACCATGCAAAGCTCATCTTCAAGCGCGAGTCCCGCGTCTACAACACCCGCAGCTGCCTCTCAAACCAACGCACCCACATCCACAGCCGCGCCCACATCAAGTGCAGACAGCGGCCTTTCTTCGGGCGCAAAAGCAGGTATTGGAGTTGGTGTCGCCCTTGGTGTCCTTGCCATCATGGCGTTGGCGGCATTTCTCTTCCTCCGCCGCCGAAAAAGGAGAAAGCCTCACGATCCCGCTTCAGAGTCTACGCTGAAGGATTGGAAGGGCCCTGCTTATCATGAGATGGACCCCACTCAGACTGGCTTGCCACCCCAAGAAATGGACGCTAGACATATATCAGAAGCAGCTGGCTCAGTGCCGCCAATTGAATTGCCCGAGCGAGGAAATAGTCGAAGGGGCGTCAGGGACAGTAGTAATATGAGCGATGCCCCAATATCATCACTCGGCAAAAGTCCTTTTGGGAGTCAGAACATAGGCAATGGAACAGACAGGAGCGTTTTCGGAAGTCAGCACGCCAGGCGTGGATGATTGACTAGATTGGGTTGAGTAGTAAGGCGGTTTTTATGTTTTGTTTTCCAAGTTTTATACCCTTCCCGAGTGTTTTCTATAAAATTGTCTGGTTGCATTCTTCGCAATTACCCTTTCAACAGTTCAAAACGTGTCGTTCAAGGGGATCAGTCAGGAGGCGGCCCTTGACAACTCCAAAACAGTACATTATCCCTTCATTCATCCCGTCGTCCAACTTAGTGCTAGCCAAGCCCCAAGAAACATCCAACCGACTAGCAGCACTAGGAGGCCTAACACTACGCCAGCAGTGACTCTCGACCCAGGCCCGCCAGACAGATACGCTTCAGGTTGCTGACCAGCTGACGCTGGTATGTTCGTCGATGTGACTGTCGAGCTCTCTGTACTCAAGGAAGCAGAGGAGGTATCTCTCTGAATCACCGTCGGTGTTGGCCCATTAGCGTTGATGATAGCGCTGAGACTTGCGGCAGCACTGCCGGGTCCCAAAGCGTCCGACGGGATGCCGAAGAGTGCGGTATCTGCACCGGGCACTGTTGTAGGCACCTGAGAGGGAGTGGAGTGAGAGCCTGTAATTGCTATGCCGTCATGCGATGACGATTGACCGATAGTAGACGAATTTGGTTCGCTTGGCAGGCTTTGGCCTGCAGCATTCGGGCTACCTTTCAGAGGCTCACCTGTTGCAGTACGGTTGACTCCAGCGAATATCCAGAGAAGGCACGCCACGACACTGCAAATAGCCACCAGAGAGAAAGCCAGGATGATTCTTCTGGCTGACCAACCTTCGACAATCTCAAGTGCAACTCTCTCTAACCTCGCTTCTCCCTGCACACCCACAGCTTGATTCTCCGGCAATCCTCTCGCCCAATTCCACCACTCCCATTTGCCATTCCCAATTTTTGGTTTTCGATAGAGCTCTAGCAATCGCGCCTCTGCGAAGCCAGACTCTTCGTCCTTCTGTTCCTTTGTCTCGAAGCACTGCTGTTTCGCCCTCCTCGTAGCAAGCTGGCACCAAGATGTGTATCCCAGCAATCTTACGCTGCAGACGGTCCTTGCACCGCATTTCGCCAGCACCGGCCCTCTGAAGGACGTATAAGCCCCCCTGAGCAAAAGTGCCAACTTAGCATCATCGAACGTCTGATTCATCGCCACCGTTCCTCCTTCCTGCGGCTTCCCCGACATTACGGAACTAAAGATTTCATGCCCTACGCTCGGAATCTTCAGTCTCGTCACCTTTGGCATTCCCCCACCACGCTTGTACACAAGAACAGTCAAACTTGCCCATTTTCCTTTCTCCTTCCTTTGATTTCTTTCCCAACCCCCCTCCTTATCCCCTTCATATGGTATCGGGTACGGCGTACTGATCACATCCTCCTTCTCCCATTTCTTGCCTGCCTGCCTTGCAGCTTCCGTATCCGCTCTTAATGAAAATCCAACCTTACTTCGACTCCTCTCTTGCTGAGCCGGTCTCATGACTTTCGCCATCACGGACGGATGGCTTCTCAAGCCATCAGCCGGCGCCTTAGGGTCTGGCGTCCCCATGACAGCATTACGGGCAAGTGCGCTACCTCCTGCAATCGGGCTCGTGGAAACATGATGGATTGCCGGCGCTGAGTTGGGCGCGAAGGGATCCGCCGACCCGTTCCAGAGCCCGCTGACTCGGTCGTCTCCTTCGAGGTATCTGTGTTCTAGAACCTCGCTTGCAGAATTTGGTCCGTCGGCTACGCGCTCAGAAGTTGGCCAGCCAATAATGCCGCTGCGGCGATCTTCACGTTTCTGCTGTTCTTCATCCTCAGTACGTGGCTCATATGCACGGGTGCCGACGGTGACTGTATTGTCGGTAGTACTAGCGTCAGAGAGGCCAACGTCAAGGTCCTTGTTTTGGCTGTTGCCGCTGGGACCCCGGACCAGAGCCTCAGTGATATCCATCTTCTGGGGACTGTCTTGCTGCTTCATAGATCCGCTGCGGTGCTGGACGAGGGTTGGCTTGCGAAAAGAGGCTTGTGTGGCGTTGCCCAGAAAAAAGGTTTCTGGCCATCGTCTGCATCCTCCTCGTCATCGGCGTCGTGGGCGCGATCTTCGTCGCCTTCCGAGGAGGCGGCATCGAAGAAGGAGTCCAAGTGCTGCTGGCCGTGAGGTACATTCTTTACGGTTTCGACGGTGCCAGAGGAGTCACGGTTCTTAGCTTTCTTTCCGCCGGGTTTGAAGCGTTGGAGGAATGGTACGTGCAGTGCCCTTGAAGCTCGTGGGCTCTTTGGCTCTTCTTTTACGTGCGCGAAGGTCGGAGTATTGGGTGATTGGATTACAATGTCAGGTCTTTCTATCTTGTCGTCATCTCTGTCTTTCTCAAGTCGGAGGGGAGATTTGACCAAGTTCGTGTTGTTCACGAGGATATCATTGCGAAGTACAGGCATTGCGAGCGGCACAGAGGCCTCACTTCCCCTTTCACTCTCTCCTACGATCATGATACCATCTTCAGAGCTCCCTGCACTTCCATGATCGAGAAAGCTGAACGAACTCGATTCCAAGTTGAAGGACTGCTCCATCACGTGGGACAGCGACTCTGCATCGCTCGGGTGGGCCAGGCTGTTCTTGGGCGCCCTGTTTCCAGGCGGAGGCGACTTTACTTTTTGACTAGTACCCGGTGGATACTCTGACGATGTAGAGACTGAGCCAAACCGTGAAGCAGTTTGGTCATCTTTGTGTCCGCTTTGGTGCTCGTCTAGGCCCTCGAGGACGGATTGCGATCCGCCTACAGAAGAAGTTGCGTACGAAGGTACGAACGAGAACTTGGAAAAGCGATTGTCGACATTTTCTTTGGCAAGATTGACCAGGTTAGGCTCTAAGGGCAGCGCGACAGCTGAGCTTGAGGAATGATCTTCGCTGCCGAATTTTGAGCCAAGGATGGCCTTTTGATTTGGCTGTGGACTGACAGATGCAATACTATCCTGTTGGTCTGTATTATCCTCGTCTGAAGCGGTACTCATACGTGTCGACATGCTACGTCTGGGGTTGCCTGAGCCGGCCACAATGATCGGGCTTTTGGAGAAGATGCCACCGAATGATATAGGCCGGGTTTTGAGGGTCTTCGATAGGCCCTTTTGACGATCTGGTATGGGCATGGCCATTGCTTTTAGGGGTGATGAGGAGGTGAGAAGATCTGGCAGCATCTTAGAATTTCATTGGCAAAGCACGTAGTACTGCGCACAAAGATCATGCTAACAAGGCAAAGCAACGCTATTTTTCCGACGTACGGGTACAGTCGAACCGCTTGCGTCCTTGAACGCACGTGAAATGGAGGAAATCTTTGTACATAAGGAAAGTATAAGGACCGCTTTCCGTCCACAAAGAACAGGCTTCCCAGCAGCCCGCAAAGCTGCGCATTCGTCTCAAATTTTCCATTTGCTTTAGCGTTTGGTATTGAAATGTCAGTATCCATAGTAGACGACCATCGGGATTCATTTAGCGTACATGGGTTTGGCATTGGCTGCTTTTTGATCTTGAAGAAGCCGATATCTGCCCCCGATGATCGTGCTATTAAGTTCTCGCCAACATTGATGTGATGTGACTCCTAGTTCGAAACAAGCTATGATTGTGTGAAATAATTACCGCCGCAGTATGGGCACTCGTCGAAGTCTTCAAGAAACCTTCTGGGCAAGCATTCCCGATCACTCAATTCAGGGTTTCCACGTTCGTTGACGAAAATACGCTGACAACTCGAGCACTTTTTAATGTGTTTCGGATTCTTTATGGGCATAAACGTAATACCACATCTTGCTCCCAAAGGATGTTTGTTGAGACATTCAGCACTGTTTGATGGCCCAAATGTAAGAGGTTGCTCGCACACCGGACACTGATCCACCAATACTTTGAGTCGTTCGTGTTTGAGAAGTTCAGGCAGCCTAAGGCGCAAGAATTCGGGAATCGCAGCAAGCATTTCCAATCGTGATTGTGACTCATTTGCTCTTATAAGTTTCAAGAATTGAGCTTCTTTGGAGAAATTGTCGACGCCGTTGAAAGCGTTTATCAAGTGATCCAGTATTGCCTGTGCGACTAGCAGACGATGGTCGCTGGAATCATGGAACCCGGTAAGTGCAACAATGACGGCATTGTAGTAGAAACGCAAGGTGATATCTGTCTCTGACAAATGTTCTTCTACACTCATCTTCAATTTTTGAAATACCCTTCCAAGCGCTTCCGAAACATCAGCTTGTATCTCGTCCTGCCAAGGGAAGTGGAAGACTTGAGAGTCCAAGTCGATATAGCCGAAAAGTAGCGTAGCTTTTTGCTCCTGGGTAGTCTTGTACATTACCTCCCAACGATACTGGAAGCTGATGCATACCACGAATATCCCTCGATAAGAAGCCGTGCCATGAACCCATGTATCCACGAGCTTTGGATCAATTTTTCGAGCAGTGGCGTAAATCTTTCTAGCGTTCGACAACTGCTGACACGCGGAAAAGGGTTGCCCCTGTGACTTACGGGTCGGTATAGAAAGATTGCTAGGAGCTTCAGGGCTTGTTGTCTCGAGGCCGAAAGCTTCGAGTTGTCCGTCTCGTGTGGCTGCAACAAAATTGAGGGATCCAGAACCCTGTTTCGGGTTGTGTTCTGTGCATGATATTAAAGCTGTTCTCAATCACATAAGTATCGATTTGATAGTCGGTGCGGAGCTTCTTACCCATAATATCGTATGGCGTGAGTTGGCGGTCGTCTTTGTCGTGACCAGGAAGTAAAGCCTCCTGACGCTGGTGTATTGTAAAAGCCCCTTCGGCCGACAGTTCTAACAAAAAAGAATAAAGCGAGCGATATACAACGACCAGTAGCAGCGGTATTGTGAACTATTCATAGGGTAAGGGCTCTGCAACATTGAGAACTTTGAAGATAATTGAGAAGCTTACGATGCAGTCTAGCCAGAATATCATGCTGTGACTAGCTGGCCCAAAAGTTAAATTTGTGAATATTTCATTGTCATTGTGAATTTGTTGTGGCTGTCCAGGGCCAGCTAAACCAAGTGAGATCGCGTGATGGTACAGAAGTCCAGCTCGTCGGAAAGATAGCACGAATTTCCTAGCGTTGCTACAGGGTATCACAGGGCTACATTTCACATAGTCAGGGAATGTAGTTTGTAGTGACCCGAGTTGGTATAATGAGGGTACGTGGTCTATATTCTGCTGCTTTAAGTGATCCAGTTCCAGTATTTGACACGCCGACCAGGATTTGGACTCGTTTTGATATGGGCTAGCAATTCGAAAAAGTCTGATTGGAGCACCCATTCCCAATCCTACAGCAAGGATGAAATCATCTTCGATGGGACACCAAGTCACACATCGTACTTGATGTGGGCCCGAAGGCTTTCCTTCGGCATTTCTTCCCTGATTCAGAACCAGCACTCTCTCCCAACTCTCCGAATCTTTTGGATTTGAGGTGGATGCCCAGATTGAGAGTATATGATTAGCTGTCAATACTGCCAGGGCAGAGCGTCGATGAAGCGCTAGACCTGGCGGCGACCACGCAATCTGACATACATGACTATCAGATTGCTCTTCTCCGATGTCCATCAGTGGAAAAGGCTTTGGTGACTGACGTGGCCATTCTGTGGTAGTAAATTTGTTGACCTGAACTTTCACCTCGCTCCAAGGTCTAGCCCTGTTGCCCGGGATCAAGAGTATGACCTGGTCTCCCGCAGCCAAAGCCAACTCGCCACGGGCAGCCCAAGCCAGACAATTCTCATCTAGTGGTTTGACGTGCGGAATATCCAATTTCGAGATGTCAGGCTGCATTGTGGCAGACCTTCACACGTGACACTCTAAGGAAGACCAATTTCTCAATTCGAAATATTGGTAGACTGTGAAGCTTGAATACGACAGATTCAACTATCGTACGCGCTCTTAACATTCTCAATATTTCCGCCACATCATCTACTCTGTTGTTGGAGAGTTGAAATTGAACTTTGGACTTTTCTAGGATGATTGATAGAAGAGGTCCCCCTAGTTTTAAGTTGGATCGACCCCTACTCTAGATTAGCTAACAAGGGCTGGGCGGGGCGCATTCTCAAAACTAAGCCATCAAGATATAAATTGCCCAGAAATCTTATTTAGGGGTCATCTCTTCTACGCAAGGCTTTTTGGAGTAATTCACCTTTCTAACCTTTTTAGGAAAGGCTTGACATAGATTCTTAAACATTCCTACCATGAAAACATACTTAATTAATTTGAAAATCTATATACTTGATGTTCTTAATATAATGAATAGATTTTGAGGATTTGAAATTATTCTATGCAAGTTTGAGCATTGTACGTTGGTATTTTAAAAAACTTCTAAATATGCGTTATCAAAAAAAGCCTTAAGTAGACCTGACGCGCGAAGAGATCTATAGTGTGCTATTGTCTATTGTCAATGTTACGTATTATTTCGAAATTGATCAACTTCAAAGAGTCTTTCGCCAACAGGATCCCACTCCTCGTCCCAACGCCGTTTCCCCTCTTCCAGTGCTCCTTTCTGTAGCTTCTCTAGCATAGTGGGGTCCTTACTGAACAACAATTGGAGTATCTCGTTGAGCTTTCCGGCATTTCCAAAGCCCAATCCATTCACTCCCTCCTGAACCAATTCTGGCCATGCCTCAAATTCTGACCATCCAGCTACAGGTATGCCTGCCCCAAACATATCGAGCACTTTCATAGGCAAGTCGACTCCACTGCTGCTTGTGTGAAGGCTGATACCCAAGTCAGCGCATCCAAGCTGCGATGCGTAGTCTTTGAGATCGTCGAAGAAGCCAGTGATGATGAAGACATGAGATAGCTGTTGATGGGCGTAGAGCTCATCTACTCTACGCTCAAAAGCTGCCTTCCCAGGGCCTCTACCCGTAATTATCACGACAAGAAAGGGTAGCTTTGAGACCTTGGCATGTTCACTGTAAATGAGAAAAGCACTGAGCAATAAAGAAAAATCCTCATCAGCAGTCCAAGAAGTCGGACTGACTATCAGCCTTGCCTTTCTATCCTTGAGCGACTGCATGAGAGCCTCTGCTGGATGTACAGGAGCCTCTAGACCCGCGACACCTGCTTGATGAAAGTAAATGTCACAAAAAGAAAGATCTGGATTGCACGTCGTTGTAAGTGAGTCTGCCAGCTTGTCCAAAAATAAAGCTCGGGTTGGTTCGTCTAAACTCTGGAAGGTCAAAGCTGGGCGATCGTGAAGCGTGAAGACCGAATGATCGATGTGGCAGGTTTCTTTGAGCGCTCTCGCCATAGCACTAGACACGCAAAGGTGTGCATACGCGTACCGACCTATATGTTGCTCGTAAAGTCTGGAGACTGCTACCAGAGGGTGATTCTGCCCAAGTTTTAAAGAAAGGAGGGTATAACCAAAGTTGTGCCAGTCAATCACAAGACGAGTCTTCCGTAAGCGACACGCAAGCAGAGCAATGGCTAACGTGGGAATTGTTGGGGGATTTTGAACGAGCATCCAGCCCGACCTCTCAGCTTTGAGGTACATGTGACTCCACAAGGTCCAGATCTGGAAAAGGGTTTTCAGTGGACCAAGGATTGAGAAAAGAATGCGATTCTTTGTCTTCAACCAGGCCGGAGGCAGAGTGAGTGGAGAGACATGGATTTCACGATGTGCGCCAATCCCGGGGTGCAGATGTGATTCTGAATATCCAACTAAATCGACGTGAAAGCCATGCTTGGCCAAGCTTAAAGCATGATATTGCATTCGAGGACTTCTACCAATGTCTCCCAAAACGACGACCTGAACCCGCTTTTCATCATCCAACTCTGGCTCTCGTGAATGACGCGAAAGAGTAGTAATGAGGAGCACCACGATGCACTTCAGCATCCAAGGGAACAAACTTTCAGGGCTGGAAAAAGACATTGAGACTATGGCACTGTATCATGTGGTTCCATGTCTTGAAGTCTCTCATATGAGGTAGGGTCGGATCTGCATGTCGTGTGCTTCCAATGCGTGTGAAAGGATTCAATTGCAAGGTCGCACGCGAAACAGGAGCGCATGGGGCGGAAATGTTCCTCGAATTGATCCATGCCCTGGTGCCCCTGACAAGAGCTTTGCCTCATGCGGATATTTGTACATATTCCTCGGATCCTCCAACCCATTATAAGTGAGATACTCAGCAAGGTGATCACAGATCAGGTCGGAGGATCGACTCGAGCATGGTTTGCTCTTTCCGTTTGCCTTGAGGGCAGACAACCTATAGTCCGCCTTCGAGGAAGGCGCTAGACGATGGCGACTACCTACGCTCTTCCCCCGTCTTCTTCGAACCATGCAGGTCATGGTCACTCTCATTCACATCACAGGCAGCCAGCCAACTCCAAATTACCACTGCACCCAACTAACACGAACGGTCCATACCTCTTCAACAACGAAAACGCCAATGTAGAGAGCTTTTGTACCAATAGCAATCTCGACCCATGTCCCGCCAAGTCAGTCGATGATCTTCCTTCTTCCAGTCCACAGCGAAGCCAATCGCCATATCTCCAGCTCCCCAATCCTGTCTCTTTCTCAACTTCGTCTGGAACAAGGGCTAAGAGTATGGATAGGCGGAAAAGCGCAGGGCTTCCTACACAATTGAACCTGCAAAGCAGTGGTTACGGACTTCCTGTCGCTGATGCGCACAAATTCGAGACAACGAGCATGTCGATGGAAAGCTCTATAGTATCCTTGAAGGAGGTCTATTCGGCTGTGCTATTATCTCTCCCTTACGCTTTCGCGTCTTTAGCCTTTGGTTTGGGAATTGTTCCTGGAATCTCTCGGGGCGCAAACTCAGCAGATCCGAATCCTGAGGTAGTCGTGAACAACGCTCGCTTCCAAAGTATAGATCTTGCAAATACGTCCCGATCCACTTTACTCAGTGGGCTCATTGCGGCAACACTGCTTTTTCTGGCTATGGGAGGCAAAGCCGCGCAAGCGGCTGGCAAGATTCAAAGCACCAGATCCTTTTCTCTACTCAACATATCGACCTCTGCGGACTTCCTGCGAGTTGGCAGAGTTGCGGTGATGCGAGCAGCGACAATCGGATTGCCTTTCTATGCTACATCTTGTCTTGGAGGAGCCAGGGTAACGACTATCTTCCTCTTTGCCAAAGTTACAGGCCTTATGGTAGCTGGAGATGAATCTTCAATACTACTTACAGGGAAAACCTGGATGCGAGTGTTGAGCCAACGCAAATGGAGTGTGGCAGTGATAGCGCTTCAAATTTGCACCGATGTCTTTGGTCTTACCAATAGTGAGTCGAAGCTAAGTATTGCGCTTGGATATACGGCCCTTGGAATCTCTGTCTTCATGATGCCACCGGCTTATCCATCCCTGAAGCCAAGGTCTTTGAGCAGAATTATACACAGCAGCTCTTTAAAGGCGACAGACTGGCGTGTTTCTTCCAACACTGCGTCTCCATCCACACCTCTGCTTCCAATCTCATCAAATATATGCACCGCAGAAGACATCGACCTCACTCTGGCGGTCGCTTTGTTCATGTGTATCACAACTTTCATACTTCCTTTCGTATCTGCACCTAGCGCCGGCGCAGATGCAACTGATGGTAGCATTTTTGCCTGGAGCATCTTGACGACTTGCGCAGCAGCTCTAGGGCTAATTTTCATCGATTCCTATGCCCTTCGAAGCCAACGCGGTGCTGGGTCAATTATTGGATCACTAATTTCATGTCTGTTGATTACGACCTTGAATTACGACGCATGGACTTCTTTCTTCTACCAGAGCGTATTCATTGGCGCTTCATACATCGCTTATGCTCTCGATACTCGATTTACCTCGTCATCGTCCTCACATTCTGCTGGACATAATAATCATCAACGGCGATCCTATCACGGAGAGGTTGTGGGAGCGTCCAGAATGACAAACTACATAGTACCGGCAGTCCAGGATTGGCCTCTTCTTCATACTATTTTAGTTGAGAAGGACTCGCGCCGGATCTTTTACTTCATGTGGTGAGCGCTCTGCCCAAATCTCTTCGCAGGACAGCTAACGAAATCATCAGCCTCAACTTTGCCTTCATGCTAGTCCAAACCTTTTATGGCATTGTTTCGGGATCGCTGGGCCTGCTAAGCGATAGTATTCATATGTTTTTCGATTGTCTGGCTCTTTTGGTCGGTCTGTCAGCCGCCGTGATGAGTAAGTGGCCGCCGAGTCGTCGATTTCCTTATGGCTATGCCAAGATTGAAACACTGGCGGGATTTGCCAATGGCGTCTTCTTGATGTATGTGTCTGCAGCGCATCAATCCAAATCTGCTAATATATCCCATTAGGCTCATTAGTGTCGAAATCATCTATGAGGCCATTGAGCGTCTCTCAGAAGGCAGTAATGTCAAGCGGTTGGGCGAGCTCATGACCGTCAGTATATTAGGCCTTGTCATTAACATTGTTGGGATCTTCGCCTTTGGTCATGCTCATCACGGGCATGATCATTCACATGGACACTCACACGGACACTCACACGGCCAGCAGGATCATGCCCATGGCAAGCATTCACATCTGCATCACGAGCATGAACACGACCAATCACACAGTGACCATGAATGTCATAATCATACCCACCAGAGCGAAAGTGAGATCAAGCACAACCAGAGTTTCCCAGCCTTGAATGGTCATGCTAGTGCTGAAAACCTGGCAACCTCTTCACCAACTCCATCCGTGTACTCTTCAGTCCCAGCCACCCCCTCCAAAACAGTCCACCACGACGCTTCTAGTCATGGTCATGGCCATGGTCATCATCATCACGAGCACGATCATGATCATAGCCATCGTCACAATCATCATCACCACCACCATAGCGAAAACATGATGGGTATCTACTTGCACGTTCTTGGTGACACATTAGGCTCGCTAGCCGTCGTTGTCTCCACATGGCTGGTACAGTGGAACGGCTGGTCAGGTTGGGATCCTCTTGCTTCCACAGGTATAGCGATCATCATCTTTGGCACTGCAATCCCGCTGGTCAAGAACTGTGCAAGCAAGCTCCTTCTCACGGTTCCAGAAGACGTCGAATACGACCTTCGAGAAGCACTAGCGGGTATCAGTGCGCTACGTGGGGTATTGGGCTGCACGGTCCCCAAGTTCTGGGTCCAAGACGGCGAGGAAAGACATGTGATGGGAGTTGTGCATGTGGTGGCTGACAGGATCAGCAACTTGGAGGATGTGAAAGAGAGATGCATCGCCTTCTTGAAGGACGCCGGACTCGATGTGCTGGTGCAGGTTGAAATAGAAGGTGCAAGATGTTGGTGCCAAGGAGTCAGTTCAAAGTAACATATCCATCCAGTAGGATAACAAGGAGCCAACAAGGAGTGTGAGGACAAGTCATTATTGCAAAGATACCCTGTAGCGATGATTTGAGCGAAGCATACATCATGGAAATCGATGAAGTGTAACATACAGCGCATGACTATGAAACAGCGAGAGTGTAACAATAATGATCAATCTTGCAGGCTGCTTCTTATGACATTGGAACTACATTGTAGATTTCAGCCAGTCGTCTTAGCTGTAAGGCCACCCACATGCTCTGACCATCTCGCAAGTAGTTGCCCACTGCAATGACTTGTTTCATGGGTACAAAAAGATACCATCCACCATAAGCTGCTGCTGTCTTATAATGAGGCTTTGGGATTAGCTTGCCAGGTTCGCTTGGATATTGGATGTTTTGCGCATGCATAGGTGCAGGCAAAGTCCTACTACCCAAGCAAAACGGAATACTAGCACATATGGCGTCGGCTAGCTCTTGAATGGCTTCCACCATCTCAGCACGCTTGTGGCCAGTGCAACAGCGTGCAAGTACTACGAGCACTTTGAGGCGAGCGACCCGCCAGTCGTTCCAGGTGGAGCATACAATGATGTCCTTGTAGATGTCGCAATTTGTACCATACAAGCCAGCTTGAGTTACTGACTCTGGAATTTGAAAATGGGGGACTGATATGGGCGTCCAGTCGGCAGGGACGGTCTCAATCCACGATATTAGGCGACTGTGCATTTCGCTGGCCTGGAGTGAGATCTGAGGGTCCTCGAGTCTAATTTGATCATCCTCGCCTAGCTTGGATGCGGAAGCGATAGCTTGACGCATAGAAGCCTGGAAATTGGCGACCTCTGCGATCATGACATCGAGAAGAGAAGCAACGTTCAGAGGTACCTCGTCCAAATCCTGCCAGACAGGGCTATGAAAGTCAACCACAGAGCCAGTAAGAGCGGCTCGATAGGCGATGTTACTTCTAATTCCCATTAGCAACGTGCCGGTCGTCTTCGTCATAGATTGACCTCTCCGTTGGCTTATGAGTGCTCCAGCACCCTCGTAGTGGCATGGAGATGATATCCTCGCCCGGAAAGACTCAAAACATGCTTCATAAAATCCAAGTAAACACACAGTCATCAGGGTATCATCAGTCACCATTGAGATTGGGTCTTGTAGAGCAAGTCGCGTGCTTGCCAGTGCTTTCCCATAGGCTTTCTTGGCTTGAAATGTTTCTGGATTTTGGGCATTTCGGACCCATTTGTTGAAGATAAGATGAGATATAGCTGCAACACAAAGCGCAAGAGGCGAATCTAACGCGACACGATGATACAGGAATGGTATGAGATCAACGAACCCTCTTTGAGACTGTTCGTCTGCCGTGGGGTCCGGAAAGGATGAGGTAAAGAAGTCAATCGAAAGCGATTCTTGCGACACACAAAGTTCCTGAACGAACGCATCCGGCCGCTGTGGAAGCGTAGGGCTCTGAAATTTGCTTCGAGCGTTCTGACGTCGAGCTACAGCAGCTTTCGCAGTGTTGTTTTGGTCACGCAACACCAAATCAAGACCTTCTGAGTAACCTGGGCAGACTGGTGAAAAGGGAACCGGATCAGTAAATAGGTCTTTCCTCTCAAAATGAGACATAAATCTGAGTTGCTGAAGACTCATGGACAATTCGGATGAAAGCTGCGTCGACAGTGGTACACGTACTTCGATTTGAATTGACGCATCTCAGGCAAGCTGGTCGGCTCTCGTCACACTGGGGTTTGCGTCAGCGGGCAACATGTCTTGTGCGCCTTACTGACTTTAGTGTGACGCTCTTTGCAGCTGTTACAAGCTCCAGAAGGCTTCCTGCCATGAGGTATTAGGCTTGCTGTTTACTAAGTATAAACCTATATAGCAGCGCTTCTTAGAGGAATTCAAATCGAAACAGAATAGCTTAGGTTGGACACATCCAGAGGACAAGCCGTATCTGTTGTACTTTCTTGTCACGAAGGCGGCGTTTCGACTATTCTGTTTGGTGAGGACTAAAGGACGTTGGCCTATTCTTGTCGCATTCCATCTGGGACATTAATTCCAGAAGACATGAACCTGGACTGGCAGAAGCACATCAAGGAGTCAAACTGATCAAGCAGTCGTCAAGTTGTCCGCACAAGGAGGATGTGGGTTTGGTAAAAAAGGAACAGGTCGACGCTATGATTGATTTTTTGCATATAATTTGAGAGCGGGAGAATGCGAATACGAGCATCCTCCCTTTAGATCTCTTTTGACCTTGCTGAAGACGGAGGATTGATTTTGACCACGATGATTGCCTAGACATCAACTTCTCCCGATTCGGTAGCAAGACTCCTTCGTTCCAAGAAGGGGCAATGCCTCGCGGCGAAATCCTTCCTATAGTGCTATTCGAGCTCCGTTCGCACGAACATCGCCCGCGAATGTTCCTCAAGCGCCGAGATATGCACATCCCAGAACAGAACAGCCATGTTGAGTCTCAAGGTATCGATCGCTCTCTGCCAATTGGTGGTCCTGGGTGCTTATGTCACCCGAGTTGGACGTATAACTCGACGTTTCAATCCAATACCTTACGATTGGCCATTTTAGTGTCTTGGCGCCGGGCTGTGCTCGTTCCTCCAGCTCCTTTATCATTCTTGTTGCCTACTTCACGGCGGACAGCTCAATACTTCACCGGCTGCTTTTCCCTTCTTCCTCTGAATACTCTTTTTCGATTCTTTGAGCGATTGATTATTCATTACCAACCTGTGCTAATATCCTAAAAATTGAGTTACTCAAACAACAATGTCGAGCGCGGCGCACTCACTCGCCCGTCGGGCGCTTGACGTTACGCAACAACATTATGCCAACATCGATGCCGGCAATGAAGAAGGTATCAAACAGATTGCTATTTGGGGGATGATACTCCTCTGGGCCACGGTTGTGCTGTATATGGCGATGATATCAGCCGTGAGCACTCTCCTCTGGACGGCTACATAAGCTAGTAACTGAAGCTGACCGTGTCGAGTAGATTGATTATACATATGGGGACGTCGTGGGGACGCTAGCTATGATCGAAAACCCTACTGCCACGGCCTACGCCTCTGAAGCTGCAATCTCGGACATCAAAGACCCTCTGCTCTCGGGAGATGCATCGGAAACACAGGCCGCGGATCTGGACATTTACGTGGTCAAGAACCTTCCCATCACCCGCAAGCTGCGGAGCGCCGTAAAACACCTGACATCCATCGGTGGGCCACTCGCTCGCTTCCGTGGTCTACATATCGCCATCATCTACAACGCTTTACATGCCCTGATCTTAGGTCTTATCGCACCGAGAGGCACTTTCATTCGACCTTTCATGTCTGTTGTGGCGAGCGTTGCTCTCTCTCGCATTCACATGACTTGGACCCATGTCGTCATCTCTATGCCTTCATCGAAAAGCTGGTGGCGACGTATCCCATCTGTCAAGGCCGGCAAACATGTGCTCCTGCCTGCAGCAATCTGGGCTGCTGCGCAACAGATGTCTATCTACGTCCCGGGAGTCCTACTCAACTCTGCTTACAGCACCTTACAGAATCCTAATGCCTTTGGTGGTGACTCCAAGGCAACACAGAAGGTCGCCCTAGTGCAGGCCTTCATGGTTGTTTTCGTCTTCCTAGCCACGGTACTACTCGTCGTCATACCCGCAGAAGTGTCACTCAAACGTGTTGAGGCCTCCATGCTTGCAGAAGAAGATGAATCAATCGTTTCCTTTGACCGTAGCTTTGACGGTAAAGTCAAACCCGAAGCCTTAGGTGGAAGTGGCTCGATCTCGATGCTGGATGCTTGGAAAACGTTCGGCAAGGAAGCAAGGATCAGATTGCTCAAGCTATACGCCAAAATCGTCGCATTGCAAATTGCCACTGCAATCATGTTCACTATGGTTCTAATCGGCGAGCTTAAGTTGATTACTGGTGGTGATTTCGAGAAGCTCGTAGAGACTGCGCGTAAGTCAATCAAGGGCGAGCTGTAAGGAAGACGAGTCCATTCTACAAGATTTGAGGTTAAGGAGGGGAAAGGTCAGTAATGAAGTCTTGGAATCACAATCGAAAGACTGCCAGCATTCCTTTACTCGATGCGTTATGATTAGCGAATGAATATTGTATCAGGAAACTCAGTGCTTGATGCTGTTGCCAATGTTTGCTTCCTTCTCTGCCCGCTGACGCGATCGAACCTCAAATGACAAGCAAGTGCCCCATTTTGTCAGTACCAAGGCAGACAACACAGGCGCTTCAATCGATTACATGCCTGAGGTGGCCGTGATTGATTTACGGCCGATACAAGTCCCCCCACAATCGCACAATGCCCTGATGCGGGGATTTAAGAAAAAGATTAGCCATTGGTGCCAGCAGAGACGATCACTTGAGCCTGGATCAATCAATATACATGGCCAGAATAGCCTTCTGCTACAGTGCTAGCCGACGGATACTTTCGGGCCTCTCAGCACGAGTATTTAGTTGAGTATTTAGTCACGGTCTTGAAGGCTTGACTGCCCGCAGCGTTGCCCAGATATATGCCTCACCAGAAGTGCATGACGATCTCCCTGGTGAGTCTTTCAAGCCCTACACAATGTTTCGCAAGTCCCTGAAATGGTCCAGAGAAGCGTATCGACACCGGGGGACTTATTGCTGCGAGCATGGCCCGCCGATTAGATATCATGGAGTGGTACTGGTCGATTCGCTTAAACGAGTCTTGTCGTCGATCTTATTGGGGCTCTTTTAAAGCGTCACCTGGGCAGACTCCTCCAACTTGGTCGCATGCGCCCTACTCTCTTTTTGCGATATCCGCCACAGACGCGAGCAATGGAGAGGCGCAAAATCTACGACGGACGCGACTAAATCCCTTGCCAGAGATTCCACCTCGCTCAATGCCCCAAAAGGTCGTCGATCAACGTTTCGAAGGAGTGGGGTTCTGTTCTTAAGGGTATCTTCCTACTCGCAAGCGCCTCTTAGATTCGACTTTGAGGCTGAAAAGGCGCAGGACGTCAAATCCGATTGACTAAGTCTAACACCTCCAACATTGTCGCCATGCGCAAGTGCAAGGAACGCTGCAGAATGACTGGCTATCTTCGCAGCCTCTCGCCTGGCCGTACCTTGCCCGGGTCAAGCGCTCTAAAATTGGTCTGCCTGATCAAAGCTATGATCACCCTGCTCTCCACTCACCACTGCTTGTTATGCATATTCGGGTCTAACCTTGCGTCGACCAAATATGTGCTTTCCCGTCGAAGAATCATTTGTTCTTGAGCCATACATTTGATTCCCATCCATCGGCTTCGTACTTTTACTTTGGTCGCTTGCAGCTCGAGCACATACGCGAGTACGCACTTCAATTCCCCAGTCACCCTCCGATCCCTTCCCTCCTCGGTGCAGGTCATTGGGCTTTGGGCTACACCCGTTCCTGTCACTGGATTACACTCACTAATACTCTCTTGGGACCTTCGTCGATTGATCAAGTACAGCGCGAATTCGTCTTGATCATTTATCCACTTCCTCGCGTACAGAGCTTAATTTCCTTGAAACAAATGTTTCACTTAGCTTGTATCTTCTACTGGCAGACTTAGATAAAGAGACTGGGGGCATTGGAGCCTTTCCTTCCCTGCGGCCGGGCGCCTTCTGCAAAACCTTTCGCGTGCAAAGCTTCAAGGTGATGTTACCATCACTTCGAAGTGGCGTTCAGATGAGGTCTTGCTAGCCCATGCATGGGACAATATACCATCATGCAACTCTTACCAACGATAATCATCCTAGCTCTGCTGGCTTTCTTTGTTATTCTCACACTCTCCTTATTCCTGTGGTATTGGCAACGGAATCGTACAAGAGGGCAGAAAAGATATAGCGTGGAGTCTTCGATCAAACCCCCAAGGAAATTGACCCTTCGAGATGGCAAAGCCATACCTCACGAGGTGGCTCTCGAGACACCGAGCGACAGAGATTGTTACTCTGTGGACTTGCAGAGTCCTGATGTGGAGAAGGAGTTCGAGTACGACGTGGAGAAGGGTTTCACAAAGCCTACCCCTTCAAAATCAAGCAAGCGAGCGAGTCGACACTCTTTGAGAAGCCTTCTAACAGACAGAGGTCAACAATGGACTCCAGGAAGACCCCCGTGGCTCCATAAGGTCCCTGAGCCTCGTGATTCGAATGCTGAATCAGAGTCAAAGGTAAAACCACCCAAGCGATCAAAACCAAGGGACAGGTCGCGGAGTATTCCTCGGCCCTCTCTGATACATATAGAACGACGAGGCTCATCACAAACGCCACGAAGATCGTCTGAATCCCATTCAGCCCATCAGTCCCGGCATTCTGTGGGGAGAAGAGCCTCGTCCCAGGCGCAGATGACCCCTGAAGTGCAACAGAAACGGAGGGGAATGGATATCACGGAATCCTTGTTCAATGCATACAAAGGACCAACGCCATGGACTGACGAGATCCATCCTCTTCCTGCAAGCTCTATCGTCATGCCAGGGCCTGAAAGGACAGTAGCAAGCAGTATTCAAAGTAATGGATATCGCTGGTCGGTACCAGCTACTGCCAGCTTCGACTCGTCGATTCCACAAACAGCAAGCTTCGTGGGTAGTTCCCGTGCGGTATCCGATCCTGATCCAATACGACCACCCGCGCCGTTGTTTTCAAAAGTCGACTACAGTCCACGTGTCACGTTTGCACCTACACAAGACGCCAATCGCAAATCGTTTCTTTCGATGACTCCCTCGGGCACTTCTTCTACCTCAAGCGAGCACGCTATTCTTGGGCCGAAGTCGCCGCCCCCGCTGCTGACAGAAGCACCTCCCAAGGAATTCCCAGCTTCTACACCTGAGGAGGTGGTAGAGCTTAAATACAACGAACAATCAAGACCTGTTAAGGCTCTATCGGCACCAGCACCGGCTCCGGACGTCCTCGAACGTGTTCGGGCATTCGGCAGGCTCCACCGTGGACGACCGGTGAGCACGATACAACGACGACGGATCACATCTGATCCTTTTCAGCTACAGCAGGAAAAGATGTTCAAGGAGGTGCGGAAGTCGAGACAGCGATCGAGCCTACTACGAGGGGCTGCAGACATTCCCGACACTGTACAGGAGCGACGGCGGCGTAGCGACACAGCATCGATCCGACCACCCAGCATTGAGATCAACATCCCCCATTTCGAGCGTGGCAGTCTTTCCTTTTTTGACAGCACTCCTACACCTCCACAGTCTGGCAGAGATTTGCCAAGAGGGCCATCCGTGATGTCGGATCGATCGGCCATGACTATCGCAAGCTCCGAGATATCGAGCAATTGGACCATCGGCAAAGCCGAACTGGTCAACATTTATCCTAGCTTGGCCGATGATGAGGAGGAGGATTATGAGAGCATAAGAGAGAGCATGAAGGGGAGCCCAAGGCGTACCCCACCATACGCAAAAGTGCTCCGGAGCAAGTATGGGCAATATCCAAGGAATGGCAGGAACAAGGCACTGCCTTTATTGCCAAGGAGTCCCCTCTCCCGATTGACGACTTAGCGGGTGGGTAGCAAGGTGTTTTGGAATGGAAAGGCATGAGGGCTTGAAATGAAGCAACGAATAATAAGTAGTCTGGCTCGAAGCCATCCCGTCCTTTGAACTGTACATATACTATGCCATCCCAGCGGCTGTTAATTAATACCCAAGCAGTCGATCATGGCTGTACAACGATTCATCCACATACCCACTCGTCTTTCAGGCGCTTCCCAGACTGTTCCGTGTCCTAATTGGCCAGCAGCTAAGTGCCTCCAGCCAGAAAGCGGGCATTGCATACCTCATGCATTCTTATCTTAGCCGTGCGGTTGCCCCTCACAGCGGGAGCTTTCCTGCAAGCAGCAGCTCAATGCAGTCCAGCAGTCCACTAGACCCGAATTGTATCTGTACCACCCAGTGACGGAATCAAGCTCCCGTCCTAGGCTGCTTCCTGTGACCAGCTTTATCACCGATAGTGATTTGGGGAACTTACCCTCACCATCCATCCGATTCGATTTCTCCTCAAGCTAGATGGATATCAAAGCTGTGAGTGGGGATCAACTAGTCGAGAAACTCACGTCATTCGGCATGCAAAAGAGCAGACCAGTATCAGAAGGAAGTTACGACTACGTCGAAAAGGCGGACAGCATGGATTCACCTGTCAAGCCAACGGTCTCTATCAATACTACTGAAGAATGGGAGAAAGAGCTGATGAAAGATCCAAAGGCATCCTCAAACCACAGCCGTGACGGCTAGAGCTGCCATTAGCTAATTGTTGAACTAGAATCGGCTGGCCCTGACAACTGTTGCCCAGCACGGTACCAATGTCCTCACCCAACGATGGGCTCAGATCAAAGACACTCAGAACTTCAACGTCAAGATCTCCTTGGAGGGCAGCCCGATCACTAATCAGCGCTCTTCGGGTCGTTGCTGGTTATTCGCCGCCACGAACGTCTTTCGTGTGGCAATCATGAAGCGGTACAACCTGAAAGAGTTTGAACTGAGCCAGAGCTATCTATTTTATTGGGACAAACTGGAGAAGGCCAACTGGTTCCTGGAGCAGGTCCTAGATACCATTGATGAGCCCTTAGATGGGAGGCTGGTGCAAAGGCTCATGGAGGACCCTGTCGGCGATGGCGGTCAGTGGGACATGGTTCGCAATCCCAGGCGTGCCTGACTCGTTTTGAAACTGACTTCTTGACTTGATAGGTAGCGAATCTGGTCGAGAAGTACGGCCTCATCCCTCAGCAACACTACCCGGACTCATACAACGCCCAGAACTCCAATGGCATGCGCGCTCTTATCACAACCAAACTTCGGGAGGATGCTCTCGAACTTCGCCAATTAGCGACCCAATCCAAAGACCCACGTGCTTCTTTAGGCAGCGTTAAGGATAAGATGCTCCGAGATATTCACCGGATTCTGACCGTCATGCTTGGACCACCCCCAAGTGCCAACGATGAGTTCACATGGGAGTATCATAACAAAGAGGACAAATTTGGCAGTCTCACAACGACACCCCTGCAGTTTGCAGGCGAGCTCTCAAGTAAAGCCTCCATTCAATCCAACACGGGTGTGGACATCCACGAAGTCTTTTCCCTCGTCAACGACCCCCGTAATGAGTATAATCGCCTCCTAACGGTCGATCGACTGGGGAACGCAGTTGGTATGCGCCACATTTGCTACGTCAATGTCTCAATGCCGATCATGAAGTCCGCCTGTGTCGCTATGCTCAAGGCCGACCTGCCGATCTTCTTCGGCAGCGACGTCGGCAAGTACCTCAGCCAACAGGGTGGAATCATGGACATCGATCTTATCGACTATGAACTTGGCTTCAATGTCAAGTTGGGCTTGAGCAAGGCTCAAAGGCTAATGACTGGAGAAAGTGCTATGACCCATGCGATGGTGCTAACAGCGGTGCATCTAGATAAAGATGGCGAGCCGGTAAGGTGGAGGGTGCAGAATAGCTGGGGAGAGACAGCTGGGACGAAGGGATGGTTTGTGATGGCTGATCGCTGGATGGACCAATTCGTGTATCAGGCTGTTGTTGATCCAAAGTATCCGACCCCGTGCTTTGAAGACGAAAGCACAAAACTCTGACTAACGCATTACCAGGTTCGTGAGTAAGGAAATCAGGGACATTCTGACCCAGGATCCCAAAGTACTTCCACTCTGGGATCCAATGGGTGCACTTGCATAAATTGACGGTGAGCCTCCTGGGCGGCTTCTGTGCATTGACATTCAGCCGGGCTTTCTCGCGATTTCGGGAGGTAAAGACTGCGGGACAACCAGTATGCGATATGTATTATGACGATATCTTTTAGATACATAATTTGTATCCACATTTCACTGACGACGAATCATCCATGTCCAACGAGCGACTTCTATCTCACTGCTATTTCCTTTGAATCTCGTGGATACTGATCTATCTACTGTCGTCTGGCATGTCACCTCATTTGCGGCACCACGTTCCACTTCTCCAACCCTATCGGCTCTTGTCAAGGCCTTGGGCTACGGTAACATCGAGGTCCGGTCGGGATCGACTTGGCAAGCGTGTCTCTTTTTCGTCATCCCTCAATCCCTTCTCGCTATCACCATTAGCGATGTCGAGTTCCGGTCGGGATCGACTTGGCAAGCGTGTCTCTTTTTCGTCATCCCTCAATCCCTTCTCGCTATCACCATTAGCGATGTCGAGTTCCGGCCGCGGCTTTGGTGGAGGCCCTGGCCTTGGTACCGGTTTGGGCGGAGGAGATATCGGTGGTGTTTCTTGTACCCTTTCCTTACCATCTACATTAGTGCCGTTGAGGGAATTGACGAGACTGGTAGTGGTGGGAGCAGGTGTGGCATTAGTGTGACGAGGCCGCAGCGGTAATGAGATATATCTCTTGTCTTTGAATTGGTGAGGCCGGTGGTCACCCCTGGAGTCAATGGTGCTGGCGAGGGTTGTTTCATCTTCCGGACAAGCCTGAGTCTTGGGCTGCGGGTTGGGGTTTGGTTTTGGGTTGGGGATTGGTGGAAGGGGACGGTTGGGCGGAGGGCCAGGAGGTGGTGGTGGGTTGGACATTGTGATCGCTCGAGCTGAGTACCTTGGTCTGGGTTTGAAAGCTTTGCAGATTTAGAGCTGCAAATGGCCGCTTGACTTGAAGTTGATTGTTCAAATATCTTCCCACTTTTCAGGCTGGCATTGCAGGCGTTCAGGCGGATCTGAACGGCACCAGGCTGCGTAAGATTTCGGTCCCTTCAACGTCGTGTAGCGGAATATCCTGAATACAATGAGTCATTTTCACCACAGAAGCAAATGGGGCAAAGTTAACGCTGGCGATGTTGCAGCGTAAGACATCAAAGGTCTATGGCTAAGCGAACAGTAGTCCTAGCCAGATACATCCATGGAAGCATCGTTACGCTCCTCCTCCTTCTGATACTGGGTATAATGAATAATACATGTCACTTCACATCGAAGCGTCCTTTGCCTGCTATGCCCTGCCTTTATTGATACCCAATGCTCACAGCGCCTTGAAATGCCCCATCATCTTCGATCTGAGAAGAACCAGCTACTCCGCTTCGGACTCCCATTCGCCGCCTGGGCCTGTAGTCCATTTAGAACTGGTATGTTAGGTCCTCCGCCGCTCAGCTCAGTCCCACCGCCTCCTCTCAGCGGCTTCGCAATCCGAGACCCTGCTCCGCCAAAATTGAAGCCTGGTGTAGTTGACATCTGGGAGTTGAGACCGCGTGTCGAGCCAACTTTAGCGGCCTCAAGGCGCTCCTTCACCGCTGTCAACTGAGCCTCGAATCTATTGGAGTTTATGTCAGCGAATTGTTCTGTAGGGGAGCAATGTGAAACGCACCTGTGGTTTGCTGTTGTCAACTTTTCTTGACTATCAGACAGCAATGTCTCCAGGCTAGATATGCGCTCGTTTCTGGCCATCAGCTTACGCTCGGCGATGGCAACTTCCTTCTTCAAGCTATTGTTTTGCTCGACGAGCTGCCGCTGTACATGAGTAAGCTGCTCTAAGTTCCTCTCCAGGAATGCCATTTTCTTCTGCTGTGCTCTGTTATTAGACGATCGTAGAACGTTATTGTATTGCTCTCTAGTCTCGTCCAAGCTCATCTCGAGCTCCACAACACGTTCGCAGCGATTTTGCAAGTCTCGCATGAGAGACTTTTTCATCTGGTCGAAGTCGGCTATCTGCTGTTGGGGTGTTTTGGTAGATATCGTAGGCGAAGCGTCCCCATTCACCAATATGGGATCACGTCTGTGATCTTCGATGTTGATTCGGAGGCGGTGGTTCTCTTCATCTTTGCGCGCCAAATCTTCCCGAAGATCTTTGAGAAGCTTGGACTGCCTTTCTTTCTGGCCTACATACACGTCTGAAAGCCTTTTCTTCACTTCCTCAAGGTCAGAATTGGAAAGCTTGCTTTCAAGGAGCTTCTCGTAATCTTCTGCCATTTCAGTCATCCGCGCTTCAAGACCATCCTGTCTGCTACGTTCAGCAGGATCGCCCGGTATACAAGTAAGATCCGCTCGTCGAACGACGCCTTGTAGTTCCAGAAGTTTATCCTCTAGATCTCCTAGCTCTTCGAGCGATAACACCTCGTCTTCTCGGCTGTACTGCTGCCACCTTTTGATCTGGTCAACGCATTGCCTCATGGTAGCTTCATTTTCAGAAACGATGGCTCCGTCGAGATCGAATCCAGCCATCATCTGTGCCATTCGCTCAGATTTCTTTCTTTCTTTCTCGTCCAATACAGCGTTGGTCTCTTTAGCACTCATCCTCGTGTCGAGGAGCTGCTGTTTGACCTCATCGAGCTCAGTCGTCAATTCCGTGTTCGCCTCCTTCAAGCCGTCCATCGTTATGGAAGCTTCTTTGCCTTCGAAAGCGATTCGTTCCAGCTGCATCTTCAACTCATTGACCTCAGAAGCAAGTTTTTCGTTTGTTTTACCAGACCGAAGGCCATTCTCTTTCATCTTCTGCAATTCATCTTTTGCCTGCCGGAGCTCCTGCTCAGCGGTCGAAAGTGCCGTCTCCCTTTCTGTAACATGGTCCTGAAGCTCGTTTTCTCTTCGGAGGAATTCTTCCCGTTCATCCTTTTCAAGAACGATACTTGGTGTACTGGATCGGTCACCAATCCTAGATTCCGATCGACTCGGTGTTTCAGAGCGCGATACTTCCTGAATTCGAGATGGCGTGCTTGGACGTGCTGTAGCAGTCTCGGATCTCACTCCTGCGCGATTCCCTGCACTCAATGGTGCAGCCCATCTCTCCTTCGCAACCGATTCACCATTCCGCCACAAATGGACCTCACTTTCTAAAGTTGTGATATAATTCTCGTAAGTAGTGACTTGACTCTGCGCCTTCTTAAGCAGCTGCTTGAGCTCCAAGGGGCTTAGCTCCGCATTAATCTTCGCCTTGTTTTTTATGGCTTTCGCCCTGACTCCAAATCTCAATGTACTCAGAGTCTCCTGGTCGTTGTACTTGCTCGGCGAACAATTGATGATGAGAGTCGTTCTTGAATTTCCCCCAAGCGATTCCTGTAATATTCGGGTGAGCTTAGAGTCTCGATACGGAATATGAGTCGATTTGCCGTCAGTAAGAGAGTTGATAACCATCCCAAGGGCACTCAGACTCTTATTTATCTTTTTTGCCTCCTCAAGAGTCTGTCCGCTGGCTCCAGTCTTTCCAACCTTCTCGCTGCCTGCCAGATCGACCAGAAAGAGCTGTCCACTTTTGGCCGAGCCCGTCTCCACGTTCTTCTGAGTGATAGTGACTACGAAAATCGAGTGTGACCGTGAGGATTCTTGGTTCATGTTTGTAGCTGCTGTAGCGCGGGCTAGTCCGCCCCTTCTCATGACTTCGAAGACCTCTTGTACGCTAGAGACGTATACCTCCAACAAACCCTTCACGTAGACCCCTCTACTCTTCTCTTCATGTACTGGTAGATTGTCATTTTGCGGCACCAACAGATCTCGAATTCTTTCCATGTAGATCTCCATATAACTAACTCTGACGGTATATTCTATATTTTCTGGGCTTCTCAGGATGCTGGCAAACATTTGTTGGACGATTCTGGGTATAATTCCGCATTGCTCTTCATCATCAATGTCCGTTCCCATCATCGTATATGATTTCCCAGCCCCCGTCTGCCCGTAGGCAAAGACTGTACCGTTGTATCCATTGAGGATGTCGTCGACGGTTGATCTTATAGAATAATCAAATATGTCAGTCTGACGGGAGCTAGTGTCGAATACTCGATCGAATGTGAAGTCGCCTGAGGCCTCCGACGACTGTATAGCTGTCAGTCGAGGAATAGCTGGAATCTTTAATTGTAGGAAGCAAAGGAATGGGCGAGAGGATGTATACGAACATTAATAGAGCACGTTTCTTCCGAGTCGAAAGTAACCACTGAATCGGCCCCGCTGGCAGCGAGCTCTGCTTTGTTTGGAGGTCGAAAGCGCGCGACCACTAGGACGATCAGCTGTTTTAGCAGGGGCAAAGAAGTGATGTATCATCTCCATATCATACCTTTTATGGTGTTGCCAGCGCCGGCAGAGGTCCTATGCATTGAGCGTCAACAAACAAAGGCACCTAGCAGGCCAACACGGTACTTACGCCATGATAGAGGTGTTCTACAGCTTCAGATGTATTTGACAAACTTTTAGTCATCGACTGCGCGCATGCCAGGGCAGGGGAAGATGTTGCAGGTGGTGACTTGAGGGTGTGGCTGAAATGGCTGAAGGAGAGACGCCTCATCGGGGTGACGCGCCAACGATCAGAGATACATCGTTACATCAGATTATGATCCGGTGATTCTCGAAGAACGTCAAGATCTGGGCTGCTGCGGGAATTGAACCAATCACTCTCGAATTCGATTGCATTGAGATACACGCCAGCGCATGGTTTGAAGTCATCCTAACACCACTTAGGCCTTGTCGTTCAATTTAGCCGTGGTGGATGCAATGCACGCCACGCGGGCACGCCAATCTTGCATGAGACAATTCTCCGACAGACATGTACTCTGCATAAGCATGTAACGACAAGGTCCCCCAATTTAAATAAATGTGCGAAGTGGCTATCAAGAATGTCCCTTGTTGCCCCAACCAACTCGTTCATCGAGCGTCCAATTCCTGCGCTGCCTAATGCTATGGTCATCTCATGTGCCAAAGCGACAACCACGAGTGCCACTGCCCCAACTCCATGCTCAAGAACTTTCGAGAAATGGCAAATGAAGGGTCGTTATTCGTGAGCTTCATATTTAATCTTCCCAACTTTTTTCGACGGTCTCCTTGACCTTCTTCATGTACTCCCGTCGGTTGTCCTTGTATAGATTTGAGGCTTCGACATTCGCAGGTGAGGAAGTGTTCGGATCGTTGAGAAGGCTATCTCTGTCAGCAGCTTCCTTGTGAAGTATTCCGGTCGTCATGCCTTTGAATGCTAGTCAGGATGGCAGCAACATCATAAGTAGGGCTCCATCTGTTCTGTAAGATGTCGAGACACAGTTCTCCAGTGCCGTAGACATTGGGGTGAAACATCTGACTTATGAATTTGACTCCCGGCGGCTTGTTCGGATACTGTTCTTCGAAATGCATCACCAGACGGAACGTGCCATCTTCGAACGGAGTATCTGCAGGACCGATAATCACTGCGTTCCTAGGACGTGATTTATGAGGAGACGCCTCGCGATAGCCAAAGGGAAAAGGCGTACCATGTCATCACATTGTCTGCAATGGGCGACGCAGATACACCAGCAGGAGGGTCTGTCTGCATACGCTACGACGAGACGTCAGCATTCTGGATTCAACATCGATGACGAAGAGCAAGAATGATGGGGGATCGAGAAGGACGAGAGGTACCTTGAAGTCGCGCATGAGACGCCGCCGAGCTGAGGTTGACATTTGAGCGTTGAAAGGGCTGGGGAACAAGGCTCGATGAGAGTGTGGAGAGTGGAGGGTGGCAAAGCTTGTGGGTATATATGTGGATGATGTGGATAATAAATTAATAATGTGGAGAGTGTGATGGGGAAAGATTTAGCTGCAGAGTACATCGGAGAAAAATGCGGAGTTCCACCAATCAGGCAGGAGGTCCCGCCAATCAAGCTGACGCATTACAGCCGTTACCTGTCGCCGGGTAATAGTGCATCCTACATTCTGCACTGAATTATGCAACCAGGCATAGCCTTCTTTCTTTGACATGGAACTACAGGCTCTGGGTCTAGATGGCAGAGGCAGAGGCGCTGTAAGCAGACTACCAGACACTCGATCGCGTGAGGGATCTGGCGATCGTCAAGTCCGATGTCCCCCAGTCTCATCCAGGCTAAGGCAATGGTGGTCTCGACATATCAGTCTTGTCATTGTGCATACTTCTCACGCTCCAACCGGAGGCGATCCGCGGGACTATCTCGCCCTTGAGAGAACCTACTTGGCTTGGTTGCGCACTGCAAATTCTGTTGTCTCCTTTGGGGTTCTTTTGATACAGCTTTTTGTATTGCACAAAATCAACTACACGATTGGCAGAGCTCTTGGCTCCGTCCTGGCCATAGCAGGCATAGTGACTGCTTTTCTGGGCTGTGCTCGCTACTTTAGGCTGCAAAGGACTCTCATAGCAGGGTCCACGGTCACTGGAACAAGAGAAATCCTCTCTCTGACATTGATATTCGTAGGATTTCTGTTGGCCTTGATTGTGATCGTCTGCAGAATAGCTTGATTGCAGTCACCGAATACTTAGCAGATGGATGGACAGAAACCTTGAAAGATGACCCATGCGCTGCAAGAGTGTCCTATGGTGAGGTTCAGGACGATCATCGAGACCCGCCTGGGCAGGGATTGGACAGTCAGAAGCTACGATCTCCGGCACTCTCCAGTCCCAGAAAGTGCAAGCCTCATGGAGAGCACCTTTCCTTTTGTGCTGCAAGTATGTACTGGCATGGCAATGAACCGATTGTCGCCATGGATATTATTTTCGGAGGGCAACCACTAACGTGGCAGCTGTGTACCCACAGACAGTATTCATTGTGAGTAACTTAGTATGAGCCCTCTCTGCTAGCAATTCGTACCCAAAAGACTTTTTCATGTAGTCAATGAAGGCTTGTGATGCACATGACGAAAGCAGCCTTTACTCGTCATGAAAGAAGTTGTCGGCCAGATACAGATTATGAGCCTACAGAAATCATGCATCTTTGACATTCTTTCTGAAGTCTCGGCTTGATTCATTGACAAGCATAGCAAAGCCTAATCCTTGGAGAGCACCTCGACGAGAGAAGGCTGTGGTCAAGTGTTGTTGTGAAAAGATCCAAGCCGTATGGTTTTGGAGGCCATTCGGGAGGGGTTCGAGTAGGTCCAACAGGAAATGAAGCTCACGAATGAGTTCCTTTTGCTTCGATGTTCTATCGCATGCAGAATGTCTTGATGATATGTAAGCCCAAGCTGTTCGAGGCATTTAAGTGGTAGCTAGTGTCAGGTCGCAGAGGTTGTTCTGAGCTGGGTTTTTGACCTGTGCCGTATCGAATGGTCACAAACTCTAGCTTTGTCACCTCGAGTAGAAAATTGATCTTTGACCGTCACCAAAACAAAAAATCCCTCATGCTTGAACTATCTTGGCATGGGCTCCATTAATGTTTTACAAGTCTAAGCGTGCCACTGCAGGCTCCTCGACCGAACCACACAACTCTTTTGCGGCTTATGGATCTGGGAGCAATATTCAGCTAGGAAAAAAATATTTCATCTTGTGCTATTGTACTTGTCTCCGGGATGGTGGGATTCTCGGAAGTACATCAGCATACTCCTGACACGAGACACGAATGTGAGACCGCATCTACTAGGAGTAATCTGGCACACGTGCTTACTTGAGGCACTCGTCCGATATTTTTGTCTAAGCCAGGTTATTAGAGAGCTGACTTGGAAATGGTGGTTCAGAAATGAAAGAGCCAATCGAAAGTTTCAACCCAGCTCTTCCTTCGATTACGGGGCGCACCCTCAAGGTAGTAGGTACTGTTGGCAAGGCCGGCAATTCGGGCAATTGCACGGATGTGAATGACTTGGCATTATGCACAAGCAAACACATCTCCGTCTGTCTTGTGATAGCTAAGGCACGGAAAGATCAGTCATAATTACCTGCTATCGTGCCGTCTGTAGCGTAGCTTTCCCATCAACATAATTCGATAGCATGAGAGCCTTAGCAGTCCTCGACAGCCTCCGAGATCGAGCTAGGACTGCAATCGAGGGTGTGTGGCTGTTCCAGGCTGCGTGAGGCTGCCGAATAATGAATCAGTTGGCAGGAAGCCGGCTCGTCGTGGTCACATTTGTACAGAGTCGTGACGTGCATGCAGCCCAAGAAATTAAGCCGCTGCTCTGCTGCACGACAGAATGCTAGGTCTTTACTTAGATCCAGGTAGCCAACTGGTCATTGAGGCTTTCCCAAGCTAGGCACCGAGTTTCACGAAGCGCCAACGTGTTGACAGCTAACAGACAAGTAAGGTCCTGACCAGATGCAAGGTTCCGGTGCTCACGGACCCAAGGACTTCCGAATGTGGATGACGGGTCATGGATCGACGTGCACCCAGGCGGCATGTCTGACTCATACTCAGGTTGATGAGCGGTAGGGTGCATGAAACGGACGCAACGGCTGAATGGTCATAGCCCAGCCCGCTCTACTGGAGGTCGGCTGGGCTCGGTGTGACCAAGAGATATTTGATGTATACGGTATCAACATAGGACAGTATCCACAACCTCACCCAAACATGACCAGAAATCCACAATAATGTCTCAAATGGAGAATGAAACACACCTTTTCCGGTACGGACCACAGTAGGCGACGTGCATTACGCCCTGCACTGGAGCATGCAGGGCAGCAGCAACTGCCTTCTTACATACGGATATGTGAAAGGCTGGACTTCGGAGATTTTACGACCCACCAGTCACTACTGTATGCAGATAAACTTATTAGCGTATTACGTTCCTTCGGTGATCAGAGGCAGGAATCAGGTACCTGGGTCAGGATCCGCTCAAAGCTTAGCCACAGAGAGTTTGGGCACGACGCACGGGCTGCTATAGTCTCTCTAGTAATCCCTGAACCGCCGCGTGGCATCGTGCATGCATGCACGTTTGACATGGACTGGCAGGACTGGCAGCTTCCGAGAAAGGCATGCTACTCGCAATCGCCAGCCATCCTTGCAAGGCCTACGCTCAGCTTCTGCGCAATCTCACCGAGAGATATGGCCGACATCCTCCCGTGCAGCTCGACCTGCCTGGCATCTCGACTTCTGGCCCTCATTATTATTATGATTCCCCTGACACCAGACCCACCGGCCGAGAAGTCAATTCCGTGTAACTTTCACTTCCCCCTTACGATTGGCCCTGCTCATTTCAAGTTCTCAACGGTATTAATGGCTTTTGAAGAATTCAGTCGACCCTTTCCATAGTCTGACCTTCGTATACCGGACCTGAACCTTGCTGGATGATCGACCGTGATTGCACATGGAGTTCACATGATCGTAGAGTTCAATCGGCTCTCGGGATAGAAGCCTAATTGAGCGCCTCGTTACCCAATGGCAGCACGTGGAGGCATCTTCGTGGCTTCGATCGGACTATCAAGTATGGGCTGAAAGGGCGCACTAGAGAAAACGTCGCGACCATCGTTTGACATGGATAGCGCCGTCCGTGTCGAAGGTTGGCCGAATTCTCGCTTTCGAACACGACCTGCTTCTCACCGCCTTTTGGAAGTGCCCAATCGCAGAGTCACGGAATGGATGAAGCAAATATGATGATGATGATGATACTGCGACGTATCGTACCTTGGCCGCGGTCAAAGCGCCGAGTGCCCGCTTTCTACTGTTTGGGCGCGCGGAAAAGGCTGCTCGGGCTAAGATGCACCTGTTCAGACGCTGCTGCAGATGTATGTTCGTCCCGTCAGAGGGCGGGAAGAGCGAATGCGCAAAGGAACGACAAATGTGGGCGCACCCAAGGGCGAGAACGATGAGGGAGGTTCCCCAGTAAGCATCCGAGTTCCCCGGACGACTCACAACTGTTCTCAATATCTCGAGCGAGGCCCAGGCTGGCAAGGAAGTCGATGGGCCCTGGCAGGAGTGGCACTAGGAGTGTAGGACCCGGCAGTCCGTCTCGCCTTAAATTAGAGCAAATGGAAGGTTTACCGGAGCGATGACCAGCAGAAAGGAAAACTAAGACAAATAAGCAGATCCCTCGGCTTGACCTCATCTTTCCTAGTTGCGCGGTACTCACCAATGATAATAATACTAACGACCTGTTTCCCCTGGTCCAGGTAGTAGTGAATGCTGCTCAGCCTGCTCCCCCAAGCTTCCTTAGCCCTAAGTCTTAGCGTGCCATCTCATCCAACGTGGATGGATCCCTTTGTCGTTGCAATTCTTCTTAACTTTGTTTAACCCTTTCCTCTTCCTAACGTTCCTAAAGCACGGCACCCCCTTTTCCAGACCGACGGAACCCACTCAGATCCCATCACCGCCACACCCTGCACTGCTAGACAGGCCTAGTCTTCCTTGTCTCATCCCGAGACGGTGGTACGGGGGTGCCGCTTGAGCCAACCAAATCTCTCACACCGACTTCCTGCATTTCATCGATATTTTCGTGATCATGAGATCTCTTTCCAGGCCTGTTCTACGGGGAGAAACTTCCGTACCACAATGCTGTTGTATGCAGGCTTCCGGCTTGGGAACCGAGACCCAGAGGCCAGACCGGCGGCATCAGGGCAGAGGGCACAACGTCACCGCCTCGTTTCAATTATGTGTGCCTCCTAATTTGCTCCACCATCGTTGCCACCGGCAATTTTGCATAGTGACGCTCTTCTTGCTTACGACCGGTGGGGCTATGCCGACTTCTGACTTGAATCCTTCTACCAGAGGAAAACATCTGTGACCGCTCTCTAGACGAAAAGGATATAAATATTGCATTCTGACCGTGCTCCTGGTCCTTTCTCAAGCACACATCTTTTCTCGATCTTGAGAGGTGCTTCATCTAGTCCTGCTAAGATTTGAGTTCTGCTCATCCCTGTCGGCCACGCTTTCCTACCCTGGCTCGCACTCTTTTGTTTCGTTTAGTTTGTCGACGGGACACCCTTTGGCACCAGTCAATTGAATCCTCCGTTCTTGAGGTCGCCACACATTACGTGCATGCTACCCTTTAGGCGTTCAAAGCCACCGTTGAATAGTACCCACATTGAGATCGGGCCCTACTTGACGACTTGTACTCACGCACTTCTTCTTTGTCTTTAATGATTGGTTGCAACTGTTTCACACTCATGTCACACCGGTGACGCCGCTGCCATCAATCAGCTTGAGCTTCGCCCAAGCGTCTAACATCGGTCAAGCATGCTGTGGTCGGGCCTGACTCGGGATCGCAGCTCCTTTATCAATGGTGACAAGCCTCCATTTCCGACGAAACAGTTGTTTGTGTTAGGTATGCGCCCCGGGCAAATATGTCACTCCTCACACCAACAAGGAAGCGGTCGATATTAGCTATCGCAGTACCCATGAATGACAGCTGACGGCCATTCGTCTAGCACTATGTCGGATTTGCGAGCCGATCGCCTTCATGTCCGTATTTCCTTACGTTTATCACATGGTCCTCTCGTTCGACATGACTTCAGATACGCACAAGATCGCCGTCTACGTAGGCATGGTGACCTCGGCTTTCGCCTTCGCAGAGTTCTCCTCCGGCGTGATCTGGGGTCGAATCAGTGACAGGATTGGGAGGAAACCTGTGTTGCTCGCCGGCCTGGCCGGTACTGCACTGAGCATGATTGTGTTTGGATTTTCTACGAGCCTTCCTATCGCTCTGCTGGCACGAGCCCTAGGAGGCCTGCTTAATGGGTGAGCATATGCAGCATGTTCTAATTCCAACAGTCGATTGAACCGATACAGGAACATGGGAGTGCTTCAGACAACTGTCGCTGAATTAGTCACTTCGAAAGAAGACCAGCGTACGTCCTCAACCTCCTCAAAGACTCCTAGGCTTACTTGGCATAGCTCGAGCGTTCTCGATAATGCCCTTCGTATGGTGCCTAGGGTCAGTAACGAGGTCGCCGCTGAATGCGAGACGACAGCTGACGTGATCTGCAGATCCGTCCTAGGACCAGCAATGGGCGGTGCCCTAGCACAACCTTGCAAGAATTTTCCACAATATTTCCCGTCTGGCACTGTTTTCGATAAATATCCTTTTCTACTACCAAACCTCGTCTGCACAGCAATCTTGGCCCTCGGCGTGACTGTGGGTTTTTTGTTCCTCGAAGAAACGCACGAAGACAAGAAGCACCGGAACGATACAGGATTGGAACTTGGCAGATGGCTATTGGAATGTTGCGGCTTAGGCAGCAGCAAGATGCTCCATCAAGAATCTATAAGAGAGAAGCAGTGCTCTGTACGCCTGGAAGACGGCAAGACGTCGCTAGAAGAAGATGAGCTCCCTGAATATAGCCCACATGTGGAGCCTGAGCCGCCGGGATACCGGACAACAGATTGCACGCCACGCCAGTCGTCCAGCCGCTCCCAGTCCCCAACTGCTCGGGAGGCGGTGAGTAGATCCAGAGGAGTCCGAAAAGCCTTCACTAAACAGGTCCTTTTGGCCATTGGCGCATTCGGCATCCTGGCCTAGTAAGATGATTCTGTCCCTTCACCAGCCGTAGAACTGATAAAGTGTACAGCCATTCCATATCTTTTGATCAATTGATGCCTGTGTTCCTTAGTGAACCGATTTCACGAGAATCGCCTACATTACCGTTCCACTTCAACGGTGGATTTGGCTACTCAACGAAAAGAATCGGCTTTATGCTGGCAGTCCAAGGCATCTATTCGATGCTTGCACAGCTGCTCGTGTTCCCTCTTATTGTGCGGCATGTTGGAACGTTGAACACCTTTCGCTTTACGATCTCGGTCTGGCCATTGCTCTACTTCTTGGTGCCGTATACGGTCCTCTTACCTGAGGTGCTTCGCGTGCCTGCCGTCTACCTAACGCTGCTCCTTAAAATCACGTTCCACGTTCTTGCGTTTCCGTCTACGGCAATCTTAGTGACCAACGCTGCTCCATCGACGCGAGTTCTTGGAGTCATTAACGGCGTTTCCGCGTCCACTGCGAGCCTCGCTCGCGCTTGCGGCCCTACTATCACCGGCATGATTCACTCCTGGGGTATTGGTGCTGGATCTGCAGGCTTGGCGTGGTGGATTAACGGGATCGTTTGTTTAATCGGCGCCATTGAGAGCATTTGGTTGAAGGAAATGGATGATCGCAAACAAGGATTCGATTTTTCTGACGAGGAAGCTGATTCTGCTGAACCACTGCTGGACCTGTCTGCTCTCGAGGCGGCCATCTCGGGTGTCGAGGATGAAGGAGGTCTCAGAGGGGTAATTCAAGAAAACGGTCTTTACAAACCAGGAACGCAAGTCGACTGAGACCAATATCCACCACAATAATATGAGTTCGACCGCATCATACAGTCTGAGACTGATGGTGCATCACTTCCTCCTTCCACTTGATGTGGGGGGGGGACCAAGCGCATTACGAAATAACGAATCCTCTAACAGTTCAAGATAACTTTCCGCCGCGAGGCAAACAGACACATATATGACGGAACATAGACAGATTTCAAGGGATGGATCAGAGCAATCATGATCCGCGAAGGACGCTCGTGGGCATACAAGCATGGGATAGACTTGGCGGTCTTCTGTTTTCTGAATTTGTTCGATTATTGATATACCCCCATTCGCTGAACAATCGTATTTAGTCATCAGGTTTAGGTAAATGAGAGCATTTACACGCTGCCTCATCATTTTCTGGGGGCTGTGCCAGGAGTCGAAAGCGAGAAGAATAGGTGGAAGTTGCTTTGATTATGCCATTGATTGTTACTGTTCTTATGATGCTGCTGAAGTACTGCCGTGAGCTGTGGCAGGCTATTGGAAGACACAATCCCATTAATCAGGACGAACAGCGTGGGGTCAGATAAGGCCTTGTTATCAACGGCTGCGAGCCGCCCTTCCCCTCGATCCCTTCCACCCCCAAATCCTTAATGCAGCATTTTTCCTCCGTCCTCTTAGGGTGTTGGTGATTCTGCTGCCGACCTGCAGGAAGCTCCTCATAACTGGTAGACCGCTTCTGCCTTACAGGGCTCCCGTCGGCAATTTTGGACATGCGAGAGACTGCAGCTACCTCGCACTAAGTGTCATCCTCTACCAGAGGAAGGGCCAAAATGAATGTTTAACGTCGCGTCCGCTGTCTCTCGACTCTTAACGATATGCCTGTCTCGACCCTGCCTCTTCTCCCCCAGCCCCAGGATCCGACCTCTTCGCTTTCCCGTCCTTTCTATCAATAGCACTCTGCTCCCGTCATGCCATAATGACGACTGCTGGCCAGAAGCGTTCTCGCCAAACGGCTGATATATACCCTCCTCTGAGTGCTCCCAACACCAGCCCTTCCTACACCTCTGCACCTCATCACAAGTCTTCTTCGAGGAACGCTAGTCATATCAACGCCACGTCAGCTTCCTCGTTTCGGAATGTGTCCGCTTGCAATCGTTGCCGTGTGCGAAAGAATCGTTGTGACCAGAACCTGCCGGCGTGCTCAGCCTGTGAGAAGGCAGGCGTCAAATGCGTCGGATTCGACCCAATAACCAAGAGAGAGATTCCTAGAACATATGTTTACTACTTGGAGAGCCGCATGAACTATTTGGAGGAACTTTTAGAAAGCAACGGGATTGCATACGAGCCTTGCACTGACTTTGATCTCGGGTCGAAACCAATCAGTGATCAATCTAATACGACCCTTAGGCATAGCCCAGGTTCCGATCGTGACCCGACCATCAAGCGAGAGAGGAGCGATGTGGGCAATGGCAGCGAGAGCGGAAGTGAATGGGAGGCCAAGCACGAGGAGAGCGAGAATATCAACAAGCTGGTCTCCAATATTGGCATGGTCTCTGTCCAAGGTGCTTCAGACCCGCGTTACCTCGGCTCTACGTCTGGTATATCTTTTGCTAGAGTAGTTGCTGCCGCAATCAAAAGCGCAGTTCCCGGCAAGAGTGGAAGAAATAGCAAGGCAGGATCGTTTGGGACAGCTGCTGGCGCCGCTGGCCCGACATCTATGAGGGAATCCTTCTTTGGGTTGACAAGCAAGCCAAGCATCAAACCGGCGCCTTTTCCGGATAAAGATTTGGGCATGAAACTGGTTGAGTTGTACTTCGAGTATGCCAATCCACAGATTCCGATATTGCACAGGGGTGATTTCATGACGCTGTTCAACCGGGCTTATCAGTCCAAGGATAGACAGAGATCTCCAAGGGAGCTCTACATGCTCAATATTGTCTTTGCTATCGGAGCCGGGATAATCCTCGAGGACTCAAGTAGCGCCAAAAGTTCTCCAGAACAGGCTAGAAATACAACCTTCAAGAATGACCCCGAGAGCCCTAGCTTCAAGAAACAAAAACTGTCGAGCTTTCAAAGGCAGCCAGAAGAATATCATGCGTCTGCCATGGTCCATCTAGAGACCTTTCTTGGATCTATGCCGACGACAGATCGACCAGAAGGTTTCGGGGGAGGTCTGGAACAGTTACAGGCTGTATTGCTACTAGCTGGTTTCGCCTTGCTAAGACCAGTGGCACCTGGGCTTTGGTACATAACTGGGGTTGCCGTGCGATTGGGCGTTGATCTTGGTCTTCATTACGAGGACGGCGCAGTCCTTGACGACTCCTCAGCTCAAGAGCAGGACTTAAATCCAAATGCCAAAGGAATAGACGCGCGAGAGAGAGGGCGAAGAGAATGGGTCCGAGATTTGAGGCGCAGGCTTTGGTGGAGTGTTTACTCTTTTGACCGCCTCGTCAGCACTTGCGTAGGGCGGCCGTTCGGCGTGACTGACCAAGTAATCACAACCGACTGGCCAAGCGTGCTGGACGACAAAGATATCACGCCTGAAGGCTTCTTGATTCACTCGCACAATTTCAATGGGCCGAGCTATAAACGCGTTGCTCATCACTACTTTCGCTTGAGGCTTCTACAGTCAGAGATCCTACAAGTGCTCCAGTACAGGCAGGCCCAGCGAGTTCATGGTATGGACAGAGAGAAGAGCAACCAGTATATGCATACTACACTCTCCTCTTCCTTCCTGCAACCTTTTCGTGGCTCGTTCCATGCGTGGAGAAAGGACATTGATGGCAGACTCTGGGAATGGAAAGAAAGTGCGCCACTTCAGCAGGATACAACCGTACGCTTTAACAACAAATTCTTGGAGCTGAATTATTGGCAAGCCGTCATCATGCTGTATCGACAGAGTCTGAGCACGCCTCAAAGATTCGCTGGTGAGGTAGGCCCTCATACCGAAGTCGAGAGTCCTCTTTCTCCCCACATTGAGGATCACGAATCAGACGATGAGATCTATCTTAAAGTAGCAGAGGCAGGCCAAAGAGTACTAAAACTATATAGACAGTTGCACAAGAAGCATGTTGTGAACTATACCTACTTGGCGACAGTGCATCTATTTATGGCGGGTGCGTACAGGGCAACTCCAATTTTCCTTCGACTAACGAGAACAGGCATTGCATTTTTGTTCTCCGTATGGCATTCCGCCGCTGTTAGGAGTCGTCTTGTAAGACTCTGTTGTTGGCTGCTACATCCAGACGTTGCTGACGATATTCAGAATATGACAGATGTTAACTACACAGTCTTAGCTGGTACAACCGTCCTTACAGACTTGATTGACAAATGCCCACCGGCGGAAGCGTGCCGAGATGCGTTTGATCGCATGAGTAAAGCTACAATTGCAATGTGTCACTCTACTACTGGCTTTGGATCCCAGCTCAAGTTCAGCAGACAAGTCCAGGACGAATCGCCCGTGTCGACCAACAGCCCTCAGTTTCCGCCACAACAAGCTTACCTTGGCTCGCGCCCACCACCGTCCTTCGATTATAACCTCAAAGATCTCTTCTCCGACCATTCAATACCAGCATCCATGACTTTTAGAAGCGGCTCAGGCTGGCAATTCCCTTCTAATCAGCCAGCGCCCTTTTCCTATCCCAGCCCTTCCGTATCAACAAATTCAATATCTACAGCGAACGTAGCGCAGATGCACCCACAATATGATCCTCGGCTTTTTAGTCAACAAGCCAATACCCAGGCAAATTTGACGAATGCTGCAGACTTGTCTTCTTCGGTCACCTCAAATACATCTTCTTCAGGCTACGACTATTCGAATCTGGACATAATGCAGATGCCTGACTTTGACTTTCTCTCTCACGAAGATCATAGTGTCGGAAATACTAACGCTCCTTACACTAACTTAGGTTTTGAGGGTGGCCAACACGACTTTGACGACGGTAGCCCGGGTATGCCGGATCTGTTTGGCGGCTTCTTCTTTGGCGGGCCACAACAGTCGGATACTGATCTCGAAAGTATTGGGCTAAACATGGATCAGTCATCGTTCCCCGACGTAGGGATGGCTGAAAGAATGCAGACCTGGCCGCAAGGGCCTGGTGGTTGAGGCTCGCTTTCCCCAAATGTTGATTTGGCATTGCTCTGCGTATTGTCGGGTAAAGGATGTCCAGGAACTCAACGACACAACAACTCGGCTGTCTACTTTGCCTCCATGTTGGAACGGTGGGAGGAGCGAAGGGTCTAACCCAGCAATTCACCTGCTTCGTTGTCAACTTTTCTCTTCTTCTTTATATATTCACCGGTGGCTTGGAGTATAGACAGTGCTCGGAGGAGGCCTCTGTGACCATGACTCGATGATTAATGACTTTTTCCTCATCAACATGAAGTCTTGAAGTACAACAAACAAAATGTGAGTGGGCTAGGGAAAATCGATGTACGAGGTAGGAATGTGCCGGAGTGGTAGTACTAAGAAATTCTGCCTCCACTCTCTCGGTCTCTGTCCTTTCAATGTGTATCACGTCGCCGTACGCTCCGTATCCTGACTCACATGATCTCACATCACAGTCGATGCTCAAATATAGCAAGAAATTGTTTCCAGCACGTTTATAGATTAAATTTTAGCTATCGAGCTGCAGCTTTCCTAGCGGCTGACAGCTGAGTACTACTATCTGGCTGTAGAGCTAGTGTCATATAACCGCTTATTTGAACTCCACGAAGTCGATGTCGCAGCACAATTGCCCAGTTGAAATCCTTCCAGAAGCAATGCGAGACACTCAAGTCTACCCTTCTCCGTACTGTTAGCCTCAGGGTCAGCTATTTGGGCTTACAGGCAAACAATGCCCGCCGTATAGGAATTAAGCGAGGCTGGTCATCGGAAAAACAAGTGACATGTCAATCCCTTACTCATATGGGGATCTGTACATACTGTTTCTATCGGGGAACCTGCTTTTGCAGAAGTAGGAGCGTGGAAAAGAGTTGTCTCGGAGTCGGTCACTGTTTACTGTACGATGAAGTGCAGAGGCAAAAACTGATATTGGGGCAGCTGTAGATCTTTCACCTGAATGCTGACTGTGCATTTTTTTAACCAATATATAAAGTGTAATTTTGTTGCTCCTACCTGATGGTGGCGAGATGACAGCAATCAGTCTTGCTTCCTACTCTCCGGTTTCATATCATCTTCCTTCAGAGGGACCCCTCCTTCGTCGTCATCATCTCCGGTATCTACAATCATCTGCTCCCCTAGCCCGGCGATGGAGACGTCTTCTTCAATCACTTTCTCCTCGTTGATAATGTCCTCTTTAGAATCTTCTACAGCTCCTTCCTCGTTTTTGATGATATCCTCTCCTTTCACACTTTCTGCTTCAATCGCTGCAACATGCTCTTCTTCTGCATTCTCAACTTCAGTAGTACCATGCTTATGCTTTTTATTGTTAAACCGGTCCTTTGAATTATCCTGTAGCGGCGTGTCGTCGTTGTATAGCCGGATCAACATAGCCTTTCGATCTTCTTTGGGTAACATCAGATTGAGAGAGTATAGACTGCGCCAAAGTGGCAGCACAATTCTCTCCGAAAAGCCTTCTTCACCATCTTCAGTTTTCCCACCTTCGCTTTTCTCGACCCTCAGTACACAACACCCCATTCCAATGTCCCTCACTCTTCCACCTATTTCGCCAAGTGTGGTATTCCAACCCTCGCCCTCAATCTTTGCAAACATTTCGACGAGTAACGTACGGAGTGTAGAGCGTTTATACATTCGGACGGACCGCTTCTCCCCCGCCCATGCCTCAAGTAATGGTAGCCCTTCACTCTGAATCCGCCATCTGCAGACGCCTGCACCTTGAACGTCTTGCTTGACGAACATCTTCACACCGCAATGAACGAACTTGATACCCGAGCTAGTATTTGTGGTAAGTATGTCTCGTGCGAGTGAGGAGGTGTAGTAGATTGTTTTGGTAGGTGTACCCATGGCATTTCGTACCATGAATCGATCTCTTGGGAACCGTGAGGAGAGATTGTAGAAGTCGTATATGTCATCAAGTTCAGAATTAGAAGGATCTAAATACTTGAATGGTTCTTCGAAAGGCTGGTTACGCTTTCTGAGGGGTAATCCTTCCGGTTGTCGATTGTGAGAATTATACGCACTTATGTTATTACTTGGAGGGGTTTTCAAGTCTTCTTGTATCAGCGTCTCGGGTCTCGAAATGTCTAGAGTTGCGCTAGGTGGTGGCGGCCAGTGAACTAGGCGGTCTACTTCAGCTTGAGGACGAGGCTCATCAATTTCGTCTCGAATCTTGGGACGTTTAGTTGACGCCGCTGCATCAGCAACAGCTTCGGAAGAGCGTTTGTTAGCTGATAACGAGGTGTTTGGAGCAACTGCTCGATTCTGACGTGCTGCCGCCGAAGAGTCCTCGGTGTCTCCGTCCACAGAAATTGGGACAACAGAGTCCAGAGCATCGACCTTTTCAATTGGGTTGGTACCGTTCGCCGGCTGCTGCTCTATTGCACTTACGGCAGCCACAATTGTTCCGGGCTGGGTTTCGGTTCGTGTTACCTCAGATTCAGGCTTGGCTTTGATCTCAGTCTTCTTCTCTAAGACAGCGATGAAGAATCCCCCCGTGTCTTGCATGTGCGGGTATATTCTCATGCAATGATGCAACGGCAATTGATCTTTTGAGGATGGAAACATGCCTTTAGTCAGCTTACCGCGATTCTCTTCACTGGACTTGATCTGGTGGTTCTCAAAGTCTTGCCAGGTCTTCCAGAGGCTGCCGGTTTTGTCCATCACCTTCCAATTACGGAGGCCCGATTTCCTCTTCAAAGCTGGTAGGTCAGCGCTACAATCGACAATGTCTACTTTTGAAAGACCCCCACAGCGCTCGATAGCTGACGAGACTACCGCCTCGTTTTCCACCGGATTTATACTACAGGTAGAATAGACCAGCCTACCTCCGGCTTTGAGCATCTGAAGACCACGAGTAAGAATTCTGTGTTGAGTCGAGTGGAGGCCTAATGCGTTCCCGGGAACCCAGTCCTTCCAGACGTTCAAATTCTTCCGTGCGGTCCCGTCGCCCGAGCAAGGCACATCCGCCAGGATACGATCAAATTTCAAATACTTGTTTTGCACGGAGTCCGAGGGAAGTTTAATCGAGGGGTACATAGTGGCGTCGTGGTTCGTAACAATCAAATTAGGCGAATTAAGTCTCTTCATCTGATGAGTGAGCATATGTGCTCGCTTGTAGTCTGCGTCATTCGCAATGAGCAGTCCTGTCGCTCGACCATCGTCAGACCAATCTGTATTTTGCTTGTCCTCGTCCATCCCATCTTTCAAGATCGCACCGTCAGGGCTGACGTCGCGGCATTCATCCTGTCCAGCTTTTCGGGCAGTCTTGCGCATCCTTGCTTCTTCGCTACCGTGCACTAGCTCGATGAGTTGCGCTGCCTTGCTGCCCGGTGCAGCACACATATCCAAGGCCGTCATCCCAGGCCTTAAGTCCAATAATAAAGGCGGTATCATACTGACCACCTCTTGTCTACTGATGTTTCCAACACTCGTTTCACTCACAAGGAATTTCTGAAAAGCAGCGAAAGGACCAAACTTGCGGACTATAGACTTTGGTGTAGTCATCTGCCATGCGAGCTGATCTGGAAACCATGGAACAGGCGTTGGAGGAGCTACAGCTTCGCCATTGTATGTGATTGATGTGATTTCTGGAATGTAGCGATCCCTGAGCAGCTGCTGCACAGGCAGTGCCTGGCTTTTCGATCCAGTGAAGCGGAAGCTATTGGGGAGCTCTTGTCGAAGGAAGCTCCAAAATGTCTCCTTTTCGTCATCCTCCACCAGGTCCAGGCTTTCATAGTATTCTTCGTAACGAACATTCGACTTCGTGACTTCCTCCCGGCTGTTGTAACGTACTTGATTTTGCCTTGCATTTGGCTTTCCACCGCCTCGACCTCCCTGAATTGATATTTCACGTAAGTTCCCAATAGTTCAAGGAGTAGTCACGGAACATACTAACTCTTCTACCGCCACGTTTGCCCATTGTGCTTCTGAATGGAGCCCCAATAGATACTGTCTATCTGCGAAATGAAGTGGTAATTAAGGTCCCAATTTGGATGGATCTCGAATATTGGAGCCGCACGACGTCACTGCCCGGAACTGGAGAGCAATTTTGTGTTTTGTAGGATGGTGGGGGAGTGAGCCCGCACTGGAGGTGCACACGGTCAGTCCAGACATTCTGACAGTTACGTTGACAGTATGAATATTGCGCATCAAATACCCCCTGGAGCTAAAAGTGTCCAGTCCGAGAGTGGTCCGGTCTTTTATATCGGTCGTTCCGGGGCTGCGAATCACGAGCACAGCGATGAACTGATCTCTTTCCTGCCTTCTGATTCCATTTACAGTACATTGATACTTTGGGATCTCGGACTCCCTTCCTGCCTTCCTACCTTAGTCCAAAAAATCCTCATTGTACTCCCTCGCAACGACGTCAAAAAGTGGTTTCGCACTGAACCAGCCTGCTCTTGGGGTTCCAACAGTCTTGTATGTGAAAGCGGCGTCCTCGTCGTCGATTTTCACTGTCTGATGGCCTCTTCCCCCGGCCGCAGCATCCGCCATGAGCTGAGCGTGACAGCATTTTTCCAAGCTCACAAACCAGAAGACTGCCCCTTCAATGGTATCTCCGACTGTCAAAAGGCCGTGGTTCTGCAACAATGCTGCTTTCTTGCCGCCTAAAGCCCGCGCGATTTCTTTGCCTTCCGTATCGGCGAGGACGATCCCGTTGAAAGATGAGTAATGGGCGATGTCCTGGAATCAGTCATAAGCCTGACGGAGGTAACGAAGGCCCAAAATTGAACTCAGCATACATCATAGAATGCACAGCTATCTTGAGTAATCATTTCAATATTCCTGCCCAGTGTGCAAAAAGACCGTCCATAAATACTGTGACTGTGGGCTAGGGCGTTTATAAAATCAGTTGAGGTAAACATAGTGAATGAGAAGAGTCCGAGGCAACACACTCAATAAGCATTAAGAAACGGGCGGAAATGACAAAAAAGGGTGAAACAAACCAGCACACAGGACATCAGGTCTGGCATGATGTATTGCTCCATGTATCATAAATGCCGCAGTGTTGAGCAATTTTGTCTTGCCCCCGTCGATAACTTCCCCATGATGATTCACCTGAATCAAATCGCTTCGTTTGATCAACGAAAATGCGACACCAAACGGATTGACCCAGAAAGTCGACGGATCCACAGGGTCTATGTGAGTTTGGAGTCAGTAACAACTTTTGGAGCTGATTAGAAAAGCTGCAGCATGTCTACCGAGTTTTGGCTCCCAAGGTCATCTCCAGTCTCGACCTCAATTGTTTCCAAAGCTGACTGAACCCCCGAAACATGGCTTACCTCTGAGAGTGATGTGGCCTGCTACACCCTCATCAAATCCGTATTTGCCAAAGATTCTAAAAGCCGCTGCAAGACGGCCCTTGAGATAATGGCGTTCCTCGTATTTATTAGTGAAGCTAGGAGGCTCCGGGAACTTGATTTGCTGCGCCATAGCTCGACTCTTAGATATGCCAGGCTCCAAAGGTGCCTCATTCGAAGGGACATGGTCACCATTGGTTGGGTAGAGTGTCTCAGTGGCAGAGGGAGGCGACATGATTCCGTTCCGCCGCCAAATGCTGATATTGATGGATTGATAAGATCAATCACACAGGTTGCGAGAGGCGACTTGGATTTTGACATACGAAAGAAACCAAGTGGCGTTGCATCTTACGTATATAACAGACGAGCAGCAATTACGTAGATTCAAGAACGTTTTAGTAGCAATATGCCACCAGATGCGGGGCGCCTTCGCCCTAAGACAGGTTATTCCATTGACCTACCATTTCCTTACAGAGGTAAGACACGACTGAGATAGGTATGGTGGATGTCTGCTTATGTCGTTGATGACCTGGGAATATATATTTAGAGGTAAGTGTCGGGCTTTCCGATACCTAGAAAAATCATATAAACATCAGCATTGATGGAAGGCCAAATCTGCCGTCGCGGCAAGCATTGCAAATCATTCATCATGCATGCGTAGCCTGCCTCCTGAGTGCTTGATCTGGCTTATGTAATTTCGAAAGCCTTGGCGGGCGGGAGGTAGTCCTCTTCATCTGAAAAAATACTTTTTGCTGGTAGATGACCCCTAGACCGAACCGAAAGAATGTTCTCCTGCTGAACTTATTGATTGATGACCCAGAAAGGAACACCTACTTAGATGCACGTAATTCGAAGAGGTCCAACCTCTACCCTGACAACAGCGTTCTTCCCCTTCTCTATCGCCACGAGATTCTCTCCACCATCATTACGACTGTGCGCAAATCGGAATCTTGCACAGCCAAGTCCTCGTCTCAGAGCCCGACCATTTTACTCCTGCCCGCAGCTTCGTCAACAAGCTGCGGCGGCTGCCGTATCAGAAGCCGAAAACGATGGAGATGCCGGTCAAACGTCTGGGGGCAATGGCCCGGTTACCCAATTCAAAGAGTTGGCGGAGCGGGGCATGGTCTGCAAAACAGTCGTCGACACGCTCACACAAGATATGGGCCTGGAATCCATGACCGAGGTTCAGAGCCTGACCATCAATGAAACACTGAAGGGTACTGATACGTAAGCCGCCTCACTCTAGAAGCTCATTCGCATCCTACTGACTATTTTGAAGACTAGCACAAGCGCGAACGGGTACTGGCAAAACGCTTGCGTTCTTGATCCCTGTTCTGCAAAACATCATCAGACAGGACCCGAGCCTGGAGCAACGCATGGGCTCGCGAAGTTCAGCAAAATCCACAGACATTCGCGCCATAATCATATCACCCACTAGAGAACTAGCAGAGCAGATTGCAGTCGAGGCAAAAAGGGTTACGAGAAATACTGGAGTCATGGTCCAGACTGCGGTCGGTGGCAGTCACAAGGCTTCAGGGCTTCGAAATATTCAAAGGCTCGGTTGTCATATACTGATTGGTACCCCTGGACGCCTGAAGGACATTCTTTCAGATCGATACTCTCAAGTACAAGCACCAAATTTGAGTGCATTCGTGCTGGATGAGGCCGACCGTCTTCTTGACCAAGGCTTCGCCCCAGATATACAGGACATTCAAAGCCATCTGCCCAAAAGGCAGGATGTGGACCGCCAGACACTGTTGTATTCCGCCACAGTACCCAAAGAGATTATGCAAATCGTTCGGGCAACCATGAAAAAAGACTTCAGGTTTGTAAGGACCGTAAAACAGGGCGAACAGCAAACGCACGAAAGGGTGCCTCAGAAGTTGGTCAATGTAGGGGACCGTGTTAATCAGATGCCAGCCCTAGTGGAGCTGTGTATACGAGAGCTGCAAAATTCAACACAAGAGCAGCCGTTCAAGGCGATTGTTTACTTTGGCACAACGGCTGATGTGTCGTTGGCTGCGGCTATCATACGACGCCTACAGCCTCGAAGCTTTCGCGATCAAAAACCTTCAGCTACGTCTATACCACAGTCCACGTCAATCATTGAGATGCACGCCCGGCTGTCTCAGCCAGAGCGTACTCGAGCATCCAGCGAGTTTCGACAAGCTCAGTCTGCTATACTTCTATCTTCTGACGTGACCGCCAGAGGCATGGATTTCCCTAATGTCACTCACATCATCCAAGTTGGACTGCCACCAAGTGAAGAGCAATACGTCCATCGCATAGGACGAACGGCGCGCGCCGGGAAAACTGGTGTTGCCTGGCTGCTGATTACTGACCTCGAGGTGAGAGAAGCCAGCTTCAGGCTTCCAGATATGCCCTTGAAGGATGACCAATCACTTGAAACGCCACAAGTAAGGGACATAGAAGAAGACGTTCCAGGTCTTCTAAACGCGACTCAAATCTCGAAACAAGTGATCGAAGCGACTCGTAGTGTGCCAGCGGGGTTGAAATCTAAGGCTTACGCCGCCGCCCTTGGCGTCAATCAGTGGATGCGCAATAAGCAAAGGTTGATCGATAGTCTGAACCGCGTTTCCGAATATTCATGGGGCTTGACATCGCCTCCAGGTATCAGCAGGATGGTGGTACAGAGACTTGGACTGGCTGGGATCCAAGGTCTGAACATTGAAAGCAGACCACCGCCGTCTGGCCAAGAGACCGACCTGTCAGGATTTCGTGACCGATCAGGTCAATCGGGCTATCGTAACGCGCCCCGTCAGGGTTATAGCCCTCGCGGTAGGGGCGGTAGCCAGTCTTTTGATTCCCGTAGCAATCGTGGATCTCAGTCAGGTTTTGGTGATAGACGAGGCGGCTCTTCCGGCTTTGGTCGTGATAATCGACAAGGAAATCGAAGCTTCGAACGTTACGAGTGAACGTCCTTGTGAATTATAAGTGTTCGTTTCTCTGTTGTTTTACGTGTAGATCGATCAGTATATTTTCGGGAGAAGAAAGGCAAATACGTTCGCGAAGGACAAACGGTATGGATGGATACCCATAAACCTACTTGACAACAGCGCGGACGTTTTACGGACAGGGAACAAAATCTTCACTCTTAATTACCAACATATTTAATCTCTTTGCTCTTATTTACTTTTGGATCGTGCTCGATATTCTCAAATTCCCACTGCCAACATCAATCACGTCAAAGCACATGCGAACGAACCCACCAAGCCTCCCTACAATGTTGAAAAGCATGCTCCTGGGCAGAAGTACACGTAGCCAGTAATGACAGCGGAGAGCGATGCTTCCTTCACGATTGTATTCATGACTTCTTCGTCGCCAGAACACCGATTAGAGCCCCTCCGCCAACCACAATGAGAATAAACATGACGAAGAGTAGCCACCGGTGTCGAGCCACACAACTCTGCGATCTTTCGCCGCGAGATCCTTTCTCCATATCACGATAGGCCTTCTGTGTCTCATTGCGAGGGCGAGAACGATGGTCGCCTTGCGTAGGTTGATGCGGATGCTGAGATGGAACCGGCTTGCGATGCCCTGCGGCTTTCTTTGTGGTTATTGGTGGTTGCTTAGGCCTAGACTGTTCATGTTTTGACGTCTGCTTGACACGGGATTTTTGTTGATGGAGAGGGAAAGGGCTACGATCACCTCGCCCTTGACTCGTTTGACGTGCTTGCTTCGGCTGAGACGGAGGTGGTGCTGACCACTTATGACCAATTTTTTCAGGCGGCACCTGGAATGTTGAGACCTCAGGTGGCCTGCTGAAGTTGTAGTGGGAAGGCTGCCCCTTCGAACTTTCCTGCTGCGTTTTGCCGGCCTTCTTGTGATGGATGGTCTCAGGAGGAAGGGCGGCTTCCTGGAATAGTAGCTGTTGCGACTGTCGTTTTAGTTCATATTGGGATACTGCCTTCTTTCGTCGTTGAGAGGCTCCCACAGGCGAGATAGGCCTCGCTGCTTCCTTTTGGGCATTGACAGTATTGTAATTTGGGGCTTCGTACCCAGTTAGGGGGCTCACAATTGCCTCTTCGTGTGATGGGTATTCAGCTCCACGGTAAGCTTTTGTGGGACGGCGACTTGGGACTCTGTGGGATGTGTTGACTCTGAGATCTGGCTTCGTCCTCATCTTTAGAATTCGATGCAGATTTGTCAGAAGATATTCAAAAGGACAGACGTACCTGACGTCTAGATGGCGAGTGGGGGAGTAGGTCTAAGACGAGAGCGTAAAGTTTTGAAAAGAAAGGAAATCTGTGTGTAGTTGCATAGTATGCAACCTAACAGAGACAAAGAAGTCTAATAGCATTGTTTAAGAAGATGACATTGAAGATTGTTCATTGTTGGCATCGCTTTGTCCGCTTAAGCTCTATTGTCTTGGGTTGGCGTGATGCTAGACTTGCGACGGGATATCACCATGTCGTACGTAGAGCGACGTACCGACCACACAAGAAACAGCGCTCATCCATTTTGGTGATATGAGTTAAAGGCCCAGCGTATTTGCAAAGACAAGGAAATAATTACCCACTTCAAGAACGGGACGGCTTCATCGCTTCGTTGATTAGAGATTGACTTCTCGAACATATCTCAAGAGACTTGTTGATTGATTTCAGTCTTCCAAAGACTTTTGAGACATCGCAGAAGAGGAGAAGCTTCAATGAATTAAATTAGGTTGAGGTTGATCGAGAGAACCTACTCTTCCGTGAGGGTTGCTAGCGGACTCATCGCTGCCCAAAATACAGCATTCGTACGATCCACGTCATGTCTCGTTAAACATCCAGTACGCTGATGACCGGCTAGGATCGCTATCTAATTTTCTATCCAGACCAGACCTCACAATACTAATCAAACTTCTGTCATAATCATGTTCGACGTCGAAACATTAGTTCGTCTACTTGACCGTGTGTATTGTAGTACCAGGTAGCAGGGCGAAATGCCTCAGCATTTACCGTTAAAGACTTTGAGATTAAGAACGAACTCTTTGTGCTCGGGCTCGATCGATCAAGTCAACGGAATTTCTTGAGCTCTAGGCTCGCCCAGGGGTTTGAAGAGGAGTCCATGATCTTCATACCATCAGTCATCCCGTCAGTAAGTCCACCGCGTATTCCTTTGAGAAGATATACGAAGCATTTGAGAAATATTTCATTCCCAAGGGCGTCGTTGACCTTGCTTAAGGTCTTCCGGCCAATAAAGTCTGCAGTAGTGATGCTTGATGCGAAAACTCTCTCAGAAACTTGGCAGCTCCTTTCGTAACGATAGAGCGTTGTGACTATGTATCTGACGAACGGCAAAAGCACACGTACAATAAAACACATCAGTACGACGAAAGAAGCGAGCCCTCGGTGTAGTAACGAAGGATCCCCTTTCCCTTGATTAGGAGGATGGAAAGTGTCGATGCATCCTACTTCACTAGGCAGAGCTTCACGTAAGTTGTGAATGTCCTGCGAGTTTAGGTCCTCAGGGAGGCCACGGAGCAGATAATTAACGCCATCGAGATACAACTGTCGAGAGAGCACCTGGTCTCGACGACCTTCTGCTAAAGACATACTGAGTAGTTTGAAGCCTTCCATGCGAGTCAGTCCCGTTCCGCCGTTCCGGAGCAAGATAGATAGTTCAGCTTACCTGTACAAGCGTACGTTGGCTGGAGTTCAGCAGTAGCAAAGGAAGTTGGAATGAGGCTTTCCTTGCCCACGTAGGTCAGAGCTTTGCACTCATTTTGATTTTGACATTCCCTTATCGGGCCTGTCGTCCATTTTGATAAGTTCCTGAATAGTAAAAGCGGCATTACGATGGAAGCCTGGTCTTACTTCTGCAGAAATGAAAATTAATACGTGTACAAAGTAGCGAATATCATGGATAAAACAATTGTGATAAAGCAACGAGAAATCGCGGGGCAGGCGTCGTCGGATGAAATCGATGGTTGGGTCGAACAGGCCTAATTGGGTTGGTGTCAAAGTCAATCTCCATGCATTCGAATCTGTCGAAAAAGCTGGATACAAACATGAAGATATGATGGGCACAGGGGAGAGAACTCATCGACACTGGGTGAGAGCCACAAGACGTTGCTTGCAGCCCCCAGCAAGGTTCAACGATTGATTCGCGGTACACAAAAGACGGCAAGTGAGCGGAGTATACATAGGCGGAGGGTGATGAGAAGAGTCCACCATGCGTCCTCCAAAGGACAATCGACATCTGCAAAGTCTTGATGCCCCTCCCATAGCGCCTGCAAGGGCAACGGATCAATGTATGTCAAGACTGGACAACCAGACCAAGCATCCAAAGTTTCCGGTCCAGCTTATTTCTATATAGTATCTTGGAGCTTGAAGTCGTCATGATCAGGCACACTGCGCGTTGAAATGATGTCAAATCAGAGGTAGGCAATGACTATTGACCATTGGAGGTGTATAAATTGTGGAAGTTTTGGGGAGGGTTGAAAGGCCGTTGAGGTAACCTAGAATTAGTTAGCCGAGCCGCATCCACCACCTCCATGAATTTCCTCGAAATTCTGCTGCATACTCCACTGAAAGATCAATTGCTTGAGCATTGCTCGAGTCGCTGAGCTGACTCCATTTGCAACTTTCTCCGGGGATGGCGTTTAATGCTCCTACTTGACTCCAATGCGCCAGATGAATTATAATCCTACAGCTTAATTACTGGCCATAGACCGCTTGTCTGTTTCCAGCACCTCAGGTCTTCTTGCTCCAAAATGGCGGACGTAACTACACCTTCTGCTATAGCCATGTCGACCATAAATGCTGGTGCCGACCCTGTCCAAAAGCCCACCAAGACGAAACCAGAAAAGCCAGACGAAGCAGCATACAAAGAAAATCTTTCTCAAGCCGACAAAGTCTTGCAAGTCTCTCAAGAAAAGTTTGTATGTGCAACTCCTGTTCGATTCCGGACTTCACATTTCCAAGAGTCCATACTGATGACCTGGTTCAGAACGCCCTCAAGGCCAAAATAGACGCTGCTCAGCCGAGGAACACCGACTCCCCTTCCAGTAAAAGGGCCCAGGAACTCAAGTCAGAATTGGGATCCATACGGCAGCAGCAGTCAGGATTTAAGTCATCAAGAGGTTCGGTACAAGACAAGATAGGAGCGCTAGATGCTCAGCTCAAATCACGCATCAACGAGCAAAAGACAAAGCGAAGCCAGGTACCTTACAAGAGCGTTGAGGAGATTGACAGGGCAATTCAACAACAGGAAAAGATCGCCGAGTCGAGTACCGCAACCCTTGTTGATCAAAAGAAGGCGATAGCTGAACAGTCGAGTCTAAGAAAGCAAAGAAAGGCGTTCGGGACGTTCGAAGACGCACAGCGAGGCATCGATGGAGTCAAATCGCAGATCGCAGAGCTCAAGAAGTCGTTGGACAATCCCGAAGCCAGGGCCTTGTCCCAGAGATACGATCAAATAGATAAAGAGCTCAAGGCTATCAGAGCAGAGCAGGACGGCGCGTACAAAAGCTTATCTTCACTACGGGACGAACAGAGCAAAGCGTATGCAGACAAGCAAGAGAAGTTGAAAACTGTCAAGGAGATCAAAGATCATTATTATAAGGCAAAGTCAGCCCATCGAGATTACGAACAAGAGCAATACAGGATACGCCAAGCAAAGGAAAAAGAGGAACGTGAGGCATACTTCAAGGAGAAAAGGAGAAAAGTGGCAGAGCAAAAGCTTGAAGAAGCGAGCCAGCCGGCGTATGCCGACGAGATATTGACGGCGGAACATCTGATACGATATTTCGATCCCACGTCTTCAGAAGCCTCTAAACCACTACGTGCTCCTAGTGGATTTGCTGCCGAAGCATTACGAAGTGTTGATGCCAATCTCGAATTCAAGGGCATGAAAGTAGTGAAGAAAGATGACCATGAGAATTACTTTATTGGAGGTGGGGGTAAAAAGGGGAAGAAAGGAAAGAAGGGCAGTTCTGCCGCCTCCCCTGCCCCAGCAACTCCAACGGAAGGCAAATTCAACCTCAGCATAGGCATCATTGAAAACCTTGCGAAGGTGAATGTGGAGCCACCCATGTCTCAGAGTGATGTGCCGACAGTCCTGGAAAGGTTGAGGGAGAGGAAGGCTAAATGGAAAGACGAACAGGATGGAAAAACTAAAGAGGTACCCTACTCCATCAATTTAGCTCTATGAATGTTGGATCGCTAATCCAGGATGTAGAATATCGCAAAAGCACAAAAGGAGATCGACCGCCTCGAAGCCGAAGCGAAAGAATCTCATTCATCCTCCACAGCGAATCGAAGGACTCACGATGTAGCCAAGAAGCCATCAATTGCCAATCAGTCAGTGAACGGCACTGCGAACGCCAGTGCAGAGTTAGCGCAAGAAAACGATGCTGCGGATGACGTAGTCAAGGATTTGAAAGAGGCATCTATTGAAGAAAGGACGGAAGCATAGAAAAGATAACACTGGGATGGAGTTAACTGGCTTGCCAAATTTCGCCACATTTTGGAGAGATCTTGTAAGCATGTATTGCCCTGTCAATAAGATCAGTTGAAAGAGGCAATTCAATTGCCACATTACTCCAAGTTATCATCTTTCCATCGCTGACTATGTACAATTGCGAGACCGCCATTGATTCTTATTGCATTCTCGTCTCCAGCCGCTCCTCAGCTTCCTATATACGCCCATACTCCATTCTACGAATCCCCTTCCGCGCCATCCCTTCCCTTAAAACAAGAAGTCTAAACAACAGCAAACAGCACAAGCGGCCAGAAGCCCCGCCATTATCCCCTCTCCTTTTCCCCTCCCCCCTCCTCCCCCTCTAGAATCGGCGAAATGCCCCTGCGGTTGGTACCCATACGGCTGCCCTTGCTGCTGGTAGTACATTCCCTGCTGTGGCGGATACCCTTGCTGTTGTGGATAACCTTGTGGTTGGCCATATTGGGGCTGCGGTTGGCCACCATAGTATCCGCCTTGGTCTGAAGGGGCTCCGTAGTAGCCTTGTGCCGCCCCTCCTTGGCTATTGGGGTCATAGGGAGAATCGGTATGTGCGGGAGGTGGGTAGGCCGGAGGCTTATCGTAGTTCGACATTTCGAGGATGGATTTGGTGTTGGGAGGCGACTGAGAGGCAAGCAGCGTGGATGGTGGTGGGAGAGCGTTTGGAGACTTCGGCTACCGTGGAAGGTGTAGTGGTTCACCTAGTGGGTGGTTGATGGGTAGTCACGACGGAATCGACTGTTGGCAGCTTGTCATATCAATAATGGTTGGTAAAAGCCGAAGCGAAGGAAAACATGGTAGGAAAGAAGAGACATCATGATCATATGGGCAATGGAGATCCAAGCCCCGCCGACTCGCGGCCCCTCGGCCGGCCAAAAAGTCAAGGCTGTGGCGTGGCGCTGCGGAATGATTCCTAATATCAACCAGGGCGAAGGGCTGGCAATGCTTGGGAATGGCTTCGTTTTCGCTTGTGGTATCGCGGAGATATATGATGGGGGACTATGTTGCTTGTCAAAAGACACTCGTTGATACAAACGCGTTATCGAGACTGCTAAATTGTACGTGTCCAATCCATTAATGTCGTGAAGCACTCTGCAGCTGCATTCGCTTTGTACGACATTACATCCTTAGTCTTGATGAATGTACAAAGAAATAGAAGCATTTTCAAACGCTTCACCAAATTGTGTAGACCTGTATAGACACCCATTGGTTGTTGAGCTCCCAGCTTTGTACACCCCAGATATTCGCTAGAACGCCCGCTGAATTAAAACATCACATCATTTTGCATTCCCGTGCCCCCCTTTTCGCCTCGCTAAGCCATACGCGGTCCTTGACATCTCCATTTCGAGGTATTGGGGCTCGCCCAAGACAGCCCTTTCGAAAACCATTAGGACATGGTCCCTAGGTAACCTATGCTGGTTCACTAGCAAGGAGCCTCGCGTTTTGGAGTAGTATTGAATGTCCCAGAACAGTCGTTTGAAAAGTCACTATTGAATAGTGGCTTGGCCGCAGGTCCTGTTGTTACGGTCGGCTAACTTTTCTCATTGGACGATCACCACCCCCGAATGCGTTCGGATCAACCGTTCTATATCCACTACTGACTCTTTTACTGGACTTCCGGCTCTGTCGCACAGGACTGTCATGATCTTCTATGACTTCCACAATATCGTCCTGCGGTGGAGGGCGACTGGCTCTTCTGGTTTCTTCGATTATCACAGTCTCCCTTCGACTACTCTCTCTTCTGGGCGGGCTCCTTGGCGGACTCCTCGAGATACTCCTGCTTCTTGAGCGTTCTCTTGTCCTCTCTACTTCTATGATTTCTGACCGTGAATGACTTGATGGAGGGCGACGTGGCGAACGTGACGAACGTGAATGCCGCCGTACAGTGATTTCTTCTTCGACGATCGATGACTGTGGAGCCGCACCAGTGAAGGTGAAGCAGGTGTATATAAGCCAGAGAACGAGTAAAAGGCCTGCGACTGAGCCAAAGACAATGCCGACGACCGTACCAGGAGTCGGGCCCGTATTGAGACCAGAGTAGGTTGCTGGTATTATTGGATTTGGAGATGCCGAAGCGGTGACTGTGACTTGCTGTCTTCGTAGAACTGAGGCGAGGGAACGAGGGTTCAGTGTTTTGGTAGGGGACTGGTGGTATGAGGGGACATTGCGGCTAGATAGCAGTGAGGTACTAGAGGATATGAAAGATCTGAGTTCTGACGAAGTTTCGGTTGTGCGAGGTATGAGAGGTGCCATGTTTACAGCTGTCAGAAGAAGTCGGTGAGTAGAAAGTAATGGTAAGGTGCGTCTTTCTAGCAAGCTGCGACCGTCTGAAGCACGCCGCCGCTGGCACTCTGAAAACGTGGGGTGTTTTAATAGTGACGGTGGGAAAGCGAGATAGGGTGAAGAGTATGGTGGCAACGATCAACGAGCGACATGAAGATGAAGAAGAAGATGAAGGTAGAAGGTAGTTTGGCGAAGACAGAATGGCGCAATGTCAGCGCTCAACAAGCTGAGAACCATGGTCTTCTTGCAAGTGATGGGCTTGTAGGCGGCTGGTGAAAAAGTGCCAAGAGGTGGCTGGACGAATTTCCTTGGCATTGTAATCCGTCAGGCATCAAGCGCCGGCCCCCTTTATTATTTATTATTGTTAGACAGCTCCAGCCGGGACTTTCGTTAACCAGCTTCAGCACGTACTCACTGGTCGTCCAGATGTAAGATACATACAAGGAAGAAACGCTAATCTGAGAAACATGAAATGCTACTGCATCGCGATCTGCTTCTGTTCTCGTTAACGAGGTCTCTCATTCAATGATTGGGCTTCTTCGCTACATTTCGCGAGGCTTGCACAAGAAGTCCCGCGAATGACTCCGTAAATCTGTTCATCAAAGAGTGGGGTGCTGGACTTCTGTGGAAGTTATGTTCGCGAACTCCGGCGTCATCGTTGAGTGACGCCAACTACATAATTTGAATCTCTTCCAACCTTTCCTTCAACAAGGTGGCCTCTCTTCTGCCAATTGATCTATCTTGCTTTAATAATGTCCTTCAACACATTTGCGTCTAGACGTCTAGACCTCGTCATGGTCTACCGATAGAAATACTGGCTTCGATCGTTACGCTCATATGTTCGGATAGCTGCCTTCCATCCGCTCCTCAAAGACAACAAATTGACACCTCGTGATTTGCTTGAGATTGCAACTCCTCTCATTTTTAAAGGCTACTCATTGCTGCTGTTTGCTCAACAGAGGTTTATTGTCTACCGTTCACCAGACACCGTGCGAGCGTCTATAGACACCTTGTATGGAAAAGCGCCCTGTGGCTGTGAAAGGCCAAAAGCTCAGAGTCCGTAGATACTGCATTATTGACAAGAGGCGGGAGCAAACATCCATTTCAGGTGCTATAGAGGGTTCAACATCCACCCGCGGGCGCAGACTTGTAATCAGAACCAATGACTGCATTTGTGTCGCATCGTTTGTCTAAGATCACCCTCGGCTCGTACATGCCCAATGATGCTTGAGATCAGCACTGTTGATACACCATGCGGAAGAGCAAGAACCATGTCTTCAAGGCATCCCTCAGCATGCCTAAATCGAGCCCTTGAAGGCGGGACCGGCCCGCCCGCAGTGACAACATACGTCATAGCTAGTCTATCTTCAAGCCTCGGCTGAGATCTTTCCCACGTTTCCACGACTTCCAAGCGCGACCATTCGTGCGAAGCGAAGACCAATGTCCCAATGATGCCCCAAAAACAATGCTCCAGTTCCGTACTCAAGGTTTCAATGGCTACGCCGTGAAATATTCCCCCTTTTTCGACTCCCGCATCGCCGTAGCATCAGCCGCCAACTTCGGCCTTGTAGGCAATGGAAGACTATATATCTTGGGCCTGACCCCTGAAGGCATCATAGCGGAAAAATGGTTTGACACGCAGGATTCCCTCTTCGACTTGACCTGGTCCGAGACCCACGAAAATCAGGTCCTCGTTGCAGGAGGGGACGGCTCAATCAAGCTCTTCGACATTGGAGTCGATACGTTTCCCGTTCAGTCATGGCAAGAACATAACCGTGAGGTCTTTGCCGTGAATTGGAATCTCGTCTCAAAGGATAGCTTTTGTTCTAGCTCGTGGGATGGAACGATCAAAGTCGTGCGTACTTTCCATCCGTCCTCTCTATTCTTTCCCCTTTGCGCTCAATCTGTTGTCAAACAATGCAGTGAATGTACTGATTGCTATCGCAGTGGTCACCCGACCGCCCAACCTCCTTGCTAACCCTTCCCACCCATTCCTGTACCTACTCCGCCGCCTTCTCCCCTCACAATCCCTCCCTCCTCTCCGCCGTAAGCAGCGACTCTCACCTCCGCCTTTTCGATCTGCGCACTCCCGCAAGCGCTTCAAATCATTTGACTCTTAGTATACCCGCCCATTCACCGCAACAGAAACTCCCACCTAGCGCTTCTGGCATTGTTTCAGGAGGGCAAGCAGGCGCGTTCCAACCTGCTGAAATTTTGACGCATGATTGGAATAAGTATAGGGATACGGTCGTTGCGACAGCGGGGGTAGATCGTTTGATTCGGACGTTTGATATTAGGGCTGCGGGGCAAGGACCCTTGGCTATACTGCATGGCCATGAGTATGCGGTGAGGAGATTGGTTTGGAGTCCGCACTTGTCGGATACACTGTTGAGTGCGAGCTATGATATGACTTGCAGAGTGTGGGATGATGGAAGTGGCGTGGGAAGTATGGGACATGGAAAGCAGCTTGGACGTATGGGTACGCACACGGAGTTTGTTGTTGGTGTTGACTGGTGTCTTTTCGGAACCGAAGGTTGGGCTGCAAGCGTCGGTTGGGATGAGAAATTGTGTATTTGGGATGTAAGAGATACCATGGGTGACTTGTAGGGAAAACCTTGAAAACGTTGCGGTAAATAATTCACCGCCGTAAAGGCTACAAAGCGAAAGGTGTTTGCTCTAATGTACCCAAAGCAATGACGGCTACCAATCAAGCAGATATAGTCTCAAAACGCATCAGCGCCTGCCAATCATTTACTTGTCATGAGGCAGAGCATTACTCGTACATGCTCCTCAGCGCTGGATCTGATGACTTCAGTATCAGTTATTGCAAATTGCAAACAAAATGTTCAAACCCTCAAGATTTTGCAGCATTCAAAGCCACGGGGCAGCGAGTCCCATCGAGCCTCTCAGGGATGACGACAGACTCCGTACAGTATCTGCGCCAATGCTGCGCCGGTTCTTCACGGCGGTCTCTCTAAGGGTAGTGGATTTCTCGTCGTGTGCCTGGGGCGTTGCCGGTTGATCTGAAGCGGATCGTCCATTTGGTCTCGCTTTCAGCCTTAGATCGGTCCAGATCTGCCTGGCTGGGTCGGACTTATGTTCATCAGATGCCGCAAAATTTTCCTTTCCATCAGGTGGCATGAGATGAGCTTGTGGCGAGCCTGTCGCTTGCACGGTACTCTTTGTCATGGATGGCGTCCTATGAGCCAAAGGAGACCTTGGAGTCTTCATGACCTTGCCGCCGGTATTAGCTGGAGCCTGCTCACAAGACAAAGGCGAAGATCGTGTAGACTTGACGGGCGAATTTGCGAAGGACTTCCGTCTATCTGCACGTGCTTGGAATTGCTGCTCCTTCATTAGGAGTGCAACATAGCTGGGGCATGCTAGGCGACCGTCTCCCTCCTCAATCACTTTTTGCAACGCGGTCATGGCGTTCCCTGGTCGTAGCTTTGTGTGATAATAGTAAGCGAGACGCTGCTGCACAACGACTCTTTGAGTGCTGTCTAATTCAGAGTCTGGTCTCCTGACAAGCTTTGTATTTCCTAATGGATTGATAAAGCATTTCACACGGCAAGGCTTCAGGACGCTACACCCTGTATCGTTGGGTAGCATGGGGTGGTTATAGCAGGCTGCAGCTCCCAAAACCGGCGTAGTCGCAAAACCAATCAGCACCCGCTCGAGCTCTGCAAACAGGTCTTTGTTGTCTGGCTCTGGTGTTTTCCTGGGAATCCACGCCTCGGCATTCTTCGGCCTTCTGCAACTGATCTTGAGGATGAGAGACTGGACCTCGCCAGGCTGTAGTGACGCTATCATACGGCCACCAAAGACCTCCTCAATGACAAAATCTTTTCCAGGTATGAAATCCCAGTCAATATTCTTCAGATGACCTAGAACGTGGCCCAGTCGTGCGTGCTTGACGAGTGAAATCAAGTCTTTATAAAGGTCATCAATATTGTTCTCTGGCTTGAATTTTGCCTCAGCTGGTGGCTCATTGCCTGTCAGTGACCGCAATTTCCATCCATTGGTCCGTGGCCAACGTTCAAAGTCGTGCGGTAAGGCAGCAGCACAAATCAGATGCAGTGTGAGTCTGTCATCAAGCTTGAATTGAGAGAACGAGTCATCAATATGAGTAGTAAGGAGAAATATATGACTGAATACGAGATGGACATCATCACGATCCTCTACACAACGAGGTTCAATCAAGGCATCTTGTGCTAGCTGTAACGAAAATACAATGCTTGAATGTTGAGAGTCACTGGCACCTGTCTCTATAGAATCTAGCGCAGATTTTATTTTGACCTTCTTCGGTGGACCAAGAGGGACAACAACATTGCAACCTGGCAAAGCATTACTGCTGATGACTGTCAATTCGTCGACTCCTGTATCGAGCGTGGATGCAAGGAACCTCGTAGTCTCGCAGTGCGCCATTAAGGAAGTTGGAGAAGTATGTGGACTGAAATAAGTCAGCGAGGGCGAATCTCAGGAATGGTGAATGAGGCAAATACTCACCTATTATCGACAATGACGGCGATTTGAAGAGTTGCAGGATTAATACTTCGATTATGGAAGAGGTCAGCTGCCGGAACTGCTGCCTTGAAATCTATAGCAATGAACATGCTTTCACCTTCTTCAAAGCTTATGTGGTCGAATTCGGGTGTAAATTTAATCTCGGGTCTTAGCACTGGAACAGGGAAGGGGGTTGACAAATCTCTTCGGACAGGCTCCTGGCTCTCAGGTGTCAAGAATGAATCTTCGGTAGATTCTGGGGATACATTCGTAGGACGGGGAGGTTCAGGGAAGGTAGCCAACGCATCGCTCAATTCCGTCCCAAAGCATTGTGAAGTACTTGAGACTGAGATGCTTCGACGACAGGAACCTTTAGCAGGTAGTTGTTGGCAATCTTCGCCCTCGAGGAACAGAGCAGCCGGTTCATCGCCCTCGATGGTCGCATGAAGATCTGGCTTCCCTGAAATGCCACTCCGGACTCGCGACACAAGACGTTGTTTCAATGACGGCCCTCGACGTAGCTTGCCAGATGGTGCTGGCTGTCGAGCAAAAAGATAGCCATTTGCTACCGGTTGTGGTCGAATGCTGCCACCCTGCATAGAGACACCACCTATTGTCGAGGGTAAGGGGTACTTGAAGCTATCTGCGTCACCGGAAACATCGCTGCTAATAAATCGCACAGAGCTAGGCGCAATACTCGTGGCGGCCGGACGACTTGATGACAATGATAAGCGCTTCGTCATCGGCTCTCGCCTCATCATTCCTGGAGCTTTAGACGACGATAGTCTTGTTTCGACTTCTGTTGCAGTATTTGAATTGCTTTGGCGTTGCTTTCTCACTATCAAGGACTGCGCTCTACCAAGAGATGATAGTGATGGATTTTGCTGAAATGAAACCCCGAAGTTGATCTTTGTAGAACCGGATGAGCTTCGTGCGGGTACCATGGAATAGGAGGTCCGCGATGTGTTGTGTCCGCTAGTGGCCTTTCTCTTTGACACTTTCAATGGCCGAGGTGTGAGGTCGTTTTCTTCAGTTACTCTGCTCATTCTCAAAGAAGTAGTGGGAGAAGAATCTCCACTCATTATGACTTTCCTCGCTCGTCAGTTGTCAATCGCACGTGGTCTAGGGAAAGGAGCCAACAAGAGACTGTCTACCGCTTGTTTTTACTGTGACTTTTTGGATCAGGCAATGCTAAGGTAGGTAATGGTTCGTAAGACATGCAGTCTGTTGTATGCAATAGTATACTTGACTGGCTGTGTCGGACAATGCTTGACATAAAATGCACAGGAGTCTGACAGCTTTGAAGCATGGAGAGATTGGTTAACAGGGAGTCGAGGTCATCTTGAAAGATAATGCATGGAAGGTGCGACCTGCAATAGACCTGAAGGGGTGACAGCAAGCTAGCCCTCCTAAGTCCAAGCATCTCAAGGATTCAAAACTTCAAGATGGAAGGTCTGACTTCACTGAGCGTCTGCTTATCTAGGTTCAGAAAGCGTGGCTTGTGCTCAGGTTAGTAAGACTTCAATGACAGGTTTTTCAACATGTTACTACGTACCAGATCGTCAGTATTACTTCCACCGTAAAGCGTGGCGTCCGCGACACTCGATTCTATGCCCTTTCGTACTCGATCTTCCCAGACCCCATTCCAATCCCATTCCTCACCATCTTTATGTGTATGCTCCGTGCTTGATTGGTGACCGAAAACAATCCCACTGCTGGCTCGATGAGCTCTCCATGCCTTCCACGCCCCTGCATTACCGGCGGATTCCAAGGGTACCTCGTCGAGGAACGATTGTTCGTCAAAGGATCGCCTTATATAATTCAAGACGTTGAACATAGTAGATTTTGCAGCTCGACTGGCAGTGTGACAGGCGAGTTCAAAAGTAGAGTTTGAAGTCAAAGACTCCACTTTGGACGTCTCACTAGGCGTTTTCAGGCTTGGTCGTAGCACTGGGGAGCCTCTGATCGAGTCCTGCTGAGACTGATTACCACTTGAGATCTGTGATGAATTTCCTAAAACGGCTCCAATCCTTTTGTCCCGCCCAAACCAATTGGGAAAACCAAATCGAAGGCTGAAACTTCCGGGTGGAAGGCGTTCGTCATCAGTAGCACTGACAGTGTCTGATCCGACAGAACCAGTTGTATAAGTATACGTAGTCAAAGGCGTAATCAGTGGATGAAAGACGTCTGTGGTAAAGTTAATGGTTGGTGGGAGGTGTGGATATTCATGGGGGAAATGAATTTGAAATCGAAGAATTGCGGGCGCGTAGGGTCCTAGAAATGCATGTCAGTCTTCATGTCTTGATGTAGCCAAAGTGAAGTAGAGCATACCGCTGCGAGCAAAGAGAACGCCAGACCATTGAAGTGGATTTCCAGGCTTCAAGCTAATGTAGACACCGTCCGGACAATTCTGCTTCAAACTGGCACTAAGTTCAATGAGATCACTATTTGAATCAATCCGTTGGATCGTTACTGACAATTCTAGTAGAACCGATTGTCGCGCCGAGTCGTGCCAGGATCGCTTTTGCGGGGACGTCATGAGAGAGGGAGCATCTCAGCATCCCGCGATTCTGATAGACATCACTTCTTTAAATTTTCACATGGCGCACATGCTCCGGCCTGGTGGAATCAAAAACATAACCTCGGCGTAAGATGGCTCAAGATGTCAACAACCCTACCATTCTTGTATCCATGTCTGAGAAGCAGCTTTCCCGCGTCGAGGACTCCCTATCGCACTATTTTGGGTCGGGCCAGCGCCCGGCGGTCCCAAAGCTCAATAACCTTACCGCGTGAGACTTTGGCACCGTCGACGGACTTGCATCTGAATCACACGGACGATGATTACAGCCGAAGGCTCTTCTCAGACAAAACTTATCTGACAGTCAGCTCTGGATCAGGCGGTCATGGCTGCATCTCATTCCTACGGGAGAAATATTTGGCTCACGGACCCGCAAATGGGGGCGATGGAGGCAGTGGCGGAAGTATCTACATACAGGCAGTCAAAGGAGAGACAAGTCTCCACAAATTAGCTCGGCGCCGAATAATCAGAGCTGGCAGGGGCAAAAGCGGACAGGGTAAGGGCAAGGGTGGTCAACGTGGTGACGATGTCCTACTGGAAGTACCTGTAGGTACAGTCGTAAGGGAAGTAGAGCGGTACGACCCAACCGCAGCTCAAGAGGGTGAGCGCAAGTCACGCGATGCGGACGATGAAGCTGTACGGGGAAGTTGGAGAAGAGATAAATGGCTACTTCACCCAGCTCTAAAACCAGCAGACTACGCAAAGACCGAGTTCCCTTCGCTACCAAGAACTAGAAGAGCCACTTCGATCCGCCCACAACCCGTGGCACCAATATCACTTGACCTCTCACAGCCGATGGACAAGCCTACTCTTCTGGCTGCTGGAGCCGTAGGTGGCCTTGGAAACCCGCACTTCGTGTCAGACTCAAGTCCCAGACCCCTCTTTGCAACAAAGGGTGAAGCAGGAATGACCGTCACTCTGGAGTTGGAGCTCAAATTGCTAGCAGATTTCGGATTTGTAGGGATGCCTAACGCTGGCAAAAGCACGTTGCTACGTGCTTTGAGCCGCAGTCGTGCAAGAGTGGGTGACTGGGAGTTTACCACCCTCCAGCCGAATATAGGGACGTTGATCCTAGATACGGGAAAGGGCAGACCCCACCTCCAATTCAACAAGGCAAACGGGGATCTCAGGACACAAGTGTCAATTGCTGATATCCCAGGTCTCATTGAAGGAGCACACTTAGACAAAGGTCTTGGTCTCGACTTTTTACGTCATGTAGAACGTGCCAAAGTTCTAGCCTTTGTGATTGATCTGAGTTCAGTAGACGCGGTTGATACACTCAAATGTCTCTGGCGAGAGATGGGAGAATTTGAGAAGCTACGAAGCATGCAATTCAATGAAGAAACAGAATCAAAACATCAGCTCAACGATCGCCCGAACTTGTCAAGGTCTGTTCAAGAAAGTGATAGTCTGGCCCCCAGAATTTTCCAGCCTTTGAAACTTGCAGCTCTGCCCATGACTCCTATGTCGGCCAAGCCGTGGTTTGTTGTAGCGACTAAGGCAGATATTAATGGCACACAGGAGAACTTCGCCCATTTGCAGGCCTACATTGAGGCGCTCTCTGCCGGAACTGTTGAACACCCTTGTGGTATGCAGAATCCATGGAGTGGCAAACTAGCGGTCATTCCAGTCAATGCATTGCAAGGCGAAGGCATCGATCGTATTGCAGAATGGGCTGTCAGTTTGCTTGACGATTAAAGAAGACCATCAAGCTCGGCTATGTGCATAAGGACAATGGAATTCGTGTCTTTGATCATCCTGGAAGCCCCCGCAGGGTTTGTGAAGGACACAATGCCCCTGGCACAGGTCAATGGCCTGATTGCTCTTTGGCACAATGAGGCATTCATCGCCTTGACAACGACTTCTGTAGACTCCACGCGGCAGCAAACGATGATTATCCTACATGTAATCGTCCATGCAACAATGAATCTCCTCAATTGGTTCAGAGAGCTGGTATTAATACTTTGACCTTTAGTTTCGATTGGCAAGAAAACTGCCAATATCACGTTGAGAGTACTAAGCTTTGCGATATGGGTGCGAAATCCCCACCAGGTTGCTCTCCACTTTTGCGAAAAGCCATACAGAATGGGCAAGCAGGTAAAACGCCTCCGAAGGCTATTCCACGGAAGTCGGTCGTCAAGATGAAGCCAATTGCAAGAGCTCGAAATTGTCCACCGTCCAGAAAAGCCAAAGAGAAGCCATTGACGAAACGACAACAAAAACTGCTCTTAACATCGTCAGTAATTGTGACTTGCACACATCCGCGATTGAGAGCGAGGATGTTGGTTGGTGGCGCCTTCAACTTAGACTCGGATACCAGCAAGTTGGACTTCAAAACTTTCTGGAATGCCCACAGAGATCATTTGTCACGACTGGGGGTTGATCCGAGCCAGTGTCATTAGCACAGGGACTTCTTCATCATATTTTCTGTGAATCAAACGCCTTCCACTCTCATCAAACGAAAATCATGTAAAGTATGCTATCTCAACTTTGAGTCTGTCCTGAGACGGCAAGGAAAGAAGGGGGAGAATAGCTCTGGAAGCGCCTGCTACGGCAGAGTGGCAGAGAAACCGTTTGGGATTCAGTCTAGAATCTGTATATTTTAAAGAGACAGAGAAGTGAGGAGGCTTAAGCTCCCACTGCAAAAGACATCGTTAATAATACCATTGATATGTATGTTCTATTTAGATGACCTACCTCTGGTGAGACCCCCACGCCCATGCGTCAGTTGTGAATTAAGGCAAAGTCCCGGCTAGCTTCACCGTATCCCTCGGTAGCGGACTCTTTACAGCATCGAGAGCACCAATCATGCTAAAGGCTAGAGCTCGTTAATCGAGAAGCACCAATGCCTTATCTGGCTCCGGCCATTTGCGGTAACCTGGCTTCGGAAGGCTCAGCGCAATAAACCTTGCTGCCACTTTTCTATCACCTTGCGCTGGGTGTTCTCGTGAAGAGGCCCACTCGTCCACACTGTTGCAATGGGAGAACCTCCGGCTGTCCCTCCACTAATGCCCGCGATATGACGGGGACCCAGCACCATCTCCTGTCCTAAGAGTCCTTCAACAACATACATTCTCAATTATTGGAGAGATTATCAACCTCAATGGTCTGGTAGAATCCGGGATACCTTCTTGGCCATGCTCCTACATCACGAGTCCCAGCATGCGAAGCTGCAGGTCCGATCGTTATACACGAGTCCTCCACCTGCCAGGAGCTCTCACTCCAACAACCCGACGCTCCTGGTATCATGGTGGTGCACAGGTTTCGCTCTCGCCATCATCATCGTAAGGATATCCGGCCGCTACATACGTACTGAGCGCTTGTTTCGCGAAGATAAGATTATGGCGCTCAGCATTATACCGCTCTGTATTCGGATGGCATTCGTACACGTTATCCTGCTGTATGGGACCAACAACGCGATCATCACCGATGACTTCAGCCCGGAAGATTTGAGGCGACGCGCGATTGGAAGTAGATTGGTCCTTCCAAGTAGGATCATGTACGCTGCTTTGTGAGTCTCCATGTCTCGGATACCTGCAGCACCTTTCTCACGGAACCTGTTAGCCTGTGGATAGCAAAGTTCACGATTTCCGAGTTCTTGAAGCGCTTGACAACCCAATTCTGGAGACGATCCTACCAAGTCGGCCTTCAAATCATCCGCTATTTCCTGCTCGTGACTTTCGTGGCCGTGTTCATAGCGACGCTTAGCGAATGCCAGCCCTTCCGTCACTACTGGCAAGTGCGCCCAGACCCAGGCGCGAAATGCCGGCAAGGCGTCACTCAGTTGATGACAATGGGCATAAGCGACATCATTACGGATCTCATGCTAGTGTGCTTTCCCATTCCGATCGTCCTGAAATCTACCATGGCTGTCAAACGGTAAGATGACTTCACAATTGACAAAGTCGCATTCTGATCCGCCCCTAGGAAAGTCTCTCTCATTCTGCTTTTCGCCTTGTCCCTGATTCTTGTGGGCATTACGCTTTATAGGATCATTGGTGTCATGGATCACAAGTACGAGCAGCAATTTCGCTCGCTGTTAGCGTCTTTAGAAATTCTGGCCGCTGCGGCTGTCTCCAATGCGCTTGTCCTGGGCTCGTTTGTCCGTGATCGAGGGACTAAGAAACAACGGTACCGACGACATACAGCAGCCAGTATGAGTGGCCACAGCAGCCAGGATACTCGGCCCACGTATCGCCGGAACATCACTCAACAGAATTGGGGAAGTGATGCCGATCTGGCAGGTGATCTAGGCATATGTGTTGCCAACGACCTAAAAGAAAAAGATCTCAATCCACGTCCTGCTCCTTTAGCTCTGCCAGAGGAGAAGGATGCAAAGAACCTGACTCCTATGCCTCGGCGACGTAGTTCTCGTCCTCCTAACATAGAGATCGATGAAGCCAATAGAACACTGAACCTGCAACAGGATCAGACGGATTTGCCGAGTCCGGCTAGGACGCCCTCTTTCTTCGATGTTGGCGGCCTTCTTGAAGGCAATGAAGCTTTACCTAGATCAAGACAACAGTCCGTTGTTGCTCACCACTTTCCAGATGGATTGTGGCCTGGATCAATACAGCATGCAGGCCCTAGCTCCGCATCAAGACCTACCTTTTCGAGGAAGGGAAGTGATGCGTTTCTTGAAGATGTCGGCGGCATTTCGTCAAAATGGTCTACATCCCTGGAGCAGCGCCCCGGTACCCATGAGCGAGGCATAAGCCTTGCTGATATTCTTCGAGAAGAAAACACAGACCTGGTCGGCACGGAGAGTAAAATCGATGCCCGGCACGAAGCACCAACCCCAGAGATACAAGATGCAGGCGGTCTTCTTCCGTCGTCCAGTATGCCATCTACATCCGAACAACGTAGCCTCAGCCTCAAGAGCGTGCTACGAGATACAGGACCAGAAACGCCACAGCGACGTCCGCGGGCGCCATTGGATCGAGCACTTGCGTCTTCGCCCCCGGAAATACAAGATACTGGAGGACTTCTCTCTTCTACCTCTGGTTGACTAGAATCACGCGTGAATTTAATCTCGAAAATATAAAGGGTTTGAATGCACCAGATTTGGCAAAATCCAACATTCGCCGATATTGATGACGCTAATGATGATGTTACGAGGGGGTGGAAAACATGACGAATATCTCAATGCATAGCGGGAATGTGATTTGGATGATACCCTTGACGAGACGATGAGGAATGCGCTGATGAGATGTAAGTGGTACGTGATTTTCAAGGCGAGAACAATGAAGCAATCATTTAGCGTCATATCTCATAAAATACAAGTTACGCAATGTCCATTCTCCTTTTCTACTGTGTATTTTCAACATGTGTCGCATGAGAATTTCAAATTTGCTGTGATAGGCATTTGAAGGACCTCAGAGTCCTAGGCAAGAGCGTTCTGTCTCAGAGAACATCGACCGTCCGAAAACCCACTGCTTCTTCGCGTGAAAAGCTTTAACTCCGCCAAACGTGATCAGGTTTGTTTTGATTGCACATGTCTGGCAAGAGGCTTGACGGAATATCCTTATCTTCAACGTAACCCTTTGGCCCTTGAGCGAGTCATTCTATTTGCAATGGCTTTCTCTTGTGTTCGCAGAAAGAGTTCTGATTCGCATCTATTACTGTCAAATGAACGTGTCAATTGGAAATGGCGAAAAAGCGGCATTGAGAACGAAATAGCTATCGGGCGGGTGAAAAATGATGCCAGTTTTTGAGTCCGTAAAATGCCTTGTCAAGAATGAACGTTACTCGGCTTACATCTAGCCTTAGCTGCTATCAGAGACAATCCAAGTGATACAACCCAACAAATCGTCTGGAATAGACCAAGCCCTGTTGACAAGCGCAGAAATCATCGAAGTGTACCCGTATGTCGTGTTTCTCGGCTTACCATGATGCAAATTGAAAATGGAAATGTCTCCTGTCTTGCGGCTCTGCGTCACGAAGCTTTCGCGCCCACCAATATCTCCCGCGAGACCTTTCCACCGCGTGGGAGTCTTGCATATTAAGCTTAATCGTAGGTGGAGTGGGTCTATATAGCAGTGGGAGAAGCCTTCGTGGGAAGAAATCATCAGAACTCAAGATGAGGTGGTCATTTTCCACAAGCATCCTCCCTGCTCTACTCTTTCTTTTTTTACGTTCTAGTACCAGCATCCCCTTAGATCTCCCTGCAATCAAAAACTCTACGATCAGCACCTCTCTTGCCGTGGATCCGTCGAGGCATATCGACCCTTTGATTGTGAACGTTCTGATCACCGAAACAGCCCTCAATATCTCCGAGGAATTTGACCCCTATACGCCCCGCTACATGCCCATTGCGCCGTTCCCCGCCTTCGCAAATGCCTGGTGCGATCACGCTCGCGAAATGGTGAACGCAGCAGGCGGGCTCGACGAGCCTTGGAATGGCCCACAATTCACATGGGATTGGCAGGACTTTCACGTAACGTATGTACCTGGTGATTACCTAGGCGCCACATATGGAGACCTGAGCACGGTGGCGATCACGGTAAGGGGGAGGATCGAGCATTTCAGAGACGATGATTTTTACAGAGAAGTGGAGGTCTTTGTGGAGAGGATGTTTGAGCTGGAGTCGAACGTCCTGGCGGTGATTGATGTTTGGCACGATCAGCCAGGGGTGCAGGAAAAGCCTGGGTGGCTCGGTATTGGCGCAAGCGGTAACGGGAGCGCGTCTGCAGGACAAGCACCGGTGGTAGGCTCTGTAAATACATCTTGATCCTGAAGTGTTTGGACTTATTGATTTATCAACCAGCACTCCAGATAGCCCAGGAGTTTTCGGTTCTCAGCCTTGCAATTTTACCCACCTGAACTCCTCGCTTTCAATGCTTGAGTCGGAAATTTTTTCAATATCGCTGTCTCAGATTGTCCACCTATAACTGGCATATCTTCCTGCAGTCTCACTCTTCCTGATAATCTTTACCACCTGACCCCGTCTCAATCCCAGATACTTCGACACGGGATCACCAGTCTGTATTCTTGGCAATTGACTCTCTTTCAGTCTATATCTTTCTAAAAGCTTTTGCTTCTCTTCCGGGCTCAGCAGAACATGCTTAGGAACCAGCTCATGACGGGTGATGTTCACTAGGAGGTCTGATTCCTGGAATGTCTCTATGATTATTGGAAGCACAGCCGGAACAATTTTTAAGGCAGATGCAGTGATGCTCGACTGTGTGACAAGCATGCCGGTGTAGAAATTGTGCTTGTCAACGTGCTGGGCAAAGAGTCGCATCTGCTTTATGCCAATGTTAGAATCCTGATGAAATTCTATCCATATTGTACCGATCTGAGGCTGGGGATCCGGTTGTTTGGATGTAGCTGGGACAGTGTATTTCCGTAGCATAGCGTCTGTGGGTTTGAAGGTGGTAGTCATCTTTTTGCGACTGCTTCGAGTCAGCTAGGAGCTGGAAAGGTACTGCAGGCATCTTCACTCTATAGCACCACTGGCATCGCTGTAGTCTGCCCGAAACTTGTCGAGCGGGATGAGAAGCTCGTCGTCAGAAAGCTCATAGCCCTGCCGTTCTTATAAGTAGCTTGTCATGTGAGTCGAAGGAGGGGATACAAACACGGTCGCGGCACATTTCGTGGACAGTCCTCCAAGCTCTCCATAATTTGATAGTTTCCCGATCAGCCTCATCTGCCAGAGTCTGTCTTTCCTGATCGTCGGGGTCCATAGCTGTAAAGGATGAATCCACTACTAGGCACTTTTTCAATGTCCTTTGAGCCTCACACCCAAAAGGGCTTAGTTCTAGTGCTAGTTCTATAGTTCTAGCGTTTCTTTTGGAAGCAGCCAACAGGCAGAAACTTCCGTTAACTTTCCCTTCTCTTCAGCCCCAAGACGCATGCGATATCTATTCGATCAAGTTGATGGGCTCTCCCACTGCGCTATAACTGCCGCAGTGGCTTAGAACTTCCACAAATGCATTGCGAGATATCCCCCATTGGTCAGGTAGCACAGCCGGAGGCAACAGAGCTGCGCTGGGGGCCTAAGGTCAGACGAGATAGTGAAGACTCATCATGCATATAGCCTTGTCGCAGTGAAAGAATATCTATAAAGATGTCATCTCCTCACTACAAAAATGCCAGTCTTTCTCTGTCATTGAGCTTGGCTCAACTCCACACCCGCCCTCCATCTAGCTTAGTGCATTTGTCTTCGCTTTTGCTCATCCACCCTCCTTCGTACATTCCTGTGATCAACCCTCTCTGAACATTAAGATCTCTAATCAGACAGAGAACTTCATCCAAGCATGGTGCAAGGTGCAATGACATCGAGCCATCGGGCCTGGAACGATTGGCAGTCCCATGTCGTCGAGCCCCATAAAGACACATGCTTTGCCATTCTCACTTCCCTTCGTCAGAGCTACCCTGGTCACGTCGTCACAGTTGCCCCGGATAAGACTGGTCTCACTAAATTCGCCGAAGCTGGTCATGCTAAAGCGGTGTTAGATGAGGAAGACGAGAGGTTTTATTTCTGGAGGACTTACGTACCAGCAGATCGCAGGTCCAGTGTTGACTCTGGCAAACTTAGTGACGAGGTGAAGTTTGGCAAGTCCGCTTACCACTGGGATGGTCACGACTTTATCGTCTACTATGCGGATTTCATTGTCGATTATGTGTTTGAGCGTCGTCAACAATACTATTTCATTCTCTATGATCGAAGCAAAACGAGCGGAGAAATCCGACCTAAAGCTGTGGATGACCTGATTGCTACATCGACAAAATGGAACGAAGACTTGCATGATGAAATCTGGATGTATGACCGAGAGTCTTGGACAAAGGAAAAGAAACTCTTCAGAAGCGTGCAGCAGGCCAAGTGGGACGACGTGGTTCTCGATCCTAGTATGAAGAAGGACTTGATCGATGATGTCGAGGGCTTCTTCAACAATGAGGCCGAGTATCGAGAATTTTCCGTGCCTTTCAAGCGTGGAGTGATCTTGCATGGAGTAAGTTTTTAGTCACGACCTGCAACAAGAAGAGCTTGCTTATGCTAACATATGGGACCTGACTAGCCGCCTGGAAACGGCAAGAGTCTCTGCATCAAAGCACTGATGAATTCTCTGCTTACTAGGCCTGAACCGATCCCCACACTATACGTCAAGTCCTTCCAAGGCTGCCATGAGGAATGGTACAACATCCGAGAAGTTTTTGAGAAAGCTCGGAACACAACGCCGTGTCTACTGATCTTCGAGGATCTAGACAGCATGGTCACGGAGAAGGTCCGGAGCTTCTTCTTGAACGAGGTTGATGGACTCGAGGATAACGATGGCCTAATGATCATTGGTAGCACCAACTATCTTGAGAAGCTGGACCCCAGTATCACGAAGCGCCCCAGTCGGTTCGACAGAAAATTCCATTTCTCCTTGCCTGGACGTTCCGAGCGCGTCTTGTACGCTGAGTACTGGCGTGGCAAGCTTGCCAAAAACCAAAATATCGAGTTTCCAGAAGGGCTTGCAGAAGCTATTGCGTCCATTACTGACGGCTTCTCTTTCGCTTATATGAAGGAAGTCTTCATCACCTCTTTGCTTTCAATTGTAGGGGCTCGACGAATGGGTGCTGAAGAGCCCGAGGGATTGGACGAAGTGAACGGTGACGTCGACGGGAAGGTTAATGGCCACGTCGAGGGGGCATCCAATGACTACCAGGATGTCCTGCTGTGGCGGACAGTACGCAAGCAAGTCAACATATTACGGCGTGAAATGAAGGAAGCCGATGAAGGTACAGATGGAAACAAAGCGAAAGACGCAGACGGCAACTCTAAGAACGAGGAAGAGGAAAGCGTGAAGGCTCTTGTGAAGAACTTTGCCAGCCTCCTAGCTAAATATAGTGTTGGCGAGTAAGTTACTCTGCTTGGCATACCGCCATTGAAAATGAAGTCTATCTCTCCGTTGCTCTTCCTCACCACGCCAAGCACTGCCTCTGACTCATGACGTTGAGGTAGGAGTTGTAATTGCTAGCATTGTGATCATTTTCTTGGGTCTTCCATGTACGACTTTGAGTCTCAATACCACCTTCATCAATTCAACAGCCAGTTGTATTCATTTGCCAGAGTACAGCGCTGTGTATGTTCAAATAAAAGCGAAGTCCGTTGCAAAAAAGTTCTAAGTCTTCTTATAGCTTATTCGTCTTGCAGTATGCGCAGGCGCGAATGTCACACTCTGGGCACTTGTGACGACGACTGCAATTCTGACACGCAAGTTCACCATCTTCTACCCGATCCCACTCAATATCATGATAACACCGGCGAGGGTCATTGACGTTTTGGATGACGTCTTCTAGTTGTCGTACCCTAGCTCGAGCAGCCTGCGTGGGGTTTCGACTGGCGAAATCGGTTGCTCGCTCAAGCTTTCTGACCAAGGTCTCTCGAGGACAATGACAAGATTTTCATGTGCTGCCGCACAGGTAACAGAATTCGTGAAGACAAGGACAGCTAACAGGGTTTAGGGAAATCGCGCTTGGCCAAAGATGCTCAATTTGACTTACTAGACGTGATTACATCCGCCATCTAATTCTACGGTCAGTGTGCACTTCTTACATTTTTGAAAGCCTTGCGTGGCGATGTAAGCTAAAGAGAGTGCCTCGTCAGCATCCTTATCTCGGTGATTAGTCCTTTTGTGTCGGTGTGGGTTTGCTTCGTCGCTGGAATTATCTGGAGAGTGTTTTCGTTTCAGAGGTTTATGGCCTTCATCACGAGATACACTTGCCTGATCGGCGTCTATGTTATTTGTAAGTTCGTCCTCGACTTGGGCTTTACGAGGTGTCGATGTACTCTGTGTGGTACATTGGTCGATTTTCGGTTCTGCCGAACAAGTTGACGAAGTACGCTCGGTGTTTCGAGGCTGAGCAGCATGGACCTTCCCACCGTAAGCTCAATCTCTATTTGATGTCGCTCCACGAACAACGTCTGTTTCGCAGCGGTCCTCAACGAGATTTTCATCATTTCCAACCTTAAGAGAAACATTAGCGGATATTACACGTTTGTCACTCATGAGGGACTTCACATCAACGGGTAAGGTGTGTCTGGCAGGGGTGCTTTTGTCTGGAGTTGACATTTTCTAGATCGTAGGGTTTTTAAACGCAAAAGCAAGATGATCTAATGACAAACAAAGTTGGCCATCTCTGCCTTTGAAAGTACGAGCATTTGATTCTTGCACAAAAAGAAAAAAAGGGACCAAGTGGGGTTAAGAAGTGCCATCAGGCATGCGTGATGAAGATCGAGAGAGGTGTCGGGAGACTGTTTGGATTCCCACCCACACCAACTAAGACTCTGACATGGCAGTGTAATATGTCTTGAATAAAGTGAGTAAAGAGCCTGTCCTTTCGCCCATTGGATTCTTCATTTGAAGAACAGATCACAACCCATCCTTTGCAACATCATCCAGAGATGGTCAAACCAGTAGAGTGAAATATCAATTTTCCGCATACCATCGAGGTATTCAAATTCTAGCTAAATAGTGATATGTATTGCTTTGAGCATCGGATACAAAGATACAATCGTAGACATCATTGCAACTATGAGAACAAAAAGATTGAATAGCTCCTGGTCGGATTCCCACGGAAAGGTTCCGCAGGCATCCGTGTATTTGATAGCAATGTTGCGCCTGGGCAAACTTTCAACTCGAATCGCATTCGCCTTTCCATCATGGAAAGAGATGGAAGCTTTCCTCTCACGCAGCAAAAACGCTGTCGAAGCGCAGCAATCTGCGCCCGCAGAGTCAGAGAAGGACATCGACGGATTGCTAGAAGAAGAGCCCTCCACGGATTTGAAGCTTGCCATCTTGCATTCGTTGCACCCAGAGACAGACTCATCAACACTATTAGACCTGTTGGTTGTAGAGAATGGCTTGGTTGAGCGCGTATTGGAAGTTCTAGCCTCCAAGGCTCTGACAAGCACGCCTCGGAAGAGGTCTGCTATGAGTATCGGCTATCAGTCATCAATTGCCCAATTTGGCAGAGATACAGCATCTGAATCACAAATCTTGACAAAGCGGAGGGCTTTGACGAAGAAGGGTCAAACTCTCCATCTATTCGCACCTGAAGATGTGGAGAAGCACACACCTTGTTCAATCGTTCATAACTTCCTGCCCAAAGAAGAGGCTGAGGATTTGTTGAGAGAGCTCCTAGGAGAAGCCCCAACGTTCGAGAAAGCGACATTCAAGATATTTGACAATGTTGTGCAGTCGCCCCATTCTGCTTGCTTCTATGTTGAAAACCTTGAAGAAGAAATCAAGCAGAAGAATGAGTACTTGTATAATGGCAGCTCGTTGGAAGATGTGCGTCAGCTTACGCCTCAAATGCGCAAAGTATCACCCAAAGTTGAGGCTGCTGTCAACGATGAAATTCATAGGCGGATACAGACATTTAACCCACATGGTCAAAAGCTGCAGTACCAACAGCCAGGGCCGTGGGTACCCAACGCTGCGTTTGTGAATTGCTACAAAGGAGGGGCTGAGAGTGTTGGATATCATTCTGATCAGTTGACTTACCTTGGACCTCGAGCTGTCATTGGGTCAATCAGCCTAGGAGTTGCAAGTAACGCAGTGCCTTTATGATCGTGAATGTGAGGGAGAGGCTTATCCTTTAGTAGGAGAATTTCGCGTGCGTCAAATTGTCGCTCATGACGATAATGTCTCTTCCAAGAATCATCGTGCAGATGCAGAGGGGCAGATATCCATACACCTGCCGCACAACTCATTGTTGATAATGCATGCTGAGATGCAAGAGGAGTGGAAACATAGCATCCATCCAGCCAACGCTATTGATCCTCATCCCATTGCTGGCAACAAGCGTATCAACATTACATACAGATACTACCGTGAAAGCTTTCATCCTAAATTTACACCACGATGCAGATGTGGTGTAGCCACCGTTCTGAAATGTGTGCAGCGAAAGAAAGAAAATCGGGGCAGGTTCGTCAGCCTTCTTTACTTGATATTGATATTTCCTGCCCCCTTTTCTTACCTGATCAAACTCACTTTGCTTCATAGATACATGTGGATGTGCCATGCGGGCAATACACCGGGTCGACAAGGGTATGGATACTTCAGGTCGTTACTGAAGGCGCTCACTTACCCACTTCCAGATGCTCTTTTTTCCAATGGGCCGAGTTCGACAATGACGGAGAGCCTCCTTGGGCTCAGAAACCTCAAAGTAGCTGACATAGTGCATGGTTGTGTCGGTGTACCCTTCTAGCTTCCCACTACGACCAAAGCGTACCTAAGGGAATGTAGCCCAGTGCTAGTTTTTCCCATGGGCTTGCTCGTAGCAGCTTTGCTCGAGTTGTGTTGCTCCAACACAGAGCTTACTGTCGAGTCGACTTTGCTTTGCTTTCTGATCATATCTGCTTTTCCTTCTTTGTGCTACAGTGTCTCCCCCGTTCTGTGCCCTCCCTCACACCTCATTCTTTCAACTTTGATGAAGAAGCTAAGCTGCCTAAGCTACAGAACGATTGCTCACCCATGCCGTCGTATCAGGTCTTGTATCCAACGGTTGCGCATTCAGCATGCCCCACGAACGATTTGATTGTTATGGGGTTGTTTGGTGTTGCAATACGGTGCTTTATAATGAAGACAAGGATGGCCACGTGCGGAATTTCGAGATACACAAATATTGGGGGAAAGATATGCAGAAGAGCAACATCAATTCCACCAAAAGCTAACACTAAAGCTCACATCCAAGCTCCTCACATAGTGCCACCAGCCCACGGGTACATACAGCGCCTGACCCGCCGCTAACACTGTCTCTACATACTTCGCTTCCCGAAAACGGGGAAATTCCTTCTCCATGACATCGTCACACCCCTCGACGTCTACCTGACTGGTATTACTCATATCCACTTCGTCTTCCTCAGCGACCCTTGGATAAAGATTCTCAGTCTCAGAAGGACTGTACAATCTGACGTATTTCCGTCCGACCACTTGGCAGAGAATGTTATGGTACGGATCCGTATGCAAAGGTGACACCGTTCCTGCCGGCCCAAACCAAGCATTCAACAAAGGCTCTTCTAATTTTGGCTGAGCTGGCAGCTTGGAAAGTGTTGTCCCTTTTGCTGGTGGTGGTGGATCAGTGTAGCAGTAGTCTGGAATCGAGATGTCGTTCCTAAGCGAGGGAATCTGGGTGAACAAGTCGTGTTGGGCAAGGTAAGCTATGTCAAGCCCTTCATCCACGTCTTCGCCGTTTTGCCGTGGGACGAGGTCGGACAGCATATATCGATCCATGAATTCTCTGAATGTCATAATTGTTTGACCCCATCCGTCGTCTGTATAGCTGCGACCGAGTTCAACCGGGATGAGACGTCTGCCTCCGAATGTCTTGCTTAGGAGGTATGATGGAGATATCCAGGGGCGCTCTTGGAATGCCGGCCAGTGGCTTAAGGCATCCTCTATCACCATAGGTTGAGCTTGGGGGAGATGCTTCTCAAAGTCTGCCATAGTCGGGGCCCTGAGCCTTGGTATTTCACGTGTGATCCGAGGTACATTACGATCTTGTAAAGGGAAGCATTTGATCTCTGTTTTCCTTTTCTTTCGCAGAGGCAGTTCGGCATCTGCTTCTAGCCAATCCTGCAAAGCTCTTAATATTTCCTCAATCATGACTGCCCTTCCTGGCGCGCCGGCGATGATCTGAGCCAGATCCAGTAGCCGGACAACTTCTTGTATCCATAATTCTTGCTTAATACTTCCATCCCTTCCTTCATCGCTTTGATCTGGCGCCGTGTCGTCATCTGCTTTTACATTCGCTCGAGCAACATGTACAGCCTGGCAAATACTGGCGTCTGTGAACAGTCTTCGCCAGCATGTCGGCACTTCGCTGAATTTGAAGCTGTGGATCTTGGAGTGCGCGAGTTTGATTAGTGCCGCGGGATGTGAGGCGAGAAGGACGAGAGTCGAAGGAGGACATTGTAGTATTGAATCTGGGGTCTTTGGGCTACGGAGGATCTCGACGCACCCTTCTAGGAACTTGAGTAAATCATCTGACAGAAGCATGAAATATGCATCTCGCTTGATGCCATCATCAGAAGCTTTAGGAGTGTGTGACCAAAATTGCGCGAGTGTAGTGGAACATGCGCGTGTGTTCCAGGGAGTAGCACCCAAAGCTGCCGCCTGGGGTGGATTTTAGGGGCAGCTTCTGGTAGAACGAGTACTACCTTGCTGCTAAAGACAAGTCGCTCTTCGATTGAGACCTTCAGCGTCGACATACCCCCCAAGGGGGCGTAAATGCTTATGAAGCCGATGTAGTTCAAGCTTGATCTTGAGAAGATGCCTCTAAAGCGGGATCAAAATTTGCAAAGTATTTCTAGAGAAGGTCCGTCCTTTCTCACGCTTCCACCTGAGATCCGGCAACAGATATACATTTTATTGTTGATCTCTCCAGACGACATCTTCATCTCTAGGTCTTCATTCCAACGTCGGAGATCTAAGCGGTCCAGCAATCGTTTTGAGGGCGACCGATTCTATTCTAGCCATAGCCAGAGACCCTTTCATCGAGGTTTCGCGAGGCAGATCTTGCACACGGTCGGAAATGGACGTAGTAAAGAATCGCTTTCATCTCATCCGAGGCATGTTCGTAAGAAGGACCAGTTCAACCTTGACATATGTCATACTTGTCGTATCCTTCGTCAGGAAACCACCAATCTTTTCTATAGAAAGAATACCTTCCAATTTGAAGATCCCATCACTGCCAATTCATTCCGCTGGTTGGTTCCATCTTCCGCTGCCATTTCTAAAGTCAACCTAGTCCTTTACGAAGCATATGCAAACGATGAGAACGAGCTTCATTGGACTGCGTCTTTAGATTGGCCGCGATATATCGCCTCTGACACCTTTAGTTTCCAGAAAGACTATCCCAACATAAGGCATTTGACTTTGACATTAGGTAGACTGATGGAGAAAGTAAACTTCAACGAGCTTTCCACCATCCTGTCACCCCTCATAAGACACATAAAAGTAAGAGTATTTGAGGTCATTGGCCTCAACTGCGATAGGATACTCTCCAAGTTGGAAGTTATCACGCTAGTTCCCGAAGGAAATGGCGAAAGCAGGGATCGGGGTGTTTGTAAGACCCAACAAGCAATAAGCGAGTACGCAGAGAGACCGGGTTGGACCAATGCGATCACCTGGAAAGGGCGGGATGGAGAAAACCCCCCAGTGAAGGCAAGGCCCTTTCGGGGGGATAAAAGGTATCGGAGGAGGCTTTACATCCCAGAAGACAACAGTGAACATCCAGATGCACGTCTAGGAAGTATTTATGCATTGCATGTTGGTCAGAGCTTCTTTGAACGCCCCGGAGAAGAGCACTATGTGTAATAGAAGGAGAGCTCACTGGTCTGCCACGTTGAACGAGCGCCGGCAATGGTTTGGAACGCTGATTGCCTTGCCAACACCCATGATTGGGTATCGTCAATGCTAGAATGGATCAGGGGGTCTCTAAAGGGCTCGTCGAATTCAATCTTCGTTGTTCGTTGTTCCAATTATAGTCTAGGAGTCTGTCGTTACAATCCGCCAGTTGGAGCTCGAAATGATTTGTAGGTGAGCACAGGCGGTACGACATCTTACTACCTTCTGATCGCCGTATATGAGTGTGATTTGTGTCTAGGCTCATAAAGTTGAGGTTAGATGCGCTGGGAGTAGTCGATTTTAGTCTTCAGATTCAATGCGTCAATGTCAAGACATCTTGTGCATTTGGACACATAGGCCAAGAAATATTCTCTTCAATTAAATGTATCCAACCCTGAGTATTCAAATCATCTAGTCCAACTACCTTTTCCACCTTTCAACCATTCTATTCTTTTGGCAACGCCAAAAGACTGAAGAACCCCCTGCACAGGCCTATCCTGGAAATACAACTGATCCGGAAAATCCGCCGTATCCCCCTCATAAAGATCACTCATCGCCCGAGTCGTCGGCGTATCGTTAATAAATGCCACTACATCCGCAATCATGCTGTCCCTCGTCTCCTTCGAAGCTACAGCCGCGGCCCATAGCTGCCAATCGCTCTTCACATAGCCGTGTCTCGTGTCTAATGGTACGCCATACTTTGATCGGACGGTGGGATAGAAGGTACTTTGCATGTCGTAGACTGCGTCGGGCACGAGGTCCAGGCCGAGAAGGCGGTCGGCATAGAGGTTGTAAAGGAGGACGTGGGTATCGTTGCTGCCGTAGGAGAGGGTTGTGTGTGGTGGGTTGGCATCATGCGCAATTCCTAGGTCTTGCCATTTCTGGATGTAGTCATGGGCAATGTCACTGTAGTTGGATGCATCAGCGACGTTACCGGTTAGTTCTGCGATTTTGGACATTGCCTGTATGCCAATGATGCCTTTGAGCGCAAGATTTGTTTGGTTGGCCAAAGGCCCGGCGAAGTCGTCCGTCGAAATCTGGTTTGCAGGGATGAGAGCCTCGTCCGCTAGATATTGTGTCCATTGATTGAGCAGCTTGTAATGCTTAGTAAGATACTCGTTGTCCTTCGCCCGCTGGGCGTACGCTAGAGTCATTATGATCATGTCGCCGCATTCTTCGAGGGGCATTGGCTCGTCCTTACCGTCGGGATGTCCTGTTGCATTAGGATATCTCTTCCCGACGTCATGCATGGCGTATTTGTTTGGATAGCGGCCCGACTCTTGGTTCACGATCAGAGGATCGAGCAAGAATTTCAGTAATGTCGGATTTGCGTACAGCACGATTGGAAAGAACGGAAACATAACATCCACTGTTTGGACATTGTCTGCCGAGCTGACTTCTTTCTGAAAAAGATATGTCTTCTCCGGGGTGCCAGTCAACTGCATAGTGCCAAACGCCTGCCGGAACACGAGGCTTGTGATGAGGCTGTAATTTAACCCACCAACAGTATTCGCGTCGCTTACAATCTGACGATCAAGGTCACCAGATGTATCAGCCGAGTGGGCATAGTCGTTGTGGAAGAATGCTAGAGCTTTTTGATCCGTGTCAAAATAACTCGTCCACAGCGAAGGAAGTTTGACAACGCCATGTTCGCCATCAAATTGGATGGCCTGTTCCTGTGCGAGCCCAACGGTGAAGACAGTGCTCACTACACCAGATGACACTGCACCAAAGTCGACAGAGAATCCAAAAGTGGGATAGTCGTCGCTTATTGCGCGGAACTCTGAATCATTAGAATTTCGAAGTTTGCCATTGTCAACGAACTCCCCTCGGACATCTCTGTGTGCTCCAGACTGGTAAGTCAGGTTGGCCATGTTGTCAGTAGCGTAGTACCAATTTCCATAGTCTGTTTGATCTAAAGTCTCTGCAAAAGGACGTTGAGTCTCAAGAAAGATCTGGTGGTAGGCTATGCCTTCAGAGCGGCCATCGCTGCTAGGCTCCACCCCGTAATTCCAATTTGCGATTGCAGACCGATCAGCAGATATCCACTCCGCAGTGATGTCTGAGTACAACTGTACATGATGAGGCCTGCCATCTAGCGAAGAAATTTCCACATTTAGGTATGAGAAAGGTAGCGAATGACGCTTGATGTCCTTGGGCGTGACTGGGGAGAGAAAGGTTACGTTCAATTGGATAAGTTCCGCAACTTCCTGAATGAAAATGCTCTGCGTTGAGGTATATTCAAATGATGTCTGAGAAACAGCTGGCGGAAACGGGAATGGTTCGCCCATCCATGTGTGTGTGATTCCGTCTACACGTACGAGCCCTAGGACAAGAAATAGTTGAGTTAGAAAAATATACAGAAAGAATCTTTCAGCAATTACTATTAATATTACCTACCAGTCCAGCCAAGATTTTCATTCCTGAGTCTGTTAACAGTCGTAAATTCTTCAGGTTGTCTTACTCACGCCCAAAAGCTTGGCCAACTGCCAGCAAGATAGCCATCATGTTCCAGATCCCTAGTCTTTCCATCATTTGTCCCTTGGAGCCAGCAATTCAGATAAGGGGACTTTACGGCCAAGGGGATCGCCGGTGGTCGAGCTGGTTTGAATGTTGAAGCAGCATGAGAAAGATGCAAGAAGGCAGTCCCACACAGAGAAAACCAAAGAGATAACATTATGTATATTGAAGGTAGGATGCAATGTGAAGGTCACATCTCAAGAAGAGAGCTGCATTTGCGTCGTTGTGGCCCTGGCGCTTCGGCAGGCGTACGCCATGGCGCGTTGCTTATGCTTGTTAGGTTTTGGAGGATGACAAGAATGGGGAATAATATGACCGCGCAAATTCTGCGGTCGACAGCTTGAAGATCAGGCCAAAAGGGGTCACAACGCAGACAGAAAAGAATGATAGGAGGTCGAGTCGGATCGTGCAGCCGGGAGCGACAATTCGAAATGCAGCCTGGACGAGGACAGGTCGTCCGCTGCGTTGTTCTTAAATCATCATTTTCTGGGATCCCTACGAGAATCAAGCTGCTACTTGCCAATCCTGGATGTTTCGTGCGTTTCAAGATGGCGCTTGCCGGGGCCTCAATCCTCGTCCTCATCTTCTTGTAAATCTCAGCCTTCTCTGGAGGCGGGACGATCTTCATACTTGCACTGCCACCGCAGACCCAGCACAGCCCATCCTCAACAGACGCGCAAATTGGGTTATCCCAATTGCTTCTTCTCATTGCCCGGTACCAAGGCTCCTGCACCAGCTGCGTCTTCTCTTGACTGAATTCGTCCTGCGTCAAACACTGTAGTATAAGATATCTTAGGGGCACGACCTCAACTTGAGGCTCCTCCGCAGTCGAACTTCGGCACCACAATTCCCAGGGAGTTAGGTCGGCGCTCCCCACTGTGCTTTCAGAAGGTCATATTTGCGCCGGTCTGTCACGCTCGGCCGTACTTTATTCTTTGCTTGCATGAAATCTTCATGTTCGATGCTGTTGCTATTGCGTCGGATAGCAGCATAACCCGCTTGTCGTAAGAGGCTCCCCAAGTCTGCTCCACTGAAACCCTCACAGTCTTGAGCAACCTCATCCATTGCCTCGGTGCATTTGAGGGATATTTTGCGTGTCAAGGTCTGCAATATTTTCACCCTTTCTACCGCGTCAGGCAGATCAACCCAGAGATGGGTCCCTAAACGACCAGGGCGGAGCATTGCCGGATCAATGATATCTGGTCTATTTGTCGCCGCTAGCACGTAGATGCCAGCCCTCGTACTGAGTCCGTCCAATTCGGTAAGCAAAGTGTTCACGACTCTCGCCGACGATTCGGATAGGGTGTCGTCCCTTCGAGGCACAATAGCGTCAAGCTCGTCGAAGAAGATCAGACACGGAACGGACGATCGCGCCCGAATGAATACTTGTCGGACAGCTCTTTCGGATTCACCGACGTACTTGTTGAGTAACTCTGGACCTTTGACGCTAATGAAATTGGCTTTGGATTCGTTTGCGACCGCTTGTGCGAGTAAGGTCTTCCCACATCCGGGAGGCCCGCAGAGTAGAACACCACTTGGTTGTGTGATCCCGAATTCCTCGTACTTCTTAGGAGATTTGATAGGATCCACAAAGGCCGTCAGCAATTCTTCACGCGCGTTTCTCAGAGCTCCAATATCAGCCCAAGTGGTGTCCGGAATGGTGGCAAAGCCTTCACGCTTCGCAGATGGCTGGATTGTTGGTAAAGCTATTAAAAAGTCGCTCTCCGTAATCAATATAGCTGTGGCATCAAATGGGCGTTCTTTTGCACGTTTGATAAGCCTTCGGAGCCCAATCAGCTGAAAGGAAGCCTTGTCGTCACTTTCGTCCATCTCCATCTCGTTACTTTCCGTCTTGAGTGTCTCATGAAAGCGCTTTATCGCCGCTGCACCAGCCGTAGATACCAAGTCATTTAGATCTGCGCCTACAAACCCAGGCGTCCGCTTTGCCAGATGAGCAAAGTCAATATCATTTGCCAACGCCGTCTGTCTGGTTAGTGCTTTCAATATCTGGCCCCTCACTGCTTCGCTCGGAACCCCAAGATTGATTTCCTTATCAAACCGACCACCTCGCCTCAGCGCTGCATCGAGACTATCGGGTCGATTTGTTGCAGCAAGCACGATCACACATTTACCACCGGTGTTTTCGAAAGAAAGGCCGTCCATACAGGTAAGAAGCTGAGCCACGATCCGTTTCTCCATTTCCCGCTGCGCGCTTTCTCGTTTGGGTGTAATGGCATCAATTTCATCAATGAACAAGAGACATGGCGCAACTTTCTTGGCTTCTTCAAAGTGCTCTCGAAGAGCTTTCTCTGACTCTCCAGACATCCCGGAAACCACTGACGGAGCGGAAAGTGCAATGAAGGGTACACCCAGCTCTGCGGCGAAGGCATTGGCAATCATAGTCTTCCCACAGCCAGGAGGACCATGAAGCAGTATTCCGCGAGGTGGCTGTATCTTTGAATTCGCATAGATTTCAGGCTGCAAAAGAGGCAGGACAATAAGATCTTCAAGCTGTCGAATGATATCATCCACCCCTCCAAGATCAGCAAGACTCAGGTGCGTTGGTGGAGAACGGTCAATCTCCGGTACTGCTTTCCTACGCTTGGCTGGTGGAGCGCCATCGGCATGACGTTTCTTGCTAGCTGCAACCGATGGTTGATCAGAGGCCCTGTTTATCGCCACTACTCCTTCCTTCGAGGGCATTCGCTGCTTCGACCATGCCCCGACTATGCTTTGATTGACATCGTTCATAGTCTTAGACCTTATTTCGACGCCATTGCCGTCCAGTTCCTCAGCCAGAGACCCACTGTCATCTTCACTTCTGCTATCTTCATCCTGCCTTTTCACCTGTAAGACGCGCTCAATGCTGTTCTCGAGCAACTTTTTGCTGGTCCTGCCAAGACTTGAATTCGATCTCTTGATCTTCTCATAGATAGCTGGCACAGTGGTGGGTGATCCACGGCCATCGCCATCTTGCGAATGCTCATCTGCAAATTTGCACACTATTTGATAAACCTAGGGTCAGATTTAGGTCCTAAACCACCCATGGGGAATACCAGCGGAGCGCACCTCTTTGTCCAGTTGCAAAGTAAGCGAAGATCGGTTTGAAGAGGATTTCGTTCGCATTGGTGAAGGACGTTATTCGTCGTTTGTGAATATACTTGAGCATTGGTGCGGCCAACTTTGTTGTGGTGAATGTACATCAGCGCCGGGTACCGTTAGTGCAGGCTCCCAAAAGGATGCAATAGGAACATTCTCAGTCCAAGATGTGAAATACGCATTACTTGGAGATCTAGTCTGAGGGTAGATCGACTCAGCGTCCGCAGACGTACTGCACGCCTTCACATCCATCTTGCTGAAAAACTCATGGCAGAATGTCAGTCCCTTCGATTGCCTGCATAGGTGTTATTGGCAAACATGTAGGTTCCATGGCCAGACTCTGCTTTTTGACTACACACAGGGCTAATCACGACCCACCTAGGATAACCCCCTTCACATCGCGCTCTTTCCGCCCTATGAAGGCCAGAAGTCTGCCCTCTTAGACTTCTCTTTCCTTCTCAATGCTTCACTAGACATTTTCGATGCCCGATCCCGTGATCGAAATCGTGTGGATCAGGACCTCGGCATGCTACAGGCAATTGACGAAAGGTTGAGCATTTGGGGCTGGCAGACAGGGACGGGCGTACGATTCGCAATCATTATAGACACATGGGGGAAAGAAGGGAAGCCGGTCATAAAGAGAAAGGGTACTAATGACTCTAAGGATGGGAAAGGTGTGGCCGGTCGGGTCGTGCAGAACGCAGACATGAAGCCGGTAAGACGGAAGTTTGTTGTTTACTATTCGTCAATTCTCATGCGTATAGGCATTCAAAGCTTTGCAGACGGCATACATCAGACTACTACAGAATCCGTTTTTTACGCCAGATGAGCACACTCCAATGGCTGTGGCTCATGGAAGGGGAAAAGGAGCGGAGATCAAAAGTAAGAAATTCATCAACGAGGTTCAGCAAATTGGGCAAAGATGGACAACGGGGCTCAGCACACTTTGAGCGGTCAAACCTCAACTTTGTACGTTTCTCAGTTAAACACGAGTCAGCCCCTTTTAGAATCCTATCCAGACATAGCTTCGTCGGCATGATCAATAGGGATAGAGATCTCGACGCGCTTTTTCTCGCTAAGCTCGATGTCCGGCATTGTTGAAGATGCTGCGAAAGAGAGGACGGGGAATATTGCTCATGGAATGCTTTCCTTCTCAACCAGCTGTTCTAGACGTTGCGCATGGAGTCAGGCTCAGCTATCGAATCTTGTGAGTCTTCCTGCATCAGACCAAAGAAGAATTGAATTGCTCATAATTAGACGGCTTCATTAGTAGGTCATTGCAGATACCATTTGGACCGCACAATTGATTGAAAACGCCTGAAATGCCACCTCAGGCGCTTTGAGAAGTATCCTACGATCCACCAGAACATCTGCGTTGTGGTGACCATGCAGTTGAGGAGATGGGGAGATGCAGGCCACCATGTTCATTGAAAGCGTTCGGCGACCAAAGAATGCTGGATGAAGAGGAGAGAGGTTTGAAAACTGCTAATGTCTCAAGAAATACATAATCATCTGGTGGACTGAGAGTCAAGATACTCTGTCTGCCAATCAGAGAAGTACCTTTATCCTCTCGAGTCTTCTAAATACGTCGCGATGCCTCACTGTTAGGTCTTACTTGCCTGGTCCCTTTTGGTTTCTTTTTCCCAGCCCAGTTGGACCTTGTCCCCAGACACCGGCCTTCTTACCCCAAGTCATCATGCCCCAGGCATGCGTCCAGTTGAAACGCGGCGGAGGCTCCTCGCTTGTGCGGAAAGGGCTGGATTTCAGCCTTGATTCACTTTCGCCTTCTATTTGTGGGGAATCATCTATAGTGGCGACATGTGGAGCCTTCAGAAGCTCAGCTCGGGAATCCTCCCAATGTCTTGCCTCTTTACTCAGTGGTCGCCACCAATCGCCCTCTCTTGACCACCATCTCGATCCGCAGAGTTCCCATAGCCTACTTTGTGCTCGCTTGTAGGCGAATCTTTCATCGTCGCCCGTATACACATCCGTTTTGGAGAAAAGGGGCCCAGTGGCTTGTTCTTGTCCTTGCACATGAGAACCGGTTGAATTTAGGTCATCTGAAACGTCTTGCCCTCTATCAGCTCCATAGACAGGCCCAAAGTCACTGTCTTCATCGGCAAGAATTGAGCGTGCTTTCGAGAGCTGAGAAGCGGACGTGGGAAGAGAGCTTGAAGCGTAATAGGGCTCCGAGGCGGATGACGTGTACAAAGAGATATTGGGCCGGAAAGGTGAAGTTTGGTCTTGATATATTTCGGAGAACGTCTCAGGATAGACTCCATCGTTCGAATTGTTCGTCGAGTTCTCCTCTCCCTGCTGTGTAACGTGTTCTCCTGTAGGTGGAGCCTCCGGGAAGAAGATAGCATCTGGCCCCGACTCAGCGGCTACCATGAGCTTGCACCGAGCTTCGCAAAGGGCGTCAAGCAACGTGATGAATCGGCGAGCTTCATTTTTCTGAAGAAAGCTCAAGACTGGCACCTCAGTCATAATGAAGGTATGAAAAGTAGATGCCAATGAGATGTAGTCTGCTGGGCCTAGACTTTTCCCACAAAGTTCTGCGAAGGTCCACTTCGTCACCCCTGCGCTTTGGCGCGGGACGTGCAAATCACGGCCGTATACTCGAAGAGTCGTAGACTTCCATGAAACATGGGGCTGCTCATGATCTTGAAGGCCATGGCGCTTCAAGATAGTAGCCTCACGTTGATCCCAGACAGTTTGTGTGATCGTGTCTTTGTTGGAAGAAGGAGACTGAGCGGCTTCCACAAAATAGAAAGCCGGTAATGCAGATCGTGTTTCGCTACTTTGCTCTTCTCCCGTGCTCTTCTCGGAAGGATTGACTCGTAGACTCTGTTCATATCCCAAGCCAAGATTTCCTATGTTCATTTCTTGCAGACCGTAAGATGCAGAACCCCTTTCTTCATCCTGGATGTCAGACACTTTGCTGGTATCATGCTCACTGTCTCTCCTTCTCCAGTCCTTCGAGCCTTCCATTTCCCAGACTTCACACCTCGCCTTGAGTACTTCGAGGAATGCTGCAAAATCGCCTTTGCCTCCGAAGACTGTTTCACTCCTGCCCCGTTCAACGCGCCTTCCCCTGAACCCGAACGCGTTGCTTAAAAGCCCTAGTGTAGATCTGGGCGGTGGAGCAAACTCGACCCCAGCCGCATTAGCCAGCTCTTCTGGAAGGCGGTTACTCGTTGCTATCATAACGCCCCCAAGTTGAAAGAAAGCAGTCAGAAAATTTGAAAGAATTTTCGATGTAGCACGATCAGGTATTTGAAATTCGTCAAGAAAGATAATTGGAGATTTAATGATCAAATCTTTTGCTAAGGAAAGGAGTGAATATTCATGAGACCGAGAGTCAGCTAGCGATGGCGAACGCAAGCATTTGCACCTCGAATCCAATTTAGCGAATATTTCAAGCATGAAGGTGTTGAAATGCCATCTACGCTTCTGATTTGGCAAACAGTCTGCTAGCAGATCTATGAGCATGCTTTTTCCATTGCCTACATCGCCATGGCACAAAAGGCCTCGTGGAGACTGCAGACTTAGCACAGATTCCCGAGCGGTCAACGATCTAGTGAGAGCGGTGATCTGAGAAGCTTCCTTCTGAACAGCCCATTTGAGATTGCCCCCGGAAGTCCCATTATCAACACTTTTTTCCTTGTGGACAAGTCTCTGAATATTATCCAGCTGCTGCCTAAAGTCAATCTCAGGCTTGTAATCTTTGAGCCTATTGTATATTTTCTGCAAATGGATCGCGAGACGATGCTGTGCGGGGTCAGGCTCAATCCGCTTGGTGGCGAGAAGGGTCCGATAGAGAATGAGAGGGTTGGTGATGGTCAGACTTGTAATGGGCGAAGAATTGGGTGGCATAGGGTTATGGGAGTGGTAGAAGTCGTGCCCCGTTCAGGCAGATTTGAGAGTTAAGATATGACGCCATCGTCTGGCGGAGGAGGCTTCTATTTTCTTAGAGCCTTACCTTAAACCCTAGAGACTTACTTCTGGGCAAGGCTCCAAGGCAGTAGAATCTGGCTCGACCAACTAATTAATTAGAGGACAGGATATGGGGCGAAATCAATAAGGTATGTGATTAGAGTTGCTATCTACTTGGCTGACATCTACGCGAGCCTGTGAGTTTTCTTGAGGCTTATGATAGATACCCTCTGGAACATTGTTCCCTAAAGGTATGTAGACATAGCCTGAATAAAGCCCAGTATTGTGCGAGACACTCAGATAATTCTAGAAACAAGCTATGAGAGAGACCCATTCTGATTTCTCTACCAATCCGAGAGTATTGAGTATGTCAGCTAAAGCACCGAAAAGCTAGATTCCGAGTCCATCTTTCGGAGTTGAGCTTGGAGCACTGGGTCTTGTCTCTGTACCGTAGAAAGTCCTGGCATAGTCTACTTCGGTCTTGCGTTGTCGAGAAAACTCGTATACACGCATTGCTCCTGCATTCTGACAATCGATTTTCTCTAGCCAGGGTCCCTTGTAGGAGTATCATTATCTCACCGTACGCCTCAAATTTTTTCGTACGCTTCCACCCATCCCGCTCCACCTTCTCTTACTTTCTTCGTGCGACCATTGATCTCTTGGGTTTTCCATAGCACTAACGGCCCGATGAGTGTTCTCCTCAGCATCCGAATATTCGTTGACAGGCGATTGAGTGTCTTCAAAGGCAAGATTCGTGCCTGGCGGTGTATCCAGTGGCTTCGCACACAGGAGCGCCTGCATTCGAGCGTAGCAGGCCTCTCTGTTTACCTTTCCGCCAGTCAGACCCTCCTTTGGCGCCCTTCCACGATGGTTCAAATAGCTGCTCAGAGTAGATAAAGGACGCTGCCGAGACACTGGCGACGCTTGTCTTTCATGTTGCTCGGCTAGATCGTCTGGCTTAGACTCGCTATGAAGAGATTGTGAGCTGGACTTTTCTTTGCTTGTAAGCTTTTCGGGCTCAGCAATTGAGAGAGAGCTATCTGTATGTCTTGGATCCTCAAATGGATTTGCGTACGGGCCTTCCATCTCAGCTTCTAACACGGTTCGTCGAAGTCGGTGGGTAGCTGCCCTCGCGTCTGAATCAAAATCCTCGGTAAGACTTTGAGTGTGACCTAATAGGCATGTAGAGCTTGCATCCGACAATCGAGAGGAATTGTAGCTAGCTTGTGGACTATGGTCGCGCTGTCGCTGTGGCGGCGGAGACGTATCCCAATAAGCAAAAACCGTTTCCTCTCTCGCAGTGCCCTCCGCTTTGCGACGGAGCGATTGTAGCTGACCGTCTTTCAAACGATCTGTCATGATTTGACTGAAGGCTGAGTCATCAAATTTAACTTTGCTTGTTGATCCGATGGTTGAATGACGATGTTTGGTTAGTGAGCTAGCTGGCGAAGTGAAAGGAGTGAGAGGAGTGTCAATGGTTGAACAATTGCTCTGCCGAGCTGTGGTAGGTGAGGTGGGGATTGTGCAGGTGCATGAATCACGATTTGAGAGGTGTCTGCAAGTATTCTCGTAGTGTTCCGATCGAGTGAGAGTCAGGGAATCTCGTGCTTGCGATATCGCTCGGGCCCTGAAGGCCGGATGATCCTTGGTATTTATGTCGGGCAGTCGAGATCGTTGCTGTTCGACCCATTCTGGAGGCAGTCGAGGTCTCCCAGTCTTAGTGAAAGTGAATTTCGAACGTAAATACGTTCCTTGTGATAGTGAATGGCGGAAAGGTGGAGCCGGTCTAGACGAGGCTGCTCTGAGAAGCGGATTGGCCACTGCAATCATCGAGACGCTTCGCTTAGGCCGGTGAAAGCTGTTCGTGAGGTTTGCACGATCATCTCCTCCATGTTGCAAATCCTCATTGATGCCGGTCACTGAATACGAAGAGCTTCTTTTGCTTTCGCTTATGTGATTTGAGGCTTCCTCAAGTGACTTTATGGCATCTTCGAAAAACGATTGCGTCTGCCCTGAACGCCATGAGTCAAAGCTGGTGCGAAGAAGGGTGTCTTTCGCAATTTCACTATTGTGGATCCAGTCATGATCCGTCTTGATGAGTTCAGCACCCTCTTCGTGTGATGTCTGTAATTTTTCAGGAATGCGGTTCATGTAGCTTGCCTGTGAACAGGTTTTAGGAGCAAGAGTTCGCAAGCCTGCAGGCAACAATCTCCGATCTAGATACTCCGTACTACATTCTCCCCTCTCGAAGGCGTTCATTGCGACTTGGATTGCTACAGGTTTGCCATTGGCTCCTGTCAGGTCTATCGAGGTTGGTGAAATGGGCAACTCCAGCTGCCGATCAATGCCTCGCAGGACATCTTCAAAGTCCTGGGGTCTGCGCAAGGGCATATCGGAATTGAGGGAAATATGGCTTGTCGGCCTCAGATACTGGCTTGGTCTGTTCAACCGCAACACTTGAGTCTGGCCAGGTATTTCTGCATTGTCAAGCGTAGAAGAGTGGGTATCATGTGGTACGACGGTGGCCTGCTGCTCGAGGAAGCCAAGAGTAATTGACCTGTGACGACACCGTGTATCCTTTTCTCGGCGAGGAGCTTCGGCGTCTTGCATTACGCTTCTTCCATTGAGCAAGCGCCGTTTCATTTACCTGTTCATGGGGCTGCTTGACTTCGCGACAATCCTGTCGGTCGAAGTGAGACTCTTGAACCAAAACTGGGGCGAATTGTACGGGATCTCAATGACAGCAGATGCGATGCAAAGTGGTTCCCTTCAAACGGACGAGTGGAGATCGAAGTTTGTGAACTAGGACGAGCTTAATTTGAGGGCTAGGGTCATCACCACGATGCGATGACGGTTGCGCCCAACGATCTAGCCTGCCTGGTACCGGCTATGGTGGTCTGACACGGCGATAAAATATGATGAGGCGTCAATCAGATTGTCTTTAGCATAAACATCGAGCGATCAACATCTCAAGGGCGGAAGGAGCGAGCTCCAATGCTATCTACGTGAAGTCAAACGTATCTCCCTCCTTACCTTGGAGCATTGAAAGGTGTCTCTTGGATCCAACGACACGCTCGAGTTTTAACATATCAAGCTTCGAGAAAAGGATCCTGACATTTGCCTCCTTAAGATCTAGGTTCCCTGTAATAACGCTAGCGCTCAAATAGCCCTCTACCATTTCTTTGTAAAATAGGGGGTTTTCTGGCAATCCGTACATGACGACCCGGCGAACACCTTTGAGATGATAGCGCCTGAAGTGATGCATGCGCTCGGTATAGAGTAACACGGAATTATGCCCAGTGAGGAAGTGGCTGCGAGCACGAGACACTTCCTTTGCCGGTGTGTATTCGGATATAGAGCTGACCGAGATCCCCTTGGCGGCCGAGTCGCTCTCCATGTAATTACGGACACGTACGAAATCTGGATACGATGGCATAAAAATCAGTACCCCTGCTAATCCACTGCGGTATTTTGAGGCCTTGGTCAGTTGAGGGAGGACGGTCGAGCAAAAATAGTTGAAACGATCGTCAGGTTCGGTCGCCAAGTTTGAGATGTCGACACGTGAAAAGGTCTGCTTTGGCGAGATGCTGAGCTCGTTGATGATGCCACCTTCGAGCTTTTTGAAACGTACTTTACCAGCAACATTGAGCATCTGATCAGCGTACAGCTTGTTGCAGGACGGAAAATTGAAGGCCGAAATCACAATATTCTGTCGACCAAATTTTGCATGTCCCTCCAGATACCAAGCCCGAACGCGACCAAAGTCGCATCCGTGAGCTTGCTTGGGCTGAAGATTGAGGTGATCGTATAGGTAGTCAATATGTTCCCAATTTTGCATTGCAATAGCATCCGCTTGGTCAACAATTACCACTTCAATTGAGCTTAAGAAGTCATGATCGTAGGTCTTTGAACCATGAGCTCCGATAGCCATACGCAGACCCAGTGGACTGCCAATGATAAGATCTGAACTGTAAAATTTCGAGAAATATTTGATCGTTTTGCGCGTGAATTTCACACCAAGCCGAAACATGTCATCGTCATTGCCTCCAAAGAGCTCCTGAAAGTCTGCTGGTTTTTGATCCAAGACTCCATCTATGCCGGAGGCAAAATTGTCACTAAATCTCTTCTTATTCTCCTCTTGCTCAGGCCTGCGCATCGAACTCAAAGTCTCAATGTATCGAACACAAGCTTGCCTTGTCGGTAAAACGAGGAGTACTGTCGGTCTAGTAAAGCCTTGGTCTCTAGCGTCTATCTCAATGCCAATTTTTTCCCTAGCGAGCCGTGCATTATTTTTTATCACTCTGTCACGAGTTCTCAAGATATGATTGAGGAGTTGCAAGGACACCAAGCGACAAATGAGACCTGAATTATCCAGTGCCCTCAGTGGAAATAAAATGTCACGATAATTGAAGACTTGCGAAGCAAAATGCTCCAACTGAACATCTAAATCCTGCATCACCTTTGTCAAAGCTGACTTTAAAGAATCCTTCACCAGAGCGGGCCCAAATTGAGCGTAAGGCCGGGTTCCATCCTCGTTCTCAGGAGATCCAATATCTGGATACTTGAACGAGGCAGACCAGGCCTCGTTCTTTTCCGTCTTGCCATCACACCACTTACCTGCCTTGATAGCATCAATCTTTTGAGATCCCATTCTCTGGGCTGAGGCGGTCACACGGCCAGAGGAGAGATCAGCCTGCTCCTCGCTGGAAGCTAACATTATGCCCTCCAACGATGCATGATCATCCTCTTCTGATGATTCAGATTGAATCAGCAGGCCTTTCTCTATGTCGATATTTGGAGAAGGTGAGAGTGTAGTGGTCTTCCTTTTCTTTTGTAATGGTCCTCCTCTCGCATTCAGCGATTGCACAAGTGTATTGTAAGGCCTGGACCCTCTGGCTGACGGGCTAGCATCTTCGCTAGTCTGTGAGTGTTCCGACATTTCCTCATCCTGATAGCCAGAGCCGCTGGTTGAAGCTTTAGCATCAAAATCAGCTGCCCGTTTGGGAGCAAGGCCTGATCGAAGTGTAATGGGCCCTCGACTGTTTGGTCCACCATCATTGCCAGGACCCAAGTTTCTCTTTTCACTACCCGAAGGTCTAGTCGTTGAATCAATTCTTTTAATTTTCTGCTGCTGTCCCCGAAAGAGAGGCATCTTGCTTATTTACTAGGGTCTGAGAAATTCGGAGTCCGCGAAAAATCTTGGCGCGCACAAATCCATCTTAACTCCGTCGGCCTTCCCAGTACATAACCAGAGAAGCTGTAGACTAGCTTTGCCAATTTCTATAACAGATGATGACAGTTGCGAACTCTTTCTTACACTTGGCAAGACCACTCGGTCCAGCTATCGTTGGATCGCAACCAAGCACTGCTCCACTGAACGTTGTCATACAGCCCCAAGTAACGAGACTGTTCTACATCCAATAGAAAAAGGCTGATTAACCACAGGCAATATTCGCAATACTAGATCACTCTCTTCGTCGCAATGCAGATCAGGAGCGTGTCATAGGCACCTTGCTCGGTACCCGCAGCGAAGATGGTACGGAAGTCGAGATTCGCAACTGCTTTGCCGTGGGTCATACAGAGACGGCGGAGCAAGTCGAAGTCGACATGGATTACCAGAAACAGATGCTAGCCCTACATCTGAAATCAAATCCTAAAGAAATTCTTGTTGGTTGGTATGCGACCTCTGCTGAGCTCAATACTTTCTCCGCCTTGATCCAAAACTTCTACGGCGGTCAGGGCGAGGGAACGTGGCCACATCCGGCGGTTCACCTCACCATCAGTACAGAACCAGGCAAAGAGATTGAAGCTCGGACATACATATCTGCACCTGTTGGCGTGACAGCCGAGAGAGCTGCGGATAGTGCCGCATTTACACCGGTTCCGTATGACATACGGTATGGAGAAGCAGAAAAGAGTGGGTTGGAATTGATTTCGGGAGCGAAAGACAATGACGATAGGACCGCTGCCGTCCTTTCAGACATTGAGTCTTTGGAACGAGCCGTGGAAGAAGTTTTGTCGATGCTAGAGAGAGTATCTAAATATGTTGAAGCGGTAATTGAAGAAGAAACACCTCCAAGCAGTACTCTTGGCCAGTTTCTTCTGAACGCCTTAGCTTTAGCGCCAAAAGTGAATCCTGAGGATATTGAGCGGGATTTGTATGTCAAGCCTGTTGCAAGATCAGGACTGATGCTGACGGGCCCAGTAACAATCACATCCAAGACGTACTTGTCGCTTCATACCTCGCAAATACGATACGAACACAAATCGACCTTTCTAACAGACTAGCTACAGCCGCGCTGACTTTAGGTGCTGGGGATGGTCTTGGAGGACAGGGTGGATTAGCTGACGGGAACCAAAGAGGTGGCCAGCGAGCAGGGAGAGGAGGTCGTGGTGGAGGTGGTGGTGGTGGTGGAGGAGGCCGAGACCAATGAAATACCTGTCTCAGTTCATTCTAGCGTAACGTTAATTGTGTGAAAGCATGGCGTTTTAAGGCCGCAAGAAAAGCTCGTTGAGGGGTATGAACGTACATCATGAATTGAGGGCCTCATAAAAGCTCTGTTACGGTGGCGACGTCGAGGCAGCTTCAGGAATGTTGATGCCATTTGGACTGAATGAGTATTCCGCGAGCAGCCCGCTTGCAATTCCACCACCAGTCAACCAAGCCCCATTCTTGAACCACCACCAACAGCTGCTGACTTCCTTCAATCTCACTCGAAATATCATTAAGCCCAAGGTCGCCATACATGAGCCACAACTTCCGATGAAGAAGACAGGGCTTAGACCCAGCGCTACTCCTGCAGCTGCCAAAAGGCTGGCCTGTACAATGGCCAGACCGGACAGTACTGCCTTCGTATCCTTTTCGTGCCGTAAAGCAATACTTTTGATGCCAACCCTTGCGTCATCTTTAATGTCCATATGCGCATAGATCATGTCATATAACACTGTCCAACTTACACAGCTCGCATACAGTGCTGCTACCGCCCGTAGAGAGGCAGTATCAGCTATCAGGTCGATACCCAGAGCCGGGAACCCCATGATTGCACCCCAGGAGAATGTCAAGCCAAGCACTAATTGGGGATAATGTGTGACGCGTTTGGCTAAGGGATAAGTGATGACCAGCAGCAAGCTTGGTATACCATAGAAAAGGCATTGAGTCGGAAATTGGGCGAGAAGGGCCAAACCAGCAAGGCATTCCGTGCTTGCAAAGACCAAGGCGCTGAGTGGACTAACGGCACCACGAGCGATAGGTCTAAAACGAGTCCGAGCAACATGGGGATCAAGTCTTCGATCCCACAAGTCATTAATGGTACATCCTGCACCTCGCATGATGACTGCCCCGCAGAAGAAAAGGGTAGATGTCAACACAACCGACGACATGGGCGTTCCTGAATAGGATGCCGCCAAAAGGGTTGAGAACAAGCACGGGAAGAACAGATAGAAGGCTCCTGCTGGCTTGTCAAGACGCATCAGCTCCGCGAACGGGACCCATGATTCCGGAAGATAGGACAAAAGACCTGTCTGCGGAGGCTGATAAAAGAGAGAACCGGCTTTCGGTTCACTGGAGGTTGCGTATGATTGACGGAAATTTATCGCATGGAGGAAACATTTCGGATTTGAGCCACGATCAAGCGCGACTGTGACAGCATTGCGAATGCTGCATTGGCGATGGCCCTGACGAAGGTATGTGCTATTACTTAGGGATGCTGTAAGACTTCTTGACACGGGTGAACATCGCAATATAAGCTGAACCCTCCCCAAGAACATGCTCTCTCAAGCCAAAAGCAGGCCCATCCACTCAGACCTTGGATGTGAATGATAGCGTAACATTATTATGCGACTTGTGGCTAAGCATTTGAAGCATACGGAGTAGTAGAACTGATGTGAATGTTCCCATGGGAAAAGGGGTGGCACTACGATGCTTTGAGATTAGCCTCTAGAACTAGTTCTAAGCCTTAGCGCGTTTCCTCCACATTAGTGCCGACCCAGCTCCCGCTGCGTTGATTTTATCTGCGAAGGTCGACGACACAGGTTGCGCGGTCGAAGGTTCAGATGTCTCTCGCTCTTGTTTTCATCTCCATCACCATGTGAAGTATCAAAACGCCAGAGACTGTTTCGTACTCGGACAGTTTCCGTCCGCGAGGTCGCGTACTCTTGACCATCACCGCTACAATTTGATAGCTCATCCTGAACTCCCATGTGCTTTAAGCAGGGCTCTATCCTGCTGTGACACAAGTGTTAAGTTTTCGCTCTTGGTTCATCTCTATAGCCTTTTTTAAGGTGCAATACAAGCATTCGCCATGCCCTCGCAGCGCCCTTCTGCCGCATTTGAGCCTATACCTCCAGATCTCGATCTCGCAGCTCTTGTAGAAGAGACCGAGAACTTTGAGTATGTCACAAGAGTCTCATGTGATATGATTGAGTCCCAGAGTATGGAGGCGTTCGAAAAGCTGGTCCTACTACATGTGATAATGGGCGGGAAGCCACTCGTCGTTGAAGGTTTTCACCGTCGGCTTGACGAATGGACCTTTACAAGCCAATGGCTGAAGGATAACTGCGGCTCAAAATTTGAGAATGCTCGAAACATTACGAAGCAGCAATTCATGCCGCTCTCCATTGCCCATTACCTCAACAATCTGTCGAAGCTAACGAACCAATGGACTTCGTCGAACTATAGAGAGGCCGATAGACAACGCATCTACTTGAAAGACATCGATTGCCCCCCTTGTGGCACGAGAAACTTGAACAATACATTCCAGCAGCGCTGTTCTACATGAATCAAACTATTGGCGATATTGGGGGCCCTGGAGCGCCAGATGTCATACCAACTAATAATTCAGGCTATACAAAAGGACGGGGTTATGCAAGTGCAGGTGATCTGATGAGTAGCCTGTCTCCCGATATGCGGGCAGACAACTTGATGTGTTATATCGGGCACGAGGGCACATATACCCCTGCCCACCGAGAGATGTGCGCAAGTCTGGGCCAAAATCTCATGGTAGACACAACTGGTACCGTTGACGAAGAAGGAAAGCCGGCCAAGCCAGGATCTTCAGTATGGTTCATGACAGAAACAAGGGATCGCCATCTTGTATCAGAATACTGGCTGTCAACCTTGGGCCATGACATCGAAGTAGAAAAGCATTTTGCGCAGATCAATGCGTGGAAAGCAGCTCCATTCACCACTTACATTGTCGAGCAGAAAGTTGGCGACTTTATTCTGATACCACCACTTGCTGCGCACCAGGTATGGAATCGGGGCACTCGAACAATGAAAGTCGCTTGGAACCGGACAACAGTAGAGACCCTTGAGATGGCCTTAGGGGAAGCTCTACCACGCGCCAGGATGGTTTGTCGCGATGAGCAGTACAAGAACAAGGCTATTATCTATTTCACCTTGCAAAAATATTCCGATCTTATTGACAAAGTCGAGGCTTTGAAAGATGTAGAGACTGACCAGCAAGCTATCTTGAACCTGGATTATAATACAAGATTGAGACAGCTCGCTAAAGACTTCAAGAGACTTTTCTCCTTATACACGAAGATTTTGGTATCAGAGATACTCGCACCTGTGTCACCAAACGAAAAGAAAGGACAGTACCTGCCATACGATAGTTTCGTGACATGTGCCTATTGCCGCTGTAATATCTTCAACCGGTTTCTGACTTGTGAGACTTGCATTGAGCCACTCCAAAACGGCGATGAGAACACGTATGATGTCTGCATGGATTGTTTCGCCATGGGTCGAAGTTGTAAGTGCATTTCAGGCTTCAAGTGGGTCGAACAATTCCCCTGGCAAGAGCTCACCAGTCGTCATGAACAATGGCGACATCAAATTATTGCTTTGGATGGGGCGAACCAAAATTCCCCGCGGTCTCTCCAGAGGGAGAGGAAGGAACTCGGCAAGAAGACCTTAGCCCAAGTTTGTCAAGAACAGCTCAAGATTAGGCCCTGGAATGATCCTAAAAACCCCAAGCCGCCGCTAACAACCGCTGAGATGAACAGTATTGGCGTAGCAAAGAGCAGCAATACTGATGATGACGGCAAGGTCTCTCACAAAAACAAAAAGAGAAAATTACCACTTGATTTTGTCCATGAGCACGTCTCCTGCTACCCGAGGGAAGCCTGGCGATGCGCAACATGCGCAAAGTGTGAGCGATCCTATCAATATGGTAGTCTATGGCGCATGTTTGAACTCATGCCTCAGACGGTGATGGAAGAATATGAGTGGGAATGCCCCGCGTGTAGGAAGTTCTGTTCTTGTGGGTCTTGTAGAAGAAAAGAAGACAATACTCCTTACGAGCCTCATGGCACCATCCTTGGTCATGATACTAGAAAAGTCGCTGACCCAAGAAGCACAGAGAGCTTAGTGGATTTCAGCATGTCGAACCTGCACCATATCAAGAAGACAGGCGATGATGATCCTTTAGAGTCTCGGCGGTTAGGCCGCCGCATCGATGAAGCAGCAAGAGCGAAGGCTCATGATCTAGAGCTAAGCGACGCTGATGTAGACGAAGCAGAAACACCTCCGGTTCAAGAACAATTCTATCAAAACGGGATTCGCTATACAACAGAAGCAGAGATACCGATTGATCCAATGCTCAGCATTGGGCAGCCAACACTACCTACCACCACCGCTCCTGTGCCTACCAACGGCTCCATACGAAATGACTCAGATGGCGAACACAATCCCCAAAAATTGTTAGCCAAGAAAAATAGACAATCAAAGCCAAAGGTGGTACAAGATAAGTCACATCAAAGGCATACGGGAGCCAAATCTGTCCACGGTTCCGGAGTAGCCTTGAGGCCGCCTAGCAATGTCGCGCCAACCGCACAAATGACACTGCATCCAAGCAACCGGATGGACAATGCCTCCACCTACGAGTCCGACGAGCCTTTTGCTAAGGGACTAACATCAACATCCGCCAGCAGCCTTCCTGCCAATGTTCAAATGTTCCAAAATGGCCAACCTACACAAAATGGCCAATTGTCACAATATCAGCAAGCACAAGTTGACAAGTCATTACTAGAAGCGAAAAGCAATAACCGATTTATTATTGCTGAAGCTGCGCACTCGGGGAAACGGCTCCCAATAACTCTTCACGTTGGCAGACTAGGCATGGCCCTGATAGCAGATCGTCTTAGCAATGGTTCATCAGTAAACGTTGATAACCGTCAGCAAGCGGACAAAGAGCTTTTATTCTCTGATGTGCCCGCTGTTGATCGGCCTCAAAAGGCGGCCAGCACTATGAAAAAGAGGAAGACTCGTAATGAAGAATCAGATGAAGATTTCTCAACACGTAAACGAAGAAACCGCAAAAAGTACGTCGCTCAAAGTACTTCAAACGATCGTCACCACCAAGCAAAGGCTCGTCTAGATCAAAGCGACTATTCAAGTGAGTCTGAGACACCAGGTGGCACCTTCATAGCCGTGAATAAGCCGCCGGGGCCTCGAAGACTACCGAAGTATCTTGCTGAGCAACATGAGGATGGTGATCAACCTGCAGAACTTCCACCCGAAGTGCCGAGACGGCGCTCTTTACACGATAGTAAAGCTGGCTCCTCATTGCTTAAAGATGCGTTATCATCTAGAAAATCCACAAACAATGGAATTAATGCGCAACGAAAGATAGCTGACGAGAATCGCAAAGCAAAACAGAAAGCGGTGCAGTGGGCAGATGACGACGAAGAGGACGGCACCTCCAGCTCTGGCGACAATGGTCTGAAGCATGCTCCGGCAATTACATCCATTTCAGCCAAAGCCAAGAATACCTTGATGAAGATCCCGCAATCAATGTTTTCGCGAATGGCAGGGCGAAAGTTCAAAGTTGCAGGAGCCAAGCCTAAATAGAAATGGAAAAATCTTAACGGCAATGAGGAAACGACAATGTTTCTCTGCCTTTATGCTAGCATTGAAGGCGAAGTTCTGGGCGTTTCGGGAAGTCAAAGACATCTGTAGTCGAATCTATGATATAGTAGCTTTTGACTACCAGGATTCGTGCTGTATGCAAAGTGACGCTATCTGTGATGGGGAAGATGAGCGTAAACAGATTTATATTTGTATCTTTGGGAACGATATTGGCCCCAGCGGAATCTCTTCCGCTAAACGTCATTTCTACTTGCAAGCTGACCCTCACCTTTCCTGCCTTAAGATCCTATTCCAGACTCCGGGGTTCACACGATGGAAACGGATTGAAAAGACTGAAAGAACACCGATTGCTAGATCTCGAGTACCCACAAGGAATGAAGGCGCTCCGCCTCTTCCGAACGCGACCACCATTACCTTCGTTCTGCACCGACACAGCGCGGCAGGTTGGACCTTCGCGCTACGTCTCGCGCCTTGCCAGACCTTTTCACAGCTTCAGAGTGAGCCAAGCTCGCCGCTACCCTACTTTACGTAGTCTACCCCAGTGGTATTCCCAACCATTTAAGTCTCCAGCTCCTCGCCGGCCCTACTCCAATCATACAAATCCACACACGCAAGCAACCGCTCAACTCACTTTCTCTCAACGATTTCGAAAGCTTGGCCGTGAGTATGGCTGGTCCGCGACAGGCATCTATTTTCTCCTCTCTGCCCTAGACTTCCCCTTCTGCTTCGCTGCGGTGCGATGGCTTGGGCCAGAGCGAGTAGGGAACGCTGAGCGAGTAGTTGTTGATGGGGTTCGGGGATTCATTCCTGATAACGTCAAGACAGAATGGAATCAGCTGAAAGTAAAATTGAAAGAAGTAGCGGGACGTGGTATTGAAGATGGGAAGGTGGGAGGAAAGATTCAAGCAGAGCAGCATGGCCTAGTTGCGATTGCAGAAGTCGGGGATGGATATGATTACGATCATGGTGTACGGGAGGCGGAGAGGGAAAATCGAGGTGAACATGCAAGTGAGTAGGCGCACTGAATGGCCACAGCCCCTGTCGTTATCATCACCACCCTTGCTGCAGAGTGTCGGTGTGCACCTGAACTGACTGCTTTTGGGAGAGTAGGTCTATGGACACAACTTGCTCTTGCTTATGCTATTCACAAGAGCTTCATTTTCATCAGACTACCGATTACAGTAGCTGTAACCCCAAAAGTGGTGAAGGTGCTCAGAGGCTGGGGCTGGAACATAGGGAAGAGAAAACCGAAAGGCCTGTAGAAAGAGGTTGCCGAAGAGTATTTGGCCTTGTCAACTCCTCTTAAAGAAAAGGAATAGATGTATATATTGCCCATCTCCTAGATTATTCGAACTTTCCCACCGTTGCCAGGGCAGCAAACATGGACCTCAATTGGCGTTAACGACAGAGCACTTTTCTTGCCAGCTTTGCCCTCGTATTTAACAATTACTAGTCTGAGATGCATCTGATCAGAGGAGATCGTGCGGCTGTATTGAAAGTCAATTTCTTAAGGTTCCCTAGCTTCACCGGTGCCAGCAGGTTTTAGATCCTGTGTGGGCCTGGGTTTTCCCAACAACCCTCTCCGCACGCAGGAGCAAGGTAGTCCAGGGAAGGGCCCCCGTGTTTTGATAGGGCCGAATCCTTCAGAGACGGGATACTAATCATGCTATCACTCTTTCCGACCTGCTGCGCTAGTTCCTGCACGAGTCTTGAACCCAAATGTCCCGTCGCTATTGTAAGACATTGACTCCATGGTCGGCATAGCATATTCTGACGCGTCGCCCAACGAGCTTTGTCGGCGCAGGATCTCGACTGTGCCACAGGCCTTCATCTGTATCAACGAGATGGCGGTCTGCAGTAACGAGGGAATTGCCTGCTGCAACACAACGAGAGAGTGACGCCTCCGATTTGCTGAGAGATTGTGCTTGCCTCCTATGCCTCTCATGTGAGTCACCATCGGACCACCTGGCTATCAGCAGCAATTTTCGGTGAAGATTGCATGCGGGTCTATCCCGACTTCCCTCGGGACCCCCAACTCGGCTGCTGAGACCAAAGCAACCCGCATGTAGGAATGGAGCGGTAACGGCGGCATTGTGATCATGTAGGTAAGCGTCCGCATCATCTGCGGCATCAAATGAGAGATCTCGGGCTGAGATGACACAGCGTCGGTTCATGCAAGCGAATCTGCAAAACCATAAGCGAACCAAAATCCTTTCTATCCATGTGGATTTCTCTGCCCTTGTGCGGAGCAAGTTGCGTCAGATCAATCGTTTTGCATTCCGCGACTCTGGCTGTACACCGATCCTTTGCCAGTCCTCCTTTCATGCTACTATTTTCTTGTATTTTCGCTGAAGCTCAAGGTACAGAGTCTGCTTTTGTGAGTGCCGGTCAGGTCATTGCTTGGACTCTGACACGCGTCGGCCATTATCAGTTTGGATTGTGCCAGAATACATCATTTCCGGTCTTTTCCAAGCCTTCTGGAGATCTGTCTCAAAGTGAGACGTCGCGATGACCATTCGGTCAGACCTAGGAACATTCAGCTCAGCGACGCCTTTCTCCGAAAATCAAGCGACCCCTTCTGAAACCGAGAAGAGTGGACTTCAGAATGGGGTAGAATCTGTGTTCCATAAACAAGGGAATCGATCACTTCACCTGACAAAAGCATCGAAGAAATCAGACGTTTCAAACGACAGAAGCGATGGCTCATTAGTCAGATAAACTTGTGTAGCCTCGCGGCTGATACAAGAATAGTACCTGGCTTTACGATGTGCTCTGGAAAGGTATGCTATGTCAGACGATATCTACGCTTTATCTTAGACAATAGGCTGGATTAGCTATATTTACGCTATTCTCAGCTGGTCTGAAACCCTTAGCTAGTAAGGATGACCTCCAGGCTAAACGGGGTTGAATTTCCTCAGGGCTCAGAGTAATTGCTTGCGCGTGCACAGACCCACGGTCATTCTGTGGGTTAGCTATCACCAATCGCCGGAGAATACTGCAGCTTTGAGAGTCTAATAAAGAAGCCTTTGTCGGGTGCTCTCCGTGCGGGATGAATATCTGGGTAGGGCTCTCGAGTGCTCGTATCCGGCTTTGTCTCTTACTACCAGCAGAGGTGGAAGCGGCACAAAATTGTGCGAAACGATCCCATGGGAACGTGGATAGACTGGTCATTAGTCCCCTTTCCATGAGCCAGCCTCCTTCGCTTGCTAGGATTCTTGCTTGCATAAGACGTCGTTTGATGCAAATGACAATGCGTTGGTCCAATCACCACTCCAAGCTACTATAGCCCGGGGAGTGAAAACATCCGTCATTGCATTGCCGATGGCGTTCTGAGTTTAAGACTGGTCGCCGCAAAAAGCGCTGAGTGCTGATCAGGGTCACTATCAGTTGCTTGAAAAAAGTGGCTTCGTTCAGGAGAAGCTCAAATAACCCGATGGAGTAAAGAGCTCTCTGATGATCGGCGTCAAACTCTGGAACCATGTGTGTGATGCTAAATGCTACGTTCTACTTGAATGGTCGTCACCATGCGTTCTGCAACCCACTGCCAAACAGGGAGATTTTGTGGCCGCAGATGATGCGGGCAACCCCAATCCCTTCCCGATCGCACCAATTACCTAGATTGTCCATGAGCTTTAGAGACGTGCCAGCCCATCGACGTTGTCTCATCAAGTTGACCCAAATTCTACTAACGCCGCTAAGGCCCTTACTAGATACGAATCTAGCGTCGAAGCAAGGAAGCAGCTTGACCACCAGCCCTGACCCGATTTGACTCGCACGGTACGTACCTTGCTCCTTTGACGGCTGTCATGCAGCACTAATCAGTTGGTACCATGTGTCTTCTTTCCACAGAGTTCAGCCGGGCTCGGAGAGAAGTTCAGAGACGGTCGAAAGCTTATTGTCTTTATGCTGTCTAACTCAAGGGCTCTCACTTGTGTCCCGGGGCTGCGAATCGAAGTGAAGGGCTTCCTGGCTAGCAATTACGACAGACGACGTTGGCGCTGAGCGTCCAGGCAAACATATTCATAAGCACCCAGGAGCCCTAGGAATCTGCAGGCGCGCCAAGACCAACATGGACACGCTTGCATGAGTCTCTCTTTCTGAAACTCGAAAACCGTTAAGGCAGCATTTGCAAGACTGAGGAGAAGAATATTTGGGTGGCGTCAATCATCACAATTGAACGCTGCCATTCTGGAGCTACTACATCCTGCGGAAGCGGTGGCATTGGGTGAGAGTTCTGGCTTAGTAGATCTTGCCCCAAGTTCTCTGCTACCCACTCTCGATAAGACCTTGTTGTGGGATGTCCTCAGACTAGAGTTCGAAGGAATGCGAAATGCATGACGAAGATCTGCTTTGGCTCCTGACGAGAGTGGAAAAAACCGTTTAAAGTTTGGTTCAAGGATCCATTGCTACGCCGCTCCAGCACTTCCCATCTTATTAATGGGACGTACTGTCTTTTTTCACCGTGAAGAAAAGACACTGTGGCGAACGGATGCTGGGCGCAAGAAGACGGCCGATAGCTAACCCGATGCCGGAAGCCGTTTTCCGGATCCTTCAGGCTCTCTTTGTTCTGTAGGGAAAGTATGGCCTCTCGCAAAGCAAGCAACCCGCCTAGCAGATTGTCTCAACTTGAGTCGCTTAACGACGTCAGGCTGAAGGTGTTCCTTCACTGCCCACACCGATTTTTCGACAAAAGCCTCACACCACCATAGCACTTCACCAGCTCTCCCCCAGCAGAGGGGACAACATCTGCTCTTGCGGCTCACCGTCGATCTTACTGCCCGAATGACTCTCGCTACCAAGCGAGTAGCGTATTTGCGTTGTTCACGGTTCAAAAATAAGCTTTGAAGGTGAATGGTCGGGCTTTTGCTAGTTGCTAATCATCATGCTTTATCATTTCAAGACTTTGCCTGGAGGATTTGAATTTTGCCTGAAAAACTAAAATTCACTCATAAGAAGACATCGCTTTCATGATCCCTTTCTCCATCTTTTCTTCCCCGACTGTTCAACTCCTATTATTTCCCATTACAAGGCTTCTTGATTCCGCTTCTTACCTCCTCAGTGCAAAGCTTGGCTTCTACCATGGCTCCATTGACTGTCTCAAAGGCCTTGGATCAAGCTAGAGATAATAATGAAACCTCACCTGCCGCCACTCACCTTCTCGAGAAAACGGACGAGGAGGTCTGGACCAAAATTCAGCAACATCCAACCACATATGTCATGAACAGAGAGGAATATGCTGTACTGAACTTCTTCAATGAGCGCCACAAGAATCATCCTCATTTCAAACCAGCCGTGGCTCGATTCTGGGCGAACTACAAAGGCGATCCGGCACAAGTCGACGGGACTAGCTCTTCAAGTGGGGCATCTAAGAAGTAAAGACGACCCTCCGCAACCGAAGCAGTATCTTGGAGCCAGAAATGGTCGACATCTCACTCGTCACAATCGTTCCATTCTCGACCCGACACACATCATCCTTTGTTTGGTTGACCCTTCAACCTCTGCACCTATCGCTACGACTCTGCCTCTCGACCGAGTCTACAGTACAATCACATTCAACATCTGATCAACTGATTACCCCCCACCTATCAGGCAGGACCATGGCTGACAGAAAGTGGCATGACATGATTTACTCCTGAAGGCTGGCCATACTGGTCTCGGCGTGAGACTTTAGGAAGATGAGTATTGGCCGGCCGCAATCTTACGATCTATGACCTTGCTCTCTGAAACCACGAGAAGCCGAGACACACATATGTAAAAGACGGCAATCTACTTGAACCAATCTTAAAACCTTCCATATTCTTTCTCACACTTAACGCTGAGCTACTGCAATCCTTACCGGCAGCGATCTTTAAGACCTTGTGTCGACTCCTTGCTCTTTAGTCTAATAAATTGTAAGAATGTCACAAATATGCCTGCGGACCCGCTTGTTCATCGTTTGAGACACGGAAGGTAGTTCCTTTTCAAAACACTCGCAAGGACCAGTTGCGTTAGTACACACCCTATCGCACCGTCTCCCAACGAGCCCGCTATTGAGTTTGTACTTCACAATATCTGACCTAATGCTAGCGCTGTGTCGGGTACTAGAGCTACTCACATGACGAATCGAGGTGCACGCTTCATGTGGACAGAGGGCATGCGGATTTGCTACAGATCAGCTTCGTGCAGCATGAGCGATCAGAAAGGTGCGTATGCGCACCTGTATTTGATGTATTCACGGCTTATGAAGTATGACGCATCCGTTGACTCTGACTATGAATAGGACCATTCTCGTCAGTCTCACAAGGGTGCCACTCATGATGTATTTAGAACCAAAGCGCAACAATGCAAGCCACCGTTGTACGCATATCACTATCCCTGATTTCATAATCATTATGACGTTTCTGGCAGACGAGGGACTAGCATAGAACGCTGCAAAAGACCAAATTAATGAGCCTTCCAATACACCCCCACCCCTATGAATCGGTCACGTTGGTGACGCGAACTCACAATGAGCAGTGTAGCAAGTCTTCGAATTCGCACTGCTCGCTAGGAGTGCGCTGAACAAGTCATCCCCATGGATGGCTTGCCATCTACACAACGATAACAGACTACAGTGGTTGATCATAACCGCGTCACTGTCTGGTCACCGATTGGCCTGACCATTCCTAGCTGGTTTCACTGATCTGAGTCTCCACAGTCTTTGGGCGAGGCGTGTCTGCTGAGATCAATTGCCACGTTTTTCCCAACGACCTCAATGTGATCTTGATGTTGGTTAGCTCTTAAGGGAACACTTAGGATTAGTGCTCTGTGTTGTTTTCTCTGCAGAGCACCGCAGCAGACCTAAGGCAACTGTGGCAGATCAATGGCACACTCATAGCTCCTACGACTGCGGCCCGTAACGCAATCAGTGAAAAACTCTTATCAACCTGCAACCTTGAGGCAAATATACCCATAGCACCTCTGGGGTTGGATCAACGAACTACAAACGGAGGTAGCCAGCCTACGCGTGCCCAGTCCGCACGAAGCAGGATGAGAGATCGCAGACATATGAACAACTCCATGAATGAGGTTGCATGAAGCTAAGCTTGCAGCGCTTCGGGGATCGGATCGTTATCTAAGCATCCGGATGGAGCGGTGGCTAAATTGCGAGCTTCCTTCGTTTCCCCCTTTTCGGAAAAGTGTGCCTTAGGCCGCGGATGTGCCTCAGCGATAGCGATCAATGATCGCATGTGGTGCCTTTTATCGGCCGCGAAGACGGGCCACAAAGGCTCTCAGCTCGGGAAATTCTTCAATTGGCGCAAAAAGCTGTTGACTGGCCCCAACGGCGCAGTGCTGCGGCAAGATCGGCAGGAAAAGAGGTTGGTCCAGCTCGAGAATCAGGTACGGCTGCCAACGCGACCAACACCATCGCGAAACGAGCAATACATATTTCCCAACACCAAGCAAGCATTATCTATTTGCTAGTGACGGGGATATATCGAATTGAGGATGTACATCATGGGGCTTTATATCCAACCTCTGCCAGTCCGTCTCTCAAGGCCTGTAGAGCCTTGTCAATATCGCCCCTTTTCAAATCTGTCACACTCACACCCATATGCCCAAACCTTATGTACTTTGCAGCGATCTCTTTGTGCAAACCGCCCGCGAAAATGACCCCTCTTTTCAGAATATTGGGCAGAACTTCTGGTGCCTTCAAATCATTGGGAAGATACATAGCTGTCATGCCGCTGGCCTGGTTTTCCGGCTTTTCTGCCAATTGCTTCAACCCCACATCTGTGACCGCCTTCTTTATTCGCTGTGAAGCTTCCCGGTGGGCAGCGAATCGTTCTGCGAGCGGGCGAGAGAGGATTTGGGTGAGTGAGGTGTGCAAGGCGGTAATCAGCTGCGTAGGTGGAGTGGCAAAGTAGGATGGTTTCTTGGCTTCGTAGTTCTGCATTACTGTCAATCGGTGAGTTAGCATGTTGTAACGAAAGATCGGCTGATGGGGAAGGGAGGCAATCGCATACTTGGCAGCCAATTCTTTATACTGGCAAAATAGCTCGCCGGCGGCGTTTTTCTATTCTTGAATACGTCCATCGCTCGCCCAGAGCACATCACAATAGACAGCCCCGGTGGACACCCCAGGCCTTTCTGACTTGCTGTCAAGACCACATCGAGACCCCACTCATCGAAGCGAATTTCTTCGCTCCCCACGGCACATACAGCATCCACAACCACAAGCGTGTCAGGGCTAACCCTATGCACCAACTCGCTCAACCCCTTGATCTCACTCAACACTCCCGTGCTCGTATCCACATGCGTCACGGTAATCATCTTCCATCTCTTCTCCTTCAACTTCGCTTCTACCTCCTCTAGACCTGGACGATCCCCGATTGGCGCCTTCAGTTGCTCCGCTCTCACTCCGTACGTTTCGAAACAATCGGCAAACGAGTCCGCGAAATAGCCTGTATGCAACACCAGCACATCATCCCCTCTCTCTACCAGATTTGCAGCGACGAGATCCCAGCCCAGCGTGCCAGATCCGGAGATGATGAAGGGCTGAGAGCTGGGATGGGAGGTCTGCAGCATTTTCCGCAGCATGCTGAGGGTTTCGCCGAAGATGTTGACGAAGGGCGGGCCGACATGAGATTGGGCGTAGTGAGACATGGAATTAAGGACGGTATCATCTAGCTCAATTGGTCCTGGGATGAGCAGGAAGGGATGGTCTGGTTGGGAAGACATCTTAGAGGTTGTGGGAGGGGTGTCTGGGGGTGCAATCCGTGAGGGTGGATTGAAGGGAATGTCCGAGTCTTCGGCTGCTTGTCTTTCGGTAGAAAATGGGGTATTGAGGGGGAGTAAAGGGCGGTCGTCGAGGTGTCGAGAGATGAGGGAGAGGCGGGAACGTGCGGTTGGGCGAGAAGGAGCCAGGGTTGTGGTGAGGAGGGGTCCCCGCGTGAATTGGGCGGAGAAGCGGAGGGCCAGGATGACGTGTCTTGAGTATGCGGTGCCCTTGCGGAACTATCACAAGATTGTATGTGGTGTTTCCGTAGAGGTCAGTCAATTGAGCCAGCTCTCTCACTGTGTGCGCTCAATTGACTCGAAGACGAGGAATGGACATCTCCGAGACCTCATGCAGGGATCTTTGCTCCCGCGTCTGACTTTCAGCGAGCTTCAATTCTTACAACAGTAGTCTCATAACTACACACACAGCTTCACACCTACTGAAGACCTTCAATATCGAAGCAACGATCATTGGAAACTCTGGTACCGGTGGTCATGCGGCGGTGACAGCATCGTCGGTCTAGGAGGCAGCGAACCTTGAAACCACCGCCCAATGAGTCGCACACATCACCATGGCCTCCAGACTTGTCCTCGTCCTCGGTGACCTCTTCATACCCGATCGAGCACCCGTACGTTGCATAGTCCCCAATCCGACTGTAGGAAGCTAAGTCATATCTCTAGGACATACCCGCAAAAGTAGCATCTATCTTCCTGCTCACCAATCCTTCTCCCTTCTAATGCAAAAGCCTTCATAGTTCAAGAAACTCCTCGCCCCGAACAAAATCTCCCAAATCCTCTGCCTGGGCAATCTCACCGACAAAGAAACCTATGACTACCTCCGCACCATCGCCTCCGACGTCCAGATCGTCAAAGGCGACTTCGACACTGAAGCCCCGAACCTCGCCCTCTCTAAAGTCGTCACCCACGGCTCCCTGCGAATAGGCTTCACACATGGCCACACGATCATCCCTCCGGGAGACGCAGACAGTTTGCTGATCGCGGCAAGGCACATGGATGTTGATGTCTTGCTCTGGGGAGGGACCCATCGGTTTGAGGCCTATGAATTGGAAGGGAAGTTTTTTGTGAATCCGGGGAGCGCAACGGGGGCAATCGGTACGGGGTGGACCGGCCAGGAAGAGGATGGATTGAGTAACGTGCCGAGCTTTTGTTTGGTGGATGTGAGTCTGCCTTTGCTCCCCCTTTTCTTTCGCTTGTTTCGGATCGGGGGCACAATAGGGACTTATGAGTAGACGCTGACTCGAGTCTGGTCTAGGTGCAGGGAGACGTTCTAGTGCTTTATGTTTACCAGCTCAAGACAGATGAGAAGGGCGTGGAGAATGTGGGAGTGGAAAAGGTATCGTTTAGGAAAAATGGTGGATTGGCCGCATAACATCGGAGCAAACACTACGATGGAGATATCGTAGGCTCTACTAAATTTCCAAGTTCCGATGAATAACTCTAAAGTGTACATGCTCATCGACATTGCGTAGTCAAGATATTCGTTCTTCACACGTGGACAGTTGTTGCAACAATCTCTACTACTCATTGTTTGTAATCTGAAGATTGCCCTTAGCATTGTTGTACACAGTGAATTTGCCTTCGCTATAACATGCCCGCTACAACGGCAACGGAGAGGCTGAGTGACGAAGATGGGAGCCACTGAAATTTGAAGGTCGCCAACCATAAAAGTGCACGGCCACTTGTCGAGCACGACATTCCGTGACCTCTGGGAAGAAATAGAAAGGGTGCTAGATTGGGAGCACAGCTGTTGAGATGAATAAATATAGCCGAAGATAGATCTCAGATACAAGGTATTGGAATGCTTGTCACGGATTCAGAGCACACTAACCAGAAGAGACGTGCTGCAGCACCTGAGCCGACCTGGCGTTTATCTTGCCAGAGCACCGAAACACCATCGCTGGAATCAACTGAAAATACGGTGACATACTCCGACTAACGGCATGAGGGAAGATGAAAGCCGCCGGCAAGAAACTCATTACAAATTCAAGAGGCGAAGATAGTAGGTAGCCAGGATGTGCGTTTTGAAGGGGATGGGGGTGGATCTATATCTTGAGATCAGCGTATATGAACCACCAATCTCGAACAGTAGAAAATTCACTTACCTTGTTTGTGGCCCTCATTCTCTTTTCTGCTGCTAGCTTCTATTGCTTGAACATCTGGTTTCTCTTCGCTCTCTGCTGCTGGAAATGGACTGAGCTGAGGATCTAAAGATTCAGCTTCCGGCTCCGCTGCGTCTAACGGCGCTTGGGAGTCCTCCCGTTGACTGGCCTTAGCAGCCACTCTTTCTTGTTGTTTCTCCCAAGCTTCGCGCATATTTTTCTCATCCCTCGCCCTTCTTAGTCGCTCTGTCTCCTCAACGCCCCCGCTTTTCTTCAGCTTCCCTTCCTCTACAAAAGTTGCAACCTCTTTAGCAAATTCGCCCTCTTTCCGAACAGCCAGCTCTCGTTTCCGAGCTTTATCGGCTCGTTCGATGGCCTCCAACCGTGTTTCGTGATTAGGTCTAAGGGCTCGCACCTCACCCAAGACCCCGTCTTTCGCCTTCATAGGATCGACGTCCTCATCCGGGCCGTTCGCGATTGCCGCAAGACCCTTCGAAGTGCTGCGTAGGGTGACTCCAGACCCTTGAGAGGCCTGAATGTTCTGTTGCTTGGTGGCTTGCTCGACCAAAGCAAAAGTTTCCGTCGCTTTAGCCAAGTCGTCTTCAAGGTCAGTAGCCAAATCCTCTTGCATGGTAAGGTAATCACGGTCTTGGCAGACTACTTCGAGTTCTTTCTCCCAAATCTTCGTCCATATTGGTTTCTCTCTCCGCAAAAATTCTTGCAGTTTCTTGACCTCAGAGGAGGCTTTGCTAATGCTTTTGCTGACGTCCTCAAGTTGGCGAGGTCGTGGCCGTACACCTCGGATGACGACATCTTTACGCAAGTCTTCAACGACGTCCTGTAGATCATCGACCTCATTCAAGATCTTTTCCGATTCATCGCCCAAATCCTTCTTCCCAGTGTTCACATATGATCGACCAGTGGCAGAATCCAGATCAGGGACTACTCCTTCGATTGCCATGGTCTTGACGGAGGCGGCCCTTTCCTTTACGTCGTTCATTGACGAGTTCATGTCCGAGACCAGCGATGTGAACGTTTGACGGACAAGTGCCAGGTCTTGGCGCAGAGATCTGACATTGGCAGCTTGATTGGCAGATGGCTTACTATTGGAAACGAAATTCGGTAAAACGGGTGATGCCTCCGGCTTCAGAGAGAGACGGGCAACCTCCCGAGAGGTGTCTTGTTGGCGATCTGACACTCGTTGTAATGATATATGTTGGGTCTCTACGATGCTTCGAACACCTTCGACCAATCTTCGGATGCCTCCAAATCCTTCATCAATGTGTTTTTTGACCTCGTCAAGAGCTTCAACATTTAACACCAGGACGGATCGATCTTTGACGTCTTGCAGGTCTTCTAGCTCATGGCGTACGCCGGACACTGGGTCCTGAACGTAAATTTCTGGAAGATCATTTCCATTACTGTGGGTATTCCATGCGAACTTCTCAATGAAAGCTAGCTGTAGCCGAGCGATTGATAAATCGGTAGAACCTCCCGGCAGAACAAATTTCTTGATTCTAGTTTTGTACTGCAAAAACAGGGTGAGATCTTTATCTGGCTGAGGGGACTGCTCAGGTACGAATTGCTGTGTTAGTTGATCGCCTTCCAGGGCAGACGTCTTCGAAGCTATACTGATTGTGCCCATCCCCGATTTACTAGGCTCGGATGGTTCGTAGTCGGAAGCTTCGTATATTGGGAGTGTCTCAAGAGGGCTTGTAAGAGTAGCTCTCACCTGCGGGCGGTCACCAAGAGCACTAGCATGGGCATTCTTACGTGGGCCATCAATGGCCTTCCTGCCTTCTTCTGACGCAAGCTCAGGCAACTCGTCTCGAGACCCTCCGCTCTGCGAGCTTTCTTCAGAGATTCGATTAGAAAGGATGGTGGTCCTAGACGGCGAAGATTCACCCGTGCGAGGGGAAGGTTTGGCCGGTCCATATATTCCAGACCCTCTGGTCCTTACTGCATTCATAGAATCGCGCAGGTCACGACCTCGATTTGGGACAGGTGTAGTCTGTGTGGGTGGCAGCATAGGGATGCCATTTGTCGAAGCTCCCAAATGTTTCGAAATTTGGTAAGCAGAGTATCGCCTAGAAGCGCGCCTCTCCAAGTCACCACCTCTTTGTAGCGCAGCCAAGGCATCTTGCTGCTTCGGAGGGGGAGGCGGGGGAGGCTGAAAGAATGGTGTTTGATCTCTTTGAGAGGTTTGTCTCGCTGTAGACTGGGACCACTGGCTAGCATCCTCTGAAGCAGAGGAAAGGATTGAAGCTGATTGCGAAGCATCACTGGATATCGAGGAGTCTGACACAGAGTTGGAAAATGGTCTTTGACTATCCCTATTGGAGCGCGTTGGGGTTTCTATCGACGCAGCACCGGAGCTTTGACGCACAGGTGCTGTTGAGTATCTTGATAGAATCTCCGGGCCACTTGTGTATTCGCCATTTGTGGAATCGCCCGTAACGTTCCCACCACTTCCCGTCTTTTTTTCAGAGCCTCGTCCGCCAGACTTTCTGGAAGACGTATCATCTAGGATCTGATTGAAACCAGATCCGAAGCTGGAAGCACTAGCAGAGCCTGGCAAGCTTGTCCCATTGGATTGGCCGTCTTTTGCCTGTTTAGCTCGCAGCCTTTGTTGCTTGCGTTTGAGACCGTGCAACAGATTGATAATGATGTCTCTAATGCGCGGTAGAAATCGATCGAGGCTGGCGGGGCTAGCTTCTTGGCTGAGTGTTTCCTCGAGTATTGATCGCAGCATTTCAGGGACGGGTCCGAGATCGGTACAGTCCACCCCAATCCCATTGAACGCCCTGACTGCAATATTGAATTCATATCCAAGGCGGACGTAGACATCGGAAACCTCGCCTTCCGTAGCATTATGCCGTGACCATTGCGTGAGAGTCTCGAGCAATTGCTTGGTTGCAACAAGTAGATGCGTCACACTTTTCTCAATCTGGGAAAGCTGTTGCCCTGGCTAGAAAGGGGAACGGGTGTTAGCTAGAACAACAGAATACGGCTTCCGCAGCAACACACATTCTGGGTTTTGTAATTTGATGATTTGGAAGACCCTGAGGACGATCTAGCTCCAGCACCTGAGCGAGAGGAGGTATTTACGGTAGACTGAGGGGGGTTTGGAGGCTCTATTGTTGATCGCTTGGAATTGCGAGAACCCGCCGCAGCTTGCATAGTATTCATAGCGAGCCAGTAGGTCCAGGTCTAAGCACAGATACTCTCATCAGCCGCTCCGGCATCATAAGTACAAGGTGCGACTTCTGTTCAAAGATATCAAAACCTCTTGGTCGTATTGGTGCAGGGCATGGGGAAGTATACCGGATCAGGCTAGCTTGGGCGGCAAAAACTTTGCCCATCTCCGATCGCGTGGGAATGGCACCAGGCGAGCTGACCGCAGAATGGCAAAAATGTTTCTGCAAAAGATCTCGCATTTCGATGCACAGCTAGCCCGTGACTTCAGTGTCAACGCAAGGACATTGTTGGGATAGATGGGGCAGGTTTGCGAGGAGCGTGTGCCAGTGAGGACTTTCAGTATCTCAGTCGCCTTTTAGCTGGTGGCTTGTCGCTCCGTTTTAAGGGAAGAAGGCGGGAGATCTAACCCCTACTAGTCGTTTCGAAGCTTTTCGGGGAAAGGCCGACCCTCCAAAGCCTCCCTTCAATTGACCTTGTGTTCGCTCATCTTCCAGACTCTTTCGAGGAGACGAGCCTAGACGCATTGAGGAGGCCCGTGGGGGCTCTTCTGGAAGCTTGTGGTCTCGGTCGCCTGCAGAATCACAACGGCTAGTCCCCGGTGGCAGGTTCATGATCCGAAATCAACATGACTGCGGTCGTAAACGGCAATCCCCTCACGGATACCAATCCTAGCGGTACGACTTCGAATGCTGCAAAGACTCAGCCAAAGACCATGGTATCCACTGGCAAGGCTGACGGCTCTCGTAAACAAGGCAGTGTCATGAATGATGCGACACAGAAGTACGATCTTCCCTCTCGTCCCCACCCATTGCCACTCTCTTCTATAGCAGACCACTGAATTACGCACCGTCCTTTATATTGAGCTCATTTCGTGGCTGTGTACGCACACAATCACGCTCGCAATCCGTTCTAATGGCGTGAATCGTATCGCAATATCCTCAAGCTAATTTCGTGCAATGTTTAGACGAGCTCCAGCACAAAAAGCCTGGCAGTCTGGGATGAACCCCATTACTCAAAGGTCCAATACCCCTACGCAGCAGAATGGTGCTGTCGTACAGAACAAGTCAGGTTACAGGCTGGATGAATCAGAGGGTGGAAGTGCAGAAAAGATCTCTCATGATCGGCTATTGCACCTCTTTGCCAACGCAATTGTGAATCAAGAACGACTTTTAATCAGTTTTCAGTCCGCTAACGGCCCTTGGCAGGGTAACAATGCAACTCTCACCACGAAGAATGGCGACATCTATACAGGCATATTCTTTGGAGCTTCCCTCAGCCAAGACGAACCCGAATATCTCCTCAAGATGGTACAGCACCAAAGACGCGGGGATCGAGGCGAGGTCAACGGTGTCCGAGAAAACTCTCGTGAATACATTGGTGTCGGGGAGGACCACGCAATGTCTTTCAAGTTGAGAGATGTTGTGGACTTCTCTCCTGAAGCTGTACCTATGGCTACACAAGAAAAACGTGCTCATGGTTTGGATGCATTCATTCTTTGCATCGGCGTGTACTGAAATATTCTTAGCAAGCTCGGCTCAAGCGTTCCGGACGGATGCGGATATTTCAAACCGAAAAGGTGGACAGGAGCGAGAACTTCAACCTTGGGTTGCACCTGGGGTAGAGACCCACGATCAAGCTCTCGAGGCATCCGAACCAACAGGTACCTGGGATCAATTTCAAGCCAACGAAAACCTGTTTGGAGTAAAGAGCGACTACGACGAAAATATCTATACCACCCGAATTGACAAATCACATCCCAATTACCGTCAGCGCGAAGCCGAAGCTCGACGCCTTGCTCAAAGGATGGGCGAAAACTTCACGGGAAAAGTGAATGAGAGTGAGGGATGGGACGAAGAGGACAAGTAAGTCAATATCGAAGGACGAAATGTCCCGCATACTCATATAGAACTAGATACAGTGGTGTGAAACGAGGACCCAATGCTTACCCCCCACTACAATCGAATCAACCAAACAAATATCAACCGCCTGCACGACGACCTCCAGCCGGTAAGCCGACAGTGGCTGGAGCTCCGGTCGATCCAGCAATCATTGCTTCTCAACTTTCCAAGCAAGAAACGACGTCGCAGCTGGAGCAGATTACTCCATCTGAAGTGGCAGAGAACAACCTTTCAGCAAAGACAATCACAGAGAACTCCCTTTTGAAGGAGGACCAGGCACCTCCGAAGAATAATTCATCGAACAATAAGTCTGCAGCATCAAATGAGCCAAAAGCGACGCAATCCACCAAGTTAGCAGCACCCAACGCTGCAGCTAATGTCGAAGTCGACGTAAGGAATGCGTTTAAGCAGTTTTCACAGACCCAGAAGACGCGTGTAGCTGACGACAAGCGACAACGTACGCTACAAGATAAAAATTTTAAGCTCGAGGATCTCCGAGGTTTTTCCCAGCGTTTCAAGTTGAATACACCAGTGCCTCAGGATCTAGTGCCAATCCTCGCGAAAGACCCAAAGAAACAGGAAGAGATTAAGGAGAAAGCACAGCGAAACGCAATGGAGCAAGCAAATGCTCCGAAACTCACAAGCAAGGCTAAAGATCAAGGTTCGGTCAAGGCTGTAAATGATTCAACCCGCGAAGCTTCCAAGGCTGGGCGGACCGGCAATGAACGCCCTGATCAAGCTCGCCAGGCTGCACCACCTCGTGGACCTCAAGGCAACTTGCCTCTACGCGAAAGGCAGCCTCCGCAAGCTTACTCAATTCCAACGTTGCCTCCCAATGAGCAAGGCCTCACTCACCGGCTGGCTAAGACTCAACGTGACAGGCAGGCCGGAGTCGCCTCCAATGTGCCAGCGCCATTGCCAATCCTTACTCAGAAAACACCCGCCAGGCCTGGCACTACTGCCTCCAGAGTGAATAGTTCCCAAGGTTCCGTGAGCATGCGGACGCCCACTTCTGCAACTTCTGGAAAATTCAATGTCAAAGCTCATGAATTCATACCTAATCCCGCGGCCAACGCCTTTACGATGCCAACAAGTCAGCCCAGTGACGCTGCCAGTCCTCGTGCACAGGGCAAAGGTAGATTGGCCGTGCAAGCATCCAGCCCAACAGAGTTTTTTGGAAATAGGAAGCCCCTTCCAATAGAGGATAGACTGTCAATCACAGATAATTTCAATCCATTGAAGCGTCTGAGGGAAAAGGCTGAGAAGGACGGCAAGTCGAAAGACTACGCAACCAATGGCGGGATCGCATTTGCACATGCAACGCCGGTAACTTGGTCCTCTGTGAAGGACGGAGAAGAAGGAAAGTCTTACAGAGACATGTTTGAAGGATCTTTGGTTACTACTGGCCCATCACCCCGTCCTCTGACTACATCTCCTATCAACTCGAATGTTGCACATCAAAACCAGATGCCAAATCACTTGCAGCCAAATCACCAGACATCATCTAACATGCATACACCTCCACAGCAGATGTATCAGGGTCCTCCGCAACAGCACCTATATCCAGGAATGCCTCACCAATTTGAGGACCAGCGCATGCACGCCTCACCGTCCATATCTTCATATTCAACTCCTCGAGCTCAGAATGCGTATGGTACCTATCCTATGCCAATGGGGCAGCCCATGCAAGGGCCAATGCACGGTGCCATCCAATATCCTCCCACCATGGGTCCTGGGCATCCTCAGATGTTTCCTCCCGGAGGACCTCAGCCTGCTCACTTCCGTCAGTATACGCAAAGCCCACATTACTTGCCTGGCGCTGGCCAGACTTTAGCTGCACCAGCAATGGTGCAACAAGGATCCCAAGGACCTTATCTCGCGCAAGGTACGCCAGCCGCTCATGTGCCAGTCTACGCGACCGGAATTCCACAATACGGACCATCTCAGCCAAATAGTGGATACCCAAGCCCCAATAGAGGGGCTCCAATGATGATGCATCAAGGCTCGTTTCAGGGTCAGAATACACAGATGCATGCAAGTGCAGGCCAGTATGCGCAGCCTTTCTATTCATCTCAGCCACCACCTACCAGTACGTATTTCATGTGTTGCTGTCTACAAGGTACTGACAAGCCAGTAGTGGGCCAAATGCGGGGCTATCCTTCACCTCAACCTCAATATAGTCAAAGTCCTCAGCAACAGTACCATTATCCAACACAGGCCCACCGGGTACCAAGCCACGGTTATGGACACCATTCTCAAGGTCCTGCACAAATGCCGATGCAACAAGCACCGCCGCATAATGCACCAGCGGAAAGTGGAGAAGGCATGAAATGAGAAGACGTCTGAGCTGAACGAGTTCTGGCATCCATTTGCCTAGGCCCGCAAATGCCCCATCAATGCACTTCCTCTGCGCTATGAAGCCGGCTGTCACGATGATATAGGGCTAGCATAGGATTGTTCTGCAATATTGTATTCCACCGGCATCCGATACCTGCAGCACCAGCAAAAGGCGTCGGCGGTTGAATGCCAGCCAGAGGGGCATGGCAGCTATTGGCGGGTCTGAATCTTGGTTCGACGGCGGTATCGATTGCGGACGAGCTTTCTCAGGGTGGGAAGATTGTTTGCGAACAGTCTATCATGGTAGGTGGCAAGAGGGAAAAAGCGAGTGGAGTAAGCCCAACGACGAGTAGCTGCATCTGTTGCTAGCTGTGGAAGATGGTGTAGCATACTGCGGAAGGAAGTAGGCAGCGTAGATATCTTGCTTGCTCCAGAGGCTTGCCAGTCTACAAGAATAGCATTGCCATACCTGACAGCAACCGTTGCCCTCCACACCCTCACTTTACATACCCCTGAAGGAAGGCGATGAATAAGCGGTATCGTCAGCAGACGGCCAGGCTCCTTGAGGTTAGATGCCCGAGTCAAGCGGCTCCACGGCTCGTCCTCAGGTAGGGCAATGACGGGCTCCTTGCCAAAAAGCTTACATCAGCTCTTAACTCTGTAGATCTTGTTGGGTCTCTCTAATAAGGGCCCTTCACGTCAACTTTGCGACGTAATGGTCCTGATCATTAATCATTGCGACTTCGGTTCACGCGTCCTAAGGTCTGGTGGGTGAAACGTACCGAGGCGTCAACAGTCGGGCCGTCGCCATCTTGTAGAGTGGGGAGGTGGAGCTCAACGACCCAATTGTCTTTCCTTTGCTTCGGTACCCTGCCTGTTAAGCGGATTCCTTTGACTCGTTCATCATTCCTCCAATTTCCCGTAAAGGATCAGGCGCAGTCCGCCCCACCACCCCAATTGACATCCCGCCCAGCTTGTGAAGCCCGTGTAGGTTTCACGGAAACAAATATAGCTCACCAGCTTCCCCGACTCGTGGCAACGCTCCTACTCCCCAACTGCTTTGTGGTAGCGGTGTGTCGCAATGGACCCTGTTGACCGCGATCTCGAGAAAGCAGAGCGCGATGCCTCCCCAGACCGCTTTCCTAATGGTGACCCTGAGGAAATCAAGCCAGAGCGTCGGCAGAGCACGGCTTCTGGGTCCAGCTCCTCTAGTAGCTCCTCTGCCAGCGTAATTCGAGAAGAGATGGCGATGGCTCAAGTCAACACACGACCAGACTTAGAGAGGCATCCAACGGCAATTAGCCGCATTGAAACTCACAGAACACAGCACAGCGGCACCGTTGGCCGGACCGTGACTAGCAGGGCAAGTAAGAGGCCTTTGCCAAACTTTGGCGGCGGCAAGGAATATCCACCGCCTTTGCCAGCGCAGGAAGAGTATGTTGTTGAATTCGATGGGCCTGACGACCCGCTGCATCCGCAGAACTGGCCATTGTCCAAGAAGTGAGCCCTCTCTCTGAATATAATCACGGGCAAGAGTGCATTGATGAGCTGATGTTTCATTCCACCAGAATTTACACAGCCCTCATGCTTGGATACACGACCCTCATCGCCGCCTTTGCCTCCTCGATCTTCTCGACTGCTACAATGATCGTTGCAAGGACGTATGGAGTTTCTGCAGAGGTAGGTACGTTAGGTGTATCCCTCTATGTCTTCGGTTTTGCAACTGGGCCTATCCTATGGGCACCTCTATCGGAGCTTCGAGGCCGACGACTACCCCTCATCATCGGCATGTTCGGGTTCTCGGTCTTTAGTATTGCTACCGCTACGGCCAAGGACCTTCAGACCGTGCTTATTACACGTTTCTTTGGTGGGGTCTTCGGTTCATGTCCTCTCGCAGTCGTGGCTGCCGTATTCTCAGACATGTTTGATAATAAATCAAGAGGCGCAGCCATTACATTGTTTTCTATGACTGTCTTCACCGGTCCTCTATTCGCGCCATTCATAGGTGGCTTCACCATCATGAATCCGAGTCTAGGCTGGCGCTGGACCGAATACATACCAGCAATCATGGGTTGGTCAGCCTTTGGCCTTGATTTGCTATTCCTCGAAGAGACCTACCCTCCAATCGTACTAGTTCAGAAAGCATCCGAACTCAGACGCAGAACTTTGAATTGGGGAATTCATGCGAAGCAAGAAGAAATCGAAGTCGATTTTCGAGAGCTTGTCACCAAGAACTTTAGTCGTCCACTGAGGCTCCTCTTCACGGAGCCAATTGTTTTTGCTCTTGTAAGGTGTTCCTCGCTCTGCAGAGAATTGTTCTGATACTAATTGCCTGCGTGCGTAGTCAATTTATATGGCCTTCATTTATGGGCTACTGTACCTATTCCTAACAGCTTACCCCTTTTCTTTCCAGCGAATCCATCATTTTAACCCTGGCGTAGGCGGCTTACCGTTTCTGGGTATGGTCATTGGTATGGTATTAGCGGGTGCTTTCGTGCTCAGTGGTCAGAAGAGTTACATCAGAAAGCTGGAGGGCAACGGCGGAATGCCTATTCCGGAATGGCGACTGCCACCTGTCATTATTGGTGGTGTTGCTTTCACGATAGGGCTATTCTGGTTCGGCTGGACGGGATACAGGAGTGACATCCACTGGATCGTGCCGACTTTGTCTGGTCTTTTTACCGGTTTTGGCTTGCTCTCCATCTTTCTCCAGTCACTGAACTATCTTGTCGATGCGTATCTCATGTTGTAAGTGTCTCACTCCATAATCTTCCAAGTCCGTCTGCTCACACGTCCGATGTGTAGCGCTGCCTCAGCCATAGCCGCGAACACTTTCCTACGATCAATCTTTGGTGGTGTATTTCCTCTCTTCGCAACTTACATGTTCAATGCCATACACATCAATTGGACGGGGACACTTCTCGGGTGTGTGGCTGCTGTTCTTGTTCCTATACCTGTGATTTTCTATAAATATGGCCATAGGATTCGACAAAGAAGTAAATTCGCGCCAACTATGAGGCCAAAACCCGTTGAGGTAATCAGTACTGCTGATGAGGTCAAGCAAGCCTAAGGTGAAGGATACTATACTTGCTCCATATTGACCTATCTCGGGCATTTAGCACACCTGGTAAGGTTGGACGGTGTGTGCAGCGTGCTCTGGAAGTATTGCAACCAGGCGGCAATATTTTGATACATATGAAGGTTCAACGGTAAGGTAAGCTGGTTAGAATCAATGTGTTCATGAGGACAAGGTTTGTGTACACAATTCAAGTGGTTCGGCGAGATCTTCCTAGTGTCTTCCGACTACATGTGCATATCAATTGAAGTAATGTCAAGGTCAAGACGACGATCCTGAGTTCCAAATTCCTTATGCTGTTTTAAAAGAGGCCCTTGAGAAGATTGGTTGATTCCCTTCGAGATTCAACACGAATTGGTCAACTCATGTGGCCTCCTAAGTCTTTTGTTCCACCAGGAGTACCAAGTGATAATGGTACTGACGGGAACATTAAATTTCGTTGTGCTAGAGGAGCCGTTAGCAGGGGAAAGAGTTTTCAACCAGTCAGTTTTCAAACCGAAATATAAAGGTAATGTAAGGATATCGGCCAAGAAAAGGTGGGGATCTGAATCCGTCACTGGAACAGAGTATGAGTTAAGAAATCTTTCGATCAACGGTAAATCTATAGATGCACTAGTAGTACATAGTGAAGCTGAGCCAGCCGCGAGTGTTGCGTCGATGATCATCAAGTAGGGAGAATACCATTTGCATCAGATAGCGCCTTTTCTCACGGGCATCTTGATCTAGCTCCGGATGTTGTCCAGTCGTTATGTACATCATAGTCATTATCATTTATGTGCATTAGATATCAACATGTTATTGCGCAATTCTTAGAAACAGCAAGACGCTTAGAAGCGCCCATGCAACTTTCCACACGCACTCGTTTACGGTTGCAATTCTCCCACTACCGACTCCATTATTCTTCGCAACCGTCGCCGTCCCAATCTGCCCAGCCCCAATGTTCACCCCTGTAGCTGTACAGCTCTCTCCACACGCATACCCACTTGGACAGCAACCCCCACCTCCGTCCTGGCCACACCTAAACCAGCCCAATGCGCACCCATCCTCTCCAAGTCTCGTCGTCACTGCCGGTGCAACACCAATAGACACTCCATTGCTGTTCAGAACAAGCGAGCTGGAGGGGGCTGGGCACGACGTTGAGGAGCAGTCACGCCCAATCCGGCAGCAGCCACCTAAGTAGTGTGCACTGCAGGCATAAAACCCGGTTGGGCAGGTAGAAGGAGTGATGGTCGTGGGTGGAGCAGTGGTCGTGGTGGAGGTTGAGGCGGCCCCCGAGATTGGGCGAATTGGTGCTATAGGCGCTGCTTCGCGCGAGGAGGACGCGGAAGAGGGCGTCGAGCTAGGGGAGGATGACAGAGAGGAGGAAGGAGAGGACGTGACCGTTGAGGTAGTAGAGGTGATATCTGTATGTGTGGATGTGGAGATGAGGGTTGATGCGGACGCTGTAGGGGCGGAGGTACTGGTTGAGGGAGGTGGTGGTGGTGGAGAGGCAGTCACGGTAGGGGCGACGATTACGGTGGCCGTGGAAACAGCTTCGCAGCCTTCATTGACACAGCTATAGCCTGCTATGCAACAGCCGCCGCCTAGATTACTGGGACAGCTGCTTTCACCGTCGGAGCAGGAGGAAACTTGTTGCGAGCATGTCTGGCCTTGGGCACAGCAGCCTACTCCACCATCTGGGAGAGATTGACAAGTCGTTTCTGACGGACAGCAAGTGTTGTCATGGCTGATGTCGGCGCATACAGTCGAGCCGCTAGGGCAGAGGTAGTCGCGTTCAGCGATGGCGAAAATGCCCCTTGGAAAGCGGAGGAAGCGGGACACGGAGGATTTTGTGGTAGTTGATAAGGTGTGGTGAAGAGCAAGTGGTGCTTGTAGTGCCGGGAACAAGGTGAGATTTGTTGCACTTGACGCCTCACGCTGATCGCCCAAGAATAATGGACTATCCTTCATTTGCAGTATCGAGGGTTTGCTGTCGTCCGGAGGGTCTGTAACTCCGTAGAGCGTCCAGTATTCAGGCAAGAACATTTCGCCCTCATCCAATGTCATCTTTCGGACGGCCTTGGGCAAATCGCCGCCCTTGATCGAGTCTCTCCGCTCTGCATACTTCTCCAACTCGACATAGTTGCTGGATTTGCCGTCATTCCACGTCCAAGTGAGTCTATATGCTTCCAAAAAGCTTGGCTGAAGCACCGCAGCACACAAAACTGATATTTGCTGTAGACGCATCCGAGTGGAGTAGCTCGGCAGACGAGAAGTACTAGTTATAAAGAAAAGGGAGAATAGTGTTACGCAAGTGGAGGTACGTTAATACAATAGAGCTTGGTTTTCACAGTCCTCCCTTGCCTATGAGCACCAGATTGGGATGGTATCGTATCGCTACGATATCGCGAAGTCGTAATGAGCATCATCACATCACTCATGCGGGCTATATCAAGTTTCTGATTGCAGAAGGCTGGTCATTCGAGATGGCTGGGCGGGCGGGAATAACTTGGCAATGGAGCTTCCAACTCTAGGCAGCGGGCGGAGAAGTGCCCGGAGCGGCGCGGGAACCGCAGCCGGGGTGCGGAGCTATCGCTGCCCCCAGCCTGTGAGGCTTTTACACCCTAACATCATTCTTCGTACGACTTCCTTCGTCGAAACTCCGTTGGAGAATGGCTACGATCACATGTCGCTCCTTGCATGGTGGCGCCCCGATTCAGATAGACAGAAGTGCTGTCGTGCAAGAAGTGTCGCATTGTGAAAAACAAACTTTCTCTCGAACAGAGGTTTTTGATTTTGAGAACGAGCTTAAGAAACGTAACGTAGAAATGAATGTGCTTTTCGAAGAGAATACACTCCTATCAAAGGGTAGGTCACTCGTCGCCTATCTGGTCTTCGCTTTTTCAAAGCCTGGAAACACCGTCACCGTGCAAAAAATTGTTACGCATTCAAGATACAGGAGGCAAGGTATTGCAAATGAAACGCTGCTTGGGCTCAGAACCCGGCTTTGTGAGCGTGGGTGCTCGAAAATACAGCTGTGGGTGGACGAAGCAAATGTTGCTGCCGTGAGACTCTACACTGGGCTGGGTTTCAAGATGGTAAGTACAATACCAAATTACTATGGTCCAGGTCGCACGGGAATCAGCATGGTTCTTTGCATTCAATGAATGGCTAGAATGCCCTTACTCGGCCTCATGAATCAAGGGGCTTCTTCAAGGAACGCAGCTGTCCTTAAATTCCTTCGACAGATTGTCCCTCCAACAAGAAATGTGGAGAACAGGAGGGGCTGGCAAGCTGTACTTTCTGTAAATCGCACGGTCAGTCGTATGCTGTTGGTCGGTGGCTGACCAGACTGCGATGATGACTGTTTGGAACTAGATCTCGGCAGCTTAACCCACGGAGTACCAACAGGATGGTCTTACCAGCAATATGAAGTAACGGACACTATCCAACTAGGTGTTTGTGAGATGTTGTCCCTCCTTTGGATATGCTGTTCCTATGGCCTGGTGACAACAGCTCCAACCGTACATCTGCCTCTTAACGCCCAAGTGCCGTCGCTCGCACGGGCAGGGCAGCATTATAGCTTTGGCTTTTCCAATTCAACCTGTGTCCCATCGACTGGCTCGGTCAACTATCAACTCTCCGATCCTCCGCCATGGCTTGCGCTAAATGACCAGACCTGTATGCTCTTCGGCACTCCAGCCGAAAAAGACGTCGGATCTTTTCTCATCAGTTTGGTCGCCGCTGACCCTACAGGATCCATCATAATGCCGTTTACCCTCGTCGTAACCGAGGAAATGGGGCCTAATGTCGGGCTTTCTATCGCAGACCAACTCCCAGCTTTTGGGGCGTTCTCAAGTCCAAGTAGTATCCTACTTGCCCCGTTGACTTCGTTGTCTATAACCTTATCTCAGAGCACTTTCACCAATACGGACGAATCAACTGCCTATTACGCGATCAGTGTTGATCGCACGCCCTTACCTTCTTGGATACACTTCGATCCGCCATCCCTGTCATTTTCCGGGACAGCACCGCAGGCGACATCTGGACAGGACGTGACTCAGACGTTTGGAGTCTTACTTATAGCCTCAAATTGCATTGGCTTTGCAGACGCAGTCCTAAATTTTGATATCGTGGTGGAGAATCATCTGCTAGCCTTTCGAAGTTATGCACAGGTGCTCAACGTTATTGCGGGATTGCAGATCGCTACAAAATCAATCATACAGAGCCTGATGCTTGATGGAAGGGCTCTGGACCCATCAGATATAAAGCAGGTCTATGCAGATACACCGTCTTGGTTGTCGTTAGACCACAGTTCCCTTGAACTTGAGGGCATTCCACCGCCGGATTTCAAAACCCGCAACTGCACAATTACGGTCACGGATCAGTACGGTGATTCTGCGTCTACGATAGTGACACTCCAATTAAGAAAGTCCACTGATAGTACTCTATTGGATCCAATCGGCTCTGTGAATGCAACGCAAGGGGTTGATTTCGTCTACGACATTAACAGGATGATTATATTTTCCGATGTCGACATTAATGTTGATTTAGGACTCGCTTCGACATGGCTAAAGTTTGACAGACAAAGCTTGAAAATCATAGGCTTCGTACCTCCCACATTGGAACCCCAGCAGGTAGTCGTAAACATTACTGCGGATCATGGAGATCAGAGCCAATCAGAGATCCTCGCAATTGCTGTCCAAAGTGCGAGCTCAGAATTGAAGCCTGGGCTAGTTCCAATGCCGTCCTCAACGCATGTTATAGTCAATAATGCACATCCGTCATCTGCTGTCTCTGCATCGAAGGTTCCCTTAGAGCGAAGATTCATACCTGCCATCATCGTCCCTTCGATGTTTCTGTTGGCAATGTGCCCAATGGCTCTCTGTTGGCGCAAACGAAGCAAACGTAAGCAACAGTCTTCTATTGAGGCCTATAAGACAGCATCAAATCAAAGTCCGTCCCCAATCTCGATGGTCGAAAAGATTTCTCAGGCCCCAAAGCCCGCTGGCATGAGCGGCGGCATCGGTGCAAAGAAAGAATCAAGGATTTCACTCCCGCACCGGATTTCACATATATCGCTATTCGAATCCATCGCAAGCCACAAACGAGTGTCCAAAGGCCAAATTTCCAAACCAAAGGAAGATGATTGGTATCAGAGACTCAATATTAAGCCATCAAGGATCGAGAGCTCTCCTTCAGAAATTGTAAAGGACTGTACAGGCGGCGATCAAACTCAGACTGCGGCACAAGCATGTGCTGTACCGACAGTAGGAGCGCAACAAACCATTCTCCGCGCAGAAAGGTCTTTCGAAGCCTTGAAAGCTTCCGGTTTTTTTAACACGACTCTGGTAAAAGGTGTTGGCCATGGAAAACCCACTCCTTCCACCAGTTCGCTCGATACTCCATCTCGCACAAGGAGTCAGTGCCTTATCGAGGATCTTCTGACACCGGCAAATATGGGATCTGGGTTGGTCAGAAAATCCTGGAAAACCCTTGAAGAAAAAGCGAGGTCTAGTGGACTTTATGCCTCCACTACCGGATCATCAAACCAGGCACCATACCTTGCGCAAGACCCTACCATTCGACATGTTCCTCCCTCTTCATCTGCAAGCGGTACGTCTCCACGGACTCCACCCGGAACGGGCGCCACGCGTCTTGATATTCCAAAGAGTCGCCGAAAGCGCCAATCTAAGAACCCATTTCTTTTGTCCTCCGCACGCTCAATTCACAGCCACAGATTCCGTGGATCGCGGAGTCGATCTTCCTCACTACATCCTCCCGAGATCCCAACTCTATCTAAAGCCGAGGAGTCTCAGGGACGGACGCCTCGGTACCTCGAGACTAAGGTCGAACCTAGAGTTACCAACGTACAGGAAGGCTACCCCGAATCGGTCTTTGAGAAGAGCTCTAGGTTCGAAAGCCCAATGTCCAGTCAACACTTCGATCATAGATCGGCGAATAAACTGACCGAGAAAGACGTTCAAGCTGGTCTCTCACCATCAGATCAGGGATACAAGCGCCAGAGAGACACAATGACGGCTTGGGCAAGCTCATTGGCCCTTGAATTTGAAGACGACAATTTCATGGAAGGAGATGTCCGCACGACTGGCCCTGAAGATGAAAAACCAACAGATATACGGTGGTCTACTGGAGGACGGAAGATCGAACGCCATAGAGGGCTGAGTGAGAGTGATCAAGCTAATAGGAGTATCAAAGGGGAAATTAGAACGTCAGAGAGCTTGGACTTCTTGAATACCTCTCAGTGGACCTCTTTCATCTAATGATGACTCTCTGGTCTCGGTACTTTCCTCTTGGATTAGCCCTAGCTCTTCGTCGCTAGCAGCGTCGACAGTCTTCTTGCTTTCCACCGCGCTATTTTGCAGCACAGCCACATAGAGCGAGCTCCCGAGGATCATACTACTACCTAGTATGCTCAAGAGGTCTGGGGTGGCGTCAAATACGATCTTGTCGAAAGCAATCGCGAACAGCATCTGAGTATACACCATATTAGTCGCTCGACTGCCTTTCTCATAAGATAAGCCAGCGGTGAGCAAGAATTGCATCACGAATCCACAGATCGCTAGGAAAACTAAATATGCCCACTGAACCCAGCCAGCAGGGAGACGGAAATCGACACCAGGTACAGCAAGTAATGCCACCGAGGATACGATTGTGCACCAAGCGGCAAAATAGTTGACGGAAATCAATGGATGTGCACGTTTTCCAATCCAGCGAATCGTGGTGTACGCACATGCTGCTCCAAGTACGCCTATGAGAGCAGCTCCTACAGCACCTGCTCGCTGCTTGGGAGTAGCTTCCTGAATTTTGGGATCTATAACTGAAGTGGTCGCGTTCATTGAGACTATGCCGCTGTCACTTACACTTCCCGAAGACATTGGATTTGCTTGTGAAGTGCCCGGTCGTGCGATGACAATGACACCAATAAGTGACATCACGCCAGCAATTTGCTCGGTACGTGTGAACGGTTCTTTGAGTAAGACAGAGCATGCCCAGCAGGCGACGATGGGCGCCAGGAAAGTAATCACAGTCGCGTCAGAGAGCGGTAGGTATTGAAGTGAGTAATACATGCCATATACCCCGAAGAAACCACCTACTCCTCGAGCAATGAGCAATACTCGGACGCCCCTCGCCCCAAAAGGAGCATCCGCGACCTGAGCCCAATACAGATAGATGCCACTCAATATCAGTGTCCCCATCATGCGAACGAAGAGGATTTGGAAAGGGTGCATGCCAGGCCCATGGACACTATTTTGTTCCAGCAGTCTTATAGTCACGTTCATCATGACACCAAAAAGCTGAGATATGGCGACGAGAGCGAGCCCCTTGTTTCTAACCCAGGAATGTTTGAGATAGCTGGCGATTTTGTGGTGTCTGGAAACCTTCGCTGGCATACCTTCTGGTCCTGACAGAAAGGCACGGAACCCATTTTCGCTGGCGCTGTCTGTTGCAATTAGGGAATTCTCAAAGAAAGTATCTGAGGTGCGAGCAAAGGCATTCTGCAAAGGAACGTCTAGATAATGATCATTTTCACTTTGCTTTGCTCTCGGTTTGCCTGCTGGTGACGGCGTATACCCTCTATTACGCCCACTTGGCGCTATGGAAAGGCTCCTCCCAGCAGCATCAACGTTTGATTTCGATAGAGCAGAAGACATATTCGCAAGGCCATAGCAAGCAATGATGAACGAGTGGACCTGCAAGACAACAAATGATGTGAAAACTGCACTGCTCAAAAGATATGGAAAGCACGAAAATTTCAACAATGAGTCAAATGGCCCATAAGAATGGATCAAACGGCACGCGAACAGTACCTAAGTTTCGCCGTCATCGGACTTGCCACCGTGAAGCCTGATAAGGTGGACGTGCTAAATAGTTAGCCACCAATGGCAGGCTTGTGGAGATTCTAGTCCAGCCTGAAGTCTCCATCTCCTCGAGAGTCTAGAACAATTATGTGTCAGGCATTGGTCAATCGCACCTGCTATTATCAGTGGTGAGCTGAAGCAGCCATTGTAAATACCCTCGTTGTTAGGTTGACGAAACAAATCTTGGCTTGGCTCAGGATTGAAGAAGCCAGGCTCTCAGATGCGCATTTGTGATACTTAATACCCTAGGCATTCTCTCGGGGGCTAGAGTAGCGCGATGTTTCTGGGATATCAACAATTTTGTCCGTGCAACAGCTCCCATACTTACAGTCGATGGATTCCATCACCGATCTCTGTCTGATGATCTCAGAAGACTTGGTGCCGCAAAGCCCAGTCAAGCCTTCAGATATCGAGTCTCTGTTCCCCGACCTGCTCGATCCTGCGCTAAAGCTGCAAACGAACTTGACGAAATGCGGCGGACACCTGTGGCCTGCCGGTTTAGTGCTGGCAGAATATCTCATACGCGAGAAATTGGATGATTTGCGAGGCATGACCATGTTTGTGAGTCCGGGCAACGTGGTCGACACAGCTCATGGCTGATTCTTCGAGCGTTAGACTTGAGTTGGGTGCCGGTAGTGGACTTGTCGGGTCGGTGTCCTGACATTCTCGTCTGATGAATGATGTGCTGATGCCTCTGAAGCCTTGCCATCGCGTTGAAGCTGAGGCAATTGCCGCCCACTCAATGCAAAGAGCCTACAAAGGTTCATGTGACGGACGGAGTCCCAGCCCTCATGCCTCTGCTCCAGCAGAACATCAGTCTGAACTTCCCAGATCCTGCCTCGCATGTGATCGTACAAGCCCATCTCTTGCCTTGGGGAGGAACTCTTGACCCTGCTATTCCCAAGCGTCCGGAAGTTATCCTGGCCGCTGATTGCGCGTATATCGAAGAGAGCTTCCCTTCATTGACGAGGACACTAGAGGAGATGCTGGGAGAGCAGACAACATTGTGGTTCTGCTACAAAAAGCGAAGGAGAAGGGATCGTGATTGCATCAAAATGATAGGAAAGATCTTCGATGTGCACTTCGTGAGAGGTGAATGGGAAAGCGATGGCGTGTTGCTCTACGAGGTCAAGAAACGGTTGCATAGAAAACCTGGGCCAGAATACTGATCATAAGCTCCAAGTTACCTTTATCTTATAACAACGCACCAAGCCCTCTGATGCATGAACGTTTTGTTTGAAACGGCGGCTTCGTCTGGCTTTCAAGCATATCGAAAAGAGATTGCAGTGTTAGCGGCCTATTCCCCGGTTGAGTGTTGTTGCCGCCACTGACTTGTCTAAGAAAGACATGACAAGAGTAGTACGCTGACTTTGATAAAGTTACACTATCTATCTCTCATCACTGTGAATGTAGCCCAAAGCTGGAGAGCATGGAGCAACCCTACGGCGTCACAGCTGCTAGGATCGAATTCATAGAGAAAAGCATCCGGAAAGTCGTCCTCTTTCGATGGTCTTTTTCCACGACCCGTTCGCAGATCGAGAAGGATGCAGAGAGCCTTGTCAAATATTACTCCATTGCTGAGGAAGTGATCCAGCTGCTCCTTAGCTACCTTGGCTACAACACAACCTCCTTCACTGGCCAACATCATATGGCGATCTTGCGTCCTCTGACGGAAACTGCAAATCCATTCTTTCTACTGCTTGGCTCCGGCAAAGCTTACGGATTCATCGATGCTCTAAGACAATTTCGCAATCGAATCAGTAAATACCAGAAGGCCGGGAAGGCCTGGGCTCAATATGGCCGCGGGGTCGTAGCAGCTCGGGGCTTTATGTTGAAAGCATTCTTCGAGTGGGGTTTACCGGACGTCTTCGAAGCATCGTTATGGGCATCCTTGAGATGCATACAGGAAGAAGTTGGTTACAACACCGGTCCCGAGCAGCTAGCTACCAGAATCAACGAAATAGACCCCACCATAGAGAAAGCAAAAGAACACTTCCACAACAGGGTAGGTTCAGCGCGAAGCAAGAATCGAAACATGGCAGATCTGAAAATGCCCCACGTAAATGCACAAAACCCGGCAAACCTACAGCTTCCTAGCCAATGTTCGAAGCGCAAGCGTGGAGAGTCAGTAGCACATGCGGCGAACAAATGGGTTCGAGGCGGTGTCGTGGGTAGATTTGCGAATCTTCAATGGCTTGCAAAGGATTCTGTGCAATCAAAGCACCTAAGATCCGTCGAGAAATCCGTCGATAAGATGTTCCGACCTGATCTTGAGGCATTACAGGCACAGTTTGGTGCGCAGCTCCACAAAGGGCTCAACATCGCTCAGGAGAGAGTTCGCACATTCCATGCTCCTGCAGCTAAAGCTCGCATTGTAGCGGAAAAGGCGCAAATTGTGGAGGTGATTGTCATCGAAGATGACTAGCGATTATGCTGTTCAAGTCGATGCAAGAGGAGGTCGCTGAAAGTGGCATATCAAAAGACAGCGCTCACCACAAAGGCTACAGCTTGTAACCACCAGCTCCCTTGCCCATGGCTACGCTAGCTTTCGTCTCCCTTCCCTCTGTATCCCTAATCTCCCCTTTCCTTCCAATAACCTTCACCCCGCCTCGTTTCAAATCCTTCACGACCTTCTCCTTCTCGTCAGCCTTCTTATTCCTCACCACCGCCCCCTTCCCAACGCCACTCGCAACTCCACCAGCCTTCTTAATCCTCTCCTTCTCCCTTCTCCGTCTTCTCAGCTTCTCTTCCCTCGTCATCTCTTCCCTCCCTACGGATAGCCCGCCTTTCGTTAGAACTTCCATCTTCTTGTCTCGTCCCTGCCCAGCCTTGTATACTTCCTGTGGCGCCAGCATGCTTTGCCCCACCTCACTTCCTGCATTCGGCCTCGCATCCTCCATCATAATGGTCGGCACATCCGTTACAACGTTCACGCTAGCCTCTAAAGGCTTCGGTCTAAAGTTCAAATTACACAGCGCGTCGAGCTTAGCGCTAACATCCTTCCACAATGCCTCTATCTTCTCGTGCTCTTTCTTCTCTATCTCGGACAATTTGTCCACGTACCCTTCCGGGTCTGCATTCTTCAGATGCTCAGCCTCGTAAATCTCTGCGAGGTTCTGCGTCGGCTTCCCATCATCAAGCTCGACCCCCCTCTCCTTACGTCTTTCCCTGATGCGGTAGTGAGCGTGCCAGGCCGACGTCTGATCACCTCATCGAACTCTCGATTAAGGATTCGTCGTTTTACCAGGGTCTCTATGTCCTCGCTGACTTCCTGCGTGATGACAGGTACTGGCTTGCCGGCTCGCTCGAATTCGAGGTCTTCCTCTAAAAGGGAGTTGAGAGGTCGGTCGGCAGCCCGGGCCTCCCCAGACATGGTCCAGGGTTTCTTTGCTACAGCTTCAGCTTCAAGACGCCGTATCTCCTTTGTGAGAGCTGCTTGGCGCTTTTGATGAGAAGAGCGCGGACCTGTGGGCTGGGAGGCGTTGGAGTCCGCCTCGGAAGGAGTGAGGTCGTCTTCAAAGATGTCGCGGCGGACGGAATCGATGGTGCGTTGCATGTCTTCGTCATTTTCCCGGGCTGCGGGTCCAGAGATTAAGGAGGAGGGTGGTTGGGTTTTAGGAAGGGCTCGTCGTCGAGCAGATTTGGTAAGTTTTCGGGGAGGAGGCTCGAAGAAGTCTCTGTACATAATGTTGTCGGTATTTTGCATGCCGTCTATGTCTTCCGTTGCGCCGTCGAGGTCAAGATCACCTTCTAAGTCAGAGTCGTCTTGCCGGTCGAGATTGACGTTGCCGAAAATTGGACCATCTTCCTTACTGGATGAAAGATCCACGGGCTTCCCTCGGCCTGGTGGGGCTATGTCAACGGTCTCGTTCGCACCAGCGACGAGAGGATTTGTTCCCCAATCCACGTCCTCCTCGTCGCTCGCTGCATCATCATCTTCTCCTCGAGCATCTTGCTGCTCTAGGAAGTCCGACTGGCGATTGAAGTCATCAATAGAGAAGAAACCGTCATTCAGTCCTGATCTATCTGGAGCAAAGGGTTCTTGCACCTCCTCATTTCCGTCGGGAGCAAAATCTACGTCGGTCTCTTCGATATCTTCGGTGACACCTTCCGCCCCCTCATCACTAACCCCTAGATCCTCTGATATGCCAGATAGATCGCCCACAATTAGCTGATCTCCTTCCGTGTCAATATCAAGGGTTTGATCTTCCTCGATCTCATCCCCCCCGTATCTCTTAGGTGGAGCGTTGGACTCTTCTTAGTCTTTCCATTCGCATGATTTATCTTTCTTGAAGGCGAACTTGCACGCTCTGGCAATCGAGATGCAGCCCTGTTTAGCTCAGCCGTAGTGGCGTCAAGTATTCTTTTCGCCTGTGCCCATATTTGGTCGATCTCGAAGCCATCGGTGTGCAGCTGCCGCAAAGCTAGTGGCTTGCTGTTCTCCCATGTATGTGTTCCGCCTCTTTTACGTTTTCGTCGCGCAGCTTGCTGTCTCACTTGCTGAAAGTGACTGATGTCCCTCGCCAAGGGGTCAAGGTACTGTTTCGCTATAGATAGAGCCTCCGAGTGCAGAGAGGGAGAGGGTTGCAGGAATTCGTGTGGCAATTGGGTGAGGGTTGATCCCTGCTGACGTAGGGAGGTCATGAGGGCGATCAACAAGACTTCTGTGGGGAACGAATTTCAAGCACCTATTGTGCTAGGTAGCTGAGCGGTTTTGACTTGCATTCTCATCTGAAATCTTTCATGCATGTGGAAAATATATCCGGGAAACTTTACACGAGTTTCCGATTGGGTTAGGCTGCGGTCCGGACTTAGCGACCGTTTTCGAAGTCAATCAGAGTCTCGGTAAGTTCAATGCCGGTGGTGCACTACCCGCATTCACACCCAGAGACCGTTGAGCGTCGTTCCTGCCCCGCCCTCGCCCCCGCCGATGGCGTAAAGCTATGGCAACCGTCCACCTCTGGCTGCAGTAGTACTGTGCTAATGCGAGCGATTGGCAAAATTCAATTGCATAATGTATTTTTTCACCAGCTCTAATACGTACCGCACTCAACTCAGATTGCCGGACATACAGCATTCGTTACCCGCACCTTTCGAACGCTGAGTCCCACACTCTTTTCTCGTTCTTCCATGCCCTTCCTCTCCTTTGCCCATATAAAGCATCGTGAGAGATGAAGTTTGGAGACACGTTGTTCAGGAGATCCGTTCCTGAGTGGTCTATACGTGAGGGACCCATGCTGTCGTCAATTCCGGTCATTGTTCTAATTGGTCACGCGACAACAGATAATCTAGACTACGACGATCTGAAGCGTCTCATCAAGCTTCACACAACTCAAGGCTCAACCCGTCCTCGGCCCATTTCCTACGGTTCCATTAAGGCTACAGAGGCACAACAATTTGAAGAGCGATTTTTCGATGAGTTGAAATTGCAGCACGAAAGAATCAATGACTTTCTGCAAGTCAAAGTGGGAGAACTCGCGAGGCGGCTAAGTATGAGCTCCGACCGCCACATCTTATCTTCTACTAAAGGATACTAGTCGACCTTGAAAAGGAGGCATCTAGACTCAAAGGGTCAGCAAACAATTTGGCTACACTTGTGCCAGGCAAATCGAGATCTAAAGCCTCGAAACTAGAAGTAAACATCGAAAAGTACGTATGATGTACCTAGGCCGTGAGCCATCTTCAATTGCTTATTAGATGCAGAGCTGGAACAGACATACAACGGCTTTCTCGATTCGTCAATGCAAATACTTTGGCTTTCAGGAAACTTTTCAAAAAATATAGGAAATGGACAGGATCAAGAACATTGGGGGACCGATTTGTCGCGCTTATATTTGACCCGCCGACGAGCCTTTTCAACCAGGACTTCGAACCACTGTTCCTTCGATACACCGCCATCATAGGAATCTTACGGGGGTCACCTGCGATCCTTCTTCAAAATACGCAATCAGATTCACGATACAAGAAGATATCAAACTCGGTGGGGAAGAGGTCACCAGCTGAGACTTTAGGTGCTACTACGCTACATGAAGCGAGCCAAAATCACGATCCATTGGTTCTTGACATATCACTGGCAACAACACCATTATCTAGCCGAACCACAAAGGCCGCTTATTGGATACACAGAGACAACTTGATCAATGCCGAGATTTTTCTTCTTCGACATTTGTCGCACCGGTCAGCGACTAGATACCAGTCGCCTAACCGAAAAAGTCCAGCCTCGTCCCATTCGTCGCTGCAGCATACGTCTACTGATTCCCCGAACTACGGCTTTGTTATATGTGACGATTCAATGAGGTTTGCCAAGCGCCAGAGTGGTGAGACCGTGGATGACATCGAAAACCAAATAGGGCAAGCATCTCAAAAAGCTGCAGCGAGCATTCGCTTCTCGAGGGCTTCTGAAGCTGTTCTGGCAATTCAAGATGGGCATACTTTCTTTCAAGAAGAGATGCAAAAAAAAGCCGTGCGTACTCTCTGGAATTCTACAACGCCGGAGTCAGGTTCATCAGAGGATGACAGTCCGTCGTCGAATTTGAGGCAATGGATATCAAACAATCCCAAAGTAGAACCCTTGGTCAAGGTATCCAGCCATCGCACTCAATTCCTTGGTCTTGATAACTCAGCATGCGAGGGTGTCTGGGTGACGCTCGACAATGCTGTCACGTTGATAAGTTGTTCTCGACAGTCTCTAGTGACGGATAAATCTACATTGGAACTCGGTAAGGATAGCCTAGCAGATGTGCAGCAATTCCCCCACGCAATTCTGGAGATACGTATTGAGGGGACTTGCTATGCTGGTCTCACCGAAGCCCTCGACCGGTCGCACTTAGTAAGAACACCCGCCTGTATTTTTAAGGACGAATTTCTAAGTGGTGACCAGGTTGAGCGAGTTCGTGGGTTTTCCCTGGAGACTCATGCCGTCGCAGCGACCTGTAAGCCTTACGGGCTACCTTCCCCTTATTGGGTACGTACGAGCTGTGATACGCAAAATTATACTCACAAGCTATAGCTTTCCGCGCTTGATAGAGACATTCGTAAAGTTCCCACGGAGTCGAGTGGGCGATTAACTAAAAGCACGGCTTTTCTTAATGAACCGATTTCGGCTCATTCATCCACTTCAGCGCATTCCACCCGTAATGGACAGTTAAGTAGTGGTTTTTCCACCACGCGAGGTGAGTCATCTGCGACCTCTGCTCCAGAAGCGGAAACGGTAGAGATTTTCAAGGCACCTCAAGCATCACCCCCCTTTGCAAAGAGTCCGCGGCGGCTCAAGCGAAGGCAGAGATCTTCGCAATCAAATGGCAAACCAGCACCGCAACGATACTGGAATGAATTTGATGATGGTTCGGAAGACGAGCAGGATGACGTTTTCTACATCAATGTGGACCCTGAGACAGCGAACCGGTTGCCGGGAAAGAATCGCATACATGAGTTGTATCGCAGAGTGCTTAACATGACCACGAGTAAAATGCCAACGGAACCTTACACGAAGACTTTCAAAGGCGCTGAAAGAGACCTCCTAGTATCGAGCGGAGACAACTCTGATGTGTCCGAAGACGAAACGTCAACCATTCGTCCTTACAGACGCAACTATTCCACTTTCACTGATCAGTCAAAGAATTGGTCAGATCCCGCACGGGAAAGGGTTCTCTCCTACAGCTGCGCATCCTCGTTCAGCGCGTCAATTGTCCTTCTCATTGTAGCTGGATTTTTGCTATCTGCTGGACGAAAGAAGGCGGAGTTCCAAGTTGATGTTGGTGTTGTTATAGCTGTGATTGCAGCCTTCGTCTTTAGTATCACAGGCATTGGATGTATGGTCGCTAAGCAAACCAATCTAGGCTGGCCCTATCGAACAGCAGTCATGTTGGGCGCCTTGTTTGTGCTAGTGGTAGGACTGGCGCTATTGGTAACTACAACCAACCGTTCACCGTAAGAAGTTGGGCATGTATTCATGGAATTGAGTGAAGCTTTGCAAAAGCAGTATTGTTTTGGGGGCACGGAGAGCGAGATGACAATAGATACCCATATATAGCGGTCTACTTCTTGGTTCTAATTTACACGTTTCTCCTGCTTCGCTTTCGCCTCCCTCATCTCCCCTAGTCTGTATACCGTCCGTCTCCTCGCCCGCTGTTCCTTCTCATACACATCCCAGCGTTCCCAGCCGTCCCTCTTCCTCCCCATAATGCTCGGATCATCCTCAATCTCGGTCTCTTCTAATTTCTCCCTCTCTTTCTCTGCCGCCCCCTTCTTCGCCCCCTCCATTTTCTGCTCTCTTCTCCTCTCACGTGCCTTCGCTCCCCTCTCCTGCTCTTCCAGCCTCTCCACCTCCCTTTGCAGATCTTCTTCTCCTTGTGGCCTGAACCTCGTGACCTTTTGCACATTCCTCGCCGTAATATCCCTCACGCCCTTCTCCGCATTCTCTTCACTCGCTGCCCGTTCCCTGACCAGGCTCTTAGCAGTCATCGCAAACCGCATGTCGCGGGGCCCATCCACAAGCTCCAATATCGCGCTGGCAGCTTGATCATGATGGTGGTTGATCGGCTCGATATGCAACACTCTCGTATAGCCTCCTGGCCTCTCCGCATACCGCTCACGCAGCTCGCCGAAGAGTTTGGGCAGGTGCTTGAAGGGTGTGAAGAGGATCTGCTGAGCGCGGACGCGGGAGGATGCTGTATTCTTCTTCCCAAGGGAAATTACTTTCTCAGCCAGACGCTGAGCCTCTTTTGCTTTGTGCCAGGTTGTTTGGATGGATTCGTGGGTGATGAGCGACGTTACAAGGTTGCGGAGGAGGGCTTGTCGATGGGCAGAGGAGCGGGAGAGGTGGCGGTATTTGATGGCGCCGCCGGCCATTGTGGGAGTCGACAAGCGAGAAGATGAGATGGTAATGGATGGGATTGGTCTACGTAGAAAGCGTCAAGAGCGTTCTCGAAATAATTCGTGACCAGGTCGAACTACACGCTAAAGTGACCATCAAAATAGCGTCGTGACCTCAAGCTGTGATTTGCCAATTTGGCTGAGTAAACATGAACACTATTTCTACGTTCCAAGCAGCCTTGCAAAGCCTACCAGTAGCTAATCTGTACTCCTACAAGCTCTGCTGATCGTTGAGGTAGTCGAAGCTCATGCTCGTAGATCTAGGCATCGAACAGTCTCGTTTCGTCTCGACAGTGTTTTCCTTGGTTGAAACCAAAGAAAACAGTGTTTAATGTTATGAGATCCGAATTTGTATTGCATTGCACAGATCATGTTCTAGGATTTTGATGATTCTATTCTGTATTTCTTTATTTGGTCTATGCTCAAATGCAGCGAATATATGTTTTTGGAGATGCTTGAATTCGTTTCCTACAGATTCTTTTTGCTAAAACTTTTCGATCGTTGCATCTATATCAAATGAAAGCTTTCACGTTTCGTCCAAGATGAGGTGGAAAGCCGTTTGCTTCTCGTTCTTGGTCATGAGAAACGTGTGATGAATCGTACACGAATAGAAACGGCACAAAAACTCTAGAAGCACAGCGGCCTTTGAGCACCTTTACCCCTCACAAGATCTGCTTCTTCAGCGTTCCGTCAGGATATCAGAAACTTCATACCTTAGGCTTTTGCCGAGGAAGTTACATTACGAATCCTGCACCATGAAAGATATTTTGAGCCCCTGAGGCAAAGTCACCGTGCAATGCGGGTCAATAATTTTCTTGAGATGGTATGTCTAGAACACCAAGATCTCCCTGTGGAAAGACCGGTAAAGCCAACTGCAGTCGATCTGCTGTCGGGCCACTGCGAACAGCATATAGGTGGTGAACGTTGAAAACCACTGGGCCAAGATGTCTAGACACTATGGATGTCTGCTGGGTTACTATATCTAACGATGATTGAGATCATTTTGGTACGAATATATTGCGGCCCTGAGCGCGAGGCCAAAGAGTCTTCGGACAATTAGATGCTTCAGGTGACGTCTACATCTAATCCTACATGCGGTATGCGGCTATGATACTTAAAAGCATGTGTGACGTCCTCTGGAGCGTTTCCTACTTGTGTACTCACAGCGGCCATGACAATCATAGAATCTGAGCTGCCCATTACAACAAGGACCAGGGGTGAAGCCGGCACTACTCCTCCACCACCTGATGGAGGCTACGGGTGGGTTTGTGTCGCGGCTTGCTTCATGATCAACTGCTTCACCTGGGGTGTTGTAGCAGTGAGTCGAAACGACGTGTTCCAGATTGTGAGAAGCCTTCTCTGACAACCGCTGCAGACATATGGAGTGTATCTCTCCCACTACCTTAGAGACAATTCCTTTCCAGGAGCAAGTACTCTCGACTTTGCGTTTGTGGGCGGGTTCAATTTCGCAGCGGCAACGCTCGTGGCACCTCTTGTTACCTACTTGGCGCGCCAATACAAAACTCGACCTCCAATGTTCTTCGGCGCCTTTAGCATTGGCGCAGGGCTGATTTCAGCATCGTTTGCCGTGAAAGCGTGGCAATTGTACCTCTCCCAAGGTGTGCTGGTAGGGATTGGGGTAGGATTCACATACGTGCCAAGCATCCCCATTCTTTCCCAATGGTTCTCTAAGAAACGCAGCCTCGCTAATGGCATTACGGCTGCGGGATCTGGGGTTGGAGGAATCATCACCACTCTCGCAACGGAAAAGCTGATTGAGAAGACGTCAATTGGATGGTCCTTACGAATCACCGGCATCGTTGCCTTCTTGATGCTTTTCACGTCAGTCATCCTAATCCGGGACAGGAACCACATAATTATGCCAGAGCAGCATCCCTTTGATCTGCGACTCCTGTCTCGCTGCGAGGTGTGGCTCTTACTACCATGGGCCTTCCTTTGTATGCTAGGTGCGTGTGTATTGGACATATTAACCCCAGAAAGAGTACAGCTAACCTTGAAATCTGCTCTAGGGCAAATGGTGCTGTTTTTCTCTCTGCCAGACTTCGCACTTGCTATACACCTTTCTCGGCCCCAGTCGACTTATGTCATCACCATCTTGAACCTAGGTACCGCTGTCGGACGACCTTTCATCGGCTCTCTGTGTGATCATTTTGGAAGGATCATAGTCCCTGCCATTCTCACGTTCGTGTGTGGGATCGTTTGCTTCGCTCTATGGGTTCCAGCGGAATCTTTCGGAGTGACCATTTTATTCGCTCTTGTCAGTGGTGCTATCCTTGGTGTATTCTGGCCGGTAAAACTCGATATTCCATGAGTGGAGCTGTTAAGTGTCTAACGAGATTGGCAGACTATCGGACCCATTTGTGCAGAGATCGTCGGTTTACAACAACTGCAATCCTTACTTTCTATTTCCTGGCTGACGGTGGTTTTGCCAGCGCTGTGTAAGGATTGTATTCCGTTCAAGCTTCTTCGAAGTCTAACGCAAAAACAGTCTCGGAGGCAATTGCATTAAAATTGAGACGTCCAGGTTCAGGCCGTAGTTACCTTTACAGCCAAATTTTTGCCGGGACAGCGTACATCTTTGCCAGCGTTTTCCTTTTTGCTTTACATAGAAGACACAAAGATCAGGAAAAGGCCAGAGAGAAGGCATGTGAATCATCGTTGACCTTGACTTCGACCAGCCATGGAGAAAGGTCGTAACACAGACTACCCTGTTTGAAACCGCAACCAATCAAAAGAGCACTAGACAATCAAGTGGTGATCTGTCCTCCGAAATGCAGCGATAGTTCTTGAACTGGACTAAATGACAAATGGGACTGAAAATCAATTCGCTGCATCGAGCTCTTATTAGACCCTGGTAGCACTGCAAGATTTGTTGTCTGAGCCCCTATTATTTTTCCACCTGAGGCACCCGAGACCGGTCACATGCTTAGACAGGCTTGACTAATCCTAAAGCCCCGGCAGATACGCATATCTCATCACGCCTGCGTAGCTGGAATATTTCTCAATACGCTAATAATTGCCTCTTCTGTGCTCGTTTTGGACCAAGGCAGAAAGTTGACACCACCTTGACGACAACGCTACCCATCTGACGCATTCATTTCCCTCCTCATCGGGGCCCAATGCTCAATAAGGATTGACGACAATGGACAACGGCCTACAAGAGAAGAAGCGAGCAGCTAAAGAGGTCACTGATATCCTCTTCGAAATATCTCAGCTTTTAGTACGTTTGTTTCTTTCACGTCTCTAGACAATGTCTCTAACGTCTGCACCAGAATACCGGACTCGACCGCCATACGATACCAATGTGCGTGTCATTGATCGAGAACGGCGTTCACCCAGAAGCTGTGGCTGTGAGCGATCCACCTGAAAGTCCTTGCGTGTGTCAGAGCTAAAGATTGAGTCGCAGGCTGTCATCGAAGAGCTTAGAAAAGAAGGAGCGAAAGAGCAATAGGCAGGGGTTGTTGACTTGCACGGAGGATATGGCAGTATGAGAACAGCGTATGATGCAGATTTATGGCAACAGGCTTGAGAAAGTCATTGTGAAACTGCATGAATTCAGCGGTGTTTCCAAAAGGGTTGCCAATAGCGCTATGGACGCCAGGACGCTGAGAAGGCCATCAACATGCCACCCGCACATCACGCAAAGGAGTTCTGTGAGATCATGACTTTTTGACCAAGTCTTCCGTCGTCTTGTCTCTCTGTCCGAGGCTCCCACTCCGGTCATGCGGCTCCAGCTTCTTACCATCACCAGGTCCTATATCGCCAGCCATAGCTTCCGCAGCAGCTTGCTTCAGTCTTTCGGTATCCTCAGATTTCACGTCATTCTTTTTGGATTCCTCGTCGTCACTATCACCAAGACTAAACGGGTCGTGCTCGGCGACAGGGCTAGGATCGGCAGCCGCCAGAGGCTGCCACTTGCTATTCTTTCCACCCGCGCCTGAGCCGGGGCGGTTGAGGGGCGATGGTGACTTGGGATAATGAATGTCTATCTCTTCTGGTGGACCATCTTGGAATGATACTCGGCGCCCCGCGTTAGACGGAGGGCGTGGCGTGGGTTTGAAGAGATCTGGATTTGCTTGCGGTCGGCTAGATCGCCGCTCTGGGTGTGCTGGTCAATGTCAGGTCAAAGTCCTCGCAATTTAGATGAATCTCAAGCGAACCTTCATTATCGTGTAAATGCAGACCAGCAAAGTCATCCCCAATGACTTGCGGGTCAGCGTCGTACCGTTCTCGATCTGTGCTTCTTCTACCGAATTCGCTACTTCGTCGGGAGCCGTATGTGTTTGGTTGGGTATAATTTTGCGCAGGAACAGCTGGTGCCTTCTGGAAGTCATCTTCATCTTCGCCATCTATCTTCTTTTTCAAAGTCGTGACCCATTTGTTGAAATTGTTTTGAGTCTCGAGGAAACCTTTCTTGATGTTGTCCCGTATCACGGGTAGATCGTCTGTAGACATTTAGTAAAGGCAACCCAAACCTTTGTACAAACTTCTGACCATCAAAAAAGCTGTGTTCTCTGTCCTCATCGTCGTACTGATTCGGTGGAGGTCGCTCCTGCCGCTGAGGTTGCCCTCGACGCTGTTGCTGAGGAGCGGTGCCATACGAATCGGCTCCGTTGTAATGCTCCGCTAGCTGCCGAGCATATCTCTCGTCAGCCGCAAGCTGGTCTTCTTCTGCCGTTGTAGGCGGCTGCTGTCTCCTTGGAGGTTGTGGAGGGGCAGCAGGCTCAGCAGCGTCAGGGTCGGACATGCCGAGGAGCGCATTGAACGCGGGTTCCACTCTGCCACCACTGGCGCGCAAGACTGCCTTAATGACAGAGGCATCGATGGCTGGGAAGGCTTCCTTGAGAGTATTTTCTGCTTGCTGCTCTGGAGCTAGCGGCCGCGGAGGTTTTGGGGGAGCAACATCCTCGCCAGATCCTGGATGGGGGGTAGGTTTAGAAGGTGTGGACTTGTTAGGAGGTGACGAAGGGGCATCGGCAGTATCGTCATCGAAGTCTAGGGCTTTGGCGGTCGTAGGCGACTCGGGGTGGGGCTCAGACTTCTGGAGGCCCATCAACAGGCTGGTACAGCATCCACCTTGAAGAGTTACATACGGGTTTCTCAGCATCTGCCATTCTGAGCGGGAGATGATACTCCTTCTCCTCAGTTCAGACTTTGGTTCACAGATAAATGACTGCTCAGGTTCGGTATAGTGATTTTCTGTTAAAGGTAGTTGGAAAAGTTGTTGGCCATGAGGAACGTAGATGCTGGTGTGGCGCCGGGGCTGTGGCGGTGTGGGTTTTTGAAAAGGGGTTTTCTGACTGCTTAATTGTCACCGACCTCTTACACATCACATTTCTCCACGACAGACTTAGATATTAGGATGGAGCTAAGTAACTTGATACGTTCGAATTCCAGAATGTAGATTCAGATGTAGGTTGAGCAAGCTAGAGGTGGAAGAATGGCAGCGGATTTTGACCTTTCATCCTCGTTCATCCCAGCATTGCACAAGCCATCTTCTCTTCTTCCAATAGCGCGCCATCGTAAGAACATTCTGTATTTGATAGATACCTTCCCTGTCACCATAATTGTTGGGCAGACCGGAAGCGGAAAGACAACCCAGGTTCCTCAATTTTTAAATCAAGCACGATGGACTGCAGACGGGAAAGTGATCGGGGTCACCCAAGTACGTGAGTTCGTTCCAGTCAAACAGTGAAGACACTACATCTCACAAAATATAGCCTCGCCGTGTCGCTGCAACAACAGTCGCCGCTCGAGTAGCGGAGGAAGTTGGCTGCAAGCTTGGTGAAGAAGTAGGCTACTCGATCAGATTCGAGGACCTCACTAGTGTCAAGACCCATATCAAATTCGTGACCGATGGTTTATTATTACGCGAGGCCTTGGCTGATCCTCTCCTATCCAAGTACTCTGTTGTGATGGTAGATGAGGCGCATGAACGATCGCTGAGTTCTGATATTCTGCTTGGCGTCTTGAAGAAGATCCGGAAGAAGAGGCCAGACTTACGCATTGTTGTCAGTAGTGCTACGTTACAAGCTGAGGGTATCCTCAACTTTTTCTCGAGCAAAACGCACGCCATAGATGGAAGCGACACACAGCTAGCCATTGGCAGAATAATCAGTCTTGAAGGACGAATGTATCCCGTCGACATTCACTACCTCAGAGACCCAGCAGAAGACTACTTAGAAGAAGTCGTCAAGACAGTGTTCGAGATTCACTCCAGCGAGCCAGAAGGCGACATTCTCGCCTTCCTGACCGGCCGTGAAGAAATCGACGTCGCCCTCAAGATGATCACTGACCGTTCTCTCGCTCTCCACCCAAAAGCCCCGTCTGTCCTGGCTCTTCCACTCTACGCTGGGCTCACAAGCGAGCAACAGCTTTCCGTCTTCGACCTTGCCCCGGAGAACACCCGCAAGGTGATTGTCTCGACAAACATTGCTGAAGCTTCCGTGACCATAGACGGCATAATCTATGTAATTGATTGCGGCTTCGTGAAACTTCGTGCCTACAATCCTCTCACAGGGATTGAAACGCTGACTCCCACCCCAGTCTCAAAAGCTTCAGCGATCCAAAGAGCGGGACGCGCTGGCCGCACAAAGCCGGGAAAATGCTACCGTCTCTATACCGAAAGGGCTTACGACGCGCTCACTGAAGCCACGGTGCCCGAAATCCAGCGCTCAAACCTGGCGCCTGTGATTTTGCAGCTGAAAGCTCTGGGTATTGACAACATTCTCCGCTTCGATTTCCTTACTCCGCCGCCAGCGGAACTTGTCACTCGCGCACTCGAGCTCTTGTATTCTCTCGGCGCTCTCGATGATTACGCCAAGCTCACTCGGCCAATAGGTATCCGGATGGCTGAACTAGCGGTTGAGCCGATGATGGCGAAAGTCCTGCTGGAAGCACCAAGCATGGGCTGTTTGAGCGAGATCCTCTCCATAGCCGCGATGACCAGTCTGCAAGGCTCGGTATGGTTCGAAGGTAGCGATGGACGGAAAGGGCAGGAAACGAGTAGGAGGAAATTTGCGGCTGAAGAGGGCGATCACTTAACATTGTTGAATGTCTATGAGACGTTTATTACGAAAGGAAGGAAGGAGAGCCGATGGTGCAGGGAGAATCATCTAAACTTCAAGAGCATGACAAGGGCTGTCAGTGTGAGGAACCAATTAAGACGGTATCTGGAGCGGCTGGGTGTACAAGTGGAGGAGTCACTGGCCCCTGGACAGAAGCAGAAAGTGGACGGCAATGATCGAGCGGTCCGAATTAGGAGATGCTTGACCACGGGATACTTCGTGCATGCGGCGAGAATGCAACCGGACGGGACTTTCAAGACCGTGAATGAGAGTGTGACATTGCATGCGCATCCAAGCTCGCTCATGTTTAATCGAAAGGCGGACTGGGTAATTTTCCATGAGCTTATGGAGACGGGGGAGAAGACCTTTATCAGGGATGTCACCAAGATTGAGAAGAATTGGCTGTTGGAGGGGGGTAGCGGGGAGTACTATCAATTAAAAGATGGAAGCAGGTCAAAGACAGCCGGTGTGTAACAGGCAGTCATGATGGCTGAAATCAGCTGGGGCAAGACGGAGAAATCCAAATGCAGCAACTTTGTCATGATTGTGATTCAACATTCGCCAATTCCTCTGTACTATCATGCCGTTCATGAAATTGCGTTGTTTGTTATTAGGCTGCATTTCCCAGCCTTCGAGACTCCAGAGTATGCATTACAAAACATCCTGATGATGATCCCAATCCAGTTACAATCGAAAATCAAGCCATGAGCTGATACTGTGCTGAACACCAACGCTATGATGTACAATATCGGTCCTGTAAACCCTAATTTGGTCGAGGTGAGTACCACAAGAAAGCATAGAAACAGGCCCAGAGAAAAACTCGATTTGGTCACTCAATACCATCCGTTCTTTCTCTAAAGATAGGTGGAGCATCGGGTAGTTGGTTAATCCTCTTTTTGACGAATTCGAAGCTTGAGAAAAAGATGGTGTTGATTAAGCACGAGCGAGCCATTGACACGCCGATCCCCGAGTACATGTTGCGCTTGAAGAATTCGATCTTTGGCACGGTTACCTTCTGACCCTTCGGCGTGGAAAGGCAGTTACGTTGGTAGTGGGTTTTTGCAGTATCGATGGGATATATCTGTTGAGGTCGTGGTCAGCAAAACTCGAATCAGGATCTAACGTAAGGTATGGATAGACATGTGGCGGATCACATAGGGAGGTTTGACGTACACAAGCCCACGAAACCAGGCCACAAAACCCTCCAGCAACAGCAACGGAAAGTGGAGAGGTAGGTGAGTCGCTCTTTTGAATCTTGACTAGCATTTGCTTTGTGCTCTCATATGTAGTGAAGTATATGATCGTGCCGATAGTGTCTCTAAGGAGATGCAAACTAAACCCAGAGTACATCCCGGAGAGGCCGCGGTTGGTAATGATGTTTTTGGCTGTGAGAATGGTGCCTTTTCGCTGGTAGCTTGACTTCAGTACTGGGTCCTCCATGCTGGAATGGTTACGATTGGCCATCAGAGTGGATATCTGGGCAGACATTTTGGTGAGCTCAAAAGGACCTGAAAGATTATCAGTCCAGAAAAAGACCAGTAAGCTTCCCTTTACCCACAAGCTACAAAAGTGATTAGGGCCCCTGCTGTTCCCCCGGCGGCACCAAAACATGCCATTGTTGCCAGTGTTGGGGTGCTACCTGGTCGATTGACTATGACTAAAGGTTCATCGCCTCCTGTGGCCCTTCCAATGGCTGCCGAGTACTTGTACTTCGCTTTTTGGTAGATTGAGAATGATGTGGTCCTCACAAGAGTAACACTGAACATTGGCGCAAGTGCACCTAGAATCGACATTCGATTATCCTCTATATCTCACACTCACTGCACCGGACGTACCTCTCCAGAAGCCCTTCAACTTTTCCGTCCGATACGTGTGGGTGACGCAGTCGACAACAGATTTGTAACGATAGCTGACTTGGGTCAGCCAAAATGCTATTGAAGAGTCATGGTGAATATCATACGCCTGCATACGAGTTTTGACGGAGTCAAGGGGGAACTACTCGGGGATGTCAGCCGGCTTTTCCAGCGGAAGAGCTTCAGTACGCACTGCGGACAAGGTGCTCATTATACTACTAGTACTACTAGCTATCATGGTTCGATGTGATTTCGCCCAGGCCGCCGTCTGGTCAGACATGGGGATGATTCCAGATGGCACGTGATCAAGCGCAACATCTCCGCCGCCGGGCGCGGTGGTCCGCTCGTGTACTCCTGGCATGCTCATTTGTATGTTTTCGACTATATGCTCAGCCAGGGCTAATTGGGCTGCGCTTGCAGGCTATTCGCGGCGGAGAGGGGGCGGACCAGGACCATATGCAATCCATGAGGCTAGCTTTAGGTCATCAACGTCGTCAATGGGCCTGGTCCGTTTGGGACAAGCAATCAGCGAGAGGACCAGAAGGGTAAGAGGGAGATGCGGCGGCGAATTGTAAGCTGGTCGTTCCTTTCCTGATGATGCCTGCCCACGCGACGGTCGAGAAGCAGGCGGGGGGTATGAAGGTGGGGTGGAGAGACAAAGGAGGGGCGCTGCAGGGCGGATAGTGGAGGAGCACTCTGCATGGAATCATGCAAGATCGACTCGGTGGGAATATATCGAGGTTCTAAATGATACCAGAACGGGGTGAGGAAGCACACGAGCAGGACAGGAATGAATAAGACTAGAGGAAAGGAGGGTGTCGAAGGAGTAGAATGGCTGACGCAACTATAGGTACTCTATACTGCGTCAACGCGGCTTTGATTGGCCGTATTCCCACTAGCGTCTCAAGAAGAGATTTCCCAGCGCTAGTCTCCATGGGGCACCGAGGCACTGAGGAATATGAAAATATGCATCAAGAGGTAGATTTGTGGAATGGAGACGACGATGCATTCTACATGTCAATCGTCTCGTTGAATCGGAGAATCCCATTGCCCCTCAAAATCCCGTCAACGCCGTCAGGCATCTGACGTCCATGTTCTCCTGCTCCACTTTGCGGCCCTTCTTGTGATGTGTCCATCACAAGAACCAGTCCTGCCACCTTGATGGATCCAATCAGGGACGGTACCATTTTCTGTTTCAAACTGTCAATATGGCACATGCTTCCTCGCCGGCGTGGAAGCGCGATCAACTTACCAGTAGCCACGAACTGCAAACAAGCCCCATGAAATTACTGTTTTGCGCCATCCTGACCATTTCCTTGACCGACATCGATTGTTGCCCATTGCTAGCGACCGAGAAAGTCGGACATGCCGCTTGCGCCGGGTCCGCCTCACCCATGACTTCAAGCCCGTTGCATAAAAGCACCGGATCTGTTCAATGAGTCAGCTACTTGTTCGCTTCCAGTAAGTTCAAGACCCAACTATACAATTTGGCTGCTTCCAATTCAAGGCCGTACAAATGTCGGGGTTGTAGGATGAGAAGACGATGGAGCGCACAAAGTCTGGCGTCTGCTCTCTGGTAATCCGAGTATGCTCGAAGACCGCCTTGAGAATAGCATCAACAAAATTGTTGATGTTGGGGCTGGGGCTAAGCCCTAGCTCTTGCTCTTGGGAAGCTGTCGGGAACAGTACTCGAATCTCTAAATGGATGCTTGTTGGAAGGTGTGATAGCACATCTTTTAGACTTGCAAATGACGAGGCGAGAAGGTGGTGGATCTCAATGTTGTCCTCGGGTGTTTTCCGTGCAATGCTGGCCAGCAGCTCATCCTGGTTGATATCTCGAAGGCCGAGATTCGAGTACTGACCAAACCTCAATCTGCTAATAGGCACGTCCAATCCCTGATGATCAACGCACCACTTTGAATACAGCACAGGAATCCCATCTCCTGTGACTTGGACAAAGAGCTGTACGTAATTTCCTGACAAGCTAGAGCCAGTTATGAACCCATTTGGGTGACTATCGATCTGACTTGTAGCTCTCCAGTAGGTAGCAAAGGTTGTGACGTCTAATGGCATGCTTTGAAACGGCTTGATGACCTGAAATGCAAAGCTTATCTGTCCAATAGGCCGCAGACGAAGGTCAAATAAGGGTAAACAGCAAGAGCCCGAGCTGTGTGCTTGCGCCGTAAAAAGGGCCGGGAGTGCAACACTTCTCGCAATGACCTTTGATCCAAACGTGGGATAGATGTCAAAGTCGATCGAGAAGGAGCCGAGGACATCAATCTGAAAAGGGACGACTCGGGCGTCTTCTTGTATAGGAAGCATGATATTGCGAGGAATGACGTCGCAAGACTTGGAAGAAATTGTCAGACGTGCTGCCGGGTATTTGCTGTCATGGTAGAAAATGATTGCGTCGGACCCTGTCGTTTCGAAGCTCAGTTGTATGAAGGTTTTATTGTCCAGAAAATTATGGCCGTAACGCCGAAGTGGTATTATTGGAGGAGGCAGTGACAAGTCTGGGATTCCGTCCCCTCCAGTAGGCTCAGCAATTATATCCTCCGATAGTGGAAGTGATGATGTCTGCCTGAGACGAGGCTGAGGTCCATCTGTGGATTCTTCTTCCAGGTTGAGGAGCCTCATGCAGCCTAGGTGGCCTTCCCAAGCAGCGTAATACATCGCGGAACAGCCTTTCTCATCCAAGATCGTCGTATCGACACCTTGATCTACAAGAACTTGTATACAATCGACCTGGCCTTCAGAAGCTGCGTGGAACAAAGGTGTCCATTGGTAGAATTTATCTCGTTGATCAAGATCTGCGCCATATTTCTCCAATAGAAGCAAAGTCTCTGGGTTCTGCCCAGATCTGGCGACAAGATGCTGTGGATACAGTCCCTCAGCGTCCGGCAATAACTTTGCAGTTTGTTCTAGTAAGAGCTTGACAATAGCGGTCCGACCGTACTGACAAGCCAAGTTTAGCGGCACATGGTCCGATTCGTTCTCTGGATCAAGACAAGCACCGTATTTGAGAAGCTCCTGCACACAATCTAGCTGATTATGGGCAATGGCATGTATGAGTGGTGTAAATTTGTCGTGGTCCGACTCATTTATCGTCCGAGGGTTCAGCCGTAGCAGTTGCTGTACCATAGCTACTCGACCCATGATACAGGCGTAGTGCAGTGGTATTCTTCCATATACATCTGGCCTAGAAACATCAATTCGATGTGCAAAACCTATTTGCAAGGCAGCTTGATTGCCGGAAATAGCAGCTTCATGCAGGCAATTCCTTTCATTAACTTCATCTTCAGCTTGTATATCTACCAAACCGCTTGACAAAAGGAGGGCCAATGAGGTCTCTGATGCATCAGGAATTGCAGCCAGAAATATCCTCGTGAATCGGTCTTTGGCGTCAGGAGGTGTCAGCAAGCGAGTGATCCAGTCTTGAAGGGTAGAGATGTTGCTGTTGATTGCGGCTTGCAAAAATTGTGCATCGATATCATCATTGTCAACGCTGACCGCCTGACCCGTCACCGTGTACTCAATAGGTCTATTTGGCTCGTACCGGATGTTTTCACCTTCAGCCCAGGCAGTAAGTTCTTGGATGCTAGTTGTTGCTTGATCCGAAAGATCGCTAATCACGTCGCGATTGAAGCATGGTTGGACTTCCACAGCGCGGGATAGATAAAGCTCCTTGAAGCGTGACTGACCCGCAATCAGTCAGATCAAACGAGAAAGCCTTGATTCTCACCTTGGAGGTCTTGTCCCACTGGCGTCTGTTAATAACAATGTCAGAGTTTGCAAATATCACACACCTTCTTTAGTATCTTTGAAAAGGCTGTATTATTGATCTCGACGAATTGCTAGAGTACGTCAGACGTGTCAACCGGTTGATCAGAGGTATATTCACCTGCAACTTATTGAGATCGTTGCAGAACAGCTGAAAGCCTTCTTCTACTACGATAAAGCTGGCTGAGACTTTAGAGCGTGTGTTCGTCCTTCCCTGCATTAACTTCTTTTTATCTAAGAGAGTCTTCAGACGGAGCTTAAGCTACTGAGAAGTAAGCATCGCGGGCAGAATGTACAGCAAGATTCGCGCGGACCTCAGCTTCCTTCTGCAAGTAGAACGCGTTGACTTTTTCTAGCTCACGTTCCTTGAGGCCTTCAGCGACTTCCCACTACTGCTCAAATCTGAATAACAAACCAGCCGGAAAAAGAAAGCTGCTCTATTGGCTTGCAGCGTCCCTTGTGGGTCCTGGCTCTCCTGAACCTGGGATAACGCATTTTGAGGAAGAATTGGTGGTGTTACACTTAGATATTTGATGAGCTATGTATTAATTAGCTCGACATGCATAATTGACAGTCGCCGTCGAAACTTGGTTCAACCTTTTTGAGCGCCTTGTAGTTCACGAAACTCGTGGCATATTCAGGGACTTCGAGTTGCCGTTTTTGGAGGTGCTTGCCGAATTTCCTTGATGAAGCTGATTGTTAGGTGTGAAATAATGTGACAGCATGAGAAAAGAAGGCCGATGTATGATCAAGATGCAACATCATATTCAGTTGACGTACATTATAGCTGCTTGATGGTTGGTAGTTGGTGCTTGGTGCTTGGTGCTTGTAGCTAGTATCTCTATCACTTCCTAGACTAATGTCCCGAGAGGTAGGCGAAAGGAGAGCTCAGGGCAACCAAGTCCCAATGTTCCTTTCACGTCCCAGCCATTACTATGCATGCAAGTGTTGCGAAAGGCAGAGCAGAGCTATGGTATTGTTGGGACACTGACACACGGTATCAAGATTGAGACGAGGACCAATCGTTTTGCCTTTTCTGTGGCGACGCCAATCGTGATATTCCCGACCTGTAAAACTTCAACAGGTCCCACCATTTTGGATGGAAGGGCGACTGGAAGGAATTCATCGCTATTGCTGCTGTTTTGATGCAACCAATTTGGACCATTTGGTGCATTCAGTAGGTGCAAGGTAAATGTACCAATCATCGAATTGAACGCTGTCACGTTTTTCTTGCTAGAGCGTACCCTAACCAATTACGTGAGATCGCAGTGCAGTAGATAAACGCAATTTTACAATCTTTCAGAATGCTTTTAGAATCAGCAAACACTTTCGTGGGAGAACACTCAGTATGTGATTAGTCTATCGACAAAGCGTTGTGAGTTAAGACGGCTACACGCCAGAGAAGCTGTCCTTGATATATACATCGCCACCTCACCTTCCTTTCAAGCCATTTCCTGAGCAGTTCTCCACCGTCATTCGCTAATTATGATTCCCAAAAATCGTACTCCGTCGCCGCGATATTGAGGAAAGAAATGAACTTCAGCGAGATAAGCCCGTCGACTTCTGTTCTGTCGGATATTTCATGTACCACTGCAAGAAGATAAACCACAGAAAGATTGTTGATTAGTATCGAAACCCCAGGGCGGCACCATGACCAACTCCACCCCAGATCCGAGCTGTGCAGGAAATGAACGCCGTAGAAATATGCTCGGGTATCAGACCGGTCTAAAAATTTTGTGCGATGCCGGCACTTCCCTGGGGAGGTAGGACTGAAGGATTCTCGATCCGTGTATTTCTTCGAGCTGGAACATCCCGAATCACTGGTTGCGCACCACCGTAGCTACCGTCTCCATACGGACCATGCTGCGGCATTCCTTCATCATAATATAAACCGTCGTTGTAATATTGCTGCCCAGGTGCACCTCCAGGTATACCTCCCTCGCCTGAGGTGTCCGACCTGTGAGCGTTTGAATATGCGGAAGACGCATTCGACGGTCCACGGTTGATGTTGTTCTGGCGGTTGTCATTCGATGGCACTGCTCCAAGAGCACCAATAGTCTCAGAGTCTCCTGTCAGTGGTCGTCCATTTGGCGAATTGCCCACAAGCGGATCATTAGAGTGTGCGTCTGAGCTTTTGTTTGTCCCTCCTGTGGGTGAACCATTGGCATATCGGCCAGTGTCGCTACCGCTAGTAGATCTTGCAACACCTATGGGACCATTTCCACTCGACAGTGTTGTTGAAGGTTTTCGTGCCGTGGACGTTGTACCCCAACCTCGATAGCCCGAGCCGTCTTTCTGTGTCATCTCACCCTCATCTCCATTGCTGCTAGCGCCACCAACGACTGGTAGTGTGGGATCGTTGTTGGGATTGAATCCATATTCTTCGACCTCTTTTCGGCGAAGGTCTTCCGCCTCTTTCCTTTGTTTTCTCTTACGCCAGAAAACTATGGCAAGCAGGACGATTATAGCGACAGCGGCAACAGGAACCACTACAGCGACAGCGATCTTAGAGCCAGCAGAGAGCCCTCCAGGACTAGGATTGGTAGTCGAGCTTGCAAGAGCTGCGGATCCTGATTTACTTGTTGATGACGACGATGCTGTGACGGTGCGGGTCGCCGAGTCTGTAGGAAATCTTTGTCCAGATGCTGTTGATGTTCGTACGACAGTTTGCGGTGCTAGGGTGGACCCCGCAGCATTTGACTCAATGCTCGTAGAAGCGGCAGTAACCACGACGACTGACTGACTTTGGGTAACAGTACCTGCATCTGCCGCTGAGGTTAATGGCGAGGAGCTCGATGGAGCGTTGATTGTTGATTGAGGTAATGATGTAGTCGTGACCGCAACAGAGCTCGGAGAAAGTGTTGCAGAGTCTTGAATTGACGAGACTGCTACAGGTTGACTGACGGGCTGAGCTGGACCCGAGTTGAAGATACCTAGATACCCGATTAGATCAGAGAGCCATTTTCGGGCCTTTGCTGTATCACGAACCTGTTTGGTTACTGGGAGAAGACATTGTAGGATTGGAAGCCAAGTCCTCAGCAGGTCGATTAGACGGCGAAGGCTGGCGGACTCTCGATACTGATCAAGCCAGATTGCTTGGAGCAGCAAGTCAATGCGCCCGTAGATGTTGTGCGATGAAGAGCGATGGATGATGGATGATGGCAGTGAGAATTGTGTGGGTTTCAATTCGTGTTGCTGGTTCAGAATCTCTTGGTCGCAAGCCTCTGATCCGGCCCACAATTTGCCGCTCCTCTTGCCCTCCTGCCGCCCCACCTAACCGACTTCAATTGTGATACCAGGAATCACCTTCAAGATTTCCTCAGATGCGGTCTGGGGAAGGACTCGGTCTTGGGGCCCGATAGAGCTTTACTGACACTGCGATGGCGGAAGACAGACGGATGAAAAATGGAAATTACGCTGACTAGTTCTTTAGTTCTAAGGGGACGAGGGTAAGCGCGCTAACTTTGTTTTGGAAATACGAGAGGAGCTTGCCCCTTTTCAACCTAGGTGGCGACGGTATGGCTTATTTTACAGCACCATGCAATCATCAGGTGTTGATGTGTTATTGTACAATGCTCGTAAGCCCGAACGCCATCCATGGAGCACATTCGCAGTGGCGATCGTTTTTGGTACTTTCATCACTCCAACGGGGCTTTGAAGTCTTACCTGCAGGCATCACATAGCAAATGCTTCGCCATACCTGGTACATGTTTTGGTATCACCCTGGAAATTCATGCGATTCCACACCATGACCATCTCCAAGCCTGAAAGAGATCTGTCGCAATAGATCATCCGAGCAAGAACCATGACAGGACGTGCTAGCGGTTGACTCTGTTGATTCATGAGCTGGATTTCTGGTCGCCAATAGCTAGTTTATACATCAATGTCCAGTATTTTGTTGACGCTGATCTTCATTGTCGACGTCCACGATGTGGTCGTGGTTCTGGTTGCATCACGGTCGCCCTTCCGATCGCTCACACAGTCAAATCATTCACGCAGTCGCTCTCAACGGTTCTGTTGTAACTTGGGCCTCGGAAGTCATCAACGGTATGTTAGGCCACGGTTTTTTGATGGCGTCTGATAGCTTCACGAGACACCCTTTAGGTCCGGGCACACATCCTAAATATGTCGTTAGCTTGATGTAGGCGAGCATTATTGAGTATCCTACCATTGAGCACAACGATGCCTTTCTCGTCATCAATCCGCATCACCTTAACATTTTGTAATGTCACTTGATGATTGCCCATCTTCCCCGGCATTCTCTTTCCAGGTAGGACTCTAGAGCCACCACCTTGTGACTGCCCGACCGAACCCATAGCTCTGTGAGTCAATGACGTGCCGTGAGAAGCTGGTTGTCCACTGAATCCGTGCCTCTTCATACCTCCGGCAAATCCCATGCCTCGTGAGTTGGCTCTTGCGTCTACATACTGTCCTTCTTGAAACCAATCGGCTCCGATCTGTTTGCCAACCTCCAGGAGTCCATTCTCATCTCGTACTTTAAACTCTACTAGGTGCCTTTTTGGGCTCACGCCATGCTCTGCAAAATGACCCAGCAGTGGCCGAGTCACATTGCTTGGATGTTTCCACCCTAACCCAACCTGTACAGCATAGTATCCGTGCTTCTCTTTCCGCTTGTGGGAGACAACCTGTACCCGATCTAATTGAACAACGGTGCACGCATGGCGACGGCCAGTTTCCGTGTCATATATGGCGGACATACCCTTCTTGATGGCCAATGCCCCCGAACGTAGTGGCGTGGAATGTGCTTTGCGAGCTAAGGCGGCATCTGTAGAGGCTTCTAGTCTTGGAAGCCCGTTGCCTTTATTAAAGCGACTCTGTCGAGGTTTGGAGATGGATTTGATACCACGTTTGGTAGGTATTTCGAGATGTAGACGAGGAAGAAGAAATGCTGGAGGGGGCTCAAGGCAGCCTTTGAGGATTCTTATATTCATCATCGGACCCTTGAGCATCTGAAGGTTGCTAATTGAAGACTGATGATAAAAATGGGACACAAGCGTGCCAAGACCAAAACTCCACCAAGGACTTCAATTGCTCTACCATAGGGTTTCGACCACACCTCACATCCTTGCATTTTGATGAGTTGAGACAATTTGTTCCAGTCGCAAAGCTCTCTACGGACTAATGGCAGAGGAAGATCTGGAAGTATACAGCTCTCCTACATAACTTCACGTCTACTTCATGAGATCATTCCTAAAGGATCGAGCCTCTACTCCTTTCATGGCGTGTCCTAGTATGATGCTAGCGCGCAAGCACCCTGACATCTTGCTTCTTTAGATTCTCCATATCGTTCTCACCTGCCTTCAAATCTCCTTCGTCAAGGAGTTATCAGTCAAAGTGTTCCGATTTCCTAAGCAGGTTCGTCTTGAAAAACAAAGACCGCCTCTGAAGATACCATTCAAGCTTGTGCTCCTTCGAACTAATCATCGTCATCGGTCTCAACGACGGATGTTGAACGAGCTACGAGTTTGTCGGAGTTGCTGTGGAACGTATAAGCCGTAGATGCCCTAATATCGGACGCTCGCGTTAGAGGCTTTGTGTGTGCCCTAGTATGACCCTCTTGAATTTCCAATTTGCTGTGCTGGATCAGGTCTGCCCTCATCAAGCAGCTGGATGACTCTTCCATCCTCCCTTGTCAAGCTCCATACAGTGGTCTCAAACTGAAATGCCGAGTCTGTTAGCAGATGATTTGAAAATAAAAAAAGATAGCAGCAAATGCTTCTTCAGACGCACAAATCCCAACCTGGTGTTGCGCTCGCTCTTGAATCTCATTGTGCCCGACCCTTTAGTTCCCTTAACACCGAAATGGATGTCAATTTTTCCGTGCAGCTGATTCAATTCCCCCCAGATCCACGGCCAGTAGTCACGGAAATGAATTTCATCTCCCAGCTCTTTCCTTCCTGTTTGACTTGTTCGTAAGGCATATAGAGTTGCTGCAACTACGGAGGAGGACTGTTTCTGATAGTTGAAAATCCCAAGGGCGGAAAGGGTGATTGCCGCAATGAACAAGGGCAGTGTACGTAGCCAGATGCGATAGGAAGAGACTGGAGTGGGGAGTTCACGATCGCTGCGGCGTGACGTGAGAACGCTGCCTGGTCGGGGAGCAGCGATCAGAGTGCGACTTGGGGCGGTTCGAGCAAAGCCATGGCTTTTGTACTTGTGTGCGCGCAATGCAGATGGGCAAATGATTTCCCATGACTTTCTGGGAAGCCAATGAGCCATCGTTGTAAGGAGGATTTGAACGTCAAAAAGATCGATGAAGCATGCCGTCGCACGAAAGAGGTGTTCTTCAAAGGGTAGGTGCACGCTATGGTCGTGTCTGCACTAGCGCCATCTTGTTTAGATATAAACGAATGACTTGAACGCTAATCACCTACGGTTAATATGACAGCTTCAAGGCTACGAAAAACATACAAATATCCTTTGGATTACAGCGACGACGATGACATCCCTCTTGAGCTAGACGAGGAAGGTACTCTCGATTCAAAGCATCTAGAAATAGTTGACCCTAAAATGAGGTGTAGAGCAAGAAAAGCTTATTCAACGGCTGAGACGACCAGATCAGGACCACAATGACCGATACAAGGTGAATGCAATTCTTCATGTCGTTCGTTATTGATTCGCAACCACAGCGAGTTCTCCTTGGCCTTTCTTTCATAGCAGCAGCCTTTTTCTTTCCGTCTCTCCTCACAACCCAAGTCTACAGAGTCAAGCTTTTATGCCTGCTCAGTATCTCGTCTCTCTTAATGAGCGCCAGTACCATCTTCCTCGATTCTACAGCCTATGTCTACAAGGGATCGTCCGTGACTGCTGTGTCAAACTCGTCGGACACTTCAAGGCCGAGGATCACACGCCTCAATGGGGTCTTAGGTCTGGTTATAGGAGTCAATGGGTATGTCTTGACGAGCGAGATTGGCGTTCCAGACTACTTTTGGACACTGTGTTTGCTCCCTATTGGTCAGTATTTAGCTCATGCGAAAGGGCCAGATGCTCACTTTGACCACAGCAATCTTCTCGATAACCGAGTTTTCGTTGCAGTCAATAGCCGCCGTGTCCATGGAGATTGATGAACTAGAACGCCTCAGGTATGACTATAAAGGGGCATAGCTGTCTCAATTCTTTCATCGGAGGTAATAGAGGCTATCAAGCTTTCTTGCTGGATCGACGGGTAGACACATGTTCATGCTTTGATTGAGCATCTTCAACGTCACCTTCATATGGTCGAGTGTGGATCTGCGGATTTCCAGCTCCGTGCTCTTTGCAACTTTCTGACTAGTCCACATCAGCCCTGTCGCGGATTATGCAGGATTGGTTCATTACCTCACGGGCGGTGGACTCATCCAGTAGAACCACACATGTAACAGGTTCTTGACCATTCGATGTTCCAAGCCGGTGGCTTTGGCCGCATGCTTCAAAAAATTTACCGTGTTGTTGACCTTCTCGGTATCGAAATCCTTGGCTTTGTTCAGACGAAATTCAGTATTTATAAGTGTTCTCAGTGTATGCCGTGCTGGGGACGAATACTGCACAGCTTGCAGCGAGGCACGATAGATATGGCGATACGCATTCAAGACTGCATTGCTGTGCATTTGGCTTCTTCGTGGGAATAGATTCGAGAGACCTTGAAGGACCGAGCGGAACTACCTGAGTAGGCTGAGAATGAGCCAATTGAAGGCACATCATGGCCGCGCGGCTGTGTTGCTGACCAAGTCTAGCGCAATCGGGAACAAACGCCCTTCGTTTTCTTCAAAGTCCATCTGCTTCATTCCTGCGACATCTTTCCCCAGCATTTTCCGGAGCCTATCCATACGTGTCAGCCCTTGCCCACAATGGCCATGCTTCGTGCTGTCCCACAATGCGTATCGAAAGATCCGAACTGTTGTCTCTTCGTATAGGTTAGAAGAGGCCAACGTTGGCCTTCCTTCTAAGCTGCGTGTCCCTATTGCATATACATGCTTTTTGTGTCCTTTATTTCCTCTCATCGCAAAATCATCCCAAGCACTAACACAGCAGGTCAAAGCACCATGGCTCCCGTACACAGGAAGCGTGCTGCTTCGGTCGCGAGTGGGACATCCCGACACGAGCAGGCCGGACGCAGGAGTGCACCCTATAAGGTCATCTTTGAAGAAATAACCCAGAAGAAGAAACTTCTCACATACGTATGCCTGCTTGCACACATTTTTAAATTGTGGCCCCCTCCTGATAACCGCTTAGCTTACGCATGATGTGAACCCTCCCCGTGGATACACTTTCATCCCAGCTGGAGATTCACAATTGAACAAGCGATGTAGGAAGTATTCAAAATATCTCGGATTGACTGTGTACATCGTATCGGTAAGTCTCGACGCCTTTCCGAAAATACCGTCCGGACAAGTCTCAAAACCTTCAGCCAGGAGCACGTTCAGCGATGGAACTTTCGAGAGAAGTCCATCGTATAGGGCACCATTTTCCCACATTCGTTGTGGACAAAGCCTGTCACAGTTTAGGTGTAACACTTACTACTACTGGTCGGGTAGCCCAATCTCAATTTGCTTTTTTGCAAGAGGACGTGCTCAGGGACAAGATGATCAGAGGTCATAGTAGGTTGAAGAAGAATAAGTCAAAGACACAAGGAGGACCATCAGGATTTGATTCTTCCTTGCCGCAAGCGATTATTGATTCCCAGGCTCGAGAAACCCTTAAGGATCTTTTCCCTAAGATACCTGAGCGCGATATGCACGAAATAATTTCTCGTGCCTTTGATAAGGTATGCTGGCGTCTTTAATGCTTCCTCTTTGTTTTGATTCTTTCTAGAACAAAGGTCTCGTCGGAACCGCGGAAGGAACTTCGCTTGTTCGGAGAGCGAATTTGGCCGTTGTAGCTCATATTCGGCACGTTTACACAAATTATGATGAGCTTCTGCAGTCTGGAACCCTCTGGCACGATGCTCGGCGTGGTGTTGAGCAGTTCACGCTTGACAAACTGGTTTCGTGGCGAGACGAGGACGATGGCGATGACAAGGATGATGACGTGACGGCAATGCTTCGAGAAGTAATAGTCATTTCAGACGATGAGAAGCATTTGCCGGCGTTCGAAAGCAGGCCCAGGTTCCACAACACGGCCTACCAAGCTAATGAACCCCCAGCTGAACTCCCACATGCGGGATTGATAGAAATAGAAGATGAGGATGACTCTGACGACGAAGATTATGGCACCTACACCAGAACCACAGAACGTGATCTTGACCACGAATTCCAGTACGATCCAGCTCGCAAAGTTCGACAAGACGAAGAAATGCACGCTAGATGGAACGCGGCTGTCCATCGTCACAAGCGCGACCCTAATCGAGCACATGTCAATGTAAGGAACGCCATCGGTGAGAAGGATCTCATAACACCATCCTTACCAGGGCCTACGAATGGTCTGAGGCCGATTCCAGGACTTGACGGTTATAATCGGTCTATCGTAGGAGTTGGAAAACAAACTGCCATCGTTGAGGGGAGCAAAGAGCCCGCTACCTTCTCACCGCCGCCAGTGAGTATCTTCAATAAATTTAATTCTCAGTGCAATGTTTGCGTGCTTCCCAATATCTTTAAATCCCCCGAGTCGCTAAACCAAATAGATTCAACATGCCACGATGTCACCCTTGAACAAAGACCTCCAGCGAAGCTTGGACCTGAATACGATCAATTCTTCTCAGACAAATGTCAAGACGCCAAACACGGTAGAAAGGTTTCACGACCAAGGCAGATTGTTTGTCGCACCTACCACAAATGATCGCCCTGAAGCTATGCAATCATCACGAACGTGGCAAACACTCCGTCCAGCTAGTATTCATGGAAATATCCTACCTTCGGTTGAGACTGAACATCCTGAAGCCTTGTCGACCCATGAAGGCCGTTTTGGTCATGTCAATCCAATGACGATGGGGCAATCACGTTCTCTCGAGTTGCGTGGGTTGGAGAGGCGACGCAATCATAGCATTAACGACAACTCCGCTCCATATCAGGCCGCGCAGCAGCACATTCCGCCTATTGATTCACACAGGGCCGTTCTTGTGCCGTTAGACCAATCCTTGAACAATGAGGTTGTTCATCTAGAGCCTATTGGGTTGCGTAGAAACGCCTCAAAGCAGGAAGCCGTCCCCACAAAATCACATCAGGCAGAACGATTTCAAGACGATCCTCGACAGATCCTGCTTCCACGAAATGAGACCAGCCAGATTGCATCTCGTGATGTCGAAGCGGCATGGACTTCGTGGGGAGGCTCGAATCCCTACCCACACCAGCTTCATAAACGATTGCATAACGCAGAACCTACTTCTGTATCTTCGCAAGCATCTGCGCCTGTCAGTATGCAACGATCAAAGCTCGTCCGTCTGTCGGATACCCTAGAATCGCAAACACAAGCAACGCGTGAGCCAAATTTAGATTGGGTACAAGACAATACACATAGCAATAATAGGAACGGTGGGCTGGCTCAGAGACGACAGGTGTTCTTACAAACAGATGAAAATGGTAGTCAAGGACCAAAGGCCACTGACCCACACGGATATGCTGGAAGACTGCTTGACTCTTACAATCATTCTGACTCTCACAATCCTATGGCAGCACTTCAAAATCGCCCAATCCAAGAAGTAGAAACATATAGGCAGCAGCCTAGGCTTGTCCGTCTTGGGGAGCACCAGGAACGAAGACAGGAATTTCCGTTGCAGCAACCTTTACAAATGACGCTGGCAGAGGGGCAGTCCCTCCCACGACAAATTAAACTTCCCACCGGAAATCCATTCGAGGAAAGACGAATGCAGCATCCTTATCTACTTGAAGCGTAAAAAGTCGAAATTCCTGCATGGACGACGTTGCACTAACAACTTCCATATAGTGACGAGATCGAGAGACCGCGATATATTGCACGACCTTCAGCAGCGATGTTGTACGAACAACCACGTTACTACTCCAATCGACCTCAAGAATACCTAGCACGGTATCCTACGTACGGGGTAGATGAAGTCATCACGCTTGATTAGCATCTCATACTGCACCTTTTCGAATCACAAAACACCATTTCAGGCGCCAAAATGGAGGCGTGTTTTTCTCGACTCTACAGCTTGAGAGCGACGTTTCACTTCCTTACACAATCACCTAATTTACGGTAATAGCCACAGCGCTGCAGGAGTGTGGAAGTGTAATGAAGGATGTGTATTAGTGTCACGGTCTTGTCTACGAGATGAGGCCCGTTGTTGTCCGCCGTCAAGCTTGGTTATGTACACCATTTGTACACTAGCGCATCTTTAGAACAACCTCGAGGGGCGATTTGGTCAGTACACGGAGCAATCTTGGCCAAGTCTGCAGGCCCGACTTTCAAAAGTGTGAGCTCTGCGTGCTGCGAGCGTCCTGCTCGTGTGGGAGGCATTATAATGCTAGAGCAGGAACAGCAACCATCAATCCGAGTGCACACTCCACTTATCAGATACAAAACGTCACAATCATGTGCAGAACACACTCATAGCCATCCCCATTTCGAGCGATCATAGCTCTCCAAAGGAGGGCCTCTCCATTGCTCCCCATAAACATTCGTTCGCTGGCCGGCGAAGAACCCATCTTGGGCTCGTGTAATGACATCCATCCAGGAGTTTGGCTCAGGGTAAGCCTTCCACTACTCAAAGCCTTAGCAAGTGCACATGACGAAGTATTTCACTGCGAGACTCACCTGATTGTGTATGTGATAAGCAAACGCGCCGCGGAAGAAATGCTCTAGTGATCTGTTGGTGCTTAGAGGCCAACTTTCTATATCTATCGCCTCTGGATGCACGCTCGGGGTCGTGTTGATGCCATTATGACCCCCGCTGTAATTAGTCCACTCTCTCCCTGCTTCCTCCACGACCTTGAGAAATACCGATTTGAAGTTTTTGTGACACGGGACTGTACAGACATCCGTACTCTTCCGCCTCAAATTTGTCACCAGCGGATCAAAGACTGCATTGTGCAGCATAGGCAGCTCCCCATTCTTCCTGTCCCTCCACAGCATATTTCCCAACACCCTTGGGTGATAATTCATACCCATACGCAGGCCACCGCGGAGAAGATAAGATGAGAGTGGGGAGTTGGCTGGGAGGGCGAGCACGGCGGTATTATAGTCGCCCGGGCTTTCTGCACGCTCGACCCATTGCTCTGCCCATGCTGCTTGCGTATCGAGCTCCGAGCCGGTTGGATCCGGAAGAAGGAGGGGGCGAAGGTCGCGTAGGAGAAGGACGTCCATGTCTAGGTAGACGCCTCCGTGGAGATGAAGGACCACGAAGCGGACAAAGTCGGATATCTGAGTTGGGGTCGAGACACGTTTATAGATGGGATTTGGGATGAGATAGACTTGGCCAGATTCTTCACGAACGACGCCGGTTGAGTCGACCTCGTTACTGCTGCCACTTCCAGCGATCGGAATACGTGCTGGTATAGACCATGGCTTCAAGACCATGTAGCCATGATGAATCAATGTCTCAAATCGCTGGAACAAAGCGTCATGATGGAGCATGCGGTCGATAGAATCAGGTGCGATGTCTGTGTCAAGCCAAATCCATAGACGAGAACAAGCAAGATGCTGGGTATATAAATAGCCCTTAATGAAGAGCTCGAATCGCCATGTAGCTTGCCCAGTCCAATAGGTGTGAAACTTGAAGACTTGTCCGGGACAAGAACGTGAGGCTGAAATGAAGGGATCTTGAGCCCGACTGAACACTGGATCCTTACGGATTGCGTTGATGGGCGTCTCCTCGTCTTGGCTTCCGTCATACAGTCTCTGTGTTTGCGAAGTGTTTGAATAAATGAAATAGTCGTTTTCTTCATGAGAAAGATAGTGAAGACAATTTACGATATCCTCGATCCCAAGCCCGTCCAAGGTATCTGTACATACATTCATCAACCGCTTCCAGTTGACGACAGCGTCATATGACTTTCGTTTTCCGAGATAGTCGTCTCTAGTTCCCATCAACGTATTTGACAGATTGACTGAGAAGGTGCTAGCATTGTGAGATCCGATAGAGCTGCGAATACCGGAGTATGGGAGCATCATGGGCCTAGGCGTCAAGTATTCCTCAAATGTCAATGAGCCTCGATATACAGCCGCGTAGAGAATGAATCCGAGGAAGATCCGGGTGAAATGTGCATGAGCTATTTGCGGGCTTTTGGGAAGACTTGAATTCGTATTGATATTTTTCTGCAGGAAATAGATGATGAAGAGCAGCCAGGAGAGAACAACGTTCAGCCAGTCCTGAAGCCTGAACGCATCCTGATATATGATTGTGATCATCGTACTACAAGCTGCTATTTGGAGTACGGCTAGATTGACAGGCGACATTGTAGCAGAATGTCCGAAGAACGTGACCAAAGTTGCAGTTTGCAGCATTGTACTAGTGATTAAGGTAGATAAAAAGTGCGAATCCTGCAAGACGTAGCAATTCTTCATAATATCTCTGATCTCGCCAGAAAGTCCTAGAACCAGAATAAGTAAGAGCGCAGAACGCAATAGTCCTTTGCCTAGAGAGAATAACCTGTGATCTGCCGTTCTTAAGCCAGTACTAAAAAGGTCCAGAGCACTCGAATCTAGCTCTTCGTGGTGTGCTAGGCAGCAATCCATACATTGTTGAACTCCGGATGTTTCGAAGAGCCTAGTGGCTAGCAATGCTATAGATACATTAGATACGTAAACGGTCAGCGCCAGGCTAGTCTCTACGACGTCTGTGAAATGTGCCCTGGGGATCACAACTAAAATGATTGGTAGTGCTGATGTAAATGCGAGTATTAAAGTCATGGCTGATTCACGACGATAGCTGAAGAAAAATACCGTTGGCAAAGCTCCCAGGGCTGCGAGAGCGTACAGTGGAAAAGCGCCCCGGCTATTGCAAATGTATCAATAGTATGATCTTAATGCATCGGATAGGACACACCTCAATAGTAAGTTGACGCCAGACAAATGCAGCGCCAAGGAAATTGCAAAGGGCCATGAGCAAGGGAAGTCGTTCCTCCTTTGAAGATTTCGTAGATGAAGGACCGAGCAACACTGGTTAGTCCCATGATTGAGTTGGCAAGGTTGGCTCGCAGTATCGTTCTCAAAATCTTCTACTATATCGTTTTCTTGTATCCATCGGCTGGAGCGGCGTGTAAGGGCTTTCTTTTCGTCCAACACGTACTCTTGCTCAATCAACGAAAGTTTACACACCGAGCGAAACTTGCGAACGGTGAATCTGTTCAAGAGAGATGAGATGATCATGCTCACGCATGCTGATACCAGACAATGTAGTAAAGTAACGGTCACAGCAAAAGGGAATCTGAAAGAGTTAAGAGTTGAAAAATGTGATTCAACATATGTGGTAGCTCACTTGAACGCGTCCGCTGCAAAACGTATGATTAGTAAAGGTGACCCAATTCTGTTAGCTTCTTAGACTCACTCAGTAGTAAAGAACGATTGATCCAATAAAGGCCAGCAGCTGCAGCCAAATAACTTGTCGAAATAGAGAAATTCCACAAGATATCCATGCCAGGTCTTCCACTATATTTCTCGAAGAAGGGCAAAGTGTAGCGATATGAAGAAATTCAACATGATATTTCAAATATCTAGGAAGGAGAATCACTCATTGGGGGGCATGATGACAAAAGCAGAGCTGGTCAGAGGTGCACGAACAAAGAGATCGTAACATTCCTCAAAGGCTAATATCGCACTTTTATTGGTCCGAGACAAAAAAAACGACCAGGCAGACATTGGTGCAAATATGGCTCAAAAGTTACTCCGTTCGGAAATTGTCAATATGAACGAGTCGTGGGCATGACCGTATAGGTGGTGGCTGATCTCTTCTCTGAAGCATGATGCATGGCCGGAGCTCGGGAATTGAACGTTTTGTCTCAGAGCTGTGATTCGAGCGTCATTGACGGTAGAGGGCTCAGGAATGAACGGAGCATCGTGACTTATTACACGTATATTCCTGTAAAATCCAACGGTAGCGGGTCGGTTCAGCCTGTACCAGAACACTGAACTCAAACTGTCAAGGAGCCTTTCCGAGATCCTAAAGTGCCGCGCGTACACTCACGAACATAGGAACTTGTGATGCCAGCTCTCATCGAGGCCTCATACATTTGACCTGGTTGGATTACCCGCCTCGGTCAGAGGTTCATCGTTGGAAACGTCTCGCATAGTGGGCTCTACATCGAAATGAGATGTAGATGGTTTGGCTCAGAAGGGCTAGAACTAGAACTTTTGGCGTGAAAGAACCCGCCGTTGGAGGGTGTTGACTGATCAATGATGTGAAGACGCCTGCGAGAGGCCGTCCTGTGCCCATATCAAATGTCTTTCTCACCGGCCAAATTTGCAGCAGTCATTGGAACTTTCAGACATTCTAGGCAGATGTTCGTTGCAGTGCCATAGTCGAGGAAGTAGATTCAGAGGTGGTGCTCACCCTTCGTGAAGGAGATTTGATGGACGCGTATTCAATCTCTACGTTGGGGCTTTGTTATATTTCGCGCTCTTTTGCATCCTTCCCTTTGGCATTGGCTTTGCTCAAGGTAGAATGATGTATATTGACACGGCGCGACTTGTTTCTCAACCGGATGCTATCACTGGGCTCTTGAGAAGACGTTACTTTGGTAGATACACGCAGCAGATCCCTTGATGAGGACATCACCGGAAAGCATGACACAGTCGCGATCACGGATCAATGATCATCTATGGTATCTGAAGCAGGGCTCGACTGCCTTCCTTTGAACGACTAATAATTGGGGACATTGGCTAAACACAGACCAAAATAAAAAAGTTCCAAGATCTACGAGCCGTGCGTGATGGGTCAGAATAGGCCCGCATTCAGCGAGAAGATTTTGCCGAATCAATCCGCTCGTTATTGTGCTTACACTGTTGCTAGACTGGACACTTCGAGGGAGCTGATTTGCAAATCGAACGGCACGTCTGTTCCACAAGTGCATTGACATACCAAGTCCGCTTGAAGGCAGTCAAACGCTGATACCGTCTCTTCATAGGCAAGAATCTAGACGTAGTGGTGCTACGATGGATTTGCAGAATACGAAATTACACATCTAACATATACCGCATTACTAGCATTGAGTTGAGGGTGCTATTGTCACAGGAATCTTATATGCTGCTGAGATTGTAGATTTGGTTAGGGTTGACTTTGTGGCCGTTTTGGAAAATATCCCATCAATGAAGACGATTTCAATAAGATCGGGCCAGTAGCTGCATGGCCCGTGGAAGAGGAGCATACCAGTAGTGGCAAGGCTTGAGCGGGGGCCAATGTCTGCTGCCAACGGCAGAATTTTGCTCCGAGAAAAGGTTGGATGGATTGCGAATGTAGGCTTGAACCGGGGTATGCTTTGCAGCTGTCTAAAAGTTGCAGCGTCTCCTATTGTCGATCAGCCGTGGGGTATTATTCATCAGGTGGAGTGGCAGCTTTTGCCCTGCTTGTGTCCAATAGCCCCCCAAATCAGGCTCGTCTCGGATAGCACGACCTTGCAGCAGTTGGGGGACGGAATCATTTTCGAGGATAGCGCAGGACGTGGCAAGACTCCAAACCGAAATTGCCACCCTCGTCCTTTTCCTGTTGGTGCTCCGCCATTGCCACTTCTGACTGGTCATGGGCAGTCCGTGCTTTCTGGGGCGAACAGATTGGCAAGCGAGAGCTAATTCATTGCGTGCTGACAGCGGCAACCAAAAAGGGAACCCTAGACGAACCTGGCTCGACTGTCGGCGGTCTGGGCTCAACCCTGTCCTGAACTGATGCAAGCCTGTCTCAAAGCGCCGGAAAGAAAAATGGTGCCAAGGTGCAAGTTTGATGACGATGAGACGCTTCCCCCACCGAAAAGCTCCGCATTTAGACACTACACACTAACCCAAGTGTGCTTTGACCTCGTGCCTCCTGCTACCTCCTGCTGCCTCCACCCGGCCATGGAGCGAGACGAGCGAAGGGCTGAGAGTTGCATTCTTCAAACGGCAGGATGCCAGCCACAGGATTGGTTGGACTGAGTGGGTGCGTGCAGACGTGTTCGACGCGCTCTCATGCCCGCTCGTGGAGACGAGTCGAGCTGTGCAACATTATCATTCGCAATCACGCAGGGCGGAGCAAGGGTATCCACAGCGCAACTGTCGCTCTCCCGCTCAGCCTGAACAGGCAAGGTCTTGCCGCTGCTCGGATATTATTTCGACGCCGTCTTGGAACTTCCTGGTCCACGACTCAAAGGACTTCTCCTAAGGCTCTCTAACACTCTAGCGCGCCCACTATGACACGGCCCTCATGATCATTCGCCGAGCGACAGACCTTCGATTAAGAGGGGTCTGGAAGACGTGCATGATCTTCCTGCATGCAAAAGTCTGTGCCTGACGCTGTTAGTCTCTCACAAGTATACAAATCTGCGTACCCTTCCCTCAATCCTGTCCTCGTACAATCATGCTACCCACCTAGGATCAGTATTTGACAACCGTTTGGGCTTCGACTGCCATCACTCCGATCTTATGCTTTAAATCTTATTGTTCTAATTTTGTTACGGCTCCGATTTCGCTTCTTCTGACTCATCGGCCAAACTCTTTTCGACAACAGAATCTCTTCCTTTCAACATCCATTCAAAGACATATCCAGGAATACCTGCCGTATCCTTCTACTTATCACTAGAAGGCGGCCACCATCCTTGACGGCTTCACTCGACCTCTTCCCACTGCCTTAGATCATGGAGGTCACCTGGTCACACGAGTACTGCCTTGCATGCGAGCAGCAAATATCTGGAGGAGCATACTGCTCTCAGTCTTGCCGTCTAGCTGAGATAGGATCAGCGTCCGCCTCTTCGACACCGCAGACATCACCTTCATCTTCTACGTTTCCTAAATCAATTGCGTCCACGTCGACCTTCTACCTATCACCTGCAATAGACTGGGCTTCTTACAGGACCACGCAATCTACACCACAACAAGCTTCAAGTACATCATCGAGTTTAGCAAGCTCGAGCAGTAAATCCGTGTCTCCCTCGACTTCTCAATCATCTCTTAACTCACCCAGCCCCAAGGCTCCGAATTATGGCCCTTTCTCGGACACAATCAATACGCAATTACGAGACTACACGAACTCCTTCGATACAAGCAGACACAGGGGCCGCGCTTGGTCGTCTTAATTTCCTTTATCATGTGCAAAATCGAAACATCAGGTAGCGGGGGCGCATGCTGGCGGGCATCTGTGGGCGACGATCTGTATAAAAGATAACATTCTTGCATTGTTGTTTGCACAAACGAAATGGATGGAGGGTTTGACCGGCGCATTGGAGAGAGATGTGGTTCCATCTCCATTCAAAAACAGATCATGGGGCTAGGAGGGCAAATCTTTCCTGCATGGAGGACCACCACGGGTATAAAATAGCAACAATACAAATACAAGCCACTGACGCAAAGTATTCGAAGTCCCTATCGCACATCACATAAGGTACGGGACGACTTTGACAACCAATATTCTCCATTCTGCCTTTATCATCCCAATCATTTTGCGCAGAAAGTACGTTACAGCGTGGGTTGGCAACCCCAGCATGCATTCTTCTGCAGTAAAAGCCACCTGCAAAACGCACGACGCATTGTTTACAGACTTCATTGGTTAGCGAAAGTGTCCCCTGCCAACTGTATTGATGAATAAACGCACCATACAATTTCCTGCGATAGCACAGCTCATACTTTGTCTGAGACATCCCCCCCCCTCTCATTGCCTGAAGGTTCAGGTACATGCATTACCGTGGTTGGGAATTCGGGAAGAAATCGCGGCATTAACCACCACGCCAATGCTAATAACGTATAACCCCACAGTTTCCTTGCCAATCGCCACACGTTATCTTGGACATGGGTCCCTGCGGGTATCTCGTCGCTCGGTCCTTACTGGCTTTATTTCGGCCTTCGAGCGCCCCGTCTTGCTTTCTAAACAGCTGCCTTGATGCACAAGAGACAGGTGACTCGGGTGGGCCTCATGCATATTGCATGCCCTCAAACGGTGTTAATTTTCTCAGACAGTGGCAATCGTTGATCTGCTTCCCTGCAGTTCCTGGCAAGTCCGGGATTCAGCTGAGGAAAGTCTATCAGGCACCATCCAATATAAGCTAGCTGTCCTTTGCCCAATCTGTCAGATCTATGATCATATTGATTTTGCCCCTGTATCAACAGCCAAATCCCAAAGCTTGCTTCCTCTCGCATATTGCTCACTCCGGCGAGCGCATTCACCGCCGTTGAGGCTACTGGGACCGGAGCGGGGCTTTGCGCAGAATGGACGGAAATGCAAGTACGTAAAAATTACGTGTGAGGGAATATGGGCATTCCCCAGGGTTGGCAGCTGTCTCGCTGCATTTTTGTGGGGTTACAAACTTTTGACGCAGGGTCACAGCGTTGATCACGTATTTTACTTGCGTACCCACGAAGGCAGAGGCCTCCCTACCTAAGAGCCTCCCCGAGAGGAAGGCGCTGCGCTGGCTTAGAAATCAAGAAGGCATCCCAAAAGTCAAATGGTTCATAACATCATGCTCCGGCGCCTGCTAGCTGCTCGGCCAAATGATTCCACCTCTGCTGCTGACTTCGACCCTACCGAAGCCACTGGCTCCAGAGCCGTCATGCTCTTCATGAGTTTGAGGTCAACCCGTTGACCCTTGTCAGAACCTGGCTCATTATCCACGAAGGTGCCCCTTCTTCGACGAGAGATCGTGATGGAGCTCTTCCCTGGATCCACTGCCGTTGAATGACGCCTAGAAACACGCGTCGGTTTTGCCGGCCCGTCTTGCTTACTGCTCCTGTCAGCATCTTCCGGCGAGCTGCTGGTGAAGTCGAATATGCTCGTTCCGGTCGCTGCATCAGGCATAATCGGCTTCGAAGTGTCCGCTGGTTCTTTTTTCTCGTCGGAATTTAGTCTCTGCCTTCGGTGTGCGCCATTCACAAGTGCTGTGATTGCATCGGCTGCTCCAGTCCCATGCGTATGTTGCTCGCCATCGTCTTTACGGCCAATTGCAGACGCGCGCCGGCGTCTGTCGGTAGCGACACTTGTGGGCAAGTCCGTTGCAGATAATGATGTTTTTTGGCTCAAGGGACTTGACGTCTCAGCTTCCTGTCTTTGGAGCTGACTTCTTGTCTCCTGAATTGGCTTGGTAGTCCAAATTGGCCCTGTTACCTCGCTGTTATCTTCATCCTTGATCCTTAGATCTGTAAGTCCCTCTATCGACGTAACACTGTTTTCTCGCTTGAGATTAGCTGCCTGCCTCATTCTGTCTTCAGCGGTGACAGCGTCGACAAAGTCCTTCGTTGGCCTCCTCATCTTGTCACGGAGGTTAGGTTCAGCATAGCTGACACTGCTCTTCGAACGTCGCGAGGCCCGACCAAAGGAGCCGATGCCGGTGTTAGCCCCAAGGTCAGGAGGTGGTGGCGTATCTCCCCTTTCAGGCCGAGGCTCAGATGGATCAGATATGGTTGGAGACAAAAGGTCGAGACCCTCGACAGTTGGGGTCTTTGGTGGGAGTTCTCTAGAAGGGGCAGACCGCTTCTTTGTCATCTGCGTCTCATTCGAATTTTTCTGTGCTTTACTGGGGGCAGGCTTTTCATTCTCTCGGCCCCCGTTCTGTACTCGATTGCTGATGCTTTCTTTGGCATCTTTGAAAGCTTTATCTTTCAGAAGGTCTCTCATCAATTTCACCGGAGACTGTGGGTCGCTATTTGTGTTTTTGGGTCCCAAAGGCTGCCGTGTGTTTGAGGTACGGGTCGGCTTGACCTCTTCGGAGCCGGCTCTTTCTTTGGCTGCTTTCCCTTCGGAGAACCTAGTACCACTTGATGAAGTTTTTGAGTCTGCTTTTGCTCTTATACTTCCGTCCCCCCCGTTCAGTGCTTTGCGGCTCGAAGTAAGGTTCTCATTGCCTGGATTGTTGATTTTTGGAATACTTTGGTCGCGGTGGCTGAGCTTCCGCTTTGGACCAAACTTGAGCACTTGGGATACTGCTGAACTCCCATTCACTGGGGCATTGTGTTCGTCAACATTGACTCCGTCTTTTACTCTATTTGCGTCATCCTGATGAAAGCTTTCACGCCGCTTTCTTCTCAAAGAGTGATCAATTGCTAAATTGGAGGTCGTGGTATCTTCCTCAGCTCTGTGATCAAATTTGACGGGGTCCGCTTCCTCGAAATGGGCAATCGGAGGTGAGCCTATATCAGGCGAATCTGTAAGATCGGCCGTGCCTGTAATCATGGTTCGCAGCTCGCTCACACTGAAGTATTTTAGCGATCACATGCAATCTAGAAGTTGAAGCTTACTCTAACGTCTGCCTTGGAAAGCGCTTGTCCTCTACTATTGTGGGCAGTCTCCCATCCGCTTCGTCTAACGTGTCCGCCGTCGATAAATTGTTCTTTCGTTGTCGCTGACTCGGCGATCTCTGAGGCTTTGGATGATCAACTGATTTCCGCCGTGTGGATCTCTCGCTTGTAGCGTTTCTTTTGACTTCCCCAAGCTCTTTCAGAATGTCATTGAAGCCATGGAGCTTCGATTCTAGCTTTTCTTTCAAATCCTCAATTTTGTCCCACGTCCAGCGGCCAGGAGCATTCTCGACTTCGTAGTGCAACCTGATAATCTGTTCCCGAAGAGAGACGTTTTCCGCTAAAAGCCTCGAGACTTCCCCCTCGAGATTACGAATGCGTAGAGATTGAGTTGAATTTACCCTGGAGATCATGAATCTTGCTGTCTCAACGATATATCTTCAAATCAATTACCTCGCAAGCTCACGGTTCTGTCGCACAAACCTTCGCTTCACTAAGAATAATCAATATATCGATACCAAACGTTCGAAGTGATGCTTACATGCGTCTAGGGATTCTCCCGCAGGCTGAGGTGCATCGTTCAGGCGAGCCATAAGAGGTATGTCCCTGGAGCGTAAATATTAATGCTATGGAGGGAGTCGCATCATGTTCGCGGTGCCAGGCCAAAAATTGATCCGCATTTCAACAGGCTTGACAGAAAAGAAGTAAACAATAGTCGATCCCGAGGTTGTTCCGGAGCTAGCTCTAGCGCCATTGCGGGAGCATGAGCGAGGTGCTTTGACTTGCTCGCACAAGGCTTTGCACTTGGTGTAGCATCAGACCTTTGTTGCTGATGGGCTTTGAGTACCACTTGACCTTTGCTTGAACTGAATTGGAAGTCCACTCTGATACTACCGAACCTCTCCGCACCACACCCTCTCTTGAGCCTGCAAAGGACCCTTTCTGATGGCACAACCAAACCGCCCCGTCAGCTCCGCCCTGCGACATCCTTCGATTGGTGGCCTGCAGAGCTCAACAGGCCAGTCACCTGTCCTACTTGCACGCATAAGTGAGAAGAAGGCAGAGTTGGAAAATCTGAAGCAGCTTCGAGACTTGAGTGGAGGATTGGCTGCGCAGATGCAAGCATTGGAAGAAAAGCTTTCTACGCTATCTGATGGGACTGAAGGCAAGGACTTGAATCTCCGAGCTTGTACCTTTCCAACCCTAATGCGCTGCTATTCCAGCTGTTGCCACCGTCTTGTCCAATTGGCACAATGTCATGAGAGCTATAAATATGGCTTCGAGTAAGCCTCTTTCCTCCCTACGTTAATTTCTCATAGCTTAGTATTTTAACAGTGAAAGTACCAAGAGAAAGCGATGACCAGGCGGAGACGACCGATCCTGAACATCGCGCGCAACTACCTCAAACATTGGTGCGGATCCCGATCGAGGGCGAACGAGAGTCTCCACAAGCATTGGGCACTCAAGGCAAAAGCACTGAAAGTTGAGCTTGTTTCAGACAGGTGATGCACATGGGCCCGCCATGTCCACTGGCCAAAGGCCCTAGAGCCTAGATTGAGAAGGCGTATTCATTTACAGTCGTTCTCAACGCCTCGAAGGGCTGCTCGACTTATTGTCACCAAACCCTTGCGAAAAGATGGCAGTGTTTGCCTGGATGCGAACGTATGCGAATGAGGAGCATAGTCCTATAACAGGAGCATTCTCGACGTTCTCATTGAACGCGGGGAGGAAAGTCGCGTCGCATGGATGAAATCACGCTAGTGGATCTATCCGGTCGCCATGTAAACAAAGACCCCCGAACCTCGCTTGGCCTTTAACTTGTGTGTGATACATCTTTATCGAATTGCTGATCATCAATTAAAGAGAGACTTCCCGCGTGTTTGAATTCGACACCTAATTCGAGAATACATTGCAGGATACACGATGCCTCGCGCAACACGCGCAGCCGTCAAAGCCCAAGAAGAGGAAGCCATAACCGCTGCTTTAGAAGATCTACCACCCACGCCTGCGAAAGGACGCGTTCCTTTAGGTGAGATATCGAACAACGTCAACACAAGCACCATGATTGAAGGAACAGACACCGTAGATGAAGCCGAGAAAGTGCCTGCACCTAAAAGCAAAAAGGGCAAAGGAGGCAAGAAAAGTAAAAAGGTGACCAAAGTAAAATCAAAGGAGCAGGAAGTCGAGATTCTAGAAGACGAAAATCAGTCCTCTCAAAGTGATGCTGCTGAGCAGGCCTGTGCCGATCTTATGAACAATGATGCTCCCAGTAATCCTCTTTGTTCCAAAAACATCTCACTTACGTTACGCTGATACAAAAAAGAAATAGCTGTCCAAGACGCCACGATTCCTGACAGTTCCGAATCGCCCCCGTCTCCTGCTGCAGAAGCTGCCAGCGAACAGGTTTATCCAGGTCATACACCCGAATTTGATATTGACGTGCCAGGGGAGCCGTATGTAAACCAAATCGAGTCTGAAGCACGGGAAATTCCACAGCAAGATAGTGCAAGTGGCGGTCGGTCTGACAGCTCGGTGCAGCAAGAGCTCAAGAATGCGATGACCCCAGAAAAGGAGGATGACTCCTTCGTCGGACAAATCAAGACTCGAACGCCGGCGAAACGTATCTCTAGAATTGAGGACTCTGTCGAAGCACTAGACGCTCTAGAAGATGAGATCGAGAAAGTTGACGAAGCTATTCCAGCCGCAGCGAGTGATCGATCCTCTCCGTTACAGGTTAAGAAGAGGGCAGGAACTTCAAAAAATCACAAGGACAAACTTGCTGGAATGCCTACCGACGGCTTGGTAGCTTCCTCAAAAGCTTCAAAGGGCAAGGCTTCCGCAGCAGACACCAAAGCTGGGGATGTGAAAGCTAAGGAACAACCTAATACTGGAGCCGCCAAAAAATCAGTTCGGACTAGACCGTCCAATGTGCAACCAGCTCCGGCTAGCGCTCATAAGCCTAGTCAAGTTACAAGTAATGCTTCAGGGCGCCTGTCCAAAAGAGTGAGCTCCATTCACAAAGTACCTTTTCAGCCTGTGAAATCAACCAAACCGCCCACAAAGTCGAACTTCGAATTGCCAGGTGAAGCCGTTGCTCGAAAGCTTAAGGAACAACGTGAAGAACGGCAGAAACGGGATGAAGAGGAGCAGTCAAGGACAACGCAACCTAAGCCAAAGCCTCTCCGGCGCAGTCAAGCCCCAGAGATCAAGCTTAATACTGCTGCTAAAGCACGGCTGAGCTTGGTAAAAAATGCAGCGATTGAAAATGCAAAGCCTACATCAGCTTCTGGTCCAAGGGTTGTGGCTAGTGCAACTCTAAGTAAGCGCCTGTCCTCCATCAATAGTTCGCAAAAATTCGCTTCACAGAGAACGAGGAAAGTTTCACCAGCACCCGCTAATACCTCAGCGAGACGGGGGCCTTCACTCGACGCGAACACAGCTTCGCGTAAAGTAAACATATCAAGCCCCCCGCGTCCTCCTCCAACTTCAGCAGACATTGCAAATCAGAAATTGAAGGGAAGGGAAGCGTACCAGCGTGCTAGAGGAATGCTTTCCGAGAAGGAGAAAGAAAAGAAGGCGAAGGAAGAAGCGGCAAAGAAGGCGAGAATAGATGCTGCTGAGAGAGGCAGGATTGCTAGTAGAGAGTGGGCGGAGAAGCAGAAGGCAAAGAAGCCCGCTCCTCATTCAGCTAAGGTTAGAAGTTAGAATGGTGACTCCGCTTCATGATCATGACAATGAATAGCTGGGTGAGCGTTGTGTGATATGAGGACAGAAATATATCGAGATTCGGCTGCCTGCGTCAAAGGTGATTGTCTGCCTCTTGTTTGGCGCCCAATTCTTTCGTTGATACCCTTTACGTAAGCAGTCAAGATCAATATACACAGCGCATCTTGGTTGTTTGAGGTTCGGAGAAAGGGGTACCACACGGTTGTAAGCTCTTTGTCCATTTGTTCGCGTCTTGCACTCCAATATGTGCTTCAATTCTGGAAGATATGTTTCAAGTGTCTGCATTCACATACACATCCACTACCTTCCGGACAACACTCTTCTCACCGCGACTTCCTGACCCCGCTCCTTCAGCCTTCCTCCCTCCACAATCCAACCATGACGACTTCGCACCTACCGGGACAGTGCTCCAATGGTTGCTGCTCTAAGGAATCGAAGAAAGCTTGTGCGAAGTGCCGGAGCATCTTTTACTGCTCCCGCGAATGCCAGAAAGCCCATTACAAGACACACAAGAAAGATTGCAACAAGCTAAACAATCTCCGCCAGACAAGAAAGGAGCATGCGCAGCAGGTACATCGCGACCACCAACGAGAGCGAGCTCGGCAACTTCGTGGAGGGAGCGGGGATGGGATGAATGGTGATGACACAGAGGACCAGAGTGGGTTCGTGAGGGAATTTGCTACGGAAGGTGAATAGCCTGATCTGGTGCTTAGAGAGAAATGATCAAAGCTGAATCAGTCGATCAATGCAGAAGAGACCACGGCATTTCTGCAGAATAGTGAAGAGACAGGAGGATCTGGCGGAGCGGGAGATGGCACTGAGACTATCGGCGATCATCAGGATAGGATTGCCGAGACTCTCGACGCTGAGTACATGGAATTTGATGGAGAGATTGAAATTGAAGATGGAACTCGACGACCTTGTGTGTTCAAAATATCGAGACGCGAGTTGAATGCGAGCGGGCATACGAGCCTTTGACAGACCTTCATGTCTGTAGCGACATTAGACAGAAGTATCCGGGATGCGGTACTGCTGAGGTCGGCTCCATTGGGGCACTGAGAAAGAAAGCTGTTAAAAACAACGCGTAAATCTTCTGTCAATCTGAAATTATACTCGACTCTCCAAACTGGTTCGATCTTGCTAGTAAACAGGCACGCTAGTCTTTGCACGTGACGCGCGTTTTGGTTGGTGATGTCATTTTCGTAGTGTATTAGAGAGGCGTGTTTGCAACGCTCCTAACCCTCTGTCAATAATCAAACACACGGAAGCTGATTGAGTCTATCATTCTTACAGTAGTTTCAGCATTCAGCGTCAAAAGTATGACTGCCCCCTTTGAGGCTATTGCTCACCTCTGAACTCTTGGACCTAGTATAACATGGCCTCTCAACTTGATAAGCCAGGTCAGTGGGCTACGGGTAACGACGCTCCTACCGAGAAACAAACCGCTTTTCTCCAGACACTAGCCTCTTCCAAGGGTGTCGAGAATCTCAAGCCAAACGAGTTGAACAAGTCAGAGGCATCACAAAAGATCAACGAGCTGAAGAACGCAGAACCGGCAAATCCTGAGGCTGAAGCCAGTGCGAATGCAGGACCACCCATACAAAACCCGGATAGTTGGTCCACCGGAGACGATCAAGCCACAGGCAAGCAGACAGGATATATCGCTGCTATGGCGAGGGAGGCAGGGGAGAGGGTGCCCACAGATGGCATTGGCAAGACCGAGGCCAGCAAGAAAATTGAGGAGTTGAAAGGGAAGACCGGAATGTAGTCGGAGCTGGCGATATTAGATGTCATTAGGGTCCTTCCTCATAGGCACAGTTCGAGCGCACAGCGGCAATTCGAAAGGCCTCTTCAGGGTCCTGCATCGTTTCTGAATGCTTGATCTTCGTTGATCATGCTAGCGATGTCTCTTGTTGTCAAATCAATCTGCCATCTTGTCGAACAACCAAAGCTCAATACTGTATGCATGCACAACATTTTGCCAGCCTCCATACTGAGCACACGCAACGAGCTCAATGATGTCGCCCTCCTTGGCATCTCGCAGCATCTCATGTTCGATACCAAATTCTTTCCTGTAGCTTCGCTGCTCTTTCGAAGCATGTACGTTCCTTTGTAGCTGGAAGCGTTTGTATGGCTGCTCCCCTCTGTCTTCCGCTTCTTCAGTGGTGAACTCGCCATGCTCCCTTTTCACAGCTGCTTCGAACCAAGACCAGGTGTTCCTGTAAGTTTTGTGATCAGGCGGAAATGATGACCAGCCTTGATCATGGCCTGTGAAGGTGAACACGACACGGCGAAGCGTTGATAGCTGGTCCGCAGTCAAAGGAGGCAAGGACTGTAGCACCTGAATGCGGGGTTTTGCACCAAAGCCTGCGACAATCAGAGGGGTTAGAAGCACCGTTTGTCCCATTTGACCGCAATCACATGTTGCGGGTTTGGGATCTTCCTTCTCGCGTGAACACGGAAGATGGACTCGATTTGAGCAGATCCATCGAGATGGATGGTCTAATGTCTGTAGGATCAACTCGGCTGGAAGCGCAGGTCGACTCCCTACCTTCTTGGCAAGACACTGAACGGCCGTGACATTGGCATCATGCGTCGACCAAGGCCCTAAAGGAGGCTCGTTAGGAGTTGTTCTGGATTCATTTGCAAAGAAGGCTTTCACATAGCGAATCACACCTTGAGCGATACCAGTTAGGCTACGTCCTGACATAGCGGTATTGATCGGATAACGATAGAGTGTTTGTTGATCGATGCTTTGTTCTTTCGGCCTCGGCGTACTTTCCCTGTGACGTCAAGTCCTATGTCGACAATTACCGTCACGTGCGTAAATTTGATTCCAGGTTGCGGCGGTTGGGCTCGAGGGGGGTTGCCGCCCCTAGAGATTGGCTCATGGGGCAGCTCGGGACCCAAACTCCCTATTCGGAGCCCTGAGAATCCGACGAGGCCACCTTTCGAGCACAACGACAATGAAGTTCCTCAAAGCACAGCAAATAGACATGCGAATTTCACGCTGAGGATCCACAGTCGAGCAATGTGAGGGTCGTACGCGCCTGGCTGCTCACTAGCTTATCTTGTAAACAAAGGAATCGAAGAAGGATCTCGTCGGTCTCCATTTGGCATGACTACCAGCAGTAGACGATGCTGGTTATCCGAACTAGACAATCGTTTTAGGAATGGAGACTGTGCACCAGAAAGGCCACTCCTGCCATTACAGTCGAAGAGGACCTTAGCGTGATGTAGAATGAGTGTCACGCTCAACCCGAGATTGGCTAAAGACGAGATCTTCATCTCACCTACTTCCACAAAAAAGAAAGCATCCTGCTCCGAGGTAAGTTTTCATTGTGAGTGGTTCGCTGTCGGTATATCGTTTGCCTCGGAATCCGATTGAAAGAGTTTTGTTATGGCGTTGTGGATGCCAAAGTTGACCATCATCTGTTCCTTTCGCCTTTGTTTTTCCATCTATTGCTCAGCGGAAGGGTGTTCTCTCTTACCCACAATCAGACACATCCGTTAAATTTGGTGGTTCTGATTATCACCCAACAATGAATGAATCGAATGAGCCATCAGTTCTCTACATGGAGAGTCGTCATTTTCAAAACCATGCTTACCCAGCTTACTTAGTCCAGAAATGAGGTTGCCCGACCCAGCATTCCTCACGAAAGAGCATGCGTGGCAGCCAAGTGCGATGATGAAAGTGGCTATAAATACAATAGCACTGAATCCCTCTGTGGTTTTTGTCTGTGTAAGAGATCGATCTGTTTTCGTGCTGCTACCTTAGTCTTTCGGATCGATGATACCAGTCCTGTTCTCCTTTGCTTCAAGATGTACGCGTGCCATGTCCAGTGGGTACTTTTATCGATTGCAATCACCGCGGCTGCAACACCAGTTGAGTTTCGAAACACTCGTGCTGCCTTCACCGTTCCTCAATCTGTCAAGAAACCCTTTGTCAAGACTGGTCCAGCTGCTCTCGCAGCGTTGTACAGAAAATATAACAAGGTGGCTCCACATGCAGTGAAAACTGCCGCTACAAACGTCAAAGGGACAGTCCCAGCATCACCTGAAGACTACGATTCAGAATATCTGTCAACCGTGAGCATTGGTGGCCAGACTGTAAATCTGAATTTTGACACAGGAAGCTCTGATCTGTGAGTCTTATGTTCCAGTGACGTGTGTCGAGAATGATGTCTCATATTGTACCGAACAGCTGGGTCTTCTCTTCGCAACTCAAAGACAGTCTTAAGCAAGATCACGATGTCTACAGCCCGAGTATCTCAAGGGGCTCTCGACTTCTGGCAGGTGAGTACTGGACGATACTATATGGTGACAACAGCGAGGCTGAAGGCAATGTGTACCTTGATACCGTCAAGGTCGGCGCAACAACCGCAATCAATCAAGCCGTCGAAGCCGCTCAGTCCGTCTCCACTTCGTTCGAGCAGGACATTGACAGCGACGGCATCCTTGGTCTCGCCTTTGACCTGGTCAACCAAATCAAGCCGGACCGCCAAAAGACTTTCTTCTCCAACGTCAGGAGCACCCTCGCCGCACCACTCTTCACTGTCGATCTAAAGAGAGGGAAGCCCGGATCATACGACTTTGGTTACGTAGACGACAGTAAGCACACTGGGAGCATCACCTACGTGCCAGTCGATAGCCGTAACGGGTTTTGGGGTTTCACATCCAACGGCTATGCAGTCGGCAACAGTGGCTTTACTTCCACAAGGATTGACGCAATTATGGATACGGGGACCTCCCTCATTTTGTTGCCGGAGGCGGTGGTCACGGCGTATTATAAGCAGGTACCGAGTGCGATATACTCTGAAGAGCAGGGAGGATGGACATTGCCGTGTATAGCAGCTCCACCGAGCATCACATTGGGTTTTGGGTGGTACAAAGCAGTGGTTCCTGGATCTTATATCAATTATGGGCCGGTGGAGTCGGGGGGTGTTTGTGAGTGCCATCTGACTTCCTGAATTCATCTAAGAGGGATACTGACCAGGCTGTGTAGTATGTTATGGTGGCATTCAGAAGAATAGTGGAATCGGCTTCTCGATCTTCGGCGATGTCTTCATCAAATCGCAGTTCGTGGTATTCGATGCTTCGGGTCCACGACTTGGTGTTGCTCCTAAAATGCTACAATCTTGAAAATCTATGGCAGCCAAGAATGTGCGACGACTTTCTTCTAGCGTGGTTTCTCACTAGAAATGACCATGGTCGAGGAGCGATTTTGAAGCATAGACAACAATGAACCCGCTGGATAATTTGATTGCGGTCGCCATAGAGGGTTTTCAACAAGCACATATGATAGAGTGAAGTTCACTGTCTTGTCGTGTTGGTAGTCATTATTGAGGCTTATACTCTCCTTTGTCTCCGAAGAAGGTTGCGCCGCTTCGGCATCCTCCTAAAATCCTTCCAGTGCATCCCGTCCTCCTGCATTCTTCCTGCGAGGGTCCGACTAGTGTTTAGGATGCAGATTCCCTAGCCCTCCTTCACCAAAAGTCTCGCGATCATGTGCGCATACCCGCATTGCATATGCACTTCCGGAGTTGATCATACTAGGATCTTCTGTCTTAGGTGGCGTCTTTATCGGCATTCTCATCTCGCGCAAAGCCCGAGACGATTCGATACTAACGCACAAGCTTTTCCCGCACCAAGCGTAGCTTCATCCATGGCTTCATTCCTTTAAGCAGGACCACGTACTTTTCTTGCGACGACGATGCTTTCCACTCTTTCTTAGAGGAAGCTTTATGCCTGTTCGAGAACCAAAGGAGATCTACCGTCGAATGCACTGATCCTTCGTCGCCAACTTGGTCTTCCATCGCTCTTGGGGTACTTGCCTGGCCAAATTATTTAAAAGATGTCTCACATCATGGCTTGGCCTCCATCGTAGCAGTGTGACTACCTGCTTTCCGCTTCGGCATCCTCTCGTAGGCATTTGTGACTACCTTCTTATTTCTGGCTTGGTCCCTTCCATGGTCATGAGATTGCTTCGCGCATCCATCCGGGCCCTCGTTGTGGGCATGCGCATGGTGATCCGCTTGTGGCACAATTTTCTCCTTTTCTTTTCTTCTTACGGTACCAGCACCAGCCATCCGAGCCCTTCCGTCGTCATTGTTGTCAGACCGCCTCTGTGGATTGTCACTTGCGGACTCGTCGTCGCTTGATTCGTCGCTAGAAGAAGAGGAGGAGTCTGAAGAGGATTCATCGACTGTTCGAGGACGGTGGTAAATGCAGCATACTATATTAGCCATGAGAGCGGCACGTTAGCGCTATGGCTGTCTTTTAGGTATCGAGATAAACGGAGGAGAGCGGAATGACTCAGGCACGTAGAGAAAGTAAGGAGGTGAAAGACAGGGCAGGCATTTACCTTTCGACTTCTTTTTCCCTAGTCCCTCGTTATCTATAACATCTTCTGCCCATTGTATCCTTGGTCTCCGAGTCTCCTGCGACGCCGGACCTGTTGCACGGAGGCGGAGGACAGGCGTGGAGGTCTGGGTCTGGGTACGACTACCCAGCCCCAAACGTGTCTGCTCAGGCATAGTGAAGGACGCAAGCGATCTGAAACGCCCCACGTGTTACCGGTCAAGCGTCTTCAAAGTAGAGCAAGAGCTTAGTGACATAAATGAGTATAGGTGAGCCGGATATTGATTTGATCAGATTGCCCGCAAGCGGGAAAGCGTGTGTCCCGATCACTTCTGGACCAAAGCCATAGTCTTGGCACCCTCAGCAGGGGCACCAGGTAGGAAGATATAGTCTTACTCAATGCTACGAAGATTACACACTCACATCGGCTCAACCATTGTCTTCAAGTGGATCATGACTCAAGAGCCGCCTTCATGAATTCGTTGATGTTACTGTCAATTCTCACTTCCTTGCTTGCGGGTTCTTATTAGCGTTTCCAGCAGCCTACCGAAGTACGCTTCCGTCTTCAGCGGATCCGTAGCTCAAGATCGTCACAGTATGAATGAGATTGAGCACAGCGAGCTGCTAGCTTTTGACCCGCCTGGTAGCCAACGAAGAGCGCTGGATCAGCTCCATATCACATTGTACGAGCCTGAGACAGAATATGTCTTTCGCTTGCCCATACGCGGCCAAAGTCTGCGAAAGTCTGTAGGTTGTGGAGACTGCATGACGTGTGTCGAAGGTGTAGATACCCAACTTGAGCGAGTCACTCATTTCCGTTGTCGTTTCGAGCTTTTGGTGCTCACAGAGCTCATCACACTAGCGCTTCGCTTTCGTCGAGATCTGGACTTTATCGACGCAGATTCATCAAAATCAGCCTCGGGTTCCACTCCGTTTGCGCGGTCTGTATCTTCTTCCTGTACGTCTTCCCCATCTTCTTCGCCTTCCTCAGCTTTGGGGCTAGGGTTCTCATCTTCTTCCTCATCTTCGACGCCGCTTTCTTCTGCTTCGTCTTCAGCATCTTCGACATCTTCTTCGTCTCCGTCCGCACTCGCATCCGACCCCTCTGCATCTTGATCTAACTCATCATCTTGATCGTCCACGTCTTCATCAAGAATTGCTTCATTCTCATCTTGCTCTTCTGCCTCGTCTTCTTCAGCCTCAATGTTGGCATCATCTTCTCCCACCCCGTCCATCTTTGACTCGCCCTGTTCATCCTCGCTATCAGCTCTCATGTCTACTTTCTCCTCTTCTGCATGATATTCAGCCTCTTCCTCGACATCTCCTTCTTCGGCTTTAGGAGCTGCTTGTTCCATCAAAATATCTTCCCCACCACCATCAGCGAGCATTTTCTGATGCTCCCAGATTTTGATTTCCCCTTCGACCTTCTCTTTTAATTTGCGTACCTCGACTAGCGTTTTGACGCCTTCAATCAGTCGTTCATATTCTGTAACAACCTTCGCGGTAGGCATCGAGAGTCGCGGCGGTATTCCTAGCTCCGCTAAAGCATCATTGATCCTGGAAGTTTGCACTGCAGACTTCGCCTGCGAAGCTTTTACTACCCGCTCGTGCCGAAACTGCACACCTGACGTGAGGCGTTCTTGGGGATAAGAGACTCCAAATTTGGCGCGTTCACTATGTGTAAGGGGACGATGTTGCGGAGTCGGATGTGATTGACGCTTGTCGTGCATTGTCGAAGCGCTACCGATAGAGCCGCGTTGAGCTCTGCCATCAAGAGCATTTTGACTATTTGCATTTTCGGTGTCGATACCAAGAGTCGCACGACGCTTCTCTCTTCGCTCTGTTTCTCTGATTCTTTGCTGTTGCATCATACTTTGCATGAGCTGGTGCAAGCCTTGAGACGATTGGTAGACGGTAGTCGATGCGTGGGCAGCAGCAGGATTGATAGGCCGAGGTGCTTCAAGTCGATCGTAAAGTGCTTTTCGGTCCTGGTATAATTTTTCTTGGTTGATCACTATACGCGATAGTTCTTTCAACAGGAGCTCCTCTTCGTGCGCTTCTTCTGGTGAGCGGCGGAATAACTTTTCAGCGTACTGTTTTCTGAGCGCCTCCCGCTTTGGTTCATACTTTGTCATCTTTTCATGAGTGTCAAACTCGGTAGGATTCATGCTGGATAACGGCGTTCGGAGTGTCATACACTTCGCAGCGACTGTGTAGTAGCGGGCCTTCAAATCCTCGGTCGTTCTGGATTTTGCTTGTGGTTCGGGTTGATCAACTTCCACTGTACCCGAGGTTTGGTCTTGTGGGGACGTAGATGAAATGTACTCATACCGATCTCCAACGATGACCCAGCGTAAGTCGAAATCCGTAGCAAGATCCAAAAGATAGTCTGTCTCCTCTTTACTCCAGTCTTCATTTTTGAGATGGGTCACGTACTCTTCTTGCGAGTATTGCGGTCGAGCGACTTTCACATTGTATTTTGTCCAACGTGAGTCTTCTATGCCGCTCGTACCCTTGTCATCCGTATCCATCTCCGATGCAGCATTCGAGTCTGCCGGGGTTGCAGGCAGGCCTGTCACATTCGTCGGCGCTTCTCCTTCCCTCCTCCAATGACGTAGAATGAACCCATCTTTTCTGGCAGAATTCATGAAAGGCTTTTGCTCCCTGTAGCGTCGTATCAGTAAATGATAAACCTGAAATCTTAAGACACTACCATCTTCGAGGCTTAAATGGAAGCTTCGGCTTCTCTTTGAACTTTGGCGCAACGATTGATATAGGAGGTGCGCCCTCAAAATTAAGGTCTAAGACTTCCCTTGCCATGCCACCTATATTGTGAGACTCTGAAGTAGTACTCTATGGGAGGAAAAGTCTTACTTGGACCCTTCACCTTGGGCTTTGGTGCTTTCGTAGGAGCAGGCTTTGGGGGGGCTGCAGTGGGCAACCCCATCATGTCGCGGGCATCCGATCCCATCATCTTGGCTCAGACAGCCCGTGGCAGATGATTGTTAGTATGGAGAGAGTAAACAAGTCTGAGCTAATGAAAGGTGTAGGAGTATTACGCGGTTGGTGGTCGGTCGGCGTTTTGGCGGAGACACCCCTGTCGAAAAGTTTTGGCCGCAACTTTCACTTCCTGGATGTCAACGAACTTCAATCACGCACGACTGCGATGGAAGGTTTCTCTCAAGGGCGTCTATGGCCAAGTTTTGCTTCGCTTTGTATCCTACTGCTCAACGTTATTCCAGCACAAGCACTATACTTCTATATTGACCCTTCTCAAGCATTGCCTAAATGCTTTTACGAAGAACTCCCTAAAGATACTCTCGTAGTTGGTCAGGCTAAAGAATTCCACGGTGATGGCCAATTTCACTATCCGTTACTGATATCTACCTGCAGGCCACTACACCGCGCTGCAAGCCCCTCAGAGCTCCCCCAACACCTACGCTACCAATCCCGACCTCCAAATCTCCGTCACCGTAGATGAGGTGTTCGACAACGACCACCGGGTTGTGAATAGTAAAGGGTCTCACACCGGCAAATTTACATTTAGTGCTGCAGACTCCGGCGATCATCGGATCTGCTTCCATGTCAATGGCGCGCATTCTGGGGGCTGGCTGTCAGGGGGAACGCAGAATGGAGCTGTAAAGCTAACATTGGATTTGGCCGTCGGAGAGACCAATGCGATCAAAAGTGGAGATGAGTCTAAGATTGGGGAACTTGCTCAAAAAGTCCGGGATCTCAATGGTAGATTGGCAGATATTCGAAGGGAGCAGGTCTTTCAAAGGGTAAAGCTTACTTCTTGCTCGTACATAAACTTTATCAGTATCGGCTTGCTAACTTGGACTTGTTATGACAGGAACGAGAAGCTGAATTTCGGGACATGTCCGAAAGCACAAACGCTAGGGTGGTGCGATGGACCTTATTGCAGCTGGTTGTGCTTGGAGTAACCTGTGCCTGGCAGCTGTCGCATCTTAGAGCTTTCTTCATCAAGCAGAAACTAACTTGAGACATCATCGAAGTTTTCAATTCAGGTAGATGAGACTTGGGTTAAATGGGAAATCTGCCAATAAAAACGCTGCTGTCGCAGTGATAGCCGTGCCAGGAATGAACCTCTCAGTGCGGGCTACAGCTCGTTGACGCTATTCTTATGCAAACATCTAATACCATCATTCTTGCGTGTTCTGATCATGAAAACAGTCCTTGCCCAGGAGTCTTTTCGGGTCTCTTTCATTTGACAAGAGAGCGACGTTTAGGTAATCAGACGGGTGTGATAACTTTGCACTGTTTTGACTAATTCTTTTGCAAACCTCTTTACTTGACAGCATTAAACGATTTTCTCGTGTCTGGAAACGTTGAAACATCAATGCTTCTTTTCTCTCTCTTTTTGTTACTTCCAGGCTTCGTCCTTAGATTGTCCTGGGATAGTGCTCTTTGAAGAGGCTACTTTTTTGTAAAGTCGGGACTGGCTATATGGTGATCACATTGGCGCAAGATGAAGATCATGCATGTAGAGAGTTCTGACGTACAATGACATATACTATGGTTGGACCCGTAAAAGTACGCTTCCGGGCACAGAAAGGTAATCGGAAGATTGTCAGACCGGGAGGAAATATAACAGTGACGCATTGACAAGACCGTTTGTTCTATTACATCATTAGACACAAGATGCTACATCGTCCAAGTCTGCAGGACGGTGGACATTTCCTGATCTTGCAGTATTCCGAAATCTGGGTGCTCTGATGGATAGAAAAAAACACTTCTGAGAGGCTCTAGACCTCTAAGGAAAAGGTAGGAACACGTCGACAATGGCGTCAACGACTTACCTACTTCGTAATGGAAGACTTTGCTAATATTCACAATAGACGTAGGCAGCCATCGAAGGACACTTGTGTACGAGTCTTGATCGAAACAGTGTAGCCAACGGTTTGAACGGGTCCAGTTTGAAGCCTAAAATGGACTGATAGTGACAAAACTAATAGTTTAGCAGTTGGTTTGAAGGCCAAACTGGATCGCTAGCGGTTGAACTGGTTTTCACTATTAGTCTGCTGAGACCTTTATTATTCTTTAAGATATCTAGAAAAAAGTAGTTTTATACAGCCTTATTCAAAGTCTTAGCCAAGTCCTATCTCGGAGCCTTATCTTCTGGTGGGCATTTTTAAAAATTGCTTAAGACTTCAACTGTTAGTTGAACCAGTTGATTTAAGACCTCAAACTGGACCAACTGTTTGCCAAACCAACCAACTGGTTTGCCCAAACCGCTGGCGGTCCACAAAACCGTTGGCGACACTGGATCGAAACGACACAACAAGGTGAATTGTGCTTCTTATTTAGGGGGGCGAACATCATCTCTATTTGTATCTAGCGACAACAATATCGTTCTAGTACAGATTTGCCGTCTTTGTGAATGTCACGTCTTCGAATTTTCCTTTCTCCTTCTAGCCAACATATTCGGTTAGAGAAAACGGGGCTAAGACGATCGATGCACAGCAACCGAACACCGAACGTTTGCAGGCGCTTCCATACACACCGCTGGTGTTCCAACACGCTGTCAGAAAAGCATGGTAGGTCGTGCATAGCAGCTATTTCAGGAAGAAATACATACCGGCTAATTCCAATAAAGTCAACGAGCCCCGGTGACTGACAGATTGCCCACAAACCGTGTTGGTCAGCGAATTCTAGAGGACTTTCTAGCGTCTATCGGACGATGTGCATACATCATAAACCTTTGGCAACTTTGAAGGAGTATGAACCCTGCCTCCGCATGTTTCAATCTAGGCCATGCTAAAGATGCAAGCCCCCGCGGTAACAGGAGTCGGACGGCGGCATGACGAAATCAAAATTGTACTTTGAGGACGCTCTCTCGAGGCATGTACGGGCTACTAAATCGTTTACGAACCTCGGCCACAGAGTAGTCACTCACAGGATTTCCGTCGGGCTCAGCAAATAAATTGCTAGGCTAGATGAAGGTAAATTACCCATGCCATAGGCTCGAAATCGTCACACTAGAGCTCGGTCGGGGCCATGTCGTCGATAGAGCACGCTAGTGATGCCTGGCGCTTGCAAACATGCACAGCATGAAGTACATGCTGACGTTCGATCGACTCCTGACAGGTCAATGTAGGTGAGTGGCAGCACAGCGCTTAGGCAAATTGATGCCTTAGCTGTTTTTAGCCGAGCAGGATAGCTTGTGGCCCTAGCGTCAACACCGCAGGAATCTTAGCAATTAGCAAGCTGACATTTGCAACAGGGCAGCCGTCTACCGCCTTGCAGCCCGCTAACCGCCAGACCCCAGGACCACCGACCGCAACTTCTGTGATCCATGTTCATCATCGCATGACTGGCTCGGTCCTGCATAACATGAGGCTACGTGGATGACACGATGCTAGCTGCGAGGGGAAAGCGCTTCCCCTCGAACAGGCATCTCCTCTTACTGTACTCCGTAGTCAAGTAGCGTCTCCCGTCTCGATGGTGTGCTCCGTACGCAGGAACCGGTTGACTCACCGTTCGTCATTATTGGAAATGTCTTCAAATTTGCTACCATTGGCTAGTGCGACACCACATATTGCTAACAGCCGGGAAGGATAGGCGCGATATCTAAGTGTGTTTCGGCACCAATCTTTGTTCGTCTCCAACAAGCAGTTGATCAGAGCGGCGTAGCCAAGGTCACTTTTAAGCGAGTAGGAACCCGAGCCGCAATAACAAATCACGGTCAATGAATTACAGCGAGATGGTGAGACGACAAAATGAGCAAGCTGATCTGTTGGCATAGTCAACAGTAAATGCATACCCTTGGGTTACCTGGCAGAACGGTAATTGTACTGTTGGTTCATGTAGACGTGCTTTGCTTTGCTTTGGAACGAGCAACAGCGAGGAGACCGCGGAATTGATTCGCCCGATCGACCCGCGAAGAACGCGGTAGTCTGCTGTCGATGACTGCTAGCTATTTAGCGCGGCATTGGTATGTTGCACAGCTGGCCCGTTGCAGCAAAGTGATGGCCAAAGCTCCGCATTGGCCTGCGACTGCTGCCGTCTTGCGTCTGTTTCGCTTCGTTTGGAACTATCTCTGTACCGATCCCATGGGTACCTTGGGTCCCTAGCAAATCGCACGACTCTGGTACCTTGCCACGCCATCCTTGATAGCGCGCTGCACTGCCCTGGAGGGCTGCTTGTTGCGTCTCGTGTGGGGATCTCTGTCAGATGCTGAAAGCATGGCGTAAGCGCTTGTTTGTTTGGGCCCTTACCGGTCAGTTGACGGAGACGCTGGGAAGGCTAGGATGGGAGGTTGAGGCACAGAAAGGTGCCTCCAATCATCCATTAGCTTGTTCCTTCTGCTATTTTGGCGTAGAGGGGAGGGGCAGCCAATCCAGCCATGGTCTCCCCGGTGTCCCATAGAGCCTGTCAGGGGCCAATGAAACGGCTGTGAGGTCGTCTGCTGCCCCGCTTCCCACATCTTCGAAAGTTTAAAACGGCGATGAAGTCAAAAACAATCGCAGTGCCGAGAGGGCATGAAAAGGCGTCTAAAGGGGCCCCCTTCACCACGCCGCCCAGTGCCCACAGCCGCCCATCTGGGATCTGGGGCATGCCCGTTCAATTGCCTCACCAGCGTTGATTTATCCTGGCCAGCATCCCGACCCTGAGCTGGCTGGACCGTACCACAAGCCTGGGTCTCTGCTTCTCAAAATAGCATCAGCCTGAAGAATTCTCCCACCGCCGTCTACCATTCTCACTTCTATCTTGTCGACAATCGAAAGTGCAAACCAGAGACGTGCAGGCTTTTGATAGCAACCCGCGCGACTAGAGCACGGCCTCTAGCCGATCATCGGTGCAGCCCCCCATAGCTTAAAGGCTTCAATACCTATCCAATTAGTTTCACCCTCTTGCTCCTTTGCCTACGTTAGAGAGACCTGCGTATTGAGAGTGGTTTGGGTGCAATCGAACGGCCATCATTCAGGCTTTCATCGCGATTTGGGGTTTGCAAGTTGAGGTTCCGTTCTTGACAGACGATACTGCCGCGAGCTCTGGTCGGATCTCAATAGACGCAACTTGCGAGACGCGGTGAGCGCAGAACAGGTCAGTACCGCATCAGAAACATCTGAGCAAGCAATGCCCTTCACGAATTGCTTCAGCTTTGTACATACTGACGCATCATGCTAGCTTTGAAGAGTGCGACGATTACCGTCTCGGCCGCACGTAATCTGCGTGGCAGAGCGCATCGCTTCATTACATGGCTGCAGTTGCCCCAAGTCATTTCTCGCATTCACCTGGATTCTATCATCCTGCAAAGATGGCAGAATCTCGGCCTTCATTCACTGCGGTCAACGGAGCTCCTACTGCAGCTCCTGCGCCCAAGCCTCTTCCCGTCGACCATCAAGCGACAGATGCTGCGAAAGAGCCTGCCCAAAACGTAATTACGGAGCCAGCTCCAGTAGCAACAGAAGTGGCGCCAACGCCGAATGGTGATACTCGTGGAGAGCCCTCACAGGCAGAGAGAAGAGTATCTCCGGCCCCGCCTTTGCCGTCGGCTCCAACTCCGACCTTGGCCTTGGCTTCTTCATCTCAGCAATCAAACCCACCTGCTGCAACGGATCAACACCACTCCCCATCCACGCAACACATTGAGCGTCCTGATGCGCCTCGCATATTACCTCCTGTGAATCACGTGGAAGGACCACATGTACAACCCTCACCAGCTGTGTTAATGAGTCCGCAGAAAAGGAAACGGTCCCTGTCACGAGAACGCGAGAACCCACCAGGTCCTTTGCAAAAACAAGGTGGTCTGCCACAAAGCCCTGCTAGGCCGGAGATGCCCAATGGTGTGGAAAATGGACCGTCTAGCGAATCGTATAGCCCTCGCCAGCAGTATCCGCCCCCTCAAAATTATTACCAGCAGCCACAGACAGACGCGTACCCTCAAAACCCCCAACACTCATACCCACCACCACCAGAACAGCCAGAAAACTCCACTGAAGCATATCCTCGAGCCAACGGCGTTGCGAGACATGATTATGAGCCGCCACTAGATCCATCCATCGCATCGCAGCAAGAACGACCTTACTATTCAGAATCTCATCTAGCCGAGGCTTTACAACGCGAAAATCACAACTACGATGCGATGCCTGAGAGAGAGAGCTTTTCCCAAGCAGAGGATGAAGATGATAACCCACCAGAACCACAATACACGACGTACGGTGGATCTCGTGAAGCTGGCACTGCGGACATGGATCGCAAGAGGAGAAAACGAGTATTCAGTAACCGCACTAAGACTGGGTGTATGACGTGCCGCCGAAGGAAGAAAAAATGCGACGAACAGCACCCGGAATGTAAGTCTCCTAGAGCCCTCCTGTGCCACTCCAACACATAGGGTCTCGATGCTGACCACGTTGTCAAGGTAACAATTGTCTCCGAGGCGGCTTCGTATGTGAGGGATACACCATGCGAAACACCTGGCAAAAACCAACGAACACTAAACAACCAATTCCACTTCAATCGAAAAATGGCTACCCTTCACAGGAAAGCACACCTACAAGAGCTCCTTACCCGCAGATGAGCCGCTATCAAGAGAATAGTCTGGACTATTCTCCCGCAAGTCAACAACAGCCGGCCTTGCAAAGTCGACCATCATACGATAGCAAACGAGATTCAATCAGCGAGCACGATAGTGTATATGGAAGGACCACTCCCCCTTCACAAAACATGCAGCCAGCTTGGTCAAAAAACCCTGCCGGGCGTCCGTACCCAAGCAATCCGCCAGCAGCGTCAAAGTACCAGGGCGACGAGCACCGCAATTCGATATACGAGACAAGACCAGAAGAGCGTGATCCCAATGCAATGCCGCCACCTCACGTAGATCGAACAAGCTCAACGTCCTCGCAATACTCGCAAAGAGCACATACCTTAAATCACAACAGTACACCTCCAAATCAACATGCTCAAGCAGCCGCTCAAGCAGCATTGACTCATCCTGCCGCATCTCGTCCTCCGACTGCCCAAAGCCAAACTCAGCAGCTCACCGAACGTGGAAAGATGTTGAAGGGTTTGTACTACTTCCCAAACACGCCTGCTCTCACAGAAGATCGTGAGCGCTGTATCGCAGCAATCTGGAGGTTCAATAACGCGACCAACCCATCCCATGGGGCCAGCCCAGAGGAGCGTACTCGTCTTTTCCGTCAAATACTAGCGCTACGTCCGAGCCCGGAGCCGCCGCTTTCAAATGGTGAAGCTCCGCCGACAAATTACACCTTGCCCTTTGGCAGCTGCGGCGAGCGCGTAGTGGTTGACGCGCCATTTCATTGTGATTATGGCTATAACATCACCATTGGAGATGACGTTCTCATTGGACCGGACTGCCGCATTTCAGATACTTGCTCCGTCACGATTGGGGCAAGGTCGATCTTGAGTCCTAAGGTTAGCCTCATTTGTGCAACCTATCCCATCGACCCAAGGCGCAGGCAAGGTAGTAATGGTCCTGCTCTTGGAAGGAACATTGTGATTGAGGAGGACTGCTGGGTCGGTGCTGGTGTGACGATCCTCGCTGGTGTTCGGGTGGGCAAGAGTAGCACCGTTGGCGCAGGCAGCCTATTACATCAGGTATGTTGAGGAATCGGTCAATGGTCTCAATCAATTTGCTAACTAAGTTCGATAGGACGTCCCAAGGTTCACTGTTGTTGCTGGCAACCCGGCCAAAGTCAGTCGAGGTACTTATGATGGAAATTCTGACGGCCCGTGAAGGAGGGGTTGGTAAAGCTATCGGAATTGCAAGTGCAGCCAAAAGGTATTCGGATTCGGTCTTGAAACAAAGTTGTGAAGTGCAGCACAGTCGCTTGGTTGCATTGGACGCATTTAAAATGGCTCTTGGTCGCTTTCCAATGAGCCTTGGAAATACCAAGGCACTCGCGAAGCTACTATGTATCCTTTCCGCCATTATTCTGGTGTGGATCGCATGAATTGAAGGTGCAGGACTTGGGCTTATGCTGTATCAATATATAAGCAAACGAGGCAAGACCCTCGAACGTCATGAAATGAACAGTCAACGTATCTATCAAATACCCGTCGCTTTTGCACATATTTTGCCTTCGGAATGCGCACAGCAACAGATGTCATCCAGGAGAAAATTGAACGGTTACAGATAGTCATCCCAAAGCGACGAGCATATGTCTAGGCCTTCCACTGTCCGCAAAGTCAGCTACGTAACCTTACCGTTGCTGACTCGAGTAGACACATTCAGACTACATTGTACGCCGACCTACTGAGTATTGACAGAAAGCGCAGATGATATGTAATAGGAAGTCATCACGCCTTCAGATGAGGACCCTCGGGGGACAAACCTCCACTCCCACTATATGCCTGGCTCCGCCAACAATTTCGTCGTCAACAATCTCGGTAGTGCAATGCCAGCACATCAGGTAGAGAAGCCTTTCTTAAAAAAGAATGGGGCTACTTTGAACAACACGCTAAACCGTAAGAATCAACAACGGTGCGTCGACGAAGTAAGTAGGAATGGGAAAGCGAAACCTCCTTAGAGTATTCCTACTTCTTTGCATGTGAATATCCCAGCCTCACGAATCTTCATGAGCAGAGACTTTGCTGCTGCGGACAGAGAATGTAGATCGGTGCAGGAAAGGGCACGGAGAATAGGGGGGAGCGTGAATGCCTCTAGAAAAGGTATCTAGTCGTTAAGGTATCTCTTCGCACGCTATGGCATAGAGCATTCCGGGTGAAACATCCATCTATTCATAGTCTACCCATTGACTATGACTCCGCCATTAGGATGCAAGCTCTGACCAGACATGAAACTACTGTCCTGACTGGCCAAAAACACAAAGGAAGTGGCAATTTCAGATGGCTGGCCCGGGCGACCCATGGGGGTTCCACTGAATTGATCCTGAGCGTAAGTCTTCATGGTAGACGGAATGAGGGGTGTCCAGACCGGGCCAGGGCAAACGGCGTTGCAGCGGATGCCGTTGGTAATCTGTTGATTGCAGAGGCCCCGTGTCAGGGCGATGATAGCGCCTTTACTGGATGTATAGTCGAGGAGGTCCGGACGACCGATGTAGGCATTGACGGAAGCGCAATTGATGATAACATCGCCAGATTTCATGTGCTGCAGTGCGTATTTTGCCATGAAGAAGTATGGATGAATGTTCGTGTCGAATGTTTTAATCCATTGGTCCCTTGTGCATACCTGTTAGTGTACGAGAGGGGAGACGGGATCAGTAGCCTACTCGGTCAGCTCATTGATACCATTGGTCATGTTCTGGTACGCGGCGTTGTTGACCAAGATGTTGATAGTACCCATTTTTGACATTGCCTCATCGACAACCTCTCGGCAATTTTCTCTCTTTCTCAGATCTGCAGCATATAGATAGCATTTCCCTCCACGCTTTTCTATCTCGTTTTTCGTGTCCTGAGCGTCTTCTTCTTCATCGGGTAAATAAGCAATCAGACTGTCGGCTCCCTCCAAAGCGTAGAGGATGGCAATGGCACGTCCAATGCCGCTATCCCCTCCAGTAATGACCGCCTTCTTGCCAGTGAGCTTGCCCGCTGCCTTGTAGGTCTGGTAGCCGCCATCTTCTGTCGGTAATTGTGTGTCTGATGGGTCAGGTCCCTTCATGTCTTTTTGTAGGCTTGGCTGGTCCTGGTGTTGGATTGGGACTTGATGGCCTTAAACAGCGTTAACAACACACAGAGCAGTAGCATGGTTTTCCAGCTCACCCCCCTCGAATTGGGACTTCTTCCCGGTAGCGGCTTTTTCAGCATTCTTAACTTTTTCCATGATAAGAGTACGCTTGATCGTTATGTAAGAGCGAGCACACGGTTTCAGGGGACGTTAGGGACGAGAAGACAATAAGCAATCGCAGACAGGGAGTGTTATGTGGAGAAAATGCGAGATGGGAGGCGACAGGACTACGTCAGTTCAACAACATGCAAATAACGGTGACGTGCACATGTTCCAAGCACAATGCTGTGCAACGGCGGAATGTATATCCGCTTATGACTCGATACACTCAGGTACGTCGCCTCTCACCCATTTGTCGAGTCACTTACAATTCTCAGCCCTCAAAGGTGAAGGATGGGAGAGTCCACTCCGTCAAGCAGGGAGGACCCCTCGGACGGGCTTTGGTGCAGGCAACGCTAACCCTCTTCTAGCCTGGACTCACTGAAGACCCCTTCTGGTGAATATACAACATACATGCACCTACAACTTGGCGTGGCCATGTTCCGACTAATACACTGGACATCATTATTCATCCCAAATCACACGTACCACGTATCCTGAGGAAACATGAGCGATTTCAAACATGTAGCTGCATTGCTTTGGATCGCGAATCTGTACACCAGTAAATGTGCGATCTTGGTGCTTCGTTCATAGATCATGTGGTAGCTATCGAATCTCAACTTGTGATCGCTCTTTGTCCCTAACCAGGTCGTGCTCGATCATGTTTCAAACATCGTGGTCCTTGATTGGAGTTTTCCATTCAACGAGTCACCGCTCTGGCCACCGCGTTCCAGATGATACTTCAAGTATTGTTGAAACACGACACTGTTGAGATGCCTCCTGTCCCTGTTGTCAGCTTTAGCGTCAAGTCTATATTGCACAAAAGTATTTCTCCCTCCTTTTCGTATGTCTTCAGTTGCTTCTGACCTTCATCGTTGTACCTCAGTCTCTTTCTTTACATCAAGAATATCAACTTGGCAGGCCAAGCACTTCAATCACCCCTTTTGTGTCCATCACTGAACTACATTCGACCAAACTTCCGACTGGCTGGCCCAAACATTCGTTTACAGAATCTCTTCATTTCACTCAAGATTCTTGCTGCCAACCTGTCAAGACCCTACCACTTTACACGATAATCCAATGGTCTGCGGCTTGATTTATACCAGACGAAACGATCACCAAGACATGGCTACTAAGATACAACTACAAGAGAAACCTGGCCCAACGACAGCCAGTGCAGCATTTCGCAAACTGTAAGTCACCATTTTCATGACCCAAGCTCCCAAGATTAAACGGGACCAGGACAAACCAGGGATCGTCTCTCACGAAGAAAGATGGCACAACCTCTCGAATCACCGAACAACTGCTACATTCGGCACCAAAATCGCCTAAGAAACGCAAAGCCAGTGCAGACATTCATTCTGACTTCACAGACAAGGAAGCTTCTTTTGATCATGCACAATCTAACGAGTCGACGGTTCTGCATAAAAAGCAGAAAGGAGGAATTGACAAGAAATCAGGAATAAGTATTGCCAAGGTGAAAAACCTTCCACCATCAACGCCATTGAGGTACTCCGACCACATGAATCCCCGTGCTATGAAATCGTGGGACTGATATCAGAATAGCAAACTTTACGGCACCTTCGTTTTCCTCAAGGTTGGAGATCGTGACCCATACGCTATACACAAAGGTCTACTCACTGAATACTCGCCCTACTTCAAAGCGGCATTCACCAGGGGATTCGTTGAAACGCAATCGATGCACCTCTCACTCCACGACGAATCTCCCGACGTTTTCGACCTCGTATATCAATGGTTCTACACGGGTTTGCTCACCTGCCCCGGGTCCGCCAATACCGAAGACGAAGGGAAAGATGTCAAATGCTACGTCGACTTGGCGGCACAGGTCTGGCTCTTCGCCGATCGATACAACATCCCCCTACTAGCGAACAAGGCGGTCGATTGCATCATAGACCGCTACATGGAACATTTCGAAATCTGCACCAATGTCGAGCATGTATGGGAGAATACGTCCGCGGGCTCACGTCTGAGAAGACTGATCATCGATACTTACGTCAAGATCCCTCATGCCATGGGCGTGGTGTACGACACTTTCGCGAACGAGATGGTTGAATGCCCAGAGTTCTTGGTAGATATTCTCAAGGGCGTCACGAGGCGATTGCAAGACCAGATGAATCCGGATGAAGGGGATGACTTCGGGAGTAATTCGAGGTCAGCCGAGTTCATCGCCTTTTCCTTCTAGTGCTCTCTCAATCCTCCCTATTATATCGCACTACTGTTACAGCTGAGCGGGAGTTTGCTGACTGTCTCTTCTGAATGCTAGGTATCTTGATAAGTGTCTGTATCATCTCCATGACGATGGGGAGGAATGCGACTGAATGCCTGGGTTTGATATGCGCAGGTCGTCGTGTTGTTATTTTCTAATTAATACGGCGGGATGCGAGAAGCATATGCGGCATCGGCTGACAGGTTGGTAACAAAATGCAATCTGAGAAGCTATGGTGCTTGTGCGACTAATCATTCTACAATCGTGGAATAGAATATCGAACGTTAATGAGTGAAACGAATACAACCACACGATTTCTCTATGCTCAATACTACGTTCAAGCCATCTAAGTGAATTTTGCTAATCCGGCTCATTAGGGTATCAATGTGTTCTAGCAAAGCTTTGCAATTGTGGCTCTGCCAAGGACTCAGGATTAGGGCGACGTTGTACCTAGAATGCTGCTCTAAAATCACTGAACGAATCAGCCGTTTTTGCTTTTTCTGCCGCATCATCAAGAGACGTCGATTTTCATCATCCCAATTCGTCTACATTCATGTCATTGTCATCGAGCTTCATGAACTTTCCCTGTCCGGCAGGCTTCGAGCTTCGACCAAAAAGGATGCTGTTAGGCCTTGGATATGAGTTGTGTCTAACGTTGAAGCCTTTGGGTCGTTGATTCTTGGTCATCAAAAACTCTTCGTCAACTCTCTTCTCAGGCCCTTTACCTTTGCCAACGTCAAAGATCCCGAGCCCCTTACCATGGCTCTTGGGTCTCTGGGCACTAGACTTCGTTTTGAGACCGCTTCTGGACCACGGATGTTGTTCGTCATCTCGAGTCCCCAAATTGTTGACTCCTTCTGTTAGGCTTCGAGCATCTTCGAGGGAAATTTGCCTATGTGTCTTTGTTCTCTTTGGCGCTGGACCATCGAGTACCCTTAGATTCCGTTGCGCACTCTTCCTTTTCACACTCTGATTTCCATCTGTAGCTGACTTGGATGCTGGCGTCGAAATGTAAGGATGCTCGTCATCAGGCTGAGAATCCAAGCTCGAATTTGTTGTACTTGGGCTCTGACACGGACTCTCATGCCGCTGGTCGACTACTTTATCTTGCTTCGTGAATAACTTCGACGACGTGGATGTTGCGTCTGGGCTACTTGAAAAGTACATAGTGTTTGAGTGTTGGTCAAGCCCGGAGATTGCATGCGTGAAGTTTGGCATGCTTTGTGTAATGGGTAATGATCCAGTCTGCTGATTAATGACACGATCTGTGTTAAGTTCATTCTTCTTGGTTGTCTCGGTGCCCTTTTTTGGCTTGTCGAGACTAAAATTGAAGCCTGAGAAGTCGTGGATTGATATACTACCATCTATTCTGGGTTCATCATGAAATGGATCATCCTCTAGAGACGAACGCTCTAAGCGAGATCTCATGCTTTCGTATACCGGAAGGTACCTTCGCGTTGCACTGCCACTACCCATCAAAGACTGGACCTTTGGTTTGCTAAGATTAGTCCCTTCTGCTACCCGACGTGCGACATTTCCATTCCTCCCTTTCTCAGGAACGATTTTGGTCTTCCTAGGGCCATCGAGGGTTTCGTACACCCTGATTGCTTCTGGTGGCGATGAGTCGTCTTTGTGGTCATTGCTCAGCTTGCCTTTCAATACTCGCGAAGCACTCATGAGTGCGTCTTTCGCTCGTTGCCTTGGTGAAGGTTTCGCGAGCTCAACTGCAAGAATCGATGCTTTCACCCTGGACTCGGCTTCTTGCGCTTCAGCCTGGTGCATGAGCTTAGAGATCTTTTGGCTCAAAGTCGTAGCATTGGTTGTCGTAGATCTTGTGACAGGGAGACTCTCGGCTGTATGGCTTGTCGTAGGTCTCGACGCTATAGCTTGGTAGGATGAAGCCCGGGGTAGAGATGGCTTTTTGGTTTTGCGTTTGAAATTTGAAGCGTTCTGATCGCTTGGCAAGTGTAAATTGGTGGTTTTAGGAGCCAGAACTGCCCTTGCTTTGCTCTCCTCAACGGGCTTCTTGCCTGAAGAGATAACGGGTGAAGCAGACCTCTCGGTGCCGTCGTCTGCCCGCTTGTTTGATCTATTCGAGTTCGGTCGCGAAAGCGTAATCTCTTGATGAAGTGAATCGACTCGAGAGATCTGCTTTGGCACGTCTTGTAGAAGAGCTTCACCATCGAGCTCGTCAATGCTCTCATCATCTGATCGTGATTGGTTCAAGAGCTTCAGGCCATTTGTTTTTGATTTCGTGCGGCGTGCTTGCTCTGTACCTAATATCAGCATAAAGTTACATCTACTGGGAAATCGTACTTAGCGAATCTTGGTGGTGCTTAGACTTCGATTCATCATCTTGGAAGACAGCGAAGGAAGAAAGGAGACCATTTCTGCGCTTCCCATAAATCGCCATCCCCTAGGGGGTAATCAACCGATAATGACAATTGGACGTATTAAAGCACAAAGGAAAGGTGGTCTGCGGCAGTCAAGTGATTCCTCTTCTTGAAAGCTCGCAACGGGAAGGAGCGAAGAATCATCAGGTTAGGCTAAAGTGTTGGCAACGATCGTCAAGACGAGCACGACGTTCACCACCTATTTGGGAAACGATTTCGAGTGCATTCCCAATGATGAGGTACGACGCATTCCGCATCATGCATAGGGAACGGTTTTCAGATCAAGGCTCAGGCTCATCAAACCTTCAAATCATGGGTTTTTTCGCAAAACCGCTCTGAGTCCGATCACCATCTTGTGGTGCCGTGTCCACAGAAATCAATGACGAATCCAAGATGTATGCACACATTCCGCAAGCAGGATGGGGCAACTACGATGAGAGCGTTGTCTCGAAAGTTTCATGGCGAGCATCATTGATGTCCTATGCACGGTCAAGGTTGTAAGGAGGAATGGAAGGTTGAGGTACTTAGAGTATTCGATGTTTTACATCTTGCCTTATTCACCTGTCAAGTCATACGAGAAGTGCTTACTATCTTGATATGCTAGAACGGAACTGATAGAAGCCTTGAACATGTGGTATATTCTTCTTGGAGTCGAGCCGACGCCCACGCCCACGCCCCTTTTTCCAACGCTAGTGCTCAAACATAGCCAAAAGGGCTTAAGACTAGGGCTGTACGATAGGGAAAATCATCCAATCAACAGCCAGTCAGATAGAATTGGTCAGCCACCGGCCTGTCATCCCACATGGCAATGAAATAAAAATGTAATAATGGGACAACGATTCCTCGTCTGGATGAGCCGGAATCAATTCTTGTACCTAGTCTTTGAGCCCAATGCACCTCCAGTGCTCTCAATCCAAGCCTCTTGTTTAGTCCTACGTTACCAATCCCCAATCCTCCTCTCCCTACACCTATTATGTCATTCTCCAATCTGGTCTCTGACATTGCTTACCGCGACTCTCCTCGTCCTAAGAACCCCGTTCGCTCCGCCACTGAATCGTCCGCCCGTTCATACACCAGCACAGCAGCGACCAGTGTCAGCATATCTGGCGACATCTCAAGCCAATTGCATGGCGGCTACAGCCACCCATTGGCTCGCTCGTGGCAAGCTGAACGACAACTGACAAAAGTGCGCTACACACCCACATCGCGCCCAAGCCTTTCTAATCTTCCAATAGTCCATGCTCATATATCCTCTATTCATAACTGACCACCCCAACGAAGAAAGTCTCATCCCCTCGCTGCCGAATCAATCTCGCCGCGGTCTCAACCGTATTCGCCCTTACCTTGATACCCTAGTGCAGAAAGGCCTGAAGTCCGTCATCCTTTTTGGTGTACCCACTGCTTCCGGCTCAAAAGACGCTCTTGGCACATCAGCGGATGATCCAAAGGGGCCCGTCATCCAAGCCATCCGATTATTACGGCAACACTACCCACAACTCTTTATCGTCGCTGACGTATGCTTATGTGAATACACAAGCCATGGGCACTGCGGTATACTACGCGAGGACGGCTCCTTGAACAATCAGCTCTCCGTGGATCGCATCAGTGATGTAGCGATGGCGTACGCAGAGGCGGGCGCGCACTGCGTCGCTCCCTCAGACATGAACGACGGACGTGTACGGGCGATCAAGTTGAAGCTGATTGAAGCTGGGATCGCGCATAGAGTTGTGCTAATGTCATACTCTGCTAAGTTCTCCGGGTGCTTATATGGTCCATTTAGGGATGCCGCTGGCTCGGCTCCGAGTTTTGGGGACAGGAAATGCTATCAGTTGCCACCTGGAGGCAGAGGGCTGGCCAGGAGGGCGATCACGAGGGATATTCAGGAGGGTGCGGATATCATAATGGTAAAGCCGGCGAGTTCTTATCTGGACATCATCAGTGACGCAAAGGATCTGGGGAAGGACATGCCGGTCGCAGCCTATCAGGTCAGTGGCGAGTTCGCTATGATTCACGCTGGGGCGAAGGCTGGAGTGTTTGATCTGAAGTCTATGGCGTTTGAGAGTACGGAAGGAATACTAAGGGCTGGAGCAACGATTGTTGTGAGCTATTTCACGCCAGATTTCCTAGATTGGCTGGAGCATTAAAAGTGCTAATTTGGTTTGCATTGTATGGATCTAAAATAGATGTCGGATGATAGACGAAGCGCAGCAAAAGCGCGAAAATATGTATGTATACTATTCTCATTGGAGGCGACATTTCTACTATCGCTCGCCCTGCTTAAAGTAATTGTCCGTCGTTCGAGGCTGTCTACTTAATCAATGATCAAGCGTCATGCATACAAGTATATCCCGAAAGCACCAGTCAGTTTCAGACTTTTGAAAAGCCTTACACTAATTCATCAGGTCTTCAGCTACCAAATTCAGCAGCGCCAATGTTTTTAGAGGATTCTCAAGGACTGTCTCCCAACTCTGTTAAGTTCAGTTCTAGGGTGCCGAATGTAAAATCAGGACATCTCAAGTCCTGCCTGGAGCGTTTCGAGGTAGATGTCGGCATATTATGTCCTCGAATTGACTGGCACATTGGTGAGAGTCCCTTTCCCCCCTGTCATCTATTCGTAGCTAGGTATCACATTTATATGCCTAAATGGAGAATGTCAATGCTAGTCTCTAAAGTGTCAGATCCTTTCAAAAATGTCATTGATAAGTTAAGAAACAAAGAAACATGCACGAAAATCTCCAGCATTTGCTTTCTCCGCCAGCAAAGCGCTTGATACATGACAAGTGAACAAAAACTGCCCCGACCGATAAACCGTCGCTTCATTGACTCTATTTTCTGTACCAAAGACGGGAAATCCTGGTGTGTCTCATCTTTTTCTGCAGCTGAAATATCCCATACATCAATGCCTCGCTTGTTGGCGGGCAACCCGGCACATATACATCCACAGGAACAATCCGGTCACATCCTCTGGTGACCGAATAACTGTAATGATAATATCCTCCACCATTCGCGCAGCTGCCCATACTTATGACCCATCGAGGATCCGGCATCTGGTCGTAGACCTGCCGTAAAGCGGGGGCCATCTTATTCGTTAACGTACCCGCGACGATCATTACGTCTGATTGCCTAGGTGATGCACGGAAGATTATACCGAGTCTATCTTGGTCGTAGCGAGGTGTTGAAAGGTGCATCATTTCCACGGCGCAGCAGGCGAGGCCAAAAGTCATCGGCCAGAGAGAGCCTTGACGCGCCCAGTTGGCTATTTGATCCATTGTCGTTCTATTCAAGGGGGCGTTGTCAGTGAAACGCTTGGTAATCAAATGGGTAAGTTGATAGACCGTACAGGGCATATTGCATTACCCCTTCTTTCTTCTCTTGACTTGGTAATGGCACTTCTCGCCGCGGCTTGCCGGTGACGCTGAGTGGCGGTCCTTGCGCATTCTGTGACGGTGTGACTTCTGTAGATGTGGCTTGTGATTTGGAGGATGAGGAGGATATGAATGCTGATGGACCAGCACGGAGAGGAAGGAGTGCAGATGAGGGTTTTGCTGTCAAGATATTGGTTAGTCCTTAATGGCAAGGGCTGGAAGGAGGTACGCACCTCGCAAAGCCAATGCTGCTGTAGATCTTGTCGAAGAAAGCATGATGATCTGTAGTCGAAGGTATGGATTGGAGGAGTGTAGTCCGTGGTGGGATCAAGAGTTATGAACTGTTGTGGCGCATAAAGTCGGGATGTTCGATGAGGTATTCTGACTTCCTTCCAGCTAGTCCGTTTTTGTCCTGGCTTATCGGAAGTGTTCTCATTGGCCACAGGCAAATCTTCCTGGCAGTATCACGTTCCCGATTCTTTCGATGATACGATGTTCATCTATTGCGTTTCTTGACGAATGATCCTCAGCAGCCGTAGTAGAATACATAAACCAATGTGCCCTACACCAGATCGTTGAGGTCATACAAGTCTAGGATCAGAATGCATGGGTAATTGGTGGACTAGCTCATGGAGCATTGCTTGCTATCACAAATTGAGACTTGCATGTACAGGCGGTCGCTGTCGTAGCTTTTGACACCTTGCGCTTTTATCACAACGCCGTTGTTACGATCTACAGTCGGACCTTAATTCAGCCTTCGCCCTCTGTCTCTTCTAAGCCCTTAAGTGCCTCTTCAGCTTCTTTCGGGGATGTGATTCCCCAGACTCCGCCTCCTCTGATGTGGTCGGCACCTTTCATACCCACTTCTTTACCAACAAGGTTTCTTCCGACCTTGCCAGGTCCAAGCCCGATCCACCTCCGAACGCCTTGTTCTTGATCCAGATATCGGATGCTGTCCCACCACCTGACCGTTTCCACACATTGCCGGGACAGGAGCGCGCGAAGACTCGCTGCACTTCCGAACGGTCGAGCACTGACATTACTAATTACTGGAAAGGCGCCTGGGAATGTCACATCCATCCTTTGAAGCGCTTCTTCCATGAATCTCGCCGCCGGAGCCATGATGGGTGAATGAAAGGGCGAATCTGTTGCCAGTCTGACATGTCTTGGATCGTGTCCTCCGAACTGTCTGAGTTGCACTAGCAGTGCGTTGATTTTGCCGATGTTCCCACTGAGAACGATCTGATTTTTGCTGTTTACGTTTCCCACCAGCACCTGATCGATTGGTGCTGTGTTGCTGGTAAGATCATATTCTCCACCTTCCGAAGCTGCATAGCCCAGGAACTCGTTGATTGCATCCATAAGACTCCCGAGTCTATTTGGCTCGCATACCAACGCAACCATGCCGTACTCTGCACCGTCAGATTCCTTGCTTGCTTCTACACTGCATCGTGCCATTTGCTCTGCTCGTTTTCGCAGTAACTTCACAGCATCCGCGTATTGGAGGTGTTGTGCAGCAACAAGGGCAGCAAATTCCCCCAGCGAGTGCCCTAAGCACACGTCCACCTTTTCAGACGTTTTGAAGCCGTATTCTTGCTCGAGCACACGAAGAATCATAACACTAGTGCCCATGATGGCGGGTTGTGCATTTGGCGTGGCGATGAGAGTAGAGTTGGGTCCTTCAGCTATGAGCTTTGAAAGAGAAAAGCCCATATGTGTGTCCAGCTCATCGAGAAATGGGCGACACGTTTGGGGGAATGCTTCTACCCAAGGAGCTGCCATGCCCACACGTTGCACTCCTTGACCTGCGTGTCTTGAGTGCCCATTTGGCATGATGTAGGATGGAAATAAATCTGACCTGGAAAAAACAACGCGGTTTTGGGCTTTCTCGCTGACGTTGTGGAAGCGTATCTTACTGAACTGCATTTCGGGCGGGACGTACTCCCACGACGGATAGGTGGACGATGGTCATAAGTCCTAGGTCCTGGAGGACGTGATTTGGTAGCCGTGCGGCTGCCCCGCCGAAGACCACTCGCCAGTATCGCCATAGTGATAGAGACCAGCTCGCTTTGGAAGCAGAAGCTGGTCATGCGCGACTACAATCATGATTGAAGTACAGGTGCTATGAGTCGAAATGAAGTGTTGGGTTGCCAGTTGATCGCGTGGTTACCGCGCCGAATTAGTCAGCGATCTGTGGCTTTGCATGTAGATCTACCGGTACTTCAAAAAAATACTCCCTTCGCAGACACATTTCCACTACATGACTTATTTCATATCGAGGCTATTTGCCTGTTGGAGGTCTTAACTTTGGTACACAACCTTGCGGCTCGATTCGGTCGATTGCAACATGTTGCGAGCATGGGCAATAGCTCAAGTTCACACAAGATCTCCGCACAGGATCGGTACTTGTTGCACTCGCTATTTAGAAATTCGGCAGCTCGCTAACGCAGATTTCACTCAGGGCTATCCTTGATATGAAAACCCAGCGTGACAAATTACGACAATACCAAAAACGAATCAATACTATCACTCAGCGAGAGACTGATATTGCGCGCTCCTGCCTAGAAAGAGGCGATAAAGAGAAAGCATTGCTAGCACTGCGGCGAAAGAAGTTCCAGCAATCTCTTCTAGCTAAAGCGGATTCGCAACTTGCTACTCTAGAGCAATTAACCGCCAACGTGGAGTTTGCGCTCGTGCAGAAAGATGTCTTATTCGGCCTTCAGCAGGGCACCAGTGCGCTGAAACAAATACATTCAGATATGGGCGGCATTGAGAATGTTGATAAGCTGATGGGCGAAAATGAAGAGGCAATTGGATACCAGAAGCGGATCAGTGAGATGCTGGAGGGCAGACTAAGTACAGAAGAGGAGGAGGATGTGGAAGAGGAATTGGTTCGCTTGGAGGCCGGGGTGCTGATGCCCGATACTGAGGGGGTGCTGGAGGAGGTGATTACCACTCCAGCAGAATTGCCAAACGCTCCGAGAAACGAGCCTATTTTCAAGGAAGAGTTGAAAGACAAGGCCCGCAGACAGGCGATGATCAGAGAGCGAAGGGTTGCTGAAGCGTTGGAGCCGATGGCAGCATAGCATGGTGCATGGTTTCACGAAAGCATAGCGAAGGCGTTTTGGGATGTGGAATGATAGTTTGAAAGACTAGATCCTCCATATATTTAGTAGCGCTTGTCATAGCATCGCGCCTTCTATTCTTACACACTGATCTTCGTGTTACGGCTCACGTCCCCTGCCGACTTGCTCCCTTCTCCCCAAGTCCAGCAATGACTTCATGATCTTTAGGATTTGCTGCTTTCTCGTACAGCACCTCAAATGGCTCTCTATTAAGCTTTGTGAATTCACCTTTGAAGCCAACCCAGTAAAGCCTGCTCTCATCAGCACCATGATTGTTCTCGATGAACAGGCTCAAGTTGTAGACGTTGCTAAAGGACGTCCTCTTGACTGGCAGCTCTTGCACTTCGTTTGTTCGCGAAATGTGAAGCATCTGTGTTGGAGGAAGATCAGAAGCAGTCGAAAAATCGAGATCATCGTGGTTGTGATATAGCTTCAGCGTCTGCGGGCAAGAAGAAGAGTCTGAGGCGCGTATGAGGACGGAGTGAAGTTTGAGGACGCCAGCGAACCTACAATGTCCGTCAACTCCTCTTCTCGAGTAGAGTTGGTTGGGGGGACTCGTACGGTACAAAAAGGATCAGCTGCTCGTCAGCATCACTGACAAGCTCGGGCGCTGGCTCAAGTCGCTGCTGAAATGTCTTCTCCACTACCCTTCTGCCCGCGTCCGTCTCGCTTTCATTCAGACATCGGACATTGTCGAATTCAATCTGCTTGTAAATCGAGCTCTGAAGAGCTGGTTCGATTTCATCGCTATGATCATGGCTATGGCCATGGTCATGGTCGCCATTACCGCCGTGGCCGTGGTGGTTGTGGTGTGCGTGTGACATTTTGTGCTAAGTGGGGTGAAAAGTAGGCGGAGACCCGCAAAACGTCTTGTTTCTACAGAAAGGACCGTCACATTCCCTCTCGCACGGTTCGCAGCTATGGTCTTTTACTTCACTTCTTCCGTCTCGGATCCTTCGAGCACACTTTATGTTGGCAAAGACAAATTCGAGAGTGTGACCGCTCATCCCAAGCTTCTCCGTGGTTCCACCTAGCTGATTCTTGTAGACGAGGAGTTGATCAAATTTGGTTGGGACTGCGATGTCTGGTGACCGCGCTTATCAAGATTCTGTCTGTCTGTCTCCTGCTTACAATGTCTATATAGGGTATGCTCTTTCTCACAGTGCTGCAACCAGGGCACCTTGCTGAACCAAATGCAGTTCCACGCCGACAATCTTTCCTCAGCGCACATATACCTCCGCTTACAAGCCGGACAAGACTGGGAAACTATTTCAAAGGACCTGATAGAGGACTGTGCACAGTTGACAAAAGCAAACTCGATTGAAGGTACTCCCTGCTCATTTCCTCCTCTCTTCGTTCGGTCGTACCAAACGTTCACACTCGATCAAAAAGGCAACAAGAAAGAAAACATAACCATAATATATACTCCCTGGTCCAACCTCAAGAAGGATGGTGGTATGGCCACCGGGCAAGTCGGCTTCCACGATAGTCGCAAAACGAAACGTATCCTCGTCCCGGTTCGCATCAACGCCATCATCAATAGATTGGAGAAAACGAAAAAGGTTGGTGAGGCGGAGGAATTGCCTGCTGCTAAAGACGCCTACTTGAAAGAGCAGAGGAGAATGAAGAGGAAGGACGCCGAAGGAAAGAGGAAGGAGGAGGAGAGAGAGTTAGAGGAGAAGCGGAGGGAGAAGGAGGAGAGGGAACGGGCCTGGGAAGAGCTGAGGGCTGGCGGGGAAGGGAGGAGCAACGAGGAGGGGTTTGATGAGGACGATTTTATGTGATAGGAGAATATTTGTGCGCTTACCATGTATAGTGCATGGTAATTAAGGCGAAGGTCGATAAAAAGTTCCCAGGAGCTGATTGATTAGGTTTATCTGCTACCAATAGTCGTATTTGAGTATAGTATGGCAATGATAGAAGCGAATCTTGCCCTCTATCTCACCCTATGATTGCGTCTTTCTGAGCTGTCAATTACTGCTCAGGCTAAGAAATGTCGCCTTTGTTGCTATGCCGTTATGCCCCAAGATTGTCATTGATGACAAAATGTAGCTGTACAGTCCCAAATATACGTCTCCTCATTAGCTCTATTATTTTCCATTCCAGATCTAAGTCGCAGATTCACCAGGGCAAACCGTGACCAGTTTTCGAAACCAGCCGGCTAGCCTACTCTATTTGACAGTCATGCCAATAGTGCCAGTGTTGTTGTGCATGTTCCATTGTGGCTTCAGGCTGTCCATGAGGTCGCCTCTGGTACCGACGACTTCCTTTGGTATGCGGCTGACTCGATATGCCCCAGTGCGGACAGCGTGTTGTGTTCTAGCTGACATTGCGCTCCTATTGCTACGTATTGAGCCAGCATCAGAAGCTGTATCAGAATTTTTGAATCGAGGAGGAGGAGCAAAATCTAGAGCGGTAAATGTGCCAGATTTGCGGAGCAGATGTCTGAGAAACGTTAGCATGCATGTCGACAATAATATGAACATCAGACTTGCGGGCTAGGCATGACGGCGAGATCGTCATAAGATCTGGCCAGTGGAGTGTGTGGGCGTATTGAAGGTGAATACGGCCGCAAGCCCCCTAAAGGACTGTCCGGTGCGCCAGCTCTTTGACCGCGACTTGCTGAAGGAGGAGCGAAATCGATTGATAGGGCGATGTCATCCTCTTTCAGAAGATGTGGTGTTGGGATGACGCGAAGGGATTTAGGAGGGGGAGCTTCTTCTTCGGTGGGCCACGCCCAGGAGGACCGAAACGCCCAGAGGCAGAAGAGTATGCCCGGGGTCCAGGTGGCATGAGACGGGAGCTGCCTGACATGGTGGCGGCATGACGACGACCGCCGACTCTAGGGGGTGGAGTCATTGCACGTCGACCATAAGGTTCGGCATACGGCATTGAATGGGCAGTGACATACTGTCCAGATGATGGATCGAAGATCGCACCGTCACCGAGATAATTCTCGTCATAGTCTTCGTAGTACTCAGCACCTGTAGGCGCTGGCTTCGAATCGTCAAAGTATTCTTTGTAAAAAGACCTGATCCTATTGGCCCGCTGTTCTGGATTGTCGGTGGGATCTTCTGGGGGCAGCGGACGAACTCCCACAGACAGTCTCCGAACATCATAGCCAAAGTCATTTTCATCGACACCCAACGAATATTCGTCGATAGGTGGCATATACTCCTGACTTGACCCGCGATTGTTCGGATGCTGATCCTGGTGAGATAAGTGAGGTGATGCCGGCGTAATCTTGAATGTATCTCCGTAATCACTAGAACTCTCGTGAGAGTTTTGTTCTATGGATGCATGATGCGAGGATTGCAGGGATTGATGTCTAGATGGTCTTGTAGAGTTGGAGGACGTGTTCGTGGCTGGTGGCGGCGATTTTCGGGTATCAAGAAAGGTCGAAGTCGGGGTAGCAGGTGTCTCCCTTGGGGTCAGGTATTCACTCTTTTCCGTCTCGGGACTCTTCACGTCTGCCGAAGGGTCTCGGCTATGAATGAAGGCACCCAGATAATTATTGCTTTTCCGTAAATGCTCGTTTGGCTGGTAAGAGTCTCTGCTGTCTGCAAAGCCGGCGGTCGGCGCTAATCCGCCAGTTGGAGGAATTGTGGGATTTGTAGCTAGTGGCTTCCGAGGCATTTCTTGCGCAGCATCGGGTGTCTTGATCTCTGGTACAGGCACGCGGTTCATAGGTGGCACTGATCTTGACATGCGCTGAGCATTGCCAAGCAGATCCTGCTTCATGTCATCTCGACCGGCACGATGCAGAGAACTCGAGCCAGCTTGGCTTGAAGAGTCATCGGCGGCACGCCTGGTTTTCTGCGAGTGAAGTGAAGCGTTGTCGCCCGGGACATATGTGGTTGCGGGGCGATATCGATCGTCTTGGCTGTGTATCGTTCGTGACATCGAATGCAAAGACTCGCGAGACCCATGAAGCCCAGGTGGCATCAGATACGGGCTACCAACATCCATATCCATTGATAAGCCTCTGTCCTTTCGCGCACCTTTCTCTAAAGCGAGCCCATCGACATCCGCACCAGACTTGCCTCTCTTTTGACTTTTACCACGCTTCTTGGTTCCGGTATTAGCAGCCGGGTCCCATCCAAAATCCAGCGACTTGTGAGGATCGTTGGCATCTTCTTGACGCAGTTTCCTCACATGCCTCCGGTGGAGATAGACAAATATGATAACAGCCAGGAGTATGGGTATACTGAGTCTTGTTTAGTGGATGGTTAGGCGAAATGACGGAAGAAAACTTACATGACTCCGAGAGCGACAGGTATTGAAATGTTGACTCCTTGGTGACCCTTTGAACTTGAGGTGCTGCTGCTGCTGGTGTCACTGCTACTGCTGCCACTGGTGTCGCTGCTGCTGGTGTCACTACTACTGCTGCTGCTGCTGCCGTCGGAAGTTGAGCTGTCGGAGCTGTCTGAGGGACTGCCAGAGACACCCGGTGGTGTGCGTATGAACAAAGATTTCGCCTGCGCCAGTGGGTTGTCAATGATCTGCCTCAGGTGTACTGGCTGAACATTGAGTGCAGGCGGTGTGTTTTCGCTGAATAGTGGGTGCCCGTGATGGCGATGATGTTGGTGGTGTCGGGCCATTGTAAGGTTGCTTTCATATGCCAATTAATTTAATATCCCAAGCTTCGCTTCTATTATGATACGTCAATGCATCCTGTTTTGATTTTTTTGTGTCTGAGCTGATTGCTACTGTCGGAGGACAAAGATGCGACGATTAAGCACTCAGCGTATAAGGTACTAGCCTCTGTGCGATGGACCTTCAAGGAATGACTCTGGTGAGAAATAGAGAATGACTGAATTAAATTAAAGGAATGGACGGCCAGTACAGTGGCCGGTGAAGGATGTTGAAGAACAAGAAGCTGGTGTAGTAGTCTTCGTGCACACAGAGGCTTCAGGGGAAGGAAATTGGCCCAACTACTGAATCTAAAGCTGCAGCGCTAACGTCTTATCTGCGCCTCCCTGCCAATTCCCTCATTATCCATCCACGTTGTCCTAGAAACGTGAGAGCAGCCTACAGAACGCCTTGGGTGCGCTTCTACGCCATGCATGAGTCTACTGAGAAGTCTACATTCCGTCTCCGTCTCCGTCTCCGTCTCCTTGATGGTCGCTGTTGATGAGCCAAGATGCAGAAACTGCGCCTCTAAGGCCCGCCGCTGTTCGCGCTAAAATCCAGGTACCCGTGCAAGCCGTGCCGGGAGTGGGAGTGGCAATGGGAGCTGAGAGTGGGTCCCTTCATCAGTTCATGTACTCATCCAGAATTCCTCCCACAACTCTCAACCACCTTTTTGAAAACAAGGACTTCGGTTACTGATGAGGTCTGAAAATGAATCTTTCCTTCTGTTTTTCAGGTGTTGGCATTTGCTTTGCACGCTACGTTGTCGCGAGGTGGTCGACGACCGCTTGCTGGAAGCATGGCTTTGCGGTGACCGTTCATCGTTAATGATTCTCTGATCTCTTTCCCCTGTCTGTTGAATTTCACGTTGATGAAATGGCCTGCTACGGTAGTGGTACTCAGACTTGTCCAAGTCAACAGGTAGAATAGCTTTCGAAACGTGGATGACAGCCTCCTCAATTGTCTTCCTTGAAGCTGTCGCTTCGAAATAGAGAAGCTATTGACAGGAACCAGACAGAATGCGCCAATTCAGAAAGACTTCATGCCCTGGTGTCCTGGTAGTGTTCCTGGAGACAACCTTTCCTGTTCTGCGTCATCTACCTGCCAGCCCCAACCCCAGCGCACGCGATTTAGCGATTCAGCGATTCTTGAAATCCTTGTGATATCCTCGTCTGCTATGTAAAGTCCGAACTGCGTTATGCTCAAACTATCATCGGTGCGTCTTTGTGTAGTCAAGGTTGACGCTCGAGAGACCATAATGAATATATACGCCAATTGGGAGATTCACAGCATAGTCCTAAACAGGAAGTGCAGCAACCATCGATCCATAGCATATGAATCACCGGCTACCTAGTGCTGCTGTTTGGGTACAACATAAATCTCTCACCGATCTAATCTCACAGTTGTCGGAAGGTCGGTCAAGTAGTATGAGTGACTTTCTTCATCACACTCTGGTAAGTGCTTTGCCCGATGAAATTTTGTCTCCTCGAAGGCATGTAGGCTAATCGAGACGATGATTTTGCTGTTGGAGAGCGTGTAGAAATGCGCAGCAATTCGCAAACAAGTCCATCCGTTTCCTCAGGCCGCAACGGTCATTTGTGAGTGTCGTTCTTTGAGAGAGTACAAGCCGCGAAAATGCAAGCGATCACGAGGATTAGTCATGCAAAACCGCACGCTAATGCCTTTAGCGTTATGAAGTCACAAACGCGATAGAGCCTTTTAGATCATCTACACTTGAGCTAGTATCAGGTCCCTCCGCAGCTGCATGTTCAACTTGCGGGCGTCATTTATGTATGTGCAAATGGATTAAGGTCGTACGCGTTAGTCTCCTTTGATTGCTTTCGTAAATGTTCACTTTGCCCCTCGGACTGAGTGACAACCTTCACAGCCTGCGATTCTGCGGCCCAGGTCAAGCCAACGTAGCCTCTCGCGCTCTCTCACCTTCTCACTCTTACAGACTGTCGTAATCTGATATCCTAAATCAAAATGTCTCTCTCGGTTGAAGAACTTGATCAGACGGTGAAAACCTTTTTCGAAGGTCGAGGCGATATTGTACGTTCAAGAGTGAAAATAACTTGACTTGTCTAACACATCGTCCAGCAAAAACAGGCACAAAATACTTTGAACCAGGTATGAAAATGATACATCACTCATGAATATGGTACTAAAGTTCTGGTAGTTCAAAGAAAACCCCGATGCATGGCTGCTGGTTGACAAGATCCTACAAGAGGCGTCCTACCCACAAACAAAATGTATGGAACATAATAAGAAGCAGATCCTATTAGGATGACAACTGACGGGATCAGATATTGGCCTGCAGGTGCTCGACAATGTCATCATGACAAAATGGAAGATATTGCCAAGGGAGCAATGCCAGGGTACGCGTCCAGCAATGACTGGCCCGTGGTTCACCTACTGATTCAGGAGCAGGCATACGAAACTTCGTGGTAGACTTTATCATTCAAAACTCCAACTCTGAAGAGAGCCTCAAGTCGCAGAAAGCACTGCTCAACAAATTGAACCTCGTCCTTGTGTCTATATTGAAGCAAGAGTGGCCCCACAATTGGCCCACATTCATCAACGAAATTATTTCGTCTTGCCACACAAGCCTTTCAATCTGCGAGAACAACATGTCCATCTTGAGACTACTTTCTGAGGAAGTCTTTGACTATTCGGCAGAGAATATGACCTCAACTAAGACGAAGAACCTCAAAACAACCATGTGCGCCGAGTTCTCGCAAATTTTTCAGCTCTGCTCCGAGGTCCTGAACAGCGCCAACCAGACAAGTCTCATCAAAGCTACATTGGAGACACTCCTACGCTTCCTGAGTTGGATACCACTGGGGTTCATCTTCGAGACACCAATTATTGACACTTTGAGGGGAAGATTTCTAGAAGCTCCTGAATTTCGAAACGTCGCTCTTAAGTGCTTGACTGAGATAGGGAGCTTGCAAGTAGGACCGACACCGGCGTATGACCAGAAACTTATCCAAATGTACACGGAGACCATGACAACTGTTTCAAAAATAATCCCTCTCTCAGTCAGTCTGAGAGACACGTACGAGAAAAGCAATGCTCGAGATCAGGAGTTCGTTCAAAATCTTGCAATCTTCCTCTGCCAATTCTTCTCAGTCCATCTGACTGTAAGCTCCGCGTATTGTTCTCATGCTTCCTGGCTGACACTCGTAGCTTATTGAAAATCTTCCCAACCAAGACTTCCTCATACAGCCTCATTTTTATCTGATACGGATATCACAGATTGAGGACCGGGAGATATTCAAAATCTGTTTAGAGTACTGGACAAAGCTCGTGCAGGAACTGTACGAAGAGATGCAACAACTACCAATCACCGATATCAATCCACTTATCAGCTTGACAACGAGCGGTCTTTCCAATAGCGGAGCGCCTCATCCAAGCGTTCTTGCAAATTATCCTTTACGTAAACACAAATACACTGAAGTACTCTCGCACTTACGGACAGTCATGATCGAAAAGATGGTCCGACCAGAAGAGGTACTAATTGTAGAAAATGAGGAAGGAGAAATTGTCCGAGAGTTCGTCAAGGAGAGCGACACTATCCAGCTGTACAAGACAAGCAGAGAGTGTCTTGTCTACCTCACACATCTTGATGTCGTGGACACCGAGCAGATCATGGCTGACAAGCTTTCCAAACAAGTCGACGGTACTGAGTGGTCCTGGGCTAATTGCAACACGCTCTGCTGGGCCATAGGGTCAATTTCTGGCGCCATGAATGAAGAAACTGAGAAACGCTTCCTTGTTACTGTCATTAAAGACCTTCTGGGACTGACGGAAATGAAACGCGGCAAGGACAACAAGGCCGTGGTAGCTAGTAACATCATGTATATCGTGGGCCAGTATCCCCGTTTCTTGAAGGCACACTGGAAATTCTTGAAGACCGTCGTCAACAAGCTCTTTGAGTTCATGCATGAGACACATGAAGGTAGGTCGTCGCGATCTTTCTTAAACGTGACTTCTAAGATCATATAGGTGTGCAAGACATGGCCTGCGACACGTTCATCAAGATCGCCAGTAAATGCAAGCGGCATTTTGTAGCTCTACAAGCTGGAGAGTCTGAACCATTCATTGAAGAGATCGTGCGCACATTACGAAAGATCACGGTCGATTTGAGCCCACAACAAGTGCACACTTTCTACGAAGCTTGTGGTCACATGATCAGTGCCCAGGGCCAGAAGAGCCAACAGGAGCGCCTGATTTCAGAGCTGATGTCCTATCCCAACACAGCAGTATGCCCTTTCCTTGAACGTGCTTTCGTGCGTCTACTAAAGCTTTCATTCAGTGGGATTCCATCATCCAACAAGCCAATAACGATCCAGTGATTCTGCAAGATTCAGATACTATTAAGGTTGTTGGTAACATCATGAAGACTAATGTCGCAGCCTGCACTTCCGTTGGAAGCTACTTTTATCCGCAAATCGGGCGAATATACCACGACATGCTCTCAATGTATCGCGCCACAAGTCAAATGATATCGGACAGCGTCGTTCGTGAAGGTATACTCATCTCAATTTGACGCCATCCGCAAGTGATGCTGACTTTTTGAAGGTTCCATAGCAACAAAGATGCCGAGAGTCCGCGGCCTGCGAACGATCAAGAAAGAGATCTTGAAATTGATCCAAATCTACGTTGAAAAGGCGGACGATACCGAAATGGTCAATGCCAATATTGTTCCCCCGCTTCTAGATGCTGTTCTTGTGGACTACAACCGGAACGTAGCGGATGCTCGAGATGCTGAGGTCTTGGATGTTATGACTACTATCATAACGAAACTCAATGTACGTTGGACTCGAAATACCTCGAAATACTCGGTCAGGTGTTAATCCAGTTTGCCAAAATCGAAGCTGACATACTGCAGGGTCTGATGACTGACAAAGTTCCAACCATTATGGAAAACGTTTTCGAATGCACTCTCGAAATGATCAACAAAGACTTCTCCGAATATCCACAGCACCGAGTCGAGTTTTTCAAATTGTTGAAAGCCATCAACTTGTATTGCTTTCCTGCTCTTCTCAAGCTTGACGGCCGACAATTCAAATTCGTCATCGACTCATGTATGTGGGCAAGCAAACATGACAATAGAGAAGTGGAAAACACCGGTTTGAATATGTGCATTGAATTAATGGACAACATGGCTGAGCAAGCTGACTCTCAAACTTCGAACATCTTCTTTCAACAATTCTTCGTCAACATCCTCCAGGACGTCTTTTTTGTCCTCACAGATTCAGATCACAAAGCCGGTTTCAAATCACAAACCTTGCTGCTTTCGAGGATGTTTTGGTTCGTCGAGAACGGGCGAATTAGTGAGCCAGTCTACACGCCAGAGCAGGCACCTTCCGGGACTGGTAACAAGCAATTTTTGACGGAATTCATCCGCAACCTCCTGCAATCTGCTTTCCCTAACCTTCAGGCAGGGCAAATATCTAATTTTATAGATGGCCTTTTCGCGCTGAACGGTGATCTTGGAAGGTTCAAGTTGAATATTCGCGATTTCTTGGTACAGCTGAAGGAGTTTTCGGGTGACAATACGGAACTTTACGCTGAGGACCGTGAGGCTGCCCAGACTGCTGCCAAGGAAGCAGAGCGTGAGAAAGCTAGTAAAGTGGGTGGTTTACTGAAACCATCAGAAATTGATCAAGATGACGAATTATGACTCGCTGAGGAATTAAGAGCGGAATATGTGACACATCCTGGCGATACAAGCCAGGACTTCAAGAGGAGACAACCTGAGCTGCGTCTAGGAGTTGACGGCCTCGATGGTTGGGGCTTGTACGAGCTGTGATAAACCTGATCGTGCGATGGAGGAAATGCTCGTCCGGACAATTTCTGCATTGCAGTGACATTTACTCGAGAACGAAGAGGACGGCACGCCGTGAGGATCTTGAGAAGAGATAGACGTGGTGTAAACGTATCGACGATACCACGCAGGGTGCAGTAACTTAAGGAACAGCCCAAGGCATAGCGTTTGAGATGTGACCGATATTTCATGTTAAAGGCTTACTTCCAATCCACTGCTATCTTCGCAACCGCAGAGGCAACTACCCCAAAGCGAACAACCCGATTCGTCCATCCGACATACGCTATCTTCCACAAAAGCCTACTCATGAACCGTCAACGGCTGCACCGCTTCCTTGAATACTACCCTCATCCTCTTCAAGAACACCCCAAGATCTCTGCTAGCATTTAGCCCCTCCAAACATTCTTCAACTCTCGAGTCCTCCACCTTTGGCCTATACTCTACGATTGCATACTCTCGCTTTTCCATGTCCAAGTCGAACCAAGCCTCTCGCGCCCATTCTCGCTCATCCAAATTCACAAACACAAATCTCAACCTATCATCTTTCACACCTTCAATCCGCATGCCCAAGTTTGATTCCCAAAAGTCCAGCTCAGGGAGATTGAGTCTTGCCTGCGCACTCAAATCTCGTGCATGCGCTGACTGCGCAGCTTGTCGAGCTGCGATCACAGTTTTGATTGTAGTGATTTGTGACTGTAGAGAGCTTCGATGAGAGGCTGCCTGCCTCTTTCCTCTGGGAAACATCTTCAATATCGTCTCCCAGCTCCGCCGTCTCCGTGTCTTGTTGCTGAAGGGTCTGATTATGCTGGCTCGTCTTTTGGGCGAGGATCTCCATTTCACGCGACTTCATCTTCTGATCCTCTTGTCAAGAAGTTAGTGTCCAGCCACATCCTGGCGCAGCTGCATCCGTATCGAAATCACATACCCTGTAGTTCTGCAACATTGATGCGGAACTGATTGCGTTCCTCGAGGACACGCTTCCTACCCTTTGCAATGAAATCATCGAATCTTTCCGTGAACTTTGCCATGCGGTCCCGGAGCTCTTCAAAGCCAAAGTTGATGGCGGGCAGGGAGTCAGCCATGGACGGGGCGTCTGTAGTAGCGAGGGGAGCGCGCATAGCTAGCGAAGGCTCGAACAGTGTAGCCATCGTGTCTTGTTGTCTTGGTGTGCTTATGGGCAGATTTTATGAGTTTCAGATGGCGCTGTGGGCTGTATATTGAGTGGAAATGATAAGGAGCTCCGGTGTTTGTTTACATGCAAGTCTTGGCTGACGCACGGCTCAACAAGCGCGCGGGAGCACTAAGTCGATATTAGCGGCAAAATCAAGTGTCAACATCCATCATGATTCATGTGTCGTGCGCCGGCTTGTGGTATTTGTGGTATTCGCATACTTCCTGTCCTTCTTGCAAAGTCCCTTCTCATCTGTTCGGGGTTCTGTCAACAGCATGTTTGGCTACCTGATGGTTGACACAAGTGACCGTCTTCTATGCAAGCCGAATGGTTGAAGCTCGCCCTACTGACCTAATATACGGTCATTTGGGCGACCCCACTTATGACACTCACAGTCAAGAATGGCATTTCCCGCGCCATATCTCGACCAGCCGGCATATAGAGCCCGTTGGTCCGTTACTTGATGTATTTGGACCATACACATTTCAGGATAAACGGTCGTATCAGTACGAAACCGAGCATCAGCGGCAGAAAAAGACTCTAAGCGATCGCTACTTAGACATCAATCCTGCGCCAAATGTGTTTAGCGACGCTGAAACGTCAAAGTCCTCTGAGGAGGAGAATTTGTCGTATGATTCAACGCAAGCAAGACTTCTTGCCCGAGCGTATGCGACCCGTCGTTCAAGCCAACGTCATCCTGACAAGCTCCCGATCATAGCGACTGCCGCAGGTGTGAGTGGTGAGCTTGTGAAGCTAACGTTGCTCCGTAAGGACCAATTAGGGTGGCAAGGCAACAGGACGTTTGGTATCAACCATTCCACAGCTAGAGGGGGAGAACATGGATGGTGGCGTCCAAGTCAAGGTACGATCCAACAGATATGTTCTTCAACGGGTGTCGCTGGAGAAGATGGCTTGTTCCTTGCTGTAAGGTATGGTGGCCTTGCATCAATTTTGCAGCCCTTGCTACAATCTCAGTCAATCGTTCCAAGTAGGTCTAGTGCACCACAATTTCGCTTGCCTTCATCTCGCCTTGACGCGCACGAAATCATACAGATTCCTCAAAATGGAGAAAGGAGAATACATTTTGCTGATATTTGCTTCAACCCCTGGGATGCTCAGCAAGTCGCTACAATTGACCAAGAAGGAAACTGGTCGATCTGGGACCTCGAAATGGTATCTAAGCGTAGGAATATCTGGTCTATCAATCGAGGTGCGAACAGTAGTCTTCGAATGGTGATAGGCGACTTCATCAGCCCAGATCAATGGGCGAAAGTCCTTTGGGTACATGACTTTCGGACGATTCTACTCGCTGGTAGGAGGGCATTGAGCTTCGTAGTGCTTCATAGAGAGATCAAAGCATTGCGGCTGCCAGACTTGGCCCTGGCAGAGTCGGATGATTGGATCCTAGATATTCAACGTGGTCCTCGAAATGCAAGTCAATTTTTCCTCGTGACTTCGACCCGACTTTTTTGGCTCAATGTGACTACGATCGATGAGGATGCAGCACGGCCCGAAGTCTGCGTAAATATTACCTGCTTGCTATCTTGGGTCCATTATCGAAGTCCGCAAGACTTATCTCTCCAGCTTCACCTCCCTATTTCAGATCCGTGTCAGGGTGGGAAGGGTATGAGCATAGGTTTCTAATTCCGCAATCGACTTTTGCTAAATTCTCCTAGAAGATACAATCGTCTTGCTTTACTCACAACTCACATGTTTAGCAACTGTATATACATTCGAGTTTGCTCCTGACTCTAGACGAGCAACATCTACTACGGATCCTTACATACTTTCATTGAAGTTTAGTGATCCCTTTCGGCATGAGTCGCCAATTACACAGATAATGTTACGACACTCGCTCTTCGGTATTGTCCTCAGACCGTCAAGTTTTCATGGTGTTGCTAGTAGCAGCTCTGTTCCTGGTTTTGGTTTGCAGTATTTCGAAGAAGGCTGGAAATTCTACCAACTATATGCGCTCTTCGCGAATCTTACTCTTTACGAGGGTATCTATGCACGGCCACCCTATCCTAGTCAGCTCGAATTGCATGAACCAAACGTAAGGACACGGGCGCAAGTCCTGAAGACCCCTGCCAAATTGCTTGACGATTTTATCGTCTCAGACGAAAATGCATATGAAGAGGACTTTGGGGTCACGACTGAGTTCCAAACGCGGCCCAGCCTTGCTACAATATCCCATGAACATCAGAGTGAAAGTTCAAGGACCCTAAATTTTGAATGGCTTATGAGCCTCATACTGGTCATCTCTCAAGGGCACGAGCCAGGTAAACTTGTGCCGACAATAGCAGATGGCGACGCATTCTCGACAATCAGAGCTGCCATCGAGAGCAGAGAAAGCTCAGACTTTGGCCGATTTGACACCTTGTAAGTGTTTCGCCCTCGACGTTGTACTCTCATTCGCGGAGCGCTAACGGTTTCGTCTAGATATGAACTCACAGATACAGATATGTCCGTTCGAGATATAGATGACGTGGAAGAAAAACTTTATGAGCTGCTAAAGGACACTAATTGCATGCTTGATGACTCTGTAGACAGTATGGAAAGCGCTCAGGATAACGTCGGTATCAATATCCCACAAATCCCATTATCAGTAGGTCTCGTGCAGCCACCACCACGCGAAAGTGGACTTCGAAGTATTTACAACGATTTGCTCCATAGCTTTCTTTCGCCTTTGCCGTCAACAGTTCCGGTGCAAGTTCGCGTCTCGCTAGAAAGACTCATCCGCAGTATCGCGTTACAATTATGTCTGGCGTCCTACCCAGCTAGGCCACGGCTTGCAACCTATCCGTCCGACGGACATAGGCAAGGATTGCATGACCAACCCCAGCAACGGCTGACTTTCGAGCTACCAGTACGCGGGAAAACATTCGCTTCTACCACCGTTGCCTCTCAAGACAGAATCAGAGCAGCCAAGCCTGCCAGTCCCTCGAAAAGTGCACCAGACAGCTCAGCAGAACCCTCGTCTCCTATGTACGATTCCGCTTCAGCCAAGACCTCAATGTCAGCCTCGACTGAACCATCTTACTCGTCGGTTGCCAAGACCGAGGACCCAACGAGCAAGTACCTTCGCTCGCTCACCAGCCTTGCCCCGCAGCCCGTTCTACCACTAGAACTCTCCTCCATTCTCGAGCACTGGACTTTGGGTGCAGACCCAGATAACTATGACTGGGTTGCGACCACACAAGCTCAGGCAAGAGATACGGAAGCTGAAGAAGTGGAAGCCAGTTCTTCGCAGAGGAGAAAGGCGAAGCGGAGGAAGCGAGCTAGGGAGAGTCAATTAGATTGGTCTTCCAGTCAACCGGTACCCGAGGTCTCTGTCTCGACTAGTAGGCCGGTATCCGCTAGTCAGCCGACGCAGATGATGGGTAGTAGTCAGCCTACTGGAATGCAAGAGAGTGGTATTCCTGCATTCACAATGAGCCAGCCAACAAGAGGTCCTGATGGTTCTAGGATTCAGAAAGTCAAACACTCGAAGCCGAAGAAGCCGGGGTTCAACTAAGTACGATCATAGGTCATCATTGAAGACTTTGGACATAAATACATCATCCACTGGAATAGTGGTTTTCACACAAGACTTCAAGAATCGTCATTTCGTATGTGTCGCTTCATTTTACAGGAAGTCATGATATACACATCATGCATACTTTACACTGGGTATATCCACATCCATGCAAGCAGATCAAAATGTCAAGAAAGTGCTATACGATCTCTAGGAGCACAATACTAGGTGCCACCGATGAATCTACCGATGCCCAAAGATCTCCATCCGATCCAGCGAGAGTTCAGTGCCCTCTTCCCCTTCTTCATCCTCGCCGTCATCATTATCTTCATCATCATCATCATCAACCATGTCATCATCTTCATCCTCCCCACTTTCCTCTTCTGTCTCCTCGTCGTCCAATGGCATGGCGTCATCGGGCCGTCGGGTTGGAGAGTGTGATAGTAAGTGTGGGCTCTCCCCTCCCCAAAAGTCGACGTCAGAATACTCATCATTCGAGTCCGACGACATCGAGTCATCGGGGTCGCCCGAACTAGAAGAGCGAGAATGAAACGTGAGCGAGAGAGGAGATGCAGGGTTGCTACCTCTTCTAGAAGTGGGTGATGGAAATGCTAAGGAGGTGGAGAACGGGCTGTTCAAATTGGGGAGGGAAGCTGTTGCACGCTGATGGAGGTAATGAAGGGGATGACGATGAAGAGTCAGTCTTTGGGAGGCTCGGGGGAGGGAAGGGTCAACCAGAGGCGTCAGCGGCGAAGGGGGGTCGGAGGTTGGGATCGATCAGTGCGGAGTGACAATTGAAGGGTGTTGTAGGATTCGCATCTGATGGCAATTCATCAGCATGTTTGTAGTCATTGGAGATGGAAAGAATGACATACACAGCGCATCGCAAACCCAACCAATGATACTGCACGGTGGTTTTTGACGTGCAATCGTTACAATATATTAGGGCTTTTGTGTCTCGGAACTCCTCCGGCATTGGCTGTGCTTCAATCGTCCTTCTCAAGGCAAGAAACTGACGCTCCATATTTGCTATCGAGCGGCTGCATATTGGGCAGCGATATGACGTCCTCATATGCTCGCTGTAGCACTTCCTATGAATACTATGACCACAAGGCATGAAGACAACCGCTTCTGGTGAGGTGAACATGTACTCGTTACAAATTGGACAATCGCAGTCAGTAGACCTTTCAACGCAGCGATGCCTGTCTTGTAGACCAACAGCCATGCATACATTGCATTTCTAGTTATAGTGAGCGCTGATGTAGAACCTTGGTAAATTGTGAAGGTGACCCACCTTGCAGTGGAAGAAGTCCTTGCCAATACCTTTTCCGACACGACAAATACCACAATCGTTGCAGTGATAGATGTCTTTCTCCACGTCATCATCCCATAGTTTGCAAACATCGCAGTAGTACCAGGAGGCGACTTGGTCGCAGAATATACAGGCGTTACTTGCAGGTTGGGCGCCCCAGCAGAACATGCAGAGCATCATCTTGGTCTCGCGTCTGTTAAGCATATGGTCCTCCACCTGGTCATGACAGAATCTGCAAGTATACCATCTATTGCAGGCAGAGCATTGCAGCTTGATATTTCGCTTATAGTGAGCACAGCCATAGGGCCTCTCTTCTTCCTCTGAGCTTGAAGGTTGTCTGTCGGCATTTGAGTCTTTGTTGCTTGCGGAACGTTTTTGCCAATAGGTGGGTTGCAGGGTCTCTGGTGTTAGGTTGAAGGGGTTCGAGCTGTCTCCTGCGGATGAAGATGATGTGGGCGGGGAGATAGTGGGACGAAGACTGGCCCACGACCTCGGTGACGTAGGTGTCAGGGGATGATCTGAGCTTTGAAGACTTGCGGGAGAATGCGCGCGAGCATGCAGGCTTTGGTGAGAAGTGTTGTGTTTCTCGGTCATGAGGCCGTACACTAGTCGCGCTTTGCTTTCACTAGAAGTGTCTGCCCGTTGGATCGCGAGTATTTGCCGCCGCATCTGGCTCATACCATCGTCCTCGGGTAAAGAACTGTCATTCAGGGGTGTTTCTCTGGCGTCTGATTCAGCGTCCCTTGTCCGAGCGGGGAGGGTCAACTCAGAGGAACCATCGACGGAACTTGGGTCGTGGACAGCGGCGATAGAAGATCCATTTCCAGGCCCGTAAATCTGAGGTACTGCCTGCTGTACTGTATATTGTCTTGCATGTACGGCAGGCTCAAGATTGCCCACCTCTACAAGCCTGAAAGAAGCGTCATCGACCAATGCCGCAGAGATCTCGTGCTCGAGATCGTCGACCACTTCAGCATTGCTTTCGAACGTCTGCTGATCACGCTCAGAGGAGCTCACGCCAATGCTTGCTCTTACTTGATCCGTCGCCGAGGACGCTGGGACCAGATCGGCGCCATCTTCAAAGCCCGAGTTGGCCCCAATGGAGGGTCTGGAGAAACGGCGCGCTTGCCGAACAACGGGATCGATGATGAATGAAGATAAATAATGGCTCATGGAGTACGTCGAGCAGTCGGTGTTCGACCTGGACTGGTCATAATAATACACAAGGTAATAGTTGGCGGGGAGGTTGGTCTGCTGTTGATTCAACTTCAAAGCGGGCAGGGCCGAACGCCGTCATCGCTCTGGAGAATTAAGGGACAGCCGCCTGCAGCGCTAAGCCCCTTTCGGCTACCGAAGGCTCCCAGGGGCCCCTTCCGGGGTATCCCGCCTATGCGACCGCCTATAGAGTATGAGCGCCTACCTCTGCCATGCTCGATCCGATCCTTTGTATTGTACCCCGGGCATGAGCAGGATCAAGTGATAGATACGCTCCCTGAGAAGTATGGTCGACATGAATTCGTATCTCGTCCTCGGGTGCTACAACAATTCTTGGCAGGAGCGCTGCTCGAGGAATTATCCTCTTTTCTCAAGACCAAGGACACTGACTCTACAACTATGATACATTGAAGCTGTGGCAAACTTCCATCTAATCACTTCATAGCAAGAGTTGAAGACACAGCTGTCTCTCAAAGATATTGCTCGACTTGCTTCTCACTCCATTCCCAGAACTCGCGAGCATTTCCCGTACCACCTTCCTCCTCCGTTAGACCTGCTTGCTCAATGTCGGATCTCAAAGGACTAAATCTGCCCCAGGGAACGACTACGTGAGCACACATCAGTAGACTATTCAAATCTGTTATTTGCTATTCTGGAGAGAAGACCTACTCCAACCACCTGACTTTGCTAACGTTACGTCAGGAGACAAGCCAGCAAATAGTTCCGTATAGGCTCCCTTGATCGGCGGATGTAGTATTAGGCGAATGATGAGAGCTTGTAGGCCATTCAGATGTCTCTGAAGATCTGTCTTAAGATTGCCAGGGTCCAAGCTCTGTACGTCGAACACATTAGCGTTTTCGGATACTCGTCCATTGCATCCAATAAGTATGTTATTTTGGAGCCGCTCTTCTTTGCACCCACATGGCAGAGTATAGCGAGCTTAGTGGTTCTGTGCAGGGGAAAAATGTTTGCCTACCGTGCTGATAACATTGTTATCTTTGAATCGCCTTGCAAATTCTTTGGCATAGAGAACATTTCCCGCCTTGCTCTCCCCATATGCTCTCCAATCACTTTTAGATTCTTGGCCACTCTGCAATGCCTTCAGATCCACGCCTCCCTTTGGGCCAAAAATTTCAGCTGCCGAACTCGATACCCACACTACTCGAGTCGAACTTCCACTCTGCATTGCTGTTTCGACTAACAGCGGTGTCAGCAGCTTGGTGAAGAGGAACGGTCCCAAGCAATTTGTGCCCATCTGGAGCTCATAGCCCTGATTGGTCTTAGATTCAGTAGGGGGCATCATGACGCCCGCATTGTTCCACAGCACGTCCAGCCTGGACTCCTTCGACAGAAATGATTTAGCGGATGACACAACAGAAGGGAGGTCGGAGAGATCGAGGTGGTGGAAATGCAGCGACCCCTTGCTCGTCGGGTGGGCGGACTTGATGCGTTTAATCGCGGCGGCACCATTGCTCTCCGAACGAGCTGCGATATGGATTTTGGCACCCTTGATATAGAGGAGACGAGCGAGCTCAAAGCCCAAGCCGGTGCTGGCGCCTGTAATCAAGAAGACCTATGATCGAATTTTAGATACTAGGAAGATACAGCTACAATACACACGGAGAAAAATCATTGTCTACAGCGGTAACACTTCTCACCTTGTCCGATTGGTCTGGGAGCTGCTTCTCCGTAAATTTAGCAGCAGGGGGGAACAGTTGAGAGAGCTTGCTACCCATGGCTCTGAAGGCTGTGAAATTTTCTTGAAAAGGATAGAGCGCAAACTGAAGTTCAATCACAAGGCAGAATAGGAGAAAACATATTCATGAGTCGGAGTACTTCAACTAAATGCTGGGAACGAAGGGGCGAGGCCTCGAAGAATCGGCTCAACGACCGTCCGTTTTTACGAGGACTTCACATAGCCGAGGTGTCTCTGCGGGCGTCCGAATTTAGTGCGGACGAAGGAGAAAGTGGCTTTCTGTGATACAAACCTCCTGGTAGCCAGGATTTGTATCTAGACGGCTCAAATCAGGTGCATTAGCGTATAATCCCAACCCTAGGAGATTTTACTAGCGCCAAGCTATGGGTAGTGGCGCTAACCGAGATGTCAGAAATAAGGGTCCGAGGGGTCGCATTTAAATGTCCCTAGCGCGCCCTGCCGGGGAGCCCAAACTCAGCATAAAGCCAACGGCAACGTTGCCTTAACTATTTGTATTGAGAGACAATTTTAGCTGGATCTGGTAAGCGGTGGGGTGGTAGCTACTATGCCAGATTGCTGAGTTGATGCTATCTGAGAGGTAGGTCACGGCTAGACCAATCCGTGACGCTCCTTGGCCGTTGGCGGTTTACGCTCAGAGCTATCGTAATGCATGCAATATTGTAATCACATCGGTTCTAGACAAAGCATTCATTTGTCCGTAGATCAATGAACGGAGGTGGGGGGAACTCAATTTATAGCTTGCGGGCACTGTGTTGTGGGCCAGAACGAAAACCAGTATCGACAGCTGGATTGCTCCTGGGTCCTAAGTAGAATTGTGGGTCTTGCTGTTGGCAGAAGACAAAAGTCTGTCGACTTCGTATCTATCAGCTTGTTGTATCGTGTTAGAGAGATTCTTGATAAGATGCATTGAAGCCTGATGAGCACTTGAGGTCTGAGAATCCTGCGCTCAGTTACTCAGTCAGGTTGGAGTAAGCTCGTAACGAACGCAGCCAGCAAGCAGGCGGCGCAGACCACGTGGGCTCCGAAATGCAATCTTGGCCCTCCCAATGCACCAGATGAGACATCTTGCCTGACGCTCGCTGCCGCTCTGACAATCGGACCAATATGATATAAGCAAAGGGCGCCTGCTATCTGTGCGCCCAGATTGTCGCCATTATGAGTTCTCTGAAATGAAAGTGCCACAATTAAATTGGTTGCAACCAGGAGGAGTGCATACTGCCGAATGACGGCGTGACTGTGCGGTTGGGGGGCTGAGAGAGTGGAAGAGGGTCGGAAGAGGAAATTGATGGATGCTGGGATTTCAATGATGAGGTGTAAAATGAATGCCAATTGCGTTAGCCGTATCATCATGCTTCACATTTGATGTATAGACCGTTTCCGGTAACCTCGGAGAATGCCCAATGCTGTACTGCCAATTGCTCTGAGGATGGTACCTTGACGGTGTGCGCGCCTAAAACATTGGCTATGGGTGAAATGGGAAGACAACGGTGTCATGTGGCTCGCGGAGCCAAGGTTATCAAAAGTAAAGGTCGGTCGAAATATCAGATTTGATGTGATAGTGGCCTCTTGCTTATGGATATTAGCTCATCCATACAGACTGGCCCATGTTCAACCTTCTTCGGCATTCTGGGCCACGTGGATCAAAGGAGAACGCCAACTACGCAGCAATTGCCTGGTGGCATTTGCATCAGTTTCCTGGGTCTCCCGATGATCGATTCTAGTGTGGAGCAAGACTCGTACACAGTGCGTGTCTCAGGGTTCCCTTCAGTCCACTTCTTCAACGGCTTACTTTACGCATGTTACGTTGGAATCTGCACATGGGCATTGGACAAGGCTTCCTGGTATTTGATTGGGATTTATGCGCTGGAAGCTGGTTTACTTCGCCTCGTTAACCGTAATTCGCTCAGCGCGGAATACAGAGCAAAAATGAAACCAAGACCACTGAGACCTATAGCGGCGTAGAACGCCCCACGATAGCCTCTTAGAAGATCCTGCCCGCCTCGATTGACATGCACCTCGACCGTGCCCGCAATCCCCAAGCCTATTGAAATGGAATAATTGACGACTGTCACGACCAGGGAAGCTGCGATCCCTTGGTGGCCTGGAGGCACCAAATCACTGAGGATGATAGTCGCAGCAGGAAAGGACATGTCCATTCCCCACGGCATAATCAGCAGACAGATGAATGTATTCAGCCAGTATCGCTGGCCAACCGGCATCGTAGCAAGGAGAATATTGCCGATGCAAAAGGCGAGCATAGAGATCGACATCACTGTTGAAGTCGGTACTCGGCTGAGAATATACCCTGTCGTCAGTGCCGCACATATACCGGCCGGGCCGGCTGGAACGACCTGTGAAGCAGCTTCTAAAGGAGTCACGTGTCGTAAATTTTGGATGAATTGGAAAAAGTAGAATACGAAGATGCCAAAGCTCGACCATCCGGCAGCAATACAGCCAAGAACAAAGCCTGCTTTCCCAGTCAAAGCGCCGATCGGAATCAGAGGCTGGCGAACTTTCCTCTCGATGAGGAAGAAGGCTCCAAAGAAGAGTAAGCCAAGCACAAGGAGGACGATCACATGAGGTGAGCTCCAACCGACAATAGGCGCCTGATTCCATGCAACGTTGAACAGCACAAGCCCTGCGACTCCACTTAGCGCTCCCCACACATCAAAGCTGCGATCTTCGACAACATGTCCTTCAGAGTCTGGGGAGGGCACGAGTACCACGACAAAGAGACCTAGGGTGAAACACGCGATGGCCATAATCCAGAATTCCCATGGCCACCACGCCAGTTGAGCCAGCAGTGCACCGAAAACTGCTCCCAGTATGAAGCCGTTAGGCGCGGTAGCTCCATAGATTGAAAATATGAACTCCTTCCTTCTACCTGGCGGATATGTTCGCCCAAGTAGCGCTAGAGAATTGGGAACCATCATCGCGGGTCCAATACCCTGCAAGGAGCGGCAAACATCGAAGAAGATCTGTGATCGACTATACACGGTGAAGCCTGCCACCAAAGACCACAGCCCGTACCAGAAGAAGCCGGCAACGAACAGAAGCTTGTGACCAAATAGGTCGCCAAGACGACCGGCAATGAGAATGAAAGTACCGACAGTCAGTGAATAAGCTGCCACGAACCATGACAGCTGACCTGGACTGGGCGAGCCGAAACTATGCCCGATGATATTGAGAGGGTCAATGACCATTCCCAGACCCGCTTGGGTCAAGATATTTGATGAACAGATGATAAATACAAACAGGACTTCACGAGGGAGGTTCATTTTCGATGATGAGACATTCTTCGGAGTCTGTGTCTGAACATCCTCTGAGGATGTAGATTTCTCATCAGCCTCTTGCGCACGTTTTCCTGCCTGTTGTTGGTCCTTCACACTAGGTGTCAAGGATTCAGAGACGCCATTGAAGGGTCTTTCTGAACCTGGTGCAGATTTGTCTTCAGTACATGAGCCGTGTGGCAGATCGAGAGGTTGAGATGCCATTTTAGGATCAATGTCTATGTCGTCATGGTCTGGGGCGTGCACCGGATGTCGAGGTATTGGAGGCACACCACTATCGCTCATTGTTACGTTCTTTGAACAAGTCAATACCTAGCATACGACGATCTTGATTAGATGAATTGTTGAGAATAAGATGTAGCTTTGTGGGAGGCAGGAATGCTTTCGGTTGATGTGAATAGGGACGGTTTGTTCATCTCGAACACGGACTCAGCGTCATTGTATCACGACAAGACTCAGAGGATAAGTGAATGAAGTAGAGACAGACAGCAAAGACCAGAGGCCTTTTCTTACATCTGAGGTCATGGAACGGGATATGCATAAGAGGAAATTTAGTAGCCGCGTTTCCCTTTCGGGCCTTCAAGTTGCAGCTTCCAGAAGGATGGGAGTCAAACGGGACGAGCCGAGGAATGCCATCCGAATGCCGTTGGCGAGGCCGAAAGCCCGAGCAGCTACCCAAGTTGCTAATCACATCCATTTCAACGTCTTTCCGCTTTTGCTTGCACCGGAAAAGGGTAGGGCTAGCACCCACATCCAACAAAGGCAGCAAACCTGTACCAACCTGACCGTTGACCGTCGAGCTTGATTAGTGGTTCGGGGTATCAAGGCGATTTCTATAATGTGATGCCGACGTAGGCCCAAAAAGATGGGATCCTCGCAGTTGTCAGGCTTCTCCTTCATCGAAACGAACGTTGCAAAGCCAAAGAGCATGCCGGACGTGGATGGCATATCCTTCATTGCCATGTCAGTTGTCAGATTGCGACAAGCCTTGCAATGGATTCGGGTTAAGTCGCTGATTCCGAATGCGCTTCAAAAGTAGTGGTAAAAAGGCTCAAGTGACGAGGCTGACTATCTCACCGAATGTCGAATATTTGAAAGCAGCGGTTCCGGGATGTATCGTTGCGTCTGCAGGTCTCAAATCGTAAATGCGTATGAGCTTTGTTTGGCTTCTGTCAAAGTAGAGACACTCGTCAGACCAGAAGGCAGAGGTAGTTGTGAAAGCTTGTCATCGTTTAGAGCGATAGTCGTAGAGTAATAACCAAAGATCCTGACTCGACAGGAAAACATTGCGACGACATGGCTTCGCTGTCGTCTTTGACTAGGGCTAAGATGATTTATACCTTATCTGCGGCTTCAGCCAGCAACATTTTCATTTTCAGCCAGAATAGAAAGTGCGCGAGCAGGCTTGATTTCTCATGTCGTAAGTCAACAAGCACTTTTAGCCCCATTGCTCAGTTCACACCTCCTTCCTCCCACCACTCCAATCCCTCATCCTGCCCTCAATGCCATCTCTTGCCTTTGCCCAATTGATATCATAGACCCATCTGACACCTTTTTCGATCTCGCTGTTCCACCCATCTTTGAGCCTCTCCAGCCCCCTACTCCTCACAATCCGGTAATCATTAATTCCCTCCCGTAGGCCACCAGAATAGTTCTCGTCTTCTATGGCTGCAAGATCAGACGCTATTTTGGGGTCGGAGAGAGCATGTAATCGGACTGCTGAGGCTTGGAGTATTGCGGCTTGATGCGCGCGGGAGCGCTGATGTTGCAGGAGACTCCAATATAAAAGCGTCGATGTGAGCGTAAAGCCGGAAACAAAGGCAGTGGTGAAACCCATTATTGGGAGCGTAATAATATTTGATGTAACGTCGGTAAATAAAGAAAGCTTTCTCTTGTTGCTGCACTGACGGCTTCGATAAAGGGCGGCTGGCCAAGAAAGCACGAGCGACCATTTATTGACGCTAACCGATTTCGCCTCGCCAACCTCAATCAAGAGCTAGCGAAAGGGGTAACGTAAATTTATTCCGCTTCTGGGAGTGGGGGGTCTCTTTTTCATCCACAAGGCTTCCACCGTCACTCTAGAGTCTAGAGACGAAGATTTCCACGCGACATGAGTGATCCGAAATATTACTTAACCAATACCAATTAGATCTATAAATCTATGGCATACGTATCTAAGTTTCCTGCCCTTCCCTTTTCTGATACCGCACTCTGCAAAGACGCCTGAGCAGGCCTCGCTAAATGCAGACGAACACGAAAACCACGCAATCAACTTTCCAACGACTCCTCCCCAGTCTCATTGTGTTCCAGTGTTCGGCAATGAGTATATGCCATTCTGATAGTGCGGCATGGGTTGCCCCGCGGTTATTGGCTGTATGTTGGGAGTGAACTGATTATTCACAGGGAGCGAATCCGGCATACTTGGAGCTTCTGGAGGTGGTGGCTTACGGGGCAAGTTTGCCGGGGTACTCCATTTTGACAGGGTACTAGGCGCTGGGGAGTTCGTTCCATTAGTGTGTACAACTGGTTTACGAGCCTCGCTGCTTTGCTGAAGCTGGTTATCCTTTTGATTTGGGCTCGGCCCATGCTGTGAAGGAGTCTGGGAGAAGTGATTGCCGTTCGGTATGGGGTTTGCAGAGCCACGAATGCTATGAGGTACGGCGTTGCCGGTATGCGGTGGAGTTCGTGCGCTGGACGCAGGAGCATTGGGCACGAAGGACCGAATTTGAGGATTAAACGTTTGTTGCTGGCGGTTATAGCTTCCGGGCAAAGGATGGGCTAATTTGCCGGTTTGCATGCTTGGCTGGTATGGTAATTGGCCAAATTGGTAGGGAGTAGGCTGCGTGTTAAATTGTTGCTGCTGGTGAATTTGAGGCGTGTAAGGTTGGTTGTACCCATTCCTAGGCGACTGAGGATCATTCATTTGCATTTGCATGTGCATTTGTGGCTGCGGCTGCGGCTGCGGCTGCGAGAAAAACACTCCTCCATCAATTGATGGCGAAGATATGGATGACGGCTGCGGGCTCATCATCATCGGTCCTTGCATTACGGCAAAATACTGGGTCTGTGGTGGCTGCTCAAATCCTTGCATAGGACTCTGGGAGTTGAAAACATTTTGAATGCCATTTTGAGGTACCATGACGGGAATGGCTTGGGTTGGCATAGCCGTCTGGAAAGCTTGTTGATAGCCTTGCGGAGCCATTGTGGTAGGAAAACAATTTGGCTGAGTCGCTTGTGGTGCTTGCAGAGGCGTAGTATAAGGAGTGAAAAGAGCGGGCGAGCCTCCTCCACCAGCAGCATATGGATGGACCGTATATTGCATGGTAGGATAATAAGCGTTGAACTGGGACCTCGCTTCGAAATCGTCGTTATTGTTCCGGTGCTTTTTCTTCCTTTTCTTTTCCTCGTTCCTCGAGCTAGTACGTGATAGTTCGTTGACTTTTTCGTTGCCCTCGTCATCTTCATTTTGTGGTCCAAAGATCTGCTCGCGCTTCTCTTTGTACCTCGCTTCCCTCTCTGCGCGGCTCAGAGCAGCCTTGTCCCTTGCCAGAGTCGACTCTGTTGGAGAGACGGCACCTGTACCGTGCTGGCTGTCATCACCGGTTTCCGAACCCGCTTTAGACGGCACCACTGAGCTCTCAGTGGTGCCTGGTCCCGAGCTCTGGATTTGGCCATCTTTGTTATGAAGACCAGGCCGCCGCATAATCTTCATGGCAGGCAGAGTGGCAGGTGGCACAGTGTTGGGATTGGGTTCTGTTGCAAGACCTTTTACGAGAAGCGCTATGGGCGTAGGGCTTCAAGAACGATTAGTAAAGCTCGCCCACAGGCCAACTCCAGAGAAGACTTACAGGCGACAATATGGCGTTCTATACAGCTTCACGGCGGTCTGTGCATTATCGACAAAGTGTGAAAGCGCGTAGTAATCGGCTAATTTGTGCGCCAATAGACGACAGAAGGAGTTGCACGGTGCCAGTTGCATGTGAGGGCTCCTATGAAGCATTAGTCTTGTTCTATGTTCAACACTGGAGAACTGACGAGGAATTCTTTACAAAGTTGATGATCTCCTGTTCTAAACGCAGTAAGAACATGCGATCTTTAGGCGAATCGAGAGCTTCGAATAATTTCTCATCTGGTTCTCGGTATTCGTGCGTGATCGGAGGTCTTGCTGGCAGAGAGACCTCCTGCTGGGGCACCGACTGCGCCACTACTGCAGGCACAGTCGGCAGGGTATTGATTTGGAGCCCCTCGTCTTTGGCATCTGAAGTGATCCCTTGACTAAGCGGGTGCGAACGAGGATGTACTGCGGCGGAACTTGCTGATATCTCGTTGAATTGATCACGGAAAGCTCTATTTCCAGCTTCCGAGCCAATCCTGGAACTCGGCGCGCCAGACATCGGTCCAGAGGCAATATCATCGTCGTCTACAGCTTGTACACTTGCACTATCGTCGGGTCGTAATGACTCCTTCTCGTCAAAGGCGAAGGTTGTACCCGATGTTGTAGACTTGCCATCAAGGCTAGGGGCCTTGGTAGAGGACGAAGACACTTGAGTTTGATCCTCATCTAGCTTGAGACCTGCTCTTTTAATGTTTGATTTGGCTTGCTCGTTCAGATTATTTGATGCTACTGGCGAATCTTTGACGTGCAATTGTGCCATAGAACTTTGAAGTTCGCCGTGGGATTGTGATACAGACGAACAATCGACAGCAGGCTGCTTTACACTGGTTGGAGGGGCTCTTGACGTTTGCTTGGAGTGTGATTTGTTATCCTGGCCGATGATAGTAGGACCGCCGCGAGGTGGAGCTTTTGCTAAAACCTTCTCTGTGTCAGCCGATGTGTCGGCTTCCCCAAAGTCGAAAGGGCATAAGATACACTTGCAAATGATGGTTTTAGACCAGTCGGTCTCGCTTCTGAAGTTGCCATTGCGCCGGCAAGGAAATGAGCCCGAGCCAATCCCCAACCCCAAGCTCTTAAAGATACAGTAAAGGAGGGTAGAAGTTGGATTAATAAAGTATTTTGCGTCAAGGTGGAAGCATCTCAGAAGGGCTTAAAGCTATTGAACAACGTCTCAGTGGCATCCTGCAAGCTCGCCATGCAGCCTGATCAAGCGTTGATCCTCCCTGCGCCTTGTTGCGGTGTCCGACGCAGTCGGATGGAGGAACAGCTGCAGCGCTGTCACTTCGCCAGAAAGTTGAACGCTTTACCGCACTGCGATCTGGGTGGCCCTTTATCGGATGGATCTCGTGGTGGAGGTTCCCTCGGTGTGAAGTGGAATGAAAAAGAAGAAAGCTGAAGTGGTGAGCGGTGGGGATGGGAGATGTGATTTCTTAGCGCGGTTTGGCAGCCACTAGCACTAAAGAGTTTAAATCCGCCTGTGCGTCAGCCCTTTTGGCATGGAGAGGACTGCAGTCTTTCCACCCATTTCATTCCTGCCTGATGCCGCTGCAGACGTCCTACACTTTACTCTACATGTCTAGCAAGCGTGAGAGCATTCTTTCGCATTGCGACGTACGGCTTAAGCTTCGAATCGACATGACAGCGTTTCAATTCACCTGAGTAAAAACCTCGCAACTTTAACAATATCCCAGCCTGATTCAATGTTACGACCTCGGGGAGGAAGCTCGGCTGTATCCACCAAGGCCACAGCCCAGACACTTTGCCAAAAATGTCTCAAGCGAGATAAGTACACAGCCGTTTCCTGTAACGTTCAAAAAGCTGACCTTGTGCCACGACACTACAGTTTTGACTGCAAAGCGAATCCCCAAGATCGCCCATATGTACCTAGACCGTCAAGAACCCAGCAGCTCGCAAATCCCGATTTAGCGCCAAGACTATCTAGTGATGCCCCAAATACTTTGCTGCGCAAGTCAGTTGCCAGCGTTTGATTACGGCATTCGTTCAGCTAACACGAGACCAGAATGGGGATTGCCGACGAGGAGCTTGCAAAGAAGGAGGCCCAGAGAAGCTCCAATGGAAATCTGGAAGAACACAACACCAGAGCAAAGAAAAGTCCGAGATCTATTAGCACAAGCTCGTCGACATCTGTTTCCACAATCTCGACATCGCGGTCTCGATCGTCTTCACCCACACGCGCTGGCAAGAGCGCCACCGGTCAAAGCCAGATGCTGTCAAATCTTCAAGTCGGCCGCAAGAGGCGGAGGAGCAGCTCCTCAATGTCGTATGGCTCGCAAACTCCTTATGATCATTTGAGGCAGTATAACCCTTCCGGACCTGAGAGGAGCCGCAAGCCTCCCAACTTCAAGAGTGCAAGGGGCACTCGTTCGCAGGATTTTAGATCGGTCACCTCATCCGACTCTGGTGGCGGTACGTCAAATCATGGAAACCAAGGCAAACGGCGAAGGCGGTCGTCGAGAAGTCCATCTGATCGTGGACGGCACAGAGACAGTCATACTTCATGGACTAGCCGTCCGACAAGGAGCCCTAATGATAGTCGGGATCGGAGCCACGTTGTTCGAAATCGAAAGTCTATGACACCCGGTGTTCCTCCTCTGTTGCCATCAACTTCTGGACGGCAGCACGATCGTCCATCATTTGATCGCAATAGTAGCTATTCGGATGACCATGAAAGATACGGCCGTAGCGCCCGAGTCAGGAATAGCGAAGCTGGGAGGTTTCCCTCGCATCGACAAGAGCCTCCGAGACAGCGAAGCTTGAGTCCCTTCAGTAAAAGATTAGCCATGACCCAGGCTATGAATAATAATCGATGAACGGTTTTTAGCGATGGCGTCTGGGGTGGAGTCTTTGTAGAAAAACCTGCGTCTTCTTCCGGGTGTCTCTTGGTCTACTTCTCAACGCGAGGACACAGGTATTCCTGTCGCTCTTGGGAAATAGTAAAGCAAAATTAAGCCACTTTCGTCACATCAAACAGTCCTTTGCGCATATAGGCAGCACTTTTGAATTTCTTAAACCTCCTCGCTATCCTCGTCTTCCCTCTCCCTCCGCTCTTCTTCTTCCTCCTCCCTCTCGCGAACCTTGACCCCCTCAACGAGATCTACACCGGCGATGCCCACGCTTTCACCGTCTCCATTTTGAAGGTCGCCATTCAGTTTATCTCTCTCCTTTCTTTTCTGGTCCTCGATTCTTTCCCTTACCATCCTTGCGATTGCATTGTCTGTCCTCTGGTCTAAGACATCCATCTTCTTTGCTAGGTCTCTTTTTAAATCCCAATTAGGCTTCTTGGGCTGCAACTTGAAGAGATCTAGAGGCTTCTCTTCCTTCTGCTCTTGCTGTTCCTGCTCTCGGGCTGCTTGTGCTAGGCTTTCTGCCCGGTCCTCGAGGGTTGGCCTGCCATCTGAGGGGGCATTCTCAAAGCCTAATTTTGGACCACGGACGGTAGCATCATAGTTGCGACCAGAGAGGTATTTGGAGGTATCCGAAAAGACAGCAACATCTGGCGGGGAGGTGTCTGTTCGACCACTTGATTCATCCCCGTCTGTTGGTGGTTGTTTGCGCTTGAGCGAGGCCAATTTTGCAAGTCGAGCTTTACGTTCTACAGCCGCGGCATCAAGAGATGCGTGGTTCGAAGACATAATGGAGCTGTAAGCGTACAACCACGATCTGATGTGTTAGAACGACCCTCACATAACTCTTTAAGATTCTTTTGGGTCTGTCATTTTATTTCCGCCTAAATCCGGGCCTCCCTTGGCCATTTTGTGTAAGCCCGCATTCTGACCAAAGACAACGTTTCCCTCATGTCTACGTTGTCAATGAGAGTCAATGACAGTTTCGAAAGGCACTTGCAATGTTAGTTCTGCTTTGACTTCGTCTGGTCTGGCCCAATGGCTCAAAGAGGCCTCTTGAGCTGAACGAAATTCCATGCCCTTGGCCCTTCAAATTCGCTCGCGACAGGCTCACAAATCATGGCTCCAACCAGCCTGCTGCGTCCTCATAACAAGAGCTAGACGCAGCTTCATTGCTACGCGTCCAGACTTAGTGAGGCTGCGACGCACTCTCCAAGTGCAACATTCTCAGGATGGGCACGATTTCTCAGGAACGTTGTTAATACGAGCAGAGCATGCGAGACAAAGAATATCGAACAAGAGTCTGAATGTGCTGCTCCCGAAACTTGCAGAGCATCGGACCGGGAGTGCATTCGGTGCATCTGTGAGGAGGTCTAGAGCAGCTGGTGATACTCGCTCTCGGGCTATCGACCACACATCAAATCTCACAGCGATCAATCGTCGAGGCAGGCAGCCTGTGCGAACTAAATATGTCTGGCTAGAGAATTGGGTACGTCCGACGTCTTTCGGTCAAACCCTCCATCAAGCCAAGGATGTACATCCTGGACCCTTCGCTTTCGATAGCTCATGGACCGAAGAATTTCATGGGTTGGCACAATGCGGACAACGCATTGATTTCTCTTTGCCTTCCCTGAAACCTATCATCGAAAGATTCGCTAGCCGGAGCCTAGGTACAAAAAAAATACATCTGGCATGGATGCATGTACCAGCAGAATATAGACTTTCGCTGTGGAAAACAGTCATGCTTTGGTGTTTGGAGCATAGTCCACGGCGGGCTTTGAAGCTTTTATCTGCCTCTTTGAGAGGAACTCAGCACCAACCTCCGCGTCATATTATAGCGGATTGCTTACAGCAACTCTCTGTGCAGTACCTTCGTGGGGTGCTGAACCCTGATCCTGAGGTGCTCAACGACATCCTTGTTCTCACTTTCAAGCACGTTAGACGTACTTGTATCTCGGGACGAGGTCAATATATCCCTGATCAGCTCGTGTATCTACTCCTAAAGAATTGCACTAATGGACAATTCATATTCTTGCTCAAAGTACTCACCAAAGAACATGTTCATTTACATGCAAATACATTGCTACATGCGCTTACAAGATGCCTAGATATGGGCAATATCACTCTCTCGCTGAAGATTCTCGAAGCTGTATCCGAATCAGGCATGGGCATGTACAGAGATCAAGTGATGAGTGCATGTGTCAGACTGGTTCGGGCCCAGTTCAACGTCGACAACCAATTTTCTATTCAAACCAGAATCCTAACAAAGATACTTAAAATGGGGGTCCGTCCGAATATCATTCTTTACAATGCGATCCTACTAAATACGACCGAGGCTGGACATATCGACTTGGCATGGAGAATGTTGGATCTCGCAAAGGCAAATTGCCTTGTCCCAGACAAAATTACATATCAAATTCTCTTACAAGGAGCCTTAGCTGCAACTAATCATGACATGTGCCGAGCTCTCATCTACGAGATGAGGGAAAATGTCAACCTCATGTGGGAAGGCCGCTTAAAGGCCGATGTTCTTGCCTCGATTTCTAGATGCACAAAAGCGGATTACCCTTCGATGCTAGTCTTTTATAAAGATCATTGGGACATCCGACCTCTCATAGAGCTAGGCATGTGTGATGCCGTTGGGGAGAGCGGAGTTCAGCTTCCTGTAGAAGCCAATGGAGAGCCACCTCCCAAGGACGTGCTTGGAAAAATGATCTGTGCGTATGCTAGAACGCAAAGGGACTCAAAAGCCCTTCTGAATGTTTACAATCGTTTCTACAAGCTAGCATGCCAACAACACCCGCTGCTGGTACAGGTAGCGCAGAGTGATCACGTGTTTAACGCGTTCATGATGTCGTTTAGCCAGTCCTACAACACTCTTCCGCGATGCACACACATAGTGAAGAATATGCTTGACAAGTCGGATCTGCACCGAGGCAACTTCAATGATCATAAAGCCAGCTTTCAGCTAGCAGCACCTACTGTGCGTACCTGGTCAATTTTGGTCGACGCATTCTTGCGACATCGTCAGAATAAAGCGGCAGAGAAGGTGCTCGGTCTCATGCAGGAACGAGGGATGAAGCCTGACCAAGTCACTTGGAATATAATCATCAGTGGCAACTCAACAATGCAGAATGTACAGGAAGCTGTCGATACGCTGCAAAGAATGCAAGCCGCTGGGTTCGAACCTAATGCTGGGACTTTCAAGGGCTTGAGCTACATTGATGATCACCAACTACTGCTCAGAAGTTTGCGCGACACTTTTCGCGAGACGAACAACGTTGATTCTGAGTCGAATGCAGCAAGCGAAGCAATGTTACAAGACGTCATAGCTACGAGTGCGGAAGCTTCACGAGTGAGAAAGGCGCCAAATAGCGAAACAATCTGGAAAGACTTGCAAGAACGCTGGAATAAAATAGAATTAGAACAGCAACCTTTGGGAAGTTGATCTCCTAGCCTTTACGGCGCACACACATCTACAAAGCGCGTTTCGAGGTTGTTGATAGAATGATACCCAAATTCAACCCCAATTCTACAAATCTTATTCCATGTTTAAATATTTGTCCTGGTGCTGAACCTGTAAAGGGTACTTTCTGATACGTGCTATACGCAAAGTAAAGTACGCCAATGCGGATACATAATATTATGCGTCGTCTCCTTTCCAAGGTCTTACGGCTGTGACTGCAAACCTCTCATGCCGACAGTCTAACCCCTGAAATTGAACCCCAACACCTCTGACAAGAGCTGTGGCTCTGTTGACAAAGAATGCGAGGTCAATTTTTCCAGAGTCGTTCAGAGTAGTAAACACGGTCAGGGAGATACCATCTTTTTTTAGGCAAAAAAAACGGTAAGTAGGTCTTTCAAATGCAGAGAAGGACCTCGATGTTGAGAAGGTCTGCCCTAGGTGTACCTCAGAAATGATCAAGTTGTCATACAGCGATACGGATGTGTCTGAAACGTAAATTCAAGGACAGGTCAAAGAGAATACGTATGCCCTTATTGTCACGTAAAAGGTCCAGAGCATGTCTGGAAATTGAAGCACATATTTACCCTAGGATGCAAAGATCTGGCAAGGATTGGTGCTGAGATCATCTTATCAAGACCCATAGACTTGTCGGATTTGACGCATGATGGAGGAATAAGAACATTTTCACAACAAAAGCAACACAGCAGACTTGGTCAAATTGCATACTGAGACGTATCCTCATTTGTCTCTTGGTCTGAATAATGGTTAAGGCTGTAGCTGACTGTACAATAACATATAGTTTTGCATGGCCTCATGTGTTCGCCATCATTGAAACCTGTATCTTGTCAGGTTCTACTCGGGAAAGTGTGCATAAACCACAAATGACAGAACGAACAACACTTACAGCCATGACCACACAACATATGCTGACATACGGACTAAGCCGTTCCCCTATCCGGGCGCACTTCCAGAAGATGCCAAAAAAGCTGATAAGCGAACGTATCAGTAAAACAATAAGATCTTAAAAGGCATAGTGTGAAAGAATTTATATACCCGATTCTGTTCCGATCCATTATTTTAGGAAACGTTGCATGTGCATAAGTGCTCGTGCATATGATCAGCAAAAGGACGAGCAGCAGTGACTGAAAGTTGAAAATGGCAGTCTTTCAAGGCAGTCAGTGGGACTAACAGGCGACAGATCAACACATGAGATGAGGATCAATCTTACCATCTTGCCTGATTCGAGGCGTATGTGTCCTTCATGAGAGTCGCACCGATTACCTCTTTACGTTTTAATAGCAAGGCTTAGGCGCTCCCGCTCCCGGTCCGCGTAGCCTCTCCTCAAGCGCCATAGAGAGTGCTCCACCTGAGCTCCCATGTTGAAAGTTCTGTCAAGCACTCATAGCAACGGGATTGATGCCTGACTTTCACCTTTTGACGATGAAACTCGAAGAAAACATCACTCTCGCATGATGTTGCTCTAGCAAGACACCAACCACAAGTACAGCTGGAGAGCAGCAGGCTCCAAAAGCCCGCGCGCACCACAAGCAAGATGGCTGAGCATCGTGTACGTCCAGCTCGCCACAAAGGTGCATTGAATTTCGAAACAGAGCTAGTGCAAGGGCTCTACGCTTTTGGCGACGACAAGGCTCCGCTTCCTGAGACTGTCCGCGTGTTGGACGAAATGGTGACAGACTATATCATTGACACTGTTCAGACTGCATCGAAGGCAGCGACCATCTCAGGGCGCGGTAAAGTAAAGGCCGATGACTTTCGGTTTGCTATACGCAATGATGAGGTTGCAACAGGAAGAGTAAAGGAGCTTCTTGCCATGGAAAAGAGTTTGAAAGATGCAAGAAAGCAATTCGATACTGGAGAGGGCAAGGTCGGGCTAGAGCGGGGAGGTAGAGGAAGAAAGAAAAAGGTGCAACAAGAAGATGTGGAAATTGATGCAACAGTTGAAAAAGGCAGGCAGAAAGTAAAGCCAGAGGACGGCGAATTAGAGGATGAGGACGTGGATGACGAGATGGAGTAGAAAATTCCTATTTCTCTCGTTTCAGTCTCTGTTGATTAATTCACTATGCTTTTGTCCCTCGTATTCAGAGTAGGCAGTTGATGTCCTATCGAAATGCTGAAGCTCACGTGGTGATTTAAGTTCCATTGTCTTGAATCGGATTCCGAAGTGGCATCAGGGAAAAAAAGATCGATCGTCTTTTGTCCCGGAGGACCGGCGGGGAGCATTGAGAGACGGAATGTCTTTAATCGTATTGTCAAGGAATTTTATCATGCCGGATTTGATCTTAAAACATCTTGCTCCTGAGTACCAATGCATTTACTAAGGCTGCCTCATAGATACTTCTTAAAACGAAGAATTACGATTAAGGAGGCTTGAAGGAGAGCCGTCACCATGAGATCTCTCATTGCTTCAAAGAAGCATATTGACTTGCTGTCAACGAGTTTTGCAGAGATAGTAGCTAAGCTAAAGCTCCTACGTGAGCCGTGGAAAGGCGTTGAGTAATCTTCGTCTGCTCTGAAATGCCGTGGATAACGTCAACATTGATCAAATTCTCCATTCTTGCCTCCCTTAAGCTTCCGTCAGTCAATTGAAAGATTCGAATATTACTATGATCATTCGTCACGAAGCTTCATTTTTGGACTTCGTCTGCATTGATGGTCTTTGACTATTGGTGTTTACTTATTTTATGATTTCTAGGAGCACTTGCCCTGAGTCATGCCGATCACTCGGGTCCCCAACTTAGATAGAGTGATTTTCTGTTTGTACTCTGTCAAGATCACAAGACGCAATGACGCCCAAAATTAGCTCATTGCTGGTCTGATCGCTGCAAAATATAGGCAGACGGTGGGTAGGTCAAGGAGGTCTCTCCTCGTAGTCTCGTTTGCCTTTCGACTCATTTTTGAAGCTTTCACCCTTGTGAATTCAAATCTAGAAACGAATAGACATAGTCGCAGACTTTCCAGGAAGGAAATGTTCGTCCTGTAAGTTTGTAAGCTCACCTACCTTGGGAGGAAAGAGTCAAGCCAGATGTTTTTGAAGATATCAAATGTCAGTATTTGATAAGTAGTCCAGAAAATTCTGACGGACACAAGAATAAGAACAATTTTGTAGACCTTAGTTTAGTGTCCGACACAGACGTAGTCAAATTTACAACTTGGGGCGATGATAACTCATGCTGTGCCGCCCCTCGCATCCTATGAACAGTGCTCCTACCGTGCCAGCTGCACCGTACCGACAGATGATGAACTCCAAAACTCGCCACTGATGCCTGGAGCTTACTTCATCCAGCCTTATTCCTGACCAAAGCCAACAGTTTCTTCAACTGCTACGGTTAACCTATTTGAAAGTTCATCATGCGATTTGTAATCAGGCAAATCTAGGCGGTTAAAGCTGCTTCTGTTAGTGGAGTCCGACGTATTGTGCCCTAGCGGGATCATCATACCAGGTGTGTGACTTAGGCAGAGCCTTTTCCGAGCCTGACTTCTCAATGGTGAATCGTCGAGGTCCGTCGCTGCCTTGCAAATCTTTAAATCCGTTGACGGGTATTCGGGATGTGCCAGTCGCGAACTGGAGCAATCGTGACTTTTGTTCAGCGTCCCAACTTCGAATTATCTGTAGCCAGGTGAGTATAGAGAGCGACGATAAGTACTGTAGCCACTTACAGTCCAGAAATTTCGAATGACTTGATCCTGCTCGGTATACCCCCTGTAATCCGTGTGTTTCTTCCAATCATCGACATCAATGTCTGCGATACCACCGATAAGCAATTCTAGCTCTCTTTCATCAAAGACGTTCACCAGGTCAGGGGGAATTAATTCATTGAAGCCGGCCACGAAAGCGTTGAATTGTTCTTCGACCCGTTTCTGGATACGCCACTCCGTAATGAGGTCGACATACTCCTTCTTGTTCGAATTGTTGACCTCGATATTTTGCCCATTCGGTTTCAGATCAATTGTCTGTATTTCTCCAAAGCTCTCATCTTCAGTCGAGAACGTAGGTTCTATCACACCTTCAATGTCGTTCTCCATAGTCCATGTTAAAGTCCTGTGGAAATCGGCATCGACACCTTCCATGTCGGCGAGTGCAACTTTTTTTCGTAATATCATTTTATAAAATGCTCCGATGAAGAAAGCGTCAAGGAACCGTCGATGAAAGATGGCCAGACCCACAACACGGCCGATGAACTTGAAGTAATTAAGATGCTCGGGGTTAATGCCAGAATGAGGGTTAATCTGTAAAGTATAATTGTCGTGCGCTGAATACTCAAAGAGACAATAGAACGGATTGAACATTTCGTGGGAAAGCAGGAAGAAGTATTCCCTAACCCAGGAATGTCAGCTGCAATAACACACGAGGAGCGGACTCATACCTAGATAGACCGCCATAGTCAAGGCCATCCTCGCCATCGAATTTGATCATCAGTCGCTTTTTAAGATCAGTGGCATTTTGGCGCATAATCTCAGCATACGAGTCCTCGAAAATATGATCTCTTCTTACTTTTACGTGACATTGACCCGAGAGAATTCGAAGGGCAGGCTGTGATCTAAAGTAAATGAGCTTCCGCCTGAAGTCACGCTTGTATTGCGGAACATTCTGGTCAAGCGAAGAAGGTAGACGGGGATCATCCCAGGTCGTTGTCTTCGTGTTGTGATCAACGAAATAGACCCGAGCTGTGTTTGTAAGTCGCATCTCCCAACCGCTAGGAAGTGCTCCTAGTTGGGAGACGGGCTGCGTTTGTATGGTGGTATTGTTGCCGCCGGCATTCTGACCATAAGTACGAATATACTGCTGCCTCCGAGGGTCGACCCAGGTCGTCGTCCTTGTATTATGATCTACATAGTAGGCTCGTCCTTCTGGAGTAAATCTCTGCTCCCAACCGGCGGGAAGTTCTCCGGTGCCAGCTGTTGTAGCACCAGTGGCCATCATCGACACGGCGTTGGCGTTATTGGCAGAATTAGGTGTAGGTGCTTCCGCTTGACTCGGCGAATTAGCGCCTGTGCGGTCTTCTGGCAACATTCTGTTTTGGTGAGCACGACGTTCAAGCTGAGTGTTCGCCTCCAGTGCATTACGCTGATCTCGCTCATTGTACGTATTTGATGGCCGTGTCCATGTTGTGGTTCTTGTATTGTGGTCCACATAATAGGTCCGACCTAGATTGTCTTCTCTTCTCTCCCATCCAGCGGGAAGCATCCCCTGGCCATCCCTGAACGAGCTCAACCCTGTGGAGCCCCCTGCATTCGTAGCTGAGGGAGTGCCGTTTGTTTGTGGAGGAGGAGGAGGAGGTTCCGTCGAGGTAGACCGTGGTGGAGGACGTGGCATAGCAGGGCTTTGTTGTGAGGTTTGATCAGAGGCACCAGTATCCGGCGGTCCTCCAGAAGCAGAGGGAGATCGCGGAGGCAAACCGTTAGCTGAGGATGCGACTGTACCACCCGAAACCGAGAGCGAAGAGCCGGGATGGTTCGGGACGTTGGATTGATCCGTTGTGGGGCCTAAGTTCGATGATAGGTTTACAATGAGTTTTCCATGTACGATGAGATTATCGTTAGACTTCTTCAGGTCTCTTGTGAGCATTTCTGAAATCCTTCATGAGTTGTGTTCCTATCACTCCTTTGTCAGAGACAAGACTTACCGTCGCCACCAACATCGAGATCAATCACCGACCCAATCCGAACATTGATCACACCTAGGAATCCTTGATCTTTCTTCTTGAATTTCTTTTGATCAAAGATTTGTATCGCAAGGATACTCTCTTCATTCGCTTTCCTGCAGCTGGTTAGCAAATCCCATTCGTCCACTGAATTAGGCATATTCCCCACAGATCGAAACTTTCGTTCCAGTATGGATTTAGTGTTTTCTTGATGACAGATGTTGTACGTGTCTGTTCCCCACCTATGGTTGCGACAGCAAAGGGATCTGGGAATCCTGAAGATAGTGACTTAGTCACAGGTTCTTGCTACGTTCATGGTGGCACTCACTGAAGACATCCCGTTTATAGAGCCCATCGGCAGCGATGACTAGGCAACATGAGCAAGATGCCACATGAAGAGAAGGCTATCATACTCGTCACTCGTAAGTTAGGCGCCCTGGATTATGCATCAGCATTTACGAAGCCTTGAGGTCGAGTCTCGTCCTTACTGAGGAAGATCCGAGTCCATCTTGCTCTCTCTACGCTACAGCCTTCGGCTCAAGGACTCAGCAGCGGAGCCTCGAGATCTGTAGTTCGTCTCCAGTTTGAGACACGTTCTGCTGCTGGCCCCGTATGGCGTTGGCGTGACCCGTTCTAGGCCGGCCAAAGGGTGAGGGTGGCTGTGTAGCTTAAAATAGGATCGCAGAGTTGGGCGTATTACATGGTAATTCGTAGCATCATCAATCGTCAGAGAACGCAAATTCACAGTCGAATTCACATGATGCGCAAACACTTGAGCCAGGATGAATATATCTTGTTGTGTAAATCATTCTATCCGCTCCCTTTCCGTTTTTGCGGTCAGCCCTACGAGCTACAAAGCGATGATGCAACAAAAGCCAATGATATTGGGCAAACATGGGATACCCATACGTTTTTCGAAACACAAGTTTCGTTCATATGAGGATATCCAGAACATGATCCCATTGCATACAAACTGGTATCATACACGTGATAATGCAAAATTCTCCCTCTTCTGAACTTTTGGCTACTTCTCCAGCCGTCATGAAAGACCAACGATGGTCACAACAGAAGATTACCTTGATTCTCTTTGAGAGATCTTTGTCTTCACCCAAGTCTTATGAGGAACGTCGCCAAGAAGATGTAGCATCAGTACGGTGCGTAACCACGCGGTCTCCCGCGATACCCTCCACGATAACCGCGAGGAGAGTCGAAGCCACCGCGATGACCTCCACGGTCATATCCACCACGACCGAACCCACCACGCGCACGAGGGGCTCCTCGCCCACCGCGTCCGCCTCGGGTCATGCCAGGCAGATTTGTGCGTTTTGGGACGACCTGTTGCAAGATGTTAGACATGTAAATCACGATAGGTAGAGAATTGATTTCGCTTCACCTTCAAATTACGTCCTCGGAACATGCTTTCGTTCAAAACGAGCGCCTGTCCGACTAATTGCGGCTCCGTGAATTCAACATAAGCGTATCTAACCACGATTAACAATCGTTCCACTGATCGGGGGAACCGGTTCCAATACCCTTTTGGGTGCCCCGTGAACTTGTCGAGAAGGATTGTTACGCGATTGATAGACCCACAACTTTGAAAATGCGCTTGAATCTCTTCTGGTGAAGCTCCGTAGTCCACGTTGCCTACAAATATGCTGCGAGCGTCGATGTCTTCTTTGTCTTCTCTCATGTTCTGATCCTGCTGATCGAGAGACGCCTGCATCTCGCGTAGCTTGGCTGCTTCTGCCTCCATCTCAGCTACCCTCCTCTTCATCGCTGATATCTCTTCCTATACGGTTTTTTCATCAGCGGTCATTCTCATTTTACGGTCTTGCGAGGCTTCAGCCATCCTCATGCCACCAAGCGCACGATTTGGTGAAGAGTTTCGCGGAATGTCCATCTCTTACTTCGTCATCGCCTCCGTCCTCTTGGTCTTGAGGAACAGGATCTTCATTCTTAATGTCCGAGTCCGACATTATCAAATGAATATGAGGGTGCTGGAGTCTTTGTCAAAGGGAAAGACCTGAGGACGAAGTCCAATCTGAGCTGCTCTCAAATATAGATGGATATTGTGGGGATTTACGTGGTGACAGTGCCGATTTTCGTGTTCAACAGGGCTGAAGCTTCGAAGCTGCCCGCCAAGCATTTCAATGCTTCAAGCTGTGGACGCAAAGGGGGCCGCTAACAAAGCACGCTAATTGGACTCCACTCACCAATTGTCTGCGTTGATACTTGAGCTACGTCAGACATGTTCAATGGCACAGATGGCTGTTGTAGGTCTTGGTGAATGGCGCGGCTATAAGCCATTATCAATATTGTACGAGATAGACTCGGAATTGTCAATATGCCATGTCAGGCTTTGCCAATCCTACGGGCGTCGTCCCAGCTTCTCTATCCTTTTTCACCATCTACAATCCATCTCTCGGCGCTTCAGATGAATCCGTCCAGGATCAAATTGTATACTATTTCAAAGCTCTAAAAGATGGGCTCCAGAGTCGGAAGAAAATCGATTTCCAGGAAGTAAACGAAAGCCAGGAAGAGACAAATAGAAGACTGCGTGAGATTGGGTTAGCACAAGCGACTGTGCAATTTGCCACGTACGCCACTCAATGGTCAGGAAACAAGTGATAGCGACGCTCATATATTCTCTAGAGGGTTCTCTGATGGCTCTTTCGTTGAATCAGTCGAAACTGAGAAGTCACGCACCGTCATTCACAATATAGAAGCAGATTGGTGGCTCCTGGCCGTGCGTGCAATACTTCCGAGCTTTATCGAGGAATTGCTGAACATACTTTTAGTCTGTCGATTTGACTTGTATAACGCGGCCGTCAGAAACGAATGCCGTCTCACTGTCGAATCAAGCGAATGAAACGGAAGAATTTTCATCGCGGGAGGTGGCTCTTCCAAAATTGCTGATCCAGCAGCTTCTACGAGCGCACAATATTTTCTTGTTACATCACGGGCGTTCACTGTCAGATCTTTGGTCAAGAATTCCTCGAGATAAATTTTGTGCGATCCTAAAAAGGTTTTGGGAACCTTTCTTGAGGAATTGGGATGTCCTACTTCATGGCAACCCTGCAGTTGATATTCATAATGGAATAAAGCTTTCTGCGGGCGGGGAGCTCGGTATTGGCGTCGGTGAGGAGGAATGGGGAAGCGGAGAGCGCGAAGTCTTGGAAGGATTTGTGCAGAGGACTGACGGCCTGGTAGACCTCGTCATTTCGAGATTCGATCACAGTCGGAGGAATGGAGCGCCGCTAGCTCCGTTACCATCAGCCTCACCTTGTCTTATCAATGGGGACGTTACTAAGCCATCAGACGGTATCATTTTCTCCGGTGTGGGTTCCTTGACAAAGGAGTCTCTAAGAAACGTATCGGCGTGGATGGAATGGCTTGCGATATTTGGTACGGAATGTTATGGTGTCCGGCAGAATCCTAATGTTGACACTCGCCGAAGACCTGTCAGGAAGGACAGAAGCCAGGACGCAAAGAGTCGTGGTGTTCAGAAGCATGAGCAAACAACTCTAGAAAGTAAGGCGCATACCGATCAAGGAGACGAGCCTGGCGAAATTGGGATACCTGCCCCAATTGTCCGTCCTCAAGGACTTCCTCAAACAAGCTTAGGGAATCCGACTAAAAAGCCCAGTGGGTACATTAGAAATTTTGATAAACAGCAGAATGAACCGTCTGAAGATTCAGCACTCGGTGCTGAGATAGTCAAATATCTAACCTTGGGTGTTTATGGATCTGCTTGGGGGATGCGCGCAGGCCGCCCACCTGTGGATAATCCATGTGCAGAATCACCAAAGCCAAAGCCCACGGCACCTTTAGATTCGCCTAGAGCTTCCACCAAATCGAAAGAAAGCAGTGGCTTTTTCTTGATTGGCTTGCTTGGAGACGTTGAGGACGATGCAAAGGATGAAGACGCAGCCGAGAACACCGCATCAAAGGAAAATATTCAAGCGAAATCTGAGGGAAGACTTCTGATGCGCAACTTGCACGTCGAGCGTACCAAAGAGACTTCATCTCACTCAAATGAAAGCGGCAGTTCAGGGCCCCATGCTTTGCAACAGACCTACCATGATCGTCTACGCGTCGTAGTCTACGTACAGGCACCCTTTTTGTTTACATTTCTCTTTGAAACTCGGACGGACACTCTCGCTCTTCCCTTCTTCTATCGCTCGCTTCACCATCAGCTTGGTCCCCTCCGACGGCCATTACTGAAGAGTACCGACCCCGCCATGGTTACGCAGCGCCTTTGGGAAACCGCGAATCCAAGGAGCACGTCACAAGCTCGCAATGGACGATTAATTCAAGATCTTGTCTATGATCCTAACCGACTTACGATCCATGCGAGCATACCTAATATTCCGGAACCAGCCAGCGACTTGGGCGACCTAGGCACTGACTGGAGCCGGGTTGAAGCGTTAGGCGTGCATTCGCAGATACTCAACACATACGTGGCTTCGCGTCAACAGTCGTCGGAGATTGAACGGACGTGCAAGACCAGTCGAGGGTGGTGGGTGGTGTGGATGCGGTTACCTCACTCATCGGGAGCGTCGTCGGAGTGTCAGGAAGGCTACCGCGAGGCCGTCTTGATCCGGCGGGCGAACGACACTAACGGCAACAAAGCTAGGCAAAGCAGCTCAGGATTCGGCTTTGGCTTCAACCGTGGAGGAGAGAAAGCTGGGGGCTGGCAATCTAAAATCTCGGATGGCATTGGCATTGATGCCAGGCAATATATTGAAGGCTTGCTCAGCTTAAGCCGATGAACAACAACGACAACAGCAATTACATGTCTCCTACGTAGCGCCAAAATCCATGCCAGGGATATGTATATAGAAAGACAATGATGGTTTTTGGAATACGGATCCTCAGCTGGCTCGGACTATGAATACGTGGCCGTGGGTTGTGGCAGTGCACTCTGGGCCCAGCTGTTCTCCCGGGAGGCCGTGAAACAAAGCGAATGTGAAGAGGTGGGTGGGTCCGACCTGAGCTGGCGCGTACTTTGTCCACCGCTGGATGCTGACTGAGGTTGCAATGTAACCTGCGACATGGCCTTCAGCGAATGGGTGCTTGACATCTGCATCTCCGTTTGCCAGGGGCTTGGGGGGAAGACCCGGAAGAGAGGGGGCAAAGCAGATGGGCAGATTGATTGGAGGAAGGATCTATCCGCTGGAAGTGCCTAGACTACCCTAGCGCCCGGGCTGGTAAGGTACCTGCAGTCACGCCAGTCGCACGCCAAGTCTCTGCCAACCAAATAATACGGTAATAATGAAATGCAGGCAAAAGGCAAGTCCAGTCAGGGGTTGGCCGAAACCCTACCGCCCTGACTGCGTCTACCTACTACTGCCCTTTCTTTCCTGTACCCTTCACTCTTCTCTTTCTCTCTCTCTTCACCCTCACTCGTCACCTTTGTGCTATCCTTCACGCTCTTTGATCTGTGATCAGTCGTTCCGGCATTCTCGTTTGAGTCGCCTCCCACATTCTTTCATCGGCTTTGTCCTAGCGACGAGCCCATTCACTCATTTCACGCGCCTTTGACAGAGCCTGCCACTTTCACCGCTTCTTTGACCTCAAGCATAAAGAACCCTCATATTCTTAGCTACACTCATCTACCCGAAGGAAAGCTGCACTCGCGAGCCGAGTCTTTAAGCACCCTTCAAATCTACGACCCGACGCCCATCACTTACACCACCCTCTGTCCAACATTTCCGTCGATCTACGTCAAACATGAAACAATACAACATGCTCGCCCTCGGCGCTCCACTTCTGCTGTCTATGACCTTGGCCAAGCCGATGGTACACCAGCATTTTCACCAACGTGACCTCGAGCTCCTCAGACGGGATCTCGTGACAGCTACAGTCATTGAGGAGACTACCACTACAATCGATGTCACTGTCACTGTGTACGGGTCCCCACCCGAGGCGCAAATCAAGATGGCAGCAAACGTGCAGCCCGCGGACAACCCTGACCCAAAGCCGACTCAGACCTCAAGCAGTGTAGCGCAGAGTTCGACCGCCAATGCCCAGGCTGATCCTGTCGCTATACAACAGGAGGCCATCGCTAAACAACAAAAGAACATCGATGACCAGCAGGCCAAAAACCAAGCTCAGATCGAAGCCAACGCTAAAGCCAATGCCAATTCCAATAGTCAAGCGCCGGCGCAACCCGCCACCCCAGAGAAGCAGGCCCCGGCAAGCAGTAACCCCCCCACTCAGTCACAACCACAGCAGCAACAGTCACCTGCTGCTAAGCCTGATACCGGCACTCAAGGTAGCAGTGGGACCGCACCAAGTGGAGGATCCTGCGGACAGGTTGGTGGCAAGTGCATGGCGTCGGACGTGACCATCTATGATGATCAGGGCATTGGCTCATGCGGATGGCAAAATGACACAACCAGCGAAGACTACTTTGCTCTAGCTGCCAGTATGTTGCTACCTCTTATTTCGTTCCATTGAACTGCAGCTGACAAATTTACAGATACCTTTGGTGCCTATACCAATGATGCCCCGGGACCACACAAGAATGCATTCTGCGGCCGCATGGCAAAGATCGAGGTTGATGGAAAACAATTCGATGCTATGCTGACAGACAAATGCCCCGGCTGTAACGGCTGGAGCATTGATCTCAGCAAAAGTCTCTGGAATAAAGTGACTGGCAACAAGTCACCCGATCGGATGCACAACATCAACTGGTGGTTCACTTCTGATGAGGTTTTCCACGGAGCCAGTGGCTAAGGAGAGTCGAATTTTGAATCCTCTTTGGACCTGTGCGATGGTTCGATGTTGAAGAAGGCTTGGAGCAAACTTCTTGTTATCTTGTTAGGGAATCCATTGTTGCATGGCGGAGGAATCATTTGATATGTATGGCTCTACCTACCATTCGACGGATATGATTGACGGGCTTCTGTGTACAAAAATTACATTTACGATCTTCAGCATTTGGCGAGGGCATATCTGAGTCTGTTCATCAACGCTCAGCAGAAGGAATTCTAGATCAAATGAAAAAATGATTCTTGATCTATTGACTGCGAAGCTTTCATGCCTTCTTGTTGTTATCAAGCACGTGCAAAACAGGATCATGCACAGCTTGCATGAAGTGGGCGAGCGTGCATACTCAAAATGCTCGGTGAGTACTCCCGCTTCTGTTACTTCCCTTTAAGCAAAGCTGCCGTCCCCGGAAGCCTTGGAAAAAAATATTGTATAAGTCAATGTTGGATTCATGTTCCCCCCTCTTACCGCTTTTCCGTTCGCTTTCCTTGACGTTTTCTGTCTTCTCTACCAACTGCTTAATCATTACTTGTCGATTATATAAATTTCATATATTTGCTATAGCCTCTTTCATCAAATCCATGCTTGCGAATTATCTGCTTTCATTTTCTGTATTCATTGTTCCTATTAGAACATTTTCACACCTGGTCTCTCGAGCCTCTATATTCACTTTCCCAGCGGTCTACTCTTTTTGAATCTGTCTTTTTCATTGAATTCATTTGTTTTCCCATCCATTGGTGCAATCCTACTATTGAGAGTCTAATCTCATCGCCCTTTACACGTGTTCTCATAGTCGCTCTTCTTTGGTCACCGTTTTCTTCCCTCCATGTCTGTCTGTAGCAACCCTACTATTCCCTTTTTCCGTCTATGCCACTTGTTATTCTTTCCTCATTTGCCTTCACCATTGTCTTAATCAACGCTCCCTTGCCATTCATCACCCACCCCTTTCCGATGCCGCTCGCCGTTTACTTGCCACTTTGACCTAAGGCCTGTGTCCTAGCCTCGCACTGTCTACTCCAACTTCGCCTTCCTACTCCCACATCCTCATTTGAAGAGCTTTGGTACCGTTGACTCAGTCTTGCCTGCCATGTTACTTAGGCTATCAGCAAGGTCGCGTGTCGCACGCTCTGTGTGCCTTGCTATGTTGCCCGCATCTGACACAGGCAGCGGATTCTGGGTGGACGAGGTGTACGGAGGTGGAGGAGCCTCATCCATTTCCGAATTGGAAGGATTGTTCATTTTGAAGATAAGAATACGAGTCAAACAAAATGACAGCAGGCAAATGAGAGCTGATCGCAAGCTGAGGGCGGACAAGGAAGATAGGATATACTTTATATAGACCTTCGATTCCAAGAGCTGAGCAGCGTCCAAGAAATCACTAATACCTACAAGGGCATATTTCGCGACAACGCCCTCTGATAGGGCCGTCTGCACTGCGTGCCTGTCCATATACTCTGCGAAATACATTATGCCAGGATCACAACTGCACAATTTTTTGCTTGTTGTTTATTTCGCCCTGCAGATCCTGTAAGAAACTAATTCTGTAGATTGCGCCAAGCCCCGACCTGTGGTAGCGGGCTGATCTGGAATAAGACCTTCACCTCTTCAATATTGTGACGCTCACTGCCTCGACTCAGTTTCCTCCGAAGCACTAACAAATCCATACTATGGACATCCGTGTCCTCACACCGTCTGACATCCCACATGTTCAATCCACGAATATCACAAACCTTCCCGAAAACTACTTTTTGAAATATTACCTGTATCATGCCCTTTCATGGCCTCAGCTTTCGTATGTAGCAGTCGATGTTTGCCGACCTAAGAAGACACCTTACGATCCTCCAAAAATTGTGGGCTATGTTCTCGCGAAGATGGAAGAAGAGCCAGCGAATGGCATACCACATGGGCATATCACAAGTCTAAGCGTCATGAGGACGCATCGACGACTTGGCCTTGCGGAAAAGCTCATGAAACAAAGTCGTAAGTAGCCCGTAATTAGACAGTAGTGAGGTGGCGGCGCTGACCTAGGTGGTCTCAGAAAGAGCCATGGTTGAAACCTACAACGCCCAATATGTCTCCTTACACGTGCGTGTTTCGAACGTTGCGGCTCTGAAGCTCTATAGAGATACCCTCGGCTTTGAAGTTGAGAAGGTGGAATCGAAGTACTATGCTGATGGCGAGGATGCATATAGCATGAAGATGAATCTAGAGTTCATCAAGGAGCAACTGGAAGAGACCTACGGCAAGGACGAAGGAGAAGCCGTTGGCGAAGAAGGCAAGGAAAATGGCAAGAAAGACGATGAAAAGAAAGAGCGTAAGAGGAAGGTGAAGATAGGCAGAGGGCTAGGAGTGGGCGACCTGGTGGAAAAGAATGAGAGCAAAGCGTAGACACCCATGTCTGCCAGCAGAATCAAAATCACGGAAATGGCTGAAGGACCAACGTCACACATTCAAGGGCTGTAGGTTAGATGAGATCCTAGAGTACGCCTCCAACGACACGGGAATCCTCTGGGATGAGAAGTGCATGTCCAGAATCGAATCGATATGATGCAATCAATGAATGAACCGCGAAATCCACTTCACGGCCGCAGTCTGGACGAGGGAAGCAGTACCATGGGGATGAAAGACGACGGGAGAAGTACAAGCTTTTCGAAGCTTCGACGAAGATATTATGATGGTCTTTCACATCATGCAACGCTCAGGCTTCAACCACTGTTAGCAAAGCAGAGGAATAGTTCGCTATACTACACTACCTTATCAGAATCCACATCGGGGGGCTAGACATCGACGCCCTGCATACCGTCTGCATGTTGAGAACCGTCAGACATGCTTCAATTCCGAAATGTCTGAAACCAATGTCGCCCACCTCTTCGCCACTGCTTAGCAAAGCCTCTCGTCAGCAGCCAAAAGCGCTGAGATTTGAAAACCAAGCCCAGTATGCTATAGACAATCGGGTGATAAGGATCTAGACTGTACAATATCTTTACCCAAAGTTTCATGAGTAAATCAGCTGCACCAGTTCGAATCTTCCTATGTCCTGATTTCACCATGAAGGTTTGACCTGCTAAAGGTGAACTATCAGAATCAATCAACTCAAGAAGCCTCCTCCAGCGGCAGCTAAGCGTTAGAAGGTGCCACTCCGGGGGTGGAGCCTTAAAGCCAAGCCTAGAGCCAAGCCTGCCGGCTGCTGACTGCCGCTGATAGCGGCTTTGTCAGCTCCAATCCTCTCATTTCACGATGTACTATCAGATTCAAAAGCCATGCCGTTTTCTATCTCACCCTTAAAGAAGGAGGCTTGCCCTTCTGGCATCCTACCGGTCTCCCATACCCAAGCGGATCTCTGTGCATTCTCATGGCGACCAACGGCGGCGACCAGACACCCCGTCACCACGGCCCACACGGCCATCATCTCCGGAAGCTCCTACATCCCAGTGGGAAGCGCATACACATTGCGGCTACACCGGATGAGCACGATAGGCTGAGAAAGACTCTCGGGCATGCTGAGCCGGACGAAAACTTCGATGTTTACATCCATGGCTCCAAAGAGCACAAAGACATCGTACGAGAGATACACGACCATCACGAGCAGCGACGGCACCACCTCCGTACGAAACACGGCGAGGTCTACGATGAGTTTGAGCATGTCAGAGATCAGCTAGACATCCTCTCGGAAGAGATGCATATGCTCACAGATCATGGCGTGTCACTCGACGCCAATTTCTCCAAATTTGGCTACGATGCTCGCATACGCACGCGAGATCCAGGTTCTGATACCAGCTCCATGGTCTCGTCCGAGAAGCGCGACTGGGATGCCGAGCGCAAGAAGGGCACGGCTATAAAGTTCTGGAGAAAGCCCGTAGTGAGACAGTATTTCCACAAAGGACTCTTGTGGCGAGCCTCACAGGTAGAGGAAGTGGCATCGTTTGAGCTCTTCGTGGATTTGCTCTATGTTGGTATCATTGCGGTCATTGGTGATACTGCAGCGGAAGACCCTACCGCTTTTGGCCTCCTTAGATTCGCCATTACCTTCATCCTAGGCTGGAAGATGTGGAGTGATATCACCGTCATAATCAGCTGGTTCGAGGTTGACGACATCTTCCAACGGATCTGTATCCTCTTCGTCATGATCACACTCTTCGGCTTCACGCTCAACATAGTCGAAGCTTTTGAAACGACGTGGATCATGATGATCAGCTTTTACTTGGCTTCGCGCTTCTTTGGGGCCGTCTACTATTTCTGGATGGGCTACATGCTTCCCATGATCAGGGGTCACATGTTCGTCAATGCCTTCCTAGTCCTGATCCCTGGTGCGCTCTGGATAGCTAGTATTCAAGTAGAATATCCGTCTCGCCTTGCCTTGATCTGGCCTGCGATCGTCCTGGATCTGTTCGGCGCCGTCGTCGTGATAGTGCTGAAGCGCCGCTACATCGACAAACCAGACGACGACAAGGGTCAGTTGGCTTGCCAATTGACACGCTGGTTTGAGTTCATGCCGGCAACGAACATTGAGCACAAGACAGAGCGTACGAATGCTTTCGTCACGCTAGTCTTCGGCTACTCTGTCGTCGCCTTACTGTTCCAGAACCGAGCAGAATTCGGTATCAATGCATTCTTCGGCAAAGCCATTCTGGGCCTCATCCAAGCCTTCGCATTCAATTGGTTGTACTTCGAGATTGATGCTTGGGATCTCCACACGCACGCTATTCGACGGCACGTCGTGTCATCTATTGCTTGGATTTTCGCCCATCTCCCCTTCATCATGGCCTATGTCCTGGCTGGGGCCTCCCTTTCTCGTCTTGTCCTTGCAACAGACTGCGAAGATGCTGACGCCGAAAACCTTGTCGAGAGCTGGGCTGCACGTGCTGAGCATACCCATGAAATACCCATCGGTCTGAGGTGGTTTTACTGCGTTGGTCTTGGCGTAGCACTTATCTCCATGAGCGCGATCAGTCTAGCTCACGTACATAAAACCTTCGAAGGGCAAAGACTGAAGAAGATGTACCGCTTACCTGTTCGCGTCTCTATTGCTATCGTGATCATCTGCTTACCACTGGCTGAAGATCGCTTGAGCTCATTAGGACTCGTCGCGACGACGACGTGCTTAGTGGTCTTTGTGCTTGCGATGGACGTGTATGGGGCTACAGACAGCAATGACCCTTTCTGGAGGTGCCAGAAATCCTGCCAATACTCGGCGGAATTGGCCATTCAAAAGAAGGCGATTGTTGAAGCGTTGAAAAGAGGGGAGACGGTGGAGCTAAAGATGGATGAAAATGAAAAAGGAGAGAAGGTGCTCCATGAATCTTAAATACCCTTCAGCTAGGCATGAGCATTTGTCCTGAGAAAGACTCCCTCTTAGACTCTCACAATCAAATCTAGGCTGCCAATGTCAGTCCTTCATCTGATAATACCTGTGCATGACGCCTACGGACATACCGTCTTTTATATACCCCAGCACGTCAAGCTCTCTGTCCTCCTGTCCATCACGAATGCGAGTTCAACGATCTATTGGCTTATGCCTTGGTGATTCAACGTTGCCTGATTCAGTATAGTTAACCTTCGTAGGGCTTTGTTGAGCAACCGATTAACAAGACGACAATCTTCCTGGCGTTCATATTGACTCATCAACATAGCGAAAATAAAAGATCTTGATCTGAGCGTCCAGTCGATCAAATTTTCAATCATCTCTCGCGTTGAAAGGTCCCGATCTGCTATTCGATTTGCATGCCTATTTTCCTACCAAGCTAAGGCTTCGTATGGAGATACGCAAACGCTTTCTCGCTTGTGCTTCAACAGGTCTCTGGGCGAAGGGATGTCCAAGATTATCCAATGAGTGCGACTTGCCACTTACCAATTGCTGAAGCCTAGCCTCAATAAAGGATCCCTAAAATCAAAAGCTACCCACAGCAGAATGTATGAGTACCGACCCACCGATGCGACAGAGTCGAGCGCGTGTTTCATCAATGAAGGTATCATAATGCCATTCTGTTTGTCTCTGGATGGTAAACTAATTCATATGTTGGACAGCACTCTCTTCCTAGAAAACATCCTGTCCTTTATGATGTTGCAACCACTGAAGACGACAGTACAGAGCTTGTCCCCGTCGCTGTCGCCGGCCCAACCCCCAACGTATTCGTTCCCGCCGCTGTCGACGCCTCATACCTCAAACCCCAGTTCGCTATAACTCTCGAACCTTCACTCCACTGCAATTTCAGATCTAACCTCTTCCTCGGAACATGCCAAGCGCCCAATCCAGTAGCTCTAGCGCACATCAACACCATCCAATAATACGACATGAATTCCTCTACAAGCTCCGGATTATGGAGGTCCCCGACAGTGATCTGGGAGGTGCCGAATCCTCCCGTTGCGTTGGCCTCAGGCACCGTGTTTTGCTTATAAGGTGAGATCAGCACCATGACAGTCGCCAGCGGGATAAAGTAAGCAGCATCTGGTACTTCGGGATCATTCCAAGACTCGGCCCAAGAGTATTGCCTTGAGCCCACGGCCCCCGAACTATTCAGCTCCGCTGCTGACGTTGTCAGCTGTTCAACAGTCGGCAACCCGGTGGTCCCCGCAGCTGAGTAGTCCCTCTTTGCCGAGCTCGCTAGCACCCTGTCGATTCGTACAAACCCGACATCTTGGCCTTTCCACTGCAGTCTCAGATCCCCCTCCACATATTTTTGTGTCTCCTCCATGTACAACAACGCACCAAAGATCCCCCAAATCGCATACTGTCTTACGATAGTGCGGGTGAGATCCCAATGGCCAGCTACACTGATCCGGACGCCTTGCCAATCAAATGAGGAGGGTTGCATCAGCTGAATGGTGTCTTCGAGGGCAAGCTCGGCAATTGCGCGGTTGCCGTCGATGAGGACATCAAGAGGTTCGAGACGCGTGCCATCGGGGGCGAAGTCGGCGACGTAGTCAAATTGCTCTGGGATATTACCCAGGGCTCTGGTAGATGTTGAGAGACTTCCATCTTGTGTAGTAGGAGCTGTCAAGCCCGTGGTGAAGAACCACGCAGCGGTACTGACGAGTATGAAAGATGGGTTTGATAGCATATCCGCGAAAGCTGTGACCACAGCTTCATATGTGTCACTGGAGGCGATGATAGTTGATGTTTATATGTGCTTTTCAGTACCTAGAAAGTACACTGCCTGGGCGTAGTTGTTACGCGACAGACGCCCAAAATAGTTGTGCGACTGTTTAAAACAACAACATTTTGTTTTCAGCTTGACATTAGAAAGTGCGGCCCGTAGGAGGGCAGTGAAAGGAAAGGGTGAAAAGAGTCCAAAAAAAGGATAGCAAGGCAGATATTGTGGGTCTTCGTATAAAGTGTTTTTCTCTGATACTTACATCAAAGCATACGATATGCGTCCGCATCAGCACGTTGGTCAAGCCAGTCAAAACACTCCCACTTTTGCTCCTACAGAAGCAATCGCTCGCTAAAACCTTCATTTCTGACTTTAGGTTACTCACCCAAGGCCCGTGGTTCATGGACTCGGCATGACCTCTTCAAACCCTTCAGGAATCGTTCCATGAAGGAGATATTTTTCTCTATCTTGTCGCGTCATGTCGTGAATGAACGTTGACGAAAGTCTTACTTTTTCTGCCTCCTCTTCTCCCTGTTGGTCTATCTCGTCTCTGTATGAGCTTCCAGCTGCCTCAAGAACACCTTTGTACCATTCTTCTAGCCTCCCTTTTTCGATGTGCCGTTCCAAAATCTTTGCCTCACCCCGGAGCTCTCGCGCAAGCTTGACTAATATTGAATCTGACTGGGTAGCGTACTCAGGCAGAGAGCGAAGCTCAGCAGGGTCAGTGCCCGCGCTTAGAAGTTCGGATGGAGTTCTGGGGGGCGGCAATATGTCCCAGAAGCTTTCCTCTTCTTCTGTACCATAACGGTTGCGATGGCCTTCCAACAGTGTTTGAAATAATGGGGTGGTTCTGGTCTCACTTGTAACTTGATCGTCATTCTTCAATTCAGTCCGGTTAAATTCGGTCCAGTCGGATGAAATGAGGATACGGCGCCAGATCATGCTGGATCTCAAAGAGGAAGCTGGGGATGACAAGGGAATATGCGAGATTGCCGAGAGGAGTCTGGCAATATTCAAGGAAAGGAAGAAGCGATGATGCAGGAAGTGGTTTGTCACTCCTTGTTCCGTATCATTATCCATCACGGTCAGCACGTTAATAAGATCACTGGACCTTATGGTTACTCTCCCGAACAAATGCGAAAGGTTGGACCTGAGCTGTTGCTTCAGAAGGGGCTTTCCCTCAACAGACCGTTTACCAAAGTTCTCCATGACAACATCAACCGCAGCTTCGCTGTCTATTGCTGTCTTGATGTAAGGCTTGAAGAAATCGTGAAGAGAGTCTTGCATCTTGAGCAATGTGACGTGCTGGTCGAGTCGTTGGATCATGGGGCCTGCCGCATACTGTCGCGTTTGATCCTTCCCTTCAGCTGCTTGGACTGATAGCTTACCGAGGCTAAGCATGACTTTCTGGCTCCACAAGTCATCGGTGTGCTTAGCTGACTGCTCCAAGTACGTGGATGCAGAAAAATAGTCACGCTCCGTCGCTACTTCATTGATCCACGTTACGTTTGCGTACCCTGAATGAGATCTGAGGAAGTCGGTCAAAAATTTCTTGTAGTTTGAATTGTTATTCAAAGTCTCGACTGCAATTTTGCCGTCTTTCAGACTTCGGCTGAAATATTCATTTGCCCATTGAGTGCCGAATTTGTCAAAGTACTGATTGATCCGGACTGGCAGGCTTGGCTCGATGTCATGGCCATTAAGACTCTCCTGCTCAAGGATATCAAGCAGAGCTTCCATGTCGTCATATTTCTCAGCCAGGGCAATGGCCTCGTCACTAAGATTGAGTTCCGTGAGATCAACAAATTGATGCTTTCTGATTTTGCGATGAATCTTCAGGATCTCTTCACCATCCCGATGTTCTTTGGCAGTCTTCCGCGACTTCAACCACCGAGCGCGCTCAACGTAGGTCTGGCAACACATGTGTATTTGGCGCGGCGAGCTCTGAGCCAGCCTAAGCATTGCAGTATGAATGTCATTGGCGAATTTTTCTTGCTCTTCATTGCTGGGTCCTTCTTCCTCTTGCGTCTCCAGAATGTCGTCAACGTCGCTCGCAAGAACTTTGGCCATTGCTCTGGGCAATTCGGTCAGCTCCCTTACCCTCTCCAGTACTAGGGGGTATCTGCTCCAAGCGCGGCCGAAGTCCAGAACTCATCGATGTTCTCGAAATCGTCCGCAGCACGAAGAATGCCATCAGATATACGATTCTTATCAAAGCCATACAAGTCTGCGTTGAGCTCTCTAAATTGAAAAGCGGCTTCCATGGTACCTGACTGAATATCAACTGCATCGCCTATCATGTGAGCCTTGGTGAGATTGTCCAGCTGTGTCTTGTCTTCCACACTTTCTCTGAATAGCAATTCTATAATCTCGTGCGCATACGGTATAATCCACTCTAGGCGCCAAACGTCATGTACGAACCAATGTCGGACACCATCACTTTCGCCAGTGTCCGGTTGGTTCTCTAGCTTAGCAGTATCAGGCATAGACTCAATCAGCTCTGCAAACAGATCCCTTTGCTTAGTTCGAGGGTCAGATAGAATGTTGTTGTACCATTGCCAGATCGCTTGTGCGGCTGCCATCTTCTCTGCAGTCCAGAGAAGTTTCCATCGGCATTGTGGACTAAGTGACCGAGAATGATGTTCACGTAAATATCGAATCAAGTTATCAAGTGCTGCAGCGCGTTTGGTAAGCGATCGCTGCATATTTGGTTCTAATCTTGCGAGGTAAGGAGTAGTGGAGTTGGCGATCGCTTGACTAATATTCAGGGATGCCGCTTCAATATCCAGGGAGGAGAATCTTGTCTCGGATCGAGGTGAAAAATCAATGAGATTTTGGTTGTGGCTGCCAAAAAAGACTGCTTGTTCGATCTTGGTTTGTGCCGTGATGGCGGCTCTGCTAACTGGTGACTGGCCGGCTTTGGTAGGTTGAGTTGATATACGTATCATTCCGTAGCCATGAATCAGGAAACTACAGATCGATCGCTGTCTATCTCGATCAAGTGCCTCTGCTGCACATGCGATTGTGTAGCAAGATTTGTCTTGTCGGAATGCAACCGCATCTTGAAATGGAATAGGAAGGGTATGTGCTTCCATCTGAAGCTGAGAACTCGGGGTTTCGTCAACCTCTACCAAAGACAGGAGCACTAGGCTTTTCTCAAATGCAATGATCGCGGTTTGAGCAGGCTCTGGTACCATGATTTGAGGCCTGAATTGGGGGTCAGCGGGGATATGAGAGGTGTAGCAAGTGATTTGATGCACGACATCAACAGTGCCTTTTCCATCTGCCAGAGTCAAGCCGATTAAAGTATACTTGGAGACTTGAGGGTCTTTCAAAGCAGTCAACACCAAAAGCCGACAATCTCCGCTCGTGTACGTCTTTGCAACGTCCCTACCGTGCGAGCCATGGGGCAATAGCGAGAAATCTAGGACTTTGAAAGGATACTCATGCAGAGCTTGCGTATTTCTGACGCCCTTAAGAGACTCTCTTAGCAAATCGACTTTTGCGTCCACTTCGTAGGCTAGCGTGTGTGTGCCATTCCAGTGCAAGTCCCATACTTGGAATGTACCCTCATTTGTGGCGACGACCATATATCTCTGGCCTCGCCGCACCGAGCGTCCAGCCTTGACAGCTGCAAGATCTTTCTTCCATCCAGCAGTACTTAGCACCCCTCTAATGCTGCCAAAAATGCCCTTCGGTTGGGCAGCAGCGCTCCGGAGGTAGTGCACTTCAATCGAAAGCCTTCCTTGCGTGTCTTTGATTGCCAGGTGGGCAAGTCTGCCAGTGTTCAGAGTGAGAACAAAGCCTCGAGGCTCGGCTTCAGTAACTGCCACGATTTGTTCTCCAGACATCATGCCCCCAACAACACCTTGAATACTCGACTGTCTTTGGCGGCTAAGATCTGAATTTGCAGCATAGGACAAAGCTTCCCAGTACGTCACTTTGCCTGTGGTTGGCATTAGGACAAGGAGCGCTGGCTCGGCGGAGGTAGGAACAAGCACGCCCATTGGTAAAGGCTGATGGGGACTCGCTATAGGGTCTAGAAGACGGATTTGCATGGGCTCAATGAGTTCACTTGATCCTGGAGACTGAGTGTATCGCCAAATTAAGGCAGAGACATGGGTCATGGCAATGGCACAGCCAAGCTGTGGTGATAGCTCTGCTCGCCATGGTTCTGTTTGAGTGTCAGAATCGTGCAAGAAGAAATTGTAATGTAGGTCTAACCTTCTTTCAAGAGACGAGAAAGCACGTCTGGCGTTGTAGGTAGTTGAGTAACGATGTAGTTGTCATTCTTCGTCTGTATTGTACATCAGAATATCCAGGTCTAGAGATACATGAAATCTCGTGGCCATACCAGTTCAATATCATTGCCGGACCTCTCTGATCGCCACTGGCTCTCTGACTTCTTCGAAAGCCCATGTCGTATAGCAAGATTATTACTCGGTCCATTCTTATTATTGCGCATGCTACTAGGCTCATGCGCAGAGCCATTTAGGAGAGGTGCATCCTCAACATGCTCCAGGGATCCATTGACCTTCTCTGAAGTTTCTGCAAAAGTCTCCTTTGTCAAGGCTGACCGCTTCCTTCTCTTCACAGGCTGGCGGATGGCGACCGAATCTTCAGACGCATTGCGTTGTCGCCTTCGAGGGTTGCTGCGCGCTGCCGCGCTATGTACTTGTGGCGTCGGCATCTGGAAGAACCCGCATACTGCACAGAGGCTAGCTACGAGCCATGGAGGGGGAGGACTCGCAAGTATTTACGTCGTGTTCTTATTTTTTGGAACAATGGGCTTTACTAAAGTCCGGTTGCTATGACACGCCAAGCATTCTGGTTTTGCACTAGACCAATGATACGGTATTGGCTCGCTCAACAACTGATACACGTTCGGGACAGGCACCTCAAACTCAAATCACTATTGTTCACCCCATATGGACGATGTGTGGGGCTCCTATGAAGGTGAGGTTTGCAATCAGAGGGCTGGTTTCTTCAAACATCACAAGTTCGTCCAATGTATCGTACGGATGCATTCATGCAGAAAGTGGCAGACCTCAGGAAATTTCGGCGCGTATTTCTTACATTTAATAGAGCAAACCGATCCGCAAATCGTCAGTCGTTGATAGTGTACAAGCCATGGTTGCTCAATCGTAGGCCAAGCTACCCGTGCACAGCACTGACAATCCTCCTCCACCACCTATACCACCCTGTTCCTGCCAGTCGATACGTGCACAGTGGTGCTTTATATGGCCTTACTTCTTCGCCGCTTCTTCCTCTTCGACGCTAGCAGAGCTAATGCTATCGGCACTTTCACCCTTCTCGAGGTGGCTCATTTGACCATCGTCAACATCCTCTTGGGGACCATGAAATTCTTCTTCGAAGACAGGGTCGGCTTCGACAGCCTCGAATTTGGTTTTGAAATCGGTGATGTGATGACTATGAGAGCTGGAATTGGAGCGGCGACGAGCGTTGGTGAAGTTGTATCCGTAGTCCTGGGATTCGTCCCCAGGCGTGCCCCTACCCTTACGGTCAGTCACCGAGATCAAGAGAATCACCTACGCAAGCTGGTCGCTGCGGAAGACCTTGGAATCGGTCTTACCAATTACCTTTGCCACCGCCCTCCTTCTTCACCTTCTTGGGATCGGAGTCGATGTGGCCGCTCTTGGCGAAGTAGCGGGGCAGATGCTGAGCTTCGTCGGCAGTGCCGTCGGCAAGACCAGCGTGATCACGATCGTTCTGCTTATGGGAACGGGTCACTAGAAATGGCAGATCAGTATGTGCAATGCAGCCAAGTCTCAAGATAGCGAACGGATGCTGCGGCTGTGACTTCGGCGTTCCAGACAGCCAGCGCTCAGCAGGTGCACTTGCAGCATCAATTGTGAGTGAAGGAGAGTGGATCTACGTACTGCTTGCTTTACGATGTTTTGATATCTCACGATGTGGCCTGATGCAATTGATGCGTAGTTATGATGGTATGGACTGAAGTTCGATGGTCAGAGGTCGCTCCAAGCAAACAAACAAGAACAAGGGGAGCTTAGTCTATTGAGCCGATTGGCCGATGACGTACCTTTCACACCTGACAAGCCCAATTGAAGCGTGACAAGAGCAGTCAAGATGGAGGGTGCCTAAGGGTTTTGTAGCTGCGAGGAAGAAAGCAAGCTCTGGGCTTTTCTACGCTTTTCTTCTTACGTACTGCCGGCTACTGATGAAGTAGTAGTCACGCGACTGCTTCAAGCCCAAGCCAGCTTATTAGGCACTCAGCCGCAGTGTCGAGTCAGCAGCCTGCGGAGGGCGGAATGGTTCCCCTTGCTTCCCCACACCAGTAGCGCCCTTTTTTAGCGCGGGGCTTGCAGCAACGGCGGCCGTTTGGGGCCTTTGTGCCTGAAGGGACCCCTTCTGGTGCCTTTACCTTTCTCTGCGAACCCACTAATGCGCCATCGACATGGCCTACCACGGATGACCAACGGGGATGTAACCGTTAGAACCATTGTTTCTTGTTTCTCGCACACGGCATAGCTTGGCCGCTTTCTTCACCCTCAATCGTCGCGAGTACACCAATCCATGCAGAAAGCCGACTGGCCGTCTCCACGATCATGACACACGGGATATGAGATCCTCAGCTTTTGCATACAATGGGGGGATGAGCTGATGAATGGACGTCGATCAGCGTTGCTGTAAGCTCAGTGCCTTCCTTTCTTCTTTTGGGAACATCACGAGAGATGGGAGGGTTGGTCTTCTTAAAAGGGGCCAATGCGTGATCTTTGCCTTAAGTTGCCCTTCTCGGGCAAGCTAGTGGCTAGTTCTAGATGCGCTGAAAAGGGGAGATCTCTAGCTGAGCTAGTGGTGTACATTGTACGATGGTCCTGGGCTGTTCTTCTAAATTGATATCATGCTGTCTAAAGCCTACCTATTGACTGCGCACATGGCTCTCGAATCAAGCCGATGCTGAGAGGAATTGTACATACAGCCTCCTTTGACGGGGGTTCACTATGGTCAAGGAATGGTCGCTATCGCTCGCCATGCCTCCGATGAAGAGGACAATGTTATTGTTCGGCATAGTCCTGGCCGTCTATCTGTTATTTCCCGTATGTCTTGTCTGAGAACGTCTCTCTGCTTCGGCTATTGATTCTCGTCGTAGACGAATGGCTCAAGCAAATTGGGCAGCCCACATTCCTCGCAAGACGCCCAATCACCGCATACGCCAGCGAACCAGTCATTCCACATCCTTATTCCCGCAACGAAAAGCGACGTCAACCTTTGCAAGACTCTACTCAGTGGCTCCATACTAGACTACCCTCCCCCAGTCATAATAGCATGGGATCAGACGATAGATCCCGACAAGCAGGAGGGCATGTGGGGGGGTGGGACCCATCTATTCAAGATCTCGAAGGTCCTAGAGTGGCTGCAAAACCTTCCCCCGGACCGAGATGAGGACCTAGTAATGATGATGGATGGTTATGACATTTGGTTTCAACTAAGCAAAGAAATCTTGATTCAGCGATACCACGAGATCAACGCGGAGGCTAATGCGCGAATCAGAAGAAGGATAGGAAGAGCAGCAGATATCGAAGGCATTAAGCAGACCATCGTCTTCGGCAGTGGAAAGAGGTGTTTCCCCAACGAGATCCACACGGTGGCTTGCTGGCCTCTACCACCGTCGCCTCTACCAGAAGACATGTGGGACGGCAACACGGATACCACGATTGGGTCTTTTCCCAACGCATGGGCCGCGACACGGCAGAAATTCCTGAACTCAGGCATTATAATAGGTCCAGCAAAAGACATGCGCGCTCTGTTCGCGCGAGCGGCTACTGTAGTGAATGAATTAGGTCAAGACCCCGAGCCAGACGACAATGGCAGTCGATGGTCTGAGAAGGCATACCATAGTAGCGATCAGTCCGTCTTCAATGTGATCTTCGGCAATCAAGAATTCCAACGGGAAGTCATACGCATCCGACACATCAGCTGGTTCCATAACCCCATGCTCAAAGCGCAACAAATGTTCGGCAAGGACTTGAGCGCGACCACAGAAACACTGGAGGGCAATGCCATCGTCAACATCTTGGATCCACCCTGGTCCCACGCCCAAATCCCTCATCTACCTGGCAAGCCCCTCGAATTCGGCATAGGTCTCGACTACTGGTCCTCTCTCTCCTTCCAGACCGCCAATTCCGAGCGCAATGGCGGCTGGCTGACCTACAGCAAAGGGGCCTCCCTAGAAGACCAAGTCGAGCACAAAGATCGCTGGGACTGCAAACCTCACTTACGTCCCGACCTCCCTGCTGACATCCTCGCCTCTCCTGCCCCTGTCATCACCAGTGGCGGCGCCGCCTCACCACCCTCCAATCAAGAGCAACAACAAGAACAACATGAACAACAAGACCAGAATCCTAGCGAACGCCGGGATACCTCCCTCAACCCAGTATCGTGGGATTCCGTCCCCCTTTACACCAACATTTGCGCTGGCACAATCCCCGTCATGGTGCACTTGAATGGCAACAAACAAGCCCGCGACACAGAGTGGGCAAATATGTGGTATCAGCCTTCGGCGGAGCAACTACACGAAGCAAGTAAGCCCAAAGAGGGAGAGAGTATGTTGAAGGGAGCGGAAAATGGAGGGAGAAAAGAGATGGAGCCAGGCAGTGCGTTCGCGGATACCGGGCTTACTTTGAACTTTGGGGAGATTTGTAAAGACTGGGACTTTTCATAGTATGGGAAAGATTACACGCTTTTGGGTAAAGAATCTTGGCTTGGTGTTGAGGTGCCATCGGCAGGGGAAGAGCGATGGATGATGGACAACAACATTTAGTACACGGTATCATTTTGGCCATTTGGAGACGTTGATTGTAGCGACGCACATTATATCTTGCTGAATAGTAATAGGATGAGGTTGTGAATGGTACGAAATGAATGAGTAGAGAATAGAAACCTGTCGTATGTAGAATACGCGAGTACATGGCTTGATTTTGGCATCATTATACTATTACTACATTTTGGTCCAGGACTACGCTGATGTGCTGTGCTCATTCCCACCGCTCATGAATAGAACCCCTCGTCCATGCAAAGAACGATTATCAAGCCTAAATGCTCATTCGTACTCCGACGCTCAACAAAAGGAAAAGTGCTGGAGATGCAATTGTCGTGACAGGTCGTCGATCATGCGAAGGGCCTCAATCCAGACTTTCCTACGAAGAGCTAGATGAAGTAATTCCATATGGTGGTGGGGAATAATGGTAGCAGCGAGTGTCTTACGGGCTACCTGCCGTTCATAGCAGCCGTCATTGCTTCGTAACGATTGTGGACCGTCGAAATCTGCGAACGCCGTCCGTATGCTGATTTATTGTGTTCCCAAGTGAGATCCGCTTTTATTGTTGGTGCGCATGCAACACAGTCTATACTCAGCCAACCAACCTGACCCTCTTAATGGAGGATACTAGCGTGAATGGTCGAGGATCCCTCCGCCGATTAGTCGCGATCATCTGTTTCCACAACAAAGCACTTTCATGACCTTCTGCATGCCAGTGGGTTTGTCCTCGGAAGCTCCCGGGCCCCTCTGATACTGGGCGCCGTTCGTAGAGTGCGTCACACCAGGATTAGCGGTGCTTATCCGATTGTTCGGTAAATGAGCGGTCGAACTCTGGAACTGGGCTTGCGTCGACGCCGTGGGAGTTGCAGCATCAGCCGTGAGTCCCCCGGGCAGTCCACTTTGACGCTTTGGTAGCGCTGCGCCGGAGGCGCCTTGCCGCTCTCGCGTCTGTTTGCTCACCCCTGGCTTGGCCGGTGAAGGTGGCAGGGGCTGCTGTGAGTTTAAACGGTTGATAGCAGGTGTTCCTGGGCCTCTTGGTGTATCAACGCCGCCACCAAGAGCCCTAGCCGATGAGTTTGGGACTTGGTTGGCTGCATGAAGATGTTGAGAAGGGTGGTGTTTCATGGCCTCCCATCCTTTCCCGTTGTTGAGCTTCATCCAGTCGTACTCCCCGTCCTCGACCTCACCTGTGTTTTTCAATGCCTGGGTGAAGAGATCGCGTAGGTAGTCGTAGTCAGGAGTGTCCTCGAAGCCAAGATTTCGGACATAGCTGAGATACTTGTTAAACTCCTCCGCCACCGCTGTTTCGGTCAGTTGTAGCCTTGTCAATCAAAGTGTAAAAACTTACCAGGGTATCCTTCGCACAAGTCCTTGATGGCAGTTGTTTGCTTCTTCTCTCCAATCTTTTCATATTTTTGCTTGTTGGTGGCCGCCTTGAGACCTTGCCATGGTAGACCACCTCTCAAGAAATAGAGAAAGACATGCCCAAGGGCTTCAAGGTCATCCCTTCTTGATTGTTCGCGACCCAGATGCGTATTTATGCTCATGTATCGAGCAGTACCGGATAATGACTTCCGTTCCCTGTATGGTATGTGCTGCCTAGTTTTCGGATCTCTGTACTGCTTCGCCATTCCAAAATCAACAACATGAATCACATTTGCGGATTTAGAACCGGGGCGTCCGATCAGGAAATTATCAGGCTTGATGTCTCGGTAGATCAAATTCTTCTCGTGGATGGTTTGGACTCGTGAAAGCTGTTGGTAAATCAGCTTAGATTCGTAACGAACCCCAAGAATGTCACCAACCATCTGCTTTGCGACCATCACGACTGTCTTCGCCGAAAATCGCCTGTTGCAGTGATCGAACAAGTCCTCAAGCGACGGACCTAACAGGTCAATAACGAGTATGTTATGGAGACCTTCCTGTCCAAAGTAATAAACGTTCGGGATGCCGGCTATTTCAGGTCAACGAGAAGCCAGACTACAACACGCCGAAGTACTCACGACAGCCAACAAGTATTTTGTAGGTGCGGTATTCATCTCGAAGCTGTGGGGCGTCGCTCTTTCGGGGTTCCTAGCATGTGTAAGATAGACGTTGATGACCGGGTCATGAGGAGCATACAAATTTGATAGCTACTTGGTTATTGTTGAGAAGGTTTGTTCCCTCGAAGATCACCCCGAATGATCCCTCTCCAATTTTCTTTCCCACTCGATAATGAACACCGACCACATTGGAGGAAGACGAAGCCATTTTCAATAAAGTTGAAGGTCGATCGTGGAGAGCGCCCCTTTCGGCTGCTTCGGGTTGGATGTACACCGTCGGGTTGGGACCAGGCTTCAGCTTCAGTGCAAGCAATTGGATCGTTGGTGAAAAGAGAGCCTGGTTGACAGCACCTACGGGAGACTATGTGCAGTTCGAGACAATGGACGTAGTAAGTAGTGTAATTTACCGGTGGATGTAGCACTGCTTTTCGCCCGATTAGTTTCATTGTCCAAGATCAGAAACTCCAGCATGCCTTTGTTACACAATGCTAAAGACCAGGTGGGTGTAATGGTATATGGCCTTTAAATACCAATAGAAGGCTTTTCGGGCTGCTTACGAGATTGTTGATGCCGAAGCCTGCGCACCTTCCTCGAATGTCCCCTTCCTGCCAACGAGAAACAACCTCTCTCCTGAGCCGCGATCACAACCCGTATACGATGTGGTGCTCTTGACTAGTCCATTACGGCCTTGTACTGTTTCAAGGGTAGGATGCTGGACTGCTCCCGGTCTTTCGGGTTGCAATGAGGCCTAGAAAAGGAAGACAGCTCTGAGCCTCAGCTGAGCCTTGCCAGCCAGAGGTGACGGCTGGCCCAATCGCCAAGAGCGCGAAGTGTCGAAGAGGAGTTGAAGGTTGACTGAAGGCGAGCAATGCGTTTCGCTGAAGCTCAGATGACAGTCGGTCACAGTTTGGGCAGTGAGTGGGTTCCTTGGACTCCGTACCTGGCCACTCTCCCTCTGGGCCACTGTCGTTCCTTTCCCTTGGGCGGACGGCATGGCTTGGCGCCGTTGTGGGTCTAGCCAGCGCTAGCAGGGTTCTTTTCGCGCGCATTTTGACAATCTTATTTCTCTCTCATTTCTAATGTCTACTATTAAATCCATCTACGGGCGGGGATTGTGCTCCTCATCAATGTACGGCTAGTGAGAGATATCAGGTTGAACAAATCCTCCTTCTCTTCGCTCCACCCATGCAGCCACTTTCCCCAATGTCATCGTCTCTTACTGCAACTTCAAGATGGGACGAGACTTCAACAGCGCAGGCTCAATGACAGACCGTACCATGAGGTAGCATGACCAGAGAATGACGTATAGTGGGGGGATCATATTGATTGTGACAAATGGCATGAAGGGATAAGGCGACGACGACACACTTTATTGTATTGACCTGCCGTTCCTCCTCGCCTCTGTCTTCATGTATCGCGAAATTCTCTTCTCTACCATCGTGTTCTTGCGGCGACCTACCAATGCCGACGTATCGCAACCATTACCAACGCCAATGAATGCATTCGTTGGTGAGAAGACTTCCACAACATTTTTCTCCCATAGCGTGGCCTTGCCAGCCTTCATCTGACTAAAGGCTCGCCAGATGCTATCAGGTGGATTGGAGAAGCCGAATGGGTGACGAGGCCCATGGTTTCGGAAGACGGGCGTTATCCTATCTGCATCAAAGTCAACGCGCAGGGGAAGGGGAGCCACCCACCTAAGCATCTTCTCATCAATGAGAGGCTCCGTGTGCAGCTCATGGAAAGCTGCCACGATCTCTTCGTCTTCCTTGCTAGCTTCTTGGCAGAGTGATTTCCCGTAAGCCTTTGCGACGTCGGGTGGGGGAATGCTCGGTTGGAAGAGTCGGGCACATGCTCGCGTCAGCCGTATTGGTTCTTCGTGGAGGTACAGGCCTTGATAATGTTCTCCGCTAACGGGACAACTCATTGATTTGCATAGTGGTTTGCACACTTCTCTTGTGTTGTTGCTCGCGGATATTTGTAGTGGAAGCCGAAGAGTAAGCGTTTCTGCTGCCATAGAGTTCTCTAAATCGTTTGCATTAGAAAGCTGCGTTATCCTACCTGCGTTCGGAATCACTGATGTATCAAGGGAAGAGCAAAAGTGAGTTTCCGTGACCAACGAGTGGCTGGGGCTTCTCATTCTCAACCAATAAGTGCACAGGTCAGTCTTTGAATATGATTATTCAATCTGGCGCAATGCTAGTGAAGGAAGAGAAAGTTGGGAAGGAAATGAACACTGGCGACACACGATATATTGGATAACCCGGTATATATGAGGTCAGCTGTCATTGTTTCGCAATAGATTTTACGGGCGGCATTGAAACAATTGCGATGTCATTATTTTCATGGCAACGAAACCCTTTTGGGACAATGGTCCACTAGACAATGAAACTTAGCACCGATTGACACAAATGGCTCAAAAAGGACAGACGGAGTTAAAGAGCGGGGAAGCTTCCGTGCAATGGAAATGCGAAATCAAGGGTGATTCTGTCGTCCTCCTCAACTTGCCAGCATGCCATACTCACTTAGAGGCCGTAATGTCTTAGTCACCGGAGGATCAAGGTAAACAAGACTCGATGTGAGGCTTTTGCCTCATTTTGCTGGTGATGAAAGGCTAAGAAAAGTCCAGAGGCCTCGGTGCCGTGATTGTAGACAAATTTGCTGCTGAAGGTTGCAATGTTGCAATCAATTATAGCACAAGCAAAGACCGAGCCAAAGCAGTTGAGGAGAAAGTAGCAAAGCAATACGGTGTCAAGACCGCTATTCTTCAAGCAGTAAAATTTCAATCTGGTCTTGTGAAATGTCCATGTTGACTGTTAGAGGATGTCGGCATCCAGGTGGACTGTTACGGTTTGGTACAGAAGACTATCGATGAGTTAGGTGGCCTAGATATAATAATTTCGAATGCTGTAAGAAAAGTTCTCCCCTATCGCGCCGCCCTTGAGCCTAACGGTAGTTCAGGGATGGACCAAGTATACTAAGTTTTCCGATTTGAACGCCTGCAGCGAGGCGGATTGGGACAAGGTAAGTTACCACCGAATAGAGAGCAGAGCCAATCGTAATCAAGATGATAGTGTTGGGCTGTGAACTGCAAGGCGCAGCTTCATCTGATGCAAAAGGCTGTGCCAACCTTCAACCAGAATCATGAAGGAGGTGTCTTCTTGATCACTTCATCCGTTACTGGTATTGCGGCAACTGGGAGTTCCATCCCATACGCCTGCACAAAGGCAGCAGGGTTGCATCTTGTCAAGTGTCTCGCTTCAACTCAAGGGCCCAAGGTCCGGGTCAATGCCATCCTTCCAGGTCCGTTCTCCCAGATTCTCCTCCTTAAAATTCTGCAATAGTTTTTAGCAGACTCACTCACTACCTCTCATACCTTTCGGTATTGAGTGTAAGAAGTGGGCTAAATTAATTATTATTATTTTAGGTTTCCTGAACACTGAGTGGGGAGCTCAGTTGAGTCCCGATTTGATCAAAGCAGCTTCAGAGAAGTCATACCTTAAGAAAGAAGTATTCTCAATTCGCCGTTTTGCAAGTAGTCTGACGCTGACTTTACAAGACCGATCTCGACGATTGCGCTGATATGTTCGTCGCTGCTGCAAAAAACAGTTCCTTAACCGGTCAGAACCTTCAAATAGGTGAGCATACCCTTTTGAACGAGCATGATCGCTTTACTGAATGCCACGAAGACGCTGGTCTGAATATGCTTGGCCGTACGGCTGGTTAGAGGATGAGGTAGCTACTCCACTTCGACGCTGTAATAGCCGTGGGTAGTACGATCTACCCCAGTTGAGCGTCAAGCAAGTCGTGAATAGTGAAATCTCGATCAAAGCCGAGTTCCTTTCCAGAGTATATCTTTGCTTGTTTGACGCTAGGGATTGGTCGCTTCTTATGTCCGCCATCTATAGTGATCTCATGTACTCTTAACACCTTGTTATCGCACGTCTTAATATAAATTGCTTCCTCCGCTTTACCGAGCTCTGATATGAACGGCTGTCCTGTGCCTAGACGTAGGTCTGCAAAATCCTGGTCCGAGTCTACGAAGCCCGATGACCAGATTACCCGCCTCTCCCCAGGATTCACAATGTTCCACAACGGTCCGATAACTCGATGTCTGCGCATGATGACCTCTGACGTCCAGGTAGCCCAATCGATATGGCGATCAGTAGTGGTAATTTTGGGTGCGTTCGCTGCGGCAATGCAACCGCGAGATGCTAGTTTGGATGAACTCTGCTCAGGTGGCGACACGAAAGAGCTGTTCCTGATGCAATTGAGAAGCATTCGTGAGCCTTCTCTTGCCATGAGCCGCACTAGATCGGGCAGATTTTGACAATGATGCTGAAAGCCAGGGAGCGGCGTCTGGAAGACAATAGACCCCTGATCAAAGTGTTTCGGATGCAAAGTTTGCACAGTAACGCCAGTTCTCTCGCGTCCAATGAGCAATGTGTGTTGCAGTGGAGCTGGTCCTCGAAATCTTTATTCTTTAGAACAGACGATGGAAGCATAGCGTACCATGAAGACACTTACTCTGGTAGCAAAGATGGGTGTACATTAAGTCCGCCGTATCTTGCTGACCGAAGGATTCTGGGAGGGACAAGAAGCCCAAAAGATACTGCTACGACCAGATTGATAGGTAAATCCTGGGGCTTCGGCGGCTAATGACATTACAATCTTAAACACTTCCCAATGGGACATTTCATACCTGCCAGCCGGTGAATGTATCAATCTGATGCAGGGGCAATTGCAATTCTCTCGCAACCTTTGCAATTGGAACTATCTTCCCTTAGTGCGGTAGTTCTTACCACGGAAAAGCACTATTCACGCTCTCGCGCTTACCTTCACGTAATTTCTTTAAACCTCTCCCAACAGGTTTTCCAGGCCGACAAACAACATCCAGGGAGGCAATGGTCTCAGGCTTCCGAAGATGTTCTCCATGCAATGCCGTTAGAGACGCAATACTGAAGTCATCCGAGCCACAAAATAGGATGCGCAAAGGCTCATGTGCCTTTCGAGTACTATAGAAGCATCCTGACTTAGATATATGAGTTGCACGTCTCAGTAGACCCGAGCGAAGAGTAGTCGAGATATAAATCATGCGAACTGCAACATCCGGCCAAATCCACGGAAAAGGGATCATTGGCGCCAAGACACGTAGGGCTGACATCGCACATCTCGCTAAGGTGCACTGGATCTCCAACATAAGGGCATTGACCTCATCTACTCTCGTCAAGTCCACACAGTCAAACAGTTTGGTAAGCGAGCAGCATTCCTATTTATCACAGCACTCTACCTAGAGCCTACTAGTCACGTGCCATGGACCTCGCCCGTGCTTAAGAAGCTGACGATCTCCCAAACGCAGCCACCATGGGTAAAGGCAAGCCTAGAGGACTCAACGCCGCGCGTAAGCTGCGAACGCATCGCCGAGAGGGACGTTGGGCCGATCTTCACTACAAAAAGCGCCTGTTAGGAACTGCCTACAAATCATCACCATTCGGAGGATCTTCACACGCTAAAGGAATCGTCCTAGAGAAGGTTGGGGTAGAGGCAAAACAGCCAAATAGTGCTATCAGGAAATGTGTCAGGGTACAATTGATCAAGAATGGCAAAAAAGTCACTGCCTTCGGTTAGTCATAGCCATTCACGGTGAAAGGTGAAGGGTCTTCTAGGATATCAAAGCTAACGATTGGGGGAAACGTAGTGCCAAATGACGGCTGTCTGAACTTCGTGGATGAGAACGACGAGGTATTGCTTTCTGGATTCGGTCGAAAGGGTAAAGCCAAGGGTGATATTCCCGGAGTGCGATTTAAGGTCGTGAAAGTGTCGGGAGTGGGTTTGTCTGCTTTGTGGAAAGAAAAGAAGGAGAAGCCTAGATCATAGACAAGACTTCGTTCGGCTCGAAGATTGTCGCGATCTGGTTGAAAGAAGCATTTTAACCATCAAGCCCCTTTGCATTGTCACTAGAAGAAGGTATCTTCACGTGCTTCGCCTTGAAAAGTCTGATTCGATCACTTATGCGTTTGAAGTTCCACTGATATTATCATTAAAATGATGCAAGCGTAAGCTATTTACATGGGAAGCATATCGAATCAAAGTCACAGCATAGTCGAGATCGTCCAAAGGCCTCTTGCTATGGCCTAGAATCCATCGCGTCCAGTGCCTCTGTGAAGCCTTTGACGCTGGCCGGCTTCTCTTCTATAGGGCTCTTGTTGTCAGAGCTATCATCCTCACTCTCGCCACTACCGGGCTGGCTACCTCGAAGTGAAATTCGGCTTCGTGTCATCTGGATCTGAATTAGCTCCACTCGAGCGTAGGAAATTCGATGAATACATACCCAGGACTTGACTCCCCCAATCAAGCCTAAGCTATAGCCAGCCGCGAAGTCATTACTAGGCCTATTGCCCTGATTTGGACTATCCGGCCTCGGAATATCTAAATGTGCCATGTGAGCTAAGGCAGAGGGAGATTTTGGAGCTGCTTGTTCGGAGAATCCACTGGTCCTTGCAGGACTTGAGGGCCTACTTCTCCAATACTGCCGGAGCTCCTTTGTGAGCTCTTGGCCAGTGGTAGACCAATTGTTACGGACACTATCACGGAGCTCGATGACATGGCGTTTCAAGTCCAATTCGTTTTTCTTCAACCACGAGACGTTGAGTTCTTGACGGGATGTGCCACGTTTGAACTGGCGAGCAATGTATTTCTCGTAGTCACGGACGATTCTATAGACCCAAAATCAGTGACAAAGCTACGCTTACCAAAGAGGCATGCGTACTTTGTAATGATGCCTGTAGTGCTAACGCCTTCTGTTCTCTGGGTCACAAGAAATTTACCCGCCTTCTTAATAGGTGCATAGATGTCATCACCCTCATCAGCGCCATATGGCAGATCATCGTGAGCGACGAAATCGATTTGGTGCTTCTCAAGAAAGTCTGGAGTCACGAGCCACGGGCAATTCGGAATGACTTCGTCCACCCACTTACAATGTCGGACGGTCTCTGCTCGTTCTGCACCAGTCAAGACCGTCAGGCCTTTACGCTTGTGTGTTTCCATGTCTCCGGTTACTCCAACCAGAAGAAACACATCGGGGAAGGCGTTTTTCGCTTGTTCTAGCTGGCGCATGTGCCTATAACATCTGTAAACCCCTACTCAATGACTGATGAAACATGCAGCACGCACCCAAGGTGAAAGAGATCGAAGACCCCGTCAGCATAGATTCTAACAGGCCGTCCAGTGGGAGGAGGGTTCGTTTTGTAGCCTACTGGATCCTGTAGTACACCTTTAGGTGGCGGTGGCATTGCCAAAGAGTCTTCGCTCTTCGAAAGGCTCTTAGTCTTCGTCGAAGAACTTCTAGCCCTGCCTCTTGTCCTCTCGTCTTCAGAATCTGCACCCTCTTTTCCCTCGGCGTCTGCGCTGCTTTCGCCATCTGAAGCGCTATTGCTCGGGCTTCCTGCGGCAGTGGACTTTGTTCGAAGACGCTTGTTAGGAACGGCATTCAGGTCACTCTTTTTGTGCTTTATGCCAGATGAAATGCTCTGCACAGCCGAATCTGTAGCGTCTTCACCAGACGCGTCCCGCGAAGAGGGCTGCAGTAGGTCAGTAGGTGTGGATCGGTCAGGTGCTTGCTCCAGCGTCATATGCCGCTTGCGTTTGCCTGAACCGGAAGACGAAGGTGACGACATGCTGTGATTTTGTTCGATAGTATGAGTGCTTCGGAATGAGTCCTCAGGAATCTAGAAGGCTCAGGGCTGTCCCAGTGTGGAAAAAGCGAACGCTCGATGGTCACGCCATGCCCCGGAATTGTATAAATGAAGTATTTGAAAAGGTACGTGGAACTCCTAGGTCTGGGAATCTAGAGGGCGAGCAGGGAGCGAGAAATAAAATCTTGGAATTCGAGGTCAAGCCTTGGCAATGTAATATTATGCCAATTGGAACGTCATTGGTCCTCAATGCCCAGCTCAAGTGAGGAGCGGTTGACGATTGACGATTGACGGGCACCATTCTTTTGCAAACCCTGCCTGCAATTCACCGAGCAAACGCATTATCGGGGTGTGCATTGAGCGTATCTATTGGGCCGTGCTACTTCTGACGTACACACCCAAAACATCTTTTCCTCCGTCTTCAAATATACTTGCAACATATGCCAACGCCTGCGCTCTACCCGAATCTACCTTACCTACAGTGGTATATGACTCGTTATGCTGAACGTCGTACTCACATGGTGCCCACGTCAAAATGCTGGAGACTGGTGAAAACAAAGTTGATCGCGTAGGAAAGAGTTCAGTTGTAGCCATGAGTAGCTCCGCCCGCCTTCGCTTGCAACTAATTCAATGAAGTATCTCTGCATGAGCGCTACCAATGGCTCCAAACTTGGATCGCAGTGGGTGACCAGGCTCAATGTCGACTCGCAAACACCGAATCAAGGCAGAGCATCTCATTGAATTCGTTGCATGAAAACCTCGATGATGGTGCTGGATGCCCTGGGAGCACAGCTTACTGTCCCTGAGGCGCCGTCGGCCCAACAATTTTCTCTGGTAGCGCGGTCTCTGGGATCGCATTCGGAGGTAGCTGAATGGTGGCAGCGGCTTTCGGTTTCTCAATGTCACTCGTAAGGGGTTTAGCAGTGTCGTCTGCTGTGTCCATGGTTTCATGCTTTTCGTGAGTCGCAGCTGACTTTTGAGGCTCTGGACCGGGCGTTTCTTCTCGGTCGGCCCTCTTCTCTTCAGTGCGCACTGGCTCGCTGTTGCTCGTTGACGTTTCAGCATCCTTGTCCTCCCCTGCGTCATCGCCGTCGGTAAGAACCTCTGTCCCATCGCCGAGAAAAATAATTCGGCCTCTGCCAGTATTGTTGAGGTCCATGTCATAGTCGTCGCCGCTGTCCTCAAATTGATGCCTGACACCTGGCCCTCGAAATTCCGCTATGCCGCTTGGTCAGCTCATATCACTCATGTGGGCATGGCAGGAAATCTCACCGTACTCCAGAGGGGCGCAAGGACCGTCTCCTTTAGCTACCCTATCTGATATATCCTGATACCACTCATCTTTCGATTTGCCTCTTAATAACGCAACAACAATCATTGTCATATTGTCGCAACCGACACCTCCCGTTTCACTATTTGAGGCCAGGCAGTTGTCCATCATGTTTTCGGATATCTTCGAGAGCTCTTGCTTAGCGGCGATCCCTCGCCGAACGAATTCAACAACGGCTTGTGATGATTGGCAATCCCAGATGCCTATTCGTGTAAAAGTCAGCTATTTGATCAAAATTATCGGTAGGTCTCAATCATTTACCATCACATGCAATGACCAAGAATTCGTCGTCATCTGTTATCGTGTGTGACAAGACGTCTGGAAATGCCGTCACGATCTGTTGCTCTGGTGACAAGTCTGCACTTTTTTTGAACTCGAAATCACCAATGGCACGTGAGAGTGCTAGATTTCCATTGACCCGACCGAAGTCGACGAATCCGCCAGCGGCGCATATTCTGGCCTTTTCGCCTGTGCAAGCAAATAAGTCGACTGAAGGACAAGTTTCTGGAGAGCTCCCTACCTTCGTTTTGAGGTTTATGATCATATGAAAGTGGTTTTGCTCGACCTCTTACACCGAGCACAGTGCGGGAATCTCCAGCGTTAGCCTATCGTTTGGCCGTTAGTATAAGCTAGTCTACCATCTCGGCACAAGGAGATGCCAACTTACAACGTATATCGTTGTTTTCGAAATTAGACCAACGGAAGCTGTACAGCCAGAGACCTCCTCTTCGTACTTCGGATCTTCAAAAAGGTCAAAGCAAAGTTACTCAAAAGCGATTGCGTAACGTACCGCTCAATATTGCCCGATCTGTAGCAAGAAACCCGTCCTTCAATGCCTGTTCAAAGTCTTTGGTCTTGAAAGCCTCTTGTTTCGCGAGAATCTTGTGTATATTTTCGCCAGCAAATTGGGCCACTTTGTCTCCCCCGTGACCGTCATATACCCCAAAGAAGCTTACGCGGTCATCGGGACTCGCAGCTTGAAATTCTTTGTCGCTTTCAATTTGTAGATCTAATATGGCAGCGTGTGCGTCCTCCATACTGATACGCCATCCTTGCATCGCAGAAACCCCGAATGCGACTCTATCGTCTTGACCATCGTCAGATACCTGTTGCCCAAAATGGTCAGCGTCCGCTTCACATGTACTTTTGTTTGGCATATGCAAGCAACTCGATGCTTAAACAGAAGGCTTAGTTCCCAGGGATCATTCTGTGATGGAATGTGATGACTGTAGGCCAATCCATCGAATTTGCAAGTAAAGTACACAAACCTTTTCAACTACGGGCTCAGATAGAGTCTGCCCCATATTGACAGCTCCTCGGTGACTTCCGCTACCTCCTTCTTGAACAGCTCATGTATGGGGTACTGATCCAGACCGGAAAAGCGGCCTTATCAGAGAATGTGGGGTGCTGGTGGGACAAGACAAAGCAGGATGGAACTGATGGCAGTAGGACTCGAGATAACCAGTCAGTAGTGGAGAGAGGCGATGGTGTTTTCTTGAGTCAAAAGACTCAGTAGGTCTCGTTGAACGTTGCTGTGTGGAAATGTGAGGTCGCGTGCAGATAGCTGGATGAAATTGAAGTTGTGGTGGCGCGATGAGTCGAAGTAGCTCCGTAAGGCAACTTTTATGATTTCCCTTGGAACACGCGCGATTTGAAATCGGATCCACGAATAACGAGATCACAAGTAATGTGTAGTTAATGTGGAAAGTCCCTGAATGCTCGCAAGTGTTTGCAGTAAGGGCGAGCCTGGATTCCATTCAGGCCTATTTAAGTCTACTTAAGAGTGAGTGTCAGCTACTAATCCTACGCCTCTTCAGCCCAGTGATCTCATTCATCAGGTTGCTATTCTCTCTCTCTAACAATTCAATGCGCTCGATCAAAGAGTCCTGTTGTTCCGAAGCCCCCGCGCTGAATTCTTCGATGATCTTGATGACCCGCCAAAGACGAAGGACTACTACTATTGAACCAGCTTCTTCTACGATTCCCTTCAGGCACACGTCGATGATAAAACTCGCCAAAATGACGGTGGCGTCGAAACAATGGAACCACGACCGGAAATACCTACGCTCTTGCTAAGTGAGGTGGCCTACAGGCAAGCAAAGCGCCTACTCACGGGAAGCCAAATGCCCAAACGCTGGCTAGTAATTCAACCATGAATAGACAGCTGAAGAGCAAGGATGCAATCCCCAGTGCGTTCTGCGCCTGTAATGGCCTTTTACCAATTCTCGCATCAAGGCCACAGGAGTGCTCACAAATGTACAGTCCCAGTAAGAAGTCTGCGAATATGCAGCTAACATCAAGGGACACGAGTAGTAAGACCGCGTAATGGCCCATTTTCGAGGATAGAAAATGGCGGGCCTCTTGTCGAGCTTTCTCCAGGGCTGTTCTGCCCGTTTCATCCTTCCTGGTGAGGCTGGAGTCATCGATTGACTGAGTCTCTCCGAGCAATGGCTGTGTTTCAGCCATGTGAGATATGCGGCCTAGCTCTCAGTGCTCGCACTGGGATTTCATCACAACAGAGTAGATGGAGGTAAATCATCCGTTGTTGGTACGCACAGCTTGCTTTACCCCGTTGAACAATGGTAAGAGCCCCTAGGATTTGCTGATGGTGTTCCTATTCAGGAGTGAGCACGATGATAAGGTCGCTAGGAAGGTGAGAGAGGCAGGCCAGAACGCACAAGACATAGTTTTGAGATTAGCCCTAAACCTTGACCATACTAGAGGTCGCAGCGGCCCGCTAGGTGAACCAGGCCGAGGAACACTTCCGAAGACCCCACCTGCTTGATGATGGGATGATGGGATGAGGATTGATCGCAAACCTGGCCATGGCCACCGCGTTAGCCTCCGGCCCTTCTTCCAGCTCCAACACCAAACGCAACCCCCCGCCGACGCTCTTCCAAGCCCCAACCAACTCCTCATCCACCTCCCTTGCTCCTCCATCCAGCACCAGCACGACTCAGCGTGTGTCCCTCCTCCGATCACACTCTGCTCGCAGCGGAATCGAGGTTCCAACCTTGACCCGCAGCCAGACCCAGAACCCAGTGCCACCGCCAGCAGGGCAAGCAGAGGATAACCGTGTGGATGCGCTATGGGCGAATATGCAACTTACTCTCGAGGAGGTGGAGCTCAGTGCTCTAGGTTCCACGCATGTGTTTGGAACTGCGCATAATGCAGCGTTGGAGGAATTGAGGGACGCGCAGATTGCTTTAGCACGGGCATGGGGCAAAGGCGAGGCTGATGAAGACCTTGAGATTGCCGATATACCGGGAGCCGTTGACGATGAGGCACAGAATGGGGAGTCGAGCAAGGGAGATAGTGAACAAGGTGAAGATGAAGGGGAGATCGCCGAAGCCAGACGAAGGAGAGAAGCGAATGAGAAATTCTTTCAAAGGGTCGGAGATGGCGTGTCAGACGTTGTTGGCAAATTAGATGCTGTGTCTGCTGCAATGGCGAAGGTTGAGAAGGAGAGCAGAGAAATTTGGGACGAGAAGGATAGTATTGATGGGTCGAGTATTGTTTGCTGAAAGTTCTCTAGTTGAGCCTGGCGCTACATCTTAACGAACTTCGTTGGAGCATTAGTGGACGGGCTGCTAGTACCCAGAAAGCACAAAGCCTCGTCTCCTTCAATACATGGAAATCGTGGCGAAACATATTGTTAAGCACGAAGACACACAAAACATCTCACCGACGATCACAATGGAGAGCGAGAATTAGTCAAGCTGAATGGCCTGATTGTAGCCAATCTTTGTTTATTCCTGTAGCATGAATTTATCTGGCACGCTTTGCTTTCCCACGCAATATCAAATCTTGATTCTATTTTGATCAACGTCTCTTCACGTATGCTGCCATGGATACCGAAAACTCCTGGAGGTCATATGGTTTCCCGTTACTTCCATGTTACCCAAAGAAATGGCACACGTGTAGTGAATGTGCTCGAACGAACGAAGATTTTCTGGTCAGAATTTCCTGGCGAGGAGGGAAGCCAAATACAGTCCGATTGTTTTATTATATCTCAGCTACATCATGCAATAACAAAGCCTTTCCCCTCTGGACGATGTCGAGGAGCCAGCCACCAACCACAACGCCGTCGCTCTTAATAGTAGACGCCGCCTAACAACTGAATAAGTATTCTTAGGGTATCGATACATGTTGAAAATGACGCTATAAAAACTTTAGATGGTGCCAGCCTACTCCGCCAAATGCCTTGAATCTTTCCTAACACTTCTCACAGGGCTTACAAACGTTACATGCCGCTCCTCCCGGCCATTTCGGTGAATAGAAGTTGAGGGACGAGATCGACGATTTATTGTCGAGCTAGGATCCTTGCTTTCGTGAGCGAGATCGAAACCGTTGCTTTCGCCAAGTTCTAAGTCATCGTGGTTAAACATAGGGTGGAGGTAGTGATCATGGTGCTCGTCTATGTCGGGTTGGCTGGATGCTTCAGATTCAGAGTGAGTGTTGTCAAGATCACCGTCATCGGAGACGAGACTGGGCGCAGGATGAGGGTCTGTAGTGTTTGGACTGAAGCTTGAGGGAGTCATGTCGGCTATGGGACCGCCCTGCTCGTCATAACCAGGCGATGCGACGCTGAAAGAGGAGGAATATACGGGAGATCGAACCGCTGGAGTCACTCGGGAGCTAGCACTGGGACTTTGTACGTGCTCAGCCTGTCTGCAGCTGGAGCCGCCCATTAAGACAGCTGCTGTCGAAGTCACAGGCCTGACACTGCATTGCGCAGGGCCTCTTGTACTTCGGCTTTGAGTGGCAGGCTCATCTGGTTCACCGTCCGATGACTCCTCCTCTTCCATTTGCAAGATCAAGTCGATTTCGCTCCGCTGTTTTGCGTCTGTAACTATTTCATCAAGGTCACCACCCCGCCCATTTCTTGCAAACAGTGCAGACAAATGTGGTGTTTGAGGAGATGGATTCAATGCCGTAGATGGCAAAGCGCTTGGCGTGATAGAACTGTTTGAGCTACAAGGAGCAGGCGTCGATGCGCTTAAAGGATCCAACCTCTCTACTGAGGGCGATAAGACCGCTCTTGGTGGGTCTGATGGTGGTGGTCTTGCTGATCGAATCATTGGATGGACAAGTCCGGCGCTAGCCGCACCCAGCTGAGTACTCGACTCTGAGACCACTCCGCCTTCGATCTCTGCATTGATCTCCTCTCCACTTGCCTCAATTGCGACATCGTGACTCGCAAACTGTCGAGCGTGCGCAATTCGACAATGGTTGATGAAACCTTGGACACTGTTGAAATTAAAGCGACGGCAATCCAAGCAAACGAGCTTCACCAAATGATGATCGGATTTCCGTTTCACTATCATGGGGCCTTTTTCCTCTCTGGGCTCTGGATAACCCTGCGGTAGTGCCTTGAGTCGACCCGCAGAGCCACGTTGTGTTCGTGATTGTCCTCCAGAAAGTCCTTTCTCTGGATGGAATCCCCTGGTCAGCCGATCTGGTAATCTCTTGCTAGCCGGAGCAGGAGTTCGAGATTCTTCGCCGATCGAATCATGAAAAGCAGGATCATACAGCAACCAAGTCTCATAGTGATGTGAGTATGGTCCATCGATGACACCCCATGGTGGAGCATACGGCGCTGTGTTGCGGAAAGCTTCACCGGAGGTTGTACGCGCTGCTATCAAATCGTGAGCGTTCGAAGGAAACACTCGATAAGGAACTGTGTGGCATCTCCGAAGTTGCTCCATAGCAACTTGGCATTTAGCGATTTCCTGCTCGATTAGACGCAATTCCCGATGTTTGATCATGATCTCTAGACTAAATTGTTCCTGGATTTTCTCTCTCATATGAGAAGATTTCATGATCGGGAGTGGCCCTTGTTGCGGGCGGAATACCGTATGATTAGGCTGTGACTTTGATGACGAGTTAGGAAGATTTTGCAGTATCGGGTGAGAAGGTCCTTGAGAATATTTGTATGGGGTGCTTGTGTCATTTGCCATTGCATAGCCGTTCCGGCCTTCCATGGGGATCCGCGATTTCTGCGCCGCAACATCATTTTCGCATGAGTGACCTCTCAAGAAATTTTGCCTGTCTGGAATCTCAACATGGCTCATGATTTCTGTCGCGCTTCGAACTTTCACCTGGTCCAGGGGTAATGGCTTGGGGCTCCTCTGGCCAAGCTTGCGCTTCAAATTTTGGGTGATTTGAGTGTTTGTTGGCACAGGCGGAGTCGGGTTGTTAGACTGTGACATGGTGTTTGCTTGCTCAAGCAGAGCCCTTTCACGCTGCGCCGATATTGGCCGAAATAGATCATGCATGCCATGCGACACAGCTGAAGCCAGTATGGCGGACGGAGGTCTTAGAAGATGCTGAACCTACGCAAAGGCTTATGACACAGGACAGACTTTCCGTGAGTTCCGATCTGACGATGACGTTGTTCCTACTCGGTGAGGAACACAACGGTAGTAGTACTTTAAAGCTAAGCGTAGTCTTCGGCTGTTATAGATTAAAACATGTGAATAAGAAAATCGTTCCTGACGACTGTTCGGCCTCCTGTTGGTCAGACCTTGACTGCGTGAAATGCGGGTATGGACACTGAGCAGACTGCGACCGCAGAACTTAGAAGGCGGTCTCTAAATTTCCCGGTGGGCGAAAAGGGCGATCAGTCTACGAGTAATAATTACCAAAAGGTCGAAGAGAAGGAAAAATCGCTCGAAGGGACTGGGAAAGCGATGGGTTGGTTTGCGCAGTGGGTTTGAAGTTGTGGTAGGGCTGGTGTTCAGAAGTGGTGATGCGACGATTTGGGACGAAGCGACGGAACGGGTACGTACTGTACTCTGGCAGTCTCCTGTAAGGATTTGGAAGGCAATCCTCGGGCATTTCGGGGCCAATTTTGGGGGGGGGGGACCTCCCTCCAAGCCCCTATGCTCGTTTGTTGGGGGAGCCCCTATTGGACCGTTGTCTCGTATTGCATGCTAAATGCAGGGGTCCGGGCTAGGCAGGCCAAGGGCCAAGGGCGGTCGCAGCCTGGAACAGGAAGGCCTCACTGACCAAACGAGATGTGGATATATGACATACTTGCCACGTAGTTGTACACGTATTGGATCCTACCATTATTCATTCCATTACAGTTCACGCTGGGTGAGGTCACGTGAAGAGGTACTTGCCACTCTGCGCGACTTTACTCGTGAGTCAGGAATGCGGGTTTCAAAACAAGCTTCACGGCAACGGATACCTTAGCGGCCGATCATTACGGTTTCTGATGACCGCGGGGACACAGGCTTGCACAGATACTATCTGCGCGGCTCAGTCCTCGACAGGAGTGATCTGTAGTGCATGAAGAATTCCAAGGATCAAGTGTGCTATGTGCATCTTTGCAGCCATTTTCCAAGGCGCATTTAGCTCCAGGGTGGGACAAAGGTACAGCTCCGTTCCTAGGATAGTATTATTCTGAGGTGTAGCAACAAGAAGCATTGTTTTCTCAGTCGAAGGGATGGGCTCTAAGAAGAGGAGACGCAATCTTCCAGAAGCCACAGTAAGCACGCCTAATCACTCTACAAACGAACCTTTAGCGGTTGGGGAGTCCAGCAAAGCTTCGACCAGCGCGCAAAGGAGAGTCAATAGTCATGATCCTCGGCAGAGATCTCTTAAACCTGGAGATTCAAAGAAGCGAGACCGACAATCCGAACGAACTAGCGCCGTGACTGATAGCCCGCCAACAAAAAAGATGCGGACCGAATGCGATGCGCGACAGGTAGAGGGTACCAGTGCGGATGAAACAGGCCTTTTCAACGCAAAGCCTTATGATAAAACAGCGCCACCACTATCAGCTGAGGTTGCCAGGCTTTCAGAGACCTACAATTTTGTATCTATATTCATCATTTCATCGTCCAAGATTGAGAAGAAAGTCCGACAAATCATCGAGCGGCTCGATCTCGCTGATCCTTCCAGAAAGGATGAGAAGTCTGAGGTCGTCATTGTGCATGCAGACGCTGCCATTGCGAGTAAAGCGATTAGCGTTGTTGAAATTGCAAAGAGAGAACTGCAAAAGGGAGGCGCCTGGTGGCAATACACGAAATTAGAAGGGACTATGAAGGACGTAAAAACAAAAGTCATGGGAAAGATGGGAGGCGACGTCGAGAGAATTCGCCACGGAACTGAACGAAGTGAGACTGATAGCAACTACATCCAAAATCCAATGGGTGGCGAGCTGCTGCAAATTCAAAGGTCGGAGGAGGAAATTGAAGAGTGTTTCGAGACAATGTCCTCGCCGAAACCTTTGGTAGTGCCAATCGAAAATAGGAAGGTCAAGAATATTCCTACACTCAGAATCTACCTGGCTAGATGCCGGATTCCGGCCTTAAAAGGATTATTTGGGTAATGTGAGCTTCGGTGCCGGCGAAGAGTTTTCATTAACAAGGTATAGAGAGCAAACTAGTCTAAAAAGCTGGTGAGAACAGGGCAGTACTTCATGAGCACGGCCGACGACCTGACAAGAAAGCTCAGCTGGAGTCGAATAAAGGCCGTCTGATGAATAACACAGACCTATGCGGTCCTGTATCCTCTAGATGAACGGATCGAAAGCATCTTCCCGTCCAATGTTCCTTAGTCCTCGAGGCGCGTTTTCACCTGGAGACAACGGTCTGTGTGCCTTTTAGACGGTGGCCTTTCCCTGTAAGTTTCTAACGTTGTGCGTTTCGACAGATTCCAGCATCACCACTGAAGTTATACTGGATGCAGGACCAAGGATTGAAGCACAAACGCACCGGCATGACTGCCTTACAAGAACCGATGAAGCCAAATTACGCGGCATGGCATGGCGGAAAATACCCGCACTTTCGAACGCACGAGGGCAGTCCGGTGTCAAGAGAGTGACAATCCCAAGACTCGGCAGTTCCTAACACATCGTTAGTGACATATCTGGAAGCTTTGGTATTTATCTCCATGCACGCGAGATGATTATTTCTGTTTGAACCGTACTCATCTTGGTCAGTTGCAAGTCCACGCTTACCCCTCTTAAGCATGACAAGGACTTGAGCTTAGAAGTATCACACAGCGTTTTCTACCTGCCTAGGACATCTATTGACACCGCTCCCTTGTCTCCACCTTCAATGAAATACAAGCAATGTCCTCTCAACCTCTCCTCTCTACCGCCTCAGGCAAACGCATTGCCCTCCCGACCCGTGTCGAGCCTAAAGTCTTCTTCGCGAACGAGCGGACTTTTCTGAGCTGGCTCAATTTCACAGTCATCCTTGGTGGCCTAGCCATTGGTCTCTTGAATTTCGGTGATAACATTGGACGAATCTGTGCGGGGTTGTTCACACTGGTGGCCATGGGTGCCATGGTCTACGCCTTGGTAACATTTCATTGGAGGGCAAAAAGTATACGACTGAGAGGGCAAGGTGGCTTCGACGATAGATATGGACCTACTGTGCTGGCTGTTGCGCTGGGAGTGGCGGTGATAGTGAACTTTGTACTGAGAATTACGGAGACATGAAGGGCTCTTACTAAATGTATTCCGGACAGAAGAGCAATTCTGGCAATCTGCAGATCTACCTGAGGGACATGGCATGTCAGTCTGAGCCATTACATTTCGATATCGATCCTTCTTCTCCTATGCGAACATCTACACCAGAATTGCATCAATCTGGTCACTCCTGCGAACAACTTTCGTATGAAAATGCTTTTGGCCCTGATTGCGACTCCATGGTTGAGCTACACAATGCTCTATACTCCTAGGACATTCCAATTGATGAGAATGCGGCCGACATTCGCCCGCTTGAGACGAATATCCGCAAGCTACCCCACAATTGCCCCACCAGTGCCTGACATCAAAATTTCATTCGTGATAGAAGATCGACCAATTTGCCTTGTTTGCGTTTTGAGGGATTGATCTCATTTATACCAATCCTAACACTCACACTCATCTCGCAGCTTGAAACTACCCAAGTTTGGAAAAAATGTCGCGCCCAGGTTACCAAAGAGCATCTTCAACGAACATTCAGTCAGGCGGCGCTCCACGACCGCTCGAAGGCAAATTAGCAATTGTCACGGGAGCATCCCGAGGTCATCACTTCCACGTCGCGGGCAATAAGCCACTCGCTGACGATAATAGGCATTGGAGCAGCGATTGCACGAAATCTTGCAGCTAAAGGCGCATCATGTATTCTAGGCTACACGTCCGACAAGTCCACTGAGGTCACTGAACAGCTGGCAAAGGAATTACAGGACAAAAATAGCGTCTCAACATTGATCATCCAGGCTGACATGGGAAATCCAAATGGACCTGCACATATCATCAACACGGCGAAGAATCATTTCTCGCACCCAAGAAGCGGGAAGTTTCAAATCGATATCATCATCAACAATGCTGCTGTGTCCCTGAACCTACCGTTAGAGGAGGTCACAATAGACAACTACAATTGGCAGTACACTGTCAACGTGCTGGGACCTATATTGCTAATGCAAGCCGCGCTGCCGTATTTGCCTCATGATCGATCGGGGCGTGTGATCAATCTCTCATCCGTCTCATCCAGCTTGGGATTGATTGGCCAAACAGTGTATGGTGGAACGAAGGCAGCGATAGACTCAATGACGAGAACTTGGGCGCGAGAGCTAGCGGAACGTTGCACAGTCAATGCGGTAAACCCAGGTCCAGTTGCGACAGACATGTATGGAGAGACCAGCGGAGACTTCCAGCTGCAAATGAAAAATCACATCAAATCAGCGCCGCTGATGAAGGAGAGGAAGGGCGTCGATCCCGACCAGTATGTCGCGGATGCGGAGAAGGTTGGAGGAAGGCCTGGGTATGATTATGAGATCGCAGGTGTCGTCGGTATGCTCTGCTCGGAGGATGGTGCGTGGTGCACAGGGTCTGTAGTATGTGCCAACGGAGGATTGAAGTTCAGTACCTAGATGCTCTGTTGTACATCAAGCTTGCTGACATATCCCAATTGTTCAACGTGTCTGTACGTTCAGATTCGCAAAGTACGTTGCAGCGAGCGGATATCATGAAAGAGACACCCATATAACAGTAAAGACCACATCGAGCCCCCTTTGATCTTCTTCGTGTTTATAGCTCCACATTCCATCTTTTTCATTGTCCCAAAACGCCCCTGTAGCCGAATGCATCCCTCTCTTGCCGCCAGCTGCGCCCTCCTCTGCATTGGCAGCCTCAGCGATGGAAGTATGCTGTATGATGGTACTCGTCACCGCAAACTTGTATGTGGGCCGTTTACCATCCGCTGAAGTTTCCGAAACCAGAGACTTCAGTATTGAACTCTGAAAGAAATTGCCTTAGTCATTAGCAGATCGCAGGTCTTCGAGGACTTACTATTATGCTCTGATTCCAAGCCGCTGTTTGCGAATGGTCGTAAGCCTCTACAGACTCGAAAGCGGATTGGCATGCCTGTACAGCTATTAAACAAAGTAGCAATGATAAATTTTGAGGAATCAGGCCACCTCGATAGCTAAGTCTGTGAGCTTGGACGCCGGCACAGGCTATCGTTCATCAGCAGGGTTGCTGCAAGCTCGCTTTCTCAAGGCTCACTCCGGAGGCTTCCTGCACTACTCCATCCGACGTCATCACTGCAGTATTGATGCCTGTTCCGCAGGCTGCTTGTACGGAACGAGATTCTTCGATCTATACTGGTAAGCAAGGCACAGTATCTCTTGCACGGTACGTAAAGGAACGACCAGCAGTGGCCGCCAACGGAAACAATCAAGAATTGATAGGGCATGGAATTATAGGATACACCATCGATTTAGTGTCTGTTTTGATACAACGCATCTCGTCTCAATCATTAATAGATAGTGGTTCATCCGAGATTCTTGGAGATTTTTTTCACCAGATGGCGACATCCATGCGTGATATAACCATGATAGTCAATGTTGCGCCTCTGTTACGTCGATATAAGACGACAAAATATAAGATCGATTTGTAGTGTCTCTAGTTAGTTGTTCTAGTCGACAAATAAAAGGAGAAGTGCACGGTCCTGGGCCAAAACTAAGTTTTGCGCATTTGTGATTAAAAATACGCGGCTGGAGGGTTACACGTATATTTCATCACAAGTACACATTTTCCGGTTTGGCCATTAGGACCGTGAACCTTTCCATCCTGTGAGAAAGACCTGTACATATTGAGAATCCACTTCGAGGCTCAGATCGCGGACACTGGTGCGCTACGCCATTCGCTAAGTTCATTGCGGTGCACGTGGAACGAGCGGACAAATAGGATATGTAAGGCGCCCAGCTTCGCGATGCATCTGCTTCAACCTCATGGAAGGAGAATCATTGCTGATAGCCTGATCATTGCTAAGAGCATATTTGAGGCCCACTAAGCCATGTCTCTTCGCTCCTAAGCTCGTGTGTCGCAGGATACCCTGACTGCGAGCGGAGCACTAGCTATGAGATAAATTGCAAGATGGCTAGCTGATGCGGTGTGTCTTGACTAAGGACCCGGCATCGAATCTACCATGCCAATACCTATCTTAGAGGACTCCACATAGCCCTAAGATGCCTACTACGTGCCCACACACCCCTGGCAAAGTTTTCATTCAGGGCTCGATATGGCCCTCGCTTTGAGAGTACTTTGGTCGTTAGTGCTTATGCTTCAAGTCGTCTCCTCTCTTCATTATGATAACCAAGCATACGTACTAGCCTCGACAGATATTTGAAATCGAAATGGGGAATGCGAACTCTGTGTCCATTTGCCCAGACCCATTCGCAATTCTAGAACACCCTTTGTTCCCTATCGACATACAGGAGCAGGATGTTCCCTGTCACAAGGTGTCCAGCCGATCATTCGAAGAGTCTTCAGTTGATCATCTGATATCCAGCAGAAACGATGCTTCCGTTGTAAGTATGTATGTCGAAGAGAGTCTCTTGGATATTGTTTGGACCTCGTACTAGATACGCTTGAGGTTATTGCGCCAGCTTCAAACTTGTTTCCGGGACTTTCTCTTCCATGGAGACTGTTTTCTGGTAATGTCTTTGATTTCCGTGATCTAGCCGAACGACGTCTTTCAGTCAGAGCGAGTCGAGCACGACGAAACACTGAGCTCATGTATTACGATCTTGCTTCTATGATCTAGGCCCTGTTGGCTTAGATCACGCAGCATCTGAGCCATCACGAGATGTCCCCGAAGGTTTAGTGCAACTTATAGCGGATCTAAGATATCCCTATCTCTACTGAATAGACGCTTCTGGTAGCCTACTATTCTTTCCCTCGGTCTATGAGATTTGGACGCCGTAAGCTGTTGGTGTCACGCACTCCTTTCTACTGTGCTTTTAAAGGCTCTATATTCCCTGTGTTCCAGAGCATCTTCTAAATTGTCGGTCTTCCAGATCCCTTCACCCTTGTATCGAATTTCGAAAGGACACCTACTGTCATGGCAGAACCTGCTCGTGACCTCGTTTCCTTACTATATTTTCTCCCTCTTGTCGTTTGCCTGCTTTTAGTCTTCACATATGCTTTGACGTCGCTATCTTCTTCGTCGGCCGTTCGTTCGTTTTGCAGAGAGATGAAGCCGCCACTGGCCCCGTACTGGATTCCAGCTGTCGGACATGCTATTTCTTTCTTACACGATACAGGCATCATTCGGGAGTCTCAAAAGTATTCTTGATGAAATTCCTTGAACAAGAAGTCTTCCTAATTTTGCTGTTAGAAGTAGATACAATCCTGGAATAGTGGCTCTACGATTCCTGACTACTCGGATCAATTTTGTCACTGGCTCAGACAATATCTTGACCTTGTGGCGGTCAAAGGATCTGGACGCTAAGGTAGTAACTGCTTTCTCCCTAAGCTGGTTTTTTGCAACTCCAAAAAATTCCATGAACATCTACGAAACTGACGACTCTGGCATCAATCCCAAACCTCATCCTGCTAGTATCGGAATTGAGGTAAAAAACCGCTACTACTATCAGAACAGGAAGGCCATTGTAGGCTTTTTTAATGGAACCGGATTAAAGAGCATGGCCGGTAGATTCTCATTATTGCTAGGAAGGGAGATCAATAACATGGATCTCGGTTCCGAATGGATCCCGTGCAAGGATCTGTATCGCTTCATCCAGGATCTAGTGATAGGCCCGGCCGTGGAGTCGATGTGTGGACCAGTCCTCTTAGATCAGAATCCAAATTTTGGCAATGACTTGTGGCAACTCGATGAGGACATCTACTATTTCTTCAAAGGCTACCCCAAATGGCTGGTACCAGCCGCCTTCCAAAATCGATCAAAGCTGCTCAATGGCATGAAAATGTGGCATCGATATGCTCGAGACAACTTTGATGAGTCTTCCATTGAGTCAGACGATCACGACCGCTTTTACGGTTCACCTCTTATACGGGCTCGCCAAGAATATCTCTCAAACTTTAATGAAATGGACGATGATGCTCTGGCATCACAAGATCTTGGCTTGCTTTGGGCGTAAGTACTATTATTGTAGATTTTGAGCCCCCTGCTTCGGAATTGGTCTTGAGTACTTCACTGATGATCTATCAGAGAAAATGGCAACTCTATTCCTGCCATATTTTGGATGATGTACGAGGCTCTTCAACGCCCGGACGTGCTGGCAAAAGCTCTGGAGGAAGTCATGGCATCTGATTACTCGTCAAGCCTTAATAGCAACCCCTTAATCAACAGCGAAGCATTATGCAACATGCCTTTCTTGCAATCCATGTATGCAGAGACGTTGCGGTTGTACACCTCGCTCTTCACTATACGAAGTGCTACCCATGGCAACTTCGACATTGCCAACTTCACGATTCCAAGAAACGAAATCATCGCGGTCGATAGCCATGTCTCTGGTAGAGACTCACGGATTTGGAATACTGGATCTACAGAATCTGCTGGCGCTGGTCCTCACCCTCTCGATCAATTTTGGGCAGAGAGATTCCTCATTTTCCCAAATGATCCAGAAAGTGGGCCACTGCGGGCTAAGAGTCTAAGGCGGGGGCCAAGTTTATCGACGTCGACGCCTCGCAATGAGTCTGGTGGCCCATACTTCTCCCTAGACGGTCTAGCAGGCGCGTGGACTCCCTATGGAGGCGGTAATCGACAATGTCCGGGTCGCAATTTTGCTAAGCAAGAGATCATTCTAGGCTTCGCCATTGTGTTCTCTATGCTCGATGTCGAATTGACAGGGCCAAATGAAGAACCGGTCAAGCCGGACATGAAGTTCTACGGCTTGGGTACTCTCCCACCAAAAGCAAAAGTGCCATTCAGGCTTAGAAGACGGGTATGACGGCAATTCAAGACTAGCTCTGGATGTCCAAAATTCGCAGCTCCGCTTTCATCAAACCTGTGTTCATCTATCTGAGTCACATAGTATGTAAAGGTGAAGGAGAGGTCAAAGAATCAACATGGCCAGGGCTGAGTGCAGCATCAGAAGCATTTTCTTGTCATGGAAGGTTAGGCTCCAAGATTGAGTCTAGGATGTAGGGTCAATCCTAAGAAAACCCCCCAAAGTGTCACACCTCTTAGCTCATCAAATACGGGACAATAGAAGAAAAGACGAGACTTCAATTAGAGGAATCGCAACTACGAATGATCTGGATCCGTTCGGTGTCTAAATTGAGATTGACTTGCTGTTCATGGAAATCATCGGCTTCCCGTTGCATGGAGTCCAAATGTTGACCCCTCGAGGAGTCGAGAGCGCCTTCCTGGTCTTTGTAAACGTCGAAATTACGTTTCGTTTTTCTCTGAAGAATCTGCAGTAGAAGTTGTTGATGACGTGGAAATAGCCAGATTACGCATGTGATGGACAGCTGCAGAGCTTGCATGTATTGTGATTTTGATGGTCATTTAGTCAGCAGTAAAAACACTTGAAAACCTTGCCTAGTCGGGTATCTTCGCTAGTACAATGCAGTCCCCATTATTGGAGACCGCGAAGATGACCGCCGCAAACGCCTCGCTATTTTCTATGACTCTAATGATGAACTCGATGTTAATCACGGCACGGACTGTTTCTTGTTGACGGCGATGAACCCACCCTCTTCGACCAGAGTGGTATCTCCTTCAGCCTCATCGTCAGATGAGTCAAGTGCAATTGCCGTTTCTTGAGTATTTGTATACTGAATTAGGGGAGCGGCAGTCGCATATTCTTGCTCGCCAGACCCGGCGTCTTCCTCTTCCTCATCCTCCTCGTCCTCTTCCTCGTCCTCCTCACTATCATCATCGTCAAGGTAGTAGCCGGTATCCGTTGGGTCGGAACGTGGATATATAGGGCGCTGTCCGTCAAGGTCGTCCTCGACACCAAGCATCTCCCCGAGTTCAGACTCGGATGCTTCCATTTCACCCGCATCCTCGACTTCACTTCCTAGCCCATCCTCTTCACTCCCTAAGTCACTCTCATCGACAAGTCCGTCGTCGGAAGTGCGATTAGACCTGATCTTACTACTGAAGGCGACATTCGTGTTGCGTGGTCGCTTAGCACTCGGTGGATCTAGATCGTCTGCGTCGTTTACTCCACTCAAAGAGCGTTTTATAGCCGATGTGGGAACGGGTGGAGCTGGAGATGAGGAAAATTTGATGTCGTGGACTGCTGGATCAAAACGGTGGTCCTTCGAACTTGTTTGCCGTGCAGTGTCAACTTCTTCTCGCTCAGAACCCTCTTCGGACTCCTCGTCAGATTCCTCTTCCTCGTCTAAATCAACGTATTTGGATTTCATATCGGCATCAATAGCGTCACGTTGTCCTTCCGCGGATGCTGGATGTGAGAGCCGAAGAACGCCGTTGTCGAAATGTTGATTTTGGTCGAGCCTGGGCGTCTTCGCCCTCCTCAGTTCCTCGTCTCCATAGCTAGCTGCATTAGCTTTCGAAGGCGCACTTTCGAACACTTCCTGGCTTGATTCTTCACCTTGGACAACAACACCCGCTCGTGTGATGTCTGCGTTATTCTCATCTGTGTGATCACTTGAAATTGCTCCAAATGGCTCGTTCGCTATGTTATCGAAGTCTGCATCCTCGCTCGCCTTCGACTGGGGTGTATCAGTCATCAATTCCGGATAAGCTACCTCGTCAAGGTCTGGGTGACGGAGCGTCTCCGTATCATTTTGGGGCGAAAGTTCATTATTCTGCAATGATTGCGGTGGCGAATAGTTATTGTCGGGTTGTGGGGGGCCATCATCCACTGGAGGAGCAGAAACTTCATTTTCTTGATTGCGAATCTGTTCCTCGCGCAGCTCGTCAATCACTTGTGGCCTAAGCTCCTCTCGAAGTTTTTCAGATACTGTGTCGTGGAGCTCATGGCGAAGGGTATCGATAATGGCTGAAGTGTTTTCATCACGGATTTGCCCGCGGACCTCAACAGTCAGTTTCGTTCTAAGGTCTTGCCTGACTTCTGCTTCTATTTGATGTTCGAACTGATCCCTTAGTGTGCTCGTGACTTCAAGTCTCAAGTCCGTCATCAGCTGCTCCTTGACTTCGGCGATGTTATCAAGCGTTAGTTGCGCCTTCACAACCGGCTCAAGTTCCGTCCTCCAGGCTGCTTTGATTTTCATTTGTTCCAGTTGCTTGTGTTCTTCATACCAAGCTTGTTGGTCTTTCTCAGCCTGCGCCCAAACTGCGTCTCGAAATTGAGCTTCCATTCTCGCGGTCACCTGCTGCTTCAATGTTTCAAGGAGCTGGGCTCCAAGTTCCTCTCCACTACGCTTTTGCTCCTCTTCCCTGCGGCGCGCAGCGTCAATCCTCTCTAGCCTCATTCTTCTTTGCTTTACCTCCTCCTCCTTTTCGCGCAGCATGCGTTCTTCGTGAAGACTGAGCTCATTTTCTGCTTTGGCACGGCGAGCTTTTTCGATGCTATCTTTATAGCCTACCTGACCAAATCTATCTGTCGAAGGAGAAGAGGCATATGGTGAATACGAATGATTGATCACCTTGCGCGCTGAATGCGCTAGCGGAGTATGGCCCCTTGGGAGAGAGTCTTCGCTGACTTTGGGCGTTGCATGGTTGAGAGAGCCATTCACCATTGCCATTATCGAAGTAGTCTGAGTATGACTTTGGTAATTGACTAGTCACAGCTAAGGATGCTTGAAATTGCTCGATAGACTAGGCATTGACGGGATGAGAGAGAGCCATGTTTGCCTTTGTCGATGTTCTGATGAGCAGAGTAGGTGGTGACCTGCCAATTTCAAGTCATCTTGAACGCCATGATTGCTGTTGGTTTTTAATCCTTGGACAATATCCATGTCCGACGCGAGAATTGAAAAGGCGGGCTGGCTTGGCATGGCTTGGCGTGGCTGGTTTTTCTTATCGATAGGCCTCACATCGTGTAAAACTGCCCTGTGGAAGCCTGTCAACGTTGACAACCTTCAACGCTTCAAACACTCAGTATCACATCCTTACTTTCTACCTATCATGTCGCCTTCAGTAGTCTCAAATCGGGCCTCAGACTTCTCGCTTGCCCCATCGAAGCCCTCAGCGCCCTCCGCCACCCTCCGCACCCTCCTACTCTCTCCACCTTCGCTGTCATCGCATCCAGAAAGATTAGAGAATGTGCTCGCTGCTCATGATAGAACCACGACAGATATCCAGATGCTTGATCGCTTATCACTTGCTCTAGTATCACTTCCTGAGTCTACATACGATGTGATACTTTTGCTGGCAGGCGTCCCGGACCAACAGCAGGAAACTAGCGATCTACTCTCACAGGTAGTTCTCCAAAGGGTAGTCAAGTCATTGAAACCAGGAGGAAAAATACAAGGCCAATGGGGAAGATTCCCTGACAATGAGAACCAACGGAGAGAAGCAATCCTTTCAGGTCTAGTTATCGAGGGCAACGAAATGACGAGGCCTTTGCATGACACACGATCAGTTCCCCTAAGACTTGGTAAGAAGAATAACACAAAAGCAACAACTAACGCCGCCGGAACCGGAGCTGTGACCTTGAACATTAACGGTAAAAGGAAGAACGGACCCTTGACTGGAACAATCCCGGCCGGCGTAGGGTTCGTGGACTTTAGTGATGACCTGGGGGAGCCCGACGTCGACGCTCAAGACTCTGATGACGAGCTGATTGATGAAAACGCTCTGTTGGATGAAGAGGACATGAAGCGACCAGTCGTCCAACGTACGTACCCTGTGTCCCTCTGCATTGAACCTCGCCTCGAAGTTTAGTTTGTTGACTCTCTTGCAGCCCCAGAGTGTCGGCCTAAGAACGGTAAGCGGCGCCGGGCATGCAAGGATTGCACTTGTGGTCTTGCTCAAAAGCTAGAAGCTGAGGACCAAGTCAAACGCTCGAATGCCGACTCACAGCTTGCTAAGTTGACAGCCGATGATCTAGCTGAAGTTGATTTCACCGTGCAGGGGAAGGTTGGAAGTTGTGGAAACTGTGCCCTTGGAGATGCCTTTCGCTGCGACGGGTGTCCATACATTGGCTTACCTGCTTTCAAGCCTGGCGAAGAAGTCAGGATCCTCAATGATGACGTACAACTTTGAGTGAATGAAGGTTGCAAGCCTGTACGATGTATCATGAATGGACCGTTTTTAGATATCAGATGAAAATTGTGTCAGTAACCTCGCGCTTTGGCCCTATCTCTCCGTTTAACCTCGCGATAGCGCCATTCTGACATATGGGCAGCGTAGACAGTAGTTGTTATTGAATCTGCTGTGATATACTATCAACACTTGGCAAAGCTGAAAATCACAAAAACGCTCAGGATCGTTGGGAGTAGAGCGTCGAGAGAAAACCCCATAATGTATGATTAATGGTATTCGATACCCGATGCCCCAAGAGAACCACTCAAAGGCACCACATATAGCAATAAGCTCATAGCATAAAGTCAAATAAAAGTCGGATGGCTCAGTTACATGCTCGGAAATTTTGCACGTTCGATATACGATATGTTGAAGAAGACGAAGTCACATTAGGAATAAAAAATTTTGTATTGCGCAATCTTGATAGAGGATCAAGTTATGCATTTGGTTCAAAGGGTATACGCACGCTATATTAACTGATACCAAGCAACCTCCCTCTCACAGGCCTGATATCTACCCCTTTGCGCTACTTCCTGATTTGCCATAGGGCCAAGGGGATTTTATTTCTGATTCAATCCTTTGATGACGCCCTCTCCTCATCCAGCTTTGAGATCGCCCCTTCGAGCATGGCGTAGAGATCAGTGTCCGACGTGTAGCTATGGAAATCTGAGGTTGCCGAAGGCAGATCAGGGTCCGACATCGTTGTGAAAAAGTCATTGTTATTGTCTGCTGTCGTAACACCAGACCCATTCAAAGCTGTCTGCTCTAATTCAGTCTGGTGCATAAAATGGATATTTCTTGGATTTGTCATTGTCATGACCTTTGATGTGTGGTCTGAATTGTCTGTGACCAGATGCGAAACAGCACGAGGATTTGACTGATGCTCAAAATGTTGTTGCTTGTTCACTTCATTACCTTGCGCGATCAAAGCTATTTGATTTCTCATGTCATCAGCCTTGCTTTTCCACTTGTCGCATTGGCTTTTGATGTCAATAGCCTTGCTTCTCCACATATCGCTTTCACTCTTGGTGTCGAGTACACATTGCCTGAATTTCTCAAACAATTTTGCGTTCTTCTGGGCTTCCTTTAACTTGCGCTTAAGCTCTGTAATTTCGTTCTGATGTGAAGACTTGAAAGCGCGGAGGTCATCTTTGAGAGTCTGACAAGATCCTGTAAGGCGCCGATGAGTATGTTCCAGCGCCACAAATTTTTGTTGCTCTAGCTGGAAAAGCGCCTTCAGCTCTGCGTATGAAATTTCTCCAGATGTTTCCGGCAATGGAGTTGCGTGTCGAAGTAGAGAGCTTTGCTTACGTTGACTTTTGGATAATTTGCGTGTTCCGGGGCTCGAGAAGTGATTGCTGTCAATTTGGGCCTTAGAACCAAGCACATTCTGTTGATGACTGTCACCTGCTGTATGGAGAAAAGGGATGGAGGCCTGAGAAGCGAAGCTCGAGGAAAATTGATTTTCTACTGTTGGTGCAATGGAACTTTCTGTCGAGACGTCCTGAAGAAATCGGTCACAGAACGAAGACGCGAAGTCTAATTGGAGATCGGAATTCGACGTTCGCGCGGCCGTGTGTGCTTCGTGGCCGGGCTGGTCCATAGGATAGTCAAAAGCGACACTGAAAGAGTGATCGTGGCTAACGGAGCTTTCCTCTCCGTCGATCTTATGTACACCGCCTTCGTCTGGTAAGAGAAACGTTTCTGCGTGTTGAAATGGAAGAAATTGTGGCCTTTCCGAATGATCCCCATCAAGTGGTTGAAAAGTGTTGTAATTCTGTAATGATCGCCCGGCCTCTGCTTGACTACAATTTTGAGGCACGCTGACCAGGGCGAAAGAGTTGTCGACGGTTGCGTTTTCGCCCGCAAAATGCGAGGTTGAGTTAGATGCTAGCATTGCTGAGTGATCAGAATGTCTCATTAGATCTTTGGTAAGATTTTGTGAATGGTCATGAAGAGGATGTGAGAGCGAAAGAGTGTTGGGCCGCGTCGTTGATTTTGGTGACAATGGGCTGAGTTTTTCGACGGGGCTGGAGTGTTGAATTTTTGCTTTTCTACTTGAGGGATAGAGCTTAGTCCACGAACGACACTTCCTGCGGGTAGGCCGAGATCCTGCAGTCAGCTGCAAAGCGTCGATGGCTTCGCGAACCTTGAGATGCCAAAAGATTTCCTGGTTCTGCTGCCGGTTCAAATGCGGAGGTTCACTTAAAGAGCGTCGAAATTTGCGAGCTTCTTTAGAGCTCGCTGGGCTTGGAACATGGCATTGACTCATATGCCGTCGTGGCAGCTTATTACCAGCCACTTTGCCACGGCCCGCCGTTTCACTTTCATCAATAAACAGGTGGCTGGTCATGGCAGGAACCTTCCTGACACTTGAACCAGAAGCCTCCCTCATAAGGGGTGCATCGCTTTCTACAAGCGAGACTGTATGGCTTGAGCATTGCAAGGCTCTGGCCACGGAAGCATCAGAGAGGTCAGTCTGATGCTGATCCTCTTCCCCTAGTCGATATATAGCAGTATCCGTCTTTCCATGTGTGAGATCATGAAGGCGCTGCGAAATGGTGTGCCCTGGAACACAGGTACCAGCGCTTTCCGGCACACTGTTGAATCCATGACTAAATGTCCTCCCAAGTTCTGCGGCTTCTGCAAGATTCGAGATCAAGCCACGGTCGATCTGCGATGTTTTGGATCTTGGCTCATCCGCCTGTATCTGTGACCCAGGGAGAAGTGTAAGCCCCAAGTCATGAGTTGCAGTATTGCTGCCTGGAATCTCAGCGGAAGAAGCATAAGTACCTTCTCGCAATCTCTCGGCATCCTTCATCTTCTTGAGCGATGGAGAATCCATTGCACGATGCATCATACAATTACTCATTGCTTCACAGGCAAGGCCGGCGCTGGACAGTCACCCCACTAGTTCTAATTCATATGGATCTGGAATCATCTGCAGCTTTGAGAAAACAAACACAGTCTCAAGTTTGGAAATCTATTGTGCTTTCAAATATACCGACTGTGTTGAGGGATTGCCATCATCAAGTAATGACGGTCGTTACAAGCGCGCGGTCAACCGGCATTCTGATTATGTAAGCGACAGCCTTGCTAACGCAAGCTAAGGTAGGACAGACAGGAAACCGCAGCAATTTAGCTCTGAAGCTTCTTGTAGAACGTCTCTTCACTGAAGAATCAAATTGTGGGTAAGATGCTCGGGTTGGCGGTTGTATGGAAAATATTTCCATCGCATTGAGTTCAAACTGCATCATGAGTGTAATACTTTGTACAGGTCAGGACATATGAGCCCGAGCTTGGTGAAGCTGTGTGAGCTTTCTCAAAAGAGCTAACTCTCCACCGCAGCCGGTTACGATCATACGATTCGTTTCTGGGAAGCTTTGTCTGGTATCTGCTCGCGTACAATCCAACACCCTGACTCCCAGGTCAATCGTCTTTGCATCTCACCCGACAAACGATATCTTGCCGCTGCTGGCAACCACAATGTCAAACTTTTCGATGTCAAGTCCACGAACTCACAACCAGTAATGGTATTCTCCGGCCATGCTGGAAACATCACAGGCGTTCAGTTCCACTGTGAAGGCAAGTGGATGGTCACCAGCTCTGAGGATGGGTTTGTGAAAGTTTGGCAGACTAAAGACGCAACTATCCAGCGTGTCTACGACCATAAGTGTGCCGTCAATGATGTAGTCATCCACCCAAACCAGGGTGAGCTGATAGCCTGCGACCGAGCTGGTGGTGTCAAGATCTGGGACCTCGGAGAGGACAAATGCGCGCAGGAGCTTTACCCCGAGGAAGATGTCTCAATGGCAAGTGTCACGGTCGCCACTGACGGGAGTCTTCTCTGTGCTGGCAACAATTCGGTAAGATGAAGGTCTAGCCCCCGAACGGTTTAAGCGTCACCACTGACATTGCTGCTTCGGTAGGGCAATGTCTATGTTTGGCGAATGATTCAGACCAGGAATGTCACTACGATTCAAGCCATCACCTCTTTTCAAGCACATACAGCCTATATTACACGCGTTTTACTATCACCTGATGTTCGTCAGCTTGCTACCTGTAGCGCTGACCACAACGCTAGAATCTGGAGCGTAGACCCAACCGCTCCGCATTGCATCAAGGGTAGCGAGAATCTTCCAAAGAGTAGGAAGGAGGGCGCTTTTCCCCTTCAGATGAGCCTTGACAGTCACCAGCGATGGGTGTGGGATTGTGCCTTCAGTGCCGACTCGGCGTATTTGGTCACCGCTTGTAGTGATCATTATGCAAGATTGTGGGAGCTCGGGACTCAGAATGTTATAAGACAGTACAATGGGCACCACAGGGGGGCAGTTTGCGTCGCTTTGAATGATTATTCAGAAAGATAAAGGCACATTATCAGCGAAGACGATCAGCTACAAGATATCTAATGATGGGACAGGTGAGCGTTGGCGCAATGGTGGATTCGGACGTTACCCCAGAAAACGCGGCTATGGCGATGCTTAACGTTCAGAATGTCTTAGATTTCACAAATGATGCAGCGAACACTAGATGAAGAACTAGCTAATGTGAGGTAATGGGCATTCTTGGCTGGATGCGGCCAAAACTACTCATAAAATGCTCAAAATAGACCGCAAAATCAACTCAGTCCCAAGCGTCACCCCAATCATCATCGACTTCAGCCGGTTTTGCAACAACCTCTTTCGTTGACACCGGTTTACGCAATGTAGTCGTGGACAATTTCTTTGTTCCGACGCCCGATCCAATGCTTCCAGTCGTTGTGCTTTTGATGACTGTTGGTCTAGCAAGGTTCGCAGGCAAGGGTTTAGACATTCCTTTTGGTAATGGTCCTTTGGGTTTCAATTTAGCCTGGGCTTGTGCATTCAACCATCCTTCAAAGTCGGGCTCGCAACCGTCATCGAAAGCGACTAGCTCAGACGATGCGACTTCTGGTTGGGCTAGAGCGTCTGAGGTTGCATCGAAGAATGAATCCTCAGCAAGTTCTCCCCATGCTTCGTCGACCTCCTCTTGGTCTGCCTCGGGATCCTGCAAGAGCTTTTTGGCAGTATTGGAAGCCAAAGCTGCAGTGGTCTTTTCAGTGAGCACCTGTCCATGTATGGTCGAAGTTGAAACAGAATTGGGAAGATTTTGCGGCTTGATCCCCGTTGGTGGCACCGAAGAAGAACGCTCGGTGGGCGGGGCCTGCGGCAGGGCTTTACTTTGCATAGCGCCAGTTGCGGATCCTAGCTTGTTCGTGAAAGAAGATATTGTCCATCCTGCCCAGACGGACGAATCAGTCTGTGGGCCATCCACACGAGACGTGATACCATTCGCATTGATCACATTAGGAGAAGGCAATACGCTGTCTGGAAGACCACTCGCATGTTTCTTAATTCTTTGCAAATAGATGTCGAATGCTTTGTTGGCCTGGTCGCGGACCAATTTTTCCTTATCAATAAGGGAAGGGCACAGGGCTGGTAAAATTCTCGTCGCACAGTCTTCCTCACCAAAAAGGTCTGCTGTTGCTGCGAGGGCTAGAAGAGCGGCGTTTCGGGCGTGGATAAACGGATCACGCAGCGATCGTGAGAAGGCGGCTAGAAGCACTTTCTGCCGCGTGTTAGGACCCAGGCTCCGAGCGATTTTGCCCATGCAAATCGTTGTATTCGTCCGAATACCAGGCTGCTCATCATTTGCAGTCTTGGCAAGATGTTTGAGCAGCTCTCCGTTGATTGTTCGGTCTACGAGCTTTGAAATGATCGTAAGGACAGCTTTCACTGTTTGTTCGCGAACCACTGGCGCAACATCTGTGAAGCCAGTAACAAGCTGAGGGAAGATTTTGTCATTGACTATTTTCTGGGGAAGATGCTCAATCATGTTGGGCAAATTGTCCAGTAAACATACCCGAATGGCTCTGTCCGGGCTTGTAAAGAGTCGGACAACGACTGGCGTCAGCTTGTTGTTCCACTCATCACTGGAAAGCTTCTTTCCTATCATCATCACAGACGCAAAGACCTTCGGGCCGCCGCCTCCAAATTCGACTGATTTGAGTAATTCGGGCAAGACTTTAACGCTGAAAAATTCCTCGGGAAAGTCGTCTGCCACTTCATCCAATTCGGCCAAGAATTCTTCACGTTCACCGTCGCTTTTCAGTCCGAGGTTGTCAACCCCCTCTGACAATTTGACAAGTGGGGTTTCAAAAAAGCCACCACTACGTCTTCCCTGATCTTTGAAATGAGAAACGCTCAGCCGAACCTTGGGATTTGCAGTCAAAAGCCTCTTGTAATTCTGATGCATGCTGGGAGGGAGGCTCTTCGTAACGCCAATTTGGTCATTCGAGATAGTGTTGCCATTGAAGACTTCGAAAATCAATATGCCATAACCGTAGGCATCGGGAGCTGGCAAAGGATTGCGCTTCATAGCTTCCCAGCCAGCTTTGGCGATTTCTGGTGGGGTATACATGTGACAGCTTGGGATTGATGACCCGTGTTTGTATATGATTGCATCATCTTCTTTCATTGAGCTTAGGATCTCCAAACCACCGATTCGCCATTCACCACTCTCGCTTGTGAATATTGAAGAGAGTCTTATATTTCCATGTACCGATGACGCTTCGTCGTTAACAAAAGCAAGTGTATTTGCAATTGTATACAAGCCCCATTTCAGAGTCTCCTCGCTCAAATTCTTTCGACGCACGGGCCACGTGAGTGGTACTACCCTTTCTGTTGCAACATATATGTATGCATCTGTTTCAACAGTGTCATAAACTCGAATCACTCCTGGATGCCTAAGTGTTCGCATTTTGCGAACCGCATTGCGGGCGAGTGGTAGATGAGAGCGATTGTTGGGAACCTCAAAAGTGAAAATACTGCAAGCCGAACCATCTTCCTGAAGAGACCTTAGGGTTAGTCATCTGCCATTGAGCCAGTCTCGGTATACACACACTCGCTTTGTTCCGTTATGCAAAGCCCAAATAGATTGATCGAGCGGGACCTTATCGCCAAATTTGTACGGAAAGGGAGGGTCCTTGGAGATTGCAGATGCTACAGCAGATTTCAAAAAGTCCATCACCGACCAAGATCAAAATCATTGCAGACGTCGGCGAAGGAAAACCTGCTGCAGAGCAATAATTGGGGTAGTCTGGAGAGTGTGAAGCTCGAATAAACTTTAACTTACGATACCGTGCTCTACTAGAGCGCGTTTTGATACGGAAACTAATTTTCGAGGTAGGACCGCTACATCCGTAGACTTGAGTGCAAATGATCGCGATCTAGTCGAAAGACATTCAGATTTCCATGCTCAAACACAGATGCAGCTATACTTAAAGATCGAAATAGGTACGTTGTCATTAGTTCTATATTATGCGTTTTCGCAGGTCAAATGATGAGCATTGGTAAAAGGTCCGACTGTTGTGGCCATATGGTTCTACTCTTTTTGTTGTATATGACGAAGACAAGCTTTCTTGCAAGTTCCGAGCGGCATTCACAATCAGTACATAAGCAAGGGAGACTGTCTAAAGCTTATGGGCAAGTCTCCGTATAAGATGTGCAAATTACCAAACTTGGGCCCTTTACATGGAACAGCGTCACAGAATTTTGTGAGGCGTTGTCAATGGCAAAAGGGTACAGTGTGTTCGCTGAATAATCGTTGTCTGGCTCGGTCCTTCGCCTTTGAGTTTTGTCGAGTGTTCAGCGGATTTTGTGAAGCCTCGGAAAAACACAGAATGAGGGGTTTTCTAGACTGAAAAGAGCTGATTTTGATCCATTGTTTTCGTTTGAACACGCAAGATCACACTCAACCGAGAAGCCTACTGACTATGCATAGTAGATCCGTCTGACACAGTTCCCTCTCTCGTTAGCTTACGATGTTGTGCTCAATGTCCGCGGACGGCTATGCGGATAATTCTAAGATCATCGGATGCACCAAGCAAAGGTGAAAATTTACGTCGTAGATGAAACATGATTTCAAAACCCTGTGCGCTTAAATGAGCATATTTAAGGACTGTTGATCGAACATGCTGCAGAAGCTGTTCTTTGAATGATTTCAGTATGCTCTAACATTATGTCGTGGACCGTTCCTACATTTATTGGTATTCCAAAGCGAATCATGCAACTTCATCGATTGTCAGTGGACACCTCCAATGTATTGATTTTTTTGTTAATCTTTCCAAACGTGGTTTTCGGTAGCAATACGACTGCTATGGATGACATCGCCTGTCAGACTCCACGAGTGTCGTCTGCAGTCCATCTGAACCAAACCCATTGCGAAGCCGCTCTCCTCCAAATCATATCGCCTAGTCTCCCAAATCTATCGGCTTATTTCACATCTGATCCACAGAAAGGCTTGGAGCAAGGTTACATTAGCTGCCCCGCCGTTTCTAACTTTTCCGAGTGTAACATCAACATTGATGTGAGCCCCAGAGGTGGACCAGATAGATTAGTCAACTTAGCCGATCTAGTTCTTTCGGTCACGGAGCTCATTCAAGAGTGCCTTGGGCAGAAAGGGTTTGACGGAGGTACGATGACGTTTGCAAATGGAGGGTCTCCTCTCAATGTTCAGATCAGCCACCAAGCTGACACTGGTGGCGACGACAATGCTCCGGGGACCAATAGTCATACATCGGCTTCTTCGAGTTCAGTCAAAACTGCTCCGGTTGGCGCGCAGTCGGAAAACACATCAGGTTCAGGGCCATATGCGCGATGCCATGGGTATCGTTGTCGGACTTGAAGAGCCATAGCTGCGATTGATGATTCACAAATAGCGGTGGAAAGCGAATTTGGAGTTGTTTCTTGAATCCTCGCCCTATACTGAATCTAGATCTGTGTCCTCTGCTCGATAGTGGTCGTTTACGACGGAGTACAGCGTTGCGGGAGCATAGCTGCCTACGTTGGTGATGTACAAATCTACCAAATCCGCCGGAATGTGGTCGAACAGGGGCTTGCCTACCTCAATCTCTCCTGGCAAGTAATCATCCATGCAGGAGACCTCTGCCGACGGTTCCCCGTTTTCCATCAGGCTATTAACATTGAAGGGATAGTCAGGGCTGATCTTGTAGACGCCGCCAAGGACCAATACTGGCGACCGGTGCAATTTCGCCGCCCTAGCAATAAGCTTGCTCCCCACCAAGGTCACCGAGCTCCCGCTACCAAAGATGATGTTCGCATCAAGTATGACTTTCGTGACACGGGTCATTAGGCCAAAGACGATCGAATCAGCTGCAAAGATGACTGTGACTCCAGCGGCGGTCAGAGCCCTGTTCATCTGCTCCCCGCTCCTACTATTACCTTTTGGGCGCCCTGTTAGGATCTCGTACGCCGAACGATGACTGTTTGGAAAGCTCTCCACCAGTATGACCGTCAAATTTCTCCTGGAAGCTGCCTTGAGTAGGAACTTTTGGGTTGTCCTTGTTGTCGAATTTGTCAATATTATTTCCCGAGAGTGGATTTGCTCCAAAGCGTATGTAGCGATTTGGTCATCAGCTTGTCTTAACTCATCAAGGAGCTCATCGATCCCCTCAACGACCTCTGATTTTAAGTCATCCGCAGCGTTGGTAGCGCCCGTTGATCTACCTTCCTGTAGGAGCAGGCTTTGTGGGATGGCAATTACTTGCGCTACGTGAGAGACTTCACCGTATGGCGAATGGGACAGTAGGCTCAACATAGACGTTTTCGTCGGCGGGGCATTAGATTCGCCGAGTAAAGCTTGTGTTTCGTGAGTAAGTGCCTGGCCAGCGGTCTTGGGCAAAGGTCGTGCAGGTCGATGTAGACCTGAATTGGTTCCCGCTGAATTGAACATTTGACTCTCACTCGACTCGCCTGACTCTCCTGCGCGGTCCTCGTCCAATTCCTCTCGTATGATACCAAGGACTCGCCTCACAACATTGCCCATGGCCAACTCTCGGGGCTGAGATGCAATCAACCTTCTCCCAACACGTCTTACCTCACTCATAAGCTCATTGGCGTTCTGGAGATCAAAGGTCTCTACAACTCTACTAAGAAGAAGCGCTGTCGCTTCCGCACAGTCTCTTGACCCCCGTATTTGACGCTTTTTCACGAGCCTAAGTGTATTAGTTTTGCATCATGACGGTCTCCGAACGCTCAATTACGATATGAGAGAATCTGTGCAAGTTTCCACGGAAACATCAGCCATCTGAATACGGTCCCGAAATGCTTCGAATTCTGATGGTCTGCCTCCTAAGGTTTGACTCATCTTGAGGCGGAGGTTCTCAAAAACAACTAGATGCACGGTATATCTTGATCTAGAACACACTGAGCCAAGGGTCAGATGAGTAACTATCTACTCGAGTTGTTTCAAGAATATGCCAAGCTGAAGAGAGGTAAAGCTAAGGTAGACCTAGAATTATATACAAATCCAAAACAATCGAAACTAGTCCTTAGCGTCCGCTGTGCGGTTACTGCCGTGGGGAGATCTTCACCTGCGGCTTACGGCAAGAACAGGACCGGAAGAGCGTCCTAAACCTCAAACCGCTTCATGAGCTCTCCCAGGCACTAAAGCCCCATGGGCTCCATAGCCTACGGTAACAAGGCTGCCGTTCCTCCTTAATAGTCCCATTCCTGCCCGGCTGCCCTGTCTACATCCACCTCCGGCTGCATCTTCATGGCTGGTTGCGTACAATGAACTCTCTGAACTTATTATCAGAGCGCGTAATTGGACAAAATGTCCCCTCCAGAACTTCTAACGACCGGCCGCGATCTTATTCAGATGGCACGTTGAATAGGACAACCCCAGAGCCGAAACCAAAGCGCAGCTCGAGTCAGCATGAGAGGAAAGCTCCAAAAGAACGCGAACTGGAGGATGAGAAGATAGGATACAGCGAGCTGGATGAGTCTGGCTCGGTCATCGAATCGTCACAGCTGGAAATCGACGAGAAGACTCCCCTCCTCAGGGAGCAATTAGCAGCAACGAGAACCTCTTCCACATTTGGCCGGCTGCGTCTTGCTGCGAAACGCCTTGTTCATGCCTTGACAACATCCATCAGGTGGGTGCTTTCCACATTAGCTTCTCCGTTTGTCTACCTAGTAGGCAGCTTTCAAGATGAGAAAGGAAGATTTTCTGTCCTCCTCCCCGTCCGGAAGATTGGAAAGTTGGTGCCTAAGCGTAATGGGCAGAAGTCAACCGCGCAGGCAATTGGTCTCTCGGGATCAAGCGAGACTTATGGTCCTGGGTCCAGAAGTAAGACAAGGGCAAGAGAAGTGGCACCGAACTCAACTGGGGCCAAAAGGCAGAGCGGCAAATTATCAACGCCTTCGTCCGAATCCAATCCCGAGTCAAGAAAGAAATCCAGTGCTCCAAATGAGCCTCAAACGAGACATTTACATCTTCATACATCGTCCTCCTCTGACGAACTGCCGCAGAATCGTCGATCGACACGCATAAAGCACAACAATGAAGAAAGCACGAGGAGACGTAAGCAGAAAAAATCCGCAGGTGGGTTGATAGACGCGAAAGGGTCTACTAGAAGCCGCGTGGAACCTTCCTTGACCGTAAGGACAATCAAATCTCCAACCTCGCCGGTCTCATCTGTCAAATCATCTGGTTTCTCTCGTTTGCCAGCTCCGCCACGTCCTCTGATTCCTCCTCGGCAGCCATCATATTCTACGCAGCCCTCACGCTCATCCCGGCTTGCTCAGAAGACGTTAGTGATAGATCTTGACGAGACCCTTATTCATAGTCTCGCAAAAGGCGGCCGGATGAGTAGTGGTCACATGGTCGAGGTCAAATTGAACACAACTGTTGGATATGGCGCAGGCACAACTTTGGGCCCTCAGCACCCCATCCTCTATTACGTACATAAACGGCCCCATTGCGATGATTTCCTTCGAAAAGTGTGTAAATGGTATAATCTAGTTGTTTTTACGGCTTCGGTCCAAGAGTACGCTGATCCTGTCATCGATTGGCTCGAGCAAGAACGAAACTATTTCTCCGGCCGATATTATCGGCAGCACTGTACCTTCAGAAACGGTGCCTACATCAAAGATCTGAGCTCGATTGAGCCTGATCTAAGCAGAGTCATGATATTAGATAACAGTCCGTTGAGTTACATCTTTCACGAAGGTTCGTATACTCTCCTATTGAGATCGAGATCTATCTAAAAGGTTGCAGATAACGCGATACCTATTGAAGGGTGGATCAATGATCCTACTGACAATGACCTTCTTCACTTGGTGCCGATTCTGGAGGCTCTGCAATATGTGACTGATGTTCGGACATTGCTTGCTTTACGAAGAGGCGAATTGGATGCATAGCGTCGAGAGTATCTGCCTTGTGATTTGGTGGAAGTTCACAACGGCATCATGCTTGAGATCAACATGTTGAACTGGCCAGGCCTCAAGCCTTCCATCAATTCAAACCGCGTTTGCTTCGACTGTCGCTCGATTCTGTGCAATTTTACTGCTCTCCCTCATTTCTCTTTACCATTTGGCTGCCATGCGTGTGTCTTCAGAAAACTTTCAATTGCCCTGTGCTAAATGATCTCAAATTTATGACTTTGCACGCGTGCGGTCAATTTTCTGGAGATGATATTGCCCGCTTTCTCAATGCGACAATCGCCAATGCCCATGACAATGTAATAATCGGAGGCATCAGTCTATCATGCATCTCGGGCATACTAACATTCAGACCATGATGCACAAGAGGATTTTCAATCCGATCGGGTATACATTGTATCCCTTCGGCTGTTAGGTGCCTTAGAATCTTGGTAATTTTACACCAAAATCAGGCTCCTTGATATCATTACTAGTCGTCCAGAATCGATTAGGAAGCTATCTAACAAGGGCTATATGTTCTTTAATATATGTTCCGTTAGTATTATTGTTTTTACCACGAGCGCAAAAGTTTTACTATTAAAATATAAGTTTGAAATTTTGCAACATTAAATATTAATTAAATACTAGTAATATGAAACCATAAATATAAGTTCTCTAATAACCATTCTTTTAGATTTAAAGAAAAAAAAAAAGAGATTAATTTTTAGATGTTTTTTCCACGAGAGACTTCTATAAACGAAAGTAATTAACTACTCGATTTAAATTATAATAAAAATCTTAAAGTAGCAACGACGAAATGAAACTTTTAAGCTTGCAAATTGCTTTGGAATATAAGACTTTAAGTCTTTCAATATATCTAAAGCCGTCAATATACTCTGAGGGCCTTATAATAGATAAATATCATAATAATGATAATACCCCTGATTTAAGGCACCTAACAGTCGAAGGGATAGACTCTAGAATAGCAACACCTTACCTCGACTCTCAGGTCTAAGATCTATTCTCATCTAGAACCCCTTCCTTTGCTTGTGACGAAAATTCCTTGAAACAAGAGCTCAAGGTACCTTACTTGGGCGTCCGTCCTGGCTTTCGGTGGCCTGGTGGACCTGGACCAATCTCCCCCAAAGCAGCCTAGAACTAGTTCTAGCGTATCGATGGAAAACCGACCCAAGCGGGACCAAATGTGAATAGTAGTGGCCCTTCTGAAGCAAACTCGAGCGATGATTGCAAATAACACCTCCACATCCGAAACAGTTCAAGTACACAAATATCATGCCATCAGACGCCACTGCGGTCAATTGGACGCCATCGGGCAAGCCTTTTCTTGCTGCGGACTATGTCAACGATGGAAAGAAGCATCTACTCCTGGCTGCTAGTGGCAGTGTGGCTACGATCAAAATCCCCAATATTATACATGCGCTCTCCCATTGTCCCGATCTCTCTATCCGGCTCATTCTCACTTCGTCCGCACATGAGTTTCTTCAAGGTCAAAGCGCTGAACAGCCCACGCTGGCGGAAATTGGTCGTATGCCTAACGTCGGCGGCGTCTATCTTGATGGAGACGAATGGTCTGAACCATGGGTGCGCGGTGCCGCCATCTTGCATATTGAAATTCGTCGTTGGGCAGATCTGCTAGTCGTTGCTCCACTCTCTGCCAATTCTCTCGCGAAGATGAGCCTAGGTTTAGCTGACAATCTATTGCTGTCAGTTGTTCGGGCTTGGGACACTACAGGGCTAATTGATGGGATTCGCAAACATATCATTGTCGCCCCGGCCATGAACACTGCGATGTGGATGCATCCTGTCACCCAGAAGCATCTCCGGATTCTTGAAGGAGAGTGGGGCATGGAAATTGCTCAAGATGGTTGGATTGAGGTGATCAGGCCAGTGCAGAGAACCCTCGCTTGTGGAGACACAGGCAATGGAGCGATGCGTGACTGGTCTGAGATCGTTGCTGTTGTGATCCAACGACTAGATCTCGGGAATTCGACTGCCTAGAAGTTTCTTGTCAAGCTTGCAGCTTGACACTCAAATCCTGATTGTTCTATGCTACGTAAATCATGACTGTGATCACAAATTGCATGGCCGCTACCTTCTATGAGTTTCCATAGTTGGTCGCAATTGTTTGAATGACAGACTATCTTTAGAGCAAGAATATGCTCGCATCAAAATGTGAATATTCAGTAAGAAGGCTCTGCTGAACTCCCATCAACATTGTTGGAAGATGAACAGGGACGTGGCTATAATCAAGGTTCCGCATACAAGAGCGTTATCTTTGGGGTCGAGGAGACCATACATATACTCAAAGGAGGTTTATCGCCACTCAAATTGCCGTGTCCGACAGGTAGTCGTCGTTTACATACGTGCAAGTCGTCAACTACTTGGTCTCGATATGTCGGACAGCGTAATTATAGCGCTGGTCATCAAGCTTCATTTTCGAAGCATATCTGCCCCTTTCTATCACAGCCGGCGTCTTCGTCATAATATTCGCCGTTCTCTTGCAGCAGACCTTCAGCCGAATCATTACTATTTCGAGTCTTCGAAATCCAATGCTGGCGGCAATCGGGGCATGTCGCATTCACTCGGATCCATTCTTTGAGTGTGCTTTGAACTGCCAGAGCTTGCAGCATTACGAAAAGGTGGATTGCGCTTCCGTTTTGTTAGCAACTGAGCCGCAAACATTTTGGACTAGTCTTACGCGCAAATGATCCATGGAACAGAGTTGTAAGCCAAAAGCAAGACTGCACTCTGGTGGCGACGAGCCTGCGAGCCTCTGATCTCCACCATGATGCCGTTCGTAATCAGAATGGCCAAGAAACCCTCAAAACCGACGGCGTCGGCGAGCGCCATGAGAGCTCTAGGTATTTGCCTCTTGCCCCTTTTAGTGATATACAAGTCCACATGGTTGATCGCAATGCATAAGGTAAGCTGTGTCTTGGATCAGCAACAAAACTCACGGGAAATCTACACGGAGACGAACGGGAAGAAAAGCCCAAGCACTCAGAACCAAAGGACCATGCCAACCCAACACTGCATTATTTGCAATAGTGACTATATTTAAGAAAAGACCAAGGCCGGCTGAAGCTGTCGACACTTTGCGGAGGACTTGACAAACAGATCCATTTCCTTGTTTGTGGCTGAGAGACATTGCAGGACCTATACTTATCGAACTAGTTAGGAAAGCAAAGCAACAGTTGCTAGAACTTTGATTTTTCGTTGTGGGAAAGTTTTCAGAAAGTGATGAAAGTAAAACCGCAAGATGCAAGGGATGGAGAAGTTGAGATCGTATGGGCGGCTGTGAAAGCTGCTGCCTGAACTCTTAAGGTGGAGTGAACGGAGGAATGCTGCGCCTCGCTAATATTCGCCTACGAACTGCACGAGAGCTTTGGCAGACCCAGGTGATAATTGTGCATGTAGCTCTTGACTTACAAGAAAATGGACGCAGAGGTGAGTATCTACAATTTGGCTTTTGGCTTCTGCTTGTTTTGCATCACATTTGCGACGGTTCTTCGTTGAATCTTGCCAGTGGCTGTTTTTGGCATCACATCAGTAACATAGACCTGGATGTGTGTAAGCCTTCTACGTAGAGCAAAAACCGCGAGCTGCTTACCTCCTTCGGTACCTTGAATTTTGCGACTCGCTGAGCGATCCAATTCTTCAAGTCATTTGGATTAACCTCACCAGCGTCGTTCAAGACGACTGCTAAGCCTATATCTTGACCGTAAATCTTGTCAGCAATCGCAAAGGTCACTGCCTCAGATACTGCTGGATGTTGAGCAACGACGTTGTCAAGCTCCACTGGGCTGATCTTCTCTCCCCCTTTATTGATTAGCTCTTTGATGCGGCCGGTGATGAAGATGTATCCATCCCCATCCTGCCTTCCCTGGTCACCAGTTTTAAAGAAACCATCTCGGGTGTAAGAGCTCATATTTGCATCTGGGTTGTTTAGGTAACCTTTGGTGACGTTTTCTCCCCGGATGCAAATTTCGCCCTCGTAGTTACGGACCATCTCTGTCCCTTCACCATCCAAGATCTTCACCTCCATTCCCTGGCCAATGCCAACACTACCCGGTATCCTCTTGGATGGCGGCAATGGATTTGATGTCATTTGATGCGCAGCTTCTGTCATTGCATACGCTTCCAATACTGGTGCGTTGAAAGCCTTCTCTAGATCATGGAAAACCTTTGGTGCCAAGGGAGACGAGCAGGATCTGATGAAGCGAATTGGAGGCATTTCTCTAGGTGGCGAAGAGCGAAGCAGTATTTGGTGGATCGTCGGTACAGCCGTATACCAATTGGCCTCATAAGCAATGTAATTATCCCAGAAGTCGGAAGCCGAAAACCGAAGTGGAACAATAATAGATCCGTTGGAGAATAGCGGAGCCAAAAAGCCGGCCAGAAGGCCATGCACATGGAATAGTGGCATAACCAACAAAGTGCGGTCGGCTGACGAAAGTTGATACGTATCCTTAATATTCTCTACCATCTCTGTCAGTGTCTCACAGACCTATTATATGATCAGGGAGAACGTACCCATAGTTCGCGTCAAGTTTCTGTGTGTCAGAGGCACCTACCTCCTATCAGCGATTTCACCCTAGTACAGAAATGATAGATACCGCGTGCCTACCGCTTTTGGCCTCCCTGTTGTGCCACTTGTGTGAAGTACTAGAGCTGTGTCATCTGGCTCTGCCCGCTGAATAGGCTGAACTGCAGTACCGAATAGTAAACCGGGGTCCTTCATCTCTAGAACGACTTGCTGCCCGTTCCAGTAACATTCAGCGACGGCGGCATTGTACTTGCGTGCAGCACGTATTGCGGCTCCGTTTCCCTTAAAAGCGTCCTTCGGAACAAGAATCAACGCGGATTTGAGATCATCAATGTAGAACGAGAATTCTTCTTCCTTATAAGCTGGGTTCAACGGGGCAGCAATCGCGCGATGCCATGAAGCCGCCAAAAAAGCGATAATGAATTCATAAGAATTCGGTAGAGCAATAGATACAGCAGCTTGAGGTCCTATGCCTACATCGGCAAGCCCTTTTTGAAATTGCGAAACGTGAGAACGAAGCTGACTATAAGTGATATGCAAAGCTTTTGGTTTGGCAGGAACTATGATAGCAGTAGCAGAACTTGACGAGGGGATAGTGGTAGCTAAAGTCGCCATTGTTCTAGATTCAGCTCAGAATGATGCTCAAGGAGATAATCAAAATCAGGAAATCATGCAGTAAGCATAAAGTGAGTGCATCGTGTTTTGATCCTTCCTTACATGTAGTTGCGTCAGTGCCAGTGTACCCTAGTCTCTGATCAGAGAGAGGTGGGTGCATTCCAGTCGCTTTAGAATACGGTACCATTCACCGTGGCAGCCTGAGCGCACAAGCATCGCTCAGATGCCCTGTCAAGTTGAAGCTCCCAACGTGTCGTTCACCTAGTCTTTATTGCTACCGAACGACGCCCCCTTAAGAGAAGACTGGTAAAGTGACAGCAATGACATCTGATGAAGGAATTAAGAGAGGTCGATCGGGCCTTTCGCTCTACGCCAATCTCCTTAATTCGAAAAGCGCCGACGCAGTGCCCGGCACAATTTCGAGTGCTCCAGTAGTATACAAGCAGCCCCCGTCAAACGAGACGCAGCCTGATCTGGGTCCTGCAGAAAAGTCACAGATAAGTTCTGGTAGATATCAGTCTGCTTTCCAATAAAGCATGATTATTTTAGCGAGATGGATTGGCTCACGGTTACCCCGTTGCTTTGCTATGAACAGCCGCTCTACGATTTCAGCCTACCAAAAGACCGCAGGTCTCCGCTCAAAAAGTCAAGACAAAAGGAACGTCTCAGCGAGCTCCTACCCAGCCTCCGGCAGCTGAGACCTCCGACGCCGCTTTCGATATTAGTGGAGCCGCCTTCAAAGTACCTCCAAAGACAAGCTTAGCGGATTGGACAGCAGATGGTGATGATGACGATGTCAATGGATTCTATGCTGTTGAAAAGCGGCAGAGAGGAGGCAAGAAAAAGCGAAAAAAGAACAAAGAAGAGGTGCATGCTGTACAAAATTGGGATGACATCTACGATCCTTCACGCCCAAACGTCTACGAGGACTACAAGAACAGCGACGAGAAGTTTCTGGAAATCCGCGAGTGGAAGGATAGACTATATACCCACCGAATGGCTCGACCTTGGTCGAGTGACATGAGTAGTGATGGTGAATCCGGAGATACAAGGACGAGAAGTACGCCCCCTCTCAAATTGGTTGAGCATATGATTGACCCTTCATAAGATCGCTTTGCGCCTCCTGCTACGCTCTCCTTCGCACCGCCACCGCCCGCTCTTGACCATTCTCCACCACCACCACCACCTCCTCCTCCTCCTCCACCAATCGAGCTCATCCAGCCGTCTGATGCTGCCACCGGAGAGGATGCATACGCAAGACGTCTGCGGCTTGCGCAATCGGCTGAACACCAGCACCCTTCAGCTCAAGGAATTTTCCAATCCACGGCTGCTCCTCCGTCTCCACCAAACGAAATAGTACTGCTACCTCCTCATCCGTCGTTCGCAATTCCCGCAATTGAGCCCCTTCAAGCGTTTCCACCGGAAGGTGTCGCAACATCCCAGGCGAAAATATCTCGAGCTCCCGTTCGCTATAATCTCCCCCTGCCGCCTCCAGAAATACCCTCGACTGACGCCGAGCTCCAGTATGCTATTGACCATGAAGATCAAAGACTTGATGCCGCTCAGGTAGACGAAGAAGACGAGCCTCGCTCCCTACGTCCTGGGCAAAAAGGGTTCGCAGAACGCTTGATGTCCAAGTACGGATGGTCTAAGGGCTCTGGTCTAGGAGCCAGTGGGTCAGGTATCACCGCACCGCTACGCGTGCAGCTTGATAAGCAAAAGAAGAAGCCTGACTCTGAAGGTGGTGGGCTCGTAGGTCCCGGAGGTACTGGCAAGATCATTGGAGGGAAGAGGCAGGGTGGTGGAAATGCAGGGCAGGAGGGCAAGTTTGGGACAATGAGTGAGGTGATCGTTCTGAGAGGGATGCTTGAAGGTATGGACATTGACAAAGAGGTGGGTGACGGTGGCTTGATGCAGGAGATAGGCGAAGAGTGTGGTGAGAAGGTGCTTCTTGAAATCTCTATCTTCTTTTGAGAAGACCCTGACTGATGAATGCAGTATGGTCGCGTAGAACGCGTTTTCATCGATCGAAGCAGTCCTATTCAAGCCCCTGTCTTCGTCAAGTTCACGAGTTCGCTTTCTGCTCTTAGGGTAAGTATAACCACACGAGCCTCTGTTGAAAAGTGGAAGGCTGATCGTCTTGTAGGCTGTGAACGCTCTTGAGGCCCGGATCTTTAATGGGAACACCATAACGGCGAAATTTTTCAGTGCCGAAAAATTTGAGTCTAGCATCTACACATGATTCGCTGTCAATGTAGCATAGTGTTTACTGATTCTGGCCTGTGAGAATCGGCCCTCGAGGTTTGCTTATCTGCCTTCGCTGTTGTTGTCCATGCTTTGTTCATGCTCTTTGGCAGGGTGAAAACTTTGTTTGCCGCGTCGCTCTTTTCATGAGTCGTACTGGTCTACACAGGTGTTTCGACAGATGTTCAAAATTATGAGGAATACCAATTTTGGTCGCCTGTTGAGATAGGTCACAGAGCCCTCACAATAAATCTACTCCATCATCATGTTCTTCATTCTTTCATTAATATTGGACGCAAAGCGTCAGTGCAGAACTGATTCGCCTGCTTCGAGACACATGAACAGCATGGGTGAGATATAGATAGTGATTAGACCGGACATTTTTTTTAAAGCTAGGCCGTTCAGCCTTCAGCTCCTTTCCACGCTGGCCGACTGCCTAGGTTGCCTTTCTTTTCTTCCGTATCGATATGCCATACTACGTAATTGGGCAAGCCTACTACCTGGTATCCGGCTCGTTTCGCCATTTTTGCAAAGCCTTCGGTCTCTGCCTGATTCTCGAATGCATAGCAAGGGAAGTTGATCCCTAAGTAACTGTCAGCCAAGAACGCTCCGCAATCGTTCATCTGCAAGACTAAATTACCAGATCTGTGAACGTCCGCTTTCACGAGGATATTGACGCCGCCTATACCGTCCAACTCGACCTCTTCGTCTTTGTTATTGCGCCAATCTCCGAACTGAACGAGATATTTCCGCTTGGTGTTGTATTCTTTGTATCCTGCGAAAGATTAGCGGTTTTCGAAGAGAGCGAGATCATGAATGCGCGACCCACCTTCTGCAAGGACGGTATCCTTTGGAAGCGAGTCCGCAAGCTTGCGCCCCTGATCAGACTCTATCCAAGAATTGTAGTCAACTTTGAACGGTCAGAAAGGCTCATCATATATTCCCACGAACGGAGGACCTACATCTTCCTTCGATATCTCGTTGGTTCTCATAACGGTGGAACCAAATGTCTACACGATCAGTCAACAGCTCCCGATCGACGATTTACACCTCTCCACTCACTGGGTACTAGAACATCCTTGTTGTGGTCCATGAAATCTTCCAGTATCTTCGATGGACTGTCTTGGATATCCACGTCCCTCCAGTATACCCAAGAATGCGTCGGCTTTAACGCTGTGTAGAGTAGATAGTTTCTTGCTCTAGCGATTGCTTTTCGCCTCGGGCCTTGGGCTTCGAAGCCATGTCTTTCTGCTACATCCATCCCGACCATTGCTCCAAAATCTTTCTGCACGATGAGCGCGTCGTGAAACGGGATTTTATCCGTCCGCTTTTGAACTCTGTCTAATTCTGACGATAAAACCGCCAGCGTGTCATCTGTAGAATCTCCAACGAGAAATGCTAAATCTATCAAATCGTGGGGATATGTGAGCTCGGAAAGAAGGTCAAAGTATTTAGGGAGATAGGGGGCTGCGTCGCGCAGAGGGGTGAGGATAAGGACACGCTCTTCGTTGAGTCTAGCTCTTGGTGTAGAGTCTATGCCATTCAAGTCGACACTATGTATGAGTGCTGATTCGACTTCCATTGGAGCGTGGTGATTGAACAAGACTGGAGTCTGTAAATGCTGGTGCCACTGCGCTTGCTCATTCATTGACATTGCCATTGGCGGTTTCGCCGGTCCCCAGCAGTAGAATCTGTAAGTCGACGAATAATGGTAAGCTTTCTGTTTTGGTTTTTTGACCAAATGTACCTCTCTTCAAAGCATACCTTTGCATCTCGCGAGAAGAGGTACGTAAGCCTCCCCATAGTATGAGGATGATGACGACAACAGCAATGCCCGTGAGAGCTCTCGATTTATTCAGGTAATGCACAACTGCCCTGTATGGGGGCAGTCGAGCTTTGGCCGACTTCCAAGTGACACCACCTTTAGGAAGGAGCATGGCGTTGAACTTGTGGGTAGAAAAGGGGGTGACCAGCGGGATGTACAGGGAAGCTGCAATGCTTCAAGACCTAGGACCCTTTGATGACGGATGCATGTTTGGTGAGGACTGCCGAGGTGGCGATTCAATACAACCTATAGAGAGATATGTACGGCTATTCTTCATGGGCGGATAAAAGTCGTAGCTAGAGTTACAAATTTAGGGTTGAGCTCAGTCTTGTACCGATACGAGTTTTGACACGCCAGGTGTGTATGCCACGCCTTGCGCTTTATCTTTCCACTGATTATTTTGATATGGGCAAGCCACAGTCTACATTAAATCTACGTAGAGTCCGGCAATATAGTCGAGTGTATGAATAGCGCAAAGAGGCACGAATTGAGCACCAGCGCCTGCGTAATCTATCGTCACCTATCTTATATCTGGGCTACACAAACGCTGAGATCAAGGATCGACTGCAAAACACCATAGGCTGAGGGTGAAAAGCACGGGAGCTGTTGAAGTGGTATTTTCTGGGAGAAATGAAGCCCTAGGAGAGAGAAGACGTGACCAAAAGTGTGACTGCCTGACAACACTTCGTATATTATTAGAAGCTATTACTTTTCTTCCCTCTCCTCCACCAGCTCGTAAAATGGTGGGATTTCAAGGACGGCGCAAGCCAGGTATGAAGAGAGCCAGACATAACACCCGGAATGCATGTAGTACCAAGCCCACCTTGCCATTGCAACGCCAGAGACAAGGGTTTGTAGACATGAAAACCATATTTGAGTAAGCAATCTATCCTTCGTGCCTCCAGCACTGAAGCATTCTGCTGAAACGCACGTGTCCGTCAAACAATGCTGCGCCAATACAGCAGTCTAAATGAAAGTCGCTCCTAAGAACCTGTGATCCATCATGCAATGATTTTGTCCGCGAAAGTTGATGGAAGCGCCAAAGCCCAGAATTCTCACCCATCCATCCACATTTACAGTGCCATCTGGAGCAATCCAGCGATGAAAGAGGTGCCACCAACAAGCGCAGGGAGATTGACGGCATTGAAGCCAGCAGCGCCTGTTGGCTTGGCGCCGCTGCCGGTCGAGGATGGCTTGGTACCCTGTCCACCTGGTTTAGATTGTTGACCTGCACATTGATATTTTCCCTTGATCTTGGTCTTTCTGGCATCATCAAACGGCTTGCAATCGAATTCAGCCGATGTCTGCAAATTGAAGGCCCCTCGGACCTGACTCAGATTTGGCAGATCAAGCCTAAGGGAACTTTAGCAATGCATTGAGAAAGAAAGGAATACGACATACTCAGAGAAGTTTCCACTCAGATCAAAAGAGGCAGTGACGACTGAAAGCTTCTGAATTCCATCAATCTTCTTAAGGTTGGTATTGTTGGCGATCTGGAAGCTGGCATTGATTGTTGTCAAGCCTGGGATAGAGATGTTGGACAAGGCAGCATTCTCGACAAACACCAATCCTCCCGTGGTCGAAAGATTAGGGGCAGCAAAAGATTCGAAAGAATTCCCGTAGAAACCGAGGTATTGAGAAACATTGGTGAGCGCAGGAAGCGACACAGAGCTGCAGTTACGAAAGGTCATGTTCATGGCCGACTCAAGCTGAGGGAATGAGGCATCCGTGCCGTTTTGATCACCGTTGTTGGCTTCAATCCTGATCGCATTTTTAATGCTTGAAATTCCAAGGCTGACGTTTTGCAGGCCGGGGTTATTGTTGACGTTGAAGCTGTTGATAGTGTCTAATTTATCCAGACCCTTGAGAGTGGTCAAGCCAGTGTTGGTGATCAGTATGCTTTGAGACTGAGTGACCCCGGTGTTGCCGAAGGAGAACTGTTGTAATGCAGGAAGGGCCGTGAGGTTTATCCGATCTATTGACTGTATTTGTGGCAGCGATAACTCCGAGAGAACCGTCAAACCGCCGAGCTGTAGGCCGCTGACTTCTTGAAGGTCTGGAAAAGATAGGCTGGCCAGGTTGATAGCGCTGTCGACTGTGACGTTACCCACAATCTTTTCAACGCCCTGTATGGAGAGCCCGTTGTGACCACTAGAATCCTGAGCATCTGAAACATCTGTTGGGATTGCAACGGAGCCGCTGTAAGTTGTGCAAGAGCCAATTTGACTCGCATCAGCGGATTTGGTGATGGTCAGGGTGGCACTGTTACTGCATTGGCCTTGCAGTCAACGAGTTAGCATGATTCCTGATGAAGCCATTCGGCAGGTGATTGGAAGATGAGCATGGTGAGTGAGGACGTACCTATGGCGCTTCCTGCCAACGCGATGGTTGGAAGGAGATATTTTGTGATGGCCATTGCGTGAAATATACGTCTATGGTGATAACTATCGCGGGATGGTTAGCATCGAAGAGCCTGGCGGATGGATGACGAAAAAATCCAGTGTAAACACGAAGCCCGTTCAGCAATCCCGTCACCAGAAAAGCACCCACCTTGAAAGCAATTGAATTAGAGCTACAATGGTCGAAGAGAGATGGTAACTCCCAGATGAATGTCGTAGATGATGGATGGTGAAGAGGAGGTAAAGTTGCTGGGTGGTCCTAACAGATTGGAGCGAGTGTAGAGAAGGGGGAAAATGTTAAAAAGCAAGCGCGAATTAAAGTATTAGGAGCTGCTACCTGAGAAACACTCAAGGAAGGCGCAACCCGTTGAAGATGGCAACCAAATGCCAGGAAGAACGAGAGGCAGGAACGATGTGGACGTCGTTCGATGGAAGAGGAATGAGAAATGAAGAGTGAATGGGATTGGGGGAGACGGGATCAGGAGAATTTGGCAGTTTGGGGGCAGGGAGTATTTTCAGAAAAAAAAAAGAAAAATTGGCGGGCAGAAAGGGGCTTAGGGTGGTTTAGGGTTGCCGCTGGTGCTTTTTTGCCCGTAGAGAGCGTAGAGACGGTACATGCCCTCCTAGTGCTAGCTCATGCAGTACGACTCGGGCAGGTGTCCTAAGCGTCCGCTCCAACGCCTGGGTCACTGGCATCGCTAGTACTAGTCCGACTTAAACTGACGCCGTATCTTCCTAGTCGCCTTGAGGTGCCCCATTCCGACTTCCTATCATCCCTGTTTGATTGGACAGGTCCTTCCGCTATCACTCCCACCCCGGGTACGTTTCGTCTGCTTGGGGAGCCAGCGAGATTGGCATCATCAAAACTGATGAGAGAGCTATTATTCCTCACCAGGTCTACATAGCGGAACCCCAAAGGTCTTCAATCGGCCTTTTGATGGGCGTATCAGCATCACAAACACGCCTGGACTTCGCTAAATGGAGGGGCCACCATGGGTGGTGGCATGTTTGCAGAAGTAGGTGGGGAAAAGCACGTATTTCAATACAAATGGACTTGGTCCTATCCCCGACCAAGCTTTGTCTCCGAATTGCAGCTGCATCAAGGCTACCGCGCTACATGCCCGATAACGGTTTTTAATTTGTAGAATTGCACCCATTTCAACCTCAAGACGACTCCAAGGGCCATGAGCGAGCGACTTGTTATCATACCACGTCCAATTGATTTTGTTGTGAAGGTGCATTGGGAGGGAAGACTGAGACAATGCAAGTTCAGCCATGGAGGCCCCGCGGTCGCATATATCACTTTCGAAGGAGCAGTGGCCAGCATAGATCGATCTAGAATCGGTTGCCGCAAGACTGCAAAACCTCGTATTCAGTGCCACCCTGATCCACCAACTCTGCACTGTTACCAGTTGCCACAGCCCACAGCAGAGGCCAAAGTGGTACGTTTACGCGTCTTTTTGCAACTCGGTATCTCCCTGCCAGAGCGAAAAGATGAACTACGAAAGCAGCGTGAGCAAGACGCTGATGAAACTCCTTTATTGGCATTTATTCATATCCTGGTCTCCCGAATGGAAACTAGACCATTTCGATGATGATCGCCACTCAAAGCAGCTTCTGACTAATCGCCTCAAATGCTCACCCCCAATTTCGGCCTTGGCTACAGTGACGCCAGTCATTTATTCGAAACTCATACTCGTAAGCATCCGTGTTTTGGAGTCATTTGGGGTCGATCTCTCCGGATCAAGGACTTAGTCTGAATGCGGTTAACGAATTACTAAGTAGAGTGGCTTCTCGATTTTGAGAGCAACTTCAGGCTTCAAAATTGCATATACGGGGCCTGGCCGCTCGACACGACATGAATGCGCAATTCTTCTATGATAGGTGTCTTCGGTAGTGTATTGGAAAACTGCAGAATGGCGGCCAACCGCATTTTGAGAAGTGCCACGCAGCCGGTCAAGACTGCAGCAACATTGAGTTCCGAACAGAGAGCTGAAGAGGCCGGGCTACGTCGAACGAGCGTACCAAAAGAAAAGCGCGTTAGACCAGCGCTGAAGCGTAAGCCAGAGAGAGAGCTTCAAACATCGCCGAAGAGAGTCCAGATTACAACTCCTATCAAACAAACACGACATGGGCCACTGGAAGTTACCAAAGGCCACGCTTCTTCAACCAGCTCTCTTGATAGGCCAGCCGAGCCGTACCGCACGAATGTTCCTCTGGTGACTCCGAAAGGTAGCCATTTAGTAGCCTATTCAAAGGATACGGCCGACATGTCGCCGTCAAGGACCAACCTTCCAAGACCAAGGACGACCATCGGCCACATTCTCGAGGAGGCCTGCGCTCACCTCGTCACAATGGAACCGAAGCTCAAGTCGATCATCAAACAGCATCATTGTCGGATGTTCTCTCCAGAAGGACTGACTGAGGAGTGCGACCCTTTCAAAAGTCTTGCGAGCGGCATCATGGCCCAACAAGTGTCTGGAGCAGCTGCTTCATCGATAAAGCGGAAATTTGTGGGGCTTTTTCAGCCTCATCCAACGTATAAAGAAGCCGAAGATGACCTCAAGTTTCCAACTCCAGAGCAAGTCGCTTTGTGCAGTATTCCATTTCTGCGTCAAGCTGGTCTTTCCGAAAGGAAAGCAGGTGAGACTGTATTCTTTCAATTAGGCACGAATTCAAAGCCCTGACTTAAAATGTTACAGAATACATTCAGGGGCTAGCGGCAAAATTTGCGAATGGAGAGCTCAGCGCTGCGATGCTGGTCAACGCAAGTGATGAGGAGATTATGGAGAAGCTAACAGCGGTACGCGGCTTAGGACGTTGGAGTGTAGAGATGTTCGCATGTTTTGGTTTAAAGCGCATGGATATCCTGTCTACTGGAGATCTGGGGGTGCAGTGAGGACGTCGCAGCTTTCGGCGTCATTTCGCTGATACTGTCACAGACGAGGCATGGCCGCATTCATGGGCAAAGACGTAAGTAAGTTGAAAGCAAAGGGAGGTGGAAAATGGAAATATATGTCGGAAAAGGACATGCTTGAGATGGCTGAAAAATTCGCGCCGTACCGGTAGGTCACTACCCTCTGTGTTCATTTGTTGCCATTGACTTCTCTTGCAGTAGCGTATTCATGTGGTACATGTGGAGGGTTGAGGGTGTCGACGTCAATGTTGTCGAGGAATCGTAATAGCAATACGGACAGCGTGCCTTGAACGAGCGTCTTGCCTCGCAAGAAAAGATCCAGATTGAGAATCATACATTGGCGGTTACAATCTGTCTCGAAATTTCCACTGCTTCATTGCGGGAGCTTCTTCTTACTAATGACCATTGCTTCTAGATCATCTCTTTCTTTTGACTCGGATTCAATTTCCTCAATAATTGGCGTAAGGTAGGGGTAGTCCTTTCCCCAGCATTAGACTTTGAAATTACCACGCTAAAGGAAAAGGAAATACCTCGTCAGGCGTCGTCTGCTGGTCTTTTGGTAATAATTGATGGGCAAGGGAGCACTGCAGCAAGACATTAGATTGGTAATAAGACATCTTTGGACGTTCTGCGCACTTGAAAAGCTCTCCGTAAACGAAAAACGCGATCGTAGGCTTCTTTCGGTGGAAGTCGCTTCAGCGCAAGCAAGACCGTGTCGTTCTCCTCTGGAATAAGGTCGTCCGCTCTGAGTTCCCATACGATTAATCTCTGGTATATATGTAGGACGGTCCAATCATTTGGCCAATTACCTCAACCCGAGCTTTCGATATCCCGCAGCATCAGCGTACCAATTTGCCAGAGGCATCATCCACCTCTTCAGCCATGGCCGTCGAATGATGAATTTTGTCAGTGTTGGTGCCGACATGCTGAAGAACCTCAGGGGGACTGAATGGCAGGAATAGATGTAAGTATGGCAGTCGGGGTATTTAAGCGAAACAGGTTACTCTATCCGCGATCCCGCACCGCAAATCGATTACCGCCAAGAGCAGAGCTCATCTCTCTCTCTCGCAACCACGGCAAACGGTCTCTATTGCGCTGACCACTCTGACAGAGGCCCTATATTCCCGAGATAGCCTTCAATCCTTCAAGCTAGTCTTCGCTACTAGGGATACATATATCTCCCAGCCATGATTCCTCGGTCTGTCTAGCAGACTCTTCCCAAACGCTGCGGGGTCGCCCCAGAATGCACGAGACCGGCGCCCAGATACCACAATTACTCCCCAATGCTACAGCCCAGATGGAACTCTAAAGTGTAGCTTGCAATGTCCTATGACCGCCCCTCTACGGCGCCGATTACTACTCAAAGCGCCGACAAAGCGAGTGTTAGCCCACCTTACACGGCACGGGAACGTTTTGCACGGCGATTACCATCAGAGTTTGTCGTCCCAATATCTGGCGGTATCTCGGGAGCTGTAGCTGGCCTGGTTAGTTGCCCATTGGATGTAATCAAGACAAAGTTACAGGCACAAGGTGGCTTTAGACGATCAAGAGGCGGGGTTGAGGTTACCGCAGCTGCATATAGAGGTGTTGCTGGTTCTGCTTCGACAATATGGAAAGAGGATGGCATCAGAGGAATGTATCGAGGACTAGGCCCCATGTTGTTGGGCTACATTCCGACATGGGCGGTTTATTTAACAGTATACAATAAAACACAGGCTTTCTTTCGAACAAAAACTGGTAAGCTGATTTGACGCAGCTGCTTCGTCTTGAACGCTAAGAAAGGTGTAGACAATTGGTTCATCGCCAATGTGTATGCCTCACTAAGTGGAGGCGCATGCTCGACATTGGCTACCAATCCTATCTGGGTCATTAAGACTCGGCTAATGTCCCAGTCAAGCTCAAGAGAAGACAAAACTCACTCGAAAGCCCCGTGGCATTACCGTAACACGATGGATGCTGCCCGCAAGATGTACCTTCACGAAGGAATCTTGTCCTTTTACTCTGGCTTGACGCCGGCTCTACTTGGCTTAGCTCACGTTGCCGTACAATTCCCGCTATACGAGGTCTTCAAAGAAAGGTTCACTGGCCTGGGTAAAGGTGTAAACGAGTCTGCTGAGGATCGGAGCCATCACTTTTACGGGCTCGCTGGGGCGGTTTTCTTAAGCAAAGTTTGTGCGAGCACCGCAACGTATCCGCACGAAGTTGTGCGTACCAGGCTTCAGACTCAGCAACGATCGAGTATAACACCCTCTGCAAATTCATTGCATCGCAATGGTATTGCGAAAGCAAGTGATCGTGGCAAACCGCCAAACCTCATTCCACCAGCCGTTCAAATACTCCAAAGTAAAGGCACCTGGCAGACGTGCAAGATCATTTACATGGAGGAAGGCTGGAGAGGCTTCTATGCCGGACTTGGGACGAACCTTATTCGCGCAGTGCCGTCTGCCATGACGACCATCTTGACATTTGAGTATCTGAAAAAAACTTTCTTCTATATGCAACGCGATCACGATGACCCAAATGGCACACGGGCAGCCGCGGTGACTTAGTATTTCTCGTAGAACAGAGCTAAAGCTCTTCTCGTGGTGATATGCGGAAGAATATCATATTATTATTTCTATGGACTCGTTACTGCATATTCGTCCAGACACAACAAACGACATGGTATTCGTCACTAGACGGCTAGTCGTTACCATCTCGACAGAGTTATCAGCATTTATAGTGAGGTTATGTTTCCCCTTTGCCAAATAGGCGTTACCTGGAACGGCGTGCGCTAGACCTGTTGGTGTGGGCAAGCGTCTTTAGTTTCCAAATAGTGTATATAGTACTACAGCATCAGCTCCTGTGAATCATCGCTACCCGGTATGCCAATTCTTCTGTGAGACAGCTTGTGCAAGCTGTTTTTGCAGATATTTCTCATTCTTGTCGCCTCTGGCTTTGATTGCACCGAGTCCCATCGGCTTTTCAAAGCTTTGCGTTTGGCACTCCAAGTGTCAAGCTCGAGTAGCCAGACAGCAGAGGTGTCACGATCGAATAGAGATGGATGCAGAGACAGCGCCGTCAGCTACCTAGCCTTTCCCTCTTGAGCGGGTGGAGGTCTTGCGGTGGCTAATGGTTTGCATTTCATCTTGAGGATCGCTAAAGAACTTTACAGCGCCTTTTAACATGACACAAGATTCTCACAGAATTGCGCGACAGTGTCGTGTGGAAGGTAGAGCAAGAGTGATAGAAATCCGATGGGGTGTAGATGATATCAGATCTAAATAGATTAAGTTTGTAGATAGAGTACTGTCACGCCAGGCCGTTTATGGAAACGCGTGCTCTTGATTTTTGGGGGGAATTGTTTTAGTTGGTTCTACACAAATGCAAGGTTCATTTTGTGATCAAGCCTCACCAGGCCTCTCCAATTTGGACAATGAGAAGGTTGGCTTCAGTGGGCTTTGATACTAGAAGATACCTGAAGATTCGCCCTCTGGGTCAATGCACAAGGCAGCGGTCGTTCAATGACATTGCAAGCCGCCGGTCCAAAGCCTCTTCGTCCAGCAAACAAAAGACTCGATCGGTTGTGGTAGTCACGAGTGTAATAGGAGCCGCTGGACTAGCTCTGCTCGCGCGAGATGCGACACGAGACAAAATAGGCCATGTCTTCTCGGCAGCTCGGAGGACTGGACGAGTCGTTGGTACACTTGTGCGTTGCATCTTGGAGTAAGTGTATGGACCCTGCCAAAACGATTTAACTATTGACATTATCTCTAGCTACCAAAGGACTCTCAGGATTCCCACCGAAAATAACGAGCACTATGACATTGAGTTGAGTGCCTGTCATCAAAGATGTGCCGAGCGGGCCCTGAAGGTGATGGAGAGCAATGGCTCCATTTTCATTAAGCTCGGCCAACATCTCAGCAGCATGGACTATCTTCTACCGCGTGAATGGACCACAACATTCATTCCGCTGCAAGATCAATGCCCTATTTCGTCGTTTGAAGCAATTGAGAAATTGTTTGTGAAAGATATAAATCAATCGGTCGAAGAGATATTTGAAACTTTTGAGAAGGTTCCGACTGCTGCAGCATCCTTAGCTCAGGTTCATCTAGCTACCTTGAAGAACAGCAAAGAGAAAGTTGCTGTTAAAGTTCAGCATCCCATACTTGAAGAATGGGTTCCCCTAGACCTAGCCTTAACTCGACTCACATTTTCCGCACTCACGTGGGCTTTTCCAAGTTATAATATGACATGGCTCTCTAAGGAGATGGAGATCTCTTTACCCCAAGAGTTGGATTTTACTTTGGAGGGGGCTTTCGCCATGCAAACCAAGAAACATTTTGAGTCTTTGAGTGACTATCCCTTGGTAGTGCCGGTAGTCAATTGGTGCTCGAGAAGAATCCTTGTCATGGAATACATCGCTGGTCGTAGGCTTGACGACCTTGAATATCTTGACACCAATAATATTGACCGCGACGAAGTATCGGCAGCTCTTGCACGTATATTCAACGAGATGATATTTGGAAATACACCCCTCCATTGTGATCCTCACGGTGGCAATATTGCCATCCGGAGAAGTACTCGGAGGATGAAGAGGCACAACTTCGATATTATACTCTACGATCACGGCCTTTACAGGCACATTCCATTGGAATTGAGTCGCAACTATGCAAAGCTATGGCTCGCAGTGATGGACTCAAATGAACAGAAAATGCGCGAGTACTCTTACCGGGTCGCAGGAATCACCGATGACCAATTTCCTCTGTTTGCAAGCGTAATTACTGGACGAGATTATATGAGTGCAACGCAATCAATCGTTTCGAAAAGGACGGCGCAAGAAAAAGAAACCATTTCCAGTGCGATGGGAGATGGCTTGTTCAGAGAGCTAGTCCAATTGCTAGGGAACGTACCACGACTTATTCTACTCCTCTTGAAAACAAACGACTTGACCAGAAGCTTGGACGAAAACCTCCATACCAAAGAAGGCCCAACTCGAAATTTCCTGATACTCGCACGTTATTGTAGCCGGACCGTCTTTGAGGAACAGCGAGCGCTCGTTCGGCAAAGTGGGAGATTGATCCACCCTATGAATATCCTCAAACTTCTGGCAGCCTGGGGCAGCTTTTTGAGGGTTGAACTACAATTGTCTGTGTATGAATGGTATATCTTCTTGAGACGATTTGTAGGTTCATCGGCTTTATACCAGCCGTAAGGGTCTTGGACCGCAGAAAGAAGCGGCACGTTCATCACGCAAAGAAAGAGTTGTGGGCACTCTTCTGAAACGAAACAACGGATTGCGTCAAATCTTGCTCTCCTCATTACGGTCCTTGGCAGAGATTTGCCGCAGGGAGGGGTTGGTATCACTTCAAATTATTTAAAGGTGAAAAGATTATGCCGTGTAACCCGATACATACAGAGGCTACAACCAGCTCAGGACAAGCATTAATTTCTTGACTTCGCCATGGAAGACCAGGTCAATCGGCTAGTCAGCAAGACGTGGGGTACGTCATAGCGAATCATCTAAGCGCCTCCTAATGACTTTTGACAGAGAGCTACGAGAACTTACCTACTTCCGAACGACTTCTAATTGCTATTTCCGGCATTCCAGGATCAGGTAAATCGTCCGTGCTTTTATACGAACTCGTTCACCTTGCTTAACAGAACGCAGGGAAAACAACCCTAGCCAGTCTTGTTGCCTCTAAACTCAACGATATCCATAACGAAAGGGCTCCAGGATGTGCACATACGCCGGTCGCAGCCTTTGTTCCGTTGGACGGCTATCATCTTTCCCGCGCACAGCTTTCTGCCATGCCAGATCCTTCGACAGCTCATGCCCGCCGTGGAGCTGCTTACACGTTTGACGCATCTGCTTTCCTTCAGCTAGTCAAGACTTTGAGGGAGCCCCTAGCTCCCGAGACGAAAGTCCACTATGCGCCTTCATTCGATCATGCCATGAAGGACCCAGTTCACGGAGACATTCCAATACATCCTACAACAAGAGTCGTTATCTTCGAAGGCAACTACCTCAGTTTAAACAAGGGCGATTGGAAGGAGGCTGCTGCAATCATGAATGAACTCTGGTTTGTCGAAGTAGACTTCGCAATGGCGAGGAGAAGATTAGTTGCTAGACACTTGAAAGCGGGAATTGCGAAGGATGGATCGGAGGCTGGTAGAAGAGCAGACCATAACGATCTGGTCAATGGGAGAGAGATTGTAGACGATCGCCTGGAGGTACAAGAGGTAGTGACGAGCACGGAGGATGTAACTTGGAGAGCAGAGGCTCAAATGTGGGAATGACTATTGGTGACATTCTTCTGACTCAAATTCAAGAAAATCTCTCCACTCGAGAAATCATAGGAAGCAAATATTTTAACCATAGATTTATAGTATACACTCTGCCAGCAAGGTCCGTAGGCAAATGGTGAATAGACCTGCCGCTATTCGAAAGACCGAGACAACCTTACGCTTTTGGCTCTACTGTCTTGCTCTCGATTCTAGTTTAAGAATCTGTGAAAATCCGATCCACAGATCCTAGCTTGTAAATTACACTAAGCAAACGAATTGTTTAACCATTCTCTTTATAGCTCATTTAGAGCCGCTCGCGTCCAGCACGAACGCCGCTCGTTCGCTGTAGCCCAGCAACCGCATGGTTCTCCTCCTCGATCTGCCTTTCTAGCCGACGCAGAGTTGCTTCGAGTCTCTGCAGCTCAGCTTCTCGCTCGAGGCTCCGGCGATTTGACGCTGAGTGCTCACTACCGTGCGCCCTGTGACTGTCCAGTCTGGTCGAAAGAGACTGGATTCTGTCAAGGTGCTCGTCTGCCCTATGCCCGGTGTCTCCGGCCCTGGGAGGCCTATGCGAATGCGAAGATTCCATCGATGATTCTGCTGAGTATTCTCGGTCTGAATTCTGGGCGTCCATGACGGGGCACGGCTCGATCTCGGCAGACGATGAAGGTGCGGTGAATTGAGTTCCATAAGAGGATGAAGAAGAAGCGCTGAGATTTGAGACGGAGCCGAAAGAGGAAGTAGATGTGGATGGGGTAGCCCTATTAAAGGACGAGTGCAGGCTTGGCACTCGGTCGTCGGGGGTTATGTTCGTCAGCATGGTCTCCCAGCTTATGCCTTCTGGGCTGAAACTGCGTTCTCGATCGCCTAGCCCATCTAGATCGTCTCGACTTAAAGGATTAGGATGAGAAGGATGGTGTCTACGCCGAGACGGAGGTATGTGGTCAAGGTCGTGGCTGAGGATTGCTCTGGCAATCAAAACTTCCACCCTTTCTTTGATTGCATTAACAACCTCCGATTCCGTGAGCAGATACTCCGGCGTCAATCGGCTGCTACTGCGCGAGATCATGGAATTGACGTTAGATAGCATAGAGTCGAGATCGTTATCATGACGATATCGTTCCACACTCTGAAGGTCACTGACGCGAGCGGCAAGACCGGTGAGATCGACCATTCTTTCAGAACGTCTCAACTCCATGTCGAACAAGTCAGGACGATGCGCAGGTGGAAATCCAGGGGTGTAGGGGGCGTCACGAGGTCGGTTGACAGGCCTGTAGACCGGACTTTGGCGCTGCGATTCTCTTTGACTATACGGTGGAGTGAGTCTGTATCTTTGCACAGATGAACGAAGCCTAGATGAAGACGACGTAGGGTTTTCGAAAGGGTATTCCGACATGGCGTCTCCTTCTCTAGAATGGCTACCAGGGCCCGTCCGAGTGGTTGTGGGGGTCGCGCGCGCGCTTTCGCTCTCCATGCGACTACGAAAAGTCTCTTGCCCGTCCGTGACTTCTGCAGCATTTGGATTTCTTACAGCTTCATACTGCGCAATGGACGCTTCAAGCTCGTCGATTTCATTGAGCGACGCGTGATGCTCAGTACTTGCGCCTCTCCTACGGATGTCCTCCAGCAGAGATCTCCGCGGGTCTAGTGGGTGCCGTATGCTATTAGACCCAGCATTCTGGCGGCGACTGGAGAGCTGCGCTGATGATTGCCTGTGCAATCGCGTACCGGGGCTGTATCTCACGGTTCGCTGCCGTCGTATCGTAGAGCGCGCAGTCACAGTAGGGTCTGCGTTGGCCGCGATTTTAGATTCGGCCTCGTCAGGCTCAACGAACATACTGGAAAGGTGGAATTAGCCAAGCGTGAAGCCCGAAATTTGGGTGGGACCTTTCAAATGACTGTCAAGCACCGTGATGATGCAAGAGTAGGCGCAACCATCATCGTGACTAAAGCTCAATCGCAACTCACCGTAAACCCATGGCGCGACGACAGCGCAAGACGCTATACGATTGACGTCGCGACCAGCACAGAAGAAACGCCTTGATAGGTGCGGGGAAGGAGGAGCGATCGAAAGACGTGAGAAGATATTTTGTTTATGCGACCAGGCAAAAGGCTGGAATGAGGGAATCAGGCTAAATTGCTTCAGGGATGCGCGACGGTCGGGTGGCAGGCGGTAGTCTTGGAGTGCGGGATTAACTTTACACTACTGGTTTAGTCTCTTCCGTCCCGCATCTTATCAGTCGCTAATCTCACGCTGTCCGCCTTTCGAGTTCATAGGGCTCGCGCTTTGTTTTGTATCACGTTGATTGTCAGAGTCGGATAGAAATGGTTCATCACCGACAAAGGATTCTCTAAGACCCAGATCACTGTTCCTAGGCCTCACGGCGCCCCTCCTCGCGTCGTCAATCGAGCTTCTTCTTTGTCAGTTGCCGAGTGACATGACTCGGAGATGACATGATTGAGCTGGGGCTCCACCGCATCGCACGTTTATTGAGACATTCTCCACAAACATGGAAGGCTATTCATGTAGCTGGGACCAACGGCAAAGGCTCCGTCTGCGCCTATGCTTCAGCAATGCTACACGCGGGTGGCATTAAGTGTGGCAGATTTACTTCTCCGCATCTTCTGGACCGGTGGGACTGCATTACGGTTGATGAACAGACCGTCTCCGCAGACCTCTTTCACCGAGTTGAAGCAGCTGTCAAAGTAAAAAGTGAAGAGGAAGGCATCAGAGCTTCTGAGTTTGAGATTCTTACTGCCACCGCCTTCGAAATCTTCAACGAGCGTGATGTTGAAGTAGGGGTGGTCGAAGTTGGCTTGGGAGGCAAGAACGATGCTACCAACGTCCTCCAGCAGTCAGCGGTCACTGTCATCACCAAGATAGGTAAGGACCATCAAGCCCTTCTTGGCAACTCGCTTGAAGAGATTGCGGCCCACAAAGCTGGCATCATCAAGCCGCATGCATTGTGCATAGTGGATGGAAGCAATCCTCCCGAAGTGCTCGACGTGCTCCGGCAATCTGCAGAGAGCTTTCACGCTGCAAGGTTCTCCATTGTTCCGAAGGACTACTCAGACGAAGATCGTGAATTCTTACATCTACTTCCTTTAAAGCATTTTGAAGCACACCAAGTCATGAATATCCAGCTCGCTCTCACCTCTGTGAAAGGAATTCTTCAACGAAGAAGCGCCGATATTTCTCCTACACATCTAGCCAAGGCCATAGAAAGTGTCTCTTGGCCTGGCCGATTACAAATGATTAATCTCCGCAAAATTACCAAGCATGTCTTTGACGTGCTTCTTGATGGTGCACACAATCCGCAGTCGGCGGAGGTACTTGGCTCTTATGTCGATAGACGTCTTCGTCAGACCGGTGTTCCCGTGACTTGGCTGATTGGCATTTCGGCCGGTAAGGATGCGGGTGAATTGCTTTCGAAGCTTCTAAGACCCGGTGACAATATTGTTGCCACCGCTTTTGGACCTGTGGATGGTATGCCTTGGGTCCATCCCATGGACCCACATGACATCGTCAGTATTGCAAGCTCTACCAATCCAATAGGTCGTACTATTGCTGCTACGAAAGGGGCCCCAAACGCTCTCCAAATAGCTGCAGACATAGCTAACGAAGGCCAAATTGTGATCGCAGGCAGTTTGTATCTTGTATCTGACATCCTGCGCCTTCATAGAGAACCTCCTAAACGACTAAAATGATTATCACTGGGGACCAAGTACATAGAGAAACATATTGTAGATTGGAAACACTGCTGGGGCAAATTACCGCTAGTGAAAGTAAAGGTAGACACGTCACTTCCACGCGCAAGAGAATCAATCAACTTTAACACTGCTCACCTGTCAAGCTTGTACATTGATTAAGAGCCTCTCTACCCTACCACTCGTAAGTAGTAAACTTGATAGGGGATGCTGACGCTCGAGGTTGATTGAAGCAAGATGATGGTCCTCGTCGCGCCTATCAGAAAAGCCAATGTAGCAGCGCTCGGGATGCCTCCCAAACGATTGCAGTCGTGCCATCATTTAACTTTCAGCAATGCTTCTTATAGGCTATACCACTATGTGAGATGTTGATGGGCTTGTTCAGGACGGCTCAAGAGCTCAAGGCTACACTGCAACCCAGTCTACGACCGAAGGAGTCATGGAGACTCAAATGGTGGGCGAACTTGCATTGAAAGAGGAAGAAGAAGAAGAAGCATTTCAAGGCTTCGGAGAACCTTCAAGAACTACTGATTCGAATGACAAAGAAGACGCTAGGCAGATAGAGGGAACAGGCATCTCGCGCCCATCTCGACAGGCGTCCAAAGTACCTATTCAGGATGGTGAACTCAAAGACTACCAGCTTGGTGATTGCCTAGGTAAAGGTGCCTTTGGTTCGGTCTATCGAGCACTCAATATGGGAACTGGCGAGACCGTGGCCGTGAAGCAAATTAGACTTGCAGATCTTCCAAAAAGTGAGCTGAGAGTCATCACCCTCGAAATCGACCTTTTGAAAAATTTGGATCACCCAAACATTGTCAAGTACCGTGGCTTCGTGAAGTCCTCACATTCTCTCAATATCATCTTAGAATATTGTGAGAATGGCTCGCTGCATTCCATTTCTAAAAATTTTGGCAAGTTTCCGGAGAATCTTGTCGGAATATATATGTCCCAGGTCCTCCATGGGCTGCTCTACCTCCACGAGCAGGGTGTCATACATCGTGACATCAAGGGTGCAAACATTCTGACGACTAAGCAAGGACTTGTGAAGCTTGCGGACTTCGGCGTTGCTACTCGTACCACAACATTTCATGAATCTAGCGTTGTGGGCACACCATATTGGATGGCTCCAGAGGTGATTGAACTCTCCGGTGCCACTACAGCATCTGATATCTGGAGTCTGGGATGCACCGTGATAGAGCTTCTGGACGGTAAACCCCCATACCATAAGCTGCAGCCTATGCACGCACTCTTCCGTATTGTCAACGATGATCACCCACCTCTTCCAGAAGGTGCCTCCCCTGTTGTTCGTGACTTTCTTATGCAGTGCTTTCAAAAAGACCCAAACCTTAGGGTTTCGGCCAGGAAGCTTCTCAAACATCCGTGGATTGTCAACGCCAAGCGCTCGGACAGTGAAGTTCCTAAGAAGCCTACCGAGTATACTCAAGCTGTCAAGAGCGTGCAAGAGTGGAATGAGGCTCTGAAATCCCCGAAACAAGGATCACTCCGAAAACCCTCTCGGACTATGTCCCCAGGTCCGGTACCCAACCGCCGCGAAGTTGCCCCCCAAGTGTTGGCGCCAACTAGGCCTCTTTTTGATGCAGCCAAAAGTCGCGTCACTACTCAGCCCTTCAGGTCTCCTAACACTTCTGCGGATGACAATTGGGATGACGATTTCGAGTCTGCCCCATCCCCAAATGCCCTGCGCCTTCCTCATGTCAAACTACAGGACCATTTTGGTGGGCTTCTATCAGCCGAGAAGCTACGGGCTTTTGCCTCCTTTGAAACTCTAGCAGAGGAATCTCTTCAAGATGTCGAAAATTTCGAGCCAACAATCAAGAACACAATTAGACAAGCAGATTCCGACCCACTTGAGACTATCAGGCCTCCTTTCCTTTCTAACCAGTCTGCAAAGGAAGGGAAAGCCCCTCACAAACGTCATGGGAGTCGAAATATACTTTCCGACCCAAGGCAGAACTCAGTAGCCCTACCGAACAAGCAGAATGTTAAAGATCGCTGTCAAGACCCAAAACAGATTCCGAAGTCTACAGAATCCTTCGTAGAACCAATCGAAGAGGATTATTCCGACTTGATGATTGAAGATGCAACATTCAGCAATCGAGCTGGACATCGTCGGGTAAGCGAAAAGGAAAAGCCTTGAATCCAGTCGTCTTTGACTAACACAGTCGTTCAGCGTTCTGAGCGTACATCGCCAAAGCTCCACCACCCCTCGAGTTTAGACCTTTCCACTTACTCCGTACCGTCCGCGAAAGTAGGTGGTAGTCTCCGGCGACCGTCATCTTCCTCAAAGCAGCCAATCATGCGGAGAACACGATCTTCTGTTGAGATCCAAAGATTCGCCGAAGACGAACATGATGAGGACTTCTCTGATGTTTTCGGCAAGACTAGCGGCTCTCACCCTAAACCTCCGAGCGACAAAGGCTCGCATTCTGACGGTGCAACCCTGATGCTGAGTTCGAAATTGTCTAACAACTCTTGGCTTGGAGATGACGACGATGAGGATGATCCTTTCGCGCTTTTGGAGGAGGGTTTCGATGAAATGGACCTTGAAGCCAACGTAGCCCGTGATAAGTATGCTAGAGTTTGTACTCAAGTAGAAGGTCTAGTAGGCTCGTTGAAGACAACTCAAGCAGACGACTTGCTTGCAGATATCTCTGAGCAATTGCTCGAGATCCTTGCTGATCTTCCCGAAACTAAAGGGGTCGTTGTGAGTGCCCATGGAATGCTCCCAATCTTGGAGATTCTAGAGACATGTCGCCACCGCGACATCATATTCAACCTCCTCAAAATTGTCAACACCATCATTTTTGGTGACGTGGAGACACAGGAAAATCTATGCTTTGTGGGAGGAATCCCCATCATTACTCGATTTGCGTCAAAGCGGTTTCCGAGCGAGATAAGACTTGAGGCTGCGGCTTTCATACGGCAGATGTTTCAGACTTCTACGTTGACTTTACAAATGTTTGTCAGTGCAGGTGGCCTAAAAGTTTTGGTTGAGTTCTTAGAAGAAGATTACGAGGATGACCGCGACTTGGTGTTGATCGGCGTAAATGGCATATGGAGCGTTTTCGAATTGCAAGGACCTACACCAAAGAACGATTTTTGCCGAATACTTTCAAGGAATTCTGTACTTGATCCACTTTCTCTTGTGCTAAGCAGAGTTCTAGACGAAGATGGAGAGCTTGCAGAGCTTTGCGAAGGCCGCATTGCCAACATATTCTTTCTTTTTTCCCAGGCCGAGAATCACGTCAAAGAACTGATTGCAGAGAGGACAGTGCTGCACCGTAAGTACCCTATCGATTCGCTCTGCAGGTTCTGATACGGGATAGGCGTCCTCAAAGAGCTCAGACGGATGTCTCCCAGTCACCAAATCACAATGCTCAAATTCATCAAGAATCTTTCTATGCTGTCAACGACATTAGACTCACTCCAAAATTCGAACGCAATTGATGTTCTTACCGATCTCCTTCGTAGCAATTCGAGCGAGGGCCACTTTCGGGAGATATCAAATCAGATACTTAACACAATCTACAACTTATGCCGTCTGAACAAATCACGTCAAGAAGACGCAGCACTTAATGGCATCATCCCTCTGCTTCAGCGTATCGTCAGAACGAAGAGCCCATTGAAAGAATTTGCATTACCCGTGCTATGCGATATGGCTGCTTCTGGGAAAGTTGGGAGAAGAGAGCTGTGGAGGAACAAGGGACTCGCGTTCTACATCTTCCTCTTATCTGACGAGTTCTGGCAGGTGACCGCTCTAGACGCAATCTTCATCTGGTAATGCGTTTCGTTGGAATATTGAAAAAAAGCCGCTAAATCATCGCAGGCTCCAAGAGGAAACGGCCAAGGTAGAAGAACACCTTCTTCAAGGCTCATTTGCATCAGGCATTGTCAGATGCTTCACCACTTCCAAAGCCAACGCTTTCGAGAACTTGTTGGAACCCTTGCAGAAATTGCTCCGACTAAGTCCACCGATCGCTCTCACCTTAGCTACCCCTGACTTCTTCCATCGAATACTGCACAAGCTGCAGTCCAGCAAGGCGGTGGTACGCCTCAACTTGCTTCGCATCGTTTGTAGCGTTTGTGACGCAAGCGAAGAACAAGGAGCATTGATCAAACATTACGGCCTTGAGGACGCGATTCAAGCACTAGCCGAAAGCGATGGCGCCGTACTAGTTCGCAACATGGCTAGCGAGCTGATCAAATCCAGTGAAATAAATGACTTACATGGAGCCAGTGTCCGGAGGCGCAAAGGTCCTAGGCGATCGAGCTCATCGACGACCCCGCCAAGTCTACTCAACAGCTATTCCACGCCGACCACACCGACCCGTAATCGAGCGCTGCACAGCAGTCAAGCACATTTAGACCGCGATCTACGGGCTCGTGGAATCGTGAATGGAGCCACAGCGTACCGACCTGTCAGCCGGGACGGAAGCGAATCTAGCGGCATGCCATTGATTGCAAATGTCTCAGCAGTCAAAAGCAGGCTGCCAAGAACAATTTCAACCCGAACACCTCAACGTCAAGTTGTGGTATCACCGAAGAAGAGTGGAAGTAGCTCAGCACAGCAAGCCTTGCAAGATCCTGCGCAGTTACCCCCTACCCCCAATTCAAGAAGACGACGCAGAGGGAGCGGGGATGTTCGATGACAAACAGGATTTCCCCAGGAGCAATGTAGAGCCTGGGTTGCCTTGAGATTGTAGGCAATATTGTAGTATGCACATGCGATAGCATAGCGTTGGCGTTGTTGATATTGAACCTCGCTTGAGCGAGCCTGTCTCTGTACACCAAGTCCTGTGGAGAAGAGGTCTGGAGGCGAGGAGGTGGTGTCTCCTGCTATTGAGGGTCATAGTCCCCTTAACGTTATCCTGCAAAATGATGTCATGTAATGCCAAGGCCGGTCCTCGCGTTAGCGTCGAAAATGAAATCTGGCTGCCAGACCTCGCCCGTCTTCCATTATTTCTTTACCAACGATCATCAACACCAACATTCATCAACAAGACCACTGTTGTGTAGAATACATCATCAGCTCACGATAACAACAGGACATCGACTCATATATTATGGCTTCTCTTCAATGTAAGTTCTAATGAAGTTTCCAATCCCTCTTTCGTACCCCTCTCGAGCCACTGTAAAACGTTGCCAGAAGACCTCTAAAGTAACCCTACGTTTACTAGATTTCCCACCTGTCAAGCCTTCAGCCATTGCGCTCGGCACCATCTTCACTCACACTGCCTCCTTGGCGGTCCTTGCGCCAGTCTTTGGTGACACCTACCACCGCGCTCAGCAAGCCAATTCCAAGGAGGAATTTTTCAAGTCTAAGGAAACCGCGAGCGCTGCTGCAGCTTGGGGATCTTCCCTTGTTGGTAGTGCAGTGCAGTCGTACGGTGTCGGTGCCTTGATCAATGCGACTGGTACACTGAGCTACAAAGGTGCTGCCTACTTGGGCAGCTTGATCTTCTTTGCTAGCTCCGCGCCAAGCGTAAGTACTCTCTCCATGGCTACAAGACAAATTGCGTCACATTAATCTCCAATGGGTAGTTCATCTCCCAGGTTTTTACGGAAAAGCGACCTCTTGACACCGTCGCTGTGGGCGCCCTTGCTCGCGTCTTTGAGACTGTTGGACTGAGCTTGTTCCTCACTTACTGGGGAACACGTACCAACCCTTTCAATTAAATGTATCTAGCTTGCACTCTCGCTGTGGGCTGCAGGACAAGATTGAGAGGATGCTAGCGAGCCGCAACGATTACTCATTGAGGTCTTCAAACCTCGTAATTTCAATTCATGTCGTGTTTCAAGGGTGACCTCTAAGATGATGGCTTTGGAGCATCGATTCTGAGACTATCGTGCAATATCTCATCTCTGTAGCATATGCAAATTCAGGTACATTTTGTACTCTCAATAATATCTCTATTGCTGTTCTTTCAAAGAAATGAATTTTTATCATGAATACCGGCCCCTTTGTAGAGACCACAATACTTTCAACATCGTCTAGAGAACTTCTACCGAAGTCCATTTGTACAGCCACATAGATGCTGGTAATTACATGTACAGGAGATACGGTGAGCATTCACATGAGCCGCTAGCCTTACAAAAAAGATGAAGTGATCGCGCGGTAACGGACGGCTTCGAGGCCTTCATTGCTAACGGGAGGAGTAGTCTACTTTTCGATTTGGTCCAAGTAGAGGCGTCCGGGCCGAGGTGTATGTGTCCCATTGTTGACACGGTTGAGGTTGCCTTTCTGCATCTGAAAATGAGGGCTAGACATAGGAGGCGTCAAATTTGACCCGGCAGCCGTTGATGCTGCACGAGCCCAGGATTGGTTGCTGTTGCTGGTGCTGCTCCGCATGTGACGCGACAAGCCGGGAGTCCGAAGTCCTCCAGAAGGCTCAGTATAAGCTGAACGTGGCTTTAGCCGTCGCCGGTCGTGGATGCGCGAGAGCGAGTTTGCTGGACTTGGGCGCCCGATTCTCGCCCGGGTAGCTGTCAAGGGAGCTGCATAGATCAGACTCGCCAAGTCAGCTCGAGACGCCAAGTCGCGCCTTTTTTGCATGTGCAAAGCCAAATGTGTGTGGTTAACACCTATACTCCAAGATGGGGTAGAAACACTATGGGCACGATTCTGAGAGTTCCCAAATTCTGACAGCTTTTGCTTGTCACTGTTGATAATGGTGTGTACATCTATAGCCTCGCGTCCGCGGCTATCCTGTGCGTCGTTCAACATTGACCCAAACCTCCTATCACTTAAAAATTGAGAAACACCAGTACGGCTCTTCAACAATGATATGTGACTTGAACTTTCTCTGCTCTGGCCAGGTGGAATCGTCGACTTGATCGAGTTCTGGCAGACGCGTCCCCTCTTTGGGGCCTGCGGTGTCAAATACTCATGTGGGTAGGAGCGTATAGCTGCACTTGGAGACGGGGGTGGCGGCATTGACTCTTTGGCCAAGCTACTGAGAGTTGGGTCCCCATACGTCCCACACATATCTTGAGGCGAGATATGCATACTAGCAACCGGGGCCACTTGCTCTCTTATTGCTGGACGATTAATGTCGACAATGATGTCCTTGTCAGCAGCAGCAGGTCGCTTCGATCCTGGCCTTGTGTTTCCAGTCAATCGTGCGAGCTCCATAGCACTGGCGGTTGCGAGCGCCTCTCCAGTGGTCGCTACATGGCTTTTGAATTGCAGACCTGAGGCATTTGCGTTTATATCCGTCTCTGGAAGCCGCGCTTGGTGCACTTGCTGCTCGTGGTGGCTTTTGTCACTATCATCTAGAAGTGAAGTGTCGACACCAGCTTGCTTGAGCAGGTCCTCAACGAAGGCTCTATCCTGCCGCGCCGCCAGAAGCTGGCGCCCAGCTGTTACGAGAATACTGTGAAAAAGTCAGACACTAGACCTAGACCTTCAACGGCGAAGACAAGGTCATCACCCTTTCAAGGAGGAAATCTGGCCAAGCGACTGGATGATGGCTGCTCGGCGGTCTTCCCAATGCTGCAGCGTTTTGAGTGCTTTCTCCAGCTTCTCTTGGGTTTTCAGTCCAAATCTGACCAAGGAGATATATTGAAACTTGTATGAAAGCATTCTTAGTGAGTGAGTCTGAGTACACAGACGTGAGCCTCACCCGAAGTGCCTCAAAGCTAGGTTCGCGTTTGTCTAGGCTGAAGGGTGGAATTGAAAAGTAAGTGGCTGGAATATCGCTATGATAGCTGCCTTGAGTGATTCCGTCCACATAAAGGAGTAGTTTCGGTGAAATATCGCCATACTCCACGCAGCGTGGGCAGGGTGCTCTAGGAATATCTCCATTAAGAGCAGTCAGGGACTCTGGAGGCATCAGTGCGTTCTCACGTCTTTTATGATACAGCAGACTCTAACCTGCACCACCTGTGTCATGAAAGTGCTTCTGGCATACCAAATGCGCGCATTCAGCCAGCCACAGTGCAGATGCTCTCTCGCCCTGGAGGGCACCCTCGCCTTTGTCATTGTGGCGACGACCGCTATACAAAGTTGACAGGGTTGCCTGGCATAGTGTGCAACTGAATATGATGTCCGAGGCCGATGGCGATTCACGCGTCATGGTACAATGCAGATCAAAGATCAAGAAAGAATTCGTGTTGATCTAGGCATGAATCCCAATTGAGTATTCTCCGAAGCGTTACAAAATTTGAGAAACGTTAGGCATCAGAGCAGCGCATCTTGTCTCGAAGCAGCGGGTGCTCAACCTAGGTGATGTTGATGGACAGGGAGATGAAAGGGTAGGAAAGTTATACTTCATGCGCATGTGAGTGGCGGATTGCAATTCCACCGCTACATCAGTCACGCTAGCTTTCACCTCAGCCCACGCAATGCCGCACAACAGTTCATGGAGACTTCGCCACATTGTCAGACCTCAAGGTCAACGAAACAGAGTTTAGACGATTGAAAGGCCGTTTTCACCTATACTGCGGTCATATAGTCTCATTTATACAAAGGTTCGACAGGGGTACCTAGAAGAATCATTAGTCATCAAGAAGATGCAGCTGTGAAAGGCAAACGTACTCTCCAGCATAACCACTTTCAGAATCCATGGTGTACCGTCTTGCACCAGCCGCAGACTCACCTCCTAGACCATTTGGAAAAGGTGGCAAGCCGTTCGCTTGCAGGATCCCACTTCGCCCATTCTTTTCCAGATATGCCGATAGCCCCTTTTCTTCCCCATCTTGCCGGACCTGGATCAATTGCTTCGCGCCAGCGTCCCCTACCTGCAACACGTCTGCCTTTGGTCTTGACTTGCTTCCAACGGCAAGGAGCCCCACAACGTCCGTTTGGTTCACAACGCTAAGTCGGGGATAGCTCCGACGAACATCCCGCTTGTAGTATGGATTCTCTGCGATATCGCCAGATGGCACTGTAACCGGATCATCATAAGCTTCTGGAGGATTTGCACCTGGCGGTGGATTGCGATATTGTGCATTGAGTGGGACACCAGTGGAGCGATCCGGGTCTACCGCAAAGATGCGCCGTACACGATCCCAAATACCGTGAGATTGAACGGTATATTTCTATCCGCTTAGTCAACGGAGGTTCTGTATTGCGTAGGATCACAAACTTTTTGAACTGCGAACGCTCCCTTGGCTGACCCCAATTGTCTTACAGCTCCAGCTCCAGCATTCGTAGCCATCGAGCACTTTTTTTATTCTTCGCTAGTATGAAGAGTCAGCAAAGGAGGCAAAGACAGTTGAAATTCAAGTCCTCGGCCATTTAAACTGGACCCCGCTAGTTTAGCGTTGGCTGTCGATGCTGTTGAAATGTCAACATCGAAGTCTTTCAAGTCGATGGAACGATTGCAAATGCGTATCCACGCATTACCCTTTCAGCTGTATTCCATATTTGACGTACAATTGCAAGGTTCCTTGATACGTAGGGAGGTTCGAGCAGTCGTATTTCAAAGCGTTTAGCTGTTATTTTCATCCAATTTTCGACTAGTCTTCAACCCTCCAGATTTCACTCTACTCCCTCAATACTTAGCAAAGAGACTAGATATGCCGGAGCTACGAAAGCGTCAGGCGCCGGAGCCTGCGACGGGTAATTTTACAAAAAGACCCAACTCCTCCACGACAAATGTGAATACAAAATCAGGCGACGTTGACAGGCAGGTTGCGAAAAATAGCAAAATTGCGGTTGGCGAAATCATCAATTCAGCCGGGTTGGGGGGAGAAATTGAAACGCACGAGGGCGCCAAGGTCACACTGCAGTCTTTGTTAGATGAATGTGGAAGATCAAATCTTGTTATCTTTACGTATCCCAAAGCATCTACCCCCGGCTGTAGGCATGCCCCGAGCAAGTGATTTGCGAAGCATGAGTATTGATGTGCGAAAGGTACAACACAAGCTTGCCTGTTCAGAGATGAGTTTGCAACCTTGACAGAAAGCGGACTGAAGATCTATGGGCTTTCAAAGGATTCACCAAAATCTAATACTACCTTCAAGACAAAGCAAAATTTACCGTACGCCCTACTATGTGATCCGAAAGAGACGCTTATTACTGCTATTGGCATGAAGAAGTCTCCTACAGGCACCATTCGCGGGGTCGTTGTTATTGATAAAGCTGCAAAAATACAAGGCTTTTACCAAGGCGTACGTATTGCGCGGCTGTCGATGCCAGCTGATGCTGATTATCATCCAGGGTCCCGCCGCTACTGTTGAATACGTTCGCAGGTTCGTCGAAGACTCTAAGAATTCACGAGATGGCACGGAAGGAGCCAAGCCAGATTATGTCGCGGAAGACAAGGGGGGCCAGATACAAGCAGATGTTGCTGCACAGGTTGCCGATACCGCTCAAGAGCTAGACAATTGAATTTGCGCTTCTTTAATTTGATAGACTTGAGCTTTCCAATCTTGCTGCTTGTTGAAGCATCTCATGCAGAGTGCCGTTCCATGTCAAAAGTGGAATGCCACCGCTGCTTTTGAGCCTGTGTCAAAAAGGAATCCACCGTAATGTTGGTGATTGAGGTTCAGAGTAGATCCTTCAGACGCCTTGGAAAGATTTTGCTGGCCCCTTGGGCCTTGATTCTAGATCGCTGGGGGGCGTTCAAAAGTTGAATGCGCATTATCCATCACATGTGAGCAATTAGTAGACTAGCTTGCTACAACGCCACCTACGCTATAGGAAATTTTCGGAACCCAGGACTCTGCGTCTTCACTCCTACCAGTCCAATCTCTACACTTTCTCAAAACATCCATTTTCATATTATCCCATCATATGTCATCAAGAGTCCTTGTCATATGACCGCTCCACCACATCGCCAAGTTTCACGCACCGGAAATGCGGGTTTTTTCAACCTCTTATACCTTTGATTATGGCTGGGACGAGGTCTCCATAGCCAACTGGCGCAAATATTGCCTATGGAATAAGTCGTCCTCACACGTGGTTGGCGTGGACACACTGTCGCGTCAAGTCGATCCTTCCACTGGCATTTTGGTCACTGAGAGACTTATCACTTGTACACAGCCCGCACCGGCTGTCGTTAGAGCCCTGCTCGGGGGCCAGTGTACGACGCATAGCTATGAGAAGAGTTACGTGGATCCAAAACGCAAGATCGTCACAATGTGCTCAAGCAATATGACCTGGACTAACCTTGTCTCGGTCAGAGAAATTGTAGTCTATGAGCCTGACAAGCAGACTTCATTCTCTAGTTTAGATCGGACAAAATTTTCACAAGAAGCGAGGATTACTGCGCTATGTGGAGGGTGGCAGAAGGTTAAAGCGAAAATTGAGGAGGCCACTCTCGAACGCTTCCGAGAAAACGCAAAGAAAGGGAGGGAGGGTTTAGAAGCAGTATTAGAAATGAGCAGAAGGGCATTCGGAGAAGAAAGAGAAAGACGAATGCAGATCAGGAAAGAAGCAGAAGCGTGAGTCCTGAGACCTTTAGTGTCTATGGCATGGCCTCAGTAAGATTTGGTATTGAAGACTGCTGTGAGGACGCATGACATGACAGTAGCGGTTAGGTCGACCATAGAGCGCCTTGAGCAGCTTTCCCAACCTAAGTACGGCGTGGCTTTTTGGGTCCCTTTCGCTCTGCCGAACAAGCTTTGTGGGCTCATAACGCCCTCCGCTGGAGACCGCGCTTCCACCAGTCTACATATTCTCGCAACAGCTAGACTCGACGAGCATGCAGTCTTTTGCCACGGTCTCCAGCCTCCATATACATTTCAAGACCTTCAGCAGCGGCAATCTTGATTGGCAACTGGACAGGGTCGAAAGGGCGGACGATGCATCCTGGAACCCGCAGCGTTTTTTTGAAAGCAGTCTTGAAAGAATCATACTAGACTTCAAGACATCGCAACGGGTGCAAGTGCCACGGCACTTTAAAGTTGTCTTACGTCAAACCGCCGAGCACAACTTTGCCTAGCCCAGCAAACTCAGCCCTCGCCCCTGTCCGGCTCGTGTCTTCAAATTCTTTAATGAGATTCGCCACCATGATCTTGCGCAAGCGTGCATCCGCTTTAGCAAAAATCTCACCCAGACCTGGAGAAACCGTTGTAGGGGATGGAATTAGGCTCATCACCCGTGTGTAGCAATCAATGAGGACGTCGCAAAGCGTTGCGAAGGTCTCGAAGAAGTCAGGATCGAATGGCAGAGACGGGGTGAGGAGGTAATGATATTCCTCACCAGGCAAGAGATCTTGATCTCCCGCTGGGAGAAACGATACAGTCGAGGTTGTCGAGCCTGCGCTATTCATGCCAAATTTCAGATCTCCATGGTCACCAGCGTTCATTGGCAGTCCAATATCGGTAGCCGAGCTGGTCCGGCGACTCTTTCCGCTCGTGTGAGTAGCGCGCTTGAACATTTGCGGGATACGGGCTCTCGATAAAGAGGAGCTGGTAGAACCGTCGGGGGAATGTATTTGTTGATATGATTCAAACTCTACGAGTAAGGCGTTGAGTGCTCGGAGATAATCTTGAGGATTGGAAGAGTTCAGGTCAAGAATTGTCGGCAGTGAAAGACCAAGCAGTAGGTAATTGGTTGCTCGTCGTGCCAACTTCTTGGTTTCGAAATATGGCATCTTTGCCAGATCCATTTTACTGAATAGAAGTGTATTATACCAATAGACATGACCATCATTGCTTCCACAATATTCAGCAGCACAATTGCACATCGTCATATGCCTAGCTTACGCTTTTCGTAGATAGTCTAGAGTTGAGATTCGCTTAGACGACATTTCATGGATCTGCTGGAAGACTGTGTTGGGATTCTGGGACATGCCCAGTGCAACTGGTGGTAGATTGGGCACAGGCAAATTGCCATTGCCTATCTGGCTCGGGGCTGTAGTCGACAACGACATTTTGATAATCTTCAGACTCGCTTCAGGGAGTACTGTTCATCACACATTGATCTACCCAGCTCTACGGGGCCGCCTGATTGAGATCTTCAACCTCGAGAACGGCTCACGTGATGGCCGAATGATCGCCTATAGGTTCCGCCCCCTCGGCCATTAGAAGAGATGACCCCCCAACCGGCCAGACCCTTTAACCGGCCAGACTACTATATACGTAGGCGTGACTCAGAATACGTAGCTGGTTGGCGGGGCAACCCTGCTAGTTTAAACTTTCTAACTATATTCCTTGATCGTTCTTCTACTTTATTGCCATCTTTTCTATTATTTTTACTTTAGATACGTCGCTATTATAGCTAGTAATAAGTATTAACTTAATATAGAAAAAAAGATCCCTTTAGCCTAGCGGATCAACTTTATAATATACTATAAATATAAAAATCTAACTATTTTATATTAATAAATTACTTTAAAATATAATATATTTAAAAGCATATTTTAAAACTAATTAAATAGGGCTAAATTAATAAAAAAAAGTTAAAAAAATTATTAACTTTTATATTTAATTAAAGAAAAAACTCTTAAATTCTAAATAAAAAAATTATAAATATAAAGATAGTTAACTTAAGTTATATAAGTTTGTTTTATAGCTTAAAATATTTTATAGAAAAAAGGATATATAACTTTTATTAATATATATTAAATATAAAAGTTTATAAATTATTACTTTAAATTAAAATCTAAATATATTTTTACTAATTAATAAAGAATAAGTTTTTATATAAACTTTTAAATTCTTTTTTTAGCTAGTTTATACTCTATATAAAGCTTAGAAGAGAATATAATATTAAAAATAAAAATATTTATAATATAAATAAGAAAAGCTTTATACTTAAAGTTATTATTAAAATAAAAGTTATAATAAATAAAACTAAATAAAGTAATTAATATAAAAGTAAGTATTAGAATATAATTATAAAGGAAATATTCTTTAATTATATAATAATTAATATAATAATAATAAGGAACTCCTCTTATCTTATATATAAAGCTATTTATTTATATTAAGATATTCTTACTAGCTATATTTATATTAATATAAATAATTAAAAAAATTAAAGAAGTATCTTTATTACTATATATATATATAGCGCTATATAATTATATTATATTAAAAGTAAAGATTATTTATAATTATATATAATTATTTAAAATAAAGGCTTTATTTATAACCTATTATCTATTATATATTATTAACTTTCTATAGCCTATCCCTTTTTTAAGAAGTAATTATAGAAGGAGCTAGTAATACTAGTAGTAGTAATATTGTTTCTACTTAAATATTTAGTATTTTTACTTTAGTATAATAAAGAGTAATCCTCTTAGCCTTAGCTTTAAAAAAAGAGTAGTATTTATTATAAATATTAATAAGGTCCTTAGACTTATATAACCTTTCTATATTATATTATAGATTATCTTTATATCTATATATTTTTTATTTAATTAAATAATATAAAAGTCTTTATAAAAAAACCTACTTATTAACTATTAATTCTACTTTAAATATTAAGCTATTAAGATATTTTTTATTTTCCTAAATAACGAATAGCTAATAAGTATTAAAAGTATAATTATATAGATCTTCTATTATAGAAAAGGGCTTAAGCTATATAATAAATATAATAGAATATATATATATATTATATAGAAGCTTAAAATAATAAGCTAGATTTTTAACCTTTTTAATAATAAGAAAAAGGCTAATATATTAAAAGTTAATTTTATAATTAAAAAAGCCTAATATAATATAGCTTTAATATAAAATAAAATATACTTTATCTCTTTTTTTTATATTAATTTTTATATATTATTTATTATATTATAGTTTTAATATTATAGTAATAAAAGCTATAGCTTTTTTAGTTTTTTATATTTAATTTAATATAGTTTTTAGAAATTTTTAGCTAAAAGATCTTATAATATAATTAAATTATTATAAACTTAAAAGATATATATAATTTTATTTAGTAATAGACTAATAATAAAGTTTATAGAATTATTAATAATAATATTAATAAATAAAATAACTAATAACTAGTTCTTAGCTAGTAGTTAGCTTATATAATAGTATAAAGTAATTTTAATACTCTAGTTTATTTATTTAAATTACTAATTAATTTAAGAGTAATAGGTAATAGAAGTAAGTATAATAATATTAAGCTTTTTAAAAATAGCTTTTTAAAATTCTAATATAAATTTAGAATTATAATCTAATATAAATAATTAAAGAATTCCCTAATCTAATTTTATAAGGAATATTAATATCTTATTTACCTATTTTTTAGCTCCCTATATAGCTTTATTAAGTTTAAAAATATTCTTCTTTAAAAACTTATAAATGTATAATAAGAATAGTAAAACTATTAATATTAAGTAGCTTAATAATAAAATCTATAGTAATAGTATAAAATAGAACTAAAAGTATTATAATTAAGTTAAAGTTCTTATATAATAAGTAGTATTTTATCTATATTATTTAATAAAATAAGTAATAGGAAATATAAGCCTATAGCTTATTTACTATATAATAAATAAAAACTAAACTAGATAACTAATTATATATTTATTTAAAGTTACTATAGCTAGAGAGATTATATATAAAAGAAAAGACTTTCTATTTTATAGTATTAGGTATATATAAGTATTTATAACTATTTCTTAATATAAAATAAAGGAGATTGCCTCTAAGTTTAAAGTAAATACTATATAGTTTTTAGTTCTTATTAAAAACTTTATTTTCTTTTAACTAACTTACTTCTAATTAACTAGCTTCTAGTTATAAAAGATTAAGTATATATTTTTAATAGTTATCTTCCTAATATATAATCTTAAAATAATATTTAAAATTATTTAATATTTTAATTAATATAATATAATAGATTAGTAGTATATTACCTATAATAAATAATATATTAAAGTTATATATCTTAGTAAAGAAAGTATTTAAAATACTTAGATTACTTTTTATAATATTATTCCTAATTTTTATTAAATAGGATAAAATATTAAAAATAGTATTTAACTTCTTAGCTTTATATTATATATTAAGTTTATAGTAAGAGAAATATTATAATACTTAAACTAGCTATAGGTTAGATTTATTTATATTAAAAATTAATAAAGTTATTTACTTAGAAATAAAAATAGTAGTAAAATAATCTATATAAATAATAATAATATATTTAGTAAATTTAATTATATATTTTATTTTCTTAATAACTTATATAATACTAGCTACTTTAAGTTTAATAAGCTAATAATTATATTCTATATTACTAAATAACTTATTAAAGTATATAATAGGTTATAATAGGGAGAGTAGTTTTAGTTATCTAGAACTAATTCCGCTCTTAGCTATATCTTAAATTAATCTTAGATCTTAGTAGTTTTAGATAATAATAAGATTATAATTCTAAATAATATATTTATTACTATATCTATTTTAGGCTTATACTTTACTATATTATATTAATAATAGTAATACTTAGTTTATCTAGATAAAGGATACTAATTAATGCCCTTTTACCCTTTAAACTAGGTAATAGCTAAACACTAGCCTACTAAGCTAACTAACTAGCTAAAGTAATTAATATAAATATTACCCTTAGAAAAACTAAAGTAAAAATATTATATAATAAAAAGAGATAATTATATTTATTATACTATAATCTAGCTTTCTTATCCTCTAGCCTTTTCGCCCTCTAATAATAAGCAAGTAAAGTAGCTAATATTACTTCTTTTATTCTAGTAATAATTGTTTTAACAACAATTGTTCTAGTAATAATTATGCTAGCAACAGTTGTTACTATAATAATAATTGCCCTTAATTAAATACTAACCACTTTTAATTTATTAATTATTTATTGCTTAAGTTGCTTATTAATATATTTATTTATTAAAAGTACTTTTAATTAACTATTATTTTTATAAGCTAGCTTCTAGTATACTACTAATAGAGGCTCTATTATATATTAATTATAATATTATTACCTTTACTTTCTAACTCTATAATTTCCGCTAGACTAGTAGTTTTCTATTAGAATTTAATAATATTATAAATACTATTTTTAAGTATATTAATAATAATATTTTATACTTTCTAAAAGAATAATAGTAGATAATATTATGTTTCTATATATAAAAAATATATTCTAAATTAATTAAACTTAAACCTATTTAGCTTTTAAATTAGATAGTTAATAAATTAGTATTTTAAAAAGCGCTTTAAAACTTTTATATACTAGACTTAAAATTTTTATAATCTTTTAATTTAATTGTTTTTAATATTAATATTTTTATTTTTAATAAATTTAAATAAGAACGAACTTACTTTTAATACTTTTTATTAACTATTAATATATAATTAGATTTTAACTAAAAAAAGATTTATTCTAGACTAATTAGTCTATATTAGAAATACTTATTATTTATTTTAAAAAATACTTTTAAAATAGATAAAGCTATTTAAGCTTAAATATATTAAATTATAAATAATTCTTTATAAGTTACTTTCTATAGTTTCTAATTTTTTTAAAAATTGCTAAGTTTTTTTAGCCTACCTAATCTTTAAGGTTTAAGAAAAAATAATAGTTAAAGAATTTTAAATTATTATAATAATTATTAGAATATTACTAATATTAGCTTTTTTAATCTTTAATATAATAGTAAAATTATTAAAAAAGGATCTCTACCTATAGAGTATATTAGAAAAGAAACTTACTTTTATAATATATATTTATTCCTAGAATATATTAATAATATTATTAGTATAAAAGGTATAAAAATAATTAGAACTAACTTTTAAATATACTTAAAAGGTAATATATTATCTTAATAATTAGTAGAAATAAATAATAATATAAAATACTTTATTTAATTAAATAAAAAAATTAGTAAATAAAGTTATACTTTAATTAATTATTTTTATAAGCTAATTAATATTACTATAA